TGTTACCAGTAGTGCTCGATCTCGAGCCAGGAAGTCAGATGATTGATGGTTTTCAGTCACTTTCATGATTTGTAGTCCATGGATGGTGGTGTCCGGGCCGAAAACATCAATCACCGGCCGTGTATTCTCGTTGTCAATTTCAATCAAAAATGTTGAACCATTTGATGCGGTACCAGCGACCCACATATGGGTTTCATCATTCGCGGCGGGACAAAAAGCAGAGACTGGCCCGGGTATTGCTGGATTGTCAATGACCGTCCATCGTAGATCGTCCACATTGTACAGGGCAAGAGACGTCTGATTGCCTTCGACAGTGAGGTTTCCAGTGGCGAGCAGATTTTTTCCAGCCCAAAACAAGTCTGATACGGATCCTTCGAGTCCGCTTCCCACAGGGTTCCATTGATCAGTTGCGGTGTCGTACATACATACGGAAGGACAAGATAGGCCTTGAGAAGTACTATCAAATGACCCACCAACGTAGACGGCGGACGTTCCATCTTGTGGCGCTATTGTGTTGACCATGACTTGATCCCCTTCTAAAGATGCCGGCTGGATTGCTCTATAATCTGCCGTGGCCAAATCATACATCACAATACCGGCGAGATTCATGTTATTGAGTCGGCCACGGATGCTGCCACCTAAGAATAAAGTGCTGCCTGTTACTGCCACTGTCAAAATAGTCGACTCGGAATCGATTGCGGGTGGAGCTCCTGTGACAACATTACTGTTTGAGTTATTCAAAAACATGAGATTCTCAATCGCTGATCCGTTGGAAGCGGTGGCTGAGAAGTGTCCTGCAAAAATCGTAACATTCTGTCCATTTTCAGTGTAATATGCGCCACTCATCACGCCAGTGATGTTCTGGGAGTCCAGAACTGCTCGTTTCCGGGAAGGAGAAGAGGGTGAGTTTGAAGCGATATTGATGGGGAGTTGTTGTAGGTTGACCCTACCATCTTGAGACAACATTCCTGCGGCTCCACTGATAGCCAGACCAAGGGATCGCAATGTTCCCGCACCAAGCCATGTGTTGTTGGGAAGAAAGGTTGCGGAAGAAAGTTGGCCAGCAAAAGCCTGCTTGGGAATGTCCAGATTTCCAAGCCAGCCGTTGCTGGAGGGAACCCAGATGGCTAGACCAGGTGCACGCATTGCTGGGGTTGAACCGAAGGCTTCGATTTGTGTGAAAGAACCACTAAAAGCGATCACAGTTTCAACTTGGTTTTGACTGACGTTGAGCTGCATAGGGACGACAGCCTCGACGGATCCATCCAGGCCAGCACCAAGAGGTACCCAAACATTTTTAGAGAATTGATATGCTGCGATATTATTCAAACCTTCGACATTATCCTGATTCGTGTTTGTGAAGTTGCCGCCGACATACAAGAAATCGTCTAAGCTGTACAACGATGTGACAGCTGAATTGAGGCCACCATCAGGCAAAGAGGAAGCATTATTGTCTTTAAAGGACATGATGTTTTCGAAAACGTCGTCCGAGAAATTCCCCGCGGCATAAATGGTGTTATCTCGAGTGGCGAGTGCCAATATATGGGCATTGGGCTCGAGGGTTGTCCCTGCATTGTTGATAGCGGATTGGGTAAAGTCGCTATCAATCACATCACTGTCAGGGTCATAATCGAAGAGGCCATTCAATCCTCCAGTGGAGGAGATGAAGCCAAACTTGACACGTGACGCAACAATCAGTTGGTCTTGTTGTTGGCCTGACGGAGTGAGGGTGATGGAAGGTCGGAAAGAGGAGCTGGTTGCATCCACGAATCCTTGATAGACTTGGTCATATTTGTCAAAGTCATTGGTTTGAAAAACTGCTGAGGTGAATGTCTGATCTCCTCCGGCAGTTAGTGTGCCGTTGATATTAACCACGGCGCGAGCAGAGCATGAGCTGTCCTGGATGCAACCCGGGGTGTAGATGATGATTGAATAATTTCCACTGCGCTGAACATCAGGCTGGAAAACAATTGAAGTGGTGTCGACAGTCGTGGGGCCGACAACCGCGCTCAAGTAGTCCGAGACACTCTGTCGAGATGGAGTGGAAAACCATGGTCCAGTGGCTGTGGCCACTGATTTCAAACCTTCTGCCTCGCAAGTGGGGTCATTGAAGGCCTCGATGGCATAGGAGAAGATGTCATTCTGGAAGAGTTCAATACCGTCCAGACCACCTCCGTTGCCGAACCAATCTGATATATCGATCCTAAAACTGTCCATGCCTACAAGATTCACAAACAAGAAATCCTGGAATGGTTCGGAAGCGTTTTGGAACAAGGGACACCGAGCATCACAGAATTCTCGATCTCCATTCTCCGGGTTGATGTATGTGAAGTTCATGATGCCACCATTAGGAAGCGCGGTGAAGCGCCACGTCTTTGTTCCTCGACCTTCCTGGTTAGTGTTCCATAGTCGAAGCTTGGTGGGTTCGAAGCCAAAAGCTAGATCGGCACGCCATGAACCAGCTGTGTTGTCTGCGAGGAGAAAGCTGGTGGAGCCATCACTGCTGTTGGTGGGACACAAGATGCTCCTCGGATCTCCCAGTCCCTGTCGCGTGGTGTTTCCCTGCGCCGTAACGTTGGCGGTCCCAAGGTTGATGACCTGAGTTTGGGGATCAGTAAAAGCAAATGACGAAATATTACCCAAGCCAGTAAAAGAACCACCGAAGACAATGTGTCCGTTGGGAGCTCGAGTGATGGCCGTGACCGGAGCGTCAAATCCGGCAAATGGAAGGTTGGTAAAGCTCCCAGACTTCCATGCGATGGCGTTGGAAGAGTTTTGAGCTTCAAAGGCGCCGCCAATGTAAACGGTCTCGGTATCCTTGTCGCAATAGAGAGCCGAAACAATGCCTTGGACACCTTCGATTGGTGTGACTCTTAAAGAGTCTGTGTCCAACAGAGCCACTGACTGTGCAGACACACCGCCAATACTTGTAAAGTTTCCACCGACCACGAGACCAGACAATGTTCCATCTTTTAGAATGAGTGGGCACATGGCCGAGATGCCGGCGTCGGTAGAGGCGAGGAGATCGAAAGCTCCACTGGGCAAAGTTGATAAAATCGACTGTGTTCCATTGCTATTGAAGCCTTGCTGTTGGCCGAGGGCGGAATAGACGGCGATTGCATCGAAATCACCAGCGAGAGTGACCTCACCAAGGGAGTCGAAATTGAGGTTCGGATTGGGAACTGACTGAGACAGCCCTTGCGTTGCCAGCAATAGAAGGGCGGTGGAAGCCCGTGGGCCGAACCGCGACAGCAGATGCATTGTAGAAATGCGACTGTGCCGAAGCAAGAACGCGAAAAGGTGTTATCGATGGTGTACTGAAGAAGACATAGGTGTCGGACAGGGTGTATGTGCCGAATGAATTGGGTGAGGTTGAGGTGACGATGGTGTTTCCAAAGTTGGGACCGCAGTTCTGCAGACTGGAGTTGGCGCAAGAAGCAGAATCAGGTACGAAGCAGAGGCTGCAGTAGTGGATGTTATTTTAGCAGGCTCAATAATAGATAGTGATGACGGTCGACGGAGACGCGTGCAGGACTTGACCCGGATGGAATTGCGAAAGAGCAGGGATGAGTTGAAACAAGTGGGAGGCGGAGTGGATGGCAGGCCTCAGGACCACTGGCACTTGAAGTTGGGTGAGAAATCTAGACGGAGTATTGATCCTTGAGGAATTGTACAAAGGAAAGATGGGACCTGGATTCGAATCTGGACCTGAAGGACGACGGAGAGGAAAGAGCGACAGTCGTGATGGTGAGGTTTGAAGATAGCTCTCAGTGGTGGGAAGTGTAGGTATTCTGGGAGAGGAACTGGGAGTTGACTTTGAGATTGTCCGTAGCGTATGCAAGCAAAAGAGGAGAAGGAGAGACCAGACAGGGACAGCCTGAAGCCTGAAGCCTGAAGCCTGAAGCCTGAAGCCTGAAGCCTGAGAGTGAGAGGCGTGAGCAAAGGCAGTGGCAGTTGTAATTGGAACTCCGTTCAGTGTGGCTTGCAGCGACTTGCAGCAGTTTAGTGTGGTCCAAGTCAACGAAACAACAGGCGAGTTCAGGAACAATGGCATGCGGGAGAGGTCTAAGTGGATTTAGGCTCAGGTTAAGCCGGGATAGGGCTGGGGCTCACTCGTTGTTTGCCGTTGTTTTGGCAGCCTTTTGGTTCTGTTAGGTGTGACTAGGTTTGTGTTAGGCTTGTCAAGCGGGGGTTGCTCCAGCATCCACCACCCAGTCATGGCCCGAGGCACCCAGGAGGAATGCCTGCTGCAATCTTCCGCTAGCCCCAATCCAGCCTATTTCCATCATCTACCAATCTTCTTCCACTTCCAAGGTTTCCATCTGATTTCCATCCGCTGGACAACCACCAGGTCACGGAAGAAAGAAGCTTCGACGCACATCGTCCATCCAGGCCACCAAACCAACCACATATCCTCAACCCCATCGAAAATGTTGCTGGAGTGCCTCGTAGATTCGACATGTTCAACTGGTTGTCATTCCAAAAGTCAGAATGCTGGGTGCTGGGCTGCAATCTCCCGAAAGGAGATGACACCCACTTTGGGCTCCGAATCTGTGGCTGTTTCCGACTACGAAGCACTACTCGGTACCTGCGTGCTGCAGCTAAACACACCTCAGGCTCTACTCGGCCAAGTGTCAGTGCTGAAGCAACATGAACGACACCTGAGAAACTGCCAGCAACGCCAGCAACGGCCATGGTGCTCCTTAAACTCCTTATACATGCGTTTAGACACCTGACCGCCATTATGCATCCTATCAATTCTGATTCTCCACGACACGCTTCTGCACTTTGTAATCAAACAAACCATCACCTTTTCATGTTATTGGTATCAGAAGCACGTGCTATGTAGCAATTCATCTCAATCACACCAAGTGAGTGACGCACACTCGTAATCGTACACTAAATACCTAGGTACCTGATGGCAGGGGCTTCCTTCTTACTGATCGTTCCATCCTGTCACAAGTCGCGAGTTTTGTCAGTTGTTCTTCCCACCATGTGTTTCATTTGCGCTTTGTCCGTTTCACACGCCCCCCACTTGTTGTAGAAACCTCCTCCAGCTTCACCATCGTTTTCGAGTCCTCCGACACTACATCGCCATCGGCTTCTCGCTTGATAGCCGCCCGCCGTATCGTAGCCGTCGTCTCCGCTGTGTCCATCTTTTCCACAACCTCCAGGCGCAGTTCCTCCTCCACCTCCTCCTTCTTCACTGCAACACCTCCCTGCACTGCACTCTCCATCTTGGTTGTCACCGTCAACCTCTCTGCAAATGTCCGCAAGTCCGCCGTGAAGAGGACACTGTGCGCCCACCCGGCCTCTCTTCCCCACAGCTGTCGGAAATGGTTGGCCACTGCATCGTACGTGGCCTTGGTCAAGCTTCTATGCTTCCCTTTGCCAAATCTATAGTCCCGCTGCGCAATCTGCCAGACATGGGTGTCGACGGGAACAGCCTCTCCCCAGCCCAGACCCATCAATGACACACAATCTGCGACTTTGGGTCCCACTCCCTGCAACGTCAGTAGTTTTTCGTGTGCGTCGCGATACCCGTCTCGACCTTCAGGCTTTATCTCGCCACCCGCGGTAGCCTTGCCGGGGTAGGCTGGATTTTCTGGGTTGTGCAAACCCTCTAGCCAGCCCTCTTCTCGCTCCTCAACGATCATCCTGGCCGTCTGGTAGATGTATTTTGCGCGATATCCAAATCCAAGCTCTCTCAAATGACTTTCGACATTCTTGCCTGTCAGTGCCGTAGGTTCAGGAAAGTCATGATACGCCCGGCCCTCCAAGGTGCCAATAAATGACCCGTAATGTGTACACAGCTTGTCGACCATCTGCGATATTCTTATGATGTTGTTATTGCTGCTGCAGATGAAGCCAATGAGCGCCTCCCACGCATCTTGCCTTAGGATCCTCACCCCCGTAAACTTGGGTGCCTTCTTGCTGAAATTGGCATCTGCGGCCGACCATTGCGCATAGAGGCCCTCGAGATTAGGCCCCAGATTCAGGTAATGGTGGAGGAGGCTCTCGGTGTCGTCGTCGGCATCGGCGTCGCTCTTCTCGTCGACCGTGGGTGGCACAGAGGATGGAGGTGTTGGGGGTGCTCCAGAAGCGGCCGGCCATATCGAGCGGTATTGGACGTGCGAGGGTTCCTGCGCCAGTTGCACAATCCGCCCTCGCAGCGTACAGGCCCACGTCTGGTCTTCACATTGGCGCCATCGAAAGGATTGGCCACAGCGCAGTGTCGTGGCGAGGCAGAGCTCGTTCAGTGTGACGGGGAGTTTGCGCCATTCGGTTATTCGTGTCATCTTGTCAATATTGTCGCAACCTTTGGCTGTTGGAGGTGGAGGTGGAGGATCAAAGATTTGTCTGAATCTGTTAACAAGTGACTTGCAAGAGCCTGTGGGGAAGTCTACTCGCCCCTTATCGGCCTGGGTCTCCAAACCTTATCAGACGCGCTAGGAGGTGCCCAGAACACGGTGATGACACGCCTTGAATCGACCTGTTCGGACGGGTTAATGAGCCAAAATATCTTAGTATCCATCACCTGGGAAAAATCACAACAAATATCTCTATGCATCGGAGATCTAGAGCGATTCAGAGACATGAGTGTGTGACAATCGGGGCTGCGACATATACCCAATCTGCATCATCATGATAGGTGATCCAAGATCGCTAGCCTTCTGCCTCATTGACATCCTGCAATGAAATATATACCATGGAAATGTCAGTGTTCTCCCTGAGCCACTTTCTCTCAGGCAGCATTTTGGTGTGCATGCGTCTTCTTTACTGGGTCAAGCTCCATTCTACTTCTCTGCATCCGACCTCGACTGTCCAAATGCTGCCACTGCTTCCCTGCCAGTGATGACTGCCTCTCCGTGCATGACGAGATTGTCGTCCAAGATCGAGTTGCTTCCAATCAGATACTCGTGTCTTCCCTTGAAGTACCAGTATATTCCCGCAAAAAGGAACACACCTCCCAGCATCGCGATCGCCCAATTCATATTCTCAATTGCCCCCACCACTGGCACGTATTGTGGAAATACGTAGAATAGCGTGACGATAACGCTCCACAACAACGACGTGATGTTGACGGTATAACCCCATCGGCCGAGATCGAAGTGAGGGCGAGGTGGTAGATGTTGGCGGCCTTTCATTACCACGCAGAGGATGGGTATGCAATATGAAATCTGTAAGGTGATACCACCAGCGGAGATCAGGGCATAAAAAGCGAGCTTGCTGCCAAGCACAAGTAATCCCGCCAATAAATTGAGAACCGTGACACCCATCATGGCTCTCAGTGGCATGGTGAATCTCTTGTTGATGGTGGCAAAGTAGGGCGAAAAGGGAAATGCCCGATCCTTGGCCATGGACCAAGCCAGTCGAGAACCCGCAGTGTTGATGTTGACGATGATCAGATACTGCCTCGTTGTCAGTTTCATGCATCTTTGCTCTGGTACTCGACATACATTCAAGCCCATCATCATCACCGCACACCAGATTCCACCTCCATATGTGGAGTCCAAGACATCGATGAACCACGCCTGTCGCAGTAACTGTTAGAGTTGTCATCTTTGTTTAATTTTGCACGGAGTCATACCACGTAAGCCGAGGTTTCCTCCATATACGTTTCCCAGTTTGGCCCAACGGTATAGCACATGACGATGGCAGAGAGCCAGGCTGTTACACCCGCCCACACCATGGACCAGATCATCACTCTCTAAGAGTGCGTCAGCATGAGACACCAAATGGGATGTTGAGCAAGGCTTACAGGTGCATCGCGCGAGGCGTTCTTCATCTCTTCTACCACTGCAATACAAGTTAGTCTCGACGGTCGTTCTTGCTGTTGATCTAGGATCACTTGCAGTGAAGGACGGCGTCGGTGCCATATAGCCCATAGATCGGAACATACATGCTGAGGATGAACACCCAACCCTTCGAAGCCCATCCCGAGGTATTGATAAATTCCGAGAAGACAAACCGCGCACTGTTCTTGTCGGCCATGACCAGGAATACAATGGCCCAGATGAAGCCATTAGATATGTTGAAGAACGCTCCAAAAATTTGTAGCGCTGGTAGGTACTTCGGTAGTAGGTTAGATAGCACGGGGGCGACAAGGAATGCCGTGTATATGAGCCAGGTCATGTAAGGCTATCATCGTCAGTGCATGCTCTACTCCCCCGAAACATCGCACCTTCTGCACTAACCTTCCAGGAAACCTCTGGATGTGTGATCTCTACCAACGCCGCTACAATCTCTGCGCTGTTCAACGCACAACTGGAGCTTGTCGAAATCTCTCCCACGAGGACACACCAGCCTATGACATAGGAGAGGAAACGACGATACTTTTCAGGTGCGACAACCTGTCATCTGTTCAGTGTTTGTTATCTGTTCAAAGACGTTCTGCTGACCTGGGCGAAGAATTGTTGTCCTCCTGCGGTCGGCCAAAGACTCGCATACTCTGCAAGAGACGCCATCACGATGGTTTGTCCAATGGTGACGACCGCACTGCCAATCCCACGCCTGGATTAGCCAAGTGATCTTGGAGGGAGCGGGCAGTTAAACACTCACGTTCCCCAAATCAGGCATACCGGACCCCCAAGACTGAAGATGTAATAGTACATGACAATGTTGCAACTCCAAGAGCAGAGGATTGTGGTTTGATAAGCCATTACTACACATCGACAGTCAGTAATCTCAACGTCTTCCACGTTGGCATGCAACCGTACAGCTCCAGAATGTATGTGTTCGTTTGAGTTCTGGCTTATGGCCGAGGCTGATGAGAAGACTTTCATCACTGCTGGTGCCGGGTGATTCGACTTTGGGGGATTCCATGATTAATGTCAGGCTTGGATAGGGGGAAGATTTGCTCAATTGCTATGAAAACGCAACAGCGCAGGAATACTGCTTGATGTTCGACTCATGGACTAGGATCTGACCTCCTTGATCGACTACCAGGTGTCACGTAGGTCCGGCACTGGGTGTGGATTCTGCGAGGTACTGTGTGCAACTTGTGGCACCTGCGAGCAGACCAAGGATATATGACTTAAATCCACAACCGGATAACGATCAGTCTGGTCATCGTTCGGAGCAGAGTGAACAAAGAAGATTGGTTGCAGAGAGTGCTAACTAGTCGTGTACTGGGGACGAAGTACCTCAGAGGTCAAGAAGATAAGCAGGGGTGCGGGAATCAACAATCAATACCTGATTGTGGCAGCCCAGTCAAGGTTTGAGTTCTGCATTTTACCTGACTCGCAAGAGTTCAAGCTAGAGAGATCAAGCCTCAACAGGATCGGAACGGCTGATGCCATTGCACGTCCTATTGGTAAACCAGTTGTGAGGGTTACTCAAGCTTCATTGAGGTCTAAGCATAGCAGGCGGACGGTGCCGAGTTTCTCTCAACAGTGCCCAGAAAAGAGTTAGTTTTCACCACCTATCAAGAGGAAACTGGGGCCCTAGCACTTATTTCAACTCCCGTTATCCTCAGATCTGCATGCCCCTCATTCTGGAAAGCACTCGGCATGATAGGGGCCTTTCCAGACCTTGTGGGTGGTTGAAATGATCTTCGGTTAAGCCAGCGGATGATCACTTCCCCGGGGCCAGTGGATGCTGTTTATCCCTGGTGTCTGAGCTGGCCGTTGTGCACTTGGCTGGGGGCTTGAACAAGCAATTTGCCCATCAGCGTAACCCCCAAGGAATGGTCATCGTAATAACACAATACTTGTGAATTTCTCTGCAGACTACACTAGCACATCGCGTGGTACATGCATTTCATGTTTCAGAGACCTATTGATAATTGACACCAGCAAACGAGGACAGACGCTTCCTTGGGTTTGTTGTAAATCACGTGTTTCCTTCATCAATTTGTCGGCTGATAAGCTTGACCAGCGCATCCTGTCTCAAGAACACAGCATCCAACTGACGATGGCCCTGGAGGTTGAGTAAAGAATCCATCCAAGATGATGCGATGGAATGTGTCTTGACACGAGGGCCTCTCTCTTCACTCGGTGTAACAGATGGCCTCCACGCGAACTGATGAACGGGTGGTGGAGGAACCTCCATCCCCGCCAACTACTGGACCGCAAGGTGCAAAGCCACAACCTCGATCAGAGGCTTTCATCGTATAGAGTTGTCCTTACTAATTTGCCAAAAGACTGCTCCACTTGCATACGGCGGAGAATTCGATGCGATAGATCACTGCCAAAATGTCAGAAGTGCGCAAAGAAGAGTCTGCCATGTCCAGGCTATGGTCCACGTTTGAGATGGGCCGATGGAATAGCTGTTCGGGGACATCTCAAAGGATGCAAGATACCCAACGTTGATAAGCCTAGACGTCTGAACAACTCAAACACGGTTAGTACTTCCAGGGCTTCAACATCTGCAGAACAAAACAACCCCGTCAGCAGCGACACGACCATCCTCAAGCCTCCTTTGGCGATCGTTTCTTTGAATACCCTGGTTCCAGATCTACCGGACGAGAATACAATAAATCGATTACTCGACCATTATGACAAGAATATTGCAGGTCTCATGGTATGGATCGACTCCGACAAGAATGAATACCGACGCTTGGTGCTTCCCCTGGCTCAGCGGCAACCTGTGCTTCTTTTGGCAATCCTGGCGATATCGTCTCAACACTTGGCTGTGACTCGGAACGAAGAGTCAAACTTCTCGGGGCATGCTCGTGACGCAGCTGTGTCAATGATCTCGGGCCAAATCCGGCAAGTCACCGGTAGATTGGCTGCAGGCCACGACCTTGGTAGCGAGATAGATGCCGACACTGCAGAATGGATGCTTGCCTCAATGCTGACTTTGGCGTCCTATGAAATGGCCGAATCGGAGGCAGGAGGTAATGCAGCAGATTCGCATAGGCAAGCTGCACGCACTTTGGTCAACGCTCTTGCCACGACGAACCGCCAGAATAACAGGTTGTTTCGCTTTCTCCGCAATCAACTCTCTATATATGACATTTTAGCATGCACGACTTCTCTTGATCCCGCGAGCAGAAACGACATCATACTTCCCGAAGTCAATCCCGCAACAATCATCTTTTCCGACTTCCTGTATCTCCTCCACGATGTCACAGCATCCTCATGGAGATCATCCGAAGCTCCAAATCATCAAGGCATAATATCGTCACCCAAGCTAGCTCGCTCGTTGTTTGCACTCGCCCGTGGATCTACCTTGATGCTAGCTGGAGCACTAGAATTGCCGATGAACGAAAAACAGCGCGACTTCATTCGACTGGTTGATATATATCATCACGCCGGTCTGCTATACACTTATCGCTTGCTGTTCAAGAACGTCGTTACCTCGACAGAGGTGGAAGCCTCAGCTATGTCGTTATTTGAGCCGTTGAATCAACTCGAGGATATTCATTCATGCATGCAGAATCTGCCATGGCCAGCCTTGATTGCGGGCACAGAGTGTCGTGGGGACCCCATGCGTCAATTGTTTATCGAAAACCTGTATGGGAAAATAGCACGAGATATGGGATTCAAACATTACATTGAGGTTTTGCACTTTTTACAAGTCTTCTGGTCCAAAGCAGATACTGATTGGCTTGATCTGGCCAACCAATATCGTCTTGAAGGGCGGGGAATAGTTGCTGTTTGAAGTATTCCTTGGTACAACAGGTTTGGGATAGCCCGCAGGATTACCAGGCAGGCTCTCCATCCTCACGGGAGCACCATACTAGGCAACCTAGGACGCGCTTATCATGTACATGTCGGTACACTGTGAGGAGAGCATTGTTGGGATTGCGGACCAAAATGAGAAGTGGGAATGACAGAAGGGCCGGTTACTGGTTCTCTTAAGTGTTTAAGAAGCAGTTGCGAAGCGATGCGCAGCCCCTCCAAGTGACCGAACGGGACAGTGAGAGTGCAGGATTCCTGATGGTTGGTATCAAATGCTCCACGCCCACACAAGAGCACGGTCTGCCACGAAACTGCAGAGTAGGAGTATTCTTTAGCTACGTGGAAAAGGCAACGCTAAAGAATCAGCATGAGTTGTGGAGCTCCCGTGAACTGACTCCCGCAAGAATGAGTGGAATTCAATGATAAAGCAGGTGTTGTCTCCGCAATCGTATCATACGCTGTGATATGAAGCCGCTACCAGATTGGGGTAAACGGCACGAAACTAAGACTCGGTCAGAAAATAAGGATTGCAGCGCAGCCCTCGGTAGGTGCGATGAATGATGTTGGACCAGTTAAGCTGCTTGAGACTACATCCATTCCCAGTGCTACCTGACCTTTAAACGCTAATCACGACTTTTCCTGTGCCGATTTCGATGATTTTAAATCCCTTTGTACAGACTGAGTGCGGCCTCGGACGCGATAAATCTATTCAGAGTAGTTGACCAAGAAACTGCCGATATCAGTGCTTTCAACCCTAGCATCGAGATTGCGAGAGTTCTATATATTCGTCGGTCCATAACACCTGCTGACATACCTATGAGCCGTAGATATTTGAATCATGATATTGCTTCTTGACTGGTAGGATCCCACTAGTCTCTAAAGGGGCATTCCATCGAGAGAGGCGGGAAGGCCGTCGTCATCTTTGCAAGTCCGAATCAACTTCCAGCCGAAGTATTCACACCTTCTATTCTAGGCATCTGTGGAGAGTTCCCGAGGATAGGCAGATTTAAATGGTCTTTTGGAGAAATGATAATACCAGACATTGTTAGAAACCACCGTCCAAGGCGTGACACGGCGGCGGAAAGATGGATGATTTATCAATCGAAGGCTCCATTCACGTTGCCTCCAAAAACTCCACACGGACGGGACCGTTTGCCGAAGACCAGTGAACCTTGATAGTGTGTTCAAACGATGTCGTTAGATAATAACTCAGCGTTCCCCAGTCTTTCAAGGTGTCCTCTTGCTCAAATTCTTTTGCCTGGCTTTCATAAAATCACAGCACGTGGCGGGGGTTTCAGGAACTTTGGCCAAACACAAAGCACGCATATCACACCAACAAGCTCGAAGCGGGCAGCACGATATTGATGAGGAGTAAGTATCGACTAGGGTTGGTGTCGCCATTACTGCGACAACGGTCCGCTGCGCAATGGTCTTGAATCGACATTTCCAACAACAGCCTGTCTTCCACCCCGTGACACGGCCAGACATTACCATCAAAAATCTCGCAATCTTCGACACGGATGTATTTCGGGATGAAGTGGCGGCTCGCCTGACGGGCTCGGTCCAGATACCCACCGTGACTTACGATAGCATGGGCCATGTGGGGGAGGATTCCCGGTGGGATGTCTTCTACGAACACTCGGAATACCTGCGGAAGACATTCCCGCGCATGTGAGTAAGGGACCAGTGAATGTGGAATTTGTGTGTGCTAAGTAGGACATGCTAGCTATAAAGCACTCGAGTTGCAAACGGTCAATGAACATGGCTTGTTATACACATGGCCAGGCTCGGAGAGTCGCCTGCGACCATTGCTATTCATGGCACATTCTGATGTAAGAATGTTCACGACCTCGATGGCGAGCGTTGCCGACTGATTGGGTCGCTTTAGGTTGTTCCCGCGGGGACATCGACGACAGCCGAGTGGACACATCCACCATTTCAGGGTCATTATGATGGAGAGTACATCTGGGGACGTGGTTCCGAGGATGATAAATCCAACCTGATCGCCATGTTGACAGCCATTGACAGCCTGCTCGAGTGCAATTTCAATCCAAGCAGGACTGTCATAATCTCTGTTGGGTTCGATGAGGAAGGTGGTGCTGAGCAGAGCTATGGCGCCAGGTGTCTGGCCGAGCTGCTGTTGAAAAAGTACGGCGAGAATGGTGTGGAGATGATTGTGAGCATCTCTAACCAAGACAACCAATCGACCTCACTAACCGATTCATTATAGTTTGATGAAGGTATCGCTGGCATTGAGCATCGCTTCGGAACAGACTTTGCTCTGCCAGCGACTGCTGAGAAGGGCTACATCGATGTGACAGTCTCCGTGCATGTTCCCGGCGGCCATTCGTCAACTCCACCAGATCACACTGGCAGTAAGTGCAAGACGAGCAGTTAGCTTCGAAGAGTTCTGACTTTGGAACAGTTGGTTACCTCGCTCAAATAATACGTATCATTGAGGACCAGCCGTTCAAGTCGAGGATTACCAGACAGAACCCGACTCTAACCTACCTGCGACAAGCCGCACGGCTATCGAAATCCATGCCCGAAGAACTACGTGCTGCCATACTAGGTCCAGACGCCAATGAAAAGATTTTGGAGTATATGGACGCCTCTCGTGAAAGGCGAGCTATGGTCAGAACATCAACTGCAGTCGACGTAATTTCCGGAGGGGACAAGGGTAAGCTAACCACTCTGGAATATCCGCTGTTGAGGTTGTCGATATCACAATTTGCACCATTGAAACCCAACTTGTATTGACACGGTCTAGTAAATTCACTTCCGGAAAGCGTTCAAGTTGTTGTCAATCATCGGATTGCTGTTCAGGATTCTGTGCAAGCAGTCAAGGATCACTACATACGACTCCTCGAGCCATGGGCTGAGCAGCAAAGATTCAAGTTCAATGCTTTTGGCTCAGTGCTTTCTTCTGAGAGATCAAGTTCGAGGCTCAAGGACGACCTCGAAGAAGGGACTTTGATCCTTGACGCTCAGTACGAGCTCGACTCGTCTCCCATATCAGATGCGGAGGATGACCGATTTAGCTGGCTCGTCGGTACATTGAGAGGAGTGTTTGGGAACGATGTCGTAGTAGCACCGGAGCTTCTCACAGGTAAGCGAGTCAGATGTTGTGTGTGTGTAGAGATGTCAGTCTAACCGAATGGTAGGCAATACTGATACCCGGTACTACTGGGAGTTGTCAACACAGATATATCGAATGTCACCATGGCGTGCGAGTCACGATCCTCGAGGAACACGCATGCACACAGTTGATGAAAGGATGCCTGTCAAAGGGTTGGTGGAGATGGTCAAGTTTTACCATGAGTTCATCCGTGTTCTTGATGAGAAGCGAATTTAAGGAGCCTTGATTCCCATTCTTGATCTGTTTGAGCATGCAATGGGGTTCAGTGGGCTTTGCATTATATCCACATGGTAAATTCGTTGTATCGATACAGCATCGGAGTCCAAGTACCTAGGTACAATCAGTGAGATAGAAAGAGAGTATGATTGATCGGAGCCGGACAACGGAGAGCCTGAACCAACTCAAAGACTGAAGTTAAGGAAGTAAGGATGCCAAGGCCACTAAGAGCTAAAACTCCACTAGTGGCCATTTGAAGGCAGCGATCCGGGCAGCAGTAGCGACTAAGTTGCTAGTAACATTTTAAGGGTTCAGCTGGAGGCTGGGCACAGAAACTTGAACTGCCATTGCGCTTCGTACTGCGCTGCGGTACAATGCATGTGTGCTTCGAGGCTGTTTTTTCAATCATTTCACTGTTCTCTAGTCACAATCCGTAAATACGACAGATCAGCGACCATATTTCCTTCAGTCCTTGTCGCATCTTCGCTTTCCTTCCTTCAAGCATTAACGCTTTTAGAACGACCGTGGATCGCATTATCCTCACGTCCTCCTGCCCCGTACCTGTCGCAATCCTAAAGCGACTGCAGAAGGCACGATGAACGGGGACAATTATTCCGCCAGAGGTATTCAATCTTTGTTCATGATTCAGAAGCTCACATTTACTGACCCAAGGCAGACTCCGGTCGCTCTCGCCATCATGATGTACGCGTCCAGATTCCTCCAAGAGGGCATCTATTCCCGCACTAACTTTTGCAGGGTGCTAGGTACGAACGAGAAGATCGCAGAGACCGTGGAGACCGTGGAGACCGTGGAGGCGACCGAGACAGAAACCGCGACCGTGGTGAAAGAAGACGTTCCAGATCTCCCCACCACCGCTCCTCCAGGCGAGAGTATGAGGCAGACTCTTATTCTTCTAGCCGAGACTACCGCGCTCGTGAACGAGAAGATCGATACGGTTCGCGGAGAGAGGAGCGTGAATGGGACAGAGAGCGAAACCCAAGGCGTCGCGATGATGAAAGACCACCACGCAGAGATCGTGATCTGTTCGATGATCGACGAGGCGGCGCAGGTGGAAGGGGTGGAGGTGGTAGAGATCGAGAGCGTGGTGGAGGTGGGCGAGAAGACGATGAATTCGCTGCGCAAGCCCGGGGTCGCAAGAACAGCCCTCCTCCCAAGAAGCGAGAACCCACCCCAGATCTAACCGATACTGTCTCGATATTGGACCGCAAGAGGAGGCTTACTCAGTGGGACATCAAACCGCCTGGCTATGAGAATGTCACCGCCGAACAAGCCAAAATGTCTGGCATGTTTCCTCTGCCTGGTGCTCCACGCCAGCAGCAGATGGACCCCAGTCGCCTGCAGGCTTTCATGAATCAACCTCAAAGTGGTGTCAGTGCCACGGCTCTCAAACCTTCCAACTCTCGCCAATCCAAACGACTTTTTGTTTCCTCCCTCCCTGCCTCAGTCACTGAAGAGAGCTTGCAGAACTTCTTCAATCTACAAATGAATGGTCTTAATGTTACCAAGGTCACTGACCCGTGCATCCAAGCCAATATTTCCGATGACCGCACTTTCGCCCTGGTGGAATTTAAACAGCCTGTCGATGCAACCGTGGCCTTGGCTTTGGACGGCATCACTATGGAAGAGCATCAGAGTGAGATGAATGGCAATGGCCACGGAGGAGTCAAAGGCTTGAGCATTCGTCGTCCGAAGGACTACATCGTCCCGTCCGCCGATGAGGATGCTTACACTCAAGGAGAGATTTCGACTGAAGTGCCTGACACTGCGAATAAGATCTCAATCACGAATTTGCCTCTATATCTGACGGACGACCAAGTTATCGAGCTTCTGAAATCTTTTGGAGAGCTGAAGGCATTCGTTCTGGTCCGGGACAATGATGCTCAAGAATCAAGGGTAGGTGCTAACTCGCCGTGGCTACTGACAAGACCACTAATCATTCCCAGGGAATTGCATTCTGTGAATATACCGAACCTTCAACCACAGAAATAGCTGTGGAAGGACTGAACGGCATGGACTTGGGAGAACACAAGATCAAGGTACAGCGAGCTAGTATCGGATTCACTCAAGCTTCAGGACTCGAGATGGGCGTGAACGCAATGTCCATGTTTGCAGGAACGACATCGGACAACTTTGAGGATGGCCGAGTCCTACAATTACTCAATATGGTGACAGCTGAAGAACTCATTGACAATGAGGATTATGAAGGTGAGCTCTTCTTCATGTCCAGATATCTTGTGCCGATTGGCTTTGCTAACCTCTTTTAGAAATTGTCGAAGATGTGATGGAAGAATGTCAGAAATATGGCACAATCGTTGAATTGAAAATACCTCGTCCTTCAGGAGGCAGTCGACAATCTGCAGGAGTGGGCAAGATATTCATCAAGTACGATACTGCTGAATCAGCGAAGAAGGCTCTACAAGCACTTGCTGGCAGAAAGTTTGCTGATCGAACCGTCGTTACGACGTATTTTGATGAAGTCAGTCTTTTTCTCTTAACACATGATCACCCTCCAGCCCATTGCTAACTCCCATGGCAGGCGAGCTTTGACGTCAGTGCCTGGTAAAATCACGGAGGAAGTATGCATTCATGTACTATGGGATTTCAAAACGCGTTCCGACCTTGTGCATAACATTTTTATCAGGTGGGATGTAATTTTGGAAAATTGGGCGATTCTTCCTAGCGGGAGGAATCAACTTGCAACGAGCAAATCGTTTCCATTTCGGTCGGATACCAATAAAACTGGCAATGGTGACAACTCTGACACACAGATGGCTTTGCCTAACCTCAGAAAATGCGGTCATAAGAACAATGGCAGGCGAATGGATACATGGAGCACCAGTGAGATTTCTAATGGGCATCGTGAGCCGAGTAACTCAGTACGATAAGCGCAAGACAAAAGAGGCCGCGATGCCCCCAGTCTGGAGCCAACCCAGCAGGCTCACTGACATCCTCGCAAGATCTCGACATCAATGGCTTCCTCGGTCGAGACCTGCCTTTCTGAGCCATGGATGCTCTTGCTATCCTGCTGTCGCGGGCCACGCCTCTGTACTCTGCTGCCTGGCCTGATTACATGAGAGATGCCTGAGAAACCTTGAGGTGAAGGAACCACACTCTCGAACCCGCGCCGCAATTGAAAATTGTATTTCTAGTCACTCCTATTGCCATCATTATATGAACACACTGATTGATTGCTTGATTCCCCGATTTCTTGGAACGCGCCTTGCAGACATACAGGATCGGACTATTCAGTATCAGACCTGTGTTATTCCTATCTGAGATAATACCTAGGTAGGTGGTCAGGTGTACGTGTCTGTACCCATATCGCTGGCCCCGACTAACGGCATGATATTTATATTTGGGCATGAGTAGAGATGAGTGACCGGAAGACGTAAATCGTTCTCGAGACATGTTTCAAGCCTTCAGGTCACATAGGGATGCGACATACATACACGTTGTTTTGGGTTGTTGTTGTTTCAGATGGCTCATCATGTACAATTATGCTTGTGGATGAATTTTGGACATTTCGTACACTATATCGCGCTCAGTGTGATCGGTCACAAGCTTTTGCGTCGCTTCAGGAGAACAGATGCTGATCTCTTGCACCACCATTCATGCACTCCCGCGTCCAACTACCCATTTTGTCGGCCGCAGTCCTGTCTGCGGTCTACGATCAAGTCGCTGAAGTTCTGCAGGCCTGCTACAACACGTGTCATAATGTCACGAGGACATCCATTCACCCATCGAGCCAGTCGTCGATCACCTTCCCAACCTATCTTGATGCATCCACTCAAGATGCATCCTCATCTTTTGTCATTCGAGTTCATGCTGTTTTTATCATCATTTTGAAATCTGTTCGTGACTCATTCATCTGCCAGGTGACATGCCTCAAACTCGGAACATCCATACTGTGCCTAGAAGGCCGACTCAGTCGCCTTTGGCCATGCAGGAAGGATTTGCAGAAAGCGGACCTATTTACTCGTCATCGATGATCAATCGAGTGATCTTGCCGACGGCAATAGTCTGGCCTTGGTCTCGCAAAGTGAATCGACCAAGTTGAGGATAGTCCTCGAATCTTTCAACACAGATCTTGCCACCACCGCTTGTCACTTGTAACCTGGCAATGATGTTCTGGCCTTTGGCCGCAAATGGCGGAGGTTTCTTGCTCTTCCGTCCTGTCTTCGGTTCGAGCTTGTGCAGCAAGGCTGCAAAGGTGACCTCTTCTGTAGCAGCATGAACGTGCAAAACACAGTTAAAGCCGGCAGAGAGAATAGACTTGAGATCGACAATGTTGATCTGCGCCTCAAACTCACGTACACAGTGTACGAGACGCTTGGGAGAGCAGAGTACAAAGCCTGGCATAATATCTTCTTCTTCGATACCACGTAGACGTAGACGGACTTGTTCACCACAGGTGGCGTGGGGGATTTCTTCTTCCGTTTCACCATAGAGAGCAGAAATACCAACATCTTCTTTGTTTGGCATCATGATGTAGTTTGAAGTCTTCTGGATCACGCCAGCCTCAATGCGGCCCTCAACCATTGTACCCATGTCACGATATTTGGCGCCAATCGGCATCATGAATGGTGCATTCAAGTTTCGCTGAATCTTAGCCATGTTATCGAGGAATTCGAGGAGAGATGGCCCTTTGTGCCAGCTCGCAACACTCGCAGGGATGCGATCCTTGACGCCGATGCCGGTCTGTGCAGAAATGGGGAGGAAAGTGGAGTCAAGCCCAATTCGCTTCTTAAGGTAAGGCTTGAGTTTACCCACAATCTCATCATATCGTTCTTTTGACCATTCAACTGTGACATCGTCCATCTTATTGACGGCAACGATGAGTTCTTTGGCGCCGGTGGTCTTGATCAACATTGCGTGTTCTTGTGTCTGACCACCCTTTTCGAATCCGGTCTCAAACTCGCCCTTTCGGGCGGAAATGACTAGGATGGCGACATCTGCTTGAGCGGCGCCGCTCAACATGTTTGGCACATAAGTCTTGTGGCCTGGAGCATCGAGAATGGTATATCTTCGTTTCTCGGTCTCAAAGAACCCTCGGCCAACCTCGACTGTTTTACCTTTGGCTCTCTCTTCTTTATTGAGATCGAGGACCCAGGAAATGTACCACGTCTCTCGGCCGGCATCTTTAGCATCTCGCTTATATTTGTCTAGTGTACGTTCGTCCACCATGCCTGTCTGGATTAAGACTTGACCACCCAAGGTTGATTTGCCTGCGTCGACATGGCCGATGAAAATGATATTCACATGTTCTTTACCATACATCTCCTGTAGGACCGTTGCATCAACGTCCGCAGACTGTTCTTGAGCAAGTTCTTCTGCGGTCTGGCCCTTTTTGGGCTCGCCTGGTGTGGGAGAGGATTTACCGGAGGAGGGCGCAGGAGAACTCTTCCCTGTCACTTTCTCGCCAGTCTTCTCGACTGCCTTTGCAGCTGTAACTTTGGAGCCTGTCTCCTTGATAGGGGCTTCTTTCGTAGTAGGGGACGCGGGCTTCTTGGGAGTCGTAGATGCGGATGTAGGAACACCAATTGAAAGGACCTTAGCCTTAAGTGGTGCGGCGGACGGGGCCGGTTTGGTGGTTGACGCAACAGCGGGAGTCGGGGTCTGAGCTTGAGCCTGACTTTGTTGAGCGGCCGGCTGTTGTGTAGGGGCTGCTTGAGCATCTTGACGTTTTGCGATGCTAACGGGAGCACCTTGTCTTGGTTGAAAGCCGCCGGGCGTTTGATTGTAGGCAGCAAATTGGCTGTTGTTAAAGTTTTGGTTGTAGCTCGGTTGCTGCTGCTGATACTGAGGATACTGGTTGTAGTTTTGCTGCTGCTGCTGCTGCTGCTGCTGGTGGTACTGTGGATATTGATTGAATTGCTGCTGCTGCTGCTGGCCATAGCCGTAGGGCTGCTGGTAGCCATTCGATTGATATTGTTGGCCAGGTTGAAAAGAGGTTGCACCAGGCTGGAATGAGGAGGCTCCTGGCCTGAAAGTATTGGCGTTGATATTCAGGTTTTGCTGAGTCTGCCTGGAAAGATCATCGTCCTGGGCGGCAGCATCTTCCCAAGAATCAAAGTTGCCTGCCATGGTGAAAAATTGGTGAAAATTGGTCAAGAGACAGAAGGCGATGTGGAAATAGGCTGAGACTCGAAAGGACTCTGGTCGAAGAGTCTATCAGAGCAATCAACTTGGCGAGGAAGGAAATGGTTCTGGTCTCGAATTTGGAGGGGCAGGCGACTCTGGATTTAGAGGCACAAGATGTCGGGCTGCATTTTTGGACGAGAGAGGATTTAGTCCATTTCCGGACTAGTATCGGGACATGGCTTGGCAAGGCTGGATATGACTCCTGATGACGTCGATTGTGTCTGCCAATGCGTGGCCACTGTTGATGCGACAGTTCACACCAATACTCACCAAGAAATTATAGCGGAGGAACAGGTGCCTATACCAGCCAATCTGAAACTTGTCTTGTCATGCCACAAATTCACCCAGGGAGCACAATGCTATGCGAATAATGACTAACACCGCCCGCAATTTCAGTAGGCAAATCCTCATTGCTAACAGAAATCTTGAGCATCAATTGTCGCTCCAACAGGATGGACCTCTTCCTCGGAAAGGTTACCCAACATGCTATGAACTATGCCATCCGTTCAGGGATTGGGCTCACGGCATCCTTCGCCATCAGACAGTCTGCAAAGCTCATGACCAATGCACCAAAGAGTGCGGTTCGAGACAAACTCTATGAGCTACAGCAACGTCTTCAATCCAAAATTCAAATTGTATCCCCAGCCATCGATATGATCGAGCTAATTGCTGCTAGAGGGAATACGTCCTTGGAGTCTGCTGTGGCACTGACAAAGGAATTACGTCTGGATATTCAATCTTTGGCACAGAGACTGGCTGCTGCAAATGCAGCTGAAGTAGCAGCAAAGAAGGCCAAGTTCAACAGTCAAGCACATACAAAGAACGAGCTCGAACTCGAAAGCCTGTGTTCTGCCACTAAAAAACTTCTGGAGAAGATCGAAGATGCAGTCCCGCTTATCAACTTAGCTATCACTACATCTGGCGCCAGTCTGTCAACCTCGTTGCCTCATACTGTCTCTCCATCTCGACTGTTGCAGGCCAGCACTTTGATCACAGCTGGCGATACGCAATATGCACTTCATCCAAGTGAGGCAGTACAAATTGGACCAACCTTCACCCTGAGCGTGTACATGCTCTTTGCCGGCCATGATCGCCCACAAAACGAAGAAGAGATCAGAGAGACTACCTGGAAGGAAGTCATTCACAAAGCCAGACTAAAACTGCGCCGAGTGCCACTTGATCACGTCGGCCATGCGGGTTCGGTGCCGCACGCCACACCTTCAACTCATATTAACCCTCCAGGTATGACCTCGGATCTGTATTCGTCTGTGATAATGCACGCAGACGCAAGAGCCGACGAGTACGCCTATCAGTTGATGATAGTTGAAGATTTTGATGATGATAGATATCATGATTTTGAAGACACCGAGGCGCAACCTGGACCGTTCGACGATGTGAAGCTTGCAGGCGTCCGTGAAGTGATCCCAATCCACGAAATTTCAAAGATCTTCTATGCAGACACTAGTAAAGTGCTCAATATTGGTTCAGATGCGGAGAGTAATCATCCAGTTCTTCTCCTTAAAAGAGACCTGAATGCCATCCCGCCCCGAAGAATGATGGAAGCCGCCATGGCCGTAGGAGACGATGAGGTTCACATTGTCCAAGGATCTGGCATCCAGAAATCTATTGAATCAGACTATGCTACCCGGGAGTATCAGGAGGACAACCACGACCCTTGGCGCCTGCCACAATCTCTTGACCCCGAGTGGGTTGCTCTTGAAGTCTACACAGAATCCGAAGCTAGTGACTCGGAATCTGAACTCGACACGCAAGAAGAAATCAGCTCCCGGTCCTTGCTGCCTCAATCACCATCCCCTTCTCATCTGGTGGACTCTCTTTCGAAAATGCACCTCAATCCCAATTCATCCGCCCAGTCTCTCGATTCCCCAGCCTCACCATCAAAGAACCTTCCAACATCACAGCAACCACCATGGGCCAACCAGATCCGCACGTCCCTATCCCTCCTCGAGCTCCTCCTCCGCCTGACCTCCCTACAACAATTCCAACAACAACGCCATCTCAGCATCACAGACGAACTCCTGAACTTCTTCCTCGAGGAGTCTGCCTCTACTGGTGCTGGCGGCGACGAACGTTATCGCCAGACCCTCCGTGCTGATGCTCGTCGCCGTGTTGGCTGGGACCCCTACGATGAAAGCCCCGTCAAGCGCCGTGGAGAGGAGTATCTGGACCATTACGCTGCCGAGGGGCCTGCTGGGTATTCCGACGGCGTGAGCGAACAATACACGCCGAGAAGCGCAAGCGGTAGCGCAAGAGGCACACCCATCGGAGGTAGTGGCTTGAACGGCGCCGGGCTGGCCAGACGTGGAAGTGGACCAAATGTTCGTTCGGGTACTGGATCCTGGAGTCCACGCGAGGTAGACCGGAGTGCACGATCTATACCGACAATGGCGGACTTCCAGGCCTCGCCAAGCCCAAGCCCGAGTCCGGGGCTGCGGCCTTCCCCATCACCTATCCCAATGGCCTCGTCGAATAACGCGGATGGCAAGAATTCCAGTCGAGCCCGTACTGGGAGCAGAACCGCGTGGTTGCAGCGAGAAGACGGTGTGCGTGGGATCAGTAACAATCTCAAGGGTAGTCCGCTGCGGCCGTCGACGGCATTAACGGACGAAGGCATCGGTACCAGTCCGATGAGCGCTGGTAGTGGCAGTGCAGATGATAATGCTGGTAGCGCCAGCAAGAGTTTTGGCCATGGTTCAAGATAACCGACAAGCTACCCTGGAATGTAAATGCATGTGTGCTGTGGCATGTGTATTTGAAGGGAGGGTTTGTTTTGATAATGGATTGAGCGACCGGCTACCGTGTCTGGGGGCTCAAGGCTCGAGTCTGATGGCATCCAGGTAGTGGTGTGTCCACATCTTCACCTTCTCAGAGTGTTCAAGTGGATGGGAACGAAGACACGAAAATTGAGACACAATGGAGGAAACACTACATGCATGAAGCAACAGGTTTTCATATTGTGAGAGTTGGTTTGATACCCCGGTGTGCCTTTTTAAGAAAGACGGGATGTTGTAACTTTGCTAGAGGTGTCTTATCGATAGACAATATCAAAATCATGAGATACTTCCTTCCAAATTCCAAGGTCTTCGAAGCCTCATGTCTGCCAAGCTAGGTAATTTCCGTGGTTCTTCCAATCTCTGCGTTCCTCCCATCATCGACCTCGGCTCGCTTCTGAATCTCGGGCGTTCATTCATTCCTCAGTTGGCGCGCTGTACATCTTCACTCACGACTTGAGAGTTGCGGTAGATCTTTAGTGGGCCGTCAGGAACTGCCCCCATCCACATGTAGCGAGAGGCAACGATGTGCATTATGATCTTGATTTGAGGCGACTAGATCAATAGACCGGGTCGATTTGTGTGAACTGACCATGGCGGCAGGAGGTCTCGGAGGCGAAACATTCAGTAGGCAGGCTTTGAGTCTCGTCCAGCCCGATTTGATCCTCGTCAAGCGCGCACATGGCGCGACATTTCACCAGAGGAGTCCGCAGGTTGGATAGAGGCCGTACGATTGCTGAGCATATGGCATCAGTCGAACTTAGTGTTCAAGTTAGGCTCCAAACGACGAGGCGGAATTGCATTAATTGAGCGCAACTTGTCACAATGGTGACTTCATCTGACGCCCATTTGTGCGCGGATCTGAATGATCTGTGCTCGCTCGGTGGGAGGCAAGGAGTCGATGGTTCTCTGATCCATGGCAAGGACTTGTTGAATCATTTCTTGCTGAGACAGCTGGACCGGGGGTTGTGGTGGGGCTTGCTGCGGTACTGGGGTTGGTGCATATTGCTGATGAGGACGCTGCTGCATTTGACCAGGAATTGGAGGGGGATAGCCAGGATATTGTTGAGGAGCAGGCTGTGGTGGAGGGATGTTTGCAGGCTGGGTAGGTCTGGTAGCTTGCTCAACAACCTGTGCCAGCACCTTCGGATCAACCAGATTCATCAAGATCAAGGACTGGAAGATGGCATAGGACAATTGTGGTGCAGTCTTGAGAAGGGCAGTGGCTTTTGCGGGATCAGAGATGGCCAAGGCTTTCATTTGCGTGAGGACATCCAAAAGCTGGGAAGGTGGAAGAGAGCTTAGAGTCTGTGAAATGGCATCGGTGGCTCGCAAATTAGGAGGCAGATCCACGCCAGGTGGAAGAGGAGGGAGAGCGCTGGAAGCACCGGCTTGATAGGCATCGTTGTTCTGAGCAGTCTGATCGTAATTGGAAGGGACTGAGTCTTTCTCATTATTATGAGGCCAATCAACACGGATCTTGCGACCGTCGATCTCGTAGTCATTCAGATTTCTGACCGCGGTTGCGGCAGCATCGACGTCGGCGAAATCAGCAAAGCCGAAGCCTTTCGATTTGCCAGTGTCCGGGTTCGACATGAGTCTGAATTTGACAACGGTTCCGGCGTAAGAAAGGATCTTGACAATGTTCTCCTCGCTCAGGTCTGTGGTAAGTCAAGTTAGGGTTGATACAATCGAAAGAACTTGGGCAGATTGGGACTTACTGAAGGGAATGTTTCCCACGAAAACACTGCGGCTTTGACCTGGAGCCATGGTGGGTAAGTCAAGAGGGAATTGAAATGGCTTGTGCAACGTTTGAATGATCAACAGTGTCCCAGACCGGAAGAACAGCGAATGACCAGGTTAGCCCAAGGGTAGAGAACAGAGAACAAAGCAGACGCGGAAAAGTACAGATGCAGATGCAGATGCAGGCAGGGAAACTGATGGCGGAGACATGCCAGCCTTTGTGCATACCACTTAACACTTCAACGTACTCGATGTACTCCGCCGTAATGCAGCCGCGTCTGACAAGGTGAGCCCAACCAGTTCTATGTGTGAAATGACTGTCAGACAGGATTTAGTCACTAGCCTGATTCGGACTAGTCACCCAGTAGTCCATATTCGGCCGTCTCCAAAATCAATTACGATCACCATCAAGTTGCCTGCTCCTCCAACCTGTTCGCCGTTGCGCTCGCTCATCAACTCAATCTTCAGGTTCGTCCTCGATCAGCAGCCATGGCTTACGATCCCAGGGAACACTTGCAAAGATTACAACGGACCCTTCAACAACGCGGTGGCGGCGGTTTCGGAGGCGTTCCTGGAGGTGCCGGAGCTAGCAGAGGAATTCTAGGTCTGATTGCTCTTGGTGTCGGTGGTGTTATTCTTTCAAACTCAATCTTCAACGGTGAGGCGCCATGTGATCCGCGAAAATGGGCTTGTATAACTGACTCCCAACAGTTGACGGTGGTCACCGCGCGATCAAGTACACCAGAATATCTGGGGTGAGCAAGGAAATCTACAATGAAGGTTCGTCGATACTTCATATTAAGTCTACACAATCACTGACAAAAGTCAGGAACTCATCTGAGACTTCCGTGGTTCGAAACACCCATCGACTATGATGTCCGCGCAAAACCGAGAAACGTTGCCTCCCTCACCGGAACAAAAGATTTACAGATGGTCAACATTACCTGCCGTGTTCTGTCTCGGCCCCGAGTCGAAGCTCTCCCTCAGATATACCGTACCTTGGGCACAGACTATGACGAGCGAGTCCTGCCATCGATTGTGAACGAAGTGCTCAAGAGCGTGGTCGCACAATTCAATGCCAGTCAGTTGATTACACAGAGAGAAAATGTGGCTCGGTTGGTCCGAGACAACCTCACAAGACGGGCTGCTCTCTTTAACATCATGCTCGACGATGTTTCTCTCACCCATCTCTCCTTCTCCCCCGAATTCACCGCAGCAGTTGAAGCCAAGCAGGTCGCACAGCAGGAGGCTCAAAGAGCCGCTTTCGTGGTTGACAAGGCCAGGCAAGAGAAACAAGCAACAGTCGTCCGCGCCCAGGGTGAAGCCCGATCCGCCGAGTTGATTGGTGAGGCCATCAAAAAGAGCAGAAGTTATCTGGAACTGCGACAGATTGAGAACGCACGCAACATTGCCTCCATTCTTCAAGAGAGTGGTGGAAAGAACAAATTGTACCTTGACGCTCAAGGTCTTGGCCTCAATGTCGGTGCATCCGAGGACAACCAGTCGGGACGAAAATAAAGGGATTCTAGTGGAAAAGCATCGTGCAAATTCATGTATAAAAGGACCTGAGCTAATCGCCGTTTTTACATCTTTTATTAGGCTGTCATTAGCGACAGGTGGTCGAAATGTAACAATTCTTCCCTCGGCCCCTCTCCATCCTCGAAATGCGTTTGATTTCTCTCTCGCGATTGCCTCAGAGCTAATCTAATAGTCCACGCCCAACACACTTTGGGACTGATTTGCAGATTGGTCGTGGCCACTAATCCAGGCTCTCCTTGAATGTGCAATTTTAACTCCTTGCAGCAAAATTGAGAGATTAAATTTGCTTGATTGCATCTACGTCCAAACTTTACGTGGTGGGCAGCTCTCCTGCCGATAGCCCCAATTGCGACAAAACCCAGGAAGGACCTTGCGCAATCCATTTCTCCAGCTGCTGCTCATTGTTCAACCAGACCGAGCCCATCATACCAGCACTATTTGCAGTCGTGCCATCAATGTTCTCTTTCGACCGCGGGATGACCACGATCCACCGCTTTGTGATCACGACATTATGCGGGACCTCGACCTGGTCGTCCGGAAGAGCCAAAACGTGTCTGCGATCGCCAAGAAACCGTAGATATACATCAAAGACTTCTAATGCCGTCACGGCAGGCTTACTGAAGCGATGTAGAAAATGAATGAAGGGAACTGAAGACACAGGCATGGCTTGTTCGCGATCTGGGAATAGACCCCACCAAGACATGTCTAGCCCTGGTGCATCAGGGTGTGGAAGCACCTGCAGATGCTTGTGGTGCCTACTGGCTCCCGCGGTAAAGCCACCGTTGAACATAACATAAAATCGATTGCCTGTGCTGGCCAGTAGCGTCCATGCTGCTTGCAGATCAGCTAGGGAGAGAGGCTGATGCTGGCGTTGAAATGAATCGATCGTCAAAAGCAGCAGTTGCGGTCGAAAGACGGGGAACTTGTTCATCACAACCAGATGCGTATCGTTGATCGTAGAGACCAGCAGATCAGGGTGAGCATTGCCAATATCGCTCCCTGGCCCGAATGTTTGTGGGGGTGTTCCAGGACGACTGTTGGATTGTTCCCTAAGTTCGGGGACAATGAAAGCCAGTTCTGCAGCCTTCTTGCCCGCAAGTGAGTTCGTGACTTCGTATCTGAACTGTGGAACGTGTCAGTGAAGGGGACTACTGGCTGCGCCATGCCGTGACAACGCACTCGGAATCCTTTCTGTTCGAACTCGGTCACCCGAGAAGGGTGGTGAGTGATGATCCCATTTGCGACAAGGCTGTCGAATCGAGACAGCAGCTCGTCATTGCCCAGACCCAAAGACATCGGTTCGAGTTAAGACTCAAAACGCCTGCTTCGTATATCCCAGGCCACGTCGACCTAAGGAGGACGTCTCAACGATAATGTGACGATCAGTCGAGAGCCCCCTGCAGGCGTGATGGGGTTGTGAACCGGTAGCCGGGGTAGATAACGCTTGGGATAAGGCGCCCTGCCTGCTTTTGACTTGTCTTAAAGTCCCCCACGCCCCCCTAGAGTGCTCTGCTTTACGGTTTAATTGCCAGTCCCAGGAGGTTTGACCCCGTGCTCGTACGAATTTGCCTGCTGAAGACGCCTAGATCCAGGGCACCAGGGATGGTACGAGGTACTCTGTACCCGTCTGCTCCGGCTTGGGACTCGTAAATGCATTGTTCGTATTCCTTGCTTGGCCTTACCTTTTCCTGTGGCCCAGTCTGTCACCTGAGGCTCTAACTACTTGTCGCTTTCACTTTCAGACACGCCACCGTCACACCCATTCGTGGCAGTTGCCGTTGGGTGCAAGCAATGATTTTTGCTGATCACCTGGTGACCTATCGAGAACCTTGTGCCTCAATCGAGTTAGGTCTTTGTTCATTCTTGAGGCTCTGCAAGCTTGTATTGAAACAAGGACTTGTGTGCCTAATTTCACCGCCTACATACGAATGCGCGCATGATATAACTCTCATGTCCAATTCCGTTGCCCGTCGATCGATCGAAACAAATACTTGTCGTTACAAATGGCGAGCACAATACTGTCGGCAGCTCACACCGAGAAACTGAACCGGGTAGAGACTGGCGATGCTGGCTTTTCTCGGCTGGAAGCCACCCTGGTCACAAGCACTGAGGTCGTACCCAGACCAAATTCGAAGCAAATGAACGACGTCTCTCGTCATGCCCAAGTTCAAGATCACCAAGTTCAAGCCGAACTGGATTTTGACTGGTCACTTGACAGTCACCATTATCCACTAGCAGACCTTCGATCTCTCCAGCAAGTGTTCGATAGCGTTCAATGCCATAAGCATTTCCGTCACCATGAGAACTTTGCCGCAGCAACCGATATCGAATGTTTGGAGGTAACATCCACAAGTGCCGGTATGGTTCTCTTCCTTTGTTATCTACGGGAACTAACTGAAGCCAAACACATGTGGACTCAAATCAATAAAGTCGATGACCAACTAAGCAGTCTGCAGAGCCGCGATCGAGCCCAGCTCTCGGAGCTCACCAAACAGCTCCAGGTCATTAGCCAGAACGCCGATTCGCACATTGGCAACGCAGATGTTTGCATTATTACAGCAACGGGGATCAGAGATGCACATGCCCGGCTGTTCCCCGGGATGCTGCAACAATTTCGTCATCAGCAGGTGAGAGACTCTGTCGACTACGTGATCGACTCAATGCGGAAACAGAAGATATGGTTCCTTAATTACAAGAATCGCAAGGATAGCACTATGAGCCTCGTGTACAACCTCGTCACTCAGCAGGATGCGGCCAACAACATCTAAATAGCCGCCGATATGAAACGAGATAGTACGAGCATGAGCGCAATCGCGGCATTGACGATGGTATTCCTCCCTGCAACCTTCACCGCCACAGTCTTAGACGCCGGTATCTTCTTTTCACCGGGAGGTAATCGTGTCGAGGTCGATGGCATCTGGTGGTTCTGGCTCGCTGTGACTTTGCCATTGACATTCATCACCATGGGTTGCTGGTGGTGGTACAAGCGAAAGCAGCACGAGAAGCCTTCGTTGGGGTCTGACAGCGATGGGAAGAAAAGGCCCACGAGTAGACCCTGTGCAAAGCGCCGCTCAAGTCTTGCAAGCTTCACATTGTCCAGTCGTTTCAATACTGGTCGGTCCGGAAGTTTGGGAGGCAAGTTTGGCTGACCTTCTGAAGAATTTACCTCGGGTGTACCATCAGCTTCTCCCTCAGCATTGTCAGTGTGTGCGTGTGACAGCCGCAGTTGGGCAGGATTATGTGGAGTAGTAGTCAGTAATTGATCTGCTAATGACTTGAGAACTATCATTTTCGTAGATCATAAAAGTCCAGAGGCTAGGAAGGCAATGACCGCACTTCAGATACAGATCTTGGGCGCTCACAACCAAGGCGAGAAATACTTGAAAAATGATCTTCATGACTGTGCACTTGTTGTCCGTTCTTTCCCTTACTGACAAGCCATGTGTGCAATACATGAGACATCGCTTCTGCCATTTTCATCTAATGTATGAGTTCAACCTATGGACTTCTTAATGGTAGATACGAAGTTAGATTGGTCGGCTGTTTCGATTTTGGACCCTTGAGATGCATGCCCTCCGAGGACAATAGATTCATAACCAAACCCTTTCCCACTGAGTGCTCTTGCCATTTGACAGACTGACGTCATCTGCAAACCCCAAATTCCAGTGTCAGGGACTTTCACTTCCTGTAGTTTGATGAATGTTAGGCGCACAATCTAGAGAATTGTAAAAATTCTTGCACTTTGCCTTCAGACAGAGATGACATAAAATATCAAAGAAGCACAATGATTCATCGTAATACCCCAATCATGGGTGATCGATACACCTATGAGCCTCAGCAGTCACCTAAAGCCCGGCCCCTGCTTCAAACTGCTTTTGGTTTGATCGGATGGGCTGATCGAAACCGAAGATGAGCAGCCACGGAATGTGCATGGATGCAATTGTTCTGCACATGTGGATACTTGAAGACCATCTTACCATACTCTCTCATGACTCGATTTCCACTGCCACGTCTTCGGCTTGTCAGTCCTTCTCAATGTTCAACCTTCAAATGAGAAATAAGTGAAACTGAAGGGCAGATGTTCAGTGCTCTGCTCGCACAGTCGAGTCCCATTTCAATTCAGACGAGAAGCATTCCGAACCCTTCATCCTCTGGCCCATTGCCTCGAACTATGCGATTATAATCCCTATTCCCCATGGTATCTGCACCATTACCTATGGGACTCGGTAGACCATCGAATCAAGTGCTCAATAGAGATTTGGGCGACGGCAACGACCCAAGGCATCATCGCAGGGAACAAACCCCCAGGTCTAGAGAGGCATATCCGTGGTCGTGGTACAGCATGAGTTGCAGGCGTTGACAGATGGCGAGCAATAAAAGATTGCAATCGCCGCGGCCATGGTGCATAAGTGCCGAGGCCACATACAATTGAAACTTGCCATCGATGACTTGATTGATTTCAGCAGAACCTGTGTGGCGCCCGGCAGGATACCATGTGTCTGGGTTGTTTGGAATGTAAAAGTAGGAGTACGCGTTGCCCAGAAAAAAATCAAGCACTTGGGGTTAATACTTCGAGAATTGATTCCGCATCTTGAGTTGTCTTTATGTGTTTTGGAAGGCTTCTTTTACCTCAAATATTTCGGTATGATGCAGTCAGTCTCATTGATCAGAGAAACGCCAAACGGCGGTGATGGACTAAAGACGATCACAATCTCGAAGAACAGGCCAAGTCATCGATGCGGCGATGCCATTATCTTCCCCAAGCATTTCTCCTTTGTGACGGGGGCATATTTGTTCTGTCAAAGCTCGAAACTACCGCAGTGCTCTCAAATCCACAGCATGTGCAACTGGCATGGTAGATGGGTGTCTTGCCGTGCCAAACAAGACATGATCTTTCGATGACGATGTTCAAAGAATGGGGTTGTGTTAAGCTCGTGCCAAGCGCTCCACTTCGGTAATTGTCCCAATCGGTGCAGCATCACGGGCTCCACCGGCCTCCTTTTTCGTTCCGCCTTGTCATTCGGCAGCCTCGTGAGCTCCAGATTCTATAACGAATTGGACCCCTCGATATTTAACAGTGGACTGGCGCTATTTCCTCACGGGATCTGATAGGGGTTCTCTGGTGTTCTTTCCGTCGATCAGAGAATTTGGGGGATTTAGTCCGGTTGGGACTTCCAAACCGTTTGGAGGACGCTCGATGGCTTGGTGTTCTCTGGGTATGGCTGTGAATGTCTTGCAATCTTCAGACGTTTCAAAGAAAACCATAGGGCCCAATTTCTTACAGACTCCCTGGTGTGTTCAACAACTCAGCTCTTCTCTATTGTCTTTCTTCACCTCAGGTCTGCCCTGCACGGCAGCTCTCTAGCATTGCAAGCTTTCCAAGGGAGTGACGCTGGCAACACGATCTGTTCCACCCATAGAGGTCTTTGTGGGATATGAGACACTGACGAGGCTGTCTTTTGGAAACGTGACATCTTCTGATCAAGTTTTCAAAGCAAACAAGCCATTCCATCAGATGACAGACTCATTTCAAAGTCGGCCGAAAGCTGCGAAGGTTCTTGGAGAAAATGCTGCCAGTGTATTGTGCTGAATGAACTGCTTTGTGTTCTGGCTTGTCTGGGAGATTGATACGATTTGACAAGACTTGTACCTGCGAATGCAAGTCTTTGTACGCTGAGACAGGTTATGTGCAGTTTGATCATGAACAACGATTATGTCGGCCATAGAGCGAATAGCCCACCAAAAGTCAATGGCGTTTCGGGATTTCTCATATTGCGAAAAGACTTTGTATGGCATACTTTGACACTTAGAAATTTGTCTTGTCTAAGGCGAGGGGAGATGAGCAGTCATCTATAGCCGCGTCTTGGAGGCAGCCATGCAAAATGCAAACACGCCGAGTCCTACGATCTGCTAGTGCGATACTTTTCACACACAAGGCTCGCTCCGTTTCAGTGTACACACCAATCTCAACACTGCTTCATCATCCTGCCTTGAAGGTCTTCTATTACAGTATCACGTCTACTCTATTCATTCATCTGAAGCCCCCTTATCTCTTCTTTCTTGAGAGGGAACGCTATTATCTCTTTCTTGGATAACTTTGTCGTTGGATAACAAGAAGGCTGCCTTCCAATGAAGGTGTTCTGCCTCATTGAACTCCTCAAGTCTTTACCCTTCATCAAGCACACAGAACCCAGTCGCAGTTCTTGAGCATACATTCCCTCCTTCACCGGAATTCACCCACAGTCAAATCACACGCCAGACAAAAGGTGTCTCCGTTCAGAAAGCCAGGAAGAAGTGCGGCTGCCCTGATTCGCACTCTTTCTCGTCAGGGCGACAAGATCCTTCCAACTTAGCGCTTTGAAGCTCTATTCTTACCACATCCCAAGCCTCTCAACAGTTGTTTCACTGTCTACTTCAGATACCAAGAACAAAAACTGGTTCTCTACCTTGCTGTATGACTCAGGTATCTTATTTACAGATGCTCAACCCAACTAACTCAGTGACCAGCTAGGTGCCATCAACTGATATCAACAGTCAAACGCAAAGCCAGCCCTGAGAGAGCGACACTTTTTTGGATGCAAACGATTCTTCCCCCCAATATATTTGCTCTGTCAGAATCCTAGCAACCTGCCTTCCAGGGCAAGCCCCCGCATACTGGTCGTGAGGCATGGTCGCAGGTAAAGGTGCCGGGGCAGACTGCCCTGATACATCAGCTCTACCAAACCCAGTCCCAAAAGGTTTTGTTCGTCCAAAGAAAGCTGCGAGGATCTACGGAGCCACCAAGCCGAGCCTTCGTATTCCAGAAAAAGAGACGAAAGTCGAGACTCTCAGAGGCAATGGAAACTCTGCTCTGTATCACATAGTCCTTGCAGAAGCAAGAAAGCAGTCTCATGACGATAATCCTTTGCTATGTGCACTGCAAGTTGAAGACCCTGAAACTGCTCCAGAGGCCAATCGACCTCTCAACACAGATGAGCAGAAAGCCGGAAACAAGAACACATGGAACGGGCTTGTACCAGATAGCTCCGTCCCGTTAAGAAATATCGATGACATATTTGACCATATCACTACCAAGGCTCGGGAATTTGGGTTGGACGAAGCACAATCGCCATTCATTCAAGACAATTCTAGGATTCGCATTGTTACCATGTGTTCAGGGACTGACAGTCCTCTGATCGCCTTGAACATGGTTCAACGCAGTCTTCAACGTCAAGGACAGGCATATTTCAAATTCAACCATCTCGCAAGCTGTGAGATTGAACCGTTCAAGCAAGCGTTCATCGAACGAAATTTCTCTCCTCCAAACATCTTCCACGACGTCACCGAGTTCACCGACCATAAGGCCGAACCAGACAATCCTGAAAAGCTTCCACGCAACGCATATGGAGCAACTCCAGAGATACCCAAGGATGTCCACATACTGATCGCTGGGTCATCTTGTGTCGATTATTCTGGACTGAACAACAATCCAAACAAGGAACATGGAGAGTCTACTAACACTTTGACTGGAGTTGCCGACTATGCCGATAAGTATCGTCCAGTAATTATCTTGCTTGAGAATGTTGCCAATGCAGATTGGAAAACACAGAACGAAATCTGGGAACCTCGCAACTACTTTTTTCGAACTGTGAGAGTTGACAGTAAGAACTTCTACATACCTCAGACGCGTGAACGAGGCTACAGTTTTGCCGTGGACATGGATCGAGTCGCGAAACTCTATGGGCGTGATAAGGTTGAAGATGTGTGTCAAGACCTCTACGACTGTTGGCTAGATTACATGGGTCGCTTCCAACGTCGTGCATCGACTCCATACACCGAATTCCTCCTTGACGCTGATGATGCTCGCTTGCATATTGCCAAGGCGATGACAGAAGACCGAAAGGTCAACAAGCTCAATACTGATTGGAAATCCTGCCAGACGCGTCATATTCGAGAGCGAGCTGAGAAATTCCTCGGTACGAAGCGTCCTTTCACCAATCGAGAAAGTGGTGGACGCAGCAAGTTGAGCGACCATGCGTGGCAAAAGTGGAGTTTCGGGTCCTCAACACGTGAACAGGATATGCTTGATATAACCATGCTTCGGAGTGTATCTGAGCGAGACATCGACATCACGAGCAAATCCCGAGTCCTTGATATTTCTCAGAATGTGGATCGAGAAACGGACAATCGTGCTTGGGGTATTGTCGGATGCATAACTCCTAGTGGCACTCTTTTCGAAACATCAAGAGCTGGCCCCCTTGTTGGATTGGAAACTCTCGCGCTTCAAGGCATGCCGATCGACAATTTAGATCTTACAAAAGCCACGTTGAAACAACTCACAAACCTTGCAGGCAATGCAATGACGACCACAGTCATTGGCGCTTCCATTCTGAGCACTCTGATAGCCTGCCACCAACTGTCCACTGATCGACGACGTACCCCAGCTTCGAGTTTGAACCTTTTTCAAGAGTACATCGACAACCATGTGCGTGATCCTATCGGGAAGACTGGTTTTCTTGAGTATCAAGATGTGAATTTTGAGAACTCATCTGTACTGGAATTTTCCGAGAGTCTTCAAAGTCTAAATGTCAATCAGTCTGCGCAGAGCTCATGGCAAACGATTGTCAAAGAGGCCGAAGCATCACAACGCCTGTGCGCATGTGAAAATCTTGGTGAGCATACTACTACTGATGTGAAGTACTGCCACACATGTTTCTATACCGTTTGTAACGGTGGAGATTGCAGTCGAACTCCTCACGACAACTTCGAAATTCTGAAGGTGGACCACGCAAGTCGTGGAGCGACAGATGCCTTCATCGAACGCTTGATCCGAAATTTCCCTGGAACTGTCAAATTTTCACTTCAAAACAATGATGAAAATCAGAACACTGAGGATGAATTCTTCCTCGACCCAAGTGATGGAAGACGCACACTTCTCAACCTCGCATTCCATTTCACAGGTGTCCAGTATGGAGCTACGTGGAAAGTGTTATTCGAGTCGTCAATTGCCAGATTAGAGCTCGAATTCGCTCGGGATTTCCAAGCTACCTCCAAGGCGCACCATTCAAACTTAGCACTTCCGCAAGCTTTCAAAATTCGGCCAGTTTGGTTGCTCTTTGAAAAGCATACATCAAGTCTAGTGAATAACAGCATAGAGAAAGACAATTTCATACACCCAATCGCACGAATGTATCCGAAGCTCACCTGTTTCGATGGCAATTGGGAGTTTTGGAGAGGTCCTGGAGGTCCGGTTGGCCTGAAGGTCAGACCAAGCAACACTTGCAAGGTCGCTTGGGAAGCCAAGTTGGGGCTTCAAGGAGACCTCTTCCCGAAGCTCCGCATCCCTGATCAATTAACGGTGTCGGCCACGGAAAGTACTAGTTACCTCTCAGAATCCGAGGTAGAGTCTCTACATAATGTGATCGGGAGTTACAAGCTGGTCGAGAAGTGTCCGGCACCATACGGTCGTTTGTATGTGCGACAGAGTCCCGGAGGGTCTCGACACTGTCCTGTTTTCTTCTATATGAAGTCTGGTCATCTCCAGGATGCCATTCATGATCGAATGGAGTTCAGCAAAGAACCCCCGAGCCTAATATCTACAGACGACCGCAATCTTCTACTGAGACTCAAAGACCGATACCTTCCGACATTCCGAGAGTCTGAAGCAAAGCCACAGGCGACAAATGTTACAGGTGTGCTTTTCAACACCTGGATGAAGGTCGGCAATCTAAGCTTGAAGCCTATGAAATCGCCTGCAAAATTCTTCGTTCAACGAGATTCATCATTCATTACACAGTCTGGGGACTGTAAGGACTCACTTTCAACAGTATTTCTTGCGAAATGGATTCCAAGAGAGCACCTCAGTCAATACCCTGAAGGCAAATCCACGATTGTACCGCTTGAAGATAAGCCCGGAGCGCTCAAGGATTTCAGCTGGATGAGAATAGCTGCGGCAAAGGTCCCCCAGCTTGCCCTGGGATGGATTTACTTCAGTGATCAGTCTCATGCTGGAAGCTGCTCGGAGCCAGATTTCACGCCCGACCAGCACACGAATTCAGAGGAACATTCAGCCGAAGGACTCAAAGTTGTGTGTGCACCAAAGCCGCCGCGACTCCAATGGGTAGAATTCCGTCTGAAAGTTGGGGACGGTAAGACGAAGCCGGAGAAAAAGCTAATAGAAGATGCTAAGGCAGCCCATGACTACGAGAAGGCACTGAAGTCAAGACCGGTTCCTATTCTGGCCATTATCCACTGCAAGGCAGGCGAACTGTCCTTGCAAATTCTACTCAATCCAGTGGCATTGTTGCACCGCGCAAGAGCAGAGCTCGCTTTTAGTGAAGACAAAATCTATTCACAATGGCGTTTGTGTTATTATCCCCCGTTTTCCCCTCGGCCAAAGTTCCCGCGTCTCAGATTGCTCAGCAACATGGAGATGGCACTCGCGCCTTCGAATCCACGCCTTTTCAAGCAACTATGGGATTCTCAGCGAAAAACTCTGACTTGGATGATCGACTGTGAGAGTTCAAAGTCACTTTGGGTCGAAGAGGCTCTGAAAGAGACATGCATTCCAGCTCTTGGATGGCGCCTCGAAGTTAAGGCAAGCAGAAATTTGGTAGTCCGTGGAGGAGTTCTTGCAGATAAAGTTGGGTCTGGCAAGACAATCACCACCCTTGAGCTGGTCCGTCGAGACCTTGCGAAACCACTCTTCCCTCATGAGAGCATTAAATCACATATCTCCACAGACGCGACTCTCATCATCGTTCCGAAGAACCTGTTGACGCAATGGGAGGAGACGATCAGAGAAGTTATGGGAGCCACATACTCTAAGAATTCAACCTCCGGAAGATTGATAGTTCTCCGGGAGCCCAGGAACATCACAAAATTCTCTGTTGGTGCTATCCGCAAAGCCCGAATAGTCCTGGTGTCTCTGAGCGTGTTCGAGCACAATGACTATTGGCAGGAGCATCGTATGGTTGCCTGTGCCCCGAATGTGCCAGAAAAAGCTGGTCGAGCTTTTGACGAATACCTCGACGATTCGCTGAGCAATCTTTCCAAATTCATTAAAGCGTCTGATGATTGGAAAGACATCAATGGGTTCTGGAAAGAGTGGAGCCATGCCAAATGTAAGATTGGTAACTATAACCGATTCAGTGGAGTCAAGACTCGCAAAAGTAAGAAGGCCGAGTACAAGGCAACAATGCTCAATGCTGCCGTACCTGGCACTCGGAAGCGGAGCTCCTCTTGTTCTTCCGCTTCCTCCGTCTCCTCAGCTTCTTCACAGACGAGTAGCGTTGGCCCACCACAAAAGAAGTCCAAAGGTCAGAGTGCAGTTCCTCAGGTGATTGTGAAAGCTCCCAAAGAGGCAAACAAGGTCTGGATTGATGCTTCGACCGAAGCTTTCATGAAAGGGGAAAAGGCCGACTTCGAAGAAGAGGCAAAGGAATTTCAGCAAAACAAAGACATTGCACCCGTGCTCCATATGTTCAACTTTCGGCGGTTGGTTGTTGATGAATTTACCTACGCAAAGCCGCTCACGCTGTCCACGTTGCTCAGAATCAAATCTAGCTCCCGATGGATGCTCTCTGGTACACCCCCAATCCACGACTACGATTCTGTGAACACGATAGCAAAGCTTCTGGGCACCAAAATCTCGACCTTTGATGAACATAAAGGTACTCATGGCTTCACAAGAGGGCCTTCACCAACCGATCGTCTGAAGTCCCTTTCTGAAGAATTTGCGGAACACCAAGGCATTGGATCACCTGCGTTCATCAAGTATCTCTATGGTCGTGCTCAAGACTTTTCCAACACTTTTATTCGTCAAGATGATTGTTCAGAACCCAAACAAGTCAAGTCACATGAGTTGCAGCTCTTCATAGGTAGCATCCCGGAGCTTGTTGACCATGTAGAGGTCAATCACATTATGACCTACAATGACTGCCGATTCAATGTCAACTTGACTCCAGCCAGAAGAAACAAAATGACTTTTGAGCGATTGCGTGAGGCTCTTCGTGAGAGTCATACCGGACCTCGTGCGGCATCAGTTTGCTCCATGACAGACCTCGCGGCTAGTCGACAGCCGGAGCCATACAAGCACAACAAGCCCGTGAAGCCCATGAAGCTTATCACTCCCGAAGACATTCTGAAGGAAACGAAGGAGAAGATCATAAAGCTTTCCGAAGATCTTCTTCAAGAGCTACAGGAACTGTTCTACTGCAAGAGAAGCACTCATAAGGAGGATTCATACATATCATTCCGAGTCTTTCTCAAAGATTTCTACCGTCTTGACCTGCACAGCCTGGATCCATCAGTGATACCTATTATTGATCGTCTGATTTCATATGCATCAGAAAACGAACAAGCCTTCGAGAAGCTTCATGTGACCATAGCAGCAAAGAAGCCAGGGGTCGTCAAGAAAGAAGAACAAGAGGAGAAGATCAAAGCACGGATAGAACAGGCGACAGATGCATTTGGCAAGCTCGTGCCTCACTATCAGCGTAAAGAGGTGGATCAGCGCACCGTGAAGGCTGATAATCTGGTTGGAGATATCGTCGACACTTGCCGGCGTCTGCAATTCATCATTGTTGCAAAAGCTGTGAATGAGAAGAAAGCTCTTGACAAATGCTCTGCCTGTGGGAATATTCCCGATTCCTCGGATGAGATTGAAAAGGTCGAGATCTCAGGAGTGTGTGGCCACATCGTCCGCTGTGCCGCATGTCCTGCGTCGTTACCAAAAGCGCTGGAAAGATGCCCGAACGAGTACTGCTCTGCGGAAATAGGACAGGTCTGGGCTGGAGATTTCTTCTCAAAGAGCGCTGATGCTCAACAATCGAGTCTCATTACGGTCACCAGAATGATCAAGGCCGTGGATATGATCAAGGCCATTCCTGATGATGAGTTTGTCCTGGTCTTCGGTCAATTCAAAGACATGGAGACACAATTCATGGTAGCCTGTCACACTGCTGGGATCTCGTACGAGGACGGTACCAGAAACTCGGCCATGTCAATTGCGAGGTTCAAGCGAAAAGCGGAGCAGAAGGTGGAAGGAGCGCCGAAAGTCCTCCTCCTACAAATCGATTCGGAGGATGCGGCGGGGTGGAATTTGCAGTGCGCCAACCATGTGGTGTTTCTGGCCCCCTTTGTGGGAGACTCGGTGGTGCAGGCATGGGACACCATGGTGCAGGCAGTTGGACGGGCTCATCGCCCCGGACAGAAGAAGAAGGTGCAGGTCTACCATATCTATGGTGCAAAGACAATTGAGGAGAAGATGACCAAGATGGTCGTGAAGAAGTTTCAGGAGACACCATAGCTGTGGAGTGTGTTGGGAGGATTGGAGAAAGCCTACAGGGCATTGTTTGAATAGATAGACCAATTTATCTCGATTGTATGATTAACCACGCATTCCTGAAATTTCCCTCCATGCTTGAGTGTGCCAACGTCGCGTTGTGAGTGTTGAAGTGAGGCTGGAGTGAGGTGAAAGAATCTGAAACAAGGGTCCAACAAGGGTCTGATCAGGGTCCAAGTGAGGCTGAAGTGAGATATTCTCCGGGCGCCTGGTGTTCAATAGGGCACCCGGTTGTCCTGTTTTCGTTGCCTGTCGCGTGGGAAGCTCTTTCACGGTGGCGGCCGCGTAGATTGTAACGAGCACGATGGCATCGACTACATCGCCAACGACGGTACCGATGGCAACGGAGAGCCCAGATGTCTTAACGAAAGCAGCTATGACGGTGATCAGAATGGCGACGAGGGTGACGGTGACGACTACACCATCAGCGACAGCTAGCACACTACGAGAGTTTACTGCACCTCTTTAACATAAAATAGACCCTTTGGACTCTGGCAGGGGTTCATCCCTACGAGATTTCTTTGTGTCTACCTACCTCTTGCGTCACACAGCGTGTCCCTACCACGGAGGGCGTCCACTGTTCCGAATGTGGGAAGATGGAAAAGGGGATCGAGCCTTGTTACCCGCAGTCATGTGACTGAGCTTAGACACCCTTCTAAAACACACGCTTTGTGGTCGTGAGGCTCTCCAACCCCATTGACGAGGAGATCAAGCTCACCATGTATACAGTACGCGCCTGAAGACCATCTACATCATCGACTTAGTCGATCTGACAGCCTGTCATGATGGTGATGAGTGCAGGCAAAATCAGTTTTCAGACCCCTGTCCAAGGGTTCTGCCCACGCTAGACCCGGTGGGTGCTGGGGGCCCAACACCCAAATTTAGCCCGTCACCCACGAGTTTTTGAACAATGGCTGGCAGGACGGAGTCCGAAATTAAAACGCCATTGCCCACACGATCTCGGGACGAGAAAAAGGGACGCTAGAGCCACCTGGTTAAACCCGTCTCGGCATCCCGAGTCCCCAGCTGAGGCTGAAGAAGATAAGCCAGAAATTTGATATAGCATCATCGACGACAAACTACGGATACGGAGCAAGGGCGATCAATAATAGATCAAGGCCAAGTGGGCTTGAACCATCACTGCGTCTATGGTTTGATATACGATATACGAAATGTGGCCGGTGGATGCAGCTTTGCGCAACGTCGGCGGGTTTTCTGGTCTCACCACTACTGGCACTTGTTTCCAAAGAATGGTTCTCGTGGTCTCATTATTTTTTTTTTCTGTTTGACGTTGACTGGGACTCCCATCTGTCCGCGGGGAATTTTGGGGCAGCAGTTGCATGGGATCTACTCCCGAGGGAGACAGTGGCAATTGACAAGGCTCTTCTGGTTGCACATTACTTGATATACTCCAGGTCCCACGTCATTTTGCTTGGACTCAACAAGCGGCTTGAAGGGGATGGATATGAAATTTTTGTTGGAGATGGGGTTGAGAGAAGTTTGTCTGAACAATGGCCCCGATGGGGATCTTAGGGGGAGCTTTGGTGGAGTCGGGGGTGGCTGCTGAACGAATGGTGAGCGGCACGATCGACGCCTGTGGGTAACCCGAGGCCGCTGAGGCCAATTAGGGGCCAACCAGCCCCGGTTGGCCCTGCGCCTATTTCGATTCCCAACCAAAACTGCACCTGCAAGTTTTGTGAACCCCCCGAAGCCCAAGAGCTTCTCCGTACGGGTCAAGGTGCCAGTGCCAGTGCCAGCGCCTCTCGGAGTACGAGGTCCTGGTGACCTCAATACACAATGCTGTGTCCCGATGCCTTCTGTGTTGACTCGTTCCCTGGTTGGCAATGGCAGACTCCAGCAGAGGCGGCGTGACGGGACTGAGTGGTGATGGGCAGCACTATCCGTGATGGTTTCCCACTAAGTTGCATTACTGTATCCGTACTCGTAGAACCACCTTGAACTAGAGATCCAACAAGGGACACGCTGCTCTTTCTGCTACACACACTGCAGTTGAACCGCATCTTATTATACCTACCCTACGCCGTCACGGTCTCACGCACATTGTTTCTTCTCTCTTACCATTTCTCTATTCTCCCTCCCTCCCTCCTTCTCTCCATTCTTCCTCACTCTGAAGCCCTCAACCGACCACTCCGTTCCTTACACCAACCCCTCTTCACTCTTGACTTTCCGTTGGGCTTGTGTTTGGGACATCGGTACAACCAAAGTAATCGGCGTCATCCCGGTCTCCTATTTTCGACACTGGTGAACCAAACTCCTCAACCCCTCTTTCTTGCCATTTTGCCCTTTTACCACCTTCGTTGTATGGTATAGACCTAGCCTGCAATCATGGCTCCTCCCACCCCCAACGGCGTCAATGGCTCTCGCAAAGCCTCGCTCACCAGCAGCCCGCCCAGCGCCTGGCAGGCAAAACACCCCATTGCATCCCACTTCATTGGCGGGAGCAGACTAGAAAAAGCTCCTCCGAGCAAGATAAAAGACTTCGTCCAGGAGCACGATGGTCACTCTGCCATCACCTCGGTAAGTCGTCACACTCCCAATTGTCCCCGCGCAAGAACGCAGAACACTGACCCTGAAAATCCAGATTCTGATTGCGAACAATGGTATTGCCGCAGTCAAGGAAATCCGTTCCGTGCGAAAATGGGCCTACGAGACGTTCGGCGACGAGCGTGCCATTCAATTCACTGTCATGGCCACTCCGGAAGATTTGCAGGCAAATGCCGATTATATTCGTATGGCCGATCAATATGTTGAGGTACGCAGAAAATTACAAGAGATGGGACCACCAGCCCACAGAAAGAGCTACGGCTAACCATGTTTGACACAGGTTCCTGGTGGCACAAACAACAACAATTATGCAAACGTTGAGCTGATCGTTGATGTGGCCGAACGCATGAACGTCCATGCAGTTTGGGCCGGCTGGGGTCACGCCTCAGAAAACCCCAAACTGCCAGAATCCCTTGCAGCTTCCCACAAAAAGATCATCTTTATTGGCCCCCCTGGCTCTGCCATGAGGTCTCTCGGAGACAAGATTTCTTCCACAATTGTCGCACAACACGCCAAAGTTCCCTGTATCCCCTGGTCAGGAGAGGGTGTTGACACAGTCGAAGTTGACAAAGAAGGCATTGTGACTGTCAGAGACGATATTTATGACCAAGGATGCGTACACTCCGTAGCAGAGGGTCTGGCGGCTGCCAAAAAGATCGGCTTTCCAGTCATGGTCAAAGCATCTGAAGGTGGTGGCGGCAAAGGTATCCGAAAGGTGGAAAATGAGGAGGAATTCCCTGCTCTGTACCACGCCGCAGCCAGTGAGATCCCCGGTTCCCCAATCTTCATCATGAAGTTGGCTGGAAATGCTCGGCATCTGGAAGTTCAGCTGCTCGCTGATCAGTACGGAAACAACATCTCACTCTTTGGCAGAGATTGTTCCGTTCAGCGCAGACATCAAAAAATTATCGAAGAAGCTCCGGTCACAATCGCCAACCCCGACACCTTCCACCGCATGGAGGAAGCTGCTGTCCGGTTGGGAGAACTCGTTGGCTACGTCTCCGCAGGTACTGTCGAGTACCTCTATTCGCATTCTGACGACAAATTCTACTTCCTCGAGCTCAACCCCCGTCTCCAGGTCGAACATCCTACAACTGAGATGGTCAGCGGAGTCAATCTGCCAGCTGCTCAACTTCAAATTGCCATGGGTATCCCTCTTCACCGCATTCGTGACATTCGCTTGTTGTACGGTGTGGACCCTCACAGGGCAACTGAGATCGATTTCCACTTCAAGAATGAAATCAGCTCCAAGACTCAACGACGACCTCAAGCAAAAGGCCACACCACAGCTTGCCGTATCACTTCCGAAGATCCTGGTGAGGGCTTCAAGCCTTCCGGTGGTACTATGCATGATCTCAACTTCCGATCAAGCTCCAACGTCTGGGGTTATTTCTCCGTCAGCTCTGCTTCCAGCATTCACAGTTTCTCCGACAGTCAGTTCGGTCATATCTTTGCCTACGGAGAGAACAGATCTGCTTCCAGAAAACACATGGTTGTTGCCTTGAAGGAGTTGTCCATTCGTGGTGACTTCAGAAATACCATCGAATACCTGATCAAGCTCCTGGAGACACCCGCCTTTGAAGACAATACTATCACAACAGGCTGGCTTGATCAGCTCATTACCAACAAACTGACTGCCGATCGACCAGATCAAATCCTTGCAGTCCTAGCGGGTGCTTTGACCAAAGCCCACATCGCCAGTGAGGCAAGCATTGCTGAGTACCGGAGAGGCCTTGAGAAGGGTCAAGTGCCCTCCAAGGACATCTTGAAGACGGTCTTCCCTATCGATTTCATCTATGAGGGATCACGATATAAATTCACAGCCACCAGGGCAAGCCTTGACAGCTACCACATTTTCATCAATGGCTCAAAATGCCATGTTGGTGTCCGAGCTCTTGCTGATGGTGGTTTGCTCATGCTTGTGGCTGGCCGATCTCACAGTCTTTACTGGAAAGAAGAGGCCACCGCTATCCGCCTGAGTGTTGACAGCAAGACCTGCTTGCTCGAGCAAGAGAACGACCCTACTCAGCTGAGAACACCTTCTCCTGGTAAACTTGTAAAATTCAGTGTTGACAATGGTGCACACGTCAAGGCTGGTCAAGCATTTGCCGAAGTTGAGGTCATGAAGATGTACATGCCACTTATCGCACAGGAAGATGGTGTGGTACAATTCATCAAGCAGCCAGGAGCCACTCTGGAAGCTGGTGATATTCTTGGCATCCTCTCTCTTGATGATCCTTCCAGAGTCAAGACCGCTGAGACTTTCACTGGCCAGCTACCTGATCTCGGCCCACCACAGATTGTTGGTAACAAGCCTCCTCAAAAATTCGCTCTGCTTGACGGCATTCTTCAGAACATTTTACTTGGATTTGACAATCAAGTTATCTTGGCATCGACTCTGAAAGAGCTCATTACCGTATTAAGGGATCCTGAACTTCCATACGGAGAGTGGCTCGCAAGATCATCAGCTCTGCACTCAAGAACTCCACAGAAACTAGATGCCCAGCTCGAGCAAATCGTGGACCGGGCCCACTCTCGTCAAGCCGAGTTTCCTGCCAAACAGCTGCAGAAGGCCATTAATCGGTTCATTGAGGAGAACATGTCTGCCGCCGAAGGTGCTGCTCTTCACACCACGCTGGCTCCTTTGGAAGAGGTCATTACCAAGTTTTCCGATGGCTTGAAGGTCCATGAGCTGTCCGTTTTTGCCAGTCTCCTTGATAAGTACTGGGAGGTGGAGAGGTTGTTTGCCTCTGGCAGCCACCGAGACGAAGATGTCATTCTGAAACTTCGAGAAGAAAAGAAAGATGACATTGCCTCCGTGGTCTATACCGTCTTGTCTCATACCCGGGTCTCAGCCAAGAACAACCTGGTCATCGCCATTCTTGACCTTTACCGACCAAATCAACCCAATGTCGGAAACGTTGCCAAGTACTTCCGACCTTCTTTGCGACGACTCACTGAGCTGGAGTCCCGGGGAACTGCTAAGGTGGCCCTCAAAGCTCGCGAGCTTTTGATCTTGTGCGCCATGCCTTCGCTCGAGGAACGATCATCCCAAATGGAGCACATCCTGAAGTCCTCAGTCGTTGATTCGAAGTATGGAGAATCTGGCTGGGAGCACCGAGAGCCTGACTTGGACGTCATCAGAGAAGTTGTCGACTCTCGTTATACCGTGTTCGATGTACTGCCTCTCTTCTTCGCCCACAGTGACCCATGGGTCGGCCTTGCTGCACTTGAGGTGTACATCAGACGTGCTTACCGTGCTTATACTGTTAAAGAGGTGACCTACCACAATGATTCCGAGCCACCATTCCTCCTATCTTGGGACTTTGTTCTCCGAAAAGTTGGACAGACTGAATTTGGGTTGCCATTGGCTTCGTCCTTCCCCTCCGGCTCAGCAACACCTTCTTCCCAAGGTAGCCCTTTCAAGCGAATCACCTCTGTCAGTGATCTATCATATCTGAACAAGGTCCAGGGTGGCGACGAGCCATCCCGCAAAGGTGTCATCGTCCCCTGCCACTATCTTGATGAAGCCGATGAGACCCTTGCACGTGCATTGGATGTCTTCCCCAAGGGTGGTGAAAAGAAAGCAAGCCAAACATACCTCATGCCAACTTTGGATAGCCAGAGAAGACCTCAGAAAGCAGATGCGAACGCTGAGGATGAGTTGGAAAATGTTATCAACATTGCCATCCGCGATATTGAGAACTTGAATGATGAAGAAATCATGCCTCGTCTGGAGAGCCTTGTTACCGAGTACAAGAAAGAGCTGCTCGCACGCAAGGTACGCCGCGTCACCTTCATCTGTGGTCATAAGGAAGGAAATTACCCTGGATACTTCACCTTCCGTGGCCCTACATACGAAGAGGATCAGAGCATTCGTAACAATGAGCCTGCTTTGGCTTTCCAGCTGGAGCTTGGAAGATTGTCAAGATTCAAGATCAAGCCTGTTTTCACTGAGAACAGGAATATCCATGTCTACGAAGCAACTGGCAAGGGTATTGACAGTGACAAAGTGGTTGACAAGCGCTACTTCACCCGTGCAGTTGTCCGTCCTGGCCGCCTGAAGGACGAGATTCCAACTGCCGAATATCTCATCTCCGAGACTGACCGTCTCGTGAACGATATTTGTGATGCTCTTGAGATCATTGGTAACAACAACTCGGACTTGAACCATATCTTCATCAACTTCACGCCCGTTTTCAACCTTCAACCTCGGGATGTTGAGGAACAAATTGCAGGCTTCTTGGAACGTTTCTCGAGACGTTTCCTTCGCCTCCGAGTTACCGGCGCTGAAATCAGAATCCTTTGTACCGATCCAGATTCAGGGCTGCCTTACCCTCTCAGAATTATCATCACCAACACATCAGGGTATGTGGTCCAGGTCGAAAGTTATGTTGAAAAGAAGTCACGCACTGGTGAGTGGGTGTTCGAGAGTATTGGTGGCACCACCAAGCTCGGCGCCATGCACTTGCGATCTGTGTCAACTCCATATGCCTCCAAGGAGTGGTTACAGCCAAAGCGTTACAAGGCTCATCTTATGGGTACTCAATACGTCTATGACTTCCCCGAGCTTTTCCGACAGGCTATTCAAAACAGCTGGGCCAAAGCTGTTGCCAAACATTCCTCATTAGTGGAGTCGAGACCTGAGATTGGCACTTGTGTCGAGTACAATGAGCTGGTGCTCGATGATTCCGACAACCTTGCTGAAGTTTCCCGTGAGCCTGGTACCAATAACTGTGGTATGGTTGCTTGGTTACTGACAGCCAAGACGCCTGAATACCCAAGAGGCAGAAGGTTTGTCATTGTCGCCAACGACATCACCTTCCAAATCGGTTCATTCGGCCCAACTGAAGACAACTTCTTCAACAAGGTTACAGAATTCGCTCGCAAGCTTGGTATCCCTCGTATCTACCTTTCTGCCAACTCTGGCGCTCGTATCGGTATGGCCGATGAGCTCATTCCTCACTTCTCTGTCGCATGGAATGATGAAGAGAACCCATCCTCGGGCTTCAAGTACCTGTATCTGACGCCTGAAAAGAGAAAGAAGCTTAGCCAGAAAGAGGTCATCACCGAGGCCATCACCGAAGAAGGTGAGGAGCGTCACCGAATCACCACCATCGTCGGTGCCAAAGATGGTCTTGGTGTTGAGTGCTTGCGAGGCTCTGGTCTGATTGCAGGTGCCACCTCCAAGGCATACGAAGATATCTTCACAATTACGCTTGTCACATGCCGTTCCGTTGGTATCGGTGCATACTTGGTGCGACTTGGTCAGCGTGCCATCCAAATTGAGGGCCAGCCCATCATCCTTACCGGTGCTCCTGCACTCAATAAGGTTCTTGGCAAGGAAGTCTATACCTCAAACCTCCAGCTTGGTGGTACGCAAATCATGTACAGGAATGGTGTGTCTCATATGACTGCCAACGATGACTTCCAGGGTGTGGAAAAGATTGTCGACTGGCTTTCCTTTGTTCCCGACAAGAAGGGCCAGCCTGTCCCTGTCAGCCCGTCGGCAGATCCATGGGATCGTAACATTGGGTTTTGCCCACCGCCTCGTGCACCTTATGATGTCCGTCATCTCATTGCCGGTAAGGAGGATGAGGAAGGATTTCTGTCCGGTCTCTTCGATCGTGACTCTTTCCAGGAGTCTCTTGGTGGGTGGGCTAAGACTGTGGTTATTGGTCGTGCTCGACTTGGTGGCATTCCCATGGGTGTCATCGCTGTTGAGACTCGCACTGTGGAGAATATCAGCCCTGCTGATCCTGCCAACGCAGACTCCATTGAGCAAGTCGTTCAAGAAGCAGGTGGTGTATGGTTCCCCAACTCCGCCTTCAAGACTGCACAGGCTTTGAGAGACTTCAACTATGGCGAGCAACTCCCAGTTATGATCCTAGCCAATTGGCGTGGTTTCTCTGGTGGTCAGCGCGACATGTTCAACGAGGTCCTCAAGTACGGCTCGTACATCGTTGATGGTCTTGTCAAATATGAGCAACCTGTCTTTGTGTACATTCCTCCGTTCGGAGAACTACGTGGTGGTTCATGGGTAAGTCAATCTACCCCTGTTTTTCGTGCTCTGAGACTAATTTCATTCAGGTCGTCGTTGATCCTACCATTAATCCCGAGCAAATGGAAATGTATGCTGATGAAGAATCCCGCGGTGGTGTGCTCGAACCCGAGGGCATTGTTGGTATCAAGTATCGTCGCGAGAAGCAACTTGAGACCATGGCTCGCTTGGATGCTACATATGGCGAACTCAAGGCTCAATCTCTTGCTAAGGGCTTGACACCTGAACAGTTGAATGCCATCAAGACTAAAATGACCGAACGTGAGCAATTGCTTGGCCCCATCTACCAACAGATTGCCATCCAATTTGCCGATCTCCACGATCGTGCAGGACGAATGCAAGCCAAGGGAACCATTCGATCTGCATTGAAATGGCAAAATGCCCGAAGATTCTTCTACTGGCGTCTACGACGAAGGTTGTCTGAGGAAGTTCTGTTGAAGAAGCTCACCACCAGTCAAGCAGCAGGCGGTAGCCCAGTAGTTGTCAACGGCCTTGCACAGAAGGAGACCAACCTGGCCATCCTTAAGAACTGGTCCGGAATGCTTGATGTCGAGTTCGACAAGGATGACCGCAAGGTTGCTGAGTGGTACGAGAGTCATCGCAAGGAGGTGTATGCCAAGATCGACGCTCTCAAGAGCGAAGCCATTAGCAAGAAGGTTTCGGAATTGTTGATGAGCAACAAGGAAGGTGGATTGAAGGGTGTACGAGAGGTGCTGAGCCTTGTTCCAACTAGCGAGAGGGAGCAGTTGGTCAAGTATCTTACTGGAGCATAAAAGAAGGGACAAAAGCATGGATAAAGAGATGGCGGTCGGCAGTCTAGACGAATTGCTGTGATGCCTAGAGGGTTAACGACAGCGTGATTTGTGCGCCTTGGCTTGGGAGCATTATGCACTGATGTGGTGTTGTTTGTTTCCCTTTTGGCTACAGGCTTTGTATGGAGTTTTGTGGTTTAGCTTTTGTTTTACTATATTCCAGCTTAGCTAGTGTTTTGTAGCAAGCCTTTATACCCAATCTTGGTGTGTTCTTCCTATTGGTGCTCAAGTATCATCCGATGATACTCCAGGTGGTTCTTGACATGAGTAGGTACTTACGTATGCAGTGGGCCTTGACTTGGTTTTGCAGAAACTGGACGATGGCAAGGTTTGCACGTAACAGGACTTTGCATCATTGCTTGCCAACATGTATCATCGTTGTCGAACGCTAGTTATCTCATGGCATGGAATTGTGGTGTTTCCTCACGAACAACGCGATGAACTCGAAATCGCACACGAAAATCCCCGAGATCATGGCAACTTCATTCAGTACGGAACTCCATCACCACGCTTTCTAAATTGGTATACTCATGGCTTTGAGAGGACGACAACTCCCGGAGACCTGGTCCCAGTCAAAACTCGAGTATGAACCTTCGTGACGTGACGAACTCTCTTCTTCACGAACTGGCACTACATACGCATCGTTCCTGTTCAGAGAGGCGACCATGCGCAATCAGTCCTGGATTGGTGTGTTCGAAGACGTCATGTCGGTGTCCACGCCATGTCAACATCTGGTTGCACAGGGCCGTCGGTCTAGACTCACAAACTATTCTGACAATGCTTGCTCCCACCGTCCTCCGCCCAAACTGATCTGCGTACGCGGGGCCAAGCTGGCAACCAACACTCACTAGGATACCAGTTTTTATTATTTACATCCTGGAGCATTTGCGGCGATCATTCCTAAACCCTATCTTGCAGATGGGAAACACTAGCACTAGACAGCACAGAATGGTAGTTATTGCTCGGCCCTGGTAGCATGAGCGCCCGATGATCAACACCTTTGTTGCTCTCGTGACCGTCAATTTGCTTTCGGGTGGGCAGCTGTGACGAACTAAACCAAAGTAGACAAGAGTTTAGGGTTGGGGCCCATGGCTTGTGTTCATTGACAATGCCCCGAATTACAAGCACATAGTTCTATGACAGATAATGTTCGGAGACAAAAAAAAGGCTTATGAGTGTCGGGTTGTAGCTTGTCCTCCACGGGCAAACGAGCATTGCTGCCGAGAGTGTCTCACACGGCGCAGGCACTTTGACATGAAAAAAAGTCTCCACATCGAGCATTGCCCAAGTAGTAGTGGACCCAGGAACTACGAGCGCTTCCCAACAACTTGAACCAGATGAAGCCGGAAGACCCGTAACGCCCCTGTGAAACCACCGTCCTCCGCACTCTTTTTTTCTGAATGAGGGTGAGGGGTGTTGAGAATACCAGTGATGCCAGTGATGACGATATGAGTGGGTCAGCACGTGATCATCAGCCAAACACCAAGCAACACCGAGCACAGAAGGCGGGGTTGCAAGCATTTGGTAGCCGAAGCACTAATGCAACCTCACTTCCATCACTGCTACTCGTACACGGCACGACTGCAGTTGGGACTAGTACTAGTACTGGCAGTCAGCGACATGCCCGTGGAGTACGAGGTGTCCGTGCAGTTGACGCCCAAAAGGCTTCGAATGGGCCACTGACCACCGTGCATGATATGACCCGTGGAGCTCAAAGCTTGACCAAAATTCTAGCTATCAAATCTTGTCCATGCTGCCCATTATTTGATACGAATGTGCCCTCCAAAGATGCCCGGGAGGTTCCTGTCAGAACTAGACAGTATTGCGTGGTTGAGGCTGCATGTCGACTGCATCCATGCAGAGACTTTCACTCACCGGCCGCTCTCTTCCGAGCAATGATAGTCCGTTGCGGAGAACTAACAGCATCGTGACTGCATGCTTCTCCCAGTCATGACAACCTTGTACATCCCAATTGGAGAAGGCACCCTGGTGGTCTGTGCTCGAACTCGAACGCCACACAGATGGATACTGCCTAACGCACACAGATCCCTCTGAGGGTGTCCTGCAACTCGCTTCTGTGGTCTGATTCTATACTGCATTCGTAAGGCACGACACGCACTTTCGATCCATCTCACCCTTCTTGGCGACCTGCCTGGCCATTTCCAGCCTCGACTGGGCTGATCACCTCGTCTTCTCTCGACATCTTCCTCAAGCTTGCTCAAGCTTGCTCGCAAGCAGTCAACGGAACTGTTATCCCTCGACCATCGATGCTTGCTTTTGAGCCACAGCACTCGCATACATCATCTAGCTTGGGAATTTTTCATTGGTCAACTTCAAGCCTCGATCACGTCCAATGCTGCATCACCCTGGTAAGCTTCCTGCATGGACTGCCGGGAGCTACATGTATGTCTCACAGTAGGTGGGAATACATTATGCAACAACATGTAAAGATCTCTCGTTCAATGTCATCGTCATCCATCTCTGCTACAATGTCCGTCGAGAAAGGCATGCATGTGAGTTTTCCCCGCTGGGAGACCGAGGTGTGGAGAAACCAACTCGCTGTACATTGCTCCACGAAGCATATTTTTTGAGCTTCAAAATGCCAGCTTCGCCCGCATGAGCTCTGGTGAATCTTCCCCTCTCTCATTGCTTGACAGAGAAAGTGTTGTCGTCGGTCAATCGTTCAGTGTCTATCGCTTCATCAACTGCCTGCTGACCCTCGCTGACCTTGTCAATCGTTGATAATTGTGTGATTCGAGCTACTTGTCAGGAAAAACCGTGTACATACACCTGACCATGCAGCGGACACTCGCTCTCCTGGCTTTGGCCAGTTCTGTCCTGGCCTCACCCTATCCCCAGGCTGTTACCAGTGCTATTGCACCTTCAGCCCCTGCTCCATCAGGCTGTCAAACGAGCCACTCCGGAACGTTCCAAATCACCGTCGTCAATGTCTCTTCTTCGTCCACAAAGAGAGATCTTGAAAGGGTTTGTGGTACCACTGTCTAATTTTCTTCTCTAGACTGACAAATGAAAACAGCGCCAGTTGGATGGCCCTCTCACCTTGACGCTTACCGATTCGAACTTGTTTGACCAGGCTGGTCGCACGGGAGTAAGTGGATTCCAAAGATTTATTTTTCTCGAAATTCCATAGTGCCCTATTTTCGAGAGTCTGTGGCTTCATTTCAGCCGTCTCCAAGAGATATGCAGTGCTTGTTTACCAAGGTCTTGGAGCAGGCTTAAGCATGCTCTGTAACATTCATCTCTGCTTCATACCCTTTGGCTTTTCTCACCAAGGCTTCTGCTAATGCTCCTTATAGTACATCGCCGCCAACTACCAGTTCCAATTTGATGCTCCTCCTCAGGCCGGTGCAATCTATACTACTGGATTCTCTCTCTGCTCAAACAACAGTCTCGCTTTGGGCGGCTCTGCCATTTGGTACCAATGTCTAAGTGGAGATTTCTACAATCTCTACGACAGAGACTGGGCGTAAGTGTCTTTCTACAGATCCCATTCAGCCATTACTCCTTGGCTGAAATCCATTACTGATCATCTTCTGCAGCGAGCACTGTGTTGCCGTGTATTTCGTTGCTTTACTTCCCAGCGCTGGTGCGCCCGCTCCGGCGCCCGCTCCTCCAGCTCCCACCGGTACTGTGGTTGCTTCAGTTAGTAAGTATCTCACTTCCTTTGTCCAGGATCTGAGAAGCATACTAGAGACCATTTGCTGACAAACTATTTTCTTTATTAGCTCAATTATCAGATGGACAGTATGTTCTCATTGCGTGTCTCCATATCTAGCCGCGATACATGGCACAGTGTTTGAGAGACTACTCTACTTATTGCTTGCAAGGAATTTATCTAACGTATCTCCTATCCTAGGCCTCAAGCTTCAACAGTTGTTGTTTCGCAAATCTCTGATGGACAGTGAGTGTTAACATTGAATGTTCTAGCCATCACGAAAGCTTTGCTAACACTTCACAGACCTCAGGCGACAACTGGTGCACCAGCCGTCAGCCAGATCAGCGATGGACAACCTCAGGTGAGTGATGTTACCATGATGCCCTTTTCAGCTTCTCATACATATCTACCTTGAGAGGTCATCCGTGACGAGATGCTGATTTATGTGACAACAGGCACCCACTGGCGCCCCAGTCAGCCAGATCAGCGATGGTCAACCTCAAGCCCCTACCGGTGCTCCAGTAAGCCAGATCAGCGATGGTCAACCTCAAGCTCCTACTGGAGCTCCAGTGAGCCAGATCAGCGATGGACAGCCACAGGCTCCAACTGGTGCGCCCGTCTCTCAGATTAGTGACGGTCAGCCTCAAGCACCAACTGGCGCACCCGTTTCTCAGATTAGTGACGGCCAGCCACAGGCCCCAACGGGTGCGCCTGTTTCTCAGATCAGCGATGGACAGCCACAGGCTCCTACAGGAGCACCCGTCTCCCAGATCAGCGATGGACAACCACAGGCTCCTACAGGAGCACCCGTCTCCCAGATCAGCGATGGCCAGCCACAAGCCCCAACTGGCGCACCCGTCAGTCAGATCAGTGACGGCCAGCCACAGGCTCCAACTGGTGCGCCCGTCTCTCAGATTAGTGACGGCCAGCCACAAGCTCCAACCGGTGCCCCAGTATCTCAGATCACAGACGGCCAGGTTCAAGCGCCCACCGGTACCAGCAGTGCGGCACCAGCAGCTTACACTGGCGCAGCACACCGCGATGGACTTTCTGGTGGCTTGGCCATCGCCGGCGCTATCGTTGGTGCGATCGTTCTACTCTGATCAATTTCATGAACCCCATTTCATGGACGATGAAATCCTCCAAAAACACATTCCTTATTACCCTCTTCCACTTTGTTGACATTACGTGGTCGAGCCGGCAGCGGAAACTCTTTTCAGTCCTGTTGGAAGTGTCATCATCTGCATCAGCGAGTCTTTGGCTGCGTCTGGAAAAATCTTGAAGAGCAAAAGGACAACATCAATATTGAGTTGGAGCAAAGACAATGTGACTTGAGGGTTGGAAAGACGAATGAATGGATATGTGTTATCTATCATCGTCGGCCCCTTGTGATCATCATGATCTACTGCCATTTGTTCTCAAATCTGGTCATCACACTATTGGACATTCATCGATCCCTTCCCTACGAATTGGTCCCGGTACCAAGTTGCATTAGTAGTACTTAATACTTAATATCTCAATGTCAAATGGCTTAAGCTTTCTCTACACATGTAGCAACCTCTTCATGTCACGTTTCATCCATGCCTGGCACGCCACATTCACATTAATTCTTGGTCGCGAGGCAATCAGCGTGGGTTTTGCAAACATAACCAGGTTGAATTTCATCGTACCGGCGTTACTAACTGTATGTACCTACCTAGTGCACGAAGGGATTGGAAGCATTGGCCCAGGCCTGGCGTGCATGGTTGTACGAACTCAGCTAACTTACTGCATGACAATGTGAAGACAGGCATGATGTCGAGAAATAAGAAACTTTCGTAGATGATGCAATGTCCATCCGTTGTTCGATCCAATCCTGGAAAATATGTATGCAGCTCACTGGCTGTACGACAATCCACCAATGAGCACAAGATACTGCAGTGTTGTCGTGTACAATTCTACCACATTTTGACGATTTGAGACCTTTTAACGCTTCGAGGTTCGCTCCGCTTGCAATAATGACAGAGTGGGGGGGGGACAGGGGATATCCTTCATTCGTGTTTGGTGAAACTGACATAGAAGGCGCCCGTGCCTGGGCCAAAGTACGGGGCGAGCTTGTCGATCTCCTCAGCGAACAAGGGCGTTTTGGTCGCCGCTTGGTGAAGCTGTTGATGTTTCATTGAACGTTAGAGTCGGGTGGATGAGACAGCCATCAAAAAGCCTGATGGGACCGGATCAATAACACTCACCTCTATGCTCTCCCAACCCAGACAATACAACGCCAGCCGACGTTCCTCGTCCTTCAGCAGATCCGGCGTCGCGGTGAGAGGGTCATCTGGCTGGGATTGCGAGGTCTCGGAATTACTGAGCTCAACGCCATTGGTGTCATTGCCGTCAAGCACGTATCCCCACAGTCCTCCGACAAAACCTCGCATCTGGTAGCAGTCTGCAAAGGTTTTGTGGGTGGATTTCTTGAACTCGGGGTCGTTGAATGGAGTGGTAGGTACGAAGGCGCACATGGCCTGAAGGGTATTGTCCATGGTCAGCGTGCTGAGCTCAGGGCTGACCAGATCTCAAGTAAAAATGAAAGTCTAGAGATGGAATTTTTTGGGCCACGGGGAGTCATACAAACTCACAAACACTTGCTTCCATGGCCTTGGAGAGGTCGACCAGCTTCTCATGCTCAAACTGCAGCAAGAGGGAAGTAGGAGCCGTCGCAGAAAGTTGTGTAAGTTGGGAAACTATCTCAGATCTGTCCGTGTTGGAAGCTGAGTCGTTCCATTCTGGGCAAAGAGGATTGTTAGCCTGATATTTGTCTTGCAGCTGAATCAGGATCTATCTGGGTTTGGCCATGACGAGGCTGAAGTTTGCCAAAGTCTTTGAGACTCGTGCCAATGGTGACCTACGTATTGCCCAGCATATTTCTTCATCGCGCTTTGGTAGAGGTGTCGATGAGGTTGGAACGGTATAGCCAAAGTATTGACAGCTGCAGAACTTGAGAGCGACGTTTCGAAGAGATCGGAACTCGTTGCTTGATATCGTTTGGAACTTGGGGAGCGTGAATCGAATTATTTGTGAGTACATGATTGTCAAGCCTGCCAATATTCAAATCGACCTTCTTTGTGGAGGCTTTGTTCAGTCAGAGGGCGTCTCTCGAGGTGACCTCCAGCCGGATTTATACTCCAGGCTAAGAAGGTAGATGGCTGTGGTTTACTCGGAAGTCCGAGTTCGGTCTGCATAGCTAGATAGAAGCCTGTGTTCAAGCCATGACAGTAGGCTAATTGCTTCAAGATTAAAAAGGAAGACAACGTCATATCTTGCGGAACCAAGAATCTTGTACTCGTTTGTAAGGTATCTTGGGAAAGGGGCATAGCTACAACCTGCTTCAGTAAGCCAAGGACGACCGGACGAAAGAAGTAAGCCAAACCGGATGTGATCCGGCCGCTTACATCCACGCTACAGGAACAATGCACAGGGCTTTAAGCAGCACAGAATGGCCCGAAGGACATTCGGACAGGTATCGCGGGGAGATGCTTAAATCAAGACCAGTGCTATATGGCGACAGGCCGTCTGGGCAAATCCCACACTGTGACCTCAACTCAAGTTGAAGCCCATGGATCGGACGATAAGTGCGTTCTCATTGGCCGTCAAAGTCTGCAAATCTCTGCTGTACATTGTCTATCTCGTGAGCTACTTTCTCGTATACCCAAATGTTCCTATCTACCTGACTCGTACAAGCAGCATCTCTCAGGGGATCCATCATCCTCAACCATGCCGCTTGATGAGTGGGCACAGAATCAATGGGCGGTAAGCTCACAGTCGTGGCTTCTCCGAGTTATCTGTAGAAGCGACTCAACAGTAAAGTGACTCTGAGATCTGGCCAGTCACTGTTGGTGTCTCCGAAGGAGAAACGGCCAGGCGTGCCACCCTTTCGAGGAAGTTAGGTCCAATGTACCCAAGGCAGCTGGACGTATTTCTGGCTTCCGCAGCTTGTGAAGCGGACCAAGAGTATGGCCTCAGCCGGCACATTGTCGTGATGACCTGTAGTGGTTCACTCCAAGGCTTTCGTGTGCGGTTCCAGCATGTTTCAGCCGTCGGTCCGGTCTGAGGGAAGACCAAACTGTCGCCACAAGGTGTGACTGACTTCTGGCTCTTTCATACCAGGTAAGATATCTCTGAGTAGTTCATTGATGCCTAGGCCTCGATCTTTTGCACCTTGCCACTGTCGAGGGTAGCCCAAGCTGACTTCCTCGAATCTCACACCATCTATCCAATCTGTGCGACGCACATGCAAGTGGCCCGTCACCACAACGGTGGCTTTGAATCGTGAATGCCAATCCTCAGTCTTCTTGGTACCGCACCATAGACTAAACCTTGGGACACTAGGAATATTGACGAGATCTTCTCGCAATGGCCAGTGATTGACGATGACGAGGGGAATGCCTCTTGAAGCAGCAGCTTCCAAACGTTCTTCAGACTTCGCGACGAGTGCCTCACACCATGCATCTCTAGTCTCGTAGGGGTCAGGATGTAGAAGTGCTTCATCCGTTGCATAAACATTCTCCTCCATGGCCCAATCCAACGCCTTTTCCCGTGAGACATGGGCAGGTCGAAAGCTGTAATCGTACAGCGTAAAGATCGGACATACCAAACAGGGACCACCCTCTCCTTCCCATTTGACATATTCATCTTCAGGGGTAATGACGCCCCACTCGTTTGCCATTCGAATACATTCCTCGTACTTGAATTGACCCCTCAACTCCTGGTCCAGTTCCTTATCTGAGTCCTCTTCGGGCTTTCTCCGAGGTAATGTATAAAGCTCATGGTTCCCAGGTACCCAGAAGACTTGTTTGAACAATTTGGTTGTGACTCTGAAAGCATCGGCAAGATGTTCTAAGCGTTCCCCCACATCTCCACATAATATCAAACTGTCCTCTAAATGAGGACGAAGTTCATCTAAGGCCTCGCGATTCTGTTTATAGCTGAGGTGCAGATCGGCTATTGCGTAGAGCCGCATCTCGGCGTTCAGAGGAGGGTTGGTAGAGAGCGAGATGGTGCTCTCGAGGGCTGGGGAAGTGACAACCAATGCCCCTGTGTGGTGATCCGTGAGTAACGGCCTTGACTGGCACAAACCCTGTTGGAAGAAATTTATAGAGTGGAGAGCTCTAGAAGCTAGCGTGGATAATTGATTCCTGCTCCCATCCGTGACTCTCAACAATTGCGAGACATGCAGATCAGGGAGGCTTGGTGGACGAGAAAGTAGCGGTGAAAATCTGGACCGGTTTAAATCTAACACCCCGAAGGAAACGAATATCGTTCAAATGGAAATACGATAAAAGATCACTTCGCAGATTAAGTAATAAGTAAATCTATGTCTATCGCTGGATCTGATGGATGTCTGGGGATTTCAAGATCCAATAGGCCATCAGCTGATGAAGAGTGAGGTCTCATGTGTTTTTTGGTGTTCGATTATCCGGAGATCAGCCGAATGACGCTTCCATATATCATGTGAAATAAGGGAAGGTATTCCGAGAATCTTATAACGGCCAGAGTCGGGGAGAGCATTGGCTTCCATTTTAAAGTATGCCCCTTCCTCGACACAAGGCGCGAAATAATGTATATTAGAGTATATTTTAAGAGCTCAATGTCACTGCTTGGTCTGTATCTGTGCTTCTATAACCGTCGCCGATAGCCCAAAAACCCATCTACTTGGCATACCAAGTCTTATTCCACTCGGAGAAGCTCAACCCCGGATCCAAAATCGGAGTCTGATCTTTCGTGGCCTGCGCCACGACAGAATCATCATCGTCTCCATTCCAGCAATGACGTTTGAAGCATGTATTGCAGACATCTGGTAGCTCCAGCCCTGCTCGGATCACACTCTTCTTGATCACCGCACAAGCGAGACACGCGGGCCAGGTCTTGTCGATTGTGCCGTTGCCGTAAGTAGCGGCATTGAATGAGTTGTTCATCACCAGGTCGAATTGGTTGTCTGTGAAGGATGATTGCATGTAGCTGTAGTTAGAGTACTGCGTCCAGGCGGTGTTCGGGAGGTACAGGACCAAAGGAGACCGCGAACCGGGCTCGGACGTGCTATTGCATCCGAAAAAGGTTGGGAAACGTGTCAGGTTGAGATTGACCATTGTCCTCGACGATGGAACGCGAGGGAATGGAATTCCGCCTTCTGAGGCTGAAATCGCAGTGTCTGTGTGATGGTTAGTGCAGATCATCTCTCTCGGGGTTGTGGTAACAAGGCACTTACTGATAAAATTCGTGCCGTTCACCCATGAGTACTCCGCGTCCGAACTGGCATCATAGGCAATGATGAAGTCAAGCTCTCGCTCTGGAACAATCAGTGGTCGCAGAGGGATAGTCTCGCCGGTTTCACTCCCGTCGACCTATTCTCAAGTTAGCTGGCTCTGGCTTCTGGTAAGGCGGAGAAGAAGCATACTAGTAATAACTCCGTGACATCCGTCATGGCGGCATTGTATCCCTGAAATGGATTTGGGTATGTAGCCCATAACGAGTCGTTGAAAGTTTGTTCGAAGTTTTCCGCGGTCCCATTTACGAGCTGTACTAGCGGGCTATCTGCTTGATCCGCTGGGATCACTATTCCGCCAGAAGAACTCTGCCTTCTGTGGAGACCAAAGGTTTGAAGAGACCGCTTGGCGAACAGAGGAATGTTGTACCAGGCATCGATGAACCAGAAATTGAAAGCGTTGGCGGTAGATCCCTGGACGAATGTGAACTTGTCGAATCCTGTGACACAAGAGTCATTCGCCTGAGGCACTCCACGGTTCATGGATGTTCCGAGCCATTTGGTCGGCATAAATGCTTGAATGCGTCCGCCGAGCCAACTTCCAAATTCGAAGGGAGTGATCTCATAGCTGGTCAGATTGAACGCATTGGTCGCATTGTTTCCGGGATACATAATCCCACCAATTTCCGGGGATTGACCAGGGATGACCTCTGCAAGAGACACTATCGGCATCGGACCAGTACCGAGGGAGAAGGAGTGGTTCTTGCTGGTTATATCGGAATATGAACGATAGCGCCACTCTCTAGGGAGATACTGGCCAAACTGCTGCCCAAAGACGTCGACAACGGAAACGGAATAGTTGGCCTCAGCTTTGGCGCCGGCGTTCTCGAAGAGTTCGTCATAATACTCTGTCTCGTTTCCAGTTGGTCCCACGAGATAGTCCTCTGTAAAGTTGATCGCCTTTCGAAGTTGTTCAATCGATGTGAAGTTGTTGCTGGCCCTGGAGCCAAATAGCATTAGCTAACAGGCCTCAGGACGTTATCATCAGGCCCTCTCACAATGTGCTGACTGTCAAGAACCCACCACCGCTCAGCCCTGTCAGGTATGAAAGGCATTGTGTGAGCCCTCCGGTCCCAGCTTTGACGGCTGGAGGATATCGAGCGTCGAATGCTTGCCAGAGACCAAGGCCTCCGACTCCGGATTGAGTGCCACCACCGGAGATCGCAAGGCCCACGACTGGAGCATTGGTTGCATTCAATTTGGACAGGTATTGAGTAACGTTGAATCCCGTCAAATTGGTTCGAGTAAGATAGCTGCTCAAAGATTCTATGACTGACTCCAGGCGGAGACGTCTCCAGTCCTGCTCGGCCTGGGAGAGACCCTATGTACCAGCATTAGCCATCCGCTTCCGGATGTTTTTTTCGGTCTAGTCCTTGGATGGATCCGTATCTCAGGAAAAAACGCACCTTTTCTGCTGCTCTGACTTGAACATCAGGGGTGCAGTTGGCTTGGGTAGGCACATAGGGATCAGCTCCTTGCTGCGCATGGGCCACGTTTGCAATGGGCGCAGAAACGAGAAGAAGGGCAGGCAGATAGAACATCATTGTAGTGTGTGCGCGCAAGAATCAGGAACCCTCTGGGTGGAATGAATGATGAATGCGAGTGACATTGGACGATAAAAAGACCCATCGAGGGTATTTAATATGCTTTCGATAGCGTGCCATTGATTGCAGTCAGCCTCTGCTGAGTGGATCCAGAATTTGGGTGCGACTTGAAGAAAATCTACCTCTACACAGCTCAACACATGCGAGGTGCGTGTTGATTCAACGCCGGCACTGGGTGGTCCAAGCTGAGTGGAGAGAGTTCAATAACACGGTTCGACACCTCAGGAATGACGCAAGTAATCGAGACGGCGTCTTCTAAGGTACAAGTCTGCAGCTCAACTTCACAGAGACCAAACGGTGCGAATCGCATAGCCGCTGCGATTAGAATTCTAGAAAGTCGTATCACAGATTTAAAAAAAATCACTAAATTTGGCAAGGAGCTGAGGCGTTGTCAAGAGCTATCTCATACCCGAGCTCGCGTGGCTAACCTCTTACAATGCTCCAAAAACGCGGAGAATCGTGAGCTTAAAATATGGAGCCAGACTTTGACTTCGAGTTGTCTGCTGGGACGAAAGGCGACGTCATAAACGGAATAGCAAACTTGGCTAGGGATTTCACTTTCCATGTGATCATGCTGCATCCAGAATCCAGAACTTCTACGAGTGCAGGTTGTGGTATTAGTGGCGTTAGCGAGCTTGTTTACGCCTGAGACAATTGAAAGGCTGTGCTCATTCAGCTATGCACGAGTTCTGCCAATTGTTCGCCACCATGCTTGGCTAAGTAGAAACATCGTTCTGTTCTGCATTGTTTTATCACTGTTACCCGACCACCACCCTCGCTTGGGCGATTCGGCCGAATCAACAATGATACGGCTCTTTGGTTGTATTAGTAGTTGCATGGAGTCGCACAAAGGCGGGTGGAATAGGCCTCGATTTCGTCCTCAACACCATGAAGAACGTGCATGTCACCCGTGTTTTGGGCTGTAGATCATTGAGGTGTAGAGCTGCTCATTTGAAGGATGGATGCGCTAGAAGAGCATACCTCCATCGTTGCATTCCACCAAATGTACTTAAGAAGCGTTAAATATTGTTTGAATGCTTGCGCCTAGGAATACAATGCATGATCATCGTCCTACTGACCCTAACTTCCCGGCCCTACAACAGAATAAGTGTTAAGGACTCTGTTCATGTGAAATAGGAGATGAAAAATGGGTCGACTTACCTCGAGTCAAGGAGCTCTGGTCTTGGCCATCTGGGAAAAAGTATGCTCCAACACTAGAAAGTTCGGTCAGACCTCTGCTTCCCACAAATCCTGAAGAGTACTCACGCAATGATGATATAACACGCGCACAGAAGCGCCCCTTCGAGATAATTGCTCCTACCGTCAAGCACCTGTAATAACCTCATGTCAGTCTTCGGTTGTCTTGGCTGAATGTGGGAAGCTGTCATCAGATTGCCAAAGACCAGGTCACAATAGTAGAACAGTGACGGAATATCCCAACTCACCAGAAAGTTCACGATGAAGGTGGCAACAAAAAGAGACCCGGTTTCGAAGAGACTGAAGTAGAGCGACATATCTTTGTCGAGAATCCAACCCAGAATCACAACAAAAGGTGTCACAAACAGGGCAATCTGGATCGAGCTCCCAAGTGCAACGCCCAGTGCAAGGTCGAGTTTATTCTTGGCCGCGACAGTAACGGCGGTCACATGCTCGGCCGCATTTCCGACGATTGGGAGGATGATCAGGCCGATGAAAGCCTCTGAGACTGGTGAGTTCTCCACCAAATGCTCAATGCTCCCAACCAAGAATTCCGCACACAGAGCTACCAAACCTGTAGAGGCCAGAAGGAGCATGATAGAAGCGGTTTGACTCATAGGCGCCTCGCCTTCTTCTTGCTTGGTTGGAATCATGGGTGAATTTTGCCTCCTAAAATGTTCACCAGCCGAGGAGCCCCGTCGGCTATGACCTGGTTCTGAACGGTACTGTCGTAGGGGATGTGCGGTAATCGCTTGGCCGGTATTATTTCCAGGTGGTAGAGTCGAAGATCGAAAGACGGGAGGAGTACGGAAGGAGAGGCCTCTGTTTCCAGGGTTGGTTCTCTTGTCTTTGACACCAGGTCTTTGGTGGGGAGATGGGTGGTTCTCTCCTTGCACGCGCACATCGCTCGCCAAATCTCTGTCAGATTGAGGCTGTTTTCCTTCAGCATTACTCAGTGCCTCGGGCTCCTCCGACAGAATAGCATCGCCACCTTCAGCCTCAACGTCCTCTGTCTTGACCTGTCTCTTACGCCCAAGTTTTGCTCTTATGCTCTTTCGAACTCGGCGGCGAGACCCGGTACTGGCAGTCGACGCTCTTGAAGAGCTCGCAGACGATGAAGTGGTGGAATCGAAGCGCGCAAGAAAGCCCGGAGCAGACTGTTCGTCAATGCGGTGTTGTGGGGTACCAGCGTAAAGATATGCGTGAGACTTGAGCTGGAATAGGAGATACAAAAAGTATATCAGGAGGAGAATGACTGAGGTTCCTCGGCTGAGTTTCAGGACTCGTTCATCCGCCAGGTCCAAGTCATTGAAGGAAGCATGAAAAGTGGTCTACCATTCGATGCTTAGCAAAAACATGACAGCATATGGAACGGTCAACATACGGGAATGAGGAGACTAAGCACAGCTAATGCCAAAAGTGCGGCGGACATTTGTGTCACTGTGCTGTCGTAGATTTGTTCCTGAAACTCAAGGCCCCCAATAAGGAATGCCATGCCCAGAATGAGGAGCAAGTTTGCTAGGAGTGAGCCTATTAATGCTGCTTGGACGATGCGCAACTCATTTTTGACGAGTGCAATAACACTATGCACTTGAATTAGCAACGTCGTAGCAGAAGATTTGGAACCCACAAGATGATCAATTCCACTGCATTTCCGAATGACACATTCAGAAGAGCGCCAAGAGTTGGACCGAGTCTGTGTGCAACGGACTCTGTTGCGAAGGTAAGGATGCCCGCCAAAGGAATGACAGCAATGGCATTGAGGGCGAAAACGACATTGGGATTGACTCCAGCAAAGTGGACTGCGATGCCGGCGGGGACGAAGATGAGTAAGACGTTGACCCAGCTGTGGAAGAGCGCGGTCTTCACGTTTGCCAAAAACCGAGCACCACGCGAAGGTTTTTGCTCATCATCTTGAGCCTTTTCTCTTGCAGCCGCATCACTTTCCAGATCTTGCGACCAAGGATTGAACTTGTTTTTGTGAGCAGAAGAATGAGCCCATGCCCGTACGCGATCTAAACCGGGTCAGAGTTGGCGTAACGCAAGGAGAAAAGATACATACGCATGTTATTGATGGTTTAGAGTGTCAAGAATCATGTTAGAGAAAGTAGTTGAATGGGGAAAGGTTGAGGTGTGTTCAACGCTTCAGGTCATAAAAAAGTGAAGATGAAGATGGAAACCGAGACACGGTAAGTATCTGTACCGTGTACGGGGTACTCTGATGTCAACACAGGCTTGTACGAAAGAAGACAGCAAAAGCCTTCCAAGATTCCTTAAGCGAAAGTCTTGAGGGGAGGCGCGTCCCATGCCAGTGGACGAATTGAACGACAAGCCATTCCTGCCAAGTCTTGGCACTGATTTCATTCCGACCGACTTGACGTCATCCTCCATCATTTTCCTGTTTCGAAGATGCGGCTCAATGAATTTTCCTCGTCTCGATACCAATTAGCTTGGTAAGTACCTAGGTACCTAATCCTTATTTTATATAGAGCACCCAGGTGCGGGCTTACCCGTCTCCACCCATTTCGAGGTGATGGAACCACTGGCAGCCACCGAAGCCCGTTGTACACAGTCGGTTCTATTCTATACTGCCCATGGGCCTGTACAAATTTCCAATAAATACAACTGGATACTTGTCCTTTACACACGCCAGTATATCGCATCCAAGTAAGTGTACCGCCGCCACTCTTTCGGTGAAAAAACTACTTGCTTGAGTTTCGTCAAATACCCACCCGCAATTAGCTCATGCTTCGCTCCGCGGCTTTCTAACAGTGTCACAACCGCATCCGCCCGACGGCTTAGCGACTTCAGATTCTTCATATCTTCTCCCACCGGGAACATGTGAATATTCGGCAATTTCGACTTCCATTTGTCCCTCGCGATACGTGCGCAATCTAAAAACGTCCAACCACACTCGGTTGACATATTTGGATCGCCTCCAGCTTCGAGAAGCAGCGCGGTGGCCTGGTAGTTGACATTTAGCGCGGCAATGTGCAAGGCCGTCCAGCCATTGGTGTCCTGATGACTCACTTGAACAGGCAATGAGTACTTCTCCAACAGGAAGAGGAGTGGGGCATCTGCGGACATTGAAGAACTGATGCTGTCAATACAGGCTCGACGCTCTTCAAAAGACTCGTACAATTCTGCAACGACAAAATGAAATGCGTTGAGGCCACAGGCGGGGCACACGATAAAGTTCGGTCTTGTCTGCCTTTGGCCGCCAAAGAGATCATGGAGCCGTGCCATAGTGTGGTCGGTCTTGTAGGGGAGCATGGACCCTAGAATACTCACTGGCACGCATATGTAGGAAGGTGATGTGCGGCGATCTCCTAGGACGAGGTCCATGATTGGCACGTCCACGTCTTCAGTTCGGTGGTAGTCACCCAACATCTGTTGGGTCGGTAGGATCCTATCTCTTTCTAACGAGAATGTAAGCATCATATCGCTAGACAAAAGTGCTGGGGTGATTTATACGGTCAAACTTCCAAGTAATGATTGAGAGCCCGGCCTCAACAACTGCCCCCTTCGCGCCATACCGATCTGCAAGTTCGAAATGCCCTTGAAACACAGCTAGATGATATGGCATTCTTCCATCCTTCCTGGCTTTGTCGAACAGTCGACTGTTGTTACTTTCCACGCATCTTCGACAACGCTCCCAGAGAAGCTCCGCAATCGCCACACTTCCGCTTTTCCGACTGCACAGATGGAAACAGTTTTCCTCAAGCCTACCGTGCGTCGAGTCAACGTCGGCTCCCGCATCCAGTAGAACTTCCACGACGTCTTCTGCACTCAAACAAACCGCCAGCTCCAGTGGCCGCAGCCCGTGCACGCCAGATGGAATCTGGAGTTGATCACGGCATTTGGTGTTCAGGACACACCGAACCATCCGTGCGTTACCTTTGGCTATGGATACATACAGCGCATTCTCACGGAAGCCGTTTAGTTTGTCTACATTCTTATCGTATGCAACTGCCGTATCAATGATTTCTTGAGTCTTTCTATTGACATCTGGCCCTGTGTATATGATGCGATGAAACGGAGTCAACTGTTTCGCGTTCAGCACAGACGAAAGAAGATGTTTGGTCCTACCAGCGTCTGCTGGCTGTAGCAGGAGCTTTAGGAGGTCTAGGTTGTGCCCAAGCCACCGACACCGGATTGATAGTGCCCTGGACCGTGGCGTCTACAGCAGCAGTGTATCGATGCACGAAATCTATTAGGGCCTCCAACCGCTTGGCTACATTTCTGGAACGACGAGTCTCCTCGGCTTGCTTGATTGCGAGAAGCACTTGCTGTAGAGAGGCCAGTGCGACGTCTGTTGGCATCTCGTTCTCTGTACCTTTGGGTTCATTTGGCATGGTTGCTCACGAGAAGTTCAGCCTTGCGGGCAAATTAACATGTCCGAGACTCGAAGCTCAAAAAGAAGCCGGATGGAATTCGCGAACAGGAGGGACGATGCTCATGGAGATGGATTCAGGACTCTGAATTGCGACCTACTTGGGCAAGAAATCCTTATGGGCCAGAATTCGGTGTATCGTTTGCAGCGTAGAGAAGATCATGCTGTGCTTCTGCCTCGCCAAGTGGCAAAGTTCGAATCATGTAGTTAGTCCCTGCAGTTGGTGGCTATGTACTTAAGGTAGTTAGGCCTCCCCACAAAGGCCCATATCATCCCATATGCCAGGCTGTGGCTTGGTCACGTTTTATCCTTGGCACGCTCGTAGACGTAATTTGTTATAGGGGCAATCGGTACTCAACGGTTAGGCGGTGCAGTGGGGGCTTCGGGCGCACCCTGCACCTTGAACGTTGAGGCTTGACATAGTTAGCTAGATAACGATTACAGAACCCCGCTCTGAGCGTGAAAGGACAACCTCAAACGCGATCGCGCAGTTGTGCACCAAAAAGAGGTGCATTTGGCCAGTGCATATCTTACGCTGTCTCTACATGTTGCACCAGAGGGTTGGAGCCATAATGAATGAAACTTGTACACAATGGCGGACATATACTTGCAAACTGTTCAGAAAGACAGGTAGAAGATGGAGTGAAGCGCAGAAGTTGACTGAGCAGTGAGCAGTGCGCACCTGAAGGAGAAGACTTTAGGTGTGCCTAGACTCTGGTACGGGTGCTTGTCTGGGGAGCTGGGTGTCGGGGGCTCCCTTGCGATAACTCGTCACCATCGTCACCACGCATATGACGATCGTTGCTCCAGATGGAAAAAAGTAAACCGTCGATCGCACAGCTGAGCATTCTTCCATACTGTCAGGCACAAGATCAATACGCGGATGAGATCTCTGAGTGTTACAAAAATTCCCAGACCGCGTAAGTGCATCAGTCTGGGCTCTGAGTCTCTGGGGATGGCCACGAACTGCTACGGCGCCGCACCTGGCAGACCGCACGTGGGTTAAGAGGTCAACAGTGGCGACTCTACCAGATCAAGTTCAAGCCCTCTGACTATCGACTGGAAATAAGTCCTCAACTTAGGACATTGATCGCTAGTGTAGCCACGCTTCTAGTTACCTAAGACATGGCATGCGCTGAGAAAAGATACTAGATACTAGTTGTATGCCATGGGAAGAAAGTACAGTTGCACGCAGGACAGTCAGTCGAGTGCAGCGCAGGCGTGGAAGGGTGTTAGGCGTGGTGTCGAGAGTACCCGTACTTTCGTACTTTCCTCCTCCGCCCACGCCCAAGGGGACTTGTCAGCACTCAGAACCCCAACTCCTCCTCTTTTCCACCATCTTGACTTCACAACTGGAACCTCACATTTTCTTACACAGCCGCACTTCCATACGCATTTACACTTGTTGGTCAATGATCAAATCTCCACATTGTCTGTCTTCTTGAATACCACATCGTATCTATTACTTGTCAAACCCTGGGAGCATACCGCCATCGCCTTCCTTCAATAATTTCCAAACAACGCCGCGAATACCACGCCCCAAGACATCCCAACCCAGCGATCTTCCCAGATCACACACCTGCACCAACCCAATTAACAACATGAGGTACGTTCCATTAACCCCTCTTTCATATAGCCTTGAGTCAATGTTTGTCCACATTTCTCTTTTCGCCCGTCCGTCATTGTCTTCGATGGGGGTATTCGACTGTGGTAACTGCTTGAGTCGTGGTGTTGGTCACATTTGCTGTCACAGGCAATATCTCGACCAAGAGGGAGCAGTTGAACGTGTCGTACAACGTGACTGACCCTGTCTGTGGGTAGTTCAATAACCAGGTCGAGTTCGGACAGAACACAATCGACAACAGCATCGCAATCTCAATCTGGCGAACCAGGTTCCTCCGCCCAAACACAGACCGCGTGCTACGGAATTGCCGCGATGCAGCGAAGATTGAACGAAGAACGCATCGATAGTATGTATAGTGTCGGCCAAAATTCTCGAGAAAGGCAATCTCACTCCATTGCTCGACTGGATCTTGTGCTCGACCAAGTGGAACAAGCGTTTTCGAAACCGTAGTAGCGACGACAAGTGGGAGGTGACGAGTCCGCAGTTCTTTCCTTATCCTTTCATTGTGAGTATTAGCACTATACTGGTATGGATCATGCTCATGATATTGAACAGTGTTCGGCGTCGGATCAGGACATGGGGTGCATATAGGGAGCAGCGACGATGACAGGACGACACTTCATCGATCAGGAGACTAGAACAGTTCTCTTTCATTGAACAAATCAGCAAACACACAAACATCATTCAAACCTCTCTTGCCAGCATGACCATACCCGAGCCAGGTCTTTTACCACGGCGCATCACAGAGCGCGGCCTGCGACCAAAGACGGCTTGGCAGGGTCGGAGACCTCCGACGAAATTGGACGCCCACGCATCGTGGGAATGGGCGGAACAGAAGCCGCAGGCAACCTTCAACAGCCAAGAAGGCAACCAACAAACATCAACAACTTGAACATCATATCAGAGCCGCATCGAGAGCCTTGTGCAGAGACCATGCCGAACGTATATGCTTCTCAGGGACGACTTAGTGATCCAAAAAAGAAAAACAAACCGTCTTGATTGTGGGTGCTGAGGACAGCATGAAGAGGTCATAACTGCAATGGCCGACAAGTCACAGCTTAGGCGAGTCCGAAGCAAAAAGAAGGGCGCATCCAGTCGAAAAATCGAGTTTTTGGCGGCGATATGAGGGTGAGAGAGATTCTCAGCAACAGGATGCACAGAACTGGGCGACGAGAGCCCTAAAAAGCACGAAGGGGATTTCTGGCAGATTGCAGACGCCACCATATTTGAAACTCCTCTCCCTGTTTGTGTCCCCCACACCCGATAGGCATACGACTCTGACAACAATAATCGGGCTCGACTAGCCGCGGCCAACCAATCAAGGCCGCCAACCTAAGCTTAGTCCATCCACTAAGACATCGGCTCAAGAATTCTGTGTCTGCACGGGCGCTGCACTATTGGTCCAGGCTTAACTTTACCCTCGCCTCGTGATGCAAGAGAGCCTTAGCTGAAGCCGAGGATTCCAGCGGCCTCCTTAGGCGTCAGAGACCCGTATTTGCATGCATCATGCTTGCATTTGTACCGCACTTTTCCAGGCTCACCTGCAGTGACAGACTCCAGCTGCATGGCGTTGCTTCAGGCATCAAGTGATACAGGGCGCTGGCTGATGCATCACGTTGCACTCATCAAACAGCGTCATTATCACAATCCCGGAGACGATGCTCGATAAGTATTATCAACAAAATACCTCACAGAGACATCACAATTTCCTTAAAATTGAGATTGAAGCGTTGCAATTCACACCTGATCTCATCGCCAGTAACAACTGCTGCAGCGGCCGCAACCTTCCGGATTGTTCCAAGGTTGCCCAAAGAAATCCTAAACAGGTGTCGTACGCATAGTGGGCAGTGCAAACTTGAATCCTTTCGCAATGTGGGAACCAATGCTGGATTATGTTGGTCATTCTTGTCCAAGTCATCGGCCATGATATGTGCAAGTTTTTTGCATTGGCTGAATGGTTCTTCCAGGTGCCTAATACAATCATTAAATGCTATGAGCCAGGCATCTACACTTCTTCGGGAGTGAGTGCATCAGGCCTGGGAAAATAAGGCAAGTTTCTGAGATCGAATAGCATCAGGTATTGGTGAACTTTGGTCAAATCAACCTTCGACTTCAGTCTTTGATTCCAAACAATCGCGTCCCCCAGAGCAAAAGAAAATACCACTTTGGCGCAATTTGCTCTTTAGCGGCTCTTTAGCACCAAACGACATATGTAGGAGCTTGGCTCACTCAGCCTCGCAAATACACAGTGCTTGAACATTGGGAGCTGGGTTCCTGGGATTTGAGAGAATGCTTCTGTTGATATGTGATTCGACGGACAAGTCAACTAATCACCAACGAGCAACGAAGATCAGATGACTACGAAATACCCGGGTTGTGCGCGGTCAGCACACCGCTTACGGACCCATCGGCTGCAGTGGCTGTGCAGAATTACTGAGTCCTGAGGATCTTATACATCTAGGAAGGAGTCATCGACACCTGAAAAGAATGGTTCACGACACTCAGAGTTCGGTTCCGAAAATATTAACTGGTTGGATTTGGAAACTCAGGATACAAGTCTCCCATAAGAAAAAAGAAAGAGAAAAGAAGCGATTCTACTCGCATGAAATGGTGCTGTGTCACTTGGTATACAGATCACAATGATGACAAATGACGTATGAGGAACGAGGAACAGGATCTTTTGGAGAAAGGATAGACAACGCCTCATCTAGACACGAATGACCGAGGAATGTGCTGGATAGAGGGGAGGAAGAAGGCTTCTACGGATGGTGAGAGCGGCGTGCTATCGGATTGCATATTACAATATTCCCTTTTTGCTAACTCAGAAGTTTGATTAAGCAATCATTCTACGAAAATTGGTTTGAGATTCTGGCGTTCGGTAGAGCTTTTCAATATGGATTTTGAATACTGAGTCATTTCTTTTCTTTCCATTTTCCCCAGTTTTTTCTTTTCACGCCCTAGGGAATCGAGGCAAAAAGCACTAGAAGAAGCCGGACGAGACAGTGGTGAAAAATGATGAAGCGTTACGATGATCCAGATCGTGATTTAGACGCCGCTCCCCAAGAAAGTCTTTCATTCAAGACTGGTCGAGCAAACAATGCTTCCACAAAGACTGGTTGGTCTCAAGTGAGATAGAATCCGATTGAGTCGTGGCCCGTGATGACCATTCCTCAGCCCTTGCGAATCCTACCAGGCCTTCCAGGATCCGACAGGCACCTGCGCTCAGGCACGTTGTCGACGGAACCGTCCTTACCGTCCTGTTGTCATCCTAGAGGAATGACTTCTGCAGCGCCTCGCCTCCATTGCATCTTTGGGGTGTTCGGATGCGCGTCCACCAGGGAACCGACCACGATGCGTAGTTAGCGTGGCTCACTTATTAGCCTTCATGATATCAGTTTCCTGGGACACTGCGATTTCCAAAAAAAAAAATCAACGACCAAAATAGCCGACTAACTCACCAGCTCCCTGGATCGGATTGGTATGGGAAGCGACGAACAATTCTTCACAATGACGATCGCCCATCGTCTGCTGAAGTTGTATCGTGCCACATAGCGCCGAATGACTCATCTCGATCATCATCAGCCTGATCCCCACGAATGATACTTCGTACACGAAGACGGGCAATCGAACATGAGCAACCAGGCATCCAAGGCCTCCTTCGTCCGACTTCCTGCATTCCACCGGCCCACACTTTTCACTAGTCAGTAACTACAGGCAGGCATCAGGCAGGTATGCCTAAAAAGGTCGGATCCGACGAGTCGGGCGTAAATAACTACGTGGACGAGGGACGGCAAGAGCACTGGATGGCTGCATGTCGACTTTTGATGTGCGTTCGTCACAAGTGGGTGAGGGGATTGGATCGTCTAGAAGAGAGCCATGTTTGTGATGGAATGAAGGAATAGAAGAAATATCATTTTTCAAGCCATTTGGGGGGTATCCACAACGGGTATGCAGCATCTATCTCGGTATCCTCCCTCTTTCTACCGCATGGCATACTCATACCTAAATTCTCATATCACATACCTCTAACAAGGCTCTATCGTCTCATGGACGTCTCGTCGTATGAAACCATTAATTCGTCATGAAAGAAAACCTGTAACCGACCTCTGATGCTCCTCCTTGAAAGTGTAAGCCAACTCAGTGGATGCTCTTCAGATGCTCAACCAAGGCTTGTAATTGCTCACGAACTTCTTCGGTCAATTGCTCCTCGGGCTCGCCTAGCACGCTGACCATGATAGGTGCCAACTTGGGTGTCAGTCGCTGGACCGTTTCATCTTGATCACGGTATAACTGGATAATCATCTTCCATACAGGCTCATTCTCCTGGTAATCGTCCTTCAGGGGAAGGATACCGCTTTCGACCAGGACTGGCAGAACTTGAGAAACAGGAACCTTATTCTTATGCTTGAGAATCAACCGTGAGACGCAGCCTGCAGCGTTATCCATACACCGTGCTTCTGTGACATGAAGAACGCCCTCGAGTTTCGAGAGGATCTGCGGGTATGCTTTGAGAACGGTCGCATCGTCATTCGACTTTTCTACCAATCGGCCTATGGCGTATGCAGCATTTGACTTTGTCTGGTTGTCTTCGTCACCCAAGCGCTTCAACAGAATGGTCATGATCGATGATGTGTATGGGGTAACTGCGCCCTCCATGCCGGTGATGGTCTCTGCTAAGACGCCACAGGCTGAAGCTCGGCCGAGAGATTCAGCACCACTAGCATATCGGAGGACTTGTTTCTCGAAGATCTTCCACAGCTCACCAAAGTTTGGTCCCAAAGCAGCGGCGAGACCAGAAATGACATCCATTGCACTGTCGACGATGACCCACTCCATCTCTGTGCCTTCAAGATCCTCCTCGTCCATAGCACCTTCTGCTGCATCAATTTGGCATGCATGTTGCTTCGTGATAAGATCAGTGACGGTTTGAACGATCTTGGTCAGGACATCAGGACAGGAGAGTAGTGCAGGTCCGGTCATCTTGAGGTTCTCGGAAAGGGCTCGCGATATTTCGGTAACAGTGGCTCTGCAGTTCTTTGTCAGCTATATTCACAGAAAGTAATTCTCTAAGATTGACAAAGTGAGGTAAAGAAGTCAGAGGGTTGAAGATCGCTTTCGCTTCATGCACAATTTTGTGTCGGAGTGAGCTGGGTTAACGAAATAGCTTCATCATGTTGAGGTGTAAATGGTTGCATTTGCAAGGGGGAACAAATTGGAACACTTACGCGTCTTCTTCTTCTGGCCACACATTTAGGGTAGCAGCCATCAGAATTTCACCAAACTTCTGCAGTTCTTGTGTTGGCTCAACCTGGAGTGGTAGACCAGCTTTCCATTTTGGTAGCTGCCCAGATTCTTCAGAAATATCGTAGAGCGCGGCATAAGCTCGATGTAAAGTGCTGAGAGTTGCTTTGCGCACGTTTTCGTAATTGTGCTCAACCAGTGGAAGGAGCTTTTCGACCGTCTTTTCGAAGTAGGGCAAGAATGCAGTCTTTGTGTTGGAAACGACATCACCAATGACCTCTATAGCAATCTCTTTCTCGAGCGCAATCGGGGTGACGGTTGCAAGATCGCCCCAGTCACTGTCATCGTCCTCATCAATATCCACATCTTCAATATCACCATCTTCGGCATCGTCATCACTGTCACTATCGGCGGCAGCGACCTTGACTTTGCGTCCAGCGATGGTGACCTCCTTTCCAAGGAGATCTTTTGCACTGTCACCAAGTTCAACTTCGAGATCGGCTTCTTCTTGATCGACACAGTCAAAAAGACCTTTGACGACGCCTCCGAGGAATGGAGAGAAATCTTCCTCATACACCTTGGCGAGAGATCCCCAGAGAATGTAAGTGCTCTCTTTCAATCTGGAATGGTCTAATTGTAGGGCTTCGTCACTAGTTTGCATCAGAGGATGAACATAGTTTTTGAATTCAGCCGCACCAACAGCCACGGCAAACTCGCCCATGGCGTCTGTGCAGCTGGCACGTAGTTCGAGTTCCTCTTCGCTTTCTTTCTTTGTGATGAACTCCTGCATTGCGTTCATGGAATCGGCAAGGTATGGCAGGAAAGGTGCCTCCACTGTAGAGGCCAATGACCCAAGCGCGCCAGCGGCCAGAGCCTTGATTTTGGAATCCGGGTGCTTGAACAACTTTTGCAACAGTGGTGCGATCTGGTCCAAGTATGAGACGGCATCACCAGCATCCATGCCATCAACAACTGCATCAATGGCACTTGTAGCGGACTTCATGATGTCGATGGCGGGTCCTTCTTCCTCGCCATTATAGATGCTCATAGCTGCTGTTAGGTTCTTCACCAAAAGGGGTATGAGTCTTTCGTGTTGTTTTGTGATGTCGTCGGGCAGGTCATCAGCGAGTCGGGCTGTCGTTTGAAGAGCTGCTTGTCGGACGGTGACTTCGGAATCCTCGAGCAAGGTGAACAGAAGTGGAAGCACCGAACTCAGTTGTGTACTTAAAAAGTCGGGAGCGCCCTCAACAACGAATCCGAGGGCTAGAATACCAGCTTGACGGTATTTAGGATTTTGACTCTTGGAGTACTGTGGTAGAACATCGAGGATGGGGACGACAACTTGACTTGCGGGTAGGCTCTGTGCCATGGTATCAATCAAACCCAAGGCTGAGCGGGCTGGAGTGATATCATCGTCATCAGCCGAAGCATCATCGATCTCGGTAATGACTTGAAGCATGCTCTTGGTCAGTGGCTCGCCCATCTTGGCACCCTGGACTCGAAGTCGTCTGTACACCACGCACTGCATGAGAAAGCTAATGGCTTGAGTTCTTGTTTCGTCTGCCGCTTCAGTGTTGGTGGCTAGTTGAGTCATGAAAGCCACGAGATCTTGGAAATGTTTGGAGAGTAATTGATACTCGGCTGTCAATAGAGTGTTGAAAACCTCAAAGGTCAACATGATGTAGTCATCTTTTCCCGAGTCAATGGTGTCTTTGAGCACTGCAACCATATCAGGGAAGATGTTCTGAAACGATTTGATCGAAGAGTGGTCTTCCTCTGCGTCAACCACCATGGCCATTTTGGAAATTGCGAGCATGGTGTTGACTCGAACCTCCAAGCTCTCAGGATCTCTTATGGTTTTACTGAAGAGGGCAAAGAGTTCTTTGAATTTGGAACTGAAACCATCGCCAATGGTCTCGAGAATGCTGTATAGAACATAGACACCCACTGCACGTTCGGCTGCTTTTGTGCTCGTTGCGGCCTGTTGTAGTAATCCTGGTAACTCTGGCCATTCGCCGTCATCCAGGTCAATCTTTGCAATAGCACTGATTAAACGAGAGGCAGAGTGTCGAACGAGGGAAGAGGACTCGGACAATGTTGCCTGGAAAAGTTGATTGCGTGCATGTTCCCGCTGCTCGGGGGAAATCTTGGTCCAGTGCTTGGAGACTAGAGGTTTGGCTTGGGTAGCAGCGAGTTGCTTGAGTTCGGTGCTGTCGTGGGAGATGATGAGTTGGACTAGGAAGAGTAGGGACTCGGGCTGCTTGTAAAATTCATTCTGGAGGATATTGGTTGCAGTTTTGACATTGCCTTTCTTGGGATCAAGAACAATGGCCAACTGCTGGAGAAATTTCTGCTGATCCATGGTGCAGATGGACCGCGCGTGGGGCTGCTAGAGGGTTCACAATAAGGGAGCAATAGATTGAGAGCAAAATTGGAGGCTCAATGGAAGATGGATGAGAGAGTGGTCAAAGCAGGGTCTTGCAGACCCTTTGACCGTTATCGATGGTTGATGAGAGGAGATTGATTTTTTTTTCCACTCGAAAGATGTCCAAGGAAGATTGACGTTGCATGTGGAAGAGCAAACAGAAAAAATATTAAGTGCTAGTAACTAGTGGTTCAAGTCATTAGGCTGCATCATTGTGCATATAATTGGTGCCCTCCACAAGTCTACCCGTACTCGTAAGCTTGGGCTTGAATCACGGGATTGAGATTCAAGTTTAGACGGCTGCACCAGGATGGCGTTATGTTCCACCGTAGAAAAGCACGACAAACACGCCAAGCCCCTCAAAATCTGAAGATGGGCATTCAAGTTTGTCCCTCGTGTATGTTAGGCATGGTCCCCGGCCGTCTCCCCACCACGGCTACCCTAGGTGCCTAAGGAGTGTATCCTGTCTCCGCGGATGTGACTGACGTCCTTACTCATACAGTTCGTCTGACCAGGAATTCTGATACTGCCGAGGCCATCCATGTCCTGTCACAGGTTCGCCCCGACCATTGTCCCAAACAATCGCCATCTGAAGATGTCCAGGCGATAAGTACATATCTTCGTCGTCGTTAGAAACGGGAATGGGTCGCTCAAGGTAACACCCATCGGCCGTCTCACCAGCGGCTACGACAGGAGCACAACTGCATGACATACGCAAATGTTTGGGGCTGAAATACCTTCTTCTTCCCGAGTAGAATTGTACCTAATGACTATGTATACACTCGTTAGAAAACCTGCCCTCAACATAATAGAAAGCATAGATTCTAGAACCCAATCCTGCATAGTTTCGGAGACTATTCGAGAATGAACTCAACATCTCCCTGTCCAGGCCCGAGCCCCCATGGCCAGACCCGCAATCCAGATGTTCTTAGTCCCGCCCGTTAGAGGCCTCTCTATTCAAATTCAAAACTGGTGAGGGTCTGGAGCGATATGGTATGGGCCAGGGTGGCGATTCAGCTTCATCCCAAGATGCATTCAATCATGTCACTCTAGCCATCAGTGCCCAGATGCCCCTTTGCGTGAGGATACACAGACGAGCACTAGAACGAGACCATATTGTTGGTTTCTGGTTCGCGGATCGACCTCGCGTGGTCGGGTTTGCCTCCAACATGGGCTATTTTGTGGGTACCATCCGCCTACGACGCACTTGGGATATGCTATATATGCGCCGCTCGCACCTGTTTTTAATCCCTAACCGGATATCTCGTCCGTCCACCATTACCCTCCCTGCTGTCCACTCGCTGGGGCATTCTCTCTCTGTGAACCCCCTCAAAACCTGCCTGCATGTAGGGGTTCTTGTTCACTTCTTTCTCTTCCATTCTACCGCTTCATTCTTCTGCGTTCTGTACCACCTTGTTCGGTTTTCGACCATTCTCATCTATTCAACGACCTTACGATCCCAATAGCTGGCCTCACGGGGTACGACTAAACGAAATCGATGAATCAACTAGCACGATAAACCACCGTATGTCTCAACCACTGGCACCTCGACCTTCCCAGGGTGGCGCTAGCTCACCGACTCACCAATCTTCACAAAAACCCCGGAAAATCTCCACAGCATGTGGCGCATGCAAACAACGGAAAACGAGGGTAGCACTCCCCAACAGACCCATCTCCATCCACCAAGCTGATCATCTACAGTGCACTGGTGGCAACCCGTGCGAGGCGTGTGCGACTAGAAGAAGCCCGTGTGTATACGATGCAAGCTCCGACCAGAGGAGAAAAATCGCAAATCAACGCAATGTGCAAGACCTGGCGGAAACACAACTAGACCTCGAACGGCACAGACAATTACTTGGAGGCATCATTGCCACCATCAGAGTCGGCGACGACGAGGCCAACAGAGATTTGTACCGTGTCATTCGAAGCGGGGTTGATTTGTCGCAAATCGCTGCTCACGTACGAAACGAATGTCGGGCAAACATAGAAATACAACAAGCATACGATGAGATCAATTTTGTGATCGACGGTCCACGCGGACTTCCCTCGCCCACCCAATTACTTTCCGAGATTCCTTCCAGGGAAGACACATTTGCACCGGCATCACTAGAGTCAGAATCAAGCGAAGCGAGCGGAAGTATGTTTCTCGTTGACAAGCAGCCAAATGCGTAACAATCGGACAGAGAAGAGAAGGGGAACGCGAAAGACGGTATGGAGACCGAAGCTCACAAATTGCGAACGTATCACCGGATGCAAAGTGTCCCCGGAAATTTGGAGAGACTCAATTTTCCATATTCCAGTCTTTATTTTCGGCTGCAAGGTCTTGTGGTTTGCGCGATGTGGCACCCAGTGATCAGCTGAGCGCATATTCGCCTTCGGCTGTTTGAATGGTCCTCAGAGTGCGACCTTGGTTTTTGGCGCCATATTTCAGATACGGCAAGAATCCGATCACTTTTGCCGATATCACACCCCAGGACATATCGTGAGGTCGTTCACTGCATGGCCAGGGAGCCATTGAATGAATTTCGTTATGGCCGATTACGAGGTATGACCAACCCACGCACTGAAATTTCAACCCAGACTGATCATTTCTGCAAGGATAAGGAATGACGAATCGACCGCGCTTGCCATATCCACAGTTGCTTCGTTTGCGACGGTGTCAAACTTATCGTTACAAGTGGCGTGGAGAAAAGTTCCGGGCCATGACTTGGAATGTGCCACCAAGTATCCCATTTCGAAAGGCACATGAAGTAAGCACGCTTCCAAACTCTAGATAGATGTTCGGAAGATAAAACTCCTCCGTTCTTTCTGATGGTCCCTTTCGGTCTATCTCAGATCATAGATGATGTACCAGTCATACCTCGCCCAACAGTTGCTGAATCTATCGACGAGCGACTATGGATGCCCATATTACCGTTTTCCGCGTGACGAAGTATCTGATGAGATTGATTTTGACAGGTGCAGAAACTGGAGTAATCTGTTCCCGTACCGCTACTACAATGTTGAATCAATACCTAGGTAGTCATTGAAAATGACAACCAGGTGGTGCTGCTGCGGGCTTTGGTGATTACCGCTCATTACCGCTCATTACCTGTTTTTATTTTTAATCAGGAGCTAAAAAGACTGCCAATTTGGCATGACCCCTCAACCCCAGTTTTTTTGATGCTGTCCGTGTCAATCAGGGCACCTACCTAGCCAGCAGTGCCAGCAGTCGCAACTAGGAATATTGCCACACCAGTATTAGACGAGCCATCCTTGTTTTATTTGCCCCAGCAAACCCGTCATTCTATATCGACGATCACTGTGTTTAGCGATGACATTACGTCAAAACCGGAGATTCCAACCGGTATCAGCACTATGTATGTCATTTGACTCTTTCACCTTATCTCTCATTGAATTTGTATGCCCTGGGTAGGCATGTAGAGCAATAGTCGCTTGAGTGGTCGCACGGCCGAGACATAACATCCAAGCATTATCTACGGCTCCTCGATTTGCCACAAACAGCGTTGGGCCTAATCTATATGCATATCCCCCCGCGTCAGCTTCAACTAGATTCAAGCTGCAAATGCCTAGATACTTTGCTCTTGTCCGCAGTGTATAGCGATCCTTGATCCAACGTGATATGGCTCCTTCCACTCGCGCACAGGGCTCTGTGAAGTGCATAAGAGCAGCCTACCGGATCACAATGTTCTCTTATTATGTCTCACCCTGACACGGTCAAGGACTCCATTGCACAGACACCGTCAGCCACGACTAGCTAATCAGAGCCGGTCGCCTCCAAAAAGGCCACAACAGCATCAAGAAATTTGTTTCCTAATTCCCAAGGCCTTATCGAGCTTGACTGGTACTGAGGCTCTCACCTGGAAGCTTTTCCAAACTATCTGATTTCCATGGCTGGGGTGTGAGAATCTGATGCGAACGCATTGCATTGATGTTATTCTTTCACAGGCCATGAGTTGGTTTCTTCAGCCAAGATCCGCCTCGAGACCTGCGACTGGATTGCATGTTTGCTGCATCATCCTGGATTGTGATTCATGTGCACTGGCTAATAAGAACTGTGCGAATGGAGATAAGGATTCTTGACCAGGCATGTAACAAACACACCGAGCACGATCGACAAGTATCGCAACCAATGTGTCAGTGACGCCTCAGGATGTCGAGGCATACTCACGAACCTCGAATGCGAAGCCGCGTGGAGAAAATTCATATGATTGGGCTGAGTGAGGACTGTCAGGGAGATCGTGAATCGGAATTATTTCTCCTAGATTGGCAGGTGATTTCCTACCATTCCTAATGCGCGCGACCGCAGAAATACTGAGGGCTCTTAGTCCAATTGGACAGTCTCATAACATTTTCGATTCCGAAGCTTTCGTATTGCTAGCTCGCTGGCACTTCCAGATCACGGACAAACGCCTTGGAGCCCCGGGGTGTTTGAACACTTTGCGCTATGCGCCCCACGAGATCTGGGAAAACAGTTCCGGTATGCGGTGACAGCGAATGATGACTAGTGTTATTCTGACCAAATTTACAGCGAGTTTCTACCAGCAGAAATTTCAGCCAACTAGACTTTACCGAAACCCAGATTTCTTGCTCGCGGACTGGGGTTAAGATTCTCTCACCAAGCTATCCCAATTCTGAATTCTGGCGCGAAGTAGCGCCCATGCATGCAGCATACCTAGGTTCCCAAAGGCCTATTTCGGTTGTCGCGAAAACGTCGTAACCAGTGAGCAGATTTCAGCAGGATTCCACCAACCGCAAAGATACAGAAATGGGCCACGCTCCGTTGTCCTCTGCGGAATACAAACATGTGACTCGAGAGAGATGATCAGTATGCGAGACTTGATCGCGATCAAAACTGGCAAACAGGAATGGTTTGCCTAGAGCAAGTGGTCGAGTGTCAGGGTCACCGAGGGGCATCGCCATCATGCAAGGCTAGCGATGTGCGGAGTCCTTCTCCAAACCAATCGGACGTATTGCCATGAACCGAAAATCATTCGCCAGCATGCAACCACACTGTTTGAGAACATTTTGGTCACAGTTTTGGCAAACCGAGTTATTTAGTCTTGAGGGAATGGTTAGTAAAAGATGTGAGCTGAAAAAACTACCTTTTGCATAAGGGTTACTCACTAGTTGCATTGTTGAGAGCAGAACCATGTTCCTCGGAGTACGGTAACCAGATTTGCAGGCAAAGGGTCCTGGAAAACCGAAAACTGCAACTGCATCTTCCTTATGATCAAAGTCTTCGAATGTCTGTAGATCTCCAACATATTCGGGGCCGGCCCAGGTGATTGGATGCTACGAGTTGATTCTAGACTCCAGTCTCATTTGGTGAATGACTTGAGTACTGGGCAGCAAACCAACTTTCTGAACCTCCGTTTAAGAGGTGAAGTCATGGCCAATATGATTGGTGTAAACGTTGCCAGCCATGCAAGTGATCGTTCCATATTAATCGCTTGCGAAGAAATGCCAGAGTACAAACAAATGTGTCTGCGCGTTCCATGTGCAATCATTGGGAAGAACATCCAAGTCCGGCCTTACTGGATTCCACAAACCGCATGTCGAATTCCCCATGGTCTCTTATCGAATGACAAGCGGTGTTACTACAGGGGTCCACCAATGATTTAGCCCGGGCCCAGTTAGATGACAGCCGTGTGGTTTTGCATTTCCGTTGCTGGGCGATGAATCTGTTGCTTTTGGAAAAAATGTTTGCCGTTTGTGGAAATATCCAGTAGTTACGAAATACACCTGGAGGAAATCCCCGTGAATAGTACGCTAGGTAGCGTTGTGCCTGTTGTGCTAGGCTGACTTCCTTCTTTCTGCTTGCTATATCCGGTGCTGGTGAATGAAAGTCCATTTCAGACTGACTCACGGCCAGAAGCAGCAACGTTTGCTAGCAAGACGATGGACATCCACCACAACCTTGTCAAGTTCCACCCCATTCATTGCTGCATCACGCCAATGACCAGGCCTATAAGTAGTCTTCTTGCCAGGAGATCATGTGCTCATTGCAATATTGGCATTAGCGCAAAGGAGTATCAAGGAGACACTTCACCCACAAAATCCAAAGCCAAGGAGCCATTCGTCAACAACTGACAGAAGAAAAAGCCAGTGTTCTCTTCGGGGAGGCGTCTCGCCAAATCAATAAGTCAGACGACGTTGCACAGAATGAGACTGAAAAGCCCAAGGAGGAAGTCGTAGCTGAGCGCACTAGTCGCTGGGTCATCGTTGACGGCGGCCAGCGGAGTAACAACCGGGAGTATCATGGCGGTGTGGACGATTTGCATGACGATACCACCGATGACCAGCGCAAGGATTGAATGGCGGTACTTTGACCACATACTGACCACGATTTCAGTTTGCTGCGGGTTTCGAGCCTGGAGTGCGGGCCGGAGAAGCAGAAATGGGGCGAAGAGTAGAAGGCGACTGACAACCAAGTTTGGCAGGAAATATGGTATGTCGACGGAGAAGCGCGCAGCAGTTAGACTCGCTAGATAAGCAAGAGTGATTATCGCTTGGGTCTTTGACCCGGGCGCTTGCCAGTTTTGACTCGGAGAGGAAGGCTGCACCTGTAGTGCTGTGGCGACGACGAAGAGATTTTGAGTGAAGGAGACCGGTAAGATCTGATCAAGCAGGAGGTATGCCCATAGATGAGGAATCTGGAGTCGGGTCCCTGGATGCCACCGTGACTGTCAGTGTTATCTGATGTTTCGACCGTACCTCCAAAGCATCAATAGCAATTCTGTGTGACTGACCTTTCACACTCATGTACAAATTCCAACCAAATGAGTACAGTAGAACGAGATGAGTCCACCAGAACCGCCGAGGGTCACAACAGATGACTCGTGCGAAATCTTCGAACAGTGTTGATCCTTTTGCCCATTCCCAGATACGAAGGTTTGTCATTGTACTGAAAACACTGTCGGTTGTAACGATATTGGAGAAAATTGGCTCCTGTCTCAGTGTCCACTGTTGATGAGACCGGATCAGGAAATGCAGCATGTGATAGGACAGTGTCGTGAAGCTCAAGACCGCTAAAGAGGTTGCTGTCTTGATTTTCCTATCGAGTTCGCGAGCATGGTTCTGTCCGTTTCCGCGTCGTGATGGGCTGCAAGTGTTCCATCGTCGGTGGGCGACAATCAGATCCCACGTCAAAAATGTCGTCAAGGCTAAGGCAGCCACAATATACGCGAAGAAGATAGACGCACCGACTACGTTGTTGATGTCCTGTTCGTGGGAAATTTTGGGTCGTGATGCGTTCGAAGGCATAGTTGTTGAGGAACGCCCAACCGCTAGAAACCCTCAAGTTGAAAGGTTCATCGGTCTGACGAAGAACAGAACAACTGAAGTCAGCAAATTATGCCTCAAAGTTTGCCTTATTACTTCAAGATATCTGTGGTAAACCACGCAACGCCTTGTGGTGGATCGCTTGTTCTCGTCCCGATAGAGTCGTGACGACATGACATCAACCATCGACCGAGGTCAAGCATTTCCGCCTCATGCCATACATTAATAACAAATGAACCTTCCAGAACAAAATATTGTATTGGACGATCCTCTTCGGTCTGTTGGAAAAAAAAATAAGCTTCTCACCACCAATTATATTTGTTGTTTATACAGGAAGAATGTTTTCGAAAGAGGGCAGTACTTAGCAACGGGAGGTTAGTAGACTGTCACAGTCAAGATCAAGGGCATTGGAAAAATGAAGTCGAACACAACTCAATGCCAAATCCTATTACATGACGAGGAGATATCGTACCAGAATCAAAGTGGGATCTGAAGCAACGAGGGAATGGAGAATGGAGAAAGATCCAGACGACATCGCGCTCAATAGACACATTGATCGTCACTTAGCGCAGCATACCGGCTCTTTTATCAGGGGTCGATTTCACCCCGATGTCTGGTACTGAGTCCTTTTCAGTCAGGCTCCAGCATGCAAAGGACGATAGTTCCCCCCAAGATCTGTCAGTCTCTTTTCTCTTCAGCCAGCCTGAAATGCGTGAGCGAATTCCTCTCGATTTCGTCAGTTTGTTGAGGATAGTGCTGCGCCAGTTTTCAGTCCAAGGTAATGGTAATGGATTTCCTGAGAAAGATGAGCGGTCGTGAGCATGTTTTCTGGTTCCGTGGTGGGCAGTGCTTCTACGCTTCATTTGACCAAGCTCTAGTATTTCGATGGATGGTCTTTTGTTCCGTTCCTGCGGCTGCTGCCAGCATCACGTTATAGTTCGGAGGGCAAATCTCAGGCCTCGAGTCGACATTCAAAGCGTAAGGGTCGTAAAATTTCGACTTTGGGACTGGTTCGATCTATTCCAAACGATTTTGAAAAAGATGGATGTGTGTCCTCCCTGTGTTCTAGCTTGAGTGTCGCAGGTTGTTTAAACGGGCTGTTTCTGTCACGAAAAGCAGGTTCCATCAAAGAGCAAGGCCTACTGCAAGCCTATTGAAAAAGTTGAGACTCATTAAGAGGCATGGTTGGAGTTCCAGCGTTTTCAACGTAGCTGTGAGGGTTCGCTGGATCTGGAGTATTCAGCACTTCGATACTACGAAGGCACTGCGAAGTACCACTGTGTATTGTAAATTGGGAAAAGGGGTCTCAAAACAACGCGACACGAAGCCCAAATGCTTCTGAACAAAACAAAGTACTACAAAGACCAGTATAAGCCTGGAGAGTCACGCAAAAGTCTGGAAAGGCGCAGGTAGTGATCCCCCGGCTAGAATATCCGGGGCACAACCCCCTTCCAACTAGCGTCGCAAGGCTGGGAAAAGTAGCAAGATTCCGCCCACTTTTTCTCACCCCGGATAGAAGAGCTTTCAACTTGGTTCAACTTGACGCCTCGTCGCATACGCGTTCGTAGCTTGATGTTGCGAATTTTCGGCAGCAGTTTTCTGTATATCCTCAGTGTATTGCTTGAGATCTGTGGAGCGAATCGCTGCCAAACCATGGACAAGTCGTCCTCTGGATTCTTGGAAAAGGTATCCGGCGCGCAGGAAAGGTGGTATTCGTTTCGTGGTGCGACCACTCAGAGATAAACAGTCACTCTTTTTCTTGTCCATACCAGCTGACCATCTGAAGCTCGACAAGCTGACATCTTAGGGCTCATGACCGGTCCACGCGATGAATTCCTGGTGTACAACCTACCTGATGCCTTCCCTCATCGACTTCAGAGCCCGAATCGACACTTCCCGACGTAAATAGGACTAAAGGTCGGCGGAACTTACAGAGATACAAGTGTCGGCTTGCCTTGCGAGCAGGTAAGCGCAGGGCGAGTTCAAATCTAAGAGGAAGAAAGTGGGAAACTACAAATGTATTAACCACGAGCGAAGACCGAGACCGTAGGAGTCTTGCTGACCTTTAATACACCACTTCCCGTCCATCCTCAAGCCTCTGCCACTCATACCGGCCACCTTAAGGAGAGAGCGCGAATCTCAAACGATCTATCAGAGTCAGGGTGAAAGTCACGACCCGGTCATGTCAACCACGGTGCAAAACTCAGATGTATTGCAGGCAGCGCAGAGACATGATCGGCGCCAAAAAAGCTGTTTGCAATAATTCAACACTTTTTCTCTCTTATTCGCACAGAACAAAAACAACCCTTGTCTCATGCTCAAGGTGGGGGAAGTACAGCTTATCTAGTGATGGGCCAGGCTCCTCGAATGTCTACACAGGATTCGATCACCTTTGCAGGCCAGACGCTGGCGGTTCAGAGTCTGAGCAATCATGGCCTGGGCTAATTCGGTGATCTGTCAAGAGACGTATGATTGATACCATGATGCGATACATGCGCTTGGGAACGACATGATCGATGGCACAAGGTGGGTTGTCTTGTTCAGTGTTCACGATGAAGAAGCGTCTCGTTCGTTGAGGAAGTCACGAGATTCTGTTTCCCGCGGAACCGTACGGCGTAATGACATGCAAAATTGGGCCGTCAGGCAGACCTCTTTTTCTGCACCAGCCATCATACTCGACGACACTGTTGCTCAAAGGCAGCGATCGGCCGTTCCCCTATTGCAGGACAGCCTTGTGTTCTTTTTTGCAACTGAGATTATGTCATGGTGTGACATGATCGAGGTGGCAGAACCCGAGGTGCGTGAATTACAGTGACGGCTTGCTAGACAGTTGGCTACCTAAGGGTACCTGGCAGGGATGCATTCAATGTGTATCTGAAGGCCATACCAACTTTCATTCGTTATGCATTCCCGAGTTCTGCTCCTCTTGCTGCCTTGTAGGCGTTCTTCAACTAATTGTCATTTGTTTGTCGATCACGTGATTCGATCTGCTCTGGAGGGTCAACTCGTCAGTCACCAAAAATCTGGGTTGGATTTCAGGCATCACAATGAAGGAACGCGAGGTGAACAGGATGTTTCCATTTTCAGTCTTGTACTAGTGAAGGGCCAAAATCCAGAGCATTCCCACCAACAATTCTGTGCGTGAAATGAATTCCCTGCTTGTCAACCAAATCGAAAACGCCTGTGAAGAAAACAAATTCGAAAACAAACATTGGACCAAGAACCATACGCGAAAAAGAGCACGAGGGTCTAAAACTTTGAATCAGAAATGGCGTATAAAAACATTCTTGGTACAGCCATAATCGTCTCCTGTCAATGGGGATATTTCTAATTCTGTCCAGTGATCCTGTTGATATGCAATTGTCCTTAGTTCTGTGACCTATTGATGGCAAGAGATTTATCAACAACACCAGGTAACATGTGTGCATAAAAGAAGATCGCCGAGATGGATGTGCATCGCTTCTCGGGTTTGTTCCGGCAGACCAGGCAAGTCTGCATTTATCGACCTCGATTATGGTTGATATGTTGTTGGCCACTGCCCTCGTATGCGGCGTCATCGGCTGGGTCAGCGTCATCAAGATCAGCATCATCGAGGGTGGATGGAAGAGACACGGGAGTATCGGAGCGGCCGCCAGTTGTATGGAGAAGATCGTGAGAAACATTGTGGGCATGTCCAGATTGAGTTGCCATGTGACTAGATGGAAACCTGGGATTTCTCTGTCCAACACCAATTCTATTGCTAGAAGGATAATTCCGCATGGATTGGCCTTTGCCCCAGATCAGTTGGTGTCCAATGAATTCTCAGGGATGTTTCTCTTACTATCGCTCGGTACCCGGTTCATTGTACCTTGTGTGGAACCCTGAGAGGCCCGTCTTGAATCTATTGGTGATGGCTCATTTCCCGCAATGCTTTCGGCAGCCAACGATTGTGAAGCTGGAGTTGAAATTCTTCTGGAGGAGGACTTTCTAAGCAAGAGTCAGAAAATGGGGTTTGGCAGAGGTTCAACCCCACGAACTCTGAGCTTGAAGGTGTGTCGATAAAGTCGTCCATCGGTATACCGTGCAACGTCTTCACTCGCATGTGTGTCATTTGTGGACGGCAAGACATTTTGGAAGATGATTGCTTGTAAGACTCCCACCCGAGAGATACAGAGGGTTTTGCTTCTTAAATAGGTAGCATTGATGGGCTGCAAATCACATGGAACATCGAACTTGGGTCTGTCACGACCATTTTGGCTCCTGTCCCTTCTTTATGACTGACCAGCTTGACTCACCAACGACTTACCACAGGATCTGGTTGACTGCCTCATGACAATACGGCGGTGTACATCCCAAGGTCCGGATCAGCTGTGTATGTGTGGCTCTTAAAAATCTCACAGCTCGTAAGTGGTTGCTTTGTTTCAATACTAGGCAAACCAGGGCAGATTTTTCACACCGGCGCAGCTGAGATTTGGACTTGTAATCCTCGAATCAACATGGCGCGAGAAGGTTGGGATCGTGGCAAATGCACCAAAGCCCAGTGTGGCTCATAGGTGCTGGAGGTTGCCTGTTGCACGAGAAGGAGAGGATGCAAGATGGAAAGTGGATGGGGAGTGAGGCGCCCACTGCAGACGGAGGACACAACTCGTACATCTGGGGTTTGCTCGTGCTAAACTGGGTGAATTTAGTTAATTGGTGATGAAGGAGTCGAGGCCATTGCCTGCCAGTCGCCCTAGGGCTCGCTCAAAGGAGCCAAGGGGTGCGCCTTGTGTTTCTGCCAGCGGGTGGCAGTGATAAAACAGAACGGGCTGCGGAATCAGCCTTTGACTGACTAGGTAGCAGTCTCACAGGGCGGAATTCGGGTGTTGGTAACTTTTGAGGTGCAAGAGCTGGCTCGGAAAAAGGTATCCCCTGTTGGTCGCTCTTGCCAGTTGCCCCTGCCTGCCGCCCCTGCCGCCCAGGATGCACTCCAAGTCACTTCCCTCAATGATTCCGATGCGAAGTACCACCAGAATCTTTCCCAAGAGGGGACATCAGACCTGTCGTTCCTTTCGATGCAATTCGGCCATGGATACATCAGCATTGGATGGATCTCTCCAGTTGACTGCGCTTCTTATGGGGACTCTCCAAAAGCGAGGCGGCTTCTTGTTGTTCTCGTGGCCCAACCGAGAGCAACCACAGTCCTTATCACTTTCCTCATGCTCACCGCTGGCCAATTCTTCTCTCTCGACAACAGCAGGTCTGCATGGCGGTGTGAGTGTTCTGGACCTAATGCAGTCGTCTCTTGATCACTATTCACATGATCATCTTCTTCTGCATGGGTTGTGTCACTCTGGCTCCGCGTGTCCTGCATGGCTGCCCAATCTACTTAGGTACTGCTCGTTTTCTCCATGAATCAATGACGAGGCCTGGCAATCGTCTCTCAAACACATTGGTCAGTACCTGAAATCCATCTGGGTCATTTTAGCGTGCTGTCATACCCAGCTCTCAATTTACTTGGTTTGACCACCGAGTGATGATGATTGATCGTGTCATGGGTGTGTTTGCACCAAACGCCACCGCCGCGGTCCTTGGGACGGCAACGGTATGTCTTCGATCCGCTCTGAGCTTCGCACCAGTCTGTTGTGTCTTTGGCACCTTTCTTCGCTTGGTATTGTGCGGCAACTGTTGGAGGCTTTCGGTTGAGCAAAACAACCACTGACATCTTGCTTCCTGGCGTTAACGATTTCTGCGAACACTACATTGTTCCTGGTCAAGCCGAGCCTCCCTGCTGCCAGCTCCCTAAGTATAAATTCAGAAGTTGAACTACGTCGTCACAGTCCAATCACAACATCTCGGGGTTGCTGGAACAAATCCTATTTATTCGCTGAAAAATGAGCTTGTGGGTTTCCCGCCTTACCAATGACACCGCTGCACAGCCACGATCAGGTTTGCTGTGGACTATCACTGAGCCATACAGTCCACATCCAAAGCATTGCGGTAGCGTCACCCCGATGCCGGGCCCTCTCTCCGGCCAACAAGTGTCGGAGTCAGCTTTGGTCGCCGTACGTTGTCTACAATCGCACTAAACTCCTGTCGTTTAGTAGCATGAGCACATCTGCCGTCGTCTGCTGGACTGAAGTTGGTTCTCGTCCCAAGTCAGAGCATGTTTCCTCGCGATCCTTCTCAGTCCTTCTCGTTATGCGATGGGATGAATGTTACTTCTCGCCTATCACACCGCTTTTCCAGTGTCCCCGAAACCCACCTCAAAACCTAGAACCCGCTGTTCTTGATCCGCTCGTCGTTGCACCTGAAAGAGCGCCTGCGATCTCCACGGTATTGCGTCTTCTTTGCATCCCCTCTGGAGGTTTTGTCTTTTGTTCGCATGAATACTGCAGTTCTAGGGCGGCAGTGTGTTTGCTACTCTTGGCTCCTCTCAAAATGCCGCCTCTAGAGTCATCGACAAAATCTCCGTCCACATGCATTCCCGCATGCAAGGCTGCCTCTTTCGTCCTCATCATCTCCTTCCCCTTCCTCGGCCCGCTCGAAGTTAAATTTGAAGTGAAGCAGCCCTTCAAACTTGAGACTGTGGGTTGGAACACACAAGCGTAGCCACCAACTCACATCCCCATCCAGCATTGGAAGCCCCAGCAAGCGAAGGACTCGTACCCATGACACACCTGAGAACTGAGAAGCTGGAAAAAAGCCCTGGCGGAGCCTGATACAAAAACTTGAAACGGGAGCATCACGGTCCATGTACACACCGGAAGCAAGGCAGAAACGCAGAGTCGAGACGTGGCCGCCGTTGGCATTTCTTTGTCTCTTGACCAAGATCTAGGGAATCTTGAGGGCGACATGAGACGTTCTGAAGTGGTGGGCTCCATCTCCTTATCTTGCACTCCTCTGGAGTTATCGAATGAGTTTCTAGTGGAGGCGGGTAAATGAGTTGGAGGCATGAGAAACGACTTGCTGTCTCCTCTCTTCGACAGGGCGGCATGGCTTGTAGCGCAACTCAAGCACAACTGCGCTTTATTTTCTATCCTCTGGGCTCTCTTTCTTACAGGCATATGATCAATTGAGGAAGATTGTTCATATTCAATGTCATCATTGTACAGCACAATGCTTACGCATTAAAGTCTATCAGTCCTATCACAATTCGTGGGTATCATATGTAAGTGGTCTAACCTCCCTTCCTCTTTTGCACAATGTTCCAGGGCTCCAAAGCCATGTACCAATACTTTGAAACCATCCAGCTTTTGGCTTGCGGCTGAACGGCGCTAGTCCCAATGATAATGTGAGTCCTACCGCCTTGCCGTGTCAGGAGGTGTGTGATAAAGGTATTTCAAGCGTGTTCCAACCTCGCTAGTAAGGACGACTACATAAGACTAGTCAGTGTCTGGCGTGGTCTCTTTGCCAAGGTCAAGTATTCCACCATATGCCCTTCGTGGGGTATCGATCAGATCATAGGCCAGCGCACCAAGGACACACATGAAAGTGGCCAAAAACTGCCAGAGAACCATGAGCAAATCCCCAATACCCCAGGGCACGAGGAACTTGATCCATTCACTCGTCTGGTAGAGGTCGTTTTGTGATTGGATATAATACTGCTCGCCTGAGGTGTCGCCCCCAGAGATTGAGCTTGCGAGAGTAGGAGATGGAGATGGAGGAGAGGTAAGAACGCTGAATCTGTTGTGAGTTGGTATGGCGGTCGCCTTTTTCTGGGCATTCAGGGGACTAATGATGACCACTTTCTTCCTAGTCTTGTTGAGGGTGGTGTCTGCTCGCTCGTAGTCCGGCAACATCGCTGAATTCGTGATGCTATCAAGGTTGTTCCCCTTCGAGAGGACGGGATCATAGACCACGCTTGGCTCTGGGCCAGGCTCGGTCGAACCCTTGACCAGCTGCAGAACTGTGACCAGCTTGACGGGTGCATTGTAAAATGGAACAACCCAGAGTTTGAAATTCTGATGAATGGAAACGTAAAGCAGTAGCTTCTCCGGATCAAATGCTGGCGTCAGTCCTGTCAGTCGTGTTGCTCTGAAGGTTTAGATGCCGATGGTTCAGGACTTACCGACACTGTCGACCGAAACATCAATCTCGGGACTGAGAATCTTGTACCAGCGATAGATCTGGGTGATGAGCCATCTTGACCATGGGCTACTGCCTGTCCGGCAGAACGGGTGGGTAAAAGAAGCCGTGGATGTGAAGTAAGATTCTATGGTATCTCGTTGAATATCTGAGGGTGCCGTGCATAAGGTTCGGATGATATCTGGAATTTCCGCAACTGGTGCAGTGTGTCAGTCCATGGTTGTACGTCGGTCCAAAAGCCCGAGATTACCTGGATCATCCATGATGAGAAGACTGTCAAGTCGGTGCCTCTAATGGGCAGAGGTCAAGAAAGTGTTTGGTTTTCGAGGCTTGAAATTGAAATGGAGGTGCTGAATGAGCAGAAGATGAATTTGCCGCAGTGATTTGTGTATGTCTATCCAATCGTACCTTCCTCACGTTTGGGCATTTGACTTATGGAAAGAGCAAATCTCGAGATAGAACTTCGTCGTGCGAGTAAGGATGACGTCACTTTATTTATTCCTTCACATGTTTTCTGGACGTGGCAATCGCTCGTCATCACCTCGAGCTCCATCGTAAATGCTTGTAGGGAGGACACAAGGCGCGAAGTCCCTCTCCGGACACAGTAGGCTGAGGACCTATCTATTTGGCCACTGCGCGCTGGAAGAGCTCAGACTATCAGCTAGGATCCTTCGAGGCATCCAAGTAGCTACGTTCATAACCAAGACCATTCCGCAGCCGATCCTCCTGTTCCACAATCTTCCAAGGTAGACTCTTCCCAATCCCAAAGAACACAAACAAGAACCACTTCCACCGAAAAGGATTGATCAACGTAATGAACAAAAACCAATAGATCAGCTCCGAGTACGTGAAAAAGTCAAACGCGTCGGTCGGAGCCAGTGATTTGACAGTGCTGGTGAATTCCACCCATCGTTTCATCCACCATGGCCGTGGAGTTGTTAAGGGATCGACGAGGAACATCAATAACATCCGAGTGTAGATCCCTATATGGTATGATCCCACAGTTCTGCAAGCACTGTTAGTTCTAACCCTACGGAAAATATTGTTCCCATGGGAGACCTACCCGATCGCCGCAACATACGTCGAGTTGATTGCGCAGATAGAAGGTGCATTGGGTGGGAAGCATTGTACAAACCATCGTGGCGGGAGAAAGCCTTCCTGAAAGGCCTCGTCTGGCAGGAAATCCAGACTTGGCCTCTTGTAGCCAGTTGCCATAATGATTATGTCGCCTTCAATGACGCGGTGCCTCCCAACGCCACCTTTTGGAACGCCCTGAGCTCGATGATTGAAGTAAATGCCATTCTCACGAACTTCTTCAATATCTCCGCGAAGCCAATCTGCTTTTCCCGCTCGAATTTGATCAAAGATCTCCGAGTTGACCATAGGTGTTTCGGTGAAAAGACCCCCTCCAGGAGGCGCGATATCCTTCAGATCGCGATAAAACAGAAGCCGGAGCAGGTTCTCTGGGATCCATGAGAGAAAAGTCTCTTGACCGAATATGTTGAAAGCAAGAAGCGTGTCAATAAAGGCGTTCCTAGGAATTATCCATTTTTCAGAGCGAGCAAGAACGCTGATCTTGGAAGCCCCGGTCTGAACTGCCCATTCCAGAGCCTCCACTGCGCTCGCCCCTCCTCCGATGATGAGAATCTTCTTCCCCCTGGCATCTTTGTTGTCGAGGTCCGAAGAGTGATAGATCTCTCCATGAAAAGCCTCTTGGCCAGGTAGGCCAGCCATCTTCGGATCACCACATGTTCCTATGGCGGGTATAATACCATCGAAGCGGCCTTGGGAGCTGTCGTTGACGATCCAACGCCCTGACTTATCCTTGTATATCTTCTCCACCCGAGTGTTGAATTTTGTCTTTTCTGCAATACGGTAGCGTTGCCACACCTGTCGAACTTGGTCCACTATCTGGTTTTGCTTCGGATAGCCGCCTTCCCATTTGATCGAGGGATGAAACCTGTACATGAGACTATGAATCTGAAGACCGGACGTCGAGTTGACTAGTGACCAGATACCACCCAGATGTGACTCGTCTCCGGCCTCAAATAACGTGACATCAAATCCATGGCCAACACAATGAGCAGCGGCCGAGACACCAGTCAGGCCTGCTCCAATGACGGCGATCTTAGGACGACGTAGGCGTATTCCCGGTGCTGGTGGTGTGGGCGAGAAAATCTTGTCCAGGAACCACTGCAGCAAATTGTAGAGCCACAGAATCGGAGTGAACGCCATCCTCACATGTGAAAGTGATTGACCTTGATGAATTTCAAAGGAACGAGGACTGGCAGCATAAATATGTTTCTCACAAATTGAAACGTCATTATGCAGGTACCACAGTCTCAGTTTTCCTTCACATGTCAGCCCGTAGGACCCGTGCGGACATTAGTTCCGAATCTCGATAGAAATGTTTGGCAAGGTCCAGGTACGTTGGCATATCTATCTCTGAGCCAGAAAACTCCCCAGGTACTGTAATCAGCATCGACTGAACGCCTACCATGATGATGAAAATGTTATACGGGGTTCTTCTCAGTGACCCCAGTGTAGATCAACAAAGCCTACCCGACTGAATGTTGAGAGAGGCCTCGCTCCATTCAGGGCATGCTAAGTCAGAATCTGCTGATTGCCAACAGTCTGTTTGATCATTATTTAGCAGTAAAGAAAATACTCATGACGGTCAAGTGAAATTTATTTTTGAGATGCATAAACTTTGAGAGGCACGTTGCGTCAATCACAATAACAATCCAAAACTAGCGGGCAAAGAGACTTTTTGCCTCTGCTTCTTGGTCGCGGCACAACCAGCGCGCGCGGCCCGGGGCCCCATCGGCTCGATGCGGCAGGGTCATCAACCCTAGCTGCATTCCGCTCGGGCCTCTGCTTAACTAACAATAAGTTCATAACTCGATGCCTCGGGTCCGCACCTAATTAGTTAGGTACTTAGACACAGAGGAGAAGAGGGAAGTACCCCATGGTTCATCTGCACATCAACTACATCTATCTGATACCTTTCTGGATGCCAGGAATCCATCACATAGATCTGCGACAAGAGTCATAAACCATCGAACTTCGCGAGCTGTTGGAATATCCGTTCAACCTTCACAGCTCTGAAAGGTATCCATGGAAAATGGATGCGCATGGCCACAGGGAGATAAAGAAAAGCACTCTCCATGCGCAAACAGGCTGGGGTTGCCCACGAACATTTTGGCCCCTGTTCCCATGCAAGCGCGGGAACTCCCAGGGCAGCAAGAGCCCCCTTGCCTCCCGCTCTGCTATCTTCGATCAACTCCCAACTTCTCACGTCCATGACGGCGAAATTCCAATATCATGTACAGAAGATAAACCGTTCGACTTCTCGCAGTATCGCGCCTTTCAATCGACCCTTCAGACGAGTTGCACTGCTCGTTCTGCGCATGACATTGCTTGCCGTGCTTCTCAACGGTTTCCGCAAGGCTGAGTCTGATCACGATCTAAACCAGCCCCCGCTTGGTGCTGTTCGAATTGATAGTCTAGGTTCGTGATTGGATCTAAACATGCTGTCTGGCGAATAGTCGAGATTTGAGACAGACCTAGGCAAAGAGTGGCATCGCTCCCGACACAATGTGCAGGGTGTGGGCTACATTCTCAGTCTAATATTGGACTGGAGGCTGAAGGCCAAGCAAAATAGTATAACAAAAGTTCTTGCATCTGCTCACCAGTTCACTCGGCAAGCCGCCTAAAAGCGCCTGCTCGAATATTCAACACGGCTGGCGATAGCACCATTGCTGCGAAAGTACCCGGACTCCAGAACTTCGCCAGCTGTCGTACAGTCCAAGCTCAACTCAAGAACATAGGATATTGGCTCCACTTGCGTAGTCCAAATCTTAGTCACTGTCCATACCCCATCCGTCGTTGTGTTCTATGCAGACCGTCAACTGGGACTTCAACGACTACGAAGCAAGCCACGGATTGTTTCCCATGATTGGCAACCTGACTAGTCTTTTTAGCATCTTGCTAGAGCTTGCCATGCCACTGCGGCTCTGAGAATGTCGAGTCCTGGCCCCAGACTTGCTTGCCCCTCACCGACCTCGACTTCCCTATATCAATCACATGGCATCGCAGGTTTCGGGTTTCCCTCAAATTTTCCAGGTCCTGTGACTATCCGCATGCTGCCTGGTACATTATCTGGAATTTGGAGAATAGTGAAGTATCGGCATTGAAATTGTTGTCTAGCTCGATAGCCAAAATCAAACGATCTGCAAGGCTGAAACGCAGATTTGAGCTCCAGTAATGGTATGTGTAGTGTTTTCTTCAGCTTCAACGCGAACAGTTGACTTTTACTGAAAGAATTCTCCAGGCTCACAGTAGCGACATCTTACTGAATGTTACCAGCTCATATCACTCGAGATATGACGCCACTTTGCCCGAACATTATGCTTCACAGCAGGATCAAAATGAGTGGTCGCAATTCCTGCCTTCAGCCCATCAAACACCTGATCAACGAAAGTCCTGGCCAGCAGCTCATGCCACCTACGTGCATCCCAATGACCAGAATCTGACAGGAAAATTCAACATCCACGCCGTCTACGCGGACGATTCTGTGGGAAATAGATCTACCAGAATCCTGGGCCTTCGGTGGCAGACATTTTTCATATTTCTGATATTATTAGTGCTGGTTGTATTGGCCGCGGTCCTCGGAGGTATATTCGGCAGTAGAGCTGCCAGTAAGTCTGACGTGACGCAGTCATCCCCGTAAGCCTTCTTCATGTCGTTCATGCTTGGTCATTAACTCCAGCTCACTTCCATACGACCCAGTGCATCCGTTGGAGGATCATCGAGTGCTTCGTCTTCTTCAAGTGCTCCTCTTTCTTCGACGACAACGCTATTGACATCTTCAGCCTCAAGATCTACGGCTACAGCTTCGCCAACAGCCGCTATCGTGGTGGACAGAGGTGCTCTAAAGTTTCCTAGCTTGGCTGTCACTCATACTGGCAACAATACGCATATGTTCTCACTGCGGAGCGATAACAACAGTATCGCCCATTACGTCTTGGCCCAGTCAACCTGGACTGTACACGGAGCCCTCAATCTCTCCAACTTACCGGCTACCACGACATCATTGACAGCCATCTCATGGAGATATTCGAATGCTGATGAGGTGTGTTGTTGACTAATGGCCACGGACCTCCACATGCTAATACAAGTTCTCCAGATTCGACTTTATTATATAGATGAAGATAGTCAGATCATCGAATTGACTGGCCGATGCACAAGCGCCACTGCATGTGAGTGGCTCGGCCGCAGAGTGATACAAAGCTCGGATGTTTCAAAAACTGCTGGATTGACTGCCGTGCACTGGGGAAATGCATCCAGTGCGGATGGAGATCAAATTCGTCTTTATTTCGGAAGTAAGAAGAACTCGCTTTATGAGCAAGCCTATAGTACAGTGCTGGGAGGTTGGGCGAATGCAACTCTATTGAAAGCTACCATCAGCGAGGGAACAGGGCTTTCTAGTGTGGTGCCGATCGATGTCGATAATCCTTTGCAACGCGTCTTCTCGATCGATGAAAGTGGGGATATGGGTTGCCTTGTGGGAGAAGAGGAACTCACGAGTAAATAATCAGCCTCCATTCGCCTGCTTTTGAAGCTAACAATCGCACAGGCTACGACGTCGAGTTCAGTGAGGAGTACAACCTAACACGACCCTCCAGCTTCGCGTCTTGCCTACATTGGAACACCGAGGAATCTGACTTGTTCGTTTCAGTGAAGCAAATCTCGGAAAGTGGTGAAGTTGTGGAAGCCTACCGAGGCGCGGCCGAAACCGGTGCATATTACACAAAGCCAATGAGCGATTGCCCCCACGGCGACAGTCCCGGTGGTGCCATTGCTGCAGTCGGCTACCTCGATGATGTTTATGGAACGAGCCAGATGTTTGTCTACGACGTTGGAGGTGCCGTCACTGAGTGCTGGTGGCATGATGTCGCAACTGATTCGACCACGGAATGGAAATGGACCAGCACCCTCATTCATACATAATCAGACGTCTGGTAGCATCAAATCTGCGTGGATATATTCTGGGTGGCGAGCCTCGGGGACGCCAGGCAGCCACAACATTCGCCAGAAGCGACGCGATGTACGATGGAAAGATGAAGAAGATCGCCAGAGACATAATTCTCTGGAGGGCAAAGCACGACGTGCCTTGATGATCCCCAGACCACCTCCCTCTCTCTTTCATCCAAGTCATTGGTTCAACGCAACATCTATCTTCCGACGTTTGTTTTGCACCAGATTGGATTTTGTTTGTATGGCTCACATGAAGACATACAGCAAGACGAGTCAATAGTACCAGACTATGTGGTGTATCCAACTTGGTCTTGTACATGATCACAAGACCTGCAGCAGATTCTGAGTCTTATGAGAGAGTTACCGACTCGAGGTTTGTCGCACAAGTGAGCTGACATGGATGCAAGGGCACTTGAACCAGTATGCACACAGATCGACCAGCAAGAAGAACACCAAGAAGAATACAACATTTCTAATGAGACTTGGCTTCGTCACATCAATATACCTCGTGATATCAATCCGGCAAACAAGGAACAGCTATCTGACGGCCATGACAAGGTATCGTTTCACTTTTTCCCGATTGGAAGACTATTAGCCAGACTCGCCGTCGCGAACGTGTCCCAAAGAAGACAGGAATAAGACGAGAAAGAGTAAGCCTCGCGAAGTAGCAAGCTCGAACACTGAGCTATTCCTCGTTGATGATAGGAGTGGACGGCCGAGCTGAGTACTTCGTACTACAGATAGGCTAGTGATAGTCACAAAAAAAGCATAGCTCGTAAACCATACGTGGTATGTCCGACATCGCGAGTTCGGCGAACGCGAACCGATTTCTCATAGATATCCACACCATTGACTACGTCTGAGTTCACCCAAGCCTCACCAAGCCCAGCATTTTCTTGCCCGCCCAGAATAAAGTTCGCGGGGATCGTCTCGTGTTGTTTCGCCTAAGAAAGGCTGGCGGCGGCAGGGGGCGAGCCCGAAGGAGCACGGGACAGCCACCGGGGCTCCGCTGAAACAAAAGCTTGTTACAACTGGGTTAACTAGATACCTAGGCACGAAATTCTCCGTGATGGCGATCCGATCCACCAGAATTCGATTATTTTTAGAAGCTTCGCTATGTTGAGGAGGCGAGTCAGTCAATGGAGAGTGCGGATATCTAACTAGATAGGTAAAGTGTACGCAGTGTCAGAAACCCGCCGAGGCAGCGCTCTTGACGAAAGCCTTGGACGGGAGATGCGAGAAACCGAGGCCCTGCCTGTTCTTCGTTGGCCCTTGTACTCAAGTTAACCATGGAGAGATTCCTAGCAGTGCGCGGGGCTCTCTCCGCCCAGTGTACGCTCTTCATGACATTGTTCATATGTGAACAGAGCTACATCAAGTCACAAGTCGTGCTTTCTCACTTCTAGACCACCACTCGATGCCTCGTATTCGTTACGTCTAGCGAAAGATTAAGCCTTGTCAACGAGGCTAGCCAGAATATGGGGGCTTCTACGGAGTAACCATCTCGTCTCATAATACACTGCCTCGCGATGCTCCACTTACTTTATCCCGGTGTCCGGTGTCTCCTTCTCTGACTGCCATGCCGACTGCTTCCAGATTGGTGATCAACTAGTCGTTGGAACGCTTTCAAACCCACGCTGAAGCTCCAACCCCTAGCGTCGAGGGGAGAAACACTACTCAGACGTCATATTTTAGTCCCCGGTCTCACTTTCTCGCTTAACGGCTCGTCTCCACCCCCGACTAACATTCAAGCTTTCTCGCCTGATTGTGTTCCTGATAACGAGAATAATCCACTGGGAATAACAACACACTACTGACCAGGGGGCAATAACTGTTTCCCGAAGAGTTTAGTATATGTACTCGATTCGAACACGGCACTGGTCGATCTCGTAGGCTCGGTGTGGACCTGCTACATCTACCCCTGATTTGGGGTATCAGGTCTACAGTAATGTCTCGAACAACACAGTTTTGTCATGGACCTCGGTTGTCGGATTTTATTTAGCCTTCCCATTCGCTATCTTCCGTTATGGTGTGACACATGTTATACTTCGTATTGTTGAGCATCGTCTTGCCTGGGCGGGCGAGCGAGGCGAAGCCGACGATTAGCGAACCTGGCACACCATCAGGAGGCATCGAGAAGCATAGACTCAACTAAGTCCAGAGCCTCATGGCTTCATTGACTTCTGTGGCAGTGTTGGCTTGCATCCGTGGTGTGTGATTGTACATTCGTCGAGGCTGGACGAGGAGATCTTCTGTTTCGAGTGTCTGAGATTGTTTCCAGTTGGAACCAGTGCTAGAAAAATCGGAAGTCTGTTGAAGAGGCTTCGACGACGCTAAGCTCTCGGGTTATCGTTTAAAAGGCTTGACCTCATCCAAGCTTTTCGATCGATCATCAACAGCTCTTCCAGTCTCTTCAGCCCAGTTTCTTTCACCAGTACATCCAGTCATTGTTTATCCCAGTGCAGGTCACAGGTCATAGGTCGTTCAAAAGTTTGCTTTTCTTCTCACAGATCTCACATAAGGCAATCGTTGCCCTTTTTCGCTATACATTCCTGTTCACGATGCATTTCAGAACATCTACAGCTGTTGTCCTGGCGACAATTGTCTCTCAGGCATTTTCCCATTGCGTTCTAACTTCCATCACTGGGGCCAATGGTGTGACCATGCCTGGACTGAGTGTCATTGATGGCACGCCTCGTGATTGTGCAAGGTATGCCACCTCGAGAGGCATTTGAATACGTAGCAGTGGCTAACCGGAACAGCCCGTTATGTGGATCGGAGGCTGACACATCAGTCATCCGGAGGAATGGACCTCCTCTAGGCAAGACGAGTGGCGGTGGTGAAGTTGATGCTGCCGCAGCAGTTGCCAAATTCATGGGTAACGGAGCAAATGCTGCCGCGAGATTCAAGCGCAACCTTCTAGGAAGCAGATATGGCAGCAAACGTCGCGCTCTTCTTGATGGCCTGAGCGATCTTTTGGGTGGAGGTGGGGCCAGCGGTGGTGGTAAAGCCAGTGAAGCATCCGGGACAAAGACTCCCAAGGGCACTGTCGAGGATGGTGTTGCCAAGGCTGCTGGAAAAGGCGCAACATCAGGCCTTCCTACGGTCGGTGCCGATGGTGTCATCGACATGGTCATGCATCAGGTAAGCCGCTCTAAATTCCTCAGACATTCCTTTCGAGCCTTCCCCAGCTCCCAGCTCGCATCATCGTTCTTTCTCTAACCAAAGTTCTTTTATAGGTAAATCAAGATGGAGCAGGCCCCATGACAGCCGCCATCGATCCCACATCGGGCGGGACAAGCGAAGCAGCTTTCCAGCCAGCACAGATGATCGCAGACGTCCCAGGTGCAATTGCCGGCATTAGCGGCACGACCACGACCGATTTCCCCATCAAGGTACAGATGCCGGCTGGTATGACTTGCTCGGGCACCGTGGCAGGCGTGAAGAATGTTTGTGTGGTTCGCGTCAAGAACTCAACGCCAGCAGGCCCCTTTGGAGGCTCAGCTGTCTTTACCCAGGAAGGTGCAGCCACTGCCAGTACTGGCAACTCAACTGCGGCTGCCAAGCGAGATGTCCCTTTTATCTTCGACGCATGAATTGACCATGTGATGGGATTTCCCTGTTTACTAGTATAGCACGCAATATGCGCATGCCTGCATCACTCCTTGTGTTGGCACCTTAGTCTCTCTGAAGCGTTCCCCTCGTTGGACGAAGTTGATGACGATTTATGTCGAAGATGAATTCCAAGATTTTGTCTGAAGTTTTTATGTACCAAACGAATTTTGTGTCTTAGCCTAGCTTTGGAATTTTGAGCTTCAAAATCAAAGAACGAGTGGAACAACTAGTCTCCACTGAGGAACAGGTCAATCCGCATCCCTCAAAGGTCATGTACTCAGTCCCAATCGCCAAAGTCAGGGGCAGGGCGTGCTGGCAGAGAAGCAGAACTCCAAGTCACTGGAAAGCCTTAATTCCGTGTCAGATGCAGCACACCACACCTAGATATGGTGATCGAAGATCTGCATAGCATTTAACCGCCAACAGGAAAGATGGTGTTGATTGACTTGAGATGGGACGCGATTTTCATTGGGTGACGGCTCCCGGTAAAGGTGACACAGAGGTCTCTCGCTGGCAGTTGCTAACGGCAGATTGTTCGGATGGCGGGGACAGACATCGAGAAGGAGGAGAGTTATTATTCACTGACTTAATGCGCCGTGTTATCTTGGTGGCTTTCACTAGGGCCAGACATGCTTTGTCCGAAAACCAGTCGTATCCCCGTTATACTGCAGATAGCCACAATGAATGTCTCCGAATATGAATGGTACAACAGCGCTCCTGGCTCATAGTCCTAGGAGGTAATTTATAATGTTCTTGTGGCCACGTTCGAATGCCATGTCAATGGCGGTCAGACCTTGATCGTCACAAGGAGCCTCGAGATCAATTCCGTGTTTAGCCAAAGCCATAACAACCTCAAGAAAGCCGTATCTAACAGCCCATGCTAGAAGCGTTCGACCAGTAGGCAAAACTACCGAGGAGCAATTAAGGCTTTCGTCAATCAACATCGTGACCATCTTAGCATCGCCGTTGTCTGTCGCCAATCCAAAAAGTGAAGAGCTCAGTTCCACGTCCGAGAGATTTACTGTAGATCCGTGCCTCAGGAGGAAAGATGCCGTGTTCGTATTGCCACCACTAACAGCTTTTGTCAATGGAGAATCACCGGAATTGCTGGGAATTGTAACATCGGCGCCTTTCTCGAGCAACAGCTTCAAGACTTCGTCCCTGCCATAAGCAGCAGCCCACCAGAGCGCAGTGCGGCCGCTGTTATCTTGGCCGTTGATGTTGACACCATGATCCACCAGCAATTTTACTAAGCCTTCGTAGCCATACTGACTTGCGAAGGAAAGTGCGCTTCTTCCTTGATAGCTTTTATCATCAGCAGCCGCTCCATTATTCAATAAACACTTGGCCACCGCTTCGTTTCCAGTCATCACAGCATACAAAAGAGCTGTGCGCCCAGTGGGATCCTTGGCATCCAATTGACTGGCGCTGCAAAGACTCTCGATGGCATCAGTTAAACCATTCCTGATAGCAATCAACAATGGAGTGAAACCTTCAGTGTCCCGTACGTCGGGATCGGCTCCATACTTTCGAAGAATCCTCATAACGTTGGTATGGCCCTTGTTGGCAGCGATTAGTAGTGCGGTCTGATGCTTATTGTCTTTGATTTCGACATTTGCACCCTGTTCGAGAAGTAGTTCGACTTCGGCAAAGTAATCGGCAGCAACGGCCCACAAGAGTGGACTCTGCCCTGTGGCATCAACGGCATCAAGAACTCCGCCAGTATCAATCAAAATCTTTGCGGCATCTAGCTGATGATGCATAATAGCCCAGGAGAGTGCTGTTTTACCAAGTACGCACCGGTGCTCCGGGTTCAGGCCAGTTTGGATTAATGATCGGATTACACTGTCACTGCCACCTTTCGCCGCCCAAAATAGTGCCGACCGCTTCAAGTTGTCTAACTGTCGGGAATCCGCGCCATGCGAGAGGAGTAGGTCGACCATAAGCGGAGATTTGTACTCGGCTGCCCACATCAATGGAGTCTTTCCCGTGTTGTCCTTGATGTTCAAGTTGGCACGATATTCAAGCAGTAATCGGGCAGCATTTATCTGGCCAAGTTCTGCCGCATATGAAAGAGGCGTTCTGCCATCCGAGTCGGCCTTGTCCACCAAGGCCCCTATTTGAATCAAAGATCTCATCATCTCGATAAGTCCCAATTGTGTAGTTGCAATTAGTGGTGTGATCCCCAGTAGCCCTCGCCCGTTCGGATCGCAGGCCTTCTCTTCAATTAGTGCCTCTGTAATAGTCTGGCAGTTGATTAAGAGAGTGTAGTTAATGAGAGTGTAGCCGGTAGTGTCAATGAATTTCTGTTCGCTGATTCCTGTTTTCATAATTTTGATGGCGACTGGGAGGTTCCATATATACAAAGCGTGTAAGAAAGCTAATGTTCGTCGTCCGATGTCGTTTACAAATTGATCAAGTTGCAAAGTGAGATCGAGAATGGTATGCAAGTCTTGCTGTATCGCAAATCGCAGCATGGTGTCGTCCTCCGACATCTTCTTGCTTGGCTGTGCACCATGCTCGAGCAACTTCTCGACAATACTGCTGGCAGCAGCGGCCTCCTTGGGATCCTCTCCGAAAAGATTATAGAGTGTTCTGTACAGTGGTGATCGGCCCATATCATCCTGAAGACTAGGATCAGCTCCATTGAATAGCAGAGTATCCACTGCATCTTCATTCAGATTAGCTGCAACGCATAGCAAAACCGTACGACCCCAAATATCTTGAATGTCCAGATCTGCTTTGTGTTCAATAAGGACTTCCATCAATTCGAGATGTGCTCCGGTTGCAGCCCACCACAATGGTGTTAGTCGCTGATTGTCTATGGAATTGACGTTTGCTCCCTGGCGGATAAGCGATTTTGCGGCATCAACATGTCCGTTAGCTGCCGCATAAATGAGTGGAGTGCGGCATTCCCGGTCATCTGGATTGCTATTTTTGTAAGTCCTGTGAGCAACAAGTGCATCAATGAGGTGAGAGTATCCATAATAGCCTGCGACATGCAACATATGTGCTCCTTCTTGAAGTCCGCAAGCCCGAGCATCTAGTGAACATAGTTGAAGCCACTTGTGTAAACGGATTGTGCTAGGCCATTGAAAGTATTTCAATAGACTCTTCTCCAGGGTGCCGTCAAGATCGCCCTTTTTCAAGTGTGATGGCCATCTAGTGACAGCGTATTGAAGAAGGGGGTATGCAGCCTTTTTCTCTCTTGCCTCGTAGGCGGCAAGCTGGATGATTTCCTTGGTAAGAATGTAATGCATGCAACACTTGAACATGAGTTCATGAGCTCGTGCGAGACTAAACTCTGACCCAAGCTTGGATTGTTCTTGTCCCATAGATTGCTCCAAGTCTTGTAGACCTTGTTGTAGGAAGTAGTCCTTGACAGACTGATGGATACATTGAATAGTGGCAGTCTGCATATCGGCACCTCCAGTGATCTCAACCAAACCACCTGACAGCGCTTTAATCAATTTCAAGAGTTGCTCATCTGTGCCAACATAGTTTTCTGACGCTGCCCAAGCCACAAGATCTTTCGCGGGCGCCGAAGCATCAAACGATAGGACATACCGCATTTGGACTGGAGACAGAGGCTCCTCCGCAAGGCAAACCCACTGGAAGAGGTGCAAGGCATATATCTTATCAGAATTGGGGATTTTATCCACTGCTTCCTTATAGATCTGCCGGAGCTCGGGAGAGCTATTTTGAATTTCTTTTCGAAGTGTCTCGAGGCCGTATCCACTCAGTCCCTTGCGTGCAATCTGTGGAAGAATAAGTGATGTCCAGAGGAAGTTACCCGCAGCCTTGTGCAAAATTTCAGTCTCGATATGAGTTTGGGCGTTTGTTTCGGTGAAGACTGTTGCGAGAGTGGCTTGAACAAATTTGGAGATATCCTCTGAATTCTGATTTTCGACACAGATCTGTGGTGAACCAAAGAAGTCCATGACAGGATAGTGACGGCAGGCTATACACAACCTGATTGCTGAGAAAACTCCACGGCCGGGTTTCGTCAGGCTCCAGAGCTCTTTCGAAAGCTTCCTCGCCATCTCTTCGCCAAACTCATCCAAACCATCAATGAAGATGGTGATTGTTTTCGAGGTGAACTCCTTGACTCGAGAGTCAAGAAAATCGTACAACTCTTTCTCATGCCAGTTCCAAGACTTTCCACACTCTCCTTGAGTTTCTAGCTTTAGTAGATAAAGCTCGGTTAGTTGGGTTCTGAGGATCTCAGACTGGGCCAATATCTGGTGCAAGATAGAGCGGTACAGCCCGATGGGTGACCGCTGCATTTGTGTACCACGTCCATGGACGAAAAACGATGCTACAATGACCGTGTCGTCCGTCCTCTTGCTGACAGTGGTCACTAACTTATCCATGAGGACAGATTTGCCAGCTCCAGGTTTTCCGGTCACCCAAAGTAGACCACAGTTTTCGGTAAACCATTTTTGGAACTCGACATGCTCTGTTAGCCAAGCACATGTTCCCTCCGCGGCGCGTTCGATATTGTCCCGGCGAGTGTCCATCTCAGTGAACCATAGCGACTTGAGGCAAGCTGGGGTAGTTAGTCACCACTTTCTAGGCCCATGAACGTACGCCCTTACCTGACTGTGCAGCGACTTGGGTGACTCTGGGTCCAGGTGCATATGTTGCATCCAGAGCTCTGCTCTTGAACATAGCCGCGACTGAACCTGCAAGTGGGTGAGGCGGCTGCGATTGACTTAGCGCTGGATTTATTTGCACACCGTCCGCCATACCAAGGTCAGAGGTCCTGTGAACCATGTTCGCTTGGAACGAAGGAGTTGGTGTGATGATTGTCAACAGTTCTTTAGCATAAGCAGCGGCGGTGGCTGCTGCGTACTCCTGCCAGTTTTTGTTCTTGTGGGAGTCTGAATAGTCACAAATACCTCGAATAACTAAGCATTCAAAATAGTTCATCAGACCAGCAGCCTCCATTTCGAAGCAGAGAACATCCAGTTCTGCGCTGAGGCGGTCTCTTGTCAATGCATCTCGCATGACCTGATTAGCCGATGCGATTAAACCATAGTGAATCACGGGCTGGGATGTAGTGCGAAAAGGTCGGTTGAGTACGAGACGGTACTGGTCACACTCGTCGCAGGTTCGAGCGGTTGGGGGCGTATGAGCATATGATGGCTCAAACAGTAGATCGAAACTATTGTGTGGGGGGTGGCAGACTTTATAACGATTCTTGTCATTCCGAGATACTTCTTCAAGAATGGCGCTGATTTGAGATGCTCCTCGACGTCGATGGCGTGCTTCCAGACTCGAGGTTGCATTCAATAGTGTGGCAGAGGGGCGGTTGAGCGAACCCGTAATCTTGAATCGACCATCGTGTAGAGTTTTCCCATAGTCATATTGAATCACACCGCCATATGACCCAGTCGGGCGACTCACGACCACATCTCCAAGGCGGATGTCGTGGGATTCTGTTGGGGCGCCGCCACCAATACCTACTAGGAGAACAAATCGAAGCGATGGAAAACTGTTTCGCATCTGCGCCGCAACGACGGCTGCAGGGACGGCCCCCATATAGGGTAGTATGGTGACTACAACATTATGCGCACCGATTCGTCCCAAAATATAATTGTTGTCGTCCTGAGCCCCTTGCAAGATATGCTCATGCATTTCGTCAAACATGTCCATTGCAGCAGCACCCTCAAGTGGCAGTGCTGCTATCCAGCCCACATGATAGTCGTGGGCTGACATCTTGCGGATCAAGTGATCCTGGCAGCAATGACCGTCTAGCAGGGTTACTGAGAAATAGGCATTTGGCCAGCCTGATTAAAAGGTAGATCGAGGTAGCGTCGTGGCAGTTGCCGTCGTTGGATCGGAAGCATCAGTGGATCACAGTTTGCGCTCGGGTCTATAGAACTGCGCGACAGAAACAGTGGTCGAAATCAACTCAATTAGACAGCATGGAGACAATACTGCTCCATAGGAGTGTGATCAATCATGGATTTCCGATGATAGTGAGGCTGAAAAGTAGTGGAGCGGCAATATGTGTTTCAGATGCCCAGGGTGGCTGTGGTTTGGAGCTCACGTGGCTGGGTTCGACGAAATCACGCCTACCTCAGTTAGGCTAAGCTTGAAAGATCGAGATTCTACAGACGACTCGTTGTATGTATCAATGGCTATTTGGGGGCAGGAGCAAGGAATGGTGGTGAGCAGTAAAGGGCCATCTTATGAGCATTCAGCTATAGTAGTAGAAGGAGAATAGTGATCGCACATCACTTGAATATGCACAAATTCCTCTAAGACCTTGTACATAGTGTCCAAATAGAGGAAGCAGACGAGGAACATACCCAGCTCGTGGACATGGAGAGCATTCGGTCCCTTTTCGAGCTATTAGCTTGAAAAAAAGAAAGCTCACTGCCCCTTATTCTGCAATCAGGATAAAATATGTAAGAACAAAAGAAAAAGTGTAGAGAAGAAAAGGGTCATGGTCCTCTCGTCAAGCAACACAAAAACTCAATAAATCGCTCGCCCTTCATCCCAGCGTCTGAACTCTGTACCCAAGCCGCTTCTCCCCTCCGCATTATCAGGGCTTGCCCTGGCGCTGGCATTTGCACTGGAATCTCGAATAAGACCGCCCGAGCGCCTTCCCTCCAGGCCCGGTGCCAAGTCGACCGGACCGATCCATTCCCAGACACGGCTCCACTCGCCAGTTTTGCCTCCTTCTCTGGTTGAAGCTCTGACGTTAGAGTTGCCCTCGACCACTTTCCTGACATTTTGCCACACCCGTTCTCGCTCAGAGGCGCTGAAGACGTTCCTGAGCACATCGTCTCTCAACTGGCCAACACTAATGTACGGTTCAGAGGCGCGTCCATCTTCCTTCAAAGCCGCTTGCGTGGCAAGTCGATCCAGTGTAGTTGCCACCAAGGTTGGTATTTGAGCGGTGGCCTGCTGATGAGCGACCAATTTGCTTCGTGCATACAGAAGACTGAAAACCAGGGATATCAATGCTACAATTGATTTACGGCGTTCATGTATGGCCCCCAAAAGCGATCTTCGGATGGAGCAGAGGAGGGGGAGTCTGGCGAGGGAGGTGCTTGAGAGGAGGAGGTTGCCGGATCTGCATTAGAGGAACCAGGGACGCTTGGTCAGTCAGTGAATCGCAAAGACGTATGATAGGAAAAGTATATGAGAAAGGGAGATATTCAGATATAATGAAACTCACCCATCACGAGTCACCTCGACTTCATCTTTGCCCATAATGAGGCCAATGGCTCCTTGCCAGAGGTCATCAAAGGCTTGATCACCCATCGCCTTCCGTCGTTGTTTCGAGATCACACTCTTGAGTTCTTCCTCAGAGACATACGGTTGAGATGTTGACAGCGTCGAGACTTCTTTCGTGTCCGTGCTATCAGTCACGCCAGTCAATGTTGAGCTACTGATCTTATCGCCGCATTCGTAAGCAGCACGATGGTCTCGAAGCACGGTGGTCACTCGCTCGGCAACGTTATTGATGCGTCTCTCCTTTTCGCTGTCAGGCTCGCACGTGGGCGGTACCGGGACTAGACCGTTGAGACTGAGTGGATGTTGCTTGAGAACGTAATCATGCTCGCATTCAACTTCCATATTGGAACTGCAGATTGCGTGTTGAGGGCATGGTTCACACTGTGGCTCAAAGTTTTCGTGGACCCAAGCTGGAATTCGCGGATTTTCGGCTAGCGACCAATGGGGTTGACCAACACCGCAGTATCCTATGTTGACTTTTTCCTGCCGATAGAGTCCACCCACCACTGCAAGGATACTAGTAAGGACAGTCCATGGTGCCAACTTTGCCGCTGTGCTAGGAGGTGTTTGCTTCTTCCGGCGTACGAGGGCGGAGGTCCTGACAGGAGCCACCTGTCCATTCCTCTCTTGCTCTGCTAGCTCTCGAGCCGCATCAGGGGTGAACTCTTCTGTAAGCGGAATTCCATCAGGCGAATTCGCAGTCAATCTGGAAACTGGAAATTCTATCGCAGTCCTCTGTGGGGAGAACTCTTCTTGTTTGATGGGTGGGGATGTAGTTTGTCTCCGCTTTGTCGGGCTTTTCTTTTCACTGGCAGACGCAAGTGACTTACGATTTCGGGATACTGAGGACAATCGCTTCGACCCAGATGGTGGACTGGAACCTGATTGAAAAGGGTTGTCATCGGAAAATGGGCTGGTTTCCATTTCCCGGGATTGTCGCTTCAGTCGCCGATCGGGCTCTTCAAGTTTGACTGAGGGCTGCAAGACGGCTTGTGCTGGAGCGCTCTTGCGAGATCTGCGTACTGTGTTTTCCACTTCCGGCTCTGTATCCGACGCACGAGGGGTTCTGGTGGTGCTCCTGCGGCTGGGTGTCTTGGATCTTCGGGAGGTAGAAGGTGTGGGTACCGCCGCCGCTGCGACTGAACCGGATGTTAGGTCGGATTTGCTCTTCCTGCTGCGGGGAGTCTTTGGTGCTGGTGGAGGAGGCATAAGTTGTCTTTCATCTTCACCCTCGTCATCCAAGGTGCTGTCTTGACTGCTGGGAACATCCGTAATACCTTTGCTCGTTCGACGAACTCTGGCTTGCCGCTGAAGGAGTTTCTTGGCTTGTGGAAGTAAGTCTTGCTCAACTATCTCTATTAGTTGGCCTTTCTTCGCACCAGACGGGTAGACAATGCTGTGCTCGACCAATATGTTGCGCAATCTCGGGACAGTGAGACTATTAAAATCAAAGCCCGGTTGCAGGTAGAAGAGATCGTCGTCGTCCGCCATGGTGATGAGAACAGGGTGGTTGGTTTCAAGGTCAGGATTCAGGGCGTCGAACGAGACCGATGGTGGATGCGACGATCACAATGCGACCAGGAGGTGACCAGCACAAGAATAGGAAGGAGGAAAGGAATGGACGAGTTGAGTCAACTTAAAAAACGGATGCAGGTGCGACAAACCTCAGCAAAGAAGGGAACTGATTGTAAACAAACTCCAAACATACCCCACCAGCTAGGCTGATGTCCAATCAGAGTGCGATCATGTGACTCAACAACGGTCACCTGACTATCGTGGACAAAGACGGTGGCGAAATTGAAGTGCGGCTGTTACTGGACACTGCAATGCCTTCCAACCATCAAAAGAAGTCATGGAGATGGGAGAGGCGATAGTTTCATATGGGCGGATGTTGAACCAAGAGAGAAGGGATTGAATTTGGCTGAATTCTCCCGAGAGATATGCAGTATTATCGTCTTTCTCCACTATAAAAATGGCCAGTTCGGCCAGGAAATGAGATGTATGTACCCAGTATTTGACCACCCACAATGCAAAATCATGTTCCATAATCGTACTCATACAGTTCGTAAACTTTGTCTGGTCGTTCAGACGCCCATGATGCTTCGCCCGTTGAAAGATAAATCAAGTCTTTACACCTCACCCCAAGCGCCACCGCTTGCCACAAGACTGGTCCCACTCCCAATGCTTCCTCCAATGTCCCAGAAATTCCGACTTGATCCGCTCCTTGCTATCGATGCTTTCCTGCTGCTTCGTACACTTTCGCTTGCACAGCTACTTTGTGGCCTTCGGAGACTTGTTCGTGAATCCCTCCTCGCCCTTACAGGAGACTGATGCGCTCTAGCTACGAGCGGGTGATGCTGCCGTATAATTGCAGCGCGGGTCGCGGCATCTTCCACCGGCTGTCTGGTCACTTGCGGTAAAGACACACCTGGGGCTCTGGTGGCAAATCGGTCGCGCAGGTATCGGAAGACCATCTTCAAGTCTAATTCCCTTTCCCAGTACTCCCGTTCCCTCTGAAGATGTCGTGATGAGTCCAATGCTGATGAAGACGAGGCTGTTGGTTCCTCTTCAAAACCCCAACTCTCAGCATGGGCACGATCTCGCAATGTCGGGGGAAAGTTGGGAGATAACGTTGACGTCGTCGTGTCCTTCATATGAACCTGAGCCATAGGAACACTGGTGGTCTCTGTGGATTTCGGTAGAGGCATTGAAACCGGCATGCCCGCATAATCGGGACTACTAGAGTAAGTGCCAAATGCACCGGGGTGTGGAGATAGCTGATGGACAAAGACACCCAGTTCGCGTGCTATTCGTTGGAGAAGGCGATCTCTCCAAGCATCACCCGCAGCTTGAAGGTCTGATGATTGCTCTGGAATTGTTGGCAATTGACCACTGGCAGAGAGCGGTAAGCTTTCTGCCTCGTCTGGAAGACTTTCGCCAAAGATGACTGATAACAGTGGCTCGTCGATGCCGATGACATCGCGAATAAACCTCTTAGTGATCCTCCGCCAAAAAGGTTCCGATTCTTCAGCGTCTGGTGCAGTCTCAGGGAGATAGTCACTTTGCTTGGGCGTGGATCCGAGTACATCGTCATTGACGGAGAGCATCGTATCTTGAAATGAGGACAGGCGTGAACCCCGCCGTAGTCGTCTCCGAGTTTCTCGCTCCACTTCCTCTATCAAAGCCTGACTTTGTTCCATACGCCACTTCTCTATTCGCATACGTTTTTCTTCATTCGCTTGAGCTTCCATTTCATCAATGGTGTCAAGCCGTCTTTGAATGCTTGACGGCCTTCGATGCTGCCCATCATGTTTTCTCTTGGGGTTGTATTGTTCATGCTGCCATAACTGTTCCAAAACGGGCGGACTCGAAGCCTGAAAAGTCCCTAGACCATCGTGGGCCGGTAGGAGTGGGTTCTGAGTCTGGTTGGAAAGTGAGGGATATAAGGGAGGCTCTCTGAAGGCATGTAACCCATCATCGAGACTGTCAAGGTCACCGTCCTCCGTAGCATCTTCGTCAAGGATCGAAGATGATCTTGCTGCAGTATTTAATGATACATCGCTAATCCTCGAAGCCCCAATAGTATGAGTAGTATGTGTCCGAGTGATGGTTGAGTCTGCAGTGGAAGGAGTGAAGAGAATCCACTCTTGCGAATCCTCTATGGCTGGTCTTTGGTGAATTTGAGATATGGCATCTTGAGATCGAGGGGTATTGTTGATGACAATAGGACGTGGAGCAGCGGATTGTTGGAACGCCATGTTGAGCCGCCCCGCCAGAGAAGGCGCAGGATGAGGCAGGCTGTAGGAATGAAGATAAGTTGGACTCTGTCAATGGCGTCGAGATTGTGATGAGATTGATCTCAGAGATGTCCGGACGCTTCGAGAGGCCTGGGGTGGTGTGGCTCAAGCGTTGAGGCGGGTGCAGTGGGAGGTCCAGCTCCGGTTCAGGAGATCAACGCAGGGAGGAGGGAAGTTATCCGTAGTGTTGTCGATTGCCAGTGGGTATCGGGTTCGGATTGGATAAATAGAAGTCACACGGACGATTTTTACATTTGGCGGGGGAGAAAGACAAACAGGAAATCTAAAATTATGACCCGATATTCTTTCTCAAGAGAACAAAGAGATCCCAGGTAGGTTGTTGGAAAAAGAGATGTGTCAAGGGGCGTAAAGGTGAGATGCAGATGTTGGATGTACAGATCCTTCGTAAAGGGGATATGAAAGTCGACGCTCTTATCCCTGGACTCGTATCGGTTCAAGGTTGAGCTGATAGACGGGGATCAAAATGGTGACACGTCTCGTAATCGGTTGATGAGATGCAGCAACAAGCAGCGAGATGCTGGCGAGCTGGCCCCGGGTGAACAGGGCGCGAAAACAGGGCCCGGCAGGATTAACCTGTTCTTGGGAAACCATTTGACCTGTGACCAAATTATTTGCGCATCATCAACAGGGTTGGGCACGTCGGGTTACACACCCGTGAGATAACAAGCGTGGGTCATTGATATGGGATGTCACTTTCAAGAATGATGGGGTGATGCGGATGATGCATGACGAGCTCGGATAGATCATAGATGGCTGTGGACCAGTCTTTACCGATGGGGGAGCACTTCCACGGGGGTAAACTTCAGAGGCTACAAGAGGTTCAAAGCCCTCTTGGGCCCCAATGCCCTCCAACTTTAGGTGAGTACCTGGTTAAAGGAGCGTTGCAATTCTTCTCCGTAGGGTTAAGCTTCAGGCGCTTTGTCCCTCTACTAGTTAGCCCTGCCTCCTTACCCAGAATTTATCCTATCTCACCGGAGGAGTCCCCTTGTTCTCGCCTCTCGTCTACTAAGTATATGTTTCCTGAGTGATTCGGATGGAACGATTATTGATCGATGTATTGTTTATTCATTCAGGCCACAATCAGTACTAATTTAATGCCGCAAAAACGTATGACTTCATTATCACGCATTCAAATTGTGTCTTCTCTCCACTCGTCTCCCAGCTAGATATATTCTACCTGTTAGGACATATTACCCGTCCGTGACCAATCCTCCTACCAGCGGCGAGCTGATTAAGGCTCCTAATGGTGGCAGTCACCATCTTCGGATGCACGCAATCTGGCATAGCAATTGTGGCATGCCATGGTACGGCATGCGCCTTGACTCAGCGCTTTTCCCTTCTTACCAAAATCCGACAATTAGCCAAAGAGCTTTATCAAATCCGAGCCCACCCAAAAGGTCTTTCTTTCCTTTAGATCAACAAGGCGTCCAGACAAGGGAAGTTTTACCGCGATGAGCAACACTGTACGGTAGAATTCTGCATTTTCATTGTGATAAGGTTAGTTCGAAGTGTATGACTAAACCCAGTCATCTCCACGAACTCGCTCTCGTCTCTAAAATGCTAGCTACTCCGTAACTCATCCCTGGTCCTTGAAATACACATGCCCGCTGCTCGTTTATCCGAGTCGCCTTGAGTATCTTGGTCGTAAATCGGAAAACAGACATTTATGCCTCACTGGCGGTTTCGTAGGCACCTGGGAATCGCTTGATGTTGTCCTGAATGCTACCCTTGTTTCTCAAGAATTGGACATATGCACCATCCTGTAACACACGACCTTCCTGCTTGAGCTTGACATACTCATCGCGTCTGAGTGGCGTGAAACCCCAGTTCTTGCTGACAATGATCTTCTGGCGACCAGGGAACTTGTACATCGATCGTCGAAGAGCCTCGATAGCGGTAGCGCGGTGGTTGTCACGAGTGCGAACGGACAGGAGAATTTGACCAATGTTGACACGAGCAACAGTTCCGTTGGGCTTGCCCCACGCTCCTCTCATTCCAGTTTGCAGTCTATCGGCACCGGCACAAGACAACATCTTGTTGATTCGGACGACATGGTATGGGTGAGCACGCACGCGGAGATGGAAACCTTCTTTGCCGGCAATTTTGACGAGGTATCTGGTGTAAGGGTTAGAATTGCTTTCTTTCTTTCAATGTTTCATGTGATTTGTAATACATACTTGTTGGCGCAAATGCGGGCAGCTTCGAGGGCTTCGGAGCTCAATTGTTCATACTCGTTGGAGACCATGTGAACGCAAAGAGGGAACTCGTCGACATTGGCACGCTTTCGTCCGAGATCGAAAATTCGGATCTTAGGATCGGGGACACCACGGTTGAATCGTGACTTGGGGTATGGCTGGGAATGTTAGTCGGATGTGGTTATGCGGTTGTCTGAAAAGTACACACCTTGTTCTTGCAGTAGCGGTAACATCTTGCTGGTCTTCTGGCCATTTTGACGGTATTCCAGAAGCAAGAGTAGAGATATGATGTCGATGATGAAGTTGGAATGAATGGGCGAAGTGGTAATTTATCGTGAGGGCAAGATCGGGCTGACAAATTGGAGCGCAGTGTGGGCAGGCGCAGACAAGTCTTGGCTTCACGTGACCAGAGGCAAGATTCAATGTGGCGAGTCTGACTGAGTCACTCTTTACGTTTTAGGTATCCCACCCGCCGGGACTGGCCCCTAAAGGACTTCTTTGGCTCTCTTTCGGGCTCCTTCAAGTTCTATTTGGCGAGGTTCAGATGCAATCTTCGTGGCACTGACAGCAAGTTTCAGGTACGGGTCACCTGGCTCTACGTCCCCAATGTATGAGTTTCACCGTGATGTTACAAGTAGAGTTCGGCATTTGCTGTGGAGTGAGTCTGTACATATCCGTAAGCAGGACCAAAACTCTCGGTGCCCGGAATCGATTGCTACCGAATGGACATGAGTCAACGCGACAAGGCTAAGAATTGGGTGTGAGACGGCATAGAATTCATCCATTGATCTATCGGTGTAATACAGTGAAAGGCCCCCTTCTGGCCTGCAACCTGATCCTTTCGTAAAGGGTGAGAGTCCCCAGATGTTGCTTCCCCTTCCTTCAGAGCTTTGCTTGACTTAATTCAAGAATGGCTCTGCATGCAGTAACCAAGCAATGGACTGAACTGTCTAACCCGTTCATGAAGGCTGAGAGACTTATGCAGTGCTGGCACCGAGAATGTCAGAGTCACCAGCATCGAGCACAGCCATGGTTGAGCAACGGTAAAGTTTTCCGCAAGCAGTGCCCAATTCAATCTGCAATTTTACAAAAGTTAGCTCTTGATCCCTCCAAAGCCTGGATAGGCTTCTTCGCAGGGCCTGTTCGTTTTATCACTTACGTTGTTTCCAGCGAAGTGATGGACATTTGTCTTGGACAACATAGAGTAGTACTCAAGTTCACTCTTGCGCAGAGGAGGGGTGTTGCCGGCAATGATGACCAGCTTGGCCTTGCCAGAACGGAGAGTCTTGAGGGTAGATTTGTAGCCGAGAGTGACTGCGAAGAAAATATGAATTAGACGGCTGGCTCAAGTTTGGATGACGGCTTGCATGCTTACCTTTGCCAGACTTCATCACAAGCGCCAGGCGCGAGTTGATGCTGTCGGCTGTCTTCTTTGCCTTCTTTGGGGCCATCGCTGCGCTCTACTTTTTTCAGTAGATTTGGATTAATTGAATGCGCTCCGGCGGAATGATAGTGGTGTGGTTGGGAACAGGGAGAAAATACCTAAAATCAATCACAAAATTCTCTGGACGCTGCAGTGTGATGAGAAATCTTGGCACACGTGATTGCTTGGCAAGCCTTCAGTGGGGATGGCATCCAAGTTCCCTCAACTTTGAACCACAACTCAATGGGAAGTGGACAAGCTTGATCATTGGGACCAATTGTTGACCTGCCTATATGTCTAATTAATCATTGTGATGGTGTTTGTACCTAGGTAACAAATTACAGCATTGCCTGAATGGTCTGGTTTGAACACAAACACCGTTCAAGCTTTTCATCATTCCCCAGCTTGTCCTGATAGTCCCATGGAAAAACTCAGCTTGCTTTTTACGTTTCCAATGTCTCTACCTCCAGGACAAAGAAGATACAGGTAGGCGGCAGTACTAAGAAGAATTGGATCAGATTCAAGAGGTTGCCGCTATTGTGACGTGCCAGCCCTGGGACCACCTACGCCCTGTGAAGACACAATGTCTAACACTCCTCTAACCCTCCCTCAATAACCATGTGATCACAGTCCTGTTTGATTTGATCATTTTATTGATGATGCCGATGGCCGCCGTGTCTTCTTCACGCAAGAACATTCACATGAATAGTGCCAGAAGTGCCAGTTCTAGGGATCCACGTGCGAGGGATATGAGCAGTGTTAGCAAACACTTGAACCCTCCTTTCCAGTGACAGTGGCTGTCCCTTCAAGCCGGATAAGAATGTCACAAGGTCGATATGCACGAAAAGCTGTCACCACCCGTTCACTCTAGCTGCCTATCAACTTCTTGTGAAGTTCCTCTACACTTTAAACGGGCACAATTAACGGCAATCTTTCCATGTCACTGCCTTGGGTTACTCTGCTTATATCTTCGCAGATTTTGATCCTGTCTACCTCCACCTTTCTCATATATCTATATCTTGAAAGGGTGTCCCATCTTAGTGGAGATCCACCTGCTGAAACCAACAATATCCGGTCGTACTCCAAAGAAAAAGTACCAACATGTCTTCCACCTCGTTCTGGAGACCTCTTCTCCTTCTATTCATGATTCTGCACCTTATCACCGTCTCAGGCGCGTCATGGTTTAAGCGTTTCGTGCCTCAACAGCGCGATACTGCAGAATGCCCAACATGCTCTTTGTCAGCGTCTCCAATAGGTATGCCTTCGACTTATGAAACCAAAATTAGGGTTAACAGCCCAACAGGTACAGAAATGAGAGACTGGAACGCCACTGGAGCCTCGAGTAGCTTGACGAGTGGTCTACTTTTCAGCACATACTTTGCATCGTCAACGAGTACAGGCTCTGTCGCCAGTCCAAATGTCCCATCCAGCTCCTCATCGCCTTCTACAACTACGAACCCTGGGCACCTGTCTACCCCCTTAGCTCCAGTTTCGGTGACTTCCTCCTCTACAGAAGACCAGGATGTCTCGACATCCATTCAGATACTCACCACGGTTATTCTCACGAGTGACAAGTTTACATTTACACTGAGCCGCTCTCCCTCGTCGTTCACTTCTGCTTCCTTCTCAGACTCGGCAGGAAGATCGTCTTCGAGCAGCGAAAGTTCTTCACCTAAAACTTATACAGATACCAAGGCCTCCGAGGCAACAAATACGTCTCTGGCCTCTGATACGGCTGGTTCCACAACTTCGAGCCAAACCCCGATGGGAGACACTTCTCAAACTTCGATTCCCAACCATGAGTCTATTGTCTCCATGTCTACACCTGGGAGTAAGAACAGCGCTAGCGCCACAGAAGGTGCTTCAAGCAGTTCTCTTCTAGAATCCAGTTCGGTTAAGACCCCTACTGCAATGAATACAAACTCAGTTAGTATGCCAACGGATGGCACGGTGGCCTCCTCAGCACAAATTGCCTCTACTCTTGTGACGGGCAATGGCAATTCTACTTCGGCACAATCATCCACAACCCTCCAGACCCAGGCCAGTGACGGAAGTTCATCATCACCAACCATTTCCGAAGCTTCGATCGGGACAGAAACTCCTAGTGAGCCTTCTTCATCAACTCAGAGTCTCACTAACCCATCCGCATCCTCATCATCCCAGCAACTTTTGCCTCTAACTTTCACAACCTCGAGCACGAGTACGGTTCTGCGTAGTGACTCAACTTTCGTCACCGTCTTTGTGAAGACTGTCACAACAAGTATTGTCCAGGTGTCTTCGCAATTGAGTAGCTCCCAGTCAACTGCAACCTTGGAACATTCCCAGGCAGATTCCGGCTTGTCTGAATTGGCTGAAAGTACTCCATCTTCAAGTGGATCTTCTCTAGTGCCAGGTGGAACAACTCCCACGACACTTGTTCCTCCTGTATCTGGCACTGTGTCTGTCTTTCCAATGCTGACTGGATCTCGGATGTCCTGCGTGTTCGACGTGAACCCGTGGTGTGGTCCGATGCCTACAACACTGGCTGAGAGTACCCTTTATTGCTTATGTCCAGTTTGCTATGATGGCATGCAGGCTTGTAAGGAGTCAAAACCAGAAGGCACAATCTGTCCTCTGGGCTGGTTATGCTCGGTTACTACACCTCCAGGAGTTTCCACCAGTGTGGCATTCAGTCTCCCAAAGGAGCTCACCTACGCCACCATCTCCCCCAGCATATGGAACTCTACGTATGAGATGATCACCCGTACAGACAGCAGCTCAAAGGCGACTCATGTAACATGGACAGCGACACTATCAACAAGCACTCAATACCTGCAGAACGGAGTTCGTGTGGAGTTCCCGTCTTGGACCTGGCTGTGCATAGGCCCATTCTGTAAGCCAGTAGGTCTCAATGGACTTACTGAGTTTGCAGTGGATTCAATCAAATGTCTACTGTCTTCGAAGTGCCACAAACCAGACAATGGGGGCTGGGAATGGCCACCAGTGCCTGTGATAACTCCCATCCCACCATCAACATTGTCATGGATGACTGAACCTAAGTCCATGACTGGCACTGAAATGGGCATTGGCACTAACGACCATTCTTCGAAGACAACATCAGTGGAGTCATCACTAACAACAAATTCCTCGGATTCTTCGTCGAGTTCGTCGAGTTGTTCTGGGTCAACTTATTCTACCTGTTATGTTGCTTGTACTCATTCGATTGATACAACCACCTCTCGAACATGCGGGACGTCTTGCTCGGTTTTCACACAGTGCTCTGGTACTGACACGACAATAATCACAATCAGCACTACAGCAAAAGTTTGTTCTCCCAGCCCATGGTGGAATGATGCAGGCCTGTCGCCTCGAATTGCGTCATGGGTCACACAGTTCCCTATTCTTACGATACCTGAGATTGTGCCAAACACAACTGTGTGGTCATCGATCAGCCTGTCTTCAAGTCTAAGTGCATCAACAAGCTTGTCAGCACCTCCGAGTCCATCTCCTTTCCCCCCAGTCTCAATCTCTACCACCAACTCTTCCACGCCGCTGGTTAGTCAATCATCGACTTCTGGTCAGGTCTCCCAGGCGTCAGTGCCCGCAACATCAAAGAGCACACATTCAAGGTTGACAGAAGACAACAAGACGCCGACGACCACAGTGCCCTTCAAAACGCCTGTCAGCGCCACCCACACGACGCAGAAGACAGCGGCAGCCTCGATCTCTTCATTCAGCGAGGTGCGCAAACGCTGCGCAACGTGGGACCCCGTTGGCAATGGTGTTGGGAGTTGCGGTCTTATCACGGCCGACCTCAAGATTTCCGAACAGGCTGTTGATGTCTACGAGGGGTTCTGTCAAGAGTTAGTGAACAAAAAGCTCATACTGCCCGAGGAGGGTGGTGAGCATTACACCCCGGGCGAATGCGGGCGAATTTACGTTGGGAAGAACGACAAGGACCCACTCAGCCTTGGTATTGCCCTCGACAAGACTGGTTGCAATAAAGACGATGATACAGACTGGCTGAATGGAGTGGACATGGTTAAGTATGGGACTGATCAGTGCAGAAATGCATTTTGTCACATGATCGTCAATGGATGCAGGAAGTATTGGCTGAATTGTTTGCGCTTCACAGCAGCTACGCTCGATGAAAACGACTCTGCACCAGAGACTCTTCCTCCGACCACCGTAGCGGCTTAGAAGCTCGTTTATATAATGATAATACGAAGACTTCCCAGTCCATCTGTTTGCTCTTCAGCTGTTTGCTCTCGGTCGAATTCCTTACAAGTCCTTTTTCTCCATGGGCCAGGCCCGAGGTAGTGCGCATAGAAGTGTTTGGTGATTGAGCAATAACCAACACAGATTCATCGTCCTAGAAAGATTCCCAGCCCTCTGGAGTCTCTGAAGTCGCTTTGGGCAACTGGGACAGTTTTACATAGCCCGTGTAATTATTGTGGAGCTCAAATCGTCAGGCCATAGCTATTGAACCAATTCTTCTGCACAAGTGACCGATTAGCACACGACTCACGCATGTATATAGCCTTCTCTAGTCCCAGAACCTCAGGGTCCCATGTCTTGGAAGCAAATATGGTAGATACCCAGAGTTGAATCCGGCTTGGACTTGAAGGAGTAGAACAAGGTTGGTGGCCTTCATCAACTTGAAGGGCAAGTACGCCGAAGTTTTCCCACTGCACAGCCTAGCCCAAATACAGACTAGGTGCCGAACCACTTAACGCGTTCCAACGCGTCGACAGAGTGGATTGCGGGCAGATTGATTGTTCGCGATTCTACCACCAACTTTACCATCTCACGGTGCGGACACGAAAACAATACGCCTTTTGCTATTCGTAGTCGTGGCTTTGCGAGATAGCCTGAATATGACAATCTAATCGCGACCGACTGCATGCCATTTACATCTTATGCCCTGCACATTGTCGAATAACAATGCCTGTCAGGAAACCCAGCAGATACGGGTCCAATGTCAGATTTGCCAAAGACAACTCCCGGTTCAAACAACGAACGAAGACAATAACCTCATCCTCCTTGCGTGCCACAGAGGGTACATCTCAAGATGAAAAGTTCCAAGCCATACGGCTGGCCAACAGCATCGACGAATCCATGGGATTTGGCAGATATGATTCCGGCAAGAAACGAGTTGGATGGCTTTACAACATGCACAGTACTTCTATAGAGGACTCAAAAGTGCCAGGAGGTCGAGCTGGTGTTGATTTCTACTTCATCGGCGAGGATGGGGACAACTTCAAAGCGACCGTGGAATACGATCCATACTTTCTGCTAGCTGTCAAGCGTGGAAGGGAAGCCGAAGTGGAGGAATGGTGCAAAAGAATGTTTGAGGGGCTAGTCAAAACCGTCAATCGCCTCTCGAAAGAAGACCTACAAATGCCCAATCACCTTCTCGGTTATAGACGAACATTCTTACAGCTCACCTTCGCGAATGTGTCTGACCTCCTATCAGTCCGCAAGGTCGTCATGCCTATTGCAGAGCAGAATAAAGAGAAGGTCAATGCTATGGATACCTACGCTGAAGTTGCCAGCGCCAGCGCTGGATTTGACGTATATGATGAAGAACAAGCAAACGACCCAAGAACAAATGGCATCGTCGAGGCCAGCGATTCGATAGTCGACATTCGGGAGTATGATGTTCCCTATCACGTACGTCTCATCATCGACAAAGATATACGCATCGGAAAGTGGTATTCCGTGGAGGCCAAACATGGATCCGTCAGTCTTGCTTGCCTCGAGGAGCGTCTTACCAGAGCGGATCCAGTGGTGCTTGCCTATGATATTGAAACCACAAAGTTACCTCTCAAGTTCCCCGATGCTGCCATTGACCAAATCATGATGATTTCTTACATGATAGATGGCCAGGGATTCCTCATTACCAATCGAGAGATTGTTTCGGAGGATATATCGGATTTCGATTACACACCCAAAGCGGAATACGAGGGACCTTTCCTTGTCTTCAATGAGCCTAACGAGCGGAGAGTCATCGAACGGTTCTTCTCCATGATTAAGGAGGCGAGACCAACGGTGATTGCCACATACAACGGCGATTTCTTCGACTGGCCCTTTGTGGAAGCCCGAGCGAGCGTCAACGGAATTGACATGTACGCAGAGATTGGATTTCGAAAGAACAGCGAAGACGTATATCAAAGTGACTATTGTGTCCACATGGATTGCTTTGCTTGGGTCAACAGGGACAGTTACTTACCTCAGGGAAGTCGCGGTCTGAAAGCGGTGACAGTCGCGAAGCTGGGCTACGATCCTGACGAACTCGACCCAGAACTGATGACACCTTATGCCAGTGAACACCCACAAATACTGGCAGAATATTCGGTATCTGATGCCGTTGCCACGTATTATTTGTACATGAAATATGTACATCCCTTCATCTTCTCTCTCTGTACTATCATCCCACTCAGTCCAGACGACACCCTACGGAAAGGTACAGGCACTCTCTGTGAAATGCTGTTGATGGTGCAAGCATATCAAAAGAATATAGTGCTACCAAATAAGCATAAAGAGCCGAGAGAAGCTTTTTGGGAAGGACATCTGCTCGACTCGGAAACATACGTTGGTGGGCATGTAGAAAGCATCGAAGCCGGTGTTTTTCGAGCTGACATACCTGTCAATTTTGCGATTGACCCCACAGCGATTGATGAGCTTATCGGGGATCTCGATGCAGCATTGAAGTTTTGTATAACTGTTGAAGAAAAGAAATCCGTTGACGATGTGACGAATTATGACGAAGTCCGAGCACAAATTATTGAAAAACTAAACAACTTGAAAGCAACACCCAACAGAAGCGAACGCCCTCTAATCTACCACCTGGACGTGGCATCTATGTATCCTAATATTATGACTACGAACCGACTACAACCCGACTCGATGATATCTGAATCAGATTGTGCGGCATGCGATTTCAACCGACCTGGCAAGACCTGTGACCGACGGATGCCGTGGGCGTGGAGAGGCGAGTTCCTTCCTACGAAACGAGATGAATACAACATGATTCGAAGAGCGGTTGTCAACGAAACGTTCCCTGGCAAATTTCCCAGCGCCCCTAGGAGAAATTTCCAGGATTTGAGTCTGGACGAGCAGGCGGCGACTGTTCGAAAGCGACTTCAGGAGTACTCCAAAAAGATCTATCACAAGATTCATGACTCGAAAACCATAGAACGTGAAGCCATCATATGCCAACGAGAGAATCCCTTCTACGTCAACACCGTTCGAGATTTTCGGGATCGTCGATATGATTTCAAGGGACAACAAAAGGTGTGGAAAGGGAAAACTGAAGCACTTAAATCTTCAGGGGCACCGGCCAGCGAAGTTGATGAGGCAAAGAAAATGATTATTCTCTACGACTCATTGCAGCTTGCGCACAAAGTCATTTTGAACTCCTTTTATGGCTATGTTATGCGAAAAGGTTCAAGATGGTATTCGATGGAGATGGCGGGTGTAACTTGCTTGACTGGTGCACATATTATCCAGATGGCTAGAGAGCTTGTCGAGCGCATAGGACGCCCACTGGAACTGGACACGGATGGTATCTGGTGCATGCTACCAGCCACTTTCCCCGAAAATGTTGTCTTCACACTGAAGAATGGCAAGAAGATGGCGATCTCATACCCGTGTGTGATGTTGAATCATCTCGTTCACGCGAAGTTCACAAATCACCAATATCAAACTCTGGTTGAGCCTGCGTCATTCAAATATGAGACACACAGCGACAACTCAATCTTCTTTGAAGTTGACGGACCCTACAAGGCCATGATTCTACCCACGTCAAAAGAAGAAGACAAGAACTTAAAAAAACGATATGCTGTCTTCAACCACGATGGCAGTTTAGCTGAATTGAAAGGGTTCGAGGTCAAGAGACGTGGAGAACTGAAACTCATCAAAATCTTCCAAACCCAGATCTTCAAGTTCTTTCTTGAAGGTACAACGCTTGCAGAAACATACGGAGCCGTTGCACGTGTTGCAAATAGATGGTTAGATGTCCTACACCAGCGAGGCTCCACTTTGGCAGACGAAGAACTGATCGACCTCATTTGCGAAAACAAAAGCATGGCTAAGACACTCGAGGAATACGGATCCCAAAAATCGACCTCTATTACTACTGCAAAACGATTGGCAGAATTTCTAGGTGACCAAATGACCAAAGATAAAGGTCTTAATTGCAAGTACATCATCTCGTCAAGACCCCGAAATACCCCAGTTACGGAACGAGCCATACCGGTCGCAATCTTTTCCGCTGAAGAGAGTGTGAAACGATATTTCCTTCGCAAATGGTTGAAAGATGACCCTGCTGACATGGATCCAAGAACGGTAATAGATTGGGACTATTATTTAGAACGCCTCGGATCTGTAATTCAGAAGCTGATCACGATTCCCGCTGCTCTTCAGAAGGTCAGAAATCCTGTTCCACGGGTCGCCCATCCCGACTGGCTACAGAAGCGGATCAATGCAAAGGATGATAGATTCAAGCAGAAGAAGATGACTGATATCTTCGAGAAAAAACCTCTTGGCGAGCGGTCTGTCAATCTTCTTGACCATCGAATCCCTGACACTGGAGACATTGAAGATGCGCTGAATGCCGAGTTGAAGCCTGAGACGCAGCTCCTCAAACCTACCAAAAGAAAAGCTGATGATGAAACGACAAAAGTTCTTGTCGACCCTTATGCTGATCTACCTGCGGACATCCCTGAAATCGACGAGGACTACAGCGGTTGGTTAGACTACCAGAAGCGAAAGTGGAAGGTCCAGAAGCAGGCTCGTGCTCGACGACGACAATTATTTGGCGAACGTCCCAATATTGCCACCGATTCAATCAGTGCCTTTTTCCGCAACCAGGCTGAACTTCTTTTCATCAACACATGGCACGTCCTGCAACTACGTCAAGGTGATCTTCCCGGCGAAGTCACTGCTTTCGTGTTGATCGGAAAGAAGATTCATAGCCTCAACATAAAAGTTCCTCGTACACTTTATCTCAATCTTAAAGGAGACGAGATACCAAACGTTGAAGTCCCTGGTTGCGAAGTTGAGAAGGTCAACCATGTTCTTCCAAATGGTCATCCTTCCACACACTTGTTTCAACTCACAATGTCTGAAGACACATATCTCCACGAGGCTGATTCTGTGGCTCTTCTATGCAACCACTATAGTGTGGAAGGGGTCTATGAACGAGAGTTGCCTCTTGCCACGCGAGCTTTGCTAAAATTAGGCAACATGTGTTCGTTCGATGAAAGCCAGAAAGGTGTACTCGGCAAAGGGTTAGAGCATGGGTTTGATCTTTCTTCTTTGATGAGAAGCGATGCGCAGTCCACATACCTTGAAGACCCGAGTTCGATGGGTTATATCTACCTCTATCAAGTCACTACAGGCGATCGGACAGTGTTCGCTCTCTTCTCATCCACAAAAGCGGAAGGCCATATTGTTGTTCTGAACCGAAGTCGAGATGCTCAACTGCCAAACGCCGACAAGCTGTATGCTGAGCAGTATCGTCAGAGGCAGCAAGAAGATGCACTGTTATCTAACTTGTTCGATTATCAAGCATCCATACACTTTAAGGTCTCTCAAGTCACAACGAAACGAAAAGCTCATTTAGAGATCAGTGAGACTCTCAAGAGGTGGCGATCAGATGAGACGAAGCCAACTATGCTATTACTTCAGACAAGCTCCAGCAAACAACTCATTCATGACATCCGCATCACCAAAGATTATCCGATTTTGTGTCTACCAAGCGAGCGGGCCGACACAGATATGCCTTCCCTTGGCTGGCAATCTTTCGTCTTTAAGCGCCTGATTACACATTATTTCACAGTAAACCATTGGTTGTCACATTTGATGGAACTTGCGAGATACGGCGATGTCCCAGTCTGCAATCTGGAAAAGGATGACACCCGGTTTCTCATTGATCTGGCGTACGCGAGGAGGCTCAAGAAAAACAATGTTGTGCTTTGGTGGTCTGACAACCCGAGGCCCGACCATGCTGGGCATGAACGAGATGATGTACTGGGGCCTCTGACTGAGGTTGTGGAAATGCCCTCGATCAACAATCCCAGTGCTTATACATCTGTGTGCGTCGATGTATCCATACAGAATTTGGCCATCAACACGATCCTGACCTCGTCCATTATTAATGACCTTGAAGGATCTACTGATTCCGTCGCTTTCAACCCTGCTGCAGATGAGGAATCTTCCCTGAATTCAAGCACGACCAAAACAAATGCAGGGTTCGCCCAGGCCGCATTGGAAGTTCTCCGTGAGATGGTCAAATCATGGTGGGCTGAAGCCTGCCGGGGAAACCGACTCGCAGATGCCATGGTATCGCACTTGGTTCGCTGGGTGGAGGCGCCCGCATCTTGTTTGTACGACAGACATCTCCATTACTACGTCCAGATGATGTCGAAGAAGGCAATGCAACAACTCATCACTGATTTCAGACGCGTTGGCTCGCAAGTTGTCTTTGCTAGTCCAACCCGCTTACTTCTGCAGACCTCAAAGCAGGAGGTAGGCAATGCCTATGCTTATTCTCAGTACATTCTCAAGTCAATTCAACAGAAGCCTCTATTTCATTTCTTAGGGCTTGAGATCAAGGACTACTGGGATATACTCATTTGGTATGACCAGTATAACTATGGCGGGAAGGGTACATCTACCGTAACGGAAGAGACGAACAATTCCAATCTAGAAACGGTGGTACACTGGCAAATATCTCAGTTCCTACCTCAGCCACTTCAACCTGTCTTTGACGACTGGGTCGTGACTTTCATCGATCTGATGCAGAATTTGAAGAGACCGGCAAATAATCCTGACGATGCCTCCGCAACTCCTCGGCCAACACAACTGGTTTCTGGTTTCATCAGTCTGACAGAGGATCCAACAAGCATGGAGGTTACGACGGTTCTCCAAGACGACTTCTCCAAGCCATTGAAGAAAAAGATTACGAGCCTAATCCGTCGTCAGCGTGAGGAACTACTCCATCATGAGCTGGCCAGCGACTGGTCTTTCCCATCACTGCCAGGCGGCTCATTGGAGGCTACGGACCAACGACACGCTCGCGATCCAGTCCTCGAACTGGTCAAAAGCCTAATGCAGATCATCTCACTGTCAAAGCCTCTACAGCTGGAAGCACGGCTCCTGCGCAAAGACCTACTGGCCCTCTTCGACGTCAAGGAGTTCTCTGCAGAAAGCCGCTTCGAGAACCCGAGCACGAGTCTCCGCTTCGACCTTCTCGTCTGCGACAACTGCACCATGACGCGCGACCTCGACCTCTGCCGCGACGAAGACATCCTCCCGGACACCACACGCGGCCAGGACAACGGCGGCGAAGACGACGCCGTCAACCGACCCTGGCGCTGCACCAGCTGCCACAGTGAATTCAACAAGATCCATCTCGAGGAGTCCCTGATCGGCCGTATCCAGGCGTCGCTGCTCGGCTGGCAGACCCAGGACCTCAAGTGCAAGAAGTGCGGCGTCCTGCAGGGCGACGATTGCCTGTTCGCCGACCACTGTACGTGCGGTGGCGAGTGGGCCGGCGTCGCAGATCGCAAGGACATCGCCAATACTTTGAGGGTCATGGAGAGGGTCGCCTCCGCGTATGGACTGCGGATGCTGCAGGGCGTTGTGGACGGCGTGAAGACCATGTCTGTGTTATGATGGTAGCACCATGTGAGGGACTAGAGTGGTGGATGAAATGAACTGGGAGTGGGAGTGGGCATTGCATGAGATATAAGTCATGAGGCATGTCATGTCTGCGTAGTGATGACAGCATTGATGTTCGATGATTTCAAAAACATGTTTGCGTTGCATTGTTGCATTCTCGGGCGTCTCTTGGGTGTGTTGTTCGTTCAGCGCCGAGGTCTCGGTGCATCTCGTACGACCCCGGAAGAGAGAGTGGCACAGGTGTAAATAAACGTGTCTTGATAACTACATTAATCCCAAATGCGTCTGAATTTGTCGATAGTCTAAACCCGTGGTGTGGTGGATTGTACATCCTGCCGCACTGAACGCACACGGTCACTTTTGTGCGAACTTCGACCCTGAGATTATATGTTTCGCCGTGCTGAACCCACATCAAGAATCCTGGTGTTTACTCTTCGGCAGCCTCGTTCTAGCCCGAAGCCATGGGGCAGCTCATAAAATAAAATAAAAATGGTCAACTTTACATGGTTGACCTGAGTGTGCAAACAGCCGCACGATGAGCGGCCGGCGACTCTGGCTGGTATATGCATTCGCTAATCTCAAAACTAACAGCATGAAGGAAAATGTGCCCGTAGGAGGTTTCGCTAGAGGCAGTGAGTGTCGACGATTTGGACTCAGTATGTTTGGGTCTTAAAACTGGGCGATGCAGAGCTTCTGCTTCATTTTCGCAAGCCAGAATCATTTGGCGTATCAGTTAGTAAAATTACCTCTGCCATGGTTAAAAGGCAATTCCAATAGAAAATTCGATCCTGTGTACACTCGACCATGTCGTTGAGTTGGGAAATGGAGCTGTCACATGAAAGCAAACATCACCAGTGCAAGCATCCGCGGATCGTGGGGTAAGGGCCAAGCGTCAAATCCGCAAATATAGTTTTCTGGTGTTGATCATCATCCTTCTCGTGGGGTTAGTCAGACTACATACGGAGCAGTCTCCTAAGTCTAGGCCGAGTGCCTCGTGACGGAGCCTTGTCAAAAAGTGCTCAGAGCCTAGAGGCAGTGTTTCGTAATTCCCACTTTCCACATCCAACATCCAACATTGAAGTCCGCTTTAGTTGTGAGTTCAATACATTGCGCGTCGAGATTCGCGGATAGCCAAGTCGATTGCAGCGATTTCTGAAACCTTACCTGTCGGACAAGAGTCATGGCTGAAAACTCAGGAGAGTGCCAGTCGTTTGCCCGGTCGGCGGTCGAACCCTCGGGATCGTAGTTGGCGAATGCGTGGGACTGCAGACAACGGTTAAATGCCGATATGCAGCGAGCTCATTTTCAACCGACTCGGACAGCAACAATTTACCGGTGGTCACCAACTGCATGTTGAAGTCAGAACAATTTCACTGCCCAACATATCTCTGATGTGCGATTCAGTTGAGATACCAGATCTCCCTGCAACCCGACTGTCCACTCGTCCGGACCAATGTTCTTGACCGCCTCAAAGAGGAAAAACAGCGATGAGTACGCCACACCGCCTCGACCAGCGCAGCGCCATTGAGCTGATTGTCTCAAAGTGCAAGGAATGCAGTCGAGGCTCCACACCACAGGATAATGCTAGACCATGATCCATGTCATCTGTGGGATGTGTTACAGAACCAGAGCCCGAGTAATTATCTGGTGTCTTGATTTGGAGGATGAGTGGTTGTGCTTTGCATAGGCTTGACTGAAACTCATCCAGTCATGCTTCTGATATGAGAAATGGGGAGAGCAAGCAGCTGTGTGCTAGCACATACACTTGCATGCCCAAAGATCTGTTGAGTAGGAGCGTGCCTTCTCAAGACCAATGACCCTTCTGTCTCGAAAAGCAGTGTCGATGGGTAACACTGGGAGAGATGGCAACTATGCAAGGGAGACGCTTGCAGAATGGAGATGTGCCATGTGCCATCATGCTGGCCTGGGTTGACTTACTGTGTTCTGAGATATCTGGGCTATTCACAGAGCATCTGATTGTTTCATAATCAAAGGTTCACGATCGAATTGGTTCGTAGGAGGCACATTCCTTCCGAGGGATGAACATCTGACCGAGCCACGCCAGTGTCTGACCAGTGTTCTGGTCAGAGCAAGCATTCGACGCGTATAATTCAAAGTAATCAACACCTACCGTGGCATCCTTCAAGATCAAGCTTTGTGCGGAAAATTGTAGAACGTCAACCTCCAGCTGAGTAGTATGCTGAGACAGTATTGGACAAGTATCTTGTCGTACGGTTGACCTAGTCCGACAGTACTTACTCATCGGCAACTTAGATTCCGAATATCAGAACACTGCCCTGAACTTTCCCCAAGCGACAATCGGGATTCGGTTAGCAAAGAACGTATCATGTCATCTTTGAACATTAATGCTAGTCAACAGAAGCCATGTGCTGCTACCACGACAGTACCTGTTGGTGTACCTCTAAGCTATGCGCGCCTTGATGGGCGAGCATTTCAGCTTCTTGCATTTTCAGTCAGACAAATCTCGCGATTTCTGGGAATGTGCTGAGGCGTTTTCCGACCTTAACTTGAACATCTCAGCTGATAATAGTCCTCTTGACACTGATCATTATTGAAGGGTCAACGACCATATCCAGGTTCGGGGTTTGGCCATGTTGCTACCGCCCGAAGAGTCGTCGATCGTAACATGTTCTTTGGTTCTCCAAAGGGCAAGGCGGGGGTTCTGTCGAACCTAATCACACGTAACCCAGTCCGATTTTGCACGATCAGATCAACGCCGCAACTGCTGCGTAGGGGATCAACAGAGTACGGAAAGCATCCTTCAGTTGCGGAAAACCCTCAGAGGGGCGCTTTCATTGTCCGTAGCATTGTGCATTATCCGCAGTTTTTCGTTCACTGGAAACTTGAGGTTGGCAGTTAGGATCCTCCCATTCGATCGCTTGCGGGATTAGCTTTCCTCCGTTCTTCGGTGAAGCAATTTCGAGTGACTGGTTTGAGATAAGACGTCCAAAGACGCGGGTTTGAAATATGACAACGGAGTTGTTCCGTGTCTTACTTGGGATGACAGATCTGCGCACAAAGTACTCTGTTAAGGTTTGGTGACTTCATGCTCGAAACGAGACACACACGCTAGATAGCAACAAAAAGTCAAAGAGCGTATCAATTGAACCAGCCGAGAGTGAACTCATCTTCCTGAAGTTTCTTGTAGTGGGGTCTTGATGATGATACGGGAAATGGTCGATGTAATGATTCGGCCCTTGGTTCAGTGGTACCCTTCTTGCCGACTTGTCGTTCTCTGAGAGGAAGTGTTGAAAAGGTTGACTCTGACGTCCAAATGTTGAGGGAGGCATTTCCCCCGCAATAACGTCAACTAGAGAGTAACTAACTGGCGGAAGCCATTTCCTCCCGCATATCCGGGGTAAACAGTAGACGTTGATTCATCTGTTTAGGGCCCTCGGCACCCCTCAATCCTCGGCAACTGAACTTCCAGGGGGAAACAGCTGCCTAAGCTGCCTGGGCTGACGAAAAGCTTTTGTCCGCCGCTTCCCCGCGAGGGAAGAACTTTGATACAATACCAGAATTTCACTAGCATGGTGTAAGTTCAGTCTATCGACAGGATTTTCAATTCTTGCAGTTGTCAGAGTCAGTCGCGAAGGGTTATCAAAACTGTGTTGGACAGGACAGGAGACCCCAGGAGGTACAGTCTTCATGAAATCAGAGTGTATGAAAGTCTGTGTGCCTTGAAATCTTCACACTTGCATGACAAGGACATGTAAATGAGATAGACTTTGCTCATCACGGTTCAGTCAAAGACTGAAATATTTGTAAAGGGCAGAGCCAGGACTGATTTCTAGCACGTCGTACGTGAGTTCCAAAACAATCTGTCCAGTACTCCATAGGATGAGTGTGACATGTCGAATAAATGGATCAGTCAAAGAGAACGTTACACATGGGCCGGCTCGTCATGCAGGGGAAACATCATAACGGATTCCAGTTTCCTTGCACTACTCAGCTTGCATTTTGATGGGGAGCGTCTATTGTGTGATAATAAACACAGAATTGAACCTTTCCTGGCTGTACAAAACACTTGACTTGTCGAACATTTGATCGTTCTTGTTGCGGTCGTTCACACCAAGAAGACCGTTCGCATTCGTACGCGAAGATCCACACTTGACAGTATTGTGACTTTCTCCATATTCAAGGCCGAGAGATAAATCAGCCGATCGCTGGACTTTGCTCAAGAGAAATCATGTTGGACCACTCGCCCACGAGTGACCGTCTCCACCGCATGAGGTTCGGATTTGACAAGAGCACGTCAATATCAGTAAGCGGGTTGAATAAGCATTTCCTAGATAAATAGTTTGAGGTTTAGGTCGTTGCTTGCACCTGGGACTTACTCGTAGCATGGCTCGAGCAGCCAACCTTGGTGTGGGAAGAAGGGTTTCCCGAGCGACGGCTTGACTCTTCGGACCGAGTGACCTTTTGTGAAGGAGAATCTGAAGGGTGCGAGTGGTAATGTTCCATGTAAAAAAAGCCTGACTGGGGTAATAATTACTTGAACGCTAAGGTCCAAGCAAGACATTGACCTGGAGATCCGTTCTGGGCGTGCATATGATTCGAGAGGCAACCTCGCAAAGACTATTAAGTTTTGTTTATCTTCGTGACAACTGATATTGAACTTCATCGGTGGCCTCGCCAACAATTGCTTCGATTGTCCGTCAACTCGGAGACGAACCTAGCCGTTATTTGCATAGCCAAGAGATAAAACTCATGTAACTAGGACGGAGATGTGACTCCAGAAGTGGAGACGAACTTTGAACTCGACAAGGTATTGTTCCAAGTGTTTCGCCATGGTCATTAATGTCGTAGCTCGATGAGTTCCACTGCTTAGACCAGCTGGGAGTCATGACTTACGACGTGTGAGCAGGACAACTTGTGAGAATCTCATGCTGATGGATGAATGGATGGATGGATGGAAACAACCTACCTAGAATCAATGATGGATTGCATCAGTTCATTTCCATCAAGGTTCTCCGCAGAATGTATCGTACTTACATACCCCACCATTACTTGTTAAAAAGATGGGGCTAAGGCAAGCTGCAGCCTGCACGGATTAGAGTAAGTCCGAAGAATTGTCCTACGGCCAAGGGACAGTAACCTTGTGTCCACAATCACGCACTTGCAATCTGCTTTTTTGACGTACTGCACCACAGACCAAGGCCGACAGTACACCTGGTTCGTCTTTCATGGAGGCCCCTGAAACCATGAGTAATTGAGAAAGACTATTCCAAAGGTTGATACAGATAAGGCTTTTGGATCCATAGAACACCTGATAAGGAAGATCGACATGTCCCCGACTAGAGCCCAGCACAGAAAGTAGCTCGCTGGGGAGCATCGAGAAGGTATCTATGCCGATATTGCCGCGAACTGCCTATGGAACGCACCAAGGGAGAGTTCACCCGGTCCCCCATGAGGAACGTAACCGTAATGATGAGTACCATGGCCCTAGCCGGGTCTCTAGTAGTGCTGAGACGGTCCCGAGGTAGCTACCAGGCAATCAGCATGTCATCCGAGCATTACCGACTCGAGGTCGAGTCGAGGATGATGGAGACTTGGCCAATACAATAGTCATGCCGGATGGGCGCCCCGGAAAGATGGAGTATTGCTGGCCAGCAGCTTTAATAAGTCCAAGTGTCGATCAGAAATGTCTTTGCAACCTTGTCCCCACTGGCGGTCAATAGTCTTTGAAACACATGTAATAGTGACAACACAGAATGGCCCATGCTCCCGCTCCCTTTTGCGAGGCACGGAAACAGTCCGATGTAGTTGAACAGATGCTCACAGCATGATCGGAGAAGCCGTTGTATTCATTTGCCCAAATGAGCACGGGGATGGATTCAATATTGCGGTGTCTCACTCTCACTCGTTAAAATTGATCAATGATGTAGCGGAGCTGTCTGCCTAGAATTTTATCCATGACGAGACATTGTCATCCTTTGGCATCATCGACCAGGAATAATTAGACATGCTCCTCGCGCCGTACGAAATACGGAGTGGTTGACGGAATTTGCTGCTGGAGTTTCTGTCCATGGCACGGATACTCGAATGCTCCCGAGGACTTCTCGTATCCAGCAAGCCTCGCATTTCTGACTCCACAAAGATCTTCGGCACGAGAGCTCGGGGCTCCGCGATTACCCCGTCTTGGGTGCCTTTCAGAGGTCGGCAGAAATGTTGGATGATTCTTCGTCTGGGGAAACCTCGCTCTAATTTGCGACAATCATCTTGCCACGAGAAAGGACAAAGACAGTGCGAGCGCGAATACGCAGTAACTTCCAAGCCTCTGACCGCCGGATTGCCTCGTGTCATTCCAGTATCGTAATGCATGCGCAAGATTGGGCCATTGCGGTCTTTCCTCATAGTGATTGTGTAGTGATGCATCATCTGAGCCCTGCATAGTGTGGGGGATTAGTTGCACAGGCTGATAAGCTGAACATCCCTAGTGGTACTCTGTACTGCAGGTGATCTGAGGATTAGTCGTTGGCCCCCCATGTTTGACATCCTGTTCTTGTGTGAAAAGGCCGACCGCAAAATGTTGCCTTGGATCGCCAGGATTGACCGTGCCCCAAAGTGACAGCCTCTCCGTCCCAAGCGAGTCCGGGGTTCGGTTGAACTGTGTTGAAGAGGCTTTTTGAACGGGCGCCAGTGATGCAATGTGACTCAGCTGTCAAAAGTCAAGGAAATTTCCAGTTTTCCGAACAAGGAATTAGCAGACTGCCATGACTCGAACTCTGATAACTGTTCGATTGGGTGGTGCTGGGTTTGCAGTCCGAGGAGTATATGGCGCGATAAGCCTGAAAGTGGACAATGAACGGCAACGGTCACAACTCACCAAGCAAGAGTGCTCCATGTGATTGATCACAGTGCCTGCCTGACCCTCACATGAAAGTACAAACCCAGGGGACACTAATTTTGGCTGGGCACAGCATCTGGCTTGTAAAGCTTTGAATTGGGCTATCTGAAATTACACATGTAAACGTGGGATTGGCTGCTCTGCAGAATGCGAGTGCCTGTTGCCTGACTCGAAAACCAATATCTCTGCCAAAAAAATCACCAATAAACACCATCTATTTCGCGCAATCGTGTGGCGCATTCCATGATAATCCTGATCCGTCTATACCTCGCTCCTTGCTGTTATTCTACCGTAATTGAATACCTGATCAGCTCATGGGGCTTGATCGTCCAAATCGATACAATAGACACCGTCTTGTAAACTCCAACAAAGAGAAATAAAATTCTGAGTGAAGAAACCGATACAACTCTGCGTAGCGTAAAGCAATACTGGGAAGCCTTGAAGCCTTCATGTGTTCGTTTTCGAATAAAGTGGTCATCTTGTCATAATGTCTCCGTTAACGGATGGCGCTTTGCTGGATTCGCCTGAACTCAGACCGCTTGGCGGGTTCAACATATCTGAGAGGCCGATTTTGGGAAGTTGCGGCACCGGGAGTTTTCGCTGAGTGCCAGTAACGATGTCGGCGATGGAAGGGCCGCTATGCTGAGGAGGGGGGATGTGAGCATAAGACCCATCTGCTTGAGGTTCCATTGGGGCCAACAATGGAGTGTGGCCCAAAGACAAGTGTCGAAGCCCAGGGAGCTGGAGATCGCTACCATGTGGGCGAAGACGCGGAGAGTGACCTGGAGTGGCAAGTGGCGTATGATCTGGCGTTGGCGATATTGACTCGTGTGAGAATGTTGGAGACGATGGAGCCGTAGAATGAGGCGAGTTGGGTCTGGATCTCTTCGTTCGATGATCCTCGTCATGGTTCTCTTGAGAGTGGGATCTTGACATGGAGTGAGAGATAGCGTAGGCCGACAGAGACGGTAAACGCCCATTGCTGTTGTAGTTTCGGTGACTGAATAGATGGTGCTGATGCTGATAGGGCACTCTGGTGACATGCTCATCTCGCTCCACTTGAGAAGCAGCAGTGGCCAGAAGGTTGATATCCATCGAATTTCCTCTGTCGTCGATTCGGCCAAAGGGAGTCAGATGAGATGGAAGATGAGAGCTATGGCCAGTATGCATGGCGAAAGTATGAGGCGGTGAAACATTGGGAGAACCAGCGACTGAGGTGGGTGCCGACCGTGGCATGTTGGCCTTGTTGGGAGGGGGCAACATTTGTGCTTGGGCTGCAAAGTTGGGGTTGGAACCGTCCTGAAGGCCGGCCAGGGCGGCAGCGGCGGCAACCTGGTGAGTTTTCTGATTCCTGCGGGAATTGGGATTGTTGTGAATGCGCGAGTGTCGAGTCAACTCGTCGGAGCGGCTAAATCTCTTGCTGCATCCTGGGAATTGACAAGCGTGAGGCTTCTCTCCTGTGTGGGTACGAATGTGTCTCGTCTGATGTTCAAGTCGATGAAAGGCTCTGTCGCACAAGGGGCATTTGTAGGGTCGAGGAAGGTCCTGCCTCTCTTCGCCGTTGTTCGGGTTGGCCAAAGCAGTAGGCATCAGGCTGACGGCGGTAGCCATGTCGACGTCTGTCTGGGTCGAGGTGGAGGCGTTGTTGTCCAAGGAGGCTGCGGCGAAGTCTGCTGAAGGGGGAGAGATGGGAGCAGGAATGGAAGAAGGTGGAGGAGAAGGGTTGAGAAGAGCAGTAAAGTCTACTGCAGACGAAGAGCGTTGCATTCGAGCGAGGAGACAAATTGTTCCCCGAGAAGATCGCTTATCGTGGGGTGAATCATCCACTTTACCCTAGGGGCAGTCGACGTGACGCATGCAAATGTCTGGCCAACCTGGGGTCGGAAAGGGAGGGAAGGCGCAAATGATGCGGAAGGTGGACTAATAGTGTGGGCAGGTTGGAGTGGACAGTGGTGTGGTGTGCAGACGGTGGTGGTAAGGTGTGGTCAGAGAATTGAATGTGTCGGGGGGTTGGAAAGAAGGTGACGAAGAGATGAGGTAGGTACGAACAGAGTACTCCCCAAGTTAGGTCTGCGAGATTTTGGGCTGAGAGAGGGATGAGCCGGTCGGGCGTTCTGGTGATTGGAATCTCGGAGGGAAAAGTCCAGGCAGTTTGTGCGCAAAGGAAATGCAAATGGAAATTATCCGGCAATGCGGACTGGAAACTGGAGACCGGGGGGAGCAGGGGTGGGTGCTGATGAGACAAGGTGGGTGGCTGTCTTTGCTTTTCCTTTGGATTCTGACGGAAGGATGCAGAAGCAGAAAGAGGCGAGGGTCCAAAATGCTGAGTGAGGGTGAAGTGAAGGCTGAGGTCTGACGGGAAGTCTGGGGGTGCCGAACCAAGTGTGGGCGGGATTGACTGGTACCAATAATACCGAGTACGAGGTACGAAGAATGCCCGCGGTTAAGGGAGATACCTAAGTAGGTACCTGACCGTGCGGCTTTTCGGGGCAAGGCAGGCTCAGGTTCAGGCTCAGGCTCCAGGCTCCAGGCTCAGCGCTCCTCCCCTTAGGCCCTGATGTGACGGTTTCGTAAGGTTGGGGTATTCCCAGGCTTGGGGATGGATTGGGTTGGGCCAGGGCAAATTGAGTGGGAACAGCTAGCGTAATCCTTATCGGTTCAGCTGAAAGGGATACCCGTCGTTTACTGCCAGTGCGAGAGATGGAGAAGTGGCTCGGAGTCTATTGACAGATCCTGGGACAAGGATGCTGTAAGTTGTAACTCTGAGAACTTGAAAGGCCTTGGTTCCGAAGTCAGAGCTCAACTCGGTCGGAGAACAGGGCCGAGGAACAGAATGAGACTTTGGGTCACTTGTACCGCGCGTCGGATGTCTCTACGAGTACCTTGAACGCCCTTGAGACAGGTGTGCCAGAGCCAGTGCCGAGTGTGGCCGAGGTCGCTCTTTTGGAAAGCCGTCACACGTAAGTGATGGTGCGAGGTGCATAGGCTTGTTAGCACTACTACTCAGGTACTTAGTAATTCAATTGATCTCATTATTGCTTCGCGGCCTCTCCCCAGGTCAACCGGGTCTTGATATAAGTGATACCTCGCCCACCTCCAACGCCAGTCAGTCCACGGTGGATTTCTACTGCCATACAGGACTCGTACCAACCCTGGCTGGCACCCTACTCGTTCTGCGTACGTACAGTACCTACATAGGTACCTGGCAAATGAGATGACACTGCTGGTCCGCAATAAAATCAGTAGAATGACACAGGCGGTGACTTGCAAATACGGGCAATGGCGATAGTGGAAGGACGCCAATCCAACAAATAATATGGGGAAGGGCCTTGTTCGGCGTGGGGCGCCCTGTGCCCTACTAGGCTGCCTAGGTGCGATTATCCCGGACGGATAGTGTTCCAAGGGGTGTGGTGCGGCGGTGCCTGAATGTTCTTTCCCAGTGCTTGAATGACGTGATGCTCGGTGTTGGCGTTGAGGCTTATGGAGCTGGATGGGCCACTCCCGGGGAGAAAAATAATTAATACCTCGCTCCCAAGGTCTGATTGAGCCAACTCGCTCAATAGGAGTATATACGGACACTCACCGCAAGATGCATGTGCTTGACTTTAGTGTGGGACTCTCTTGGAATGTTGAAACCTTTGAAAAGGAGTAAAGCTGAGGGCATCAAAACGCAGCCGAACAAGTACCGTTTTGGCGACCCATGGGCAAATACGGGCCTGATTTCGGGGTTTGAGTGACATGTGGAGAGGCGCATGTCTCTTGTCAGACAAAATCAATTGAAAACCCGGCCTTTTCCAGCTCACGAAAACGACTCGGAATAGGACGGGCACGTCCAAGCTCAAATCACGACACTCCTCAGGCTATGGAGTCCATGGTACGAAATAGAATAATGATGACGACTGCGGGTATATTCATATCCAGCCAAGAGGCCAGAAACTTTCACATGGAAACGATGCCCTTCAATCCGCCACGCCACGGCCCTGAAGGTAATCGATGAGAAAGCAAAGGAAAGAAAGCCCATGCATGTCAGAATGCGCCTCTGAGATTCAGACCGAGCCTCCTGCTGTGCCACAGTAAATGTTTAATTCTACACGCCACAGACATCTCGGACCAGAAGCGCTTAAAAGGAAAAATGCCATCCCTCTACCGACCGGAGGAATGGTCTGTGAACATTCCCTAGTGACCGAGACCGGGAGTCCCTCGAGTCTATCATCACGGACGACTCTAATATCCAAGTCTTTGAAAAAATTCCTTGTGGGATGAGGCTTTCACACGCGGCCCTGCGGAAGCCTATTATTGGGTGATAGCATTCCTGCTCAGATGCATGTGGATGGGGCGGCCCCAGTCCGTCACCTTGGTGGGTTGCCGACACTTTGGAATGGAACGTTAATCTGGCGTACCTAGCTCAGCCATCGCCAAATGTCACAGATTAAAAAATTTTGGGATTGCGACACCGTGACCTGGCCTTTACCGTCTCCGTCACGAGCCAACAAAGTCTATGACATTCTAGACACGACTCACGCTTTTGATCCGTTGAGCGCTGGGCTCATGGTCAGACGCCTCGTCATGATCCAGATCAACAGCAAAAGGAGTTTTTGTTGGGCACAAACCTATATCTAAAGCAAAGGCATTGAACTGCAAACTGGGTCTGGGGTAAAATCTAGAAACGCTTTCGGTTACCCCTTCGCCAAGTCACTAAACAATGATGCGACCCGAGGTGGCATGCATCAGCAAGCCACCCCGAATGTCCTTTGCCGCAATCCTCCGCGGGCGCCTTGTCCCCTTGGGTCTTTGACAGTTATAAGACGATCCCCACGCTGGTATTTATCATCGCTGTCATCATGGTTTGCATCGGCTTTCGAGTCATCCAAAATAAACGTATGGTCATCACGATCGATTATCCAAAACGCAGTTTTTGTTCTCCCGCTGATCAACATAGAGGAATGTAACATCGTTATGACATGCTGTTTTCACCCCCGGCTGCTCGCTGTTAGAGTGTACAATGCACGAGGGTTCTAAAAGTACAAGACTATTCCATGTGTTCATCAGCACACCCCAACTCCCATCCGGAATAAAATGCCTGACCTGAAACCAGTACCTCGTTATGCTAGTTGATGACTTCGTAGTAGCCCGCCTCCAAAAACAAAAGAAGACCAGCATCCGAAGTATCCCACGCTGTAATCAAAACAGATCCGGCCTGAGTCGGAAGTTTCGGCCCCAAAAATACCTGTCGACTCCGTGGGATGATGCCCCTTGGGTCTGCTCCAGTGATCAAGCCTGAGGCACGACCTGACTCAGCTACTCTTATTCAGACTCATCTTTCCCAGGCATGCGTGATCGATAGGCTTTGCTGATGGGTGCTTTCTTCTCCAAAAAAAAGGTGACGCAGGCGATGACCGGACCAACCAATTTTGCCAATCTTTTTCAGGAGGTTGTCTCATCCATGATGCGTTTGGCAATCGAAATGAAAGGGCGGTTGATCGTGATAAGCCACATCAATGGCGACATGTTTACCTATCGATTCGAATATGCTCTCGGAAACCAGGGCGCTCGTAAAGTCCTCCGTCCAGTGAACACCCTCGACACATGACAGAATCGAGATCTCCCACTTTCTGCTGCCTACTCGTAGACATGGCGTTGGATGGATGCGTCCAGCAATCGTAACTGTTTATGTCTTCCCCACGGTTGTTGCCTGATAGCAGAAAAGCGGCAAGCTACTGATTGCCAATTGGCGAATCATACTCTGTATCGGTCGCTGGATCGGCGTACTTCACCTCGAATAATGGTCTTATCAGGCTCTTACATTACCTAGAACCCCGTAGTACGCCTAGTGATCTACAAGCAAGACTAGATCTATCGTTATCGAGACCTGTGCCTACAATCGGTCCTTTGAGTCCTGGCTAAAACTCGCCTTCAAAAAGCTCGACTTCCAAGTAACCTTATGAAGTAAGAGTACGAGCTATAGATATGCCACAGCCAACTGCTCATCCACGCCCCGATTGCCCACTGTTCAAGTTGCGGGACATGGAACTCGGCCATCCCACAACAATTTCATTCTTCCACCAGCAGCCGGGCGTGGCCTGACAAAGTCCGAGCACCCTGAAGGCAGTCACGCAATGCACAATCTCAGGGCAAGGAGACAAATCTTGATAAGCACGCCAGTGGGGCCTGGAATTGAATTCAGCCTGATGTTGTGGCTTGTTTCCCCACAGGGGCAGCTTTGTGGGGAGAGTCCTCCCAAGCTTCTGGAGCACAGCAAAGTTTGACCACCCGTCTTCCGATTGTCTTCAACTGAAGGCCTAGATTCTGATACCTGGCGTCTGCTTCAAATTGCTTTGTCTGACTCTCGCATCGGTGGATCAGTCAATCAGCTCATGCTCAGAGCGTGGGATTGCGATTTGTTACATGATCGGAGATCACATTGATGGTTGAATTATGGGGCGAGACCAGTGGGCTTGATAGTCTTGCAAGTTGCGGCGACTTTACCCCCGGAGTAAGTACGGAGTAGGAAGTACCTAAGGCTACACCTCTGCGACAATCATTGAAGAATCGACCTACCCACCTTGGCCCGGCGCAGAGATAAGCAGACCTGGAGTTACGGAGCAGATATATCCGTATCAATCAGATACCCATGGACTGCGTACCTCGCATCTAGGTACCTAGGTAAGCAGGTGCTCCGGAGGTACATTTTCGGTTTGTCTTCGGGACAGAATGGTCTCGATAAGACGCGGAACCGACGGCCCGAAATCTCATGTCAGATCATAGTGTGAAAAGCTCAAAAATCACCCCCAAACTCGAGACAATAATGATGATCATAATGGTTCACCCGAGGCAAGCCTGCTGGCTGGAGACATACTGTGGCAAGTTGGCGACTCGAGCTAGGTACCCAGTTACCCACGTACGGTGTACCAAGCTATCTACAAGGCACCGAGGCTTGCGAGATTGTCTTGCCAACCATGGCCGAGAACGAAGCTGAAAACCTTCCAACACAACTACGCTTCAGGTCTGTCACGAAATCAAGTGACTATTTATACGGACAACATTGTCGGTGTCTCTCGCAGTTGAGAGATGTCGTTGCTTGCGACTAATAGTGACCTGGCCATCAAAAGTATCAGGCTCTGCACCGGGACCTTTCCGAGAAGCCCCTTTTAAACCGATGCCTCGTTCCTCGTGGATCGGGTTCCCGCCTTGTGGGTGACTTTGACGATGAACGGTTCGAAAGCAGCCCTCTCCTCATGCTCCGAACACGAACTTTGCATTGTAACCATTGCAAGCTTGCACCAAAACTCGTAATGTGACTGCACAGCAGGCATCGATTGCTAACTATCCCTTGACCACGGAAGACAACCGTTACTTCAGCACGTGTTCAGCTTGCTCATACCAAAAAACAGATCGGACTTGCGTCGGAACCGAAGCGACTTCGCGTTTCGAACAGGTTTCTATCCGAAACTCAAACAAAACACTCCTGGGCATCTGGGTGGTGTTTGATACAGCAAACAGCTAGGAACGAACCTCTCCTGCCGGTTCATATCACATGTCAGGCTACGAGGTGACTATTCGCTCTGTCTATTGTATTGGTGTTATCGGCGCAGTTGGCCGACTTTCTGCGACATTTTCAAATCGAGGCGAGACTGAGTCCGACTTTCCTCAGCGGGCAGGACTTTCTTGCTAGCACAATATCCATATGCAGCATTCCATCGTTCCGGTTGACCTCTTTGGGCTTGACCACTACTAGAGATGAAATGTGGCGGTCGTGGAAATGCGAACAAATTTCCCAGCCTGACCAAAATATTAAAATTTTTTCTAGAAATCAAATCCCGCGGATGTACCCGCAGTATCATCCAGTCAAGGACCCGCATGGCCACCTACTCGTAAGATCCCATATCGCACCATATTGATATGGAGTGTGAATCGCGTTATCTTCCCTCGCCCGTCAGCTTATCATGGGATACACGGATATACGACGCTGCGATTTCGCAGACCGCTGCATGTGAAAGTCAAGAATCAAATCAGAGCTCGGTCATCACACCCCGAGACGGCGGAGCCTGAGATGGAGACCAGGAATCCTCCTTCCGCCCGATGAACACGTTTTATTGACAGTGGCCATGTTGAATAACGACTTTGCGAAATCTCTATCCCCCTGAGGCCCGCCTCTGGGATAAATTCAACGTTTACGCATCAGGCTTCATTGCCGTCAAGTATTGCATCAGCATGACAAAGACGTGAACCCAACAATGCTTCTCGATGCTACTGCTAACTTTGCAATGGCCATCACCACGTCGTGAATCGAAACATGTGGTGGACATAGGTCGGGTGCATCTCGGGAATGGTCGAATGGTGTGAATTAAATTTTCATGCTTTAGGAGATGATATCCGCCTCCCCGTGTTGCCTCAATGACGTGTTTGTAGTGCAGTGATTGTTTGGGAGGGAGTTTTCATCCAGTTACATATCTTTTCATTCACTTAAGGTCCAGAGTTGAGTTCAGGTGAGTTGCGAGGCTTTGAGGCGCTCTTTTTCTCCAAAATCACCCGAGTTATACAGCATGGCCTGGGATATAAGTGCAGTGGGAAGATAGCATAGAGATGCCCAGTGTATAACTAAATATCTAGGCAAGTTCGAATTGAATTTAATTATACCTTCTTTAGTTACCTACGTAATCATGTGCAACGTATCAAGACAATAACTGCACCGCAACTCTTCATGCTCGGCATTTCTTCTACTTCACGTAGTATGGTAGAGGATTAATTCTCAATCTGATAAGCAGTGTCTGCGCGCTCAGTTACCTTTGTAATTCACGCTGTTTTGCACGAACCCACGAACCCATTGACGGAGACGCCATGGCTGAATTTCCGCTTCTGACTTCAATCGTTTACTTGAACTGTGAACAAAGATTGGTGATCTTTCTGCTCAATGACTTGCATTTCTTACACATATCGCAATCATAGACCTGCCTCCAGAACTCGGTACCCTCCGGCGACGTCGAGTCATGCTCTGAGTACCTGCCAAGACCTCACTTGGAAAGTTTACAATGCCGATGATATCATACCTGCTAAAGTTCTCCGCCTGCAGTCCGGTGCGCGTGTCCCTGACACACCGTGACGCTGAAGGACGACCGACAATGACCATCAACGCTCGAATACTGCAAGTATCTCAACGACAGACTCACACGTGTGTACAACGATACCAATATATGCAATGAATTAAGACCTCTTCTACATGCTCTCTCTGCGGTAATTCTGCACGATTCTCAAAGTTCTCTGATTAATTCCCATCACGCGAAATCATGGCTCCTGCTCACAAACGAAACTTGAACATCGACGACTCGAGGTCCGAAACCTCGAGTACAGTGCCGAACCATAAGGACGGAAAGAATCATTTGGTCCCCACCAACATTTCAGGGACCTCCAAGAACAATCGCGCAGTCAACGGCTCAACCACGAAAGCCTCTCTGAACGGGGCTGCCGTGGCTGCGGCTGCGGCTGCTACAGCACTTGCCCAAGCTGCTCCAGTAGTGGCTGATAAAGACCCTAAGGTTCCTCGTGTATGTTCAAAAGTTCCATTTTGGCTCGGTCCAGCAAGCTGACAGCCATTCTTCACAGCAAGCAGATTGGACCTCAACTCCCAACTCCGTTCTCCGCACTTATCGAATTGCGTACCGGCTTCAAGCCCCCTCCACATTCTGCCATCCTCATGCCGACATAATTCACAAATCCTCGTCAATAGCCCTCCGATCGCCCTCAGCAGTCCTTGCTCGTCGTAGACTTCGTGAAGAGAAGCATCGACGAAGGAAAGTCGATCTCCAACAACTGAACGGGTCCTCCGTCGCCACCAACAACAAAGTCGCCAAGTCTAAGAACAAGAAGAAGGACAAGGACAAGTCAAAAGATGTAAACTCCCTAGAGACGTCAAGCACAGTGGGCTCTGCGTTGGCCCAGTCCATCGAGCCTCCTGATGGTACACAAAGTACAGATCCCTCTCAGCCTCACCCGCCGTCTTCCCCTTCTTCAACCTCTACAACATACCTCGGCCCACGTGAGCCATCCTCCCAGTTGGCTGTCTCGGTGCGCAAACACTTCAATGCACAACAGGTCAGCGAGGCCGACACCATTGCACGTTTTACGTATGTTGTCCAGCAAGCAGGCCGGTCGGTGTGGACTGAAGGCTGTGAGGGTGACGGCGCGGGCTCCTGGATGGGAAGTCATGGCCGTGAGATCAGGAAAGCCGATGGCCCTGGAGGCGAAGTCGGCTTTCGATTACGATTCAGGCCTTGATTTGAATTTTCGGTTCAGTTGTCAATGTTATCACTCAAGGTTGTGCGAGGCGTTCGCTGCCTCTGCATGCTACGAGGCTGGACTCGGACTGGCTGGATGGAGTCAGATGCCATGTTTGAGATGATACTTCAGATATTATCTAGCTATGGCACCAATTACAGAACGCATATTTGTACATTACGGGGTGTTCTGGGATATCATGTAAATGGCCAACGGAGACGGAAGGCGTTCTTACGGTCTCAGACGTGGATATCTTTACCACTCATCTTCTAAGTAGTTAATTCCGGCCATGACTCAATTCTCAACATTTCGTGCACTGCCATCCGAACACCAATTCTGTCTTCTCATATCTGATGGCTGCGCTGTGAAACCATTGTATCGACATCTCAGGGCTGAACCTGAAACTGATCGGACAGATAACAGATTGTTCTCGCATGGAAACATGTTTCCCAAGCCACGATGACGAGCAACGTGCGGGCCTCTAAACTCCACAGGCCTCCTCAGCCTTACAGCACTTTCAGCCTCCTGTGAGGCCATTCTCCCCGGCCTGCAGCCTCTCCACCTGTTGACCACCGACACGACCATCTCCCCTTGATCGATCGTGATTCCGTAACGGATATTGATTGACAGCGACTTTGACGAGGAAGGACGAAAAAACCCGCACAGTTGGACAGGATACTTGGGGCCAGACCGGGCCGTTGAATCTACTGCTGGGTTATCACAATCTCCTCGTCTGCTGGAGACCTGGTTGGTGTGTTGATTGTCCACCGGGTCGATTTCACCACGGTATTCGTCATGTGATGTGATGTGATGTGATGTGTGTCGCGCCGGGCAACGACCAGGTACCGCTCTAAAGTGTCTCCTCGTTGCTGTGTATGCAGATCTTGGGAGTCGTCAAATTTGGATGGTTGTAGCGCAAGGTGAGATCATGGAGGCGAACGGCTGCCGGAGAGAAGAGACATGCGAATCTAAGCCGTGGTGTCTATGTTGAAGAGATCTTTGGTCCCTTGTTCCCGCATCAGACTAAGTGATGCGTGCCCTTTCCGATCATCGGGCGGTTCAAGTGCTGAGGCTTTTCCAATTTGCCGTGGTGCTGAGTGCTACGGGCACTCTGGATATCCGGAAGAAATAACCGCCAGCAAGCGACGGGCCAGACGTACTTACTAGGTGAGTATCATGCTAGTAGCAGCGTCATATATGACAGCAGTGAGGACCCTGGACCCCGGCTTTGAGCCCTCCGAAATGAGGCACACAATTCATCCTGATGAGCCCCGGTAGCGTTGGACTTGACGCCCATTGCGATAGTTGTAGCAGCCCTGGGAGATGGTAAGGAGCGGTTGGTCGCACACCCGCCTTGTCGCAAGTGCTGAGCCTTGTGGTAGCTCTCATGGTGGTGATAGAGACCATAGGCTAATAGGCCAATAGCACATCGTTCTGAACAAATCCTGGTGGTTTTGATAATGCATTAATACTCCTGGGTTGTGGTCGACCGCTGGGATCCACAAATGCTTTCGCGCACACATCAGATGCAGGTTATGGACATGCACTTCCCGAATGGACATATATCACATTCCTGGAAATCCTCTTAATCTGCTCGCTCCAAGAGAGGAATAAACCACTGCTGTCCAGGCGCAAAAGCTTGGCCGTGATAGCTAGAGAAAATCAAATTTGCAGCACTGAACCAACCGTCAGGGATTCATATAAACAAACCAAAGGCAGGGTCTGGATTTGGGAAAATATAGACGCACTCCCATGGAGATGTGCCCAGACTAAGACCTACCGTCGCTGGTCGTTGTTCAAACCATGTGTCGACTTTGAAGTTCACGTCTCAAGCCCGATGTGCCCTTCAGGGTTGATTTGATATGTGACCAGCAAACCATTGGTCAAGAACGTCATGAGCTCAAACTTCTGCGGCTGATCGTGGTGATGTGACAGATGATCCGAAGTTCGCCTGTTCATCGGCGACCGAAAATTACAGTATGTGCAATACAAACATGCTGTGAACATCCAACCTGGTTCCCGGGTATAAACAGACTTACCGCTTATTGCTGTGGCTTGCCGAATCCAATGGAACCATGGCCATCTATGCTCGTAGTTACATTCCTTCGCTGAAGAATCCTTACAACTCACCTCTCTTCCATTTTGTCATTGATTCATTAGTTGAAGTCTTGTTCTCGTTCTGCTTCCTGCCAAGTCCAGTGATCGATGAGAGAGGAAGCGGTGTAGTAAGTAGCAATCATCTTTCGGAATTTGAGGCAGGCATGATGAAGATCGAGTTGATTCATGTAAGTCACCCAATTGCCGACGTTCTGCGGAGCCATCCAGGAGCAGTAAATATAGGTCACGGGGGCCCGAAAATAAGAAGAAGGATTGACAGCCCTCTGTCTGGCTTTCAGCCGCCAATACACTTTTCGTTCCCGCATGCGGCGGTCAGGGAAAGATCGGGTTAGGCGCCTTTAGCCAAATTTGGTTCGATGCCGTCAAACTTGCGGAAGAGCATATCGTGTTTCATCAGTCCACAGCTGGGTTTTGAGAGAATTGTGGATGAAGGACGTGGCAGATGGCATGACCCTGGAATGAGGATGCGGAGCATCGGATGGCATACATTGCACCACACTCGGAACGCTCCTACTCAAGGCTGTGCTCGCCTGTCGGCACTGGTCTGCTCGTTTTGTTGAATGAGGAGGCCTACAGATCCTTTGGACCAAGAACAACCCTGATGAATGATTGCTCGATTGTAGGGAAGAAGCCGAGTTTAGTTTCTCTCTGCACCAGTCAGGAGTTTATGAGTAGTCACAGCGAGGACTAGGAATGCCACGATAGTAGCGTACCTAGTACGAGTAGTTAGTAACACTTTTTCTAGTCCTTGGATCGGGGAGACCATGGTGATGTCCGGAACCCAATCCAGGTTAGCATGATGCGAAGCGAGACAGTTGGCTCTGCACACTGCGGGTTCGTCCGGAAACTCGGTACTTGTTGGCAAGAATCCCTGGTCCACTTCGCAAGGAATTCTCGCACACAGAGAATAGGAGAAGTAGCGGTGTGTTACGAGGCTGGGCCGGGATGAACTTCGGTCCAAACAATCAAGAAACGCACTCGATGCAACAGAACATAACTACAAATAATAATGCATCACAGAAATGATTCCCTTTGCAACACGGGATGTAGGAGAGTCACGGATGATGGGGGGATGAGGTTGAATTGGCTAAATGAAGTATGGTGGTGGTCATATTGGGCAGTGGTTCGAGTCTGGGGTAATGGTCTGCAGCGCTTGATGTGGCTGTCATGAGATCATAGTGCCGATGACGGCCCTTCATAGTAGATAGATGAAAAGACTGTGGTAGGACAAGCAATATGATGTCAGCGCTTGAGAGACCAGAAGAACAGAACCAATTGGGGAGGAAAAGAAAGAATGCATTTCAGTATGTTCATGCCCAACTCAAGGCGACAAATCTGAGTCTAAGGGCTGAGGGTAATGCTTGTGACTGGCCGTGACGCAGGCGTTTGGCAGAAAGATGTCGACGGTGCAGTAGTCAGAATTTGAAGGAGAAGCGAAGGCACTTGGGCGTGGACAACAGCCACGATACGATGCACGTGGATGGGGTTGAGCAGGTGCATGGCGAATGATAGTTGCAGTCGGAGAATTACAAGGAGTGGGAGTGGTCCTGGATAAATGTGATATATGCTCAAGAAATGAAACGATGCCATGAATAGGAGTTTTCCTGCTATTGAGGCCGTATCATGATAATAACATGAACCCATTGCGACAATGACAATTCGGATGCATTTGCGAGTAGTTCGGTATTCCAGAACTTGCCTAGGTACATAGGTACTTGGTTACTATGGCTCACAGGGCAAGGATTCGTAATGGGCTTGGGCAACAACAGCGAGTCCTTCGGGGGGATTGAAACCGATCTTGGGCTGCTTGTCTGCCTTGAGGATGTCCGCCTCCGTTAAATCTACCTAGGTAGTTATAGTAGGTACATCACAGACAGACCGAGCATTCAAAAGGCAAACACACACAAATAGTTAGGGGCCATCTTGGTCCTCAGCTTCCTCAAGGAATATTCCATGCCCTCTTAGCTGGTGGGAGGCTGGGGCTAGTGCCCTTAGCCCTCGTGGCGCCTTGGGCCTCGGGCCTGCCTGGCACCTGCACAGTGCACAGATACCCAAGAAGGCGGACGTTCACTTAGGGGAGTGCCCTGGGTCCCCACCGACCCAAGGACCCAAGGACTTCTGGTCAGGCTGCATTTCTCAGGCATTCATCAGGCATACGGGCACGGGGGGAGCGGTTCCTCTGCATTAGAGATGCCTAGGGATGGAAGCTATTGGGTGCTCTGCTGAAAAAACTGCTGGGGCTGGCTGGGGCCAGGGAGGGCCACTACTGGCAGCTGGAAAGCTTCCACTAGCGACCGCTGGGCACTTGCCAGCGAAGGTCCTTTGTTCTAACCGCTTTCCGATGCAAACTCGACACTAAATCACACCCAAAGTTGCTTCTCAAACACTGCCAGGACGTTCAGTCCCAACTGAATTCCATCCTATACTGCGATTGAGTGGTAGTGACATTGTTGTAGCCCCGTCCACTTCGATTCCTGCCTCCTGCCTCCTACCTCCTACCTCCTGAGCCTTTTGGCCTCGCACAAGCGGTGAATCAGCATCGAAACCCACACCTGTTACCGGACTCCTGCTCGCGCCTCACTACTACACACTGCCAGTGTCCTGGAATCCAACCATCCGTAGCGTGCAAACGGTCCGACCTGCAGCAGGACCAGCTAAAGACCACTTCTCAGCCAGGAAATCGTTCCAACATCACTCAATCTCAATACTTCTCACCATCATCCAGTCTCCTGCTAATTTACCATCAATTTCCATCAAACCTGCGCACGTTAACGTAATCCCAAACTTCTGATCGACTTTTCATCCCATCGCTCATCATTTGGAACCTGGTGCGTCCCAGCTACACCGCCTTGGGCCGGCAAAGCCACACGACCACGTCTCTCCCACCAACAGTTCCATGTTCCGGTGCCAATAACATTGCCTTCTCCCACTTCGGACTCGTCGAGACATTCTCACTGTACCACCACAATCAATGTCCAATTGCCATTTATCCGCATTTTGTTGCTGTTGTGTTACCCAACCCTCGATAATCCGCCGAGCTTGCTGAGGGTCGCTCCGCTTGCCCCTCACCTGGCTCGCCGGCACTAACAATCGTCGACCTTCACAATATGGGCAAGAGAATTCACAATGTTGATTCACCCTTGAGACAAGTCGACTCTGAACCCCATCAACACAAACATTCGTTTCCTTCGGGCATGTGGCAGAAAATTCATCATTTCTTTGCCAAAGATGACCCGACTCAAAGTCCGATCGAATGTACCGAGGATGACCAATGGCCCAGGGAGTGGGATCGATCCGATCCCTTCAAGCACGATCTATCTTCGTCAAGGCCTGTGGGAGTCGGACTCCCAAGACAGGCTACTTTCAGGCGTCAAAACTCGGAGAGGCGAGAACGACTTCTCCCTATCGAGCCCTGTCATGCTGAGCGAAGAGCCGTCTCTTCGACCCGGAATATATCAACATCTCTCCCTAGACCGAGGGCGACTTCATCACCCCCGAATTGGGAGCCAGGTAGATCATCTGCTCCCACCGTAGGCTTCTCGGCCAGGGCCGAAGCCACGACGATGCATCCCAACATCATCGCTGCCACTTCACTTGAACCAATCCTTCAAGCTTTATCTACTACAGACGACCTCTATTCGCAAAACGAGAACCGACCACCTCGGCCCCCTTCGACTACCTCTTCGGACGAATCTCATTATGGTGACAGACCGGCGGTGGATGATAAGGCTGACCTTCGAGCGGAACTTGATAGTCGATGGATTCTTAACCTGAGTATGCACTTTAGAGACAAGTCGGACCGGGAAAAGTTTTTCGTCACCTACGCCCAGACACCGAATCATTGGCGACGGGTTACCGTCTCATGTGATTATCGGAATGCTGAACCCGGGTCCCTGGAGATGGATTTGAAAGAGCTTCAATTCCAGCGAGACAAAAGCTTTCAAATCTACGAATCGATCCGCGACTCTCTTCCAGAGATCCAGTTCTACGATACTGTCACAAACCTGAAATTGGAGACCACCGATGGTAGATTGCATGTTCATGTGACTGAGGATGTGAACGAGATTATCCCATACCCACCTCGAAACACTGTTGCTCACATCCTCAACGACCATGAATTTCAACCAATGGAAGTTCGCGAAAGTGAGTTGATCTTCGATTCTCATTTATCGGGCTTTGTGTACAAAATTCGACATAAGGGGAGGGTTTTCATCAAGAAGGAAATTCCTGGTCCTGACACAGTGGACGAGTTTCTGTACGAGATCAATGCATTACACGCTCTTCACGGCTCTAGTAATGTCATCGCACTCGAAGCGATTGTGGTCGATGATGTCCGAGAAAATGTCAAAGGTCTTCTCATCAGCTATGCTGAGAGAGGTGCCATTGTGGATCTTCTCTACGACCATAGAGGAAGTACGCCCTGGGAAGATCGTTGTCGATGGGCAGAACATGCAGTCCGTGGCCTCAGTGAGATACATGAGGAAGGTTATGTCCAGGGTGATTTCACTTTGTCAAACATTGTGGTAGACGATGACAACAATGCAAAGATTATCGACATCAACAGACGAGGCTGTCCGGTCGGATGGGAGCCTCCCGAGATCGCCACCAAAATTGCAAGCAATCAAAGAATCTCAATGTACATTGGTGAAAAGTCTGATTTGTATCAACTAGGGATGACGCTCTGGGCGTTGGCGATGGATGACGATGAACCCGAAAGACATGCGCCACCTCTGAGTGTGGATGAATTTCCCTCAGAGGTACCAGAGTGGTACCAAACCATTGTCAGGATCTGTTTATCGACTCGCCCTCGGGACCGACTATCAGCCAAGGATTTAATTGACTTGTTCCCAGTCGAGAGCTCAAGCTCCTCAGAAACACGTACATCACAAAGAAAGCCTCCGTTGAAAATCTCCCCACCGAAGAACTACATAAACCCTGCAGATGCCGTCGAACGCGATGACATTGAGCGGTTCAGCCACAACCAACAAGATTTCGATTGCCATCCCTACTCCCCAGAAAGCTCAAGAGATGATTATACGTTCACCTATCCGAAATCTTCCAATTATGAACTCGAGAGCCAGAGCTCGGCATATGACAGGCCAAGAGGTAGAAGACCACCCACAAACTTTGCACACCTTGGAACAAATGAGAGACGCCACTGGATGCCCAACGATGTGACCGCGGCTGTGGTTGACGAAGTTGAACCGAACATTGTCGCCATCTCCCCGGGTGCCGATCGTGAGTTTTATGACGAAGTCGAACTTGGAGGACACCCGTACTTGCTGTCTAGAAGCACATTTAGCCGAGAAGAAATGGAAATCCTCGGGGACGATGCATACGTCGAGAGACAATCTGAAGATCAAGTGTCCCAATTCGATGGCGAGTCCATAGATGTTGCTGGACCCATGGACCTGAATCAGCTATATTCTTCTAGACGCCCGCTCCTAGTGACAAGAAACTCTACCACAACGTCAGATATTACACCTCGAGGGAGCCAAACTATTCTGCCTACCTATAGTCCTTCTCCACCAGCAGAGTACGTCACTGAAGCAACACCCTCGGCGGTGGATTTCAATGAGATGGGTAGTCATTCCGGTCTTGCAGCTTCAGGATCAGTAACCGATGGACAAGGAGATGACAATGCGAGACAGTGGAAGGCAGAGCGTGGGTTTCCTCCAAGATTGCCATACGAAGACAGCGGTTATGACGAACCTCTGAACCTGGGCGATGATGCTGCTTCCTCCAACGTGCCAGACTTGAGCAGTGGGTCAAACCCATCTGGCATAGCGGAACTTAGTAAACCTCCTGCTACCGATATGCAACCTTCTGGGCAGCTTCAAGGTCCTATATCAGGGCCTTGTGAGCTCTCAACCACCAATGAGGGAATCCGTCACCAGAGTTCTGGCGTTGTCACCCCGTCTGGCTGGCCACAACCCGCTTCAAAGACTCCCCTGAACGCAGATATATCTCATGGCCTATCAGTCAACACCCTTCATACGTCTGGCCCTAATCGACTTGTAAAAGGGACGAGTGAGGAGGACATTGCCAATACTCCCAAGGACATCACGCCATGTGCCCTACTCTATGGAGAGGCCGAAGGTGCTTTGATCTCGGAGGACCCAAAACCACAAGATGCTGCAGCAGTTCCTGAATTTCAACCTGCTACTGGCCTGTCGCCATTCGCAGAAGACGCTGATCGAGCTGCACTCACAGATCAGCAAGAGGGTACTGAGGAGCTCCCAGTGCGAGACGGCGTAAACGTTGTCCATCAAAGTGTATCCAAACCAGATGCTCCCACGCAAATGGCCGGTCCCGAGACCGACGGGGATACAGAGCGAGAGCGAGAGCGAGATGTGGTAAATTCTTCAGTACAAGTCGACATAGAGATACATGATTTCGGCGCGTCCCCCAACGCGGCACCTGCAATCTCAAATGGAGTTATTGTTGGCAAATCGACTGATAGCACAAAGTCACAACAGGTGCTTAAGCATGAGGTCAAGGAATCAGACCCTACCGTCACAAGCACCGATGATCGTACCTGAACCAATTGTCCAACATCTTTCAGACCAATCCATCAATACTGCGTCTGAGAGCAAGTTTGCTCTCGGGGCTACTACAATGTAGCAGTGGTCTGGAGGTGTGCCCCTAAACTTGGAGTCAGACTCCTTTCATTATTGATGTCATCGACAAAGACTTGCAAAACTCCCTTGCAAGCCACCGTGCTGCTGCCTCATTGTAGTATACCACTATGATGGCGATCTCTCTGGGGTGCCGCAGTCCTCATACCGGTCTATCATAACCTAAAAAATTGTATTCGCTCACTGGCCGGCATTGAACACGACAAGCTAATTACCTACTACGTCCGTTTACGACCTATAACACAAATTTCTGATTTGAACATTTCAGCGCTAGAGAACGAAGCTACGACAGCCGATGATGAATGCTCTCACGAAGACATCCAGACAACCAGCCGCAAGTACTGTGAATTCTCCAATTTTTGATACATTCAGTACTGCACCTTAAAGCGAATGATACCACGAATCAATTGCAATGACCGCGAGGCATTTTTTCTTTCTACCTCGCAGACTGTTCGGTATTTTGCAATATAACGACCTGGGCGAACGGTAAAGCATGGAAACGGGTGGCTTAGCAAGCATTGTTATTTCTTATTAATAACCATTGCATGGCGTGTATTTTTTTGGTTCATTTCGTGTTTGTCAGTTAGCCACATTTCGGGAAATTTTTTATATTTATCCTGTGGAGGAATGGCGGTGGGGGTCTTTTCTGGCGCTTTTTCAAGTTGCTCGGTCGCAAAACCAGTGACATCTGGCTGATATGTTTTCTTCTGCATGTAAGACAAGGATAAGAAGTGGATTGTTGGAAAGAGGAGTCGGCAACTCTATGTTGCTGCTATTGGACATCTTTTTGGCAGGGAACCCATTTGTTCTCTACCTCAACGAGGTAGACTGTAGCTTAGGTTCGTTTGATAGTGGGTTTCTTTTCTCTCTGACATTTGTATACTGGCGCTTTGGGAAAACAAAGAGGTCACAACTATCAGCACACTCAGTCGGACACGTTCAGCAACTCTTACAATCAAGTGGGTTGCAGGTGATCACAATGAATAAAGAGCAAATGACTGACGGTCACGCACGATTTCCAGTATGAAAGAAAGAGAACGAATCTGAGAGGTGGAGCTCATTGCTAACATAACGATGGGAGGAGTTTGACCATGAGACCAACGACTGCACGGAAATGAATACTTCCTTTTCTTCTGGGGTCTCGTCTACCTTTTCTTCACATGTCAGCTGGAGTAAAAGACAGAGCTGTCCAGGCGAGGCGCCGATGGGCCGATGGGGGCCCACGAGATGTTGGGGCCCGCAAGAGAGAGCGGGGGAACACACCCTCGGCGACGAACCTGGTTCTTGTTTCCAGGGTCCGAATAGGAATTAAGAGAGTGTCAAGGGAGGGTCGATGGGCTAATCAGGTATATGAGAGCCTCACAACCGGGGCCCCTCGATGGATGGATCATGGACGGGACGCGAACGGGTCGGCATGCGTGGGCGAGGAGCAGAATCGGGCGTTTTGTCTATGTGCGGGATTCGATTGATCCCGCTGTTGAGGACCTGCCTACCTCACAGGTCCACCAGATAGCTTAGGGGCGCCTGCCTGCCTGCCCTAGTGTGCCAGGGCAATGGCAGGCGCAGTGGGGATTTTGGTAGGAGTCTGGGTAATCAGGTAGGTACCTCCTTAGATAGGTACCTAGGTAGCGTAACGTCCACCGTGAGGAGAGAACAGTATCACTCACGGAATGATCATGATCACGATCAACGACTGCAATGAAAAAAAGAAACCCGGTTCAAAGTCTATGAAATTACATGAACAATGAAGAGTAGAGTTTAACATGAAGAACTATCAGAGGACGCGAAGGACTCAGTCCTCCTTCTTCTGCTTCTCTTGACTCGGGGCTAGAGCATTTGGTGCATAGCAGCTTCAGGTCCACACAGAGTATCTATGGGGGCGATTGCTCAACTAAACAAGTGCAATGAAATGCACAACGGTGCGGTTTTGGGGGCCTCCATCGGTGGCCGTTGGCAACAGTGGCGTGAAGACCCGGTGCCTCTCTGAGCACTGAGGTGTTGAGACACTCGGAAGCACGGTCGGTGGGTTTGGCCGGGAGCCCGTCTTTGTTACTGAGGAGGCAGACTCTGCCAGTGTGAAGTAACAGATGCATGGCACATATGCCTTTCCCCGATAGGTTTGTGCCCATGAAGTGAGGCGCCAAACCACGAACTTTGACTGTTACAGCTAGTCTTGGGTTCAGGTTGCGTGGAAGCTGGCCCTTCTTGAGATGGGGCATCTGTGAGTGCTTAGCGTTGGCAGAGCACGTTTTGTTCTCTGGATCGCGGTTTGTGCGGTTTCATCCTCTGGGCTGCTACTTGTTCGAAGCTGTCAGATTGATTTTCCCCAATCCAGAGAAAACTGACCAGCATTCAATGGAATTCACAGGTCCACGTTGAAGACAAGCCACTTCATGGACGGCCATCAAGTTTCGATTGGAACGCGATTGGCATCTATTAGATCGAGGTTGCGGCCGATAAACACGATCTTGCCATCCACCGGTCCTTGACTGTTATCAGACTTGTCCTGCGTCGATGGTGGGGGCTCGATAATCTCGAAGATCTCCCGAACCCCCTGAACCACCCTGATGGTACCATCTGTGAGCGCAACCAGGCCTTTTGTACGGTGAATTTCGTACCTGCGCGTCTGTCCCTGCTGTCGTTCATCTGCTTCCCAAAGGACTGTCTCGAGCCATCCTTCTAGGAGAGGGAGTTTCTGTACATCAAATGGTGGAAGCGGTAATGTGATAGTGGAAATGGTTGGATCAAGGTGAGAGTGACCCTTGGAAGCAAAGGATGGTCCTTCCGAGGTACTGGGAAAGGTTGAGTATGCCGAGAGATCGAGCACCGTGCCAGAAAGGTCATCGACCCGCGAGTGAGAAGTGACTTTGATTTTCGCAAGTCCATTGATGGACGTTATTCGCTTCTGGACGATTTCCAATTGAAGTTGGTCAACGAGATCGGTTTTGTTCAGTATTATTACATCGGCGTGGGAGATCTGTAGGTGAGCTGTGGTCAGGAGAGGAGTATCATGGTGGTCATGTTCTTGCTTCTGTCCTTGTTCGGTCTCGGCAATCTCATCCGGTGCGGGCTCATCCAGACTTTTCAAAACATTTTTTGCGTCCACAACCGTGACTATTCCATCGAGATAAATACTGCTTCCCAATCCTTCATCAAGCCAGAACATAGGCGCAATATTTCCTGGGTCTGCAACGCCTGTCGTCTCAAGTAGGATATAGTCAAAGTCCTTTTGGCTATCCACGAGCGATTCCAGTGCTGCCACACCTGATTCTTTGACACTGCAACATATGCAACCATTGGCGAGGGGGATCCATTCAGTCGTTGATTCAGAATCCTTTGAGACAGTCAAGGATTTTTCAATGTCAGCCGTGTTGCCAAACTCTGTGAAGAGAACACAAAGTCAGTGTCTCCAAGACATTGATAGATTTGGTGAATCTCAAGGTACTCGATGGTTTGTCATGGCCATGCACTTACCGTTCAGCAGGACTGCTATCTTCTTCCCATGTTCAGCTGTCAATATGTAATTGAGCAAGGTGGTTTTACCTGCGCCAAGATAACCTGTCACATAGTATAAGCGCTCTTAGTAGCAGAGCAGGATTGACAAAGAGCCAAAGCTACCTGTGACAATTGTGATGGGGACCTTTCTCATCGACTGATCAACTTTGGTTCGGCTAGAAGCCGATTCGCCATTCTCATGTACATCAATGAGATCTGGGATCTCGTCCTCGTCCATGGTTATTCTGACGAACGGGCCTTGGTGTCTATAGTTGGTGACAGGGAACAATACAATCGCGCAGGTCAGGGTTGAGAGATGACTTTATTGCTCTCTCGTTTGCACGCACGCGCTACGATGACCAACAGAGGTGGTCTTGAATCTTGATGCCAGAAAACGCCAAGATATGTGTCATCGGCTACGCCCGTCAGAGTAGTATAAATCTGGTGCCATGTGTGGCCGCTCTTACCTTGCCACTCACGCTAACCGTATTGGAATGGCTTCCGCCAAAGATCTCGATTCCGCTGCTATTAGCGATGGTGGCCTCCAATCTGAACGAGGCTCCGACAAAGCCTCCCGTGCTTGTGTCGGGGAACGCTCTGTCCAGAAGTGGGTCGACGGCATTGACGTCGCTGACGACCCAACCGAAGACGACAGTGACAACGAGGATCTTCGTATCTATCGCATCCTGCCAGCAGCGCATAGAGATCCAGACCGAGAACGTCGTTCAGCGGCTCCTTCTCCAGAAGCGCGATACCCACCTTCTCCTCCACCATCACCTCTCAACAACTAACAATCTCCTCTCCTCGTACCCTAACCCTACATCAGCAGATCTTTCTTCCCGCCCCTTGTGCCAAGATGACGGCAGTTACTCCCTCTCATTCGGGCGTCTCGCCATCAAGCTCCCCACGCCTACCCTCGCCTCCTCCCATTCCAGAAGTTCAGTTCGGGCCCAAGAGTCCTGGAATCAGTGACATGAATGATTTTCAACTTGAAACATCCTCCAGACCAGATGAAGGTGCTGCAAGGAGGATAAGACCCGGCACCAAGGCCGCAGATATGGCTATGGGTCCCCCGCTTGTGCCACTGAGTCAGGCAAGTACTGACTGACTGCTGATTTCGAGATCACATAGCGGAACTGACCACTCTCTCTAGCTTGACTCACCATTCCAACTCCAAGAGCATCTCAAAGCTCAATATGCGACACTGACACACACCGAAGCCTCCGATCGAACCATTCCCATCACCAAAGAGACAGCCATACAAATCACCACTCCTCCACAATTAAATGAAACCGAGTCTGTGGATAAAAACCTCTGGCTTTATGAGCTATGTCGATTCCTGACCCAGAAGGCAAACATTGTCTCAATTTTCCTCATGAACGATACGCCTGCATGCTCGAGTCAGACATGCCCAGAAATGCGCGCCAGCGAATGGCAATATCTGTGTGCTGTCCATGATCCTCCAAAGTCATGCTGCGCTATTGATTATTGCAATCATACGCTTGACTGGGCTGCGAATGTCCTCACCAGTCCAAGAAACTTCCCCTCACGCCTCGCTCTGGGCGGTGAGGGTGGAAATATTGCAAACAGCATGAAACACCTTACCAACATATTTCGAAGAGTCTATAGGATCTTTGCACATGCTTGGTTTCAACATCGCGAGATCTTTTGGTCAGTGGAAAGCACATATGGCCTGTACATTCTATTCAAGACAGTCTGCGACGCATACCACCTGATACCATCAGAGAGCTACACAATCCCAGCAGAAGCCGCGGGGGCTCCAGAGGAGAGTGAAAGTTCCACCACATCCTTGGACGATGGGTTTCCACAAATCCAAGTTCTACGTAAAGAAGTGTCGACTGAATCAGGAGATGGCTCGAATACACCGCCAGATAATTTTACAACCAACGTCGTCAATACGGCAGCCACAGCTCGTCGACATAAGCACAAGCATACACCAAGCACTGGAAGTTTGGTTGACACCATCACCGAAGGCCTCGAAGAGGAAGACGAGTCTACTCAGACACCAATCGAAACTACGGCTCCAGTCAGCCAACTCCCGTCATCAACGGAAACCTCCGTAATCTCCACGGAAGAGAAAGAGCCATCACCGGATCGACAATTCCCCAAGCTGGATCTCAGTGCGATCGTCCCTCCGTCTGAACTTCGTGCACCTGAAGATCCCACACCCACGCCCATTCCTGGGGACATCGATCCTCTATCTATTCAGACATCCCAACACGCAGAAACCAACAACGAAACCACCAAGGACGAAGTACAAACACCAGACTCTGCTAAAGCAACCTGGATTACAGATCCAAGTGGCGAGGAAGAAATCCGGTCACCATCCGGAGGTAGTATTCGAACTGGTGGATCGGATGTACTGCAAGCAATACTGGGGCATATCTCTGATGGAGATGACGAAGAAGATGAACGAGAACGAGAAAGACGGAATAGTACGGCTTCAAACTCATCCTTTGGAGGCAAACTGAGTCCTGGGAAACCTAACTTAGGGACCGGCGGAAACAATGGATCCGAGACAAAAATCGAAGTTACTGTAATTGAAGACGACGAAGACGAGGATGGGCCGGTTGAAGATCAGAAAAAAACCGGCGGAGTTGAGACAAGTAGTTGAACTATGGAAGTGAAGACTTTCACGGTGTTCGGTGACCCATTGGCTCCATTATTGAGACACAATGATCCTTTAGAGGCTCAACATGATAGCATAGGGCCCTGCAGCACGACATGCTTGCCAGAGGCAGAGACTGGAATTTGATGCAAGCTCAAAGTAGTTCCAGGTAGAACTTCGACAATGGTGATGCTAGTGTGATGGCCTGAGGCAAGCAGAACCAGAGATACCCCTACCAATACTTGAAGCAATATCAATCACAGCATAATGAAAGCTTCACATGCAAGACTAGCAAATTGGAAGCCAAACCTCAACGCTGAGGTGACGGTCCCGGACCGGACCTGGACCTTCATGTAAGCCAAGTCTCAAGACACATGGATGCAAACGCAATAAATTTGATCTCGGCTATAAGTCCGGATCTTATTCAGATAATCATCTCCTGCAACTCGCGTTCCTTTTTCGGGATGGGTTATCATCGAGGCGCGCATAGATATACACAGAGCCCCAGTAATAAGATTGAGGAGGCCTACATTTCATCGACTAATACTGTGACATTCAAAGGCTATAAAGGGCAAGCGCTGATAGCTCTTGCTTCTGTGGCACACCTGTCCCCAGCGGGACCTCAGGGGAAAAAGGTAGACAGCTGGTCGTCTCGTGTCTGGTCTAGCCCTAGTCCTGACTGCGATCCAAATCTTGTTTCTTCGTCTCTAAAGGGCAGGAGATGAAAATAGCTCGGATCACATCTTGAGCCACACATCCCGTAATCTGTTGTCGAATGTTTCTTAAACAATCAGCTGCCCCCTGCATAGCCCGGTCGCAACTTGGCCATGCGTGGTTCAATGAGCGGATGCCATTGTGCCATGAACGTGATTGCTGTGTATTGGGCTCATGTCAGTTCCTGAATGAGACCTTTTCTTCGAGGGAACTCGAACACCGACATAGAGATGGGAAGTCGATGCATGACGGCTGAAAGGGCTGGCTTCTGGATCGGAATACGTACCCCACATGATATAACAACTTGCGATACTGAGAATCAGAGAACTGCGCCATATCCTAGATGTAGCTGTGTGTTAGTCCCGTTGTGACTTTGGGGGGTGCGAGGTTGCAGGTTCTGCTGTAGTAGGCCATAGATACGTACGTCTGATTTTCACCCTTGGGGCTCAGAAACCACGCGCCGACACTGAGTCCGACGACGATCACCAGGCCAATGAGTATTGACCAGCTAGAAGATTGGATGAGTTGTTAGACTATGGCTTTGTCTCTTGAGGTTCATTGGGTAACATTGAGGACGGGTAGAGGGGTATGATAGTGAGTGACTGCGTTGCCCGTGCTCGGGGCTGTAGTTGGTGCTCCGAGTTGCTGCGTGGGCGGTCCCTGTAGAGACTGGATGACCCTATCGTGATCTCAGATAACTGATTGAATGTGCTCACAGTATAGCACCGAGCGGCGTTATCGAACATGTCCCTGGCCATTAAGAGAGTCCAACGCTCGACTTCCAGTCGACCAAAAACATTCCAAGATGGCAGACTGCTGTCCACTGACAGAATTCCGGAGTAGATAGGTGGAGGAGCACAACGCATTGTGCCGCAGTGATATTCGAGATAGTGGCAACCGACACAGTGAGGCAAGTAGAAACACAACTTACCCATTGGCCATTTCGTGATGTTTCTTTTTCTCCTTTCCGCAAAATCTTGTGAATGAGCTCTGCGCTCTCACTTCTGCTCTTCGATGGTGGCGCCTCTCCGAATGTATGGAAGGTGCCTACGGCTTGGAGTAAGAGGTGGCTGTGTGTTGGTAGACACTGAGGGATGTCCTGGGGAATGTTGAAGTCTATCCTGGTAGATAGGAAGGTAGTGTTGAATTCTTGAATAGAGTCGTGTAGGCTTTAGTGGTTGTTTGGGAGTGCACCTCAATCCACGTCCACGGCTAAATGTTTGAATGGGCAGCTCTGAGCCATCAACGACATGGAGATGCAGGTGCAAATGGAGATGGAATCCCATCAGGGCCCACTGCGCAGCCCCCTTCGGCTAAATCGCTGGATTCGTGATGCATATACACTAACCGGACATTAGTGGGAGACTAGCGGGATGTAGTTTCTAACATTCACATCCATATTATATTTAGATCCCTAACACAGTTTACCACGGAGGTATTCGCATTCCAATCAATTCAAGCTTCATTTCTAGAAAAAGACATATAGAGTGATACCTGCCCTATGGTAAAGTCCCAACAAGTCCATGATAGAACACAGATACAGTTCAGTCGCACAAGTGAACAAACCCTAACCAAACTTATGATAGAAGGAGTAGTCAATACAGGGGGAATGTTCAAGCACCTTCACGGCTCTTGCGGTAGTTGCTCTCTTGTTCGACCTGAAGCTGATCAATTTCGGGAGCGAGCTCTGATAGAATTTCATAAGCTCTCTTATGATATTCCAGCTGAGCCGCGATCAAGTCGGCCAAATTGCGGAGTGGCTCGGGAGTGTCGAGAACCTAGTGCTGTGTTAGCGGACATGTTACCATATGGCGATTGTAGCTTGAGACTCACGTTCTTCATGACACCTTGTGCCTCCTCCACCTGGGAGACGAAGTCATCTTCTTTGGCTTCGATTTCCGCACGTGCCTCTTCGCTCAAGGCGCTCTCATCATCAGGGTTATGGCCTCGCCCAGCAATCTGGCTCTTCTTCGAAGCCTTGGTGCTGTCCAACAACAGGCGGCTGTTCTCCACGGCCGTTCTGGCCTTGGTCGCAAATTGAATGTTGGTGTTCAATGTAGTGTTCCAGCCAGCTAGGAATCTAGCCTGGATGGCATGATCCTGCGCCAAACGAGCCTCGCCGACCTTCTCTTCAGCCAAAGCATACTTTTCGAGTGCGGAGGCGAGCGGGTCTTCACCGGTTTCGGAGGTGTTGTGTTGTTGGATGAGCTGGGAGCTGGCGAGAGAAGCCCGAGCAATGGCGTGGTTGAAGGTCTTAGGTTGAGGTTTGGCAGAAGGGGGCGCCGTAAAGGCAGCTTGTGCTTCGGAGGTGTTGGAAGCACGAGAGAGGAGGGTCACCTTCTCCGAAATGCTGCGACCCAAATCTGTGAAAGACTCTCGAATGTTGGGAGGATAATCGTAGGCTTCATTGGTATATTGATTTCTGACTTTGAATCAGAACAGGAATACCTGAGGATGATAGTCATACTTACGTGACAGCCAGTAGCTTTTGATGGACCAATTTCAAGGCATCGACCTTCTTCTCGAGCTCGATATAGTCGGCGGGGAGTGCAGTCTGGGGACATGTCAGCATCCTGGTTCCTGACAACCAGCAGGCACAGCCAGTAATGCAACGCACCTTATCGTCTGCCTGTCCCAGTTGTTCCTTGAGGTATTGAGAACTTCTCTGCGCAAAGGGTGAGACGGTTGTGTTGAAAGCAGAACTGGTGCCGGCGAGTCAAGTTAGAAATCTTTATGATTGGTTTAAGGGGGTTCCTTCTGCGGCTCTCTCAGCTGAACCTACCTGATGTTCTTTCCAAAAGCCGAGAATTTGTCCATGATTGCGATGAGATGGGGGAATGGAGGAAATGGTTGAGAGGAACGGAGTGAATGAGAGGGGTTGTTGATGGTTGTTGATGGTTGGGATGCGCAGACTGCAGGAGGAGGACCAGGCTACGAGGATAAACAAGACTGGTCACGACGGGTCTGACATTGACACGAGCACCGCTCTCCAAGCATGCAACGGTTTGAGCACATGAAAGCCAAGACTCTGTCCCCTGTTGAGACAATTTCTAACGCCGCTTTGTAGAGAATCGACCACCCGGACAAAAGTAGGGAGGAGCAGGCGCGATACCACATGCAGTCCATTCTATTTCTACCTGCCTAGGTGTCTAGTACTCGGCATTGCTAGGTCGCCATCACTGGTTGCTTCTACCCTCAATCGCCATAAATCCTCACATAGTATGAGCTCATGATCGATGGCCCTCTTATGCGTGTTTTCCGCTCGCGATCAGCCAGGTCATAAGACCGCTGTCAACCCCAGGAGGACCACTCCGACCAAGCTCGACAGTCCAACAGTATTTGCCACGGCTCTGTTACTTGTCTCTGCTGCTGCCGAGCTTTCAACCGAGGTTTCGACTGCCTCCGTGGGGCTCGAGGAAGGGATGGTAGAGCTCGCTGGAGCACTAGTGCTACCGCTATCAGAGACAGTACTTTGAGTTGAGACAATAGCACTAGAAGTTGCCGGTGTGGGTGTGTTGGTCTCGGATGTGCCAGATGCCGCCGTGGTGATGCTGGTCGAATTCGGGGTACCAGAAAGATCGGGGAGACTCAATTCTACTCCATACGCCATGCAAATCCCTTGGGCGCCCTCGGCCGTCACTTCAGATCGCCATCAGCATATCATGTTTGTATATTGCTGGATTCTTGACAGGACTTCAGGGCGGCGAATGGAGTCCACCTCCTAGCCTGTTCTGTTTCAGAACAGGCAGAAGGTGCTATAAAATTCTCGAGGAGGCATCAACGTATCAGACTTACCAGCGCTGTCTTCCTGACTGCACAGCTGTGGAATCAGTCCTACCAATTCGCTCACAAATTCCGTATTCTTGCAGATGCATTCGATATCAGTCAAAGGGCAGCCAGACTCTTGGATCGCCTCTAAGATTGCTTGTTGCTGGAATAAAGAATACTCGTTAGCATACGTCCCCTGAAACCGAAGAATAGCATTCAGGCTGCCCTCACACCACATTGGGGAAGATCCAGGATAGTTCCGACCTGGGCGAGTACGATGGGCGTGGAAACCAAGGTAGTCGCCAGGTAGAACCATGTGATCTTCATACTGCTATGTTTTGTCAAAGGGTCAAGAAATAGTGATGGCAAGATAGAAATGCCCTGGGTGTGGGTTTCCACGAGCAGCCCAGATGCGCAGAAAGAGTCAAATTACTCGGCCTTTCAACTTGACAACTGGAGAACCAAATTATGTGCAACAATGCGGGCACTAAATCCTCGCTCCAGTACTCCGTTTTACGGAAGTATGTTTTTCGCCATCATCCACCACGCCAAGTTTCCTAGGCAAATGCTCTTTCTCCTGGCGAGCCCTCTCACAACTGAGGACTTTCTCCACTTTCAGCTGCATAATGTTCAGATGCATCTGACCGGGAGGATTCATTGATTGGTTCTGACCTAGGGAATCCAACACGCAACGTAGACGCCAATATGGAGGGCATTGGCTCATTACCAACTGGGGAAGAGCCTCAAGCCATATGAACGGACTAAGCAGCCGAGGTGCCCTCCTGCTCCAATGATGGGTCCGAACTCGGATCCCTGTCCAGGAAGTCAACAGTGGAGTCTGGAATGGCATATTGAGAATGTCAGTCCAAGACTCACTAGCCGCCCCTTCTCGAAGAGTCGCTGTCTCTTAAGCGCTGTACCATATTGTTCTACTCTACTACCACTTCAATCTTTCTACGAGTCTTGACTGAGCGACCTGTGAATCCTCAACTCAATAACCCTTCATCATGGGGGTTGTGGTCGCACCCGCACTGATCCCAGATATCGAAAAAGTCTACGACTGCTATTTTGAAGCCTTCAAACAGGAGCCGATGGCCGCGCTCATGCTAGACGTGTTGTTTCCAGGTGGAATCACAGATGAATTCCGTAAAGAGCACACCAAGGCAACGCTGGACTGGTGGCACAAGAGCACCACGCAATACACCTGGAAAGTCGTCGACGTCGAGAAAAACGAGATCATCGGCATGATATTAGCCGATGGTTTTGTTGCCCAACGCTCTGAAGAGGAGCGCAAGTACTCTGGTCTGCCGTGGCTGCAAGGTCGCGAGCGGGAACGCGCCGAGGCAGTCGTTCGCCCATTATGGGAAATGAGAGAAAAGCTCTTCGGTGGCCGTCCCTACATATGTGAGTCTTTGTTCGTATTTTCCTCTTCAGCCCCTACGTGCCTTCCTGTCTACCCCCCTAAGATTAGCCTATCTAGTATCAATTTGTACGCAAAGCTGCCTGGTTCTGAGCTTTCGCTAATGCAACGTGTCCACAGACGTTCATGCAATTGCAATCAAGCCTGAGCACCAAGGTCTAAAAGCCGGCATGGCTTTGATGTTGTGGGGAGTGGATCTGGCGGACCGGGCGGATTTGCCTGTATACATTGAAGCATCGCCATCAACATGGACGATGTACGAAAGAGTAGGATTCGAGCGCATCAACGAAAAGCTCGTACACAAAAAAGAGGTCCTTGGTGTTGATGAGGACATCGAAGTACCACTCATGGTGCGCATGCCTTCTGCGGCAAATGAAATGACCTTTGACGAATGGCGGGGAAGGGATTATCCGCCATTTGAGGGTTAAAATAGTAATATCGCTCTAGAGTGCGATGGCCAACTGTAGGTGTAAACACTCTGTTCGTCTACTGCATACCCTCTGGCACGCAGGCTTGGACCTCGTCGCTGGCCAAGAAACCCTTCAAAATAGTCACAATAACCTCCAAGCCAGTCAACCAACTTTCCATTGCCTTTACCGTTGTTCCGGGATCCGTCCCTTGACCACTGAGCCGAATGAACAAGTCTTTACGACGAGGCGCTGCACTCATGGCCGCACGGAATATGGGTCGGATCACCACCGTATGATACGGCGACAGTGTGACCTTGTAGCTATCGCGAAATGACTCTCGCAGCTCCCTCTTCGGATACCTTTCTGTCACTGGAACATCCTTGTTCTGTGTGAGGTCAGACCTCAACGCATGCGCTAGAAAGTCGAGACCACGGATGAGCCACGTGAGCCCCATGGTGGCGGAATGATTTTGTGTTACCAACTCATCCTTGACCAGATGCTGGAGTGTGCTCGACGGGTGCGATGTCTGAATCTGTCTCGTCCGTACCCGTTCTATGTTGAAGGCCATGTCATGCTTTATGGGTGCAAAAACGGGCGACCCGAGGAGGTCGAATATGGTGATTGTCGCTTCGGTGGCAGCAAGAAACTCTGTTGTTGACACATGTTGATCTGCAGATACCGGAACGTCTGAGAAATGGGTTTTGTGCACATCGAACCATGTCTGACCTACAGGAATGGCTGTCCGTGGTGGCATAATTGGTCGACCAAGTTTCTCGTTGGGTCAGGCTAGAAAGCAATATTGGGCTTTGTTTCAGAGAGGACTCGGTCAGAGACAACGGTATGGTCCTCCAATTCTGCCAGTCCATTCACCTCAGCCAGGGAGAAGACTGATGAGGTGGAGTCGTCGAATAACTTAGGCCTCATGGCAATGCTGAAGGGCTCGAATCCCAAGGGCTTCCACTTTGAATTCTGCCTGTGTGATTTCTTTCCACATACAGATGCCGCGCATACACCATACAATGGCGCAACGTCAGAAGTTGTTGCTTTCCCGAGGGCATCAATGCCTTGGCGCCGGTGTCGCTAGGGGTGGGGATGATCGGGTCAACGTGCCCGTGGTCGATATCGTAAGTCTCTGAGCATACAGTGCCAATTGCCGACTGGTGTCGACAAAGCAGAATTTTCAAGCTAAAACCAACGAACACTTTGTGTGAGGGATTTTGGTCCAATTCTAAGGTCAGTTCGATATCGGAATGGAAGTCTCCGCTGCCTTGGCGCGGCATCTTGGCGAAATGGACGGCGGATCTGATTAGATTAGATAATTACACTAAACTCTCGTGACGAGGTACTTCCCGAGATACGGAGTAACTGAGGTATAGCTCGCCTAGGCATTACGTAAGGCTTTGAGATACATCGTACTTGTACTGTATTGTCTTGTATTTTTCGGAAAGAACGTTGTGGGACTAGGCGAGGAGATCCACAAACCTCAATGTTGGCCGACGTCAAGAGCCTTCCTAGATATACTGTAAGTCCCAAGAGCATGATTCATTGACAGCACCTTTTGATCAACATAGTACCTGGTAGGCGACATGTGACAAAGTACTGGAAGAGCAACCGAGCTCATGGAAGCTAGATGATTGGAGAGGGGCATTATAGTTTGAGTATAATCACTGTCAGCTCGAGGGCAGACTTGCAAAAGGAGAAAAATACTAGTATCATTATGTCGCCCCAGTGTTGCCACACACAACTTCCATAACCTTGAGTGATCATTCTTGCCTCTAGGAAGTCGGTATGGCCCCCTCTGAACGATTTTGGGCATCGTGACGACAGCCTTTTGATTTCTTCCGGCATATACAGTGATAGCCTGGAAAAGGCAGGAATTAGCATGTAATACTATCTGGGGTCATTGAAGAATGCGGATATCTGCACGATTGGGTAGATACTTTCTCTTATGTTGGACTTGTCATGGCCTGGAGATGCAGTGTTGTGGGATGGTAGTAAGCCAGAGCAAGATGAACTCATTGGGTTGACAAGTATGAATAGGGGTAACCGATGGCATAGGCACTCACAACTCGAGGTTATCACAAGCATAAGCTATATAACACGACCTTGGACTTGCTTCATGTCCTTGATACGAATATCCCGCCAAAGCGCCACACATATCAATGCACCACCCAACAATGCGAGACTTGTAATAAGCATGTAACGTTGTGCCTCACCATACGCCCGATTGATTGCCTCTCGAGCAGGTGTGCCAGGTCTATAGTACATCTGAGCGATGATCGACCCGTAGACCTTGTCCGCATCTACTTCTGGGGGGAGATACTTTCGAAGAGCGGCTGGGAAAACGCTGGTCCAGATCGCGGTGGCCACCGCACCTCCCATGGCGCTTCCAATACTACCGAATAAATTCAAGATGGCGATAATGGCGGCGATATTTTGTTGATTTGACGGAGCCATCATAGCCAACTCTCCACAAAGCACAATCGTCCCGCCTGAAAAGGCCGCAAAGATCTGAGTCATGACGACGTAGCCAATATCACTGCTGGGCTGACGAAACTGTATCATCAGCCCAACCCCAAGCATCATCAGGGGAATTGCAAAGTACAACGCCAGCCATTTGAATCTGCCACTCCACCGGATCAAGAGCCCAACCACAACAGCCCAGAGTGAAGAACCCACGCGGTAAATGGCACTAACGTAGCTTGCATTTGTGATGCTGAGACCCCATACCACCTGTAACATAGAGAAGAAGTAGCTTCCCCAGACCATTGAGTTGAAGAACACACAAACGAACATCAGCCCGGCGCAGAAGACTGTTCTGTCCATCAGGAGCTCGAAGGGGATGAACGTTTTCTTCGCCCAAAATCTCTCCCAGAAGGCGAAAAAGATGAGCAATGCGCCACCAAAGGTGATCATGCAAATAATCATTGGGGAGCGAAATTTGCCCGATTGGTAAGAGTAAAGGCTGAAAGGTAACAAGAAAAGTGCCATACCACCTGCGAGAATGATGATACCGAGAAGGTCGATCTCGATCGCATACCGTCTCAATGCCGACGGACGAAGGCTAATGTGTATATGATCAATGAGCCCTTGTCTCCTAGCCTTCCTCTGATTGTAAAGAAAGAGGAATACTAAGGGGGCTACGACCAGAGGAACTGTGATAGCAAAGATGCCGAACCCCCATCTCCAACCAGGGCCTTGTATGACACTCTGGGATAGTGGGCCTCCTAGCCAGGTGGTAATGATATACGGCGAGGTTGCGATAGAAAGCATGAGTGTTCGATTCCTGAGTGTCGATGTGTCCGAGATGAAGACTGTGAGGCAGTAACTCACTCCCTGCGCACTAAATTCGCAGTTGTTAGTGGGGCCAGGTTGGGTATTCCGAGGATTCATACGCACCCGGTCACAGAGAATACTTGGGCAGCAGCGTAAGTCTGTACGTTCTTACATGAAGCCATCATAATGTATCCAATAATCCAAATGAATGTCATCAAACCAATACCCTGGGGTCTGCCCCAAGTGTCGAGTATCTTCGCGGTCGGAATCTTGGCTAATCCGCCAATGATGCTTGACATGATATTTGTTGCCGATGTCAGAGAGTGTAGCGAGAATGAACTGGTGACATAAGGATTCAAGGAGCGAAGGACGACTTCTTCCATTGAGATGACAAAGTAGATGAACCAGATGCTTTACCAACCTCAGCTTCTTCAACAGTCCTGATTATAAAGTGTAGTGGTTACTTACCAGACGTGTGCACCGATGAGATTTGTTCTGGTCCAGACGGTTGTTGCTGCTTGAATCCTTTGCACACCGGCCTGAGCGTCTCTCGAAACTTGTGTGATTTCATGATCGTTTGGTGACTCTTCACCAACATGTGTTCTGTCTTCTCCAGAACTCTCATGTTTGGAGGGTGCTTTGAAGAAGCTGTGTAGATGCTCTTTCAACCCGGGCTTCGCAGAGTGCTCGTCTGGGGTAGATGCCATGTTCAGCTCTCATGTTCAGAACAGGTACCGACAGACTAGTGCTCATGGTTCCGGCATGATATGAGCGAGCACAAGAGACAGTGGGCTTGATGTGAGTTTTTCCTAGCCCCCTGCAAATTCTTAATGGTGTTGAGTGCATGAAAATCTATCTTCGTCCTAAGCAAACGGCCATGAAGAATTTTTGATTGTTTTAAGCGATATCGGCTTTAACTAGTCGTTGCGAAATCGAAGGGAAGAAGCTACAATAATTTGCTTCGAACAGGGCCAATAGAACTCACACTGGTAATACGGGAATGTGTCGGGCGACAGGCGACATTCGATGTCGAGTCTAGCCTCCACGAAAACATATTCATCCTATCAAGTAATGCCAAGTGCCCGTGTCGCGCACACCAAGTATCATCAGATATCGATAGCTTAATAGCAGTCCAAAAATGCAGAACGATGGCATATTTCGCTAGCTGCAGCACCTTGGGAACCTACAGTTTGTTGTCAGAGGCAAGAATTTACTAGCCTGGCAGCAGACCGGGGTTGTAAGTGCATAAGGACAAATTTTCACATTGCATCAAATGACCGCAAGTGGGGTGATAAAGAACTGGTAACCCAAGGCTATCGCCCCTTTAGGAGAGCTTGGCGGCATTGCTTGGCAGGGAGTCGCATGGGGCCCACGACTCTTGCGAGGCGGGGAGGCTCTTGCCTTGCCCGAAGTCGGCTTCGGTCCCAACCACGTTGGTGATCTCTCATTGCTATCAAAGGCCACGAAGCCTGAAAGCCTGGTATGATCGTCATATTTGGGGCAACTAGACCGGGGTGGTCCATCTCTCAGTGGTCACCGAAGCAATAACAATTGTGGGTAAACTGTCCAACTTCTACAACTATGTGACACCTCTACAGTCTTACTTGGCGACCTGCACGGCTTTACACAAGACGCTCAATGTCCCGTGATTTGACAAGAGGGCTGTGATTGTATCAACGCCGTCACTAACCCACAGCACTACCACCTCAGTACGAATGGCAGTAGAAGGCATGGACGATGGTCAGAATCAGAATCAACGCGCCGTCGGAACAGGTGCTGCATCATCAGAGCAGCAGACGACTCCATCTAAGTTGGTGAGAAGTTTCTGTCCATTAGAGCAATCCCCTATTTCACTGTTGAAGCAAGGGTCTTTTGTGTTAACTGACAAGCGCAGCCTCTTTTAGTTTACTTACAGATGCTTCGATATGCGGCTTCAACAGTGACGGATAGTTGTCTTATGGTGATTGGGATTATTTGTGCAATCACAGCGGGCGTCCCATATCCTTTGATGGCGATTCTGTTTGGAGAGCTCGTGAACGACCTCAACAGTGCCTCTTGCGAAGTTGACAGCGTCGGCACTGGCTATAGCTATGAAGATGCTATCAACAGAAGAGTGCTAAAGCTTGTGTACATTGCTATCGCAGCATTCATGCTAACTTTTATCCATATTATTTGCTGGAGCATCATTAGCCATCGCCTTGCATCCCGATTGAGACATGATTATTTTCAAAGCATACTTCGCCAAGATCAAGCTTTCGTCGACCAGAACCAGGCAGGCCGGTTGGCATCACGCCTTAGTGATGATATCCAGGCTGTTCAAGCCGGCACCTGCGAGAAGGTTGGAATCTTCATCGCCAGCCTTTCATTCTTTGTTTCTGCCTACGTTGTCGCATTTATCAAGGATACAAAGCTGACCGGCATACTGGTATCGCTGATACCAGCTTTTCTCATTGTCGCTATTGTTGGAGGTGCCTTCTTTCAAAGATTTTCGCTCCTTATGACCGACTCTGCCTCCTCTGCAGCGTCCATAGCGTTAGAAGCACTCTCAAACATTGCTGTGGTGAAAGCATTTAGCGCTGGGCCACGGCTAGAGAGCAGATTTGCAAAGCTCTCGGCGTTCAGTCGAGGGCAGGGCATCCACAAGGGCTATGTGGCGGCTTTGCAGGCAGGAATGCTTTATTTCGTCGCGTATTCTGCAAATGCCCTAGCCTTTTGGCAGGGTAGTCGCATGATCGCAGACATGCTCAACGGCAAAGGCCGTGGAACCACGGTTGGGGAAATATATACCGTGATATTTGTCCTCATTGATGGTATGTTTGTGTCGATCGCTCAGTACATGGAAGTATAGCTGATATATCTTAAAATTCAGCCTGTGTGATTCTGGGCTCAACGGCTCCTCTCTTGCCAGTGTTCGGGAGTGCTGCCGCTGCCTTTTTAAAACTGAAAGAGGATATTGATCGCAAAAAGTTACTAGATGGCACGCTAGATGATGGCGACAATCTATCTGCTGCCACTCCTGGGAGGCTCGACTTCCGTAATGTCTCTTTCAAATATGCGTCACGAGTTGAAGATTTCGCGCTAAGAGAACTCAATATTTCGTTTCCCAGCGGTAAAAAAACAGCCATCGTTGGGCCATCTGGGAGCGGCAAGTCTACAATTGCAGCATTGATCGCTAGACTCTATGATCCAACTGAAGGAAAAATTCTTCTCGATGGAAAGCCTCTGTCTGATATCAATATTAGGAATCTGAGAGGACTTACCGGTCTTGTTCAACAGGAACCACTACTCCTTAGTCAGTCGATACTGCAGAACATAGCCGTCGGCCTCGTGAACTCCTCGGACCCGACACATGAAAAGTTGAAGAGTTGCCTGGGGGAAAAGCTATCAGCAAACAGACATGAACTTATCGAAACAGATCAAGCTATTGTCAATGAGATTGTAGACCTGGTGAAGAATGCGGCGCGGTTAGCGGACGCTGATAGCTTTATCCAGACATTCAACCAAGGCTACGACACACTGGTCGGTACAGGTGGACTGTCTCTCAGTGGCGGACAAAGACAGAGGATTTCTCTGGCACGAGCTCTTGTTCGGAACCCGAAGGTACTCGTCCTAGATGAAGCTACTGCTTCCCTAGACTCAGCAAGCGAGCAACGTGTTCAATCTGCCGTGAAAGAACTAGCTCAGACGAGGACAGTTATCACTATTGCCCATCGCCTCTCAACTATCAGACACGCAGACAATATCATTGTTCTGAGAACCGGTCAAGTCGTTGATCAAGGGACTTACGATGAGCTTATGTCGAGACCTGGCCTATTTTGTGATATGGTTCGCTTGCAAACGCTGAACGTCTCCAATATGAGGAATCAAAACACTCTGTCAACAACAAGCTCGTCGCATACTTGCTTAGATATGGCCACAGACAAAATGAGTGCAGGTCTGAATATCTCTGGGCCCCATGAAAGACCACACAGGCGCAGTAGTCTTAAGATATCACCAACTGGGATTTGTCCACCCCTCTCTTCGTGGCAAATAATGAGAAAAATGAGTCATCATGCTCGGCCAAACCTGCGCTGGATTATTCTGGCCATGATCTCTGCAGTTATTGTTGGGCTCACATTCATCGCTGCAGCCCTGATATTCGGAAACGTCGTTGATGCTCTCAGCCCATGCAGAGCCACCATCAGCCGAATCCTTCAACTCGGCAGGTTTTTTGGGGGCATGCTCTTCATGGTGGCTAGCGTAGAACTCTTCGCGAACTTCTTCAGCTGGTCATCATTTGCGATAGTTGCAGAAAGGCTGCTGTTTCGGTTGAGAGTGCTTTCGTTCAGATCTCTCTTATCGCAAGACATCGAGTGGTACCAGGCAGTGGGTCATGATCCCTCGACGCTTCTATCCGTCATTATTAAGGACTGCAGCGCGGTCGGCGGATTTAGTGGTTCGATCATGGGCACCATATTCTCCATCTTGGTCAATTTCTGTGTTGCAGTGGTCTTGTCACATGTAGTCGCTTGGAAGATCGCTTTGGTATGTTTAACGATGGTACCTATTCTGTTAGGGGCTGGATTAATGCAACTACTCAGCTTGTCCCGCTTCGAAGAACGGTACTCAAAGGCGTTTGAAAAATCGGTTGGCATCTGTATAGAGGCAATGAACTCGTTCAAGACTGTTGCTAGTTATTCTCTGGAGCAAGAAATCATGGACAACTATCGCCAAGCCCTGGAATCCCCGCGCAAGGAGATCATTGTCGCCAGCATCTTTACAAACGTGTGGCTTGCGATCTCCAGCAGTGTTAGTTTCTTCATCTACGCTTTTGCATACTGGTGGGGTTCGCACCAGATCATCAGAGGTGAGAATACTCAGCGACAATTCTTTATTGTACTTGTGGCAATGTTGGTAAGTGCTCAGTTATGGAGCCAGATGTTCAGCCTTGCTCCTGAGATATCACGGGCCTATGCAGCTGCTTCACGAGTACTCAACATGATAGGCGATTGCTCGAGAGACCTCTCGTTCAATGAGCCATCTCCACCGAGTAACGACGCTGATGATCTCGAAAAGTCGGCAGCTACCGAAGCCAGCACGCAGCTTCCGATTAGGGCTGGAGCAAGTGTTTGCTTCTCTTCTGTCCACTTCGCCTACCCATCAAATCATGATGCACTTGTGCTGAAGAATATCTCCTTTTCTATTCAGTCTGGCGAATTCTGTGGGCTAGTGGGGCCTTCTGGGGCCGGCAAATCAACCATCTTAAGTTTGCTACAACACAGCTACTGTGCATCATCCGGGACAATCAGCATTGATGGAATAGACATATCAGATCGGGACTTTCGGAATGAAACTGCAATTGTACCCCAAGACAACATGCTCTTTTCTGGTTCCGTTCGATTCAACGTTGGACTTGGGGCAAGACCTGGGCATGAAGCAACAGACGAGGAAATCGAACACGCCTGCAGGTTAGCCAGCATTCACGAAACCATCATGAAACTTCCGAATGGATACGACACTGATTGTGGGCCTAAAGGTAACCAGTTGTCCGGCGGTCAACGCCAGCGATTGTCAATAGCTCGTGCTTTGGTTCGCCGGCCACGATTGCTATTGTTGGATGAGAGCACCAGCGCTTTAGATGCCGAGTCTGAACATGCCCTCCAGGAAGGACTCACTCAAGCAGCTCGTAGCTCTGGCACTACTGTTATTGCCATCACACATCGATTGCATACTGTCATGAGGGCAGATGTCATCTTCATGGTGGAAGGTGGGACTATGGTTGATTCAGGAAGTCACAATGATTTGATGAAAAGAAATGAACTCTATAGATTGAACGTGCAGCAGCAAATGCTCCAATAGACTCAATACAAATGTAATCAAAATTGAATCGATCTCATGTACAGGACTCAAGCCTCTTTCGACTGGTAACGGACAATATGTTTAACATGGATGCAATATCTATAATACTCTAGAAAGGCTGTAGCCCTATTTATGTCGAAATATTGAAAGCTCCTCCTCCAGTGACACTGACTACCTCGACCGTGTCTGAAATGTGCAAAACGATGTTCTCAAACGTAGCGGACTCGAAGAGCGCAGACGTTGGTCTATTCACCAATTGTTTCAAACAATCACATAAGTCATCCAGAATGGATTTTCCGAAATCCAGCCAGTCCTCAAAAGTGACAATCTCCAAAGTAAGAGAATCTCCTTTACAGAAGGCCTGGAATTTCAATTCTCGAAGTGGCTCGGGATGAGGGTAGATGGTCTCTATGCGGCTGTTGGTGGATATAAGTGGCAACCGGTTGACGTGATCGACATCCTGATGGACGACAGAATCGAACCATTCGACTTTCTCAGGCCAATCTGTACAATTACGGATGATCTCTGACAAGCCCATAGCCTCAAACCTTGAGGTATCGATGTGCTGCTGCTGGACAGATTCGAGCAGGTCTTTCGCAGACCACTCATCTTCAAATTTAACCCGGACTGGAACATATTGCCATGTGGGACCCATGATCATATGAGCATTCGGAAGTCCCGTGTTGCGCCCACTGACAACCTCTCCAAAAGTGACATCTCGTAGCGACAGGCGGCGTGCGAGACATAGTGCCCAGGCCGCAGGTGGAAGAGTTGCTGTGGTAATGGATTTCAATCGACTAGATATATCAACAGTTGCAGACACTGCTGCTGGGGTGTTTGATAATGGTAGATTAGATGGAGCCAGCTTCGTCATCGACGAGCCTTCTAGGAGACGTCGCCAGTAGTTGATACTCTTTGGCATGCTGTCACGGGTCGCATGATAGACGAACCGTGAGAACGGCAGGGTCTCTGGGACTTCTTTGCCAGCATGTATGGCTGCCAATTGGTGAAGTAAACCAGGTAGACATATTTCATCATACTGCGCGTGTGAGATTCTCATTATCAAGCAAGCCTGATTATGTTCCTTTTGAACGAAGAAGAACTTGAGGAATGGTGTTCCTTCTGCCATCTTTGTTTGCACATCCAGGTTACAGAGGTTTGTCGCGAATTCCCTCAGATCGCCCTCAATTGCATACTCAACCATGGTTATGTCGAGCTTTTCCAAGACAACTCCGTAGTAACGGCCCTTCTGACTGAGGAAGACTGTGCGAAGAATCTCGTTGCGAGATACAAGTTCCTGACAGCTCATGAACAAACGCTGGCGATCAAAGATGCCTTCCAGGTAAAAGAGCTCGTAGCGTACTGAAAATCTTGGTAGTTGTGTCGTTCCTCTTACGGCTATTTCCTGCAAGGGCCGGCATGGTATGATGTCTTTAATTGTCCACGTCGAATCAGCCAAAATTGGCACGACTTCCTGAGTGATGAAGCTAGCTAAATCGGCACAGTCAAGCAAAGTGAATTCACCCGGCGTTGCTGAAAGAGCGTCACATATCGACTCTTCTTCCATGATATGAGCCATGTCGTCGAGCTGACGGTGACGAAATACTTGCTCGACTGTCAATGTCATTTTCTGAATTCGTACTTCCGAGACAAGCTTCATTGCTGCGATAGAATCACCTCCCAATGAGAAAAAGTCAGCTTCAGAGCTGATATCGACTTCCGGAATGTTCAAGATGCTACTCCACAATCGAGAGAGGAGACGCATTTTTCCCGCTTTGGACTCTGTTTCTTTCGTTGGAGCACCATTTTGTGCCAAATTTTGATCATTATCGTTAGTATTTTCTCCTCTGCTTCCTAGAAAGACGACGGTACCATCGCCTCTAAACTTACCCATATACCCACTTTTGTATATAGTGCTAGAGTCTCCATCAATGGTTATCTTTGAAAACCAGTTCGGTTTCTCGATCATCACGAGGCTTTGTTCTTGGACAGCCTCAAGCAGAACTTCCCCGACAGCCCCAATAGGCAGCAGACATTCGGCGTCCCTTGGATCAACTATCCAGATGCCTTTCATCTGCTTCCAATCGAACCGCGGTTCATGTTGCAAATATGGAAGTATATTTTGAAAATGATTTTTGCTCAACACGAGCAAATCAGTTGCTTTTGGCTCCTCAAAGATAAGTAGATCGGAGATTCGCTTGTCAGTGGGACTGCAGAACTCCTCTACAGTGCGCCCAAATTCTTCGAGCACCTTCTGCATGAGGATTGTATCGATTGTGTGGCTGTCGAAGCTCGCCATAATCAAAAATCCACGTCTGTCTAGGGAGCACACAAGCATTAGAGCATAAGAGTTAAATTTCAGGGCCTCTTCGGCAGCCTCCCTGTCATTTAACGGAGCAAAAGCATCCGCAGGATTGAGATTGGCTGGAGGAGAAGCATTTTCTGGGTCCTCGGTGTTCGGATGAAGAACGAGTCCGGTGCGAAGATCACAAGCGTAGAGGGCATCGGCGCTCAAGCGACGGATATGCTGGAGGCCCATATGTTCGTGTGGAATGCGGAGTACGGTCTCCTCTTGAACTTTGTGGAGAAACTCAGATACTAGCATGGTTCTATCTGAGTGAATCCGCACAGGAATTGTGGTGATCAACGGTCCCTCAATCTCGCAAATGCCTGTCACAGGTGCGTTTCGGCCAGTCACGGTCTCTCCAAAGATGACATCTTCTGAGGATGTATATTTTGTGGCACTTAGGGCCCATGCTCCCCGAATAGCTGTTGCGATAGTGGTATTTGAGAATGAGCGGATTGTAACATCAACTCGGTGCTCGAGAAGTGAATCTGCTGCTGGCTGATATCCCGGATATGGAACAACAGGGAATTGCGTAGGGTTAGCTCCACGGAGCTGTTCTCTCCAGAAATCTTGGGATCTTCTCTGATCACTGCCAGCTAGGTAATTGATGAAGTTTCTGAAGGGAACTGGCGGTGACAACTCCAGCCCCTGGTAAGATCTCTTGACCCGGTCAATGACCAAGGGCATCATCCACCCATCATATACCGCGTGGTGTATGGTCAATACAATATGAAATTTTCCCTCCTCGGTTGTGACCAGTCCAAATCGAGCGAGAGCGGCTCCGAGTTCCATGGGTGAATCACGGTCCTGCTGCAGGTAGTCTTCGAGACTGTTACTTGAGAACCACTCGGAGCCGCTTTTCACCACAACTTGCATTAATCCTCGATTGGGTACCTGAACAATCCTGGTACGCAAGATTGGACAAACAGAGGTCACAGCTTGCCATGCGGCTTTGAGACCATAAGCCATTGTGGGGTCAGCCAGGTGGGCCACTCTCTGCGCAATGTAGGTATCGCTCAGTTTGGCAGAGAGAGCCATAAGACCTTCCTGAAGTGGTGTGCAAGGATAGATGTCTTCGATATCAAATGGCGTAAGCTTGCAAAGCGTCGCTACCTCTTGCTTCACATCTCCTTGTGTCCAGTGTGACGGGAGAAGCGAGAATGGTAGCACTTCCCCTTCCACGACCTTAGTTGCTTGCTCAGCTATTGATGCCATGCGTGAGAGTGTTGGATTGCAGAAGATCTGGGTCACCGTGAGTGAAAGATCTCTGTCTCGAGCCATAGCGACCAGTCTCATCGCCTTGAGTGAATCGCCACCAAGCGTAAAGAAATTATCATTTGCATGGATATAAGTATTGGTGGCCAGTAAGTTGTTCCAAATTTCTTGCAGAACTTGCTGTACCTTCGTTCTTGGTTCAGTATGTCCAGAGATGTTTGTTCGAAGACTAGCCATCCTCTGTGCCGTCAAACTGTGTCCAATTTCTTGCAATTTCTTGCGGTCAACCTTGCAAGAAATCATAAGTGGCATGCTACGTAGTGGAATATATGCAGTGGGTATCATATAGGATGGTAGCTCGGATAAGAGGTATTCCTCGGTTGTGGCAAGAGACTGGAGTAACTCCGTGGAGAACGCTGTAATGTGTCCACTATCTTCAGACATTCCGGCCTGTATATGTTTCTCCTCCGAGATGAAAGCTACTAGAGACGGCTCGTGGTGCTTTCCTCCTGGGGTTATCACCTCGACTGCGATTCTGACCTCCTGAGGCAGTCCTCTTCGAAGATGGTACTCGATTTCCAGCAGCTCGACTCTCTGTCCTCGAAGCTTGACTTGGCGGTCTTTTCTACCTACAAAGACCAGATTACCTGATCCGGCGCGGTCGTATTTAACAAGGTCACCTGTCTTATACAGGCGACCATGCCTGCCAGGAATGTCTTTCGAACCTGTTACCAACCACTTTGGATCGTTGATGAAGACTTCTCGAGTTTTATCCTGCTCCTTCAGGTAGCCTAATCCGACGATAGAGCCTTCGACCAGCAGCTCTCCAACCGCACCGATTGGGGTCAGGACATCATGGTCACCAGGGTCGACAATCCAGGTAACGCCTCCAACGCCTCTTCCTATAGTGGTATATGGCAGCGAAGTATCGACTTCATTGTTGATGGTACACCCTACAGTGCATTCAGATGGGCCATAGGCGATGATGACCTTTGTGACCTTGCTCCAGAGAGTGGCGTCGGCAGGAGAGAGCGACTCTCCACCAAGACCAAGAACCTCCAGCCGCGTCAATGCGTCAGCCGACAAAACCCGAGCAACAGAAGGTGTCATATGAGCCATGTTTACGTCCATGGATCGTATAGCCTCGCTAAGATTGTTGATTCGTTGCTCATCTGATGGAACGCAAATGCAGCCACCATTTGCCAGCGTACATAGCATACAATCGATACTTACATCGAAGGCATAGGAAGGAAAATCTAGGACACGCGACTGAGGTTTGTATCCGACGGCCTTTGCCCTGGGTATTGCACCTGTAGTGAAATTCTCATGCGATATCACTACCCCTTTTGGTTTCCCCGTGCTACCGGACGTGAAGACAATGTAGAGAACAGCTGTTGCAGGGACGGTGGGGAGTGTAGTGTGGATTTCTTGCTCGCTTAACCATAACAATTCGGGCCCAACAACAACTATCTTGGCATCTGGAGCAATCCGAGACCCTAATGAGGCTTGCTTCTGAGAGGTAATCAAGAGCTGAGCATCCACTTCGGACACTATTGTAGAAAGCCTACCTTCCGGCTGAGAGGGATCAGTGAGAACGAAGGTACCTCCGGCCCTCATAATAGCCAGCAGAGCCACAACCGTCCATATCGATTTTTCAAAACAAAGAGGGACAACTGCTCCAAGTTTCACTCCCATACTGCTCAACTGATTAGCGAGATATAAAGATGCTCGGTCCAGCTGACTGTAGGTTAGGTCGCCCTCCCAGGAAGTGACGGCATGTTTTTCTGGGTGCTCTGCACTTCTCTCTGCGATGATTTCGTGTATGCAGCGGCTTATGGTTGGTGGAAGAACGCCATTCCACTCCCAAAGGCTTGTCAGCTCCCCGGCGCCTAAAGTTCCAATCAGGTTGCTAACAGTTTGCTCTTCATCCATGAGCGCACGCTGCAGGATATCCGTGTAGCCTTGAACCTGGGCGCCCGCCATCTCTGGAGACAAAAGGGTGGCCCACTCCGGCGTTGTGATGAATAGTTTGCTGCCGCTCGATCTGACATTGAGGCCAAATGCTCCTGAAGTCGAAGATTCTTCCATTGTGAAGAACATGACAAAATCCAGATTTGGGCGTTTAGGGCTTGCATCCGAGGCTCTGCACAGAGTTCCAATATGTGCCAAGAGCAGTGATACACTGTGTCTAGTATTCGAGACGATGTGATGCAATTTTGCCTTACTTCCATCACGGGGACGACAAGTTGAGGACGAAGATGTTGAATAGGGACCCCATAGCACTGTTGACTCCTCGGTCTGTCCGTCAATACTTCCTCTATATAGAAGCAGACTCCAAGCCAGTAATAAGATAGACTCAAGGTACCAAGGTTTCTCAGAAATTGTCACGCCAATTGGACTGTGTAATTCCGCAAATGAGACCTCTTCTTGAGCCTTTTGCTCGTTGATGCAGCTAGTGTTGTCTGCTACATCGTCCCCATGAGGGAGGCTCTTGACTCTCTGGATATGTTGGCAACAAGCGCTGCCTGAAATGTTGTCGTGTATCATTTTCGAGCAGCGTACAGAAAGCAAAGGTATGGGTCTCTTCCAAGCTACTCTGGATCAGAATATTCAAGCACAGTTGAGTGATGTTGCATGCCTGTGATATGTCATGCGTGCTAGCCCTTCGTTTCCAAGGAGGTGGGGTTGAGGTTTCCAGGACTCAGAAGATGTCGCTCAATCCGTTTGTTATCGACGCATCAACAGTACGGCTCCGATAAGCGGCTTTTGCCGAAGTTCCAAAGTCGCTTGTCGACAATTCCATTCTGAAAGGTGTGCAAAATCCCGATCTGGGTGTCCTAAAATCCCGGACCAATGTAGTGATATTGTGGAGATGTTTGCAGTGTAGCGTTGAGTACCAAGAACATTGGCGCATATGAGAAGCTAATGTTACCATTACCATGATCGTGCGTTCAAATTTATCTTAAGGCCCAATGTTTTTGTTGCGCAGGTGGGGCGGACTCCTGGAATCGGAGCAACTATCATATGGCCTTGGACATCAGGATTTGATGTACTATTGTGGACCGAGGTCCACGTAAGACATAGAGGCTTTAAAAGCCACAAGACTTGTGGCACCCTCTACACCAGAGATCCTCTCCCGAACGGACGACGAAAAGATGCGAGGTCTTAGCATTTCATGAACCTCAGATTTTGCATCCTTAACTACATGTAATTATATAGTAATACTTATCTGTATTATAGCTTTACTAGTATATAGAACTTGATCAACAATACCGCATCCTTGGGCAGCTACATATGACTGACCTTGAATTCGACCTTTTATGATTATGATCCAAATGCAACGAACTATGATGCCTAAATGTACATGTAGAGGGACCTCATCCTACATATCACGCCAAACTTTTTTCATAATTTTGGTGATAATCCTGGTACCTTCACTGACGCCTGGGGATTGTTTGAGGCCTCACTACCTCTACCATTGGCAATTTCAGTTTTCGTTGTTGGGAAGCCAAAGTTTGCAACTTGGAAAAACCTGATCCGTTCACATCTCACAATTGCCGAGCGTTTATGTGGTAGATCTGCTAATTTATGGATATGGAAACCGTTATCCATATCGTATCCGAGTACATTTCCATTGGTATATTTAGGCTCTCCAACTACTGCCATAGTCCGCGGATCGTCGAGGAACAAATAATGAATCAGGCTGGACCACCATGCTGAAGCCCTATGAGGTCCTCGGAATCGGACATCGCCCACGAGTGAGTGTCGACCTCGGTCCCAATCACCAGCTTGGGGAGATAAATAAACGCCCATGTGGTCCTCCTAGAAATTCGAGACAGTGTAAGTCACCAGAACGTGGAATGTAAGATATGTACTTCCGCACCTTTGCCCAGTAGACCTCAAAGTAGGCAAAATAGGTATCATTAAACCTTGCGAGGATAGACATCTGGTGAGGATCCTCGTCAATTTTCCGCAAGTACTCGCGGTGCTGCTCTAGTGATCCAGTTTCGTTCCAGCCTGCGGCCACGCGAGGGTCGTTCTGCCAGTCATGGAATAGTTGAAGATGGGTTTTGTTTCTCCAATCAAAGTGAACCATAGAGAAGAATTCGTCCAGATGAGGAATATAGCGGCTGTAGATGACCGCACCGTGAGCTGGCTTTGGCGGTCGCACGGGATGCTGTGCATGGACAGGCCGACCTTCAAGACTGAATGTAACAGTGTGCTCATAAGGAAAGGCAGGCACGGAAGTCAATGTTTTAGAGAGATGTCCGAACAGATCTGGATTTGCAACCCACACAGGGCGGGTGCCAAACGGGGACCCAGCACCTTGCCAGAAACTTGATCGCATTATCCAGGCCAGAGATCTTCTAGCCGTTGAGGGTGCAGAGCGCTCGGTTGATATGAATTTGGGCAGACGGCTGGCCAGACCAGTAGCGCGAAGCGCGTCAGATAACCCAGTAGCCCCAGGTCCAGTGAGCTCCAGGCGAAAGTCCTCGACCTCCGGATGCCTGGTGACAATCGCATATGCTAGATTCCATATCTGACTGGCACTAGGTGCTATCGATGTGTTCCACGAGACAAGTGAAATAAGTGACCGGTGATAACGTGCCTCGAGAGAATTATCTCCAACTCCAGGTGTGGGCACATTGGGCTCCAATCCAAGATCACTAAATCTCAAAGACTCGAGATGAAGTGGTTCTGGTGGTAAACTTGAACCGGACAATTGCTTTCGGGAAAGCACAAGGCTGAACAAAGGCACAGAATCTATCCCTGCTGAGATAGTGACTTCGTATGTTGTCTTCCAGGGTTCAGGTAACCTGACTAGCGGACCAACGCCCGGTGATGTCTGAGGCATCGTCAATGCAGGAGAAAGTCCAAAGTGATGAAACCTGACAACTTCTTGAAGATGCAATGCATAAGTCGTACTGTGGTCTGGATGAATCATACGATCCTGAGTCCCATGTTAAGAATACTTAGATAATTAGTTCCGTCCACGGAACAACGAACATCGGGCAAACAAGGTCAGCCCCTACCGAATTGAGCGGGTATCGTGTCTCGGCTCACTTACCTTGGAATGAGTGTGATTGTTTCCAAGCAGCACATGGGTTGTGAGTAGGTGCCTCATTCCCATTGACCACCATTATTTCCAAACTTCGTACCTGTTTGCGCGGGGTCCTCAGAAGGACTATCGAACTTGGCTGCATGATTTCAATTGAAACCCTTTCAAGGGACACCGGTACGGTAACAGTCAGTGGACCAAAGTCACTGCCAAAGGTAAGGACGGTTTCCGAACATGCTCGGCGTCAATAACCCTACACGTCAAGGTCTGTGCCATGGTCTTCGGACTATCAGCCGAAGGATTAGTACCAGGTGTAAATTGTTATGTAATAACTGGATATAGCCTTCTAGAGGGGGGTTGAGTGTGGAGTAATCCACAGGCTCTTGACATGCAGGCTACCTAGGTACTTGAGATTAGCGTCGTAGCTAAGCGAAGGTTCAAGAAATCTGCTCTTGCCGAGATGGCCGGAGGGCTTGGCACTGCAGCGGGATCATCTGATAAGATAAAATGGAAAATGTTTGCGTGTCCGCCGTACATGACGTTACAATACACAAGGCCTCAGTACCTTGGCAAGGCTCGGCTGAACAGGGGCGGGTTTTCAAGGCTTAGTGTATTCTTTTCCGACCTCGTGGGCAAGACAATGCAAAGAATTCATGAGAGCGCTTCTCAGCACGACATCCGACTATCGGAGCACTGTCGTGTTGATCATATGTACCTATGCATGAGAATTATAAGATCTAGCTAGCGCTTATGTATCCATGACCAATCAAATAATCTCGTTCTCCTGGCCTTTCAGTTTTCTCGACAAGCCAGACACTCGCTTAGACACTCTCGCACAATCACCTTGAGCGAAAGACACTCACCACAAGAACAAGATGAAGGTTTTCCTGACTAGCACTGTCACACTGGCTCTAGCCCTCCATGCATGCGCTCAAGATATCACGAGCTTACCAACATGCGCTGTAAGTCTGGTACCCTTTCCGACACGATTTCCTACACTTCCTCCCTCAGCATTCAATGTCCAAATTCTGATAAACCTGGCATGATTAGCAAACTCCTATCCTGACGGCATTTGGTGCGTCCGGGTGCTCGTTAACTGATATCGCTTGCGTCTGCAATAAACCCCATGTGATCAATGGCCTGGTGGCATCGATCACAAGCGTCTGTGATCCAGTGGGAGTTGCAGGTATGACATGACTTTCCTCACATTATTCAACAGCCACCCGCAGATATTACCCCAGCGACCTCCAGTTTCGAAGTGCCAGAGGCTGATGCATCAACACAGCCACCAGCGAGTTCGCCATATCTCTCTGTGCTGCATATGGAGTGAGCCTCAATCTGCCAGACACTCCTAATAGCGTGGTCTCTGCCGAAGTGGTGACTCAAACTAGTACCAAAGTCGCGACGAGTTCAGCATTATCGGTCATGACTAGTATACAAACAGAACCGACACTCACAAGCTCTGCTGTTGCCACGGATGTGAACAGTAGCACAACAGCGAGTGGCCCTGCTCAGTACACGGGAGCTGGCAAAAAGGTCGACAGTGCTCCTCTATTCTCCTTAATGGGCGTTGCTGCACTTGGTCTGGCTGCCGTCTTGTAAGACTCTGGTATAGATAGTGGCTATGACGGTCCTCATACCCCGGATTCAAATCTCAGGACTAGTATTTGTTATCGGACGAGAGTAAAATGCTATCTACGGCTACTGTACATAGTTAAGTTGAAAAATATATTATTTTTCAGTTCCCTCAGCTTGAATTGACGTTGATATTTCTTAGCGGCTATCTTTCCACGAGCATGCCGTTGAGTCTGTCTCTACGACTTTTATCTTCTTGCCATGGATCACTATAGACTGTTACATGCATCATGCTCTAGCACCACATACTTAGCAAATAATGTAGAGCAGAAATTGCATTTTGCGAGAAGATAGAGTGGCTTGGCAGTACCATTGAATTCACGTTATCTAACTGCTCCAAGCTCTTCTCACCACCTAAATTGGAAACTGTCAGTTAGAAGTTCTCAGTATGCAAGAAGAGAGGAGAACCAGACTTACCCAAAAGCCTCTTCAAAATACTCAAGTCCTCTTTTCCCCTGCTTGAGACCCTGATGCACCGCGGCGCGAGCCTCATCGGCCATTGCTCCTGGTCCACAGGTAAGGACGGCAATTCTGCCACCCTTTGAACCGGCTGAGTTGACTTGGTCGACCAAACCAAGAATTTTCCCACTGATGTCAGGACGACTGTTCAGAATCTCAAAGCCCGAAGTCAGCGGCATCTTCTCGTCAGTCTCAGTCGTCTTGCTTGTTGTGCGTGTCTTCTTCTCCCGCGTTGCGTGGAAGCTGAATCTTATGTCGTCTCTGCACAAGAAAGGCCCTAACTCATGGTTTATAACGTCGTGAATCATGGCGGATTGCTTTGCTGCCCAGATCACGGTAAGGTTTTTGGCGCGTGTCCCTTTTGCGCTGGATGTTTGAATGGAGGAAAGCCTCAAGTGTTCTTGCAGATATGGTATTGCGCCGGCGATTCCAGTGCCACCGACCACGAAGATGATATTTTCAAAAGCAAGAAGTTGACCGTCATGGCCGTAAGGACCCTCGATCCGGAGACTTGATTTCGTCAATCCTGAAGGACCTGCACGTGTGCACTCGTCCCGAAGGCGCTTTGTCCAGCTATTGAAAGGCCGTATCAAAAACACTAGTCTATTGTTGTCTTCTCTAGAAGCAACGGTGGAGTCTTTGGCTGGACTCTCCAAGGATGATGTTGAAGCGGGAGATGGCGAACTGGGGCCACTATCCCCGAGTAGAGCTGTCGAAGTGACTTCTGGTTCCTCTTTCTGTATCACTCCAGTCAGACTGCCCGTGTCACTTGGGCTCTTGGAGCCTCCATCCTGCTTGACAATATCATGTTTGCTTGGATATGATGCCGCCAGGGTGAAAGGATGATTTTCCCAGAATCGAAATTTATTCAGCTGGTAGATGTAGTAGTGTTGACCAGGGCCTGGGTGAAGCAAACGAGAACCCGGAAAGACGACCACTCGGATGAGGTCGGCGTCCTTATTGTAGGTCGCCGTCGCTGTCGAGAACACAAGGGAACCCGATCGTCTAGCTCGGATATTACAATACCCTAACCGGACCAGGCGAGCAACTCGATCAAAAAGCCAGATGGCGACACAAGGCCATAGATAGGGGTCATATTCTTTGGTGGTGAATACCCACGTGTGGCTGTGGTTACACGGTTAGTGATAACGCTTTAGTCATGTAGTTATGTTGAACGTACTAGAAAAGTCCAACAATGGTGAGGATTGACAGGATAATGTGCAACACCAAGAAGATCTCATAGTGTTTGAGACGAAGATAGATTGACGAGAGGCCAAGAAGAAGGCTCATGGTCACTGTGGCCTATCGTCAGGTTAGCACGTCGTTCTGTTCGTGGCAAGAGGACAGGTATACCATTGCTCCCATGTACCAGTATTGCTGCTCCCAAGAGAGGGCGTAATACCCGTTCCCAGCTGAGAATAGTTAGTCTCGTTGCTGAAAGCCAGTCAATCCACTGCATTCAATAGACCTTACCGTTTATTTGGATAGCGCTCCAACCAATTGAATGTATGATTGCCTGTATGGTCGCGATTCGAGCAATATGTCTATGGAAAATATTGAAGGAGGAAAAGCTCCAGCCAGTCAACCAGAGAAAGACGTTATTCCTTCCAGAAAAGATCCAAAGAAGAGGCAGATTAGCATAGCTAATGATGCCTGTTCTGTCCGAGATATACCGCCAATATTGAACTGCAACCGAATAACTGGGGTTCGTTAGCATCATCGCAAGCTCCCAGTAAAATCAGCAGAAGAGCTTACTAGAGATTGTTTTCAAACACACTATCATTTATCGATGCGGTACAAATTGCCAAATTCAATATCCAAAAAAGCCCCACGATAATTGTCTCCATGCGAGTAGGAATAGAACACCACCAGTATAAGCGTTGGTGATGAGAGCCAAATGCGGCTGGAATGATCAAATGCGCACGTAGCCAGTGACGAATAGTCTTGACGGGTGCCAGAAAGACGGAGGATTTGGCACTGGAAAATGGAAGGTCTCCGAGCCCTTCGAGATTGGTAGTTGTTCTGCTACGTCGAGAATTGTAAAGATGCGAGATAAGCCGATTAGCCATGCCAATGACCAGAAACCCTCCCCAAAATCCGTAGACTGCCCATCTGTGAAATACCATTAGCATTCTGGACATCCATATCGTACGAGGAAGGTGGGAAGCGAAAAGGGTGAAACGTGGAAAAAAGCACTCACCCATATCGTTTGTGTAATGTATACTGCCTATCGTATTCGTGCTGTATTCAGTCAGTAAGCCTAGGTAGCTCTCAAATTCGAGCACAGGTAGACACATACTTCACTTCTGGAGCCCAGAAGCCAGAGATCCTTTGATATCAAGATAGAGGTGTTCCAAGTCTCGCCTGCATTCATCTCTTCCAATCCCACCACTGGCAGGGACGTAATGTATTCATCGGTGAGAAGGGGAAGGACTTCAGAGTAGGAGATGAGTTCGACACCTCCATATTCAGTACAATACGGAGCGTAGAGATTGAAACCAGCCTCGATTTCTTTCGGCGTACAGTAGAGCTTTGCAGCTGCCCACATGGACATGACGCTGATCATATTTTGACACATGTTTTCATAGTAGCCTGCTTCAGGATCACCTAACCCGAACATTTGAACCGCTGCAAGAGTACCTTCGAGACAGTCGGTCGCCGGATCCACGGCCACCGCTCCTCCAAGAAGGACGATGAAAGCTGCGAGAAAGAGTTTGAGCTCCATTTTGTCGAAATATCAATCGTGAAGAATATGCATGAGAATGTGATTTTGAAAGAAATGGAATCGTAGTTCATGAGTGATATAGCTTTGTGATGTGGTCTCGGAAAGAATTTTGTTTGCCATTCAAAAAGACAGAACGTAACAGCCTCAAATCTGAGCATTGACCTTACGACTTCATCCCACCTAACCCACTGATCCGAATAGTTGTGGTCTCTTCACTCCAGCAGTGATGAACCAAACATTCAGCAGAATTCTTGCCAAGAATGTAGAGGCGCCACTGCGGTTTCGTTATTTGACACTGATGGAATGTAACTTTGTCGGTCGAGAACACTCGGTAGCTGACTTGCCAATTGTGGTATCATTAGACGTACAGATCAGCCCATGGCAGAATTTTCATGGGTGATAGCCCATCAGAAGCTATCAAAGCATCCTAGTATTGGACTCGATGGCCAGACTGCTGCGTGGGGACCATGGTTCGCAAGCGTGCTGAAAATATTTCAATGCATCGGGCATGGCATGAGCAACAGATTTGCTGGAGTCAGGTCTTGTGCCAACAATCAATCAAGAACCAGTTCCGTGGGACAATTTTCTGCAAGTATGGTCACGATACGCAGCATTGCATTAGACCACGAACCTGTCATGGTATCCATCATCTTGACTTCCGAGAACGACCCGCAAACTGAACTCCGGTTGACCGGCTAGTATTCCATGTCATGAAAAATGCAGATTCCCACTATGTCGAAGTTTTCCAACGTTCTTCTCTGTTGTGGCCCCGTTTCCGGAGCATAGAGCATCCTCCTGCGGTCGAGTAAAGTAGTTTGCTGCACCATGTCCCCAGCTTCCAAAAACAGGCGAACTATACTTCCGTAAGATAAATGAATTGTGAAAAACACCAAAGCCGGTGCTCAAAGAATCTCCTTTGTCACAACCGGTGTAAGTGACGTGCGTTGTATGAGCAGAGAGGACATGCCTGGAGAGATCGTATATAGTGGGGACGCCAAGGATAACGTGATAAGATTAGATAAGATTATCACGAAGTTCAGGCTCAAACCTCCACGCTCAACTAAGCCCATCACCAGGACCAAGTGTCGACAATGGAGAATATGAGTTTAAATTTTCTGGACGTCGAAATCCAGCTCTGGAATAGCCGATCACCAGAGAGCAATGCTTAATCGATCTTAGTAGATGCATTGAACCCTTGTGGTAGTACGGCAAACTCAAGTGATATATGCCCGACATCGGCATATTCAAGCCACCACAGCGTTGAATGAAGTCGATGGATCCACCAGTTTCTTTTATGCTGTTGGCCATCTCGTGACAGACTGTGAGCGTGACAGGATCTGCTCGGTATGGTCTATTGTTCTCTGGTAAGAGTTATTGCTATTCTCAAACTATGGCGAAAGATGTTGCAAGCATACCAAGACAAAGTGCTGGGTTTCTCCCGTGCAGCTGTGTCCAAGAACCACCGTCTCGTACTATTGCTGCGCCAAGATAAACCCACGAGAAGTGCTGTCGGGTGGAGTCCAGCTGTGAACTGAGCTTGATTAGGAACCGTGCTTGGCCTCATCGTTCGTTGAGAACACAACCAGGCCACAGACTTTGTGGGATTCACCCTTGGTATAGTTCTGCCGTGCTCGGAATCGCTTTTCATGCTCAACTCGGCGGTTCTTGCAATGATGACAGAATCTTTGGTTCACAACCATCTCAATGCCGATATGCGGCGTTGAGAATCACGGCGGAAAGAAGAGCAGGGGAGGCGTGAATCGACACATGGCTCTCCACTGGTATTGGAGCAAGACCAAAGCTGGTGTCAAGTGGGTTGTGTCTGGGAAAGACGCTGCAGGTAGCTTCAGAGCTCCAAGGTCTCGGAAGCAGAGCTATAAAACCCTCTATTGTCTCCAACTACGGCGCTGCTTCATTCTCAGCCACAGAGACTCCATCACCAAGAGAGAAAACAAGGGTGATATTGAAAATGTTGCGCAATCTGTGGGTTCTGTCAGCTCTTGCTGCGTCTGCTGCAGCCCAGGCAGGGGGTTCATTTCCCAGCTTGCTTGCTTTGGTCAATGAGACCGATGGATTCTCGTACCTGAATACATACCTCCAATCCTTCCCCGAGGTCAGGGACTCCGTCACAGCATTGACAAACATCACCGTGTTCGCTCCATCGAATAAAGCTCTGCTCGAGTTCGCAGAAACTCCACGGTACTCGCAGCTCACAGAGGGTGGCGCCGACTTCCTCCAGGCGCTCCTCTCTTACCACATTTTGGACGGCATCTACGACAATATCACCGAGTATGGTCCTTTGAACACCCTCCTTACATCGCCCAGATATACCAACCTCACGGCAGGTCAAGTCATTTTTGCATACTACAACCCTAGTGGATTCGAGATCGCCATTTGGTCTGGCAATGACAGCCAATCTGGCACCATTGGATTGCCATACGAGTTCGAGGGAGGTATCTTGTACCCCATCAACAGTGTCTTCAACATTCCTGGAACTGTCTCTGAGGAGGTTTCGGGACCCTTGAATGGATCATCATTCGCCCAAGCGCTTGACCAAGCTGGCCTCACCGATGAAGTCAACGCTCTCAAAGACGCAACCTTTTTCGTCCCGAAGAATGACGGATGGGAGTCGGTTTCACAGAGCTTATCAGCACTTAGCCCTGAGGCATTGGTGGATGTACTGAAATACCACATCGTTCCCGACTTCCTTGGTTACTACAGCGTCTTGGAGGAGGCAAATGGAACGACTCTGAAGACACTCTCAGGCCAAGAGTTGACCGTCTACCTCAACGAAGCAGAGGAGATGTTCATCAATGGTGCAGGAGTCACCTATGTTGATGTGCCAGCGGCTAATGGTGTCATCGTATTCATTGACAATGTCCTTAATCCGACCGGGACCGTTCAACCACCCACGAGTGATGCAGAAGACGGTGTACCAGCTTTCCCCACTGGTGTTGCAAGCTCAGGTAGCGGTGGGGAGAGCACATCAAGCACCACCACAGCGTCCGTGGCTACCTACACTGGAGCAGCCAGTGCATTGCAGACTGGGACTATGAGTCTTCTTGCCCTGGTTGGGGCCGTTATGATGGCCATAGTTCTGTAGCAAAGACGTCGGCCAAGGCTTCCTTGGGTATGTGACCATCTACAGTACAGCCCATCAGCAGGGGAGGGTGGAGAATACTGCGGCCGATGGCTCAGAGCCTATAATGAGGGTAGAATAGGAAAAAGATACTAGTTGGTCCGTGGCAGCTAAGTACTAAGTACTTAGGTACTAAGTAGTAATGAATAGAGTCCGGGAAGCCATTGATCAAGTTCAAAAGCAATGAAAGAAGATCGTGTAAAGCAGATCGTTTGCTCACGGTTGGCAAGAGCTACTAAGTAGTACCAAGTACTTGATGCTATACAGTGCTCACGCCGTAGCGTTCAAATCGGTATAGACAGTACCGTTTCAATACGGTATTTATATAGCTTCAGAGTGTTGACCTTCTCTAACATCGTACTGAAGACGTCTCTATATCGGGCCGAGCTCTCTAAAGGTTTAGATCTTAGTGTTGGAATTGGGTATCAGAATATGAAGTTTTAATTGAAACCTAAGGTTTCTAGAAAACTGAATTCTCGGTAAAGGTCTAATCCTTAATGAGAAGGAGATACTTACAAAGTAAGTACTTAGTACTTTGTATAGGACAGCGTAAAGGTTAGTAACGAAGATTCTTATACTAATTCGTGTTTGTGATATCCTAAGTGTATATATAGGTTTATAGACGAAATTAACAACGAATAGTCCTATCTATTATAATAATCGTATGTGTATATTACTAGGTACTATATACTAACTCTATCGCGCTTCATAATAAAGCCTATTATATTTACTTAATAAGTTCTCTCAAGGTTTTATTCGATAGGCACTATATCCCTATATATAGATCTATAAAGACTAAGTATATTTATCTAGAGAACTTAAGAAAGTTTAAAAAGTGATATCCTCTTTTAAGAGTGACTCTAAAGCGAACCCGAAGGGTTTAGGTACTACTTTGTAACCTTATATATTCAACTTGGAAGTTTAAGGGCGTAATGCGGTGTCAAGAGTCGCTTCGGGAATGTACCTAAAGAATACCTAGTATAAAAGCGCTTTTGATACTTAGTAGTTGTCTAGTACGCATCGGAGGTAAATCTAAACCCTGCTTGAATTGATACTTCGTGGTACTTAGTATCTATGTTGATTTGGGCTCTAGCGAAGGCTAGGATAGTACCTGTAGAGGTTACTTAGTATTGTTTGAGAACCCATCACGATCAATACCCCATTGAGATATGATTGACGCCGCTTTTATCCGACCTTCAGCTGGCTGTAAGCTAGGAAGGTCATTCAACTTCAACCTAAATAAAATTCATTGACGGCGTGTGATGATTGATACCAGTAATCCATTCCTTTCGCTCTATACTGTAGCACAATTATTGTACTATATAAAATATAGTAAAGTGATCCGAAGAAGAACTTTCCCGTGACAAATGAAACTCGTTAGCTGCCCATCGAGACCACTTATATCCTCAAATATATGACCCCAAGTATGTGACTTTACATTGCCTCCCCAGTCTTGTCACTTGTTGTACTCAGATCTTGCGGCTGCGTACGACGATACTTTATGTCCCATAAATTCCCCAGTTTGATCTGTGGTCATCAAGCGACTCTCTGAGACCATAAGCCATTTGCCTCGTGCAGGACAAGGTGTCGAATATAAGATAAGATGATCCATCACGAATGGCTCAAATAAACCTCGTCGTTAGGGGGGCGCCACCAGCCAAACGTGTGTCGTGGAAGGGAATTTTTGACTTTGGATGCTCAGGCTTTCCCCCTATTTGTGGCCCGTCGTTCAGGTCAAAGTGGCCATCATAGCCTTGATGATGCCAGGACTAGGGGCGACCGATCTCGACCGAACTGTTTCCACAAAGCACAGTCAGGATATGATACTTTCTTATTTGGCGACTAACGACATCCTACCTCGACGGTCCTTCTTGACTTCCAGAACTTCCTCGCCGCGTCTCTCGAGAATGATCTCGTTGCCGCGCGGAGATGGTGTCCGCTCTCGAACTCGCTCAATCTTGACAATCTCGGTGCTGTGTTCGTGCTCGTGTCGCCGTTCACGTCTCAGGGCTCGTCGCTCTGATTCAAGACGCCGGATCTCCTCTTTGATCTCCCAGTCGCTGCGGTTGGGCTTGCGATCGACAACCAGAGCCAGAGGTCCTACGTGCACAGAGCCAGAATCGTCAAATTCTGCTTCTCGAGTGATTTTTCGTTCAATGAAGGACTCGTCACTGACTGACGACCCTCTGCGGCGAGTACGAGATGATCGGTGCGTCCGTGCTGGTGATACTTCTCGGACGACCTTCTCCTTCTCGATGATGGTTTCTTTGACCACTTCTACCGGTGATGACCCACGACGAGATCTCCTTCGAGATCGGGATCGATGCCGGTTTGGAGAAGGGGAACGGACTGATAAGCCATCCCAGTGCTGAACAGATTTCGGAGCCTCGGCCAGTGGGATGGTTTTGATCTCTTCGATTTTCTCGGTCATCTTGATCTCTTCAATCACTCCTCCGTGCACACTAGGAGCCCTGATGGAAGGGGCAATCGATGCTGGGGGGGCTTCGAGAAGACGGGTTGTCCCCACTTTCATCCCGTCAGCTTCTGTCACGCAGGTATTCTCTTGTTGGAGGATTTAACTCACCTTCTTTCTCTCGATAGTCCTTGCTCAGTGTGAAGATCTCATCAATATTATCTGGGCCCAACGCCTTTTCGATGATGATCGTTCGTTCGTCCTATAGTAATCAATGTTAGAACAGAAATTTGAGGAAATTGAAAAGAATAGCTACCTCTTCATAATAGGGATAGCCCAAGTCGAAGAGAACCTTGGTATGGACCAATCGCTTTGGCATGCGAGTCTTGCCCCGGCGAGGGTAGCGCTTCTCTTCCTTGACCTCTCTGATCTCCTCTCTGACCTCTTCAATCACCTCCTCCTTCACAGAGTGCCGGTGGGGCGATGGACTACTGTTTCTGCGTCGACGGCTAACCCATTCTCGCTCACGATACTCCCGGAAGCCATCGTCTCCGTAATAATCAGGGTCTTGTACTCTGATGTCGTCATATGCCTGATCATACCTTGGGTACCGACGAGGAGATGGAGGCCGAACGGGAATCATCTCGCGAGGGGGGTTGGGTCTTGGAGGTGGCCGATAGGCATCCTCATAATCGTAGTGATGTCGATGTGGTTGGCGGTCGAAAGTGTCTAAACTGGACTGACGGCGAAGGATGCCGGGGCGAGGAGGGGCTTCTGGTCGAGCAGCGAAGGGGATCATTTGTCCAGCTTGAGCACGAGGATCATAGTAATCCCTCTCTTCGAAGTATTTGCGCTCAGTGGCACCACGAGGGCCATATCGATCATCTTCATAATAGCGCTGCTCTTCGTAGACTGGAGCTCGACGGGGTGGAGGGTAATCGGCATAGGGAGGCCGTTGATCGATAACAGGAGCACGAATCTCTCGTTCACGGACGAAGCGGTCAGTGTCCCATCGTTGAGGTGGAGGATCGCGGTAGGCCAAGTTGCCGTCGGAGTAACGAGGATCAGGACGATATCGGGACATGTTTACGAGTGTTGGAGAAATGGAAAGAAAATAGAAAATAGAAATGGGGCGTCGATCCGAGCGCACAGAGCAGGCGGTTTTCAGGACTTTGGTGGTGTTGAGGTCAGGTTGATGGGTCGGGATGGCGAGTCAGGGATGATAGCCAGGTCGATTCGGTGGTGGGGAGGGGCACAACGCACTGGCACTGGGCGCTGCTGCGAGGCACGAGGCTGACGACGTCAGTGGTTGAAATGGTGGAAGGATTCTGTCCCACCAGGCCTAAGAACAACAAGTGCATGCAGGTCGAAGGTTGCGACAACAGTGGTGTTTTCGTCGCAGGCGGGAGCTGATTATAGCGATCAGAAACAGGAGGACTTCACTGGAGGCTGGGAAATGGCAAAGTCAGACTCCTCTCTCTACGAGTCTGGCACACAGAGTGCCACACTTTCAAGTTCAAGGCTAAGCAGGGTGATGAGTTTGACTCGACTTGGTTTGGGGTGCTGGTGCTGATGACGTCGCTTGACAATTGATACCCAATATCCACCACTCAGGCTGGAAAAATTGAAGATCACAGGCGCTTGTGCGGATTGTGATTAGGTCATGTCAGAGGGAGCTAATAGGTGGATAGTAGGTATCGGGTCTCTACCTCTCGGGCGTCTGCACCCTTAAGATTTAGGTGGTATTCAATGCCTAACAGCTTTTGCAACAGGTGAGCACTCCTTAAAGAAACGCTCAACAATGTCATTTTCCACGCCCTCTCGTTATTCCCCCCCCTGGGCACCAATCACTCTTCACAATCAAATACCCATGTCCCCTGCCAGCTCGTCAGCCACACTTGTCATTGGCAATTCAACATCTGAATGGCACAAAAAATACAATGCAGAATCTACCTACCTCGATGCGCTGTTTGATTCTTATTTCAATCCTTATGGTCTACTGCCGTGGCGAGGAATGTACACATCTTACAAGGTGGTTCTGTCTGATCTAAAACGCCTTTTGCACAGCCCGCCAGTTCAGTACCGACGAGTACGAAAGCCATGCTCGTGGAACAACATCCCATTTCCGTGAAAAAGACCAAGCGACCTGCTCGTCTCTTAACACAATAAAAATGCCCTCCCCAGTCACGTTGCAGCGGACTGAATCACCCACTCTGACCAATGATGCCCAATACGCCCCATAACACCAATGCTGTCGTTGGAAAAATTCATCAGTTATCCTTCCCACCGCTGCTGGTCGCAGCTGCTGCCGAGCCTCCCACCGTCAATTTGGCTGCCTGTACCGCACTCATCTTGTGCGCCCAACCAGGTGCTGGTTGGGGTCGTCGAACCGTCCGGATTTCATCTGTCGATACCCCTGGGACTCGAATATTGTATTGGCGTTCGAGCACAATTTGTAAATCACGGACTTCCAGACTCGAGGATCCTCGTAACTTGGCAAGCTTGCATGCTGACGAAACTAGCTCATCGACAAAATCGTCAGCAAGGGAAAGAAAGATCTGCACAAGTTAGTCTATGTGTTTGCCCGTCATTTAGCATGAACAAACGAACCTCTTCTGCCTCTGGGTCGAGTTGTTCCTCGGGACCCGGGCCACAGATCTCTCGAACCAACTCGTTCAATTTCTTTTTGGAAAGCACCCTTCCGTCCTCGCTTGACTCGAGAACATAACCAGGAAGTGTGGAGATAGCAGGCTGTGCTAGTTGACCAGGCAATCCGACCCCTGCCCCTCCGGTCAGGGTAGGCCTTGATGGTGGCATTGTTACAGGTTTGGGCTCCGTCACCTGAAGATTCTTGGTGATGGTCGGTGTTGATGTTTTGGCGCCGTTGATGCTGGTATTCAGGGGGTGAGGATGAATGGTAGCCTGTGCGCTATGTGGTAATGCTTGTGGAGGCATTGGTTGTCCTTGGTGGGAGACTGGACGAGGTCCTGCCGCACCATCTCCTGCAGCACCAACAGGTGGAAACGTGGTCGGAGTTGCCGTGACCGGAGTTGCTTGAGCAGTTGCCGCAATGGCCTGGCTAATTTGAGGCGCTGCAGTGGTCGGGCTTGTCGCTTGAGTAGCACTTGCTTGATTACGTGCAGCGGAGACGGCTGAGCTAATAGAATGTGCTGTCGGGCCCTGGACAGCAGGCTGTAAATGCGCAACGGGTGCCTGCTCGGTACCATCTCCACCAGCTGTCGGTTGCTTACTGAATTGATTCTGTGGTTGGGCTGCTCGGAACTGCTCCTGCTGTTCATTGAATTTCTTCATGAAGGAGGTGCTCTCAGCCACTGCTCGGTCGCACTGCGCAACTTTGCTGGCGAAAACTTCCTGCTCTTGCGGATTCAGTGGATTCCCTTGCTGTGACCTCTGTGATGCCTGCCTTTGGAATTCGGCTTTTTTCTGTTTGGCCACCTGAAGCCTCTGGAGCGCCTGGCCAAGTCGAGTCTTTGCTTCTCGTAGCCACACCTCTGCGGGTTCAGTGCCCTTTGTCATTGCGGGCGGGTAATAGAAGTGCTGTTCTTTCACTTTCCTCTGAATCTCCGGCATCAATTGACTGAATTGTAATGTGGTATTATTGGTGGCGGGTTGAGCAGGTGCACCAGGTGCAGTTGGGGCTTGGACCGGTGGTTTGGGAGCCTGTTGGTTGGCCGCCGATTGATTCGGCTGTTGCTGTGGTTGTTGTTGCTGTTGGCCATTTTGTTGAGCAAGTTGTCTCTGTTTTGCAGCTTGCTGCCATTGTTTCATCCCAGCCATCAATTGACTCGACGTACGGACCAGACCTGCATAGGCTTCATTGTACTTGGGATCTCCCTGCTGGCTGCTGTTAAGGATGTCCCAAAACCTCTTGACACCTTGTTCGAATTGTTGCTTCTGAGATGCGTTGAGTTGCGGGAGTCTCTGGACTTGTTCTGGTCGGATTAGTGAGGCCTGTTGCTGTGGCGCAGGGGGAACAGGTCGATTTGCGTTCTCCATATCTGAGGTGATTTGAATGGAAAGAAACGACCAGGCGAAGATTAACGGAGTAGGAAAGGATTTAGATGGTGATCAAAAACAGCCGAATTGGTGGTGATGAAATCAAGACAACACAGGTAATCAAATGGCGCGAGCTGAGGGGATTGTTCCCATCGGCGCAGCGGCGCCGCTCGAAATGACGGGGAATGATGAGATGAGATTCGGTCAGCTTATAATGTATGTCTACTGCTCGATTGATGTTCGGAGATCTCGACTTATGTTTAGGTACCTGAGTGACGGTAGTTAAAGAGAAATAGTCCTCGTTGTCAGGCCAGGCAAACCTGAACCTGAACTGAACTTCCAGGTGAAGTCGGAGCCTGTCTTGGCATCCCCGCGACGCGCCAAAAGTTCAGCAGCAAGTCTTGCATTTAGCAGCTGACCATTTCCTATTATAGCTAGAGCCCATGCTAAATTAGCGATCCGCCAATGACGAGACTCGACACGGACTGCGCTAGCACCTGTACCGCTATTAGTATTGGCACTGACGACAACTCATCGCATGTTGTGATATCCTCAATATCTGCAAACAGCGACTCCCCAGGTAGGAATCTTAGATGACGCCAGGATAGGCATCAAACTCATTTCTCAAGGTCATGACATGAGAAACCCTGATCTGTGATTACTATTGATATCAAATCATGCCTTCACATTGGCCAGATGGAATCTTGAACTACCCAAAGGGACAATTCTCATGTCTTCAAAACTCACCTAACCCATACTGAGTAGGTAGGTGGAACTAGGACATGTCTAGCCCTAACCCACACTTTCTCGTCGCCACCAGCTTCGATTTGCGACACCGTCGAGTCAGTGAGGCCACCCTGTAGACTAGTCCGCGGAGTGTTACCGAAGTCTTCAGTCCTCAGCTGACTTCGGAATGTCCCCGGGAATGGAAATTCTATCCTGATAAATAAGAGGCTCCCCGTGCAGAATTACTGTCTAGGAAGGACCATGAAATTTTGAACATGACGGGAAAGACCTATGACTTCATTGTTGTTGGTGGTGGTTTGGCAGGAAGTGTGGTTTCCAGCCGCCTGGCAGAATCACATCCAGAGCAACGAATCCTGCTCATCGAAGCTGGATCTGATAGAGAAAAGAACAAGAACTGGAATCTCAAGGACGCCGCTACTGCCCCCTTACTCGTCGGAACAGAATATGATTGGCAAGATGCTACTGTTCCACAACTCGCACTGAGGAGTCGTGTTATTTCCAGCTCTTCTGGCAAAGCTCTCGGGGGAGGAACCGTCATAAACAGAGGTGAGCTATTCCGATATTCATTTGAGACTCGGACCACCCATATCCGCCGATGCTGTAGCGAGACGTTGAACAGGGACGATGAGAGGCTACTGGGAACAGCATCAAATAGGCACAGCTAATAAAACAATTCCCACAGGAGGCTGGATGAGAGGACATAAACCCGACTTTGACGATTGGGCGGAGCTAGTCAGGGACCACAGGTGGAGTTATGACGGCCAACTACCCTACTTCAAACGGGTCGAAAATGTGGTAGACCCATGTACTGATCAAGCCCAACATGGAGTCCGAGGGCCGATAACAGTGACTTCTGTCTCCACGACTGGAAGACAATACCCGCTGCGCAATGCGGTGCTGAAGGCCTGGAAGGAACTCGACATTCAACATAAACCGGATGGAAATAGTGGTGATCCACTAGGCGTTGTTGAGTATCACGAGAACCGCGCAAATGGTGATCGTCAAATTGCGAGCTCATGTTACTCTCTAAACGGCGTCACTGTCCTTACAAACAGTCTAGTTGCCAGAGTCATCCTTGAGGGAACGGACGCGGGCTGTTCTTACCCTGTCCGAGCAGTTGGCGTGCGATTGGCAGATGGCACCGAATACAAGGCGACAAGGGAGATCATTCTGTCTGCCGGTGCGTACAGAAGTCCTCAACTCCTGATGCTTTCTGGCATCGGCTGCAAGACCAATCTCGCATCTCATGGCATCCCTGCAATCATCGACTTGCCCGAAGTTGGGAAACATCTCAAAGATCACCCAATGTACTCTACGTACTGGAAATTAAGAAACCCGGAGGAACAGGGAGGACTAGTCCTTGGTTCTAAGAACCCTCTGTTTACACAGCCGCAGTTCACTACTGGAAACCCCGTCGACTGGATCACCACGACGTCGTTGCCACTAGAAGGATTGCGCAAGGCCGTAGAAAAGGACGAAGGCATCGTCGATCCGATATCCTCTGCCGGTTCACAACACCCACTTCTAAGGACCGATCGAGCATTCGTCGAATTGTTCGTCGTCTACGCTGCCAGTAATCCAACCGACCCTGTCATTCCGTTCGACGGATCTCACATCACGGCGTCAATAGTTGGACTGCAACCGACATCCGAAGGCACTGTGAAACTAGCTTCAGCCAACCCTCACCATGGCCCGTTGATCGATCCGCAATACTACACGACCGAAGTTGACCGCTACGCAATCCGCGACGCTGTACGAAGGATCACGAAACTCTTCACCCAGACGTCGTGGAGCGAGACTATCATCGCCGGAGAAACCCCATCTTATCAATTCCCACCCCTTCATCACGGAATCACCGACGACGAGATCGATGCTCGCATTGCCAACTCCGCTGCGTAAGTTCTTCGACCCCCTCAGCCTTGTTCCCACTTCCCATTAGACACCCGATATGATTAGGTGACAAACTGACATTCGACTATCACCTTTACCAACAGCTCATGCTACCATTCCACAGGCACAACCAGCATGGGTCTCGTCGTTGACGGCAATTTGGTTGTCAAGGGCACAGAGAACCTCCGTGTCGTCGATGCCGGTGTCATCCCCACGACGATTGCCGCGCACATCCAGCACGCTGTGTATGCATTGGCGGAACAGGCGGCCGATATCATTGCAAGCAGTATATAGTTCACCAGATTTAGTTCATTGCCAAACTGAAGCATAAGTCCTTGGGACGACGGAAGCACGAGAGATGAAGGAAAGAGGCCGGAAGAACCGCAGGTGAGGCTCTGCCCACTCAATTGCAGCCACCTTGTTCGACCTTAATGAGAGTGATCTCGATGGAGGAATTATGAAGATGATACACTGTATGGGAAAACTAAGACAATGACCATCATGCATGTCCACCTCGATAGCTGATGTCGCATATTTGAGCAAGCCACGAACAAGGCTGGCGGTTTCAGAACCGAACTGCCGGCAGAGCAAGACAAGGTCGAGGTCTATCACACTTCGAGTAGCCATCTAGGGAGTGAGAGAGTCAAGTCGATCAAAGCTGGCCAGTAACAGTCATTTAGCCCGATCCGCTCACATAGCCCAAGATACCCCGACCCAAGTACCTACCAACCCAGCACACGACTTGAGCGTGAGGCAACCGCGGAGCAGCCTCGTTGAACCTTATTCAACGGCGGCCTTGTTCGCATCACTACACTCCAGCCTCACTCAGACATTACAGTCACCCATCCACCCAGTAAGACACCTCCTACTACCAGGCATCACTCGAATTAACTTCATTTCACAACCACAAACCACCCCCCTCTACACCAAACCCACCGCACTCCACCAAAACTACATATATTCACAGTTCCCAATTCCTGCCACCAAAAATAAGGTACCCAAAGCACGGAGGCTCTCCCACACGCCCTCGATGGCTCAATCAGTTCACCACTGGTTCCCCATCCGCCTCTTCCCTCTCTCTACCTCCTTCTTCTTCAGATGCCATCGAGGGCGTATGGGAGGTCTCCGTGTTCATGCGCCACCGTTTTTCTTCTTCTTCTCCTCCTCCTCCTCCTCCTCATGTATTATTATCCAAAAAATCCCGAAAGGGGTTTCTCATCCAGTTCGAACCCTGACGGTGGGGGGTAAGAACTGGATGAGTTTTTGTGCTTTTTACTTTTTTTGATCTTGGATATTTTCCAGTCTTTGTGGAATTCGTGCGACCCATCTAAAGTACAACGCTTCTTACTAGCTTTACCAACAGTACTGCAATGATAGTTGCTACATCACTTAGTTGAACATAGCTGGACAACATTACGTAATCCTCCTACCTACTACTATTCACAACGACTAAAACTATTCACTCCTGATGTGTATAAATTCTACTATTGTATGATGTTCATAAAGATGTTGTCTGGAGGCTGCCTGCTCGCATTGGGCCACTGATATTACCCCTGATCATCAACACCAACAGACTACGGGTCTCTGGTTCATGGGCTCGACCTGGTGAAGAGCGAGAATGGAAGATACTGAGACCTATCACAACTCGAAAGTGATGACCTCAATACATCAGCCTAACTAAGTGAACCGCTAATCAAAGTCAACCGCTGCGAGTTATCAAAAGTCTCCATGATCAAAAAGACAATGTAGCGTTTGTCACTGGTCCATCCTTCGGCCAGTAGTACGTTCGAAGACATGCCGCGCAGTCAGGGGTTAGATTTCCCTGATTAACCTTGTGTAAGAGACCACAAGCCAGGCAGTATGGCCAGTTCTCATCTCTGCCATTCGTAGCGATCCTTCGTCCATTCGCGATCAAGCTGTATACATTCCAAAAATTGATCAAGTGATACGAGCTGATGTTGCTGTGAGACGAAACTTGTCTGTTTGGAAGATAGATGATTGTTATGGCATGCAAGTTCTCGCACCCGAAGAATGTCGGTCGTCTGGTCAGCCCTAAGAGCTCCATTGTGGCCGGAATTGGTATGGGTGGCATAGTTGTAACTCCGGCCTCTTGTGACTGTACCCAGGTATTGTAAAGGGATGTCCCATTCGGGTAGCCATATCTGTCGGCTGAATTGTCGTTCACTATTATGACATCGATTTCCCGTTCTGGTTGGATTAACGGCCATAATGGAACATTCTGACCACCACCTGCGCCATTGGAAAGGTGCAAGGACTCCTTTGATGCAAGTCCAGGAGCTAACCTCGATTGGAAGAAGGGATTTGGGTAAACAGCATAGCGATCATGACCCGACGGTTTGTGCAGTGCACTTGTCAATCCCATCAAGTCATCAACTGGCGGTGGCTGGTTGAGTGTCGAAGAATTGATGTCCTGGCGTGGTAAGCAAGGAGGCGCGTTTAGGCTACTGGAAGTTGCAAGAATAAGGCCCAGGTTGTCAAAATTCGTCACACAAAGTTCCCAGTGAGCGGTAGACCATCGTTGAGTGGTGTGCCCAGATATGCTGTCCGTGTAAACACTCGATATCCAGCTTCCCATGTCCCTGTTTCATAAGGATGAAACTCGAACTGCAGAGATCGTTTATCAACCCCACTACATTCATCGGCGTCTGTATCTGAAGCTGTCCCGAGTGCTGTGATAATTGGATATGGTGTTCTGAAAGCACGCAGCATTGGACTCTTCGTCAAACCAGAAAAAGTGCCAATAGCTCCAGGCGTCATGTTCAACAGATGATATGAACATAACATGCCCCAGCCATCAACCAGGGTGGACGGTAAGCCATTCAATTCTTTAGCGGCCATCGCCAAAGCCATACGGCCATACGGCCATAGGCTTGCCCTTTGTTTATGTTGTCAGGCAGAAAATCAGGATTGGTGAAATCAGAACTCCAAATATTGCGGTATAGGTCCGAAACGGTCCAGTTGTCGTTGCCTGCAAGAGCAGCTACGAGCATAGCACCACAGTCTAAGCCAACATGGTATGAGGCGGCCTGGTAGAGGTATTTGACACCTTTGTCACTGTCTTCAGAATCTCGCGCATCGAATGCTTGCATAACACCAGCACCAGAGAGGAAACCTCGCAATTCACCACCACTCGAAGCAAGTGCAATCACGGGAGTGCTATTGTAATTGAATATTTCACCTTCTGCCACACCGTGATTGATCCCTTGTATGAAGCGGCGGAATGCTCTGTTGGCAAGCCGGCGGCGTCCGAATTGATAGAAGTATTCATCAGCGCAGAGTCCTTCAGCATTTCGGATGAGTGGAGTGGATGGGCACGTAGCGGTGACAGGAGCATAGTTTGACCATGTCAGAAAAGAACGCAGGCAGTGTGCGAGAGGCACAAGGAGAGCAGTGAGAACAATAGTCAGTCTGTACAGTTTTGCGATCCTGGAGATTTAGATCAAAGCGCCGTGGATCGAATCTTTGAGAGGGATGAGTGCAAGCTGCGAAGCATGAGTTAAGCATGAAAACGAACACAGGGTGTTCCATGATGACTACAGATGGTTCTGGGTACGACTGGAAATTATGAACCCAAAGGTCATGATGGAAGTTGCTGCACAGAGTTCTGGTTCCGTTCCGAAAGCGAAAGCGAAAAGCTGTGATGACATTTACATGGTGTTTCGTCATGAAGAGGGAAGGAGGCACTTCACTTGTTGCTAGCTGATGGTGATGGCTCCTACCTGAATGATAACCGGGTGTGGCTCACACCTGGATCGGGACGAAGGTGTTCCTACGATGAAAAGTTGTTGCGGAAGTTGATGGCGACTCCTGTTGACTGAACATGTGGCAGGCGGTTAAAATTGCTGCCCTCGTGGATATAAATATCCTTGGCTCAGGCCTCGCACTCAATTCTGTAAAACGAGTTGGGACTGGGATATCATTGTTGCGATTTAACATACAGAGAGAGCATGTTGCTGATAGCTAACATCACTCCATCAGACATGTACTGTTTGTTTCATGTTTGTACATTTTGATCCCCTGCACAATAGCCAGCTACCAAGACCTACTTCAGATATCCTTTGCTACACTTTCATTGCCTCAACTTATTTCCAAGGCTTTATTATCAGGGCGTCTGAATGATGTACTCCCATTCGTCCTGTAGGACCAATACACCTTACACTTGATTTTTGCGGCCCCAGCTGCTCGGGCCAAAGTCCTGCCCTGACTCTTGCATGTCTGTCATAACATTGTTGAAGGCCTTGCCCACTTCCGCAAGCACCTTTCCGCGATCCCATTCACCCCTTGTCTGCCACAATGTGTCCATCAAAACACTATTAACCTGTTCAAGCTGTTCCACGCTAAGACCAGTAGTCTTATCTGCCACCTCCATTTGGAAGTTAGTCAAGTTACGTTGCTCGACCTGAATGAGGTTTGGTTGGGGAGATGGGTTGAGGAGGTCCAAGATCTGTGAGCTCGGTCGATGGGTCTGCTGTGTACTTGTATGGGCATCGAATGGAGGCACTGGAGGCTGAGAAAGCCCCTGTTGACCTTGCGACGAGGATGGCTGATCTATCGGTCGAAGGTGAGTAGCATTATCGCTGGGAGGTGAACCTTGTGAGTATAATGGGTTATCTGCTTTATGGATCAGACCACACAATTCACTTTTTCCAACGACTTGAAGGAGACGGCTGTGGGCGGACGAAAAACAACGCGTACCTTGGGTATCCGGGATATCACTGCCTACGCCTGCTGAGCGGCGCTCTTCCAGCATGTATAAATTAGGGCCTGAACCTTGAGTGTTTCCTTGTTCCCTGTCACCGGATGACATCCTCTTGTCCGAAGACTGAGTAGTGCTTGCATCATTTTGGAATTCTGCCGCTATACTTCCTGCTGGCATGGGTGTGAAAGGACCTGTTTGAGACCGGGGTGCAGACATGCCAGACTCTTTCATCAGGTGTTGAGATGGAGCAGTATAGGCATGGAAAGGTCGTGGCTGGGCAGATTCGCGGTTGTCATATGAGCTAGTGGTCTGCGTGGGCTGTGTCTCATTGCTCTTGTCATTAGACTCGTGAGCATCAGCGTCAGTACCTCCCATTGGCGTATCTTCCTCAGCGTCCGCGCCATGATTCGAACTAGAGCCATTGGTCACGGGCTCATGTTCATGATCATGCCCATGATGCACTCCGTTTGTCATTACTGAGTCGGTGGAGTCTTCGGCCGAGGGAACTGTCGGCAACAGGCGCTCTGCAAAATCATGATGTCGGACCATTGGTTCCCCAAGTAAGATAGGGCCGGTGGTCGAAGTCGTCGTTGCTGAAGGACCGGAGTTCCCATGCGGGACATTTGATATCACCTGTGGTGGTGGCATATCTCGATTCTGCTCAGCTTCAAGCCGTGCCTTCTCCATGGCCTCCTTTTCTCTGGTGAGCTCTCTTTGATAGACGCGTTCACACTCTGCAGCGAATGCAGGCTCACCAAACTCGATCGATCCTATATCAACCTCAACGTTAGCTAACAGCTCGTTGGCTTTCAACAGCCGATCTTCGTCCCCAATCGCCTTTGCATCTTTTGCTAGTCGCTTGATATCAGCTAGGAAATCTTTCGGTCGCTTGTAATATCCATTGCTGAGTCGCTTCTCGATGGTCACCGAATCAAGATTATAATAAAAGTTGCCATTAGCCTGATCGAGCAAGCCAACTGTTCCATGTGCATCTTTTCCGATCTCAAAAGGTCTGAAGGACGCCCGGGCAAGAATCTCGTGGTGAAGGTCAGATGTCACTGTGCCAGGATCGGCCTCCTCGAAGAGGTAACGGATCTGACTCTCATCAATCACGCCAGTGCGAAACTTCTTGTGTCTCGTTCGTATCTGGTCCATTATTGGCTGGAGTCGAATTTTCAGCATATTGAGGGTCTGGCGGTCTTTTTTCTTTTGAGCCTTGAGCTCCTCCTTCGACAATGGCGTTTGAGACTTCTCAGGCTCAGGAGGTGCCACGTCCAACTTTTCGAGCTGCCTCTTCTTACGATTGGTTGGATTGGGGAAATCAGGAGGCGCTGTCCTTATATAGTCCTGCAGTCCTTGGAAGAATGCGAGCCGCTCAGAGTGGCCTGGCTTTTTCAGTTCATACTGATTGCGCTTTGAGTATCCAAAAAGTTCGCGACGCATGCTCTCATCAAGTTCGTCCTGTTCACCTTCCACTAGGCCTAGAAGAAGAACTGGATCTGTTGGCTTGATTGACCTCAGCAGTCCGAGGAAGGTAGAGATGACGGTAGCGCCTACAGTGCTGTACCAATCTTGCACATTGGGAATGTAAATCACACTGGGCTTGTGCATCTTGACCTCGGTGAAAAGTCGGATTACCGTGGCTTCTGGAGTACTTGTAGTATCACTCAATAATGTTGGAAGATCAAAGGATTGCACATGGAGACCTTCGAAATGGTTCAGCAATGCAGCTGCCAAATACTGTTGGCCCATTCCGAGCTTGCCATGGATAAGAAGTCGTGGTCGGAATACTCTGGAGGTTTCGAATGCTTGCTGCATTTTCTCTTTGCCGAATCCTTGGCCATCATACACATCTTCAAACTGAGCCTCTTCCAGAGCAGTCAAGGTCTTCTTTTGTGGTAGAACCTCTGACAGTAATGTTCTGATCTCTTCAAAATTCTTCTGAAGTAGAGGTGCAACACTTTCTGGAAGCGGAGAAGCACCTGAGGAAGTTGATCTTTCGGATGATGGGGTCATTTTCTTGATTGAGATCATGAAGTCCTTGGGTGTAACTTCGATTGTTTGTGGATCGATTTTGAGCTTTTCGACAGAACTGTAGATCTGTGGATACCGCCGCTGAACGGCATTCAGAGCAGCTTCGGTGCAGAGCGCTCGCAGATCCGCTCCGCCATACCCCTTCGTCAACATCGCAAGCTCGTTCTTGATGGCAGGGTCTAGTTCTGGCTTCCACTCTTTTGTATGAATGTCGATGATGGCACGACGAGCTTCAGTACCAGGCAACGGGAAATAGAACTCGCGGTCGAATCGACCAGGGCGACGTAGCGCAGGATCAATTGAGTCAGGACGATTAGTTGCACCAATAACGATGACCTGTCCTCGACCATCCATGCCATCCATCAGCGCAAGAAGAGTCGACACAATCGAAGCGTGAATTTGTTCCTGTTTGCTTGATCGGACGGGTGCTAGGCCATCAATTTCGTCAAAGAAGATGATGCTCGGCTGAGTTTTCCTAGCCTCTTCAAAAAGCAAGCGCAGTTGTCGTTCAGCTTCACCCACCCACTTGCTGAGGGCATCGGCACCTTTGCGCATGTAGAACGTGACCTTTCGGCCTTGCGAGCTGACACTTGTTGCCAAAGCTCGTGCGAGTAGAGTCTTTCCAGTTCCAGGTGGACCGTGGAACAGGACGCCTCGGGGAGGAGTGATTTTGAAACGCATAAAGATCTCAGGGTAGAGAAGTGGGAGTGCAACCATTTCTTTGAGTTGGTCGATGTGACCTTGCAATCCCCCAACACTGTCAAAATTGACATTCTGATCAACTCCCAAAGGATCTGCATCTGCAAGGGCCTGCTTGTCCTTGAGTTTACCAAGGTTTGCAGGAGTACCTCCGGCAGCCTGGGCGGGATCTGCATTGTGTGTCTGGGGGAATAGATTGAGTGGTCCAGCTGTCGTTGGAGTCATGCCAATGGCACCGCCTACACCACCTGGTTGCCTCGCACCTTCATCGTCACTGCTGTCAGAGTCTACTCCGCCCTGTGCTCGAGCTACTGACCCACCGAGGACAGGTGCAGCACCTCCACCACCTCCAAATGGACCATAAGTATTGAAGAGACTTCTTTGCCAGCTGCCAGCACCAGGTTTACGCGCTCGTTGTGAAGGAGAGGGTGCTGCAGGTGCTTCCTCATCCTCGATGGGCGCCAGGCTTCGAAGCAAGTCGTAATTTGGTTGCTTCCCAGCTCGGCGTCGGCGTGGTTCGAAGATGATCTCTTCGCGTTCACGTCTTGTTTTCCGGCCAGCTCTCTTAAGTTCAGCAACTTCTGCAGCGAGCTCCTCGCTAGCGTCAGACATCTGGCGGGACACGGCTTTGCTCCGCAGTCGTGTTGACCGCCTGCCAGCGTTGCTACTTTCATAATCACCATCCCCACGATTGTTCTTACGTGGTGATGCATCGGATTCTCCAGAAGTTGACATTTCGTCCAGATGTTGGGGTTCTTCTTCAGGATCAAAATCGCTGCTTTCCTCCTGTGCTTTCCGGCGCCGACTTCCAGAGGTGCCATCGTTGGCACGGCTTCGAAGATTCCGGACACGTAGATGCGTTAGATCTTGCTGCCCAGCGTCTGCAGGTGGCGAATTTTCCTGTCTCTTTGTCGACGATCGCTTAGGTCGTCCGCGTGGAATGATCTCATCCTCTTCGTCGTCCTCAGCTTGGTCTGGGTTTTCTTCGGAGGGCTCATGTGCAGCATCTTCACCCCCGCCTTCACTTTGTGTGGCCGCATATTCCTGGAGATCTGAGACGACTTGAGGAATGTGTGCATCATTCTCCCCAGGTAAGGGCGGATCACTCTCAAGAAGTTCGTGCTGTGAAGCCTTTATCTCCAGCTCTTCGTCGGCCTCTTCCTCTTCCTCTCCAGCGGCTTCATCTTTCGGCACTGATTCTGGTTCTTCATCGATGGTACTTTTAGACGGGTATTTCAGGCCTTTCCCACCTGTTGTAGATCTTGGAGGGAGGTCCTCAGGGTCACGGGAGCCAGCTCGTATGACTTCCACATGTTTTCCTGAGTTCGTCAGGGCGAAGATTCCCTCCTCATCATCATGAGAAAGACGGCTGCTCCTCCGTGTACCTGTTGGTTGAGGTACAGAAGGGGAACGCAGGGCGTGCTTGCCAGCGTAACTGTCGCTCCTCTTCCTCGTTGAGCGTATAGGTCGCGGAGTCGTCCTGAGTGTAATGATCAGCTTCTTGCGTGCAGATTTCCGAATCGGTGTCTTGGGTTTCTCTGAAGCGGATCTGTCACTTTCGTCCTCATCAGTGTCTTCTTCCTCGTACTTGACAGCCTTTTTTGCCGTTCTTCGCATTGGGCGTCCGTTTTCATTTGTTTCTGGTTCATCGTCCTCGAAATCATCTTCGGATGCACTATCATCGGGAACTAGGTCGTCATCGTCGCTATCGATGTCAGAATCACCATACTCCCGACGCGGTTTCTTGTGAGGGTTCCCAGATGCCCGAGGTTGCTTATTTTTCGAGGAGCGGGATTTCTTGGCGGGACTACGGGCGTGATCATCATAGTCATCATCGTCCGATTCTTCGTGATTGGCGATTTCCTCAAGAGTGCGCTTTGAGCCTCGTGCCATTGCTGCGGTGGCGGTGGTGATAAGACTGTAGACTCAAGTGACTAGTGGGCGAAAGTCCGTCTCGAGATGCTGAATGATGGCAACGCAATGACCGATCACCTCGAGCGCATTGTGGATGTGATTTCAGGTCAATGGAGTGATGAATGTATGGCGTCGGGTTATCGGCTCAAGATTGATGGTGACGGAGTGATGGAGCCTTTCAATGGTGGCATGCGGCGCGTCAGGGTAGCTCAGGGTCGAGAAAGTGCTACGAGGAGCTTGAGCATACGGTGTCAACCGAATCCTAGAAGGGTTGCGAGTGGCAGCCTGGGGTACGATAGGGAGTATATTACAATTAGAGAGAATTTGACAATCCCAATGATGATGGATTGATAACAATGGTGCATCAGCTAGGACCCAGGAGTTTGGGGGGAATGCGTGTTTAGGAAATTGGAACGTCTTTTGCTAGCGCAGGCGCAGGCATAATGCCAAGACCAGCCCTCCCCACTAAATCTCCAACTCGTCCCAATCACAGAACGTGGTTTCAGGCAGACGATGCACCTCGCAATGAGCAATTCAAAAGCATCAATTATCAATATATCGAAACAACCACACTGGTCATAGAATATGAGGCAATATTTAGGTGGTAATGATACCCGGAACCCATGCGACCTAGAGCCTGGTCTTCTGGATGTTCAAAACCCTCTCAGCCTTCAGTGTTGGGGTTTGGAAGAATTGTAGACATTTCCAAGATGGAGTACGGGATATGCACAGCGATCGACGTTAGATCTCGGTTGAGGCTCGTTAGAACCTTACTGTCGGTGCATCCACATGCCACCGTTCTCAGAGGTACTTTTGTGAGTCACGTGATGGAAGCAACAAATACACCTGATGATACAACCTCACTCTGCTACGAAGAGATAGTTACCTAGTGAAAAGTACATGTATGATTCGACCTCGGATTAACAATGTATCGTCATGGGAATGATACCGTGCGGAGGCCACTAGGGATAATGATACAGTTACCACCACCTTTACTCAACCTCATCCATGTTCTTCACCACTTCATCATCTGTAGAGCTCAACAGGTCTTCCTCACCTTCTGTCACTCCATCATCACTCCAGAGAACAGACGCTTGTCGACTTAGCTCTTCCAATATAGTACTGGGTCGGCGAGGAGACGGTGCAATGATGTGATCATTTGCGTCTTCTGTCGATGAGACGCTATCATTCGCTCTTCTCCTAGCTCGAAGTGATGCTTCTTGTGATTGCTGTTCGAGAGCCGGGTTGGGGTCACGATATCCTTCTTCGACCGGACCAGCCCTCCTCAAGCCTTCGAGGATGACACGTTCCACTTTCATACGATTAGAAATAAATCGAATCTTGGGCCAACAGCTGCGCTCGCCAACTTTCAGCATTCGGTCCAGTCTTTGTGGGCTAGGATCACTCAGAATATTCCAAAAGTCGCTCAGGATAGTCTTGGGCCAGATTGTCACCGTTCCCGAAAACCTTTGTAGCCAGATCTCACTCCAGTCCTGGCCCATAACCCGAGGCAGTAATTCGAGATGTCTGAGGATTTTTAGGTATTTCTGCAAGTCAAGTTTCACTGATGTCTCAATTGTCGAGCCCAAGAACCCTCCCCGCCAGCCTCTGCCTTTCCGATGAATCACTGGCCTACCAGGAGATCCTCGCGGCGAGAAGAAAAAGACGTTGATATGGGGATTGACCTGGGAAACGATTGAGAAATTGACATTGAAATGGATGTTCAGGGCTTTCAGCGGAATATCGGTGCGCAGACTACCATCTTTCCACTTGTTCCCAAATGAGTACGGGATCAGATTTCCGTCTTTTGTTTTTCGCATCAACACAATCGGATTGAGGATGCCTGGGACGGCAGCAGATGCCAGGACAGCAGACCAGATCACGCAATCAGGGCTTGTGATATGGTTGTTGAGTATTGTTGGGGAATGTGGATCCGATGGGACGCAGGTAACATTCAAAATGCGGCCTGTCCTCTCGTACGCTTCACGGAATGTAAGTGAACCGCGGCAGAACCAACTGCATTGCAAGGCCCAGTCAAGGGAGTCGAAACGAGCCCCTGTCTTCCACCAGCGAGGTCCCCATGTACCGAAGCCTTCTCGACACGCGCGGATGCGATGTGCCAGCGCTGGCACAAGCAATTCTTTCAATTCTTCGTCGGTTCGAGTGGCAACGAGGGCAGCGACGAGAGCACCGCCCGAAGTTCCAGTGATAATCTCGGGCAGTTCGCCTGCATCAAGAAGGGCTTTGATGACTCCGAAATGATAGTACGCAAAGGTGGCACCTCCCGAGAGACAAAGAGCCGTCCGCCCATAATTGAGTTCAAGATGTCGGAAGAATGTGGCTTTGTCCTTGTTGGTAATTTGGTCCGAATCCAGAACAGTTCGCAGGCTTTTCTCCACCTGGTCGACAAAAGTCTGAATCAATTCCTTGGTTCCAATATAGGTCTCACTGTAGAGACGAGGATTTTCAATGCCCACAAAATTGTTCTTCATGCAGCTTTCGAGTAGCGATTTGAGTTCTTCAATGGCACTGAGACCACCTGTCCCATCTCGACCGCTCGTTCCTTCCAATTCGGTCTTCCGTTGCTGTTCAGCGAGTTGCGCAGTGACCCGCTTGACGGTCTGGTGATTGTAGTAGGAGTAAGGATCTGACCTTTTCCAGTCATCATTTCCCAGATAATCGTCCAGTTTTTGAGCTACGTCTTTCCATCCTTCGTATGTGTCTGCCTTTTGCAGCAGCCTCCGAAGGTTCTCTCGTCGGCCTCTCCAGGTGAAGATGTGCTCATACGCATAGATGTAAAAGCGAGTCAGGTTGTAGATGATGAAGAGAAATACGATCCAACCGCAAACAAGGAACAAGAGAGGGTAATAGAGAATATTGTAGACAAACCCTTCCCTTGTTTCATCTTTCGATCTTCGGGGTGCTTTCCGTCGAGGCCGACTACGTTTGACCTTTTGGTGGACAGGACCCCAATCATTCAAAGCGGTGACTGGTTCTGTGGTTGGAGCGGCCAGTGCTTTGGCGAAACTATCAATGTCATCCTGGCTGATGAAATTGGTTTCGCCATCAAGCAATGATCGGAGATCATAAGGGGGCTTGCTGTCCACAGCAGAGGTCCCGTTCTTTCCCTCTTCTGTGGACATTATAATACGTGCACTGGCATGTTGCAATGAGCAAGCTCTTTGTTGTTGAGGCCTTTGTTAGAGCGTGATTCCCGAGCTCAAGTAGTACAAATCAGGCAGAACGTATGGTCAAGTCGAGATGCATTTATCACACAGGGTCATGAGATTTGATGTCATAGGCTTACGGATAGCTTTGGCGGCTTTGCTAAGAACTCAGGCCTGAGGACGCCTCCAAGTTTGTTGGTTGTTGGGGATCACCACACGGACCTCGGGACCCTCCTTGGAGCCTTGGCAGCCAGCTACCCACGTGTGGATGCAAAGGACAAGCCACACGAGAACGAGAATCCCCAGATCTCATTCACCATCTGAGGTGTTCATCTACGATGTGGTCTACAGAATAGACGGATTGAGTAAGACCAGATATTTACAAGAACAAATCGGGTAGACATCAATTGCTGAGGTGGCAAGTTGAGTACTGTAAAGATATCAACGCAATCTGTCACATACACATGTGAACCATATTCTTTGATAGGACTATCTTACTCTGTGTGCTCAGCACAGCTCAAGCGTAGATTTGAGTTGTGTCTATAGAAAACATACGTGAGGCTGCATATGTGCTAGTATTCAAGAAATTGTCGGGCTCTTTATGGGGAGAGGCTGCTGACTTTGGACTCTGTCGTCACCGTGGCACCACAAACGGTCGTTGGTGGCAGAATATCCAAGTACTCGAAACGAGATCCCTTTGGTACCCATCATGGATGGGAATGATGAGCCCGAGACGTTCTCCCGGGGCGCGTTGGAGGTCTCCGCCCGACAAAAACATCCCAGAAGTCATGCTTCCTCCCTGAGAAGTAGTAGGGATAGGGTTTCAAACGAGGACACTGGCGCTTATGACTCTCAACCCTTACCCCTAGCACGACCGCTCGTGAGACTCAGGCTCTTCCTCCACACTTGACTACCGACGAGTAGGTAGATGACTACCCCTCCAAATTTTGGCACACGTCACTTCTGCCCCTCCATCGATTAATGTTGAAATCCTTGTAAAATCCTAGTTAGCATGTAGTGGGGGACACGCAGGATAGCGGCTTCTGGCTTCGTTCTCCAAACCTCGCCCAAGTTTCCACTAATGTATGATGACAGAAGAAATATCAAAATGCACTGGCACGACTCAAGAAATGTGTCAACGCATGGTCAGTATGTATCAAGATCCGCCGATCACCATCCATCACCGCGCTCATTACTGGTAAGAGAGGGCAGACAACCACGGGTCATCCCGGCCACCTTCCCCAGATCAATCCTTGAGAGATGGTCTGTGATGGGCCATGGCTCTCGTGATAAATCTTAGCCTGAAGATTCGCAATCCATTATTCTCTGGAACTACCCAGCCCCTACTGTGCAAGTGGTCTCGTCAAATCCTGTGGGGGTTAGCTCGACTTGATGCCTATTGGAGTCTAAAGGCTGCTGCTGGCGCCATGTCGGCGGATTGTGTGACCTCGAGCAAAGTACGAGGTCTTCCGTACGAAGAACACGAATGGAGTCCACTCTATCGAGATACGGCAGCATCTTCCAAAATCTTTAGCGAGCTCGAGCGGCTTGAGATTGGATGCATCTGGATTCTCTTCACTGCCGGCATAGGCCTGAAACCCTCTTTGTGTTTGAACCGGCGACGGACAACATGATGCTCCGCTCGGTTCAATATCATGAACGATATCGCAACACGTCCTAGAAGTCTTTGGAGACCCTGGCGTGCATGCCTTCCGGTAGAACACTTTGAACGAAATGTAGAATACCGAAGTGAAAACTCCACATGGATTCCAATATCTGTGTTTCCAACGGATCGAACCCACAATACTCTCCAGCTACTTTTGCACATGACAGCTGAAGAGTGGTACTTACCCTTCTAGGTAGGTATGTGGTCGCCATGATTATCATGATTCAAAAAAGAATTTTTCAATAACATGTGCAACATTCTGCTTAAGAAGTTTCTCTGCACATGAGTCCTGGTGCGATTGGCTCCTCGCTCCAAATCACTCAAGATAAAATCCTCAATGCATAAAGTGCAGTGCAATGTCTTCAGCGAAGCTAAGGCAAGCACTTGATTAGCTTGGTTCCACGCCAGAGTGCCAGTGCAGTGGCCTCGATCGGCGCACCACTTTTCCGCACGAAATACCTCGTTAGTGACCACTGACCACTGACCACTGAGCCGTGAAAAAACAACATCCTGATGATTTTCCTTGGACGCCGCCTCACTTGCGCGCTGGCGGCCCGCAATTTCTCAGAAGGTCTCGGTTCATGTCAAATCTCGTTCGTTTGAGGGTCGATTGACACCAATAAGCAGATACGTACGTCTTCTGCAATGAAGCTAGCAAAAGGTGATACAGACATGCTGCAGCTCATCATCGTTGTTCCATTCCGATGTGGCGTGGGGAAGCCCATGCAGGTTGCTTGATACTACATTCTCTCTGTTTTGGGTGCATCTCCGGCGCAAAAAAGAAGATAGCACACAGTAGCCTCATCACTAGTTAGAAGCCGAAAAATGATATCTACGAGCACGGAGCCTGGTCTTATTCCGGTAATCCGAGCTTGCACGGGTATGACTGATCCATTACTGTCTCTCAGTTCGTGAAACAGGTTGATCGATATCTATCTCCCATGATGGTCACGGGAATGGAGTGAGCTGTGATTCCATCGGAATAGAAGTATTTCCAAGGACGCCTCAGGCTGGGTGGATATCTCGGTAAGGCAAAAAGCACCAGCCTGGTCAACTAGCAAGTAAGGCCTACGTGGGCCTGAGAAAAAAAAAATATCTGTATCACACTCGTCATGGTGACACAGCTATCTACGATCGCACGTCCACATCGTCACATTGTTCGAGCGAGGAAGAGAATGAGAAATGGTCTCCTGTGGAGTGTGGTTAGCGTCCGACTTACAGTCGGTCATGAGGGCCGCCTGGCGCCGAACTCGAACCACTGGCACTTGCAGGTGACCTGGCTCACTAATTTTTTTCGAGGCCAGTGGCCAAAGGACCAATGACACCAATGGGGTGCGCTTGGAACGGCGTCAGCGTGCATCTTCCCTGTGGTAGAAACCACTGGCAGATGATTCTGGTTCCAAGCAACCACGTTCGCATCCGAGACGGTGAGATCCTCTATGCTTGTAGATTCTCTGCCATTAGCCAGAAGATGTGACACAACGCACATCTCCTTGCCTTCGCGACGGTGGCAACTTGTGTTTCAACTGTGTCTCTCCCCAGTTCTCACGAGGATATTCAGAAGAGCGGTCAAAAGCCCAGCCATTGATGATTGGGGCACGGACACGAAAATCACATTGATATGCGTCGCCTATCATGCAACCGGGCGTTTGACCTGTCATTCTTTGGATCTTGACAGTGATAGGTCTGGGGTCGGTCAACATACGGATCACGGACATCTGGCAAACGAAGAAGCCATGGAGCCATATTGCGAGTCAAACGATGCCAATCGATGGAACCTTAGTATTTCATTGGCGTCGTTGGACTGAGTGGCCACCAATATCCTCCAACTCGGGAATGAATAGTATCAAAAGCCTCGAGCCTAATCAGGCTGTTCCATGACCGATTTGAGGCCCGTAGTCAGAGTTTTGGTGGGGGTACGTTGGTCAGTGAGGCGCATCGAAGTTCGAGTTGCTGCATGCGAGATGACCACAGAGGAGCACCGACCACGCCCATTGGGCACAAGCCTTGGGCATGCAGGGAAACTTGCGCACTCCTAGTTGCAGAAGTCTTGGAGGCTAACGTCTCTGGGGATCAAGTCAAAGTTTTGGCCTTGATAGCGAACAAGTCACCACCCAGTCCATCCTCTCAATGCACTGGTGATGAAACTATTTATACTGGGCCGCTTGATAGAGGGGCACGAGGGGCAGAGGGGTCAGCCTGAGGATCAGACAATTGGGAGTAGGCATCAGCAGATTCAACTTCAAGTTGGAGAAGCAACAACTGATTGACTCTCATGGTCGAGACTCGAAAGAGGGCCGAGCCCGTCGTGCCCGTCCCGTGGTCTGCAATCGCTCGGCTGGCGACATCAGCCATGAATACGGATACTGTCCAAAAAGGCAAACACCGTGACCATTGCTTTACGAAGATCGTAAACGCGTAATGTGGGCATTCAGATGGTGTGCAGTGGCCATGAAAAGGGTGTGGATGGATTGGCACAACTACGGATACGCTGGAAGTGGTTTCAATTGTCTTAATCCGTTAGCCAATGATGGTGGTATATATGCTATTTCCAGCTCTTCAGCAGTCTGGAGGCGCATCAACGTGATCACCACATCGCATGAAGAGGTGGTCGATGACTCGGCGAAGGCGAGGCACCAGGCTTTGGGATTACTTGATGTCCGCTGGAAAAGAACTCCTTGCTGTGAAATGGTGGGGAGTGGACAGGAAGCTGAAGTCCTTTCGCAAACGACTGGCTGGTGGTGAGATGATCTTCACAACCAGCCAGCTGTGTTTGATGCTAACAAGGACCCTCTGGCTAGAAGATCTCCCCTGGATTGGGGAGCTACTTGGCACCTCGACGTCGTCCACTGTCCTCGTAATACAAACTACTTGGGTATTGTTGTTGGAAATAATGTAATGCGTGTCTAGCCATCAAGCTGGTGCAGACATTGTTCGATCATTCAGACTGAAGATATACGGATGAGTCGGGCATAGTGAGCAAGGCATGCAAACAGGCCTTACCCTGGCCAGAGCCCTTCCAGTTATCATCAGATGTTGGTGTCCCAGGTAAGGCTCTTTAAGTAGAACTGCTGCCCACGCTTGCGTCTCTAGCACGACCTTGGCCCCTCCAAGCTCCAACCCTGCACCCACTTTCCCACGCCCACCCACTGCAGTTGGAGTGTCAAGAAGTCAAGACCCCATCCCATGCCAATCTCGCGCTGATAACAAACTCTGCACGCTCCACTGGCATCCCGCTAAGAACGAAATAAACCGCCTAAACTCAAGCGCCGCTCGCTGCCCTCGCTGCCAGTGCCGCTGCGAAGTTCACTCATGCTCCCACTACTACGAGTACTAACAATCAACGCTCCGCCCCTCCTTTTCCTTCGTCGCCATTGAACTTGTTGTTCTTTCACCATCATACTATTTTCTATACACACCCTCATCGCTGCAAGCATCCCTCCAACATATACCCTTGGGCTTACTTTTGCAGCTGACCTTCGCCTATTCGCTTTTGGTCACGCAGTCTTTTTGCTTACACAACAGCCTTTGATACACCTTGCAGTCTTCTGCAATATCACAGCGTTTTCCCTAATCTCCAGTGTGGACCTTTGTCTCACCGGCGGATTAACGCAAGCAACAACACCTCCCAGAACAACACTATCTCGCTTTTCAGCCTGGTTACGTTGGCCTAATTCTTGTATGGGTGACATATTTCCAGATGCCACCATGATATACCTCAACGGTTTTGGTGCGTTCTGTTCCCTTCAGGCCCTTCGGAATCTGCAATCCCTAACCTGCACATAGTTTCTGGGTCCCGATACTTGATCCTCAACATTCTCTTTCCCTAAACACCACGACTCTCGCGTCCGGCACAGGGTAGCTATTTTCGAACCACCGAGTTCGTAAGGGCAGGCGATGGAACGCCTGCAAACGGAGGATGGCCATCACTTCATTCGTGTAAGTGCAGTTGCAGTCAAACGTGGACAACCCCGCCACAACAGAAAGTGCACGGGCACGGGCGCTGTTCGTTTGATAAGAGCTTGGACTGACCATTCTTTTCACCCGAACAGTCATTGGCGCAGTTCATTCGCCAACACGAGAAGGCTCTCGCAAACAGCCTCCAGTTATCAGTCCACCGACGGCAGAGTTCCTTGAATTCTCCCTTGTCCAGTGCCTCCAAAGGCACCTCGGGCACTACCACGGGCACCTCGACAGGATCCAATAATGCTGCCAGCGCGTTGGCTGCCGCTTTCTCCTTCACAGGCCTCAATTTCCGATCACATGCTACGAAAGCGGCCCTCCTCACCTTGACACCCCATCACCTTTTCTTCCTCCTCTCCCGTATGGAAGAAATTGACATTGCCGTGGGGTCTATGAATGTTCGGCTTGAAAATATCCACAATGATTCTTCGTCGAATTACGTCTCGTTTCTGCAATCGCACAAGCCAGCCAAGGGACGCAGTGACCGGGATTCGGTCCATTCCGTCTCCAGCATGCGAAGCGTCATGTCTGGAATGAGCACATTTTGGTCTACCATTGGGTTGGGCGGTTCTACATCAAAGACCGAGAAAGCCAAAGCAGTTGAACAGGCTGATTTGACCTACTTGTACTCTGCCTTTACCAAGCTCCCATCCCTCCGCCTCACAACGGACCACCGAGCGCGCCTGATCAAGAACTATGAGGAGTTCCCCTTCGACACCGCTGTGCCCTTGTTTGCTTTCAAGAATCTCCAGCAACTTGACATTGTAGACCTTGACTTCCGTCAATTCTTCGGGTGGGACCGTCTTGCTGAACAACTGACGTTGTTGACCGTCAAGCGGGCAAATCTGGACGATCCGGCCGAGCTGCTCACCCACATTGTGTTGGATGATGCTGAGAAACGACGGAGACGTTCGACGAAAGGCGGGCGTGGTTCCCCAACGCCGACCTCTTCGTGGACAGTCCCATCAACTCCCTATACCGAATACGCACAGTCACATTCTGATCCAGGATCTCCTGCTATGGGAAGTATTGATCCCGAAGATTCGCTGGATGCTGTTTCGAGAGAAAAACCACTCTCAGGAAGTGTGTCACCAAAGAGGCCCAGTCCTTCGCGGCCAAGCAGTTCATACAGGCATATACGCACATACTCGTCCAAGGCCAAGAGGTCAGGTTCCGGTAGCTCGAATTCGAGTGACTATTCGATCCAACCGCATCGTAGTGAGAGTGCATCGAACCTCCTGAGTATGAACATTCTTCCCACTTCCAAGTGGCAAAGGCTGAAGTACCTATCGCTTGCCGATAATTCCTTGACGTCGATATCGGCCAAAAGTTTGGCTCCTGTAGCAAGTACTCTTCGATCTCTGAATCTTTCTTCCAATCTCTTCACTGAGATTCCGGATGGTCTCGCATCACTCACAAGACTCGGATCATTGGATTTATCGAACTGCATGATTGGATCTCTACAATCCCTTTCAAAGTCACCGCTACCTGCTGTACTGACCATCAACCTGAAAGGTAATCGACTCAGATCCCTTGCCGGAGTGGAAAGATTGTTGTCTCTTGAGCAGCTCAATGTACAGGACAACCAGATCTCGGACTCGATGGAGATGGCGCGTCTCACTGGCATTCCCAATTTGAAGCGAATCTGGGTCAAGCGGAATCCGTTCACCAAAACATCCTCGGATTATCGAATCACCACGTTCAATTTATTCCGAAAGACTCCAGGTTATGTGGAGGACATCGTCATTGATGAGTCAGGGCCGGGCTACTCAGAACGGAAACAGCTGGTGGACCGGGTACCTGAAGTTGAGCGTCAACTCGCTCAACCGTCGATCCGCATCGCAGAGCTCCCCGTGATTGTTCAACAAAGTGAGCCCTCAAATCCGGTGTCGAGTGTGCCGGGTGAAGTTGCGATGAATTCTGCTCGCCGGAAAAAGGCACCTCGACGACGCATTGTCGACCTGGCCAAGGACGAGGGTGCCAGCAGAGTCTCCAGTGAGGATCTTGCTGCAACAATAATAGCAGACCCTGCAAGGACAGAACGTTCTAGGGTCATAATGAGTCGAACACACAGCGAGCCGGCATCTACTTTGACAGACACGGCGGAACCCGACACAGACGAGTCGTCAGTGCAGACGCTGGTACATCGTTCCAGCGAGCACCTTAATCAAGAGGATGATTATCGAGCCAAAATTGAGGCTCTTCGACAGGAGTTTGGGAGCAACTGGTTGAGTGCTCTCGGAGATCAGAATTGGCATAGCAGCCACACAGTTGAAGTGAGTCGAGGCCAAAGTCTCGACCATAATTCTTTACACCGTCCTGGCCATCAGGTGATTGTCAGCGGCGGACGCACTCTAGGATGAATTGCGGCGGCGGCGGGGGAAATGAAATTTCTTGCTTCTGATGGGGAGATGCTCTTGAGAACAAGGTTGTATTTCATTAGACGGGTTGGGCTTTGTTCCAATCCTGGGATCATGGTTGTCTGAATCTTTTTTGGCATGGTTGCATTCATATACCCATTCGCTTTGATTACAGAAGGACCACACGGGACAGCGCTGACGAAACAAAGGAAGATATGTGGTGGTTGAGTTGTGGGTCGTGTCGGGTTGGGTTGCACAGCGATTGCAGCCCTTGAGCTGTGGGCTGTTGTGTTGATTTGAGCATAGCGACGGTGCTTTATTATTGGGCTGGGATTTGATACATTTGTCTTAATCGACGTGGTACGAGGCATGAAGCATGAGTTGACGGCATGGGTGGAAGATACTCCTTTCTATGAATGATATATGGTTTTTGATCGGTGCACCGAAATTCCTTCTGCTGTTGATGACACTGCCAGGGTGCTGATAGCTGCCCTGGACCGTCTGGGCGCGGCATATGAAGAAAGTTCTGGTGGACATGTGGTGACCCTCAGTGCCCAGGCTCCCCCACCCTAGGCTACAGATCGGAATGCACCGAAGAGCCAGGATTAAGGGGTTGATGTCGAATGTCATTGTTGGAAACAGATAGAAAGCGGTATTTGGGTTGGTGGGATGCACGAAGCACGAAGCACAGCGTGCATGGTGATCTGTCTACAAGTCAAGAGTCACCACGATCGATCAATAGGGATTGAGAGCCACAGAGAAGGCTCTGACTTCTGACCAAACCCCCCCGGGTACCTGGAGAAGACAGTCCGGTTAAGGCTGTAATGATTTAATGCACATCCGGACTTGAGACTACCGCCAACCGGCTAGAAATTAGGCTTCTGTTAGCCCGCATTCCTGCGGCTGTTAGGGGAGAACACGGGCAACTCCCCCAAATGTTAGACGCCTATCGGGACTGGTTCCCATAACAATCCCAGAACGGATCTCACGTGAGCGTGAGCGTGAGCCCTGGAGGGCAGAGGCTGACTGATAATATGAGCATTGAGAGCTCACATTCATAGAAATACTAATAGCAACGACAAAGATGATATCAAGATTAGTCAGGTGCGACCAGAGCGAAAAAAAGACGTGTTTGCGAAAAGGAGGAGAGCGAGGAGCCTCTCCTCTCTGATGCACATCCACGCGTCTAGCGGGTTAGTCGAGTCTTAGTCCGTTGCTAGCAGTGGTGGCTTTGACCATTCATGGTGAGCAGTCAGCTCCCACCTTCCGGTTTCTTGGAGGGCGTCTCACTTTTGATCCCCTCGCCGCTTGGACTTGAGACTTTCAGTGTTCCTGTTCCTCCCTCAGGCTCTTTGTTCCTCACCTCGAACCCGCCAAGCCCAACACCGCCTGCTCGGATTGAAAATAGCAAATCCACCACCACCCTCACTCATCCCGCACCTGTAGGCCATCTGCTGCGATCAATAACCACCCGTCTGGTTGATTCTACCATCTTTCCAAGTACGCTCCTGTCAAAGACTCGTCTCAACTCATCCTTCTTGCCAACTACTCGATCCCTCCCATCGTTCCTGCCCTCGCCGATTGCCGCTCGCGCCGCGAGATTCCTCCCTCTGCAACGGGCACCTCCAGTCCCTCTCAGCCTGTTTGTTGCACCCTTCATCACCCGCGATAACAACCGCTGTATCTTCTGTCACATTTTATACCCTGCGATTCAAGTCCATCGCTCATCCAACACCTCTCTTCGCTGAGCCTGTGACTGGCTACATCTTCCGTTCTTGAGAATTTCCATCCCAGGTACGTTGACCCTGCCACGCAACTGATCCAGCACCCGAGCCCCAACACCACCTCGCCCTGCCTCTTTTGTCAGCTCCATCATCTTCCGCCACCATACTTTTATTTCGATCGACTCATGCCTGACCTCATTACTTCAGTGTGATTGCCGCGTCGCTCAGTAGACATCGACATTCGTTTTTCTTTCTGCCCCGGCCGAATCTGGTCGGCGCCTCCCTCCTTCCTTCTGCCCCACCCCCGGCATTTCCACCATGGCCGACACACACGAGGTGGACCTAGACTCTGTCATCGATCGACTGCTAGAAGTCCGAGGTAGCAGACCGGGGAAACAAGTCCAGCTGCTGGAAGCTGAGATTCGCTATCTATGTACAAAGGCTCGGGAGATCTTCATCTCCCAGCCCATATTGCTCGAGCTGGAAGCTCCCATCAAGGTATGATTTTCGATCCCTGCTCACTACCATGTCCATATCCATATCCTAACCTCATCTCTCTGCCAGATCTGTGGCGATATCCATGGCCAGTACTACGATCTCCTCAGACTCTTTGAGTACGGCGGCTTTCCTCCTGAAGCAAACTACCTGTTTCTCGGCGACTACGTAGATCGAGGCAAACAATCTCTCGAAACCATCTGCCTTCTGTTGGCATACAAGATCAAATACCCAGAGAATTTCTTCATTCTTCGAGGAAACCACGAATGTGCCTCCATCAACCGAATCTACGGCTTCTACGATGAGTGCAAGCGACGATATAATATCAAGTTGTGGAAGACCTTCACCGATTGCTTCAATTGCTTGCCAATTGCCGCCATCATTGATGAGAAGATCTTCACCATGCACGGAGGTTTGAGCCCTGATCTGAACTCGATGGAACAGATTCGCCGCGTCATGCGTCCCACAGATGTAAGTCTTCCATTGCCATGTGGTAACACAAGAGATACTATAACTAGGCGCCACACTCCATTGCACTTTTATACTCTGCAACAGATGGTACATTACTAACTCTACATAGATTCCTGATTGCGGTCTCCTCTGCGACTTGTTGTGGTCCGACCCTGACAAAGACATCACTGGTTGGAGTGAGAATGATCGTGGTGTCTCATTCACCTTTGGACCAGACGTGGTCTCTCGATTCCTTCAGAAACACGACATGGACTTGATTTGCCGTGCTCATCAAGTGGTGGAAGATGGTTACGAATTCTTCTCCAAACGACAACTCGTCACCCTGTTTAGTGCACCGAATTACTGTGGCGAGTTCGACAACGCTGGTGCAATGATGAGCGTGGACGAGAGCTTGTTGTGCTCATTCCAGGTTGGTCAAACTCGTTTCGACAACTGTGTCCCGTGGCTAACATTCTCTCTTTCCCCTTTAGATTCTTAAGCCAGCTGAGAAGAAACAAAAGTACGTTTACAGCTCAAAGAGCTCGAGCACTCCGCCTCGCAAATCCAAAAATTAGGACACTAGTTGACCTATCCCCCAACTCGGGCTGATTCGATATCGTGCAAGCAGGTTTGGAAGAAGATAGGGTCACCTTTCACCTTCCTCGTCGAGCAAAAAACGCGACTGACCACTACCCATTCGTCACGGTTTCCGAGCAGGTGGTCATCAACCACCACCCTGCACCTCCGCCTTATCCATGTTTGTTTTAACTATTCCTGGACCTCTAGAGGTATTCCCAGATATTGCTACCTACTCATACGTTGATGAATATCTTGATCGAGCATGGGTCCCGGATGGAGCGATTAGAAGCACAACTCGACAATTACCTGGTTCCGACCTCATCACCATGATCATGTGAATTCATGTCGAACAGAGAATACTGGGAATTTTCCTTGTCTCTGCTGTGGGTTGGAACGAGTTGTGGGTATGGTAATGCTTTGTGACCATGATGAATTAGTTTCTTTACTCATTTTACGCTGCGTTGGTGTTGGCATGAGAGATAAGGCGGAACCTGGTCAGGCAGGTATCTTGATTCTCGTGCGACATGCAATGATGGTTTCATGCTTGATGGGCAACGCGCAGAAAGACGTCAAGTTTGAGGTGATTTGACGCAGACAGATACGAGTATGCTGAACTTGTCAAGAATAGTAGAATGAATTCATGCTTGAACTGATTCATTTCTTCTCCTCTAACCGACAATTGGTAACATTAACTAAACCCTCTAGCAAAATCAGCCATCAAATGTCAAAGGAGTTCAGGAATTTATCTAACCTCACAGGCTTTCTCTGTGGTGAGGCCACTACCAAACGAATCCCGTGCTAGTCGACGAATTGTCCTACCTCATACGACACACATCGAGTCGATCAGCAGAACCAAACACTCATCTCGTTGTCATCTCCCTTTCATGCACGCGCTCCCTTTTTTTAACCTCGCATCGATGGCCCTTCCAGAACAACACCGGCATAATCAATTATCTTTGCACGACGCCCTCAACTATCTCTCCACACGCTAAACATCGACTTTGGGAGAAGAGACCGGGGGGGAGTGTAATAAATATCAGAACAAAAGATCCAGATATCGATCGTCCTGACCGTTCTGCCCGACGTCTCTAGTTAGTGCCCCATCTACATGCCTTCTGCCTTCAGCCCGGGTAAGATCACTTTCTCCCCCACCGCACGAACACCTTCCCGCCCTGTTCCCTGCCTGCAGGAACCAAGTGTGTGCTCTCATCGCTGCTCACTCCCCCCCCGCTTATCCCAGAGCTAGCTCTCTTGCTGGCGGCGATGAAGCTGCGCATAGGAGCCCGTGTGCCGTGTGCTTCGGATTGTGAAGAACAACGAAGAAAGTCACGTAGGGTGAGTCAGAGTCAAGGGGAGAGATTCCGTGTTGATGTCGGTGCCGGTGTCGGCGATCATACTGGCTTGAGTAAGTAAGCAGGTAGTGAGCGTCGACGTGTCATGTTTTCAATCCGCGATCTGCAATCTGCATGTGTACGTATGTTTTGGGACGACACATCCAGCCGCCTCTAAACAACCAGTCAGTCACACGCACGGGAAACCTTGGTTCTGGACGATGGACGACTGAGCAGAGCGCCGCCCGCCGGCCCGCCCGCACCAGCCAGCCAGTCAGTCAGGCGGAGGACCTCGAAGCGGCACTCCGTGCAGTGCAGTGCAGTCGGTCTTCGTCGCAAGAAACAAGAACAAGAACCTCGGATGTTGACGCTGTACACGTGCTTCCGCGAGAAGCTTGTCAACACTGGGGGGAGGGAGAGAGAGATCCAAGGTTGCTTGCCGTAATCTACCGATGATTACACGTACGTGATGGAACGGTGACGAGACGACGGTAAGGCATGGATAGATAGATGGATATACGTACACACGACCTGAACAAGCCCGTTCGTCGAACTGGACGTACGTACGTACGTGCAGTTCAGTACAGGACAGACGGGGGCTCCTGACAATCGAATTGTTGCTTCGGGCACGGGCGGCGATGATGAATCACCTTCAGGATTTCAGTTCGGCCTTTTGCGCATCAAGGTTTGATCAAGGATTCGTTGGAAGTCGACCTACGGTCCATACCAACAGATCGATACCTAGGTACATATGAGAGGCAACGAAAGTTTGAGTGGGCCCGGGAGCAAGGACGAATGAGGAAGAAAAAGGTAGAGGCAGAGGCAGAGGAGATGGCCATACCATACCCACTCCGTTTCTACTGACTCGAGAATGAAGAAAACGGGCGGTGGAAGGATCACATGGGGATGGTACATGAAGAGTATTGTCACGATTGTATTCAGTCTTCAGGCGTTGCGTCAATGTTCGACTACCCTCGGTTAGGGTTTTCGATTGCATGCATCAAAGAACAGTAGTGCCTCCTATTCTACTCGCGAACAAATCGTATGTCATAGGAACTTGTCGGCATCTCAGCGGCATCAGAACTCAAACTCCTGCTGTTGATATACTTAGGTATGGTTGAGGTTGAGCACCATCGGTGTGAGGCGATGGGAATGGCAAGAAGAAAAAAGACAGGATTGGTGGATCGAAAGTCAAAGATCAAAAAATATTGATCTTTATCCAATGAAAACAAATGCAATTGTCTATTTCACTTGGGTAAACATGAAAAACTGTCCTAACGCTGAGGAAGGCGGGGAGGATGCTGTGTGTGCTCTTGAGGCTGGCTCGAAAGAAACATCGGTTTCGTTGGGCTCATTTCCGATTGGTATGCGCAGGTCGAGGGAGGTTTGCCCAAGCATGATTATCGTCAATTAGGGGGTGTGGGTTGAATGCAGCTGGACGAAACAAGTTGTCGAGTCGATGCTTTGCAAGACAAACAAACCATACACATTGCATCGTCCGGCCACTTTCTGAAGCAGAATGTTCGTTCAGACGTATTGTGATAGCCACCTGATACCCTCACCGTATCCTGTACAAGTTAAATTATCAGTTTGGGATTCTCGTACTAGACCATGTAATGGAATGTGACGCCTCAGCCAACTTACCCTGTCTCATAACCACACTGCACATGAAGATCTCAATGGCCCGGATACCCTCCAAAGGCACCTTTCCTTTACCCGTTGTCTGGAACAGTCCCAATTGATGTCTTAATTCATCTTCCGACACTGCATCGGGATGATCAATCTTGTTTCCAAGGATGAGAAACGGAGTCTTGCCGAGGTCTTCCATGGCTAGCAGGGCGTCCAATTCTGCCTTGGCTTCTGGCAGTCGTTCATGGTCTTTGGCGTCAACCAGGAAGACGATTCCGGAGACTTCGGGGAAGTAGTCACGCCAGAGGCGACGAGCTAATGGCTGTTGTTAGAGAGAACTGCAGTCGTCTTCTTGTGTAAGAGGATGGCGAACCTTGTTGATGACCCCCAAGATCAAAGGTTGTAAACCTATTGTTGCCAATGGCTAATTCTTCGGATGCTGTTGGATCTTAATTAGCCTCGAGCCGTGAAAGGCTTATGAGGAATGGTGCGCTGCACGTACTAGGATGTAGAGTGGGCTGGAGAATGGCAACTCGGTCGTTCTATAAGACGCAAAGTCAGTCTCATATTCCTGCTGATTTGCCATCTCTTGGGCAGAGTAGCTGAGTCCCACTGGCTCTTTCTGTCGCACGATCCGATGTCCTCTCATACCTTCAACATGTGTAGTAAAGTTGTCTTTCCTGCATTGTCAAGACCAAGGAAGAGTAGTTTGGCATGCTTGTTGAGTAGACCAAGGGAGGCAAGAACGTCGTAGACTGTCGATCAATGAACAATTAGCAATGAGTGCATGGGGCTGGTAAGCAGGTAAGTATATCGCACATACACCAGTTGATGATCCACATTGCTGCGATCGATTGAGGCCAGACACCAGAAAAGTGAGATTGCAGATAGTATTTGAGTGGACAGCAGTGATTCAAGATAGACAAGGGACTGGGAGAGTGATTGATGGCGTCGAAAACGATGTGGACAGGTGACAAGTGGTCAATCGAACAGATCTCACGACGAAAACGCAGTTCAGTCGGTCTGAAGTGGTTTGTAGCGCCACTTTTCACAATCTCGACTTCAGTTTGCCAGAAAAGGAACTCGACAAAGAAATAGGTCACGTGTGGGATCTGGTCACGTGACTGTGATCGCTGCTTCACGAGAACGGCCGAAATCATCGAAAGCGCTTTACGAGAAAACATGGAATTGTGTAATAATAGTTCATATATGTTCATTCTGTGCATTCAGAGTCTCTTCATTCGAGACTTCTGGTATCTGGGATTATTCTCATGCAAGGTATGTACGAGGTCAACAACCGTGACCAATAACGCCTTCGCTATGCTTAATGTTAAAACGATGTCCGATGCTGAACAATCATAGTTCGCTCGCTTGCACCAGCCTCATCATGATTCTCATCAAAGTGCCTGGCCTTGTGGTAGCGGAATGCGCTCCTAAAACAGGCGGCAGAAAAAGTACCAGGTAATATTTGATTACCGAGGTCGGGTAGAAATGGTAGCACAAATGAAAAAAGGTGATGGTATGTGCAGCGACGATGCAAGCAAATGGTCAGGACATCAAATGTGTCCAAAGAAATCTCAAAGTGAGATGACCAGCTGTTGTTGCTGGCCAAGGCCGTAACCTCGTGTGCGTTCAGCACATTCAAGGCCGAGCTCCTTCATTCTCTCCGCGCCTCGCCCAGGAACAGGTCGGCGCTCAGCATGTTCCTTTGCTGCCTTACGGCAATGCTGACGCCAGTATTTCTCCTTACGTTTCTGTCGCTTCTTCTCTAATCCAATGACAATGTCAACAGGACCACGAACATGTAAGTCTGACCGTGGAGGCTCTTCAATCGCAGGAGTAACGGCACCCGAGGCGATATTCGTGTTCGAAGGGCTGCCAATATTGAAATTTTTGAAGAATGGATTAGGTGTATCTGGAAGAGACGCCGTTCTTTCCATGGTGGGACGTTGACCAAGACCTCTTGTTCCCAACCTGAATGGGACTTGAACGTTGGCATTAGTGGGTGATCCTCGGGGGGATCGAAGGCGTGCTGGTGGAGGTGACCTCATGCGTGTGGGAGAATGGCCGAATAGTTTTCTTGGAGGAGGTGAACGATGAAGCCCACGACGGAATTCAGCTGGGCGAGCCGGGTATCCATGCTGAATGGAGGGCGTCGAAGATTGAGGCGATGGAGACTTGACAGTAGGTGAACCACGACGTCCACGTGGACGTGATTCTTCCTCAAATCCGCCAAATTGGTCTTTGAGCCAACGAGGTCCAGCAGAGCTCTGGTCGGATTCATCGACCTCGTCTACTTCGTCCTCTTCTTCTTCAGGATCCGTGGTAGGGAAACTTGGATCAATATCCTGTGGAATGAGGACATGCTTTCTCTGCTTCTTCTGTTCTAGGCATGAGATATATGCCGCTTCCAACGGACGATCTTCATCCAGAGTACCACAGACGAAGTCCGTACTATCTGGCAATTCGGGAGTTCCAGGTCGCATCCTAATGGCCTTAGACCCGGTGTGGGATCCAGCGCGGCGAGATCTGGGGACACGTCTTCTCATCGAGCGTATATCTGGACTGCCAAAGTGGACCAGTGATTCGACAGAGCTGGCCTGTGACTGACGACGAGCACTGAAGTGACTGATGTTGACATGCTCGACACTCGTAGCAGCAGTTGTTGTCGAAGGAGCCCAGAAGCGATATTCCGACCCGGCATCACTCTCATCATCAGAGCTGGCAAAGCCGCCTTCGTCATCAGACTCGTTTCCATCATCGGAACCCTCATCAGAAGGGGCAAAGTCGTCTTCATTATCGTCTTCGTCTTGCTCTTCGAGTTCGAGTTCTTCCTGCTCACGTTCCTCCTCTTCGGCTTCCTCTTCAGCTTCACGTCCAAGTTGACGAATGCGATTCTCCTTTTGCATGCAATCGTTCAGGGTCAACTTCTTTCCATGATCTTGAGGCTCGTCAACCCAAGCATCGGTCTCATCGTGAGAGCTACCAAATTCATGGAAGCTAGGTTTGGATTGAGATGGTACAGGACGTTTTGCAGGAGCCACAGTGGTGGTAGTGTCGGCCGAACGGCCGGAGAGGTCAACTGACTCACTGGTGGACTTGCGTCGGGATAGAGGCGCTGGTGAAGGATGTCTCGCTTTCTTGTGCTCGTTCTCGGGGGTGTCAGAAACTGGAGACTTGACTTGAGTGGCAGTGGAACGTGTGGGACAAGCAAATGTCAGTGTGCATTTACGCTTTGTTGGCTCAGTCTTGACAGGCTCTTCCTTGGCCACGACATTATCCTTGCTTTTTCCGGAATCGGTACCACCACAAGCAAACATGATGCACCTCTTTCGGCCCAAGGTTTTTTCGATGGCGGCTTCACCAACATCGGCAACAACTGGCTTGTCGTCCTTGGTTAGAGGGGCAATAACAACCTTGGCGTGGCCGGAGACTGGCTTCTTGCGGTTGAGGAGATTCTGGAAACGACCTGGAGGGGGTGGAGGGCTGGGAGTAGCGGATCTTGACGGGCTTGTGACATCTCCATCGCTAGTCAATTCGGCTGTGGAGGCCATGCTGCCGGTGCTGTAGGAGGAGGTCGTGGATAGACCACGAGAAGTAGCCGGAGATTTCGGGGGATGTTCGTCGTCTTTTGATTCGGCCATGATGGCACGAGTCAACAATGATTCCCTGCGAGGATTTGCTGGGGCGTTGGATTTCTTGTACAGGGGATTTCCATGAGTGACGGGGAGTGTGGTAAGAGGCGATAGCTCATCTTCAGGCGGTTCGTCTGCTTCTGAACTGAGTTCCTCATCATCGAGAGGGACGGTTGGGGCGTTGGACAGATTGAACATCTTGAGCAGGCTCTGGATCGCAGAACCTCTTCGACGCGAGTCGACTTGGTGTTTCTGATGGTGGGCCATTTTGTTTGGTTAGGTAGGAAGATGGAAAAAGATGTTCACAATAGCCTCCGGTAGCCTGAGATTGGATCTTGAGCGATGAACTTCTCAGGCGGGTTAGAACAAGACAGGCACTCAGGAAGTGCTGCAGTTCTGGCAGTGATTTTGGCCCCGGGGACCGGCTATTGTTATAAATTGGAATTGGACATGATGTGATGACAACCGGGAATTGGAAACCAACGACAAACGAGGAGAACCACAGAGGATGTATCAGGAGAGGGTTTGTAGTGATGCAGGCTGAGTTGTGAGGTGGCGCTCTGAAGTGTCGGTACTCCGAATAGTGGTTGGGGGACAATATCGGACGGGCGGCTGTAGGTGCAGAAGGTCAGCAAGCGAGTCAAGTCGGTAGATAAATAGGTGAGTTGTCGAAGGAATTGCTTACGCGATGTTGGAAGAATGAATGTAGGGAAGAAGAAGCAAGTAGATTGAGGGAGCAGTAGGAAGAGGGCGGAAGTGGTGGGATGGATGGTGAATGGAAGAGAAATGGCGAGGGTGTAATAGTAATAGCAATCGGAGGAATGGTGACAGCGGACGAAATAGTAGCGAGAGGAGGAGCAGCAATTCTTGTTGTGTGTGCAAAAAGCGAGAAGGGGCGGTTGAGGGAAAATGCGGGCAAGGGCAGCCTCTGAATGGTGATGAGGGTTTGCTTAAAGTTGGAGATTTGTGAGCAGGGAAGAAGGTGCCAGCGGTGGCAAGACGACGGTGGGTAATACTGCTGTGCCTCCTAGCCCGGCCTGTGATGGAAGGATGTTACTGTTAGGCACCTCGCGGGCACTGGGCGGTGGGCGGTGGAAGGAGGACGGCGCACTTTGGCTCCTCGCAGGTGTGCACCCACTTGCACTGGCGTTAGGGCGAAAAGTCAGGTTTTCTGCACGGGTCGATCGGGGCTACGTCTAGGCGGGATGTGGTGGTCCTTAGGCGAGGGGACAGACTCCAAATCTTTTTACGAAGTAGGTTGATCGCAATGGGGGTCTCCCAGGCGGTGCCACTGGCAGTCCGCAGTGCAGGACTCCGTAGGTCACTACAATAGGCGGTCCTTTCTCGCACTTGCACCGTCGACCACTCACAACTCGTCTCAGTGGGCAAATTTTGCTGATCAATCCCACTCCCACTAACCAGCAAGGGAAGCCCTTCAAGATCTTGGATTTCCCACTGGGATGAAACAGCGCCCTTGACTGAGATGGTTCTAGCGGGTAGCGTCAGAGGCGCCTAAATGACCGGTGTTTGTCTGGAGAAATAGAGGCCGATGCTGACGCTGTGCTTTGCGCTTTTGTTTTGGGTTTCCTGAATCCACTTGATGCAGACTGGTCCGCTGGATGATTTAAATTGGACACACGGAAATTTGAGAACAGAGAAAAACAAACAGACGGTCAGATCAGCGCAGTGATGCTTCTGAAGGATCATCAGCTTCTGATGGAGGATTGTTTGATGAGCTGTTCTTGTCCCACAGAAGCCCGTCTGATCTAATTATACACGAGGACATACTCGTACAGTAGCCCGAGACTGTCTATACCTAGTCCTCTACAGTCACCTGCGACACAGGACGCTGCCTATTGTTCTTCGTCATTGTTCTTGCTTCTGGAGTTGCCAAACCTGCATTGTCTGTTACTAAATTTGAAGCCATTGTCATCCGAGTCTTGACCTGTAGACCCTTGACCACGTTTCTCTATGTCGATCCCACGGTTGATGCTGCGATCATTACCAGATATCGCCATCCAAATACCGGCTTAATGGATTGGACTAAGTGATGAGCCTATAAGCTCATGAGTATTCGCTCCTCTAGAGTCACGAGTCGCTACACGACGAGTACGACTGCAGACCCTGAGACGCAAGACTCGAGAGCCCTGACAGCATCATTCCTCTAACCCACCGTGCGCCAACCATCATCCGATCCTGGGTTGGTGCATGATGCCATCTAGAAATGCTACATGGCACCTACCAACTGCCGTGGATCTTGATTTCAGGTCCCTTCGTCATGCCTCATCATCTGGGAATCTTGGAAACTCTGTTGCCTCCGTTTTGACCCGCTCGCCCAGCATAAAATGTACTTATGCCAATCGACAAGCGTTGCACATTCAGCAAATGAACAAATCAACTGTCGAGGCGTGCTGTGCATGATTTCTATGCTTGAAGTTAGAACTCTGGACTCGCCAACCAAGCGATATCTCAAGTGTTTCGTGGCCCGTGGGGTGTAGTACCCAACCCGAGATATAGCATGATGTGGCTTGGACAGGGTCAAGAAATGCGCAACATGCCCTTACGTACCCCGTCTTTCGTCCAACGCGTCATTCTGGGTGTACCGAGTATATTGGACAGACCCTTCTGTCCTTGAGAATATACCCTTCGAGTTCGTAATCTGACGTCTGTTCCTGAGTCCCAACATTGTCTGGTCAGCTGAACGACATCATCGGCCTTGGTGACAATTCTAGGTAAGGGACACGAAGGCACCACACCTTGGGAACGCATTCGGTTAACAAAAACTACTGGCATCTTTGCCCACCACTACGGACATCTCCCTTCCCAGACCAGCATCCATTTGTACCTGACGGGCCGCCCGCACGGCTCGAAGCATTTCTCCTCACGTCATCTCATGGAGAACTACTCGTAGCAATGAGATACAGTCTGTGACCTGACCTCTAGACGAGACCTTTGTGACCTGGTCAATATGTTGCATGACCATGAGGATCTGACAGCTGCAACACCACTACGACCAGTGCATGAGATCCACCACAGCTCCGTGGTGGTTTGCTCCAGCCCGCCGCGCAGGAGAAGCTTGTTTGACGAAAAACTCGAAGCCAATGCACGTCCTAGCAGTGAACGAGGAGAGATCCAAACGAGCTCTCCACATGATCCATCAACATGGTAGACTCGTACGGTCTGTGCTTTTGTCCTCGTGCTGAAAGAACTGTAATTTGGCGGTCTGTGCAATGAATCTGAGCGTCCTTCTAGAATCCGAATGGTTGTTTTGATTGAGGATAACTGTGATCCAAGCAATCCTATTCACACCAAGCACAGACGTCCGGAGAATTTGCTGGTCACTGGGTCACATTGTGAGCAAGCGGCCCAGAATGAGTGGTAGAGCATTGATGAATCTGTGCACTAAGCATGCAGCACTGAGATGAGCTCCTTGTGTGCTTGTGGCAGTCTGCATGCAGTGCAGGGTACGAGGTAGTCTGATGGGACCCTCGACCCTCGATAAAAGCAATGGCAATCAATACCCACCGAGTGTTCTGAGCAGTTGGAGACGATGACAGTCTCGTGCGTCCCTTGGAAGTAACAGCCAACAACAAATCACCCAAATGGATGACCTCCGAATCCTGCACGAGCTCGAAGCTATCAGGTCATGAATCGCGGAGTGGACCGAGGGAATGAATTGAATTGGGAATTGAGATGAGGTTGAGATTCGAGGTCGGCCCAGACCCACTGGAAACGAGAAAATGTATGAGGCATTTATGACAGGCCAATCATGGTTGGCGTTCACCCGAGTCTAATGCAAGCACCGGTCCTGTTCCAGTTCACACATTCTTCACATTCTTCGCATTTGCCCCCCACGCTTAACCGGCAGCGTGCATCTCACGAGTAGTTGTCGACGCGTGAAAGCAGTGGCCGTCAATTGTGTGAGATAAAACGTACATGTCAAAGACTCGAGTTTTGACCGCAAACGCCCAAGCTCACGCCCACGCCCCAGACGGCCTGGCCTGGCCTGCCGATTCATTCGTATTTGGACCACTCCGCCTATCGGGAAGAGCCACCAGGGTGACTATGCTTCAATCCTGCACGCTATCTCAAGCTTCAATTCTGGCCATTTTTGGATATCAGACTTCCATCTTGAGCCATGGACCTCAGTTTTCATCCACCAGCATCACCGTAAAGCCAACCAAAAGGTCACTACATGCCTCTCGGCACTTGAAGGTCTTGCCGAATGGCCCTTCACCAGACTGGTGTGCCCGTGCCTTTACTGGTCAAGATTTCATGCGTAACACTTGTCCATGGTGGGATACGAGTTGTTAGAACACAGAAGGATGCTGCATGCATGCTTCAGATCGTGCACAGGCAAGCTCCTTCGTAAGTTCACCGCAATAAACAACAGCGCGGTTGCCCTCGTGATACTTCGCGTTCTGGGTGAGCCGTGTCTCGATTTCTGATCCGCAGCTATGAGTTCCCACATGACAACCCCTTTCTTCACCGCATTTTATCCTTGAAGTTAAAACGAGATCGTTCCCAGGAGTGTTAGACCCCAAGCACTTGGAGTCCGTTAGTCATGATCTACAAGATGTCCCCTTGGGGCGTTTGGATCGAAAGTGAAGTCTCCAGGCCATTCGTGACTGTGGCCGGTAATATTGCATAATTGAGCCGACGCCGAGCTTGAATGAGTGTACCGTGCAATGTACTAAGTCCCTGAGCGTCAATATAGACAATCGCTACTTAGTGCTAGTAGACGCTAGGGCAGGACTCAATAACACGAGAGCTCATTACTATCAAAATTTTCAATTTGAAGTTGAGTGTGCCATCAACCTTGGCAACCTAAAAGCGACTTCGTATTGTGTGAAAATCACCTGTGTCACCTCCGGTAAGCAGGCATCTTATCTTCAACTAACGCCTTCGCAGCACGTATCTTGCTGTGCATATTGTGTATCATCACAACCTGGCTTTGCTTCACGACTTCAGCCAACGTGAAAATTCAAGCGATACTGATACGGAGATGAGACATGACGATCAGAATGCTTGGGAGGTAGGTCGGCCAATAGGAAGACTGCAAGCCTCGAGGACGAGGCTGTAAAGCCTTGGCCTGGAGTTCAAGGTTCCACCAGAATGATAACCTCAAAATTCGTGAGGACCTCTTCAATTTGTCAAAAACACCCTTTATTTCATCCTTGATTGATCCGATGATAGTCTTGCATCCAGTTAAGCTATTGGGCACCATGATAACTGAGAAAAACAAGTAATCAATTTGTTTCCTGGGCCTTGTAATTTCCCATCCCAATTTTCTTTGAAGTTGGCAATAACCCTCGGCGACGGCTTTGACAATCAATCTACAGCAGCACCATCCAGAAACTATTACTAGTGGCCATCATCACAGCTAAAAACTCCCGATGGCAGCCACACAGCTTCAAGAGGAACCAGAGCAGGAACTCACAATATCCGCAGAGCAGCTGCACTACATCCAGGCCCTCAACGAGTCTCCAGGATGCTACGCCCGATTCTTCGATGCACTGCTGATCAAAAAGTCCTCCCAGGCAGACTTCTTCCACGACCTGAAAGTCTTCCGAGAACAAGCCGTGGCCATCAATCTCCTCGAGCCGGGCACCAAGGAGAAATTTCGAAAATGCACTGTGGTCTTCCTGGGCTCTCGGTTCGCGCACCCGTGGTGTCGCAGCTCGGCCGCCCACGCGTCTCGATGGACCAAGGCGAGCTGGGCCGGGAAGACGAAAAAGCTCACCGTCGAGGCCCAGAAGGAAGAGGACAAGCTGCACCGCCTCCTCGTCCCCCTGTGGATTGCCTTTCGCAGACGCATGTTCCCTGAACAAGACGTCCTACAGAAGTGGGTGGACGAGGAGCCGGAACGGCAGGCGGCGGCGGCCGCTGCCAAGGCTGAGCTCGAGGCGAAGCAGGAAGCTCAGCGGTCAACAAAGCCTGCGAGGCCACACCTAGATGCTGCTGCACCAACCGTCTATCCTGAACTCGGCTTTGCGACGGTGGCGACGCCCTTGGACGCGTCGAACTGCAATCCTACACCCAGCAGCGCTCAGAGTACTGCTGTCGCACAGGTTTTCCTCGGTGTTGCTGTGACTGGTTTCATCATGAGTGACAAACGGGTGAAGAAGTACGTCGAGAAGAAATTGAAGAAAGATAAATGAGAATCTCGACCTCGAGTGGGTGGCAATCTACAGATTCCCATTTATTTACCTTATGTGGGCAGCTCAGATTCGAGCGACAAGAAGGCTGGACAGTTTGGATGGTGGTCGAAGGTTGAATTGTTCCACTGCCCTGGCAAAACATTGATGGTCCTGAAAGTCTGATATCTCCTCGGAGATGTCGGATGTCGTTTTGGGCAAATGAAGCCTTGCCATATGCAGAAGATTGTCGGTGTCTATAATCAGAAGAGAGTGCCATCCAGCATGAGCATAGTCGAGGCGCAAAAAAGCATATGATCAGCGTGGCAAGGACCTCAGTCTGGCTGGCAGAGGAATGGGACCCATCGTGAGCCTACGTAAACGCTTCCCAGTAGCAGGGCCGGGAAGTCCCACGAAAAGAACGTGGACTGCGATGCATTGCCATCTGGGCGACTGAAGGCAAGGTATCATGTGCTTCAAGTTAGATAACGATACTCGAGAAAGTGAGTGCGAGCACAGAGTACAAGGTTGTCTGATTAACCTGCAGTTCAATCAGGTTCATTGTTTCTCGATGCTCTCAAATGACTTGGTCCATCTCTCACTGCATTGACCAGAGACCTTCAACACGCCCCAAATATTGAATTTGGTCCATATGAGATTCGTTTATTGCACTTTACATCTTCTCGGACCCATAAGCTCTACCTCGTCCCCAGTTACCAATATACTGCTAGAGATTGAGGAGAAACCCTACCATACGAGAATGATGATAGCATTCAATTTCTTTCATCGGCATGGCATTTCGGAATCCATTTGCTGCGTCCAGATGGTCGCGACGTTGTCGCACGGACAGGGTGACTCGATATCAATCCATCTACATCATATGTCGAGCCTGGCCTTGCTCTCGCTGGTAGGGTAGCGAGACAAACTTCCATAACTCCCTCGTCGTCTGCCCAAATATGTCCTCATGAAAGGACGTAGCTGGGGTGATCCGCGGGGGAAAAGGTGCCCGAATAGCTCGTCGTATGGTACTCTGCCGACATGGATTTGGTCATCATTCTCCCCACTGATGGCGGACATGGTCCGTCTCCCAGCAGGACAGTTGAATGCGGGATCAGGCTTGCGGGTTGCAGACTACTTACAGTCCTCACATTCCGCCTTCGACGTAGAATTTGCTTCTCCACCAGCATTGTGGACAGCGTCGGTCTCGTTGTCGGTCTTCAGCTCGGGAACTTTTTGAGACTCTGTTTCGGAAGCGGCTGATCGGGCTGACTTTTCATCTGCCACGGATTTGTCTCCATCCTGATTGACCTGTTGCTGTTGCTGTTGCTTCTTGAGACTACGGTCGATATGACCCAGGTCACGACCTGGCTCGATAATATTGCGCACCCTGTTCTTTAATTCCTTGGTCTCTGGGAACCCGCCTTCAGCCTTGCGGTCCCAAAGCAGAGTCTCGGTGACTGCAGTGGCCGTTTCATTCTCGTCGGGTGATGACCCCGTGGGTGTGCTTGCATGTGTTATCGTTACAGTGAAGATGCCACCTGTAACGGGTTGCAAAGCTATCTCCCCCACCGAAGTGCCAAATGTCTGAAGAAGCTCCTGTGCGTACTGTGTATTGAGGCATTAGTTGGTTATATTGGGCTTGGGTAAGGGATTCTGAAGGGGCAAAGGGGGGAAGAAGCGACTGAGTCTAGACCATTCTCCGTTCGAAGCAGCTTTCGGAGGATGAAGAGGCAGGCGAGATCCAACCAAATAAGGACACCTCAACTCTTCTCCAGCAAGCTTTCCAAGACGCTCATTGACACCATCTCGTGGTGTTGCCAGCAACAAATGCCCCGTGCAACGACAAATGCTTGATTCAACCAGGGAGAAAACTCACATAAGCTGCACGAAGGTTCCATTTACATTGGGTACAGAACCTGATTGCTATTCGTGGGACTTGGACCAAGGAATTGGACTTGGTGGTCATTGTAGCTTGCAAGATCGATCTTCAGTGTGGTTGCAAGTTGTCAGAGGTTTCAACAAACGATATATCCAGTGCTGTGAAATGGAGCTTGAGAATAGTTCAAGAGAGATATTTTATGATCACCACCAATCACCATTGAATATGTTACATATGGATCACAAAAGACGTGTTTGGAATGGCTGGAGCATTTTACAACGGAGACGTACAGTGCAGCTGAAGTCATGATCGACAGCCACCCGGAGAATTAACGAACTGCCCCAAACCATCGGGTAGCTTGTTAAGGCTGCACAGAATACTGATCAGTCCTGCTTGGGACATCTGTGTAACATGTCAAGGACACAGGCATGAAATATATTGTGAATCATCACTGCTGAAACAATGTCCTGTATCCCTTGCGATAGTGTTTGATTGATCTGTCCATGCTCGCCTAGCTGCCTGAGATTGCGCAAGCATCGAGACTCAAACAAGGTGTCGTGTTTGTCGAAGGGGCCCATTCCGGCTCCCCGGAACCGAATATTATTATTACGATTATTATTACTATTGGAAGCGTCCCCAGGGGCTTCTTCGGTCGTGAATCGCAATGGTTATAATTACTTGGGTTGGCCGCCCATGGGCACCTAAGCGAGGAACGCCAAAAGAGGACCTGAGGGCTTCGTGCCGGGGTATCCTTGGGCTTGATCTCAGCCTGTTTGTCGCTCACTGGTCCATCAGTGTGGTCCTGTGTCAGTAGTGTCATGGCAATACAATCCAATCTGGCAACTATTCAAGACATGGTGGCATGATTTGTACGAGAAAGGTAGTGTGCGGAAGAACTCGATCTGATGCAAACTGAGATGTAATAGTCCAGATAGGAACTATGACAAAAAGTGTGATGTGATGGTCGGTAAATGGATTTCTCGTGGCAATCCATGAACAAGAATGAAAAGTCCAATGTCTTCGTCAATATATAGAGGGGAAAGTTGATGAACGATAGAACCTGAATTCTGGATGACTTTCAAATTCTGGATTTTCTTTTTAATTCGATTCATGGCCATCACTAATACCCTAGGATGAAATTACAATTCATCGAAGTTTGTGGACAAGCTCCTGAACAACGCACTGTGAAACGTGCTGCCTTTTACATTCGAAAACCCTGATGTCGCCTTGCTGAACGTGCTGAGAACGCCGTCTTGCGCCTAACTTGAATGCTTTTTGTAACAGACATCAACCCCCTCTGGGCCAGGAGCACATGGTTCATAAGGTTTGTGAATTGTCGGCCCTGGACCTTCTTCATCCATCAATATCATCGACAACCCATTACATCACGACACAGCATCCTTCATTTCCAGCACTTTGAGGATTGTAGGGATCTTCTTTTCTGTCTACCTGGCCCCAGACCGAGGGGACCATGTAGTCTCTCGTTTGATTGCAGTAGTTGATAAGACTGTGCCGAAAAGATTAGTAGATTGAATGGTGCGCATCTGGTGATAACAATAACAAGCTCACCTCATTGATGCCTCCGCAACCTTGACTCTGGGCCTTTCGAGGTCTTCCTTCAGCCGCGAGTTAAGTTCTTGGAGCCTGCGCAGTTTGAGATCTGCCATGGACTGTTTCTTGCTCTTGGCATCTCCACCGTCTCGCACCGCGTATGCTGCTGGCATGGTGAAGGGATCTCGACTCTGAAATCAGGACGATCGTAGAGGTAGTGGTGGTAGTCGAGAGAGTAGATTTTGCGCACGTCGGATTGGTCACGGAAGAAGAAGGTGTTCAATCTCTCTGGTCGGCTCGGCTGAGGTGGACTGGCTGGCGGTGGAGGTGGGCTTGGGGTTGGGAGGCGCGCCTTTTTGACAGGAGAGGTAGAGCAGATGAGCTTTTCCTGCAAGTTGATGAAGCTCAGCCGATCCTTGAAGGGCACCGTACGACTGGGACAAAGGGTAAGTTGATCAGGATGGAGGCCGTTCAGGACGAGCCACAGGGTCTCTGTGAGAGGAGATTGGGTTAGTAACAGGAGAAGGTGGACGGCTTTTTGCGTTCAAGTTGAGGTTGCAGGTAACCCCCCGAAATCAGAATAAGGAGGGCCTCGGGCCCGTGTCGTACCTGGAGAATGCATGATTATTGCGCTGGACAAACGCTAGAGTGACGCTAATGAATTGGCGTGTGTTGGGCTCGGTTAGGAATAATCCGTCCTCCGTAGATGACAAACAGAGTAGCTTAGCCGACGGAACTTGAATGTGAAACACGTGATCCCTGACCTCTGCCAAGATATTGGCTAAGCTAATTTTGTCCAAAACCTCACGACACACGATGCCCATCGCAGGCTCAGTCACAAAGGCAATATTTTATCCCCTCATCTCTAGGACAGACTAGCACAAAGTCTCGAGAGGTCATTGATTTGATCATCTCTGCTTTCCTGAGACTCAAAGAAAGCGATCGTCAAGATGCCTCCACCACCACACATTCGTCCCGAGAATGTGCTCAGGGTAAGGCCGTTTGCCATCCTCAACCCACTGGCACTGGCGTCTTGTCAGCCTGCGTCTGGAGATTCATTTGACTGACATTCTTTGTGCGCAGCGAGCACAAGAGCTCATCGCCGTCGATCAAACCCAAGCCGCCCTCAATGTCTTGCACGAACATGTCACGTCCAAGCGATCCCGTAATAGCCCCATCGCCTCCTTGGAGCCGGTGATGCTCCTTTTTGTCGAGTTGTCCGTCGATCTTCGCAAAGGCAAATCTGCAAAGGATGGACTTTACCAGTACAAGAACATTGCGCAGAATACAAATGTTGGAACCATTGAGGTAATTTGTTACTGCGTGGGAGTGGTTAGAGACAAGCCTGACAATATCATAGCTGGTCTTGAAAAAGTTCATTGAACTCGCGGAACAAAAGGTCACCGAAGCCCAGGCAAAGGCTGACCAAGTCCAATCTACCATTGATACTGCAACCTCCACAAATCTCAACATCGATGATCTCGAGGCCACCGAAACACCCGAAACAATTCTCCTTGCTACTGTCTCTGGCGAGCAGTCCAAGGATCGGACTGACCGGGCAATCGTTACACCATGGCTCAAATTTCTCTGGGAAACATACCGAACTGTTCTAGAAATCCTCAAGAACAATGCCCGACTCGAGATCATGTATCAGAGCACTGCACACCAGGCCTTTGATTTCTGCCTCAAGTACACCAGAAAGACCGAGTTTCGCCGACTTTGTGAGCTTTTGCGCAACCATGTCCAAAACGCTGCAAAGTATTCTTCTCAAATGCATGCTATTAACTTGAACGAGCCTGATACTTTGCAACGCCATTTGGAAACCCGTTTCCGCCAGTTAAACGTGGCCGATGAACTCGAACTTTGGCAAGAGGCTTTCCGCAGCGTCGAAGATATCCATATGTTGTTGACACTGTCCAAACGCCCGGCGAAGAACATCATGATGGCCAATTACTACGAGAAGCTAACCAAGATCTTCTTGGTCAGTGACAACTTCCTCTTCCACGCTGCCGCTTACAACAAATACTACAACCTCCTTCGCCAATCTTCCCTCTCCTTGGCCTCAGGTCAAGGCACTAAAAGAGACAATCCTGCCGTTTCGGAGGAGACCCTCACCAAGGCCGCTTCTTTCGTCCTCCTCTCAGCACTAGCCATTCCCGTCATCAGTACTTCTCGTTCCCGTGGAGCCCTGGTTGATGTCGATGAGGCACGCAAGAACAAGAACCAACGCTTGACCAATCTCCTGACTATGCCATCTGCACCTACAAGAGCAGGTCTCTTCAAGGACGCATTGACTAAGGGTCTACTGAAGAGAGTGCGACCAGAAATCAGGGATCTCTACAACATTCTTGAGGTCGACTTCCACCCCCTTTCAATCTGCAAGAAGATCTCTCCTATACTTGCCAAGATTGGAGTTGATCCCGAGATGGAGAAGTATGTACTCCCTCTTCAACAGGTCATCTTAACTCGGCTCTTCCAACAGCTGTCTCAAGTCTATGAATCGGTCGAGATGAGTTTCGTCAATAAGCTCGCCCAGTTTCCTGCACCATTCGAAGTGACCCCAGCTATGATTGAGAAATTCATCATGAATGGCTGCAAGAAGGGTGACCTGTCGATCCGCCTTGATCATGTGTCCGGCATACTGGCTTTCGACTCTGACGTCTTCTCTTCGACCAAAGCTCTCCAGCAGGGCAGTGTCGCCGGATCTGCCGAAAGCGAGACCGGCTCTGTTCAGCGACTGCAAAATACTCCCGCTGAAATCGCTCGATCTCAATTGACCCGACTTGCTAAGACCTTACACATCACATGCATGTATGTGGACCCATCATACAATCAGGCTCGACTAGCAGCAAGAGAATCTGCGTTGGCGCGTGCTGAGGCTGGTGCCGCACAAGAGCATGAAGATATTCTTAAGAGGCGTATCGTCATTGAGAAACAAAAGGAAGCTGCTTCCGAAGCACTCTCCAAACGCCAGAGAGAAGAGGAGACGCGACGCCGTATTCGAGCGCAACAACAGGCAGAAGCTGAAAGCCAGCGACTGAGAGACGAAACCAAGGCCCGAGAACTCAAACGTGTCAAGGATGAACAAGCCCGAATTCGTCGCCAGGAAATGGAGAAGCAACTGGAGGAGCTCAAAGGTGGCATGAAGATCGACTTGGAAGATGTCAACATTGAAGATCTTGACTCGAACGCCATTCGTATTCTCAAGCTTACTCAACTTGAGAAGGATAAAAATGAGAAGGACAACCGCATCCGTGTTACTGCGAAGAGAAATGATCATCTGGAGCGTGCTTTCCGTCGTGAAGAATTGAAGTACCAGGATGAGGATTACGAAAAGCAGCGCCAGGAAGACCTCAGAGTCTACGAGCAGACCAAGGCTGATACCTTGCAGGAGGCGCAGTTGAAACACAAAGAAGGGCTTGCATTGAAACATCGTCTCAGTCGCTTGGTCAAGCCATACGACTCCTTCAAGGGACAGATTACCGAGCGTCGTGCTGCTGAATTCGAAAGACTTCGAAAGAGAGCTGAGCGCGAGTTTGAAGAAGAGAAACGCAAGCGTATCAAGGCCCATCACGAAGAGCAAGCTCGACAACGCGCTGCACAGGAGGCCGAGGAGCGTCGCATCCAAGAGGAAGAGGAACAGCAACGACAAGAGGAGGAAGAGAAAGCTCGTGCGGAGGAAGAAAAGAAGAAAGTTGCCGCTGAGAGAAGAGCTAAGGCCGAGGCTGACCGTGCCGAACGTGACGAAGCTGCGAAGAAACAAATGCAACGCGAGGAAGAAGCTGCCGCCAGAAGAGCCGCTCGCAGAACAGAACCACAACCACCCATTCGGAGAGAACCTCCAACGCTCGACAGTCGAACCGATTCACAAGAAGGCCGAACTGCTCCTCGACTCGCCTTGGCAGGCAAGACTGGAGGTGGAGGAGGCTGGCGTGAACGTCAACTTGCAAAGGAGGCTGGTGAAGGTTCTGGCCCTGCTGCTCGTACTGCTCCAGAACCTACCTCGGATGCACCGCCAGTGCAGGAGCCAGTTCGTCGGCCTGGTGGCTATGTTCCCCCTCATATGCGTGAAGGAGCCAATAGCCGTGCAGACGCTCCCCCAAGAGAGCTACCAAACCGCAATGCTTCTTCGTCACCTGCTAACGGCGCCAGCGGAGGTAGATATGTACCGGCACATCTGAGAGAAGGTCGCAGTAATTCGAGAGAAGGCGCTGGGTCGCCTGGACCTGCTAGCAACGAGGAGCCATTGAGGAAGCCCGCTGCTGCCAGTGGTGGTAGCCGTTATGTGCCACCAAGCATGCGCAACCGTCAGCAGTAGGCTTTCAAATAGTTTTAGGGTTGCGATCTGGGCTGGGCGGATCTTGTCATTCTCCGATGCCAAAAGTGTGCATGTGTATTTTAGTTTAGCCTCGAGTTCACCGACACTCCCAAATTGAACTGGCATCGCGGAGCATTGAGGCGCATGGCAGATCAATAGAAATAGCATCTTGACCTTGGACCCCGGCTGCCCAAGTATGTTTTCCATCACGCGATACTGCCTGCAAATGGGAAATCTCTTGACATTCATGTCGGCACACTGACTTCTAATATCACCCTGCCCACTCCCGTATCACTCGTCTCGTAGAGAAGCCGAACTTCACCATGCTGACTCTCGATCTGGCGCACAAAGTCGTCCACCCCTCCGCCAACACCAAAGTAGACTTTCTTCGCCGCAACCCACGCTTTAGCATCACCCCTATCATATGTCTCCCGATGTCGTCGGATCAATTGCAGGAGTGTCTCGGCAAATATCTTTGTCGAAGTGAGCGAGTAGATCGTCTCCGAGGCCAGTATCAGCAGGTTTCTTGCTTCCCGAGAAGATGAGGACGCCGATGTCAGAGTCGCGAATTTGTCGATGAACGCATCACCCCAGCCTCCAGACAAGAAGTTGACAGTTATTCCACGCTGTCGAAGGCTCGACTCTGAGTTTTCGATTGGCTCTGGCCCTAGTGCTTCGACGTCCAGCTCGCCTTCCTCTGAGATGTCCTCGGGAGGAGCACCTGACGAGGAAGCCACCGCCGTCACTTGTTGAAGGTAGTTGACAAGCAGATTCGGCGCAGTCGCCAGTCTCAACACATCTTCATTGTAATCACACAACGTCATCCTGAGATCTCCCTTCGCTGCACTGCCCAGGTAGTTCCTCACAATCGTCAGACTGGGAATGGCACTCCCAGCTCCGAGTTCTACCACATCCCAGCCATTGGCGCCCCCAGACCCGAAATCAAGTCCGGCGCACAGTGACGCAAGATCGAGTGCGCATTCCCAGGTCTTGAACCCGCCTTCGTAGACTCCGGACGTGAGGTCTCCGTTTTCCAGGCCCGATAGCAGGCTGTCTGAGATGTCGTCTTCCTCCGGGTTCACTTCCGCCATTAGTTGGGCGCGGATATCGAATAGAGACCGTCGTTGGATTTGTGTTGAGTGACCTTCGTTTACGGAACGTAGATATGTTGATTGCGTCATCTTCGGGAGTGGTGATATTGTCAATGCATTATACGATATCTGGGATGGAATGTGCTGTAGCTTTAGGAAATGTCAGAATCATTTTACGATTTAAAATCAATCTCAAGAGCCAGCGTTTTCAACATATTTCCAACACTTGTATCTCCAGTAGAGCCATTCAATTTCATTCTGGCGAGTTGCGGGACAAGAGAGAACTCACAAGCTCACGTAAAGAGTGTGTTTTGGGCTTGATGCTATGTGATGTAGTGCTCTCCGAGATCGAATGCTTCACCATCTCGTCCACAAGGCCCGCTTGCTCTTCACTGCCACTGTCATCTTCAATATCATCGCCACTAAAACCGAACGAGAAAGACATTGTGCAAGTATTTATTACACATGGGAAAAATCGCTGGCAATATTTAGTATAGTTTGCTTCTGAAAAGCTAAGTGCAATGGGCATCGCTAATTTGTGGAAAGATATCTCAGTCTTGGCAATAGAGAGATTTCGTTGGAACCCCCTTTTATCAGTCCCCGTCTGCCCCATTTGATGCGTACTTTTATGAGTCTATAACCCACGCATGTCATGTCTCAATCTAGCTCGATACCAAACCATTCTCCTGCCTCAGGAAGCTTGCAGCAATACAAGAACCGCTGGTCTCTATATTTTACCACGCGTCGATATGGTTCGTCTCACGCAAACTCGACAGGATTTCGGAGCGTTCCAATCTTCGTGATGTTGACCTCAACTTTCGCTCCGGGTGTTAGGTATCTTGGTGGCTTGAATCCAGATCCGACGCCTATTTTAGAATGTTAGTCAATATTCGTGTTCTCCAAAAAGCAATCTGGAATGACATCAAAATCCAGAAATACCTACCACCAGGAGTGCCTGTCATGATGACGCTACCTTTCTGTAGCGTCGTACCTGAGCTCAAATAGGAGATGATGTACTTGGAGTCAAATAGCAGGTCGGATACGCTTTCGTCTTGCCGCACCTCATCGTCCACAATCGTCTTGAGATGGAGTTTGGATGGATCTGGAATGAGTGCTGGCGCTACTAGGACGGGTCCGAGCGGAGCGAAAGTGTCGAATCCCTTAGAGAATCCCCATTGAGGCACCCTCCCTGCGAGTTCGGGATCTCGTTGAAGCTTTCGAGATGAGACGTCGTTCCCAGCCGTGTAACCACCGACGTAGTCGAGGGCATCGTCAACGGAGACGTCCTTTGCATCCTTCCCAATGACTATGCACTGCACCAAGTAACTCCGTTAGTATTCTCTCCTTTGCTGAATCTGGTTCGAGCAACGTACGAATTCTCCTTCGTAGTCTGCCTGGTCATCCTGGGCAATTTTCGGTATTACGATCGGCGCCTCATGATCAATAACCGTAGTATTCGGCTTGAAAAAAATGAACGGAAATGGGGGAGGAGCTCTCCCGGCCTCCTTGACTTCGCAACCGTCAGAAAATTCACCACGACGTTCAAAAAAAGTGATCAAAGAGTCCAAGACAATACGCACTGTGCTTCGCATAATTCAAACCCACACATCTCAAGATCGGAATCTCTGATGCCGCCAACGGCCCAAGGACCTTCTTCACCCCCACGATCTCATTCGTTACAAAGGTCTGGCCCGTGGTGTCGAATATGTCATCGCCGATTATGACTTTTGCCTTTAAATCGTCCGCCTCAGCGACATTACCAAGGTCGAAATCTTCTGACGGAAGGATAGGCTCGCCGCGTAGAGTACGGCCATCAGTCGCAACAAAGCGAATTAAACGTGTCCACGCAACTTTGACCATTTTTGATGTTCGATGTATTCTTCTGAAGACTTTTCAATATTTGCATTCAGTCCAAATGGTCCTCTGGTTTTGTTGTCTTCGGAACTGAATGCATTTACGGAATGGAACGGTGATTGAACTGGTTCGGGGAAAGAACGGCATGGTGCAATCGTGGTCCTGGAGCAAATCCGGCGTTTATGTTAGGGTTATTTCGTACCAATCAGTGGTCTACAGACATACTGCGTCATTGGGTCAAAGGAAACTGACTGGCGGACTCGCTAGATGCAAAGAGGAATTCAAACGTCATAGGATTATGTGATTATCAAAAAGAGACGGAAAGGCGGTATTTCTACTGTGTGAGAAGCACGGACTCCGCAAGATCGAAATGACAGCCACTTTTTTGCCAGATACCTCAGGCAACAGCCCAAACTTTAGATTCTGTTATGACAGACCGAGTTCTGGTGTGGCAAACTACAGGGTTGTACAGCTCCCATGGAGAGACGGATCTGGCCTCAGATCAGCCTTGTTCTGCTTAGATACCGCTTACTACGAATAGTATATTGATATCTTGCAACGCTATCCTGCCATTAAGGAGGTGAGACCACTTTCAACGCCAACGAGGTCGTTGAAGAGATCCAAATTGGCATCCGTCCAATACTGATGCATGTTGATGTCGTACGTTGTGAACGGATCCGGAGGAGGCAGCATTGGAAGCATACTGTTGGTCATCATCACTCCAGACTCCATCTCCTGCCCCATACTCTGTACGAGCATCTCATGCTGTTGGGCCTGTGACCTGGCCAGATCTGCGTCAAAGGTCGAAGCAAGGGCAGTCAGAATGGCGGGACCATTATCAGGGTTGCACTGAACCAGGGTCATGCAAATCTGGACCAGTTTCAATAACGTCTTTCGGATCCTCTTGGCCGATTTCGTCCCTTCACCAAATCTCTGCAGTGTTTCTGCTGCACGCCGCAGTCTCGTGATCATATCCGTGATCTTTGCGGTGTCGAGTGACTCTGCCATCGTGATTGTTGGTCCTGATGGCGTCCACCTGGCAGCAGTTGTAATCTCCATCAGAATGCAACTAAATATGACGAGTGCAGCATTGAAGGCTGAATCAATGATTAGCAAACATTTTTGACGCTTTGTGAAGGTTCTTACTGTAGTATGCAGAAAACCACCAAGCACCCAAGAGAGCTGGCGGCCGGCTGGTTCGATGCACGATATCAACAATCTCGATAGCAGATTGCTCACAAGCTCTTACACTCCTTTCCCCGATATCTTGGAAAAAGTGATCCTCATCCTCGGCCGCCGAGGTAGCACTTCGTAGTCGTGCTCTGCGAAGCAGAAATGCACTCAAGACGGGCCTGTGCAGGAGGATACGGACATTGAGGTACCTCAAAATGATGATAACACTCAACCGATCAAATACCGGGTCCCATGACGATATTGAGATTGCATCTGGATCAAGTGTATCCCATGGCCGTCTTCGGAGCTGGGTTGGAAGTTTGAGTTTCCACTCTGCTAGTTTTTGCTCCAGTGTAAGCGTTCTCTCCAACATGACTGGAATCGTCAATTGTGGATCTACATCGATATTGGATCCGTACAGCTGACACATAATTTCTTCAAGTATGTAGTATAGTTGTCTGAGCAAGAGTTAGTGCTCTTCACATAATCACCAGGAACCCGTTCTTACATGGTCGCGCTGAAGAGGCAAACGGTGTCTGGTGGATCCAAAGTGCTGATTGATCCTGTTGAGGCCCCTTTCATGCTTAGCTTTTCCAGATTTTGGTTGACTGGCAGATCTAGCGTCATGTAGTGATTCGGAATAGTGGAAGGGCGTCCAAACGTCATGCTGAGGGTCCTGCTAAATATAAGAATAGGTTCACCGTCACTATGCCCATCTTCTTACCTGTCCAGCACCATACATGCAAACCATGTTCGCTTTCGGATCTCTGCGTCTAGAGTCGTTAAGCCCACAGTCGCCGACTTCGAGTGGAGGCCGAGCTGTATGGCCGCTCGAACAGCTAGGCCATGAAGACTCCAAGCTTGATCGGAACGTTGAGTTCCTTGACGAAACTGTGCCATCAGAAGAAAGCATTGTACTGTCACTTGTTAATCTGGATCCACAGAGTAGCTTGTGAAGCCCGCTGGAACTCACCACTTTCCAAGTTTGCAGACTTGAGATCTATGTCCGCTGATAAAGCTTGTGCCCGCTCTATGAACACTTCCGACTCAGCCGCATTCTTTTCCGCAGGTTGCTCAGGCCGTGCACTGATGTAGGTTGCAAAGGCGAATATCACATTGACCAAGCACAGCCAAGACCTGCTCACAGCCGTGAACTTGTTCCTCCTTGCCGCAGAATATGTTCGCAAGATATCCTGTTCGTGTATGTACGGGAACAGCATGCCCGTGTCAGAGAAAAAGAGTCGGATTAGATGAAGGGCACGTGACTCAGAAGGTAATGATCGGATATTGACGAACTGGCTGCGAAACGCGGGGCTCGTCTCGGACAATGTTGTCACTGGAGAGGCAGCTCTTGAGACGATCTGTGGATTGAGCCCGCTGTCTGACTGCCGAGAGTGGCCTATGGATTTCAAAGTCGCAGAGGTCGCATCAGATATGTGGCGGAGGAAGGTTATGTTTGAGGATGGACCAAAGAATCTAGATTCTCTGTCTTCTGGATCCGTGATTGCTGCCATGCCATCGACTGAATCTTCGCCTGTAGTCTGCTGTTGAGAATCATCTTCATCCAGGATGGCGACATCTTCATCAGAGTTCAAGCTTTGTTGTTGCAACACTGCTCCCTGGTCGAGAGTGTTTCTTCGTACTGATAAGTGCTCGTGATGGTCGGGTTCAGGCTCTTTTTGGTGCACTAGGAGTCGTAAAGTGTCCTCAATAGCACGTAGCCTTTCGTCATAGCCTGTATCCGCTTGTGAGCCCTTCACGATGTTAGAAGAGCTCCCTGCGGCTGGTTGTTGGTAAATGCAATCAAAGCCCAGCTCCACGCAAAGACTGCAAGAGGGCTTAGCTCCATTGCAGCGAGATTTCCGGTTCCTGCACGATGTGCATGCGAGAGCGATTCTCCTCCGCTTGTAGGATGGAGGTGGAGTTGTCTGATCTTGTGAATCGGTTTGGGAGGCTCTGCGTGCCTGGTTCCCCGCCATAACCAACAAAACGCTCGACTATGATAGATCACGTGTAGGAAGCCTCGATCTCCAATCTCCTGACCCGAGTTGCTGCATGCAAGCATGTAGCTGTACGGCAATATCGGAAATGCTTTATATGAAAAGAACGAAGCAGACACCTTGGAGCTCTGACAACTTAACCTTTGATTCTTGACGAGGCGGTGCTCACCTCCCGGTCGATTATCTATGTTTCAAATGGGGTACACAGACGTGCCACATGACACAATGTCACAGAAGTCCTCGAAGATTCTCTCCTTCATGAGCGCGCTCATACCTACATGGAGATCGAAAGCCTGCGACCTCACTTGGTTGAACAATGTTAACGCCGCAACTGGCTGGCCCGGGGCGTGCCCAGCCAAGAAGTTCAAGCCAGCCGACCTGTCCCCGGAGCAAGGCTGCGTCACGTGTTTCAGCCTTATATGGAGTTTGGTTCCAGCGATCCCTTGCAAGTGATGAGAAGTCATTTATATACCTATTGGGATATCGCCAAGAGATGGAAGAAATAGCGGCATCTTTGTTCTGGCCGGATTCAAAGTAGAACATCAACTCTGGATTGAGCACACTCTAAGTGAATAGTTCTTCGCTTAGTTCAATTTCTTAGACCACGAGTTCAGTGTTCGGAAGGCTTTGAAGAACCGGCATGAGATGTGCTTTTCCGCCCAATAGATTCACAGAGATATTGGTTGCACCTGCATCTCTGCTCCTGGATTGTAGACTGAATGGACAGAAGAGCCACAAGAGGCAACTGAGGAGCCGTCCTTGGCGTGTAAATCGGTAGGCATAATAAGCCGGAACATTATTTGTATTGACCAAACAGGCCTGCAAACAAGTCTGAGCCGTCATGTTGAGCTTGTATCACATTATTTAGCATAACGGCCTCTTGTCATTCGTGAACCTTCAGAACGTACACCGTCTACACTTTTCGGCAGATCGATCGGGAAGCGCTCAAAGCCGCACTTTATCGACTTTTATATTCAAGCGAGAATGAGAGGAGATGGGATACTTCGAACCTTCTCTCTATTTTACTATTGCGTGTGCCTAAGCTTCAGCCATCGACCAGGCAAAATCGAATAAATCTACAACATGCCGCAGGCTGCTCAGACCTCGCCAGGAAATGAGTTCTTCCAAGCAACGCCGCCTATGAGGCAGCCTCAACTCGTTTGGATGTATCGTTTGGAGGCGGACATGGAAGGCATTGATCATGAACTCGGAGCGCCTTTCGGAGCAGGAATTACCCGTACGATAATGAATATTCGCGGGGGTATATTGCGAGGGAAGGGGTTCGAAGGCAGTATTCTTCCCCTTGGAGGAGCCGACTGGGCGACTGGGGTGAAAGGAACGCATGTGAGTTCATCGCGATAGATGCCCTTGGCCTGAAGCTGGCTCACAGCGTGCTCGTTGTTCTTTTTATCATAATATTAATGTCGATGAAACCAGTTCTTCAAACTTGACGCACGATATACCGTCAAGACCAGTGACGGGTACTACCTTTATATTCGAGCGCTTGGGGTATATCGACCTGGACCTGGCACCAAGTATTCCAAGTCAGATATGAACAGCCCGCCTCCACCAACTGTCACCCAAGACGATGTCGAGTTCTTTTCGCATCTGAGTATTGAAGCCGGAGAAGGTCCTTACAATTGGATGAACGGAATTGTGGCCGTTGGGGTCATGTCATGCATCGAGGAACGGATTTGCATTGATGCCTATCGACTTACCAACTTTGCAGATATGGCTCCCGAGGAGGTAGTCACCGTCTTGTAGCCTGACTATGAAACTTTTGAGGGCAGTGCAATCTCGAGAAGTCTCTGAATATCGCGAGATTTACCTACAGGTGGTACAAGTCTTAGCATTGCGGAGATAAAAACATGAGCCAGAGGTCGTGCGGGGAGATGTCGGCTAGGTCGGCTTATCGTCGTAGGAGAAGGATGGCTTGGCAAGGCTGCCAGTGGGACAGATTCGCTGGGTGGCACTAATTCGTCAAAGGGTGTTCTCTACCTTAAAGGTCACGTAAATGTAATATAGTGAGACTATGTTCTTAAGGCTCATCTGAAGAGCGGACTCACCAGATACTGCTACTAGGAATTACAGAAATGGCGGCACTCGAGAGGAAAACCCAAATCGCCGCATGGCTTGACAAGCCTGCGCACGGAGCACGACTTCAAATCAGAAATGACATTGATGTGCCCGTCCCTGGCGACGGTGAGCTTCTGGTGAAGCTGGATTATACTGGGTTTTGCCATTCTGATGTTCACAGCATCTATGGCGAAACGCCGATGGAGACAGATATTGCGGGCCATGAGGGTATTGGACATGTCATCCAGCTCGGCCCAGATGTACCAGAAGAATGGCTCAACAAGCGAGTCGGGGTAAAATGGCAACATAGTACATGTGGAGAGTGCGAGATCTGTCATGTGAATCCAACCGCGTGCCCGAATCAGCACAATTCTGGACGTGATCGGAGAGGGACATTTCAGCAGTACATTGTGGTGCCTGCAAGGGGAACTACGAAGATACCTGAAGGGCTTAAATCCGAAATCGCTGCGCCTCTCTTATGTGCTGGGCTCACCATGTACTCGGCCGTGTTGAAGACGAGGTTGCAGGCGGGAGAATGGCTGCTCTTGCCAGGAGCTGGCGGTGGGCTGGGTCACCTGTAAGGAAATCATGCGCTGCTGTTTCTTGACCTATAAAGACTGACGATGATAGTGGCCTGCAAGTTGCCGCGAAACGAGGGTACAAGGTAATCGCCATCGATACAGGGGACGCAAAGCGGAAGATGTGCATGGATCTAGGCGCCGCAGTTTTTCTCGACTTCAAAACTGATGATGTGAGTAGTCCCCACAGCCTGCCCCTTTTGCGCCAATCGATGCATGCTGCTTACTGACAGGGAGCAGATTGATGCAGAAGTTAGAAAACTGACGAATGGCTTCGGCGTCCATGCCTGCATTGTGTCAGCCGGCTCAGAAGCTGCTTATGCACAAGGTCTGAAACTCGTTCGCAACCTCGGGACATTGGTCTGCGTCGGTATTCCAAGGCTCGACTTCGATCTGCCCATCTCACCATTTATGATGATAGTCCGTGGTATGACTGACTCCTTGCACTAACCTGTCAATTTCAACAAAGCTAATCTCTTTTTCTCAGGTCTGCATGTTGTTGGGTCTTCAGTAGGGACAGCTTCAGAGTTGGACGACCTGCTCGAGATGGCAGTCAAAGGCGACGTGGTGCCTCAAATATCTGTCTTCGATTTCGACGAAATCAATAATGTCATGGAAAAACTTGCCAGGTTCGAGATTGGTGGCCGAGTGGTTCTCAAAATCCCTGCATGAAGGACGTACACACCTAGAAATGTCAAAGAGATCCTTGAGATGGATTGGTGGTATGTTGTCCAAACTATTATGCTTGGACGAGGTGGTTATCGCTTTGTGAACCTCATAAGGATAGAGATAGAGAATTTCTGCTCCCGCCTAGCATCTGTCCTAGTCAACCAATGGAGGCTAAGTAGCCAATCTGCCACCCAAAGCACTCTGACAATACTCAAAGGAGTCCCGACATTCTTCATATGGATACTGAATTCCCTGGAAAATGAGGGTCATTCCAGATCAGTTAAAGGGGAACAACGTTTCATTTTAACTAACGTCGGTGATAGCAAACCTATGCTCAAGTTCATCATCCCGTTTGCTAGACACTTCGGAGATTGGATTCACCACCACATAGTCCTGCGGATAATGCGGTCGCAAAGCAGTAATAGCTGCTTTCATGCATAGAGCAGCAGCATGATCCAATGGTGTCATCCCTTTTTTGTCTTGGCGCATTGGGTCTATTCGTTCGTGACCGAGCAGTGCCTGCACGATCGGTATGGAGATATCATTTTTGGACCTCATTAGAGCCCATGTCAAGGGGGTTCTGCCCTCTGAGTCTTGGGAGTTCGGGTCAACTCGCTCGTCGGCCAGTAATAGCTCCACCACTTCTGCTCCACTGTAATCATCGCCATCAACATCATCGTCGCCATCATCAGCAGCAAAGAGGAGGCCTGAACGTGCATCCGCTGCCCACGAAAGTGGAGTTCGACCTGTGTCGTCCCGTGAGTCTGGGTCAATTCGTTCATCAGCCAGAAATTGCTTCACTATGTCGCAACTGATGGGCTTCCTAGCGCCTGACGAAGCATGTGACAGCGGTGTGCGCCCTTGGATATCTCTGGTGTTAGGATCAACCCGATCGTCGGCTAAAAGGGCCATTACAGCCGAACTCCGAGATAGGCTGTCGTGGCCATGGAAAACGAATCCATTCGTGCTCACCTTTGCTGCATATGAAAGTGGCGTTCGGCCATAAGAGTCTCTTGAATTGATAGACCCTCGACACGACTGTAGAAGCAAGTTTACGACTTCGGCATTGCCATGCTGTGCTGCGTATGATAGTGGCGTTCTGCCCCAAGGATCCGCGTGATCTACCTGAACGTCTGCCCGACTCAATAACAGTGTACATGTGCTTGGGTGACCTGCACCTGCAGCATGGGATAAAGCGGTACGGCCCGTTTCACCCGTAAGATTTACAAGAATTTCAGGTCGTGCTAGTAACAAGGCGACGATTTCATCATCTCCCCACTCGGCTGCAATCGATAGTGGGGTGATGTGGTGCCTAGAGGCGCTCAAAGGATGGCGGCTTGCAATCGGTACCTTCACTTTCAAGTCTGGTCCATTTGGATTGGCGCCGTGTGCTAGCAAAAGGCTCACGAAGGTTGCCGTGCCCATTCGAACTGCGTATGACAGAGGAGATAGTTTGTGATGATCGATTGTAGCAACTCGCGCCCCATTGTCGAGTAAAAGCATTACTGTTGACTGATTCCCACGGAGGATTGCGTGAATTAACGCTGTTCGGAGTTGTTTGTCTGCAGCATGAATGTTTGTACCATGTTCTAGGAGAAGCTTCACGATGTCATCGTGGCCCATTTGCGACGCCCAAGATAGGGGCGTTTGACCCCACCAGTCTGTGACATCAACCCGATGCCGACTATCGAGGAGCGCCTTCACAACATGTCTCGCACCTGACCAGGCAGCAAAATGGAGGACATCCATTTGGTTAGCGCATATAGTCTGTTTGAAAACATCATTATATGTTCGAGAGCGAGAATCCTCAACGTGGACAATGTTGTCTTTTGCTTGGCGGTCTATAATATTGCGTATAGTATAAGTACTAGAGCGGTAACTTAAGCGCGGATCATGCGATAGTCTGACTTGGGCGATAGCCGACATCTGACCAGCGTTGGCGATGAAAGCTGGGACGAGTGATTGGAAACTAGACGATACAGCGTTGAGATGTGTTGCCCAGTGGAGTGCTGCGTATTCAAAAAGAGGACTTCGTGTCAGCCTGTCCTCATAGTCGTCCTCCAGCGTGTCCTTGTCTTCAGGCAATAAGTCATGCAACATCTTGTTTGGTTGCTGGCAAGGCCCAGATTTGAAGTCATCGAATGAGAGGTAGGTGTTGCATGCCTGCGCGATGTTGTCTTCGGCATACGGAAACCATCTTTGCTTCGTTCTCTTGAAATAATCTTGAGTCGTATAGTGTACTAGGCGAACGATCCCGCTCTCTTCGTCCATGACCACTAGCCCTGCACAGGCTGAGACGATATCGTCCACGTCTGGAAGGTTATCCTCATCAAGGGAGGTTTCACCAGGCTCCACAGCAAGAGCATGTCTTAATTGCAGGGCCGATAGCCGCCTCTTTGCATAGGTAATCCACGAGAGAGCCTGCTTTGCTAGCTCGTACTGCTCTGGCAGCTGGCTGCTGATTCTTCCCATGGCCTTGTCATATGTAATGTCTAGCGAACTCAGACCCTTGGGTAGTTGCTCCAGAGTTCGTTTCAACGCCTTTGGTGAAGGCTTGCCGATGAGCGAATTTATATGAAGTGCCACAAGGAGAAACCTGATACAATGTATGTTCAGTATGCTGTTGGAACAGGAGATCAAAGAGTACTTGCATGCCGTCTGCAGCTTCTATAATCCCACTCTTGACTGCATCTTGCAAGTCTGGCCTTTTGGAGACATAGTTTGGGAGTTGATACATGTGACCTTCGAGGAAGTTCGTTATGTCGTCCTCAGTAGCCCGAATTTGTAACGAGTCACAAGCGGCGAAGCTTTTACATATTTCCGGATACTCGCGCGAGCTAGCTATCAATTTCATTGCTGTATCTGCTTGGATCTCGAACATTTTTGGCAGTAACTGCCTGGCATTCTTGAAATCAAGCTCGTCCAAAGCATCGATGATGAATATGCATTTCGTAAGTTCTCGGATGACAGCGCACAGCGTTGTCACTATCTCTTCGAGCGTGGGTCGCGTTTGAACTTTGCCGTGGCGACTATGCATGTCCTTGACGGATTCCGGAATTGCGCCTCTGACCCTCACGAGTTGTTTAAGTAGATTTGTGCAGACATGGAGGGCTGTTTGCTCTTCATTTCGTCGAAAATTACAGTAAAGGTACGCAATACCAATGTTCTCTTCGGTCATGAACTTTGCTTGCAAGTGGTGGATTACATTGCTCATCAAGAGAGTCTTCCCAGCTCCTGGCATCCCGCGCAAGAATAATGTTTTCCCGCCCCCTGACACGACATGTTGAAATTCTGCAGACTCCAGGAGCCATTGCCCGGTCCCATTTTGATGAACAGAGAAGATATCGTTTTGCTGTGCGGCGTAGTCTGTCGGAGTGAGCCAGTCCAAGATCTTGGCCTGTTCTTCAAGCAAAAGCTGATTTTCATGACGTGAGTTGAATTGAGCGACGACCTCCCTGCATATCGTCAATATATTGGAAACCCAATACAAATAACCAATACCTATTCAGTTCCGCCAGAAATGCATTGAAAAAGCCAAGATGTGCAAGAATTAGACTTCGAAGCTGATGAGCCTCACCGGTGTCGAGATCAAATCGCCTAAGGGCTCTCCTCGCTTGGCCACTGATTCCTTTGATGTTGTCAGCCTTCTGATAGTCCTTCAATCTGTCGTCCAATTGCTGGAGAGTTTTCTGGCAGCCCTGAGATATGCTATCTAAGCGTGATCTCTGCTCCTCATTCAGCGAAGTTTTGTATGAGCTGTGCCGATCGCTTGGACGACGTTTGACAGATTAACAATACTAGTGGATGTGAGCAAGCCCGAATGTTTTCGCGGCAAGACGAAGCATACTCGTCGTGAAGAGCTGCAGCTTGTGCTGGGGCTCTGACAAATCGACCACGAACTTTCTTCACGAGATCACAGACGACGATGAAGTCGCCGACTCCAAAGCCAAAGCTCATCTTTATCGCCTTTTATCACTTCGAAGCCATCTGCGCTAACTCCGACGAGGAATGAGAATTGTGAGTAAGGTATCTATTCTTGAATATCCAAATGCTATGAGAACAGTAGACTCCAACGAAACGATTGTTTTTCGAAGGTGAGGCTGAAGATTAGGCAGCGAGCGAGAATACGAAGCGAAGACCAATGGGAAGCGAAGTATTGTGTTACTCCCCATGCCTTATGATCTTGTAGCGAACACCGAGTAGCGAGTACCTACCTAGGTACGGATACCTGAGATGGTTAACAGCGGCGCCAAGAATCAGACCTTCGTCCGATAATGATTGGAAATAAGGAGCGACAACTTCTTGTCCACGACCAAGTGCCTTTACGCAGGACCTGGACATGGGTTACCGAGGTAGGTAGGTATGATTACGAGTAGGTACTAGGTACACGGCCATTAAATAGTGGGGGTTGGGTGAACTTGAGGACGTGTCGGGTGGAGGCATTAATTAACTTTAGCGCGTTTTACCCAACGACGCGTTGTCCCGCGTACCGCGACTTGCTTTCATTTAGTTGCTGCAATCCTCTCCACCACTTCTTCTCATTACCACTTATCCTTACTGCAGTAACCTTCCTCTCGATCCAGCATTGAGGATCTCGACCGCCAGAATGTCGCATCGGTCGGCACTTGCCCAACTTCGGGCCCAACGTGCATCTGGTAAGACTCGTCTGGAGACCTACCAGGTGGAAGATCTAGGTGCCATCTACGATGAAGTTGACGAGGATGGCTACAAAAAGGTCGTGCGGAGTCGTCTTGATAAAGATGACTTCGTTGTCGACGATAATGGGGAAGGTTATGCCGACGATGGACGCGAGGAGTGGCAAAACGAACGAGTCAACTACAGCAGCGACGAAGCCGAGGACCTCGCACCTCGTTCAAAGGCTGCAAAACGCAAGCGTGAGGAGGATCGTGAAAAAGAAGACAAGTCCAACCACAAGATTCTAAACTACTTCAACAACGGCCCCGTGGCTGCACCAAAGCCAAAGGTGCGTCTGCCCTCTCCATTTGGACGAACAACCACTAACGCTCTCAGATCCAAACTACAGCCGAAGATGAGGCTTTCATGGCCGATTTGCTAGGCGAGGTAGACGCAAATGTCCTTCCAGCTCGTACTTTCGCCAGAAAATCCATCAAGTCGGACTCCCGCCGCAAAGTCCGAATCCTCTCCCCGCCTCCAACTCGAGAACAACCTCGTCAGAAATTCCAACCAGACCTGGTCGATACGCCCCCCTCTCAAGCAGCATTCGATGAGGATGATGGTCTGCCAGCAGTTGGTGAGGACGACAACATCATGAGTGACCCTCTGCCATCGTCTCCCGTTGTGAAAGCAATTGAGCGGAAAGCAAAGACTTTGATCAAGGAGGAAGAAGACGACGATGAAGACATGATGGCTGTGGCTCAGGCTGTCGCACATGAAGGCTCAGCATCTATGAGTGTGAACATGAAGGCCAGCAAACCGCCGCCCAGAATCAAGATGGCCAGCCTACCCACACCTGTGAACTCTTCTCCACCACTGCCTGCGGTTTCCGAAGTTGATGCTACAGCCTGGAACAACATCACAAATAAGCTTAACATCCAGAGCAGTCCAGTATCGGAATCATACGTCTTTGGCAAGATGAAACCTCAAGATGCCGTGGAAGAAGATGGAAGCCTACGAATGTTCTGGCTCGACTACACTGAAATCAATGGCAGTCTTTGTCTGTTTGGAAAAGTAAAGCACAAATCGACAGGCCAGTATGTCAGTGCTTTTGTCAAGATTGACAATATCCTTCGGAAGCTATTTTTCTTGCCTCGAAAACACAAATACTCCAATGGACGCCAGACATCCGAAGACGTTGGAATGGAAGACGTCTTCGAAGAAGTTGACACGCTTATGTCCAAGATGAAGATCAACACAAGAAAAGTAAAGCCGTGTACCAGAAGATACGCTTTCGAGTTACCAGATGTTCCGAAAGAATCAGAATACCTGAAGCTTTTGTATCCCTATGACAAAACCACATTACCCATGGATCTCCAAGGCGAAACCTTTTCCCGAGTTTTTGGCACCAACACAGCATTATTCGAACAATTCGTCCTATGGAAAAACATCATGGGACCTTGCTGGTTGAACATCGAAGATGCCGATTTTGCGGCAGTCAACAATGCCTCATGGTGCAAGCTTGAATGTGCGGTAGCAAAGCCCTCAAATATTACAGTCCTCAACAGTTCTGACACACTCGAAACTCCTCGACTCACGCTGATGTCTCTATCGTTCCGGACGCAACTCAATGTCAAAGAGAATAAGCAGGAGATTTTGGTTGCGAGTGCACGAGTATACGAGAATGTCTCCCTCACAGATACAACCTCGCCAGAAAAGATGCCTTCAAGAACTTTTACTGTGATGCGACCCTCTGGGACTTCTTACCCCTTGGGATTTGAGGCTGAGACTAAAAAACAGAAAGGAACCTTTTTCCTGGAAAAAGGTGAACAATTCTTGCTCAGCAGATTTCTTGCCCTCTTCGAAAAGGTCGATCCAGATTGTCTGATGGGCCATCAACTTCAAGAAGTCGACTATAGCATTCTTCTTAGTCGTCTTAAAGAGAAGAAGACGCCTGGCTGGCATCGAATAGGAAGGATGAAGCGTGGTGAATGGCCAAAAACATTTGGCAAGGGTGGTTCCTCCTTCTTCGCCGAACGCCAGCTTCTGGCAGGACGCTTAATGTGCGATCTTGCCAACGACATGGGAAAGTCACTCATGACAAAATGTCAGCAATGGAGCTTGACAGAAATGTGTGAACTGTACCTTGGTCCCGACAACCCAAGACGAGACCTCGATAACGAGGTTGCCCTGAAGACATGGGCTACGACCCGCGATGGCTTGATGAATTATGTGAACCACTGTCACGCTGACACCTACTTCATCGCTGCTCTCGCACTCAAGCTGCAGATTCTACCACTCACCAAGGTGCTCACTGAACTGGCGGGTAATTCATGGGCACGTACTCTAAGTGGTACTCGTGCCGAACGAAACGAATACATTTTGCTACACGAGTTCCATCGCAACAAGTATATCTGCCCTGACAAAGAATATGGCAAAGGGCGAGCTAAAGTCATCGACGAGAATCAGGATGGAGACGATGGTGCCGATACGAAGAAAAAGGACAAGTACAAGGGTGGGCTTGTCTTTGAACCTGAAAAGGGTCTCTACGACAAATTCATTCTAGTCATGGACTTCAACAGTTTATATCCTAGCATCATCCAGGAGTATAACATCTGTTTCACGACCGTCAACCGATCTGCCACCTCTGAAAACGAAAACGAGGAAAAGGTTCCGGAGGTGCCTGTGGACCAGGCACAAGGTATCCTCCCAAAGCTCATTTCCACACTTGTCATGCGTCGTCGCGAAGTGAAGAAGTTGATGAAAGATAAGCGTGCCACAGCAGAGCAGATGGCACTATGGGATACCAAACAAATGGCTTTGAAACTTACAGCCAATTCGATGTATGGATGTCTGGGTTATACTCAGTCGCGGTTCTACGCTCGACCTCTTGCTATGCTTACCACCTACAAGGGCAGAGAGATTCTAAGAAGCACAAAAGAACTTGCTGAGAGCAACCAATTACAGGTCATCTATGGTGACACAGACTCGGTCATGATCAACACCAATGCTGACAGTATTGCCCAAGCATTAGCTGTGGGAAAAGAGTTCAAAAATTCGGTTAATGAAAAATACCGGCTGTTGGAGATTGACATTGATAATGTTTTCCGGCGACTGTTACTTCACGCCAAAAAGAAGTATGCTGCTATCAATATGGCTGAAGTCGATGGCAAGTACGTTGAAAAGCTTGAAGTCAAAGGTCTCGACATGAAGCGCAGAGAATACTGTGCACTATCCAAGGAAGCTTCGCAAAAGCTGTTGAACGAAATACTGTCTGGTGAAGATTCGGAAGTCGTCCTCGAGAAGATCCATGAATACCTCCGAGAATTATCCACCAAAATGAGAGAGAACAGCATTCCGGTCCAAAAATATGTGATCTACACCGTGAGTACAGCCCAAGTCCAGAATAAGTCATTTAGCTAACAGCATTAGAAACTGGGCAAAAATCCCACAGAGTATCCCAACGGTGATTCCATGCCTCAGGTGCAAGTTGCACTCCGTGAAATATCTCGCGGCAAGCATATCCGAGTCAACGATGTCATGTCATATATTGTTACCATGGGAGACGAACAAACGAAGAGCCTGCCAGCACCCAAACGTTCGTACACGCCACAAGATGTCACGAAGACAGACTCCAACTTGGTCCCCGATTTCGAATACTATCTATACAAGCAGATATTCCCGCCAATCGAGCGTCTCTGTGCTCCTATTCCCGGTACTGACTCTGTTCGACTGGCCGAATGTCTGGGTCTGGATGTGCGAAAGTACCAGATCAATACCAATACTGGAGCCGAACGACAAAATGCGGAAATATTCCCTCTCGAGACTCAGATCCCTGATAATGTTCGATTTCAGGATGCTGCTCGACTGAACCTACGTTGTGTGCATTGCAAGCATGTATCATCCTTTGAAGGTGTCTGTGACTCCATGGCCATTACAACACCAGATGGTATCGTGTGCGGAAATTCTGAATGCCAGAAACCATTCACCAACATCTCGATCGTTCTGCAGCTTGACGCCCAGGTCCGAGCACAGACCTGTGCTTATTACGAAGGCTGGCTCGTGTGCGATGACTCGTCATGTGGCAACCGTACTCGGCAGATGTCAGTATATGGTCACAGATGCTTGGGGCCGAATGGAAGAGCCGAGGGCTGCCTAGGACGGATGTCGTATGAATATTCGGAAAAGAAGCTGTACAATCAGCTTTTGTATTTCGCTACACTCTTTGATACCGAGAAGGCGAAGAACAAGGCACGATCAGAAAAGGAGTACACAGACGCTAAAGACCGAATCGTGGTACTGGCAGAGACCAACAAGGAGAGGTTTGAGAGCATCAAGGCTGTGGTTGATGCTTACTTGAGAAAATGCGGTCGTCAATGGGTTGAGATGGATACGTTGTTCGGCTTTGCCCTCAAGTGAAGGATGATGTATTTAGCGGCTACTTGGAGACAAAACGAATGATGGGTCAAGGAGAGACTCACACGCAGGTCATTGTGCCTTCTAATCGCAAGACATAAATTAACACATGGAATCAGCCACAAGTAGTAGTTCTGGAGAGGACGTGATCAAATATCTCCGTACGTGGGGTGGTGGATCTTATGCTGTTGATTCGCCAAGCTCAAACGTCGAGAACCCGAAGGATCCTCAACACCTATCACTTTTCAACTCTGGGGGGTATGAAACCAAATCAATCCACCGAAGACTCTCATCCGCTTCCGAACTGAAGCTGATCATCAACATGGTGGTCCCTCGAGTCCTAGTCATAGCTGGCTCCGACAGCTCTGGTGGAGCGTAAGTACATACGTCTATCACGATCAAGAAACTCTCACCATTTTCGGAAAACTGAGGGGTTGACAACAGTGGCCTCGAGGCAGATCAAAAAGTACTCGCAGCTCACAGCTGCTATGCAATGACCGCGACAACCGCCTTGACGGCGCAGAACACTTCGGGCGTTGAGGATGTACACGTTACCCCACCATCCTTCGTCGGCAAGCAGATTGATGCATGTCTCTCGGACATTGGCTGCGATGTCGTAAAGACAGGTAGGTTATGAAAGGGTGCAATTCCTTCTTAAGTCGTTCATCCTGATATTGAAAGGCATGCTCGCCTCTGCCGAGACGATCCGGGTTATTGCGGAAGCTTTGCAGCGGCATCATGTGTCGACGATCATCGTTGATCCTGTAGGTTTACCCCTCGGTGTTATCACTTTATTGCAAACTTGTGGTTCACAATTGACATACTCAAGGTCATGGTAGCGACGAGTGGTGCTCAACTGCTACCGGGAGATGCCGTGCGAAATCTACGTGACCTTCTACTACCAATGACCAGCTTACTAACACCAAACATACCCGAAGCAACTCTTCTACTTCGGGACGCGGATATACAATATAAATCTCCTTCCGGGCTTGAAGATCTGAAAGCATTGGCGAAAATGGTCCACGGTCTGGGTCCAAAGGCTATCCTACTTAAGGGAGGCCACATGCCATTGACTAAAGACTATATCAAGAGTGGATCGGAGGAAGAAAAGTCCATCACGGTCGACATCCTCTACGACGGCAATGATTACACCATCATCGAATCGCGATATGTGAGGTCGAAGAACACACATGGAACAGGCTGCTCCCTCGCCAGTGCTATTGCCTCTAACATCGCTTTGCAGAAATCCAGATCTCAGCCTTATGATCTGGACACATCGATACGCATAGCGGTTCGATATGTTGCTGCAGGCATTGTGACCGCTCCGACATCTTTAGGCAAAGGATCCGGCCCTATCAATCACTTCCACAGCATACAGACCCTACCTTTCTCACCAGGCTATTTCGTCGAGTACCTCCTCTCACACCCCGCCGTTACCCCAGTCTGGCAGAAATACACACACCACGAATTCGCCACCCAGATGGCGCGCGGGACCCTTCCAGAAGCGCTCTTCAAGAACTACCTCATCCAGGACTACATATATCTAACACACTTCGCACGCACGCACGCTCTCGCAGCATACAAATCCAAAACCATGGACGCCATCACGGCATCAGCAACCATCATCATGCACATCGAGCGCGAAATGGACCTCCACCTCAGCTACTGCCGCGAGTTCGGCATCTCCAAAGCCGACATCGAAGACCCGACACGCCGCGAATCGCTTGCGTGCGTCGCATATTCCCGCTATGTGCTCGACGTCGGGCAATCGGAGGACTGGCTGGCCCTGCAGATGGCCCTGGCGCCGTGTCTGCTCGGCTACGGCGCGACTGCGCAGAGACTGTACCGCGAGAAAGAGAGCGTCAAGACCGAGCAGGGAAACCGCTACTGGCGCTGGGTCGAGAATTACGTCGCCGACGACTATCAGCAGGCCGTGCGCGTCGGCAGCCAGTTGATCGAGAAGAATATCGTCCGTCAGAGTCCGCAGCGTATCGACGAGTTGGTGCGCATCTTTGTCCGTGCCACTGAGATGGAGGTTCGGTTCTGGGACTTCGATGCCCATCTTGAAGTGTAATGCATGGGCAAATGTTTCGAGTTCGGACGATTGGGTTCCTCATTTGACACTGCGGGTACCTGTGAAGATCGATTTAGCTATCAATAGAGATGGAAACGGAAATGGCCACGCCGAGTGAGAGCCGGTAGATTTCTAGGGGGTATTTGTACAATTGATTCTAGTTCTACAGTGTGATGTTTATAAACATCAAGGTATTTCGTCGTAGCTTATGATTAGCCAACGACGCCACCGCCAAAACCAACAGGTCTCCTTTTCCCGCTATTTTCAGGCACAATGGTCATTACCTTATATGCCTTTCCCATGCCTTTGGGTCCGCCTTCGACCAGACGTTTCCATCCGGCATCGAGCTCTCGTCGTTTCTTTTCGGACTCGTCCCCAGAAGTTTCTTTCTCTGCCGCCTTCAAGAGTCGTTGCACTCGTTCTTGGATCCCCAGCTGTGACAGCCATGCTCCCTGCTCGACCGGTCCGTGCACTTCGACATTCGAGCTAGCTTCGAGTGCAGCGTCTGCAAGCGCTTCAAAGTCGACATCGGCACTGATATCTGCATCCCCCGCGTGTACGAACGGCGAGATGACCTTATGCTTGCGAATACCACGGAGAGAGTTGATCGGAACGGTGTCGAGCGGTCCGTAGTCGATGACAAGAGCAGCGCCTGCAGCCTTGGGCATAGGCTCACCTGAAGATGGCTTTTGAGTCTCACCACCAATTAGTTTGGCAAAGGCGTTCACATATCTTGAACTTTCTGGCGAAATTTCAACGCGCGAAGACGGTTGTGCTTTGAGAGCACGATACCTTGGCCGTTCAGGGATTACTAGAGAGCTCGGAGTGCTTGACTTCGCAAGTGTGAGCTGGAAATCCGGCTCTGGCTCCTTGTTCTCTTCTTTCTTAATAGAGTCAGATGGCAGAGGAATGCTGAACTTTGCGTTGGTCGGTGCCACAAGTAACTCCCTCCATTGGGGAAGTTTACTAGCCATAGAAGGCTTCGGAGCTGGCTGACTCTGGCCGTTCGACAGAGCCTCTGCACCATCGCGGCGCTGCTCTTCTGGTTTTGGTGCAACAGACTCAAACGCGTGAATTGGCAGCGCGTCAAAAAATTCATGGGCAATGATGAATGGCATACTGGCTCCGCTTTCGGGTAGCAAGACAATATCCTCGACCCATCTAACCGGGATTCCCTGTTTACTTGTGGCCTCCCACCATTTGTTCTTACCACTGTTATCAGTGATTTCTTTCATCTCCGCCTGTTCACCGCACAGCAGATTTTTCTGCTTCAGTCTCAGGTCTGGCCCTGCTTCAACCAGCCAGACTGCCTGTATGGCTTTGGCGAAAGTCTGAAATTGCCCGACAGTCCGAAGGACATCGCTGATCAAGGTGCCTCTGCCCGGTCCCATTTCGATGAATTGAACCCCTTCTTTCAAACGGCCTTGCGCCATCCATTCTGTCATGAACCATATCCCCACTAGTTCACCAAATACTTGTGATATTTCTGGAGAAGTGACGAAATCACCGGCAGTACCGAACTGGTCTGTAGGATCTGTGGATGGCCGCTTCGTGGTATAGTAACCGCCATCGGGGTTGGTGAGACACTGTCGCATATAAGAAGCAATTGAGACTGGTCCAGTCACCTACGAAGGCGTAGAAATGTCAGTGATAAATGCTCTTCGCAACAGTCCCAGTCGGATAGCTCATACCTCAATCGCCTGCGCAATCGTCTTCGCTAGAGGAGTCGACCATTTTCTAGAAGGCAGGTTAGGTACCGTAGTTGGTATTTGTGCTCCTGTCTCATCTTTCTGCCTCGGGGCTAGGTTTGAAGAGTCGGGAGTAGCGCTGGACCATCGTTGCCCCGTCCAGATAGCAGTGAGTTGTCTACCATCGACAGTGGGTTTGCTCAGGCGGCTCCGTCTCAACCAGCGTTCTAAATTACCAGCTCTTGCGCGGCATAGAAGTGCTTGACTCCCTTGAATTCCGCCATATCTCATTTCGGAGACGAGGCAGATGTCCGAGGAATGTTGAGGGTAGTGGCAATACGCAGAATCATTTCATTGTGCTGGATGTCAATCAACAAACTGTATCAAAATCTTTGCACGTGATTCGGCAGCCGGAAGGGAAATCGTTAGTCCGGAGGCGGCTGCATTACGTCATCTGCGAATGCTATTTCCCTCTCAAGTTCCAAAGGCAATCGAAGCAAATTTCCGACCCAGGTGTCCAGGACTGGGATTTCAAAGACATCAGGCTGACCATCAAATAGACCCCTGACCAAATCTCTGACGAAGTCGTTGAATGCCGGTCAGTTAGTTGCAATGTCCCGGAAGTCTTCTTGTTGAGCTACAGTTGAAATTCCACGAATCGATGACTGACCGGTGAGTATTGGCAATCCCACATTTGAAATGTTACCATGTACTTACTCGAAGTAGAAAATGATGTTATACTAGTGCCTGTGAGTAGGTACCATTAGAACGTTTCATCAAAGAAGATGTTAAGTGCTTTGGAGAATGCTAACCCCCAAAGACCACCAAAGGAGTTACTCATCATCGTGGGTCAGTGATGGCATTTATTATCTCCCCTGCGCTTGTCGAATTGCTTTTGCTGCTGCGTATCAGAGGTATCGACTCGACTCCATATCCATGTACGAATTGGGGGCCTGCCCTCCATGGGGGCGTCAGGAGAGTCGTAGAAGTCGTCCACGAGTCTGCTGCATCACCGCCCGGAAGAACGCCCTCCAAGGTCTACGTTCTGCCCGATTCAACGACAGTCTTCTCAAGCCGCCCCCCGTCCTCAGAGTCATCCTATTGATCAACAATGTGATCTCAGCCACACCGTGCCAACGGCATGTGTGGAGCATGAATGGCCATGCCTCCACACCGCTGTGTGACCCTCGCCGCCGATGATGCGAGTGGTTGAAAAAGACTCCGTTTATTTCAATCGCTTTGATGGCCTTTGCACCTGCTTCATCAACTTGTGAATCCAAACTCGTCTGATCCATATACGAAGGGAATTGTTCGTAGCTGGAAACCTCGAATATCGATATAGGATATCCTGATACGTGCCTCCCCAGTCATAAGACTTTTGCATGCTGTGAGAAGCGAGATTTGTTTCCCGCCCATGCATTAGTCATGGGGCCACCGAGCGGGACGTGCCCCTCTCGACAATCCTCACTAGATCAATGACACTGCGGCCTTCAAGGCTTGGAGCCCAATCTCGATATCCAAGCCTAGAGCTTGTGCGGTGCGGTATGAGCTTGGATTTTCAGTACTCTCCCATGAAGGCGCCAGTTACCAGTACAGATCCAGATTGAGGGTTTAGAACCTATTGACTAGACTCCAGTCTGTCCATGTTGCATGGTTGCGATCGCACACAACTGGTATTGCCCACTAGGCAGTGTGAGAAATAACCGCTTTCCCCCCGAGTGTCTCAAGTCACTGTTAATTCTTCGGACCATAATCCGGCGCAAAGCATCATCCCTTTGTCTATTCATCGATATCGATGAACAGAAACCCAACTCAAATTCTTGGCCCTGGCTGAATTTTCCCGGACAGCTGATCAGCCATAATATATTCACTCTTCTTCGAAGCCCATGATGAAACAAATTCTCAGTGTTTTGATCTTATGCATGGGAGTATCATGTGACCAGATCTGGGTCAATCAAGTTCCTGACTATTCATCTCTCAACTCCTGTGCGGAGCCACCTCTCAGTGGCATTGTCAGAGGCCAGAAGTCTGGATGTGGTGCCTTGACTTCGTACTCATGCTTTTGCACGGCTAGTTCTTCGCACTTCGAAGGTCTCATATCAACAGCGGTGCTGAATGCATGTCCGGGGTCAACTGAAGATGCAGACAGCGCCACTGAGGTCTTCTCCCTCTACTGCCAAATTGGTCTCACTGCGACTACGACTAGCGAGCCTACATCTTCAGAGACATCTACCACTCCTGCCACAAGTTCGGCGTCAAAGACAAGTGCGCAGAGCACTACCAGTGGTCAACCGAACATCCAAACAATCACAGTCCCATCCACACTGGTGATACTTGTGACACCTCCAGCTACAACCTCAACAAGTACTGGGTCACAATCAACAGCAGTATCATCTGAGTCGAAAACAGGAACATCACTGAGTGGGAGCGTCCTCAATATCGTGATCGTACTCGTGATCGCTATCGTGCTGTTGAGCATTGCGCTAGCCTTTTTCTACTGGCGCTTTCGCAAACAGCGAACCGCACACTCTGTGCAACAACCAGCAGAGAATTCTCATGGCGCATCTAGCTCTGTATCGGCAATCAGCCACAAGGCTCCTGCTCCTTATTATCCAGAGAAGGGGGATGAAGGGAGTTTGATCGAATTGGACGATAGACATCCACACGATGTCTACGAAATTCAGTCGCGGAAAGATACCACCGAGCTCCCCGTTGGCCCAAGACACGTGGCTGCCATGGTCAAAGAACCACCAGTACACAAACGGGTCAAATCACGAACTGTGCGTCACTCGGCTCAAGAGCTTCTCTAATCTGACTTGGTGCCGCCCAAAGCTCCAGTTATCGCCCAGCTAACGACGAATCCAAATCATTACGAGTTGTGACGTTCGAGACCTTTGCTGCAACAAGCATATCGCAATCATGTCATGATTCAGCTATCAAGTCTATGGCTAGCTCTGTAATATGAGAGCGAGGACAGACGTAGATAGCCAATGCTGAGAAGTATACAGGCTCCAGCAAAGGGAAAAGGGATTGTATTGCTCGCCTCAACGCTACATACCATGTACAACACCTGAGTTCGTATGGAGACTAAATATGATGCTGGACGTGCCCAACATCATTACCTTGGGACGGGTACTATGACTGCATGCGTAGTTCAGTAGCCATACTGCTGTATGATAATACCATATCACGATAAAATACAACAATACCATCGATGATAACCTCAACGATTCTAGTAGCGTAATATTCTTATTGTACATCCAGGTTTGTGTATTGGTCTCAGACCAGCCCAAAACCTAACAATCTAAACTGCGAATATACAAAGAAGGGTTTCGCCGAGCCATCACTCTGCAAGCCCGACGGAAAAGAGCTCTGCAGCCTCGCGGGCCGCTTGTGAGCGGCGTGGCCCCCAAACTTTCAATACTACCTTCCGGGACATATTCAGGGGTGCAGTCCCACTAACAGTGCTAGCTGCAGCCTGACCCGCTTCGGTTGTTCACAGAGCCTTGCTGGCTGACTCAGTGGCACACGGCACGAAAGCTCTTGAGTTCCGAAGATTTCCTCACCGATCATGATGGTACACGCACTTGTTCTATCGATTGGAATTATGCAAGGTAGTTTCGTCCTTATTGCTGCTAAGGAACTCGAATACTGACATCGCTTGCAACTTCAATTGCACGGCTGACAAGCCACGGACCACTCGAAACACCAGTGCAGGCTTTCCACTGCACTCAGACCTACTCTATCAGCATGTCTGCTTCGGGACGAGAAATATCCATGACACAGGCCCGGTGGAGCCGCAAAATCAATATGCGGAATTCGTCCTGGACCGAGTCTGTGGAGGGAGATTGTGTAGCACGCAGTCATTTGAGGGGCAATCACGGCAATGAGACGGCCCGTGCACGTGAGTCGTGCCGTGGTCGGATTGCCCGTGATCAGTGACCCTAATGTCCGACCTACTATCTCCGGCTGTTGAGGGTATCGTCGGAATAACTGGGCATCATGTGTATGTGTCATTTAAGAATGGTCCAAATGTTCAGTCTGGAAAGCTTTTTATAACTTCCATCCCCGACCACATTGTTTTAGCGGTTTAATCCCGACCAGAAATATTTCTTGATGAATCATTCACAATACTGCAAATATGTGGCCGATATCCAATGTTTGTGTTCGCCAAAGGCGAGGTTTGGGATGGACTATGTCTGAACGATGTGTTGGTTGATCCAAAGGTACCTTGTCATGAAAGAAACTCCTGTGGTTTGAACACAGTCTACTTCGTCGTGAGAGGGAAACCCAAAAAGGCTCAACGACTTGCCGATCGACGCAACAGTATCTATATTGAGGATCTGCAACAGAAGCCCGGCCTGGTTTTCAAACCACATTAGATCTGCTGGCACGCGTCGAGCACCTACCATCCCAACAATCATCGCCCATAGAACTAATCGGTGATAGATAAGTGGAGCAGCTCCCATCCACGTCCAAGGCAGTATTGGCAAGTCAGAGTTCACGCTCGAACCGTCTCGTGCCGTCTCCTGTGATAAAAGGTGAAGGTTTTTCTTCAATCGCCTCATAACCTGCTCCATTGTTCGTTGGAGCAGGGGACCTTGTAAAGTTATCAGGCGAATTTGAAGAGCAAGGATGGTAACCCGTGCAAGCAGGGTTTGGCATCCAAGACCTGACGATTTTCCAGGTTCTACGCCAGGCGGTAGATCTGTCAGACTGTATGCACAGCATAGGCCATGTATGGTATGAATAGTCTGCGCATGCGACCATTCAAGCTTCTCCATAGTTAATGTGCCTGAAATCATAGATACATTGACGAATTTGGTTAATTCCAGATAATCCGCTATTAATCCCACAAGGTTCCATGGTAGAAGACTCCTATTGAAGGCATGGAAAAACCCATTGTTCTCAGTATCATCTTCGGTCGTGGATATCGGTGCTTCACTTGAACCAACACATGTTTTGCTTTGGCCATCAATCATTCGCGCCTGAGATTCCCCGGACGAGGAAGGATTTGTGGTTCCATGATTTGCCCGTTCAGAGTGCACTTGAGTACTCGTCCAATCAGAGGGTAAGTCTGGCACTGAACTATTTGAAGTCATCCTTGGAGCTTCACCATTTTCGGCAGCTAGATAGACATCGTATAGACGTGCGGTTCCTAAGAGGCATTGTTGCCAGATATCCCCGTCGAGAAGACTCTGCTCAAAATGTAAGAGTGCTTTCAAATGGATCAGCGAAGCCTCAATGTGACCATAGTGGAAGGCGCCCATGCATAGCTGCAAAATTGTATGTATAGCGGTGGTCACCTCAAGGTTTTCCAGGACAGTGAGGCAACGCCGAAGCTTTTGCATAGCTTGGGAGTACACTTTATAACCAGTCACAAGAAATTCGGTATTCTGCGCCAATGCTAGCATCCCTGAGGTAGTCACAACTATCAAGCTGTCCAACAATTGCGAATCCTGTATCGCTATTTGCAGTGTATGCTGCAGTACAGGAAAGAATCGGTGAGCCAGCACGGAACTGTTCACAGCTTGGCCAAGTTCGTGGCTGTAGACTACCGATAGAGATTTTTCCAGGTACCATTGCATTATTGATGCATCGACATTGGTCAGTTGCTTACACGTCGGCCCCAATGAACCAAGGCAAGGACTGGGAGACCTCGTCATGCTCGGTATGAGTGGATGGTCATGGTAGAGATGTGAAGATGCCACTGTGTCGTCCGTGGTCACCTCGTATTGTCTCTTTATTCGAACTCTGGGATTTTCACCCCTATTTGTAGAGTCCGCTGGTTGACTAGTGCTAGCCGTGGACAGCTCATCGAGCTCATTCTGCCCATTCGTTTTCTTGCTAGGCGCTGATCTGTTTCTGAAGTGTTTTCCAATGTGAGAGTACACTCGTTGTCGTAATTTTCGATCAGCCGGGTTGACTGAATCAGTGTAGTTGACCCAAGTAGTGGGAGGCATTTGCAAGTGTACGAAACGCGAAGTTGTCGATAGGAATTGAGCGCGCAGATGTGTTCGCTAGACAAACTTTGAAACTAGACCATATCAAGAATCGGCCCAAAGATTTGTCATTGAGCAGCAAGTGGCGCAAATCGACGTCGCATTTATGCCTTCGACTTAGTCATATGGATCCCCAGGCTGAAAAGCAACGCTTCAAGGCAACTCAGGGTTGGTCGAGTCGAGAGTAGAGAAGGATAAGAGTTCGAGAACAATGCATATCGCAGACCGCGGTAATCTCTGAAATCGAGGTGGCGCGAAACGACCTTGGGATGGGTCGGCTTCGGGGACTGAGATACGGGATTAGCACTAGTTAGTGCAGATAACATCGATCCTCTGCCGTCATTTATGGGGTGACCACCTATGCTCAACTCTAACTCGTGCTCGCTCACGCCCTCAGCGAGTAGCGAAGTTCACGGATGATGGCTCCGGTCGACCACTCATGAACACTGTATGCGTGCGAGAACCAACGCGGGATTGTATCATTTTTGTCAGGCCCGCCTAACATAATCCGCTTTTTTGGGACTTGTTGGTCACTCAGACTCGATAATTGCTGATTGATCTGCGAAGTCTATTTCGTATCTTAATCGAACAGGCAGTCGATGATGGTCACACTGTTGAACCACGGACTGCAAGGCGCCTAGGTCTGCTGAACAATCCCATATTATCAATGTTGCTACATGAGATGCGCGAGATGTTCTTTTGCACTAGTACCGCGGCCTGGGCATTAGTAGCACACAGGATCTTATACCCAACCATTTTACCTTCAATAGGCATCGATTTAATTGTGGCCGTACGCTCCTTGATCTTTCGAATAGAGAAAACCCTCCAGAACAGCCTCGGCTGTGGTGCAATATTCTTGCTGTACTTCTTTCGCCTGCATCATGTACGCATTGCCAGATGGTGAATTTCGAACGGAGCCCTCCAGTAGTAGTCCAACGAACAAAATCCAAAGTTTGAGCTTACCTGAAAGCACAGCCCCACAGTTTGAGATACAAGTAGTGAGTCGAGAGAGCAACAGATCTCTTTTTTTCGGCAACGCAAAACCGAAGGTTACTTCGATCCAGCAGATTGCTGCCAGGCAAGTACATGCTGCTAGCATGATACTCTCACTGCCTCTTAAGTGATTGCCCGATGCTGCTCCGTCCAGCTCGGTATAGCCACTAAGGAGGCGGGACTCACACTCTTCGCGTCGCGCATTCATCCATCGGAACGAGTCGCTTGTTGGCGGTTGAGGGTTATCTCGGACATACTGCTCTGCGGCCAGCAGTTCTCTAAGGTGGTCAAAGATAGCCCGTAAAGCGCAGTCATTGATGGCCCTATCTAGCCGTGAACGCTTTTTAGTTTCTTCCCAGAATTTATCGAAGCCTGATTCCTGTCTCCAACATTCGTACGATGCTTCGAACCCCCATTTGTCAAGATTAAATAAAGGCGTGGTCAGGTACGTTGACGAGTACAGCACATCAGCCATGATGAGTCTCTCTTTCCACCATGAACTCATCCAAGGCCTTTCCAGTCTGTCACTGAAAAATGTATGCATCATTTTGAGGTGCACATTAGCAGCTTTTACATTGTTCGGAGCGTACTCAGCCCAAAAAGCTAGTATTATGAGCCTCCCAAATCCTTGTTCATCGACTAGATGCCCTTGAAGGCGATATGTGTTAATTCTCTGATAGAATTTCACCTTCCAGTTCAATGATAAAGCTTCGTACTCTTTTAGTGAGAGACGTTGTGAGATCGAAGCGGCCAGATAAGCGAATAAGGGATAAGATCGACTTTCATCGTGCGCCATTTCCATAACATCTTGCCACTCTGTCTCCATTGCCTTGGATAGGGCGACCTCACACCGAGTCTCAAAAGGATACATCTCATATAAAACCACATCTCGACACCAGGAGAGTAGCTTAGTGACTGTTGGTAAAACAGAGGCTGGCACGGACGGTGTTAAGTTTGTACTGTCTCTGTGTACCGGAATCAATTGCAGCTGACTAAAATCAGTCAGAGGTGGACGTGAAAGACTAGCGGTTTGAATTTGTTTGTGTTGCTCAGCAGCTCTGGATGGTAGGCACGGTTGGCTGGCAGTTGGATTCGATGTCAGCCTAGGCTCTTGTGATTTTGCTTTAGATGATGCTTTTGCCTTTGTCGCCAACTTAAGCTGATGTCGACGTTTTTGTACGTGAGCTTGTGCTTTCATCAGATGATTGCGAGATCTGAAGTCTGTACCGTCGAAGTTAAGGAACAATAACTCGTCCTCCATCCCAAAATCAAGTGCGACCTTCAAATGATTGAATCTGAAAGAACCGCCACGCGAATCCGAGCTCCTAGTATAGCCTGGATTGCAGAATGAAGAGCTTGAATCGCTTTTATCGCTCTGGAATCGAGGAACTTTGTTGCATATCATGGTATGACAGTCTGCTTAAGGGTCCCCTAAGCATGCGGGAAGTGGGACCACAAACGAACCATAGCGCAGCAAAACGTTTCCCCAATACGGTAAAGTCTCTCGCTTAGATCCATGCACCAGTAACCATACAGATCAAATACCCAGGCAGTTATCAAGCAGTCCGGGTCCTTATAGATTCAAAAAGCTTTCTGCCAGAATTTGATTTTGATGTGAGAGGACTACTTGCTTGCTGTACTATTTGTCATAGGACATATTCAACTTTGCTTTCTGTACCTCGGACAGCTGGTCGTCACAGGAGTTTTGCCTCTCCTCCCAGAGCATTGTGGAGACCACTAGTAGTTTGGTGCTTCAATAACTTTGGAAGACAAACGCCTCTAACCGCTCTTGTATCGCTTGGTTGACGGCCGTGAAAGTTTCCCAGAGAGCTCAATGGTCCGCATCCATTAATGTCAGATGATGATCCGGACAAAATTGCTCGACACTTCACACATGGCCGGAGTCAAAATGCGACCATTTCACGTTGCGATATAGAGAATGCTCTACTGGATCCCTGGGTCTGAAGTAAGCTCCCTGCGGTTATTTTGCTGCAGAAAATGCTCCAGCTCGTCGAAGTCAGCTCATAGTCCAGGAAACGGGGTCTCAGCGAGGTCTTATGGCCACCTCTCAACCGTGTTCTTACTGTGAGATCGTACCACATACGAATCTATGGTAATAACTCGAAGTCCAAGACTCAAGAGCATGGGTATCTACGTTCTCCATGCAGCTGACAGCTCTGGACAACCGCGGATCTCTTATGTGGTTCAGTTTCAAGCCGTGACAAGGCATCGTGTAACCTTAGGTGGACTATTACCAAGAAGATGCTGGTACGCGCAGGGGTAGATTCGGGCTCTGCCAACCAATATCCTGACGACTAGTTGTCAGACCCTTGCGTACAAGGAAATCGCCAGTACTCAAAAGACGAAATCGAAAGTCGTCTTTGACCACAATTTACACTCCGGATATTCACTTTCAGTTTCTTCGCTGGGGGTCGCTATGCTGTCCAGGGCATTTTGAGCTACAGACTGCTTCAAGAGGGTTACAATAACGTAAGTGCGACTCGAATACAGGAGATCGGCTAACCGTCATCATGCAAGGCCGCCCTTGTGCGATTGATGCCGATTGTTGCAATATAAATATGGTGACCGTCGATGGTAGCAGGGAAAGAGTGCTCTGCTTGCCATGCATCAAAATGTGTAGCCCTCCTTAATATTAGATCCGTTGAAAGCCCATCCACAATCACTCCTCACGCTACATCTCCTCCGCGAAACCGGCTCTGCTCCTTTGAATGGATGTCCCTCCGGCATGGCAATCATGCAAGCTCTACCTTCCGGACTTCGTTTTGCCGTGCCCTCGGTAATAAATGTTGGAGAACTATCATGGAGAGGGGTTCGAGGTGGCTTACTCCACAACTCATTCTCAGCGCTCGACACCAGAGAACAATTATCTAAGAAGGCCGTCAGACATCTACTTAGTTTGCTAATCAACAACGACATAAAGTATTGTGATATTCCTTGTCACCATTTCAAGCTTCGAGCCTTGATATTTTCCCAGCCTTGACGACATTGACGACAACATCACAACTTCTGCATCGCTACTATCGGGCAGCATGGCAGCGACCAAGCTTCAGGGTAGTGGAGCGATTGTGACGGGTGCCGGCTCCGGTAAGATGGGCGACAGATCTTCTTTGCAGATCAAGGATATGCTTTTTATTGATGGCACCTAGGGATCAACCTGGCGTTTGCCAAAGCACTTTATGACCAAGGCTGTGGCGTGCTCATTGTGGATGTAGCACTTCATAGAGATGCAGTGGCTTGGATAGAGTCTATTCGAGGATCAAGCAGCAAAACAAAGGTCGTTTTCCATAAGTCCGATGCCTCCAAATGGACGAAGCTAGACGAAGCTTTCGATGCGTTTGCGGACACCTTTGGTGGTGTACCATACATCGTGTGCCCAGGTGCTGGGATTTACGAGCCAGTCAGTGTAACCATACAGACCGTGTTTAAATGTTGATCAAGGCTCACATCGGATCATTACAGTCGCACAATGGATTCTGGAGAGACGACGACGTGGATGATCACTATAAGATCTTGGACATCAATCTGCTGCATCCAATCAAAATGACACGTATCGCCATACGCCGAATGCTCAGGCACAAATCTCCAGGTATCATTTGCTGCGTCTCCAGCATTGGAGCCCAGAAGCCTAGCGTGATAACTCCGCTTTACCATGTGTCAAAATCAGGAGTTAGTAATTTCATCCGCTGCATGGCCAGCTTGGACGAGATGGCCGGCATTCGGGTCGTCGGTGTCGCGCCAGGAATTATCAAGACACCTCTCTACTTTGACCACCCTGAGGCCGAACGCTTTATAGATAAGGAGAAGGACTTCATGTTGGAGCCGGAACATGTCGCGAGGGCAATGTTGGCTGTTTGCTTCGATTCAAAGTATCCAGCGGGCACGGTTCTCGAGGTCACGGATGTTGATAATTGGAGGGAAGTCATGCTATTGAATGATCCGGGCCCGCAAGGGAGGGCAATACTTGCAAGTAAAAAGCAGGAAGCACTGTCCGATGTCCTTGCTATCTTAGAACAGGACAAACAGTGAGTTAAAGGCTTTCTACCTTGAGTTAAGTAGGTCACTGGAGGATTTTCTTCATGATGCTAAATAACACTATTGTACTAAGGGCGAAAAGCCTTGGAAAACCCCCCTGCCCAGTTTTGGGTGAAGTACACACAATTTTCAACACTCAAACTTGTTCAGACTTACTCAACCAATGATACTATCCCACAGTACCCTTGACCCCAACAACGGCCCAATCAGAGTGGTTTTAGTGAATCCAGGACACAGGGCGTTGCAATGCTAAGCGGGTGGTTGTCAGTCAACGGGAAGTTCATGGATATCGAAATTTACCACTCTTTGGGAAGCATACTCCAAAGTTATCAAATCGCTCGATATCAGGTTAGTAAGGCTTACTTGAAGTCTCCAGGACCATCTCAAGAGCGGACAGGAAAGCAAAGACTGATACCTCAACTCTTGTACGGACACCTAGCCCTATTCCCTAGGCTCACTGAGCCTTGCAGGAAGATTAATTAAGAATCTGGGGAGCCAATTGTAGGCTTGAAGTCCCTACGGATCTTTGGGCAGGCGCCTGGCAGGGCGTCTTTTGATTGAAATAAATGCCGTAGCTTCTTGCCTGAAACATCTATACTGTTTGGATCTGCAGCTGGTAGTAATCAGATATCTCCTTCGTCAGAGCTTCCTTCACAATGGATCCACACAACTTGGCGTATGGGTTGGTTTTGACAGCGATCTGTTTAGCCGAATCATTTCCATAGCGTCCTCCTAGCCCAAATTCCCGGCTCGCCGCCTCTACCAATTCATCCAAAGACAATTCCGCTACCCCAACAGTATAAGCCAGCATTTGTCGATTGATCTCATCCTTACTTGCGAGAAGGAGTAGATACCCTCGGTGAGTATGTGCGGATGCTAGTACATTGGCCTGAGAACTTGAGACAGTATCTGCGCTGTCCTTCGGCGTTGAGAGTCTGATGGCTTCAGAAAGATCTGCAAATATTTGCCGCACGGAATCTGGGTGTGATCGAAGATTCTCATCTCGAAACAGCATCCGACGTGCTTGTGCTCGGTTTGCCAATGCGGATGCATACTGTGAGTTGGCATCGATAATTTTGGTAAGCCTCGATATCGACTGCTCAATATCAACTGTGCTTGGGTTTTCGCCATTGATAGGGCGGATAGCGTCGCGCTCACAGTCTTGTAGGTGCCTGAGCTCGTCCAGGCTCATTCCTGTCGGTATCGAATCTTCTATCCGCGCAAATTTGGATAATGAAGCTTCTGGGTCGAAGAGTGCCGACAACACGCTAGAATCGTTGTTGCTGAGACTGGTGCCAGCCATCGTGCCTTCCGATCACTATCTCAACGCGACCGAGTTACCAACTTGAGATTGCCAGAAAAACCTGAAGTTGTTGTGTTTGAACTAAAGATATGATAGGAGCCTTATTGTTAACAAATGTACATCAATACTATCAGCTTTTTGTTCTGCGGATCCCGCAAAATTTCGGTGGCAAAGCCCGGTGCCTATGAGGACGGAGGTTGACTGAACACGGGCCGTCCGCAATCCCGGCTACCACCGGGTCAGACAAAGAGTTGCAATTGCAAGTTCCGACTTATTACAACTCTGACGGACATAAAAATCTACAGAAACTAGTTCCTCTCTTTGTTTGTTCCAGACAATAACTATTCGGTTGCTTCAAGAAACCGAGAAACTTGAAGCCGGCAGCCACAACTTGCCAACAAGGCGATACCAGTCACGATCTTAAGCCTGTCAACATCGAGGAACTGCCCAACATGGCCCCAATAGCCCTAGATGATATATCTCCCCCTCCATCTGTGCTTGGAAAGACCAGTTATAAGGACACCTCCCAAAGGTCACAACTCCCACAAGATACCAAGCAAGTTGCAAGCTACAGAGGCTATGATAATGTACATTGGTATGTGGGTAATGCAAAGCAGGCAGCCACCTTCTATGTTACTAGAATGGGTTTCGAGAGGGTGGCTTATCGAGGTCTCGAAACAGGATCTCGGGTGGTCGCATCGCATGTTGTTCGAAATGGCGACGTAACATTTGTCCTTACTTCACCTCTCCAGAGCCCGGATACTAAGAGTACGTCACTTTCAGAAGAAGATCGACAACTCCTGAGAGCGATCCATGATCACCTAAGAGCACACGGAGATGCAGTGGTTGATGTGGCATTTGAGGTCGACAATGTCCATGCAGTCTACGATGCGGCGGTGGCAAAGGGAGCTTTAAAGGTCTCCGCGCCTACTACCATAAGCGATGATTTCGGATCTGTAACTCACGCAACGATTCGGACCTATGGAGATACCACACATACACTCGTACAACGCAGCCAATATCAGGGAGTTTTCCTTCCTGGGTACCGCGCCGTGACTGAGACCGAAAGAAGCGCCAAGTATCTGCCACGAGTAGATTTGATGGCCATTGATCATTGCGTTGGTAGGCTTACCTGACATTAAAGGAGGCTATAGTTCGCTAACTAGCAAACAGGTAACCAGGACTGGAACGAAATGGAGGCAGCCTGCGACTACTATGAAAAGACTCTAGGGTTCCACAGATTTTGGTCGGTCGACGACAAGGATATATGCACAGAATATTCGGCCCTGAAGTCAATCGTCATGGCTAGTCCAGACGAAAAGATCAAAATGCCTATCAATGAACCAGCAACAGGGATCAGAAAATCACAAATCGAAGAATATGTCGATTTCTACAACGGTGCTGGAGTTCAACACATAGCCCTCCGGACAGACGACATAATAGCAGCGGTCACTAACTTGAAGGAACGAGGAGTTGATTTTATCTCTGTGCCAGATACCTACTATGAGTCGATGGCCAAAAGATTGCAAAGTGCAGGTATGAAACTAGACGAAGATTTCGCCGCCTTGCAGAAACTGGGCATTCTCATCGACTTCGACGAAGGGGGCTACCTTTTACAACTATTCACAAAACATCTTATGGATAGGCCGACAGTCTTCATTGAGATCATCCAAAGGAACAACTTCTCAGGCTTCGGAGCGGGCAACTTCAAATCGTTGTTTGAAGCAATTGAACGGGAGCAGATGGCCAGGGGGAACCTATGAAGAGCGTCTTGAATATATCCTTAGATTCCAAGTAGACCAAGTCAGCCAAAAGGACGACCTGAGTGAGGGTCGAGGGGCACCGGGGAGGAAATTCGTTTCGTCCTAGAAGCATTTCCTGCAAAGGCTCCAGATGTTTGAAACTCGCCATAGCCAACCACCTCGGTCGGTGCTGCAGTCATGTGTAACCTCATGTCCTCCAAGTCGTAGTCATATACTGCGTTGGTTATAGTGGGTCCTTCGTACCATACCGGGCCAGTCGATTGACTAGTTCCCTAAGATCGATACTGAGTTAGGCACCTTGGGCAAGATACCTAAGTACTGATACTGTGCAGCCCGAAGGGTCAGTGAGAGCCTTAACTACAAACTAGTTAAAATCAGCATCCGCCAAGCTTTAAATCTTCCCAGAGCTCCCCCGCAATCACCTCTAAAAGCTATTCGGGATGCCGCCACTGTTAAGTTAGTTATCTCGCTTCTACGTAACACCACCTGGTCAGATCGGTGCCGACTCCACGGCACTATAAATGAAGGGTTGGGTTACAGGAATCGATATGGAAAAAGACTACCGTTGATTTGACACACATTTGGAGTCAACATGAGTGATTCTGCAAGCTCGCTTGGTCGAGCGCGGCAGGCATGCGATCCTTGCAGGTACTAGCTTGTGCCCACTGGTGCCAAAAATTTTGTTGATGCCAACAAAGGATAGGAAGAAGAAGACAAAGTGCCCCGGCGAAAAGCCCGCGTGCTCATTCTGTACCAGACTGAATCAAAGATGCTCTTATGGAAGAACCGAGGAAGTGCACAGAGTTGAAAAAGATGCTCGCCATGGCAGGCGAAATGTGAGTCTAAACGGCTTATTCCAGGCGCCGATATAATCTCCACTTCACAATTACTCCACGACGACTCATACAGTCAATCTAGGGACGGAGTGATTCGAAAGATCGTGTTCAGAGACTCGAAGCACGGGTAGAAGAAATCGTTGGCGCTGTCAAGTACGTCAACGCTTGAGCGATTGTTGTATCGGAAATGACTGATGTACCTCATTTGCCAGTCTCCTAGTCGCAAGGCAGTCCGAACAGCTTCCTGGTAGCAGAGCACACCAGTTCTCTACTTCAAGCACCGACAACCCTGGAGATAAGCTGACACCACAGCCAATTGAAGTCCTAGATATGTCAGCTCTCACGTCGAAATTCGACTCCATACACAGGTTATGTTGCACAAAAAGCTTGAGAAGGCATACTAACTCCTGTGCCAGACCTGATCCGCCCAATAATGTGTTACGCCAATTAGTGAACATCTACAAAGAAAGGCTTCATTGTCAACCTCTCCCGCTGTTTGATATCGACAATCTTCCAACACAAATATGTAACTTTTCGACCATGCTTTTGAGAAGCTTTCTGGCATTGACGGTGAAATATTCTGATGATGACTTCTTCAAAGATTCCAAGAATGCAGCGGTTGAGTTTTACATCCGTTCGTCCCGGGAGCTGATTTTCAGTCAAATGGGGGATTCGAACGCGGCGGTGAATGTACTTACGGCTTGCTGTCTTCTGAGCCTCCACGATATTGCGGGTAAGTTGGGCACGAACAAAAACGATGACGAGTACTAAGTGAAGCAGACAGCAATAAGGTTAGAGCCTGGATGACGACTGGAATTGCTGTACGTCTAGCGATAAGCACTAGCATCTTGACGAGTGGCCCAGGTCGAAGTATATTAAAGAAGCCAGATGCGCTGCAACGATGTTGTTGGAGCTTGTTTATCCTGGACAAGATCTACAACAGTAGTTTCCAGACTCTCCCTGCTATCCCCGAAGAGGCAGTGATGCCCGACAAGCCAGTCTCACCTCCCACACCACACACTGCATCAGATGAAGGCCTTGAATACCAACGAATGCTCCACAATACTGGACAGGTCGATGAAGGTGTCACTTCTTATTTCATGCAGCTTCTGTCGGCGTGGGGTAGCCTTATGGTGTATCTGAAGAACATCAGGCAAGGACAGCTCGAAGATGCCTGGTCTCCGAACTCTGCCTATCAGCAAATCAAATCGCTGGTATTTCGATTTGAAACTGTTCTACCTGAAGTCCATCGCTTCCGCAACACCAAGTTCCATGAGAGGAACGAATCCGAAAGATCCACAGCCCGGAACTATTGGGCCGCCTGGATATCGATGCAAATGGTGTACCACGTAATTCAATGTATCTTACACCATCCTTTCCTGCATCTCGCCGAGATCCATCGGAAACAAAGGCTGCGATCGCCCTCATTCCTACAGCATGCGACAGACCAGGCTATCTTGCACTCAGCATGGGTAATCCGGATTCTTGATCTATGTATGGACCACAACTTTGCCGTGTATGATCCTTTCGTGGGGCACCTTGCTGCAATGACTGCGACAGTGCTATTCTTTCTACGATTCTCGAGAGATGGGACCCTAGCTACCAAAGCAGCCAAGGACTTCGAAGTCTGCCAACGCTTCGTAGACAGGATGGCGGACGAAAATCCACATCTTCAACATACAGTAAGGATCAAACTCATTGCGCCCAAGCGTGTAGTCGCTAATTACTGTTAGAAATCCAAGCTCACAAGATTAGCACAATCCACGACTCAAGAGATCCAGCCGCCAAAAGTTGAAACTTCTCTGCTATGGGATCTCCTAGACTATGCAGCATCATCAAACCCGTCGGAAAGTACTGGCTCCTCGTCCGCCGTGGAATTAAATGTCAACACTCAATTTCTCTCATCTCCACAAGCAAATACACCACGACCTAACGAAGTATTTCCTTCACAAGACCAGGCAGGAATGGAGGTCTCGATGACAGACTTTCAAGTTTGGGACGATGCATCCCTTACATTCGACATGGTTGATTTCTCAACACTGCCTGACGTCACCGCGTTGAACATGCCCATTTCCTGGAGTAACGGACATCTGTGAGAGGTACCTAGAGGCAACGGATGCCTGGGACCGAATGCTTGACAGAATTGTCGCCGATCATCAATGATCGCTTTGGTAGCGTCTCATTTCCGTTATCGAGGATGACGCCACCCAGGTCTTTCGACTATATCTTCCCAACCGACAAACACCGAAGCATACTCTTCGCAGTCAACCAGACGGTATTTGAGAACGTGAGAAAGTCCGAAGTTGAAAACAGAGTATCCGCGAATCCAAACGGCAGCATTGGGGGAATCCAGCCTTGGGCGAGCTCGAGCGCCCAACAGCCCTCGTGCATCTTATACTGCTTGATATCGCCACGTCTAAGATGATGCATCGTCCCCTTGGGGTACTTCTCCCCGACCAGCGAGTTGGCCGTGTACGCCCACTCCTCGCCTTCGAGGATGTAAAAGAAGTCGTCGGCCGTGTGCCGCCCGCTGTGGCCTTCGGTCCCCAACGGCGTGCCAAACACGATCAGGTATTCGGTAATACTGGCGTGAATGATGTACATGCTTCCCATCGCACCGCCGGCATTGTTGAACACCCACTTGGACGAATATGGTGAAATTGGCGAGATGGCGTCTCCGTCCGCACTGATTGCTGGAAACGGGCTCTCAGCGATCATGTCTGGGCCATATTGCTCGCGAAGGGTGCTGACGATGTGGTTCACCACTCCTGCTGTGGAATTTGGGTGGAGGCTCAGGCTCTCATCGACCAGATGCTGCAATTTGACGGTGTCGAATATGTACCATCTCGCCTTGCGAATGCGGATGTGAGTCTTGAGCCCGATGACAATCATTTGGGAGCAAATACCTTGACCGAGTCGGCCCAGCTGTACAGGCTGCTTAACAGCCCCAGAACAAGCAGGCCGTAAATCAACCTCCGGGTAGTGGAGGCTCCCGAAGGCCTCTGATTGATGTGGCTTGATGGATGCATGCTTGCACAACCACTTGGGCTTTACTATATTAGGTGGGTGGGATAAATATCGCCCGTATATCCAAGCAGGGGTGACGAGACAAGAGATAATTATAAAACGAGCCCAAATTGAAGGAAAGTGGACAGAAAAGTATAAACTGAACTTGTCAGATGGAATGGAATACCTATTTGACCGTAAATATTAATGCAAACTCCGGAGCCTTGTCAGGGGGAAAGCAGGTGATTCGGGATCTGTGATCCCGGGATCCAGAAGCGAGCCCTCCACACGTATTTCTTTGCAATTTCTCGTTCTTCGGAGTCCACGGAGCGCGAGAACGAATGCGAACGGATAGTCTACAAGTACGTACGATTACACCAATAATGTTGAAGGCGGAAACATTGTTTAAGGTCTTACTGCTTCGTCTAGGCTGTTGGGTGGGTAAGATGGAAAAGGACGCTGGGCCAGAAGAAAAGAAATTCGACCCAATTTGAATATCATTGAAATCATTTCATTCTTGAGTATCAGACCCTGTAAACGAAACGCCACAAGAAAATGTCGCATTACCCTCGTCGCTTCTGTGTCAAACCGTAGAATAGTGCGCCACGGCGCTCAGGTACCTAAGAGTATAAAAATGATCATACGTGGGCACAGGTCAATTTCTCAAGGCCCTCAGCCGATCGCCCAGTCCTTCTTCGAGTTTCGCTCTTTCGGCCGACTCTGCCTGTGGCAACTCGTTCTCTGGGACCTGCTGCTGCATTTCCTGCGAGAGTTCGACACCGGCCTCGTCGGCAACGCGGTTCATCAAGGCATCTACCTCGCCTTGTCCCTCAACGCCAATTTGCTGGCTCTCGACACCGCCAGCCACGCCTTCATAGTAGCCGGTGACCACATCGAGATCTTCGAACTGCGACTCAAATTTCTCCATGACTGCGCCTATCTTTTCCAGGTCCATGTTCTTCAATGCTGCATCCATTCCTCTGACGGTTTGGGCCATCGATTGTGTCACGGTCCGCATGGTGATGGCGGTTTGTACACGAGCGGCCACAGCATCGATACGTGCAGCTAATGTTAGAAGTTGGATTCGTTGCTGGGAGTTTCGGATCGAGTTGCTTGCATATAGGCGGGCTATTTGCGGCTGGGGTGGTGTCTGGGTCAGGGCCTTTTTGAGCTTCGCTTGTTCAGTGCGTGAATCTTTGTCGGCTTTGGCAGCCTGCCTATTCAATTGTTTGGAAGTGAACTGCAAAATAGTTAGCAGGCTGCAATTAGCTTTGAAGCCATATCTGGGGGACGGTATCGGCAGGTGGGGAAACCTTGGTGAAAGCTGACCTTGAGATTAAATAGTGCTTTGTCAAGGCCGGACATGCTGGGCTTTGACTCCGTAGCACTTTAGGACCTTGTAGGCTTATTCTTGAATAGTCACGACTTTTCAATCCTAGGTAGGTGGTGGTAGTTGGGCAACTCTGTAAGACACTGAATTGAGGGATTCTGGGTCTCTTGTGTCAAACGACCGTGCTATTTTAAGCGTGCGACTTTTAGGTCAGCGCAAGTTGAGAGAATAAAAGAAAAATTTGAGGTATAGGCAATGACTATCAGTTTCAATGAGGTTCAAGCAGATTCTTATGCTGTGATGAGTTCGGCGGCCTGCGGTCGACCAACATTGCTTTAGCCGAAGGATGACGAAGGCGCAGCGTTTGGCGGGGTGTATGATGCCAAGTGACTCTTCCAGAAGCATAGTGCTGCTGCTTTATTTTGTCCTGGACGGAGCCCCTAAAGCAGCAAGATATATTGCTGTCGGCTAACCTACCTAGGTACCATTTGCTTAAACTAAGCTATACTACTGGCTATGCTAAATAGTCACCAAGTTTTCTCTCAGAGACGTTTGAACCCTCTTTTTGTCCAAGGTTCAATGAACGAACGTACCTCGTCCAGCTGGATAACATCCATTACCACAATCTTTGCCAGTAATGTTTCTGCCATGAGTCTGCCCCAGCACCTCTGAGGTTTGAAGTCTGGATGAATAAACAGAAATCCACTCCGTGTAGAACTTGACCTACGTAAGTTGACAATATGTTCAATTCTATCATCACCCAGAGTTGCATTTACTAGTTGCAGCTGAAAAGACATATACCATATTCGGTGATGTGAAACTGGATTCATTCGAGGAAGAATCAACTCAGAATCCTTCATCACTCCAAGACAGCGGTGTGGGTATGTTACACCTTGCAGCCTTCTCGGCGTTCACATTATTGGCCACTATTCAGTATCTACTCCATATGATGGCGTCGATAATACTAGTATGATCATTGATCAATACTTGGTCCAGTTCGGAATTACCTGACAAGCCGCACGGAAACAGAGCGCCAAGAAGTTCTGCTTCTGTCGACCGAATTGCGAGACAATGGCTCGGCTTGGTATACCAAAGTCCCAAGTTTGAGGTGTCCGAGAATCATCCCCTGAAACAGACCCAGTCCGAAATCCAGCCCGCACAGAAGCACGATCGACCGCCTGTTCAGCCTGCTGCTCTAAGCCACTTGGACTATTAGTCCTAATGGATTGAATACAATGTTGCACCTAATTTGGGAACTAGGTATGCCATGCATAGTCACGTGGGCTTTAGCGAGCTAGAGGATCTACCTACATAGGTAGGCAGTGGAGTTTCATCACGCAACGTACTATCGTATGGAACAGTCCAGGACCAGGAGGTCTACCTGTTCAATAATAACACGGGACGTTCAAAACACTTTTCGTCTATCAAGACGAGACTGGTTGATTTAACAGAACCCCATCTCTCCTGGGCACATACATTCCACGACATTAGAGGATAGCTCGATGGATCATTTACAAACCCAAAGGATTTGTGCCTACCACTGCTAGCTGCAGTAGCTTTCCAGGAGATCATATGGTTTCGACTATCCTATCGTTATTGGCTTTGCTTTGAAGAAGTGTTTAGATACTTATATCATGGCTCTCACTCTTCACTACTCTCCTATTTTTATTCACAGCCAACTCTCTTTCTTTTCTTCAAGCGGGACTTGATAGCCATTCTTTACATCGTCACCAGGTCGTGACAGACACTCATTTTTACACTACAGCATCAGAGTTCACCTACTTAGTCCTTCGTTAACAGACCTTACCATAATGGTTCGCGTGTCGACTCTGATGGGCGGCCTTGTGCTGGCCATGACCACCTATGGCAGTCCGCTGCCTCAAAGCGAAGATCTTGCACCAGCACCAGCAGAATCTTCTGCCATTGAATCATTTACGCTCACAGATTTCCCAACACCACCTGAAGAGACTGCTACCGATGTGTCCACCACACAGACAGACTCCGCAATCCTGCCTGAAGAGACTGCCGATGTGTCAATCACACTAACAGGACCACCCGCTGCAGAGACTTCTGTTGATGCCCTTACACTTGCAGACTCCCTGCAGGAGACAAGCACTCAACCTGATACTCCTGAGGTACAGGAGGGTATTCCGTCGGACCTACCCTTCGACCTCGCGATGGCAAATTCCGAGGCAGCTGCAATGGAAGCTGCTTGCGATCTCGATCCTCGAGAACCCAAGACATGGGCCGATAGCGGTGCAGAGCTGCGACTCCTCGATTATTTCCAGGCTAACGGCTCTGGTTGGTATAACTCATCCTTTCTGAAACAAGACTCTAACGATGTTCAGACACATGGGTCAATGGTCTCACCAGATCGGTCACTAATCGCAACGAAGGCCTCGCTTGTGGCCAAAGGAACTCGGCTTTATGCCCCCTCGCACCGGTACCAGAGGACTGTGACAGACAAAGTTTCTATATCGCACGCTTTCTAGCCGCGAGTGTCAAGTCAACTTTCGATGTGGTCGGCGAGACTCTTCAGGATCTTGGCATCACTGGCGCTCTTAATATGAAGCAAATCGTCCAGGATTTCAAACTCCCTGACATCCCGGAAGGACAAGATCTTGGAAAGACTCTTAACAATGTGGCTTTCGGTAAGAGAGCCTGATTTCTTGTGGCTTGCTCAGGAGCGTGCTAATTGATGGACTTCAGGTGTTGGTGTCGCTGAGCAGGCAGTTGGGTTGATTCCAGGAGGTGAAGTTGTGTCCAGCTTCCTGGCCTTGGTGGGCATCGGCCTCAATGCTGCTTCGGAGAATATGGAAGATGAGGAACCCATAGTTCCCGACTACGATGAGATCGAAGCGGGAATGAACAAATATTTGGCCACATTCTTCACCAAGACAAGGGACGAGTTGGACCGAATGTTGGAGGCACTATTTGGCGAAGTCAACGGCAAAGGAAGTGACGATGCATTACTGCGCCAAATGATCGAACGCATGGGCAGGTTGGGTGTTCGCGAGCTTAACAAGGACGCCGAATTCCCCATTGCTGAGATTTTCAAGGGTGGTGAGTTTCTGGTCCCCATCCAGAAGAGTGGCTTCAAACAGGCTTTCGACAAGGGTTTCAAGGGAATGGTACGTGCACGAACAACCCAATATGAGTACACAAGCTGACCATCGCAAACAGCAAGGAGCTCTCATCGGCAACCTTCTCACAGGACTGCAGGTCTACGTCGAGCGTGCCGAAAATGCACCAGAGTCTGGGCCCGGAGAGTGCACAGCGCTCGGTGAATTGCTGATCGACAACGAATGCTACTCGATCAAGCGAAAGCCCTTCGATGGTGGAGCGGCCTTCCGCTTAGAGAACGAGTACCTGGAGAAACTCGGTAACTACGGTGTCGACATCCACACTCTCATCCGAAGCGCTAAAGACTGCGACAATGGCGAAGCCAACAACGACTTCACCGGCACCGGCGAGTACGGCAGGTGCTGGTTCGGGCTCAACATCGCGAAGCGTGTCAGCGACACGCTTGTCGACCGATATAAACCCGGCAGAGCCAATGGTTTCCTATGCCCGGCCAAGTTCCGAGGGCTCGACAAGATTCCCTCCTACATCATTGACGAAAACGGCAACAGCTGCAACGGTAAATGGAGGGAGGTGCCGAATTACCAGCGCTGCGAGCTCAAGATGTTCAACGACGGCAGCTTCAACCACTTCGGCCTCGCCCGCTACAGGATGCGCATCGAGGGCACCGGCATCGACGTCGGTCAGATTTGCCCGTATCTCCATGACGGCAGACGCTGCACTTTCGGCTCTGACCGGAGGTGCGTGCAGGAAGGCAATGGCTATCTCATGGAAATCAGCTTCGCACACGGCAGTGTAGGCAATGACCATTTCAACGACTGCCACAATGATCTCATCAAGAAGTTCAAAGAGGATAACTTCTGCTTCGACCTGAAATGAGCTGCGTGCTCGCTAGCTTTTGAGAGTGGTTTGTTTGAATACTTTTGGAGACAGGTGGAGACCATGGCCTGGGGCATATTCTGGGTGATATGGCTCGTGTAGGGGCTGGGTACATTGGAGAAGATGGTGGCAAGAAAAGGTCATGACACGAAACGCACGAGCTTAATGTTCAGACGACCATGTACAGTTTTACACTCGGAAATCTCTAGAGATCATAGACTACAATGAGACATCGCTCCAGCGACTCTCTTGTCACCTCCACTTCCACTCCGACTAGGTCAGGATCCTCCCTCATTAATGGCCGTGAACTAACCATGGTACATGCTTGGCGGGTTTGTGGGCTCGAGATACATTGATTGGTGTTCTTATTGTATTGTCTCACGCGATAACGTCGTCAAATGCGGTTGAGGAAGTCACAGATGACCTTCAGGCGTCGATGGTATTTGAAGACCTAGACGACAAACTTTTTACCAAAGACTGAGGAATCGTTCATTTCTCATGGCAATGGTTCTTAAGTTGTCTGCTTAAGGCTCCACCACAAGGTCACTTCCTGTGATTTGCAAAGTACAGAAAGGAAGAACGAAAAGTGTATACAGCACGAAGCTTGTAGTGTATTTGATTTTCATTTTCATTGATCACACTCATCGGCTCAGTCGGGCTACCCTGGTACGTGATAGCTATCTGAACCATTCATCATTTGACTCCGAGGAAAGCAAGCGAGCTTTTTTAATTGACCACAACCTGGCGATATGGAATTCCACCACCACGTTGAGCATACACAGAAAATCACGCCAACACATAGAACCCTTCTAGTTCATCTGCTTGATGAGAGCGTTGATGTTCTCCTCGCGGTTACCAAGATCACCACCTTCGATGTAATGCTTGAACTTGCGAGCGCGGAAGCCGCCGTTGGGGTTGGACAGCTTGAAGGGCCACAGGAAGTTGGCTGCTTGCTTGAAGTTGGGTCCGACGGTGAAGATCTCGTGAATCAAATCCTCCACGCAGACAAGGCCGTACTTGCCGAGAGAGTCTTCGATCAGTTGGTTGTCGGTCAGAGGGATGCGTTGTTTGTCGATCTTGCCATATCCACGTTTGTAGATGAGCTCACGGACAGACTTCAGGTTGGGGTAGCCATAGGCGATGTATGGGTTGACAATGGTCAGCATCTCTTGGGTGGCCTTGGTCAACTTGATGAAGACACCATTGTTGATTTGGAGGAGACGGAGGAGTTGGAGGATCTTGCGAGGCTTGGGAGCAATCTTGTTGATACTATTTCCAATCAGTACACGTCTGCATGCGTTGACTCAAACCAAAATCAGAACTCACCCCTTGATTCTGATGACGAAAACAAGCTTGGGTTGCTCATCAACGAAGAAGCTGCCTTGCTGCTTGCTCACACGGGCAAGTCGGATCTTCTCCCGCTCAGCATCACGGTACTCCTTGACATAGGTCTCGGCGCGCTTGAAGATGACACCACGCTTCTCCTTGTTGGACTGCATTCCAAAAGTCAGCTTTTAATTCCGACGATTGATAGTCTGAAAACTGGGAAGTTTTCCAAAAACATGCTCAGCCCCGAAAGATGGTTAACAAAAGCGACAACATCGACCATAGGCCTAGTCGGCGATAATGGTATTTATCATCATCGAAAAAAAAGTGTGAGAATCTGGTGGGTGACTGACCTTCTTTCTCTTTTCGATGGTGGCATTTCGCTCGGCTCTGGCCTTCTCCTGGCTCTTTCTCTTCTTCAACAAGGTCTCAGGGACGAGGATCTGGTCGTGCGTGGGCACAGATCTGTGATGGGGAATGCGATCAGTATGGTCCGTAGGAAGGGTGAATCGCCGAGTTGGAACTGCAGCTGTGGTGCGGCATTCTCAAACTGGTGACTGGCGTAACTCGACGAAATGGATTTGATCAGTGAGATATTGAGGACTCATGAGCAGTAGCTCGCAAGAGTTCCGTCAATGTAGTCTCATCCGACAACGCCTCGACAGAAGTCGAGATAATCTTCACTCTGTGAAACCAACCCTCAGTCAATGGACTGGAGGAGAAATCCACACGAGCTCAATGGTTTAAAAGGGAGAGATTGTTATTCTCTTTCCTCAACGCCCCAGCTCCGTTCACCCAAGTATGATTTCTCAAATTCGAGGTTGCAGGCCATTGGGATGATCGAGCTGGCGCACGGAAGGCGAACCAGCGATAAAGCGGACCATATCTGTAGATTCCAAGTATCAGCGGCCGAGGAGGTATGTACTTACGACTTAACGACGGGTTTTGTCATCTTGAATGATCTGGTATGTCTGGAGAACGAGCGGATGGACAAATTAAGGTGCAGATGAAGTCGAACAAATTCCCTCCGAGGGTCGAAAATTGGAAAACTGCGTTGTGCTTTGGGCCAGTGTGGGAGGCAGGAACGCCTAGGCTCAAAATAGTAAAGTGAGATCAAGATGCCTGTCACGTGTGTCTTGGCATTCCATGAGTCACTTAGTCAGCAGGGACCTCCAGTTGACTTCGGCGACAGCGCCCTACCATTGCAAAACACATCATCCTTGATTGAGATTGCCCTGGTCATCGCACATAATGTCAACTCGCCGGGGTGTCGGCTTAGGAGCTTTCACACAGCGAAATGCCACCGCTCAATCATACGCAGCACATGGCTCGAGCCTCAAGTCCGCCAACTCAGCATCACTCCAGGCACAGCTAGAGGTCTTTCAGTCTTTGCTTCACAACTTTGCCCTCGAGCATGCCACAACAATCAAATCCAACCCAACTTTCCGCGCCGAGTTTGCACGCATGTGCAATGCCATCGGCGTCGATCCGCTCGCCGGAAGCAATATCAAGGGTAAGAAAACGGATTCTCTCTGGGCCAAAGTTCTGGGTCACGACGTCAACGATTTCTACTTCTCGGTTGCTGTTCGCGTCGTCGAGTTGTGTCAATCAACTCGTGCCGTGAACGGCGGATTACTGGGATTGCAGGAATGCTGTGAGAGCGTCAGTAAAGGGAAAGCCATCGGTGGTGGGTTACAAGTCTCGGAAGATGACATAGAGCAGGCTGTTAAATCTCTAGAACCTCTTGGATCTGGGTTCGTGATTATATCTATCGCTAGCAAAAGGTTCATTCGATCGGTGCCAAAGGAACTCAGCACGGATCAATCGACCGTTCTCGAAGTTCTACAGCTATTGGGCAGTGTTACTGCCTCATTACTACACTTAAATCTGAATTGGGAAACAGTGAGAGCAGAGACCATTTTGCAGGACTTGCTCGCTGACTCTCTTGTATGGGTTGACTATCAGTGTCGAGAGCCAGAGTATTGGTCGCCACAAGGGTTAATCGACGGCAGTGACTAGGGGCAGCTTTGGTCTTTGTGATGCGATCAGAAGAACTGCACAGTTCTGGAGTCCACATTTGCTGGCTTGCCACACCGTATCTATCGCTTGTATTCGTCCTTCAGCACCCATCGACCTCGACCTCGACTGCCTTTGTCCAACTTGGCAAGAAGCTTCAGAGTTTCTTTGAATTCCATCGTGGCTTGTGGTGTTGTACAGAAACGATTGAAATGGTCAATCAACATCTGTGTGTGCACAGCACCTCCATGGGCCACCAGATAATCTCTGATGAGCTTGCCAAAGTCCTTTCCTTGCGGCAAGCTTGGAGTTCCTGACCTAGACGCCGATGCTGACCCGGAAGAGCGTGCAGGGCTCGAATTTCTGGGCGTCGTATCACGGCTGAGTGAACCATTTGCCTGGCGTTGCTGCAAGTTTGCCAACAGACTCGATGATTGAAGGCCACCACCTCGATTTCGAGAGTTCGAGCTAAAAGCGCGTTGGGCAGTGGTCTCTTGCGGTCGCCCTGACACTCCAACTTGTCCTGTCCAGGTTGGTGTTCCTATAGGAACAGTTCGAGCGACCTCTCCTGCTCGCCTCAGCTCCTTAGCGGCCTCTGCTGCTACTCTCTTTGCTTCTCTTTCAATCAACACCGGATCTGCTGCTACTTTTTTGGCACTCTTCCCCTCAATAATGGCATCGTGCTCAACGGCAGAATGGATTCCTGAACGAGCAAATATACCCTCCATCATTCTTGTTTCGGAGTTTGTCGCGCCATCTTCATTTGCGCGTTTCTCCTCTTCAGCCTCACCAGCATACTGCTCCATCGCTGAGATCCCAGGCAACGCCTTGATGTCCACGTCATTTTGGGGTGCTGCTGTAGAGCCCGTCTCAGGGCCGACTTTAGCGGAATGAGTACTGTCGTTGGGTCCTGCCGCAGGATAGCTCACCTGGGCATCTTTGAAAAGAGTGCTTGTCTCTGTCGGGTCACCCTCATTGGTAAGACTGAAAAGGTCATGGAGATCATTCAGATGAAATGTCTGGCGTTGTTTGGGATCCTTGAGGATTTTGTTCGTCAAGAATTGCTTGAAGATTTGGCGATGATAAATCTTCTCCTCGATCGTACCAGCAGTCATGAGGCGATAAATTGTAACCTCTCGCTTTTGGCCAAGACGCCATGCTCTTTCACGAGCCTGCAGATCGGTGGATGGATTCCAATCGGGGTCATAGATGATGACCCTGTCGGCACCTGTCAGGTTTATTCCCAGACCACCAACCTTCGTGGTCAGAAGGAAGACGTGTAGGTCTGGGTTGGTGTTGAATTCGTCCACCATAGTCTGCCTAGCTTGAATCGGAGTGTTTCCGTCCATTCTCCGGTATTTGAATCCAGAGAGGGATTTGACATACTTCTCCAATATATCAAGCATGATCCGGTGCTGGGCAAATAGAAGTGTTTTATGTCCTGTATCCTTCCACAGTTCCAACAAAGATCCCACAACTTGCATCTTCCCAGACTTGGCAGGATCGCCATAGTTATAGCCTGGCTTGATAGACAGACGCTTATGTTGCGTGAGATCTGGGTGGTTACAGATCTTGCGAAGGATATCAACTCCATAAAGAACTTGGCGTTTACCATTCATTATAGCATCCAATTCACCAGAGGAGATGAAGTGATTATACTCGGCGCGCTGCAATTTGGACAATTTACAGAACAGCACTTGCTCGCTCTTTTTGGGAAGGTCTGACGCGACATCCACTTTGAATCGCTGTAAGAGGTATGGGCTGATGGCATCTTTGAGAGTTTCAGCACATTTGAACGCCGTCTGCACCTGCAAATTCGAGGCATTTGCATAGCCACCTTGGCGAATTGGTATCTCAAATTGATTTCTGAAATTGACCAGTGTGCCGAGACGCATGGGAAAGACGAAGTCAAACAGTGACCAGAGCTCAACGAGATTGTTTTGCATTGGCGTCCCAGACAGAATAATTCGATTTGGCGTTCGCAACTCTTTGCAGTAAATAGTGATTGCTGTGTTTGGATTTCGAATTTTATGCCCCTCGTCTAAGATCGCATATTGCCAGTCGACAGGAATGAGCAACGGAGCATAAGTTTGGAGCCCCGTGTAGGTTGTCACAAGCACTCCTCCATGCTCCAGTATCGGGCTTAGCACTTTTCTGGCAGCCTTCTGGGAGGGTGTGAGTGGTTGATTTCTATGATTTGGATCCCACATGGTATCAAGAAGTTGGTCTTCTTTGGTGCTTTCACTCCGCAGGTTGATCATGCCGCTTCCTGATGAGTGCAGTATGGTGACTCGAAAAGGAGGCCACCAGCGGTGGAATTCGTTGACCCACTGCTTCATCACGGTTGCAGGACAAACCACAATGATAGGCTTATCGAGTTTCTGGCTATATTGCAATCCCGCAAGGAATGCAATGATCTGAATCGTCTTTCCAAGACCCATCTCGTCACCTACAATACCACCAACTTGTTGAGTGTAGAGCTCGTGCAACCATTGGACTCCGGTCTTTTGGTAGTCAAACAGACTGGGAAAGATATCGCCCGGAAGCTTGTAGCCATTGTCGAATACCGTATCGGCGACCTCAGGATGGGGAAGATGTGACTCGTCCTGCCAGGAGACATTTATATCTTCTTCGGATTCCTGTCCCTCATCTTGCGTTCCAAGCGATTTACCGCGCATGGACCTTCTCGCGCGAGATCTCCGCTCCGCCCATCGTTGAACTCTTGCCTGATACACTGATTCATTGCCATCGTCCACGCCACGGAGGTCTTCAAGGTCATCGTCGTTTTCCGCGGTAGTCTTTCGGCCAGACCTCTTTTGTTTTCCCGTGGTAGTAGGCAAGTCGTCGTCCTCTTCAATTTCATCATCATCGTCGAGGTCTGACGCAATCTCGTCTGTTACGGCGCCCTCATCGTACGACGAGTCATCACCTTTGTTGACAGTCTTTGTCTTTTTCACCGTAACGCGACGCCTCTTGGCCGGTCTATCGGAATCAAAGTCTTCGTCAGGACTGGATTCAGCGAAACCAGAAGCAAAGCCTGGTTGCCTCAGATTTCGATGCGACATTGCTTGGTCATGCTTGACGCCGGCAGCACTTTCGCTCAAATCAGGCTCTTCTTCGGCGTCCAATAAGGCCCCTTGCAAAGTTGCAGAGGACTCTCCGTGAGTAGAGAGACCAAATTTGGAGAATGGTGTGATCTTTCCTGTTCTTATCAAGAAATCTCGTTGAGTCTCATTTGGGAGCCTGCCAGATGAGGAAGCGTTGTTGGCATCTCTTGCAGCAGCATTGGTATCTCTATCGACCATGCGCTGCTCGATCTCGGAAATGTCGTTATCAAGGTCTTGTATCTGGCCTTGCATGCGGTCAATGTCAAGACGCAATTTTGATCTTTGAGTCGTGCCAATCGGGCGAGATATCTCTTCTTGAGTTTTACGGACTTGGCCCTGTAGCTTTTCTCTCTGATCCCGAGCTTTGTCCAATCTTTGCTGATCTCGCTGAGTGGCCTGCTGCAACAACATCTTGTCGGCCTCCCGACCAATATCTCGCTCAAGATCATCTTGGTCTCGGACTAAAGCGTCAAGATTGCGAAGCCTTGATGTTTCGGCGGACTCCTCGTGGGAAAGACTTGGTCTCATCTCGACTTGGGGCATCTCGACACCCAGCTCTGGGCCGGAAGAGGCCTGTCCGTCACCTTCAGACATGTTGTCCTCACGACGTGAAGATTGTACAACGGTAATGTTTTCTCCAGAATGTATGTCGTCATCGATGACATATATTGTCCCCGTCTAACATTTGTCTGTGAGTTTGGAAGTTAACAGAGCAATCTACCATGAAAAGTGCAAGGTGTGGTGATCCTTGAGAGAAAGGCGAAAGATGAAGTGGCATAGTAACTTACATGTCAAAAAGGTTAGAGGTGGCGAATGATTGGTGAAAGATAGATTGATATCTTGACGAGAGTAGTCTGATGTTCAAAATAAAAATATTGATCTCCAACCACACAACCGCTTCAAGGGCGCCACCACACTTTGCAGGTCGTTACAACAACGAACCCCCAAAGAGACCAGCTTGGGCCATGAGTGCAGAGAACGGGATATATATCTGTTCGGACTTGCTTGATAGACAAGAATCAAAAATTCGAGTGACGACTCTGAGGTCACGGGCACAAAAGTTTTGCAGATGAGTTCCTGCCACTGCAGCATTAGGCTCCAGCCGCCTTAGTGAGTCACTAAAATGCCTAGCGCGCTTATCTGGTTATTCACTCAGGCCCCTTCAGCCCTCAGGCTCACTCCCAGGCATGTTTAGGCTTTCGGCCCCTGGACGTAAATCACACGGAGACTCGGGAGTCTCCAGGGCTGTTTTGACACGTAACTGCTGGCACCACTCCCACCCAAATCCCAAGGCTCGAAGAGCTCGGGGAGTGCCAGGGTCGAAGAAATAGCCGCTGAAATCGCAGTGTTTGTCACGCCCCAACTCGCCCAGGCACGTTCAGTCTGCTTCTTTTAGCCGCCTCAGTGCTCGAATTTCTGCTGCCAAATTCTTACTAGCAGCATCTCTGACTGCCTAACCACTCAGGCTGTTCCTGAATCCTTGCTGGAGTCAGGGATTGAATTGGTAGTGAACAAGTCACCACTGGTAGTTGACTTATACTCTCCCACAACTTGATCTTGATCTTGGTCCAAATCAGTTCCCTTTCTTCACGATACCTTCCTTGCTTGACAGCAGTTCTTCCCATTTAATTCTGCTGGCATCCTCAATTTCGAGGCATCTCGGTTTCATTTTGAGATTATTTCCTCGCCCTTTATTCCACTGCCCCAAGGTCCACCACGAGACAACCTACTCCACTGCCAGGAACCTCTCCACCGTCTCAGACGCAAGCTCGTTGCGCCCAACCTCTACACTTTCTCTCTTCTCTTGATTGAATCACATCCCACTCGGCAGAACCATCGCGTTTGCACGTCATGGCTCAATGTTGAGCTTCTTGACTTCTTCTATCATGCCGACACCTTTACCCTCATACACTCAGTCTTTGTCGACTGCGCTTACGGAAGACTCATACCCACTCCTCCAACCCCTCTAAGGACAGCCAACTGCCACGCTACATCCCTCCATCTTTCGACTTTGGCAATTCACAATTGTCGGATTATAATCAACTCTGAACTCGGGTTGTGCGCCTCGAAACTTCATGGGAAATCCGTCCACGTAAACTAGAAGTCGTTCTAATTCCCTCTACTTCCCCTAACGCACCCAACAACGTTGGCCCACAAGGCATTCCTACTCTATTCCACCAGAAAGTCGTCAAACTACTTCACTAAAGACAGCTCTATCAATCATTTGGTCCCGAAATGTCTTCAAATCCAACTCCTGCAGGCCAGCCGCATGGCTACGATCACAACGGGGAAATGGATGTACCTATGGAGGATGCTGATCCTTACAACCGGACAAAATACCCTCCTCGCCCTGCCCATCAACACCGTCTTTCGACGCAGTATCTCCCTGAGGCTTCGTCGGCTGCACAGCGCTATTCTCCCATGAACGCTCAGCCCACCGGATCCTCCTATGCTTCGAGTCCTCAGACGCAGAATCCTGCCAGCTTCACCTACCTTAATCAACCGCAGTCTTCACGCCAGTCACCGACTCGGCAGAGCAGTTATCAAGCAGATCGCTATGGTGAACCCCCAACGCCCACAAGATATCCGTCGAATTATGGCGCAGGATTACAGAATGCCGAGTTGAGTCCCGAGTCTTACTATCCACCAAACACTGGAAATGGGCGACCAGCCCCAATGTCCCGACAACCTTCCCAGATGCAGGGACTGGGCCCGGTTCCTAGATTTAAAAAGGTCAAAACCATGCAAGAACTGAATCCAAGGGTGAACGCTCAACCTCTCCACCGGAGAGCGAATCCTGAAGGCGGTTTCATCAGCCCTTTACAATCATTGACTTCCTTTCTACCCGCTACATATAGGATTTGTAATCCCAACTTCAAGTACGAGTCATCCAGGAACCCCAGGCGGGTCCTCACCAAGCCCAGTAAAGGGACAAAGAATGATGGCTACGATAACGACGATAGCGACTATATCCTCTATGTCAACGATATTTTAGGAAGTGAAGAAGCTGGCCACAAGAACCGCTATCTCATCCTTGACGTCTTGGGCCAAGGCACTTTTGGTCAGGTTGTCAAGTGCCAAAATCTGCGCACCCAAGAAGTGGTGGCGGTCAAGGTGATCAAAAACAGAACTGCATACTTCAACCAAAGCATGATGGAAGTCTCCGTCCTGGATCTGTTGAACCAGAAACTTGACAAGAACGATGACCATCATCTTCTCAGGCTGAAGGACACCTTTATTCATCGTCAGCATCTTTGTCTCGTCTTCGAGCTTCTCAGCGTCAATCTGTACGAGCTGATCAAACAGAACCAATTCCGAGGTCTCAGTACTACTTTGGTTCGTGTTTTTGCTCAGCAATTGCTGAATGGCTTGACTTTATTGAACAAAGCACGACTGATCCATTGCGATCTCAAACCTGAAAACATTCTTCTTAAAAATCTGGAAAGCCCCATTATCAAGATCATTGATTTCGGATCTGCCTGCGATGAAAGGCAAACCGTGTACACCTACATTCAATCGCGCTTCTATCGGTCCCCAGAGGTTTTGTTGGGATTGCCTTATTCATCCGCAATCGACATGTGGTCGCTTGGTTGCATTGTCGTGGAACTCTTTCTGGGGCTGCCCCTCTTTCCAGGTTCTTCGGAGTACAATCAGGTTTCACGTATTGTTGAAATGCTAGGAATGCCACCGGTGTGGATGTTGGAAATGGGAAAGCAGTCTGGCGAGTTTTTCGAGAAAATCACTGATGAGTTTGGTCGACGAACGTATCGGCTGAAAAGCATGGAGCAATACGCACGTGAACATAATGTGAAGGAACAGCCTAGCAAAAAATACTTCCAAGCTACAACACTTCCAGAAATCATTCGCAGTTATTCTATGCCTCGAAAGAATATGAAACCAGCAGAAGTCGAGAGAGGTAAGCTGTCGTTCTGAGATAATGTAAACATGCTAACAATTCACAGAGATGAACAATCGGGTTGCTTTTATTGACTTCGTGCGCGGGCTGCTCATGATCAATCCCTTGGAACGATGGTCCCCTCAACAAGCGAAGCTGCATCCTTTCATTACGCAGCAAAAGTTCACGCAACCGTTCGTCCCACCAATGAATCTCAAGTCACCGTCGTCAAGCAAGACTCCTGCACCCGGCGTACAGCAGCAACAACAGGCAGAGGCTCTCAGCAAGCAGCGGGCTGCACAAGCCGCCCATGCACAAGCTCAGGCTGCTCAGGCTCAAGCCCAAGTCCAAGCTCAAAATGTTGCTGCTCAGAATGCTTATGCAATGCAAATGAGTCCATACCCGCAGGGGCAAGCCCCACCGATGTACAACACTATGTATCCCGCGCACCAGCAAGGAGCTCCTCCGCCATATCCGACCCACTCAAACAACTACGCGCCACCTATGGGCATGATGGGCCAACAAAACCCCCAGATCAATCCCACCCACTACACCCATCAGCAAAGTCTATATGCACAAGCAACTCAAAGAGCGGGCCGGCAACGTGCTTCCACGATGGATCAACAACAAGCCGGGATACCCGCTGCGATACAGCGTGTCGCGAGTCATCTTGACCCTAATGCCCCAATCAGGCTTCAACCCAGCCCTGCATATTATCCTCCACCTGCGGACGGGTATGTCGACTCCCCGTCCACGTCAAGGCGACGTGGTAGCCGCAACCAAAGGAATCGTGATTTCATTCGGACACTAGAGGATGGTGCTATGGGAGATTCGTTCATGACCAAAACACAGTGGCATTGAAAGGGTTTAGTTCACACAGACTTCATGGTTTGAAATTTCAATCTGAAGAGAGTGATGAGCTCCGCACATTTCGAGTCGCGTGAAATCGACCACGAATAAACTGTCGCTCTACATGGCATCTCGCTGGATAGGGCTTCTCATACTGATGAGACTTGGACACGGGGACATTCTCAGCAATACAAGTCCAAGAGCCGATTCGGCACTAGATGCATGGGACAATCCCAGGTATCTACGACTACACATCGGTCCCAGGGGGCTCATGAGCCTATTTCTGCAATCAACAATTTGAATGCTGAGCAAATTGAATATGGGAAGCGGCACCATGATTCGAAAGCCCGGTGTTGACAATGCTCGCACCATGGATGGAAACGAGGCATTCTGCTCGGCCAAAAGTGCGAAATTGTGATAAGCTGTCTCGATCTCGCAGCCAGTGGTATCAAGACAACAGCGAGAGGGACATCTAGCATGACTTGGGAAAGAACGTTGTTATCGTTAGTACCTGGGTCCCTGTATCGATTCATGGTGTCGACGTTCCTGTTTGCATTACCAGGAGAGTAGACGAAACGCTATTGTTTCGGAGTAGCAAGTCCCAAGCACAATGCATCTGTACTACTGCAGTCAATATGAGTAATGGCACTGCTGTGCAACAAGTGAATATGTCCTTTGGCTGTAACTAGCTGAGGATAGTAAATACGGATGATAAAGGCATCGAAAGATCATTATGCAAGTTGCACCCCGACTTCAAGTTTCTTGTGATATTGTCATCATGTGACTATGACTCCTGTAAGTCTTGGCAAACTAAGACGAGGACCCACCAAACTCTGGCCAGCGGCGAAACCGCACAGAATTTTGACGCCGCAGCCTTGAACTACACAACCACTTCCAATCGTGAACTGGCACCTGGCTTTCCCGTTTTCCTCACAGACTAGCCAGCCAACATGTCTTCTCGATTCTTTCACGGCGGAGACAGCGATAGCGAGTCCAGCTCATCCGACGAAGAAGAACTCTATGGTGAACGTGAAGAAGAGTCTGAAGAAGAATCGTCGGAAGAGGATGAAGAAGAGGAGGACTCCGACGAAGACTCCTCTGAAGATGGAGATCATGGTGTTGGCGCTAGTCGTTTCTTGAAGCCTTCGGGCGGAGGTGCCGATGACAGTGACGATAGCGATGACGAAGATCGAGAACGAGTGGTCAAGAGTGCAAAAGACAAACGCTTCGAGGAATTGGAAGGCACGGTCAAGTTGATTGAAAATGCCCAAAAGATTAACGACTGGGCTGTCATCTCCACAGGTTGGTGTTGACGAGATCGAGAGTTCGGAAGAATTGTCTAACCAGTCCACAGAATTCGACAAGATGAACCGTCAAGTCGTCAAGGTTCTTCAACAAGGCACAGCGCCCAAAGTCTACATCAAGATGATTGCCGACCTCGAAGACTTGATCAACGAAACCAGCGAGAAACAAAAGACCGGCGGCAAGAAGATGAACCCGATCAATGCCAAAGGCTTTAATGCTATGAAGCAGAAGATCCGGAAGAATAACAAGGACTATACCACCGAGGTCGACAAGTATCGAGAAAACAAAGATGACTACATGGAGTCAGATGAGGATGACGGGCCACAAGAAGTTGAACAGAAAGTGCGGAGAAGCAGAGTGCAGCGCCTTGATGATTTAGAGGCAGCGATTGACGAAGAAGGCTTTGCGACGGTAGGACGAGGCGGCAAAACACTCGTCTACACCCCTGAGAGTATCCTCAAGCATCTCCGATCGATCATTGAGTCCCGTGGCAAGAAGAACACCGATCGAACAGAACAAATTCGAATCATGGAGCGACTATTAGAAGTGGCCAATACTCCCTATCAACGGATCCGTGTCCTGTTGACCCTAATTTCCACCAGATTCGACGTCACGACCACATCTGTTCAGAACTACATGTCTCAGGAGTCATGGCGTGCTGCTGAGCGGGAGTTCGCATCCCTTCTGGAGACACTGGAGGAGGAGCCTACCTACATTGTCACAGAGGGCGCGGACGAATGGGAAGATGACGAGAAATCACCCACTCCTGGCCCCAATGAGACGTTTAAAATCCCTGGCAGTGTGGTCTCCCTCGCGGAACGTCTCGACGACGAATTGACACGCTCTCTTCAACAAACAGATCCCCACACCGCAGAATACATCGAAAGACTAGGAGATGAACAACTTCTGTACACCGACATAGTTAGGACACTCATCTACATTGAGAACATCAACAAGAAACTCGAGAAATCGGAAACTCGACAAGATAACATCAACCGAACGACGATCAGACGGCTGGAACATATCTACTTCAAGCCCACACAGGTCGTCAAAATCCTTGAAGAAAAGACCTGGACCGCTCTCCCATCCAACCTGAATTCCGAACTCACGCCTCGAGGTCAGTATCCGGAGGTTGCATCCCTTGTGCAAAAACTTTGCAATCACCTTTTCGAGCTTAGTGAAGGGATCATCAGAGCTCGTGCTATGCTTTGCCAGATCTACTTCCTCGCCCTTCAAGATGATTATTACAGGGCTCGAGACTTGGCACTGATGAGTCATTTGACTGAGAACATTTCCTCATTCGACGTCAGCACTCAAATCCTCTTCAATCGAACACTGGTTCAGATCGGCTTGTGCGCATTCAGAGCTGGTCTCTGCTATGAAGCTCAAGGTGTACTCCAAGAAATCTGTGGCTCGGGCCGCCAGAAGGAACTTCTCGCCCAAGGCGTGATCCTCCAAAGATACGCGACGGTGACTCCCGAACAAGAGCGACTCGAACGTCAACGACAACTACCTTTCCACATGCACATCAACCTCGAGCTCCTGGAATGCGTCTATCTCACCTGCAGCATGCTTCTGGAAATCCCATTACTGGCACAGACCGGCTCATCCCCGGACATCCGCAAGCGGGTCATCTCTAAGACCTTCCGCCGCATGCTTGAGTACACGGAGCGACAGGTCTTTCAAGGACCTCCAGAGAACACACGTGACCACGTCATGCAAGCAGCCAAAGCTCTCGCACAGGGCGACTGGAAGAAATGCCAGGATCTGATCAGCAAGATCGGCATCTGGGACCTCCTGGGCAACGACAAAGACAAAGTCAAGGAGATGCTCTCGGCACAAATCCAAGAAGAAGGCCTACGCACATACCTCTTCACATACGCGCCCTACTACGACACGCTCTCGGTGACGACGCTATCAGGCATGTTCGAGCTGGACGCCAAGAAAATCGCCGCCGTGGTCTCCAAGATGATCTCGCACGAAGAGCTCGCCGCGGCGCTCGACCAAGTCAACGACGCCATCGTGTTCCGCAAGGGCGTCGAGCTGTCGCGCCTGCAGAGCCAGGCCATCACCGTGTCCGAGAAGGCCATGGGCATCCTCGAGTCCAACGAGAAGGTCCTCGAGACCCGCACCGCCGGCATGGCCAACGCTTTCCAACGCGACCAGGGCAATCGGGGCGGTCGCGGTGGACGCGGTGGTCGTGGTGGCGGTGGCGCAGGCGGTCTCCCTCGCGGCGGTGGCGGCGGTGGACGCAGACCTGGGAATCAGCAGTTCAGTGGTGGTGCGCTCGGCAATGCCATCAAGGCTTGAGGTTCGTTCTTTCATCCGGTTTCAGGTTGGTTTTGTGGTGGCTCGCCTACTTCTTGAGCATGAGTTGAACGAGATGAGAATAAAATGAGATGAATGGCTCTTGACGATGCGATGCGAGGCGAGGCGAGGCGAGGCGACGCATGCAGGTCTGTCTGCATGACGTAGTCCATGACACCCCACATATCTACAATAGCATCGTGGACTTCATAGGTGCAATGCTTTAGACCTTGCTGATTGACCTTGCTAATTGATCATGCCTATTCAACCCTGTTGTTGTTGTGCTAGACCTCAGTGATTACTTTTGTTCCTCCCTGATGTGTCTATCGGTGTCGCCGCACCACATTGGCACCATACGAACACTCACACCATGGCCCAGTGGGAGGATGTACCGACATTAAAAAGGAGAGAAACTAGATCCAGACAAAAGCGAACAAACCGAGGAAACAAAGCCTCGTGGACTTGCATCAGATGAAACTACCTGAGAGTCGTGTCGGACATAATTACCTTGAATGCCGGTGTGGTCTGAAATTTTCATGAATGTGATCCGTCTCCAGTTGGGTGCCTAGATAGTTATGAATTCCCTTCGGGTTACGATGGCTACTGATGCGTCGAAAGGCCGAGATTCAGTGCGTACGCGATCGCTACAGCACGGCGACCTTGCAGTGGTAACTTATGGATGCTTTTCCAGGATAGTTAACATGGGCTACTTTCTGTTGGGTCCGATTTACTTTCAGATCATGGCCAACATGATGGAGAGAGTTTTTTCATTGCTTTTGTCTTTGAATATCTCGTAAGAAAGTCGTCATCAAACCTGGGGGCTGGAATAGCATAACTAGCTACCTAGCTAAATGGGTTGTAACCGCTACTGAAGATAATTCTTGAATGGTGGTCATGGACAGTAGTCTACTTCAAACCGCCTCTAGCCTTGAAGGCAGCGATCAAACCAGACGTCGAGGAGTCATGGCCAGATCCAGCACCTTCGGTCTCGAGTTCCTTTTGGATCTTCTTAGCCAGAGCCTTGCCCAACTCAACACCCCACTGGTCGAAACTGTTGATATTCCACACGATACCTTCTGTGAAGACCAACCACTCGTAGTAAGCGATAAGAGCACCCAATGTGGCGGGGGTGATTTTGTCGGCCAGGATGTTGGTGGTGGGTCTGTTTCCGAGGAAGGTTTTGTGAGCAACCAACTCATCTGGTGCACCCTCGGCTTTGACCTCTTCGGGCGACTTGCCAATGGCAAGAGCCTCAGCCTGAGCGAGGAAGTTGGAGGCCAACATTCTCTGGTGGACACCTCCCTCAACTGGGTTGTGGGAGTTGGCAGCTAGGATAAAATCGGTGGGGATAAGCTTGGTGCCTTGATGCAACAGCTGGAAGAATGAGTGCTGTGCGTTTGTGGCTGGCTCGCCGAAGAAGATGGCACCGGTGGTGTACTTGACATACTCGCCGTTACGAGTGACTGCCTTACCATTTGACTCCATGGTCAATTGTTGTAGGTAAGCTGGGAATCGGTGAAGATATTGGTCAAAAGGTGCAATCAGATGAGTTTGAGCTCCGAAGAAGTCGGAGTACCAGACACTCAGTAGGCCACCAATGACAGGAATGTTCTCATGAAGAGGAGTTTTCCGGAAGTGCTCGTCGACAGCGTGGGCACCGGCCAAAAATTGGTGAAAGTTGTCATAACCAATGTAAAGAGCCACAGACAGACCAATTGCTGACCAGACTGAGTATCTTCCACCCACCCAGCTCTCAAAACCGAACATGTTCTTGGTATCAATGCCGAACTTGGCAACCTCTTCAGCGTTTGTAGAGAGGGCAACGAAGTGCTTTGCGATGTCCTCTTCCTTTGCTGACTTGAGGAACCATGATTTGGCGGTATTGGCGTTTGTGACGGTTTCGGCTGTTGTGAAGGTCTTTGAGGCGATAAGGAAGAGAGTTGTCTCTGGATCCGAGTCCTTGAGAGCTTCTGCAATATGTGTGCCATCAATGTTGGAGACGAAATGAAGTTTCAGGCTTCTATCTCCATAGTACTTGAGAGCTTCGGAGACCATGACAGGACCACTAAGGAAGGTTAGGTGATTGGATGGTAGTGGCGGGACGTGATACCAACTTACAGATCAGATCCACCAATACCGATGTTGACAATGGTGTTGATCTTCTTGCCTGTATAACCCTTCCATTCGCCGCTGCGGACCTGCTCGGTGAATTCCTTGATGTGATCTAGGACGGCATTGGTGTCTTCGACGACACTCTTGCCATCCACGGACATCGGGTCATTTGTGACATTGCGAAGAGCAGGGTGGAAGACAGCTCGATGCTCCGTGAAGTTGACTTTGTCTCCAGCGAAAAGAGCGTCTCGCTTCTCTTCGAGTCCAGCTTCTTTTGCAAGGTTGACCAGTAGTTCAATGGTCTCCTCGGTGATGAAATTCTTGGAAAAGTCGAACAAGATTTCCGAGTTGTCTACGGAGTTCTTGAAGACTCTCTTGAATTTGTCAAATCTCTGGGGGTCTTTCTCGAATGCCTCCTTGAGGACGATGTTGCGGCCGACGGCGTTATGATGGTCAACGAGGGCCGACCATGCCTTGAGCTCAGTGGCTTGTCCGAAGTCAGGCATCTTGATAGGAAAGAAATAATGTTTCTATTCTCGAGGATGAAGATTGGCTGTTTGTGAAATTGCAGGTCAGCTTGATGTGAGTGAAGGGGAACCGAGAAGAAGAGAAATAGAACGGAGAAATATGAAGAAGTGCAAAGAGTTCTTTCTGTTTTTCTTTTGAATCAAGTACTACCAGTGGGCAAGTGGTGAAACGCAGGAAGTCACGGCTGGGTCGGAATTGTGTCATGGGTGACTTACCTTTGAAGACAGATACAATCAAAAGCGTCGAGTGAGGATTACACAAAGACGAGTTGTTGGTCCCAGGTGTAAAGGTGTGGTTGTGCTTGAAGCTGAAAGAATCCGGTGGACAGCTTCTTTTTTTCCCTTGGAGGGAGTGTTTGTTGCGGCGGTGGACGGGGGATGGAGGGGCAGTGATGGCGAGCAACAATTACGTATGAGATGCAGAAATGGAATCACGTTGTCCGGCAAGGGTTTCGAGCTCCGGGATTGGGATGAATTGCCCCGCCGTCGCGTGGGATCCCTGGATTTACTGCTAGCAGTCCAATCAACCCATTCAGTCATCAGCAACTTGAGGATGATTCAGCATTCAATGCTTACCTAGTATCTCTGTTGGGTAGCTACAAGTGATCTTCAACAGGTAACAAGGACATGGGAAAAATAGTCTATTCTGGCCAGGTTATGGCTATTATCAATATCTAGTGAGTGGCCAACATAGGAAACCCCATTCTATGGCCCAACGTCGTCCAGTTCAGATCTACCCATGCCACTTGGGCCACGGAAGTTTAATCCATAACTTCTTTAACTACCAAGTAGTCAAATCCCCTTTATGCCAATAAAGCTGCCATGAAAACCAAGCAGCCAAGAGCAAAGACGGATGCTGGAGACTGACTTGACAAGGCAGCAGCCGCACCCTGAAAACCAGAGATGGTTGGGCTAATTGTCGGCTTGGGTACTGTAGCATTTGGTGCTGATGTCGCTGGGTGTGTAGAATTGGTCACATTGGTAAGATGTTTGGTGGATGTGGTTGTATTCAGAGCAACAGTTTTGTTGTTAGCTGTAGGAACAACGGGAGATGTGGTGATTGGAATGCCAGTGGTAGCACTGCTCAATGCACAAGAACCACTTGGAGGAGGGCTGGTGACTGTCACTGTGTTGGTTCTGGTCGAGGTGATGGTGGTGGTGATAGTGCTCGTCAAGGATGTAGATGCTGGTATTCCGGTGGTTGAACCCGTCGATGAATGCGATGTGGTAGAACCGACACCTCCTCCCACGTTCTTCAGCGTAGTGCTGCTCTTCGTCTCGTCACAGCTCTTGTCAACGCCTTGCTGATGCTGACTTGGGCGTTCAGGGCTTGAATGTACACCAAGCACCATTAACACCAAGGCAAAGAGGAAGACTGTAAGTGATCGCATGTTTGAGACTCGGTTGAAGTGTAACAGATATAGAAACGAGTGTCTCGGGCAATCGCTAGGTGTAGAGATGAAACCTGAAAACTTACGAGACTCATGGTCTTGACTTTGATATTAATATTCACCCTGGGTATATTTCTTTGTGCTGGATATAGCTCCAGTGACAAAGGGCAGCTGCATGTTGGCCTAGATGAGCCGTCACCAGCCGTTTTCATGGGACCAGAGGATGAAATTGACAGGACGAACAAAGAACTTCTTGCCTGATAAGCGGCAGTGTAAGAGGATAATCTCCGCATAGCAATCAAATTGCTCAGCAGTGGTGAAAGAAAATACACAAAGCCCTGCCAGCAAGTGCCATTGCCTGAAGACCTACCTAGGCATTGTAGATTCTATCTCTACTTAGGTCGCTCTAGTTGGGCTGCTCAATGGCCGACTCCACGGATATGGAATAAAGCACTCTAGATTTTGTGCCTTGGATCTGGAAGAGCAATTCACAATCAGCGAAGAAGATAGGGACTGGACGCTGGTCAGTGCTCGATTCCTGGCGGAAGAGAATACACGGCTAAGGAAATTGAAACACGGTTGTTTGTTTGCGGACTGTCCCTATTGAAATACTTATTCGTATCTCGTATACTCTCTACTAGAAACGCCAAGAACGCCAAGTCACTTCAAGTCACTTCAAGTCACGCGAACTGGACTGCATTTACGAAGTACCTAGCCAGGTAGGTACGACTATGGAAGAGTTGACTTCGTATGTAAGTACGGAAGACTTGAGAGTGAGTGGCACTGGGCAGTTCGAGTTACATCGCGACTCTTCAACCGTAAGAAGTACCGTAGCCTCCGGAATCTTCGGCTCTATGATTGAGTCTTTGAATCCCTCCTGAGTTCTTAGGAATCCAGCTTTACTTATCTCGGGAGAGTCGCTAACATTCTTCGATGCTTCCTCGAGGTAAGTTGGCCCGTCTGGAGGCTTCTATAGCTTGGTACCAGACTCCCGTCTAGCGCAACTTACTCAGTAGTTGACAACGGTGGTTGGCTGGATGAGATTCATTGGGTCAAGAACACGGGCAAAAAGGAAGATTTGAACTATCTTCAAGAGATTGTCGATTCATCGGTGCGCTATGAGGTGATCGAACTTTAAATTGTTGGCTTCGAGGGCTACAGCCACGCTTGGGGTAAAGTGGAACCCGGCATCCTCTATGTCAAGATTGACGACGATGTGGTCTGGTTCGCTGATGATACAATCCCTCGAATTATTACCATGAAGGCTGTTCATCCGGAGTCTCACTAGAGACGCTTCCAGATCCCAGTGCCCGCAAGCCCCAGCGACACAACAAATGTCCAGCTTGGGCAGGGCCAGACGGTTATTTCTTCGATCCCGTTCCAGGACCCACCAACGATGGCCACCGTTGGTTACGAATACCAAACAATAACGCCATCCATCGCACACCAGTCGTGGATATCGACCACAAAACTTGGCGGACAGGTCTCAAGTCGTGGGCTATCGCTGCCCAGGAGCCTTACCCCTTCCTCGAAAATCTCGCCACCAACCACCTGGACGTATACAACATGGGCAAAGCTTGGTTCACAGATCTATCGACGAGTGAGCATCAATTTCATCGCAATCATGGCCAATAATGTGTAGGATAATCTACCCATGGATACCGTGGATGAGGAATGTCTGACAATCAATCTGCAAGTCGAGAAAACGGATCTCTTACCACGATATCACGACGATGTTGTCGAGAATGTAATTCGAGAAGAGTATAATGCCAAAGAACAACTTGGACGCGGACAACAAAGAACGTGGCGAACATGCTGCGATCAGAATTGGCATGTTGTCCGTGCGCTGTGGGCTTTCATCGCAAGAATACAAAGAAACTCCCAGGTCGCGGTACTGCAGCAATCGCCTGGTCAAACAGTGAAGAACGCTCGAATAAAACTCGAAGTTTCAAGTGCTGGAATGTGCCATACCGGAATAAAGCCGTTGGTGACGAGAACAACGTGCACACGATTCTGTTGTTTGATCCGGGCAGAACGACTGCCGCGACCAACTAACCCAGCGCAATCTTTGATCGTTTGCCTCCCCAGCACAACTCACTAACTCGCTCGTTGAAAGAGCACAGCCAGCCAGCCAGCCAGCCACCATCATCCTGCCAAGGCCACAGGACGAGGAACTCCTCGATACGGCTCAATTGTGCAATGCATGCAATTCACACAAGCTGAATCGATCGACCAATAACCGCAAAGTTACTCTCCAGGAGAATTGAATGCAGATCCCAAAGCAAGAATCACCGGATGTCGCGATATAGCCTTCACACGCCGAAACGAGGCTTGAGCATCATTAATGATCCTTTCACAGGGGTGGCTTTCTGGTGATCATCACCACGATAGTGCCGGAGTCCACTTAGAAACGCGGTAGGAGCCGAGATCAATGGGGGTCCACTCGAAGCCTCCCACAGCCGGCCTCTTTGTCACAGGCAACAAACGCAACGAACGTACCATGTCGCATTCCTGACTGGTTGAATGCGAGACAGTACACACTGGAGCACACAGCTTGGATTTACGAAACCTGACGTTGATCTAGCGTGACGTTACTTTGAAAGACGCAGTATCCGATTTACAATGTATATAAGGGGTGTGGGTGGAGATTCATGATATTTTGGACGATGATTTCCCCCTGTGGAAAGGACACCCGGGGAAGCCATAGAAGACTGCAAAAGAGGTATTATAGATGATCATCACAAAGTCCGAGTTAGCATTTCAATCAAAACGACTAGTCAACACGCTCTCGTCAATCTCGTGGCAACAATTGACCAAATCAAGCCTTCACCGCCTTATTCAGTGCAGCATAGTCCCAATCCTGCTTGATGAGATCGGCGGCCTTCTCGGCGACGGCATAGACACTGCTGACGATATTGCCACTGACGTTGTTGGCGAAGACGGAGGCATCGGCGACGCGCAGGCCCTTGACGCCGTAGACGCGCAGGTGCGAGTCGACCGTGCTGCCCATGGCGCACGAGCCGCACGCGTGGTACTCGCCGATGCAGTACTCCTCTGCGGCGGCGCGGCGCTCCGCGACCGTCGTCAGCGGGAAGCGTGCCGGGTCCGGATGCACGCGCGTGCTGACCTTGCCCTCCAGCGCGGGCGCGCCGATCAGCTTCTCGGCGAACTTCAGGCCCGCCGCCAGCACCGCCACATCTGCTGGGTGGTTGAGGTAGTTCGGGTCCACGGCCGGGTGTTCCGCCGGGTCTGATGATTTGATGTGGATGGTCCCCCGCGCGACCGGGTATTGCATGCAGATGGCCAGGCTGATGCCGTGGGGTTGGTCGGGCGAGGCTGGCACGGGCCAGAGTTTGGTCTGGTCGGACGTGCCGTTTTCGAAGTCACCGGTCACGCTGATGAAGACGAATTGGAGATTGGCGGATTTCGGGTTCTTAAGGTGCGCGATGACTTGGTCCCATTGTTTCTTTTGGAAGGGCGTCGCGGGCTTGGTCGATTCAATCGACTTGACGATCTCCTCGAGTTCGCCGTCCTCGAGGAACAGCGACACCGGGAAAAATCCCTGAGTGCCTTGGATTCCTGTCAACGGGCCTCCTTGTTCCTCGGCGAGTTCCTTTTGCGCCGCTGCCATTACATCTGGGTTGAAGATGATCTCTCCCGATATTTGACCGGGTGCGAGCTGGTAGACGGTGCCACCGACGACGTGGTCTTGAAAGTTTGTGCCGACCGAGGGGAGGTCGACCTTGACTTCGACACCAGCTGCTTTGAGGATCTCTGGGTCTCCAATGCCAGAGAGTTCGAGAATCTGTGGTGAGTTGATTGTGCCACCGCAGACGATGACCTCTCGCTTGGCTTTGACGACATGCTTTTGGCCATTGTGAATAAACTCAACACCTGTGGCGGTTTCATTCTCAAGAACGACCTGAGACACCAATGACTCTGTGATAACTTTCAAGTTCGATCGTCCTTCATTTGCTTGGAAGTATCCTCGAGCAGCATAGCTTCGTTTGCCTTTGTTCGGGCCTGTTCGGATGACTGCACCAAGGGTGTTGAAGAACCCGATGTGGTCCCCACTCCAAGGATCAATGGGCTTCTTGGTGAACCCAGTTGCCTGATCAGCAGCCTTGACAATGTCATCTTCAATGGGTAGTTTCGACTCGTTAAAGCTAGTACGGACTGGACCACTGGTGCCATGATTCTCCCCAACAAACGGCATGCATGTTCGATCGGTGATTCGGGGATCTACGGGCTCCAATGTTTGATGTTTGCGCATATACTGTTTCATTTCTGCGGCTGACCAGCTTGAGTCATCGGCCAAATCCGCCCAATCATTGTAGTCCGCATCCGATCCGCGGACATACCTTGAGTTTAGGTCAGCAAATGCACATGAGGGATAGACCGCATTGGGACGGTCCTTGGTTTACGTAAATATGCCAAATGCAAGGCGGGCTTGACATAAATTAGACTTACATCATATAGTTGATACCACTTGAGCCACCTGTGGAATTCATGTAAGTATTTTGCTCAATATCCCCTCCCGTGAAAGCTCAAGGGTCTTTTGACAGTTGACTTACCAAGAAGCTTTCCTCGAGGCAGATGATGGATTTTGTTCTTGTTGCCGGCCTGGAGTTCTGTTAGATGTCTCTCTTTTCCAATGACACCAGGAGTCATACTTGAGGCACTGTGTTGTAGACCCAGTCATAGTCTTTGTTACCCAGCATTTGAATAAATGCGGCTGGTGTATCAACCAAAGGGTCCCCAAGGCGATTTTTGCCAGCCTCAATCACTCCGACGGTGACATCAGGGTTTTCCGTCAAGCGAGCAGCAATGGTCAGACCTGCTGTTCCTCCACCACAGATGACATAGTCGAAGCTTTGTTGCAAGAATTCGTCAACAGACACGAGAGCTGATTTATGTGTACCATTCACCCCGTTAGCACCGTTCACCCCGTTCACGCCATTGGTAGTAGCCATCTTGAAAGGATTTTATGATATTGCGCTGGAGATAAAGAGGGGTCAAACGTAAGGACGAGGAAAACTATAGACCAAAACTTTGTACTGGTGTTCTTATATACTTTTGACAGGTCCTCAGGTAGTAGTAAACCGCGAAGCCCGACCAGAACTTCGTTGACCACATTAGCCCTAGTAAATCTTGGGAGCCGTAAACCTTACGGGGAACATGACAGGGGAGCGGGGGTGTGGCATCGAATACTGAAGACTAGGTTATCCCTCGGCTGTGGTCATGGTACGTCTACCACGGGCTTCACGTTCTTCTGCAGAGCCTGAATTGGACGAGAAGCGGGACCGTGAGTTCAGTACGTGGCCTCACATATGATGACGGAGCCCGAAGTCTTGATTGAGCGCCATTTGCAAGGTCAACGAGAAGGCGTGGAATGCTGATGCAAGCTGCATCAAGCGCCTGGCTGCAGAATGTACCGGAGAAGATGCCATGTGTGGAGAGAAATATGTGGAGAGAAGTACAGTCTTGTCAGCAAAGAGGCTAAAGAATGGCCACTGCGCAGCGAACTTGGTAGACGAACTTGTAGCAGTAGATTGGAACTGCTCGCCTCTCGTTCAGTTGCATCCGGGGATAGTACCTACTACATGGAAAGCCTTCAACGATCCTCGAGTGATTTTCCCTCGGTGAGACTCTTGACCCCGCATCCGACAGACTTTCAAGTCGATCTAAATGACTAGCCTGGCGGCTCAGGCCAGGGACAAGGGTCCAAGCCCTGCAGATGTAGTTTCATTTGCGTCGAGTCAGTTATTTGGGATGATTTTGAGGACATTGAAAATGATGTGGGTCGTGAATTGTTGGTGACAGCATCAGGCTCCGCGCGATGTCAGTGGTTACAACTGGAAGAGCCTTAGGCAAATGGCCGTATTGGGAAAATGTGGCTTGCAAGCCAATCGCCAAGATGAAGGTACTCGTGATGTATTCGTACGGAGCAACCAGAAGATCTCGCATTTTCGTCATAGTAGTACAATGTGGTCCGAAGTTCTGGTGATATGTTGGGGCCGGTGTCTCGTATTCGTTTGTAGGTAGTCAAGTAGGATGATTGCCTCAGCGTGGCCACCTCGTGTGGTGACTGTCATATGCCACACTGGCAAAAGCAAGGATGCTTTGCGCATCCGAAGGCAATTGAACATCGGCACACCTTCCAAAGTGTGAACGAGGCTAGCCTTGCACGCGGTAACTATCGGCGACCATCAGAAGTGGGTGGGGAGCAAAGCCTGTGTTCAATCATACCGCGTACTCACTATCATGAATGGAAAAACCATTAGAGCTCGACATTTCTGATGTGATTGCGCGTTGTTGATAAGGCAGCCTGTTGATGACATATGTAGTGGGATCCTAATCATCAGTATAAGACCTGGCCTGTGCTTTTAATCAGATGCCATAGCGTATGCGTAGGCATATATGATGTTGAATTGAAGCCGAAGGTAGATTCACGCTCGAACATTCATACAGTCGCTCCTTCCAGAATTATTCGAGGTCTTCAGCGCCTTTTACAAACGAGGTGTAGGCCTTTTGACTGGGGCATCATTCATCTCCCAGATTATTCAAGTTCACTAATCAAATCGTTTGGCGCCACATTCGAATTCGAGTCTGTGAATGAGCACCACCACCAAGCATTCCTAGCCATAGAAAGCATCGTCCCCGTCACCATGATCGCAAAGTCACAGGACACTTTACCACCCCACTTACTGCCTGATCGAGAGATTCATGTTATCATCTCTATTCTCTCCGGGCGTCACAAAGCTCAGGAATATTATGATCAAACACTCAAACCTCTGCTCGACAGCCATCATCTTCAATACTCGACACATAAGACGGCTTCAGCCCAGACAATTGTTGAACTGACACGATCGTTGATCATCCCCAATGCTACACAAGGAGTCAAGCAAACCATTATCTTACTGTCCGGTGATGGTGGGATAGTGGACATTGTCAACACACTCACCACTGATTTGAACCGTGCCAATGACGATCTCAGACGGCCTTCTGTCTTCATCAAGCCTGTCGTTGCGCTAATACCAATGGGTACTGCGAATGCTCTGGCATGGAGTTCGAAAATTGCACAAGATGCTCTTGGAGTGCTCTTCACAGGAACACCCAAGTCGTTACCATCGTTTCAAGTCACCTTTAGTCCTGGCTCAAAACTGGTCACCGATGAAGGTCAAGGTAGAGAATCCATTGCCGAGTCTGACAGCGACAAAGGTATCATGTATGGTGCCGTTGTTGCGAGCTGGGGACTCCACGCCAGTCTGGTGGCAATGAGTGACACGGCCGAATATCGGAAACATGGCCTCGAGCGGTTTGGTATGGCAGCTGCAGAACTGCTCAAGAATGGACACGTTTACAGTGGAAGAATTCAGTGGAGGAAGACAACTGATCCGCCTGAATGGAGAGAGGTCGCAGGATCCAAACATGCCTACATCCTGACAACCATGGTTTCCAACCTCGAGGAGAATTTCCAAATATCTCCAGCTACCAAACCCGTCGACGGGTCTTTACGTCTTGTTCATATTGGGCCTGAACCAGTGGAAGACATTCTGCGAATACTCGGTCTTGCTTATCAAGCTGGAAAACATGTCACGGATCCCAAGGTCACTTACGAGGAAATCGAGCGTCTAAGAATAGAGTTTGATGAAGAGGACGAATTATGGAGGATGGTGTGCGTTGATGGCAAGATCATTGCCGTGAACCAGGGGGGTTGGTTTGAAGTGAGGTGGTTACCGAGAAGTGGAATTGATGCGAGGCGGGTGGTGGAACTCGTCTGTTGAGCGGTGGGATAGACAAAGAGCAGGCTGCACGTGATGGAGGGAGATATCCCGTAAAACACGTGATTTAATCCGGCCTCCGAGAATTAGACACTATACTAGATCGGTCATAGTCGCTAGTAAGTCCTCCCCAGCATTGAATGGCCACCCAAAACCAAAATGCCGTCAGCGCCAGCAGTTCAGGTTAGGCAGGTTTTCAGAGGGCCCACGTCGTCTCACCTACGGAGTACTACTACCTGAGCTATGATGTCGTCCTCTGGGTCTCACCACCAGCCACTGCCACTGCACTGTACCCAGCTCAGGAACCACGGCCATTTTAACCATCCAACCTGCTAATCCGGTCATTACCATCATTGCCCAGGCTTACTCACATATACAAATCTCTCCTCTGTTGATCGCGCTACAGAGAAGACGTTACTTCATCATCTCAACACTGTATCGCTTGACAAGTCCAGTGCCCGGGTCATCCGCATTGGGGAGAAAGCACAGGCTCTTTTTTTAGGAACCGGCAGCCATGCGAACCTAGATTGCGCTGCCACCTACTCAGCTGAAGTTACACACAAAACGACCTGCAAAACCTACAGTAGCTCCTGTCACTCCCTCAGAGGTATCGATCCTCAATTTGATTACCTCGTTCCTCGCGATTCCCTTCGATTTATCCACCACACAACCGCAGTTATGCGTGGTGCAGGTATGTTCTTCACTCCATACATCTCAATGCGCTCACAGAATCGCACAACCAAAGTAAACCCCCAGACTGACAGTACCTCCGCCCCCTAGGCCTCTTTTTCTTCCTCCTCTTCCTCCTCATCATCTTCGCTGTCGGAGGTTGGGTTGCCTATACACAAATAACGGCACGGCGCTCCGGTCTACCCCCTCCATCTCTCAAATCCTGGAAATCATATATCCCGTTCTTCCGACCGCAGGGCTCCTCAAACTATCCGGCACCTCGACACGCCGGTCCCTTCGAATGGGTCCGCGAGCAATTCTCCAAGTTTGGCAACAAGCGCACTGCACGCGGTGCGTACGAGGAAGCCGGCGCTGATAGTGCAGGTGGGTATGCCGGCGGGGGTCGGACCGGCAGACGTCTGGAGGACGATGCCTGGGACACCCGAGTCGGCAATGAAGACCCTTATGGCGACCGCGCGGGCTACAGCGGCTACGAAGAGCAAGAGTTGGGCCTCGCGCCCACTCCTGGTTTGAACAATGAGTCCTACGGTGGAGGTAGAGCCGGCGGTGGCGGCGACTACCTCGGCGCCAGTGGCTACAACGACCGTGGTCGATCCAGAGGAGGAGTTGGATCTGACCCCTTCGGCGACCAGAATGAAGCACCCAGTCTGAGAAGTGTCAGCCCCCGGCCTCACGAGGGCGGGCATTCCAAGGGAAACGAGAGTCTGGATGCGAATGATGGAAATACGAGCCCGATAAGTACACGCAAGAGCGTGTTCAGAGAAGGCATATGATTCACGGTGTCGAGGCGGACTCGGAACAGGCTTTACAATGACATGGTTGAAGACGGCATGAGCTCTCAACACGATCGTTGTCGGTTCTTACCTGCTCACCCCTCTCAACCCTCTCTCAGCACAGATTACGACGACATCGAAACGAAGACCATGTCTCTTCACGAACCACTTCAACAAACCTCACGAAAGAACATCTTCTCCACCCAACCAGCATTATTGACTACACCTGTCCACAAACAGCCTTGGATACCATCCCAGATTTGAACACTAAAACCCTACCATGACCCCCCACCACAGCACCAACCCCACCTAAAATCCGGTCCAACAACCGGTGACACAAACACTAATGCGACTTTGAATCGAATCGAATCGAATGTACGACACCAAATGATCCCCATGTCCGAGGATTGGAGTTGGGCGCCTGTTTGTATCACAAGTGTTGGGTCTTTCTTTATTGCACATCTTGCCCAGTTGTGTCCCCAAAGGAGAGGCTCAACCCGTCCAGGGAGAGTCTTATAATATGCCTTGACCTACTGGTCGCTGGTTTGACTTTATTACGCTAGCTACTTGACCTACTTTTCTGGCAGCGGAGGACTCTAAGCATAAAACACGTCCGCATCATTTTTGTTGGGCTTTAATTTTTTCCATTTTGATCCTGATGTCTCCTGGTCCTGCGCCTCTACTCTAGTTCGTCTTTCGCGCCCTTTTGGCGTTTTGTCATCTCTGCCTGTTTAGACAGGCATGGGTGTTCGTGTACTGTAGATCCTTGCTGGTCGGCTGGTTCAGAGCACAGTCACTCGTAATGTGACTGCTGCTCACAGCATCATAAGGGATGATAATAATTCGACTCTCATCTGAACATCCTGGAGGACCAATTTCATGTGTCAGTGGTTTTCAGTACATACTCTCATATTTTGATGGTCAAGTTTCATTTACTCTCTATTGAGCGGCGCACAGAGTGCATTGTCTCCTCTATCAAGGGGCTGTTCTGTACCTAGCTTGCTCTGCGGTGGCCGTTGCTCGATCTATAGTATACATGTCGTTGCTAGCTGGGGTAAAACAGGGTTTCTTGCGAATTCTGACCGACTATAGGACCACAACGCGAGGATTGTTGCGCAGCTTCTCAGTAGTCCTATAGGTCAAAGCTCCATTGACCATAAATCCGCCTTGCCTAGCCCCGCCCCAGAGGTAGGTCCACAACAAGCCCCTGATATCTGCAGCGGTACATTTGAAACCTAGTAACCAAAGTGGAATGTCGAAGAGCTCAGTTAATGGAAGTCTGTGACTCTCGAGAGTCTCGGCGGGCTTGTTGTATGCCTTTGCGAGGAATTCTTCAAAGAGTCGCTGGCCATCATCCCACCAGACTGACTCGGAGCCATGGCCGGAATGCACATGGCCAAAAGCATGTAGGGTGGGTTTTACTCGCCAGACTTCCCTCAATTCGTGTTCATCACCCATTCCGCCATTCTGCGCTAGGTCCAAATGCCATTTAGGTGGGTTATGGGTGATGAGGATGTCGACGTCGTCTGGAACGGTATTGGACCATGCATCTTGCCCACGTGGATATTGGAATGCATGCTCTTTACCTCCCACCTTGGGGATCTGGGGAGCACCATAGACTTTCAGTACTCTATCGTCGGGAAATGACAGGGAGACGGAGGAGTGCTGTAGGTAGTGGATTCGTCCCCAGTCGAGCTTCCGCTTAGGATAGCGGGTGTCTTGAGCGCTGCGGCTGCGCTCGTCAAAGTAGCTATCGTGGTTGCCGGCGATGACGATTATATGCCGGAAGCCATCTGCAGAGCCTGGCCAGGGCTTTTGCATGGTCTTGAGCCAGTCTATGGTCTGCTGGATGGATCGAAGGGTTCCATTGTTGGTCAGGTCACCCGCATGGATGAGCACATCCCCTCGTGGGATAGCTTTAGCGGGGATTTTACTGTGACTATCGGAGAGACAGACGACGCGAATAGGAATTTTATTCTTTGGTGGTTTGTAGGGTGCGCCGCGTAAGGAGAGTGAAAGGTAGTGGATAAATGTGAAAAGAGAAGTGACAGGGTGGTAGATGAGGGTGAACAAGAATGAGGGCGGGGCGAAGGGTGAGTCGGGTGGAGAGAGGAGGCCCATCTGGATGTGTTTGATCAAGACTTCGATATTTCAATACTCGAGTATTGCTTGACTACCAAGGTCAGGAAGATCTCTGCGCGTGTCGCGTCAAGACCGAATCCAAAGGGCAAGTACTGTATGTGGGTTTTTTCTTGGAAGGTTGCTCCTGCCGTGTCACCGAAATAAAAAGTTGACCCAGCAAGAAGACGTCATAGTCGATCGAGTAGATGCTTCAGCTTAGTCCTCCGCATACACGAAGAACTGACGGGATAATGTAAATCTGGTCACAATACGTGTGCGCTGTAGCACCAGGTATTTGTGGTTTGGATTCTATTGGAAGCGATGCCATGGACAAATAACAAATTTGGCTCTGGTGTTGGTTCGGTTGATAGTTGATCCTCCTCCAGCTAGAGCCTAGAAGACACACGAAGGACGATAGACAACGCGCCAGGAATCACCTAGGCAGGTTTTAGGGTTGGCTCACCGTGTTTTGGTGATGGAAACAGCTTGAAAGGAAGATGCTAGGTAGTTCATTGCGCAAGTGGCGTCAATTGTTCAGTCACTTTGAGAGGGAGCATCCGTGCAGAACCGAAAGCGACAATGGATTGTGGCTAATAACCTATAGTTCATGGTACTTGGGATGATGAAAACCACGTCAAATGGGCGATAGAAGTAATTCGAGCAACTTAAGGATTCATTGAGATGCCGACAGCGGTTGACGTATAGATCGAGATAAAGATAGAGATAAACATCAGATCGCGGGCTCATGAGGAAATGTCTCTATCAACACCCAGTTCGAACCCCACCAGCCACGATCCAGATTGATCATCACATTTTCAAGTTTGGCCTCCGTGAAGGCTACTGGATGAACGGGTCATTCTTTTGGGTTTGATACTTGGGTACTTAGTCTACGAACAGAAGTGACATTGAGTGCTTTAATAACATAGCTGTACCTCGTACTTCATCTTCTGCTGCCCCGCGGTTTGGTGTTTTGTTTGTCGAGCCAACTCCTCCTCTGCAATCTTTGTACAAATCGATCCTGTGCGATCCAAACTTGAAGTGCTACTTATCTTTAGCCGCTGGTTGGGTACTTTGCTGCTTGTCCCACGAATCACAGTGGTCGATCAACACCACGCAGTGCCATCATCACATTCTAATTCACACTACCAATTTGCACATTGCCACCAGCCTCAAGGGCTTCTTGTTCGTCTCTGCTCTGCCGCAGCCGCAAATGCCTACGGATATTCGCGACTCAGTAATAGACTGATCAACCATAGCTCGTTCAAGTTTCCATGACAATCCAACAGGCCAAAGGACCAGCCCCAATTACCCGCCCGAGTCAACAACTTAGGTGCTCGACGGTTAACTAAACCAAGTCCGGTCCCAAGCCCCAAGCCTCACTAAGGGTGATTCTTCCAGGCCCTGTCCAGGCACGGATAGTTAAGAACAATCCACCATCACCCATCATTGTCGCTGCTCCTGGTACCTCCCACCCCGACCACGACGGATACCTGGTTTAGGCCTGCCTTTAATTAGCTGCAGTAGCCCAAGACACTTCCAAACTGCGCCCTATCCACCATTATCGAACCCCCAGGATTCCAGGCTCTGAACTCGTCACTCGAGCCTAACCAGCAACGCCCAGGTCAGGTTTGGTCAGGTCATCCACCGGCCATCCTCTTCCTGATCTGCGCGTTACTCGTACCCTCTCCAAACCATCCCACCACCACCTTCCACAATTCCTCCCAGATCGGAAGCTGGCCCTGCAAAGGGACCAGTCGGACCTTCAACGCCCACATTGCTGGCCACCAACGCTGCCGCCTTCGCCATGATGAACGGCTCTGACCTGAAAAAAGCCGCCATCAACCAGGCCAAGAAGGTTGCGACCACCGCTGCCCTCGCCGCCAACGGCAACGGCCAGAAGAAGAGAAGGAAAGGCGATAACCTCAAACCCATCATCACCACCGACAATCCCTCATCTACCATTCACGATTCACCCACCCAAGCTGACCCAGAGTAAGTCACAGTCATCCTCTGTTCTTCACTGCCTCTGTCTCTCGATTTCCGCCCACTATCTCTGACCCGCCCGCTTTTTTACCCCCCCAAAATACAATGCATGCATGCCTGCCTTCTGTCGTCAATCAGCACCTGTGATCGCAACTACCTCAAGAACTGATCAGCCTCCCAACTCAGAGCCATGGATTCTCCTTTGCCCCACAGCAAAATCCCTTCACATAACTCACGTCTTGACAGATCTCCCTCCTCCTCCACATCCGATGAAGACCCCGCCGAAACCACCGCCGATGAAGAAGACTCAGAAGACTACTGCAAAGGTGGTTATCACCCTGTCCACGTCGGCGAAACGTACAACAATGGAAAATACATCGTCGTGAGAAAACTCGGCTGGGGTCATTTTTCTACCGTCTGGCTTTCGAGAGATACTTCGACGGGCAAGCACGTCGCACTCAAAGTCGTCCGGTCAGCAGCGCATTACACTGAGACCGCTATTGACGAGATCAAGTTGCTGAACAAAGTCGTCCAAGCCAACCCGAATCACCCGGGTCGAAGATATGTCGTCAGTCTCCTCGATTCCTTCGAGCACAAAGGACCTAATGGTGTCCATGTTTGTATGGTTTTCGAAGTCTTGGGCGAAAATCTCCTCGGCTTAATCAAAAGGTGGAATCATCGAGGCATCCCCATGCCTCTTGTCAAACAAATCACAAAACAGGTTCTTCTTGGTTTAGATTATCTCCATCGCGAATGTGGTATCATCCACACCGATCTAAAGCCAGAAAACGTATTGATTGAGATCGGCGACGTCGAGCAGATTGTCAAAGCTTTCGTCAAAGACGAAAAGGATTCCAGCAAAGATGACAATCGAAATGGTCGAAGAAGAAGACGGACTCTCATCACAGGTAGTCAACCGTTACCCAGTCCCCTTAACGCCAGCTTCACGAATCTAGACAAGGTCGCCAATACCCATCAGCATCAACCTAGCAGTTTGAATCAGGTCCTGACAGGATCGACAGCCAACAAACAAGGCGAAGGCCTTTCGATGCTTGAGCAACTGAAGTTGAAGACAAAATCACATAGCGACGAGAGTTCTGCGTCCGGCAAGTCAAGAGAAGCAACCACGGATCCTCTTGAAAAAGACTTAGCCGGTGTCTCTCTCGACAGCAAAAAGCCAACTGAAGCCGAGAAAGTCCTGAAAGCCGCCAAACATGAGGACGAGCCATTGGGAGAGATCATCTCGGTCAAAATTGCGGATTTGGGCAATGCCTGCTGGGTAGGCCATCATTTCACAAATGATATCCAGACTCGGCAATATAGGTCTCCAGAAGTCATCCTCGGGTCTAAATGGGGCGCCAGTACTGATGTGTGGAGTATGGCATGCATGGTGAGTGCTCCGTTGCGCAACATTTTTCTCGAGATCAAGACGAATGTGCTAACCCTTTGATGAATAGGTCTTTGAGCTGATCACTGGTGACTATCTCTTCGACCCTCAATCAGGTACCAAATATGGCAAAGATGATGATCATATTGCGCAAATAATTGAGCTACTCGGACCGTTTCCCAAGTCTTTGTGTTTATCTGGCAAATGGTCCCAAGAGATATTCAATCGAAAAGGCGAACTTCGAAATATCCATCGCCTGCGACACTGGGCTCTACCCGACGTTCTGCGAGAAAAGTATCATTTTTCGCCTGAAGAGGCAAAGAGAATAGCCGATTTCCTGATCCCCATGTTGGAACTACCACCCGAGGCCCGGGCTAATGCTGGTGGGATGAGCAACTCTGAGTTCACAAAAGGAACCAAGGGAATGGATGCCGTCACTCTGGATATTCCCGTTGGCAGCAAAGGCGATGGGATTGAGGGCTGGGCGACGGAGATCAAGAAGAGATGATCCATAGGAGTTTTATCTCGGAACTCTGATTGCGTACCACCTAAGCCATGCTTCATCTCCATGTCCGCACAACGAGTTCTTTCTTTCCGTTTTCACAGGAATTATGTTGTGGGCCCAGAGAAGGGCAGGATACAGTGTCACATACAGAATACATGAAACCATGATGGGTCGGGTTTACTGATGAAGTATTTCTGTCCTCGCTTTCTTATCATATCATTGTGGAGGAGTGAGTCGGTCAATTTGAGGCCGGCGCTGTTGGCATTTCTTACACGTACCGCCTTGCCAATACGTTCCTCTTTTGTCCCTTGACTGGTGAGTTGGTACAGAGCTACGCACACTGTGCATTAGCAAGCAAGCATGAAATCTGAGGAGTTTTGCTGATGACGACGCGACGAGATGAGTGTATGCAGCCAAAAAGGAAATTCCTATCCTGACTTTTCGAATTGGACATTCCAGCATGAAAGGGACTTTTGCAACATAGAGTGTTGGGAGGTGTTACAGAATTCAAAGCCAGTCGCCCTTTGAGACAATGATGGTGAGCTTAGCAGCTACTTCCATAGAGAAACGAATTTCACTTTTTACATTCGATGGAAGACTTTAGTCAAAATTTTGGGCTTTCAATTCGTCCTCTCTTGGCTACTACCACTTGACAGTGGTGGTCACGTCTTGACCCCGGTTGCAGTGCCCCGTAAGATGTTGTGAAGGCTCGGCGGGTATTGGCTTCGGGTTGGACCAGGGTACTAATATTCTGGCCTTAGGGGGACTGCACCTGGAAGCTCTCCCCAGGGCTTGATTGAGGGCTTATCACAGATAGAAAAGTGCAGCCTTGCGAGCCCTTCACGTGACGCATCAATATTCCTCTTGATTGGTTGGCCTTGTCGCACCAACCATACCGGATAAGTCTTCTGCATGATGGTCTTCAACCATCATCCCTTGCGAACTATCCCGCAGTCTTGGTTGCAAATCAACGCGCAAATAGCTAGCAGTCTACAATTCCATCTATTGTGCCGCGATCCCGGCTTCAACTTCGAAGTGTTTGAGTCCTCAAAGTCAAATTGGTGGAGTGATGTCCAACAATATGCCTTCGAAAGGTGGCGTGACCCCGGTCTCACAATGGACAGACCTCAGCACACTTCCCAAGTGCACCCAGCCGATGACAAAAGCCGCATGACAGCAAAGACGAATGTGGAATCCCGCACGGCTTACACTGAAATTGTTAATTGTTCGTGTGATGCTTTTCCACTACCAAGATGCATCTCTTGCGTGTGTCGGTGGAGGTTTTGTATGTCTTTTCTCACACCCCACCTTATTGTCCCGGCCTTGTATGCTTGAGTGGTAAGAAAGAACCCGAACTCCTGCCACAATTGCTTCCCCCTCAGTAAACCGAAGGTGGATCGGGTTGTATATATGCCCAGACTACGGTTCCTGGTTGTACTCGTCCTCCCTCTTTTTCTGGTACTTTTTTATTCCATGATCTCCCGCTCTATTCTCAACCCCCTGAAGACACCAAATCAATTCATACGCAACATGTCGTCTTCATCAGTCGCATCTTTAAATACCAATTCCTTATCCGATACATCTTCCCACCACCAAAATCACTATCACAACCACACCTCAACGTCATCCCATAGAGTGATCGTTGTAGGCTCTGGGCTCGCAGGACTCACAGCGTCCACAGAGCTCATTTCACGAGATATCCCAGTTCACATCCTCGAACGACAAGCCAAGCCCGGCGGTAACAGTATCAAAGCCTCCAGCGGCATCAATGGTGTACCGACTCGCTATCAAATCCCAGGATCCGACTCCATAGAGAATTTCTACAGCGATACACTGAAATCTGCTGGCGAGAAGCTCCTCAGTGACAAGACAACCGGCGAGACGCGTGAGAAAATCATCTCCACACTGACATACTCATCACAATCAGCTATCAATTGGCTAGTTGACGAGCAAGGTATCGATCTCTCTAAGGTTGCCCAGTTGGGTGGCCACTCGAAAGCCAGAACCCATCGCGGTACCGGCAACACACCCCCTGGTGCGAGCATCGTGCTAACTCTCCTGAAGAAGTTAAAAGAGAGTCCGTTAGTGAAGCTCGACACTGGCGTCACGGTGACAGAAGTGTTGAAGCGTGATGAAAGAGTCGTGGGTGTCAAGGTTAGGCGAGAAGGCGCTGCGGCTGATGCGGTGGAAGAGACCGAGACGATCGATGGTCCCGTCATCTTTGCATCGGGCGGCTTCGCGGGCGACTCGCAAGGTTATCTGAAAAGGTTCAGGCCAGATCTTGCGGGATTCCCGAGCACAAATGAGGCGTTGCCTGGTAGTCAGGGATTGTTGACCGATGTTGGCGCTCAGTTGCTTGACATGGATCAGGTCCAGGTCCATCCAACCGGTTTTGTAGATCCGAATGATAGATTCAAGACGACGAAGTTCCTCGCTGCCGAGGTTCTCAGGGGAGAAGGTGGCATCTTGCTAGACAGCACCGGCAAGCGCTTCATCGACGAGTTGCAGACACGGAAGGTCGTCACAGACACAATTACCCAGAAGACGGAACCGAGCGAGATCGAACCCCTAAAGCAATGGGGGATCACACTTGTATTAGAAGAAGGCGTCTATCAAGCTGCGAAAAGTCATATCGATTTTTATATCTGGAAGGGTCTCATGAGGAAGGCGACGATCGGCGAGCTTGGAGACATGAGCAACACGGCTTTAGCAACCATCAAGCAGTATGCCCGCATCGCCGCTGGCACCACACAAGACCCGTTAGGCCGCACCTCGTTCGGGCACTGGGCGCTCGAGAACCCGACCGAGTCCTCGACCATCTACATCGGCACAGTGACGCCCGTCGTGCACTACACGATGGGCGGCGTGGGCTTCAACACCGAAGCTGAGGTGCTGAACGCCCGCAACCGACCCATCACGGGACTCTGGGCCGCCGGCGAGATCACTGGTGGTCTGCATGGCGCGAATCGTCTGGGTGGCAGCTCTCTACTGGAGTGTGTTGTCTTCGGTCGCATTGCGGCCGCCAATGCGGCGAGATATGTCGAGGACAGAGATCGTGATACGCCCATAGAAGACGGTGATTGTTGTTGGGAAAGTCGTTGAGGGTTGACCTGGGCGGATCAAAATTTGCCGAAGGAAAGGAGGGCTCAGGCTGTATTCATACCAAGATAGGATCCAGATTGCTTATGTACGTTTCAAATACGGAAAAATGACTGTATGACTTTGAACGAGCTTCTTTATTTGTCTTTCCGGATGTGGTTCGCCTGAGCTCCCCACCTACTGGTGCAGCTGCCGTTTAAAGCCGCTTGGAAGAAGGAAGTCTTTAGAAACAGTCATCCTAGACCCGCAGCTTATTTATGCGGGGATATACAGGTGCATGGAGATTTCGCGAATGAGCATTTCCAGACCACCTCACTATGATCCATAACAGGTGAGGGCTGGCGGAAAAGATACCCTACGGTGACCGAGCATTCGGTTACATCATGTTCACTGACCATCCTTCACAAGCCCAGGCACCGTGTCCCAGCTCGCCGCGCCCAGCAGGACATCGAACGGGAACAGGGGAACGAGCGGCTGTATCAGTGGTTGTAGACCCTTCTCCGCCTTCTCCATGGTACGCCTGTACGCCGGGCGCGCGGTGATATCAGCCAGATATCTCAGTACATTTGCATGGCCGGCCAAATCGACGGGCAGGAAGACACGGAACGTCGTCAGCGAGAAGATCATGTAGAACTCCACCGCCGTGATCTCATTCCCGGCCAGGTACTTCGAGCGCGCGAGCCTGTCGTCGAGCTGCTTGAGGTGGTTGAGTGTCCGGTTCTTAAACGCCTGGTGCACGAGGTACGCCATGCCGTCTTCGGGGATCGGTGCGCCTTTGAGCGCCGTCAGTGCCTGGCCGAGCAGGTTCGCGTCGAGGAAGGCCTGGAAACTGGCGCCCGCCCAGTTATACCAGTGTGAATATTCGGCGTAGGCGTGTGGGCCGGCCGACAGAGAGACGCTGAAGTGGCCCTGTCCGTGCACGTGGATCAGGTATTCGATGATGGCGCCGGACTCGGCCAGCGTGATGGTCGGTGAGACGGTGCTGTCGACCATGGTGGGCGCCGTCCCCGCCGCGTGCAGACTCACGAGCATCTTCTTGCCCTCGCTGGCTTCCATGCCGCGCTCGTAGACAAAGAGCTCGTACTTGAATGAAGGGACGAGCTCGCTGAGCTCTTCGCACAGCCAGACTACGCGGTCGGACGCCGCGTAGTGGAGGCAGTAGATCTTCAAAGACATTTTTTGACGTCGATATCTCAGTGAATAGTTGATGTTCTCAGAGCGTGACAGGTATGAGCCCACGCAAGGGAGGCAGGGACACTTATGTAGCAGCGCTTTGATCGAGTCTGATCCTGTACGTATGCATTGGGCCATCCTTCGAGAGTAAGACCAGCTGCCGAGTCGTCTTCTCCCATGAGACCGACCATTGCCGTGATGCAATACGAAGGCACAGGAAGTCAATCAATCACGATCGGTGAAGGTCTCGTACAGCATGGTTGACTATTGATTCCTCGTATAAGCCAACCAAGACGGGTTCGGATAAGGTGTCAGAATACCACCGTGATAACTAGAGATGGAGATTTTCAGGCCCCTCTTGATCTTCCAAGCCTCGCGCACTCTGGGGTCTCCAGGGCCAAGAAACCCATGAACGATGTGGACGTTACGGTATTTGGGTATTTTGCGGAGCCTGATATCCTATTTCGGCAATGCTATTGTTGACGGTGGATATGTAGACGCGGTGTCGCAAACATCGACCAGAAAAGAAACTAGGTTAGCGACGTCACCAATGAAAAAGTGAAGAGGTGTGCCGGATGAACCGTTTGCGATTTTCTAATTTTACTATAGGCCCAAGAACATCTAGGAGTATCCTTCTGTATCTCTTACAAACGGGTATCAACAGGGAGACTTTTTCTCGTACTGCCAATGAATGTGCTGAAGGAGTTTCTTGTGCCCGTAAACCCTGAAATATGCTTCGTCTTTCATAAAAGGAGTGACAAATTCTCGATATCTGATTCTTTCCATCGTATTCATGTGATGTTCCCAGTCACAGGAACGAAAATATTGGCCATGGTCCACTAAATTTCATCATTCTCTACCTGCCTATGGATGGTATGCCAGAGGCTTCAACGTCACGCCGGAGCTGGCATTAGATACTGGCCGCACACTTGATGGCAATCCAATGATTGTGGAACCCGTCTTTGATCGTGGAACGGAAGGAAGCTCAAGAGTGCTTCGCTTGTCAATGGGACTCTGGTCGGGTTCGGGAGCAGAGGTCTCTTGGGGGCTGCGCCTGCTCCCTTTGGACAATTGAGATGATAGAGAAGAAGTCGATGACCTGACCGACAGGGGCAACGGTGGAGGTCGAGAGACCACTCTTGTGGGAACCGCCGGCAGATCAGCTTGGCTGACTTCTGTAGGCTTGGCCCAGACACTTGAAGAGTTCTTGCTCCAGCGCGAGTTAACAGGCATTAGACCGGCGGGGAATGGTAGAGGTGAATAAGGTGCATTAGACACACTCTCCGAGGGAGTGACTGAATAACGTTGTCGGGGCATATATTGAGTCCTTGGAGTTGCCACCTCCGACGGGGATGCATATGGGATAGATTCGATTCCCAGTCCAGGGCCAAGCCCTGGAGGATATGGGGCGATTGATCTCTTGACGCTGTTGCTTCGTGAGTTAGCACCACGGCCCGATGTGGCGGGTGGTGTACTGTTGGTCAACCTTGTTGGGCCGATCTCCGTGCCTGAATTGCGGTAATCGTCGAAGCTGAAGTTGAATGCATATGTGCCCTGTTCACCAAGCATATCGGTGGTAGGTCTGGGATTATCATAGTCGCTCGCACCACTATTTCGAATCGACCGTTGTTGGCTCCGATATGACCTTTGACTATTGTTGCGTGACATACTTCTTGCGCGGTCTGAAAAGGGGTTGTTAGTATCGTCATCACGTGAAGCTGAATGAATTGAGATCGGCGCCGGTGCTCGGGCAGAAGTAATTGGCATAGCCACAGCGATGTCTCGAGTATAGGATGGCGCGGGAGTGGCTATCGATGATGCAGCCTTGGAGTAGCGGAATCTGTTCATTGCAGCAAATTCACCAGACTGGACCATTCCTCCACCCAATTGACCTTGAGGCATGCCACCCTCCTCTCCCAATAACCTGGTGCCTCTTCGTCCACGGAAGGAGGCAACTCGAGCCTTTACTGGAGCGCAGAATCGGAACAGAAGATAGGCACCGATGACAACGGAAAGCACTCCTAGGACAGATCCTAATGCGATAGCGGTCGTGTGATTTTCGCCACCTCTTGAGACAGAAGACATCTCTGAATCAGCTTGCGCTCCTGCCGTTGCTGTGCTTTGCACAAAGTTCTGCGATGTTGGGTTGGCAGTGACCATCGTGGTACTAGCCCCTGATGTTGGAGTAGCTGTCACAATAGCAAATGGATTGCCTGTGATAGTCGTGGTGCCAGTTGTGGAGAGAGTGGCTCGTGTTGCAGTGCCGCTGGTTTGGCGACTTGCAAATGGGTTTGCATTCTCATTTTCCTCTTCATCGTCACTTGAGTCATCTTCCCCCTCCGAGTCGCTCTCTCCATCCTCACCACTTTCGTCGCTAGAAGTTTCGTCCCCGTCAAACGATAGCTCGGGGTCATCCGGTTTTTGAGTTATCTGTCTGGGTCGTAGCTTTGATCGATCGAATTTGTATGGCCGATCGTGTTTCTCTAGAGTTGCAGCAGACCTCCGCTGCCAGCTTCGATTGTATAGTTTACTCTCCGACATGATGGCACGCAGTATCTCCCTTTCAACGAATGACAAGAAACACAGCTAGGTAATGACAAGTTCCAGCATTACTTTTCGGGGAGAAAGAAGAAAAGAAGATATCAGATGAGGACCAGCCTCGAAAATGTTCAAAGAACGAGGCACACGAGATGTTGCCGTGAAAGGAGCCGCCCAGCGTTGGAGAAGAAAGAAAGATCAAGAAACACTGGCGATGGATGTCCACTCGTCTATGTGGTTTGATTAGTACCTACCACTGATGCTAGCCTCTCTCACGTCTCGAGATTCAGGTTGAGCACTCAGCCGCAAGGTATTGTGTGTCCTGCAGACCCATCTTCCGAGTGGTCCAGACGACAGCAGTTTCAAGCATGACGATCTGCACTATCGATAGACGCCAGAAGCGAGGTTGAAACGTCAAGAATGACAATAAGAAGATCTTGATGGAGATAAGATGCCTTGGCACTTGGTGGGCGGGTGCATGATTTGCTACGACTGCGGAGCGGGTGAAAAAGGGGGCAATGATGTTGAAACTTCAGGCGTTGCAGGCGGTTTGGCATCGCACGCTCATTGCTTGGCAGGAGTCGCTTCTTGGTCAAGAAAGGCAGCTCAACTCTACAAAATGACGACTTTGCCCGGACACAAGGCTCCAGACAACGATCCTGTTCCATGAATTTGATTTTAATAATGTTTCCTTCCTTATCAGAAACGTGATCTTCATATTTGCCGAGTGAGAATTGTACAAGCCACCCAGAAGGGGATAGCCTACGAGTACGAGCCATGGCCTCCATACCTACGAAGGATCTACTCCGTACCAAGTCAAGCCTCTGCGTTATTCCGGGGGGCGCATGTATTCGAACTCTCCAGTACGGGGTACGAGGTGCTCGGGACAAATTCTAGACTGTAGCCCTGAACCTGGTCCAACTGTTAATTCATGGTCTACGTCAATTTACAGAACAACATTTGCAAGAGCACGAGCATGAACTCGTGTGAAAAAAGTACCTATTTTGGTCCCTGAGTAGGTCGGTAGGTAGTTTGGGATTTTCAGCCATGTATCCATCCTGCAAGGTGTCACTGATCTCTATAATCATGCATCCATTGCATGCGTACTTGGGGATTTGGGCGTTGGAACCTGACTCGCATCAGAGGTATATCATCACACTCAATTGATTCCTTGGTCTTCATGAGCACGGAAAGGCAACATTCCCGACGACATCGGAAGAGGAATCCCGTGGATCACTGCCGTTGCAAAACATCCATGAATGCACTTCGAGCCTCAAGTGCCGCTAGAACCCCACAGGAGTGTCATCATTTGGGCCTTGGGCCTCAACTTCGCGAGGGCTTTCAGACCTCGGGTCTTGACATTCTTCGATGTCGGACAACGTCCCCTCAAGAGCACCACCGTAGAGCGCGGCCAGTTCAGGAAAGTCGCGCAGCATCCTTTCGATGATTCGTTCTCCTGGGTCTAGTCTTTGAAAAATTGTGGGCTTGCATCTTCCGGTTTAGGCCTGAAATAACCCTCCGTTACCTTGCGCTGCTCCAAGTAAGGCCGAATACACTCTCTGCCAGCCTTGCTGTGGAAGTGCTTGCTCAAACCTTCTGCCCTTGCCACGCCTTTGTTACAGCCCCATGTATCCTCGCGCAGCAGATTCCAGACCTGTCCCCTACAGATGAACTTTCGACTGCTGTTGTGGGTCTTATGACGACTGAGATCGGTCATGCGTGTAAAAGCTGTACCACAGACGTCACAGACATAGGGTTGTCCCCGGAATGAGTTCGCATATAGGTGTTGAGGTTGGTTTGTCGCGTGAGTCTTTACACCAGATCGAGCATTCGAATTTCCCGGAGCGTTGCTGCACGCTCGAGGAGCTTGCGTTCACTCCGGTAGACTCCTTCCGCTCGGGTTCCATCCTCAGTTTCGCAAACGTATCCGCAAATCTGCCGCTTTGAGGATGATAGAGTCGCATATGCTTGTCAAGCTGGGACTGTTTGGCAAATCCTAACCTTTGAGAGTATTCGCAATTGTCAACAGCGCACCTAAATGGTTTCTGCAGATAGATATGGCCATCTCTGATCTTCTGACCAATGGAACCCTCATAGAAAAAGAAGCAGGGGGCATTGGGCACTTGAACCATTTGCTTCCAAAAGTTTCCTGCAGGCCCTCTCAACAGACTTATTGCCTGGCTTCACTATTGCAAAGTTTTCGAGCACCTTGCGATTCCTATCAAGCACCAGAGGAAGCCTCCCTGGGACAACCTCATCCATGCTTCCAAGCATCTTCCTTGTTTGGAGTCATTCACTTGCGTGAAAGAACGAGGATCATCGCAAAACACAAGGCGTTCGAGCATCTTATACTCTGTCACCGTATGACAGTCCTCGTCTCTGACTTCACGCTCATGAATTTCATAATTCATGTAACAAACTCCGGCACTGCTGCGTTGAAAACCTCTTCTGTGCTTGAGAAAATCGCTTCATGGGACTTTTCGATGAATCTTACTTTAGAACCATGAACTGGATCATTGTCAGCCCAAACTTTCACGGTACAGGCGAGAGCATCCTTATAGCAGTGTGTGCCTATACAAGTCTGCTGGGATGTTACCACCACGATTTGAATCAACCAACGCAGGTAGCCTTGTGAGTGAATCTCGCGCTAAACTTTTTTTGAAGTGAGCTAGACTTTTCCAGTTAGCGACGACGGACGCGTCAATGTTCTAGTAACATGCCGCTGAGCCTTGTGTTTAAATAAAGTCTTCATCATTCACCCAAGGTCCTTTGATACTTCCAAAATTATCTCTATCAACTCCTTCAGCCCCATCACTCAACTTTGGTTACGGATCCCAGATCTATACTCAAAGCTTCCAATCCTCGATAATTGATCGGGCTGCTTTTTCACCAATCAAATATGCCAAGCTCTGTGGGTGATTACTGCAACGATGAGTGTTAGTAACTCCGATGGCTCTCAGCGAAAGAAGAACCTACTTGGCAGTCAAGGGGCACACGCTGAGATCAGCAACCCTGAGATTCTGGAGTCCATGCACACGGAATTTGGTATCGACACATGAATCTAATTCATCGGCCTTGCCCATCATGACTGTTCCATTGGCATGCCATACTGGCCCTACTTGCTCTCGAATAAAGGTCTATGTACCCGTCAGCATAAGGCAGTCTCAAGTCGTGACGAAACTTACATTGATGTCTTCATCTGAAGTACTCTTGGGACCCAATATGTAGCCCTTGAAGTACTTCGCCAATGCCGAGTTCTCAAAGAAATTCATGCTCTCCCTGATAGCCAGGAGCATTGCTCTTCTATCAAACGGATGGTCCAGGAACGCAATGTCGATCAAGGGTGCATCCTTTGGATCACTAGAAGCTAAAGCGATCTGTCCTCGAGATTGGGGATTCATCAAAAACACAACGTCGGTAAGGTAAGCATGGCCCGCGGGCAACTCGTGTCCAGGTGGAAGCATGGGAGCACTCAATGCTGTTTCGAATGCGGGCACGGTAGGTTTTTCCATGTATACGCGGACATCGGCATCCAGCTCTTTATACTCTTCCGTCTTTTCCAGCTCAGGCAGCTTCAAGAAGCCTCCCCAGACTGTTCCGTTGTGATGTGATAGAGGCCCAGTTTTGTCCTTGAGCCACGTCTCTCGTGCTTCTTTCATCGCAGCAGCGTCGGCTTCAAAGGCGTACTTTTCCGACAGGGCAGAGCCCACCTCAACATTTAGGAAGACAATGGGGTGTTCTTGAAGATTCTTGCCAACTCCTTGCAGCTCGTGGACTACGGGGATATTGTGGGATTCGATTTGAGACACTGGACCCACTCCAGAGAGAAGCAGCAGCTTTGGCGAGTCGAATGCACCGGCTGCTAGAATGACTTCTTTCCGTGCGGTTGCTAGACAAGACTGGATCAGCATGAGCCTGCAAGGATTATTCTTTCTTCAGAAATTAATCATACCTATCTGTCGGTTCTCAAGCTCTACTGCTGTGGCCCGTTTGCCCTCGAAGTGGATCTTCGTGGCCGTTGAATCTGTCATCACAGCCAGATTGCTTGGAACTTTTGAGAGGTGAGCAGTTGCACTGGTTGTCCGCGTGCCTCGATAGTACGTCGCGGGGAAAACACCCAGTCCGATGGGGTTTCCTGAGTTGTGGTCGAGGTTTCGAGGATACTGTTGCGACTGTAAGCTCATGCCAGCAACGATAGGTACCCTGATCATTTACTCCAAATTCATGACCAGCGTCCAGGAAGATGTCGACACCTCTCTCCAGACGCGTTGGCAGTGAGATATCCACAGATCTACCTTCATGAGCCTTCCGGTCAACAACATCATGGAAATTCTTACCCTTCGTGACCATGTTCGTCCGACACTGGGTCTGCATACTCCGAATACGTTGCAGAGGCAGAGCTGTGGTAGTTCTCAATCTGTTGGGAGACGTGTTAGGGGCCGGTCGAGGACTAAGTCATTTTTGTTGAATGACTGACACTTTTGAAGATCTCCTTTGTGTGCTCCCAGTCCCAAGATTCATCACCGACGAGACTTGCCCACCTGTCGTAATCCTCCTTAGAGCCATAAAGGTAAACTGCAGGTTTATTCATCAGCATATCAGCAGATGGCGTTTTCGGGAATGATTTGCATACTCATGAAATTGAGTATACTACTTCCGCCGAGGCCTTTACCCCTGAGATATGGAATTATCCGGTTGTTGAGCTCCTTTTGAGGTACAGTGCTATACCCATGGTCGAGGTCCGGCCGCGTGAAGGCTGGAGTGTATCGATCATACGGAGACGAAATCGTGTCACCGGTTGGATTTCCTCCAGTCTCGAGGAGGAGGACCGAGGGTTTTGTTGGAGCATCTGCAAGTCGGTATGCGAGTCTACACCCAGCGGTGCCACCTAGCATCAATTAATGAGTCACGGATTCGGGAATCGAGGACAAGATCACGCACCACCGACGACGATAAAATCATATACTAGGCTCATCTTCAGGTCAAATTCACTTGAAAAGAGATCAATCTATCTGCCGCCTATGGAAAAGGTGTTGGATCTTCCGGAGCGCTGCCACCTCAAGTACGTTGACCTCTGACGAGGTAATCCCTGTTGCTGCCCCTATCGCTTGATGCCATTTGATTTGAGATTTCTCTAGAGCCATCCCACCAGAAACAATGGTCCACTTGCGCCCACCTGGTACCTTTGAGATCTTTAATTACTGCTTTGAGACTGTGGATGCAGATATCAATACTCTGGAAGTATTCAAATACCCGTGCTCGATGTCAGACCAGCGGAATGATTACTTCGTAGCATAATGGATATTGAAGCTGGCTATCAACGACGACGATTGGACCCCATGTTGACAGAAACCATCCTATCAGCACGCGATGAGCCAAACCAATTCAGGCCAGTGGTCATAGATCATTGGACGTTGATCCCAGCAGCATTACGCAGGATGAGTGGCAAAGGAGGCTGAAACCCGCGACTCCTGGAAACACACCTCGTATATTGTGAAGTTGACAATAGCGATTGAGATCTATTCCAATTCAATGCAGTTGCGACTTCGTCTTTCAGCTCAGCAAGATCCACCAGTTTTGAGCCATCAGCAGCGGGATTGTGATTGCGATTGTGTTGTGAAGCGGATGAGTAAACTTGATTTGGTCAGCCGAGTCAATGAACTAACGGTCCGACAAACCCTCTTTCGTCCTGATATTTCCGAAATCGGATTTTCAGATAGAGCCATCTCCTTGATTCGTGAAGGGCATCAGATGTATGTCAAATAAGCAGGCGTTGCTGTCAGTATCCAGGTGCCTAAGTGTACCGGATTGTTCCGCGAACCTCATATAGCTGAAAACTCCTACTTTCGACTTGAAATTGCCCAAACGAGGGCTCTAACACAAATCGCTACTCATGCAACTGTATCTAACGCGTGGTTTTCGCTCCCTGTGTGACGGAGAATCACCTCTTCGAGAAAAGTGAAACTTCTTCGCGAATTTCCAAGCACAAGGTTTTTCTTCGCCGAACGCGAGGCGCAATTCAGCAACAAATTTGAGGGTGGACGTAGCAGATTGAATGGAAGTCTCAGAATAATACACCCACTCGCTGTTCCAGATATTGTAACATAAAAGAACATATAGTCCATACTCTTCGCCATCCAGAGAATCGCGACAACAATCCACGGCGCGATCAACTTGGACGACTGTTATCTTCGACCTGTAGACGACAGTCTGCCATTTCAATCTAAATATAAGACCTAGATATGGGTCATACTGAAGCTGTCTGCCTCTGTGGCGCCTGTCGCATATCATACGATGCGGAGCCAATTGTCAAGGTATTGTTCGAAAAAGATAGCTTCATGAAGTCCGTACCGCTGACTCGTGGTCAAGTTTCGCTGTCACTGCGTCGACGAGCGTCGCCTCTCTGGCAATGGATTCTGCAACAACTATCTGCTAAACTCGGAGTCCCTGAAAACGGTGGAGGGGGGATTTAAGACCTGGGCAAAGGTGGCTGACAATGGCAACGAGATCACATCGCATTTCTGCGGTACGTGCGGCAGTCTAATCTACCGCGTCTCTTCAGGTCATCCAGGAACGTTTGTTGTGAAGGTTGGAAATGTCGACGATGACGGCAAGACAAACGCGAATTTTGTCCCAGACGTGGAAATCTTCACGAGGACTCGAGTTCCGTGGGTTCCCGCCGTCCAGGGTGCTAAGCAAGAGATTGCCGATTTTACTTGAGTCATGAGGCCACAGTGGTCTTCCGAATAATCGATTCCAGGCTCTTTTTCACGACTTCTTGGTCTCTAGTATCCAAACATTTCGTCGAGGAGAGTGAATGTATATCTGTGAGATATGATTTCGCATGCCTATTAATCAGTCCATATCACACCGAACAATGAAAGTGAAAGCCTTGTTCTGGTCTGAGCACTGATATACGGTGTTGCCCAACGGTATGCGCCAGGACGTAATCGCTCGACGCTCACAGCCTTGCATCGTAAAGCTCCTCATTCTCTGGGTAACGTCATCTCTGTAGTGTAGGCCAAAGTGATCTCAGCGGCAGTATTCAGAGCAAACGGGAAATTCTGCTCGTCGCCGAGTTCGACGACGATGATGTACGAATATCTCTTCGGGAGTGCACATGTCGAGCATAGTCGGGGAGTTTGCGGTGTGTTGATAGCAGTTAGTTAGTGACCAAGAGTTGGTTACGAGCCTCGGCCCTTCTCCAAGTTCCAAGGTCTGTTGGGGGCCGGGGGGGCGGTGGGCAATAGGAGAAATGGTGACGGACCCGGGTAACAGGAGGTTCTCTCATCGCCCAGAAGTACTTGCTCTTTGACATATCATACGAGCTATGTACATACCTACCAGAGCCAGGCATTGTGTTTTGATAACCTACTACATGTCCAGGCGCTCAATCTTTCGTTCCTCATCCTGCAGATGGCGCTGCTGTGCCATGGCCAAGCTTCAAGGATGGCTTCCATTGCTCTTACAGCGCTATTTATGAGAGGTCTCGAATCGAACGGCATTGAAAAAGGTTCTGGAACATCACTAGTTGCTCCCACATGCACATGTAACGGCTCCTAACGTCAAAGTCTACTCACTTCCGCTCCCGAAACACGCCGACCAGTACATGTCTCCGAGGGATATTTCTTCAGCTACTGGTAGTGCCAGCCTGAGTTACTTCTGCTCCTACCAATGATGTACCCCAAGTGAGGGTACCCGTGGGTTAAGCGAGCTCCGTCAAAGCGACTTCGCCTTGAAACAAAGTTAAAAATCTCGCAGGCTGTACCCAAAACCCCACCGCATCACCACTTCTGGGGGTCAGACACATGACCATAAACCGTTCTCATGGGGCCATGGTCAGCCATGCTGCCGGTATCGCTGTGGTGACTGGCGCTATATGATAAGCTCGAGTGCGCCTGAGCGCCTGCTGTTCTTTCTACTTTTTCCCTCCTACCTCTCCTTCCTCTGTAGTCTGTTATCACCTGTTCGCGGGCTTGGACGCCATTTGTAGAACCGCAATCGTTCTATTGCATTCTATTCACCGCACACCCCTTCGTATAAACTCTGACAGCAAACATGATCATCGCTCGCAGATTCTCCATCACGAATTTCGCCATTGCCACCTCGGCTCTTGCGTTCCAGGTGTTCGTTCTATACCCATGGCATAACAAACTTGACGAGGATTTCAAGGATCTGAAGCAGGAGAACCTGAGACTGATGGAGGAAGTCGAGAAGCACAGGGCCGCCGACTTGAAGGAGATCAAGGATGCATTCACTCGACTGAAGCTCAACAACCAGTGAGAGCATATCGCATGGAGTATTGTGAGATACCCAAAGAACGAGAAGAAAAGCAAGAACAGCGACTGGCGATGATAACCCAATTATCTAATTGAGCCTCAACCTGAATATCGATGGCCAGCGAGTCCTCACCATGCTTTCCCGATCGCCAAATCAGCTCCGAGCGCACGACCTTAGACCTTGCAATCCCCGGTCAGAACCACCTTCCATCAAGAATCAAGTGACAATGGCCATATACCTGTGACGTGCAGCATCAGCCCGGAACATGCCTAATCAACCTCACACGAAGTTCTCATGTCCTGGCGCTTTAACTTGCCATCTCTCCCTTTGATATGTCCAGATTTGGCACCGAGACCAAAATCTGGCTGACGGGACAATCCTTTGACGAGATGAAAGTTCTGTCGGAAACAAACAAGCGGGAGAAGCATCGAAACTCAGTTGGGCCTATCAAGAAGTAGCATGCCTGCATGGTTCTCGACGACTCGGAATTGTTGGGGCGAGCGACGCAAGCACGTATCCATGGTCGACACGTCTTTACGTTGATCCGAGGTAGGAGAGAATTCAGAACAAAGTCCAGTACGGTTAGGTCGAACGGATATAAACGGAACTCATCACATGGCGCAACCCATACAAGACGATAGACGGAAGATAGACGGAAGGGCGGCTTGATAGACAACCTGCTTGAGATTAGACCACCTCACCTGAACATTGGGTTAGAGGTAATTCTTTGGCTTAGACAATCGATTCCCTTGGCAGTCTGACAAAAGTGAATCTAACATGTTTCTATTCGCAGCGGATCTAAAACCAACCAGTCTATGCTAACTCACAAGTGTATCAAAGCATGCCCGCCCAATCATATGCCTGGACTGGTCCCAGTTCTTGTCTATCATCGGTCATGTAGACTTACATCAGCCACCCTCGTCACATACCTAGGTATACAACTAGTCTTCTGTGACTCAGATCGTGGATCCGGGTTTCTCAATCTAGCCAACACCCCTCATTCGAACGATAGATCCTTCCAGCTTTTTAACCAACACGATCCCTTCGTTTGAGAATTCGACAGTGACATGTGATAACGCTTCAGTGCCCATTGGCTTCCAGATCTGTTGTGACTGAAGAGCCCAGCACCGGGGCTGGGACCATTTCTCCCGAGTTGACTTTGATAATGGGGTTGGTGAGAGCAGTAGCCCCATCTGTTGTGCCAGCACTACCGTTCGAGGTATTCTGTACACCTTCTTCATCACCCTTTTTCGCCTGTTCGGTTTGCAGCATACTTGCTCTTCGCTCCGCTTCCTGTTCGTGTTTTTCACTGACATTGACGGCAAGGAAGCTCTTGGGCAGTTCGACGGTATTGAACTTCGCCTTTAAAGTTGAAAGAACTTCTTTCCAATCTTGGTGATCTGTCAACGAACGCCTTGACGCGCTGCCAATGGCGTGCTTAGAATCTAACGAGACGTCGAGTGGATCGACAGTGTGACATCCAGGAGAGATCGAGATACGGATTGAATAAGTCGACTCGGCTTTCTCCACATCCTTGGCTTCGTAGAGTTCGAAGCATATTTGTGAGAGGTAGTCCAGTTCGGGAATTGTAGAACGCTTAATTTTAGTATGAATCCCACCTTCCATAATGCAATTGAGGAGTGTATAAACGTGTGACTCTTTGGTGAAGTAGACGAAGGACTTGGCATCCCCAGAGGCTTGGAGTTCTTCCAAGTCATCCACGATCTCGCGCAAAAGTGGCAGTGAGGTCAAAAGTCCGATCTCGAGCTTTTCGTGATCACTGATTCCATACTCTTGAGGTCCGATGTAGTCGAAGAGGATCTTGCTATACCGATACAACTCTCTCAAGCGCCCCAGACGCTGGTCTTGTTTCGATTTGCTATCCCCGGAACCGCTGAAGAGCTTGAAATATGAAGCTCCTTGTTCGTAAGACGCAAGGGGAGGGGATGAAACTGGCTGTCTCATTACTGATTGTCTCCTCAGCTTAATTTTCTGTGAAAATCGATGGCCTGTAACCGAAGCCACACTATCATGGCGACCATTTTGCGCTGGAGGAGAGGAGTCGTCCGCCCTCTCGGATTCTGGCGAGGTGTTTGATGACAAGGCTTCTTCCTCTTTGGTCAATGCATCCAGGAGTGATTGACTGGGTGTAAAGACCCATTCGAGAAATTGTTTGTTGTGCAGTGCATCGTACTTCATTGTGTCATAAAGTTCCGAGATCTTACTTGGATCGGCTTTCTCTGTGTCACAAAATTCCGAGAAGAGCTTCTCCCAACGTTCCCTGAAGAGCTCGGCATCTTCGCCAGTACACCACCTAGACTGAATTGATGCAACCGTTACGAGCTCCTTGTTTTGTTCCTTTGCATCTTTCGATTCTGTTGATCCATTAATAGCAGCAAGTGATGCTGCTGCGCCGCCTGCGAGTTTCTTAAAGTTGTGTCGCATCACACGACGATGGAATTTGAGTAGATCGATCACCGATTGCATAACAACAACCGGCTCGGCGACATCCTTCGGCCAGGCGAATTCTTCAGGAACACTGCCCTCTCGAAGAAGGTGCTTAAGCTTCTTTTTGACTTTGTCCATAAGATCCTTTGCGGCATTCGAGTCATCTAACAAGTCTTTTCTGACCGCGATGAAATCTTCCGGAATGTCCTCGCGGTTCAAGAAAGCAGCAGCCCATATCTGCGCACTTGTCCTGACACGTTTCTCCGAACTGGTGAAAATCCTAACGTCTTCTAACACCTCCTTGTTGAGTAATTTGAAGTCATCTCGCATATTGCTTCCGAGGTCTTGTGATTGATATCTGGCCGAATGGGTAGGTTCACCTCCCCACTTCATGACTAATTGAAGTTTGTCGAGGATCAGGTCGTTCTCTGCGGCCGAAAAGCGTGAGAATGTAGTCCCCGAGATTGAATCACTCCTTGTCTGAATCCGGTGAACTTCTTTCGAGTCTGTGTGAGAGAGGGGATCAAGACCAGGTGATTCCAGAGGATCCGACTGAGACTTATCTGGTACGGATGCCTTACGCGCTTCATGGCCAGCTTCTGCTTCTTCTTGCGTACTGGGAAGTAATTCATTCGGTCGTCGTTTACGAAACATGGGTTTGATCTGAACCTTCGTTCCTGGTTGACCTCCTTTCTTGGCAAGAGCATTGCGAAGAGTTTTCAGCTTGACGGGATCTTCAAGTTTTTCTCTCTGCGCTGTTTTGACAGCCGCCTCAACGCTTGCTAGAGCGGCCTCGCCCTTGAGCAGGACTTCCTCGTGATGACCTTTCAGGAGATCCACAAAGACTTGGGAATGAGCAGTAAACTTGATTTTCTGCTTCGGTGTCCGATCGGCATGTCTGATAACCGTGACGACACCCTTCAACTTCCAGGAATGTTTCGCCATCGGCATGGGAGCTTCGGCTTCTTGGGACTCAAGAGTTGTTCCCGACACTGTTGCACTCGCTGTCAAATCAGGATCCGTAACTACTGGCGGAGGCAGCTCTGCTTTCTCAAGCACTGGGGATGGTAGAATAGACACTGTCGTCTTCTCCATTGTCGGGGGAGAACTCAGGGGCGTGGTCATTGCACTCGTCTTGGGGGATCCTGTGGTTGAACTTTGATGTCTGGAGGAATGGGGCATGTGTTGTGAAAGCTTCGTCATGCTAGGGGATTTGAGAATCGTTTTCAGGGCAGAGCGATGCGAGTGGCTTGTGTTCTGGCGGCTGTGGTGGTGAGAACCCGCTGAAGTCGGAGAGGGCTCTTCCAAGCTTGTCGTTTCTTGTTTGAATCTCTCAGAGATGAAAATCCCTTTCAAAATTCTAGCACAGTCATTGTAGTATGCCTCATTGTCTTTGACGAAACTCCATCCGTTGACATCAATGATGTAGCTGGAAGTGGTGGTTCTCAGCATATCGAAGCCACAGATTCTCTGTCCGAAAGCGCGGGCTACCTTGGAGGCCATATCTTTTTCGATATCTGTCAGATTGGTAACGTATCTGAGTTCTTTACCATGTGTATTTCTTCGCACCAAGCCATCCACCACGGGGGACTTTCGAGTTTCCGCATGGCAATAATTGAAGCCGACAGTGTAGGCCTTGACATCCTCGGCATTTTCAGTCTTAAGGAATTGCTCGTAGATGTAACTGCTGTCGGGTTCGGTGATGCATCTCGGAGTAATCAAGTCGGGGTCGAATTCAGAGGACTTGTTTCCAATTTTCCGAAACAATCGTCGAGCACCGCCTTCTTGACTTCGGGGGAAATAAATGATGACATTGTGGTCTTCGCCGTTGACGGGCTTCTCAACGAACGGTTTTTTGAACACTTTTCCATCAACAATCAAGGTATCACCATCATCAATGAGAGACACTTTGTTTGTTGGAGGAGTTCCCCCACCAGTGCCGTCTGGGGATCCTTCTAGAACCACACCGGTCAACGTTTTGACACGTTGTGCAAGATCTGCAGATTCGAGCTTTGGCCCCCCGTCACGAGTTACTTCGATCCTTTTAGGAGTCGGAATTTGCATCTGGTCCAGTATTTTCAAACAGAGTCTGCGATCCCACAAAACTTTCTGCATGCTGAGATCATTGACGACAAACGGTTTGCGCAATTTTACGTATGCTATAGCTTTGTCGAGTGGAAATCCATCGGAGAAGAAGGAAATCAGAAATTCACTATAATGAATCAGACCGACATTAATTTTTAGAGAAGACTATTCGAGGACCTACCATATTGGCCAATTGGCAACATCTGAATATAGATTGTCAGCTGGATCCAGGAGAGAGGCTGGTGTCTGTACTCACCTTCATCGAGTATTGCTTTGTCACCAAAGACAATGACTTCAAAGTCACCATCGCCTTGAAGGCGGGTCAAAATTTGGCGACTGGGTCGACTTCTCGCTTTGATGTCAAGAGCACAAACACCAATCCGGCCATAGGCCATCTTGTTCTCGGATCCAATACTGTCGTTTTTGGACGAGCCAGTAGTACTTAGGCGTCTGCTGGAAGACACGGATCTGGGATTTGTGGTCCTCGAGGTCCTTGTTGGTAGAGCGGTGTCCGGGGTATCGGTCTTTGTCGATAAGGCTGAAGATTGACCCACCGAGAGAGATGGTTCACTTCGTGGAGCCTGGGAAGAGGTGCTGACCTGAGAAGAAGTAGTTGAAACTGTATCCAAAAGATTAGGAATGCTTGGATCAAGGGCTGGAGGCGAGAGCACGGGCAGACCTGGAGCATTTGGAGATGAAGCAGTGGTGATCACGGTTGAGTCAAACGCAGTAGAGGTTTGAGCAGTTGGTGAAGCACCAAATGGAAGCCTATCGTCAAAGCTCTTGACCGAAGCAGGCGGGCTTCTTGGGACTTCTTCTGACTTGCGTTGAAATTTGATCGAATTCAATGACGTAGACAGTCTCCGATCGACTGAAGGTTTGGTGGAGGGCGGTGGCATGCTAATGCTAGAACGGTCTGCGGATGCCTTTGTAGTTTCGGCATGTGCACCCTTTCTGATGTCGGAGTTCTTGATTGAACCTGAAGCTAACAAGGAATGAGATGATGGGGCTCGTCCTGGCAGCCGTGGTTGCGGTGGCTGCTGACGGGAAGAAGTCGAAGAACCAGCAGAATAGACGGCAGTCAGAGAAGCTGTGTCATCCAAATCGTTGTCGGATGTACTGGTGGAAGTTCGCCGAAGAGGAGAATGGGAAAAAGAGTCCATGCTCGAACGTCTATTTCCTGATGGGATTATTGTTCGAGATAACTGAGTACCTGATAAATTTCTCCGCCAGAGATTGTCGGCCAGGGAAGCTCCGGTTAAGCGGCAGGATTATGTGGGCAGCTTGGAATGTGGAGAAGGTAGCTTGGAGGATTTGGAGCCAAGCACCCAATGAATAATGAAAGACAATAGGAGAATACGAAGACGAGGACCAAAGGAATAAGAAAGAAATCTATGACGGGAGCTCTATGCCTGGCAGCATATGTAGATGCAAAAGACGCATATTCTAAATCATCAAGGGAGAGGGGAAGTGAGTGGCATAGAATTTCTTCTGCTAGAATAGCCTCTTTCTGGGAAACCCATTCTTGCCGACTTATGGCATGTGCACACTGCACACATCGGCGCATCGCAGCTGCCGAGTTCCCCCTCCAGTCCCCAGGCCCCAATCGGTCACGTGGAATGACGTCAATTCCACCAACCGAATCATCCTTGTAAAAGCGGCAACTGATAAACCGAAGCGAAGAAAAAAATAAAGTGGTCTGCAGTCAAAATACATCCTGCGCCCTCGAAGCCATAGAAGCCAAAGAAGCAAGGCGTCGTCGGTGCTCTACACCCGATAACATGGCAGTATAAAGCCCGGCCTGAATTTGTTGCTATCCTATCAAAAATGGAAGGATCAGTTGAATATCCGGCTGCCAAAAGACAGCGCCGAGACGACGATGATTCCCAGACTTCACCACCACCACCTTCTTCCTCGCGTCTGTTTGCACCATTCAGGGTATGTTTTCGTTGGAGCCACAGTACTTGCATATTGTTGACAAATCTACTTCTAGACTCTTGGTCTAGTCTCCCCTACGAGCGTACCGTTCACGGCCGTTCCACTGGGCATAACAACCTTTCAGATCACCACCTCAATCGGCACTAGTCTGCAGACTTACGATCTTCGGAGAGGGCTCAATTTAGTCTTTCTAAGCCGTCCTCGCTGTCCAAGGCAGATCACTGCTACCGTTGCATATCGAGACCGAGTATTTGTGGCTTGGGGCGGATTCCAGCCAGGTGAACCTCGAGGCGTCTGGGTCCTGAAGAGAGGGAGGCTCATTGGAGAGCTGGACATAAAGGATGCTACTTTCCAAGAAGTACGCCACTTGATCGTCTTTGGGTCGTGGATTGTTGGCTGCGGCTCCGAAGCCATCGAGGTTTGGAAACTCGACTCCTCTGAGCATTACACAACTATTCTTCCTTCCAACCATCACAGTCGTCCTTCTTCGCACTCAGTCTTTACGGGCTTGACATGTACCCTCCCGACGATTTTGAACAAGATATTTGTCGGCAGACGTGATGGCCTGGTCGAGATCTATAATGTGAGCACCGGTAGGCTAGTTCATACGATCTTGGCGCCTTCAGGAAATTCAGGTCCAGTAACGGCTTTAAGCGCCACTCTAGCGCTGGGTTTACTAGCTATAGCATACGCCGACGGTTCTATCATAATCTTCGATGTCGAGACTGACCAACCAGTTCTTGTCTTGCAACAAAGGAATACTGCCAAGCCTGTGACCTCGATTACCTTCCGCAGTGATGGCCTAGGAGCAGGCGAGGATGGTCGTAAGGATGGTGTTATGGCCACTGCCAGTATTGAAAGTGGAGATATCACGTTTTGGGACTTGAATCGAGGCGGAAAGGTGGTCGGAGTATTACGAGGTGCACATGAGACCTCAAACCTGGCCGGTGGGAGTGGTATCAATAAGGTCGAATTTCTTCCCGGCCAGGCTGTGTTGATCTCTTCAGGAAAGGACAACGCATTGCGCTCATGGGTGTTTGACCAAACACCGTTTTCGCCGACTCCACGGCCCCTGCATTCTCGAAGTGGACATGCATCCTCAATTACCAAACTTCAGTTTCTTCCTGCCGCCTCTGACGGCTCCGATGCTGCTGGGAAATGGTTACTATCTGCTGCTCAAGATCGCAGTCTCTGGGGCTTCAGTCTTAGAAGGGATGGACAAAACACAGAAATCAGTCAGGGAGCTGTCAAGTCCAAAGCCCAGAAGACCGGGTTCGTCACCGATACTGCCTCGGGGGTGGAGGAATTCAAAGCATCACCAATCATCGATATTGCGTGTTCGCTGAATCGAGATGGCGGTATGGGTTCGGTAAATGGCCCTGTGTGGGCGAACGCAAAGACAGCAAATGCAGAACAAGTTGGCATGACTGGCTGGGAAAGCGTTGTCACCGCTCATGTTGACGATTCTTTCGCCAGGACTTGGTCTTGGGGCAGGAAGAAGGCAGGGCGCTGGGCCTTCGAAACAGGAGATCGCAAACATGTCACCAGTGTCGCAATAACCACATGTGGTACTTTTGCGATTGTTGGTTCCGCTGGCGGCAGTTTGGACATGTTCAATCTCCAGTCAGGAGCGCATCGGCAACGATATCCCCCACGCCTTACCCCGGCGCAAGCAAAGCAAGCCAAGCTACAGCGGGACTGCCCGGATCCAACGATCAGCCTACCACGGGGACACAAAGATGCTATCTCTGGCATCGTCGTGGACAATCTTAATCGAACCATGGTCACCACCAGTCTCGATGGCTCTGTGATTTTTTGGGACTTTTCAACGGGAAAGGTTGTAGACCGAAAGCACTTTGATTCTGCCGTGGCCACGGCCTTGCGCTTCAATCCGGTCTCGGGTCTCCTCGCTCTTTCCTGCGATGATCTCTGTATTCGTGTCATCGACATTGAAACCCGCAGGACTGTTCGAGAGCTCTGGGGTTGTGTGGGGCAGATTTATGACCTTTGCTTCTCACATGATGGCCGATGGATTGTAGCATGTTCCATGGATTCCGTCGTTCGGGTGTTCGATCTCGCAACTGGTCATCTGATAGATGGCTTCAAGACTCCCACCTGCACAAATGTCGCATTTTCAGATACCGGCGAATTCCTCGCGACCACGCACACGGGTAGCACTGGAATCAATATTTGGACCAATAAAGCCCTCTTCACCCATATTCCTACCAGGCATGTGGATGAGGAAACCGGTATCATTGATCTTAGCGAGACCGCTGAGTTTCAGGCAGCAAATCAGCTCATTCTTGATGACGACTTGGATTCCCAGGACGAACTCAAGAGAGACAGCGGCAATACGAGTGACCTTGAGCAACTTCATCAGAACCTACTCACGCTCTCCATCGTGCCTGCTTCACGGTGGCAAACGCTGCTTAATCTCGATCAAGTTCGACAGAGAAACAAACCTATCCAGCCACCGGAAAAGCCCAAGGCTGCTCCATTCTTCCTCGGATCCAGTCTCACCATTGGCGGTGGATTGGTAACAGATACAGCAAGCACAGTTAAGACGATCGACGAGACGGAGAGATCTCGCATTACTCGACTAGCCGCAGACTCGCAGCAGAGCCATCAATCCCAAATGTCCAATCTCCTCGAAAGATTTAGCTCTGATGCAATTCGAGACCCAACGTCGATCGCGGAGCATCTAGCCGCGTTACCTCCATCAGCCGCGGACCTCGAAATCCGATCTCTGACTCTAGACGAGATGCCACTTTTCATCCGCGCGCTCACAGAGCAATTGCGGTTAAGAAAATATTTCGAACTGGTGAATACGTGGATGAATGTCTTCCTTAGGCTACACGGCGACTTCATCAGTGAGGTAGCTGATCTGGGTGCGGCGGTCTCGGCATGGCGTGTAGCAATGGAGTCTGAGGAGAAGAGACTCAGTCAGCTGGTAGGCTATACCCGGGGCGTGGTGGATTTCCTACGAAGTGCAAGGTAGATGTTGTGTTGGAAATTGACAACCACGAATCTGTTAATTATTGGATGCCTGAGTCAGAGTTGAGCTGGCGTGATCTCATATGTATTGCTCACTCTGTGACTGGCGTGTCGTGCAACCAAAAATCATGCAAGAAGTTGGGCTACTGATGACCCAGCGCTCGTAGCGAAGCAGCAGATCTACGAATCCAGAATTATTCCACGAACCATAAGAGACCTGTCCGTTTGAGAATGATGAAGGTCAAGATGGTCATGCGACAAGCCCGTGATTCTGCATATCTTTGTCTGATACAAGATGACGTGTTCCCATGCCATACAATGATCACTTAGATCAACAGCATGCCACAGCGAGCAAACCTACAGCCCAAGTGTACCGATGAAGTGATATATTATTAAATTCACGTGCTCCAAAAGCCAATAATCATGCATGCACAGCGCCACCTGAGGCCACGAGTATTCTCTTGGAAGGGTTTTAAGTTCGCAAGCCTCAACGGCAATGGGCCAGGCAGACGGCAAAAACCAAAAACGTGAAATGCGAGACGCGCGCGTTGGCCGAGGTACTCCTGTTTAGGACTTTGGTCATGCTGCTCGTAAAGTTGAGACCAAATCGCATCATCGCCGTACGCTGGGCGAGCTAGGGAAAGAACTTATCACATCGATACGCTCTGAGATTGCCTTGCACGACACCCGTCATCAGGCATGTGGGCAACTGCAGGACTACAGTCATCGAAAGCGCACAGCAGCGCACACAAAGTGTACGAAGAAGAACGCATTTATCACAACATGCCAAGCAATCTAAGAAACAACGTGAACGAGTATTCGTATGTGGACGAGTAGGACCGGTAGGATCTGATACACGAACCGATGTACACATCTACGAGTAACTATCTCAGGCAGGGGAGGAGGGAAAGGGAAAGGGGGTGATCCTCGGGAAAAGCCACAAAGTCGCGCCCCCCAAAATAAGAGGAAACCAAGGACGAGACTAGAGTGCGAGGCTCCGGACAGCGGAATCCTTCAAGGCTCCGCATCATCCGCAAATTTCGTGGGCTCGTTCGCCTGCCAATCCCACCATACAGAGGTGATACGGCGTACTCTGTTCGGTTCTTCGTATGTCCAGGGACTCTCCTGGGCAACAGCGTAGGTCAGTTCTTCGCGTAGAAAAGTCCAAGAATAGCGACAGCCACGCTCCGTACTCGATATCGGTACTCGGATTTGACACGCACAGAGGTAGGGCACCTCTGACACTCGCAGGGTTGTCCAGCGTTATCGCCACTGGCCCAAAGGTCAGTTCATCAGTCAGCGGCTGTAAGGGGTGCGTGGATCGGACAGAGTAGGGTCTGATCTGGGTCAGACCGCGTTCCGCCTCTTTTCCCCTAGCGATACGATATACGACGAGGCTGAGGAGCATCCTTGAACATCGACGTCAGTGGGTCTTGATCGCGCTTACGCAGCCTCATGAGTCGACTCGCTTATTGAAAGTCTTGGGCGTTTGAGCTACTTTAGGTTGTTGAGCCTGGCTGGATGTAGATCCCTGCATTACTCCATCTGCGTGGTTTTTCGTCTAGGGCGGGAAGTTTTGAGGTGATTGGTACATGGATGTGATGGTATGGAGCGGTTTTGGCAATGACGCCATCACGTTCATGATGAGGGCTGGAAAATATGTGATGGGATGTAGGGTGTGACGCCCGCGTCGCTGGGTTGATAAACTCTAGATCTATGGCAACAGAAAAACTTGAATGTATCGTCGACAGAAAACTTGTTGGGGTATCTCAAACATGATGAACTCCACATCTCTCCTTATTAAGCATTGCTCTTCAAAACATGGTAAGGTGGTGACAGTCGTTTGAACCACGGGGGATCCACAAAGAGGAAGATTCTCTGGAGTCTTTTGACTTGGTCTTTAATCCAATCGAGCTGACCGTCCCGCAAGACGATCGGAACAGCATCATCTTCCGGTTCGGCGAACCGATAAAGTGTCACTAGATGGGAGTAGATGATCCAACCGCCAGACGCTGCCGTACGGACTTGATAATCTGTAAGTGGATCTGGTATTCGCTTATTCAGTCCAGTTTTCTCATCACGAGTAATTGTGTAGGGAAAGCTGATTGATTCAGCATTTAATGGGTTTGTTGGTACCATGGTATCACCAATATGAAATGGGACTGAGAAGCATACAAAGTCGACGAACTCTTGCATCTGGAGGTCGGTCTGGTTGAGCAAAGTTTGGTACTTGCGTTCCAGTAGAAGGCTGGGCTCATCGGAGATGGCCTGTCGGATAACTTGCAGGGTGTACATGCATCGAGTGGCATGCGTGGCCCACAAGTCGCCGAAAGCAAGTTCCTGCCAAACTACACAGTGGGGTCCGTAGAAGCCTGCGGCACTGATAGAGGGTGTGACGGAAGCTCGGCTGATGTAGTATGGCTTCCAGGCAGGTGTTAAAGTTTTGAATTTCCATTCTACCAAAAGAGTCTCGACACGAATGGCGTTCTCGATGATTTCTTCGTATCGCAGCCTTCGCTCCGACGCAATTAAAGACTCTGGGTCTTCGCGGCGAAGACTGAAGACTTCTGCTTGAAGAGCCGTCACTTGCATTGATATCAGATCGAGACTGCCGGCGGGCGAAGGCTTCGAGCCTTGTTGGAACATCTCCACCAACTCATCTGGAAATCTTTTGCGCTGTGCAAGTATATAATGCAGTAGGGAATGGCGTGTGCCATCTATCATAGACTTACTTGACGTGGTCAGATAGTTGGCGTCTGATCGATGTTCTATCAACGCTAGAGCGCCGTCCTTGTGTTTTCCGTAGTTCGGAATACCTGGAGTATAATGTAGAAGAAGAGTATCGTACAAGTCGAATATCAGAATGGTCATCAAGAGCTCGTCGGTCTTGCTTTCAGTTGGGCTGAGCATTGCTTTTCTCGTCGCAGCGATGGCTTTGGTGAAGAGGCCCCGGGGTAGTCGTGTGTCACAGCCTTTAAAACACCACATCATGGCGATATTGACTGCGACAGCTGCAGTCGCATTCCGTAGTGGAGAATCTGGTGCGGATCTGAGAAACATCGGCTGCCAGGCTGAATGAAAGCCCGCGTGGGAATCTGGATTAAACATACTTAGGCCATAATGACGAAAGAAGAAGCCCACTGCAGCCATCTGAGGGTCTTCCCTCAATCCTCCAGGGACTGAGCCTACCAAATGGTCAAATTCTGCGGGGATTTCGACAGACTGAGGCGAGTCTTCTACCACATCTTCGTCATGGGAAGGTGATAGTGCCGGTGATGGTGCATTCGATGGTGCCACTCCTGCCGAGTAGACAATCCACTGAAGCGGTCCTCTGCTGGAGGAAGACACGGTGGTGGTAGACGACGTGGGGATGAGTTCTGTGGAAGTCTCGCTCCCAGGGCTGCTAGATCTAGAAGGGGTTTTGCCCTTGTCATCCTTCCCGGTGTTCTTTTGCTTCTCTACGCGCCGAATGACGATGTCATTCTGAGATCGGTGCGCACCATCGAAGACGTCGGCATAACCTGGACAAGGCTGTTTGCGTCGAATACAATTGCTGCATGCTGGCCTGGATTGATCGCACTGAGAAATGTTAATGGCAAAACGATGAGGCATGGGTAAATTCACCTTAACTCGGCGGGTGCGACAAGCTCTACACCCCCCACTAGGACCGTTGTAGACCATAATTTTCTTCAGATAGCCTTCGAGCGTGCCAAGAGCAGATGCTTTGGTGTACAACTTGCCGAAATGGTCACTCGTTGCGCCTATCACATGCGCTACTCCGTCCATTTATGATATCTGGGATTGATGCTACCCAGGCACCAATGTTCTAGAAATTCAGGCATTTCTCATGATGCATCAGCCTCAAGGGGAGTAGACGCGGCTTTTCTGGGGCGAAAACATTGTGTGGGCCAATCAAGGTCGACTGGTTCGACATATATCGACAGAACAAGGATGAGGCTAAACTGCCGTTGATCGCATTTACGAGGAAGACGGGCGGCTATCGCTTCAGTAAGCGGCCAGGTCAAACTTCGAGAAAACGGTTCAGCCTTGCTGCGGAAGGCGGATGTCGCTGAAGCTCCGAAAATGCGAGATACGACGCCAAATCGCAGAATAGACCCACTATATTTAAGCTCTGGCCAATTGTAATGGATCGCAAGATGCCCCCATTTCGGGTTAGGCGCAGATTCCGAGCCTGACAAACAGACTTGAACTGCGAATTCGTCAAGGTTGCGTTGTGCGGCACACTCCGCCACGATATGAAGATGGAACAAAGCTTTGTGTTTCTAGTGGCTTGAATAACAGGCAGAAAGAATTGTGTATCGGTGTCACAATCAAACTGCATTCAAGCTAGGTTTCCGCACTACGCCGATAAGGGGCTATGTCGTGTTGATACACAGGATCGAGGTCTCATTTCATAGGGCATGCTTGAACAGTCGGAAGGATCAAAGCATTCCAATACCTTTGTCCATCTTAGTGGACTGCCCGTCCGCCCAAATTCGACTTTTGAAACAAATGTCCAAATTCCATGGAGGAACAATTCGACCGGTTCTTTGAGGAAGTGGGGTTGATTTCGCGTAGCATCCGTATCCGACTCCGAGTGCGAGCAGCAAAACGTGCAATACGGCTTTTGCATCAACCAGGCGAGAAGAGGGTCCGCATTATACCCGATTAGAGCATATATAAAAGCTTGTTTTAAGGATAATTTCTATCTTTAACTCTTAGCTCCGCCCGCTGTTGCACATCATGTACTGTACAGTTCTCAACAGCATCCGCGGGCCACCAGCATAAGCCCGACAGTCTAATCTCAATTACATCATTATCAGGGCCTTGCATGTCCACCGTTATCCTCTACATCCACTTGGACCCGCCCCCTTCCAACCACAAATCATGATGGTGCGTTGCCCGAAAATCTGGCAGCCTGGTGCCTATCCCCAGTTTGTCCATGTTTGCGACATGGAACACCTCTGTGCTTGGCTACCGAGTACTGGTGATCGTTCGCAACAGAAGTCCACTCATTCTCTGTGGGAGGAAGGCGCAGTCGTTGATGACATTCGTTTCAGGCCATACTGCTGATAATCTCTGTCCACGGCGCTGTGGAGTACGGACGCAAGGTTGCTTGGTATCTTTTCAGTATCCGAGCCATCACAACTATTAAATGGGGGCAAATCCTCAGATTAAGTATTCTCGTCTCTCCATTCTCTCACCAGGCTCTCCTTCAGGCACAACAGACAACAACAATTCTTTCTACGGCTCCAGTGCATAGTCCCCACACTGCCCCTTTGTCTTACCAATCATTCTAATCTTTTATATCCCTTTTCAACTCAGCAACCTCTCATTTCTTCAGGCTCAAAAGATTCAACTACCATGTCGGGTCTCAACTGCACAGAGCTGACTGATGTATGCACCTTCGAAGAATCAGTTTACGGCTACAAGCCCAGCCTGGGCGCAAACGCTTTCTTTTGTGCATCGTTCGGCCTTTTATGCATTGCTAATATTGGCCTTGGTATTCGATACAAGACCTGGAGCTGGATGATCGCAGTGTCGTTTGGATGTCTTGCGGAAACCATCGGATATGTTGGCCGACTCCTGATGCGAGACAATCCCTTTTCTGACAATGGATTCATTGTAAGTCCTCCTGGCGCTGTTCGCTTAGCAGAGTAGCCATCGAGCACATCTTGCTGGACATAAAGCAATATGGCTGACGAAAGGAATCCCTAGACTCAAATTTGCTGCTTGATTATCGCTCCAGCTTTCAACTCGGCCGCCATCTACCTCACTCTCAAACATATTGCTCTCTGCTTCGGCGACCAGTGGTCATTCATCAAGCCACGATTCTATACTTATATCTTCATCTTCTTTGATTTGGTTTCGTTGATTCTGCAAGGTGCTGGCGGTGGCATCGCGTCGACCGCCGACGATGAAGACCAACAACAGATTGGTGACAACCTGATGATGGCTGGTATTAGTTGGCAAGTGGTAGCTCTCGCCCTGTTTGCCGGTACTGCAGGAACATATGTCTGGAGAAGATGGAAGGCCCTGGGTCAATACCCGTTGTCATCTGAGGCAGCTTCAGCGGTTGCGAATACCAAATTTCGCCTATTCGTCTTTGGAGTTGTCACCGCATGGTTCACCATCTTTGTCCGATGTGTTTATCGTATCATCGAGATGGCTGGTGGTTGGCGCAACAGCATCATGCGTGATGAGGCTTCATTTATCGCATTAGAGGGAGTGTAAGTGATTTTGATGACCATCATGGAGATACAGACTGACCCTATCTAGTATGGTCTTGATCGCAGCCACTTGCCAGACAGTTTTCCATCCTGGTTTCAGCTTCCCTCGACTTGGAGGCTGGCTTCCCAGTTCGATACCATCAAAGACTTCTGCAGATGTCTCAATGGAAGAACTGAACAGCGGCGTTCAGCGAGCATAAGTGCCAAGAGATCGCAACGCGAAGTACAGTAGGATATTAAACAGGACCGAGAAGCAGAGATATAGCTACACAAGCACCCATTGGAATTGCATCGGGCACGGACAAGGGAATCGACTATTATAGAATATTTTGGGTCAGTATGGATACCACAGGAGTCAGAAACTGTACCATGGAAGGTCTTGTGATGTCACCAAGCCTTTGCTCTCGAGTTTTAGGAGTATTTCTTAGACTTACAATGATGTGGTGAGGATATATAGATGATTAGAGTGTACTATTGAACTGAGAAATCAATAGATGTTTCCCAATAAAAGAACATAATCTATTGCTCGGTATATCAAACTTGCGTGGTAGTGGGAGAAATCCCCTTCGGCTGAGCAAGAGATTGTCACACCCATCTCTCCTAGCTACCGCGAAATCTGTTCGCTAGCGTTCGGCTCAGGAGGGAATGAGTCGGCTCTTATCTTCAAGGATGGGGCTGACTGGTTTATTGGCAAGACCGCAGACGACCAGACGATATGAGAGGGTGCACGCGCTGATCACAAAGTCGAACGAAAGACCGGATTCGCAAAACAAGTTGAAAGGATTCATCATGGATCTCGTAACAACCATCAGAACCACGACTAGTACCACGGAGACTAAGGTCGGGGTGAAAAAAGACGAGGCTGCACTGAATGGCGAACCTTCAGCCGCTCTAGAGAGCCTGGCGGTCTTGGAGCAGGGCTACAAAGAGCCGATTGCCACGCTCTTGAGAAAACCTAGGAAAGCTTCTGGAACCCTAAAGATCAATAAACAGAACGAGGGCAAGGATACCCTCGTAGGTGGCGGTTAGACCCAAGGCAAAGCGATTATCGAGGCCGGTGGTGAGATTGGTGGTGCAGAGCAGACAACCAACTCCACCGATCAAACCAACAGCGAAGGAATCATCGGAGACAACATCCAGACTAAGAGCGAAGATAACAACAAGACCGCCACATCGGAGCTCGTTGCACTCTTGGAAAGCCATGTGAAGTTCACTGTTGCCCTTCTCGAAGATATCTGTGGAGCCAATCATACCACGCCCCCAGCCCCAGGTACCCCAGACGGAGTGAAGGAAGAGCTGGCTAAGGGTTTGAAGGACTGGAGGGATATCAACGACCTTTATGAGGAGTTGAAACAGGCGCCCAGCGGTGCCGATCCGGATTTCATCGCATATGGGACAAGCCTGCCTGAGGGCATGTCCAAGATCTTCTCCAAGCTAGCGGCTGATCTGAAAGCACAGCAGGACCTCGTATCCGCCCGGGACTCGAGGATGATCGAATTCGAGTGAAAGCCGGCAAGGCAGGGCGACAAGCTTAAACCCATGGGACGGCCTGCGTGGAAAACCAGACTCACTCACCACGACAGAGGGAAGAGCGTGTCGGAAAAGTTTGGATATTCAGAGAAGGGGATTTGGGAGCTTAACAGCGACCACCTCAGCTGGGCGGATGGGTAGAAGACAAAGCAGGGCGTCACGGATAGAAACACCGTCAAATACCTTCCTGGTCGCCCGAATAAGCCAGGGGATGATGTCCACAGCGGAAGTATATAGCGAACAGTTACCATGTCCCTCGAGGAAACCCATCCGATCGGCTAGACTCCTAATGAACTCCAGTTGACCTTCCTTGTGGCACCGAATAACAATGCACGAGTGTGAGATGCAATTGGATCTGTGGTCAAAAGCGGTTGGCACATAGTTCTTCCTGGAATTCCTCGTGAGATGAAATGGAAATTGGGTGATCGGAAACGACGAAACGGCAATAAAATGGGGGATATACCACGACTTGCGCTCCGAGACGAACAGAGATATCCTGCACTGGATGATAGAAAATGACGATACGGCCACAGGGCGAGTACAATATGACGACGCGAGTCTCTCTTCTCTTGCTTAGGTTGAATGATGAGTACCTTGATTCATCTGTAAAATGTGGAAGAACCTGACTGTATCAATGACAATCATGTCCTTCGGGTAGTATGTTATAGAAATACTCAATAGCAAGAACTGAATATTATCAACACAAAGCTCTAGAATACTTTGGGCGTTAAGGTACCTACCTTTCTGATATCTTGGGAAAGGAGTGATTCACCTCCGAGTAAGCAAGCTCGAGGACTATGAAATTGCACGTGCTTCGTATAGACCTGCCAAGGTATGGCGGGGCATTGAAAGGGTCAGCGGAGGAAAGAATGAGCACGCGCCTGGACGAGGAGGAGCATAGGAAGTACCCAGGTATGAAAAGGAAGTGTTAGGGTAGTGCTTGCCTGAAACTGGAATCATATCTGAGGCGAAGGGAAGCCTGGAATATTAAACTTCGGGCGGAAGTTCCGGGCTGAAGCACCTAATGATATCTCAGCTCCGGGCGGTAAGTTAGTTAATTGTTACCTTCTTCTTAGTTAGAGTGTCAAGCCGCTGCAAACGAAAGTGTGACCGAGGGGCGGGCCACCCCACCAAGGCTCTTTCCTGCGGTCTACCCCATCCACCCAACTAACAACAAAACTTGTCGGAATTCTCACATCCTTACTTGGTACTCATCACAATCTCTACATCTCATCTTGTCCTTTATCCGCGCTTCTCGAACTTCCTGGCACATCCTTAGAGACCCTGTCACCGTACTTGACCTGGACTCGCGCTCGAATCTGATCCAACTCGTCTCCCATACTTGAACATCCCCCAACTTTTCCCGACACCTCATTGCTTCAACATCCACCCCACCTCTAGAAATCTACAACCATGTCGTGGCAAGGTACGGCTCTTCTATACTCCTTCAATCGCTGTTCTGATCGCCTCTCTGAAAGTTGACTGACTTGTTTCCTCCATCAGCATATGTCGATACCAGGTATGACCACGCTCCATCTCACTCAAACATTCGACAAGATCAATAGTCCTTCCAAACTCGACCGCTGACTCGTTCATCTAGTCTCATCGGGACTGGTGATGTTGACCAAGCCGCCATCTTCAACTCGGAGGGCACATCCGTCTGGGCCACATCCACAAACTTCAATGTCACGCCGCAGGAGTTGAAAGATATTGTAGCGGGCTTCAAAGATGCCGAAAAGGTGCAATCCTCAGGCGTCCATGTTGCAGGTGTGAAATATATGACCATCAAGGCCGATGATTCAAGCATCTATGGCAAGAAGGTTCGTTCATCAGCCCGGTGTGGTCGAAGTAGACAAACGCCAGTCGAGTCCAAACTAACTCGGCGTTTTTATCATCTGGCTTACAGGGACGAGAAGGCGTCATCATCCGCAAGACAAAGCAGGCTCTCCTCGTGGCACACTACCCTGCAACCGTACAGCCTGGCACAGCTACGAACACGGTCGAGAAGCTCGGCGACTATCTCATCGGAGTAGGTTACTGAGCCGACCCCTGGTTGGCAGCATGATTGAAATGATTTGAAACGTCCCGATCTTTGGAGTAAACGAACATAAGCCCGTCGATATCAGGTGCATAAGGGATAGGGTTCACATTCGAATTGATGATGATGATGAGATAACAACTAGACGAAAATCAGAAGAGGCATGAGAATGACATTGAGATCACCCAAGCGTTCTGCTTCCTCCTACGAACGTTAGCAATCTATGGCGCAGGCGATTGACGCATGTGCCACCCATTTGACTTCTTTCTCCTTGTTGGCTGTAAAATCCACCGAGAAGGCTGGCAGCGAGATCCAAGAGACACATGTCACCATCGAACGGCGCAAAAGTTTCAATGGGCTCCTGATCTTTCTCTGCTTGGTGGTGGTAGGGAGGCCATTGAGAAACTCCTGCGTTCAAGAAGCGATTCAAATTCAGGATTTTTATTTCCCTCTGGTTCGGTCGGTTTCCCATACAGTGTCCCCTTGATTGTAGCTCGCATTACCATCACAACATACGTTTAGGTATCTGAGAGTGTCGCAGTCAAACACCACACCTCTAGAACCCATCTCTGTCATCAAGCAGGCTAGATAGATTCTAGTTACAGCCGGCCGAGCCCGAGCAGGGCCACCGAACGCGCCATACACGAAGACGAAGTAGAAATTGTATGCAGGAGGAGGAAAAAAGATAATTAAAAAGCCCAGAGTAATCGCAGCATGCATAACATCTTATGGAAAAACATGAAAAGCCCACCTCCCAATTTCGCGCTCTTCTTCGCATGCATGGTTGAACAATGGGAAAACACGCATCTATTGAGATTGTCGGGACCGGACCTCGAGTGCCAATAGAGAAAGAATCTCCTGATTCCGGCTCCCAAAAAAAGAAGGCTGCCGACTATCCATTTCCATTCGTAAGCTAGCTGCCCTGAGACTTGCCTGCTCCGAGACAGGGAAAAAGGGTCCCTTTCCTCGTAATTCTCCGCCTTCCTGTCGTCGATTACCGTCCTGTATGAATGAATGCAGGTATGCATGCACGCGTCTTGTTCGCTCCGATTTGCCATGCGTCTCCTCGGGGAGTAAAGGGACCCTCGAGAGAAGTTTTGGCATATTGATTAGGTGATAAATGTGTCGAGGTGTGAGAGTCTTGCTTTGGACTGTGTGATCGTGGTCGTGTTAATGTATGGTTGGTCATTGGGTAGTTACTGGCTGGTCTCGTCCAGTTCGTTCCTCGGTTCTCCTTGTGCGTCTCTACTATTCCCTTCTAAAGTTGTCGCCTCCGGTGGATACCTGATGGGTGAAGCGATCGTATCACCCCGTTGATTCTGCGCCTCCCTTCCTGCTTGGCCCTGAAGCTGGAATTTGACCGTATACTCCGGCGCCTTGAAATGACAAACAAAGGAGCGTCGCCACTCGTTCCATTTTGACTGGAACGACCAAAGTTAACAGCACTTCCCACCAACACCGCCCCCAGCTTGGTTCTGAGCAACGTTGACTCCCCCGGGGCCTGCACCCGCACCACCTGCGGCACCAGTATCTTTCGAACTATCGATTAGACGCTTCTTGATGTCACCGGCTAACGAGTAAAAGGCCTTTTCGATGTTGATGTTTGATTTGGCAGAGACTTCGAGGAAAGGAATACCTAGTTCATCGGCTAGGGCTTGCCCCTGCTCCGTGGAGACAGCGCGCTTCTCTTCCCAGTCGCATTTATTGCCAATCAAGATCTTGTTGACGCCTTCGCTAGCATGCTGTTCAACATTGGAGAACCATGTTCTTATGTCTGTGTTGTTCAATCGTCAGTCAGGTTATTTTGGTGGTGATTTTTGTTCTTGTACATACTGTTAAAGCTCTTCTCATCCGTAACATCATAAACGAGCAGGATTCCCATTGCGCCACGGTAATAAGCGGTAGTAATTGTTCGGAAACGTTCCTGGCCGGCCGTATCCCATATCTGCAGTTTCACTCGCTTGCCATCCAGGTCAATAGTCCGGATCTTGAAATCTATCCCGATGGTGGTGATGAAACTCGGTGTGAAGCTGTCTTCGCTGAAACGTAACAGGCAGCAGGACTTTCCGACGCCCGAGTCACCGATGAGAAGAAGTTTTATCTAGAGTTGAGATGGCATGGTTAGAGAAGAGAAGATATGCTTTGGCTTGAGTGGGGAGACGAGTGAATCGTGGAAAGGTAGGACAACGTGGGCGGTGTTCCTTACTAGGAAGTCATAATTCCTTGTGCCTGCCATGGCGAGAATCTCAGTAGAGAAAATGGAGGATGGATCAAGGCAATTGGTGTGATTGGGACGCAGTGGAAGTAATGAATGCCAGTGGGGGACTGCTTATGGTGCAGGAGTGCCTTATATCGAATGTGTTGGCGGAAGAGGGATATTGATATGCAAGAAGAACGGGAGCGTCCAAGGTGATGACTGCGACGAGTGCGATGAGACGTGCGGCGAATATTGTAGAAGACTGGGAAGATGATGCAGAGGGCAAAAATAGGGCCTAGAGAGCAGACAGGCAGAGCGATATAAAGATGTGGTAGTGGCAGCAGTGGCAGTGACCGGACGTAATGGGGAGGAACTCAAGGAATGGACACAGAGCCAGGGCTTGTCAGTCGTAGTAGTGAGGTCAAATGATGTCGATGCGGTAGAAGTACGGGAGCAGTTAGTAGTAGTAGGAGGAGTGGGACGAGTTGAGTGGTCACGTTGCAGTCTGGACTCTGTTGGCTGGTGGAGGTGAACGGTGGCTGGAGGCTGGTGATTCTGCAGAAGGTTCCCAACTTCGACTTCCAGGTTCCAGGTGTTTTCCAAGGCAGTGGGCTTTCGTTGTTTGGCGGTTGGTGGCTTTGGATTTTAACTAAAGACTGCCTAGCGAAGCCTATTCAACCGGGCCTGCAAATTAAAGAGGAAGATAACTACGGTGGACTTTCATCTAACCAAGCGTTGCAGAAAGCTGCCAATACTCTGCCGGATCCCAGGTCACGTTTCTGGGACGGGTGGAATGACGGTCATTAATGACGTCACTTAATTCGTTTCTTCTCCCACGCGCTGCGGCGCCAGTGCATCCTAGAAGACATGCCAGTGCAAGTCACACCTTTCCAGCATGCGACAACATCTTGGCTCTATCTGTGCATCAATGGCAATAATGCTTCTGGCAGCTCAAGCCTAAGTCCACATAACCCTCGCAACATTCAGTATATGATACGGCACTAGTTCTACCATGATCATGTATACTTGAAGAGACCCTCCCATCGCTCATCTCCCGTTGAGCTGCAACCCCAAGGCTGTCATTCAGCCTCGACCCCAAAACATGTCTTTCATCCAAGAGTGAGTCTCAACCCAGCCACCCAAAACATGGCTAACACCCTTTCAGTGACCTCCGTCGAGTCGACGCTACGTTGGATAAATTCCAGCTCAGAGATGCCGAAGAGAGGTCCGCTCTCGCAGCCTCAGAAGGTGTACACACTGCCGCTTCCGCCGAGGACGACCCACACAGTTTACAGCTTAAAGCAATTGTAAGAGCTTTGTCCACCACATCAAGTTCAAAAGCACTGCTGCGGCGTTCGAGAGTGAGGAGCCTGTTGGCACAGATTTCCGATAAGAGACCTGAATATGCAACATCTCAAGCCCCCTCCCCCGAGGTCTTCAACCTGGAATGGCTCGCTGTTGGCAAGGCCACAGCTCAAGTATACGGTCTGATCCTCGATTCACTGCTTGATAGGACAATACCGTTGAGTGAGTCTATCTGGTACTGGGATGATGTGCTTGGATCATACATAAATACGGCCCTCTACACCGTACAGATGTCCCCAATAAGATTTTGGGCACAAGCGAAGGAGATATATGCAGATGCCCGCGAGAAGCTCGCATCAGGACCAAACATTAGGACCTCAGCACAGGAGGCTACATCCACTCTGTCCCAAGGCTGGAGAGAGTTCTATGGCCTCGTTCAGAACAGTATCAAGGAGAGATCATTGGCCCAAGCACAGAGTAAGATTCTTTCACCTTTCTCGATAGCTCGCATTGAGGTACGGCGGAACCTTACACAGATATCGAATTTGAGGAGAACGAGTGCCACGACCATCGGAAGATTGGTCCGTGAATGTCTCGTCTTCGACGGGGCTTCAGAGGATAGGAGACGTGGAGCACTTCCCATTCTCATGGAGGCACAAGATGACGACTGGCAGACAACCATTGCAAGGACTGTCAATCTACTCGGAGCAGCTGCTCGCTCTCAGCAACATGAAGACGATGATGATTATTCCATCGATCCAGCGACCGCCTCAAGTTCTGAGGTCGCACATGCCTTGATCAAAATCCTTGACGATCATCTTCCCCAGCAGGAAATCCATGCGGATTCCTTGAGGTCGGCATATGGAAAACCATCCCGGCTGATACGCTATTGGATCCCTGCAGTTGGTCTTATCCTCTCCGGAAGTACATTACTTCGCATCGTTGCCAATCGGCGTGCAGAAATCGCGCAATGGTTCCGCGATCTCGGCCAAACCTCCATTGACTTTTGGGAGAATTGGGTTATCGAGCCCACCAAGAAGTTGATCGGCACTATCCGTCATGATGAGACCAGTGAGATCGCCATCCAGAGCCGCGACAGCCTCCAGGCCGACCGAGACAGTTTAGAGCGTATGGTCATCGACTTCGCCGTTCAACACCCAGAGAATGGAACTCATTTTACTGAAACGCAAATCGCCGATCTTAGGAGTAAAGTCAAGCAAGGCGATCTTACGCCCGTGCTTAAAGCCTACGAGCGCGAGATGCAGAGTCCTATCAAAAACGCCATCACTGGCGACCTCGTCAGAACACTTCTCATCCAAGTCCAAAAGACTAAAGTCGACGTCGAAGTCGCGATTGGTGGTATCGACTCCATACTGAAGAGCCAAGAACTACTCTTCGGTTTTGTTGGTGTAGCTCCTGGTGTCCTTATAACCTGGGCGCTGTTCCAATGGTTTCGAGGTGCGTTCGGGGGCAGGAAAGGGCTCCAGCAAGGTCAGAAAAAGGGCGAGGCCATTCGACTTATCAGGTGCGTTTAGTTCTATCATTTTCAACTCTCCCCACACAGTTCTACCCCTACCTTTTATTTCTTGAAAAATACCACCATTACTAACATAAACAACCCTGTCAATTCACAGAAACATTGACCGCACATTAACAAACTCAGATCTTGATGACGACAGCATCATCTCCGAAGAAAATCATGGGCTGCTCTTGTGTGAGGTACATCTCCTGCGCCAACGCGCGACACAGGTTCTCCCGAAAAACGTGCAGCGCGAGTTCCTCGAGGATCTTGATGATCTTCTCGACGTCAAGGGTGCGGTGACCAGACAGATCAACGCCCTAAGGCGTATCGAATGGGCTTATGCAAAGTGGTTCCAGTGAATGCCGAGCGAGCGGGATGGAAGATACTGGGGCAAGGAGACTTGGTTTGTTGCTTACCATTGCTCACAATCAGGAATAGACTTAGCCGGCCAGTGAGGTATGTGGTCTTACTGGCTGGAATCTGGCATACCAGAGCTTCGGTACTAGTTTGTGGTGTAAAGGCAAATACAGAATTGCTTTGGCACGAGACACGCGTGTAGCACGCACATAGAAAGACAATTAGCATACCGACGAAAGACCCAAGAACGAAGCTGGGAAAAAGAAGACTTGAGTCTAAAAGAATTGCACACAAAGTCTTTGGTAGAGTCTCACACGACGATTGTCACGTGGCATTAAATTAGTAGGATTCAATATGTAATAATTATACCTTTTGAATAAATGGTTCGGCGCACAGCGTCTGCGTAGCTTAGGCAGGAAAATGCCACACCGGCGCATCCACCCATCCGTCCTTCCTTCTCCTACACCCTCATCTGCTGCCCGCTGTCCAATCTCGAGCTTGCCTTTGACTGTGATGTTGATGTTGATGTTGATTTTGATCTGGATTGATGTTGAGTACCAGAATGTCGACTCCGTAGACTGTTCGGCCGGGTGTCATAACATGATGTGGCGTGGTATAGATTTCGCGGCCGTGAGGAAGAAGAAAACATTTCGGCGTTTTGCGTCATGGGAAGAAAGGTTGGTAATAATGGCCTCAAACGAGAGCTGTCCCGTGAGTTTGGGGTATGATGTTGGGCGTGATATGCATTTTTGCAGTCAGTGACTGGGGAGACAGGCCACTCAGACCTTAATAGTGTGTGGCCGAATGCCGTTGCGATATGTCGAGTCGCGTTGCGCTGGCGGCGGCGCGACGACTTCCGTGGAGGAAGAGGACGAGGCAGACCCATCGCGTTCGGTTGAGCCGCTGCGATGAGCAGAGTTGACGCGTTGTAAGCGCTCGATGAAGATCGAGGCGGTGAAATTGGCGGCGTCGGATTTACGACCCAGCAACGACATGCCTTGGATGCACATGTCGGCCTGCACCAGGAGTTCATCGTAGCTGGTGTGGTTGACGACCCAGTGGTGCACGGGGTCGCTGGGCTGATCCCAGGTCGACATCCAGTTAATGAAGATCTTGCAGGCGGAGCCCATGGCGCGCACGAGAATGTCGGTCCATGGCTCGGTGAGGATGGCGCTGCCGTTGCAAGCAAAGTGGAATTCGGAATTGTCGGGGAAGGAGGGTGCGTGCTCCGACAGCGATGCCTCGGCGATCCTGGCGATGGCGAGTGCGTTGTTCCGTCGCAGCTCCACTATCAGCCCGCAGCGCGAGCGCAGGTCGCGCTGTGGCTTCATCGTCTTTTCTTCCCTGTCGATGGATGCAATCGCGTCGGCCAGGAGGAGGCAACCGTAGTGCCAATGGCCGTCGAGAATGACGTACCATGACTGGACGTGTGGAGGTAGCTCGTTGTGTGCCGTGACACAGTCGATCATGAATTGCCCGTAGGTCGAGTTCCATTGTTGGTAGACGGCCAGGGCTTCCTCGATGCATTTCTCCAAAATCCTCGGGGCGGTCCGGCGAAACGCAAATGTCTGGAGCTGACCGACTTTTCGGAACATTAACACCTTGACCGGGATGGCCTCTTGGAGAATTAACGCCGCTTCTTCAAAACTGCACGGCCATCTGGGCGGCGTCGCGCGTGGTCCAGCATATTTGAAACCGAGCAGATAAGAACCCCAGAGAGCTCCTTGTGCTGCCTCACTTTGTGCTTCTGGCTGCCCTTTGCGCTGCCAATCGAGTCCGTTAGGATCATCATCAATGTTCAAGGCATTCATGCCTTCGTATATCATAGCGCAGTCTTCGTCGGGGATGACCAGAGGTCGTCTACTGATGGCTGAGGAGGTGGTGTCACACATCACACCCAGCCAGAAGAGAATGTTGAAAGTCTGTTGGTCCTTTAAGGAGATGGCCCTCATAGTAGGAATTGACGAACTCTTCGCTCGTGCTTTGGATTCTATCCTCCGATATTTCTCGACCTTACGCCTCCACGAGAACAAGTTTCGTACTGCGGTTTCCAAATAAATCGGGGGGGATGCCAAGGCCTCAAGGTCGCTTGCATGAAAGGGGTTCCATTCTTCATCCATCGTAGAGTCCATGGACATGGTATCGTCCAAATCGGGCCAGCTGCGGTTGGAGTTCGATGTACTCTCGGTCCTCGGCTTTTGGGGTGTTCTTTCTTGCACAGGTTTTGGGTCCACTGGCCTCTGGGTGAGGGCGAATATCATATATGCGAGGATGACTTTGAAGGAATCTATTTCACCACTGGATTGGATGGCGGCTTTGGCTTCATTCCAAAGAGTTCTTTGTATCATCCTCTCGCACTCACCAGAAATGATTGGGTCTTCAACGTGTGATTTCAAGGGTCGTCCATCTCTCGATTTTGCTTGCCAAGCGTTGATATGGGATCTGCCTTCTTTACTTCTCCAGAACGCATTATGTGAACTGTGAGACCATTGACTTGCGAAAGCCATAATCGCCGCATTGAGAGCTTGTGATGCAGCTCGATTTTCGTAGGCAGTCAATGGGCGGCCTCTAAGAGGAGAGAATGCTGAATCGAGGCGAGATACACGTGAGAATATGCGGTTATCAGAAAGCCGGATTGCAGCTTCCTCCGCCACCGAAGACGGGCTAGTTTGTCGTATAAGGTCGGAAAGTTCAGTCTCATAAGGACAGTTCTTTTCTGTAACCCAGCACGACAAAGATGTCTCAAATGAATCATGATATATGCGCAGTAATCCGGTGGCTATCATTGATTTCATAGCATTGTCAGCAAAGCGAACTTGGCGTGGAGAAAGAGGGGCTGAAAGTTGTCGTCGATTAATCGAGAACGATGTCCCATTGCTGGATCCTCGTCGCGCATGAGAGTTGCCGGAAGAATCCGATCTAGTACTTTCGTTGCCACTGGAGGCAAGTCTTGCGAATTTAGCTGGAGGTTGCGAGCGCTGGTTCTCATGCTCAGACTCCGAGGTTGCGGGAGCCACACTGGGTCGATTGTGAAGGCTGGTCTCATCGTGTATATTTGTTGCGGAGTCACAAGCTGTGGAGGATGAAGACGACGAAGTGTCGTAACGCGTCAGAACAAGAAATTCAGCATTGTTATGATGGTGTTGTCCTTCATGAAAGCCTTGGAGGGCCTTGCCAAGAACTTTTGTAGAGGTATCTCCCGGTCCGCGGCGATTAAGGGGTTTAGAGTAACCATTTGCAGCCAGGCCGGGGTGTCGGATACTGTTGGGTTCATGAGAAGCATTATCGGAATCGTGGGTTGTGTCCGTTGATGAATGAGACGGGGCTGGGTTTGGTATTCCGTTCCCCACGAATGAGCTATTATTATAGTGCGAATGATATTCTGCGTTGGAGATGGCGGTCGGCTGGGCAGCGACAGCGGAGTGAAGCGGCTCATTTATTCCCAGTTTCCGTTTGATGCCTTTCGGTAAGGACTGCTTGGGGAGTGTGCGGAGCCAGTCGAAGGTGCATTTCTTGCTTGTCCTTGCACAATTGGAGCAAGCATCGGTCAAGTATTCTGATGGTCCCAAATTCTGGTCATATCCAAGGGGAAAGTTGGCTACACGAAGAGTGGCTGCATCGCACGCTCTTCTGCTTTTACGGCACTGGTCACAACTCTGGTATTGTCGCCGGGAAGTCTTTGAGTATCCAGAGCCTGTGCCTTCAAGCTGAGCAAGTCTTTGTTCGGGACCGGAGGTAGCCATGAGTAGCTCCTCTGGTAAAATGACAGCATAACACGGCTGCAAGGACAGAATATCGAGAATACTGGAGTTGGAAGAGAATTCCGAGCAATGAGAACAAAGATTTGACTCAGAGGGGGGGGAGGAAGCCTAAAGTATCGTCGTGCTGGTAGCCAGTTCCCCGCTACGAATCAGTCAACAACAGATCAGGCCCAATCGAAGCAACGACACGACATGCGGATGAAGAGGGGGTGGTGACAATTCGGGCGGGTTTTAGTTGCAGCATGGGACCTTGGAGAATGGCGAATCGAAAGAAGGCTGAGCCATGGACGTACAGGAGATGCAGTCGTTTGGAATAAACAAGTTGGTTCGAGAGACCTTGAACAGCAACAATAAACACGGCCTGGTTAATTGCTCACAAGACTTGGAGAGCATGGTTAAGCCAATGCAACATGAGCGTTGATTTAGTTAACTAGGTATCATTTTCAGCCTGGATCCTGACGGCCACTCCCACTGGCAGTGACCAGGCCCAAGCTCGAGGGTGCTGGGGGGCTCCCAGGGCCCCTAGTTGCAGCCTATCAGTACTGAATCTGGTTAAGCTTTAACGTTTGATGGGGGGATTTTAACCCTCATCCGCCCGCCAGTGGGGAAGGTGTACGAGCCCCTTTGGCGCAGACCAACGTGCGCCTGACACCCCTACCCAGTTACAAGATGCACCGAATGGAGGTCACCAATCCTCTCGAGACTGGCAAGTGGGCACGGCTAAGGCCGCTATTCTAGAGGCGCTTGCTCTGCCTACCAAGTAGTGCGGATACGGACGACGAGGTTCGGATGCCACCATCGACCGACTCGACACAAATACGGATACCTGGAGCCCAACTCACGACTCACGAGCTATCTTGCGATCCGACGCAGTCTAGTTAAGCTTGCTCTGCGAAATCGGGTTGCGCCAAAAAACCAAGGGTTTCCCATGCCCGAGGCCCGGGCAGGGACGAAAGCAGGTTGCGGCGTTGGAGACGCCTAAATTACCCGGACAAAATTGGTGGCCACGACACCCATTGGGTGACCACTCTTGGTGGTCAAGTGGGGTGGTGACCCGGGAGTGCGGGGGATGATCACGCCTATCTTCTTCTCCGATGAATTGATCGCTCCGGAAGGGCCTCGGGCCCAGGCTAGCTCCTCAATGCCTACAGGACATTCCAGACCATCTTTAATGCGCAAGAACGTCGGTTGCCAACAACTCCGGCTTGTATGATTGGTTTCACTTGCATGCATCAAATGCAGATGGGACCTCCATCAGGCCTTTCCAAGCATTCGGGAAAGGCCTCGAGGGGCCCGTGAATATGACGAGTCACAAAAGTCTGATCGATCAAAGGCAGCCCGTGAGCCGTTGACAGATGCTGACTGCGGTTGACATCAGCTCTTCAACATCACCGAATCCTCAGCGGTGTCAATAATGTCACTCAGTCCGGGATAGTTGGACGCCGCTGCAGATTCACGCCATCCGAGCGGAATGCTCGGTATAGTAATATACTCGACGACCCAGGTACGAGGTAGCCTTCTTTTGGATACAATGCGACAGTTTCTTCGGCAACTTCTAGCATGCCTCCATGCAGGCTGTCAGTCCAGCACATTCCTCTCAACTTTACCTGACATGAAGATCGTACGCCTTCTCCTGTACGAGCAAGGTTTGTTCCGTAATGCATTCATTACCTTTTTAGTCCGCTCGTCTTAACCACAAACATTCGGTTGGTCATTGACATGCTCGTTCGCAGGCATCTCATATGTCTTTGCAGCCCATGTTGACAATTTTGTCGAGCTGAGCATACAACAGAGCGCCTGTCTCGATATACAAAAGAACCGGTACTTGGTCGTTCAAGTTGCCATTACTGGATTTGTGTATGCCACGAGGCACAATCACTCGAGATACCCGGCCTAGGCTGTGTTGTCTCAGCTGCCTCCCGTGTTGTGCCGGTCACTGTTCATGTAGCTTGTCAGTGGCTTAGATGTCCAAGGCTCTGCAGCCTGCAGGTACGCTTGATTCGCGGATGGGCTGGATGACTTCAGAAAGCTCTGCATCAAGCACAGATCCTCCTATCAGTCTTTGCAAAGCGCCACTACATCAAAAGTCATTCTCCGCACACTTCCCGCGAAGGATGGCATGCTCCGTGGATATACATGTGCTCTCCATCACTCTGGCAACCCCTCGAGACCCATACTGAACCTCCGCCATCCTAAGCTTCTGCGCATATCAAGGGTGGCATACCTTTGACCCAAGTGTGTCCCTATCAAAGCTGTTGTGCAGTCGTTTCGACGCTTTGCCGACTTCTGCCACCTAGTTCCATGCTTACAGCCGACGCGCAGTCAGGGTGGTCGCAGACTTCGCTTACTGGATATGGTTTCCACTAGTATCTAAGACGCCCAATCTGGACGGACAGGCACAACACTTCCAGACACAGACTAACAACTGAAAATTATGTATTCCAGTGGAGCCTGATACCCCTGCGACTCGTGTTACGAGGTAATCATAATGCTCAAAGGCCGTATTGCAAGTTACGACTCATAAATTTCTCTCAACAATTGCTCAGCCCGCACGCCCTGCAGAATGTGCGACGAGTCAACTACCCTTTTCAGGAAATGGTCCAACCATTTCAGGCCAATACAAACCGATAGAGGGTGTCCTCGCTCGTCTGTCCAAGAAGAAGCAATAATAGACTTCGAAGTGGCTTCTCCACGACATCTCTATGACGAAGTTTGAGGGCTCTCTTTTGTCCTTCGTGGCCACTTCGAAGCATTGAGCAGTAAGGTCAGTGAGAGGTCAACATCGACACCTTCTCTGCCACGCTGTCGCACATTTCGAAACCGTACAGGCTTGGGCGTGGTCCAGTTGTGGTGTGACGAGGAACCAAAAAGTACTCCTTACGCCAGTGGTTTTGGTCCAAGCAACTATTTCACCCACACTAGGACGTAGTACGACATACAGTCCAGTTGGGGGAATACTTTTTGATGCAGACTGGAGTTGATCAAGAGCTCATGCACCCCAATTGAGAACTCACATGCAGCGGTTCAGCCGTCAATCAATCAACGGCATGGAAATACCCTTCAAACTGCTTTTGATCCAAATATGTCAAGCCCTATATCACCACTCCACTGTGCACTATGGGAAACAGATAGATCTTCCAAGCGTGTTTCTGCGCAATCTTGAGGAGGCGAACGCGAAAATTGACACGAAATACCATACTATCATTCACGACAATTAGGTCGCTTCACCAGTACAAACCCACTTGACACCCTCATTCAAAGAACAGGTCATGACTCTTGCCGTCAGCAGATTCTGTAACATTAATCAGGGGCCGTTGGAGATAGCTTCATCCACTCTAATCATAATCATGTTCGCGGCGATAGGAAGAGTGGGACCGCATTGGGCATCAAAATTAAGCTCTGGAGAGCCATTTCCATCTCGTTGACTCCCATGTACGACGCCGGCAATCCAATGTCGTCCGAGTTCTGAGGGTCATTTCAGAACCTGGATGAGCAATTCATCTTTTCCCGTCAGATGTGTTCTAGAGATCCGAAGTACTTTACTGTATGCCATTCTCAGCAATAGCTTTCATCGCCAGCATCTTACAGTTTCATGGAAACCCCTAAGAGACCTAAGCTCAACGCCTTGTGGAGCGAGACCAATTGGGTTATGTCTCTGCAAACGGGTCCAACGGGAGTTGGATCCGGATCCTTCAACGACAACTAAGTTTCGAAAAGGCTTGACCAATGGCTGCCACTGGAAGGTGTTCCATGATTGTCATTTGTTCAAAATTCCATTCTAAACGCACCATTCTCTCGATATCAAGTGCTGACTGCCGCGGCCGAGGTGCCTGGTATGACAGCATGAGATTGGCATTAAGACACATTTGTGGTACTTTCCCATATGGCAGTTGGCCAATGCTGCTCACAAGCCGGACTACGGATACACAAACGCTCGCTCTTCGCTTAGATTTCGCTTCAGCACCATGCCGGCTACAATCTCGACCAGTCTTTCGCTTGCTACGGATACTTGTGCCGATCACAGCCGTAATTTTGTTTCACCACTGTCAAAAAACCGCTTTTATACCCTCTAAGGAAACGACTTGTGAATTGACGGACGTTGGGAAGGCGTTGCGCGACACTAGTTTCTTACATGATACATGGTGCTGCTGAGGACACCCCCCTAAAGGTCTAGGGATAAGCCTACCAAGGTAAGCTGCCGACTTGACAGAAGCCAGATTCTGCAAACCATGCAGTGAAGAACACACACCGACCCCATACCCAGATACTACGGACCATTTACTCATCAACGCACACCTGCCTACAAGAGTCAATTCGTCGATTTTTGGCGACTGGGTCAGCGGGTCTATCATTCGAAGCGTTTGTCTAACTTCGGATGACATTGGATCCAGTAATAAACTTCAGCTCCTGTCTGTTTAGGCCGACGATCTCAGCTCATGAACAGCCCTGCCTTCGTGCATGCGCTTGAGATACAGAACTGCGTGACAGTGTAATTCCGGAATCGAATGAAGATATCAGAGGGGAAATATGTTGCGCTTGAGGCAAACCGAGACAAACGTTGGAGCATGCGCAAAGCTCTGCCCATTGTGCGGCTTGATCACTCGCGCTCCTGCAAGATATTGTGCACCCTCTGAGTCCCGGAGGGATGTCTACTACACCATTTATTGAAGACAATGTAGGAATTGTACACCGCCGCATTGAGTGAGGGCCAGATTCGACAAGGACAACATTGAACGTCGTGGAGGTCTAAGTCTATCTGAAAACTGCGATCACTACCTGCAGCTCCTCGTCCAGTAGTCTTTCGATTCTCTCTCTCTCCTCCCCCCGGATCATATTCCCATGACAGTCACAATTCAGCCGTGTCTAAGTTGTACTCGCTACCCATAACACCCTCATGGCTCAGGCAGCTCCAGAGCAAGCGCAAGTGAAATCAACGATCAGTGTATATTTCCTCAATTGTGCCATGTGAATGTACTATACTGAGACCACGCCCGCTTCCTGTAAGTCACCGCCCGACCCAGTGGCATTCGTCGCCGCAGTCCTGTTCTGGTCTGAGCACGAGAATACTGTATTCGCGGACGGCGTAATATTTTTATACTAGCCTGTCGAACACGGTCACTGTCTATAACCATTCGGAATTGTCTAATCCATTACCATCTTTGATAGAAAGAATGCTAGTCTATTTGATATCGAAGATCTTAGGTAACGCCTTTCAGTTTTCTCGGTATAGAACATCTGCCGGATACGTACTCGATAGAGGGAATTTTACGCGATTTACAAGAGGACTAGTCATTAAATACAGATTCTTGCAATTTTCGCACTTCGACTTGGTTATCCGTAGTATTTCGTGAATGACAGCCGTCATTCACAGCTGGCGCTATTCGTGCTTCAACCCTCACAGTCCCACCGTACCTGAAATCTCGGCGTTTCATCGCTGTTTGGAAGGAAACACTCTCCGACTCAGCTTATTATTGAACCCGAAGCGAGCAAGAGACACATCACCCGTGGTGACTATTCAGCCATTACGTTGATCTGTCACGAGCATACCCGCAATCGAGGCGGAGGTCAACGTGGAAATAATGCCGCAAAAGAGTGCAGACAAAGCTACACGAGCAACATCGCCAGCTCTGGATGGAGCCAGCTGGGTGAGAACTCCTATTTGTACACCCAGGGAGCCGAGGTTGCCGAACCCTGCATGATGGAGACATTATTAGTATTTGCCAAACTACACAGCCGCAAGGACGTTTTCTCAAAGAGAAAAAGTGCTTACCGCAGAGTGCGTATGTGGCAATAAGCTGAGACCGGGGGCTCATGGAGATGTATTGTGGCTCGGTGGTCAGAGCACTGAAGGCCACAAACTCATTGGTTATGATCTTCGTCCCGATCAGTTCGCCAACTTTGCGTAAGTCCGGTCGAGGAATGCCGATCAAGAAAGCCACTGGGTAACAGATATAGCCCAAGAGCAATTGAAGAGAAAGGTAAGGCTCGCTGTCTTGGGTGATATTGATGTACCTGTAAAGGGAAGATAAGTCAGAAAATTTACTTCGGAGGTTAAAAGTAGAGGATAATACTGACCGTCCCCACCAGCCGAGCAGTCCATTAATCAGTGCGACTAATGCGATGATCGAGAGCAATACGGCAACGATCGCACCAGAGATTTTGATGCCTAGCCACGTACCCTTGGTGAAGGCGTGCAGCACGTTCGCCGAACGTTCCTCCTCATCATCTGGGATGTTGACGTGTCCTGAGGTCAAGGTCTCTTCCGTCTCAGGATACCTCAGCTTGGAGACTGCTAGAGATGCTGGGATCGACATAATGCAAGAAGATACCAGTGCCTGTGGATTGAGTCCCAGGGAAATATAAGCCACAAGCACGGAACCTGCGATCGTCGCGAACCCCGAACACATGATCTGGTGAATTTCAGCTTTCGTCAAGTACGGGATATACGGTCGGATCAAGATAGCTGACTCGCCTTGACCAAGAAACGGCGACGCTGACGCGACCACTGCTTCCGCTCCGGAGACCCGCAGTGCCCAAAAGAAAAGGTGGGCGAACTTCACCACCAGCCACTGTAAAGCTCCTAGGTGGTAGAGACACTGTGTTACCGCGATGAAAAATATGATAGCTGGGATCACATTGGTAATGAAGTAGTGGAGGTCCACGGTATCCTGAGAGGTGAGAAAGCGCAGCCCATCTTCGGCGTACCCCAGGAATGCGCGAGCGAGGTAGGAGATGAAGTTGAAAATGTCGTAACCGGCTTTGGTCTTGAGGACGAAAACGGCGATAATGAACTGGATGAGCATTCCACCGATGACAGTATGCCATGGTATCCTCTTGCGATCCCTCGAGGTAGCCCACAAGATGGCGATGAATACGAGTAGGCCGAAAATTGAGACTGCCCGGTTGGCCCGGGTGTTGTCAATGGACTCTTCTGGCACGAAAGAACCAAGACATATAACTGCAAGGGTCACGACTGCTGCAGACCACACGCGATACCTGGGTGGTATGCGGTTGTAGACCTGCATCGCCGTTCGATCGTACGTCCAACGGACCGGATGCATGATGTGGCTGATGGAGACAAAGTTGAAGATGATCCGCAGTGTGATGCAGAGATAGAGAAGGAACGGGATGAGCCAGCCATAGTCATAACGATGCAGTACCAATCCTGCGATCCACCATCTGAGAACGTCAGCTACCAGGAAGACAGGCAATCGATGGGAAGTAACATACCCAGTGAACAAGAGCCATATGAAAATCTGCATGAATATCTTCCATTTTGAGAAGTATTGGACAAATCTTCTCGTTGACCCTGGCTCCGGAGCATCACTCTCTCGAGAGCTTGATGTTAATCCTGCTTTCTCCACACTTGCTTCTTCCTTGACTAAGGCTGATTTGACTTCGGACGAATTGGCCTCGTCTCCGGCGATGCTGGGATACTGAGATTGAGGGTCTTCCCTGGTTGTTGTCATTTCTGGTGATGTGACACTCTTGTCGTTACTGGAGATAGGTCTCAATGTATGTGGCTGATATACCTTGTTGCCTGTGGGGAACTCAGCTGAGCTCATGATGATGACAGGACAGTGCTAAAAGCAGAGCCAATGTGACAAGTGTAGGGATGTGGCACGGGAGAATTGCCATGGAGCATTGGAGCACATATATGTCCATCACGCTATCGCCCACACTTGAAGAAGATATTTGTGAGCGGCATACTATTTTCGTTACTCCGATGGCTGGACATCCAAATGCAGCAGTACATGTCCGCGAAGGTGGGAGGAAGCAGATTGCACGATCGGCCAAAGTGAAAGGCCTTGATATCGTAGTCCCATAGACCAGGCCTCGACTCCGCGAAGCATATGCGCGGAAAGACGGGGCGTTGTCCATTGAGTTGCGATATCTTCTCAGCTACCTCTGATTTTCAAACAATATCGGCATCGAGTAACTCTGGACCCGACGAATTGTCCAATTACCCACGATGAAACGGGCAAGTTTCTCTCCCAAAAGGAGAAGATACAATCTCGAAGCGTCTAGCCTTGCATGAGGAAACCCGGGGAAAACACATAACCGCACCATACTTACATGTAGCGGATGTGTCAACGTGTGAATGTGCCTATCTAGGTGATTGCTAGCGCAGTCCTAGCGGCTCATGTCGACCAAGACTAACCTCAAGTCCTTCTTGGCCGGTAAGCAGCCCTGTGCCCGATCATCGTTGGCCGACAGCGATCTACGTCGGCCGTCCTCGGTATCTGCGTCTTGCCTAGATACATGGCAGAGGGTGCAAAGATCTAGATGGCTACACAAGAGCCCTCGAGGATCAGGTCAACCAGGATAATCCACAACCACTAAGAGAAAAGTGCCAACACGGGATGGCCAGCTTTCAAGGTCAGGTAGTGGTAATCACGGGGGCCGGCAGTGGCATTGGACGAGCCACCGCCGTCAAAATGGCTCAGTCAGGGGCGACTCTCGCTCTCTCAGACATTTGTACAGAGTCACTTTCCGACACTCTTCAAGAGTGTATCAACGTGAGCAAGGACTTTGGAGCTGAATGCTTTTCTGAACGTCTGGACGTTCGCTCAACGGAGGAGGTTGATAAGTTCGTGCAGAACGTGGTCACCCGATATGGCACAATCACACATGTCTTCAACTGTGCGGGAATAAATCCTACAAAGCTCGAGCTCGAGCAGATCAGCGATGACTATTGGCACCGACTCGTCGACACGAATCTGAAAAGTGTCTTCACCATGACACGGGCCTGTGTGCCGAACATGAAGTCTGGGTCGTCCTTTGTTAACGTATCCTCGGTCTGTGGTCTGAACCCGACTGAAGGAATTGCGGTTTACTGTGCTACCAAGTACGCAGTCATTGGCTGGTCTAAGTGCATGGCCCTGGAGCTCGGCAGTAAGGGAATTCGTGTCAATGTTATCTGCCCAGGGGCGATTAACACCCCGACCAACAATTCAGTGCGTGCAGGACCAGCGATGCTACAGTCAGTGGCAGAAACAATCGGTTTGAGGCGGGTTGGAACCGCTGAAGAAGTAGCGGATGTGGTGGCGTTCCTATTCAGCGACAATAGTCGATATATGAATGGAAGCGTGGTGGAGATTGACGGAGGGATGGGAATGCCCTGATTGTGAGTCCGCTGAAGTTGATATTGCGAGCGATACAACTCTCCTAACCTCACAGTCGATCAGTTCGTACCTTTGCTTAGCTTACTACGCAGACGCTGTAGTCCGAATTTTTCCATACTATTCAGTTAGATTCAATACCTTGGTTCCCGTACCTGGGCAAGTTCAACCATATTTCATATAAATTGTGAATCCTATCGCGGTTCGTATCACGAAAAGCTCGACTAAGAAGTTTGGCACTTCCGGATATGGTAGAATAGAAAAACCATTTAGGCGAGCCAGTACTAGCAGTATTGTTGAAAGGCATCGAATTTAATTCGCAGCTTCTCAAACATACCGGTTAGGACATCAATCTGATAAGTCTCATTTTATCGTTCTAGCCAAGGTTCTCATTGGTTGGGCGGCATAAGCTTCGCAGGGCTGTCAGCTATCCTACTGGCACTTATGCACTTTTGATTCTCCACTCGTCTACCAAACCAGCATAGTCCGTGGTGAGATACGGTTCGAATAACTCTTTCCAGAGACTGCTCTTTCTCTTATTCTTCAATTCAAGATCTCGCAATAGTAGATCAAGGTATGGAATTCCATCATAGACAAAATCAGGAAACCGAGAGCCGTAGCCGCCAGGACAGCGCCATTTGCCATACTGCGTGTGAAGAAGTGTGTCCCACTTGATCTTTTTCTTCTGATCCTCCTCGCTCTTGCAGGCGACAAGTAGAGATGGCTTGAAACCATCAAAATAAGCCGTCACCCATAGCGCCTGGGCCATTGCAATGTAGACGGTGCTGATAGACTGCACAATACCGGCAAATGCGATACTTCTCTCCTCATACAGAGTGGGAGGCACCATGAATCGGTACAACCGATAAGGCTCCGCCAAGGATTCACTAGGTTTGACACCTCCCATGGGTTTGTACCGTGAGTTGAGAGTGGGTTGCTTTCGCAAAGCCGGGAATCTCTCCATCAATTCAGCATCTACTTTAGCCACCGATTGGGGATCTGGATTTGAGCTTGATGTTGGGATACCCAAACTGAACTCAATGCCTTTCGGTAGAAACTCGATCGCTGGCCGATGTCGCCAGCCCGTTGAGCAGATAAGAACGTCGGATGGGATGATCGAGTTGTTGGAGAGATGGATCTCATGATCTCCGAGTTCTGAAATGTCGGCTATGTGGACTTTAATCATACCAGAGCGAACCAGATCGAAGAAGTTTGACTTGTAGTTTAGGATGCTTAAAGACCCGGCAATCCAAAAGATGTCCACCCAGGGTTGCAGCTTCTTGACCTCGTCATGCTCTCCGTAGCCGTTCGTGCGGACCAGTCGATGCTGCATATATCCCCAGTACTTGCTCACGCACCAACGTCCAATGCGAGTATTGTGCAAAAACCGACGCACCCAGCCATAGTTGTCTTCATTTCCCCAGGCGCAAGGGCTGAAAAGGCTAACTGCACGGGTGTGGACCAGGCGTTCCAACAATATATCCCGCTTCTTATCAAAGAATGCAGGTGACATCCAGACAGGACCATGTCCAGACTCTCGGATAATCCAGTCCACGGGAATACCTGCAGTTGCAAATGCATATGACGCATCCCATGCTGATTTGGTACCTCCGAGAATGGTTGCTCTTTTGGCGGACTTGAATAGTTGGTCAGAACGATCTTGGAAATCTTTGACATGTACCATGGGTGGCGCTCCATCGGTGTCACTGCCAGGAATTTGTGGAACAAAGGCGTCCGAAGTAAGACCTGTAGCAACAATCAACCTTCTCGTCAAGATCTGCTTGATCTTGTGGCTATTCTTCTCTGTGGTGGAAAGCAGCCAACCGCGACTGTCGGAAAGATGCTCAGCCGAGATGACCTTAACATTGAATCGGATATGTTGATAGATGTCAAAGTGCTGGGAATATCTTTTCAGATATTCGTGGACTTCGTCACCCAGAATGTGCACCCCATGCTTGACGTCCAAACCCGCTTGTTGAAAAGTGAAATCTCCAAATTCGTAGTTGCCTCTCATGTTGTTGGTCTTGAGTCCAGGATACAAGCGATGCTCAGCCCAGACTCCACCAATGGTGGGCTGGTCATCTAGAACGATCACATTTGCTTGTGGGTGGCACTGGTGGTATGTCTTGGCCGAGCAAAGGCCGTTCCATCCTGTTTGCAGATCATTTGATATCAATCAGTCTATGTAGCCCATAAATCTTAGGACAATTAAGACAAACAAGACAGAATGCACTCACCACTACCTATGACCACTAAGTCAGCTTTGTCGGTAACTCCTGTTGATGCCATGATGTCGATAATTTTGCTCCCAAAAATCTGGAATATACTATGGCAATGTTCATCAGGATTCGACTCAGATATACATTACCTCACAAGAGCTGTTGAAAGGACCGGCAGGAGGATGGTCTCGGATCTTGAGGCCGAGCCATGGAAGCACGAGAGGCAAAGTCAGGCCATTTTTCTCATTAAAGACTTGCGCGGAGCCAATTTGAGATATTGCGATTGGCCATATGGTCTAGATTGCTCAGGCATCATGAACCCCGAGCGAGGCCAATGTATTGGCGATGAACACAACGCTTACAGAGCCCTCGATGCCCGTTCACAATGCTCAAGGTGTGCATGAGTACCAAGATTATCTTCGTCCAGTCTAAGGAGCGGTGTCCCGTCCGCCGGAGATCGGCCAACAACCAGAACGTCGATTGGTTCCTTGGCCGATCAACCTTGTTCACCAACCGCCGAGGCAGCAATACTATGTCAACATCATTCCCCAGCTGATATCTTCGCTCCTTAGCTCGAAATGGTCGACATCATTTCCCGGGGCAGAGGCTAAAAGAAAGTATGCAGGTTCTCACTTCGTACCGTCATGGGTGGATGGCGTGTGGAGGCCCCTCGTGGCCAGACAGCCTCATCTGCCCTGCTAGGAGCGATCGCCATCTCAACGCCCAGGATTTATACTGGAGACTAGGTAATCATGTGGGTCCCGACAATTTAGGACTTGGTGACTTTCCAAGTCATCAATACCAGAGGTACAAGATGGTTACGGCTTTACCTTTTTGCTACAGCCTAACGATTTACGTCACAAGTGGCAAGTAAATGGCATCCTTTGCATCACGTAGGACCGAGGAGACCGCTCCAGATTCTGTGTGATGCCACATGATGAACAGAATATTCTATGGAGAAAATTTGGCAAGCATCATCTCAATTTTTGTAAGTTTGCGACCATTAGCCAATGCCATTCAGAGCTTCGCGTGGCCTCGAGGTGGTGACAGCTTCACATAGCCAGTCTTTTCATCAGCTTTTGCCATGCATGATTCCAAGGTGAGCCAAAATTTGTTAACATCAAGGGACCGTGGAATGAGAACCCCTGGCGTGCCTTCTTTCAACTTGGTGACGATGGTCCGGCCTTCTTCCAAACCAGACAAAACCACATCCACGCTCCATCGCTCGCCATTGTTGTCGTCGAAATCAATGCGGATTTCTGGATCAGGATAATCAGCTAGGATAAGAGCGACCGCCAAAGGATCGTGCAGAGGAGCTCCATCGTCCATGCCCCAGGCATCTTCATATGTGCCCGCAACGTAGATGAAGAGTTCGTTGAACATGGCCCTTAATCTCGTCACACCCTTGTTGCCATGCAATAACAGTTGCCGGGCTTTCTTAGTCGTGTACGCTTGGTGAGACACATCCAAGGGAATGAGGAATGTTTTCTGCTTCAACTCAGGTATCAAGAATACACTGCGAGCTGACTCAGGATCCGCCCAGACGTTGAACTCTGCAAATGGTGTGTAGTTGCCACACCGATCCTGGGTCTTGCCGCTCTCATCAACATAAGGGGGCCCAAGATATATTTCGGGCGCGAAGCCGTTCCCGACTGCTCCCCCCATGACACTTAGTCCCTTTACGTGCGCGGCAACTTCTGGATACATGGCGAAGAGGAGAGCAATATTTGTGAGCGGCCCGACGGCGACTAACCATGCAGAATTTGGCGGACAGGACAGCAATGCGTCCCGCATAGCATTGACAGCGCTACCAGATTGTGCTTTGCAAGTTGGGTCAGGTAGTAGTTCGGTGCCTGCTAAACCACTTTCGCCATGCACCTCAGGCGCGGAGCGGATTTCCCGGCAAAAGGGAATACTGGCTCCAGCATAGACAGGGACTTCTGTCGCCCCAATGGCCTCGAGGACACTCAATGCGTTCCTAGTGACTTTTCCTAATGGTGCGTTTCCGTTAACTGTGCTAATTCCTAGTATTCGAAGCGCGGGATGGTAAATTGATAACAAAATGGCGCAGGCATCCTTGGTGCGTAGGTTAGCATTCCAGAGCATCTAAGTATTGATCTTCCGCAATCAGGGACTGTCTCACATCATGTCCTTCGAAGCTGGTCAGAGACATGCGAACTATGCCTTCGCCAATAAGGAGATCACATACCTGGGTCACAATCCAGCCATAATGGGATTCGGACACCAACACCCTCGGGGTTCGACATTTGTGAAAGGTGTTTTGTTGGGCTATGGTTATTGATTCGGTCGAGAGTTCCCGATCTATTGGCGGTCAATCTTCGAGTATCGTTTGAAGATATAGTATTCTCTCTGACATCCACAGGATATACAACTAGAGCAGGTCTTCTTGTAGCGCATCATTGTGAATTTGGGGAAGATCATGTTGCATTGCGCGAACTTGGAGATATCAAGTGTTTACGGTGGGCTGATCTAGACTAGGGTCGAACTGACGCCTCAGGTCCCACACCTGAAGACTGCATGATACAGATCGCAACTTTACCACGGACACAAAGTTTCACAGGTTTGCTGGCCGGATGCCGAAAACTTCGGCGGAACGATGATAGTATCGGCCAAGCTAAACATGCTTGTAGTGAACCTCGGGAGTGGCATCACGACCCTGTTGACGGCTTGTCGGTACTACGAGTTCCAATCACTTGTCGTCTCTTGGTTGTAAGAGGGAGTAAAATTCAAAACAAGCCTTCTATATCATTTCCTGAAACCGGCTCATATCTCCATAGAGCGCAAGACTGATGAACATTGAGGCGTTGCTCGTTGGATCACTCCTTGTACTCGGCAAAGCCAAGTTTTGGCACGTGTCGTGTTAAAGAGATTACATGCCACCAATCGATCAGTGCAAGAATTCTTCGTCAGCTGCATTCAAAGGCTTATCTCCGGATAGTACCTGAGACACATGGTCAGGGACTTCGAAGCACTTGTCCAGATCTGCCAATGGCCAAGAGTTGAGTCGGACGAGCCCTAGCATAAATAGCGGGCTATTGTGCTTGTACTGACGCTGCAGACTGCCAAGCCACAGTTTCCACAGACTTTTAGCCTTTGCAGCACGTGCTGCGTTGGGTGCCTGGACAAGGAGGAGGGTAACGAAGTTGGACATGGCGGCAAGGCATAAGCGGATCCCTTGACAAGTAGCAATTCAGCAAATTATGAACGGTAAAGGAGAAACGGCTGTATGAAACATGGCCCATGATGACTTACATCCATACCACAGTGAGTCAAAATCCTCATGACCAAGACTCTTAACGAAATGCGTGACAATGCCACCACATTTCTCTGCGACGTTGAGTGTCGCTTCCAAAGCGGCACTAGAATCAATAGCAGTGGCTGGAGGCAGCTGGTCAAGGTCGAAGTTGCTGGTGAAGAGATCTTCCCAACTTGTGCGATCTATTAAAGAGAGGTAGTCTTCGTCTCCCTCGTCTTCTTCACCACCGGTAATAATAGCTAATGGCGGAGAGCGAGCGATGCTTCTTAGTATTGCTCGGTACAGTAGGACTTCGGCTATGAGATAGCAGAATTGTAAGACTGCCACTCCGTCTTTCGCTGGAGATTTCCAAGACGTCTGCCGCACTGGATTGTTGATGTTGATTCGAAAATGATCTGGGAGGCTCGAATACCATGACTGGAGCTTTACGCGAAGAGGTTTCGCCGTATCAATCGATGCTTGAAAATCACAAGAAAGGTTCTGGGAAGCCTTGAGTGTGCTTCGAGTTGACCGTATGATTAGCTTAGCCGGGAAGATATGTGGGCTGAAGAAGGGCTCACTAGAAGTTTTGGTAAATCTCCGACACCAGGATAGTTAGACGAACGACATGTGGGAATATGCACCCACGACCATTACTCGCCGTTGAGACAGGTGGACGGCGAGACATCGGAGGTGGAGCAATATTGTGCACGAAGTCTGTATCATCAAGTTCGCCAACATCCCACTCATTAGTATGGATGAATGGCGGCCGTCCTGACAGGAAGCTTCTCCAAGTATCTTCAATGTAGATTGCCCACCACAGCCTACGTCTAAGACGCTTCTCCCAAGTGGGAATGCCCCATCGGCGGCACTCAAGATGCAAGCCCAAAGAGTTGGAAAGACCAAGAATACTGGCCCAAAAAGACCAAGTCACCGGATTATCGTTCAATGCTTGGGTTCTTCCACTGGGAGGTCGCTGCATGAATAACAGTGCCGCCTGTACTACAGCCAGTTTGGGTCGGTGAACGTTTTCCGTTATGAGGCCGTAGACCATGTCCCATAGCGCATCGACGGGTAGACCATCAAACGCTGTTGATAAGTGGAGTGACGGTTCATGAACACAAAATGGAAATGCACTCGCATAAATTGCCGCCAGAAGCATAACTGGGAAACCAGAGAAGCCATTTGTAGGATTCGAGGTGAGCAGATCCGTCCGGTGGCGAGAGACTATGGGGAGTTCAGGAAACACGAATTTGAAGTATCTATAACGGTTATAGGTTAGGTTGTCTGTGAAGTTCTGGGGAAAATATCATGTCTCAAGAATGATCTCACTCACAAAGATATCAACTTTAACCCCATTTCAGGAGGGATCAACGCATTTAACTCCGCACGACGCACTTCTATAGATTTGACAGGCGTTGTCCGAGTTCCTATTGGCTCATGGAAAGAGTCGTTAACAACGGTAAAGTGCACCGGAACCATAGTGTTGACGGGCACTCCACCGACATTTCGAATACGGATCTTGCCATAAGATCGCATACCGACATCGTCGAATTTGCAATGCCTGAGAAGCCATGGATCGAGCTCGGCTGATGTACCACACAACTGTACATTGGACTGGTCCAGTGTTTCAATTGAGCGGACGTGTTGGATGCCAGGGTCATAGAAAGGAACTGATATGGAATCGAGAGGAATTTGTTGTGGAATATTAGCAGGCTCAAGAGGTCGGAAGCCGTGATTTGGTTCGGAGAATGTCCAGAGCGGAGATTGATTTTGTTCATTCTCATTAAAAGTCACTGCGCCAGCCAAAGCTATGGCTGAACCAGGATCGGTGACTCCATATGAGCCGTTCTCCTGCTGTCCGTCCTCTTCCCCCACAGGATATGCAGCTTCCATGTGGAAATCATCAGGAGGGCCTTGACCATTATCACCGACCGAAAATAAACATAGTATCATGGCTATCTACTTACCAGAGGTAATCTCCTCCTGACGCTGGTGGCGCAATCGAGTGGTAGGTGGTGCGATGAACGTACATTGTACGCCCGCTCGTTCACAGGACCGACAAGGTCGACTACCAGTGATGACACAGGCGGTCTTCCGTGAGCGACAACGGTCACAAGGTCGCTGCCTTCTTGATCTATGAGGCCGGGCTTCGTTGTCAGACATCACATTGCGAGGATAGGTAGTGGCGGGCTCAAAAAGACGTGCCAGAGGGCAAAGCTGTCCAATGGATTGCGGAAAGAAACAACGAATTTCGAGGTGCTTCGCCTGCCCATAGAGGACTGGGGCCAAGGCTGCAGAGCCGAGGCTTAACTAGTCGCCCCTGAGCTCGCACATACCTAGGTAAATTTGGAACCTGTGAGTGCCTGAAGCACCCAGAACTCGAGGCGCTGCATACCTCAACTCACTTTTAATTGCGCGACAACTTGGCTACCTAAGTCAGTTAGGTACTTAACTAGCCAAATATTTGTTCTCCTTTTAAAGCCAGCCTCGCTGGGCAACCTCACTAACTAGAAGCATTTCTACCAATCCCTCTCAAACCACGATTTCTGGAGCAGAAAAAGACCATCTCGCTGCTGAGCGCTCAATTCCTTCAATAATAACACAATGAACACCCCGACCGACATTAATTTCCCAGACCCTCTGGTAACGACCATCTGGCCCTTTAAGCCCAGAGCTGCCTGATAGGTCCGGCCAACATGACTCCACCTTCGGCGAAGGCTGGCCGATTTTCTGCCCATATCTGTATGCCGTCTAGCAGATTCATTACCTAACTAGTGATCATATCACTCGGATATGAAGACGCGCGTCGTTGAGATTGCACAATCACAGAGCACATGGAAGTTGTGTACCGGTTGATTAAGATGCTATAGACGATAGGACACTTCGCATTACTTTCTCTGGGTCCCGCGACCACTACTTACGCACACAGACAAAAAACCAAGGCTACCAGATACCGCTCAACTAGACTACAGCTCGGGAAGTAGTGAGTTATGAGGACAAAAAATAGCTGGATTTTAAATATTTCGACATTTCAGTATTTCCACATTCGTGGTCATCTCAATCAATCGTTCTTCGACAGGAGAACGGACGTCTCGTGCGACAACGACCCGAACGCGTCCTAATTATTGGGCAACACAGCTATAGATGCCAAAGCCCTGCATTCAGAGTAACTCTCGTAAGCGGCACCCTCTGGTACTGGAGTAGTTATTCCACTCCATGCAGTGAAGCGAAACCATCGACCAGCTCCTGCAGATCCGACAGTGGATTCTCTTGCATATCTCTCAGAAAACATCTCGCCTTCTCCCGAATTTGTGGTGAAGACGGGAAGCTTTCAGTTTTTGGCGTTTTTTGAACGTTAGCAAGTGCAGCCGATCGATCTTTCAATTCTCCAACCCCTTTTCGTTCTCGTTCATGTTGTTGTTCGGCTTCGAAGGCGCGCTGGAGATATGCGCTGAAGCCCTCCAAGGCTGTGACCCCTACAACGCCCGTGGTGGCCCACCGCATCATTTCCGTTTGAGAGGTTTTCTCGGGTTCTGGGATGCAACACTCTGGAACTTCTTCCCATGATCTGTCGTTGAGAAGCAACAGGACTCTGTGAGAGAGGTCATCAGCTGCTTCTCGTTCGGATTCCGTAGTGGCGCCAGATTCCACACCATTGAGTTCACCGGGTCCGTTTGCAGCCCCATTGGTGGACAGGTCGTGGCTCGTCGCCTCTTTCGGTTGTCTCCCTCACTATACGACTTACGGACACAATCAGTCTCTCTGATCTGTGCGTTAAACTCGAATCCTTCGCTCAGCATTGTTGTTGCAGGAGCCATCAAATCTTGAGCATTTTTAAACCAGGTGCCGTGCCTGGTGAGGTTGAGCCATGATGGATGTTTAGTTGCACTCTTCTGTCCCCGTCTCCTTTGGTTGGCTCGTCGTAATGCTGTCTCAGCATTCGAGATAGCCCGAGCTCTGTTGAGCTTCTCTCGAGAGACGACAATTTGTGGTTGAGCTTGAGCTTGAGCTTTGTATTTACTTTCATGTTTGCTGGATTTGAGATCGAATGCGGTGAAAGCAATGAGCATTTCTAGCATGAACATACCACCCGACCAGAGAAATAAGGAGAACATATTGAGGGTTGTGGTAAGGACCAAGCCTCGAGTGGCGGGATTCAAAGTCTGGGGATATATTTGCATTTTGATAAAGGAATACGGCAAGGTGACATTAGTGACAATGCCAAACACTCCGTCGTTTGTCAACCACCAATGGACGAATGACTATTCGCAAGAGTTGACAAAGTGTAGGATCAATCAAAGATTAGCATGCTTTATTCCAAGTCATTCATATCGATGTTGGGTTGGTTGTATGAACGGGAGAGAATTCCACCCCAAACACAGGGGTGGGAGGTTTGGTTGATAAGGCGGCCATAACAGGCATCTATTGGCTACTGTCTTCGATGAGACAAGACAAGAGAAGAGACTGAGGCTGGTGATATTTCTGAAAGTACACAGATCTCGAGGGGGGAAAAGTAAATATTGACGAGGTTGAATTGTGAGTGTATCCTCAAAATGAATATTTGATCACAGTTTCGACTCCGATCGAATCTGGAGATCGTATCTACTCAGATCTTTGATACTCTTCTTCCCCATGTTGCCTAGCATATTATCGGTGTCAGCCAGCAAGCACTTGAGGACATGCTCAACGCCCTCCTGACCACCCATCGCGAGGCCATACATGTAGGGCCGACCAATCAGCACGGCTTTGGCACCCAAGGCCAAGGCTTTGAGGACATCACTTCCAGAGCGAATGCCACTGTCGAAGAGGAGGGTAAGCTTCGACTTTTGTACCCTTTCGTCTGCAGCAATTTCAGCTAGCGCGTCTAGCGATGCGATCGCACCGTCACACTGGCGACCTCCGTGGTTCGAGACAATAATGCCGTCAATTCCGTAGTCGATGGCTCGATGAGCATCTTCAACCGTTTGAATGCCCTTGAGAACAATGGGTCCATCCCAGAGTTTCTTGAGCGTTTCGAGATGTTGCCATTCGCGGTAAGTTCCGCTGTTCAACACATCTAGCCAGGCTCTCGATTTTTGTAGCGTTGACACGTTGGCCAACACTTTTGCAGCGCCGTAGATAGACCCGGGCCGCTGGACGAGATTCCACAGCTCTGCCAATTTCTCCCCGGAAGTTCTCGTGTCGTTCTTCAGTTCTCGCTCGTACCGAGCGGTGAACACTGGATCTGAAGTCCCGACCTGACATCCATCACCCCAGATGAACGGCAGGTAGCTAGTGTCGAGATCTGTTGGCCTCCAAGCCAGATTGAAAGTGTCAAGCGTCACGACAAGTACCTTGTAGCCATTTGATTTGGCTCGGTTGAGGAGGCTGGCCGTTACTTCTTCCCACTGAGGCCGTGGCCAGTAGAGTTGATACCAGCGATCGCCGTCCCCGTTGGACTCTGCGACTTGTTCTATGGTCCGGGTTGCGGCGGATGACAAAATGTAAGGAACTTTCACATTGTTAGCCGCTCGAGCTGTGGCATCTTCGGCATCCTTGTGCATGATCTTTTGCACGCCGACAGGGGCGATGAGTAGTGGACTAGAGTACTTGGTGCCAAATAACTCAACACTCAGGTCTCTGCGAGTCGCATTGACCAACATGGATGGCCTGAGACGGTATCGATCAAAAGCAGATAGATTGGCGGCATTGGTCGTGGCTGTACTGGCTGATCCGTAGACGTAGCCGAAATTTGCTGCAGGAACCTTTGACCGTGCAAGTCTTTCCCATTCTGCCGGCTTGACCGAAAAAGTTGGTGAACGAAGGGAGCTGTAGATTTCACGCTGATAGCCGGATGGAGCGTCCGGGTCAGGCTCGGTGTATGGCTTGTTCAGTTGCCAAAGTTCTGTCTTCTTAGCCATTTCGATCGTAAATTCCTTGATGATGGTATGAACACGTTCCAGACACTATATTTTCTTGTTCAGCAGTGTTATTTTGAATGGTTCTATGCGGATGATGTATGGAAAGGAGCTTTCAATGATGCTTAGGTGGGGAAACAAGTTGCCGATCTATAACCACCTATCAGGTGCCTATCTAGTTAGTACCGAGGTTGGTCATTCCTCCTTACCACAATTATGTTCCTCAAAATTGGTCACAATCGAGGAGGTAAAAGAAGTGCAGGTCGGCTATGGATGCTTAACGCACCTGTTATATCTAAGATTTGGGATAGAAAGCCTTAACGACATAACTCCAAGTCCCCAATCAGGTAGCCTTGACCAAGAGAAGGTTATGTCATCAGTATATGCCCTGAATGAGATAGACTCAACGAGACCATAAAGTGCTTAAATGCACAGGGATCTATATATAGCTCGTATTAGAGTGAAATCTAGCTTAAGTCTAAGCAGTGAAGCCTAGAGCGTGACTTTAGAAGTCGGGCAAGGCTACGAGGCTGCCGGGCGGAGAAATACGAGGCTCGACGTACGTCAGAATTTTGGAGAGCCAGCGTGGTGTGAAATGTGTCCCAGTCTTTGCGTGGTTTAACCACTACCACGGCCAACAAGCTCTTGTACTCGGACGAGACTACAAGGGCAAGCTTTGGTCACAATGAGTGATCTTACACCATCATTGTCGTCGATATTGGTCAAACAGCATTCTGCGAAGCCCATCGCAGGTCACTCCGACTATGGCGCAGCCAATCTCGACTCGTTCTTAAAAGAGGCATATCAAATCGTATGGCGCTTTCCACAATTCGGAATGGTGGAAGCTTTATCAGTACTAACATGGAACGCTCCAGAACAGGTCTATCTCCTCACTACTGTCCTACCTACGCGCGATTCGCACTCCCTATCTTTCGACCGCGCCGCCTGCACGACAGTCCAGACGACCGCAGTCAGTAGCTGCGCCGATTACGGGGTCAACAAATACTCTGGCGGATATCCCCGAGCATCTTTCAGATTCACAGCGGGAGGCAATAGACAGCCAAACGTCATCGGTATTACGGGATATCAATAATCACATTGTCAACATCTCATCTGCAGTCAATCTGCAGCACGAAACGTCTACCAAAATTCTCGAGAAGAAATATGGCCAGCCAAATTCAGTGCTATGGCGTTGGGCGGCTGGGGATGGCGATGCGCCTGATGCAGGGAAGCCAGAGGATCAATTGATGGAGGAGGGAAAGGTCAAGATGCTCAAATCGATGCGCGACGGAGTGCTGTGGTACTTGGGGAAAATGCTCAAGGATGCGGTCACCGCGCAGCAGGAGATGGTGGAGAAGCGACTGGATCGAGAACGAGAGAAACAAATGAGCGTTCTCTACGACCCGAGGAACAAGGGTGTTAAAGCTAGGAGCGATTTCGAGGGCATGCTGGATGGAGCCGAGCTCAAGAGTGGGAGAGATCTACGAGGGCACGACAAGTACAACCCAGCGCTGGACGCGTCTCAAGGTGGTGAGCAGGAGTTGACCTCTGAGCAACTACAGTTATTCGAAGAGGAGAACAAAGGCATCTTTGAGCATTACAACGACCAACTGGCGAAAGTGACACAAGTGGAAAAGAGTCTCCTGGAGATAGGCAGTCTACAACGGACACTTGTTGGTCACCTGGGAGTGCAAGGGGAGATGATTGAGCAATTGGTGCAAGATGCAGCTACCACGGATGAAAATGTGCGAAAGGGCAACAAGGAGCTGAAGAAGGCAAGTGAGAGAAGCAGTACTGCAAGATTGGTGTTCTATGCAACGGCAGGGTTCTGTTCTTTCCTCGTGGTTTGGGACTTGATATTCTGAATTCGGTCTGAGGATCGGAATAACGAGAGAACAAAGGCATCTCAGCTAGCCAGGTCTCTACATTCGATATCACTAGTACGATTCGGAAGGGACCAAGACCTGTTCCCCAGATTTCAACTTGTTCCGATATCAGCCGATCCGGCTCCATGGAAGGATGGTCATTGCAGGTGGAGCTGCCAGTGTCTGGAAAGTGGGGAAGCAAGTCAATGGCAATGCCAGTGGATGTAGAACTACAGTGGCGTGCATTGATATCCATCACGTTACTACCTCAGTATATTCATGAAGAAACGGCAGCTTTGTGTAAGGGGGCACGGTGCCTGTGCAAGGCTGGACATTAACAGGGAAAGACCGAATGGAGGTGAAAAATGCTGTCAAATCGGAAGTCGCGCAATTATGCCTGTCGGCGATGATTCATGTCCATGTTGGGTGGAGAAACAACCTCGGCATGATTGTGAAGTTGTCAGGCACAACTTGAAGGTGCAGGTACCACGGGCAGTTTCTAAAGCACGCATTGAAGTGAAATATAAAACGGAAGGAGTGACACCACAAGTTGGAGTGGACTGCCGGAATTTATTTCTTCCTCAGTGCATCCCATCCGCCCGCCCTTCCACAACTGTTGTGACGCTGAGGCAAGTGCAGCCCGCCGCCCGCTCCGTCTCCCCGTGCCTTCCAGTTAGCAACAGTCCACTGCCCACTGCACCAGCTGTACACCCCGCCATTCACCTTGCTCCTGCCAGTTTAGCACGTTTAGCCACTGCAGCTGCAGCTGCACCTGCCTTGCCTGTCACACGTTTGAGAAATCTATAGCGTACTTTTTTATTCTTATTATTATTATCATCGATTGCACTTCCCTTCAACCAGAAATGCCCTCACCGCCTGACCATCCCCCCGATACTTCTTCAATATCCAATTCACACTCATCCTCATCTTCATCCCCAATCGCCACCACCGCTGCCCGTCTATCTCAACTCACCAACCACACCACCCAATCTCTCACCATGGGTTCTGCAACCATTGACACTCTCTTCACTGAGAGTGTCGTCCCTCAGGCTCCAGAGGACCCTCTCTTTGGTCTGATGGCTGCTTACAGAAAGGATACCTTTGACAAGAAGGTCGATCTTGGTATTGGTGCCTACCGCGACAACAATGCAAAGCCTTGGGTTCTGCCCGTGGTGAAGAAGGTGTGTACCACCCCCGCGCCAGTCCAGCACTATCGCTCACTCCTGCTGCACAGGCCGACGACATCATCCGTCAAGATCCTAACCTTAATCACGAATATCTGCCCATCGCAGGTCTTGCTGAGTTCACCTCCGCTGCTCAGAAGCTCATTCTGGGCCCCGAATCTCCTGCCATAAAAGAAGGCCGCGTACGTGCCGCACTCTCTTTCCTCTCCCACATTCTAACATGCCCTCCAGGCCGCTTCATTGCAGACCATCTCTGGCACAGGTGCTGTCCATCTGGGTGGCCTCTTTCTTTCCAAGTTCCTTCCCAAACCCACTCCCACCATCTACCTCTCTAGTCCTACTTGGGCAAATCATAATCAAATCTTCTCAAATGTCCACCTGCCCATCGCCAACTACCCTTACTTCTCCGCAAAGACAAAAGGTCTCGATTGCGAAGGTCTGCTCAGTACCTTGAACTCGGCCAAAGAAGGTTCCATTATCCTCTTACATGCCTGTGCTCACAATCCCACCGGTGTCGACCCCACTCAGGACCAATGGAAGCAGATTGCTCAAGTTGTCCGAGATCGCAAACTCTTCCCCTTCTTCGACTGCGCTTACCAAGGCTTTGCCTCCGGTGACTTGGCTCAGGATAACTTCGCCATTCGGTATTTCGTTGAACAGGGCTTCGAGTTGATCATCGCACAGTCGTTCGCCAAGAACTTCGGTCTGTACGGCGAAAGAGCAGGTGCTTTTCACTTTGTCGCTGCGCCTGGCTCCCAGGCCAAGGACATCACAAAACGCGTGGCTTCTCAACTCGCCATCCTTCAGCGCTCCGAGATCTCAAACCCTCCTGCATACGGCGCACGTATTGCAAGCACGGTGTTGAACGATCCCAAACTCTTTGCTGAGTGGGAAGGTGATCTAAGAACCATGTCTGGACGAATCATCGAGATGAGAAAGTCCCTGAAGGCAGAATTAGACAAACTAGACACCCCAGGTAACTGGGATCACATCACTGGTCAAATTGGCATGTTCAGTTTTACCGGGATTAGCGAGAAACAAGTCCTTGCTATCAGAGAGAAATGGCATGTCTACATGACCAAGAACGGCCGTATCAGCATGGCTGGTCTAAACACGGGCAATGTCAAATACTTTGCGGAGGCTTTGGATGATGTGGTAAGGAATGTGAACTGATTCCGATCAGGGGTCAGAACACTAGGCAGGTCCGCTGTTTTTCAGTTTTCTTGAAGACGATCATGATGGTGACGAGGAATGATGGATGAAAAGAGTGGAAGCATGTACATCACCAATTTCGATTTTAACCACGCACAGCTATCTCTTTCTTGAGGAGACAAATAGCGGGATGATCATGGGGATTTTCTTCTTGAGCGACATTGCATACATCTCGCAATGGTAGACAAAACGTGGGAGACAGAGTGCGAATGATTTTATCCAAACTTGCCATCAAAATATCACTCTTCTTGCTGTTTACGAATATCTTGCCCAATATCACAGATATACCATAATCCGACGTGTACACATATCAAAATGTCAATTTTGACTGTGAATAGGGGATGCTGTCATGTGACTTCGTCGGCGTCAAACTCGTTAACAAGGCTCATTTTTCAGTCAGATGCACATGCCATCAATTCACGTTGTGCGTGGTACGCTGAAGCGGCGGATGCCACCTTAGACGCATCTCAAACTGTGTACGAACAGGGTCCTACTAAATGCACCCAGAAGCCACCACCAGACAAACCGATATATATCCATATCCTGACCCAACATTATGTATGCCCAGTCCAGGCCAGCACGCCTCCCTGCTCATTCATCATAACACATCATAGAATGTTGGAACACAACGTAACGCCAACGCGAAGAGCACTCGGCAAAGGCATCGCATCGGTTCATGTACGGCGAAAAGCAACATCAGAACCAACAGTCGGCACCAAATCACACTCAACCCTTGATCTCGCCGGGCGTCATGACCGAGACGACACTGGTGCCCTCTGAGAAGCGGGTGCGGAAGACGCGGTTGGCGTTCTGAAACATGCCGTCCTTGAGCGAGACGACGATGAACTGGCTGCCCTTGAAGCGCGTCTTGATGATGCGGCCGATGTTCTGCGTGTGCGACAGATCCAGCGCGGCGTCGACTTCGTCCAGGATGTACATGGGCGCGGGCTTGAACTGCAGGAGTGCGAGGATGAGCGAGAGGGCGATGAGGGATCTATTTTTGGGATCATGTTAGCATGGCATGTCACATCTGAAAAACTGGGTTGCTACGGGGAAGGGAGGGAGGGTCATAATGTACCTTTGGCCACCGCTGAGCTCCGTGAGACTCTGCTTCCAGATCTTGCCCAGGCAGACTTTGACCTCGAGACCTTCCTGGATGCGGTCGATGTTGTCGTCAAGCGGGACCAGCTTCGCCGTGTTGTTCCCGGGCAAAAGGTCCGAGAAGATGTTGCCAAAGTCCTCGGTCACCTGGCGCCAGGTCTTGAGCAGCGCTTCCTTCTTGTACTCGTCGAGCGTGGTGATGGTCTCCTCGATCTTCTTCTTGTCGCGCACCACTGTCCGCAGCATGTTCTTCAGCGAGGCCTCTTTCTTCTCGACGCTATCGATCATCGGCATCACTTTCGGGTTGATCTTCTTCTTCATCCCCTGGAACCGCTCTTGCACGTTCTTCAGTGTCGCTCGTGACTCCGCCATGTTCTTCCCTTGAAAATCGTACGGCGTGCCAGTGCGTCCGAATTGGTCTTTGTTGTCTTCAATCCAATCGTGTTCCTTTTCTAGCTGTGCCACCAACGCTGATGCTGCTTGTGCGTCTTTCTGTGCCTTCTCGACAGCGTGGCCAAGTTTTTGCACCTCAAGTGCCTCTTCTTGGATTTGCTTCGTCTTCTTCGACTGCGCTTTCTCCAGTTCGCGAAGCTCATCATCGAATCCCGTCAGCTTGGCCTGTTCATCCGCTAGTTCAGCCTGGGTGATGTCGTGGCTGTTTTTGACTTCAGTCTCCTCTTGCTTGAGAACTTGCATTTCCTCTTTCTGAGATTCGATGGCACTATTGACTTCTGTCAGCTGTTCTTCTGCTGCTGCTAGGTCAATAACGGCCTGTTCGCTGTCTATTCTGGCATCCTGGAGTTCTTTCTGAAGAGATTTAATGGCTGCTGATGTCTTGCCAAGGGACTTCTTCAATTCGATCAAGGACTTCTCGAGTTCTTTGAGTTTGCTGTCTTTGTTCTTGCTGAAGTCTTCCATGTCATTCTCTATTCTCTTGACGTCCTTGGCGGCTTCTGTTTGCCGCGTTTTTGCATTTGCCATGTCTTCCTTCAGCTGGACGATTGACGCTTTCATTTCTTCAATCGCCTGAATGATCGAGGATGAAGAATTCCCCGAAATCTGTTCTTCGGTAAGTTTGATTTCGTGTGTCTTGAGATCGAGTTCTTGCTTGACAGACTTGATGTTGGCGAGTTTAGCTGTCTCGCTCTTGATGGTCTGTTGGAGTTGTTGAAGCTCACTTTGATGTTTTTGCAATTCTTGGGTCACCTCATTGAGCTTTTGTAGAATCACGAGAACGCCACTAGAGTTCGGCGAGCTACCACCAGAAAGAGTCCCGGAAGGATCGTAGACGTCACCCTCAAGGGTCACGCTCTTTAATCGAACAGATGGATCAAATGTGACTCGTTTTGCCGTTTCAGCATCCTGGCAGATGAGTGTAGTTCCGAAGACGTAGTCCATTGCCTTGGAAACTTCATGGTCGTATCCAATCAAAGACAAGGCTAGATCGACCTTTCCAGGTGCAATCTTTTGAGCAGCTCCGACCTTTTCTGCAGAAGCCTTGAACGCCGATATTTTGTTGAGTGGAATGATTGTTACGCGTTTCTTGAGTTTGCCTTTCTGGAGCAACTGCGTACCAGTATCGGCTGAATCGACGACAACATTGTAGAGTCTTCCACCAGCACAGATTTCCAACGCTGTCCCTGCGATGGACTTATCCTTATCCAATGTGAAAAGCTGAGCGACCAATCCCTTCACTTTGGAACGGTCGAAGTTTGGCGATGGGTCGCTGAAATGGAAATCCACATTGGCGACCTTTCGTTTGAATTCGTCTGCCTGCTGTGTAAGACGACGGATGTCCTTTTGGAGCGTGACCTCCCGCTCGCGCATGCTTTCCTCTCGACCTGGTTCAAATCCTAGCTTTTGGAGATCTTTCTCAAGTTTTTCGGCTTGCTTGCGAAGTGTTTCGAGCCCATTGAGTAATCCAGCATTCTGCTCTCGAGCCTTCTTCGCTCTTGGTTCCTCTTCTTTGATTCGTTTCTCAAGGTGCGAGATTTTGAGTTTTGCCTGCTCTTGCTCTGTCCCTGCAGATGTCAGACGATTGCGAGCTTCGTGTAGTTGCCCCTGATAACCGCTCTCTTGGCCCTCTCGTGAAGCCACTCCGGTTTGAAGCGTTGAAAGGAGTTCTTCCTTTTTCTCAACCTCGGCATTCTGAGAGTCTGAGTCTGATTTCGCGGTATCCCATCGCGACTGCAGGTTTTCTAGAGCTTTCTTTTTATCGCCCACCTGCTTCTCGAGAGACTTGACGGTTTTTGCCACGTCTTTCTTTCTTTGCTCCTCCTCGGCGATGCTCGATTGTTTTAGATCGAGGACTGTTCCTAACCGGACAAGCTCATGACTATATTCTTTGACTTTGTTCTCGAGTTCTTGGAACCGACCTCCCTTTCGCATCTCCTTTTCTCTGATTGACTTCACCCTTTGAGCATCTTCCTCCAGATTTTCGATTTCGCGCTTAAGCTTCACACCATTGTCCTCCAAGTGTTGGACTTTGGCCTTCTTCAGCTCATGCTCTTGTGAGGCAGACTTCATCTTCTCCCCTGCTCGAACATAGTCGGCCGCCGTGACAACCCTCGTCAGCCGTTCCAATTCGCTTTGTGTCTTCTGGTAGTCCAGCCACGCGCGCTTTTCACCTCTGAGTTTGTCGAGTTTTGGTTCGATCTCTTCCTTGAGCAGACCCTCAATTTCCAACACCTTCATTTCTTTCTTGGCCATCGTCTTTGTGGCTTTTTCCTTTCGGTCTTCAAACATGCGTGTTCCTGCTGCCTCTTCAATCATGGCGAGGATCTCGGCAGCCTTCATGTTGAGTACCTTGGTGATACGGCCCTGCATGATGATGAAGTTGGGATTGTTGATATTCAAACCCACGCTCTGAAACAGGTTTTGAACCGTGGTTTGCTGCGCACGATGTCCATTGATCAAATATTTGCTGGTACCACCCATTACTATCTGTCTTGTGACACTGATTTGACTGTATTCTTCAAATCCGATAGGACTCGTGCTCTTGTCATTATTGTCGAAAACGATTGTGACGCTAGCCTTGGTCACACCAGCTTGACCACGTTTATAGATGAGGTCCTGCAGATTTTGGGCTCGTACCGTAGACATGTTGGTAATGCCTAGAACAAAACATATTGAATCAAGAATGTTGGACTTCCCTGAGCCGTTCAAACCGGTGACAGCATTGAAGGTCGCATCCCAGCCAGAGATGACAGTTCTCTGGCTGTAGGACTTGAAGCTGGACCGTATGTTAGAGATTAATACAGAATTTGGAGTCAGATGAAATAAACTTACCCATCTATTACAAGCTCGACGATCTTCATGTTTGCGGCACCCAGTTTCTACGCGCAGGTTTTCGCAAACAAGACGCGCATGTGTAGTCTTCGAGACGGACATAGAAGCCGAGCCCACCAACTGTTTACGCTTCCGAATTGGGCAAGAAGTAATTAAACCCGACTAAGAAGGTATGGCGAGGATAAATAATTTTCCGGGCTTGGCATCCATCTAATCACGCTAGTGCCAACTCGCATTTACTTCCACTTCAAGCTCAAACAAAAAGTTGACCTGCACTCTCCCATCAATAATATACACCATCGATCTTGGTCACCTCTCTCCCTACGACAGTCACAATGGCGGCAGTGACTCGAGGTATCTCATCTGCTTCGGCCAAAGGGACAACAATACCCATCTTTCTTGCGCCTGCTTTCTCCTCCACTTCTCCCTTTGTCGCCCTCCCTTCCTTGCGATGCTTTTCCACCACTATATCCCGAGAGTCTCGTCGAGATAAGCACAATACAAACAATAAAAAGAGGGGGGTATCAGCTATGCGTGGCACAGGGCCTATGGTCAATAGAGGTCTCTGGAGATATGATCTACCCGAACCCGTCACTCGTGTCCGCGTGCCTCAGCAGTCCGACTATGAGGATACCGCCAACCACGGTCTGTGGGGGTTCTTCCATGAAAGTAGGCAAGCAATGCTTGCGCCCGCGGCAGAGGCTTCACACGGTATGCCTGAACAGCCAGCCAACCCAATGTCAACTCACTGACTTGATTTCCCAGGTCGTGCTTGGAGCTACTCAGAACTGTCGGTCAAGAGTTTTGATGATCTACATAAGCTTTACTGGCTGTGTGTGAAGGAACAAAACAGAGTGCTTACTGGAAGTAAGGAACTCGGTCGTGTCCGAGCAGGCTATGGACTCGGGGAGATAGACGAAAAATTACGCTTGGTAAGTTCCACAGTATATTGCGCCAAAATTCCTATCCTATGATGAGCCTCATCCTTTCACTCGCCGATATGAGTGATACAAGACTGCTTAAACCTTGTATCTATGAACATATTTTACTGGAAAGTTATCTGAAAAAACACCCTGCTACTTGAAACTGCTCAATCTTTTCTCCTCTCTCACTGATCTTCGCTGATGTGTGAGTTTGGCATAGATCAAATCCACAATGAGAAACATCAGGGAGGTCCTCGCTGATCGACAATTTAAATACGAAGAGGGCATGGCATTATTCAATCAAGAAGCTTTGTCCACTTTGCTGCCTGAGGACGCGCTAAACGAAGACGATTTCTATTCAAATTTCAATGAAGTCGAGACCTCGAATAACTCTGTGGATTCCCCGGAGACCGAAAATATTGAAATAGTGCCGATTGTTGAAGCACCGTCTACGGTCAAAGCCAAGTCCAAGTCTCCAAACCAGCGGATGGTTTTGAAGGATAGGGTGCTGAGGTTGAAATGAAGGAAGAAAAACTCCACAAGCGAAAAGTTTGATTCGAATTTCTGACTATCAGCACCTCACGCGGCTATATATCAGCGCTGTTTATCCCCGGAGAGAGATCTCGGAAGCTTGAGGATGGGCGAAATTCTGTAACACTATACTTGTTTCTTCTGGTTGACGGAACGCAGATGGAGTGGTGTTGTGGAAGATGTTTGGTTCCTGGACAAATCTCGAAGTGCCATTCAGGTCACACGTCACTTTGTTTTGGAATGGTATGGTATTTCCGACTACTTCTAGTACGGATACATGTGTGGATCTATATCTAGGTGTATCAATATGTATCAATGTGGTTGACTACTCAGGTAGCAAGCCGGGGATGGTCATGTATAAAATGATCTTGTACAAACGATAGAACACCATGCAAACATGGCCACAGCTCCTACTCGCAGAACTTACTTTGCAGCACCAAAATGCATCGCAAGCTTGGCTCTTGTCTTATGATGGCAACCTGTGTATGGACCAGCCAATTCACTACTTTCACAAGCTAGCGGCAAGGCTGTGCAATGGGCAGGGGTGAGGGCCGCAAGGCTGACTTGTGGTATGGATCCGTTCCGGAAGTGTTTCGCCCGAAAGTATGCACAAAACCTGAAGAGTATTCATTTCTTACCCCTGACAAGGAGAAGCGTCCTCCTCAACCAATTGAACAACCTTTACGTGTAGCATATCTTGGAGCGTCCATCAGGCTGACCAAGAGCCCAAGAGTGCTCGGAAACCCGAATACGCATAGAGTTCTGCGCCTGCAGCCATCTCTGTCACTTTCATGTCTTTGCTCCGCCACCTTGAGCACGCGTTCCTCTTCTTCTCGAAATGGTTTCATTTACCACGCAAGTGGACCGTGGAAAAGCGTGGGGACCTGTCCACATTGAGAATATTTGTTTGCTTTCTCGCGGCTCTCCTCGGAAAGTTTCAGCCAAAAGCACTGGCTGCTGTTGGTGCCCTGCTTGGACTTTGTGAGACAACAATCGAACGGATTTCCTTGCTCCGATTAATGCAAATATCTCCTCGAATAATTTTGATCGGCCTGCAAACCCACACTGTTTTGTGTGTCTGCCTCGCTTTTCATGGCACACTCCCCTCCCAGGACTGTTACCCTAGCCTTCTCACGAAGAATGGGCAATATTTTGAGTGAGTGAGAATGCCGTACCCAAAAGATCGAGATGGGTGGGTCCGGCTTACGCAGTCACCTGTCTGAGCGGGCGAACGATATTCTCATGCATGTCGTGCAAACCGCCTTACTGCCCATGCCCTGATTGACCATGCTCCGAATGTATAATGCACAACGCCCAAGACGGCTTCGGCCGTTGGAATAGACTGGCCGTTTTTGCCTGGGCTCACGTATATCTCACTGACCTACCCCCATCCGCCCCTTCTCCCTTCGGCTTTTAGGCCTACCCGTCTTTTCTGGAGCTACATCAACCCTCGAACAGGTTTCTACGCATACCTGTCTATCGCCATGGCTCTTGGACCATTTGCGATTCTCTTCATAAGTCTTGCCGCCGCGGCACTTACTATTGCAGGTGCTGCCGCGATATACCGAACTATGAATCCAGAGCAATTCAACAGAGTTATACTGCCATTCTCAGACAGCCAACGGGCATACATGCGAGATATACGCTTGAAGCAACTGGACGAGAACGGACTCAGATATGGTCCCACTATCCCACAACCTCCCATGAGGCCTCCGATGAGTCCCATGACGACACAATCGACGACTTATCAATCTACGGCCATGACATGAATATCATGGTGGCTTCCATGCTTGACATATACGCTTACACGAAGGCTATGTTGCGCGTTCCTCTAGCGAAGCTCAATCCTCGGCACTCATGCCATCATGAACGGGACGAATTATTCGAGTTGGTTGGTTGAATGACTGAAAAGGACTACCAGACCAGTGTGGACGACAAGACGCTTGCGATCAAGACGCAGATTGTTCCACCTTGAGAACATTTTTGCCAAGAGTCTGCAAGTTGATGATCAGCAAGGCCAGGAAGCACTTCCAGTTCCCAGCAGTCAAAATTCGAACTCGCCCTTACGGCTGACCGTCGAACGCCAGATTCCGCGCTGACTTCTCACACCACGCTCTTTTCCATTTTTCATGCAAGACAGAGAGCCGATGTGGACACCATATACAAGCCCTCGAGTTGGCCAGTTAGGATGGCTTCCAGAAGACATCGTCGGGCTCACAAAAGGGCAGGGACTCATCTCTTGCCTTTCACAGCAAAGTCGTGGACTTCCAACTTGTGCCAATGAGATACTTATCTTGTGGAGGACATGCAGACGTAAGCAAGGCCGAGGCTCACACAGTACCATGCCTTTCAATGAATTATCACACATTGTCAGGTATCGGGCTCGTACGGCATGCCCAAGGCTTAAAGTTGTATGGAAGTTCTGCTAGCGTTCGCATGAAGCCCGAATCCGCCACCGTCTGTCAACGGAAAACTTGATGACTACGAAACCTGACACTAAACTGCCCACGCTCTCGAGCCCCACCAGAAGAATAGCTTCAGGAAGATAGAGCTAGAGCATACTTCAAAGAAAAAGGCTACGGATGGGTTCTTGATATATAGTACCTCGGGTGAACGCAGAACCTAGATTGCCAGACAAATTGTCATTGAGTAGAGATTGTCCCTATATTTTGCTGGAAGGATGTGGTAAAATTCAATATACATTACCTTCTGCAAAAAACATGAACCCCTTCCTTTGGAAGCGTTCGCTCTGGACGCTGGCTATCACGCTGCTTTCAACTAGAGATGGGGGCTGCTAAAAACAGCGCTGATTTTCATCCCGAAAGAACGGTCTTGGCAGATGACCTCACCGAATCCGGATGCAATCAACAGCGGGCGGTGGGCAAAGGAAGGCGTATGGTGCGACAAAGTTGTTCTCATCGTTGACCGAATCTCCCTCCCATTGATCTCTCGCCAGCCTCGTTATCAATACTACGCCTACTTCTTGTACCTCCTTGATATCTTCTACCTCTCAACCCTTTATCATGGCCGATGAGATTGCTCCAGAGTATGATGTTGTGGTACTAGGCACAGGTATGCCCATGAGAACCACCGCTTTACCCCACCATTCCGAATTAACACCTGTGCAGGCTTGACAGAATGTGTGCTGTCTGGGTATGCTACCACCTCTACAATCCTCGTAGCGACCTACGCTAATCCCTCATCGCCAGCGTCTTGTCTGTCAAAGGCAAGAAAGTCCTTCACATCGACCGAAATGATCACTATGGCGGGTATGTTGGTGGAATTCTCGGAAAGTCCGGCGGTGAAGTCAGGTACTGACAAAGATGTTCCAGCGAGGCTGCGTCAGTGAACATTGAAGCTGTAAGAAACACCCCATGGTTCCAATATCGTCAGACACAAAAGAGCTGTCGGCTGATGTTGAGTTTCGTATAGTTATTCAAGAAGTATGGCAACTTCAAACAGGGAGAAGAGCCATGGAAGAAATATGGTCGAGTCAACGACTGGAACGTCGACCTAGTCCCCAAACTCCTTATGGCCAACGGAGAGCTCACCAATATCCTCGTCTCCACCGATGTCACACGATACCTCGAATTCAAACAGATCGCAGGGAGCTTCGTACAGCAGGGGTCTGGTCCTCGAGCGACGGTCGCCAAAGTTCCTTCGACCGCAACAGAAGCCCTCAGTTCGCCTTTGATGGGACTGTTTGAAAAACGACGTGCAAAGAAGTTCTTGGAATTTGTTGGCGCCTTCGAGGAGAACGATCCTTCGACGCATAATGGTAGGGTATTCATCCCCCAGTGCTTGTAGACTTGCTCATTTTTTTCCGTGAAATGTAGGACTCAACTTGAACCAGGTTTCCATGAAAGAAGTCTATGACAAGTTTGGTCTTGAGGCCACTACCAGAGACTTTATTGGTCACTCAATGGCTCTCTATTCCACCGACGACTACATTAATGCTCCTGGTCAGGCCAAGGAAACCGTCGAAAGGATTCGTCTCTACGCAAATTCAATGGCACGCTATGGAAAGTCTCCCTATATCTATCCTTTATATGGTCTCGGTGAGCTTCCGCAGGGTTTCGCGCGACTCTCGGCCATTTACGGCGGCACCTATATGCTCAACACATCCGTTGACGAATTCTTGTATGATGGAAGCAAGATCAGCGGTATCAAAGCTACAATGAAGGAGAGAGGTGAGGAAGGCGAAGGCATGAAATTCACCACCAAGACAAAGATGATACTGGGAGATCCTTCTTACTTCCCAGGAAAGGTACAAGTGGTGGGACATCTACTGAAAGCGATCTGTATCTTGAATCATCCAATCGACAAAGCTGGTGATGCCGATTCTCTCCAATTGATCATCCCTCAATCTCAAGTTGGCCGGAAAAACGACATCTACATCGCAGTCGTCTCATCCGCACACAACGTTTGTCCCAAGGGTTATTACATTGCTATCGTATCAACAATTGCTGAGTCATCGGCAAATCATCATCTTGAACTTCAACCTGGTCTTGAACGTCTCGGTCGCATTGAAGAGAAATTCCAAGGACCACCAATTCCACTTTATCAACCTCTTGAGAGTGGCGTGAACGATCAGATATTCATCTCAAACAGTTTCGATGCTTCGAGTCACTTCGAAACTGTCACCGAGAATGTCAGAGATATCTACAGAAGAGCTACTGGTGAGGAACTCAAAGTTGAAGGTCTCAGAGAAGGACAAACTTTGGTGGAAGAATAAGCTTTTGGACCTCGTTCATTCTCCGACCGTTGGTATTGGAGAGGATAAGAGTTTTGGAAGATGGTAGTCGAATGAACCGCCGAGACTCAAGGGTAGGGCACATTGGGTTTAGGGCCGTACGGACACAACAAGCGCGACACCAACTCATGCATGGCGTCAGGAGTTCCTCTTGCATAGTTCAATATCACACCATAGGTAGACAAATGCACAAATTCGAACTATATGAATGCAGAGTATCTGAGGTAGAACGAATGATAAATAGTCTGCTCACGACATTTAGCCATCTCGATCTAGCAACAATAGTAGTGGTCTCCACGACGCCTCAAACTACTCGATGCCGTTCTTGTTTTAATCTACATGCCAATACAAACACAGAGTATTTCTGATGCGTCGTGGGAACTTGACCCGCGGCATGATTTTCCACGTATTGACAAGAGCACGATCCGAGAACCCCAAGTCCTTCTCAGCAATACATGGCGAGATCAAGTTCGCTTAGCCTTACCGTCTCCAGCAGAAGCGCCAACACCCGCCTTCGCCGTCCGCAGAATCTGCGCCTTGACTCGGAAGTACGCATCCAGACCCATGCCGACGGCTTTTCACCACATCGAATGCACAAAATCAGCACGTGAGCTTCCCCAGCAAGAAAGAAGCAAATTATTCAGAAGGCCCAAACAAAGTAGTGCCTGTCCAGAGGGTAATCAAAACACATGAGATTTAGAGGACTCACCGAGAATCAAATATGGCAGATACAGCGAGTAGATGCCCTGCCGCTGGCTCGCGGAATAGCCCGCCCAATCCGCCGTGTCGACGAGGCAGGTCAAGGTCGTGACGGCCGTTTCGAGCGCGAAGATCAGGAGGTTCAGTGGGACGAGTGGATGATCTGGATAGACGACGCGTCAGGATCCGGTGAATGGCTGCGACCAAGTAGCTCAGAGTACAGCCTTTGGGATCGGCCTTAACTTACCTTTCGGGATGTTCCACACGAACCACACGCTCACGGGCAGGTGGTACACCAGCTCGAGGTACATGTATGCGGTGAACCAGAGGGGTGGGCGCGTGAAGAAGCGGTCCGCGAATGTGGTGATGTAGTATGTGCGTAGGTTTGTCGAGATGCTGGGCGTTAGGGCTGGTGGGTAGAGGGCTGCTAGGTCGATTACTGTTTGGTGGGGGTGGTTCTGTTAGTATGGCTTGTAGAAGTGTGGATTTGAGCTTTGAGCTATGTCGTCGAGGGGGTGGTGGGAGGAAGCAAGCGGATGCAGGAGAACGAGGTGATCCTATAGATTGCAGGGCCTGCTGATCGGGTCACCAAGACATGGCATGTTGAAGAGAACTACGTATCAGAAGCTGGCCATGGCGGATGGCGACAAGGCTGAGGTGTTGGACAGTGTGCATGGCAGTGCATCGGAAGTGGTCTTGCAATCACACCTCTCTCGCAAGGGCTTTGCTCCGACATCACTCAAGACAGTGAGCCACCCTCTGTCTGGTTATGCAGGCACAGAAATGGACAAAGACGGCAGTCTCCCCAAGCCACAGCCATGTTTGAATATACCGCTGAATGCTGAGTGGTCCCTCTACCACCGGGCGTCTCGTGGTCGAGCCCAACACTTGCCACAGGCCAGAACAGGCCGACAACTATATGATTCACCCACGAAGAGAATGAGTTCTAACCCCAGTTCAGTCTTCAGTGGCCGGCGCTCAAAGGTGGCAGCCAACGGGCAAATCGACAAGCCTCGAAGGCCATGCCGGAGGAAGGTCGATGATGAGGGCGAAGGAGGAAGCTAAGATAATAACGCAAACGGTGCAAATGTACTTACACAGCATGACAGGAATATGGATGACGAAGAAGACCAGATACAGTATATCCGTCTTTCGTTGAGAGAGCGGCCGTTGCTTTTGCTGTGGGTCGCCCATCGTGTTTGTGGGGGAAGGATCTGTTATTTAAAGACGTGCTCTCAATGCTAGGTGAACAGGTACTGAGCAAGCAGACGACAAAAGTACTTCAGTGGAAGGAGGTCAAAATGATTGTTCAATAAGTGTGAAAATGCTACTCTGGTAGCTACAATACGTGAATATTTAGTAGGAAACAAAACGAACATGAAAACAATTCAGGGGTTTCTTACTTCGGCTGACTCATCTTGATTATTTAGTGGTGAAGTAAGCTGTTGGATCAGAACAGTACCAAGGTACATACGAGTCTAGATGGGGCGTACGGCACTGCGGAGCGTTACTTCGGCGGTCTTAGAGTTTGGAGTAAGTAGGCTGTCAAAGACACTCAGTATCTAGGCCTCCTGCCACACCCACGTTTACTATCTCCACGAACAAATGAAAATAGTGTCCGAAGGGAGTTCGACTCATATTTTAGGCATTACAGTTAATTTATTCGTTGCCAATCTCGGGACTCTCGGGAATCACTACCTAGGTATCTTTCTAGTCTGAATGAAAGCCCAGCGCTTTTATGATAACACCAATTCAGTCACGTCTCAATGCTAATCAGTTGTGTAGCTAGGTACGAGTTCTCATGCGCCTCCAAGTCCAAGTTCAAGTCCAAGGCCTTCAAGTCTTACTCATTTCATATTTCTTTTCCATCAAGTTGGAGAACGCTAAATGCAGCGGCCACCCAATGGTCCAAACGTCAGATCGAAGCCAGGACCTTCTTGGGTTGTCTCAATGCTATTCCCAATGATTTTAGTAGTATCACATTCCGAAGTCCTATCAATGGGCCAGTAGCCTGCTTTGACTGGTCTCGAACTCCTGTCCAATAATTCCTTTCACCTAAGACACAGTACTTAGAGCCCAAGCTCACCGAGCCTGGCAATAACAGCACGACAAGTCGAAGTCGTCTCGTCATCGAGCGCTGCCGCTCTGCCTTCATGTAGCAGTGCGTCCAACGCCTCTCTGACACGCGCGGCACTAGCTTCACTGCCAAATACACAAGTCCCTGCACGTTCCGACTCACGGTACCACTTAGCAACAACGTACGCGATTTCTGACGCGATATATTTGCGATTCGAGCCAATGAATGGTGGCTCGGTGGTGGAGAAGAGCATGTTCTCGAGTACTTCGAAGATGCGTTCGTACGGAACTTCCAATTCCAGGAAGATGTCGGTCACCCATCGCGGGCCTGTCACGTCGCGCTGATTGTGGTACCAGTAGACCAGTAGCATGGGGAGGAGGGTGTCGACGGGGAATGTCGTCTCTGAGAGCCGGAGTTTGCTACCTAAGCTTTGGACTGTCACGCCCACGGCTTCGTAGGGCTGGCACTCGCCTTCGCTGATGGTCTTGTGGTGGACGAGTTCGATTTGCTGCTGCCATGTGCCTTTGATTTGGGCTGGATCTCGGAAGTCGGCGACTTGATAGATGAGGATGCAGATGTCGTAATAGCCAGCATTGTCAGCGTAGCTGTTGAATAGTTGAGTGTTGTCTAGAATTTCACTATCCAAGGAATCAAGGATTTCTTGTCTTCGTTCATCGGTCAGGCGTGGATCATCCTTGAGACGCTGGAGGATCTCGTCTTGAATCATCGCACTATCGAGACATTCGGAGATCTCTTGCAGCAATTGTTGTTTGATTTTTCGGTTCGCACCAGGAGTATAAGTCGATGCATTCGCTCTCGCTCTACTCAGGTATTCGATCCTCTTTTCTAGTGACAATCTGAAAACACTCTTGGCAAGGTGTAATTGTATCTTTGCTGCTTCAGTAAATTGGCCGATTTGACCATAGTACTTCCACAAGAGATCTGCGTAGGTGATGTCTTCGGAAGACTTTCGTTGTAGATAAGTGGGGATGAATGCTGAGTCTGTTGCCAGTAATCTATCATACCAGCCTTGCTCTAGATACCAATCATAGAGATTGGTCAAGAAGACTTCATCTCGAGATCGACTGATCACATCATATGCCTCATTTCTTCTTGTGGCGACCAGGGTAGGCCGCCCATCCACAAAATTCGGGCTCTTCTCGCTGGCATCATCCACTGCAGTCACAACATCATGAATAAGGTCGTAACATTGACGTCGCAAATCGAATTTTGCCTTTCTTGAATCTGTTTCTGGTTTACCATCTGCCATCCAAGACGAGGCATCATTCGCCTTGTCTTTCTCGTTGGCCACCTTCAGGACAAGTTGGATAGCTCCAGCATAAAACTGTAGTGTGGTGTATTGCTTGACAGCAGATTGTAGATAGTCACTTGGAAGACTGTGAGCCACTTGTTCGAAGAGCTTCAGGCTATCATTCAAGAGATTGCGTGAGGACTCGACATTACCGCTCGCCTCAGCAGCTCTCTTGAGCTGTTCTTGTGCCTTGAAGATAACGACATCGTCAGCACTACAGAAACTTCCACACTTCCTTCGAAGTGATTCCGCTACCGTTTCAACGTTGGATCCTTTGTCGATATTGCGGTTAACAATAGCCTTGACAAGTTCCTTGGCCAGATCATAGCCCTTTTTCGTTGTGAACAGTTCTTCAAAGGTCAATCTCATGAATTCAGATCTTGAGGCTTCTGGTAGGAGAGGAACTATCTCGGCTACCTTTTCTTCAAACAAGGCTAGAACAAAAGACAGTCCTTCTATGGTATCCGAGGTGAACTTGACCAACGAATGCAAAGCTCGATGTTCACCTTTGAGGGCAATTTCATCATCTTTGGTGCTTGTATTCGATAGATCATCAGGGCCACTCAAACCCTTAATGAAAGTCTTGTTTGTCTTGAAAAATCTTTGCAACGAGGAAAGAGCTTCCTGCACATCTCGTATTGTCGTTGCAGGAACAGCAGACGTGATCTGGGGACCGGCAGGTGTCGTGGTACCCACGGCTATCGCGGTTCTCCAAGTCGATCTCAATAGTCGAGACAGATATAACGCAATGGCTGCATGTCGAGGCGAAGGTCTTACCGCATCTATTAGAGGGACAGACTTGTCTGGTATTGAATTTTGATTGATGCTAGGTTTGCCACCATATTCAATGAAGGTTTTCCGAGCAAGGTCGAGCACTTCAGGGTCATTAACCCGGATTGAGTCGACATTCTTGGTCACCTCAGCGCCCTGACCGCAAGCAACCGCGAGAGCAGTCGCGAGTGTTTCTGTTCTTCCATATGCTCGAATCAGGTTATTGATCTCGTTCTGGAATCCTTCTGGCCCACCACCCTCTCTTGCGAGAGAAGCAAAAACATCCACCAGGCGGCGCCGTCTGATAACATGCACACCATTGTTTGTCAGGATGGCAATCTCTGGGACAGGCTTGTCAAATTGAACAGCAAGGTCATTTCCATACCCTATCGGTGTTGAGGTTGGTGCAGAATATGGAACCACGACTCCAATATCCTCAGCTCGGCTTCCACCAAGTGACAGCCAAATGCCAGATTCCGCTGTTCGATTCGGTTGTCCTGCTTCAGGTGCCCGGGCCAGCTTGGCAGCATCCGGAGACGAAACAAACAACTGGTCGTACTCTTTGTTCGTGGGGGTTGGTGTGAGGCAAAAGAAATATCCTGGCGAATATCTCACTGCAAGTCTGGTATGTTCTAGAGTCTTTATGGGATGATTGGGGTTGAACTGTGGCTGGCCATTGTCTTGCACCGTCAGAGCAAGTGAATTGCCAGTCCGTGGAGGGAGCTTGACATGTTGTGCCTGCATACTGAGCGGTCCACCGATCCTACTAGAATCCCAATAGCCCGAGCTCGTCGCACTGAGGTATATTCGATATCCGGTTGATGTTGTGGCCATAAGATGATATTTTGTGCCTTCGGAGGCTGGGATGACTGATATCGAGACAATTTTGATCTGCGCGTTTAGAGTTTCGTTGACGCTGATTATATGACCAATATTAGAGTATATCTCGGTGGAAGGCTTGGTGATCATCAAAGGTAGTGAGCCGTCCGGGTGCAAGTGAAAGACTCGGATGTTGGAGGCAGAGGAGAGCGTGTACAACAGATTGCGACTATCATCGATGACTATTTGCGCGACGTGTTCAGTATACTTGCCCGAAAATCCAGGTATGGAGAATCCCAAAGTTTTGGCAGCTCCAGAACTTCGACAAGTCTTGTAACAGCGACTTGAGAACCATCCGTCTTCTTGCTGGTAAGACAATTCATAGAGTTCATTGTCAAAACGACCTCCAAAGAAGATCCGACCTGTTTTGCGTGAGCCAGCAATGACAGCGATCTCTAAGCCTTTGACCGAGGTGGACATGCCAGTCTGGAAGAGAGATAGGCCAGCTGCTGCACCGGGGCTAGGATCCGAGCCCAATCCCAATAGCGAAATGTCATGAGAGGTGGCAATGACAATGACATGTTTGACATTGGGTAGAAACACACCCTGGCGCGGAACAGCCAATGCAACAGCAGTAACACTGTTGTGCTGACCTTCAAAGCCCAACAGCTCGGGTCTGGGCGCTGTATAATCCCATAAATACAGAGCATTGTCAATCGTTACCCATGCATGCCTCAACTCGGCGAACAATCCCATGCTCGTACTCAATTGCGCATTATTGTACTGCTCCAAGACATCATCTGGTATGTTGTACTGACCAGCCTCTTGAAATGGAGCCCATGTATTAGAAGCCTGAATGTCGTAGTCTGCAGAGGCGCCCTGAGAAAGATAGGTATCGATGTCTGGAAACCGGGACTCGCTGACCAGGGCTTCATTGATGGTCTTTGCGGCTCGCTCAACTGGTTCTAGCGACTCCGGTTGTCTGACCGAGGGCTGTACAGAAGCATCCAAGGGTCTGGTTGCAATGGTCGTGGTTGAATTGGAATGCGACAGGCTGGGGCGTGAAAGAGAGGTGCCGGGAGACTGGAACGAGGGAGGGGCCGGCTGAGGTCGCGCGGCGGGAGTTTGAGGCCATACTCCAGGCACCGGTCTGGCAGGAGTCTGTGGAGGATGAACAGCAGCCATGATTGTGGTGGGAGGGAGAAGGCGCGTGAGGGAGGGAAGATGACCGCGTGAAAGCGCGAGGCGGAGGTGTTGTTAAAACTGCATCCACGAGAAGATACAAGAAGTACGACCGCAAGATGGTAGCGAGTCAATTTCTCTAATAGCGGATCTCCCGTTCTAGAGCAAGACAGCTAGAGGTCAAGGTGATGGAGGGAGAGAAGAGTGGTCTTTGGGTTCACAATTAATTGCAGATGCATCCATTATTGTCCAGAGATCGAATTGGGAAAATTGAGATCACGTGAAGTTGCCAACGCCTGGGACTAACTGTTTTACGTTAGTTCAGGTACATCTCCGGATACCAAAAAGTGAAGTCATCAAGAAATATGGAGAAGCACATAAACATCACAGAAGGAAGACTGAGCCTCCTACGAATTGACCAACAAAGAACCCTCCCACATCGTCTATACAGATCGGCGGCAGTTGCAGACAATGGCCGCCAAACATACCTCATCCCTCCTCTTTTCCTCCCCAAAACATATCTGCACGCGCTCCGTCTACAGAGATGTCTTCGGTAGTCTGCGATACTCCTCGACCGAAGCAGCTGCACCACCACCACTGCTGACCAAGCTCAAGGCTGATCTCAAAACTGCCATGCGCGCCAAAGATGCAGCCAGGTACTCATACATTCTCCATTACGCTCTCTTCCATAAAACTTGCTAAATTCCGGTCATAGACTTGCTGTCGTTCGTGGCACCATCTCCGAGATCAACCAGCTAGCCAGTGGTGCCCGACCTGTTACCTCCGACATGCAGATCCTAGCTTTGTTGAAGAAGCGGAAATCTGCCACTGAGCAGGCGGCCGCTGAAATGAAGAAAGCGAACCGTCCAGATCTATTGGAGAAGGAGGAACAACAGCTGGCCATTATCGAGGAATATAGCAGCAGTATATCATTGATGGATGTTGCTGAGATGAGGCAGATTGTGAGGTCCGAGGTTGAGACAAGAAGAGCCTCGGGTCCTCAGGATCAATTAAAGCCTGGTATCGTCATGAAGCATCTGCTTGCTGAGGATGGTTTACTTGCGGGCAAAGCATTGGACAAAGCCAAACTGGCTGAACTGGTTCGAGAGGAGTTGATGAGCAACCATCAGGAATCCTAGGACAACTAGGGTTCGGAGGCTGTATCCATGGACCGTGATACCGGCACCATGATCTGTAAAATATGTAGATATAAAAAGTGCCTTCGATCTCCTCCAAACATCTCCGCAACTCCTCCCTAGATCAGTACACCGCAACCCCCAACACCCAACGCTACTCAAGCCTACTTCACTGCTCGATTCTGGAGGACCCTAGCACTCGGATGCTGTTCTGCCTTCGCCTCCGCCCTTGTCGGCAGAAAGACGATCCGTCTCGGCCTTGTCGATCCGTCAACTTCGGTAGACCCACGAATTTGTTGATCCAGTTGAGCACTACCAAGTGCCACACAAGGCTGTTCTCCGGCTTCAATACCCAGTGATTTTCATCTGGGAAGCTGAGAAATCGACTCTCGATGTTCCTCATCTGTAGAACATTGAAGGCTGACAGGCCCTCCGAGATGGTCAATCGATAATCGAGTTCATTGTGAATGACAAGCATTGGCGTCTCCCAGTGCTTGGTAAATTGACTGGGATCCCACTTGTCGTACATCTCTTGTCGCTCCCAGATGGGTCCTCCCAAGTCGTGAATCGGAAAGTATTGCTCTTCCGAGGCCAGCTGGCCTGTCATACTGAAAACCCCATCATGACAAACGATCGCCTTGAATTTGCGTCCGAGATCGTGTCCCTGGAACCAATTCATCATATAACCTCCATAGCTGGCACCCAATGCAACAGCCTTGTTGGTGTCCACGTATTCCAGTTCTGACTCGATGTACTCGAATCCTTTGACGAGATCTTCGTAAGGTAAACCTCCCCATTCGTTTCGAATAGCGTCCGTAAATGCTTGGCCATAGCCTGTCGATCCCGTAGGGTTAGGGCAAATGACTACATAACCCTGCTCGGCGAAGACGGCCGGGTTCCACCGGGTTGACCACTGATCGTTCCACGCTCCTTGTGGTCCACCATGAATCAAGTACGCAAGAGGATACTTTTGATCCGCTTTGAAAAATGACGGCTTCATCATCCACGCGTGCACAGGGTGATCATTGGCACCTTTCCACCATAGTTCTGACACTTGTTCGGGAGACAGGCCAAAGAGGGAGCCGCTTCGAGATAGCGAAGAAATCACCGTTGCCTGAGATTCTCCCGTGGGATCAACGATGGTGTATGTGCTGTTATCGACCAGGCTGTTGCTGGAAACAAGAAGTAAGTTTGAATTGTTTGCGAGAGGTGCAAAATCGATAATGTAACCCCCAGAAGCTATTTTTCTCGGTTGCCAACTGGGTCCCGGGAAAGCAGCGTCCAATTCGAGCGCGAAAAGACAACCACGTCCAACATCTTCTGCCTCAAGAAGCAGAGTCTTTCCATCGACAGACCATTTGATTGTCGAGGGTGATCTGTCCCACCCAGTAAAGCTATCAACTTGACATCTCAGTTCATGCGCCATAATTTCACCGTTGTCAAGGCCATGACCAAATACAATGCGGTTTCTGTCACTCTCATATCCATCAGTGGCCATCTGGAGGAAGGCTACCGACGACCCATCTGGAGAGAACACGGGAGACGAAGCAGCGCCGTTGAGTCCAGGGACATGAATCTTGTGAACCACTGCTGGACTTGTGTCCAATACATTCTTCTTGGCTAGAAAATAAGCATTGCACTTGGTGTGGGTGGCTGGGTCGAGATTGGGATCCTTAGAGACGACGATCAGTCCAAGGCGGCCGATATCGAAATGGTCGGTGCCGCCGAACGGTGGGATTGGGCATTCCAATTTGGTGCCTTGAAGAGCATTGGCAAAGCCTAACAGGCTATACCGGCCTGGTCGAGAAGTGACGACGGGTTGAGATTTCTGAAGCAGTCCGGTAAAAATGGCGTTGCGTTGCTCGGTGATGTATGAATCCCAATGGCGGACGAATAGTGAATCGTAAACTCGAGCGGAGCTGTGTGATTTTGGGACGTCTTTGGGGTTGTGAAGTGACCCATCAGGATTAGCAGAAGCTGCAACAGCGATTGCTACCTTGCCTGCCTCGGTGGGAAACAATTTGAGATTCGAAATGGGTCCAGGCACCGTGCCGGCGGTGTAGACCTTTCCCGGAAGAGAGGCATCGGAGATGACCAAGCTGGTGTTTCCATTGTCGCATTCCTTCAACCAGACGACTTCATAGCCATGGCCAGTCCACTTGGGTTCACTGATTTTGGGATCTTTGCTGATGACCACAACTTGATGGTTGACCAGATCTAAAACGTGAACTTCGGTGGTGCGCGTGTGGGTTTCGAATGAGTACAGAGACTGTGTGTAGAGGGCTAGCTTCCCATCAGGGCTGGGGATAGCCGCAGACCTCCTGGGGGCGCTCAAGAGAACCCTGATGAAATGTGAATTGATGTCTAGGCTGATAGAAACATGAAGATGCTTACTCTGGTGTGTACTTTCTACGAACAGTCATCACGAACAAGTGGCAACCGAAACAAGGGGTAAGAAGCTTGAGCAAGACCACAGAGGATAAAAATTCAAGCAGTTGATGCTCTGGCAGTGTTCTCACGGCCAAGTGTTGAGCTTCCGGTCGAGAGTAATGATGGGAGTTGCTTCTGTTCAAGCCTGAGGAGGTTGCTGACTTTTCTGCGCGGCGCCGTGACTCCGTGAGCCTCACCGATCCGGAGTCGAGGAAGTCGCCGCCCACGCCATTTGTGAAGCGTGACCGCCCAACAGAAACGCGGGGGGAGCTAGTCCGTTTCCTGTCATGTTTCTGGTGGCTTCCCAGCGTCCGGAAACCCCACGTGCACGGAACCTCGCTCAACGCGCATTGCAATGGCAATATGCGTCAATTAATTGATGAAATGTATGGTGTTTTGATGGCGATGGTTTCGAGAGACGTCAAATCGAAAGAACGAGGCTTAGACTACGAAGATAGAACGGAAGAGGCTCCTTGGGTTCCAAGGTGAGGAAGAGCACGGAGTACGGGTGAAATAGGGAATTTCTCATGTCTAGAGAGAGGTATATTCCTTGGGTACCAGCTGTGGCCTGTAGATTCTACAATACGAAGTACGGGCACCGAAGAGACTCGGAAGGCTGTCGGCGCACTTGCCTGCTTGGGATGCCTCGGGGATTGTCCTTGGTTACCTAAGTATTATCTAGCCGCAACCTGAACCACCACCACGCCGTTCTTCTGGCACTGGAAATTAATAAATCAACTGATCTGGACGGAAACTAACATGCACTGAGGGATAGTAGTCCTTGATCGTTGGCTCCCTGAATGCAAGGCAGCAGGGTCGATGCTTGGACGCTGGTATCCAACTGCCATACAGCAAAGACCTATCGATATCTTCTACCGATAATGGGAGCGTCAACAATCTTTGCTATGAATGAGCAATGTCCAATCTCATCGCCATCGCTCCTTGGCTGTTTCGTTGCCCCCCACATGATTGGTTGAAGTGTGATGTCTTCAGGAGTTTCAGCCTCGCCGTGACCATCCCAATCGGTCGAGACATGGCACATAGCCGATATTGCCAAACACATATTGCCGTGAACTGGGATAATGTTGCTCAAAGACTGACAACTGTATAGTATTTGAATCAAAACCATCGCGAACCCGATGCAAAGAGAGGTAAGAATTGCAATAGGGGAGTACCCTATAGTTGATATGAGTTCTCTTGAAGACCTGTCAAGTGAGCCATCAGGCTCATACCACTGCCCTCGTGCGGGAAAAATGCTCTGCGAGAGCAAAAAATGCATCAGTATGCACATCGCCATAAGCGGCAAGCCGTATCGATATGGCAAGTGTAGATAATAAGATGATCTCTGCTGGCCCACCAGCGATGTCACCCGCAAAAATTCACGCCCACCACTGCCATCATAAGAGGCCCATTCCAGTGCACCACACCGGGCGGTAACATGAGAGTTGTACACAAAATAAGTGACCGTCAATGCAAGTTGGAATGCATTGGATTTCACTGCACAAGAAATCAATGTAGACGAACTGCTAGTCATGTCGTCGGTGCCCCCAATAATTGTGGCCGGATGAAGCTTCCCGAACCCGAGATTCCATATCTGATCAGTACGGAGTCCTCGTTGAGCTTGTCGCGCACCCAGATTCAAGAACACCGCGCCGGATATCGGATACAAGCCGCAGACGCTCATGGTAATGAGCCAGCGTCTGGTTGGTGTGACTGAGAATAATCGTATCCTTGCCGGCCTCGTATAACGACTAGCCTGGTCGTGGTTTGGCCTAATGTGCTTCCATTCTTCAATCTGTGTCCAGTCCATCAAGCACCAATCTTTTGTCCGAGAGTCCGGCCGCGTCATGAAGGATATAACTGCGTCCCCTACTGTTGCAAAAACTGGCTCGTTGAGCAGATATACAGTAAGCCCCATGCATATGACTTTGACAGCATTACAAAAGACGGCAATGTACAGGATGTATGAAATGTATTGAAGTTGACAACGTTGCTCGACCGATGTTTCGCTGAGGCAGTAGTCGATTGCATAAATCCCGGGTGTTGTGTCGCCATTTGCATACGGTCTTAGATACCAGGTCCCATTCTCCCGTAGCAGCTCACGCGCTTTTTGTTGGTAACACGGGTGGTGGTCTACATCACCTAGGTAGGCATCATAACCATCGCACATCCATGATGAATATTCCCCGAATTCATTTAAGGTGCCAATACTTTCGTCTCCCCAATCAACAGCAATAACGGATGAGCCATTCCACATCGACTGTGTCCATTCGCGGTAGCCACCATCTGCAGTCGAGTTAAGTACGCCAAACGCACAATCTGGAGCCATTACCGTCCCTATTGAAGGTTTTGTGACTGCAATCATATTTCGCCTAGCTGTCAGGATTTGATCTCCATATGTATCAACGCACTCCGAAGGCATCATCTTTTGGGTAAAGTTCCCTTACTGAAAGGCATCGAAAATGGAGGCAAACGGTGTCATTGGACGTCCCCAACAACTGACATCTGAATTGGGTTCCTGATATTCAGCACCTTCGAAAAAGCTTTCGTCGACAACTATGTAGCAAAAATTGTGTGCTCCCAATGTAGTGAAGACAGCGGTATTCCACAGTAGGTGTAGCGGCAGGCTACTGAAGGCCAGCGCAGCCCACAATAATGCTTTCCTACGCTTCATGTACGCCAAATTGCGAATACTCGGGACCCCAATAGCAAGCGATCGGCCTCTAGCATGGGCATAATCGACCTCGGTCCGTGTGGGCGACCTTAGACATTGCATGGTGAAATTGCTCGCCGCCAGGAGAGTAGTCGAAAGCACATTAATCAGAACATGAAGTCCAGTGTCCCAATGCTTGACCAAATCACAATCTCCAGTGTAGAGAGTCCCGATCCCTTCGTGGCTTTCGTACTTGGTAAGTGCAATGACCATCAGGACAACATTGCATATCAGAAGTGCAGCAGGTCCACACGTCGCAGCAGCGACTGTTTTACGCCAGTCACCTTTGAGCATCTTCAGTGTACGGAGCCAAAGAATGATGCCATGGTATCTAGCTTCCAGCTGTGGGAAGAAGACGGTATGCCTTTTTCAGTATGCACTCTACCACTGGGGTCTGGCGAGTATTCTCGGGCGCTTGAATCAGCTTGACCAATCGAGCGGTAGGGTAACAGTGTTTCAGAAGAGTCATGTGGCTCTGTTGAATAGCTCGACCTTGTTGTGAATGACCGTAGACTGATCGAGGATGATTCAAGATGATCCATTGTGTCACCTCGCTTAGTGGATAGAATTTGCTGATTCTTCTCACCATTCAATCTTGAGCATGAATACTCGGGGAAAGCTACTGCGAGTCAAAATCCTTTTCTCCAGTTGAAGGCTAGCATAGCAGAAAAACTCTCTGTTGTATTGTCGAGACCAGGTTGAGTATTTTCCCCGACTAAGTTTGTGGAACAAATGAAGGTGGTGAGTTAAGCCTCACAGCTGCTGTGCTTGCTCAATGTTGCACAACAGATGAATCGGTGGGAGTATCTGTTACTTTTGTAGCACGCGATACGAGATTCAGCCCATGACCGTGCAGTGCGATAAACTCATCGAATAAGTACTGCGCGCCGAGCAGATATTCTGGCACTTCACAGGAGAAGGTCCGAAGACACATCTATGCTTCACAGGAAACCTGTTACAGACCCTTACATGCCTAAGATCGAAACACTCAGCATCAGTCAGGTGCAACTCTATGTCCAACAGACTTGGGCTTCAACCAGGAACCCTGCTAACTGCCTATTCCGTGGCAAATCGAGCTGATTTGAGCAGCTTGATGCTTTCACTTCAATACGTAGCCTGACACCTCTGGTCTGGAATATCATTGTCAGATACCCATATACGGCCACGCATGTTGGATTTACCTAAAGACGGCCGCCCTGTGCCAGATATACTAAGTACCTATCAGGCGCCATCGCACATTTATTACGGGTCTCCTCGTACTGACCGTTGCCTGAATCTCTCAAAAATAGCACATTTGACAATGTGTCAGCCGCTAAATCACCTTTAAATAGCACCCACAAGGCTGACTGCCGCCGCAACCGACGCCACATTTGTCTTGCTGAATACGATGCTTCCTCAGAGCTGCAACACAGCTTGTCCAACCATGAAACAGGCAGACAGGCAACCAAGACCAACTTATTGAAGCAGTAACACCTGCCAGGACGGCTGGTAACTCTGAAGAAGTAACCAACAGGGGACCAACCGCTCAAAGTCGTGAGATGAGAAATCTTGTTCTCGAGAGGGATTTGATAGTGACTTTTCAATCGAGGACAGGCGTTACCATTAACTTTGAGAACACACCCTCAATACACGGGGTGAAAGCAGCTCTTGGCTTCGGTGATGTCAAATAGCGTGTCATTCTGCGCCAGCCGCATTTCGAAAAGACGGAACTCTCAATGTCATGTCGGAACTTTCAAAGGTGAAAGGTGACACATAGAACATCTGTTCTTTGGTGTGACTACTCACTGTGGTATAGTACATCTAAATACTCCTTGCATGAATGTTCTCGGTTACTCTCCCAAGGACAGAATGGTCAAGAACAAACGCTCCGGGATAGCGGCGTCCGATAGACTCTGCCGGATATCTGTCCACTTATTTACTGCAAGGCCACCCTTTCATGAGTACGAGACCAGCGACTGACAGAGGATTCGGGGTCTTTCATACTGAGGACATCTGCGAAGATGACTGCCAAAATGGAATTTATCAATTCCAACCTATACTTCTCTGTGTGTGTTGAGCAAACCAAGCATCCAACGAAGATGATATCAGGCGACCTTTGCCTCTTAAACGCAAACAGCACATCTGTTAGAAAACTTTCCCACACCAGTATGGCGGCTCCCAACACAACACTCTCAACACGAGACTTGCTCTTGACACTGTTCGCAAATGTCCAAGAGGAAGGATTCGGCCGCTCATTCCAAGACGCGCTCTCAGACGACGTAATATGGACCGCAACAGGAAGCTCCTCACTAGCGGGGATCTACAGGGTGAGAGAGGCGTTCCTTTGAGCAGTCCTCGACATCCTGCATGAACGCCTTGAAACACAGATTCTACCACAGATACACAGAATGATTATTGAAGGCGAATGGGCGAGTGTCTACTTCGAGTCTCGCAACGTTCGTGCGAAGAACGGGGCCGATTTTAGCATGCAATACGTCTGGCTGATCAGAGCTATGGAGGAGAAGATTGTGCAAGTGGTGGGATTCTGCGATCAGAAGAAGATGCATGATATTTTTGAGTAGTCGGATATAGCATGATTTTGAATATAACTCAAACGGAAGTTGATCTTGGAAGACATCCTACCATATCTAATTACCCTTGACGATCTCAACATTTCCATGCACCCATTGAGCCCTGACAGTCAACTTCTTGATCTTCCAACCATCCCCCTCATGAGTAACCACAGCCTTATATCTGTTTCCCATGAGGAAATAATCCTTGTCTCCCTCCATCGAAAGCCCTTGACCCAACGTGTAGTGTTGCACGAGACCGTGGCACTCGACGTCCACGTCACCGGCGGATGTCTCTCGCATAGTGAAATTGGTGAATTGGTGAGTAGTATCCTGAGTTTCCCCAACGGCCTTCATCAAAGTAGGGACGACGGTGTCACGGCCATCTAGCAGTGGCAGAGTCAGCCCGAGCGCCTCGAAGGGTGACAAGTCCATAACCATGTCGGCCGTCAGCACCCTTGATAACAACGCAGCATCTCCGTCGTCTACAGATTTGGCGAATTGATTGAACACCTCGATGATGGCTTCACGGGGGGTAGGTTCGAATGAGAAGGCCATCTTTCGTGCAGCGTGGTGTAGGAGTTCTAAGTGGCTTAGGGAGTTTGGATCACGGTCGCTCGATCAATGCTTGTTGGGAGTAAAAATTGGGTTTTTAGTGGGTGGGCACAACTTAGTAGAGTTTTTCAAGAAGATGAATGCGAACGCTCGACCAAGATTAATGATGAAGAGGAAGATGAAGCAATTCCGCATATCTGTCTCCATGTCCACCAATGCAACATGGCCGTAACACGGACTTGCCAATGGCCATGTCGCACAGAGCACAAGCGAGGATCATCTAGCCAAAGATAAATCCCGCTAATTCCAAGGTTTATCAGCATGCCTTACAGATTCGTTTGTCTCTTCGTGCGTAAGACACGCCGTGTGGGACAAACACTGTGCTGCAAATACCTAGACCAGAGCGACTAGCCACCGACACTACCCAAACCTTGAGAAGCAGGTTTAAGGATCTGACGCGTGACTGCAGGCTTGTACAGTTTCTCCGCAAATAGCTGGATACATACGTGTTACAAGTCTCTAGTCTGATCTCCGAAACTTACTCCCACTGTCCCTCACTCCCGATGCAAAGTTTCCACATGGTAGAAAAGGGGTCGCTGAAATCAAAAGAGTCGAAACACGAACTCCAACAATTCTGGGTAACTATCAGCATTTACGATCACTTGCGATCCGTTGGCTTATTGACCCACCTGGTTTGTATAGCGCTGCTGGAGGGTCCCGTCAGAGAGCGTGCCCACACTACGTCTGGTATGCAAAAGCCAGTGGAATTTTGTTGATGAGCTGTTGGGAAATCCACAGATGCTTGAGCTCCTAATATTGTAGAGTCTTCAGGGACTGCTGCAGTGGTCTCTCGCGATGACGTTGAAATTTCCATACAGTCGAAGTCGGCATATTGGGCTCGAGTCATTCGCGCAGAAACATCCCTGGCATCAGCAGTCTCCTTGTGCCACCATTCAGACTGCTTGGGCCGTTTCTCCGCACCCATTAGGCTGGCATTCTGTTCAATTCCAAGACCTAGTCTTGTTCGCCGTACGATCTCTTCTCTCTGAAACTTCAGGAGTAGCATACTGAGGACGCCTGCAGCCATGAAAGCCTCCGTACTCCGGTCCCGAAGGTAGATCCATATATGGACACTGCGCTCGATCGCCACGATGAGTCGAGCCTGAATGGTCCCGCATCACTTCTTCTCTCAATGTGTGAGCCAGTACAAGTGTCGAGAGACACCGCAATCGAGACCAGACTAGCAGCCAGGAGGAAGTCATGGGTTGTGAGCGAAGTCTGGTATTTATTGAGATTGTGTATACTCCCGTGGGCAACGGAGTGCTTGTGTTGCATAGCCTGGAAGCTCAGGAGTTGCATCGACGCCTCCAGACAGGATCTTCGTAAATAAAGATAACGTGGGTTGTCCTACGCGCTAAACAAACACCCACCTGTTGATAGAAAGTCGACACGTAAATTATGTTTGTGTACATTAGCGAGTTGGGAGGCTCAGCTATCCATATAAACGTACAGAGGGCCGGCTCAAGGGAACGAAAATACTGTGAGATGAGTAAGTCAGTTGACGGGAGGGCTTCCTGGATAAAATGGCTTCTCTGTCTCCAAATTCGAGGGACCCCAAAATGAGTAAACTATCTAGATTTTGTGGAGAACACCTCATCATTCGATGATGTGAAGACTCTGCTCCTGGTAATGATGCTGTCGCCGTTGCATCTGAATGTGGGCCTCAGATAACTGCGAAACACGTGAGCGTACGAAGATCATTTTTCACTTCAGCTGGGAAGCCCAAACCCTACCCAACAAGGAGTCCCAGTGAGCTCCGTCGACACTTGATTCGTGCTTTGAGTCGTCTTGTATCCGGAGCACATCGTCCTGAACGTCATGCCCATTCCAAGGGCTAGTTGTAGTTGGCATGTCCATGTTGTAACACAGGACACTCTGGGAGGATGCATCAGACGATCGTGACAAGGTCTGAAACCCATGAACTCCATCCTGTGTTGAAATATACTCGATCATGCTTCGGAGAAGGCTCTCTAGCTTGTCAATCCGAGCATGTGTGCTTGTCGAAGAGGTGTGTGACAGTGGCCATTGTCGTTGTGTTCCAGGTCGCCTGTGTTGATATAGGCATGGTGATATCTCGCTCCGCGCAAGACAACTGCCACAGGCTGGGAGGGTACGATCGCATTTGAGCCTGAGATATTTCAATCGAGGATGTCATCTAAGTCGTGAGTGCCAAGGGTCACATACTTCTTCTACCTGCACGGACTGCAGAAAACGGGCTTTCGATTCCTCTGCACTCTTGTTTGAGTGTCTCCCATTGACATACGATTACCTGACATCATTCTGCAGCATTCCAGCCGTCGACCATACGCAATAAAAGCATAAGGATGCCCCAGAACACGACCAGGAAGCTGAAGTGTTGCAGTCAACACGCTCACGTCAATACATCTCCGTGCCTTTCCCTGGCCGCCTTGGAAGAGAATTGTTCTGACTCACACAAAGCCTACCTGAAATGCCGTCAACACTGAAATTGAAGCCGCTCGACCGAGCTACAGATTCGTAAAGACGTTGTTTAGGAGATCAAGATCTCGAGGTTCACATGAGTCAGCGGTCCGGAATTAGCGGACGAGTACCTTACCCCGGACACTCCTTTCGCAACTCGCACCAATACCATCCAAGATGTGCTTTGAACGACGGGAACCTTGGCCGATGTGAGTCCCTTCAAGGGCAAGCTTACGTCCGGCAGCCAGAAACGAAGGAAAAAGGAGGTTGATCAGACAACGTACGATCGTACAGTGTTTTGTGCTGTCACTTCGTACAACCCCGCAAAGCAGTCCGTACAATCTGTCTGGGGTAAGGCTGGGGGATCAAACATCGGATGAATAGAATGACCGACTAAGACCACACCTCGTATCTTTGTTCTACGCTCACATGTCAAATATCATGACTGGGTACGCCCTCCTTGGCAGTGGTTACCAGACACAACGCTCACATAGCTTCCTCGTTCTCTCCATCAATAGTAGAAGCACAGAGTGGCCACCATTGAAGTTGATAGCAAATCCCCATCAGAATCTGCTGGATAGTTTTATACGGTTCTCCTCGAAACCAGAACTTCATCACAATCTCAAATCACTCGGCCAGCAAGATGATTATCGACAGAGACGTGCCAATCCCCATGGACGATGGCAACATCCTCCGCGCCGACATTTTCCGGCCAGATGGGACGACGACCCATCCAATCATCATGACGCTGGGACCCTACGGAAAAGGGGTTCCCTACCGTGACGGATACAAGCCCCAGTGGGAGTGGTTGACATCGACCTATCCAGACATCCTCCCGGGCTCTTCCCGAGAATACATGACTTGGGAGACCGTGGACCCGGAGACTTGGGTTCCCTGGGGATACGTGTGTATCCGAGTCGACTCGCGGGGCGCTGGACGCTCGGGGGGATATCTTGATATCTTCTCCCCACGTGAAGTGAAGGACTATTATGAGGCGATTGAGTGGGCCGCCGTTCAGCCCTGGAGCAGCGGGAAGGTCGGGCTGAATGGGATCTCGTACTACGCCATCAACCAGTGGCTCGTTGCTTCTCTTCAACCTCCACACTTGACGGCCATGATCCCCTGGGAAGGCGCAGCAGACGCTTATCGGGATTTTGCACGGCATGGCGGCATCGAGTCGAATGGCTTTCTTGATGCGTGGTATCCCCGGCAGGTAGTCTCGGTCCAGCACGGCAATGCGAAGTCGGTGATGGATCCCTGGATGAAGGAAAGATCCAGTGGTCCTGAAACACTTGATGAAGCGGCGTTGAAGAGCAACAGGTCTGACCCGGTGCTGGACATCCTCAAGCGACCCTTGGATGGTGAATGGTATCGAGCACGCTCGGCCGATTGGAGCAAGGTGACGGTTCCGTTCCTCAGTGCGGCGAACTGGGCCGGGTTTGGTCTTCACCCCCGCGGCAACTTCGAAGCCTTCACCCAGGCAGCATCGAAGCAGAAATGGCTCGAGTGCCATCCCGGCAGACACGAAGAATGGTTCTATCTTGAGCAGGGCATCGCGCTGCAAAAGCGGTTCCTCGACTTCTTCCTCAAAGGTGTCGATAATGGCTGGGACCAAGAGCCGCCGGTGCTGATGCACACTCGCCGACCTTTCAGCGATGAGTGGGTTGTGCGGAAGGAGGAATCATGGCCATTGCCTGGTACAGACTGGACGGAGATCTATCTCCACGCGAAGCTAGACGCACCGGAATTGCGATGGGCGAAGCCCACAGAGTCATCGAGCACGAGCTACCACACAATTAACAGCGCCGTCACGTTTTCTTCGCCACCTCTCGAGCACGAGATGGAGCTGACCGGTCCACTGATGGCGAAGATCTTCGCCTCGTCCTCCACCCAAGACCTCGACCTATTCCTGACAGTGCAGGCCTTCTCGCCGGCGCCGAAGCACCGCGAGGTCGAATTCCAAGGCACGGTCGACCCACACACGCCACTGGCGCAAGGATGGCTGCGAGCATCGCACCGGAAACTCGATGGCTCTAAGTCACTGCGCCATCGACCCTACCACAGCCACGACGAAATCCAGCTCCTGGAGCCCGGCACGGTCTACGAGCTCGACGTGGAGATCTGGCCCACCAACATCCACCTCCCCAAGGGATATACTATCGCGCTTCAGGTCAGTGGCCGCGATTTCGAGCGTCCTCTGCCGCCTGATAAGCCGAATGAAGCGTGGACGGCGCGAGGCTCCGGGCCGTGGCTTCACACTCATCCTGAGGATCGTACGAGAGAGGTCTTTGACGGCCAGGCGACTATACATACGGGAGGTAGCACCTGCTCGTATCTCCTGCTGCCTGTCGTTCGTAGGTGAAGAGGCTAGTTGACATTCTGTGGTTGGAATTGAATGAATATGCGGGTGGACCGCCTCCTCACGTCACTAATGCAGTGCTGTAAATGAAACGAAGAACCATTACTCTATCCTGTGTAGTCTTACGTATGGAACACCACGAACTACTTACTATATTAGGTTGTCACCTCAAGAAAAAACACACAAAACGCACTCCATGACAGTATATATACATTATAATATACATAAACGTCTATCAACTGCAACCAAAGAATCTAATGGTATCTCATCACACCACGCTAATTTCAAAACGTCAGACCGATTCTCGATCAAGGATATCCTCTCTATGAAGATCACAACAACCAAGTGATGGTTGGCAAGTAACAAAAACATAACACCAGTTCATGCAAGCCTCCTTTTGTTCCATGCTTTTCAAAGTATATCTGGGAAGTTCAAGCCACCCGGACACCAAATTTCCACACCTGTGTGACTGACAGGTCACCATCTAATGCCTCATCGAGGACGACGAGATCAGCATCCATGCCAACTTCCAACCTGCCTTTTCTGGACTCAACATCCTTACCCAACATCTTTGCAGGAGTACTGGTGACGCACTCCAGTGCTTTGGCTGAGCCACAGCCAGTGTACCGTTTGAAATTGTTGACACAGTCGATGAGGTCAACGACACTCCCAGCTATCCTCCCATTACTTTCCAGACGTAACAATTTTCCCTCCTTGATGAATCGGTCTTCGCCTCTCCATTCATAGACCCCATCAGGACACCCCGCAAATTTCTGCGCATCGGTGACTATGATAGCACCATCCGGATGTGCAGAGTATGCAATCTTCAATGTCTGTGCCGATAGATGGATACCATCGGCAATCAGACCAAAGAAAGGCTGCTTATAGCGAGCTTCGTCATCAATGTCGGACACGGAAGTGCTTATACTCAGGCTAGATCGAGGCGATGTTCGTCTCGAAGACCTTGGTGAGCCTTGTGGGGAGTTTGATGCACTTGCAGGACGACTGGTTCTAGGGGTGGCGATGGGAGTTGAGGGCGCTGATTGACCCAATAGCCCAAAGATTCCAGGATCACGATGACCAAACGGCCTCATGGCGTTGAACAGATGTGTTACCATTGAGGCACCTGCTCCAACAGCTGTCTGTGCTTGTTCGAAGGTCGCATCCGAATGTCCGACAGAGAAGACAATTCCTCGTGAGACAAACTCTGGGATCAACTTCATCATGTTTCCTCTCTCAGGGGCAGCGGTGATGCATCGTACATTTCTCAGATTGGAGGTACCATAGCACTTTTCGATATCGATCCAGGATTCAGCTTGCTGAAGAACTTCTGGGTTATGAATGCCATTTCGCAGTGGTGAAAGAAATGGGCCTTCGATATGGGCACCCAAGCTTTCGGTGCCCTTCGAGGCATCCCTGTCCTTTCCAGAAGGACCGAGATGGGGTAAGACCGCATGATAGGCCTCGGGTTTGGTACTGATGACCGTGGGGACATATGAAGTGAGACCAGTCTTGATCATTTGTTTGTTTGTGTGCTCCAACTTGGCGGCAAAGTCAGTATCTGGAGTGGAGAAATCGAAGTTGTGTGAGCCATTGATCTGAACATCTATGAAGCCCGGGGCAAGGATCTTTCCTTGAAGATCAATTGTCTCATCGGCAGTCAAGTGAGAGGAGTAAAAGGCCGATTGAGAACTGATGATACGACCAGTATCGGATGAGATCCAAAGGTCACCTCCAAACAGCTGTCCATGCTGGAGGAGGCGGGCATTGGTAAACTTGACCACGCGAGGCTGTGGAGCACCCATCTCTAACAACGAGAATAGCAGATGAGTCAGATAAGGGAGGATCGAGGGACAAAAGAACAAAGGAATGGATGATTGCTCGTAGGGAAGCCCTACAAGAATGAAGAAAATTGATAGAAAAGAGTAGCCGGGTCTGAATAATATGGCACTGCGATGATTAGGTCACCTCATAAACTGTGATTGGTAACGGTAACAGGCGGGATTGAAGTTGAAGGAAAATGAATCATGGTTGGAGAAGGCCGATGGTTAGTGAGAAGGGATCAATGAGAAGGCGAGCTTGAGATAGAGTTGATCCTGTCATGTTGCAGTGTGGGCACACGTTGGCCACGACGGCAACACGAGGTTGGTAGTATTTGATTATCCAAACTAGACCTCTAGTCGAGGAGCACGACGGTTCATTGATTTAGTCACAAATATTTCGGACAAGTACGAAAGGTCCTTTGTACCGTGTTTTCGAGATTGCCATCAGATCACTGATCCGGCCTTCAAAATGCGGAGGTGGAGTACGTTGAAGGAGACTGAGGTACTCGGTAGAAAAGCATAGCAACGAGGAACAAAGCAATGAGCAGAAGCTAAGTGGCTTGTAGATGAATGCAACGATGGGATAGAGAAAGGGAGTTGGTCATGGAATGGGACGCTGATATGTAGGGTAGCAGTGGGAGAAATTAGGTGTATGTAACCTCATGGAGGAGAGGCAGAGGTTGGTTGTAACGCTGCTATCAAGGGCAACGGCAACGGCTGCCGTATCTCGCATTCCCTGCAACGCCTGCAGTGCAGCGAAGTGCCTGCCTTGGCCTGACAGTTTCCATGAGTCGTGGTTGCTTGTTCAATGGAGATGGAGAGATGAAGAGGAGACCATGATCCTCACGTGAGCTCTTTCCCCAGACATATGCCTGCTACTGTACATTCTACCTCCAGCTCCAGGGGCCTTGGGCCCTGGGATAGACTCGTGCTCACAGTTAGGTTAGCCGTGATACCCCTCCCGTAGATGTCCAGTTCTTTGTCTACAGATACTCCATATCCCCTCACGCCAGTCACCCTTCCCTCGACAATATCTCTATCCATATCAGATTAGAACCCCACAATAAACAAAAATGAATGATACCCTTGTCTCAAAGCCTTCCCATCAATGGCTAAGAGGCTGCTCCCTATCTCGCACGCCCTGTAGCTTGCCTTGAACATCCTGGACGTGGCCACCACTGCAGCTCTTGGTTAACTATCACTTTGTGTAACACTCGACCTCACTCGTCCCTCGGGCTTGACTCCTGGATGCTGCTGTTGCTCAAGAGTCAACACTCTATGCTACGATACCGATGTCACCACTCTATCATCCCTATCTCAGTCTGCTGATACCAATCTTGAGGGTTACCGTAGTTTGAGTGTCACCACGCGACACTTGACCCTCACCACTGGTGACTCCATCTACTTCTATAACCTTGTGCCCCATGGTCCAACGTGGTTTCGATTTTCTTCTTTCCCCAGAGCGCACTTACGAAGTACTTCGTATCTATTGTTGTTGGCCACTGAGTTTGGTCAAGATAAGACCTAAACCCACCTAGGTTACCCTGCTCCGACCCTTATTGCTGGCCCCCCGCCGCTTAAAGCCCTTAACCCTGCCACTCATCTTCCAGGCTCCGCTTTTAGTTGGAGAGCCGCAACCACTCGTCAATTTTTGGTCCTGCACTCCGCACCCGCAGTCGCATCCTGGTCTCGACTTTCGACTCTCTTGATCTCGAGACCTCGCACCGTACCGCAACCTCACGCGGTACACCCTTTCTCGTCTTCTTCTTCATCTCGAATTATTTCTTCCTCCTTCTCCCCCTCCTCCTCTCCTCACATCATGTCCGACGTCGCCGACGAAAAGATGGCCGCAGAAAAGACCTTGGGCACTACTGGCACCGAAACTCCTCCCAACTATGCCACTGAACACTCCCTCGACCACACTCGCAAGGCCGAAGGCAAGCCATGGATGTACAAGAGGCTCAAGCTAGGCCCTGTTGCACTGCCCGCGTATGCCAGTCCCAAGTTTCAGATCGTTTTTGTCGCCATCGTCTGCTTCTTGTGCCCTGGCATGTTCAACGCAGTCAACGGTCTCGGGGCTGCAGGTCAGGTCAATGCTCACGACATCAATAACGCCAGCACGGCCATTTACTCCACTTTCTCTGTTGTCGGTTTCTTCGCTGGCAGCATTGCCAACAGAATTGGTCTCCGTCTGACTCTGGGCCTCGGTGGCTTTGGATACGCTCTCTACATCGCCTCCATCCTCTCCTACAACCACAACCAAAATGCCGCTTTCCTCATCTTTGCTGGTGCCCTCCTTGGTGTTTGCGCTGGTCTCTTGTGGACGGCTCAGGGCGCCATCATGATGTCCTACCCACCAGAGAAGTCAAAGGGTCGATACATTGCCACTTTCTGGGGCATCTTCAACCTCGGCGCCGTTATTGGCGGCTTGATTCCTCTGGCCCAGAATATCCATTCCAAGGCCAACAAGGTCAATGATGGCACATATATCGGCTTCATTGTCCTCATGGCCCTCGGCTTTGCAATTACTCCCTTGCTTTGCAATCCTCGTTTCGTCACTCGTGACGACGGTTCCAGAATCATCATGATGAAGAACCCTACCTGGAAGTCCGAAATAACCGGCATGATGTCCGTTTTCATTTCCGACTGGTACATTGTCCTTCTGTTCCCCATGTTCTTCGCCAGCAACTGGTTCTACACCTACCACTTCCAGTGTGTCAACCTCCCCAAGTTCAACATCCGAACCCGGTCCCTCAACAGCGTCTTGTACTATCTTTCCCAGATCATCGGAGCATGGATTTTTGGCCTTGCCCTAGACTCGGAAAGATTCTCTCGCAGCACAAAAGCCAGGGCTGCCGTGGTCACCCTCTTCGTTTCCACTTTTGTCATCTGGGGAGGTGGCTACGATTTCCAGAAACAATACACCCGAACAGAGACCGATGCCGATGACTATGTCAAAATCGACTGGACTGATTCTGGTTACATTGGACCCATGTTCTTGTTCATGTTCTACGGTGCCTACGACTCAGTATGGCAGACAACCTCTTACTGGTAAGTTTTTATTTCCCCCTTGCTTTGCATGTCTGACCCTGACTGACAATTGTAGGCTTATGGGTTCTCTCACCAACAACAGCCGCAAATTGGCAAACTTCACAGGTTTCTACAAAGGCATCCAATCTGCCGGAGGTGCTCTTTCTCCCGTCCTCGATACCCAAAAGGTCTCCTACATGAACCAATTTGCTGCCAACTGGGGTCTTCTGGCTGGCTCTTTGATTGTCGCCGCACCCGTCATCTGGACAAAGGTCCAAGACACCACCGACATCGAAGAGGATCTCAAATTCTCCGATGAGACAATGGCCGACGTCGCCCCTATTTCTCCCATCGTTGGTGCAGAAGGCCAGATGGCTGAGAAGAATGCCGTTGTCCATTGAGGATCATTTTGACTGCACGAACCCATCCATTGCGGATTATCAATCGGTGTCAAGGCCAATGTATCCATGACAAGAATGCCAAGCGACTCATGGATGGAACGTATATGTTCAGCTGAGTGAAGTCCAAGCAGCAGAGTATTATGATGATACCAACAGTGGGCTCGGCTGGAGAAGTGGCTTGGGAGAGGCAGGTGGAGAGATAGACCCCTCGAAACCCAGAGTTCGCGCTAAGCAGCCGAGCAAAGCAAGCGTGCTTTTGATGATACCATGATGAGAATACCTCCTTCTTCTAATGTATGTACTTCGCCGGATTGGATAATGGTACATTCTTCCCTGTAATGAAATCTGATCAAATCCACTCGGCACGCCAATCGCTGTCTGTGCCTCTATTGTCATGATCGCCAACTAGTTTGCCGAACCCCTGTACAAAAAATACCGAGCTACATAATTCACAATTCGACCGGGCGACCCCTCCGTGGTACCAAAGTCGCATCCACTCACACACGTATTCCATCCGCTATCCGTAAATTTCGAAACCTCGCCTTCCAGACCACTAAGTAAATCAACGGTTCGAGAACCTGATTCGTGAGTTGTCAATGCCGGTGCTCTGGAAAGTGGCGACTTGGCAATTCTGTGCTAACGCGAGGCTAGTGACACCCCAAACGAACGAGGCTCCCAATAAAGGGGTTCACACACATTTTGGCTGTTCTCTTCAGGTTAGACGTTTAACATTCCACACAGAGCACGCAGGTAGTTTTCGGGTTCACTGGGAGTTTTCCCTTATCTCTTATACTGGTTGCGAAACACGGGTTGACAGAGATCAATCGTGTGTGTCCCATGGATGGCGGTATCGTTGATGGCGTGGAACTAGGTCGACGACATTTAATGTGAAAGAAAATTTGTTGTTGTTGTTGGAGAGGAGTATGATGTGGACTTCCTGCACGATTAGTGGTTGAAGTAGAGATTGCTTTTCAAGTTCGGTCGGGGAAAGACGAAAACGGGGGGATTGAATACCTGGTAGGTGAATCTACCTAGGGTGGGTAGCTAAGCCAGTTCAAAACGGGGTATCGAAGTAGGACAACACAATAATTCTGGACGGCGACATGCTGCATTATGAGCCCGATATCTACGCCACTTTCCAATGTCACAGATAAAAATCGTCCATTCATCACCGGCGATCCAGGCATGACCTAGGTTACTAACAACACCTCAGAGCCCGATCAACAAAAGAAAATAAGCTGCGGGTTGTCAATTCGAATCCTTCCTCAGGTTACTCTGCTCGGATTCGTATCCTCAGACAACCACAGCTGTATTAACGAATGCCAGAATCGGTTGTTCACAAGGCTGTTGTGGTGATCACTGCTGTTGCGGATCGTGTGCAGAACTAGCGTCGGATCCTCTGCTCATGGTTCTGCTGAGTCCGTCGTCATCATCAACACTGTCGATCTGCTCTGATTGTGTCGCCACACGATAGATGTCTCTGCGCTCTGTACCATTCCCATCACCGTATGAGAGTTGTGCCTCGTTGGTATGAGCAACATTGCCATCACCACCGCCAAAGAGAAGAGTAAAGTCCATAAATTCCGTGAGTGGGGAAGGCATCGATAGGGTCGCAGACTCAGGGTCGTCTGGTGGATCTGGGGAGGTGGGCTGCATCATCACTGGAAGGTGGAGAGCTGGCGTTGAAGAGCTTCGCATGACACGGCGTTCCATGGCGGGCACGGCACCTGCAACCACACTTTGCTTTTCAGCTTCAAGGGTCTGGCGTGCCTCGATGCCCAGCTGCTGTGCGTCCTTATCGTCATCATTCATGCTAAGTCGCAACCTGGCTCTGAGTTGATCAAGATTGCCGAATTGCTCCTCCAAAGCCTCCAATTGTTCCCGCTTTCGTTTTCGGGTATCGTCTTCTTCCACTTCGTTGACTTGATCATCATTTTCGCTGCCACCTAAAGCATAGTTCTGGATGAAATCTCTGCTGGCTTGACCGATGGCCTCTAGAGTGGTGCGCAGCTCGCGTTCGAGTGCTTTGCGATTGATGACTTGGACCCGCTTCTCGAGGAGTTCTTTGCATATTCAAGCTCTTCCTTATGATCAGACGGCTTTAGTGGGTAGCATACTTTGGCCTCTAGCTCATTTGCAGCCTCTTGGAGTGCTTGTCGCTGCGCCTCAGTCTTGTCTTTTATCGGAATGCCTGCCAGAAGAACATAGAGGAGGTGAATGGCTTTGTCGTCAAGACCCACTCCCACGATTCTCTTGTTGTGTATGGTCATGTTGTTGTTAGTATCTGTGTTTTCCATGCTTTGCATGCTGTCCACGCTATCTGTGTCATCCATGTTGTCCATGCTGTGCTTTGTGAGATGTTCTCATTGACAAGGGCGCGGGTTGATCAGATGCAGGAGACAAGGAAGGAGAGAGAGAAATCGGCGAAGATGGGCTAAGAAGGTACCTACCTAGTGGTCATGCCGAGAGGGAGTCAGATTGAGGCAGTGCCCAGGCGCAACGGTTTCCAAAAGCAACTTGCAGGGAAACGCGATCAATGAAACAACTTGGAGCAAGGCTTTGGAACCCTTGCAGACTGATTGTCACAACTCGGCATTGATTGCCGTGCCGATGAATGCGTTTTCTTGGTACCACAAACCAGTGCGAGTCTTTGGCTACCTGCATCATCACTAGCCATAAAGGGGTGGGGAGAATGGCTGCTTGCCATTGATAAAGTGAGTAAATGCGCCGACTTACAAGAGGACACATGCTCACGGTGGCTTCGAGTTTAAGGCATTTCGTGGATGGCGACTGCCATTTACATCCAGTGTCGTTCGTACCCTGACCTGAACAGCCCCATAGTCCTCGTTCACGTTGCGCTTCAACCTCCGAATCCCTCAGCAACTCTGCCAGCAAACTCAACATTGACCATCGTCTCAATCCTTCTCGAACCTCAGCTCTTGATCCCACACCCATTGTATACCATGCTTATGCACGGAATTTCTGGTACGCTGGCTCTGCTTTTCTCCTCATATCTTTCAATTGTTCCTGCTCGGACTTTCGTTTCCACCACCCGTGCCTTTTCTCTTATTTGAGCGAGTTTTGTTGATGGCATGTCGTGGTAGGAAACAGGACCACAGGCAGCGCAATTGCGAAGCCGTGATCAACCGTCCCTTGAATTCGTTGACCGCAACTGCTTTCGACTTTTGAACTCTGTAACCACCGAGAGCACGGAAAGTGGCGTCAGGAACCCGAGGAAGGGGTGTTATTGGATGAACATTGCCATTCCCAGTGGTGACATTCATCATACGCTTAGTAGAAGTAAGGCGCTGGGATCTGGGAAACTCCATTTGTTTTATGACCTGCACTTCAGAAGTTCCATCATCATCTGGAAGAAATTGATCAATGGTTGCGACCAAATCGGCAGTTAGCTCGACCTCATTCTCCTTTGCAATCTTTTCAGCCACTCTTCGCACAGCAGCATCGAGATGCGGTAGATGCTTGTTCTGGTAAGCAGGGTGTTCTTGCAACTTGGAGTATAACTGGTGTGTAATCATTGCCCCGATCTTGACCTCAGCATCTGAAGGATGCGAATTCTGGAGGACCACCATGACCTCATAGATTAGATCGCGAATCTGGATCTCAAGTAGAGATGTCATTCTGACAAGCTTATTCGAGACTTTTTGGAGACTGAATGAATGGGAACAGCAGTGAGAGTAATAGGATGTTCCCAGCCTTGCATTGGGATGGCGAGACTGTGTAGGCTTTGGAGTAGAGACTGACACGTAGAAGAAATCAAGCCGGTTCTGAGATGAAAGTGAGGAGAGGGATGGCTGGCGATACTTCTGAGGAAAGGCCTTTCAGCAGGACTACTAGGCCTGATCCTGGCTACTTGGAAGACTTGACTGGAACCTCATTGGCAATCGAAAAATGATTGCCGCAAGACAGCAGGTGCAAGCTTCTAACTTGGCACAGGATGGCCTCCGTCCACCCAATATCTGACAGGCGTTTCGTGCAATAAACCTGAGAGTTCGATCAAGAGGTGAAGAGCTCAGTGGTAGCTGATATTTCTGTCCCCGAAGACCGAAGAAGAAAATGTTCGATCAGGAAATCTGAAGGTTTGAATTCACGTCAGTTACCCGCTGCTTTTTCTTCTTTGGCTTTTCACTGTTCTGAACCTCGTCATAGTGCTGAATCAGGGCTCTCCGCGCAACGTCAAGGTTGGCAAGCGCGCTCTCACAAGCATCGTTCTTCACGGCCCGCGATTCTGCGCCAGTGGCTACAGAGCTTAATGCCCAGTCATCCTCCTCGCCCTCATCTTCAACGAGCTTGTCCAGCGCTGCTTTGGCCGCATGCACTGCCTGATTGAGTTTCTGCCTCGCCTCCCTTCCTTGCACGTACAACCTTTGCATGTTTGCGTGTTCTGTTGTCACTGGCAGCGGATCATGATTATGCTGGGCGGGCTCGCCATACTTGCGAATATAATAGTATGGAGGGTTGTGATCCGTCTCACGCGCGATGGTCATTTTGTATGGGCAATCCGTAGCGTTACTGACACGTTTTCGCTGACCTGTAGCAACATAGCTGCTCCGGTTGTTCGCGCGGGAACAGCAGAGATAGTAAGAATTGTAGTCTCCATCCTTGCCTCTTTTCCCTCTGGTGGCTATTCTCATCGAATATCCACGAGCTTGTGACCAGTCATTAATGTAGAGTAACAGGGCTTCGAAGCTGGTAAAGCGACGATTCTGGGGATTGGAGAAGGTCTGGTAGTGCTGGTCCTCTGTGGGTTGAAGGTTGGGTGTCGCGATCTCACCTTGGAAACGCGGTTGGATGAGTGGTGTAATGGGGATTTCATGTGCTGGCGGAAGGACTGTCTGCTGAAGAACCGGCGGTTGTAGGACTGAGGGTTGGAAGTCAGGGTGTATGGCATGAAGGCCATCCATGATGACGACCAGGATTCGAAGCAGGTTAGCCCGAAGAATAGGTGGGTGCACGGAAGTGGTGCGGTGATTGAAGCATTTTGTTATTATGCGGAAAATCGAGGTGAGGGACGCGGTCGACTGTTAGTATGACGAACCACTGGGGTACGACGCTAGCGAAGTCCTTAAATACTACTACTCTGCATATGGAATAGTCAGTTCTTGGCACAGACGACAAGTCTCCAAGTTAGGAAATCATTCATGACCAGCCTGAGGCTCCCGTTTCCAGTATTGGTTTGCAGAGATCTAGGAACAGTTTGTCTAGGTATGGTGTTTAGTTGATACACCCCCCACTTGTCGCTTGGCACTTAAAGATTCAATACATCGTGCTTCTGAGCCATATCAGCCCTTCATCTGAGCGCACTTTCAAGGGAGTGTACAAACGACATACTGCACGCTGTACCTGCATTGTCAAAGTCCTACTCGTCTGCCTTTGACTTACTTTATACTCAGGGAAACTCCCTCTGCGCTCCATGGTCATTGAACATATAATACGGTTCACCATCATGATCTTTGGTGTATTTAAGTCATCAGAACTAGACTTAAAGAATCTAGGTTTCAGAAGCGCTTCCCAGAAAGATCAATTTCGCAAAAATGATAGTGTGGGAAACCGTCTGCTTTGCCAGCAACCCCTCCATCTACCGCCTTTGCCTTCAGCTCAACTCGTTGCTAGTATCCAAGCTTTTAGCTCACGCTTCTTGCTAGAAACCATCGCTCCAGCTCGCCGCTGCCGTCAAAACCCACACTTGGAGGCATAAGGTAGATCGATGAGGCTTGGTGAGGGCCGTCTGAGCTCCTCTTTGTCCAGACCACACTGATTGACGGGACGATAAATGGTATGGTTGGGGTCCTTGGCGCTGCGTAGCTTGCCAATGCCCGTGTGCCAGGACATGACTGCCCGTGTACCAGGATTTGACTTCGTCGAATTGCGCGTCACCCTCTGTCAACCCTGCTGACCTCTCCCAATCCTCATCTGATTCCCACTTTCTTTTGCGAGATGGCAGACCTGCGTTTCCCCTCTCTTTCTCTTGCTCGCCGCTTTTCGATGATTCCATCTTCTCGGCAGCGTCAGCCAGCTTCTTTGCGGCCTCGGATGCCTCGGAGATTGCTTTTCCTCGTTCTATTCCGAGCCTGAGGTTTTGTCTTCGCTTAATGAATTGAGCCTTGCTCGTCGAGATGCTCTTTGGGCTTGGATAGTGGATCGTCATAGAGCTTTCGATTTCATTGCGAATATCATGTATGAGCATAGATCGCTCGTCCGTGAGGTTGCATTCAAGATCGGCTGTCGCCTCTAATAGCTCTAGCAACAACCGGCCGGTCTCTGCGAGAAATTCAGGCATTTTGCTCCTGCACAGGTGTAAGCAATCGTGTTGTGGAGGCAGAATTCACTCCTACAATGGCAGATGATCCCGCGGGCAGAACAAGCTCGCTGTCAAAATGTAGTGTTGGTTATGGCTAGTCTGAGAGTCTTGAAGAAGGTCGACGATGGGAGATGGAGAGGTAATGAGTGAGCGTAAATACTCTATAGTGGTTGGGAGCAGAGTCAGGTTATGAGGGAATTGAACGTTGATTCACGTGTTGGAATGAGGCTGACATTGAGTTGTGTTCCTATCATCTTTGGTTCAACGTGTAAGTCTTGCTAAACTCTCGAGAAGCATGTGATAGAAGTCGCTGGAAGCAGTCGCTGGTTCTGCTTTAGCTCCTTCAAATAACCCTTCCTTTGCCGATCTCTGTCTAGGTGTGCTCCAGAAAATCATTGACATAATGACCCCCGAGCCGTCTTGCAAAAACACCAAAAGCCGATGATCGCGTTTCATTTCTTGAGCTTCGCACACAGAGTCTGAATGCCATCAATATGCTTCTGCAACTCCTCCTCAATCTCCTCGACCTTCTTAATCTCGCGATCACGAGTCACCTCCATGACCGTCCGATCTAGTGGAACTGCCAATTCATGATCATGCAAGTGTTGATTTTTGATAGACTCCTCCATGTTTCGTAGACGCAATTGGGCTTTCAAGATGTAGTGGAGACCCAGCTTTCGGCGTTCCATGATTCGTTTCTTCAGCTCAGCTCGTCCTTTTGCCTGTTGATCTCGCTCTTTGAGTACTTCGTTCGGCTTCTCCTTGGTTTTTGTGTTGCCGGGAGTCTTCGATCTGGGTATTATTGGTAGTTTGTGTTCTGGAGATGAGCCTGGATCTTCTGTCACGGTAGACATGATGACAGGAGATTGAGTGAGTGATTCAGTCTTCCCATAGTCCGCCATGGTTGCTGATGTGTCCGTTTAACCAAAACCTTGTAGATATGTATAGACAGAAGAAAGTGAAAGAAGAAATTAAGAGAAGTCGTGGATTAGTAGACTACGATTTGAGATTAGTTTCAATCATAACCAAGCTTCCAAAAAGCCTGCAAGTACCTCGTATAAAGTACAAAGAGCACCGTCGTCAGAGAAGGATTATTTGGACCTCTTGCGAGGGCTGGAATCATGTAGAAGCTCCTACCCGTAGGCAACAAAGACCCAATTTGATTGAGCGCGAAGACCTGTGAGCTTTGTTGTAGCCGCGATTGTGACCTAAGACATTAAAGGGTACTTGCAGCCTTGCACAACTATCCCAACAATGGATACTCTCCTGGCCATGATAGAGGTGACACCGCTCTATCAGCTTTATTAGAGCATCCAAACAACTCATACATTCCTGTCCATTCCAGATCCAATCCAATTTCCCAATCCCTCATTCACGACTAACTTTTTGAGCTAGTCAGAGACCGGAGCCAATCGTGAGTAATGCTCGGTATCACTCACTCCTCCATATCTTTCAGCAAACCCAGCATTTCTTCGGCCTCCTTAACTAATTCCTCTTTTCGATGATTCTTGTGAAGATTGGTCAGACTGTTCACCATATTCGATCTTGACCGGAAATTGGCGAGTCTGCAGCGTGAAAGGAGGAATAGGCTCTTTGATATCTGGCTGAAAGTTGTCAGTAAAGATGGTATAGCGACTAAGCACAGAATATTCCCCAACGGAAAAGAAAAAAAGAGATGGACACTTACCACCCTTAAGTTAGCCTAGAAATTGGTGTGCTCCAAGGCGTCTTATTTTTCCGAAATGCAGGGAAAATGAAGAGTGAGGGACACATGAAGACTTCCAGCTAGATCGGGTGGTCGAGGTTCCGCGGAAACTGTGTTGGCACAATGTTTGAATACCTGTGTGTTAGATCTAACTGGGCCAGCTGCAGATGTAGAGCACCTTGTCCCCAGAAATAATATGCAGTCCTGCGTCTATATTCTGACAGAAGCTTATCCATTGTCATTCTGGCCTGCATACTACCCGTGTACCAGTAGACCGTAGTCCACATTCAAAATCCGCCACCTTGCACGTTGCCGTTGCCGTCGCCGAGTAATAGCAAGGCATAGCCTCCAAGCCGATATGTCAGTAGTGAAAGATCAGGCTGTGTTTTTTTCCAGAGTGTTCAGGTGCCTATTGCGATGCACACCATGGTTCGTTAATCTGAGCATGTAACTAGGCTTCTAGTCAATTCTCCGACTAAGAAACTATAACAGGCCAGTTTGTAGCTGCTTTGTTGTATTGTTACCATATAGAGGCGAAGAACAGAGCGTGATAAGCGACGTAGGTACGTTTGTTCTAAGAATACTGCGTAACGTGCTTTGGAGTAGCTACGCACGCAATATCAATCACAAAGCAGATAGACTTGGAAGTGAACGAGCATGAATTTTGTACTCTACAGCACAGTAGTTTGCTACCTCCAGATTTGAGAAACTGTGTGGTTTCTTTGTCCTCCGCCCTTCAACAATTTCTCACACCATGAAGCTGACAAATTCATCCATGAGCTTTCTGCAGTATTCAATGTCAGATACAGATCATCCAAAGGCTGACGTTTGTTGTCAAGACCATGTTCGAGACTCTGGCATTTGTAAGGAAATACGTTGCCTAGGGTCTAGGTTGGCTTTCCGCCAAAGCCACTGCCACTCGACAGAGTCGAATACTTTGGCAATCGTGAAATCAGGCTGAAGATAGTGATCTCCCATTCGTTGCTTAGGAACATGAAGAACGAGGTGGGACCCCAAGGATTACTTGGCAAGTGCGGTGGTGCTCGTTCCCCACGAACGAACACGAACATCTGAGCAATCATTCCAGCTGAATATGTGTCAACGGTACGATTTCCATTGAGGCTGAGCGAGCAGCATATAACTGTATCGGCTTTCAATATGGCGTATGAGAAATACCGCTTGGATATTGGGTACCGATGGCTGAAGGTGTCATGTCTGGTGGTCCTTTACCTGGAGCATTCGTGAAAAGGGCTCCTTTGCGTCCCACGGATAAAAATCGAAAACAGGGTGTATCTTAGGCGAGCGTCATGAAAGATCATAAACGACTCACGGAATACGCGACCATGTTCTAACGCACCCGAGTTGCAGATGGATGCGATGCTTCAAGGATCACCATCAGCCCTACCATTGCTGTGGAACTATAAGATCCCATTTGCCTCCTCAGCCTCCTGATTTCGAGAGTCACGTCGTCTCAAGTCTCGACCCGCATTCGCTGTTCCTTGATTGCACTGAAAAGCGGTCAAGAAATTCTCAAGGATGATCTTTAATGCTATTTGTTTATGTTTTGCCTTGCTTTCCCCGGCAGTTGACGCCGCCTACCTGAAAAATCCATCTGACACTCCCAAGAACGTGAAGCGAAGAGGACGTACCTACCAAGCGAGTGATACTGATAACAATTTCCATCGATTCCCTGTTGTCAGGCAACAGCCGCAGTTCCACAAACGCCAGGAACCAACCGGAACACCGTTCGGATTCTATGAAGGCCTCCCTCACTTGGATCTCGGCATAGGCAACAGTGATCCACCCCAGCACACAAGAGTTCTGCTAGACACTGGAAGCTCAGAACTCTGGGTCTACACTCCAGCACTCCGCGATGATGGTACCTGTAAGTACCTACGGAGGCAGGACCATTATTTTCTGCAACTTCCGTAGTGGGGGCCACTCTCTCACGGTTGATTGGCTTGTTCATCTTTGACAGAGACTGACCTCAGTAGATGACCCAAACCTGTCGACATCGGAGCAATGCTATCTGGCACCAACGTTCAACATCACTTACCTCGACGGTACAGACATTGACGGCTTCTACTGCACCGAGATCATTCAAGTTGCGGACCTCACTGTCACCAACATGACCATTGGCGTGCCACAGACAGCAGTCGGTGACGCCTCCGGAGACTATGGCATTCTCGGTCTCTCATTCAAGACTGGACAAGGACCGGAGGAAAAGCATTCGACTCTCGTTGACGCGATGTTCGAGGAAGGCTTGATCCCAGCTCGTGCGTATGGCATCTTCCTCAACAAGGCAGGTGAGTTGAAATGTGCCAATTTGATCTAATCTACTTCACGAAGCACAGCTAATCGACATGGAGCATTCAGATTCGGAAAATGGAGAGATCACCTTCGGTGGTGCAGATCTCAGCCTCGTGGTTGACGAAGAACTATCTCTCCTATCGATGCTCAAGACTGAGGATCCATCAGAGCAGCAAATCCTCACTCTGTTGACCGCTGTCAACTCCAACGAAGTTGATGTCCCGGTCCTCCTCGATACCGGCACACCAATCAGCATCTTACCACCAGAGGTCCTCAACGCCTTGGTCGAAGAATTCGCGTTCACAGAGTCTACCGACAATCCAGGAATGATCGAAGCCCCATGCAGTATGGCAAACGAAACAACGACAGGACTCACGTTCACATTCACCGATTCCGCGGATGCGGAGAATCAGGTCACCATCATGATGCCGTGGTCTGAAGCTATTCGCCCGGCCGGCGATAGCGCGTGCGCTTTTGTTTTCAGGGCGGGCGACACTTATATCATGGGCCAGACATTCTTGCAGTCCACGTACTTATTCGTGGATCTGGATGAGTTCACCATCGGCTTGGGCCAGGCGAATTGGGTGTGAGTGGGGAGTGAGTCTATTTACACTGAGGGTCAAGCAAATGGGAAGATATGGGTCAGGGGTGTGGGGTCAGTTGGTAAGTAGTAAAGGTTAGGAGCAGATGGATACACAGCAGATATTTGCGGAATATCTTGTTTCAACACACTTGTATCGCACCTGGTAAAATCAGGCGGCCTGGTTTTAGTTCAGACTTTCTTTGATAGTTATGCGGAGCAAGCATCGCACAACTCTTGACCAGGCCGTGGAAAAGTAATAGGATATTAGGGTGCCCATCCACCTACGGCTAGGTTGAAATCACCGACTCCTGATCCCTGAGATCTCGAGAGCCTCAAAAGCAATCCGTTCACTCGTACCTTGTCTCATGAGAAGGGGCTCGAAACTAGGTGTGCTATTGAGGGACTTTTCCTCCAAAGTGGATCCACGAGACACGTTGCTACAATTAGCAAGTCCACGGCACAGGCATAGCACTTGGTACCAAAGTAGAGGAACAATTCAGTATGGAAGAAATGATTTTAATGTAGTATCGATTATACATAACTTAAGACCTGGGGTATTCTGTGTTAAATATACTGATTCCATCTTCGTGGGTATCTGTCTCCCCTATCGAGCAATAATGCAAGACCATCGGTTAACATAATCACCCCTGACACGGGTGTGCATTCCGGAACACCAAATGAACACCGCCACAAGAAAAGAGATAAAGGGATGGAGGTCTGGCTTCCCATCGATGGCCTTATTAACTCGTACTGATAGAGGCATCTTATTCAACATCCTTCTCCTTTCCCCGCACGAGGCCTACTTGCTCCGCAACATCAATACCAATGCCTTGTGGTTTCGAGTCTACACTGCCACGGGTATTGGTACGTATCATGTCGTCGCGTTCTTCTCCTAGTCCTAAGCCTAGTCGATCAGTACCAATGCTGAAAGCAGTAAGTGATCCAGGATTCAAATCTTCCGCAAGATCGTGTGCCAAGTGGGTTGGTGTGTTGACTCCAGAAGACATGGCGTCAGGCTCGGCGGTCAGAGATATTGAGCCTCGGGTACTGAGGAAGGATGAGGGCTGGGTATTCGTATCACCTTTTGCAGACACCATTTTCGTAGAGCTCGGACTGGTCGTCAATACATCTGCAATCTTCGCGCTTAGGGATGTCATGTTACTGGTGTGGCTATCCGCACGATCTAGTTCGCCACGGGTCCTAGCCTTCTCAATCTCTGCCATGAGAGTAGGGTCTTCGTCTTCGAGATCATCTTCATCACTACCGTCGAAAAATCGATCACTCCACCGCGAGCTGTCAGATCTGGCCAACCTCGACAATGCTGCTCGACTAGAACTCATGTTGGAGAAGCCAGTAGCATTCGAAGGTGTGGTGAAGGTGCCCGCATTCTCACCAGTGGCGCTGACCTTGCTGACGAGCTCAGAGATATCGTCACGAGACTCACGGATCTCAGAATCAGTACGGCCTGGACGTTGCTGAACTTCTTCTCGAATCTTCCAGTGTGCATGGAGTTTATGCATATCCCCATGCGCGCCATCCATTGCAGGTGGTAGGGCAGCTGTCGCGGGAATATCAGTCGCGCTGCGCGACCGCTCTAATTCATGTTTGTCAATCTTGCCAATTTCGGAGTCTTCCGCGGGAAGATCTGTCTGCCCCAGAACTTCTTCGCCCGTCGCCAGCACTGCCTGGTCCGCCGCTTTTGCACGCTCAACAGGAGCCTCATCCTCGTCACGAGTCTGTGCGCTGGCAGTGTACCCGAAATGGGTGTCACACACGTGCTTAACAACAGGCCACCCGTAAGCATTCGCAAACATACGACGGACGATCATGTTGTTGTGAGCATCTGGCTCTAGACGAACCAGAACCTTCCGCCATGAAAGATCTTTGTGGTAGGCCCTGGCTATCTTCTCCTCAATTTTCATTGGTCCAACACTCGGTTGTGCCATTGATGTTGAATGACTCGACTCGGCCGGCTCAGGTTCCGTTGGAGATTTAGGTACGACAGATTGTTGCGAACCGTCTCGTGATGAAGACCGTCTCATCATCAATGTTCGCTGTCGTTTGGCAGGAGGAGGTGGAATATCTTGAGGGTGATACACTCGGTCGTGATGGATTGTTCTTGGTCTTGCTCCGGGGTCGAGGATAAATTCGCGTGAAGGCAGAGGTGGGTTGAGCAGATCTCCAGCAGATTCAAAGAATGTAGTCCTTGGAGGAGCTTCGACATCTCCATTCTCGGAATTGTTGGTATAGAGGGAGGAGCCGCGGACGAGACCTTTCGGTCGATCACCCTGTTCATCGGTGCTACCACTATCTTGTGAATTGCCACGTGAGCTTTCAGGTTCTGAATCGTGGTGATGGCTGTGATGCATTGTCTGCCCGCGGCGATAGATCTTTTGGATTTTCCGTGGACTTTTTGGGGGCGCCTGTTTACCGGCTTGTGGTTTGAATAGATTCATGAGCCCAGACCAAAGATTAGGGCCAGAACCAGTTGGTGAATCCTCAGCATCGCCAATTGGTGACGACGGTTTATCAAGAAATTGACTTTCCCTTGGCTCAAACCTTTGGTCGTAATCAAAACCCTGACTTGCATCTGCCTGCGGAACAGCAGCCTCAGGATCGGGAGAAGTTTTGCCAGGTCGGTTGCCTTCGTCACCACTATCGCCAAACAGGTCATTCCAGGTAAGAGGCTTTCTTGAAGAACTCGCATTTTGACCTGTCATTTCAGCCCACCCCCAGCCCACCATGGTCCCGACAAGCCCGTTTTCTCTGCGCGCCTTGTCAACACGGCCGAGACCCCTGTAGTCAAGGAATAGAAGACATGATGTGCGTAATGGAACGATCCCATCGTTGACGACATTTGAGTAAACAGTACGATTTCGAAACTTTTTCAAAGCAACGTGCGCCGGCCCCGTGGGAAGGATTCGGAGCAGAGGTTTTGCACCCGGGTCCGGCTCCTTCTCAGCCTTTTGCGACTCAGTGGTAAGGCCACCAATCACAGCGCCCCATCCACTCTTTGCAAGTGTAGGTGCACGCCATGTCAGACCAAGATCCTGACCAGTTCGCCCAACAAGCCCAAAGTCCAACGCAAATTTGACATACATGGGATTTTCATTACTGAGACCAAGAAACGGAGACGCTAGGGCAACGAAGTTGACGGGTTTGATTAGGTCGAAGAATTCCGGAGAATGTTTCTGAATGTAGGCGATAGCATAAGTCTGAATCAAGCCGCCGAGGGAGTGACTGATGAAGGAAATGCTTGTAATCTTGTAAGGCAACTTTTGGTCCTTGTGATTTTCATCTTTGACGATGCTGCTGTGTTTGTGTGTCGGCCGATTGCCATCCACAGAGGATGGTTTGGAGCCCGTCAAAGTCTTTGAGATGGTCTTTGATATCGAGCTTTTGACGGGTAGGTATGGTTGATCTGGATACGTGAGGGAAAGGACGTATTTAGCGAAACGTTTCCCGAGGTATTGGATACCACGTTCCGTCTTCACGGCATTTCCATTAAAACCTCGAACAATAACCTGCTCTTCTTCGTCTTCTTCGTCTTCCTCGTGTTTTGTGGCTGATACCTCAGGATTTGACTTGGACCTGTGATCAACAGCGTCCCGGGCGAACTGGTTGGACTCGGCAATGCGTCGCAAACGAATATCAGCTCTTCTCTTCCTGGACGCTTCTTGTGCCTCCTTGGCAGCTGTGTCAATGCTCTCTTTCAGATAGAGCATATCGGCACCCAAATTGCTATGGAGACCGTGAGTAAGCAGAACGAGATGTATCTTTTTCTGTTTGCGCTGTTTCCTGTCATCTTTCTCCTCGGCGTCACGCTTGTCGCCATGTTGAGGACCCTCTTGCACATTTACATCACCATCTTTCTCCCACTCCGGAAAGGGAGGCGTACTCCATAGCGAATCGGTATCATCGATAAAGAGTCGGATGGCCTTGGAAAAGACCCCTCTTGGTTGACCTGTGGCCTTTACGCGGCTATGTTGATGGTCCTCTAGCTTGGCCGGAGCACCATGTCCTGACCCGATGACTCCATGGAAGCCTAGGTCCACCGATTTTTCGTCTCGGCCAACCAGCAGCTCGTAGTGGACGGCAGCACTGGTAGAGAAAATGACCTGAGATGCCACTTCAATTACCCAGGTGAAGGACTTCCTATCAGGCTTCCCATTGTCTTGTCTGGCGCCGGTAGTGTTATGAGCATCTTGTCTTACTTCTTCAGGAACGGTCAGTTGAGCCGACCAGGAGCCTCCGGCTTTGAGTTGGGGCTCGAATTCTGGAGAGCCTTCTTCCTTGACCCTTTCATGCTTCTTGTACGGATGATATGTTGAAGGGTAGCAAGCTACATAGAGTGTATAAGGACCATGGAGGTAAGCGGCCCTCAGCGGAATGGCGGCAGTGTTCTTGATCTTGACATACAGCTGCGATGGGGGCGGAAGGATGCGGTCAAGGCTGGGGGTGTATGTCAAGGTATATCTGCGGTCGACGTCAGCGAGGAGAACGGTGAGGAGGTGCATACTGCTGGCTCACCTTACAACCTCACCAACCTTGACCGAGCCCGTCTGATGAATGAGGAGCATGGCGGCAGGACCGTGACATGTGCTGATACGACTCACGGGTCAGGAGTCGAGTTCTGGATTTGTTACCGCTGGATGGAAGATAGGTGTTCTTCTGCGAGATTGCACAGATGGGCCATGTCGAGGTGTAAGCGGTCGGTGACTTCAGAAAATACACGCCCAGATTGTACAGAGGGTAGAGGCGGTGCACACACGACACTGCATTGCACAAATGGCAAAGGTAATGGATGAGATGGGGTTTGTGATTTATGACATAACCGAACCCGTGAGCCAACCATTTTAGGCTTAACCTGAGGCTAGCGGTAACTTACTTCGTAGAGATAACTTTGATTACTGTTAGCGGCTCGGCGGCTCTTTAAGTGCTCGGTCCGCCATAACGTAGATAAATGATAAGGCTACAGTTCCCAGGTACGACAAAGCTGCTTGTCGATCAATGTTTCGTCGAACAAACATTTTTCAGGGAGTGTCCGCCACCCTTGCAACAACCTTGAAGCCAGTCACCTTTGCCTGGTTCATGAGGGGTACACCTTCCTGGAGCATGCCCACCAAGCCATTCGCAATCAGATGTACAGGATGGCTTTTCACCAAGTCTCTTTCAATCAAGTCCTCCACCAAGCTGGTGAACATTGTCGCAAATTGAAAATTCTCCTTACTTGCTGGATAATGCTTGCCAAACTTGTCGAATGACTCTCCAGCGAATGTTACCAGTACACTGAAACTGTGTTTCACATCTGTCCGAGGGATGCTGTTGAAGAGGATCGTTCCATACTTTTTATCGTCCCCAGGATCTATCGAAAGAGCTTCCATGCAAATCTTGACACCATCCTTGGAACCGACAGTATCGAAGACTAGCTTAAGTTTGCCTTTGGTGTACTCGCGTATTTTCTGGCCACAGTCAGGCTCGCGGTAATCGAAGACGGCTTCAGCACCGCGAGATTCGCAAAGCTCAAAGTTACGCGGCGAGCAGGTTGTCAGAACTGTGTAACCGGCTCTATCAAATGGTTTGGTTAATATAGTGTTACAGCACGAACACGAGTCAACACTTACAGTGTCAGGAATTGGATGGCCAATGTTCCGGCGGATGAACTTCCACCATAAATCAAAATATATTCTTTTTCGTCCTCTGTGATACCACGAGAGATAAAATCCTTTGAAGTTGGGAGCCTGAGTTTCATCTCCTGGAAAAGGCCCTGACCACATGTTATTGCGCTTGCTCCGATCGTCGCAGCATCTTCGAAGGTCCACTTTTCAGGGATCTTGATACAGCAGTCACCGACAACAGCAATGATCTCAGCCCATGCACCATCCTCTGGCTCATTGAAGTTTGAACCGTGGGCAAAGCCACAGACCCTGTCACCCTTCTTCAATGCCTTGGTGACATCTGGACCAATCTCCAACACTACTCCAGCAAAATCACTACCAAGGAGACCGTTGACAGCTGATCGGCGGGTAGCGATGGATTTGGCGTCTGTAGGGTTGAGTCCTATCGACACGCAAGATACGAGTAAGTAACCTGGACGTACTCGGGGAGTTGGACGATTGTTGACGAGCTCGGCGCGATCGCCGGTCCATATCACGGCCTTCATAATACTCTGACTTTGGCGGGGGCAAATGCTTTCAGAGAAGCAAGAGTGACTGCCCTGAATTGATTCACGTTATATTCTCGACATTCTGCGTACTGAAATACAATAGTTTCCTCTTGGTGGGGACACTTGATGTTGGGTCGGCGTCTTGCCCATTTCAAGCTGACAAATTGGTCTGCAATCGGACTTAGGGGTCCCAGAAGTCCGGCGCATCATTAATGATGGACCCATAGACAGCTTTAGGACGCCAAGCGCCGTGCTGCACGGTGAGAGGATACCGACTGGGCAATACATGATCTCTCGTCCATTTAAGCGTTACTGATTTATCTGAACGACGGCTCAAATTTCGAAAGCGGCGAATAGTCAGAGTCTTGTAACTCACTACACACTTTACCGATTACTCACTCTGTTCCTTATCACGGGGTATCCTAATACTCGATGGGAATCGGGAGAGCACCCGCAATAACCCAATCTATCTAACTTCCTCCAGATCGCGCTAGAATCGCTCGATATTCTCTTCTTTTCATGGATATGCTGGCTTCCGGCGTACGTAGGAATCCGCCGTAACACTCCTTAACCTCCGGGGTTTTGTTCGGACCACGTTTACTTCTCGACCATCTTCAGTATCCTCATAACTTGTTCCTCGGTTAACAGTGGAACCGGGTTTGTCCTACACCATGGATCTTCCAAGCATTTTCTGGCCAGCTCCCTCAATCTTTCCTCTCCTTCTACCCCAACCTCCTTCAAAGTCCTCGGCATGCCAAACGCTCGAAATATTGCATCGAGAGCATCCCCAAGGTCGGCAGAAGACTCTTTTAGATTGCTTTGGTGCTCCAGAGATTGACGGATGTATGGATCTGACCAGAGGGCATTGAGAGCTCGTTGTTGGCGATTCGCATTAACGCGGGCATTGTACTTCATGACTGATGGGCATAGCACACAAGACGTGTGCCCGTGCGCTACATTCATGGTGCCTAGTTCGTGTCCGATGGCGTGTGAGCCGCCGAGATGGACACCTCGACATAGTCCTAGGAAAGCAAGATGGAGATTATCAGTAAGTTTCGCTAACATGAGATATCAATCTGATCGGCTGGTAAGGGGACTAAGCAAAATTCTCGCAACTTACCGTCCATAGCAAAGACCGATCCAATTTGTGTTTCTAGTCTGGCCTCCAGATCCCGTGGGTCCTTTCTTAACTTCAAGAGCCCCCTGACCACCAAGACCAAGCCCCTTTCTGCCGCCTCATCCGTCTCCTTCTCGATATCTGGGTTCAAGCTCGCCAATAGTTCAACGCAGTGATCAATCGCCCTTACGCCACTACTCATCCACACCCACTCTGGTGAATGGGCAGCCAATTCTGGGTCGAGGATCACCACGTCCGCGAACAACCCCTGATGGACAAAGATCTTCTTCACTCCATCTGTAGCATCAATGCCACCTGCGTACGGCGAGTATTCTCCCGCGGAGAGCGTGGTCGGTACGTTGATCATGGTGAAAGGTGGTGCATACACATCCCCTGGGTCGGAATTTGTGACATATTTGTAGTCAATATCGTGCTGCATTGCAGCTTTGAGCTTGTCGCTCATAGCTCCAAGGGCTTGGAGAGATGTGAGGTTGTTCGCAAGGCTCAGGCCCGCGAGCTTGACCCCGTCGGTGATCGATCCGCCGCCGAGCGTGACAACAATATCAGCTCCACTGGCTTTTCTATACATTCAATGCTCGAGGATTAGAAATCATCTTTGGATATGCTGACAGCAGTGAGATCTCAATTGCGTAGCCCGGGCTCTTGTATCACGGGGAGCTATTGCAACTTTGGAAGCTTACATTTCTTCAGCTAGCCTCAGCACGTGGGTCCATGGTGTATGACTCGGAAACCCGACATTCGTGCCCGCCAATTTCTGCCCTAGCGCATCCTTCAGTTTTGTCACACAGTCCGTGTGTTTCGCCAACGAGCCTGACACAACAGCGAAGACTTTCTTTTTATTCATTCGTTCTACATGCTGACACACGAGTTCGGGGAATGGCAGCCCAGAGGACACGAGGCCACGAGCACGCCATGGGAAAGTCGGGATTGTCGTCCCTTTTCCTTGGGTCTGTACAGGACTGAGCGAACCCATTTCACGTTTCGTGCGTTGCTGCTGGTTATCCTGTTGCGTTTCGATACACCTTTTGAAGATGGGGTTGATATGAGATCTCTGGTGAAAATTGACTATTTTCTCTTCATATCATGCCGAGAAGACTCTAGACCGAGCTTGACCTATCGCAGGTAACTGGTGCAACTAAGCTATGTCCGCGCTTTAAGACCGAGCCAGAATTTCTCAGAAGACTCAGTTGTGGGTGAAAAGCATGGTCGATCGTAAAGCTGACTGAAAAGGCCAATTTCTTGTCAACAACCGAGGACACCACCGCAACGCCGGAAGTTGTGGTGGTCATGGAGCGCCGCGACCGGCTTGATGATCTTCGGTCTTGAAGATTCAAAGTAAATGGAGGCCCAAGCCCCCAGGGGTAGACAGGGATGCCTCGGAAGCCAAGACGGCGTCTTGGGACGGGTAGAATATGAGGGGGGAATGTGGAAATGTGATTACCCGGTCTTGCTTCAGGCGCTCGACCCTGATGTTCCCAGCACAGAACAGTCGTTCGAAATGTTACCTCGATATATGTCCCGCCAGCGTCTGGTATTTCAAACCACAACAACAGAATCCGATCCGGACATCGGCCACTAAGAGTGCAGAGAGTGATGTGCGTGGAATGCAGGTGATCTAGCATTAGGGTTCTCGGCTAAGCACGTGTCGATACGCGCATCTCAATCGGAGTTGCATGCGTCGCCACCTCAAGCGAGCAGTGGGGTTGATATTTTGCAGATGAAAGTGGCCACGCACCATGTACCTTCGTCCGTATGGTCACAAATTAATAATGTATAGTATGGATTTAAGGTGTTTTGATTTTAGCTTTCCAATAGTTTAGATCACTGGTCTGTGTCTGTCAGATTGAAAGCTTCGAGATTAAGAGATAAGCTTCTTGTGCTACTGGTTCTGCTGAAAGTGACAATATGAACGAGCTTCAGCCTCACCTGCTTGGAGTCACTGGCAGGTCGAGAGGCATGATATTGAATGTCTCAGTCTTCACTTTCTTGTGTTGTACGACTCCTCAGGCTACTGACCGCGCAACAGTCTCAACATGCTCGGGTGACTTCGTGACTTGAGGATTGGCGACTTTCTCATCAGAAACGGGCATCTGCTCAATTTCTTTGGTGTCCTTAATATACTGCTTCGTCTCCTCCCAAGACTCCGCAACTTTGTCGCCAAACACGCCGCCGAGCTCCTCTAGAGTCTTATTCTTCGTCTCCGGGTAGTAAAAGTACACGATGACCACATAGAGGCAGTCAAGCACCAGCCAGATGATGAAGTACTTCCAGGTCATCGCAGCAATCGCCAGTGGTGCAGTTTGGGTCATGAGCACACCCATTATGTTGAAGACGATGTAGCCCGCCGCGACCCCAGTTGCGCGGATTTTGGTCGGCATGATTTCTGACGCGTACTAAGAGATCTACATGTTAACACCGAATATTCAACTTATGCTCCTACCAGATGGAGGACACTCACAGTAGTGCCAAACGTGTTCATGATGGCCGCATATCCGAACACGGTGAGGTATATACCAACATTAATGCCCTTTGCAAGTCCAAGATTGGTATTACCACTGCGTTCAAAGGCAGCCCACAGGCCAATTATGATAACGGATGCAGGAATCATGATCGCGTAGGAGAGGAACTGAGACGTTTAGCGCGGTCAGACAAGCATTTTTCCGGAGTATGAAACATTCTGAACCTACCAATGCATTCCGACGTCCGATTTTATCAAACCAAAAGCCGATACTGAGGACAGCGAATGTCGAGACACTACCCCACACCCCAACTAGAACTAGTGACATGACAGGAGTAGTCTTCAAGATTGAGTAAATCTGCACTTGGTAAACCGCCTGTGGAAGAATTCCAGTTGCCCTAGATAGTCTTGGTCAGCTACTGCTCGAAATTATGGAACTTGAATTTGGACACACTGCTGGAAGAAATAGAAAGCCATAATAAGCAACACTCTTTTGCGATAAGATGCTCTTGTTAAAATGTCTTTGATGCCGATTCTCTCGCTCTTCTCCATTTCGATCTGTGCACGGACTTGATGAAATTCGCGTGCATAAAATGAGTCAGAGTCATCGTGATCATTGCCATGGATTCGCCTGAGAACAGCGAGACAGTCTTCGTATCGATCGGTAAGTGCAAGCCATCTCGGAGACTCTGGCATCCATGGTGAACCTGCGAGCATACATAATCCGGGAAGAAGTTGAAATCCAAAGAGGATGCGGAATGCGGCTTCTCCAGGAACAAAAAAGAGACCAAGTCCGATCCAGACTGTGAGGCAATTGGCCAATGAGATATTGAGCCTGCTCGAAGATCAACAAATGCTTTGATCGAGAACTGCAGCATTGCGGCATTGCCTGGTCAGAAGGAGTGAGCCATGAAGACTTACGCGAACAGTGCACCAACTCTCCCACGCATATGAGGTGGAGAGATTTCACTAGCATAGACAGGACAAATTCCAAAAATAATACCAGTGGCAATTCCCCCAATGATGCGTCCGATCAGAAGCATGGCAAAGTTGACTGCCGCAGTTTGCAGGATTATTCCAACAAAAGAGATCAAACAACCAATTCGAATGGTCCAAAGTCGGCCATATTTGTTCGGCAAGTATATGTTCATCGCAGTACCCGCGGCGCACGCCGCATAGTAAGCTGAATTGAACGCACCAATCGTGGTTGGGTTGAAGTTGTAGTAAGTGATGAATTCTTCATAACCCAAAACGCATGAGATGATACCTATTTTGATGGTTAATCGTAATGAATCATTACATAGTCTCGGAGGAAGGATCGATTGAGGTTAGTCAATGACAACCTACCAAAATCATATCCATAGAAGGCACCACCAAAGGAGATATACATTAAACAGGCTAATTGGAATTTCTTCATGGCGGCGATCAAGGTGAAGCAATACTGCTTCTACAATTCAACGTGACAGTAGTGATGGACAGTTCTCTGTCTCTTGTTTCATCAGAATCATGGAAGACAGAAGGCTTGCTAATTCGTCTTGGTACACCTGAGGTCTTGATATATTCATATCGTGCTCTCTAAAAGCTGGGGAAAGGCTGGGGAACCTTGAACCCACAGTCGTGGAAAAATTGGTCGGTCCAGAACATCGCTTCCTGAGGGACAAAGGACGAAGTAGACGGCGTTAATGGCCAAGACGGCATCCTCGTGGTGGAATAAGAGAGATCCCAATGACATCCTAAGGCCCACGAGGGGTTAGTGGCCAGAACAAAAATTATCAGGAAAAGAAAACGCCTTTCCTTGCCTAGCATTTGTGTCAGAAAATAAACTGTTCTTGGTTCACGAAGCTAGGTACCTAGTTAGCCATCGGCCGAGCTCTCGAAGAGTCCAACTTCCAGCCAAGACGCCGATACCCATCTCCTCACAAAGATCCGCGTTTGTTCTTCATTACCTACCCCGCAGGGCCATTCAGGATGATGCTCAGCCTCGGCCACTGTGAGTCCTAAGGTGATTGGATTCCGGTTCCTTGTTTCAGTAGAGGCCTGAGGCTTGATGTCCCCTCCTCTACTCAGGGTTGTTTACATAGTCAACCTAGGCACCATGAGATATATGGTCGGCTGTAGTGTCAGCCTTGAGTGAGAGGCTGATTTCCGTGTTGCACAACATCTTCAAATCGAAATCACATTAACTTCAGCTCGAACACGATGTCTGTCCAGGTCGCTATGGCACTTGATGCTCTTTCCGCTGCTGGCGCTTTGAAGAAAGAAACTTCAGCTGAGGAGCTTATCGCCAACAACGTCAACGGTGCTGATAGCGCCGATCGTGAGCAGGCTGTGAATCAAACGCGGCAGGGGCTTGAGAATTGGGTTGATGTGCGAGACGAATTCCTAGGCAAACCACATCGTCGGCTGAGAGTCGTCACAATCGGCGCTGGCTTTAGTGGTAGGTCTGCAGAAAGTGGTTTTTGATTTCTTTGATGACAGTCTAATTAAATCCTCCCACAGGCCTGACTATGGCAAATAAGATCCAGCGGACACATCAACTAGACGACATCATTGAGCACGTGATATATGAAAAGAATGTGAGAAAAGAAAGCTTCGTATCCGTGCATTGCTGACTGCTTTGAAGCCTGATATTGGCGGAACTTGGTACGAGAATAAATATCCTGGGGTACGTACAGGACTGGTCTTTGAGCTACCTTGGTCAAAATGCTAATAGTTTTGCAGGTGATGTGCGATGTTCCAGCTGTACGTGTCTATCATGACAGTCCATCATTGTTGATCCTGACTACTGTAGCATATTTATACTTTCATTGACATTCCAAATCCCGAATGGAGTCACTAGTGAGTAGTTTTCGTGGATGATCTCAGCCGTCCTCGAGATACTGACCTTCAAATAGCTATGCAACTGGACCAGAGATCCATCAATACCTCAAGAGAGTTACCAAGGACCACAAACTTGATCGGGATGTCCAACTCAATTCTGAGGTCAAGTCGGCCGTATGGGACGAAGATTCCGGAACATGGAAGCTGCAAGTTTTGAAAGGGGCAGAGTTGATCGACGACTGGTGTGATGTGCTACTCAATGGCTCGGGAGTTCTCAAGTATGCCTCTTATCTTATTCGAGTGAAATTATAGTACTGACTTCAACAGTCACTGGTCGTGGCCCCAGATCACAGGGCTTCACGATTTCAAGGGGCATCTGTGTCATTCTGCGAACTGGCGTGATGATTTCGACTTTTCGAATAAACGAGTCGCGGTGGTGGGCAACGGGTCCTCTGGAATTCAGATCGTCCCAGAGATGCAGAAGGTTGCGAAACAAATGGTTAATTTCATTCGATCAAGAGCTGTAAGATCTACAATCATCTTCTCAATAAGACTACCGAACAATGTTGATGAGAACATATAGTGGATTTCTGCCCCCTTTGCAGAAGATTTTTCGAAAGCTCCAGGCGGAAATCCTGCATGTAAGATTTGATGCACTTTGGAAGTGGAGTTTGGACCCGCGATTGCTAATAGCCTGGTATAGACACTCCCCAGGAGCAGGCAAGATTTCGATCGCATCCAGAAGAGTTGGCAAATCTGCGGCACAAGCTTATCCACGTACAGAACACTTTCTACTCCGCGGTAAGTCACTTTCTTTGCAAGATACTACTATACGCCCAAAAAACTGATCAATTGAGCTAGCTCATTGAAGGAGCTCCGACAAACATTGAAGCAATGAAAGGTGTGAAGAGTCTAATGCACGAACGACTGGGAGGCAATCAAGGATTGATTGAAAAGCTCGTTCCAGATTGGTCGCTTGGATGTAAGTGAAATTGCGTGACCTGAGAGATCCTTCAGTGTGCTGCTCAGTGGCTAAACTCGATATAGGTCGTCGGCTAACTCCTGGCACTGGCTATCTTGAGTCTCTGAAAGAAGACAACGCCGAACTGGTTGACGAAGAAATCTCTGAGATAACTGAGACAGGTATTCGAACCAAAGACGGCAAGCACCGCGAGTTTGACGCCATTGTGATGGCGACGGGGTTCGATGTCTCATTCAAGCCCAGGTGGCGACAAATGGGTCGTAAAGGTCGTTCTCTCGCAGATGAGTGGAAGGATGAGCCTGCAAGCTATTTTTCACTCGCCGCCAACGGTCAACCCAACTACTTCATCTTCATGGGCCCAGCAGGGCCAGTTGGACATGGAAGCTTGACCTCAGCTATTGACTGGACGGCAGATTATGTGCTGAAGTGGCTGGTGAAGATGGTACGAGAAGACATAAAATCGTTCGAGGTGAAGGCTCAAGTTCAAGATGATTGGAATGTGTGGGGTGAGGAGCTGATGAAGCGAACTGTCTGGACCAGTGGATGCAGGTCAGTCCTGGCGTGTACCTCCCCGCCAGTGTTACTAACCACTAATTATGCACCTAGGAGCTGGTACAAAAACGGCAAAGTTAATGGAAAAGTTACAGCGTTGTATCCTGGAAGTATTCTACATTATGTGAGTCACTTGCACAGGATCATGGATGGAATGGCCTGCTGACGAGCTCTCAGAAAGATATGGTGGAGAACATTCGGGGAGAAGATTTCAATATCGACTATCGGAGCAAGGTAAGCATTGTTCCATTCGCAACATGGAACGAATCTAATAATTCTGACTTTTTCTCAGAATCGCTGGAGATTCTTAGGCAACGGATTCACTCAGCTGGAGGTCGAGAATGGAGATCTAGGATACTATGTCCGCTATTAGTGTGATTACAACCACTGTGCTGCTAAATATATGAGAGTCTAGAAGTAATATCATGTCATCCTAGGTTAACTCTCCATTAAATAAGGGAAAACATCGTGAGCCAATCCGAAATCTTGTGGTAGCCCATTGAGAAGATCTTGGTCGAAAAACTCGGGGATGTTGACAAATTGGTCATGGAGTGGTATATCCGAGAGCATATCCGTATAGAATACGTTTGGCTGTGGGGTTTGTGCATTTTGACCTTGAAAGCTACACAGCGAGATCTGCTCGTGCTGAGATTCCCTGTGAGAGTCCTGCGGCGCACGAGGTGCAGTTCCGTCTTGCATGGGAGCCTCCCACTGTGAACCACCTCCCCGGCCAACTTGGGGCAGCTGTGCACCGCTCCTCTTCTCTAAATTTCTGAATATCGTCTCAAACAGCATCATAATCCAGCTACACGCTGGCCATGTCTTCGCAATCTCTGAACAGGCGAGCAGTAAGAGACGAGCTTTATGTTCGGCAAGCTTTCGCTGCATATGGTCAGGGCTTCGAGCCATGAGCACATACATTGTTAGAGCTGAAAAAAGACTTGGACATCTGAAAAGGTTTCCACCTGTTAGTGACCACAAATATTTTGAATTTGACAGGCCTTACATCTGCAACTGTGATTTTCGAAGTAAGCCTAGTGCGAGGAAATCGTCAATAATGGCGGAAATCTTCTTCGTGGCTGTAAAAGCTGGAGACTTGAGCAGGTTTTTGTCGACTATGATCTTGCTGTTTTCAGGTCGGTGCAGAAGGATAAGTTGTTGGCTGAATCTTATTAGTATGTCAAACCAAGTGGTGAAACAGATTGCTGACTTGTAGTTCAGTTCCAACATTTTGGGCCAGAAGCCACCATCTTCGTCCCCATCACCATCTTTCAGTGCTGGAGGCAGTTGCTGGTGCCATTCACTCAACTGATCACTCAGCTCCTTTTGACTCAATCCATGACTTGATTTTTTTGTAGAAAATTTTGCGAGGGTAATTGCACCGACTATTACACGTCAGCTTCGTATTAAGACAATGTAGATTGGTGAAACTCCTTCGGTACATACAAATTACTGAAAGCCTGCTCATTGCAATTGTGTAGAGAACGTGGACTTTGTTACTGTTTCCATAAATAGACGTTATGCTTCTACACTGTACTATATCGTCCTCAAAGTCGGATTCATCGAGTGGCTCGACATCGTTGTCGTCGTCTCGAATGCGCATGGGACGGCCGATGTTCGCAGAACAGTGCCGGTCTCGAACCTGGTATCGTCAATATGGAGCAAGCAACAGGTAGGTGGGACTCACATAGAGTGACCACCAAATTCGCTTCCACAGCCTACGATCTCGGAGCGTTAGCGTGGAATTTTGGGTACTGTCAACCATTAGTCTGGAAGTAAGTCTATGAGAATTGAGAGCCTCACGTTCTATGCATGCCTTTTCCTTGAGCATTGCCAATGGCAATCGAAAGCCAGTAGAACATGTCTTTCTCGTCGGTAGAACCACTCCACAAGAAGCTCAGGAGAAATGCGGCCTGAACTAATGTAACTTTGTTGGTTTCATAGTCTGCGTCGTGAAGAGCTTTAGCACGCTTGAGAAATGTCTTGCGAGCCGCGTTACGACTCTCGAGCCCTGTTTCGGCGATGACATCGTCGGAGCACATTGTGCTAGAGACGGCGTAGATTGCGTGCAGTACAATATGGGGCAATTGATTCGATTCGTACAGTTGTGCAAATTGTGTTCGGTCAAAGATGGGGAAGGCTGGATAAACACATTCAAAGAAGGTCTTAATGAGTTTATCGGAGACTGGTCGGTCTGGAAGCACGAAAGCTCCTCTGATATCAAGAATCTCTATCTCTTCTGAATCAAGTCTGGTGTCGTAGCCAAGGTTATCAGGCTTATCGCTGACCGTTGCTGGTAGAGGCACTTGAAGGGTGGTTGTAGAGCTAGGATTAGATACTATGTCAGCGTTGATGACTTTCTGAACCACATACGTCAGAAGCCATGATTCGCCTAGATAAAGGCTCTGGCCTCCTGGAACACTGCGAGCTTCCGGGAGAGGCACAGTCTGTTCACTTAATCGAGCGTAGAGATTCTCTGAACCCTCTTTAGAGAAAGTGTGACTCTCAGCCCGAAGCTGTGAAGTGAAGACACCGACATCAGGTCTTTTCGAGCTCCAAGAGCGGCCATCATTAGTTTGTGTGGAATTTGGCAAGTGATCTAGCGGTCTCCGAGATGGAGAAGGCTGGACCCCCAGTGGTAACATGGCTGCTGAAGCATGATCTGAAAGATCCTGGGTCCCTGATACTACAGCTTGTGAGATCTTCGTTCTTGATCTTGCATAGCTTTCATTCTTAATCAGTCAAACAACACTTGGGCAGCAATATAAGTAGTGCATACCGGCCTCTTTTTGACTCAATCAACTGACATGAGACTTTCGCTGATGTGCAATTGGAACAAGGTCGCGAATCATATGCATTGCACCGAACACGCCGAGCATGACAAAACGCACAGGCAACCCGTCCGCCGCGCTGTGGTTGATTAGGTTGAGTGGATGCTGCTGGTGTGGCAGTGGATGTATCTTCCATTTTTCGTGATCAGAGCTATAGCGGTGGGAAGGTCAAGCAGAATTACGATGAGGTGGCACGATTGAGAATGAACCTCAAACAGAAAGTCGCTCTCGCACGGCCGTCATTTCGGAACCTAGTTAGTCTTCAATTGTGCCGTCGAGCACCCCGCAAAGTGCATCTAACCCTAACCCTTAACAGTTATCATCGACGGGAAGGAGGTTGGTCCGGGATCTGGGGTGCCTCGGTGTGTGGGGCGCCCATGGGGGGGCATGGTCTCGAGCGGCGTTCATGGCACATGCATGGAACAGACGTTACCTACCTGGCTTATCGGGATTTGTAGATTCGGGGCCTAGGAGAGATTGACAGAAGTCTACATCATCATCATCACTTGTTTTTTCCCGTGAGTCACCAGGAGAAATTGAGGCTACGCTAAAGGCTCCCGCGGTAATCGCAGCCAGCGTAGGTCTGGGCGCATTTGCGTAGTCATGCTTCGGAGATTGAGTTGTTAAGCCAGCTAAGACGGCGTCTTGGCCTCGCCCTCCCCTTTCGAAACTATCGCCGATCAGTGACCTCCCTGATTGCAGTATCACCGGAACCGGAGAATCGGACCATGTAGCTTTATCCTCGCATTATTCGAGAGGAAATTCGCAGATACCAATTTGCCTACGCAGGAAAGTAATTGGCATACATAGTAAATAGCATCCTCGAAGCACAAAGATCAGCATCACCGCAAACGGTGTTCTTAAAGGAGAGACTACGCTGCCAACCCATGCGTCTTGTTACCATCGAGTTATCGTAGGAACAGCTATTGATAGTGCAAGTATCGCGGTACCAAAACCCACGCAACATGAACTCCATCCAGGGAGACATCGAGCATAAGGACACCACAACTCGCATAAATGCTGAACTGGAACTCCTTCCAGACAGATACGGCTGGCCTCGACAAAGTGTTAGTGGATATCGCATAAAGGAGCAGCTCTCTGGCACAGAACGACCGATCAGAATCATTCATCTCGGAGCAGGTGCCTCTGGGATCTGCTTCTCGAAATTTGCGGTAGAGGCATTAAACAACGTAGAGTGGATATGTTACGATAAAAACCCCGATATTGGGGGCACGTGGTTGGAGAATAGGTAAGCTTCACCAACAAACTTCATGCAAACTTTCTTCGAACTAATGAAGGCTTGGGGGGTAGATATCCCGGATGTGCTTGCGACATCCCTTCCGTGAACTACCAGGTATGGCCTGCCAGTGTCGACAGTCCTAATACCTAGACCTTACCATTTCAAGTTCACATGGGCACGAAAGCCTGACTGGTCGCATTTCTACTCATACTCTGAGGAGATTTGGCAGTATTTCGCAGATATTGTGAAGAGATTTCAGCTTCGCAAGTATATGAAATTAAAGCATGAGATCATCGATGCCAGTTGGGACGAAGACAACGCGAAGTGGAAAGTCCGCATTAAAAACTTGGTGACAGATGAGGTATTCGTTGATCAAGCTGACATCTTCATCAACGGTGGAGGCGTTCTAAAGTTAGTAGCAACCAACACCAGACTCTCGAGCTGACATATGTATAGCAATTGGAAGTGGCCAGAAATCGAAGGGCTCCATAATTTTGAAGGCATACTTTGTCACACAGCCAATTATCCGGTAGGCACTGCGTTGGACGACAAAAGGGTCGCTGTGATAGGAATTGGAAGCAGCGGAATTCAAGTCACAGCAAATATTGCAAGCAAAGTCAAGAAATTGTATACCTGGGTTCGCTCACCAACTTGGATTACCGCTGGATTTGCTCAGGAATATGCTGGTCCCGATGGCGGAAATTTTGCATGTGGGTGACGTTTCTGTGGGCGCTATCATCAATTCGAGCTAATAATTCATAGATACGCCCAAACAGAAACAGGGCTTCGCCGAGAATTTTTCAGACTATGTGGCATATACAAAAGCTATTGAAGACGAACTGAACCAAAGATTTAAGTTCATCTTGACTGGAACACCTGAAGCAAAAGAAGCAATGGAAGTGAGACATCAACATCAACGGGATCATGAGGCAACATAGCTGACATGTTTTCATCCAGTTTTCTACACGTCAAATGCACGATAAGCTTGATGGTCGTGAAGAGTTGATCGACATGATCGTTCCTACTACATTCGGTGTAGGCTGCAGACGACCGACAGTATGCTCTGTGGCCTATCGAAAGAGATCCTTTATTAACATCAGTAGCCAGGAAATGGGTTCTTGGAAGCATTGACCCTTCCACACGTCACGATTTTCAATAAAGAGATGCAAAGGATTACATCGACGGGATTCGTCGATCAAGATGGACGGGAACACGAAGTCGATGTTATCATCTGTGCCACAGGGTTCACATCACACCCTTTCCATGCCTCACGAACTTACTGACACGTTATTGACAGGTTCAATACATCATGGGTACCTCGGTTCCCCATAGTGGCGAAAGGCAAGAATGTTCAGGACATCCAGAAGGATAAGCCGATATCATACTTATCAATAGGTATCCCCGAAAGTAAGTCAGCTTTGACATTTCGATGACAGTATGAGACTGACTGAGCCAGTACCGAACTACTGGACTGTTACTGGTGCTTATGGGCCATTGGGTCACGGTTCATTCTTGCCTATAATCGAGCTTCTCATGCGTCACTTCATTCAAGTCATCAAGAAAATCCAAACTGAAAATATTGCGGCGATGGCTCCACGGCGAGCTGTTTGCGATGCATTCATGGACCATGCAAGTCTTTTCCTCAAACGTACCGCGTGGGCTTCGGGATGTCGTAGCTGGTTCAAGCAGGGCAAAGAGGACGGCCCTTTGGCTATGTGGCCTGGTTCGAGGCTTCTCTATTTTGAGTTATTGGCCAAACCACGTTATGAGGACTATGATGTCCAGTATCAAAGCGGCAACCCATTTGGATTCTTAGGTAATGGTTTTACGACACGAGAGTACGATGGACGGGACCTGTCCTATTACCTTGGGACAAAAGACGCACTTGGGGCACTGATTCCCTCTGACAGCACCTGTGGGACGCAGCATGTTCATGACGTGGCCAACAGTGGCACCAGTATAAATGGAGCGAACGGTATCGATGGCACAATGAATGGCGCTAATAGCAAGGAGACATGCGTATCTAGATAGTGATGGATATAACCGATGGACAAGATACTTCGTAGGGGAAAAATTAATCCTAATGACAGTACCCAGACTGACTTTTCATATTGTGATATGTAGCAAAAGATTTGGAGGGTTCCCAATCTCAACTGAAATATTGTCCGCCATCCACAAGAAGGCTTTGACCTGTGATGTTCCTAGATTTTGAACTGGCAAGAAAGCTGACCGTCAGCGCTATATCCTCCGGTGTCAGTGCCTGCTTGAGAGCCATACGCGTCTGTACAGCCTGCTCATATGACGAACCCAGAGGTGCACCGGTGTTTTTTGAGATGCTTGCATCGATTTCCGACCACATTTCCGTTTCAACAGGGCCTGGGCAATATGCATTTACATTAATACCATACTGCGCTAGCTCCAGTGCGACGACCTGCGTGATGCCCCGGACTGCCCACTTACTCGCTGAGTAGGCCACACCTGACGCAGATGGGCGAAAAGCCGCGTTCGAACAGGCGCCGATGATCTTGCCCCCTTTGCCTTGCTTGATCATTTGCCTGCCCGCTTCTCGATAGCACATGAACAGTCCTTTCGCGTTGACTCCCATCACTTGGTCCCACTCTTCCATAGTTTGATCGAACAGCCTGTTCGGCTTCACGATACCGGCGTTCGCAATCAGAGTGTTCAATTCGCCAAATTCTTGTACAGTCTTTGCTACCATTGCCTTGATATCATCTTCTTCACTCACGTCCGTGAGTATACACAAACCCCGTTGACCGTTCTGCTGAACTTGCGCCCCGACTTCGTGTAACTCGGAGGACTGAGAAGAAATATCTGCAAGGGCAACATCGTATCCATCGATTGATAGTTGCAGGGCGATCGCCTTGCCGATGCCGCGGGAGGCTCCTGTCACTATTGCTACAGGCATTTCAATCTGTTCGTGAAGCTAATATTGAGGTTCTGTCTAGATTTATAGCGATTTCCCGGGTCGACGAACGTGCAGTTGTGATTCAAGAAATTTAGATTTTCTTCACTATCTTCAAATACTGTTGTTTCGTGCAATTATTATAAATGCCGACCATCGATAGAGTCTGCGTCCCAAGGCGAAACCCGAAGTCTTTCCCAGCTAGTATATCGCGTATATCTTTTTTAATTATTGCCCTTGGTCCCAGAAGATCGCCATTACTCACGTCTTCTAGCTTCCAAGAGCCCGTCACAGCATAATTTGCATTCTGTCCAGAATCCTGTACTGGTTCTTTGAGAATTTCAGTCAACTAGTCTGATGCAATGTGGATCGCTACGGCGTGCCAAGAAGCCGACTTGGTTTCGCTCCTGAATTTTAAAGTACCTAGGTACTAACTGCAGCAGATATGGTCACGTATGCATGTGTGTAGGGGTGGCCAATTGGGAAGACGAGATAGAGAGCCTCGACTACTTTATGGAACATGTTCTGTACTCTTCTCCAGCCAGCACCGAAGTCATTGGTCTAATACAGCACTAATATCATTTTTAAATATATCAATTTGAACTGGGTATGATAGGCTTGTAATACTGTTTCCCCGCGCTCTCTGCCAATACCACTTTGCTTGACACCTCTAGAGGTAACCCATATATCATTTTGCTGGCGACCATTGATCCAGACCATTCGGGCTTCGATCCGCTGAGCTACGTGATGACTGGTGCCACATCGCGGGTGAAACGGCATTCCCGAGACAATAGAGGTGATGGTACAAGCATAAGAACTGGAAAGGTCCCTGGTAAAAAGATGAAAAGTTAAGACGAACAAGATTCAACGAAAGTATGGGGGAACCAGTATATGCTGATGGAGTTCGACATTTTTATGAAACTCCTTATGCGGAACTGCTGAGGTGGTGGACTGGACCGACTTTGGCTGCATGCTGGGTAGATAGGTCGAACGATGGCACAGAACTCTAGTGAGTCTCAACGCATGCTTCCTCAGAGCCCTCTATTCCAAGGTTGTTAGCATTGACATGCAAGGCCATCGCCAGTCAACCCCCCAGAGTTTGACTTTGACGTCAACCCAAGTGTCCTGCTCTCTTTGTGACCGTTTCAACACTTGTAAAAACCCACACATGATGAGCTCAATTGTCTTGTTCTCAACATGAACTTGCCACCAAATTCGGTTCTGGAAGGAGCTGGATCAATTGCCGTAGTGATCTTCATACATGGCGGTTCTCTCATTTGTGGATCGGGAAATAGGTCGGTATATGACCCTGGGAAGTTGTTAACTCAGTCTATTAAGATCGGCAAATCAGTCGTGGAGATTAACTTCAACTATCGAGTTGGCTTCCGCGTATTCCTAGCTTCAGCCCAGATTTATGATGGCCTGAAGGCAGAGGGACTTCCTGGAAATGGCAACTTTCATCATAAACGTTACAGGTCCCTACTTTCTGGTGCAAAATACCACCGTACATATGGCGAGGAAGTTGCATCATCTTGATCTCAAGTACTTAAATTATACCTCCACAATTACCGCTCCTTACAGGCGTTCTCAATTGCGGCATCACCTTTGCACAGACATTCGGTTATTTGAGCTCATGTTTCGCAGGTTCCGCTAAATGGACTAGGCAAAGTAGCTCAAACATCGGTATACCGATGACTAGTCGGCATAATCTTCCATTAACCGGATGCGCTGACCTACAATCATTACGAATAACTCTGCTTGCCCCAAAACTGAAATTCGCAAAGCGGCCTTCAGCCACACGATCTTGACTCATCTGATATTCTACTTCATCCCCGGGAGCGCGGGAAAAGGGATGTCAACCGATCCCCATGGAGAAAGATGTGCTGGACGAGCTCATCCTTCGACCTGCCGTTGCCACCTAGGAGGGCGTTAAGACATTGCCAGATCAAGCTCTGACCTACCACGTCTACTAGCTTTGGGTGAAGCATCTGAGAGAGGTGTTGAGTCATGTACAGATGTTGACAAAATATTGCCTCTGCTTAAGCCCTAGGCAACGCCATCGATAGTGGGTGTCTTCCAGTCGTGCTGTTGAGAAGATTCATCCTGGTGACACAGATACTTACTCAGATGATCACAAATTTAATGTAGCCATTCAAAACCGTGATTTAGATCATGTTGGATCTTGCATAGGGCAACTGATGTCCATCCTAGACACATACGCGTTGTACTTTGAATCAAGCTACACTGACAATTAATACTATCGAGTTCCATTGTACGCAGCATTTTCGTTCTCATGGCGATTTTCAGAGGTCTCTCCAGCTGTATAACAATGATGGGTCTGTAGTATGCAAATTGCCCTATGCGGTCTTCTTGTTTTTAGTGTCTCCTCCCACATCTTTGTCAAAGACCAAAAAGATTAAGAATACAAATCTCGAACCCCAACACAAACGAAGCTCAAATCACCAAATCCAACATCTTTTCCTCTTTTCAAAACTTGATAACACTAGTGGCTTGCCGCAAGCCATCTATCCATCTATCTTATAACGCACCGTACCTGATCTTTGATGAGTTGTCCCTGATGATCTTCTTTATAGTAAAAGAGGTACGTCGCCCCTTTCCTCACTCTATGCAACCTTTCCCACAGATTCTGGAGCCTTTTTCTCAGGCGTCTTGGCTTTTACACTATTCCATTCCAATAACGAAGCAGCAAGAAAGGCGCAGGATGAGGCGCTCACTGCCACGTAGAATGTGTACGTAATTCCAGAATTGAAAGCGTGGAGTATCGCAGGGAGCTCTTCAGGCGTAGTGGACTTCCGCAGTGCAGCTGTGCCTAGTTGTAGCAATGCCTGCGGATCCATTGTCGGCGCATCCTTGGCCAGTTGCGAGACGAAACGATTGGTGAAGACTGTTTGTGCAATAGCCACAAAGATCGATCCTCCAATGAATTGGGAGAAGGTGACCAGAGAAATACCGACTGATGCTTCCTCAGGTTTGAGCACTGTTTGGACTAGCGATAGAGGCGTCTCCATACTAAAGCCAATGCCGAGGCCGTTAAGAACCTGGTATCCTATCCATGCAGCGTGGCCAGTATTGACTTTGAAGGTGGAGTACAATCCAGTTGCGATTGATGAGAAAACCACGCCGGTCAAAATCCACGGATTGCAGTAGCCCAGCTTAGTGATCATCGTGCCTGCAATAATGGAGCCAATGATCTGTGGTACGAACAAAGCAATGTTCATCACACCACTTTTGATGGGTGACGCTCCCTTGACGACCTGGAACCATTCGGGTAAATAGTACACAATAACGAATGTCGATCCGAAGACACACATGGAGGTCAAGCAGGTGGCGACGATGGTTCTCCGAGTCAGAAACTCAGGAGGTATCATGGCCTTGTCGCCCAGGTATAGCTGCCACACAGTGAAAACAGCGAGCAAGCCTCCAAAGCCGCAAAACAAACCGATTATTCTCGTCGAGTGCCAAGGATACGTGTTTCCGCCCCACTGCAGGGCCAGCAGCAGCATGACAATCGACGGTAGGAAAAGGGCGGCGCCGATAAGATCAAGCTTCTTAACTCTCTCCATTATTGGTCGCGCTTCATTCGGACGGATGGGAGGGTGGAAGAAGGCAATGAAAACAAATGCGGCTACAGCTCCAATGGGAAGATTAATGTAAAAGCACCATCTCCAGGAAGCTTTCTCGGTGAGAGCTCCCCCAATCAGCGGGCCACTGATGGTCGCCATGCCAAATGTGGCACCCCCAAGAGCAAAATAGGCTTGTTGTTGTCAGTGACAACATCTGACTATTGTAGCTTTCATACTCACCAGGTCGCTTCTCTAGTGGAATAATATGAGCTACAATAGTCATGATCCCAGAGACGATGCCGGCTCCTCCTGCACCAGCAACGGCTCTTGAAACAATGAACATCTTTGAGCTGGTTGAGACGGCGCAAAGAAGGCTGCCGAGTTCGAAGATAGAAAAGTAGGCGAAAAACGTCCACTAACGCTGCTGAGTTAGTCTCTTCATTTGTCAATCATCTCAAGGAGGTTTCAACCTTGAGGGAAAACTCGGCATAGATCTTCCCTCCTAGGGGTTGAAGCGAACAACTGTACATGCATCAGATGCGCGCAATCTTCTCGATTGGGATCTGAGAAGCTCTTACAGCGCCAGAAAGTATGCGGCTCCGTACCAACCAACATCTTTTGTCGAGTAGAATCTCTCAGTGATCCTAGGTATTGCCTGGGTTACCAATCAGCCTGCTGTGGTTGTCAACAAGGATGCCCGAGTGACTTGCGGTTGAGACAATGGCCGTGTCAAGCCCAATGAGAAAAAGCGCCAAACACAGACCGGTCATCAGAATTGCAAGCTTGGACCCAGACATGAAGTACTGTTCTCCATCTTCGGTCGTATTGTGAGCATAGCCTGTGTACTCTAATGTTGCAGCCGCAACCCCGGAAGCCCGCTCCGACTTCTCGATATCTGCATTGTTCAAAGACACCATGGCTTTGTTGGATCGAGGTTTGCTTTATTGGCGTTGGTCCTGGTGTGAAGCCAGAGGCAAGAAATATACAAGGGCCTTGGTGAAAGAAATTGTTTGGCATTACGAAGACTTCTGGAACACAGGAACAAACGGGACAAGTTATATGGAACAGGGAAAAGGACTGCGATATGTGAAAGCTCGAGCAAGTGCTGATATTGGTAAGGCGCGGTGATGCATTTCCAAAGATCCTGTCAACTCCTCAAGTAGCTGTCGGCTGCCAAGGAACGAAAGGAAAACCCGGCGGAATTTCCTGTTCCGTTCACCTTTTGTGGCCGCTTCAATTTCCAGGTCGAACGCTCTTCCCCACCTTCAATATTGGACGTTGCCTGAAGGTAAAGCTGTTCCAGGAGCGCATGCAGTCTATTACTGTACTGACCAGCTTCAACTGTCCGACGATAACCCAATGGCAGAAGGTCCGTCCGCCGTCGGCCAGAAAAGAAGGGCTTGTACAAATTGCACGAATGGCAAAGCCAAGTGCTCCCCATTCTCAGTGGACGAGTGCCAGCGATGTCATCGGCTTGGAAAGGAATGTGTCTATTCCAATATTTCAACGACGCGGAAGAGACCCAGAACGACTATGTGAGTTCTGTTGTTTGTGCACGCTGCTCCACTCGTTCTCGAGGTACTAGCTGATAGCAAATGCAGGCGCGTCCAGAAGCTTGAGCGAAGAGTTGAAGACCTCGTCGTAAATCGCCCAGTACGCCCCGATATTCATCTTCATCAAGGACCAGCAGCATCGGCCGAGTTGCTCACGAGAGAAGAGTCTAACTCGGCAAATTCTGAGGCATTTTCTTGCCAGACTTTTGCAGACGCAAGCAGCTCCTCAGTCAATACGGGCCTATACATCCCTTCTATCAACGACAGCAGCACCGCTCCCACAACCATGAATACCGATGAGCACATTAGAGATGTCATAGATCGTGGCTTGGTAACACTGGAGTTTGCGCAGATTCTCTTAAGTCGGTTCCGTGGCAGAGCTGCTGAGCACTTTCCATTTGTCGTAGTCCCTCCCGGCACTACACTAGACCTGGTGCGAAGGAATACCCCATTCCTCTTCCTGAATATCATGGCCGCGATGGCATTTGACAATCCTGAGCTTCAGAGGCGGCTTGGAGAAGACGTCCGAACTCAAGTTTTCCAGCGGATGCTCATAAAATGCGAGAAGAGTCTAGAGCTCCTGCAGGGACTCCTCATCTATGCTGCGTACTATTTTTACTTCTATCGCCGGGAGAAACAGCAAGTTTTTTTGATCTCACAATTATGTGTCACACTTGCGCAGGACTTGGGCATAGACAAAAACGTCGGTCGACTCGTTGACCTTGGAATGTCTATTCTCGACAAGGAGACCAGTTCTTCTCCCAGTCTCAGCAATGCACAAATGCGAGCATTTTTAGGGGCATACTGCCTCTCGAGCTCGTAGGTCATCTTTTAAAGTTTGGCAAAGACCCTAGCTAACCATGACATCGTCACTATAGAGTTGCATCGAATTTACGAAGGCGGAACGCCATGGTGTACACAAAGCATACTGAGCAATGTTGTCGAACAGTAGCGGCAGCCAAAGAATACCCAACAGACGAGCTGATACCATACCTTGTCCGAATTCAAGAGCTTGCACGACGAGTTTTTGAAGCGTTTTCCTATGACGACGTGAAAAATACTGAAATTCAAAGTGAATTCATCACAGTTCTAACCACCGATGCCTTCGTGCGTGATTTCGATCGCTTGCGTCTCTCGGTTCCGGTAATGTTTCGGCAAAGTGGTAAGTGACGATAGACCAGTTATTGCCACCAGCGTTTCGAGCGCTGTTCAACCTACTGACAAGTTACATAGCCATCTTTATTCTGGAGTTCGAAAACTTACAGATCATGATCCACGAGGTTGCTTTGCATGAGATATTTTGGGGCATTCCAAAAGGTTTATCTTCAGATCCAGATGCAAACCACCTTTCTGCCGTAAGGTTAAAGATGCTCATGAGCTCTTTGCAAAGCTGCAAGGCTCTCATTCACATATTTCTCTCTTATCAAAACTCGGACCTCTTTTTCGTGACTGCGTTCACTGTCTCAAAATTATGTTATGTCTTCCTCACACTTGCAAAAATGGTGCAGTTGGACTTGGATTTGACAAGGAAAGACACCACCCAAGCGACAGATGCATTACGAAGATCAGATTTGGACTCTCAGAGGTCGCGCTACAGAAGCATAGTGGGAGAAGTGGACTTTCTCTATCTCGCCACCGAAATACTAGCGAAATTTACTGCACTTACCACGGACTTTGTTGGTCTGGAAGGAGAAGGAGATGCTATGTGGAATTTGTCTTTCATGGTAAGGATAATGATATCAGGATATGAGAAGCAAGTAAGGGAGATGAAAAAGGCTGCACTAAAGGCAAAGCAATCCACCAAAGAGCAAGATTTTTCACAAGACCCAATTGACGATTCTGCGGGTTCGACATCATTCCATGGTCAAGCGGATGGGGAACTAGACGGCAGTAACCCCTCTATGTTTTCCTTCCTAGAGCCTACTGCTGAATTCCAATGGGATCCAATCAGCGATACAGCCTGGGACCAGATTTTAGACGATTTTAGTATGATGTCTTGAAAATGGTAATCGGGACTTTAACCATATTATTGCCTTTCAACAACGGGAAAACTTCTCACAAGAGGGAAGTAAGCAATCCCCTCTAGATTACGAGAATCCAGATTTTGGGCCAGGATTGCAATCCGATATCGCTTGGATTCGAATGTCGCATACCCCATCAATGGGTGCGAATTAGAAGAAAATCCTCTCTCGCCGCGTTCAGGGGCATGTCAGCGAGAGTTGGAGGCTGACAATTTGCTTAATTTTTCTTGGTATCGTGGACCCGAGAACTCTGCAGCACAGCCCAAAGGCATATGAACAACTTCGGTAAAGTGTACCTTTCCATTCTCGAGGATAGCGTGAGACAGATGGATGACTATTGACTCTAGTTGCCTGGGGATGGCCGAGCCCCAAGATGGCATTGAATGACGATCTCTTTATGCCACCAAGTTAGGAGTGTGGCACGAAGACAGCCACCTTTCAATGTAACACAAGGTACCCGATGCGGTAACTGGGAGCTGCATGCAGCTTCAATCGTCCGCAAGGTCTGCAGTACAGCGTGTTTTGTCATGCTCATGTAAGTTGTTGCTAGGAGCGATGACAGAAGAAGTGCCCTAAGAGTATCGAAGCATTGACATCCTGGACTTAATCAAGGCCGATGACAAGAGGGGATTATTCGGTCATGGAGTAGCTTTCATGAGTCTGCTGTTCTCCAGGAATGACTCAACCGCAGATGGACCTTGGAGCACAAAGAATCGATCTAGGAGTATCTCGTTCCAATATTCTTGTACTGATTGACCCGGGAAGGCTCCGGGAGAGCGACTTCGGAGCTGGCTTGCCTGATATGTTAGTACGTTAAATCATTGCTTACCATAGGCAAGGTTGAAATGTAGGAAATGGCCGTTGCGTGAAGAAGCTTCGTAGAGTTTAGAAGCTTTTGTATCGGGTTTAAATAAGGCATCTTGTGCTGCAATGGCAGACGCACTCTTGACTTCAGTGATCCTGGAGATGGCGTCCGCTTCGAGTTCGTTGTGCTGCCGGCCATGCCTTAGAATTGTTGTTCAAGGCCGTTCCATGGAAGTGACGGTCTCCAATAAGGTTATCACGAATTCATAGTCAGACAAGCAGCTGGCCTTTGGCGCCGCGCCCGGTCCCTTGACTCTTCCGTGATGACGACCGTTGCGGGGCTGTTGCCTCACCACCCCGTCTCAACTTGAATACACCGGCTGTGAGTATCAACAGGATGAACGCCATGCTTTGAAATCAAGTCCTGATTTGAAATGAACTTTGGAAGAACGTCGTTAATCCGGCGTCAAATGACTGCCGGTGCTGATCGTTCCCAGCCCAGAACACAATCTGTACATCCAACATATATACCCCCCTGTATAGTCGACAACCACAACCAAGCCTACTCGTTCATTCGAGACTTGATCTTCAACTTCCACCATCCAACCATCAAGGGTAGACCATCTGATAAGTTTGCTTGCCAGATCGCGTCATCATAGGCTAGGGGATGGGTTCATGGTTGTCAACCCCGTGGGATCCGTCAACGGGTATTCCAGACTTGACCGGAAAAATTGCCATCGTTACTGGAGCGAAGTAATATATTTCCCCCTGGTCAACATTCATGGTTCTCCTCGGCAGAGACTCACAGATATGACAGTACCGGGATTGGTTACCCCACCGCCCTCGAGCTCGCCAGACATGGTGCCAAAGTCTATCTCGCCTGCCGGAGCGAAGCAAGAGCCCATACCGCCATTGAGCAGATGCATGCCGAAGGCCCAGAAGTCCGAGCTGGTGTCTTGATCTGGCTACCATTAGACCTGATGGATCTCAACGGCGTGGCGATGGCGGCAAAGGAGTTTATGCACAAAGAGGACCGGCTGGATATACTCGGTGTGTTCTACTTGATTTGCAGAACGGCAGTGAGATTGCTAACGGTTGATCTGTTGTTAGTGAACAATGCTGGTGTTGCAACGCTGAGTTACCAGACAACACCGGCAGGCTTTGAAGTTGCCATGGGAGTCAAGTATTCCATACCCTCGACCACCTCTCACCACCACTCAAGTTCAGCCCACGTCTGACCACTACACTAGTTATCTATCTCATTTCCTGTTCACGATCAGCCTCCTCCCAATCCTGAAACACACCATGGACCAGACAGGGTCAGATGTGCGTGTCATCAATGTGAGTTACCCCATCACGCTTTCCCAACCTTTTGTAACCGCAACCTGCAGGTCTCGTCTTCTGGTCATAGCATGCTGATCCCAAACACGATGCGGTTCGACAAGATCTCCGACCTCAAGTACAGGGGGACCTCATCGACGTCGCCATACAACAGCAGGAAAGACCTGTTTTCCCGATATGCGCTCAGCAAACTCGCCAACATCCTCTTTACGATGGCGCTCCAGCAGCGCTATAAGAACATCCTTTGCGCCTCATGCAATCCCGGTGGAACCAACACCGCCGGAGGCATGTCTGTGTGGCCGGCCCTCCTCCGCCCCGTTATGAGTCGGCTCTTTGCATCGCCCGCAGTGGGAGCCCGACCGGTGCTGCTACTGGCGGCGGGAAGAGAGGTGGGAGCGGAGCGGGAGAGGTATCGAGGAGCCTACGTAGGGAATAAGTGTAGAGTGGAGACACCTTCGCAGATGGCCAGAGACGCGGGACTGGCGGAGAACTTATGGAAGGTCAGCGAGGAGGCTTTAGCTGAGTGGATCGAGAAGTAAGGGACGTGTTGTCGAAATTATCGTTCATAGGGAGATTGGGAGGGTGATGAGAACCCGGCAACTTACCAATACTGTGAGCAAAGGAATGTCTTTAAAGCCAAGGACTTCGATAGAGCTGAGGTTACAGATACAGAGCTGGACACGTGGATTTGCAGACGAAACATACGTCTCAAGCTCCTCCCTCGTATTGCTGAAACCAAGATGCTGGAGATGCTCCCCCGATCTCCACGATGAGCAAGAGCTCTTCCAAGTGATTAGGAGACGGGCTATGGCCGCAATGGGAGTGGGCTGTCCTCCGTAGTGGCTTCTGCTATGACAAAAGATACGACCACCTGCACAGATGGTGTCAAAGGTATTGTCGAGTGCTGATATACAACTGAGAAGTATGTCTAAACATTTTGCAAGTACATGGATGAAAAGCTTTCTCACGAGTGATGAGCACTGTCGAAATACGGCAAATTAGGGAGTGACTGTCGCCCGAATTTTTTTTTACAGTGTTCTACCAAGCAAGACTTTGAATGCAGCTGACGTGTTTGAATATCATTCCCATCACGATGTCGAAGTTTATCCCAAGAGACCCCTTTGTGAAACTTTGCCGTGGTTCCCGACCAGCGTCGACTTCTTCGAGGGCTCACGCCAGCTCTTGACGGTCAACCGAAGAGTCGGCTTCAGACCCAATAGACGCCCCGTGAAATGGCCACAAGTTCTGGTTTTGAGGAAATTATTCATGTCTTTGAGCTTGGCTCGGGGATCAAGATACCCAGTCACGGGCTGCTCGAACTCAGTGAATTTGATGCAGATTGAACAGTTGATCATCGAACAGTTAAGCCTTACCCAACTAGTGTTTGGGAAGGGAAAATGTCACATTTGCGGCAACATTTGTTGTCACTCAGCTCGTGCTCAACGCAACTTGTTTTGCAGACTCCAACTCCCTTCGCCGAACGTCATGACTCTTCACAGCCCTCTGATAGCAATCAAACCCTAGCGGGAGTCGCAGAGTATTATCACTTAGTACTTTTCCCAACCCAGTACCGATAACAACCTCAAATATTCTCTGAGCAGCCGTCATTGGGTTTCCCAATCTCGCAGGCTCAACGGTCTCAAAACTGCCCAGGGTCCTGCCAACCGGATGATCTTCAGCTTCGTATGGTTCACTCGGCGACACGATCTGCAGCGCGTCTTTACTGAAGAAGTTTGTCCGGAAACCCCCTGGCTCAATGATCAAGACCTTGATTCCCAAACATCGGATTTCCTTGGACAAACTCTCCGACCACGCCTCCAAAGCGAACTTACTCGCTGAATATATCGCACACGTCGGCAGAGGATCAATGCCGGCGACACTCGACATATTGATAATCGTACCTTTGCCTACAGACCGCATAAGTGGCAGAATCGCCTGTGTGGTCCTCACAGCACCCCAGAAATTGACTTCAAATTGTTGTTTTGCGGCCGCTTCGGGAATGTCTTCCGCAGCACCGAGGACGCTATACCCAGCATTATTGACCAAGAAATCTATGCCACTATCGAATTCATTCCATGCTTGTTGCATGAATGTGTCAATCGCAGATTTTGACCAGGTTACATCGAAAGTCAGCCAACGACCATTGTCTTGTCCGGTGATCTCGCTGACAGCTTCCGGGGACTTCGAAGGGTTGCGGGAGGTAGCGATAACATTGTGGCCCTGGACGAGGATGTACCGCGCAAGGGCAAGGCCAAAGCCCGATGAGCAACCTGTTATGAGCCAGGTGGGAGGCATGGAAACGAGTTTTTGCATCTGTTCGTTGCCGTTCAGAGGCTCGTTCATTCATATCCTATTTCAAGTGTTTATCTCCCTTCTATGCGTTCGCCTTGTCTGCGATGCCAGTGAGATCCAGTCACGGGTAGAGCTTAAGACTGAATCATGGGGAGAACTAGCCTTCTTTCGCCTGTTCCAGATTGGCGGGCGTGCCTGTTGGAAGAAGTCGGCGACTTGGCAGTTCAAATTTCACGCGGCACCTCTTTCCTGTGTTACACCGGCTGTTTGTTCACAATGAGCCACACATGATCAATCGTCCGGCTTTCAGAAGTTAAGCAACAGTAATTCTCATACAGCCAAATTACTAGTATGCTCGTGACTGGTTTGTTTTTGAAGGTGGTTTTCTCAATTCCCGGCCCCTGTCGAGCTGTCTGATCTAACGGCATCAAATTGATGAGTCATCCGATAAACGAGGGGGCTCACCCAGGGCGGCAGCCTTGTCAATGGGTGCTGTGTGGATTATCTAATCATTTGCTGCTACGCCAATCGAAGGAGCCTGCCAACACTACCGGTATGTTGTACCCTCTTGTCAATAAGCGCGATCCCATATCTCCCGGGTCTATACCGTCCCCGCCGAAATATCGAAGGAAAGTTTCGAATAGTCAGGTGTACGACCAAGAAGCCAACCCAAACCTTCGACCTGGTCCCTTCGCGCTATGATACTCGCCTTCAATGTAGGAAAAAAGCTCCAATGTCCGTGCGGTAGGCCAGAATATACGTCAATCTTCGTCTTCGTGTTGTATTCCTCTCTTAAAACACGCTCATAAATGATTCCATCATCACGCAGAGGATCTAGCCCATCCACCTGGAAATATGTCGGTGGCAGGCCGCCATGACCGTTGGGGTGGTTGAACACCGCGAAATTCACGGTATCATCGTCATCGGGCTTGTAACCGCCCATAAACATGTCGATCGCTGCAGATGGGAGGATCGGTGCGTGAGCGTTCTGCTCATGTGAGAGCCAGTGAGGCTGATATCTCTCGGGCATCTTGCCTTTCGGACAGAGTAGAGGAATTGCGAGATATTGACCAGTCAGAGGTGGTGAGAGCGCCTCGTCGCGAGCTTGGTGGGTGAGAACGGCTGCGAGATTCGCTCCGGCACTCGAGCCGCCAATGATGAAGCCCTCTCTTGGTTCGGCGTTCCACGAGGTAACACTTGCAGCACACCAGGTTAGGGCGTCCCAGCAATCATTGGGAGCGTAGGGAAAGGGATACTGTGGGCCTAGCCTATACGCGATAGCGACACAAGTCGCGCCCAGTCCGAGGACCAGGTTACGACAAGTTTGTTCTTCGCCTTCGGGGGAGCCCAGACAGAAGCCGCCGCCATGTATCATCATAACTAGAGGACTGCCCTTTTCGGGTGGGCTGCTGGGCTGTATGAGCTTCGCCCTACCAGACGAACCATCACGTCTTGGGTATTGTAACTCGGTGACCTTGACTCCAGGAGGTGTTGCGCCCAGAATACTTCTGGCCCGTTCCGCATTTTTCAGGTACATCTGGGTAAAGTCCTCCAAACTCGAATAGTCAATGACTGGAGGTGGGCTTTGATCTAGGAGCTACGAAAAAGGTGTTTAGTATGTATGGTCCCATTTTTGGCCTTGGTAAGAAGTTTAGGACTGACTTGTTTGAGCTCTGAGTTAATTCGACTCAAGCCTAGCAAGTACTCCTTATCTAGATACTTTTCCATATTGTCAGTGAGCTTCGAGGGTATCGAATTGGCAAATTATATGATCGAGGTTGCTAGCAGTCGGACTCTATGAACCAAGCTTAGCAGGACAACATTGGCGATTTTAGGCGCCTTGATGTATTCAAATCGTGGGAATGAGCAATTGCACCAAAAACATATACCTCTTGCGCCAGATGCCCAATCAGACCCGAAGGCTGGCCCGGAAATCTACCCTATTCCACAAGGGATGCTATGTTTAGTAGAAGTGGAGGTCTAAGGATGCGGGCACGTGGCGAATCTCAGTCGATCAGTATTCATAATCAAGCAGAGACGCCGTCTCGGCGTTGGAGCAACGAGGTGGACCTGGGTGCTTCGGAATTCGAGATATCGTCAAGCATACTAACCTTAATTCCATGAAAGACGATAGATTGTGAGACGAAGTCGACAAGGGCTTCTGGAGCGGCACATGGCTCGATACTCGCAAGTCGCTAATCGCAACGACATCTCTTGATGTACCCATTCATTCTACTCTACCACAGATCTCTCAGAGTTGATGATACTCTGGGGCATTATACCACAAAGGAAGTGATATAAGTGTTAAGTTGTTCTCCACCCCGGTTACAAACGACGGCGCAAGAGGAAGTAACTCGACCGCTGTATCACTTTAGCTTTCTTCATTCATTCATTAAAGCTACTTAACTAGTAGGTACCTTACAAGTGATGGAGTCAACCCAGTCTTCCTCGGAGTCTACAGTCCAGTCTGGATGAGACGAAAGTACAATACATACAGCTTGGCAGGTCTGGGCTGAGGGTCTCGGTGCCAATTCTGGGTACCATGTCTTTTGGTTTGGCTTCACTTCCTCTGATTGACAAGAGAGAAATCTCATCATTTACAAATCCTAATAACTCTGCCTCGCAGGTCATAAGGACTGGCAACCCTGGGTTCTCGACGATGAAGCCGCGGTCTATAGACTTCTCAAAGCCGCTTACGACCAAGGACTCAACACATTCGATACGGCGAATGCTTATTCAAATGGCCTTTCCGAGACAATGCTGGGCAACTTCCTCAACGAATACAAAATCCCTAGAAACAAAGTCATTCTCCTTTCGAAATGCTTCAGCCCGGTTGGTGAAGAGCCAAGTGTACTCAACTACCTTTATCCAGACATGATGGCTAAGTCGAAAGACTATGTAAATCAAGGTGGGCTGAGCCGTGCAGCGATCTTCAATGCAGTCGACGCGAGTTTGCACAGGCTGGGCACCACATATTTGGATCTTCTGCAGGTGCATCGGTTCGATAAATCTGTGCCGATTGAGGAGACAATGAAAGCTCTCCATGATCTGGTGGAACAGGGCAAGGTCAGGTATATAGGTTCGTTGGAAAGCACCATGATCTCGCGGGTCTTTCCCTGACGCTAGTATCTCACCTTCAATAGGAGCGTCCAGCATGTGGGCCTACCAATTTTCCGCAATGCAACACGTTGCCGAACTTCATGGCTGGACGAAATTCATTTCGATGCAGAACCACTACTCACTCTGCTATCGTGAGGAGGAAAGGGAGATGAACCCCTTCTGCCTGGGATCAGGAGTTGGCCTGATGGCGTGGAGTCCATTGTATGGAGGTCTCCTTGCGCGACCGCTGAGCACGCCAGCAACCGAACGACAAAAGGCTACGAAGAGTTCCCACACTCCAGTAGATGGAGAAATTATTACCACTGTCCAAAAGATTGCTCAGCAAAAAAGTTGGACGATGACACAGGTTGCTCTCGTTTGGCTGGTAGGGAAGAATTCGATACCCATTGTCGGTGTTGATTCCATTGAGAGACTGGGTGAGGTGATTGATATTCGAGGCAAGATTATGAGTCCTGAGGAGACAGCCTCTCTGGAAAAAGCGTACAAACCCAAGGCTGTCACTGGGCACGTGTAGAAACTGTTTCTGGATTCAAACAGTTGGAACGAATAGAGTATAAAGCTTTCTAAATAGGAGGTAGTATTGGTGTGTCTTCCATATACATTTAGTGCTGTGATACTGCTTGCGGCAGAGGATAGCCACCCATATCTTTGAGAATGGTCCGAAATCCCTCAAGCGCTTCAATCGCATCCTCGCCAAGCCAGGCTGGCATTATGTCTTTTCTTGTATGCTCAAGTTCTCGCGCGATCTTGCCTGCGACCTAAATCCGCCTTAGTTAGCAGAGAATACCAATGGGTTGACTGCAGAGCCATGCAATTGAGACCTACTAAGTAGCATGTGCCATTACGACTAGAGTCAAGGGCAGCAGCCACAATTGCTTCTGCCGCTTGCACAGTTGTATTGCTGGCAACTCCTACCTTTTCAAAGCGGTCACCGAATCCAGCGGTGATGCGGGTGGGCGTCAAGCTCGGCGCGATTGCGTTGACTCTGATCTGATGTTTCTCGGCAAGCGATTGGGATGCTCGGAGCAACCCGACGACGCCATGCTTCGAAGCCACATAGGCGGCGTTACTGGAGAAGCCAAAGTATCCAGATGTTGATGTGATCAGAACAATTGAACCTCTGCCCTCCTCCTCTGATATAGGATTTTGGCGTATATAATGCATCCCTAGGCGAAGTGCTGCAGTGAATCTTGTCAGCTGGCTTATATTCAGGATTGCAGGAACAGCGCACTGTTTAATGTGCCCTTGAGATTCACATCGATAATATCGCTTGCCTCTCGAGTCGCGATAGGATCCCCGTCTCCATCGGTCTCAATATCGAGAACTGCACGGCTCTCCATGATCCCGGCATTGGCCACCACAATGTCAATGCCCCCGAAGACCCGAACTCCTTCTTTGAAAGCATGGACAAGTTGTGTCCACTCAGTCACGCTTGCGGGTACAAACAACGCACGCTCAGGAAATCGCATATGCTGAATGAGTGCCTCTGCCTGCGTCGCCGACGAAGGGAGATCGGTAACCACTATGTTGCAGCCATATTGATTGAGAAGAGAGACAGTATCGGCACCGATTCCACGGGCGGACCCTGTCACTAATGCAGTCTTGCCTTCCACATGCTCGAATATATCACGAGTTTCGGACGTTCGCTGCATGTTTGATTCTGGGTGCGCGCTTGGCTTGACGAGTGTCTTCCCTTCGAAAAGGTCCTTGCTAGACCTACTTTCAAAGGTACAAAGGACTAAGTACTAAGTACTTACTGGAACTTAGTAAGTACTTAGTACTTAGTACTCCTCCCTCCTAACTCCATAAGTGACTGACGGGCGTAATAGTCTCCTAGACGAACAAGCTGGCCGCGATGCTTTCGCCGTCTTGGCAAGATCGAAGTTTGGCAGCGTCAAGTTCAATTGCATTTCAGAGTTTACGAAGTACTTACTTAGTACTTACTAGTACTAAGTACTTAGTAAGTACCCAGAAGTCACTCACTCCATAGTGTTAACTTAAGTACTACTCTGACCTATCATCAAGTGTTAGCCGCTGGTCATGTCTTCAATTCCCAAGTTACTTAACTTGTAATATGTGCTCATATCCAGCAATGCCATCTCAAACGCGGATAGCTTCGAGCTGATAGAGGAGGACTCATTTAACAAGATCAAGTCCTTTCCGTAGTACTTACTGACTAAGTACTTAAATACCTAGTACCTAGTACTAACTACTAAGTACGCGTACTTTCTTTATACTCGAGAGTCATTCCCGCAATGTCTGAGGAACTGCAACAAGCAAAATACGGCTCGAAGCTGCTCGAAAAACGCATCCTAGTCCTGGGCGGGACATCTGGCATCGGCTTCTGTGTTGCAGAAGCCGCACGCGAGTTTGGGGCCACAGTCGTCATCTCCGGGTCCAACCAGTCTAAGCTTGATAGTGCGATACAGCGCCTCGAGAAGGGCTGCCAAGGAAGCGTTCGTGGTTATGCGCAAGACCTCTCCAATGTCACAAGGCTAGAGGAAAGTCTCGAAAATGTTTTCAACCTTGCGACCCAAGATGGCGTGAAGAAGCTCGATCACATCGTCTATACGGCGGGAAATGTTGTCGGGCTCGTTGATTTGGCAAACCTGGACACTGATCTGATCACTGCCAACGGCATTATGCGTTTTCATGTTCCAATCATGATCGGCAAGATTGGACCAAGATACCTAAATCACAGTCACCAATCTTCCATTACGTTTACAAGTGGCTACAGTCATTTGAGGCCGAGGGCTGGGCGTGTCTTGATGGGTGGATGGGCTGCTGGAGTTGAGGGTGTGACACGTGCTCTTGCTGTGGACTTGCGGCCTATAAGAGTGAATTGTGTCTGCCCTGGTGCTGTGCATACGGAGCTGTTTGATAGACTACCAAAGAACGATTTGGATCCTCTCGTGGACGCATACGTGAGCAAGACTTTGACAGGGACTATTGGGCGACCTGAACAGGTAGCTGAAGCTTACCTGTTCTGTATAAAGGATTCCTTCATTGATGGGACGATTGTTCATACGAACGGCGGATATCTACTAGGATAGTAAGATCTGGGGGAGAAGGAGTACTACTAAGTTTCTGACCAAGTAGTACTTCTTAGTATATCAGCAATGAGTGATAGCCACTTTCTACTGAGGTATCCAAGCCCTTGAGCAGGAAAATTGCTGATAGTGAACATTTGTATAATTTCATCCCTAGAAAGACTGAAGTACTTAGTATTTACGAACTCAGTGTCAAGTGTAAATTAAACGCACCACAAGGTCTGAGCGACTTTTGTATGCAGTCCACGGGATATTAAGTAAAGAATTACCTGCTGAGTCATTGCTGTTGTTGAGGGAGTACTCAGGGCCGAGTAAAATTCTTACATAATCATGACACGCTCCGCCTCGCTGAACCCAAGGCCCATTCTCGTTGTATATTTACACAATCGCGCCCCTCTTTATCTTTCCCTGCCATAAAAACGCATCAATAGTACCTATAATTTGGACTTGAGCATCTCATTGGGCGTGATAAGGGGATCGTAGGCTCGCAGTCCCAAGGTATCTCCTGGTACTGTGGCTGTGTGGTATTTCAACCCAGCAGTGTCGACCATATCTGGCGTCAAATCCTCGACCTTGGATGCACCAATCAGACGCATGTTCATCACCATCTCATCCTTGAGAAGCTGCATGGCTCGGTCCACGCCTGGTAATCCGTAGGCGGACATGGCAAACAGGAAAGGTCGACCGATCCCAACACCTTTGGCTCCCAGGCAAAGTGCTTTAATGATGTCTGTGGCTCGGCGGACGCCACCATCAATGTAGATTTCGATCTTGTCTTGCAGACCACGCTCCCGAAGGACGGGCATGACCTCAGATAAAACTTCAATACCTGATCGTGCAAAGTCCAACTGTCGACCGCCATGATTGGACAGAACCACACCGTGAACGCCGGCTTCGATTGCCTTGAGTACATCTTCAACTCTCTGAACACCCTTAAGGATGATGGGCATCTTGGTAATGCTCAAGAACCATGGGATATCCTTCCAGCTAAGGGCTGGGTCAATGAAGCTGGAGATCGCTCGTGCAGCACCTTGTGACCTATCCACGTTTTCACCACTGGTATTCTGGACATTGGAGCCCGTGTCATCGAATTTACTTCGCATATCCTTTTCTCGTCTGCCCAACTGAGGTGCATCGACTGTGATAAATAGGCCCTTACATCCTCGTGCTTCGGCGTGCTTCACAATCTTTTCTGTGATAGCACGATCTTTGTTCACGTAGAGCTGCAACCACTGGCACTGATCACCTTCTCTGGCATCACAGATTTCGTCAAAACTGCATGATGCTAGGGTGGGGATCATCTGAATGACATTGTGTTTCCGGGCGCCCCGGGTAAGTACCACTTCGCCCTCGGGATTGCCCAACTTGCCGAGGGCAGTGGCAGTGACATAGAAAGGAATATCACATTTCGTGCCGAGCATAGTGGTGCTGATGTCGACATGTTCCACATCGACCAGAACTTTTGGTCGGAACCAAATTTTATGGAAAGCACTGTGATTCTCTCGCATGGTGATTTCATCATCTGCTCCTGAGCTGTAATATGCCCAGGCAGGTTTCTTCATGACCTCACGAGCAACACTTTCGAAGTCCATAAGATTGTAGCATGCTTCCAGGATAGGCATATTTTTGATGCGTTCTTGCCGTGCCTTTTCATCAGGGCTTTCTTCCTTCACTTCCTGCTGTACAGTTTCCATGTTGACTGCACCCAGGTGCTTGTCCTTGGGCAGGAACTTATCGAGGGTGTCCGGAGGGTGGATAGGTGCATATTCTTCAGTGGCATCTTTGCCCGCGTACTTGAGGATGATCTTGGGGCCTCCGGGGTGTTCTAGTGAACGGGTACATGGTTAGTCAGGGAGACATGCTGGAGTAGAGTGCAGTGGTGGGCGTAAATACCAGGTAAAAATTCCGTCACATCGTATGCCTTGCCATGGACGATGACCCAGCAAGATTCTCTCGAGTTATGCTTTGCCACCTCATCACCGGTCAAGGTACCGACATCCGGCTGCTCTCCCTTGTCGCGATTCATACTGTATAGAAAGTAAATTCAAGGAGCTAGTAGAGGGTCACGCTCCTGATCTGGGACGAGTGTTCGGGTATGAGAAGGGCCAAAGTAAACGATGCAGAAGGCCAACAGAACAAGAGCAGCAAAGAGGATTATAAGAAAACGGCCAATGCTGTCTATTTGAGATTGAGATTGAATCCAATTCATGGGGAAGGAGTGGTAATGAGGATCCATGTTGCCGCGATTGGTGGAAAGAGTGGTGGATGATGATGTATTGTAAAGTCGGCTTTGGTTTTCCTGAAGGGCGGGGACAAGATCGATGGAGAAGCTGCGACCATGATGCCGGTCTTCACTCCGCCGAGGTTGGCCAACGAGTCTAGAATCGAGCTAAAGGCGAGCTAGCTTTACTAACACCTCGAATCCGACTATTAGCCATAGCCTTAGGTCCTTGGCAATCTGCAAGCTCGGAATTATTTTTTGGCCGGTACGACTCGAAATATTCCGAAGAGGAATGCCTCGAGATGCGCGGATGGACCCGGACGAGTCGGATTCAAATTCAAATTAGCAATGAAGATCCAGCAGGAACATAATCCGAATTGAAACAGCGCAACACTTTTGCTGGAGCGGTCAGGAGCGATTCAGGATAAAATATAATATAAGCGGCATCTCTTTCTCGCCCTATATGAATAGTTCCCGGGACCTCGTACTTTCCCATAACACCTAATGTCGGGGTCGTCAGCGATCACCCACTGATATTCGGCCTTTTGTGCTCAGACCTCTTGAGATGGTGCTGGTCATCTGAGGATTGGTGCTGCCTGGAGTCACCTGAATCATGGCAGGTGCCATATAGCGAGCAGATCTGGGGAAGGAACACACACTGCACGGGCAGGCACAGACTGACAGTCACACCTCGGAAATTGCACCAGGCAGGCCTCAGGGAGTATTTGGGGGCGGGGTTGGATTTCACTGCCCCTAAAGGCCGCCGTTATCAGTCGTGACCAACACCAAACACACCCCGGGCAGGCTGGCAGCCACATGCCTGGTGGCCGCCGCCGCCACCATCACCACCATCAATTATCATCACCAAAACCCATTATTATTGTGACATCAACCCGTCCACTGTTTACATCCTCATTCACCACCACTCCATGCAATCACGCAAACAACAACCCATCCTCCCTTCTTCTCCTCTTTTCTCTGTTTCCTTTCTCATTTCTTCTTCTTCTTCCTCGCTCCATTTCGCCGTGATGAAAGAGCTGATTTCACTGAACACATCAGGCGCCTTCTAACCCACACCACCTGACTGTTTTCTGACCACCACTGCATAAGTGACTCACTAACCACAACGCAAGGCTTCGACCAAACTCGCACACTGCACTGCACTGCCCACTGCACTTGACCTTCGTATTCCAGAAGATAAAATAGAAAAGATCAAGAAAAGACATTTCACTGAACATTTCTCCCATCTACATACCCACCCACCTATTCCCCTCCTCTCTTCTTCTATTCAACGGGTCGCAATGAATCTGAATCCTGCTCCGCCTGTAATCACAACCACTGCTCCCCAAGCAATACCTGCCACTTCAATTGAGGCCAAACTGGTTGTGCTCGGTGCACAGGGCGTTGGCAAGACCTCTCTGGTCTCACGCTATATCAACCCCTCCGTGCAGCTGTCCAACAACATTCAGTCCACCATTGGTGCATCCTTTGTGACCAAGCGCATTACCGACCCGGACTCCTCAACCACCATTCGACTGCAGATATGGGACACTGCTGGCCAGGAACGCTTTCGAAGCATATCTCGTCTATACTACCGAGGTGCCAACGCCGGGCTACTGTGCTACGACATCACCAATGAAAATAGCTGGGAGGAAATGAAGACATGGCTGGCCGAGATGAAGGAAAACTGCGCCGATGGCGACGTCATGCCCATCATACATGTCGTCGGCACCAAGAGCGACATGGTTGCAGATGACCCCACACGGCGAGAGGTGGTTTTCGAGAGAACAATTGCCTACGTTGCCGAGCAACTTGGCGGCATCAGTGCCCAAAGCACCGCTTCTACTCCACCATTGACCATGAGACCCGGTGGCGGCAACAATGGCAACAACATAATCCACAGTCCCGATTCAAAACGAAGCTCAGGCTTTTGGAACCAAGACATCGGCTGGGACAGTTGTCACGAGGTCAATGCCAAGGACGGGGAAGGTATCGAAGAGGTTTTCAGAGTCATTGCCCGAAAACTGATCGATCAGAAACACCAGAAAGACGCTGCTGACTTTGCCCGTCTACAACAAACCCCGGGTTATCGAAGCGAAAACGGCGACGACTATTTCGCCGGCCACCATGGCCACTCGGGCAGTTTTCGAGTGGGCTATGGCGACAAACGTCGAAGCTGGCTAGGTTTGCCCAGTGTGGGTCTTGGAGGCGGCGGAGGAGAAATCGATGGAGGACCTGCTTTTGGCACTCGTGATCCAGACGAGGCTCGACGCAGAGGAAGGTGCTGTTGATGGATTCGCTAGCTGCTTGCATTCTTGGGAGTTTGAGGGACTTTCATGCCGCCACCGAGTGGGACAACTCGGACCGTCGATGGGCATAGATGGGTCGAAAATGGCCCCGTTCTTGGTTTTCTGCATCCATGTTAATATGGGGATTGGGATGATACACTGATTAGCGTGGCGTTTTTGTGGTGGAATGGGCGACATTTTCTGCACTGATGGGTGGTTGGAGGTCGTTAGAGACCGGTACGCATAACTCCAGCGTCCCAACTGTTGAGGTTGACATACAGCACACCTGGGCATCAGAATTCTCCAGGGAATCGGACATTGCGAGGGGTCCGTGTGGTAACGTTGTGGGAGGGGGTCTTATTTGACCCATCCATGACTCGAGGTAGTAGTACTGCATACTACTGACAGGCTTTAAATATGAATGAAGGATTTCTACCGTGCAAACAGCCGACCCAGTACTAAGTCGTAACTTGTACCCGGTTACCAGTTTACTGCTCCCCCAGGCAGAAATTTTTACTCGTAGTTAGTACCTCGTGTAGAGAGACAGACGGCTCAACACATAGCCAGACCCTGTACAGTAAGCCGTAGGGCAAGTGGAAGAACCAGACCTCCTGCTTTTATCTACGAAGCTGGTACCCCTTTTTAAGCAACTCTTCTCTTGCTTCCTCCTTTATTTGATCTCGATGATAATAATGATAATAATAATACAGCTGATTAATGTAGATATATATGCACAGATTAAATAGTATATGGTCCGTCAGTTAGTAGCTCCCATCAAGTGATGTCAAGTTGAGTTATGATATGGTAGGTCCATACATGTGTACCTACATACGTAGTTGTAGTTGGATTAGGAGTAGGCGACATCATCAAGATCCTCTGTTCTGTTCTCTGCTGCTTCCTTCCCATTTGGCCCCGTCCCAGCTGGTCCCGACTTCTGTTCTTGTTGTACAGCGACCGCAACACAGTCAGTCCGAGGCTCGACCTGCCAGGCTCAGCCTAGTCCAGTGCAAGGCCTATAGTGACCCGTTCTGCATGTGCATGCTCTTCCTCTCCGTCTATACATTACCGACCGTTCGAGTCTCCGTGTAACCAACAGCCGTGTCCTTTTTGGGTGGTCATTGCTCCGCTCTCCCTGTGCTTGCATGATGCATACGTGGTTCACATATGAAGTGAATGCAGAATGCTAAGGGAATAGCTCATGCCGCGTCAATGGTATTTGCTTGCTTGCCGGACCCATGTCCAGTTCCCCGTCCCATCCATCTAGTGAAAACAGACATGCACGTTCCCCCCCCTCCCCCCGAAAGCCTCCCGAGTTATAACACATGTATTTTTGAATTAGAAGGAATCCTCCACGGGGCAGTCGACGCTGTCATGCCCGTCCCTCTCGCAGAGGGCACACCATTTCTCCGGGTCGATCACGCCTGACGTCTTGCCTGCCATCATACCGGCTTGATCTCCTGTGCCTTCGATCGGTGGTCCAGATGTCGCTGCGGCGTTCGAGTCGGCAGCTGCGGCTGGTGGAGTAGCTTCTACTTTGGGCGGTGGAGGTGGAGGTGGCGAGTCGAGATCCTTGGCCATCGATGAATTTATAGGATTTGTGTTGGAGATAGGTGGAGGTGGGAGGGATGTGCTGGGTGCCTCGCTTGGTGAGAGCGAGGATGCTGTGGGAACCGAGTTGTTGCTCTTGCGGCTCATCAGTGGTGCAGGTCGATCAGTGTCAGCTGGTGCTCCGTCCGCCGAGTGCCTTTGCCCAGCACTTTTCAAAATGTCCTGACCAGCTTTGCGGCCTAAACTGCTCGTCTTGGACTTGGTCTTTCCCGGGCCGAACATGTTCGAGCAAGTTAGGATGTCATGCCCCCCTTCCTCGCAGATCTCGCACCATAAAGCGGCGCTGGAGGCTGAGATGTCTGTCACTCCATCGTCGGATCGAGCTCGTTCGAGGTTACTGTCCAGTGAATATTCGTGGTGTGCTCCCAGCGGCTTCACAGGGCTAGCGCCGCGGGATTGTGCGTCGTGCCAGGTATCTTGATGACTTGACCTTTGAGTCTTGGCCTTGGGAGATCCGAGGACTACGGTTCTCTGACTTCCAGCACTCAGATGTTTCCGGGCCAGATCGTCGCTGTTGTCTCTCGAGTGCCCAGCAGGTGGGGACATAGCAGTTCGGATACCAAAGGCTGCTCCTGGTAGTGGGAAGCGAGACATGGCCACACTATTGCGAAGTTGCTTGACCTCATTGGTCAATTCTTCCTCGTGAATGGATTTCTCTTGCAGCAGAGCTTCTAGGTCACGAATTTGCTCTTGCATGCTGAATCGATTCCCATCAGCATTGTTCGTCTCCACTGCTGTTGCGGATCGGTCATTGCTCTTGAAAGAATTGCCATTCAGCTTGGGCGATGTGTTGTGTGTCTCGTTGAGACTTTGAATGATGGCTTTGAGGCCACGAATCTCATCATCTTTGGTGCTCAGCTGGGATTCCAGTTCCGGGTTCCCCGGCCCACTGGAAGCATATCCATTCAATTGTTCTTCAGTCTTGATACGTTCTCGTTCCCTTCGGAGTTCGGATCGTGACCTTTCAACTTCACCCCGGAGGAATTCAACTTCCCCTCTGGCTTCAGCCTCGCCCCTCCTTGCATCTTCCAACCCCTCTTCGAGTTCTTGTACAAGTTCCTCCAGCTGCTTAAGCTGTTGAGCGACGGTTTCGACATCTTCACTCCGATCGTGAAGATTTCTGACCTCTTCGAGCAATTCATCCACTCTTTTCTCATAGACTCGTTCTGTTTCCGTGCTTGCCATCTCGAGCGTATCTATCGTAGATCTGAAATCGGCTCGGTTGGCATCAAATTCAGCCGTGAGGAGTTTGATCCTGTCATTCTTTTCCCGCAAGACATCACGTAGAGAGGCGACATCTCGAGGAAGATCGACATCATCGGCTGAACTGCCCCTTCGACTGGCACCTTCCTCTAGTCCTGCAATTATCTTCTGCAACTCATTGAAGTTACGTTCCATCTCTGAGAAATTACCGTTCTGATCTCTTAACTGGCGTTTGGCCTCATTGAGTTCGTCTGTGAGAAGTCTGATCTTGACCTCGTATTGAGCCGCATCAGCGTCTCCAACTCTGGTGGCAAAAGGGGTAGGCGTGGGGGTAGATTCGGCATCTTGCTCTGGTATCTCATCAAAACTTGACTCGGGTCCTAGTGAGGGACTGGTGCCGGCATAATTGGGGGTGGATGTACTTTGCCTGAGACTTTGGCTGAAATTGTTCGTTGTTCGTGGGCCGGGTCGACTGAACTGACCTGCAGCACCATTTGTACTTTTTGCTAGACCGATACCACTGGGTCTTGTTTTCGGGGTTGCTAATGATTTGGGAGTTGGTGTGTTTGCTTTCCGTAGAGGGCTCGCAGGTCGAGGGAGAGATTCGCGTCTCATAGGAGGTTTTAGGGCGGGACTGGCTGCGCCTGCTCTCATCCCAGGACCGACAGATTGACTGAAATTGGGCTTAGCAAGGCTCGGTGTTCTCCCACCCTGGTTGAAACTTGTCAATCGGGTCGGAGTGCCAGGTCCAGGACCTGGACTCGCTCTGATTCCCAGACCAGATCCCGAACTGCCAGGCTTCTTGATGGCCTTTTCTAGTGGGAGGAATATTCCAGCCCCAGGAGTCGTTGTCTTGAAGTAGTATTTTCCATCGACATCACCAGAGTTCTTCCCTCGTGGTGCATATTCTGTTGCAAGTTGTACACCAGCAAATATTCCTTTCTTTCCGGCCACAGGCCCGATGAATTTGACGGTTCCATGCATGTCACCAGGGACCATGACAGTATCCCCAACACGGATCGTCGCCATGTTGAGTGAAGGATTAATTTACCGCGGATGGTAGTGAGGATTCGCAGTTGTTGACAGGAGAGTCTGAAATAAGATCGGCGACAGGGTCAAGGGTGCTACGAAACACGAGTGAGATGATTTGAAATAGAGGACTAATGAGGATAATTGAATCACTGTCTCTGACTGGAGTGAAGACACGTCACCGTCGCTTTGATGGGAGTTGATTGCTTTTGCTGCATGGAGGGCGACGTGCAGGTGTGCGGACTTTCAAACTGATCGAATGCGCCGAGTTGGATTAAGTTGTGGAGTCTCCTTTAGCAGCGGCTTGAATTCCCCGTAGTGCCAGTGATGTGAAGTGCCGGTCTCCTATTATTATCTGGCGCAGTTTGACCAGCGCAGGATAAGGATTGAGACTGGGACTGTCGATCAGCGGTAATGATTCAGGTGTAGGAAAACGCGCAGTGAGGATGTTTAGTCGTGCTTTAGGTTATAGGTGTAAGAGACAGAGAGAAAGAGAGATAAACAACATGGAGTAAACAAATGATGCACAAGAACGGATGAGGGTGTCAACGACAACAAGACAGACACACGTCGGCTTTAGGTCGAACCCGAGGATCAGGATGATGGTTCGCTGACATCCGACGGCGTTGCGGGTGTTGCGGATTACATTTTGTTTTTGTGGTGTTGTGGGCAGGGGTGGTTGAGGGCTTTGGTTGGTGAACAGGGTGACTCGAGCCTATAAACTCACCTGAGCAGGGGGCCCGGGGGTGGATCTCTAGGCGTATTGGGCGGCACAACGGGCCCTAGGTAGCAAAGAGTTGTAGGGTTCTAGCTACTGAGACCAAGAGCCTCATCAGCAGTTCCCGGCATGTCGACCACCAACACACACATATTTGTGACTTCAATGATAACCCCCATCACGGCCGAATTCAAATCAAAGCAATCCAAGTACGAGGCCCCAAAATTTAGTCGCCTGATTCGCCTACCTTGAGCCGAACTGCTTATCCCTCCTCCCACGAGGTAAAGATCATTCAACTCATCTCGGAAAACCCCTACCCTGTACTTGTTCTTTGCCTCGTTGGGTTTACTTCCGTTCACGTTATGTCCAGCACCAGTCACTCGCCAGTTTGTGAAATTGCACCTCTACTGTGGCTTTCTCCCAGGCATCCTACAGCCTTGTGGTTCATGCGCGCCACGGGAGTCTTGGACAGTCCATTGGAGAACATGCATTTCACCACGCCTTATTTTTGGCTAGCTTACAAAAGTAGGTACGTACAACAGGAGTAGTAGACAATACTTCCAATCCATGCTTGTAGGTAATAACAACAAGAGACATCACTTCAGTTCGAGGTACGGAGTAATCCTTTTTGGAAACGGACCACCTTTTCTGTCCTGCATCCCATCCCGCAACCGACATGGGAATGCACCTGTGATACCGTTCTTCACCTTCATAGTTGCAGGCGGAAAGTCGCCACCTCAAAAGCACGCAACTCAATATTGATGCTGAGCTTGTTCTTACCCGAGACCTCCACACTCTCCAGGTCATCTTCAAGCACGTTCGTCTTGAATGCCTTCTTCACGGGCAGTGTCGTTTGGATCGTACCCCGAGTCTTTCCACCCAAGCTTTCATAGACTCGAAGAATCACACTCTGACCAGATCGGGCACTGAATTGACCTTCAGATACATCCGCATCATCCTCGCCTCGTTTGACAACGTCAAGCACAAGAGACTTGCCTCCACTGAGTGTGATGGCGCTGAATATCTCCTCGGCCGGCTTATCATCTACCAGCGAGGCGAGTCGAAGTGGGTGATTGAAATTATATGCAGCACGAACAGTCGCGCTACCCAATGACCCTTGGTGAGGCATGATTGCCCATTTGATATGATGCCGGCCCATATCGGCATGTGCATCCGGTGCTTTTGGTGAACGCAGTAATGACAGTCGTTGAAGGTTACCAACAGTAGCGAAGCCATATTTCGAGTCATTCAAAATCGACACTCCGTAGTCGGCCTCGGACAGATCTGCAAATTTGTGGCAACATACTTCAAATTTGGCCATATCCCAACTATATACAGTCAGTCGTTGAAGTCTTTGATCACAGAGGATGGACAGCATGCTTACCTTGTGTTGTAGTGCGTGGGGCGACGGATAATACCATACTGACTTTCATAGCTGGCTTCCGTGTTGCTCACATCCACTGGAAATTCGACCTTCAGGAATTTCATCGTTTCGTGCCACTCGACCTCAGCCTCCACAGACACAAACCCGGCGTCATCTTCGCCATTGGTCGCGTCCAGACTGATGGTCGTTCTCACCCAACTGTCATCACTCACCTGTGTCTTGGTTGCGACGCTGACACTATATGGGCCTGTCTCAACAATTTCAGTGGCCTCGGACTTGAGCTCTTTCCTTGACTCCAAGTGGAATACTTCAACATCCCATGCTTGCCAGTAAAGCGGCTTATCATCAAAAATGACCAACTGATTGGCTTTTCCACCCTTTGCGATGACTTCGCGGTCAGCCTTCAAATCAATCAGAGATGTAATCACGCCCGCTTCCACTTCTACGCGGAAGCGGCTGTTCTTGAGGACAAAGACACCTTTCTTGACTTCTTCCACCGAAGCCGTTGATTGCAATGTCGAAGCTGCGTGGGTCTTCATGATTCCTGGTCCACCAGACGCCAAAGCGTACTGCTGCTCTTGAGAGGTGGAGTCTGCATGAGGAATTTTAACGAGTTCTTGCCGACTCCATGGTGCAGTGTTGACCGCAACCAGCTCAGCCTTAGGCTTGACGTGATGAGAAAGTCCAAGGACCGTCAATGCTTTCTCGATGAGCTTCTTTCCTACCTTGGCATTGTGCGCATACAGTGCGTCAGAGTCATCATAACACATCTCAATTGAGCTGCCTGGAAGACAATCATGAAACTGGCAGAGAAGCACGTTCTCCCAAATTTCATCGATCTCCCTCTTGGGGTACTCGTAGCTCTTGTTCTTCAAGGATGCGAGCGTGGCAAGATACTCGATATCGTGTAACAATACCTCTTGTTGTCGATTGTTTCTCTTGTTATTGGCCTGGGTCGTGTAGGTACCTCTGTGAAGTTCAAAGTAGAGTTCTCCATACCACGTTGTGAGCTTGGTGCCATCCTCGATCTTCTCCTCCAGCTTGGCGAAGAAATCATCCACCGATTTTCCCATTTGAACTCGGGGCAATAGTCCTGTAGTGTCACTCAATCCGCGGCACCTGCGGAGTTTCTCGAGCATGTCTCGGGTAGGGCCACCCCCGCCGTCGCCCTTGCCAAAGACAAGTAGCGAGGTGTTGTCTTGGTTCAAGCTCTTATGTTGAGTAACACTCCTTCTCACATCTCCGAAATGAGCATCGGCCGTGTAGGTTTCGCTCGGCGCCATGTGACAGATGACCTGACTGCCGTCTAAACTCACCCAGTTGAAGGTTGTATGAGGGAAGTTGTTGATGTTGTTCCAGCTTAACTTCTGTGTAAAGAATCGAGTCATTCCTGCCAGACGACATATTTGTGGGAGTTGAGCAGAATATCCAAAAGTGTCAGGCAGCCAAAACGTCTGACATCTCTCACCAAAGTTACTCTCAAAGAACCTCTGTCCATAGACGAACTGTCGAACCAACGATTCGCCACTGGGCATGTTGGTGTCATGCTCAACCCAACTACCACCAATTGGATGGAACCTTCCTTCTTTGACCTTAGTCTTGACTCGGTCAAAGACATATGGGTAGTTTTGTTTGAGCCACTTGTACTGTTGAGCTTGGCTAACAGCGAAACGATGTTCTGGGTAACGATCCATCAGATCACATTGATTGGACCAACTTCTCGCAACCTTGCGTTTTGTTTCCGCCCATGGCCATAACCAACATGTGTCAATATGACAATGACCAATACCGTAGACAAGAGCCGTCTCGTCAGAGTCATAGACCTTGGGAGAGTCGACCAGTTTGCCAATATATTTCTGGGCAATCTTGCGTCCTTCCTCTATGGATTTCTGAGATCCATTGCCAGCAATGAATGCGTCCACAATGTGGTTGGAAATTTGCAAGGCTTCATGCTTTTCCCAACTGTCACCCGGGAATTCTCTGGCAGCATCGGAAATGATCCAGAAATCGACATAAAGCTGCCGGACGGCGAGGTTGACGTCAACAATCTCGGCCTTCCACAGCTGATAATACTTGTTAGGATTGGGTGGCTGGATACTGTCACCGCCCGGAGCATTGCCGAACATTCCGTTGCATGCCATTTCAATATAGAATATATGCTCCTTGCCGTCTCGCCAGCTCTCAGGCAGGATCCATTCTGTTCGGTCTCCACCACCAGTCAGACCTTGCAGCGGGTCTCCCTCTTCAGTCCAGACCATTCCCTCATTGTTTGCATCCCAGTGGAATTCAAGATGCTCTCCGTCTCTCATCTTCTTAGGGACGGTAAGCTGGATCTTGAACCAATGTGTCGACCATGATGGACCGAATGACTCGCCACGATGGGTAGGTTTGAACTCGTGGGAAGTGGCATCCTTAAAGGTCGGCCGTGCTAGATCGGGTGGGGAGTACACCGAGAGCTTGACATGGTCGGGATCATCGACAACATTGTGGTAGCGCTTCCTAAAAGAATGTTGGCATTGAAGGTGCAGTCAGATGCATTTAGTCAAGACTTACCCTAGAAGGTATTGATTTTCATACTGGCCGCCTGATGTGAATTGACGCAGACGGTCTTGGTAAATGCTTTCAATTTGCTGTCCAACAGGACCTGCTGATAGTTGAGGATACGACGATTCAATGCGAGGGACTGTTTCTCCACCCATGATTGCCGCTGATGTGAAAGACAAACGCAATACGAAGAAGATTCTCTTGAGTGTAGAGAAGTCTGAAAGGGCGTACCAATAGTGGATTTGAGGCTTGATGACAATTTAACAGAAAGCTAAACGACAGAGTATGGTGGTAGTATTCAGTCTGGTTGGTAGTGGGAGTTGGTCAGATGGACATGCAGCTGTAGTGCAGGACACCTCGGTGTCGGTGTTTCACTGGCAGGTGCGGGGGAAGAGCCCCGATTTGGAGAAGGACTTGGTGTTCCTGCATCATCTGCCCCGGACTCACAGTTGATCCGGCGACGGTTTGCCAGGTCACGTGTTGATGCTCAGGCATTCTATTATCCTTGAGTGAATCTAGTATTACTCTCGAGTCTTAAATATATCGTCTATCATCTTCCGGTACAATGAATCGCTCAGATCCGTATTTATCACTCATATTACCTACCGCCTGATTAGGTCCCACCAAAATGATACTCTGCTTGAGCTTTCCTCGTCGCTTGTGTGAGGACTTTCTCCTCAACTTCCGTTTCGCTCCCTCAAGGACACTGACGAATTGACTCTGTCCACTTTGATAAGCGGTGACAAGGTCCATCGACTTGCCCCGGTTGTGGCCCACCTCGTCATGTTGAGTCATCTTTTTGGCTTTTTTGTTCTTCCAGATCTGATCCCCATACCTTTGATATGGTGTGGGTTGAATTGCCAACTGTCGCTGTCGTGGTTCACTTGTGCGATCTCGAGTTCGTCGGCTGGATATCGAGAGTGATCGTAGTAGGCCGTTGACTCCTTGCTGTAAGCTGGAACGACCACTGCTCCTCAATGACTTCTTCTTTCCGAACGACTCAGGATTCACATCTGGATGGTCTGCTGACCCCGAGGATGATGCAGAACATACTCTGCCATAATCGGCCGAATTCTTTCCATCTTTCACCGGGGATGAACCTGATACCGGACTGACGACTCCTAATTCATCCTCAAGCCAATTCTCAGACCAATGTCGGCTTCTATACCTCTGTCGCGAGCTGGAAGACAATGGCGAGTCGTCTCGCCCAGGTAAGGCTGAAAACTGGCCAGGCGTGTCAAAAATCGGACTTGGTGGACTCGTGCTGCGTAAATTGGGCGGCGATGGCAACAGGTCCGACTCTGCAATACTTGAGACGGTCACTGACATGGCATCCGGTAATGGTGGAGTGTGCGAGACTGAGATGGGTAGCTCAGGTGACGAGTTCTGAGTCGACGGTGGGAAAAGTTGATCATAGGCGGCTTGACGATGATGGTCTGTATTAGGTGTAAACGGGGAGACAAGCTCGTTCCGACGGTCTTCCAGATTGCGTGAAAATTCGATGAAGCTCGGTGCAGTCTTCTTGGCATTAGACCTTAATGAAAAGCTTGATATTGATGCTTTCGGTCGTGGTCGTGGAGGTGTTGGTGGCCTCGGTGATGGCGATCGATTCAGGCTCAGGCGTTTGACCAACAGTGGTGCAACCGTGTCCCGGTAGGCTTGAGGCTGATGTATTAAAGGCATGGACGGCAGATCTGGTAACTCATCAACATCACGATAGCCTCCATACATGCGGATTATGTTTGTAATTGTCGTATCGGTGCTGTACACACTGGAAGAGCGCCTTTGTCTATCGAATGGCTCTAATGGTAAGGGCTTGTCCATATCAGACGGGGTCGACCTCGCGGACGCATGCTGGGCAGAGAGAAGGGACAGAGATGATGGAGAGGCTGGAAGCTCAAGTCCTTGGTTCTGTAAGCTTAGAAGTGCCTTCGAAGGTGGAGGCGAGGAGACGAGCAGTCGCCGAGAAGAAGTTGGTCGTGAACTCATCGTCTCCATATGTTTATCCTAGAGTCGATAGCGAGGAATAGCATCTTTCTGGTGCCCCGTTACTTGTCAGCTAGCCATAACTCCGATGTCCAGCACATGCGAAAGGGACATGAACATTGCTACTGTTAGATGTACTGGCACAACTTAATCCGCCCACAGATAAACCCCTACCTTGCGGAAGAATACTCTGACCTCGAGGACAAAGATCCCCGGTTGCAGCCACCGCCATCTTGGCAGCTACAACAGAAATATCCTTTGTCTATAAGAAACCATCGTGAAGATAAACTCCGGAAGCAATGTGCGGTGGTAGACTTCGTCCGGTTCGTCATCAACGACCACATTCCACGGACATTCCAGCCGTTTCCTGGCGAAAAGGCTGAATCCGTCCGCACATTCTCATAAATTTGCAGCTTTGGCCAAGTCCTCTTTGGTCAATTCATCGCCTGGCTTCCTGATGTCTCCCAACCGGCCAATTCGTCGGAGTCGGTTAATCATGTCTTCATCTCCAAAATGGCTGTTGTGATCGAATGTTGGCTCCTGGTTATATGCAAAGCGAGCAGCGTCAGTTAATATTCTCGCAGTCATGCCAAAGACTCGATAGCGTGCCAACTTGTCTAGATGACTCGCTGCAACCTTCTGTCCTTCATTCTTCTTGGGCTTTGAGACGATCTGATTGGTGACAGGTACGAAAAAGTTATGCATCCTCCACCGACTCTGATGCCAATCCGTCCACATGCCCTTATACCAATCACTTGGCTTACCAGGAAGATCTTGCTGACCGGGCAAGTCTTCAGCGTACAGGAAGTTCTTGAAGGGGGCGGAGAAGACAGCCGCTACTTCTCTGGCGTCAAGCCTAGGTAGTAGTTTCTCTGCTACGCTTGCGTCCAACCCTGTCTCAGGGTCGTGTGAATGCAGAAAAGCGACGCAGGGCCGCACCACAAGTTCGGTTTTGGCGAGATTGGTCGGCATCTCGCAAAGATGTTCGACTCGAAATGGCGGTGGCAAGGATTCTGCTCGTCGAGGGAGGCCGATTTCTTCAGAAGCCTCCCTCCTTGCAGCTTCAAATGCCGTCTCTCCGAGCTCAGCTTTGCCACCGGGTAAGGCGGCCTGTCCGGAATATGAGCTGAGGGTACTGGCACGCATTGTTATCACGACTCTCAGATCGCCTTTCTCGTCAGCAAAGAGAAGAATTAAGACTGCCGCCTTCCTCGAGATAGGCATTGTAGGCCATGCTGTTTCTGGCGAGGTATACGACTTCAATCGGTCGATTGCTTTCTATCGAGTCATCAACCTCGATGCATCTATCATGTCCTTGAGCGACGACATACCTTCGATTCATCCGAAAGCGGTGCCATGTTATTTTGGAAATTTTGTGAAACAAATGACCGACGAAGTGCTACTTTTATCCAGGGAAGTTGTCTCGGTCTCAGAGGAGATAGCCTGAGCATCCTCTAAAATAGTCAGAGCAATAAATGGATTCACCTTGAGTCTGCCAGTATTAGTAGAGTCCGAGATATTATTCAATGATGGAGAGCTCAAGCCGAGGTAAATAATTACTCGTAGTTTAGTGCTAAACGGCTGCTGGGTGGCTGCCAGTGGAGAAAGAGATTGCGTCAGGCCGGGAAATACGCTGTAGCCACTGGGACCGAGTATTGTCTCTCTCTACTATAAGTGTGCATCTTGCCACGCCTCTACTGTATTGGCTACAAACAAAAGCGACCTTAACTTGGTCCCAGAGTCCACTTCATCTGAAGCTCGGCAGTCCAGACAAGGCTAAACAAGCCATCTCCTGCCTCTAACCCCGATAGCCCCCAGGCCACTAACAGGACTGCTGCAACAAACCACCATTCGTGAACCAAGGCACCTTGAGCAACCCGACTGCAGACAACTACCCAACGGAAGTCCTCGTAACCCGGCATCGTCATACCAGCCACTCAGGACGTTGAACTCTGGAGTGAGCCCGATGATACAGGCGTGTGCAGTCGTACTTATTTGCAAGTACCGCCGAGGGGAGCGTTCCATAACCAAGGATGGTGGCGTAAATGCCACGCCTTCTTGATGGTCGAATATCTGGGATGGAGCCTTGGTGTAATCAATTGGAGCTATATTGTGCCCATTGCAGCATGCTGGCGAGTCCGGTGAATTTTTTCATGAACTGTGCTCGTTCGTGTACAACCCTTGCTTCTCGGTGGTCAACGGTGTTGAATGGCATGCTAACCATTCTCATTAGAAAAGGGTCAACTTGCCCATGATGATTGTGTAATGTTACAACACACGCTCTGGCTCTGTTTCAGTCATCATGGCCTTTTCGTGAACCTCCAAAAGTAATCTTCTGGCGCTTGTTCGATCTCGTGTCGGTGTCATCATCGTTGTTCGCTGCGGCCGCGGCAGCAGCCGCACTCTTCTTTTTCTTCTTGTCACCCTTTTCGGCTGCGAAACTTGCAGTCGGCGTACCGGCATGCGGCGTACTGGTAGCGCTGCTAGGTGAATCCGAATCTCGCATGTATGAGACAGAGCTTCTTGTGAAGACCCGATCGGTATCGTTGATGACGGGCTTGCGGCGACCTGCACCTAGTCCGCCACCGACTGCACTTCCGGAGACAGTACCACCTGCAGAACTGGTAGCTGCGGATACCGCGGACGCCTTGATGTAATTGTCGAATCCCTTGACAATGTTGCCTGCAACCGATGTCTCTTCGAGGTAGGTGGTCTCTTGTCGATAAATTTGGTCTTCGATGGCCGCCTGCTGCGGTTAGAGGGATCCCTTCATGAGCAGAGAGCGCGTGTATTGAGGACTCACCAAGTTGCGATCTAAAAGCCTCTTCTTTTGGAGTGTGTCGCGCAAATCACGGCGGAGTTTCTCATAGTATGGAAGGCCTGGTCGATCGGCACTGGCAGACGCGGGTTTGCTGGCAGCGCCAGGAGGGATATTCTCAGCCATGATTAGGAGCACCCCTGCAGTGTCGTGGTGGTTCTCTAACGTGACTGATTGAGTGGGATCATGAGAGTTGAGGATGGGATGATCCTGTTTGCACGAGAACGTCGCCTTGAACTTTAAGGCGACTGCGGGGAGACAGATACTCGTAGAGATGGGACTAGTGCTTAGCCTATCCTTGTAAACCAATAGCCTACGTGGTACCGTGATTAGTCGCAGGCTAGTTACGCTAGCGCTTCGGTTGTACTAGTAGATCGCCGACTTGGAGCGCACTTCGCCGAATCACAGAGTTGCTCTTGTACTAGTTACAGGCGCGCGTCTGACGGAGCGTGATCTTGATTGATATCTGGACGCTGGAAACTTGCTCACATCCCCCCGTTGAACAACGAAACAGACTATATAACTCTGGTCCATCAACTCCCAGGCAGCAAGAACACTCTCCTCACAAACTTCCTACTTCCCTTCTGCAATTTACATCTTGGACTTACACTAAAAACATCACAATGGATCATTCTCACATGGACCACGGAGATATGGGGGGTGGCCATGGCCATGGGGACATGGATATGGGAGACCAATGTTCGATGAATGCAAGTCCACAGCAGTCAAATATTCCGTGAGCAGTTAGCTAACCTGGTCAGATGCTCTTTACATGGTCCTCCAAAGGCCTCTGTATCGTATTTCGCCAGTGGCATGTTACCGGGACGTTCTCGCTCATCCTCTCCCTGGTCGCCATTGTCCTCCTCACCGCAGGCTACGAATGTATACGAGATGTCAGCAGAAAATATGAGCAGGGTCATAACGCCCGAATGAGTGCCTATAGCACCAGTGGTTCCAGTATGTTCAGGATCTACAAATCCCCCACTAGTCTGGCTGCTACACCTCGCTGAAACGTCAAAGGTGAAAGCCCGCAGTTGGACCCATCAAGCTCACTACTTGTTGTAGGGAGAGATTCCAAATCAGCCGAGCAAAGAAAAGGAACGCTCATCAAAGGCGCTCTCTATGCTGTCCAGGTCTTTTATAGCTTTTTCATCATGTATGGGAATGTGTGCCCTTCTCGTACATTTAACTGACATCGAATAGGCTCTTGTTCATGACCTACAATGGATGGGTTATGCTTGCCGTGGCTGTTGGTGCCTTTATCGGCTATATTGTATTTGGACAAGACTCATCATCAGCCAAAAGTGTGGCGTGTCATTAAGTCACCTACAGAGTCATGGTGGATGGCTACTATTCCTCATCCTCGATGTCATCACCAAAGCCGAAGCTGAAGCCTCCTCTTTGGCCGCCATCGTCGTCTGCTTCCACCACATTTTCCCACTTTCTCTTCTTCTCACCAGCGGCAACTAGTGTGGCGGCCAGTCCAGGATCGGCATCTCTCAAACGTTCCATGAAAAGCGAGCACGGATCAAGGATATTGTCCTTGAACCCGGAGACCTGGTTCGACTTGTACTTCAAGAACCTGTATGCCGCACCGACATGGGATCGAGGGACAAAGTTTTGGGTTATTGCGATGGCTGGTTCGAGATTCACAACCAGGTGCCACCACCCAGATGGAACATGGAGAACTTCACCCTCATAGCACACCCCTTCTATACACCCCAGAGTTTCTCTTGCCTCGGCATGAAAAGACAACAGCCACTCTGCGATACTGAGAGGAGAGGTGACCTCACCTTGATCATCGCTCATGTAGACACCAGGTGGCAGGATAGAACTCGGGAACATGATCCAATATTTAGATCCACGAATAACCGCGTTCCATGCACTTGTGGCATTGGGATCCTTGTGAAAGGTGCTTCCGCTTCGTTCGGGTCCTACAATGAGCCACCGATGGTCAGGTCTTTGTTCACCCAGCAAGGTAAACAGGTCCTCTTCAAAGCAGGATGGTGGCTGGTACGAGGATTTTCCAACCGTGAGACCCATCGTTTCCACGAAAGATTGGTCAAAAAGGTAGAGTGGACTTTCATCTTTGGTTGAGTTCATGTACTCGAGATATTTTGAAAGAGGCCAGTCGACTCCTTCGGCACGGAATGTCGAGTCTCCATATCGAGACAGTAAATGCTCTTGGCACCAGTCATTGTAGACGGGCCATCGTTTCACAGGACCGGTGAGAACAAACGGCTTGTCTGACCATCCGGCATTGAATTCTTCTGTGGACAGTTCCGCTATTCGTACTATCTGATTTCGCTGGGGAATCTGAGAGCCATACGGAGATAAGGGAATTTGGGAACATAGAAAGGGTCGATGTAAGGCATCTGAGAAAACATGCCTGCAATCCACTTTGGCAAGGTCGGCAGAAGGCAATTTCCTCCGTGAGGCCCGCCAACTTCCGCTCCAGGAGAAATCGGGAGTCATATCGTTGACGGCAATGTCCCGCCACAATTGGTCATAGGTGCAATACGCATATAAGGATTTGCACGTCCCACCCAGATTGACAAGACTGTCCTGATCCAGAAACTCTAACATCAGCAGCGTTAGGGAATCTGGTAGGGTCTCGAACAACCCCATGCACTTTTGGGCATTTTCCACGGAAGTGAGAGCATTGCCACTCGGTCGGACTCCAAGTGGATGCTGATCAAGCGCATCTTCCACTATATCTTGTTCGATATCGCCATCCCAAGTCGTAGAGAATCGACCATGCTCAATTTCGACCTCACCAGAGATCAGATTGGTCTCACTGTGCAGCAATGTGGTTGTTGAGACTGACTGCATGTTGACAAACCCACATTATTGGGGTAGTAAAGACAGGCTTAGAACTCCGGCGAAGGCGATGATCCGGTAACCACACGTGACCTTTCAATATCCGCCAATTGATTTAGTGTGGCGATGCAGATATACTGAGATTGAGCAAGCGATGAGTCACGGAGACGAGATGACTGCACCAGTAGTAGACACAAGCCCCGATAAAGCTAGACAAGGCTGGATGCCTGGAGAAACAACCTGAAGCATGGAAGAAGGATTGAACGCTGAGGCTGCCATGCAAGACACTTTTTTCCCAAAACTTTCTTTAGCGCGCGTGCCAAGACTTTCCAGAAACTTTACAAGTAATGAAAGCCGCCCTCGTCCAAAAATTTTGATCTCTTCCCTTCCTTATACCTACAAACAACAACACAAATTCACAACTATTTCGCTAGACACTGAGATTCTCATCATTTGAGGATCCCTTGACTAGCACTTTTACCACAACTTCACCCACCGACGAACTTGGTCGCTTGCTGAGCGTCTGAGTTATCCGCACGCCACTTTTCACCCCCTCTACATTCCCAGATCACCGGCCAGGTCGCCTGTGATCAAACAGTCTCTTCTCTCGCAATCATGGCGGACAAAGGTCTCGAGGAGGTCCCTGAAGGTACGTCTATTGTCTCGCGCAGATGTCGATCTTGGCCAAAATAATCCAACGCCGAGACGACACTTGCGCACTGCAGCCTCACCGTGTGAAAGATTTTTGCTGACAATTTTGTGCGCGATCAGGCCAAATCGAGTCAAACTACGATGAAGTCACCGATTCCTTCGACGCAATGAACCTAAAGGCAGAACTTCTGCGAGGTACGTTTAAAGTCACAAGAGATTGATTGTTCAACGGTTTTCTGACTAGTTTTTCACACAGGTGTCTATGCCTATGGTTTCGAGCGACCGTCTGCCATTCAGCAGCGTGCCATCATGCCAGTCATCAAAGGTAATGGAATATCCACAAACAATTCAATTTTGAGACAATCGACTGACATATAAAATTCAGGATCTGATGTCATTGCACAGGCACAGTCTGGTACTGGAAAGACCGCCACTTTCTCCATCTCATGTCTGCAGAAAATCGACCCCAACCTCAAGGCCTGCCAGGCTCTCATCCTTGCCCCCACTCGTGAGTTGGCTCAGCAGATTCAAAAAGTCGTTGTCGCCATTGGTGACTTCATGAGCGTTGAGTGCCATGCCTGCATTGGTGGTACCAACGTTCGCGAGGACATGAAGGCTCTTCAAGATGGCCCACAAGTCGTCGTTGGTACCCCCGGCCGTGTTCAGGACATGATCACCCGCCGCGTTCTGAAGACCGACAACATGAAGATGTTCATTCTCGATGAGGCTGACGAGATGCTTTCCGTATGTACCCCTGAACTCCAACCTTGATCAAACACAGTGCTGACAGACTATAGCGAGGTTTCACCGAGCAAATCTATGACATTTTCCAACTTCTCCCTCAATCAACCCAGGTTGTTCTGCTCTCTGCCACCATGCCACAGGATGTGCTTGAGGTTACCACCAAGTTCATGCGTGATCCTGTCCGCATTCTCGTCAAGAAGGCTGAATTGACCCTGGAAGGTATCAAGCAGTTCTACATCGCTGTCGAGAAGGAAGAATGGAAGCTCGACACTCTCTCTGATCTTTACGAAACTGTCACCATTACTCAGGCTGTCATCTTCTGCAACACCCGAAGAAAGGTCGACTGGCTTACCGACAAGCTCACTGCTCGTGACTTCACTGTTTCCGCCATGCACGGCGACATGGAGCAAGCTCAGCGTGATGTCATCATGAAGGAGTTCCGATCTGGATCTTCTCGTGTCCTGATCGCCACCGATCTCCTTGCCCGTGGTATCGACGTTCAACAGGTTTCTCTGGTCATCAACTACGACTTGCCCGCTAATCGCGAGAACTACATTCATCGTATCGGTCGAGGTGGTCGTTTCGGCCGAAAGGGTGTTGCCATTAACTTCGTCACCGCTGATGATGTCCGCATGATGAGAGAAATCGAGCAGTTCTACTCTACTCAAATTGAGGAGATGCCAATGAACGTTGCTGGTAAGTTTTAACTCTTGACAAATTCCCCAATTTTGTGATCGCATACTGACGTTCCAATCCAGATCTCATCTAGAGACACACACCACATGTTTCATTACATGCGACAACCCGATCATTTCCATTTCCAATCAGGCATGGGGGCGGCGTTAGTTGCTGAAATTGTACGGGGCTCAACGAGAAAAGTGGGATGACTCGCTTTCGACTGCTTGGCTCAGAGTGGCTGCCGTACAAAAAGTCTATGTAATTTCCTTCTTTTTCCTTCAGGTCTTCTTCGCTTTCGAGAGCATACGAGCGCGGTGATATCACATGGACGGCCTCGTGTCGTTTTTCATGTGGCAGAGTTCGCGGGCGTTTCTTGCTTTCCAATGCCAGCTCGCAAAGTGTTGGCTATCATTCTCCAGACTGCACAAAAAGAATACTCACACAAGTTCTCACGTGTTACGAAAGGATGAGAGTCAGATACTTCTTCCCATAGACAGGTAGAATTAAATTGTTCCTAACTTCTCTTCCCAGCGTGTTGAAGCTTCTGAATTCCTGTGGCTTTCATGGATTGCACCTTTCCTCGTCCACTTTGTTGTACCGTGCCTTCCGAAGGTATTTCTGTCCCAGTGATTCCTCGAACGTGCCTTCCCTTTTGCAAATCGCGTCACGTCACACACCTGACCTACATGTTTCCCACTTCTACCAATTCTCAGATTCAACCAAGAGCATTTTTCACCCTTCGTCAGACTTGTGATGAAACATATCTGCGGATTCACGTCTTCCCCCTGGCCGGGCCATGCAAATATGCTGCCGAACTATGCGACAGATCTGCTTCATGCTCATCAAATCCGTCGAGAGAACGTGTTCCTGCACAAAGAATTAGGAGCATGTCACGAGGACCATGCAGCAATATGGAATGAGATCGACCAGATCCAAGTGCTCTGCAATGCGAGCAATGACAATTCACGACAAGCCCATGCAGTGACAATCATACACCAGACCCAATTGCAGGAACAAGCCCAGCTTATAAGCCATCTTCAAGACACAAACGAAGCACTCCATAACGAGTTTCTTCTGCTCAGCAAGAACTTTGAACAATTTCGCTGCGCCGAACAACATGAACACGCGGCATTGGAAGAAAAGGTCAAGAAACTTGAGGAAGACATAGTCAAGACTTCGGAAACACCTGTCAAGAGCACCGCCAAAATCTGGGATACACTTGAAGACCTCATCCCTTCAATGGACACAATCGTTGAGCGTGTTATTGATCGACTGATGAGCCGTGGCCTCATCCTACGTTCGCCATCATCTTCGACAAGTTGTATCGTTGAGAGCATCGAGCAGCAGGTGCCATCTACGGATGAGACCTACCGAATGGACAGCAATTCCTCTCGTCAAGTCTCAGCCGACGACACAACATACCCGGAAATTCAGGTACAAAATTCTCAAAAATTGGCAACGAGGAACGGCATCAGAGTGGAGAGCTTCAAAAGTCTTGATCCCAACACGTACGACCAGGGTCGTGAAACAACTGTTCCGGAAGAGGTTGACCTCGACGCAAATGCTCCAACAATCAGTTATACCGGTCACTACTATCGGAAAGAGAACCTTCCATATGAGGAAGACTCTCTACAAATGTTGCCTGAGCTCAGCGTACAACCTTCGAAACTTGCTCTGATCAACACACTGGCACAAGGCCGATATGAGGACTGGAGCACCTACCATGAGAGAGGTGTAATCGTCCGACAATCTTTGCCACAGACGTTCGAGACCGCTATCCTACAACGCTTCGTTGACGGAATATGTGGGGAGATTCAGAGATCACAATGTCTCCAATGGCTTGGTGAACAAGGCTGGAGTTGGGAGAATGTGACCAGGTTTGGCGATGTTTGCTCCCAGATGAATAAGTTTTCTCCATCAGAGGAGGGCTCTGCAAGCACGACCAACTTACGACCAACTACCATGAACCATGTTTCCGATGGCAAATCCGAGGAGCCGAAAGAGCAAACAGGATTGTGTGCAACCTCGAAGCCCCCCAGACAACTCAGGAAATCGAAGTGGATCGTTGCGACGCTGCGTCGGAGCCAACGTCTGATCGAAAAGTCTAAAACGAAGTTGGTCAATGACTTGAATGACAGCATTGACACGGCAGATTCCAGATCAATACGTGAAGACAAATGCCATGGTTCGCATTATGCGAAGGAACCCGTGGCCTTCAACGAACGAGCGACCGCTAGCGAGATGTCCAAGGCGCCTGCTGGACCCGAGAGACCTCAAAACGCTGCTGATGATATCATTACGCCCGTTGAGTATGGTGTGGACGGCTCAAGTCATGCCGAGATGCAGTCTAGTGAGCAGGAGATACCCACTGTGTCTCGCAAGCGCTCCAGGAACAATGTTGCTTCACCCGATACGATTGATCTTCCTCCAGCAAAGCAATCTCGAATTCAGTCTTCAGGACATGCACAAGAGGGTCGAAGAAGACACCTTCCTATTCCCACACCCCCCGAGATTCCCATTTTGCCAACGTCCACCGATGTATGACTAGAGATCATTTTTTCGATTGGCATGCTGGTCATGGGTCGGAATAGAGCATAATAATAGGATCGATATATGCATTCGATGATACATGCCTACCAAGTTGGCCAATCCACCCGAACTTTTAGATCCAGGCAATTATGTCTCCTTGAAAACATAGCCGCCCGCAGTATCATCATCAACCACATCCAATTCCATTCTCGCTTCAACCACTTCTTCGCCGTCAGCTTCAAGACCGCATTTAACCTTGTCACCACCTTTGAGGGGGCCTACACCTTTCGGCGTGCCAGTAAGGATTATGTCGCCCTCCTCCAAAGACATGACCTTGCTAATATCGCTCAGCATTCGAGGAATATTGAAGAGCATCAAGTTCGAATTGTCTTTCTGCTTTGTCTCTCCGTTGACACTCAGCCATAGAAGGATATTATGAGGATCGGAGATACGATCTCGGGGGATTTCATGGCTAATTGGACAGAAGGTATCGAAGCCTTTTGCTATCGACCATGGAAGACCCTTCTTTTTTGCTTCATTCTGCACATTTCGGGCAGTGACATCGATGCTCAGAAAGTAACATCGAATGTGGTCCAGGATAGAAGAATCGGACTCTAAGAGGTTCTTCAATGGCTTGGGAGTTTCTCCGATTACCAGCCCGAGCTCAATCTCATGATGTAGGTCTACGCCTCGAGGACGGACGATTGGACCTTGGCCAGGAAGGAGGATGGACGAAGTGGGCTTCAGAAAGAAGAAGGGTTGCGCAGGGCGAGCAGAATTCAATTCAGTTATGTGGTCACTACCGAAGAGTTAGTTGTCTGTGAGCTTTGCGCTGGAGCTTGGAATGTATGGTACACACGCATAATTCCGCCCTATGCAGACGATTTTACGGCAGTTCGCTTTGATGGTCGCCATGTTTAATTCAGTGATCGGGTGGTCAATCTAGAATTACACAGAAGGTGCCCCAAGACTTGAAATTGCGGATGAGCGTCTTTATGAACCAAAGCAGTAGCCCTTTTTCTTCGCCAACCGTGACGAGAAGGCCTTGAACTCCAACAGTAGCTCCCCACCGGTGTAGCCCCGCGCTGGTGGTGGATCTTTTTGCTGCTGGCAAAGAGTGCTTGGCGATTGAAGAATCTCCCGTACTTCCCTGAAGCAGCTGCAATAATGCGGCGATCACGTGCCTTCGGAGCTCGTTCCGCCAACTTCAGGGGCTCATCCATTGTAGCGTTGTAACAACACTGTTGTACATGTTTATGTCAAAGTAGCATAAACAGAGATCTGGAAAGATGTGAGCCCAGTAATCGATGCTCAGCCCCAAGAGCACTCGATTAAAGTCACCGGCGAGCATCATATCGTGGCTATAACCACCTGAGGTAGGGTTCGCCATCTTAGGTACTAGGTAGGCACAGGCGGTCCAACCTTCCCCTCTCCATTCGTGCTCTCCTTCCGTCAAGCGCCGTTCTTGGACCATCCCCGGATGTCTTATGGTCTTTGGCTTCCGTGCTTCGTATCTCATTGTGGGATCCGCTCACAATGAGATGAGGCTCAACCTGGATGGCAACATGCAGCAAGATATCTCTAGGCGTTCACCATTCTCACCCTCGTCAGCCTCTATGTTAACTTTGTAAGTAATGCACTCCTGGAAGTCGCGGTAACTCTGACAAGAGTAGTGCTACGTCTCTGCCATATCGATGTACCCACTGGTAAGCTGTCTTTGTCCTGCAAATATTCAAACCAAGGTAACAAGTGTTGACAGTGACAAATGCTTCGAGCGGAAGTGGGTACCAAACTTGACCAGAACCCACCCAGAAATCTAATAGTTGGCAGAGATACTCTCAAGCGGCATGTTCAGATCCATTCTCGACCGAATCGTGCTCGTCACTCGCAAAGACGTGCCTGCAGTGATTGTATCAGGTAAGCAATACGAGTAGTCTCCTCCATCGATACTGACCAGATTGAAAGATCGAAAATAAAGTGTCGAGGGGAGAAGCCACGCTGCTCATCTTGCCTTAAACGCAACATCGAGTGTGTCTATGATTTATCTTCTGCCACCACTTATTTTTCGAATATCACACCAGCATCTTTTGAAAATATACCGCTCCAGGAGACCGAAATCGCCCAGCTTGAGAGAGCACAAGCGTCAACACTACTCGGGACTGATATATGGAGGGATCCCTCTGGTGCGAACAGTTATTTGTTCTACAACGAGAATGCCTTCGATTTAAACCTCGACTGGATCTTCAACAATAATTTCGATGCCGAGTCTGAGCTAGCCGGTCAACGGGAGCTATGTCCCCAAGCACAAAACGCAGAGCAATCTGAGCCTACCACTGATACTCGTGGAAGAAATCTACTGCACGGCACCGACACACTGATTCTACCCGTGCCGGATACTGTCGAGCGATATGACCCAGATGATGCTCTGGTTGAGCACGCTGCACCACTTACAACGTTTATTCTACCAGATTTGGTAACATGCGGCGAGGTTGAGGATTATTCCCCTTTCTATCTCAGCCAGCGCTTCGGAAATTCGACAAGAGCATTGATGGAAAGTTGGATACGTCTGCCACTGAAACAAAGCATGTGGGATGCTATTTCTCTCCAAGCATTTCCTTCCAAGGAACGACTGGATCAATGTATCGACCTATACTTCGCTCAGTTCGATCAACATTGCCCAGTCGTACATCGTCCGACATTCGACCCGGCACGGGAACCTGCGGTAACACTTGCCATGGTCACTTTGGGGGCCTGTTTCACCAGTTTCAGTGGAGCTCCAGCTTTCTCGAATGCACTCTCAGAGCTTGTCAGGCGACTTTTGATTTTCATGCCAGAACAAGATCCTCGATTTGTTCGTACGGAGTACTATGTCACAGCACAGCTCTTGCAGACTGTCCATGGCTTTTTCTGTGGCAACCGACGAATCTTTGAGCTTGCTGAAGCCAGCCGTACGCTTCTCATCAACCATGGAAGACGCATGGGACTCTTCAATCGACGAGAGTCTTCTTGTCCTCCTCATTGCTCTCTGGAAGAACGATGGCACGCATGGATTCGAGACGAGCGATTCAGACTGCTTGGCTGGGCCATTTACGTAAGTTTGTTTGACTTATCATCAACAACTGTGCTGATTCTCAAAGGGTTCGGATGCTACAGTCGGTTATATGCTCAACGTCAAGCCTCAGATTTCTCTATCTGAAACGGATATGGATCTCCAGATATCTAGCAAGCACTGGGAAGCGCCTTCTGCACATGCTTGGGCAGCCCTACATCCCTGGACTCAAACTCCAAAGAATGTGTTATTTCAACCTCTTCTCCGATCACTCTTTGAGAAGCCTGAAACAGTACTCACAATTCTAAAGGATGAACACCATATAATTCCGTTTATCTTGACACTGATGAGGACTTTGTGGGCCATTACAGAACTTGAAACCAATCCGATAAGAGACTTCTTTCTACGAGATGATCAAGGCGGACAGAACAGAACTACCTTGCTCAGGATTCTAGATCGCTTAGCAATATCACCCTTGTCCCAATCAGGCCTCGATGACTCCAGTTCGCGGACGCGAGTTGCACACCGTCTGCAAACCATACACATGGCTCACATATTAAGTGGAGGTGCTTTTACGCAATGGCTTTATCCATATCTGCGTGGTGGGTCAGATTTCGAGGCAGCCAGCGATAAGAAGAGCAGATGGGCCGCTGAAGACCCTGCTCGGGTCCGCGATCAGGCTTTCAGATGCGCCCAGATCATAAGATTGATCCGCGAGTATCCTTTCAATGCCCCACAGGAAGCATTCAACCTTTACCACGCTGCTACACTCCTATGGTGTCTATCTGATATACTCAGTGACGGGGAACCCTGGCATTACTACACTGAAGGTGCATCATGTCGACTGGACCACCTTGGACACGAAGAAAGTACCGAGTCCGCCATCGTCAAATACTGGATTAAGTATGGGGAAGCACGATACGTCTCCCTGTATGGAGTACCAGATCTCTTGTCACACGATGGTCGATTACAACTACTCCACCAAACAAGTGAGACACTTCGGACCATGCAGGTGTGGGGTATTGCGCAGAACTTCCTCCGAATTGTGCTGAGACTCGCTAAGAAGGAGTCTCAATACTGAACACATGACTGAGCTACTGTCATCTGTTTTGGAGTTGGACAAATTACAGCCACATCAGCCCTCAGGCGTCCCATCAGATAACTCCTCCGCTAGCGTCTCCGAGCAGTTTCTGTGAATTTTAACCACTTGGTCTTCTCCATGTGGAAGTGCTTCCCGTGGAGAGAGATGAGAGGATTCCCCTCCAGTGGCTGGTTCTTACCGAACAGCTGAGAAATCCCGTTTAGTGAATCAGCGTAGGATCCTTATCGTGCGGGATATTGCCTATTGAAGCATGGTAAGTAAGATCGGCCCTTAAAAGGGTTCGTGTGGCAATCGGAGCCACCCAATGGCATTAATGCGCTACGCTAGCCGCCTCCGGATACCATTAGTCTCATTCCCCAGATTTCCTCAGACCTCGTCCAGCTTTCAACCTTGTTGCTCAAGTTCAAGGGTCTATGTCGAAAATGGTGTTTGGTATAAGAATCCACCAGTGCGATCTTCAACCGTGCCCATCATATCCACTTTGACCAGAAACGTGCTCGATTCTGTCACAATGACAACCCCCAATGACGAAACCTATTCTCGCAGCAACTGGACGACTTTCAAGTATTGCTTCGTGGTCGGTCTCGGGGCAATCCTCTTTGGCATCGACACAGGCTGCATGGTGGGGTTCTTTGCCAATGGAAGGTATACTGCTACGCACACAGATGCGAAAAGTCCCTCGCTTGCGTCGTGCATCACGTTTGACACATTGGTAGATTTCTCCAGGATTTCGGCCACTACGACGAGAAAATTGGCGCATATAACATGAGAGCGGGAACTCAAACACTGTTGATGGGTCTTCTATTGACCGGCATACTCATCGCTGTTGCGTTGGGAGGACCTATTGGCGCAAGATATGGGCGACGGGTTGGTCTGGCTTTGTGTGCCGTCGTCTCTGTTATCGGTCCCATTATCCAAGTGGTTGCCCCCAATGTTGGCGTTGTAGCCCTGGGTCGTGCCTTCAGTGGAGCGGGAATTGGATTCGCCGCGAATTTCTGCATTATGTGAGTTTTGGCGAATGTCAAATGCATTACCTCAATCTGCGAGAGCCCCACCCTCTTCTGCCACTGACATTGAGAAGGTACTGGGCAGAAGTGACACCAGCACGACAGAGAGGCATGGTTGTCATGATGTACCAAGGCTTCGCCAATCTAGGTACATTTGTTGGAGCCTGTACTGTCTACGGCACTCGTAACATCACCACGAAATGGTCCTGGAGAGGGCCATTGTTGACAATGCTGATCGCTCCACTAATCTTGGCTGCCAGCATTGCTTTTCTCCCGGATACCCCAAGATGGTTTGTCCATAGAGGCCGCATTGACGATGCACAGAAAGCGATGCGGCAGCTCAGAGGCCCCACATGGCCCGAAGAAGACATCGCGAAGGAGATTCAGGAGGTCGTCGCTATGGATCGTATTGAAAGAGAGCTCGAGGGTTCTGGTGATTATCCTCAGTGCTTCAAAGGGACCGATGGTAGAAGAACTCGTATCACGATTTTGGTTCTAATGGTTCAACAGGTGAGTTCTCTGTCATTCTCAGTGGGCCAAGCCTTGGATCCCCCAACGTTCGCTTACAATCGATCCAGTGGACTGGAATCAGTTTCATCACAGCATATGGAACGTACTTCTTCTTCATCAGCAATATCAAAAATCCCTTCACGATTACAGTCATCACCAGCGTATGTGGTTTGGCCGGCTCGGCTAGCGCATTTCCTTTGGTCAAAACTTTTGGTCGTAGGCCGCTCCTCATCACCGGTGGACTGGGATGCGGCCTTTCAATGTGGGTTTTCGCCATCGTTGGAGTGGCACAGCCAGACAGCATTGCCGCCGCGAGAACTCTGGTAGCCTTTACATGCTGCTTCATTTTCTCTTATGGCGCGACATGGGGTCCCATTCCCCAGGCTGTCGAAGGAGAAATGCCGTCCAACCGTCTCCGTTCTCAGACAGTCTCGATTGGCAACATGATTTCAAGTCTTTGCACCATGTGAGTCCAGAGATGGTCTTTCTTGTCTTGCCTTCCCCGTTCTATGCTCTTGGAGGTAATAGTGACGCTGACAAACTCGCGCTGACAGCCTCATCGTCTGTGGTTCCCCGTACCTCCTAAGCGTTGATTACGTCAACCTCAGCACGAAAATGGGCTTTATCTTCGGTAGCATCACCACACTTGGCACGATTTTAATTTACCTCTACCTGCCCGAGACGAAAGACAGAACTTTGGAGGAAATTGATGAGATGTTCCTCAATGTGAGTTGCCACGTCGCTTCACATCCCAATCATCACCTTCATGCTATCCAACAGTGAGGAAAGCAAGTTACTAACTTGAGGCATAGCATGTCCCTGCTCGACAATTCAAGTCCTATGTATGTACAGGGCAAGCTGGCGGATTATCCATTGATAGCGTTGTTGAGGAGAAGGGATTCAATGTCCAGGCTTTGGAGGTCACGAAGTCTGTGTGAATACTTGTGGAGATGGAAGGAAGGGACATTTGAGCCTCAGATATGAGAGTCGTCAAATGTGCTTGATAGGTAACAGATACTCAATTATCCACGTGCTTGTGCTTCACTTGATATTTCAAATATCGTACATCCGGTACTGCTACCCAGTCGCTGGCTTTATTGGTTCGGGGGAGAATATAACATCAGTCTCAGGAACGTATCCATAAACTTTTCAAACAATCACTCCTTTAAGTGCAGATATTTTGTAAGCAACAGTCGACCACTTTGGAATTTTCGAACCTGTTTATTGGTACCCCTGCTGTGCCCACCACTTAGGCCAGGACGAGGCATACTTTGTGATTATCCATTGGACGGATGTACCCTGCAATAAGGCAGGCGACAGCGAAGGAAACTTGAGCTGTAGCCGCAATTATATGTCTTCGTTCTCTCCGGGGTCTCACCGAGGCTGCCCCGTAACAGAGGGTCTCTCGTTCTGGGGACATCATCCTCGCCATACAATGTACGGTGCAGGGCGCAAATCCGGGCAGCGGCTTTCCCTGGCTTTTCTAAGGAACCGTCTGACTAGACCGGTCTCTGCGAGACCCACTTAAGCTTTTCCGCAGGCAACCGGTGTATATGTGTTCCAGCGCTGTGATCGACTTGCCTGTAGTGTAGTGCAAGGTGTGCCCAATTCAGCCAAATTACCTAAGTTGGTTTCTTAGACAAAAGCGGAGATCTGCTTTACTTTTTCGGAACGGCTAGTGGAGCTTATTGAGCGCCACAATCAATGACCTATTCTAATCGAAGGTCCGGTGGGTCGCGGAGGTCAAGCCGCTGCATGAGAGTGGGGGAGAAGGCGTGTTTACCAGATGTCTCAAGAGCTCGCGCATAGGAAGCATCGTTGATAGGTATGAGTTCGCGGAAGCCGAGAACGAAGGAAACATGCTCGTGCTGCCTAGAGGCATTGAACTACGTCCATAAAATCCAAACTGGAAGACCCCTAGAGACCTCGTTATCTTCTTCGTCAGAGATTTTGTAGGTTGCCACGAAGAACGGCTCAAAACCTAAATTTCTCGCAAGAAGATTAAGTAGCTATGGGCAGCATAGCAACAGAAGAGAACAGCGAGCGCGCTCCGATCCAGGTGTTAGAGGCGCTAAAATTGGGCAGCGTCACCGTAGAAGAAAGTAACCCCGAGAACGAGGCCAAGGAGGCACCTTCTTTCAAGTGGCACTTCCCCAAGATCAAGACAAGAGGCGAACCGAATGACCCAGCTGCCGTTGACGCAGGGAAGGCGATACTGAAAATCCAGAATCTTGTTCTCAACGGCTTTCTGTCCCAGGAGTCCACCGTTGCTAACTTCCGCGGCGTGCAGTATGCCACGATACCTGCACGCTGGTATGAGGCAGTGCCCATTGATCCGACGAAGGAAGTCGGGATCGTTGATGCCACTCAGTGGGGTCCCAGATGTCCCCAGCCAATGGACATACTGCACGAGGCGACGTCGCACTTGTACCCTCGGATGGCAACTCTGGATCAGCAGTCTGAGTTCGAGTGCTTGAGCCTCAATATTTGTGTTCCGCATGAGCAGCTTAGGAGCAAAAGAGGTCGAGGACTGCCGGTCCTTGTCTGGATTCACGGCGGATCATTCTTGTTTGGTGATGGTGGTTGCGAGTCTGGTGAAGATCTGCCCTTCAAGTTGTTAGACCATGCCGCAGCGTACTGACAAGGTCATCCAGATGGTCAATATCTTGTTCGCCACTCAATCGATCTGCAAGAGCCGGTCGTAGTCGTAGGTGTCAACTATCGCCTGGGGCCAATGGGTGTTTTTTCCTCCCAGGAACTTCGGGATGAAGCTCGTGCACGGGGCGAGGTTGGCTTCACCAATTTGGGTCTTCATGATCAGAGACTAGCTTTTCAATGGGTGAGCGTGCTGTCCAGCATCTTCTATTGGCATCGATAAGCTGACAACGAAATCCAGATACAGAAGAATATCCACCACTTTGGAGGAGATGGGTCTCGAATAACGGCCGCAGGCGAATCAGCCGGTGCGGTATCCATCCTTTGCCATCTCCGTGGCCAGGTACCAGGTCTCTTCCAGAGCGCTTTCATCATGTCCGCGGCAAATATCAGTCCCGATTCTCTGGCAACTGGGCAACGACACTATGATCATCTGGTATCGTCTATCGGCCTGAAGGATGCGCCTGCAAGCTTGCAGCTCTCTGCCCTGCGAAGCATGTCAACCACTGATATGCTTGATAGGTTGGGTGTGGCTGAGCATAGCTTCATGCTTGAGGATGAGGAGTTCTTCTCAGACTACTCGGGCCAGCTATTCGATCAGCTCACCACGATTCCATCATGGGTTCAAAAGGTGGTGGTAGGCCAGACGAAAGAAGAGACCGTTGTCTTCGCTCTCAAGTGGCACACAATGTCCGCAGACCAGCTGCGAAGCCAGTGGGAGGGAATATACAGCGATCCATCATATGCACAGGAGGTTTTCGCTGCCTATGGTGTTGGCAAAGACTCATCACATTCTGATATGGTTGCGGCGTTGGTCGCATACACGTCAGACAATTTCTTCACCACAACGGCCTCCCGTCTTACAACGGAGCATCTCAAGATTCCCGGTCCCGGAAATCCAAAAGTCTACTCTTACTGTTTCGATCAGCCTGACATAATCTCCAAAAGACCTGTCTGGAGGGGTTCAGCCTATCATTCAGTGGAAATACCATTCTTGTTTCGTCATCCTCAAGTTGCTGGTAGCGATGCATCGCCGGAGTTTCGTAAGACCTCTGACACTTTCAGCACCGCTGTGTTGCACTTACTCAACGGGAATGAGCCTTGGGAAGATGTCAGTATTGCTAAGAGATGGATGAGGCTCGACGGCGAGAAGTCAGGCATCGCAAATGAGAATGACAGCCTAGGCGCAAGGTGGGCGGTATTGGCGAACAGCCCAGAGAGACATCAGAAGTTCATGCTAGGCATGATGTTGCTGGGGGATGCGATGGGTTATGCGCTGACTGCGTTCTCTGCGGAAAGTTTGGCCGACTAGCACATTAATACTATGTCATACCTACTCCCTCAAACATTTTGGAAGTGATAGACGGAGAACTTGCTCGAGTCCAGTGTAGAAGTGAACGAGGCAGCTTTAGAAGAGTTCCATTTCGAAATCATATGGGTGAAATATTTAACCCCTGAACAACAGTTGCTTTTCTGGAGGTTCCAACCAGGTGAAGAGGTGTTGTTTTCCTCACGTAGTATTATCCCTCAACCAGCGATTATCTGTAAAGTAGCGAATTTCAACTTCATCTTCCATGGCATCAAAATCAGAATCTTCGATTAGCAGAAGCCCGTCTGGGTTATGCAAGTCAGTGATCAGCCACGATGCCATCGAAGCTACGATCCTTTTCCGACTTTGGTGCGACGCAAGCATCACCAATTCAACAAACTCGATGATCTCCCAACTACGAAACGCCGCATCCTCTGATGACTTCCAGTGTCCAAGGTTCGTGGCTTCGCTCGCCAACACAAAGAGTAGGGCCATCACCGTCAATCCTGCGATGGAGGTTGTGGTTGAAGTGTTGGTATCCTTCGAGGATGGATGGCTCAACTCAATTTGGTGGACTACCCTATCCATAAATTCTATGGCTGCCTCTTCATTGTCCTGTAAAGCCCAAAGCATACTGTTGATGGCGTATAAGACGGCAAGATAAGGTCTTATCTGGCTGGATGCTCGATCCACGAAAGAGCTCTCCACGTAGGGCCGAAGAACAGAAGAGGTTCCGAAGTACCACAGGCTGCCTGGTATGCACGGATCCTTTCGCATAGAATTTTCACATGTAGGTGCAGTCGCCGTGGGTTTCCGGCTACCTGTTGAACAATTGGTCCTGATCTCGCGGTTCCATTTTTGAAATATCTGGAGTCTGCATTTGAGAGTGTCAGACGCTGTTCCAAGTCTTGTTGAATTACTGAAAAGCTGTGTGCCCCCAAGGGTGACGTATGCATAAAGTATTATCATTCCTGTTGGAAATTGCATGTCTTGAATAGCCCTGAGCCCGCCTCGCAAATTCAACAGGGCAATAGCTGCATTTGAGTGCTTTCGTGCGACGGCTAAGTCGCCTATACGTCCTTCCGCAATTCCCGCGACCACAATTCCGAAGATAGTTGAATCAAGGGCCCAATTTTCGGGTTTGGATATTAGCATTTGCATGTGACCTAAAGTCGAGGTCCGTCGAGATAGAATCGATACATCAGGTTCTGTGTGTTGACGATTCTTGATCGCAGTTTCTGTAAGTAGGAGAATCCAGTTGAGAAAGATTGCATTTGCAGATAGACATGGCACTGTAGTTTCTCTCACTGGGCAAAAGGTTGATCTGGCAGATGTCCCATAAAGTGAATTGGGTGTGGAAGTAAGGTATGTGTCATGTCAGTTATCTGTATATTAGAACTGAGCAGGGTCATACTTACAGAAATGCAGGATGTTTCGATCTTTCTTGGACAGCTCCATGGGCAAAGCCACAAAAGGGTCCAGCAGACTAGTGTCGACTGGGTGGCCAGTGGCAGGTTTGACGGAACCAAGGGCTCGTCTCACACTGGGAGCTTTGTTTAACCTGAACTTGATCACTGATGAAGTATATGGCGGGTCACCATCGTCACAGTTAGGATCAACTTTTCTCTCCCCCTCAGAGTCCTCTTGATATGGACTTGAAGCCGAAACTCGACGTTGTAGACTTCCGTCCCTCGAAAGAGATGTTGAGTTAATTTTGTTCCTGATCCCACCCAGACACACCGGGGTTGGCTCTTGAGTCCCATTAACCTGAGTAGTGCTGTACGACCGGGACCTAATTCTTGCATGAGAGACCTTCGCAGCATGTGAGCGCTCCTTTGCACGTTGCAGCTCAACGGCTCTACGGTTCAAGCTAGGATCGAATCGACGGTGATACACAAACTGGTAGCTTTCGCCTGCCATTGAGGCTGAACAAGTAATAGTTAATTAGTACTCAGTATTTAGTAGCCTTCCAGTAATCGATAGGTTCGGTAGATGTTGCCAGGTGCCGCAAACACAACCGATGACTTCTCAGTATCGAGACGGTGGATGCGCAGACATTTGTGGTTGAAGCCTTGCACAAGGTAACAGGGATAGTGCGATCCATCACCCTACGGATGGGCGAGATGGCTGATCGATGTAATGAATATATAAGTACTTACTTCCTTAGCGACAGTATTGTTGTGGCGATGTGGACTCGTATTGAAAAGGCAGCAGATCTCTATTCGGACGGCTGGTTAGCGTACAGGACGATTGAGATACTGCTATAATGGGTAGCTTGGTTTCGGCATTCATGGCGAAAATCCAAGGAACAGGATGCCCCGAGGCTATCCTAAGCCTATCGAGACTGAAGGATACTGTACTAGCACTAGTAATTACGCGAGCATCAAAATCTCGACAAGGGACAATCACTTGATGGATGATCCCCCTTCGCTAGTAATCCCTGCACGTTGATCATGTTCGCTTGGTACCCCATGCTCCGGCATGGAGATCCAACGATTAAGCTTCCGTGCCTAGAGACCTGTTGCCAATTCTGGCAGGACCCTGCATCCGTAACAGCACTGGCATGTAGCTTAGATAAATTACCGAGTACTAGTTTTAAATCCGAATATGGGATGAACTTCAATCGAACATGAATTGATCTCAGAATAAATCACTTTAACGGGGCAATTGCAATCCCTGCATACGTATACGACTAGTACTTGCTCAGCCTGGAGTTAAGTAATTTAGGATTTAGTACCATTCTCTGGGAGTGAATGGGTTTTTGAGATGTAAACCGCAAGTACAGAACAGGGTCCGTCTGCAGCTAAGGCTCCTTCCCTTGCGGAGGCGAGTGCTTCAGACGTCCTAAAACTGGAGACATGATATTGCATACTGTGTGGGGTACTACCAAGTATATGATACATCCCGTTATCACTACTTGAAGCTCAGGTTCCAAGTTCTCCAAGGTTGTCCAGTGTTAATTATCCAAGAGAGCTATTTCCGAGCGTCAATGTACCTCTCTGCTAATCTTATTCAATCGCATGATTGAGCTACTGAGCAGTAATGAATTTCTACACGATGAGGTACTTCGTAAGTGCGCCACGACGTGTCCCAACTTAGGAAATCATCCCGCAGATCTAAAGTGGGGATAGTAATAAGCAAGTACTAGACTTAGTACCTGTTCTTGAGCAAGTTTTTGTGTAAACTAAGCCATTGGATCCTCTGAGTCTTTGGACATATCGATGGATTCACAGAGGGGAACGACGTCAGAAGAAAGAGCATACGCATACACTGAGGAAGTGACAATTAAGCAATAAGTAAGCTGGTACTTACCTAGTAGGTAAGTACTTGATAGATAGATGTCGTAAGTACTTACCAAATGAGTGGTTCCCATGCGGTGGTTGAGAGTGAAAGGAACGAACCTACACTCACGAATTTGCTCTGGAGCTCTCGAGAATGGTGACCTTGAATTGTATAAGTTTTCCATTCAAGCGACTCGGAGGAAGTACGAAATTCTACTTCTAAGTACCTACTGAGTGTAGTAACTACCTTGGTAAGTACGAAGATTTCGGGCGTAATCAGAAAGAAGCACCAGAAGATATGTCTAAGAGTCACGGCGTTTTGCTGCTGTATAAGTTCTTAGTAGCTAGGACTACTGCTGAATCCCTAATGTTCGATAGATACGCATAATTAAGTGACTTGGTATCCTGCGCCAGATGATCTTCTTGGAAGTCTTTGCGAAGTACTTAGTAGCGCCGGCTTTCCTCGGCTTTCCTCGGCTGACGCAGAAACAATCCCAGATTGCCCCATCTTAGAAGCATGACACATATATCTTATAAGTAAGTACTACTATAGGTACTGAGAGTATCATTAGTATGTGCAGGATGCCCAATGACCATATTAACTACATGTGGGAGCTAAATCTAGCGTAAAGTACTACCAAGTAAGTAAGTAGTTCTAACCCATAGGTTGCCTAACCAATCTCCACCAGGCGTCAAGAGATCTTTGTACCGGCTTTAGACTTCTATTACTATCAAGTACCTGTCTAGCTACGAGCCAGGTGTCTCATTAGAGCCTCAACATGGAAGCCTATTAAGCTTCGCTTGGACTTGTGAGACCAACGAACGTTTCCCGCGCCTGACACCTAACTACTAAGTAAGGACTTTAGCGAAGTCGATGTCCCAATTTTCGACTGCTCTTTGAGATTCACCGGTTATTCGAGGGTTCGAACGGACCAATCTGCATCCCTTGGGACGGCTAATATGCATCCCGGTGACTATGCTACGCAATCCGGCCCGTAACCGGTGTTACCGAAAACCCATCCCCGTGCATTGAAAGGGTTGTTCACAAATCCGAGTCACGCTCAACCATTCTCGGCGCAAATTTAAATCTCCGAAGTTCATGATGACTTGATATACTCACTACTATGTACTTAGTACTTCTTTGTACGTTCTCGGTCGTGGACGTCGCCATCCAAGGACTCGTTATGGGCATCCCATTGTCCAATCCATTTGGCTAATCTCTCAGCCAGCACATGAGATGCACCCTATTGCACCGGAGTTGCTGTCGGCATATTGCCTGTTGCCATCGACATTTAATGCTCTCACTGTAAGTAAGTAAGGCTGTACCACGATATTAATGTTTTTCGCGCATCAAGTCAGCATGTACTCCCATCACCGGCCATCGCAGCATGCCACCAAGACGTGGAAGAACACCAAACAACAACCCAGAATTTCTTTGGGTTAATCGAACGCCAGACTCTGATCACCTATCGGCCAGTCGACAGGAGCGTGACGAGTTGAGGACGATCACCAGCCATGCTAGAACGTGGCGCGCAGCTCTGAGGCGGCAGCAAAGGCTGGTGGCCGCTCAGACAGGTGCCAGTCATGCTCAGCGCATTGTTGGGTGGAATAGGCAGGAGAACAGCAGCGTCGCAAGGTCGGATCAAAGTTCGAGTGAAACATCGGCGGCACCTTCTCCAGCAGCACTTGTGCCCTTTGCAGCCGACGAGGTCGCTCCTTTTGCATACCTAGAAGGCCCCTCGGATGCCTGGTGGTCACAGAACGCATTCCAGTATGCTACACAGTCATGGCTACCATCGATATTTCAAAACCTGGATGTTTTTGATCCTGACGGCTTAATGTCTGATGGTGTCGTGAGAGATACCATAAATGCCATTGTCCAAGGCTGTCTGCTCAACAGGATGCATATGTTCTCCCTGCTGTCAGCAAGTACATGTTATCTGAAATTCATCCTCAAGGCACAACTTGACAAAGTCGACACCCCGGAATATTGCATGGGAAAGGCTTTACAGTACCTCCGACACTACTTCGCGAGTGATCCAAGAGCGATCGTCAACGAGCTGGTCATCTTTGACCTTATGGCAATATCGACATTTGAGAGATACGTAGGAAATTTCGAAGGAGCGAGGACGCATTTCAGCATGGTGCAGCATTTGATTGAGTCCCACGGTGGTCTTGACAGTCTGAATATATCATTACGTCTCGTCTGTCACGAGTGGGACCTACTTGCGGCTGCTGCAACTGCGGAGCGGCCGCTGATACCAATGACCTGGTATTCTGATGCTTCATCACCGACACACGCAGAGGAGGTCCACCTTGAGCTTTTGACGATCGGTGTGAGTCCCAGTGGTGCTTCTCTGAATGGGTATGCAAGTTCAACACCATCCATACTCTCAAACATCCTCACCAGCATCGTCGAATGGTTCCAAGAGCAACAGCTACTCCGAATCCTGCCTTCAGACCAAACAACCCAACTGCGCGTTGTAGCTACAAGGAGATCCTATGCCTTAGTCCACAAACTCCTGTCCACACCAGCCATAGCAGTGACATTTCCGGACCAATTCAGCTCGATAACCGACTCTTTGGATGATGAAATGCTCGAATGCATCAAACAAGCATGTCTGATCACCATCTCCGCCAGCGAAGAGGCACGATCCGTGCGTGCGGCACCGGACCACCTTCGCCCAGTCCAACACGATGACGGCCAGACCTTTGCATTCTTCAACATGCCCGTCCTGCGGCACGCCTTGACCGAAGTCCTCCAACGACTGATGGGGCCTAACACTCATGCTGGACATCACGATCACGGCCTGATTCTGTGGATCGCCTGCATCGCAGCCCAGAAGTGCACTCAACAAGCACAGGGGCAGCAGCAGCAGCAGCAGTTCGAGGAAGCAGACCGGGACTGGTTCCTCGGCCTGGCGCGGCAGTTCGCCGCTCGCATGCAGGTCGCTACGCTATCTGGCCTCGCGGACGTCCTGTCTCGATACATCTACATTCTCAACCCAGATGCATCGCCGAACACCGCGGGACTTGAGACAGTGCTCGGCTAGGTTCGTGTTCACAACGCTTCGTTCGGTGCACTAGTGGCACGGGCGGATTTTACAGGTAAGGCTGATTTTATGTACATTACTAAACCACGTTTCTGGAGGGAGTGAGAAATTCATCTGGCCCATGACAGCTTCGTTTCTTTCTATTTCGCCCTTATATTGTTTTTAGGTATTTCTTTGATGATCTTCACCGGGCTTCAGTCATATGATGTCGGGTGTTTGGAGAGTGTGTATGAGATACTAGATATATTTGTTCTTGTGGAGCCTGGAGTTGGTGCCGGAATACCCACACGTACGCCCCGGGAAATTTTGCTTTCTATGATCAAATCCATTTGTGATTTTCTGTTGACTACTTAGTACCATATGTGCACTGTTATTAAATGATATGGCAGCCGTACTATCTGCCATTGGTTGACCGACGGGCAACGTCGAGCAGGAGGCATATCATGGCAAATATCCGAAGAATGCGTTTGAGAGAGATATTCAGATTGCTTCTCACTCCACTCCATTGAATTCTACTCTCATTCGCCATGCAACCATCGTACTGTACCCCCGGCACGGTGTCGTCTCAATCCCTTCATCATGGCTCCATGAGTAGGGTTATTCGAGGCAGGCCGGACCCGTTCTTTCATCGCGGATACCTCGTACATGAGTAAGTTGCATCTGTGGCGATGACGCATGCACGACTGCAGTGAGGTTTTTTCCCCCTCCTCGCTGAGAAAATTGATATCGATGGAACGTGGCCGGTCGTTCATATATCTCCGAGCGAGAGTCGGCCGACTTCGATCTAATTGGTGTGTTCGGCAGTTAAAGGCTGGCAAGGCGCCGGATTAAAGGGGCTCGGATGTGGTTCGGACATGTGTGGGATGTTTAAGCGAGGTTCAACGCTTCACGCATACGAAGACTCTGGTTGGAAATATTCATGCTCGAATAGAGAGTGCGCACCAATTTGGGTCGCGTAAAGGGAGTGCCAGAACTTTATGCCGTCGCTAGGAGCAAGAAGTCCTGCGGTCGAGGATATGGATTTTTCTTCCTCCGAACAGTGGAATCATTCTTGAGGATTGGTGGACTTCGGTATGGGATATCTACGGCAATGCACGGACTTGGCGTTAGATGCTGATAACATCTCGGATTCAGTCAGTGATGCCGGCCTTTTTCGGATTTGCTCAAAAGTTGGGAGGAACGTATCCCTGAACTCTTGGATTTGGTGAGAAGCATTCATCTTTCGTAATAAAGAAGACTATGGATCCAAGACGAAGGATGGGTAAATGATAAGTTGATGAAAGCATAGGACAAGCTGACTAAACTACGCACCAAGTCCAAAATCCGAGAATGAGGGTTGCACGGGTTGTCGCATGGCTTGATCAGGCATTTAGTCGGAAAAGATATCCCAGACAGGGGCAATTGTAGATCGAATCGGCTCCAGGAACTTCATTGAGTATATGCGGATCTGGCATGGGCTGCTCAAGCAAACCAGAAGGCTGTCATACATGGGAGTTGATTGACTTGCGGCCTTTCCTATTGCGATGACACATATCCGCGCAACCCGCGAGTACGCGGTGCAGCAAACTATGGCCTTCATTCACCAAGGATGAAGCGTAGTCAAATGCCTACAGATTTGAATACCTGCACACGGTCAATGGGCACTCCCATTACAGTATACCGGTCTAGGCGGCACTCTCTAAGTTTGCTACCTACCGTGGAATGCGATGGAAGCGAAAGGCTCCACCTCCTCGATCAAGACATTGTAGACGCCGTAGTGCTGAGACAACAGGTGACGTGGCTCAATTCATCGGTTGAAGAAGACGCACAACCGAAGGATCATCAGATTTTGTGTGGGTGTTGGCGCGACCGGGAAGTTGCAGCAGACAGCGACGTTGGGTCATCAAGAGACACACCTGATTAGGAGGAGGATGGTGAAATGGAGAAAGAACGGAGTTGCCCCGATGCCGACCTCATTGGCATTGCACGTGAGAAGTAGGACAGTAGATGGTGTATTCATGTGGAAGACGTAAGACCCTGGACGATGCTAATCGGGCGTATTCAGAGCCTTTTTTCCATCCAGTAAGTGGCATGACTGCGTTGAGGAACGAGGGTGGATTTTCATGAGCCAGAGAGAACTGATTAGAATGGTTGGATCGTGCGAGGTACTCCACACCGAGTAAACCTGAGTATATTATTTATCGTAAGACTCTATATATGTGCTTCCAAGGCCAGCGGCTTCTAGCTCTGCTGTTTACCTTTGCACAAAATCTGCAGCCCGAATTGCTTTCTCAAAATTGGCTGATCTCATACTACACAGCGGTAGATATTCCCTAGGTGTGACTACTGCTTGCAGCTGGGGAGTCACAAATCGATTTCGCTGTCGGCTAACCCTACCATCAAATATACGTCGAGTGCTTGTCAGCTGATCAGCAGTGGCTCATGAGCCCTGGACGGCCAGACAGTTAAAGCCTTTTTGTTCATGTGGAACTTGCCACGACTTGACCCCAGATGACGTTCCGGTGAAGTCCAACTGGCAGCTCTCATGGACCAGAGACCAACGTTGAACTGGTGCACTTGTCAAGGAGTAGATCTGTACTTGCACACCGATCAAAGCAATGGGCAACCGACTGTTTGTCTGCTGATAAAACGTCCTGTACGCATGATTGATCGCGGTTGGCATTGGATCAAGTGCAAAATACGTCATGGTAGTCAGGATTTGATATCTTGCTCATTTCAAAGCTTTTAGCTCTGCATGAACTCTGTTGTGTCTTCAAGGTCCATCTGCCAGCGCTACCGCCACGGCGGCACCAAACAACGCGGCTTCATCTGTTGGGATCAGCACTATTTTCTCAGCATTCACCGACCCTCGAGTAGATTTTCCAGAAGTGATCATGTCATGAAGAAATGCTTCACATCGATCTTTGAAACCAGGATACTTCAAGATGACACTGCCATTACATGCAATAGACGTCTTGAGCATACTTGCAGGTGTCGTGGAATTGCCGCTGGTCTCTTTTTGCAAAGCCCAAAGGGCATGAACGGCCACCGAGATATATGCTGATGCCCGAAATGAAATAGCCTGAGCGGCTGTCCGCAAGAAAGATAGTTCTTTGGCTGATGGGAGACGCTTCAGACCGAAAGCCGCTTGGATCATTGGTCCCGATTTTATCGATTGGTTTGAAGCATCATCCTCAAGGTGTGCGAGTATCTCTGTATCAAGGGAATATCTCTCAGATAGACAAGGGGGAAATTTGCCATCAAATAATTCACCGGTGTCGACGGCTTCGAGGATGATCAAACGAAACAGTTCTCCCAAGTACCGGCCAGTAACCATGTACTCAAGGGGTTGAAAGTCGGGCATATGATGTTGTTTATTGAGAGTTTGATCCCACCGAGTCTCTGGTAGAATAGACTTTCCAAACATGGAAACTTCGGTGTTGGTGATGACCTTCTGAGCCTCCTTGAACCATGAGGGATCTCGAATGCCAAATTTGGACTTCCCCATGCTGGAGATTGGGAGATAGGCAGCGGCATTGGTTCCGGTACCAAGGATCAGAGCCATTGATGTGGCAGGATCGAGGTATGCTTGAGATAGGAGGGTGGCCGAGGAATCGTTCACAATGGCGTCCACACGAACATTGAGGTGTTTTCGAACACAAGCGGCTTCGATCAGCTCGGCCAAATCCATACCGATGGTGTCCTCGTGGCAGGCGAATCCCTTGCCCATGCCTTGCATCTTTCCACTACGATGGCTTGTCTGCTCAATCGGAAAACTCCAGGCCAAACCCATGGGCAGGGTCTGATTTGAAGACAATAGGCCCCTCTCATGCTCCAACATGGCCTCTATTTTGCCCGCCATCCAATCAAAGAATTGTGTAGAAGGGAGTTTGCGTATCCGTTCGTCGATTTTGGAAGTCGTCATGTGTTTAATGATCATAGGGGTCTGCCGTGCATTCCTTCCTCGCAGCTCGATCAAAGCCACTCTGAAAGTTGAGCCACCAACGTCAAGTGCAATGAAGGTTCCCTGCTCTTGACCGGTGGGTAGGGCATGACAAAAAGACGGGAGCATGCATGCTTCACTCTCTTGGAGTTTGGCTTTATATTGGACTCGGAGAGCCGAGGACATGGAAAGCATTCGGCGCATGGTACAAGGGGCCTTGAACAAACTCATGATCTCGTCTTTCAACGAGTCGAGTGTATGATGGACGGTTTCGACAATGTTGACCTCATGGTTGGACTTTGGTGTCACAGGGACGGTCTTGAGGGCGGAGGGGAATAGGAGGATTGTAGCCAGGTGTCGCAGGATCCTGCGAAAGAACTCGAGGAGGGTCATGGTGGAAGACAAGTAGATGGTGGATTCGGATCTAGTCAGAGAAGGGCACAGAGGGTCTCCGTCATGGTGGGCTTTGTGAAAGCTTTTGTTTGCGCGTGGGAGCACAAGAGGAGATGTCACGAAATGAAGAAAAACTCAAAGGGCTGTGGTGACATGGTAAAGGGAGGGAGTGCAGTGCAGTGGTAGAGTGAAGAGTGTTGTAGTGGCAGTAGCATAACATTAGAATGGACGGATGTTGTCAACATAGGTAGGGTGGACTGAAATGTCTGTTTTGAGTGCTACCGAAGATGTGCAGTTGAGCACTCGTACTCAGTAGGCGTGCAGTGAGTTACACGGGTGGTTCTGGCACGGGGACTGCAAAGGGACTGACTCTGGGTAAGCTCAAAGGGTGTAATGGGACAGTCAAGGTGAAGGAATACTACTCTTAGACAAGAACTACTAGCACTACGGAGTACTGTCGCAGGTGCGTCGAGAGTGTGGAAAGAGAGGCAAAAGAATTGTGGACTATGGTCACAACGGGACGGGCAGGCGAGAGGCGGCCTTTGGGGGGCAGCAACGCCGATGATGAGACACCTTACGACAACTGATGGGGGAGGGGAACCAGAATGGTGAGGGGAGTGGAGGAGGGGGGGTCGTCCTGGTCACGGGTGATGGATGCCTCCCTCCCAGATACCATGGCAGCCTGGAGACAGTGTTGAGCTCGCAGTAGAAGTACCTGGCCTTAGGGCGAAATTACATACATTCGCATGTACCTTTGCTGCTCCATTCTTGCTGGTGGCAGGTAGCAGGTAGCAGTTGTGAGTTACTCCGTCCCTAGGAATGATTCAGGCTTGGAATTGGAGTCACACTGGGCAGTTGCGTTACGCTCAAATTTCCAGGTCCAACTTCCATGGGCTAGTGACTCGGAGCAACAAAAGCAACCCAGGCATTGGCCGCTTTTGCAGTTATGTTACATCCCGTATCTACCGACATTTGATCGTCCTCTTCAAATGAAACCCTTGCCCTCACCACTACATCTCAATGTCCCATTGTCAACATTTCATCTGTGACCCACTGACCCAATCGCAAGCCTTTGTTTTCCTGTCGTCGCATTGCTACCGTGAGTACAACATAACTTCTCAGAGTGTCTTTTTCCATCCGGTGCCATTCCGCTGCAAGCCATACAGACCTGAGTACCTACGATCAAAGGTCCGTATCGAGGTAGGCAGGTAGTGCGATATGCTGATACCTATCATCTCATCTGCAGTATCCAAAGCCGCATTGACGTCGTTCGGGGTACATTTCTGCTTGTAAGCAGTCAAGAACGCACCAAGCCTAGCCTAGCATTGTTGAAGGTAGCCTGACTCAACTTCGTCTGTTGCAACCAGCCTCCACGAAGCAAGGTGCTGTGTAGTACGTAAGTCAACCAGAAAAGTATACAATATCTGAATGATATGTTCTCCATGTCGTTTTAGGTCTTGCAGGCTTTACTCAGGTATCAATTTTGCAAGGACCTGGCCGGCCACGAGTATGAGGAACCTTGTCGAGAATGTATCAGGACATAGCCATGATAAGTGGATTAGACGTAAGAGTTGCCTTGACGTGAAGATGAAACTGAAAGCTGGGGAGGGTTAATGCCTTTTTTTTAAAATCATGGCAACTTGACGGAAGAACAGGATGTATATCAAACAGAACTTGGTGATGCTGCTAGGCTTGAACCAGTTCTATCTTGGTCACAACAAATCTTACTCATGTTCCTCGCCAACCACCTCGAGGGTTAGTTGTTGATAGTCAAGGCTTAGAACAGACCGAAACATGAGTGGATGTGCTAGAAGACAAGCGTGTCAGTGGCAAGTTCTGACTTGATGAGGTTCAGAATGACCAGGCGGGTTCGAGATCAGGCGCTGTGCATCACACCTCAGTATAAAGATAGTAGATTTGAGGTTCTCGATGGTGGTCCACGACGGGGAGAGTTGACTTGTTCCAGTCTGAATTGGAAAGGCTCTAAGAATCGAGATGGCAGTGCAGAAAGCCACGGCAGGCCAAAATACACAAGATATGGTCATGATCCATGGTATGAGGCTACTGGTGACTGGGTGGGTGGTCACTCACTGGCAGTTGTCAATGGGTCGTGCCGACCAGTGTCGTTGATTTGGTGATACATGGTTCCACAGCGCACCTTATTGATGCTGGACAGGTATTCTTCGATATGGAAGACCTCCAAGTCCGGAATGCGTAGGAGCATCCGTACTACGAGTAAACAATCGAACAAGCTGTACACGAAACATGACCTATTATTGACAGTCTTGACAGTCTTGACAGCCGATATGAATGGGTAATATATCTGGGTCTTCATCCTAGTAATGTGATCAAAGCCCATGCAAAACTAAATTACATTGCTTCGCTTGTCATGTGGAGATCGATCGGCTAGGTATACTGACAGGTACCGAGTACAGTGACAGGTGACAAATCATACGATCACATCAAGACTGTATGTCGGATGTCTTCGGAATTTCTTGATGCTGCTCAATGATTCTTGATCAAACTTTTCATCAGGCAGCAAGCCGACGGTTAGCTGAGGCCGTTGGGACTCCAAACCTTGACCGCCGCTTCTCCAACCGTCAAAAACAATTAGTCAACTTGGACTGTGTACTCTGTACTGGCTGGTCGAAATGCTCCAACATGTCAAAGGAAGCCTGCAGAATGCTGAAATCCTCGTGGCCCATGGTTGTTCCTGAAAATAGTAACTAAAGCAGCAGAGCGTGGTTTATGGCCACTGGGTGATTTCGAAATGCAGCTGTGATCTTTCGCGGACTGAAATATGCGCAACGTCCAACATGACGATTGATGATACGAAGTCGATGGTCAACATGAAGCTGCTGGTTGTCAATCAGCCTGTACTCGTATTTGTTTTCCTCAGCCTGCAGTTTGTGGATCGGTAAGTGACCGGGGACTGGCAAGTTGGCCGCTTGGATACAAGGTACCCTAGGTCTGAGTGGCTTGGGTTGCTAGCGTTCGGTTATCTCTTCACACTTCTTCGGGTGTGGTGCATCCTTGTCTGCAGCCCTTCTAGGCCGCTATTAGGTAAAGCCGGCTTCCCTAGCCTCCAAAGGCTCCAATGTTCAGGGATCCGTCCCTGGAAACTGCCGGAGCCGGGAATTATGATTGTTGTTGTTAGGCTTTAGGCCCTTGGATTGCCCCATGAATCTCGCCTCTTTTCGCCTAAGAGAACATCGATTGATGACCTGCAGAGGTTTCTAGCTTTGTTCGTAAGCCTCACTAGGGGGACGATGGTGTTGTGATGTTCGTAAACTGGTTCGGGACTCGGGAGTTTGTCTTAGCACAATGAATTATCGTTGGATAGTCACAATCATCAACTGCCGACGCTGTCTCAACCGAAGTTTAGACTCGTTTAGAACCGCGTAGCATGACAATAACACACTTGCACTCCGTACTCAGATCCAAGCTTCACTCCTCCTACCGTGACTCCGTAACATGTTACAAGTCCCCAGTGATAACACCCGTGCGGCTCACAATTCCCACAACTATATACTCTGGTGGCTTGCGCAACAAATTCCCCGATCGCCTTGATTGCTCCAGACTTTGGGCCTCGATCGCCCGTGTCGTAGGAAGTCGGCCGCCTAATTTCGAATCTCAAACATGCGTGTCGAATTTAAGTTTGCCTTTACGTGACTGCCGCCGGTTGTTCAGGGGGGAACTCGAATCGGTTTTGTTTCCCGCGAGCCGTGCATGATTGAGATTTGGCTCTTGCCCGCCAGCCTGAGCGTGTCCGTCATCAGCCCCAAAGAACATCCTGGCCAGTGGCTCTTTGCTGGTGTCAACATGATGATTCTTGGCGGCCAGGTATGGCGACCAGGTATGACACCATCCGCACATCCTGGACCTGAATGGATTCTGATTCCTGATTCCTGATTTCTGTGGCCCGCAGACTCGTGCTTCTCGAGGCTCGAGCACCCGGAACTTTGTTGGTGAGGGCTTCCACCCAACCATCCTTTCTCTCCACCAGTCGGCTCCCCTGCACGTTTTGGACCCTCGTGTTATATTGCCCACCCACCCGTCCTGGCTCAGGCTTTTGATTTCTGAACGCCTTCTGCAAGCTTATTCCCTGTCCTGGCCTTTGACATGTCCCCTCGATGCCATTCAAGCATGATCCTCGCGCTGCTGCATCATTCCAGCAGAGAATTATTTTCATCCGCTTTCGACTTGTTCTCTGCTCTCGACTCCCCTAATTAGTGCTCACTTATGTATCCCCCTCTGCCGTTCTGTTCTCAGGCTATTAGCTCTTCTCAGTCTCCATTGTGTCAGAGCCTTTCGCCTTTAAACCTGGATTATTAACGTCTCGAGAGACGACCTGTCGTCGCAGTTCTGATCCAGAGAGACTTGAACACGTCAAAACCCACTCTGACGCGCTCAAGGTTCACTTGACACCGGGACTCCCATCACCAGCCAACGCACAGGCATTATCGTCACGGTCAATGCCCAATGCTCAATCAGAACCAATACCATGGAATCGCGACTTCGCAAGCTTCTCTCGTTGAAGAAATCTCGGGCTCAGCCCCTCATCGCGAATAGTGAATTGGATTTACACAGCGTTCCATACACCACCGTCCAGTCACAAGGTCGAATTCCAGTCTTGATCAATCACGCCCTTGGACGTCCAGCAACCGCAACCGCGAAACGCAAGGACGAAAAGTTGACTGATGTTCATTCATTCTCCTACAACACCACAGTTCCTGGCACCCCACCCGAGGTTGGAGATAGGCCCCAGAGAGGTAATGGACCTGTGAAACTCCAGACCAGCCGCCGATTGAGCTCTGGAGAGCTCCTTGTTACTCAACAAGACTACGATCGAACCTTGGAGGACATTCGGCATGGTGAATTCATCGTTGGAGGAAAGCAGAAGCGCACATCTCGGCCCCCTCCAGTAGCCACCGTCTCCAGACACCACCAGCCAATGTTTGTTTCTACTGCACCAAACTCGCCTGACGCCCATTCCACCTTCTCGAATTCCGTCTGGTCACCCCAAACCCCTGCCAGTGATATACCGATCACAGGTCCATTTACCCCACGCTCACCATCTGCTACCACCTCTGCCAAACAGCCAAGCATCAAGTCATCACCAACCACAGTAGCTCGGTTTCAGGATCTGGAAAATGCTCTCACGAATCGGAACAATCTCGTCCAACCAGGCTTTCCCCATCAGTTTCATTCAATGGCATCTACTACTTCTTTGTTGTCGTCGAACGAAGAGCGAACTCCTACGATCCAAGCCTTGTGGAGAGCAGAATGTAGCAGACTTGAATCAATTTATGGCCAGCCTGTTGTAGATCAACACAGCCCTGAGAGCTATCGAAGTCCAAGCTCTATGACGAATCTTCGACTTGCTCAATACGGGTTCGATCAACGGGATAGCACTTCTTCCGCATCGCCTGCACTACAAGCAATGCCACACCCGACGTTGGACTTGGAAAAACGTGGATTGCTAATCAGAAGCGATCTAGCAGCCGTGCAAATGGAACTCGATCACTCCGATGGCTCGTCCAACATAAGATACTCGCTTCTCTCCTCCAGTGGTGCTTCGTCATCATTTACTACGCGAACAAGCATTGTTGAGGAACCCACGACAACCCGAGAGGACGTACGGCGAATTGTTGACGATATGCGGATGACATATCTCAATGCTATCGAAGCTCACACTCCCCCCCTTCAACCTTTGCCCGACCTGCCAATTCAAAAGCCAAGGTCCAAGAAGAAGACGAGATCGCTTGCTTCGTCAACCTCCGTGGAGAGTGGATTACGATCCATGAACCGACAATCCAGTGACCGAACCAAGTCATGGCAGTCGGCCATATCCTCTCAGCAATCCATCACCCCACGGACCTCCACCTCATCGCCCCCTTCCAGACTCTCCAATAAACGTAAAAGCTCTGGCAATAGTCGAAGGGCTTCTGGCCAACCTGTGGCTGGTATATCATCCTTGCCTGCAATCGAAGCTAGTCCTGCCAGAGCTACCCCCGATGGAAGAAAAAAAAGAGAGGACATGGGCCTCAAGCGAGCCGATTCCACCACCTTGGGCTCAATGGAAAAGATGTTGACTATACTTGATGAAAAGAAACCAAAATCTCCAAGCCGCAGCAATGTAACCCCATCACCCAGAATTATCGTATCTTCGGACTTGCACAACAAAATGACTTTCCCCGATGTTGTTGCATCAACCTCGTCAACAACTCCAGAGACGCCACCCCGAAGGAACTCTTCGATCCAGTCAACTCCGGCGAAGCACGGGTCTCTCAAGGTTGACGCTGGACCTACTGCGGCACCTACGTGGCATCTCGAGGCGGCGCAGCTCTTCGAGGATGCAGATGTCGATGTATCTCTCGATGTCGACGACTTCGAGGCCCTCTGCAATGACTTATTCAACACACCTTCAGTTGGGAAACCAACGGCAGGAAACTTGGATGCGTGGGGTCAACCTCCCTCAGCTGAAAACAAAAGCGAGCGAAACAATGGCATCCACACTGGAAGCCCCCGAAGACGTGCACACACCACAACTGCATCTCCATCTCCACCAGCAAGCTCAAGCCTTTCTTTGCTTGCTACATCCGGCTGAACGACTACCCCCATCACTGACGCCTTTATTATTCCAGGATCTTTCTCATCACTTGATCTTGACCAGATGAGGCTATATCCCTTTGACATGTTTTCCCTTTCCACTTCCAAATTCTCGGATACCCACCTTGACGAAGTAATGTTACGCTTATCATGCTGTTATGCCTATCGGCCACCGACGTTCTACGTCACTTGGCCTCTTTCTTCAGTTCCTTCTTATCATGTCAGAGACAAAGACTTATTCTACTCCTTGGGAGGGGGCTCCTTTGGGTTTTTTTATCACCGGAATCTTTTGTATACAAACTTGTTTAACGAGAACGGGAAAAATAGGAGGATCGGAAAAATGGAAAGGACGACCTTGGGGAAGCACAGGGAGCAAGAATCCCCCAGGAACCGGGAAGTTGGGAACAACATTGTCCCAAAATCCCGGGGGTGCTGCAAAGCATCTTGAGACGAGACTTATGACCATCTGTGTATTTATCGATCATGTTTCCTTGACTATTTTTCTTCACTTCGGAGACAGATGGACTCCTCTGGCTGGGAGACATCTAAAACCATTAACTACCCGCCAAACCATCCTACGGGGCTGGGAACACTGGGTGTGACGCGCAGGGTACGCGGCAACGAGAAAATCATTTGTATATAGCTACGAAAGAAACGGGGCATGACATGGCAGGGATTTTATTCGCTTGGGAGAAATTCCCGTGGTTGTTTTTTTATGGCTTGAGAGGAAGGAGGTGCACATGCATGCATCCATGGCGCAGTGCAAGGGAGCGGGCAGAGATGAGAATGATGGGGGATTTGTTAGAAAGGAACAGAGAGAGAGATTGATCTATTGATATATTCAATGGCCCTAGCGGGTATTGTTATAACCTGACTGATTTGTTTGATCTATTATGTGCAGTGCCTTCTATCACTACTTTTATTTTCTGCTATTGGGTCTTGGCGCCAAGGTGCCCGGTCTGGTTGAGCCTTACGCTCACGAGCACCTGCTCTACGAGTAGGGCACACCTCTCACCACCTACCTAGGTACACCCCAATACACTTCTCACTACGCCCCAATACTATTACTCTAATTCCTGATCTCTCCTTTCATCGCCTCTCTTACCTTGTGGGAAGGCGAAAGCCTCCGCAGATCAATACATACTAAACCCTTTCCCACGTCCTGACAAATTTTTCTTTTTCCTCCTCCGTAGGAATCAGAGACACACGATGGCTCTAGACTCATCATACAAGGCGACTCTGCTCCCACTCCTGCTGAAGGCCTCAGCGCTCTCCTTCGGCACATACACACTCAAGTCAGGTCGGATCTCACCCTATTTCTTCACGTCTTCACTGCTACACACCACATCTCTTCTTGGCGCTCTGGCCAAAGCATATGCATCTGTTCTGACCTCACCTCCATACTCCCTGCCCTTGGGCACGGAGGAAGCAGGCTCAGAAGCAGACGGGTCGTTCTCTCCACACTTCGACATCCTCTTCGGTCCGGCGTACAAGGGGATCCCGTTGAGTGCCGTCGTTGTCAGGGAGCTAGAGTTCAGCGGCGCGCAATTCGCAGGTGTTTCGTACTCTTTCAACCGCAAGGAAGCAAAGGATCATGGTGAGGGCGGGACCATTGTCGGCGCACCGCTGAAGGGTAAGCGCGTGGTGGTGATCGACGATGTCATGACGGCCGGCACAGCGCTGCGCGAGGCGGTCGACATCATCAAGGCCCAGGGCGGCATTGTCGTGGGTGTTGTCCTGCTGCTGACGAGGCAAGAGCGTGTCAGTGATGCCGAGCCTCGAAGCGCGATGAAGGTCGCAGAGGACGAATTGGGTATTCCCGTGAGAGCGGTGCTCAAGTTTGAAGATTTGATTGAAGCCATCGAAGCCGGTCAGATTGAAGGTGCTGGCGCCAATGAGCTCGAGCAGATGAAAGTCTACCGGCAGAAGTATGGAAGTCAGGACTGAGTGTCGTGAATTTCAAAGAATCGTCTGGCAAGAGATTATGCGAAGCTTGGACTGTCGAATATCGCGGTAATAGGGTCATTGATGCTGGAGAGCTCCAGATATCTATGGTACTAATTGCATTGACATACTCCGGGACGCCTCCGTGCCTAGCGAACGATATCACGTGACACTCCAGGCCACAGGGAGAATGAGGCTTTTCTTTCCTCGACTACAGAGTCCAGACTTCTTTTCCCTCATTTGGTGGCTTTGTCAAGGTTGGCGATCAGGGGGGGAACTCCTGGAGATCTAGAATGAGGAGATGTCGCTTGGTATTTTCAGCAGAATCTGGTGGCTTGAGCATGGTGTGGGTCAAAGTTTTGAGATGGATTGCTGCTGCACGTGGTGGCTGCCAAGAGAAGTTCACCACGAGCGTTATAGACTGCTCTACCAAATGCGCTTTAATCGGCTACGCCCAACAGTATCGATTCCAGGACAACTTGGATATCCCCATCGCTACGATAGGCTTGTTAGCGAGCCTTTCATCCCACGGGCTACCCCTCCTGGGCGTGGTGGTTCAAGCACTTCCGGGCCAGGAACATGTGCAGACAACCACGACTAGTGATGTGCATTTCCGACTCGGCGACTTAGGACCCTAAAGTCCACCCGGGTTGGCTGAAAATCCGCTGTAGGGTAGGGAGTCCCTGAGCTACTCGTAATGCCTAGGGGTTAAGAGGCTAATCTTTCTTGACTTCAGAGTCTAGATAATATTGACATCTCTCAATGGATTACTTTTGTTGCTACCAAGAGTGAGGAGCTGCAACAGGTCCCTACAGCATCCGAACACTGGACACTGGAAATTACAGGTAAGGTCTAGTTAAGGCATAGCTAAGGATAAGGCCTGCCTGTGCCCAATGCTCAAATCTCCACCGCTCTGGACTGGGCGTCATCATCCAATGCGATCCAACTTGTCTCGCACCGAGAGAAAGTTCGATGACCCTGCCAGTTGCCCCCCACTGCACTGCACTAAATAATCACCACTGCATTCATTACCACTGCACTGGCAAAAGTTCTTCTACACCGTTCCTTCTCCACCCTCGTCACTCTCACCTTCTGACGACCGTCCTACTCTTTCTCTATACACTGCTTATGTTATAATTTCACCCTTTTCTCCCATTGTTGCACACCCACAGAACCCAATGCAGCGAGAGCAGGCCGACAGGTGGGCTCGCAAGCGATATTTCGGCTGATTGTAGGGTTCGGTTCAACCTCTCACGCAGGAATCACCACACAGTTGCACCAGAGTAACTACAAGCAAACGCAAACTGCGGGTCACAAACACTTCTAGCTGTTGATATTTACTGCTCTGTCTTGTTTCCACTGTTTCAATCTTCCTCTCTCGTCCTCAAATCTCCTTATTAGCCCCTCTGGGTGTCTTCTCAACATGCATATCTCCAAGAAGCTGGCTCTCGCCCGTGAGAGCAACAAACCCACCTTTTCCTTCGAATTTTTCCCTCCGAAAACTGCCCAAGGCGTTCAAAACCTTTACGACCGTATGGACCGTATGCACGATCTAGGCCCTACCTTCATTGATATCACATGGGGCGCAGGAGGTCGCCATTCTACCCTGACCTTGGAGATGGTAAAAGCCACCCAGTCTCAATATGGTCTAGAGACGTGCATGCATCTGACCTGTACCGACATGGAAAGATCCCAGATCGACGATGCCCTACGCTGCGCCTACAAAGCCGGATGCACCAATATTCTTGCTCTTCGCGGAGATCCCCCGAGAGATCAGGACAAATGGGAGGCCAAAGCAGATGGGTTTCGCTATGCCAAAGATTTGGTCAAGTACATCAAAGCAAAATATGGCGATCATTTCGATATCGGCGTCGCTGGTTATGCAGAAGGCTGTGATGATCACAGAAATGTCGACCTTCTGGTTGAGCATCTCAAAGAAAAAGTCGACGCAGGCGCCTCATTCGTTGTCACTCAGATGTTTTATGACGTCGACATTTTCCTCAAGTGGGTAGAGAAATGCCGTGCTCGTGGTATCAACATCCCCATCATTCCGGGGATAATGCCCATTTCGACTTACGCTTCGTTCATGAGACGTGCCGACTGGACTCAATGCAACGTACCTTCTGAATGGCACCAAGCCCTGGATCCTGTCAAGAACGATGATGCAGCAGTCCGTGATATCGGCAAAGACTTGCTAGCAGATTTATGTCGACGCCTCCTCGACGCAGGCATCCTGCATCTTCACTTCTACACCATGAACTTGGCACAATCGACTAGGTTGATCCTCGAAGAACTGGCCTTGACCCCCGACACATCCGGAACGCCATTGGAGAAGCCACTGCCATGGAGACAATCACTGGGATTGAATCGCCGGGACGAAACCGTGAGACCGATTTTCTGGCGCAATCGCAATACCTCCTATGTTGCACGAACTGCCGACTGGGATGAATTTCCCAACGGCCGTTGGGGTGACAGCAGGAGTCCCGCCTTTGGTGAGCTTGATGCCTATGATATTGGTCTCAAAGGAACCAACGAAAGCAACATCAAATTGTGGGGCAAACCCAAAACACTTCGCGAGGTCACATCATTATTCATCCGATTCATTGAGGGAGATTTGGACAGACTTCCATGGAGTGAAGGTGGAATCAGTTCCGAAGCTGACAGCATCAAGAAAAACCTGCTTGAGTTGAATAAAAACGGCTTTCTTACCATCAATTCTCAACCTGCTGTTGATGGAGCTTCTTCGTCACATCCGGTATATGGATGGGGTCCTGCCGGAGGCTGGGTTTATCAGAAGGCCTACTTGGAACTGCTGGTCTTTCCCTCCATTTTTGGCACAGTCCTTGAGCGACTTAACGCCAACCAAAATCTGACCTACTACGCTGTTAACCAGAAGGGCCAACTCTTGACGAACACCAAGGATGAAGGCCCAAATGCAGTCACATGGGGCATTTTCCCTAATCGTGAGATCGTGCAGCCCACCATTGTCGAGACCGTCTCTTTCTTGGCCTGGAAGGATGAAGCGTTCCGTCTAGGTCAGGACTGGTCCAAGTGCTATGCTCCAGGTTCCGGAAGCAGAAAGCTCATAGAGGCCATTATGAGCCAGTGCTACCTGATAAACATTGTTAACAACGATTTCCATCAGACACACGATATATTCGACATTTTTGAGGGTCTTGCGGTAGGAGATCTTGATCTGTCCTTTGAGGATGATATCACCGTTGATTCGAGAAATGGCAATGGAAAAATCGTCAATGGTAGCGGAACCTCCGATACTGAGCGCAATATCACCAATGGTGATCGACGAACATTGCCAATTCACACGAATGGTACTATTCACGCACATTGAGCATTGAGCAACGAATGCTTATGATCGTAGAAGAGTCAGGACTAGTGCGGGCTTTGCCTAGTCCTTTTCCACAAACTATGCATGCAAATTACTTTCTTATCTGGAATTGGGTTGGGAGTTCTTCGGGCTTGATTTAATTGTACCATCGGTGTACCGCTGGACAGGAAAGGCATAACTGGGAACTAAAAAAGGAGAAAAGCATCTCATTTCAACATGATACCCCCAGCATGAAAACGAAAAGATTTCACGAAGCGATGACGTTCACGAAAGGTAGAGTGAGCATGCCATGGCATGTATTGTGCCTATTAGCTTAGAAGAAGAGAGCACTTAATGTCTCGAGGGTTGATATTTCAACAACAACCCCTGGCCTTTCAACACGGCCTATGACAGTGCAAATCTTCCGACCGATGGATGCCGTCGGTTGACTATTTGCTGAGGGCACTATATTTATTAATACTGTTTCTATCTTTGCATTCCCTATCCCAGAATGCCGTTGCTTCAGCGCATACTTAAAACAATTGTTGGGAATAATACTGGCCAGTTTCTAGATAACTGTGTACCCACGGGACGCCTATGACAAGTTGCATCTCCCCGTCTTTGCTAACTCATGGACTCGGTGCCAAAACGTGCCGAATTCCAGCATTCTCCTTATATCCGTGTTGTCCACCACCAAAATGTTCCCTTACCAAGCATTATTTGCTTAGCCCAAGGCTCCAACAAGGATTAACGGGAATCGTTTGTAGCTGAGGCAACAGCGCCTGCTGTTTAGCTTTCCAATGCTAGCTGTATATAAAGCAAATCAAACGAGTGCACGGACTAGAAAGTGCTGTTTACCTTTTGTCTGCTTGGAACCTTAACACGAGCCGATCTGCAAACCCAGGCGCAGCCACTCATTGAGGACAGCCACTGCAACAATCAGACTTCTATCTGCTGTTCCTCATATCTATATCTCGAGGAGAGTAAGCAATCATCTCTACCCGAGACCCTTCGACTGTCACCCTCAAGCAAACCGGCCTGCACACCAAATCCCACAACTCACTTTTTAAGAAACTCCCATAAACAAATCAATCAACATGTCTAACCCTCCACGCGCCAAACACTCACAATCCCGCTACCTCAGCATCATGGCCAACATCTTCGGCACGATCTGGCTGGGCTTTGGGGTAAACGCGATGGTGCGGCCACTGAACGCATTCTCCATCTTCGAATTCGAGCTGCCGTCGTCGGCAGCCGACCAACGACTCATCGAGAGTCTGATGATCATCTACGGCGCCCGCGACCTGTTCATGGGACTGGCCGTCTACTTCACCGCCTACTTCGGCAGCCGCAAAGCCTGTGGATATACGTTGATTGCGGGCGCGGCTGTCGCGGGCGTGGACGGGTTGGTGAGCATTCGCCAGATTGACGGCGGGCAGTGGAACCATTGGGGGTATGCGCCTGTCGTCTTTGTGGTGGGTGCTTTATTGGCTGGTGTGTTGGACTGATCGACCATTGGGATGAGGGTGGTTGTAGGTGGTTAGTTAGAGGGAGAAGAATTGAGGAGAGCTGCAGTCCTTGATCATCGTGACATTTCCTTGGCTGAGCAAACTACACTTTTGGCCGGTGATGTCGATGAAGGCGATGATGATGATGATGCTCCTCAATTTCAACGATGAGCAACGAACTGCAGGAAGTATTCTCTATATTATAGTGGCGCTATTCGTACAGGTTGAGCGCTACATAGGCCCCGAAGCGGTCTAGCTAGGGATTTCTTGAACAAGCACCCACGCCTGGACGAAACGGCCCTAAGTAGCATCTGCGCGCAAAGCGTCAAGGCTTGATCGACGGGCTCCGCCCATTAATGTTGGAAGCTACGCCTAACCGCCCCAACTATGACTCAATCGATGCCCACTGTCCTTACGAGATGTCGTAGAGCAAGCCTTTGTTAGCTCTCAAGTGCTAACTTCCAACGGAGCAGATCATCTCGTTTTTGCTGTGCTTTCGTATCTACTAACTCCAAGCAGCAAGCCTGATTGTTCTTTCTGGCCCCGTGTCTATTTCCATGGCCCCGACTGACCAGCAATGCCACCCAAATGCATAGACACCAATCAAGCTAAGTCACCCCCAAGGCGTCCCAGGCCCCAGGATTGACATGCTAACCTCGTAGGCTCGTAGGCTCGTAGAAACTAACTTCCGTGCATCCCCAAGCTGCTCATCTGGGTCTGCATCCAGTGGAGCCACCGACGTCGTTGAAATCTCGTCTCGGGAAGGCCAGGGGCGCAATTGGAGAGTTTCATCTCTAATATCGAGTTGGCCTGGGTGTGATATTCTCTAGTACTCTCTGAGCCAGCAAGCCAGTTTCTCGACCTTCAACCATGCTGCCTAGTCCCTGCACTTCCTGCTCCCTGTGGAAATGATGTGCAGTCTGGGAAGGACATCTTGTTTCGAAAAGATGGGTTGTAGTTCTCCTTCTTTCTTTCTTTCCTTCTTGCTCCATTTCTGGGTTGAGGCGCAATTGCCAATCCTGGGTGCTCAGACTTGCTGATACACATTGATCTGCGTCGAAGTGACATTGCCTCTCAACGAATTATGTATTAATGAGAAGTTGATCGCAATCTACTACCATTGAATCATCAACTTGGTATATCGACTTTGAATACGGACAGCCATCTAGTACACCACTCATAATCAAAAGAGAAGCACATCCACACCACCAATAGTCGGTCAGAAACGAACGAACGAGAATTTACACTGGTTAGTATTTCTGCAACTTCCTCCACAATGGTGACTGCCGTCACGCCAGCCAGTGCGCATCCGTCATCGGACTCTGGTATCGAGATCTCGAGCGATACATCCAAAGTCGCTTGGTCGCCAGCCGCGGCAGACACCGAGAAAGAAGTCGTCATCGAGCAAACACCACCACCAAAGCCGCCTCGACCTTCAGAACCAAAAAATGTCTATCCCGAAAGCCCAGAAGCATACAACCACATACCGAACTCCAACGATATCTTTACACCCCACCGGCAGGGCTCCTGGAATACACATAAGATCTTCGTCCCAAAGCTCCCTCCCGTCAGCCTTCAAAAGGAAGTTGCAATACCCTCCGACGACACAGACAAGCAGCTGGTACTCGCCAACAGCACCAGCTCTCGATCCACCTCTGCCCCATCGGCTTTCGTGCCCTCAGCTGCATCGACTCAAACCAGCGCCTTCCGAGTTGAAAAGAGTAACGCCTTCGGCATGATTCTCCCAAAGGACCAGAAACTACTAGTGCGGGTTCTCGACCCGGAGACCAAAATGGACGGCGGACCGGCACTTATAACGAATGAGATGAGTTGGACGGACGTGTGGAGCGCCAACCCACCACCCTTCGAGCTATACACAGCGCATGACTTCTCAAACACGGCACTCGTCGCCCGCTGGAGCCCGCGTGGCTGGCAGGGTTTCACGGGCGTGTGGTGCGAGTTCGAAGTCTCGGCCCAAGGCGAGCGGCAGAAATGGGAGGTCGTCAGAAAGGGTTTGAACCGCACATATCAGCTGAATGGTCTGTTGAGCATGTATGGTAGGCACTTCGTGTGGAAGGGCAGTACCAAGACGATCCGGTCCATGGTCGGCGAGGGCCAGAAGAATAAAGGCAATTTGAAACTCACGACCCTGGATGGGAAGGAGGTTCTTGCTGTTTGGCAGCAGTGGAGGGACAGTCACGTTCTCGGGGACATAATTATATTTGAGACGGCGAAGGATAAGCTCGCCGTTGAGACGATTCTGGCCAGCTGTATTGGTGTGGTATCGACGGAGCGCGCCAATGGTTTGAATTGGTTTGGTGGCCTGGGGAAGTGAAGTGTATATCATTGAGCATCTCGACATTCTGCTCGTCCTGATGTAAAGAACTTCAATCACCGAAACGCTTCTCAGCAGTTTCCCTAATGTTCTTCCATCCTTCACAATCTGAAGTGGGAGTTTCATTCTTCCAACGACCAGAGAGTCACGAACTTGAGCCGGAGTATTGGTCAATATGGGTGATAAGAGGAAGAGAAAGACTCAATTACGCCAATCGAGAGTAAAGAACGGCACCATGGGCTTGGAAAACGACCAGATCCAGGAATATAACCCATTCTTATTATAAAGCAGAGCCTTCTGCTCCCGCTCTCAAGAGTGCAAGGAAGGATGAGCCCAACCTTCCAGGCAACTGAATATTCTATGGAGTCTGGTTGTCAACAGATTTTGTTGAATGAAAAATCGGAGAGCTCAAGCCTGGATTTGTTGGACAGGTGGCCAGGATATGATTAACGACGGGGCATTTTTTTCTCTTCAAGCACCTGTCTTTGTGTCTGCAAGCGAGTTATGCACAAGGCAGTATGTGTTGTATCGATGTCAACTATGATGATTCTGTTGACTCAAAGCTGACCCACTCGAGGAGTCGCACATCGCTATCTGGTCGTTAGGAGCCCCCTTTAGGTCTTTAGTAGCAAAGCGTCAAGCCAGGGAATCGAAATCCACCAAATTACGTAACGTCAAATCTTGGTATCGTGGGCAATACAGATAATTTTCTTCAAGGAATCGTGCGATCTGCCAGAAATCCGTGAAACCAAGGGAGATAGCCAAACGACCGAAGCGGCCCTTGAAGTATTGCTGGGGATTCACCGAGGGCTGACCTTTGCCCTGCAGGAATGCGATTTCCGTATGCGCTCCGACCGAGTAGACCCACAGCATGTCGTAGCTTCTGCTGTCGTAAGGGCCACGGCGGACATCATATTCCGGCCGCAGTGTTTCGACGCTGCTGAGAAGCATCTGATAGTAAGCCTGAGTCTGTCGGAAGATGTTGGTCTTCAGGTACGGTTCGTGGAGTATGCACCTGTCCAGGAGCCTCATTGCCCAGCAGAGGCATATATCGAAGCTGCTCGGCGACGGAACGACAGCAGATTCCGGAGACGCCGGGTCCTGGGTGTGGGTGTGGGTCTGGGTTTGGCTCGCTGCCAGATTCGCCTCGAGAAGAAGATCGCACCAGTGATTTATCCCACGCCCGCGGATGGCTGTCGTGCGTAGATGCGACCAGCGGAACATGTGGACAAGGCTTTCTCTTGCGACGGCATCATCGGATGCGAACGGGGTACTTCGTATCTTGATCTCTTCGACGGCCAGCAGTTCTCTCATCTCCTCGAGGATATTGCTCAGCTGTGGACAAACAGTTGTCGGCCTTGCAGATTGGCGAGCGGACGAATCACCAGGAGACGCAGGGGTGTAACCATACAGCGTTGCATAACCTGCATTATCAACGGACCAGGATGATTGTGGAGAGCTTCCCGTAGACGATGGTGAAGCTGCGTTTTGAGTCCACTGCTGTTGCTTTCTAGTAGTCCCTTTTGACTTGTAGCTGTGCCATGGTCCGGGATCCCAGGTCTCTGGACTTACTATCGGGCGCGCATTCAACTTGGTCGCCAGACCGATGACAGAGTGCACAAAGAGTTCCACTTCGTGCGCTGACAAGCTTTGGAACCCGCCCATCAAGCCGATGACTCTCGCAGTGGCAGTGGCGTGGATGACTGCGGTGTTACTGTCGCCCAAGAATATTTCGCATGCGCCGATCAACTGCGTGGCGTCCTTGATTGCCAACAGTTTGTCTTGCGAGCCGGATTCGCATTGCTTGTCCACCAGCTCCCGCAAGGAACGTAAGGCCTGACTCTTTTGTCTCTTGATCGCCAGAAAGTCATTCGCTTCGAACTTGCCCTGGCATGCTGCTTTGGTTATGTAGCCGAGGGCGAGGTTCGCGTGTACCACCGCAGGGTCATTGCACAAGGTGCCGAGGGATTGACACAGGTCGTCCATCAGTTCACCATTCCGCGAGCGCATACTCAGCTCGGAGGCCCATATTGTTGCGACAGATTCCGATCGGGATAGTTTGATGAGACTGTATTGATGCGCAGTCACGGGGATACCGGCAGAGCTAAAAGGATCACAATTGCCCTTGTATGGCAACGGCAACGGCAACAGCCCAAGGTGGCCAATCTCTCGAGTATCATTACCTGTAGGGTGTTCTCTGACCGGCGCCTTCTTCCCTGTAGGCTCACGTCTCTTGGGCGCTCCACGTAGCCGCCATCGAGAGAAGACGGCGATCTCCTGGACGGATGCTGGTGTTTCGAGTGGAGTTCGATCAAGCCCTTTGAGGCTCTCACTTGTGACTGTGGTGTTTGGTGCGAGCGATTGTAGTGAAGCTGGTGTTGATGATGTCGAGGTCTTCTGACGTGCTCTCTCTGCTCGGAGAAGATTTGATCTCAGGCGGTGGCTGGCGGATGCTGCGTGTGACCTGGCTTTGGATTGTCGCAGTTCTTGTTCTCGTTGGTCGACATCGTTTGGATTCGAGTCAATGAAAAGAAATGATTTGCCAGATGTGGCCGGCATTTATGCTCGAATGCTAGATCTTTCTCCGATCACGTCCTCATTCTCAACGGGTTGTGCATGGATAATTATTGTTTTTGATCAGCACACCGTGCTGAGTGAGTGATTGATTGACGAATTCGTGGGATCCAGCTACCAAAGGGCACTCAGATCAAACAGTTACCCTGTCGAGCATGGTGCATCGGACATCATTGGAATGGTACCCTCCCTGTGGAAGAGTAAGATTGATCCGTCAACAAGATCGATTTATGCAAAGCCGTGCCGAGGCGCCCATGCTTCCTGCTGTTGCTGCTGAATTTGGCCTTACTGGTAGTGGAGGGGTGAAAAAGCATGGTTCAGTTCCCCTCAATAGGCCTTGGACTCCAAGGTACCTTGGAAGCGAACAAAGGCTAAGGTGGCCTGGAAGCCCTGGGCCATCCCCTCAGCAATCAACAACTCTGACAGAGCCTGTGTGCTTGAGATTTCATGTGTATCAACCATCATGAAAAGATGCCCAACTGGGAAGTTGCTAGCCCGGCTACTTGAAGCATCATGCAGTCATCATCTTGGTGCTCGGTCGTGAGTTGTCCTCCACCATTTCCTGTTTCCAGTCAAAGCGCGCCAGCTCAGGTAAAAGAGACAGGTAGCGATGAATCTTGATTCAAGAGAGAGTGAGATGGTTACTCAGAAACTCAAAAGCTTGACTAGCCACATAGTCACAGTACACTCGAAAGTCCAGCCACTTTGGGTAACGATTTAGATCCTCTCCCTTAAGCTTGGTATTGCCCACCAAGATCGAGTAAATCAGAATGCCCTTTCTTTTTTGTCTCGATCTTAGATTGGGCTGTTTAGCACTCCTCTATTCTCGGAATTTTGGTCGATCGACACCATCGATTTACGATCTGGGATGTGTTCAGCCAAGTGTTTCAACATCCCGGCGCTCAAATCCACGGTATTCAGGTACCAGTGCTGCTCAATTGTTGTTGATGATCCCCTTGATTGCCTTTCATCTCCACACAGCGTCTGTGCTACGATAAGGATCCAGGTGGGATGGATTGATATGCTTTGACCCCGCGCAAGTTCAGCTGACTGATGTCCCCCTTTCAAATCAGAGCTCTCCGTGACGAGTGGGTGCCCAATCCCTAGCTGTTCTGGACAAGGGTTCAGGCTGCTTATTCAGTAAGGTGCATTCGGAGACCCCAATGAATCTTGGAGTCAAACCTGACCTCAAGGCTCACTATCGCTGTCGCTGGTGGCCAACTTCCTTGCAGAATTACTATTCTTCTTCGCCGATGTCATGAATACAGAACTTCAAGCGTCCGATCAACCCAACCGTTGAATATTGACTGACTAGTAGGCAGATCGAAATGCCATTTCTCAAAGCATCAGAGCCCGAGGAAGTTCGAGTAGATAGGACGACACTACTTCGCTTCAGTGGTGCTCGAGCTGATCCCTACACTCGCTTTGTAGCATCCCTCATTTTCCACGACATCAAACTTTCAGTCAAAGGGCAGCGTAATATCAATCATGCATTTACAAACCTACCAGTCTACGACTCGATAGCCCCAGATCGAAGATTGGCATTTGGGTGGGGCGAGGACAACGTGATTCGAGATAAAGTGATCCAAGAAGGTCTTTCATATGATCATCTCGCCATACTCACCGCACTGGGGGAAAACTTCCATGAGGTATACGGTGCGAAAGTCCTTCAAGCACTGACTTCCTCAATCGCTGGCCCTAAAGATATGAAGCCGCATTTCTCACAATGGAGAGCTGCCATGCACGCTTGCAACGGGCTATTGGCAACCACAGATTTTGGAATTTTAGTGGAAGAGTACGTCCGTTTAGATCCATACAGAGTCATGCTTGTCAATGATATCGAGTCGATCTTTCCACCAGCAACAATCGCGGAAGCATTGCAAGCACTGATTCGTGTTAGTGCAAATCATGAAAAGCAAGTCACATTCATAGGTAGCGCTGTGATTTCCTGGTTTGGATCTGTGGCGGAATGGCTCTGCGACCTTCGAGTAGCAGTCTACGATAGCGCTGGGGCGCTCCTCCATTCCACCCACAGAGGCCTGGAAGCCCAGGTGGTTTTGGTCTTTGTCGAAGCACCCGGTATCAAATTTTCATTTGAGCCGTGGAAGGAGGACGCAGTTGATATTGCAAAGTTGAGTATAACGGCCCAGGTATACCCTTCCAATGTACATACGACTCCCTTCAGTGGAAGAGTTGCCTGGCAGTCGTTGTTGCCTAGAGTCTTTGGCACGAGCTTCCACTACCTTGACCATGAAGAGTCCAAGGCTTTTGGAGGGATGATCGGTGGTGCTGCGAAGATGTTCCAAGGTTTGGCATTAGGCGAAGGACATGAGAAGCACACTGAACTGGTGTCAACTCAGAACCGCAGCAACACGGCTTCCTACGGCTCTGGTCTGGTCGAGACACTCACAAATTGGCTTCCCGAATTGCGTCGTTTTCAAGGACGCATGGAGCGCGCATTGAAGCTGAATCATGAGGATGCTTCAAGGGCCTACGTTGAGTACCTGATCAAAATCAGAAAGGCATGTCATTGTGGGATTTGCACATCCAAGGAAGAGGTCGATAGTGAAAAAGAAGGGCTGCCACCATCGCATGGCTACTGCCTTGCCGTCATCGTTGAAACGATTATCTCCTTGGGTCTGGTGCTCTCTAGGATGACGGTGTCACCGGGAATTTTCCCATCCAGAGCAGGTATTCAGAGTTTCTATGCAGGTCAAGTCCAAAAGCGCATGGAAGCACGAGGACTCCACTGGACTGAGCATTTCAAGCTTGTCTATGGTAATGAATGGAATGCTCCAGCTGCCCGACGATTGCAGAATGCAGCGCAGATCTTCGCCGGCTCCAGACCAGAGAAGGACTTGCCAGACAACCTCGTTGCTCTATCGCACGAGGGTATCTGTGCATACTTCGTGGCGCTTGAAAAGAGGAGTAAAATTGATCTTAAGAATCAAGTCAAATTGATTCGCATAGTCTCGGGTGGTATCGCCGTTCGCGAGAAGGTTTTTGACCGGGCGTGTATGGGAGAGGTAACAGATGCAGCCTTTGATGATCCTTGGGAGGAGGTAGCCCTTGAGCACCTTGAAGCATCGTTGTATTGTAAATGAAGTATGGTGTAATTGCAGGATCCATAAATTCGTCCAGCGTTCCAGAATCTAGCGAAGGGGAAGTTTATGCATCATCCCCTTATCCGTGTTTTAGGAATGCTCACTGAGAGGCGGAGATCTATCCGTCGAGCGAGCAAGGCTTGGGCGACGATTTTGGCACGAAGAGGTGTGAAGAAGGGTTCCATGAACACGAGATGCGAATTGTGAACTCCGTTGCAGATTCATGACTCCGGTACTTTAAGCCGGAGATGCTTCGGGGGACAGAATGCAAGCCACTCCTGAAGGGAATAATAACTGGAGCTGGTTCCCACAACACTTCAGGTACTCGTAAGTTGGCCAGAAACAATAGAAACCCTAGGCGAGTTTGAGAATAGTAAAACGGTTAGTGCGCTGACTACGCACAGAGCTCCTTCTGGCTGTGTGTAATCCTGTCCCGATGTCTCCGTGAGGGGCCAATGACGAACCACATGATTGATTGCTGTTGGCCACCTCAAGCTTCATCCTGACCTTACTTCTTCAGGGGAAGGGTCAAAGACAATAATAAGTTGCCATCGCATGTGTACATGTTCATTTGTGCTCGATCTCGGTCAATAGCTTCAATTTGTTCTCCGTTATGGCAGCTTCTGCGGCCCTCAAAAGTCGCTGCCGGCGAGCGAGCTACCTCAATAAACTCGCCAAGGCTGAGGATCTCATTGAGCATTTCCCTCATGGATCATACATTGGCTGGTCAGGTTTCACTGGGGTCGGCTATCCGAAGTATGAAGACAATAATCATGGTCAGTGCCTTCAAGCAATTCTAACAAACTCAATAGGAAAGTGCCAACGGCGCTGGCAGACCATGTTGAGAGGAACAATTTGCAAGGCAAGCTCAAGTACAATCTATTTGTCGGCGCGTCTTCCGGTGCAGAAACCGAAAATCGATGGGCTCGGCTTAACATGATAGAGCGACGTGCTCCCCATCAGGTGGGAAAGGAAATTGCCAAGGGCATCAACAACGGAAACATCAAATTCTTCGATAAACATTTGAGCATGTTCCCTGTGGACTTGATGTATGGCTTTTACACGAAGCACAAGGCCAACAACAGACTGGATGTCGCCATCGTTGAAGCCAGCGCGATCACCGAAGACGGCGGCATCATTCCCGGAGCATCTGTTGGGGCCAGTCCCGAGATTATCCAGATGGCAGATAAGATCATCATTGAAGTCAATACGGCAGCTCCCAGCTTCGAAGGTCTGCACGATATCACAATGACCGACTTGCCTCCCCGGAGAAAACCATACCTTATTATGGCACCAGAAGATCGTATTGGAACACCGCATATCCCCGTGGACCCAGAGCGAGTGATTGCGATTGTCGAATCCGATTACCCAGATCAAACCACCGAGAACGCTCCCGAGGATGAATCTTCCAGAGCTATCGCTTCAAACCTGATTGAATTTTTGGAACATGAAGTCAAACATGGACGGTTGCCAGTAAATTTACTGCCTCTCCAATCTGGTATTGGGAATATTGCGAATGCTGTCATTGGTGGCCTGGCCCATGAGGCGAATTTCAAGAACCTGAAAGTCTGGACTGAAGTGTTGCAGGATTCGTTCCTCGACCTTTTCGACAGTGGCAATCTTGACTTTGCCACAGCAACATCGATTCGATTCTCTCCAGGAGGGTTCAAACGATTCTATGACGGCTGGGAGAATTACCATTCCAAATTGCTGTTACGCTCACAACAAGTTTCCAATTCTCCAGAAATTATCCGTCGTTTGGGCGTTATTGGAATGAACACTCCCGTAGAAGTAAGTCCACTGTTAGGAGAGCTTTCGCCCCTTTGCTGATGAAAGATATAGGTCGACATTTACGCGCACGCAAACTCCACCTGCGTCATGGGATCTCGCATGCTGAACGGCCTTGGTGGCTCCGCTGACTTCTTACGCTCTTCTAAATACTCAATCATGCATACGCCGAGCACTCGACCCTCGAAGACGGACCCGACTGGCGTTTCTTGCATTGTGCCCATGTGTACGCACGTGGACCAGACTGAGCACGACCTTGATGTTATTGTTACCGAGATTGTGAGCTCCCACCTAGTATTGATGGTAGCGGACTGAAGCTAACTGTGACCAGGGATTGGCTGATGTTCGTGGAATGTCGCCACGTGAAAGAGCCCGAGAGATCATCAAGCAATGTGCCCATCCCGAATACAGACCAATACTCCAGGACTACTTCGACAAGGCAGAGTTTGAGTGTCTGAGGAAAGGCATGGGTCACGAACCTCATTTACTGTTCCAAACATTTGATATGCACAAGAACCTGCAGGAAAATGGCACGATGAAGATCAGTGGTTGGAAATAGGTTTTGAAGGGGCACAACTTTGGGTGCGAGATTTTGGGCAAATGTGTCCTTGTAGCCCGTTATTATTGCCCGAGGCAGTTGACATGAAAACGGCCCGGACTACTCTGTTAATTTGGGCGGTGAGATGTCCATTTGGGCCGGTCGAAGGGAAGTGCAACCATCGAGGTTTGTAGTTTATACAAAGACACAAGTCCAGATGGCGAAACCAGCCGGGGAAACCGTCTTTAACGCTTTCGGTCCTCTCTGACCGACGAGCATACAATAGCTTCAGCATGCCTCAAATACCGCATTGGCGTTGGGGCATGAAAACATGCCGTGTATTGTCCTAGGGTTTGATGTATATCAACCTGACACTGTCCCGCCTCGGAAAGGTAAAGCGTCAGTCGAAAAAGTCCCCGTGATGGCGTGACATTACAGCTCGCCGGAACTGCGGAACCGTGTGCGAAAATTGCAGTAGAATACCTATCTCATTGAGCCATGTGGGTGATAAGTGTGCTGACTGACAGGTTGGAGTAACGCCTATGGTATTCGCCCAAACATAGCCATGCGGCTATGGTGAACCCCGATGTGGTTATCAAGGGATAACAAAAGGATCTATGAGGAACTGGGATTGCTTTGCCGGATAGACAAGATTAGGGAATCCCGTGGTGGGTTTAACGTACCCGAGCACTCCTGCTTTCAGCCTAAATCACTATCGATACTGAGTTAGGTACCTGATTGAGTAAGGTGGTTGACTACGAAGTCCCCAGAGAAACTCCATACAAGGGGGATCCATCATTTTCGCGTCAAGGCTGCGCTCACCCATGAATCCCCAACTCCTCATCCTTGAAAATGATAGAGAATTCCACATGCAGCAATTTCGTTGCAGATCCATCCCAAGACTTTATTCCCCCTCACGCGCCTGATTGCGATATTCTGTCATTCGTTCGACATCCAGCCGTGCCTGCCAAAACACATGTTGTCATAGCTCGCTAACGGGCACAGGAACGTACGAGTCAGATCGAGCGAGTATTCTTCTACACGGCATTATCCCGCACGCCGGTTTCTCGACAAAGATTGCACGCTGCTCGAGACCGTCTCCACGGAGGGGACATCATGATCATCCCCTGTTGGCTTGGTTGTGTGACGCTGCCAGAGTCGGCCCAGCAGTGCAATATTTGTACACAATCTTTCTGGTCTGCCTCTGCTCCCCCAGAGTCCAATTTGTCTGCAGGTCCGACCTACACCGGTGTTCAACGTGAAAAACACGACAGACCCATAATTCACCGTTGGGGTCACATGAGCGCCCTGATGGTCTACAAGGCTTATGTATGTACGAGAGGGAGAAGTAAATAACGTCCTGTGGATTCTGGGCGAAAGGACACTGTTCCACACCCCACAGCTCCACCATGGTAACGTAGCTGCATGATACTCCAGACAAACAGGTGAGCTGTCAAACCCCATATCAGACGATCCAATGAACATTGGCCGGTTGGCCTCCCAATTACCCAAAGAGGGCATCCGAAAAACTTGGAGAAGGGGCATGACGCTGGTGGACTTTTACCCTCCCCTTGAAGTCATAGGCTATTGTCGATCATCTCTCTTGTCGAGTCTAAGCAATTGTATTGGGGACTTCCCGACTACTTTTCCTTGTCTGCGCGAGGTCTGCGAAAAGATGCATTTCGGACTGTCAGCCGGCGACATCACTGCTGGTTCGGAGATCCTGGCCATCTCGGAAGTATATATGGCCTACACTGCACGAATGGTCTTCGTCATTCTACTTCTAGCTCGTCTGTAAGCATTGTTTACTGCGTGAGGAGCCACTTTGTAGCTGTTCGATTGTGAAGGACAGGTCTGAACGGCACTTACTATCCCCTGCTACAGATTGCAACACACGCACGCCGGAACCACAGCTCCATTATGGGACGCAAATACTTGGGAGGTTCAGGCAATGCCTTGACCATCTGGATATCGCTAGCTGCGTCCACTGTGCTCATCTTCTATGGTTATGACCAGGTACCCATCTATCCAATGAACCTGATTCATTGCTCTCATTGCTGACGCGCCCATCTGCGCACGTAGGGTGTCTTTGGAAATGTTCTAGTATCTCAGAACTTTCTTGACCAGATGGGCAATCCTTCCGCAAAGGATCAGGGGACCTTGACCTCGGTAAAGAACCACATTATCTCTCAAGACCGGTTATTGTATAGCGCTAACAACGACATCAGGTCTACAATCTTGGATGTTTCGGTGGAGCGTTATCGACATTGTACACCGGTGACAGGCTTGGACGACCCCGGACACTTCTGTTGGGCAGCAGCGTCATCGCCATCGGCGCCGTGGTACAGACCGCATGTTGGTCCAAGAACCAGATGTACGCAGGAAGAGTGATTGCAGGTCTCGGGACGGGAATGAACACCGCGACAGCCGGTGTATGGCAGTCTGAGACGAGTAAAATGAGAAGTCGCGGAAAGTTGATCATCATTCAGATGGCCAACTGCATTACCGGCTTCTGCCTTTCGAACTTTCTCACCTTGGGTTTCTCATTTGCGCCCGGCAGCGTCTCGTGGAGATTTCCTCTGGCTTTTCAAGGCTGTAAGATCCCCTCGCATCAATAACAAAAACGATCATCGAGCTGACCTTGAGCTTCTTATAACAGTTTTCACCGCTCTGATATGGTGCATGTGCCCGTTCCTACCAGATTCTCCTCGTTTGCTCATCCGCAAGGGCAAGTACGATGATGCGCTGGAAGTCCTAGCCGCCCTCGAAGGAAATGGTGCTACAGCACACTCGTCGTCCGTTCGCGCGCAGTTCAACAACATCAAAGATGTCCTGGACAAAGAACATGCAGACACGTATACCTGGGTTCAATTATTCACAGGACGTGGACCCAGCGGTGTTCTTCGCCGTGTCATCCTTGGGGCTTGGATGCAAGCAATGAATCAGATCTCAGGTATGTCATGCCTGATATTGTGGACACAAGAGTTCAACCTAGCTAATGCAGTCTCATAGGCATAAACGTAAGCACCGCACCATTTACCTTGACTTTGGAGTGGAGCCTCTAATATCACGTCGCTTAGGTTACCTCGTACTATATGACATACGTCTTCATCAATTCGCTGGGCTATGACACGTTGAGGTGAGTCAAGCAGACGGCTGACAGGTAAATCTGAGAGACCTGCAGCAAAAGCTGATAGGAGACATGTAGAGCTCGAATCCTCGCAGCGGCTGGCTCCGTCGATTACCTGATCTTTAGTTTCCTCGCATATTTTGTGATCGAACGATATGGCCGAAGAAGGGTCATGATGACATCTGCAGCGGCCTGCTCGACATGCTGGATCATGATTAGTATCGCAACCGGGTTGACGGAGCACGGTCAGGGTGACAAGTTCAAGCTAGGTGCTCTCGCGGTCTCCTTCTTCTTTGTAAGTTCATCAACATCGCAGTTTGTTGGAGAGCTGGCGACGGAGTGGACGTTCGAATATCGGATTCGAGAAGCAAAGTCTGGTCAAAACATTGGAACGAGAAGCTAATCGCGGTGCTCCGCAGGTCTTCTTCGCATCCTTCGCACTGGGTGTTCTCGGTGTCCCAGTAAGTCTACCTGTCATCTTTTGTGAGCAATAAACGACGTTAACTCACCTCACCATAGTGGCTCTATCCCACCGAAGTCAACCACCTCTCGTTTCGCGCCAAGGGGGCATCCGTCGCAATGGCCACCAACTGGATTATGAACTACATGGTCGCTCAAGTGACACCTCCAGGGATTGACAACCTCGGCTATCGATTCTGGATCATCTGGGCCGTGATCTGCGCGTCTTTCATCCCAACCACGTACTTCTTCTACCCCGAGACGGCGAACCGCACGCTCGAAGATATCGATCGCTACTTCGCAGAGCACCGCAACATCTTCGTGCATAGAGATAAGGTTGCGACACAGCTGAGGCGGCCCGAGCAGTGGGAGCAACTGGATCGTGAATTCACACGGCTCGCCGAAGAGGAGAAGATCCGCAGTGGCCAGGTTGATGTCGAGGCTGGCGCGATCGATATGGAGAAGGACGGCGATCGAGTCGTCTATCTAGAGAAGTGAGGTGTGGCTGACGAAAGCAGCGAACCCATGAAGGAGGGTGAGGATACGTGGTTTAAGGAAGATGTGAACGTGATGTGGATGGAGCAGGATGGAAATGGCTTGCAGCCTGGGCAAAGATGTGTAGCCATTGGTTTCGAAGAAGCTTCATCTTCCATGCCTGGCAACTAGATGACTAGATGTCCAAGTGAGGCACTAAAGTCACCTTCCGATGCACTTACCTTGCATCCCGAGGATTGATATCTCGAGATACTACTCATACTCTCAAGCAAAGGCACATGACTCGATTTTGATTGCGCGCACACGCACGTGATGATGACCAAGCCAAGGCACGTGTCTGTCAAAAGAGGCGGTGTATTCATAGTGAGCACGACTGTCTCAGCCGAAACGGATCGTCCGTTGCAACGGAAAGGCGCCCATGGCTCCATGAGTGGTTTGAAGCCTGTGTGCTTGGTGCAAGGATGACCGCATAGTCATCACTTAGGCGCATCAATGATGATTGTTTTCCTGTTCGAGGTACTCATGAAATGCCATTGTTTGATGGTCCAATGGACGTACGATGGGCAAAACCCAGGAAGGAGAGCTCTCCACCTGTCCTTCGCAGCCTGATAAAATGCTTGTAATGAGCGGTATGGTCCTCGCGTGCTAGAACAGCCATATTTCAACGCGCAGTTTTCTTACTGCTCTTACATTATTATCACGGACGAGTAACGAGTAACGTGACGCGAAAGTCCCCGCCTGCGTCACACTGGCTTCGCTATGCTCTTCGGAGGGGAATAATACTTTCGGCGCATGAATCACGAAAAGGGTATCACAGTTTTCGGATTACAGATGTGGGCAATCTCGTACAGGTTCTTGGAAAAGTGTGGCGAGGATGGCCATTGCAATGAATGCCACCAGGTTATACTGATTTGAACGAGTATCTGGAGAGAATAGGGCAACGAATGGGCGGCGGTAGGGATGGTAAGACGTGGTAAGAGTCAATGACGAATGAGGTAGAGCAAGTGATAGGCGGCGATAACAGCAGAGAGTTCCAGTCACGACACGCAGGTGTAGGTCTTGAAACACGCGAGTCGACCTTGAGGCGATAGATCAGAACGAGAGACAACGACAAGGTCGGTGGAGAGGAGGCAAGGAGGGAGAGGCGAAGGGTGACGGCTTCGAGGGAAGGAGGACGAGCAGGCGATAATGGGCCCAATCGGAATGGCTGCGTCTTGGATAATCAGTGCAGGATCTCCTTGTATTGAAGGATGTTTTATCGAATAAAATGGGTGGAAAGCGAGCAAGATACAGGTGGAGGAAGGATTAAACCGAGCAGTGAGACTGGCGGGTAAGGTAAAAGGTGCAGAATGCAGACTGCAGACTGCAGCTGTGATGGAGACTCGAGAAGCGCAAAGAACACAGGTGGTAAAAAGTCGCAACACCTTGGAACAGGAAGACCCGCTCACACAAATAAGACAGCTTAATTTCTTGCCCGCCCGTCTTTAGCCTGCGCCAGAGAGTCGTCGAGTGGACGCTATGGCTTTGGAGAAAGTGTAGCAAGAATCGAAGCGAGCATTGTTGATTGAATGAATTCATAAGGGTGACATCTCCGTGAAGGGAAGAGTGATCCGAGGTTGCTCTCGAGCGAAGGAAACATGATGAGGCAAGAGGGCAAAAAAGGTCGAGAAAAAGTGAGAGCAGAGAAGGGTGGGCAGGAAAGAAATGGGAACTTGGGAAGAAGAAGTTGGGCGTCACAGGCAGACCACCAGAAGGACGAGGGGGTCCGTGGGAGCCCTCGGCCGTTTTGATGAGTGCCGGCCAGCCCAAGCAGGGCAGGAATTAGTTACGAGGAGAGCTTAGAGGCTCGTAGCACGCACATCCCATCGAGAAAACCTCGAACCTTCTCAGGGAGATGGACCTATGAAAAGTGAGAAGGGGGAATCAAGGAAACCGAGAAAAGTCGAGGCAACAGATGCTCATCTCTCTGCCTGACCATGAAAGCCAGTGGGATTGTGTTCGGATGTCTTAGTGCCGCCCTGCCGCCTATTCACTGGCTGGCTGTTCACAGGGTGGACTCCTTTCTAAATTCTCGTCCTTGCTGTTCCAAGTTTAGCCTCCCGAGTCCCCTCCATGAACACTCACGGGTGATGCTTAACGCTAGGCCTGGTTGGTATGCCTATGCCATTGTCAGTGGCCAGTGGCCAGGCAGTGGGCTCTCTGGCACTTCTCAACTGTCCACGCCCGCGCCCGCACCCTCGCCTGCACTGCACTGCACTGCACTCTGTCGCCCATGCCCTACCCATCCATGCCCGTGCCCATGCCCATCCTACCCGCGATTTGTGTCTGTGTTTGGTGTCTCTTGGTCTCTTGCGGCTGCTCACTGGTGCTGCCATCATCGTAATGGAGTCTTGGGGGTAAGAGAACTTTCTGCGCTGGGGTGCAGGCATCTCTGGTCTTTGGTCCCCTACCTTGCCTCTCTGTGTCTCTGACTCTCTGCCCTCTGCCCTCTGCCCTCTGGTCTGGTCTTTGCGTCTGCTCCTTCGATCTTGTCACTCATTTCACCTGGTCTTTTCGCGCTCCTCCCTTCTCTTGTCCCTCCCTCCATTCTTCCTCGTCCTTTCGTCTCATCCCTCTCCCTCTTTTCTTCTTCAATCAGAGTCTTTATCCATCGACTTCAACCATCAAATCTCTCATTCTCAACATCGGTCTCGCTACGTTGCCTCTCTACCTCTCTCCATTTGTGTCCTCAAAGTTCTCTCCCATCCTCCACCCGACTCTTCCTCTGGGCCTTTCCACCACCTACATCAACAACTCGAACTCGACATTCACGTTCCCGCCTAGCTGGAAAAGGCTTAAAACCATCAGAAAAGTTCATCTACACGCCTTCCAGATCCGTTCCTGACCTTTCCTGGCCTTTGCGACCCTTTGGCCACTTCTGCGCCTAGTTGACCACCTGGTCGAGCCAGTGTTCCACCATCCCTACCAGGTTCTCGAAGTCGCAGACGCCTCAGACGTCGAACTCGTCATAAAGGGGATCATACTCATCACGCTACGATTTTCTGAGAGCGCTAAATATCTCGCGTCGATTCGTGCTTCTCCTGCTCCTCCAGAGATTCACTCTTTGCCAGTGATGTGCGGAATGCGACACGCATTCTCATGACCACATCAACCACATCAACCCTATCTTTTCTATCAATGAGGAGGTACTCTGTCAGACTATGACAGAGTCCTCCCTCCTTACCACGCATTCGATACCGAACCACTATCCGGTCACCGCTGCCCCTTCTCTAGCCTCTCCTCTGCCTGATGGCTCTCTTTCAGATACCAACGCGCGAGACGAGGAGGAGTACACCATCAAATGCATCTGTAGCTATACCGATGATGATGGCAGCACAGTCTACTGCCCAAAGTGCGATACCTGGCAACACATCTTGTGTTTCTACAATGATCGCAAGGTGCCAGACGAGCATTTTTGCGTAGATTGCCTCCCTCGAGATCTCGACGCCAAGAAAGCAACTGAACGGCAGAGGCGACATCGAGAAGGCCTTGACGATGGCAGTGACCGGAAGGCCAAGCGGCCTAGTTCCAAAAGTCAAAAAAAGAAACACAAGGACAGCAATGCTGCTGTCGAACAGGTCAACGGCTGGCACACCCACGACCGCCACGAATCTGTCGCCAGTGCAAGAGATCTCCCTCCTGCGAAAAAGCCAAAGACAAATCATCGTACATCTGGTTCCATTGTTTCCATGAATGGAGAGTCACGGAAACGCGCTGCGTCCACGGTTCAATCCTATCCCAGTCCTTCCAAATCCCCACAAGATTTATTCCGTTTCCCTGTCATTCCCACCTACACGACCGAGTTTTTGGAGCTCTACGAGCGTGATGAGGGCAATGCTGACGCTCGAGACAACGAGCAGACCATCAAAGCTGCCAATCAGCTCTCAGCGTGGCGTTCCGATCCTTCCTTGATCGTGAGTGGACCTGGACAACAGCCAACCCAACATTCGCCCTTTGTGCGCCTCAACAGACCCCTTGATCCCGTCACCTTTCCCAAGGTTACCATCGAGACCGTACAAAAGACCGACGTCGAGATAGAAGGACGACACCCCAAATGGCGATACCTCCGGATTCAAACTCCTGTCAAGAAAGATGAGATTGTGGGTGAAGTTCGAGGTCAAATCGGTATGTTGGAAGAGTATTGTTCACAGAGATCGACCTCGAATCGTTGGAATGAACTTCGCCATCCGGACCCTTTCGTCTTCTTCCATCCCCATATGCACGTCTACATTGATAGTAGAACAACTGGGACCGAGTTTCGATACCTACGGCGCTCCTGCAGACCTAACGTGACCCTCAAGACTTTTATCTCGGACGACGACGAAACGCATCATTGCTTTGTCGCCAGCAAAGATATTCCCGCAGGATCCGAACTGACCACCATATGGTTCTTGGGAGATGAGATGAACCTCGACGGTCCACATAACGACTCGGAGCAGGCACAAAGCCGGCGACTGGACTGGGTGAGCCGTGTTTTGGCCAATTTTGGAGATTGTGCTTGCGAAGGCAGTGATCCATGTCGATTGGCTGGTCTAGATCGTCGAGTTTCGGCGAGAGCATTGGAAGCGCCTCCCAAAGACAAGGCAGGCAAGAAAAAGAAGAGTAAGAACAAAAATGCCATTTCGCCCTTGAGTACAGGACATGCCACCAACAGTCGTGCAGGAAGCGAGCCCAAAGTTCAAGACGAAGACGAACACTTCGACCGCCGATCGACGACCGATTCCTCTCGCAGCGGTGGTCCTAGTCGAGACATCACTCCCGTCAACGTTGCTGCCCTCGACGCAGACCCAGTTCTCAATGGTGAGCTGACCGCGCGTGAGTTGCGCAAGATCCAAATGGCGGAGAAGGCATTTGCCCTTCGAGAGCAAGAAAAGAAGGATCATAACGGACAAGCTCAACAACGCAAGAAGAAGCGGACAAGCGGTGGATCAACATTGAACACCCCCAATGTGAATTCATCCAAGCAAATTGGGCATTCACATGGTTCACACCCTCCGACTCCAAGTGCGTCGAGGATGAATGGCACCACTTCTGCCTCACCCCCACCGCACAAGGGCCATCTAGCATCTGGGAATGTCCTGGGTCGGTCTGACACAAGGAACTCCATCCCAGCCCCTCGACCTGTGTACGTGAGTATTGCCATTCAGACGGATCCCGAAGAGAACGAGCTACCAATGCCACCCATCAAAAGAAGGAAATTTTGTACGCCCACACAACGCTTGCTGAGAAGGCTGTTGGAAGATCGTGCTAAGCATGGTCAACGTCTCCCCGAGCAAACGTCACCCTCTCCCAAAGCTCCTGGTCAATCTCAACAAGAGCCAGCTGATGTGGAAATGGGAGATGCACCAAGCGGTGTTTCTCCCACTACTTCAGCAACTACTGCGAGAGGTCATCCAGTCAAGAGCCCCGACAGTTCAATTAATGTGGGAACTTCGACTTATCCTCTGCCATCCCAAGCCGCACATACTCACATACCGTACAACACTTCGCCTCGACCTCAATTGTCTACTCTTCCTCCGGTGCCGGTCTTCACCTCGAATGGAACACCTTCCAGTTCGGTGGCCAATGCCCACACAGCGGCGTCAACCTCGACCATGGCACAGTCTCCTGGTGCACTCAACCTAGCTCCAAGTGTGATTTCAATTGTGACACCAAGTCCTGCTCGCAAGAAGTTGAGCCTTGGTGACTACATGAGTCGACGCAATATGGCCTCAACCCCGACTAGTGAGAAGACTCAGAGTCACGGCGGACTCAACGGTGTGGATACTGAGATGACTCGGGACGGTGAACAGGCTCGATCGTCGCCTGGAGCTCTGGACTCATCACCAGCCAACATGAGGCCCAATGATGAACTTGCTCAACAGGCAGCAGCTCAGGGAGGGCTATCTGGCAGTGCAGTAGACGACACGTCGATGAAGGATGAGAGTGATGAGCCCGAGTACAGCCCACCTGGGGCGTCACCTTTGGCATCGTCGATTGCTGAGAGCAACAAAGAAGACCCACAAATTCCCACCAATGCACGAATTGGCATTGGGTCGACAGCTTCGAATATGCCAGCACACCTTACCCAGGTCAGTGGCAAGTGAGGTTGGGCGGATTGTATGATAAGCAGTCAGACCAGATATCGATTTCGCATTGTCGGTGGTGGGAAATTAGAATTGATGCCGTACCCAAGGATCCGGGAAGGCAAGGATGACGAGGTGTTACCGATAGGATGGTCTTGGTGGGACAAAAAGTTCAAGACAGAACTGGATACGACCAGGCATGGTCTGATAACGATTTGCATGCGTGGCGTTTTTGCGGTACGGGTGGTGGCTTTTTTTCAATGTGGCTCAGTTTGAGTGAGAGGACTATGATTCCCAAGTTTATTATGTTTCTCTTCGGTGGGAATACAAGCACCAGGCAGTCCTGAGTGTGAACCGATGTGTATGTATATATTATTGAACTCTAAGCCTCCGAGGCTGAGATGGCATGGCACTTGGACGATAACAGGAGAGGCCTCCATTCTGGATGGACTAGACTTGATCTGTTGTTGACCAACTACCTGCCCACAGGGAGAACTGAAGCCAATCTGCAATGAATGAAATCCTTCTCTCACATATTCTTGGTTGCCACCACTGATCAATAATAGCCAAATTACCCCTCGATATTTCCTCCGGACTATCTCCCAGCGAAAAGAAAGATGCCCCTCTATCATCATCCTTGAGGATACCCACCTTTTTCATCCATCTTCATTTGAAAGAATGCCTATGAGCTCCACCACTCGATTACTACGGTTCCCCATAATGCCATGAAATCCCTTCCCTGCCACAGTCCAATTACTCGGAAGATTTGAGGACCCTGGCCCTTCAACAGTTTTGCTCTTCTCCAACTACCATCCCAAGAACTGGACATCACACCCCGCTTATGACATCGGTCGTTTAAGAAGTCCAGAGTGTGGTCTTCACATTAGAGAATCTCGGAATATTATTTTTTTTGTTTTGTCGAAGAATCCATCCGATGTCTATCCTGTGAACTACAGTCCTATATCTTTCTCATATCGTGTTTTTATTTCGGAATTTTATCTTGCTTGGAGCTTCTGCTATCCCAATCTAATTCAAAAAAAAAACACACTCCCACCACGCTCAACTGTTCGTTTCTCACAACCAATACAGAAAGCAACCATGGCACAGATCCCCTTCAGTGGCGTACGGACGCCGACGCGGCAAAACTCGGTCGACGTGCGCAACGAAGTCCACGTCCAGCAGAACCACTACATCGGCATCGACGTCGGCACCGGCAGCGCACGAGCCTGCATCATCAACGAGGCCGGCGACATCGTTGGCCTCTCATCCGAGAACATCGGGCTCTGGCAGCCGCAGACGGGTTATTACGTGAGTTTGTTCAATCAACACATACATATACACACTACGCCTCACAACATTAGAAACACAACCCCACTAACCACCGCTGGTGACGACAGGAACAATCGACCAACGACATCTGGCGCTGCATCTGCAACTCGGTGCACCGGGCGATCGCGCAGAACAACATCGACGTGCACTCGATCCGGGGGATCGGGTTCGACGCGACGTGCTCGCTGGCGGTGTTCACGCACGACACGGACGAGCCGGTATCGGTGACGGGCCCGCACTTCGATGCCGCGGCCAACGACCACAACGTCGTGCTGTGGCTGGACCACCGGCCCGTCGACGAGACCAAGCTTATCAACGCCACCAAGCACAACCTTCTGCGCTACGTCGGCGGCACCATGAGCATCGAGATGGAGATCCCCAAGGTCCTGTGGCTGAAGAATCACATGCCCAAGGAGCTCTTCGACCGCTGTAAATTCTACGATCTGACCGACGCCCTCGAGCATATCGCCACGGGTAACGAGAAGAGGAGCTTCTGCTCCGTCGTCTGTAAGCAGGGCTATGTCCCTGTCGGCGTGGACGGGAGTGTCAAGGGCTGGCAGGAGGATTTCCTCACCGAGATTGGTTTGCAGGATCTCGCCGAGGATGATTTCAAGCGGATGGGTGGAGTCAATGGGGTGGTGAGCCTATTTCTTTTGCGATTTCTTTTGTTTTTATTATCCACGTTTTTTTCCCCATTTAAATTGTTTGTTGACATTTTGTCACCTCCTATGTTGCGAGCAAGAACCTTGTTGACTAACGTCTGTCTTTCACCGTCTCGCAGAATGGCGAGTACCTCTCCGCTGGTGAACTCGCCGGCCACCTGTGCGAGAAGGCCGCGGCCGACCTCGGTCTCCCCGCTGGAATCGCCGTTGGCAGCGGTGTCATCGATGCCTACGCAGGCTGGATTGGCACTGTGGGAGCCAAAGTGAACCTCTCAAGCGACCATCTCGACTCCAGCCAAGCGTCCAACGACCAGTCCCAAGCCTTCACACGTCTTGCCGCCGTCGCAGGCACGTCGACCTGCCATTTGGTGCTTTCACCAGACCCCGTATTCGTGCCTGGTGTCTGGGGCCCGTACAGGGACAGCATCATTCCAAATTTCTGGATGGCCGAGGGCGGTCAGTCAGCGACGGGCGAGCTGTTGAAACACGTCCTCGAGACACATCCCGCATACAACCAAGCGCTTGCCATGTCGGAATCCTCGTCCAGCAATATCTACGACTATCTCAACCAGCACCTCCAGGATATGCAGGAGAGAACATCCGCGCCCTCGATCAGCTATCTCGGACGCCATTTCTTCTTCTACGGTGACCTGTTTGGCAACCGCTCACCCATCGCCGATCCGACCATGTCCGGCTCGGTGGTCGGCCTCTCGAGTGACAAGTCTCTCGATGGTCTTGCGTTGTACTATTACGGCACGATGGAGTTCATTGCCCTGCAGACGCTGCAGATCATCTCGACGATGAACAAGGCCGGCCACAAGATCAGCTCCATCTTCATGTCGGGCTCCCAGTGTCAGAACGACATCCTCATGTCTCTCGTCGCCACTGCGTGCGACATGCCTGTCCTTATCCCCCGCTATGTCCATGCCGCCGTCTGCCATGGTGCAGCCATGCTCGGTGCAAAGGCTGCCAGTGCCGATGCTAACGGCAAGACCGAAGATCTCTGGAGTATTATGGATCGCATGAGTAAGCCCGGGAAACTTGTTCGTCCGACGACAAATAAGTCCGTCAAGCCGCTACTTGAGGTCAAGTATAAAGTCTTCCTCGAGCAGTGTGAGCGCCAACGGGAGTTCAGAAGGATGGTGGATGACGTCACACAAGCCTCTTCTTCATGAGTGGGTGTCCCAGATCGTACCATTTTTGGACTGAAGGAACTAGAAGGCTATGTTCCGAGGGGTGTTAGAGTAAGTACAAAGTACCAAAGATAGAGATATATAGCCTGGATGCTGCATTTGTCAGGCAAATTGTGTCACAGCCCTGACATGACGTCTGTTTTTATCTCAAGTCCATTCGAATCGTGAGTCGCGACGCTGTTCATCAGTGTCAGGAAGCGGCTGCGCATTGGATATAATCACGGTGTGAGGATCGTGATGATGAGAGTGACCCGGATGGTGCAGCCGCGGACCCAGTGCAGTTGGCACTGACTGATCACCATGGTTTGCACTCTCCACTTGTCGCGGAGTAGATGAATTCTGTCGTAGACCCAAAATGTCAAACTTGCACAATGGACAATCATGATGTCCCCTCTCCACCCACAGATTCAAACACGCTGAGTGGTAGACATGACCGCATTGTAATTCGCGGATCTGCTCGTCTTCGCCGATGAGATCTAAGCAAATGGCAGTGCTTGGTGGGTTAGTTGTTTCTCCGAGTGTGTAAGTACGTAGAAGGGTGAAAACACTTATCAAATGAGCTTGGTGGAAACCGTTGCAAAAGTCTCAACCTTGGTGAGGAGTTTCTCAGCCCGCCAATCATGGAGAGACTGAACGGGTGCAACTTGTTCTAGTTTCCTCAGCCTTTTGCGATGTTTGGCCTCGGTCGCGTCTGGTCCGGATTCGGGGTCATCGACCCGCCATGCAGAGTCGGATATTATTGAAGATGCGGTGTCTGTGTCGATCTCGCTCCTGCGGAAACAGATGTAAAAGACGCCGAGGCTTCATCAAAATGGTTGACCATGTTAGTAACCCACGACAAGAAGCGGAATGTCTGAATCCCCGACCACAAAGACTTACGCAATACCAAGAATGATAAATGTCGCTGTGGCCACACTGACGCTGAGAAAGACGATGTGGGAGTCTAACAGCTCGCTTAGGGGTCTGGTAGAATCGAGGTCGAAGGGTTCATGACTAGGCGAACCGTCCACAGGCTTGATAAAAGGCAGAGAGGACTGGGCAGTCGTCTCATGAAGAAATCGTTGGGTCGGGATATACATCTTGATCGAAACGACGACAGACATGAGAGAGATGGTTAAAGGTCATAAATGTTCGATTTAAGCTGGTTGAGGTTTGGGACGAATAATAGAATTTATTCCCGATGAGGGAGACACAAACGTATTTCACCTTGGGACATCCGCACAGCCGTCGTGGTGAAGGAGAATGAATGACCTCTCCCTGTCGTTTCGGATAAGCCACGGAGGGTGTCAATGAGCATGTAGATTGCGCAAGAGATTCGGAGCCACGGCTTGAACGTGACCTATTCGTGGATAAAATCCTGCTGACTCGGATGTGGGAGATGCGACCTGATCTAAAACTTGAACACGAGGCGTATTGGCCCTTTAGAGGCTTGGGGTTCAAGAGCAGGGCATGTGACAGAGAAGGAACAACGAGACATTGGCGAGGACCGGTTCTTGGGTTGCCCATCGAACGTGCCAGAACGGAGTAGGCGACATCCTATCGTCGAGCGTAGATGCCAATAGATAAGTGGTGTGATATGATATGATGGCTCCGAGCTGCCAATTAGGCACCTTGCATGGTCAGATGCCACTGTGAGTTGGTCGAAGCTTCGAGATGGACCTTCAAGTTGAGTCTTTGAACGATTGGCAATCCTTGGGGAAAGAACCGTCCAAGTCTGACACCGTTGACAGCCAGGGTGGTCACGATTTTATGTGAAGCTTTATAGTATAGTTGCATATCAGATCAGTCTGACACGTTAGTTCTAGAAGCCTTTTCCCCGCCTCGAACTACGTAACTTACCTAGGTACGATAGATACCTAACCTTAGGTAGTTGCACTGGTCGTGCCGTTTACCTTCCCGAAGCTGCGAAGCAGCACCGGGCGGGAGGGCCTTCGGGCAGTTATCCCGGCTCAGCCTGCCAAATTTAGACCCCGTCCAACTAAAATGCCAGGTGCTACTGGGAGGCTCGAGACATAAAGTACAAGGCTCCGCACTCTGAATGTCGGCGCCGCAGCACTTCTCCAAGGTTTGTCACCTAGCATTTCTTCAACGTATTAATAATAATATTATTTTTCACAAAGATCTTCTATTCTTGTTGCCTGTTTAGGAATTTTAAGTGCTAGTAGATGCAGGTGTATATCTCAATTTAGTATCATAAGTACCAAATCACTCATAAAGAGGCGTCGGTGCTAGGCATTACGTCAATATTGAGCCAATCCCTATGCCTTGACACAGACCAGTCGTTGCAGCCCCGTCGCTCTAATCTCATAAGGCATCCATCGCATGACCTGGGACTGTTGTAAAGGGGAAATTCCCTTCGTGTACACTGAGAGGGCGCCCACTCCCATTGAACCGGATTATCGATCAAAACAAAGATTTTCCCAAGCTTGAGGACGTTCACCACAGGCAAATCAACCCCTCATTTCGTGTGATCCAGGTGAGAGACTATGATGTTTCTGGGCTTCATTGTAAGCGATCTGTTGGCGAAGTCTCTCCTCTTGGTCATCAATCTGCTCGAGTTGCCTTAGTCGTTCTCTGCGTTCTTGCAGCCTTGCTTGCTCACCGCGAAGTCTTTCACTCTCGAGGTCGATGGCCGGCACTACTCCATAAGACATGTTCGGGTACGTTTGTGGCTTAGCAGAGGGTAGTGGACTCCGTGTAAGTGCTATCTCGGTGTTCTTGGAGACCCCTTGTTCGTCTCGATTACGCTTCTGCCGCCGACGAAATAGGCAGAAGGCAAAGAATCCGAGGATGATGCTGAGAACACCGAGTGATACGCCAACGCCAATTCCAATCTTGGCAGCCATAGATAAACAGATTCACCAGATGGCGCGGATGTGGGTATTGGCATGGATGTGTTTGTGGACGTCGCTGAGGAGCTGGAGGACGCTGTACCATAACCACCAGCGAGTAATACACCTTGACTTAAGGGGTGTGTTTCGAAAACAGATAAATCCGACGCCTGCCATCGAACCTGTATTCCAAACGCAGCGGAAGAAGTTGTAGTATAGGTGGTAGTCTCAGTAGAGGCAGTGGCTGTATAGGTGATTGTGGCTATAGAAAGGGGGATACCTTCATAGGTGAGTGTCTCAGTACTGGGAGTGAATGTATAGGTGTATGTCTCTGTAGAGAATACAGTACTCGATAGCGGGGACGAACACCAGGATGGATAATCGTCGTCGCACAAATACTGACTATGCCTTGTGTTAGCACTCACTCTGACTTCCCAAGCTGCTCGGGGCGTACCTAGGACAACACATGATGGCTGTTTCTGATGCCAGTAGTGGTGGGCCATAACTTTCCCCTGCACCAGGCCTGTCGCAAGCACCGGTGTAGCCACTAGGACAAATAGCTGGCGAGAAATACCTAATGTAATGGCCCTTTGTACTTGAGAACCAATACTCGTCAAAATTGGGGACCATGCAGGAGGTAGTATAATATCTGGAAATTCCTATAGCACAGTATCCACCGGGAGGCGTAAACACAGTTGTTATGGCTCCCACTGAGGCCCAACTATGAGGCTCGGTTGTGATTAGAGAGGTCGGCATTATAACAGCTGATGAGGGCACTCAACATTGGACTCTTAAGTACAAAGTCTGTGTCTGAGACCACCCAATGGTTACGAGGCTGGAAAGTTTTGTTCGTACAGACGTGAGAACCTCGACCAAAAGGAAAGGGGTCCATCTCGTATTTACTTACAACAATAGCTCCTGGCTTGCTCGGGTGGAAGTTCGCCGGTTTCCTGGACCTGTATCGCTCCGTGTCACGTAATGCTGGCATATATGATGGTTCAATTGGCCGGGCCTATGCAGTCAAAGCTCCCGCACGAGGCTGTTTTTGCAAGCGAGTGAAAGCAGCCTGAACTTTGGGCTATCGATTAGATTCACCATCATGTGCTGGGTCTATGCCTGCCTGGCATATGATTACCTTTGCTATATTTCTATACCGCTGCGTGAACCTGCCGAAGCCTCGACTTCAGATTCCCTCGCCAGCATCTGAGTTATTCTACTGAAGAGGGTACAAGAGCTGGAACAGAAGTTCCTTTAGCTTCTGGATGGTTCGTCCTCTTAACTTAACACAACCCAGAATTTTCTCAAAATCTTGATGCACTCGATACCGTATCCACATCTCATGAACAACTTTCTCGGGCCAGTCAAGCCTTTTCGCAGCGGCTTTTAAGGCCAAAGGGTTAGAGTCCATTTCGATTTTAATAGCTGCTTGTTTCAACTTTGGTAGGTCGCAATCTGTGATACTTCCAACGTGAGCCATTGCCGCCATGAAATACTTGTCTTTCAATGGGGACGGACAGTCGTTCTCGGTCAGTTCCGAGTACTGTCGCATACCAGATGCTCTCATCATGGCTCGCGATACTCCTTTAGGAGAGAAAATAGAGATGCCTATGTTTTACGTTACATCAGTCTCGAAAGTTAGATAGCTATCATGGAAATTCGAAAACAGGGCGATGGATGACCGGGGAATACATACAATCGATAACCACATCTTCAGGTCCTCCATTATCTTCTGCCACCAAGCCACCTAAGTATTCGCCCCGCGAGGCGGTCAAAACAAATTCGGGTCGGTCAGTGAATAGTCGCATCAGGCGAAGGTGAAGCCATAGCCTTCGAGGGTGCAAATTGCACACCAGCTTGAGACGTTCTCGCCGCATATTCTTTTGTGTTTCTTCGCTCTGTGTCCGAACTGCATGGTTCGTCCATATCCAAAGACGACTAATTAACAGAGCCTGCGCTTCGTCACCAAGCCAGCTTCCGACAAAGCCATCGAAACCTAGTAACGTAAGCTCATGGCTTCTACAACAATATATCTTCTTACCGAGTTTCTTGTACCTGGCGCTGAATCCAGGTGGAAGAGGTGGGACTACTACAATGGACTGGGGCGTGCTTAGTGTGAATTTGGCCGTGCAATCACTCCCCAGACTCCTTGCAATTCGCTCTAGCATACCCAGATATGCCTGACGTTCGTACTCAGGCGCCCCATCCATCTTCTTAATTCCGCAGTAGTCAACACGCAAGATCTCGGGTCCTTCCTCCCGTGGCTTCTCTATAGCTATTTTGAAGCCCGGCTTTTCGGCTCCAAGGTACGACTCGAGAGCTCTTCGAAGTGCCGATGATGATTTGTAAAGAATCATGTCTGTCAGGACTGCCTCCTCAATTAAGATGGAGTTGATTCGTTGTACGAAAGTGCTGGGTAAATGGAAAAACTTGAAGGTGAATATATCCTCTGGATTGAATTTGTGTGATGAGGAAGAAGTACCGTCAGAGCAAAATCGTAGCGTCGGGTAGCTTGTAGTTGCTCTGTGGACTGGTAGATCTTCCAGCCACGAGTGAGCCTTTGCAGGGTCTTCATAGACTGAAGTCAATGACAGAATGGCAGTACGTTACATTCTAGTGATGACACCTGCCAAATTGGAAGGGAGGTTTGGAATGCCGCCGAGAAATCCGTTTCTCATCACGATCACTAGTCTGTGGTTGATGGGAGCGAAGGTATGCCAATCAGTCCAGCCTCGATGGCTACACGGTCCTTCAAAGACCCCGTACGCATTTTGAGTCAACATAAACTCTTCATCAACACTTTCAGGAGTGCAAAAGCAAAGATGTGATGTAGTCATATTCTTCCAGAACCACCTGGCGTCGGCGGGGTATGCATGATTCGTGAGCCACTCGTACCAGCATTCATGTTCTTGGCCAAGATCTACATCGATAAACGCACGCATGGTCTCAAGCCAGACGTGGTTGGGTGTCTTGATTCCTTTTTCGTGCATGTAGGCTACTAGCTCAGCTCGATCATTCGAATTATAATCATCCTTTTCGCCTTCAAATCGCTCGTGGAAGTTACGGTTGCGATAGCCCATTATAAAGATAAATTTCCGGAGAAGGTCTTTTTGGGGTCGCGCAATTAGTGTGGCTGGCTTGCCGTTGACGAAATCGTTCTCAACAGCATCAATAATCGTGGAGACACGTTGCTCCAGCTTTGACAATGCGATCTCAATCTCCGCGTCGTACATATCGGGAAGGCCGAACATCTTATTGCAAGAGCTTCGACGGAGTCGTCCTTTTGTAAAGCCGTCCTTGAAGTCGAGGACATTCACCCCTGCTCGTCTCTTCGCCTTCCCAAGAGCCTTGTCAAACTGCTGTTTGTCGACATAATCCTCGTAGTTAGGCTTCGTATAGTCGGAGTATTTGCGTAGAATGAATTGAGGCACATAGTGCTGATATTGAGACATCTATGCCTATTATGTGGTTGTGTGCGGTACAACCTGTCTCGAAGGGCCGGAGATGAAGGAATAATTGCAAGAGATGAGGACCAAGTTAGCATTCTCAAAGGTAAGACAGCTGAGACTACTTAGCCACAATCGACGCGCCCGATCATTCTTAACATTTGGCCAGGAGGCGTTGCAAGAGCCAATGACCTTCACTTCGACTCTTGATAAAAAGAATGAGTCAGTGATCCATCGGCTAGTTAGCCACTTAAAAAGCCGCTTGGTATGTCCTGCACGTTATCGATGTAGCTGGTAAAGAAAGAGAGAAAACTTATCTGCTTCTGATTGGCAGCTATCAGAATTGACGCCCAACCTAATTTTGGACCATGCCACAGGGTCTGTGCTAGGAGGTTTTTGGAGTGTTTGTAAAAGTGGCATCATGCCGAAAGCGTCTGTGTGAACCTTCAGTGAAATATCTGTAATGAGCTATATTATAGATCTCTTCATCTTGTGATGTCGAGGGATTAGAGGCCATTCATAGACAGAATAAGGAAGCTCCTATATCTTATTCGCACAAGCTTCACAGCTGGCTCCCAGCTGTAAAGGATTGGTGCAAACCCGAATGTGCTACGATAAGTTTCACAGTGGTCTTTACATTGAGCATTGCCATGTTGGATTATCCTGGATAATTGGAGGGTATTTGAGATCAAACTATATACATAAGAGGTCAAGCGCACCCGCTTAGTCCTTAGTTTCAGTGTGAGAGAGTTGGAATTTGTCTGTGAAGGGGAGGGCAGTTTCGAGAACCACTGTACTCATCAATCACACCAACAAGCTTCAATTTCAAGAATATGCTCGCCGTGTCTCGAAGAAACAGTGACTCGCCTGTGCTCAAAAGAAAACTCACAAGAATGGATGTACTGTACGACTATTATGGGCTTTCTGAGAGCTGAGGTCGAGAAACGTATGAGACCTACCAAGCTAATAGGAGTTGCAATGTATTTGAACAACACAGCAGGATATATGCTGTCCCAGTATAGTCTTGACCTAACTAATTTCCTCTCCTACTTGTCCCTACTCTCTATGAGAGAAATCATTCAATCGCCGCTAAGTCAAGCTTCGAACTTGGTTCCATGTCATACCTCATCAAGCCCTCTCCTAGTTGAAAGACCGAATTCTGAGAGATGCCTCAGCCAGTCTCACAGACTCGAGCTCCTGCCCTCTCAGTACACTGACCAGGACATTTTCTCCATTCTGGCCCACGGCGTGCACAAGCACATTCTCACCATATCCACAATCTGTCTCATCTGGCCCTGCCTCCTCGTACTGTGCGAATGATTCTTTCGTCAAGCCATTTTCCGGGTTTAACAGCACCTGCGTCGCAAATTTCCTGGCGTCTTCGTATTTCAGAAACGAACCTTCGACGTTCGTCTCCCTTGATTCTCCACTGTCGTCTTCACTGTACATGACGCTCGTCTGTACGACATGGTAGAGCGGTCTGTGGATCTTGTGGTCTTCGTCGTCCCGGAAAGCGTGCACATTTGGTGTGGTGGCGATGCCGACCCGGAATATAGTGCCGTCTTTGGCTTTGGCGTAGACAGCAAGGCCTGCTCTTCGCTTGATCCCGTGTGCGACGAATTGTTCTTGCTGTGTGTCGTACTCGACGAACCACTCCTTTTGATATCCAGCTTCAAAGAGTGTTTTGTGAGCGGCGGCTTTGGCGGCGCCTAGATTGGTGTAGGTTCCGCCAATGCGAACTTTTTCCACCTGGTCGTTGACATCCTCAAGCTGTGACAGGTGAGAGGTCGTGTAGATGACGTGGTAGAGGTTCTCAATGCGTGGTGATCCGTTCTCTGCCATAATGTCTGTGTGTGAATATGTCGCTTCGATTGATGTATCGGTCTGCGTGAGGTTTTGCTGTAGTGTTTGATATTAGCTGAGCTTACCCGTGACTTTACCTTGAGCGACAATGCTCGCTTTTGAAGACCCTGAAAGCATCGGAACGTCTTGTTGAATTCTCCACTACAAAGTTCCTTTCATCCTCATCGCTGCTCCGAAGCAGGCGTGAACCATGCACTGCCGCACAAACTGTGATGATCATGTGGTCTGATGATGAGCAAAGCCTGGTCTACTCATTCTCGAGCCACCACTCGTGTTGGGCCACGGCACAGGGTGTGCAATCAGTTTAAACTGGTAGGGCTATGCATGTGTCAGCCCATGCATATTGGTGATTGCAGGGTCTAAAGAGCCTCAGAAGTGGAAGTTTTGCACAAATGCCTCATTGGATGGATGTTGGCAGTTGAAATAAGCGGAGAACTGGCCAAAGCTCTGGTAAAGAGCGCAAAGACGAGGGAAAAGTGTTCATGAAATGACTGCAACATTTTGAGCAACCGCGGTGCTTGTTAGGGGAGGGTCGGAGCAGATCGGGAGCGTCAGACGAGCTTTTCCAACACAACCGGTTTCTACCGATGAGCGTAATCCTGAATCAAATGACCAGCCACTTCGAGCATTTCCCGTCATGATACACCACCGGTGAGGCTATTACGAACAATGGGTCCTTGATGCCTGCCGATGGTCTGATGTCTGCATGAGAATCCACACACTACTAGTCCCTGCATTCCCCGGATTTTGCTAGATTTTCCAGGTTCTCGAGGCGAGGGCGCCACATACGTGTTGGGAGCCTACAGGAAAGGTCTCTCTAATTCACGAGTGAATCATTGAAGTCACAGCCCTGGCTACTGACGCGAACTTCTGTCGATGATCTAGTAACGGGATAACGTCGAATTCATAAACTTTGGAATGGGGACTTATGGCATTTTCCGTGATGTAGTGCCTGACATATGGTAGAAATGTCAAGGGTTCAAGATGTGTTAATAGCTGGCCTTTATTCTGGCCTTCCTCAGCATAGTAAATAAAAAACGTCATCCGGGCTATGTTGATCCGTATCGAAGATCCAACAATGGTTGAAACTCTGTAGTTATTTCTAACTCGATGCCTACTCCAAGAAAAGGCTTTCGTCTCATAGATACTGCCTCAACGAGATACAAGATAAGTCATCCACTCAACCTTTCCAAAATCCGGCCGATATCAATGTATCGACGGTATGATCCTTGCATGAGTCATTTTCATGATTCCTCCAAAATTTAAACGCCAAGTATGCGGTCTTCAATGCTCATAACCTGCAGTCAGGGAGTCATTTGGCTTCCGTTTTCTCAGCTGCTGCCTTTTCCATGGCGATTATATGCTCCTCCACCTCATCAAGATGCTTTCTCTGCGCCACAAGCTTCTCTCTTAATTTCTTGATACTGCACGAAAGACATAAGTCAGCCACTGGATTGGTTGAGAAGGGTCGCTCGGTAGACTTTCGAGACTTACTTTTCGAGCTCGTGTTGCTTGACATATAGATCTTCAATGACATGTTCGCGCCGACTGAATGTGTCGCTGTAAGATTGTTAGATCCGGATGCTATCAACTTCCTCATTGAACAGCTACTCGTGGAATGACTTACGCTGCAGCTATGCCACCCGACCGTACTCCACCAGTGTCACCCTCTCGTAATGTTGGACGAGTACTCGAGAATGATTGGCAAAAGGCTGGTGTTTTGATACTGCTTCTGCAAGCTGTATGAATTCTTGTTCGAATCATTTGAATGGGTTTGTAGGTTGAGAGTTATTGAGATGATTCTCAGTTGTTGTCTTTCGTTAAATTCTGGTTATTTGCTATTGTATTTCTTTGCTGATTTGGTAGTAAGAGTAGCCTACGTAGTATTGACACGCCTGGATTTGTATTTATACAAGAGGGGAGACCTGTAGTTGTTTATTGCTCGGTCGCACGGCTGGCACATTATTGGACAGTGGCATGACGCCTGAGGAGGCTTAGCTGGGTCGTAGCGAGATTACTGCACATTGCTTAGAACGTGACCGTTACGTGTGCACATACTGGATTCTGCACTATGACCGAACCCGGATGATCATCTTTGGAGAAGGAAACCAGATCAAGGCGTGGTTGAGAAGATTCGAGTCTTATCCAGGGGCTGCAGCCTTCCCACTTGGTTTATCGAACCTTATTCCGTTAGTTAAGGCAGGGGGGGCTGACTTGTCCATTGTGAGCTAGCTTGGGGTCCAAGCGCACATACGAGTACTTTTTCTCCGATTTTCAGTATCACCCCACCTTTGCATTTGATCTAAAGCTCTCAACGGTGCTCTCCGTTGTGATTCTGTAGGTAGAATAGCCTCTCAGACGCAGATGGCATGATGGATATTCTTGGCATGTTACTCGTGATCAACCGAGGAAGATTTTCGATGGTGCCCGCGACGACGAGAACGAAAACTCCCGGACCTTGGCCTCGGTCAAGAGGGCGTGACTATCCAAATATTGCACTTCCCTCGCCTATGGACGCAGGAGGTAAGAATGTAGATATAAGACGGGTATCCTCATCGGCACAAGAACGGTGAGTAAACAAACAGTCATCAACAATACACAACAAAAACACAGGACCAACACATACATCTCCAATTTCCCAAGACGAGCGCGATCATGTCATTCCTCTTCTATCCAGAAATTGAACCATACCCAACGACCTTTGTGTCGCATACATATCCGGAAAAAGGACACCATCTCCACCATATCCCCCTTCCCTATATGGCGCACAAGGTGCACCGAACATTTCACGACCGGGATCTAGACGTTCATCAACCCAAAGCCGATGTCCGAGAAACCTTGAAAAACTTCTACCTCGAGGTCGAATTACCCGGAGTCCGAGACAAATCAGAACTTCACTTGCGTTGGACTTCTATGAGGACGCTGCTGATCACGAGCAAAACTGCCAGACCAGAGATCCCAGAAGAAGAACTCGCGGATGTACCTGTGGTCAACCCGGCGAGGACTCCAGGTGCCGATGTCAAATCCGAAGTACCGGAAGCCAACCACAACGAGGAACCCAAAGTGTCGACAGACGTGTCACGAAAATCCTCAAGCAGCAACGGAAGTACCACCAAGACGACCAAGAAAGAGCCGCATTTGACCGTCCACGAACGCTTGGTAGGAGAAGTGCTTCGCGCATTTAACTTCCCGGTTGATGTTGATCGTGATAATACCCATGCCAAACTGGATGCAGGTCTTCTCAGAGTTATTATTCCAAAGGTTGAACACGAGCAAGTTGAACATGTTCATGTGCCAGTCCACCATGATGAGTCACCGGTCCAAGTTGCCACTTGAACACTTAGGAAGTGGCCACTCTTGGAGTGGTGGGGGGCTTGGGGCGAATGAGTGGGACTTGGGGTCGGCGTGGGAGGACATATCCTTAAATGGACAGTGATACCTTGATGTCAGAATAATGAGGATAATAGCTCTAGGTGTTCATGGGTGGGACCCGACCATACTGCGAGATTTCCCAGGGTCTACTTACAGGCAGTGTGGAATTGACCGGATGTTTGTGCAGTTCATAGTTACGCACAGTATTAATCACCAAATTGAAATTCAACATCGATGTCCCAAAGTCAAGCTCAAAATATCCTTGGAAATGCGTTTTCAATATTACTGATTATACATGTGCAATGTCCATCACCAAGGAGCATCCAGATGATGCAAGTATATATCCTTTTCAAACGAGAGCATTCCAATATGTAGACACTGCGCGGGTAAGATTTCTAATCGACAAAAATCGGCTGCGGCTACAGTGGAAATGCTCCGAATAAATGGGATCAATAATTCATTACTAATGGGTAGAACTGAGGGCCTGGCTCCTCTTATATGTACAGCGGATCGAAGTCAATCGGAAACCCCTATGTCGGGAGCCTGAAATGCAACAAAATTCCACCGCTAATCGTGATTCATAAAAGTCATGCATGTCATTTCAGTCGTAGAACGCGTCCGTCCACAAGCAGTCTTCTAGCATGTCTTCCTCTTCGTCCGCAGAAGGCTGATCCTTCTCCACCCAGACATGTTGGGCGGTCCCGTCGTCCTCTGGCCACCAGCCCATACTCAGATGGGTTTCTGACGAATGTCGTCGGTGACCGTGGTGTTCTTTGTGATCACTGGGAGTCGAGACCTCAATGAAACTGGGCCTCCGCTCCACGACCTTGGCTGGAGTCTTGGGTACAGTGTCGGCTTTGATACATGACTTGATTGGAGTCTGTATTACCTTTTCGAGGTTGGCGGCCTTTGTCTGCTCGAAGCCGCGTGTTGGAGGTGTCGTGCCGGTGTTGAAGTGTGCGGCTAAGCGCCGCTTGGGGATGGTGACTGGGGTTGGTTTGGCGTCTTCGGGTTCAAGTGGTAGGAAACCCGATGCGAATACCGATTCCTTGAAGAGAAGCTCGGTAATGTCACCGTCGTTATAGATAGAGACAAAAGCATTGTCCTTGAGGCCGGATGCCACTGACTCCACATCCTTGTGCTGGGATTGAGTGGACTAAAGGAATCCATTGTCAGTTGAAAAGCCTCGGTATTTGGTATGGTGCCTTCCGCTTACTGGTGCTGTTTGGGACATCATTTTGATATTGATGTTTCGGTTGTTGAATTGTAAGTTGTCGTTGTTACTGATTGTTGGTTGCAAGACTGCTTGGAGTTTGAAATTTGAACTTCCGATACCCAAGTCTTTTTGCAATCTTTATGTAGGACAACACAGTGGTCAAGTGTTGTGCCCGAATATCAAATATTCGACTTGCCTCTGACCAATAGGCAAAATCGAGCATGGTCCAGCCGGTTGCTTATCGTCAGCCACCGCCATGGTCATTGCATTGGTAGAGAGCAATAAGAACCAGAAAATTGCACTATGTCATGAGTGGTATGACCTTGAGATGCTCGCAGCCAAGGATTGATGACATTGTCACAGCCTGCCTGGCTCCGAGGTGTTGGGGGTTGGGTGACCATCCGAAATACGGTTACTACTGGCCCCTGTACGTGCATTTTTTCCGGCGAACCCCTACGGCGAGCCTGACGAGGTATTTTCTGCTACAGACTGAACGAGTTTCCGAGTGGATCAAGTCACGTATTGTAAGACATCATACGATTTCCGCCGACCTCCACTTTCGCATCCTTCCCTTCATGCTGATTCTTTGTCCTCATACTAAGTAATGGCGCGCCAGATATCGGGAATCGACACACGATTGCGGGTCTTTCTCTACCCCAGACTTCAGTCAATATTCTCCTCTTCTTTGGATGGGCTTTGACTTCTCCGTGGCTTGTTCGTGCTCGAACTTGGAAGCTAAACTTGCCGGACAACTCCTTAGTCCTCAACCATCATACGATGCGGGACGATGCTCCACCACCTGTGAAGCTGTGGCATCCTATCAGGAGCTCTGTCGATGATCTCGTGCTGGCATGGACAAACCACTTCCCACTGTCGATGTTGATCATACGTGAGCATATTGCACAACTCATTATGCCTGTTCAGAATTCTGGATCGGTAGGTGGGCTAGGGCAAGGTTGTAGCCTCATTCAGCGTCCTGAGTTCAGCTTACTTGAGCCAAGTCGACATCTGCCAGAGCGATACTTTTACATAAAAATCGGATATATGGGGAAGTATCGTGATTGCACCTGTCGTTTGTTTAGTGACCTTCATTTTCATGTCCCTTGCATGTCCGATCCAATCGCTAGGATTGTGAGGTAATGTAAACTACATATACTTCTGGGGCTCCCCAGCTCAGGTAATAGTGTCTTGTGTTCTCCAGCATAACAAGCAGGACACGCACTCTAGTGACCGAGCACAGCCTCACCATACATCATACATCAGAAATAAAACTCGACAATGGCAGAAATTCCAATCACAATCATCACACCGGGTCTTCATACTCATCAGGCCAAAGACGTGCCCGAGTACCCCTTTCACAGCTCCTCCTCCGAGAACCCAATGCCGATAACACTGATTCGTCCCAGCATGATCTCACATTCCACCCAAACCGATATCGAAGATTTCGAATCACCAAACTTCGGTCGGAGACAATCACCAAGTCATTCACGATCCACATCTCAAACTCGCAAACCCGCACACCATCAGAGCTGGGCAGAGCAGATTCGAACACGCTTGGCGAGCCCTCACTCTAATCAGCACGCTCCTCTGGCAACAGACGCGGCTGGTCATCCGCTATTGGCACCACCGGGTCTAGATATTCCCAGACGACCAGCCACGCCAAGAGCGGATCTTTACAAGGGCCAACAGGAAGCCAATTTTGGCATGACCTTCGAGGGCGGCCAAAATGTGCATATGCGCAGGGCCAAGCCTACTCCGTGTGTGTTCAATCACGAGGACCAAAAACATCGCATGATGATGGATTGGTTGGAGAAGAGAGGACTATGATGAGCATCAACAAGAATAAAATTGGCATGCCGCTTGGTTCGACAAAGATTGAAATTATAAAAGACGAAGAAAGCCGATTAGCAGGCGTCCAGGGTCGTCGTTCAAGGACCTGTCTCCGGCATTGAGACAAATAAGAAGGACTGACAAGTTCAGCAGCAGCATCATGCGTTTCTGATATTCGGGGGCCCACCATCACCAACCTCCGAAGAGAAGCAAGCCGATGCATGCACTACACCTCGGCAGGGAGGAGGTGTAGTATGGCACAGCAGTTAGCCTATTATGGCTCCGGGGTGGCACTGACCTACAAGTCGTCATGGCGAGTGACCTCGTATTCAAATGCGTAGCGTCGCTTCAAAATTGCAAAGGTCCTTCAGTTCCGACAAAATCATTGGCGCCCATAATCGAGATTACCAGCAGGGAGGGCTAAGGCGTTGCACCGTCAGGTACCTATTTCGGTCATCCGGCGAACTAGAATGATGTACTCTATTTGTATCAGTTTGTAGAATAGTGATATTGTTTCCAAGTTTTTCGAGTCTGCTCGTCCCGAGTGTCTGCTTCTACTGCTCCTTCAATATTCGACGTAATGCAGTCTAGCCATATCCCCTTCGAAGCATTCCGAGGGCCAGACTTGTGAAAATCTTGAACCTGGAAGACCCCCATCCTGAGAGCTCTAGGGTCAACCACAGTTCACAATGACCACACATCAAAGCCCATTTAGAACCGACCCGATCGTTGATCCAATTCCAGCCCCTCGCTGAATGAGGTCTTTCACCTCCCAAGTAAGCATCCCGAACAGTGCGACAGGTAGCAGGCCATCTAGAAGATGGCAACACCATTAACGGGACTCGCCACCCCACCAGGAACATAATTCGGGACACTCGCGACGAAGAAACTCCAGCGGCCCTGCCTCTTACACTCTTGGCTCAACTTCTCCAAATCCAGCAACTCCCCGATATTGCAGCCCCAGCCGGCCAGCAAAACCTCATGCATACTCCAGTCGTAGGGGGTGGGCCAGCGCTCGAAACTGGGGTGGTCGCTGGCGACGGCGCTGAAGTGGTCCCAGATCCACTTGAGGACCTCGTCGGACTGCTCGACGCCGCCGAGGCCCGGGGGCGCCATGTTGGTCAGACGCTCGAGTTCCGCGGGCTCGGACTCGAGCATAGCGTAGTACGACTTGAAGAAGCCGGAGCGCACGATGAGGATGTCGCCGAAGCGCGGGGTCGTGCCGTTCTGCCACTCGAGCGTCTTGAGAATCCACTCGAACTTGATGGGCGACGTGTTGAAGCTGGAGAACTCGCCGCCCACGATCTCCTTCCCGGGACCCTCGTCCACCCACCGTCGGAAATCCACCAGGATGCCGCGGCCCATGACGCCGCCGTGCTCGACCGACTTGTGGATGCCCAGCACGTTCGGGTTCTTGGCCCCCTTTTCGCTCGTCCCCGCGATGTCCTCGACCGTGGTGTCGTTGTAGAAGCGCTGCGCCTTCTGGTATCCGAAGTGGCGGAGCCCGTCCCACTGCGTCGAGCTCTGCGTGTTGAACGCCCACGTGTCGTCGTGCACGATCCGCGGTTTCTTCTGGTACACGTCCTTCTTAAACACTTGGCGCCCGAACAGCGGTTTCGGCCCTTGGAAGTCCAGTGGCGCGTCAAGTGGGATCCGCACGCCGGATTTGATCTCGCTGGCGGCCGCGGCCGCGATGATGTCTGGAGTCTGCCGATTGAGAAACCCTAGTTCGTCGTCTGTGCCGTGTGCGCCCCATGCGTTCAGGCGTGTCGCGGAGTGCGATTTGTCCAAGGGGAGGGCGTTGAAGGGAACGGGTGGGCCGGAGTCGGACATTGTTGCTTTTTTGGTGTGTTTTGTGTGCTCTTTTGGGGGAAGAAAATGGGAAAGACGAAGGGTGGTTTGGAAAGTGGAAAGGAAGATACCAGCGTTGGTCGATGTAAACTCTGAGTCTCGGACGATTTGCCAAAGACCGAGGGTCAAGGAACAAGGACTAGTTAAGCAGGAGTAGAACGCGAGACGACAAATGTTGTTCGCTGACCTACCTAGGTACAGAGAAGATCCAGGTTGTTATTTACCTTTTTTGGGAGTCGTTCATTGAGAATTGGAGAAGGGCGTTCTACAGACTACGATCGGTGGCAGTAAAGTGCTGTAGCTCGGCTCAATGATGTATCGAAATGAGGGGTGAGGGCGGATATGAAAGATGAAGAGGGGGGGTATCAAGACCGGAGTCTATCCCGGACAAGGCCGATCATCGCACTGGGATGCCGTTTACGATGGGATCGAATACAGTCACGAGAGGATGAGACAGGTGAGCAGTTGTGTAAGGAATGGCAGGTTTGTTCCAAGATGGACATTGTTATTATTCTGAAAAAGATCATCTCTGTTGGAAGATACAATAGGTATGATAAAAGGTACTCTCGCATTATTCGAAGCCCATCACATCGTCCACTTGTGTGATGATGAATGACCAACTGCTTTTCCGTTGATCGAAATAATGCCTTGCCTTCAACTTTCCCCAGCCCAGTCACTGAGTATTCAACGCCCCGTTTAGACACGAAAAAAAATTCACTTAGTTTACAAGAGTATATTCCCAAGTAATAGCAGTCCCGGCCTTTGCCCATAAAGACTTTTTCTCCTTCAAGCGTGTCCATTAATACCGTTGGTCATGGGAGTATCGGCCAGCCCAGCAATGACGCTGAATTGACCACCTGCTCCAGCCCAAACCAACTTCTTGTCTCTGACGGCTGTGTTGTCGATCATGGTGGCAAGTTCAACATCATCATCAGTGCCGAGTCCGGTTTGGAAAGTGGTGCTGAATCCCCAGGCGTACGCCTTTCCATTCTTATCGACAGCCACACAATGATCAGAACCAGCTGCAACCTGTATGGCATGAATATCGGGGATTTGAGTTGGAACAGTAAGAATTCGTGGATTTCCAGCCGAGTCACGAACAACCTCGTCTTGTGGTAGATCAGAGACCTTGAGCCCGAGCTGGTAGCCGTCGAGTCGTCCCCAAACCAGTAGTTCTCCCTTGTCGGTGCAAGCCACGGTGTGGTGAGCTCCGCCTTGAATGCAAGTCACATTGCCCTTGCCCTCCAATCCTTCGATGATCATGGGAGCATGGACATCAGCACCTTTGCTGGCGCCTGTTTCATCAAATTCTTTGGGAATGCCAGTTTGACCAAAGTTGTTGAGGCCCCATGAGAAAACATCACCATTCTCACGCATAGCAAAAGAGTTGTAAGCACCAGCACCAAGACCGATGATTTTCTTTGGCAAACCAACCGGCATGGGTACAAGACTGTTGGTTGCACGCCTTTCCAAAATTCTACGTCCAAGTTGATTCTGTTGACCTGAGCCCCATCCATAGACAACTCCATTGCTCTGAAGAGCGAGGACATGGTTGGCACCAGCAGCAAGCTTGATGACCTTCTTGAGACCTTTGACGAGTTTGGGACGTAGTTGGATCAAGGTAGTGTTGTCGAATCCGAAGATGCCTTCATTGGAACGGAAAGTGCCCCAACCATAGACATCACCCTCGGCAGTAAGAACAAACGTAGCACTGTCCGTGGTGACGACCTGAGTGAATTTGAGATCGGTGGGCAATCCGGTGAAATCGGCTTCTGCTGGGGTGGACTCTTTGGGGTTGATGGCAGTTTCTGAGCCGCTGTCCGAATCGCTGTCACTAGCATCGTCGGCAAGGTCTCGAAGACCGCCATCCCAAGCAGTATCACGTCCAAGAGCACCTTGATCATTGACACCCCAGGTCAGAATTTTGTTGTCATGAGTGAGAGCCGCAGTATGCATTCCACCGACTGAGAGAGCGACGACACCGGCAGTCTCGGGGCTGAGATTTGGATTGTAGCGAGGTCTTTTGACTTCAGTCTGTCCCTTTGCACTTCCCAGACCCAACTCGCCTGATGAACCTTCTCCGAAAACATAGACATTCAATTTTTCAGTGGGAGCATGGTTGATCTCGACCTTGGCCTTGGCTTTGGTCTTTGTGGCAGTTTTTGTTACAGCAGCTGGTTTAGTGGTCTTTGGAGCCGTGGATTTTGTTGGTGCTTCAGTCGCAGCTGGCTTGGTTGTCTTGGTGGCAGCAGCTTTGGCTTTGGTGGTCGCGTTCGCCGGCGCAGGCGCAGGTTCGGGCTCAGAGACGGGAGTTGTGGTTCTCGACTTGACTCGCTTGACACCATTGGTCTTCGGCTCGTCCTCGAGATCATCTTCGGCCTTTCGCTTTGTGGACTTTGCAGTAGGACGCGCAGCCGACTTTGTGGCAGGCTTGGGCTTTTCGATCTCGGGTTCGGACTCGAGCTCTGGGCCGTCGTCAATGACCTCTTCCTCTAGCTCTTTCGCCTTGGAGGGTGCCTTCTTCACGGCTTTGGCAGGTTTTGCATTTGACTTCTTTGTTGCAGGGGCAGCAGCCTTACGGGTGCGTGCAGAAGACATTGTGGAGGTGTGATTGAGTGATTGAGAAAGAATGACGCGACTGCGTGATGGGGGGATTTGTAGGAAGATGATGCGGAGAAAGGAAGAACAAGGGTGCTGTGTGTTGTGGTGTGAGGATATACAGGGAGGAGGAGGAAGAGGGAGAAAGAAGGGCGATTATTAAGTTCACAGAGTCCTAAAGGAATTCACTGTGACTGTCTGAATTGAACAATGGCTATTGAGAGTGAATAGCAACAGAGTGGTTGAGACGTGTGAATGGGAGGGTGAGGGCGAGGGTGAATGGACAGCACAAAGGTGCGCAGGCGTCAGGGCTGTGAATACCGAAAAAAGTTGATGCGTGAATGACGCGTGATTCCAATTGGTTTATCTCGACGATTCATCACGCTACCATTTATTCAAGGCTTGTCAGACCCCAATATTATCATTCACTAGGTGCTGTTGATGCGAAGAACAAAGGAAAACATCAAGGCGCGTTTTGTCAGACCAAATAACCGCATTCTTAATTGACGAAACTCGAAAGAACTTTGAGTGATCTCAGGCTGAAATTGATATTGGTTCTCATTCATTGATATCATGATGCTCTGTTGGCATTGCTCATCAAGCATAGTGGCATGCCGTCACGTAGACACCACCAGTTGCAAGTCCTCGACTCGTCTCGTGCCTTGCGTTGGTCCTCTTCCAGTGACTATTCAAACAACCGGCTTCAATTCTCGATTGCCCTTCGCTCTTGGATTGGGAGCATTCTCGTTTTCCTGAATGTAGAATCGACGAAGTAACATGATGGCGTCCTTCCTGAATATTCCTCCGTAGCTTGGATAACCTTCCTCGAGACCTTTGTCGGAATGAACAGCCAACACACTCCCATTGCCACCAAAACGGTCGTTTCCACATCCATAGTAAACGCAGCGAATTCCATATTGTCTCAATGCAGAAGCACACATGATGCAGGGCTCGACAGTGACATAGAGATCCGTTTCCTTGAGTCGAGTGATGGGGAATTTGGAGAGAAACTGAGCAATGGCCAGAAACTCAGCGTGGCGAGTGCCGTTGAGAGATCGGTTGGTGTCGTTCATTCCTCGAGCCACAACTTCACCATCAAGGACAAGAACACATGCCACTGGCGTTTCTCCTCCAGCAAGTGCTTCTTCTGCAACTTCAATAGCCTGACGCATGAAGCCTTGATGGCGCTCGAGATCCTTGAGAACTTCTGGATCAAGTTTGTCCTTGTCATTGGTAGGAACGGCAGAACCTGTAGTAGCCATGTCGTCTGAATCTGATACGTCGGCGAAATCAAGGAAATCGTTGAGATGCCGTGGAGTGATGGTGTTGGTGATGGTGGTGGTGGATGGAGAGAAGAGAGAGCCTCCAGGAGATGAGTCCTGGAGGAAGTCCATCTTGACTACATTGTCCCCCTTCACTTTCCACCTTTGTGAAAACGAACAAGACAGTCAAGGAAGGAACGACACATTGCATTCCTTTAAGGCAGGCACGACTAGGCTCTCGTTTGACTTACCATCTTTGGCCTGCTCAATTTGCTGGTCACGTGCACAGCCCTATCACGAATCTGATATCGACAACTTCAACCACGGCATTTCGCCAGACTCTCCCGCTCCAAATCCCACAGCCACTTGACACCCCTTCCTTCACACCACGCTCGGAGCTGGTGACCATGCTGCTCGCATCCGCCTTGCGAGGGCTCACCCTTCTCCTGGGCACCCTGAACATCGTCCATGCAGCCTTAGGAACCACAAACACAAACACAAATCTCCCCCGATCCATAACCCTCTCCTACTCAATCCTCGGAGCAGACACCAACATAAAACCCCTGGTCACAGTCTTCTACGACCCCAAATCCCGAAAACACTCCCTCTCCACATGGACACCGCCGACTCCTCCCACCCAAGAATCCAGCATCTCGGAACCAACATCCCCCGGCCTAGTCCGCATCCACCTCCCCAACGGCAGCACCACAGTAACCAGCCTCGCTGCCTTCTCAGAAGACCTCCACCAGAAGATCGACCTCTGGATCTCACCCGATGACGGCTCCGTCTTCTCCGCATCCGTCTCTTCCCTCTCACAACCGCCCCTCTCCGCCGAAGAAGACCGCTACCGCAAGAAAGTCGCCCGCGCAAAGGCCAAGGGCAAGCCGATCCCCGCACGCCCGCCGGTCCCCAACACCAAGAAAGCGCGCGAGGAGGCCGCGAGACAGCTGGGGCTGTACGAGCCTGTCAAGGTGAATATCTTCACCGCGGAGGAGGGTCCCGCGCCCATTTTGAATACCAGGGCGCCCCCAGTGGTGGATGCCGAGGGTAGAGAGGTTGTGCAGGAGGAACAGCAGGAAAAGAGTTTCTTCCAGAAGTACTGGTGGGTGTTCTTGGCTGTGGCCGTTTTGACCATGGGTGCCGGTGGTGATAAGTAGACGGACGTGGTTACTCGGACAGTGTATCATGATGATGGACGAGTTTTTCGAAACGCATTAGATTTCCAGAGCAGCGATTTAATTGATAAGCGTTGTCTACTTACGAACGATGTATATGATGTCTCCTGGACTTTGCACCTGCAATTCGCTGATGCTGACGCCGACGCCGACCCACAATCGAATGTCACTACATGAAGCTGGATCGGTATGCCACGACTGTATCGCTCGTGAACAATACATGATGAGATCAACCACGCCGGAAACAAGCCGTGTTCCTACTGCCATCTGCTTACCACGACTCAGCCCTCTGGAATTTCAATTCACTCTCGACGCGCTTCCCGGTCCCCCAGACACCCAGGTCCCAGACCTGGACGTCGCGGTCCGTCAGCACAACCAGTTCGTTCTCCATGGCCTTCTTCCGCCTCCGCCGCTTCGCTCTCGGCCTGGGCCGCTCGGTCGTCGAGCTGGCCGCTGATGCTGGGTGTTGCGTTGACGACGATGACGAGGCCGCTGCTGCGGTTGCAGTTGAGTGTGAAGGGCTCGCTGGCCTGTTGGTCGGTTCGGCTTTATCATTATTGTCATCATTGTCATCGTCGTGTTTATTGGCTAAATCTGAATCTGGATTTGACGTTGAGGTTGCATCGTCTTGTGCTGTATCGGCATCTCGCTCAGTTCCTTTTCTTTTCTCATCTCCACTGTCGTCGTTATGTGTTCCATCATCAGCTAAGAACGTTGCGTGGTCGTCGCCGCCGCCGCCATCCGTCTTGCGTCTGACCTTGATGTCGAGATCGATGATCTCGCTGTTCAATGCCATCGTGTATTCTGGCGGCCGCTTCACGAATCTGATCTGGTGTTTAAGCTCCGAGTCCGATATCTGTAGTCGCGACTCAGGCGTGAGTCCGCTAGACGAGCCTACTTCTGGAATGGTAGTGGCGTTGGTTGTTGATGATGTGGCGGGTATATTCTTTCTCGTCGTGGCTTTGGCATTTGTGGCGATGAAGGTTGAGGAGGTGTACTGTTGGCTTATGTTTCGGGCACCGATGGAGTGCGTGTCGCTCCCTTCAGACTCTGCCGAGTCGTTGCTGGAAGGTAACGGTGGAGGATCCGTGTTTGAGCTACCATCTTGTCCTGCTTCCACGAAATCTGCCTCAGCATCCGTCTCTTTGAGCTGTCTGTCACTGTCCTCCAGTGCTGCGGCTTCATCGCTGGCCTCTTCCTTCTTTACTCGGCCTTCATTCCCGGTCTCAGTCTCCATCTCACCCTCCTCCACTCCCTCTGCATCGCTTGAGGTCGAGTTCTCGCTCCAAATCATCTTTTTGACCACTGCACCGTGTCCCATCTTCAACACAATGGGCCGCAGTTCTACTACCCGCCTGCCCAGAAATCCATCATGCGTATTGGGGTAGAACTTCAAGAGCCGTGCTGAAGCTGTTGTGCTTTGTGAGCTCGCTCGTGACGTTGAAGCACTGCTCTTGGGACTACTTGGTGCAGCTGGCTGAGGAAACGCCGATGATGGTGGTTCGGGTACTGCTGGTGAAATCGGTTCGGGTGGTGGTAGCCCTTGAGTGGAAGTGGGAGGAGCGACTATGTTTTCAGAGTTGGATGTTGGCTGTACAGACTGAACGATGTGTACATTATCGCCTGCATCTGCGTCGTCGTTGGAGATGTTATTGTTGCTCAAGCCACTGCTGAAGGCGGAGTGGTCATTGAGAGGGGGGGCATGATCGCTGTTCGTGGATGCTGCTGGTGGGAGTGGACCAACTTGCACGCCCAACCCTTGGTTGCTGTTTGCGTCACCGTCATCCCCAGATTCGCTACCACTATCGCTGGTGGTGCCCCAGTCAGTTCCAGCCGCAGAAGAGCTTCCGTCGTTGCTATCAGCAGCATCGAGATCAAAGTCAAATGGTCGTTCACATAGTGCCACAGGGTCAAGTGCATAAACGAGCACACGGTCCCACTGTGAGATTGCAATCCGTTGGCCATTCGGCGAAACACTCACGGTGTCGAGTCCCGTCAGTGTCGTGCTCTGTGGTGTCCAGCCCCACAGCCTGGCAACAACCCTCAGCTCCGCAGTCACAAGACTTCGTTCGAAGAACTCCGTCTCTTCGTGAATCTCGAAGTTCTGCTCCAAACCTTGGGTGTATGTCGGCGCGCTAGCCAAGTGATCGATATCATCTTCGTCGTTAAGCGCCGTATTTGTGTTGGCATGGGGTGCTTCTACATCGACTGCTGGATCAATCCTCCGAGGTCGTGAACGGGGTGGGGGAGGTAAGGGTGGCAGATCATCCTTGGTTTCCACATGCATACATGCATCAAAGGGCTTCCGTCTGCGAATCTGAACAATCGTCAAAACTGGAGGGCCAGGAGTATCAAGACTGAGTTGTCCACGAGAAAAGACCATCGTATCTGGGATTTTGGCACTGCCGATGCAGAGATCGTTCGTCACGCAGTAATCGTCTCCGTTGCGCATGAACACGCTTTCATGCTTACTAAAGAAAGGCATTGATAGTTGAAACCTCATTCCCTGAACGGTCGTGGCGTTTGTGCTGCTGACCCCATGGCATAGTCTGTGATGTCGCATATCGAGAGACAGTGTCGTATTTGGTCTCGGTATCGGGTCTAGATTATATGGTACCATCTGCTGTCTCAGGACCCTGTTCGAGAGCAAAGTCATGTAAGGGACCGTTGATCCTGGCGCGTAGAGAGCTAGTCTTCGACCATCTTTGAAAAAAGCGGTCGCTCGTGGCTTGATATTGATATCAGTCAATCGAAGGTCACGGTCGTACTTAAATTCCATAAGATTCGTCCTTGTCCACAATTGCTTGCCACTTGAATCATCATGATCGTCGATTTGGTGGTCTTGGTCATTTGAGGGTATGTTTTTCACACCGGTGCTGTGGAGTGGGGCTATGTGATCAAATGGATATACAACGAATGTAGAATAGATGCCCTCGTTTCTCCGCGGTAGACGCTCAGTATTGTATAGCACGACCGAAACACGGCTTGTGGGTCGTAAGGCCCCTGGCTCATCCCACACGATTGCACACAAAACTCGGCTGTGGACAGCCAAGTGAACAGGGGCGAGAATCGTGTGTCGTAGGGATTGATGCGTGGGTATATGGAAGAAGATGGGTTGTTCGTTGGTATACTGATTTGTTTTAAAGCTTAGTAAATAATTCCTGGAGTTGGAGGTCGGTCTATGATGCATATGGTGCGCATCTTGGAGTATCATATGTAAAACAGTGAGGGTATGGGCTTTGAAAGATCAGCAGACCTTGAGCTTCAACCATGGTCTTGTGCCACTGGTGACCGCCACCATTTGGTTGCCTTTGAGCAAAGACATACCACTGTCGGCCAAAAAAAAGGTTTGAAACTTACCATATTGTAGTGCAGCAGGTGATATCTAACTGATCGCACAGCTTTCGGAAGTAGATTTTGGTGTCTACGAAACATTTGATTCGGGCTGAGAAAGATGGGCTCTTCAATGGGGGCTAAGACGTGTCTTGAAGACCCTTTGATGGTAGCTTCATGGTCTTCAACTTTGGTCGCGAGATCTTCTTCTGGTGGTGTCCACGCATAAAGCACTGAGATTGTGGCATGGTGTTGCACAACTTGAATGATTTTTGCCGTACCATCCGCATATGGTGAATCGATTGTCTCCCGGTAAGATCCGTGATGCGTGTACAGACTAAGAGATGTCAAATAAATATTAGTCGTCGGAGTGATGTATCAGGGATCCAACGCTTGAGCATGGTTCAATGATGGGGCTCAAAACTCTGGACCTCAGACAATGGCAGGTAGTTCTCATGGCGAGTGGATTCGGTCAATTACCACTTACCGAATGGAAGCATCGTCATTGACGACCATCGATAATGCGGGACAGCCATCCGTACCCACAGCAAGACTCGAAGCTCGAGAGAGAAGCGATATATCGTTGGGAAATGCAAAGCTTGAGCAGTCAGCAGTGAAGTTTGTTCCATAGAGATTATTGGCAGCACGTTGGCGCAAAATGAGGAATAAATCGGCGGTCGTGACACAATGGTCCCTGAGACCAAGTTTGAGACCAGGCAAATTCTGTAGATGATGGAGGAGGACTTCGCGTGATTCGGCTGCCACATCAAAGAGTTGTCGATTAACGAGAATGAGCTGCAGGAATGTTGGTGTGGTGGAGAAATGTAGGATTCGTTGTAGAATCTCTATGGGGAGGGTGGAAAAGTTTGGAGTGGTTGGCGAGGATGACCTGTCCACGTCCATGTCTGTTTCGGCGTGAAGATTCACATCGTTGAGGATCGTGACTGACTGTGTGGATATATTAGAGGTCATGGTAATGGTTGGCAAGTGCGCATCCGACCGGCAAGAATCCGATAAATGCCCTTGTCACTTAACTTGGTTGTACTTGGGTTTATGAGACCAGTTCCAACACGGTAAATAGCTGGACAAGGAGGGTAACATTCAAGGGACGAACTGCTCATTCACATAGTTCAGTTGCTTGTTGTAAGGGTTTCAAATAGAATAGTGTCCAGTGTTCTTGACCAAGGCTGGTTGGTGGGTGTGAGGTCAAAAAACAGTAAGGCCAGAACAATCTCTCTCTGACAGTAGGAAAAAGCTCTTGACATCCATCACAGCACTCAAGAGACGGCTTATCTTCTGGTGTGTGAAGGCAAGTCATCAGGTTGATCACCACGCCACATTCATCTGACGATGTGTACCATCAGTGTATGCCTGGCTGGCAAGATTGGAGGTGAAAATAGGCAGCTTTAGCCCGGCTTCCAGTGGTTGACGTCTGACCCAACCCTTGGCGGCGGGAGGGCTACAGACACTGGCACGCTGCCGCTGGATGTTTCAGCCTTGCATTATTCAAGTTGCCGACTTCCACTTCTTTTCAGACACATCCCTAACAAGTCGCAACTTCTATGAATTCAGACTCTACTGAGGCCTGGCAATCATTAAGATAAGATTGATGAGTTACTTCGACTGTTACGGCCTCTGACGTTATCCGATACCCGTCAGTTTCTGTATATAGTACATCTGGGAATACGTGTATATCCTCAATAAACACTCGCCTTTTGGCATGAATGTCAGTGGATCAATGTTCTCTTTGCAAATAATATCCATCAAAGAATAACATGAGACTGTCATTTGGAGAGACTTTGATGTGTCATCCATATCGCCGAAAATGCAATGGGGGGTTCGGGGATCAGGCCGTTGCCCGGACCGGGTCCGTGAACTCGACCAAGTCAAGCGTGCCTGGGCTTTAGCCTCTGGGGGTTCACGGGTAGCCTATACCCAGTAGGTTTCTGCTTTCCCCGTGCTTGGAGTTTCGAGCTTCTATTACCGAGCAGTTATCGTGCTACCAATTCTCCCGAGTGCTCTCGGTGACCTACATTTCTGATTGCGGCCTCCTAACTAGCCTTTGGGTTACTTCCCCTCAGACAGTCTGTGTTCCTGTGGCTTGTCACTACACTCTTCATATCATTGGAGGTGTAATCCATCATCTCTACATCTTCCCTTTCATTATATATCCATCCTGCCTTCGTCTTCCCGCCCGACATGATGGGTACTTGATTAGGGCGCTTGGGCGCACCCACCGCCGTCACGACACCACTCCCCTACACACCCTGATTCTTGACCATTTATAATGACTTTCGCTACGGTTTCGAGGAAGCTGAAGAATGCTGCCAGGATCATACTGGTCGGAGCACCTGGAGTGGGCAAAGGGACACAATCAGAGCGACTGATGGCACGCTTCCCCCAACTGTCCTCCATCGCAACTGGAGATCTTCTACGTGACAACGTCAATAAGAAGACCAACCTAGGTATGTGCGCTTTGTTCGAGACACACCCCATGGATTCGTACTGAACAAGACACAGGACAGCAGGCCGAGACCTACATGAACTCGGGAGGCCTTGTACCCGACCCTTTAATCCTGAACCTCATCCTCACCGAACTCACCTCTCGAAAATGGTTGGAAACCGCAGATACAAATGACAACATTATCGCCGCACTTGGACGTGGAAACGGGTCAGCATCGTCGGCGGTGACGGTATCCAACAATCCCAACACATCGTTCATCCTCGATGGATTCCCTCGCACCGCTTCGCAGGCTGATGCTCTATCGCATCTACTCCCGATCAATTTGGTGTTTCAATTGGTCACTCCCGTGGAGATCATTCTCTCCCGCATGGCAAACCGATGGGTGCACACGGCTTCTGGAAGGGTGTATAATGTGGGATTCAACGACCCTCAGGTGGCAGGCAAAGATGATGTGACGGGCGAGCCATTGGTACAGAGAGAAGATGACAGCGAAGCCACATGGAGAAAGCGACTGGCCAAATTCGACGAGACCAGCAAGAGCCTATTGGACTACTATCGTAAAGATGGGCTGGTGGTTCGGGTCCAAGGCAACAGCAGCGATGAAATTTCACCCCAGATATTTTCGGAAATAGAGGACAGATTCGGTACATAAGAAGATACCCGTTTATAGTATTATTAACATGACATGTCACATCATTATCCACTACTCATTGCTCGTGGTCGGGCTCCGCCCCCAAAGGATGTAACCTCGACTGTGATTTTCCAGATCCCATCAAGATCAGAATGATCTCTAAAGAAACAGATGCCCAGCCAGAGGTCCATGGCATTAGTCTGCGCGCGACGCGAAAACAGCCTCGGTAAGGATATGTCCGAGACTGATGGTCAAAGTAAAGTACCTAGGTATTTATTTCTTTGCCGGCGGGTGATTGAGGAAGAAAGAGAAGAGGAAGCGGTTCGCACCTGAACTTGAAAGAGATGAAATCCGTGCATCGGAGAAAATCTTGGCAGGCTAACTGTTTTGAACATGCCCGTGGTCGTCTGTTGCTTCCGCTGGAGTCCTTCACTGCCATCAGCTGCTGCTCTCGATCACCTGGGCATCCATCGGAATGTAATCGACCGTGTGGAAAAAAGGAAAGGGGAATGGCATAGTTCTAGCATACTGCCGCTTGTTCGGCATGATCCTTGACACCGCAGACAAACTGATTGTGATTCATGAAATCGAGAAAACCTTAATCAAAGGAATTCCAAGATCTGGATTCACTAAACGACATCTAGCAGTGCTGAGTACATCTCACATAAGGTGTCTGTCGCTTACAAGGTTCATCCATACTCCGACATTGGTGCAGAGAATCACGGTTCTTGTTAGCATATAGATGCCTGCTCATGAAACACAAGAGGGGAAGGGGTTAGACCCTCGAGTGTCAAGCCTGCCGCAACAGCCTCGCCTATGGTTCTCCAGACTCCCTTGACATTTATATTCGGTTTGGGATCACTGGTTGGTACGTATCAGACAAGGTCAGCTGTTCATTTGTACGGAGGACTCGATCCCTTGGTGGTCATCCATTGGATTGGGAGCGACAAGCAGTTGAAGATTGACTGCAAGGTTGGATCGGAAATGGAGCCTCGACATACAGGTGTCACGGGTAGGGACTAGTTACCTAGGTAGAATACGAACATGCAACTACGAGTACTACGAAGTAGGTATGTTTGAGACCAGGTTGAAGATGTGTCACGTACCCGTACCCGATCAGCGCGCAAATATTTTCAGGGCCAACACTACCTACACAATCACCTTTTGACAGCGCTTGCGTGCATATCGGCAGTGGTTCTCCGAAGATGACGCCTCGTAGCTCATCAGACGGGGTCACAATTCACGAGTATCCGCACCCCGTCGTACATGGCTCAGTTGGCAATACAGGCAGAATCTGGCCAGCCTGTTACTCAAATAAGCCACAGACAAGATGAGTGAATGATAGAGTGGCACGAGGGTATCACTGCATCAGTCCTGGTGGGACAAGAAGAATGGTCTGGGATATCAGGGTGAAACCCAGGGTCAGGCTCCAACCAAAAATCCACCAGTCTTCCCCAGACTGGAAGCACCACGTTAAGCTGGTTAGCTCCTGTTGAGATGGCACCACCTCAAACTATTAAAAGAACAATGTTAAATCAAGCGACAAGGGAGACCGCAATTATTGCCATGCTTGCAGGGTGCCAAAGGGCTTTGCACTGCTCGAATCAAACGAATTGTCCTGACCTGGTTGTGAGTCCTGAAACGTATTACTATGAGTCTCTGTTCTTTGGATGGTCAATGGGCGGCATGGTGCTTTTTCTTCTGCGTTGTCACATCTGTACGGATGCTTGACTGCGCCAGCTGAATGGGAAGCCCCGGGCAGGTTGGCCAGTGGGCGCATGACGATGGAATGTCAACCAGGGCCCGAGGGGCCTGGCGATAAGTGACCCGCCGCCCACTATCATCACTAAGCCCGAGTCAGCCTTAGTGGGACAAGGGCAGATTTGGCAGCCCGCGACAGCCTGACTAGCCCCATAAGCCCCCGGGGGCAAGCCCAATAATGAACCACGACAAACCCACTGCAGCCCGCCGTCTCCGGCCAATCGAAGCCGCGGTGCCAGGTGACGCATCAGCCAAACTCCCAGACTCTCCGCTCCTGTGAGCATCCAGAGGATCATCGCTCGATTTAGGCCGGCCCCAAGACCCGTTCGCCTGCAAGCCACATGCGATGGACGTTGGCGTTTAAGAAAAAACTGACGGCTTGCTCCTGCTAGGGGGTGTGTGGTGTGGATGGGTGGGTTAATATCACTTACGGGCACTGTTAGAGGGGGAGGTGATCGCCTGTATGGAGTCGCTTTGGTGAGAGACCAGACACCGGACCTTCACATCCATATCCACATCCACAACACTGCATCTGCGTCTGCGTCTGCGTCCACTTTGATGAGGCGTGAATCAATTCACCAACGTGAATCCATCAAGCCATCTGTTGGTCGCTACTTACTCATACTTTGACCGTTCTTGCAACTGCAACTGCAATAACTCGAACTCGGAACTCACTGTACCATCATCTCTCTCACTCCTTGCCTGATACTCCCGTGTTTGTCTCGGACGGCGGCTGTTTGCTGGTGATCCTGTCTCAAACGACTCGGTCCTGCTAGTACCAACGATATTACCACCATTCACCACCATCCCGGCACATCTGCCCGCAGTCAGTCCGCAGCAACTCGTATCCCTCTGACCACTTGCTTTCCTCTCGACTAGAACTCTTGGTTCTCGAATTTCCTCCTTGCATTACTCTTCCAAGACAAAGAAACAAGTCACTCCCGCCTGCTGATCAGCACAGACCAGAATCTGGTTCAAGCACCCTTCCTTCTCAAGGCCACAGTTGAGATTGATTCTTTCACCTGGCACACTACCCTTTCAATCCCACCCGGGCTATAAGGATCTTCTCTCAACGTCAATGGTTGCGCGGGCCTTACCGCGCTGGAGGACTTGGGAAGGGACAATATGAGACTCGGGTTTGAGAAGAAGAGCAGGCCCTGTTGCCTCCAGTCTTCCTCTCTAGAGTCGTCTAGACAGCTGCAAACAACCGCCTTGGAGGCTGGTTGGCCACCCCAACAGTACTCCTACCCTTTCGATCGACCTTCTCCGGGAAGATGATCTCAATTCCTTATCCTCCTCTACCATTACCCTCAATGGATCAGGTCCGAGATCCTAGCATCTATCATCGGCTGCCTGCAAATGCAACCTCTCGACAATACGCCATCCCCGCCGATTCGGGTCCTTATCGACGAGATCGACAGAACGCTCCTCAATTGTCCTATTCCGAGCACGAATCCCTTCGCTTGCGGAAGACACCACACGGCAGACTTCTTGAGCAGGATACCACACCCCTCGATAAGAGTGTCCAGTTTCCTGCCTCGAAACATGTCCTCTTATCGACTTCTCCCGACTTTCAACAAGCAGGCATTGCTTTCTCCTCACAATGGCCAGATATCAACCTCTTACCACAACCAGCCAGTCTCGGCGAAATCGATACGGGCAGAGATGGCAGATATTCTCAATCTTATGTCACTACCAAGCCATATTCATATCGAGAAGCCTGGGATTTCCCGGGCGGTCTTGACTCTATGCTGAACCAGACTCTCCCTCCTCAACCCACACAGAGGTTCTTCCTCCAACATGGCTCGAACATTCCCACAGTACTTCCTGCAACTATGCACTCTCAATTCGGGCCTACTGCTTCTGCCGGCCAAGAATGGTATGGACCATACTGGCCGGATGGTACTTATAATCCCTACCGACCCGCTGCCGTGCGAGATAGCCGATTCTTCCCAAGAGCCCCCACGGAACGATTCCCTCTGGACCATATACAGCAACCACAGACACTGCGTCGGTCTGGCCGACTGCCCGATTTGCAGAGTAGCTCATACTTACCTAGTCTTCCTCCGCTTGTCATGAACAATCCAATGCCACCATTGGACTTGCCATCTTCATCAAAGTGGCACATACAACAGGCTCCATACCCACCTGTACAGTATCCATATGCGCAACACTATCAACCTCACGATCTGTCTGGTCCCGGTCTGGTGCCGCTTCCTCGACCTTCGCTAATGTCGTTACATCCTGGCCCAAGTTCGGAACGCATTGCATTTAGAGATAAATCATTTGCTTGGGCTAATCGCATTTACATCGATCTTCTGGAGACAATTAGGTGCAGCACAAAAAGCATGCGAACGAATGGGAACAACTTCACTCCAGGGTCCGCAAATAAACTACCCATCTTCCCGAAGCCCCCTCAGCGGACAGGATCTCACTTTTCGGGCCAAACAAGTGGCAAAACAGGGCGAGAATCCAAGTCCTCAAAGCCGTTGATACGGAATTCAAGTGACTCGGCCGTCTATGACACTCCTTCGCGACCCCAGACCGCCATATATCGCCCACAAGCTACGCAATCTTTCAGTAATTTCCTCTCTCTACAGGATCCAGCTACTTCAAGCCAGTTCCCGATGCCACTATATGAACCAAAGGATAGAATACCGGAGATCTTGCCCCCACGTACAACTATCTCAGCTCCGCAGAGGCGCCCGCCAACCTTTGAGGAAGCTACCAGCGCACTGAACACAATGGTACTTCTGTGTCAAGAAGCCGAAGTTCCATGGGTAGATGGTATGCTTCTGGCAGGGTGTTTGGCTTACGGCCTGGGTAACTTTGCCAAAGCCGAGGAATGGTACTTGGCGGTCTTGAAGCAAGATAGTAATCATGTGGAGGCCATGTCGAATCTTGCTGCAACCTATCATTCTCTCCATCGACAAGAAGATGCTCTCAACTACTGGTTCGATGCTGTGAAACTGCGTCCCAGCTACTTTGAGGCTGTGGAACATCTCATTGGGCTGTTATGTGCTACTCATAGAGCACGGGAGGCTGTCCAGGTAATCGAATATGTGGAGAGCACTCTGAAGCTCAAGTATGACGACTCTTCTCATTCGTGGGGTGAGTATAGCGACGCAGAAAGTGAGACTCGCAGCCATGCCTCGAGTATTGCGACTGCAGCCTCGTATGAGAATGCTCACTACGATTTCGACCTTGAACTTAAGAGTGTCAGCACCGGTCCCCAATCCGAATCTCAAGCTCCTGGATTTGGTTCAAGTGGCTATGCCATTCCCGGTTGTGATAACGGGCGTATGCTAGCTTTGATACATGCCAAGGGAAACATGCTATACGCACTGGGCAACAACAATGGTGCTGCGTCAGCATTTGAGGATGCCGTTCTTGTTTCTACAGGTCAACGCAGACAGGGTATTCGCGGCTTGATCCATGATATTCTGAAAGCTTGCCTGTGTACGATACGAGACCCGGAATACGTGCGTTCGAAACTCGAGGGTAAGGATCCGATCCTGCTTGCACCTGAACACGCGGAAGCCACAGCAAGACACATGTTCCCACCCGAGGGTGACCTGCCTGGTTTGGAACATGTGATCCCATCTTTTGCCGTACAGGCTGCAATTTCTACCACGAGCAATTCGTTGCTGTCACTGGCCAAAATCTACCAGGATGGCATGTCGACTGCTACGGATATCGGAAGCCTCAAATCACCAAGCACAAGAGAGATTCTTGCTCTGTACTACCTGTCGCTGTCTTTACAACGGAGCCCGTCCACAGCCAACAATGTTGGCATCCTGCTCGCTGGTGTGCAACAAATCGTGCATCGCGCACACTTGGCAGATTTGAACTTCCCACAGATATCTAGCATACCAGGTGTGGTAGCAGGCAGTGGAATCTCACTTGCATTGATGTATTACAACTATGGTCTGAATATTGACCAAAAACATGCCCACTTGTTCACCAACTTAGGCAGTCTTCTCAAAGATATTGGTCAGTTGAATGCTGCCATCAAGATGTACGAACGGGCCGTGAGTTGCGATGGTAATTTCGATATCGCTCTGGCGAATCTTGCAAATGCTGTAAAAGACCAAGGCCGTGTTGCCGAAGCAATCAAATACTATCAACGAGCTGTTAAAGCGAATCCGGACTTTGCCGAGGCTGTTTGTGGACTTGCAACAGCGCTCAACTCAGTTTGCAACTGGCACAGCCGTGGTGGGATTCGCGCAGCAGATATAGGGCGCGATCGCTTGCATGTGGATGAGCGTGGAATGAAACATGAGCCAAATCGGTCTTATGGATGGATCAGCCGTGTTGTTGACATTGTGGCTAAGCAGCTCCGAGACGGAGAAAGCTGGGGGTGCGGCACGTTAACTCCCTCTGTCATTGAAACGCTATGCCAACAATTGGTATATCACAAGCAATCATCACGACCGAGTGATCGGGTTCAGCTACACCAAAATCTCCAACAGTCACTTAAGTACTGGTCTGGAAAGAAGTGGGAAGGCTCTCGCGTCGTACGACTCGTTGAACGGGCGATACGTCAGATTGGTTGGCAGTGGTATCAAGACCGATATAAGCACCACAAGGAGTTTCCAGTCCAGACCTATGCGCGGCCATATCTTCCCAACGCACTCTCAGCGCCGTCTGCGCCGACTGTTCTTCCGTTCCACACCTTTACCGCACCATTGTCAGCAAAACAGGTTCGACAGATTTCACAACGCAATGCCCTACGCATTTCGGTCTGTACGTTGAGGTCAGCCTGGCTTCCCAAGACTGTCTTTCCTCCGCCACCCCCACCGAGACCGTATCTAAACGTGGGATATGTCAGTTCAGACTTCAATAATCATCCCTTGGCTCACCTGATGCAATCTGTCTTTGGTTTGCACGATAGAACTCGTGTCCGAGCCATTTGCTACGCGACAACCGCATCTGATGGCTCAATACATCGTCAGCAGATCCAGACGGAAGCACCCGTCTTTCACGATGCGTCTTCTTGGAGTGTTGAGCGTCTTGTCAACCAGATTGTCAGTGATGAAGTGCATATTCTTGTCAACCTCAATGGATACACAAGGGGTGCTCGCAATGAAGTTTTCGCTGCCCGTCCGGCTCCCATCCACATGTCTTTCATGGGTTTTGCCGGTACACTAGGAGCCGAGTGGTGCGATTATGTTTTTGCTGACACGATTTCTGTGCCACCAACCACGCTTTCTCCGTGGAGACGCAATGTGGATATGGAAGATCGTTTGAGAGCTGATAGTCTCGTGGAAGACGCCGAAGATTGGGTGTACTCGGAGAACGTCATCTTTGCTCGAGACACATTTTTCTGTGTCGACCACAAACAGAGTGCCCCTGACGCAGAGCGTGGTCCACCCAATCTCAAAGACCCGGCGGCAAGAGAAGGGGCTTGGGAAAAGGAGCAGGCTGATCGTTGGAAACTCAGGAAGGAGTTGTTCCCCACACTTTCGGATACAGCTGTCATCTTGGGCAATTTCAACCAACTGTACAAGATCGACCCTTCCACATTTGCCATGTATCTCGAGATCCTCAAGAAAGTGCCCAATGCAGTCTTATGGCTCCTGCGATTCCCTGACTTGGGTGAACAAAACCTCCTCCAATACGCACGAGACTGGGCAGACAATGAAGTCGCCACTAGAATCATCTTCACGGATGTCGCAGCCAAAGGCGCTCATATTACGCGTGCATCTGTCGTGGATTTATTCCTTGACACACCAGAATGCAATGCTCACACCACAGCTGCTGACGTTGTATGGTCTGGGACACCGATCGTGACGTGGGGTAAGTGGAAGTATAAAATGTGCAGTCGTATGGCTGGAAGTATCGTTGCCAGTGCGCTCCCAGAAGGACGAGCTGGCACTGATGCTCGTACTGAGCTTCTTGTCAAGAGCGAGAAACAATATATCGATACGGCAGTTGATCTTGCAAGAGGTTTACGATACCAGAATATCGGAGCTTCCTCTTCATCCAAACCAGGTGGTGGCAAGGGAAGACTCATGGATTTACGGCGCATGTTATGGGAAGGCCGGTGGACTAGTCGACTATTCGATACCCAGCGGTGGGTGAGGGATGTCGAACGCGCGTATTGGTCTGCATGGGAGAACTGGGAAAAGGGCGAAGGAGGTGATATTTGGTTATGATTTACAGCGCGGGCAACAAACATTTGGGTCGCAAATCAAAGTGGCGGCCAGAATAGCGTGAAGCAAGGCTGTTGCACATGCACAATGGGCATGGCAAAGTTTTCGACGGGAAACATGACAAACTTGATGATGTTTATGACACCAACGCAAATCCTTAAAAGACGGGATGTTGCCAGAGATACCAATTTTTTCATCGTTTTTCACGGACTGCCGGACGGATTCGACTAACTAGATAGGTAGGTAGTTAGTTAGATCGGGGAGAGCAGTCGATGTATACAGCATGCATTTGCACGGGCGTCGGAAGGTGGGTAGGAGTTGGGACACGATAGAGATGTCCAGGCTATGCAGAAGAAACGGCCATCTTCATGTCCGACTAGTTCGTTATTAGTCTTATTTCACCTCGGATTATTTCCGCATCCTTTCGCTTCCCCCGGACTGAGAGTGCTTCAAACTTCGCGGCCCAGGTATTGGGGGCTCGGGCTGACCATGCACCCCAGAGCAGCCCCACCAACCTATCCATCTGAATCCATAAAGGATGTTCCAAGAGGGATTCTTCTCCAGGTGGGTATTTGTTCGACCGTCTTTGCGTGAATGCTCTCGCCTTGGCAGCTCAAAACCAGTCTTTAGAAGTCACCGCATCTTGGCCAGCAGGCCTTTCAGTGTAGAAAGCCATCTCTGTGCGGACACATCTGATCTTTGCGTCAAAGAATGGCCGTTATGGATCACTCAAGCTCTGTAGTCTCAGAACCCGAGGAGCAAACCTCAAGATCTGGTGACGGAACGTGGGACCGCCGAAGCCCCCGTGTGCGATCGCGACGTCCCAGATATGCAAATCGAGCGTGGTATGCTTCTGTTCCCGATCTCCATTATATAGTGAGCTAATGATCAATTGCAGCAAGGAATGTAAGCGCAGAAAAGTTAAGTGCTCCGGGGAGACGCCTTGCTACCATTGCCGCCGTCATGAGGTGCAATGCTTGTACTCAAAGCACATATCTAGCCGCTCAGGGAAGTTATCGTAAGTTGTACCGTCAATAAGAGATGACGGTTCCAGTCCCACTTGCTGACTGCGAAAAGCGAGATGGCGGAGCTGAGGCAACAACTCGAGACACTACAACAACATGTCACTCTGCTTGTCTCCCGAGAGAGAGCTCCCGAGCCTCCTGCCCACACCCAGGCTCTTTCCGGATCAGATTGGATGCGCTCACCTCAATCAGGGTCGGACATGCATCTGCCTCTCCTGTCGCCTGCGCATCAGCTTTCTATCAGTCAGTCGTTAACAAAGCCGAGAAGTGTACAAAACAATGGCTCCAAAACTTCAACCCCATCACACATTGGTGGCACCAGGGCAGATTCCCTTCCAGTAACCGACTCGGCAGAAGCCACCCTGAGTCACTTTTCCGGTGCCACTGTGAATGCCACCTCTTGTTCCGGGAGAATGGCCATTGCATGCCATCCGCTCCTGTCACTCTCCCACGCCGAGGCACGAAGGCTAGTCGATGTCTACGAAGACGAGTGCGGGTCTGTCTATCCCCTCATAGACATCGTACATCTTCGAAATTTCACCACCCAGCTCTATGAAAGCGTCACGGTTTCAACGAACCCAACGACATGGAGAGCTTTCAAACTCGATCAATCTTCCAAAAGACATTTCAATACATTGGAGATCGTCCTCGCCATCGCACTGGTCATCGAAGGTCATGGTGCCACTGATCTCAGTTCAGCGTTGATGGACGAGTTGGAGGCTGAGATTGACCATCGCCCCTCTGGAGTGTCTGCTGACACTCATCTTGCCGAGATCTTGACGCTTATGGTAAGTCTGGTCGTTTTCTGAGATTGGGTGGAACTATCCACTGACGAGCCACAAGAGTTTCTACCAATTCTATCGTGACGAAGAAGTCCTTGCTTGGCGAACAATTGGACTTGCTGCAAGGATCGCCCTGGAGATAGGTTTGCACCTGAACGATCCACCATTTGCTACTTTCCAGAGCGTGCAAGAGCGAGAACTCGCAAATCGGCTTTTCTGGTGCATCTATTGTCTTGACAGACGTTGGAGTTTTGGAACCGGTCTGCCATTTGGTATACAAGAAGACGATATTGACCCAAGTCTTCAGGAACCGGTGAGTTGATCTCACTGACACCAGCAAGCTTCACAAACTAACTTTCGTTTTTGTTGTAGGTTGATTCATATCCATTTCTTTTCACAAGCATGATAGCACACTCGAGAATCGGCTCGAAAATACTCAAGGCCTTCTCGGGATCTGACCATCTGGAGCTATCACCAAAGAGAGAGGAGACTGCTTTTCTCAAATACCAGGTTCAACAATGGTACAACTCTCTCATCCCGGAATTGCGAATCGAGCAGGGTCAAGAACCTGTTCTTGAATCCCTCTCCCCAGCACGTAATAGACTACGGGTCCTGAACTGTCTCCGAAAGAACCAGCTCCTGATGATGATTCATCGAAGGACTCTTTATACACAAGCCTCGATAATTTCTGATCCACAGGGGGCCAGAGTCGCTGTTGACCTGGCGAAGAACACCATCAATCTGTTAGTTAGACTCGGCAAAACCTCTGAGATTTACCGCTCCCATGCGGCTTGCTTCAACTACTTCCTATACTCCACCTTGACGGTGATCCTTCTCGCCGCGTACCACGCGAAGGCCCAGTTCCACGAGTACTGTCGAGAAGAGCTGCACATGGCCCTCAACCTCATAGGAGGCATCTCAGCAAAATCCAATATTGCTAGGAAGCTGTGGAAGATTATCAAGCACCTCAAAGTTACGATCCCCGACACCGGCATTCTACACTACATGGAGACTCAGCAAGATAATCCAGGGCAGCAGCAGGATCGACTATCTCATGCCAACCGTGCTTACCAGCACGAACATATAATAGCCTTACCCGCACCGCCTAGCCAGCTCCTCAACAACAACACCAGGATGGGCCCACCTCAGACATCAACAAATCCATTGTCGATGACCACTAGTACGGGGACCTCTACCGCATATGGCGACTCCGGAAATGCATTTTGCACAACTAGTGACTACGCCGTCGATGGTAGCCTACTGAGTTCGGAACTGTCGGACCTCTTCCAGGCCATCGACCCCACAAGATATAATCAGACACCCTTGCAACTATTTGACCCGCAGCAGCCTCAGAGCTCGTCTCAACCATCGGTGCATACATCAGGTTTTCATCTGCCAAGGTCGTTCTCGAGAGATGTAAGGACTGTATTCTGATATAATATGCCCCATTCTTGGGGACTTGCAAGCATACGCGAGGCGGGTGGGGTCGGCGGCGTACAGCGAAGCGATACCATATCTGTATGGTAGCGGTTTCACGGAGGACAGAACTCATAGCTCGGAACTCAATCAAGTTTTCTCGCTATCTTGGTCGTCTGATATCATGAATTCATTATCAAACCGGCCCGGACCAGTTTCAAATGATTTTTAGGCCATTTCAATGGGACAAAAACATATATTCCCCCCTTTTCGAAGCCTGAAGTAGTGATCTGGGCTCTCCAAGAAATAAATAATCCATCAATTAAAAACCAAAGATGTTGGTTGTGAAAGACCTTGTTAGTTGTCTATAAGCTCAGACGCGAACAAACAGCATTCAAAAGCAAGACCTATACCGAGGACGCGGCACTCTCCCCAGCATCCCCGTCCCTGCTAAGCGTAAAGGAAGGAAATCCATTATCGACACATTCCTGCAGCTTCTGCGACCACATGCCCAAACCGCCGAAAAACACCAGCGTCGACTTGACCTTCCCCTCGACATTTCCACCGTAGAAGTACGACGCCGCCTTCTTGAACAACATCTTATCGCTGACCAGGTCACACAGGGTACCCCACTCCTCCTCGCCCTGCAACGTCGACTCCAGTGCGACTTTCCCGGCGAGCTCCCTGCCGCCACGGCGGACGTCCTCGACATGGGCGATCGCGGCCGTGATGAAGTCGACGTGCGCCTCGACCATGGGCGGGACGTTGGCGAGCGGCGACTTGGGCCCGAGAATCATGAACAGGTTCGGGAAGCCCGCGGCCGCGACGCCCATGTTCGTCGTGGGCCCGGCCAGCCAGTGCTCGTTGAGAGTCGTGCCGGTGCGGCCCTGGATGTGCAATTTGCGATACGCCCCGTCGAACGCGTTGTAGCCCGTCGCGCAGATCAGCACGTCCAAGTCGTGCCTCGTCCCGTTGGCCAGGCGCACGCCCGTGCTGGTGATCTCCGCGATCGGGTTGGCCATGATGTCGACGATTTCGACGTTCTCGCGGTTGAACTGCTCGTAGTAGCCCGTGTCGCATAGGGGTCTGCGTGCGTAGAGTTCCGTGGGCGTCAACTTGCGTCGCTTTTCCGGGTCTTTGACGATCTCGGCGATCTTGCCTTTGATGAAGTCGCAGGCCGTCTCGTTGGCCGCCTCGTCCGTCACGAGGTCCTCGAACGTCTGCACGAGGAAGCGGATCCCGCTGCCGGCGTCCCACGCCTTCTGGTAGATTTGCTGTCGCTCCTCGGCTGACACGTCGAAGGCTTTGACGGTCGATTCTTGGAATCCTCCGCCCGTGAACGACGTGCGTGCTTGTGCCCAGATGTCGTCGTACGTCCGGTTAATCTCGTCACGCTCTTCTCGCGACACGGGAGCCCGTCGTGCTGGAATGCTGTATTGCGGGTGTCGTTGGAAACAGAGCAGTGAGCCGACGTTTGGCGCTACCGTCGTGATCAATTGGACCCCGGTGGAGCCGTTCCCAATCACCCCGACCCTTTTGTTGCTGAAGTCGTAAGTCTCAGGCCACCGCGCAGTGTGATACAGTTCTCCCTTGAAGTTGTTGCGTCCAGGGATGGCGGGCCAGTTGGGCTCGCTGAGGAGGCCGATGCCTGTGACCACGTATCGGGAATTGAACACCCCGTCACTTGTATGCACGGCCCATGTATAATCCTCTTCGTTCCATTTCATCGAGACCACCTCGGTGCCGAATTGCATATATTTTCGCAAATCATGGCGGTCCACAACGTGGTTCAGATATGCAAGGCAATCCTTGGAGTCGAGGTAATTATGTGTCCACTTGTATGTCTGTAAATCCTCCTTGTCCCAGGAGTATCGGTATAAGGGAGAGTGGGTGTCACTCATTGCTCCTGGGTATCGATTCCAGTACCACGTCCCTCCAGGGCCTTCCGCTCGGTCGATCACCTTTATTGTCAGACCAAGTTTGACAAGTCGGTATGCTTGGTAAATGCCGCCCATGCCGGCCCCAATGATCACCGCATCGTAGTATCGCTGAACCATGTTGAATTATCAACTTCGTCAACCCTTAAAATGAATAAGGGTTTTTCGGTTAAAATGCACACCAAAACGCAGCCTGAATCAAGACAACTGTACAACGGTCAGGAGAATGTGGACTAGAACAGGACTCATCAATCGTATCTAGTATTTAATCAGACGTATGATTACGCGCAAATTCCTTAGCTCTCCTTTGCCACTGGAGAGCTCGGAAACTCGGTCTCCACAGGTTTTTTCGCAATCTTCACCTTTGTTGGTACTCGGATGATGATGGTCAGCGTGAGGCCCCCTTTCCAGCAGTTAGGGCGAGCCAAGATGACGATGTATCTTACTACATAGGTAGGGAAATATGATCTGACTCTGGAGTGTGGGGAACGTTCCGCACTAGATGATGTCCTTAGGCTGTAGTGGTAGCTAAGATCGTGGGGATGTCTGCGTGAGCAGCCCCGTTGCCCCCAGACGAATACATGACTGGAGGTGGCGCACGGGAAGCCATGCATGAGTTTGGATAAATAACCAATGAGCAGCCCGCTTCTCAAAGTTCGGTACTTTAGCATCAAACTCGGAACTTCGGTTGCGAGATTCCGAGCCCCAGCGGCAAGTATTGAACAGACTCAGCATCAGAGAATACCAACATCTATTATCTCCCTTCTAGGTCGACAGCACAGCTTGTAGTCCGGGGAATATACTGCGGCCTCCGAGAGCCGAGGAAGTGCTGCGAGATTCCGCACAATGTTCTGGGCTTGAAATGCCTCGTACGGCTTGACCCCAGCATTAATGTCTCATGAGGTTGCGCCGTCACCTCGTGCTGGTTAATCAAATGGCCAACTTCGAAGAAACGCGAATTCATAAGACGGCCGAGAAAATGACAAAAGGAGTGGCAATCGTGACGGGATCGTCTCAGGGACTCGGCAAAGCCATTGCAAGCCGTCTGTCTCACGATGGCTATGCCGTGGTGATCAATGATATCGCTAGTAAAGGAGATCAAATAGAAGTGGTGGTGCAAGAAATCATCGCATCTGGGGGTACGGCAATTGGTGTGGCTGCAGATGTGACCAAACGGATCGAGGTCCAGAATCTTGTCGACACAGCGACCGAGAAACTTGGCACCCTCACGGTCATGGTCGCCAATGCAGGGCTTGCTCATGCTGACGGCATATTCGACCTCAGCGAAGAACACGTCCAGCGTATTCTCAACGTCAACATTGCCGGTGTGTTCAATTGCTATGTTGTGGCGGGCAAGAAGATGGTGGAACAGCGAAAAGGAGGTAAGATAATTGGAGCTACCAGTGTGGCAGCATTCATGGGAAATTCTTATATTTCTGCGTACACGGCTTCAAAATGGGCGGTCAGGGGTCTCACGCAGGTATGTGTTCTATTATTGTTGACGAAGACTTACAGGATTTGACCCTGACATGAGATCTATTGGTAGACATTTGCGGTTGAACTAGGTGCAATGTCCAAGGGTCACGAGAAACCTATCAATGTGAGTGGATTTTGTTCGAAAGATCGGCGAGTTCTTTTGTACCCAACTGAACTTGGTTTTCAGGTTAACTGTTATGCTCCTGGAATCGTAGGAACTCCCATGTGGAAGGTAAGTATTTCCATTCTGCCTGTACTTCTAATGCATTTCATATACATCTACTCACCAAAGCGAAACCTAGGTATTGGAAGATAAGTTGCAGGAGGTCGGTGCGCCTAAAAAGGAAGACCAGAGTCAAATGGAAGCTTTTGCCTTGTCCATAACGACTTTGGGGAGAGTTTCCGTCCCAGAGGATATCGCGAACGCTGTCAGCTTTCTGGCTGGGACCGATTCTGATTGGGTAACGGGACAGGTATATGTCTTCTTCCTCCCGAATTGTGCTGCGATCATCACTAACACGAAGTTTCCATAGAGTCTTGTAGTGGATGGTGGGATTGCCTTCAATTGAGATAACTCGTAGAAAAATCATTATCTGAGTTGTGGCTTGCACTTGGCGTGTTGTTCGTACGTCGGGGTAGATATCAGCCAATTAGCACAGGATGCGTGTCGACAGCGCCACCGGGTCTGGAGCCATGAGACTAGTATGCATGAAACGGCTCGAGCAACCCAGCGCTACCCCTGACGTTGCTGCCTAGTTCTCTAATATCTGATTGATGTAACGTGAGAACAACCTTAGTCTCTAGGTGAATACTTTTGATGTCAGGAGATTCAAATTCCAGAAGAACAAACGACTTCAATTCGGTCAACGGGCAGCCTCATCAGGCGCACGATGACACCGCCTTTTGCCCAGAATGAGGTCCAGACCTATCGTGGATGGCAGGCAGAATTAAGCGAGAAGTATCCGTCCCTTCGCAATGAAGATTATAAACGCTGGTACCCGCGACCAATATCGCGCAACGTCAGAATAGCTTGCATTGAGTTCAGGCCCCACGAGCAAGTCAGTTTAGCGATAGTACATGGCGCGGAGGAATTTCGAAAGCTATATGACATGCCTGCAACGGCAATAACAACGGCCAATGCACCAAGACGGAGACTGTTCATCACAGAGGATTTCGATGATGAAACTCGGGCAGCTGTGGGCTTGCGACTCCAAGTTGATCCCCGAATTTTCCATCGGCACGCGAGGGTGGCATTGTGGGAAAGATCTCGTAGAGATGCCGGCAATGCATTACCTTTGCCCACTTCGACTCAAGCGAGCACGTCTTTTGTGCTTGATTACGTCCAAATGACTCTTGGAAACAGTTTACCTTTCGAGCAACAGGGAGTGAGCGACATATCGCCACCACGCGGGTGGGAGATGTCATGGATGGGATAGGGGCACTGCAGTGCAAGATATCATTCTGGGCAGAGAGAACAAGTCACGGTGGATGGGACGGTAAGTTATAATCTAAAGTTACGCAAATACTTCTTGCTTAATAGACTAGCATTGTTTGTCGTTGACCAACCGATTAGACATGCGATGTACGGCTCGAAAACAGTAAATGCTGTTGCTCAACAGATATCTCCCCCAGAACCCTTTCAAGGAGGCTACGGGTGCTTCATTCGCCACGATTCATTGGAGGACGCACGGAAGGCTCCTCCACCGCCCCGAACATCGATGTTTGATGATTTGTGCTTTTACTACCAGAATCACAGCAGACATCTATACCTTACAGAGGACCCGGGGTCCATAACACTATTTGCACAGAAGATCGTCGCATCTCAGTATATGCTACTGCTGAGCTACTACGGCTTCGTTCTCAATCATCTTAGTTGGAGCTTGACGCGGAAGGATAGCCTAGATTCCTTCGGCATGGGCCGAGTCCAACGCGCTTGGAGTGACCTCCAGGCTTATCATCGTCGACTCAAGGACCATCATCATAATATAGGGCTATTGATACTAGCCTTGCAGCTGTCTCGTGAGCCAAACTCAGCATCACATCCTGCAAATCAACCGAGCGCGAGGACACATGACGCCTGGAAGGACACTGCCCCAGACTTTGTGTACATTGAAACCGAGCTTGAACGATTGAAGGACCACGCCAAGGGTTTACAGAGCAGTTTCACGAGTCTGGCTGGGATTGCAGGAAATCGTCAGTCACTTGATGAAGCACGGAGTGTCAGAATCCTCACTGTTTTGGGCATGACATTCTTGCCGATGTCGCTTGTCGCTAGCTTACTGAGTATGGGTGGTGATTACTTGCCAGGCGAGTCACGCTTCTGGGTATACTGGGCTGTATCTATCCCGTCCGTGGTTCTGGTGTTTGGTATCTCGTGGGTCGCCACTCATCGACTAATCGGACAAAGATTCGGCGCATGGAGACCGTAGGAGGCTCAATTTACCTTTTGACTGCCGGATAAACGATGATTTAGAAGTCTTTACCCTACTTCCGCGTCGATTTAGTGAAGTGTCCGCCCAACCATTCTGGTCATCAATATCTGCAAGCTGTACATCTCTTCTTTTGGCCGACATCTCATAGTCGAAGAGTGGCACCCAATAAGCAGGCTACATGTGTGTCCTATTTCACCTCTATTGAACACCGCGCATTAATCACTTAATGCATGACCATTCCTCCGTCCATACGGTAGTTACTTCCCGATACCATAACAGCATCATCGCTGGCTAGAAACAAATAGAGCTTGGCGACCTCAGGGGCTTCCACTGCCCGTCCTACATGAGATCAGCAAAGATCCTGCTATAAAGGTGCCTCCCCTTGTCCTAGAAAAGTACAAGAAGTTCAATCAGACCTACCTGATGGAGTCTCTTTGACACGTTCCTCGACATTGCTCCATAACTTTATGAGAGGAGTATTCACAAAGCCAGGTGAAACTGTGTTGACGCGGATCTTGTCCTTCGCATATTCCTGAGCGGCCGTCACTGAAAGGGCACGGACAGCAAACTTGGACATGCTGTAGGCAGAAAGCTCAGGGAAGGCTGCTTCGGATGCGAGACTCGCAGTGATAATGATACTGCCTCCTTGGCCCAAACTTTTCATCTTTCCGCCGGCGTACTTGACACCTAGAAATGCTGATCATGAGCACGGATTGTCAGTGCCTTCCAAGAAGAGAAACGGATGAGCCAAAGAACACTCAACACTCACGCCCGCGCGCGTTGATCCGCATAGTACGATCGTAGTCATCGGAGGTAGTCTCGGAGATTGGTTTTATGATGCCAATTCCAGCATTCAGTACGGCGATGTCAAGCCTTCCCCACACCTCTGCACACTTCTCAACAAAGCTGATAACTGCCGCCTCGTCTGCAACATCAGCATTGTGGTAAATGTAATCGCTTGGTAGGAAGCCTGTCGATCGCAGTAGTGAGCTCGCCGTGTCGATGCTCGACTCTGATATATCGACACCGAAAACCTTGGCGCCTTCGGAGAGGAACAGCTGCGTTACGGCAAGGCCAATCCCACTTGCAGCACCAGTCACCAAAGCAACTTTTCCCGATAGTCGTCCTGTGTGTGAATCCATGGTGGGGAGGAATTATTTGAGATCGTAGTGAAAGATAGCGACCGAGATCAGCTACTTCACATTGGGGGTCCATGTCTTTAATCTCCGCGAGTGGTGTTTGTATGTTTGCGAGGTGCCGGGGAGGGTCTGGACCAACTTCGGTTTTGGAGACCGAGATTCCGACATTTCAGGAAGCTCCTGGAGGTCTGGAGAGACCATTAGGAATTTAACCCGTGGTAACCGGAATAAAACCACTTGCAAGGATTTGAGCTTTCAATTGTTACACAGTGAACTGCATGACTCCATTGGGTCTACCACTTGTCTGCTGTGTATCCAACTTTAGCGTCAACGTCGTCTGATGGAGCCGGCGGGGCCCCGAGTTCGAAATCTGGAGTCTACAGTTAAGGAATATTTGTGAAACAGAGAGTGAAAAAAGAGGGACGCACAGGATATCTGGTGCTTGCTCTATCCCATCCCGAATATGCGAAGTGATTTTGGTGGCTTTACGGTCGTCTTTCCGCGTTCCAGGCTCTTGCAACTGCTCCTTGACCAAGTTCTCTCTACTACCTACCCCCAGTCTGGGGTTTCAAGAGTCCAGGCACATTCCCCGGAATGCACCCCGCGAGTCTACCCCTGATCCATTGCTCATAAATGTTGATAAAGCCTGCTTTGTCAAGCTCCACATGGGAAAAGTCGCTTAACTTCAGTGCCTCATCAACAATCGTCTCCTCTCAAGTTTTACTCTACTGTGACGTAGGCCCATTCCGCTGGAGGTACGATTAATACTCTGTGCCTAGTGTATCATCTTTGAAGATGGAGAGAGGAATTACGACTGCCAGTGCGGTGGACGCACGCCACGAGATTGAGGAGACTGTCCAGACAGCAGTATATCCTGGGACTGAGGTCATGACCGATGGTATGTGGAAACATCCCCGTGTGCACAACATTAGCCAGTACTGATCATGTTTTCCCAGTTGGGGATCTACATTTCAAACACATTGGGAAAAACGTACTAGTCCCTCAACCCTCGGATGATCCTGCGGACCCGCTCAATTGGAGCTACATGTGGAAGATGCTTAGCATGGCTGGCATGGTAATCACGACATTCTCATGGACAGTCGGTCCTCTGGCAATCTCGTCTCAAGTGCCATATTATATGACGGAATGGGACAGGTCGTTGCCTGATGTGATCCAGTTTGTTAGTTGTGATGGACTGTCTTCAATCATTCGTAGTGCTAATCATTCGCCTCAGATTGGCGTCAGCATCCTCGTCCTTGGATTCTCAAACTTCATCTGGGTCCCAATTGGTCGAGTATTTGGGCGTCGGCCAATGGCATTCCTCGCAAATCTTCTGAATATCGCTTCGATGGTTTGGAGAGCAGAAGCAAAGTCTTATGGTTCATTCATGGGTGCTTGTGTTCTCACTGGCATTGCATGTGGACCTTCAGAGACATTGCCCGGCATGGTGAGACTCATGTCCTCCAGAATGATGAGGCGTTTCCACTAATGTAAAGATTTAGTTGGTTGCAGACGTTATGTTTCTACATCAGCGAGGGCTCTTCATGAGTGTATACCTCTGGATTGGGTGGTCCGGGACTTTGGTAAGATCATCTTGCCTGAGTTAGTATGTGGTGAACCTTTTTCGCTGACAAAATCTTCAGGTTGGCCCCGTTATTGCTGGGGTCATGTCTGATAGGTATGGTTGGAGAAGCTTTTGGTGGCTATGTACAGCCATTGCTGTCTTTGCCCTGATTTTCCAAGTACTTTTCATGCCCGAGACTCGATGGGGCGAGAGAGAGATCGTAATTGTTCGGGATCCTGCCAGCCAACATGCAGACCGCAGCGGAGAAAAAGAACCTTCAAGCACGATGGAAGATGCACATCAGGAGTCGACAGAAGTCAATGCCAACGGTGAGATCGTTGTCAAACTTAATGGAAGGCCAAGGAAGATGCAATTTTCTTTGTGGGGCAAACCTGACAAGTCGAGCTTGGGAAGCATTATTCCAGCTCTAATCATGCCATTCCGGATGTTCTCATATCCGATTATTGTATGGTCAAGCTTTGTCTTCGCATGGGCAGCATCGATGCTTGTGATCATCAATGTCACACAGTCGCAAGCTTTCTCAGGACCCCCTTGGGATATGTCGGCCACTGATGTTGGCTACACGAATTTTGGGGCCATTGTTGGAGTCGCCTTATCCTTGATCGTCGCCGGACCCCTGAGTGACTGGGTCTCGGCTTGGTTTACTCGACGCAATAAGGGCATAAGGGAACCGGAAATGAGATTGGTAGCCCTGATGCCATTTGCTGTGAGCTGTTTACTCGGCGGTGTCATCGTCGCAGTCGGCTATCAACATCAATGGAGTTGGAAGGCAATAGTCATTGGTGGATACACCCTTCTTGGACTGGTGTTGCCAGCTCTATCTGCCATATCACTGACATATGCGGTAAGTGGATTGAAATCAAAGACGAGAAGCTAGGCACTAACACTCTAATAAATAGATCGATAGCTACAAGCCAGTTGCTGGAGAAATTCTCGTTGCAGCGACAATGATCAAAAACCTATGGGCGTACGGCATGACCAGGTTCTTCAACAACTGGATCGTGGATGTGGGCTACATCACACCGATTATGGTTGACACTGCTCTTGCTATCTTCTTCGTCGGGCTGGCGATACCGCTTTTCTTCGTTGGCAAGACGCTTAGGAAATGGACCAGGAATAGCGCAGCTCATCGCGAAATGTGATCGGCAATCGGAATCGAGACAAGTGGGAGAGTTCTCCGAGGCCAGCGGTCCAAGGATCCTTCTTCGAGAGGTGTCCAAACACCTCTGGCACCTATAATGCCGCAAGATATTGGATATCGTGGAGCGAACAAGTATGTTTCTATAAGTACTGTGTAGCCAGCGTCAAGGGGCTGCCCTCTCAGTGTCCTCATTATGGCGGAGCACAAGCCATCTATTGTTGTACGGAGATCTTTAAGCTCGCCGAAGAGGTACGAACGACAGATTTTAGGATTCAAATAGTGCGGACACTGCCTCTTGCTGTAACCGAGCGAGAAACACGAATCTGAATTAGATCATCATCAGCCCATGCAATGATCTTCCAATTTCAGCCTCGTATAAAAGTCTTGGCAACGGTGCTTGCTGTGTCTTGGCAGAAATTGGCTTCAAGCTGAAGACTTCCTTCTTCTCTATCTTACCTACCTAGGTAGGTAGTTTTGACTCGAACACTTTTTCATGTCTGCCTCCCTTTTTTGATTGTCCACTGCTCATTATTTCTGCCCCGTAAGAAGGGCTCTTCCACGAATAGCGCCCCTAAGATGCCTAGACAAGCATGGTGCTTTGTCAAGCTTCTTCCTCATTGGGACTGACTGGCGATAAGGAAAGCTTCCCGCTCTTCCCGCCGCTGGAGCTGATGATTAGGTTGCGCCTTCGTGCCTTGGCACAATGTCGAGCTGAAAGGCTTCATTTGTATATGGCATGGGGGTCGTTTGATCGGAAAACAAATGTCCCGTCTTTCGTGCAGAAGATGAATGTTCCCATGTTTGCTGGATTTCCCCTTCTGTTATGCTATAATACGAAGCATGAACGGTTTGTAGTGCACTCCTTCCTTTGCATTGACTGAAAGGTCTTTCCGAACACTGTCTAAGATCGATACGTGTAATCGAGCGGCCCTCTATGTCGAAAGTTTCCTTTCATCTAACTGTTCTGCTAAGCCTTTTTCTTAGTTCAGTACTGACCATAGTGGTCGGTTCGAGGACAGACGAGGGTGATGCATGTGCCCAGGCGGCATACGCTTCTATCACTGGCAAGTACCGCATACTTTGTTGTGACCGCTTCTCTTTGCTGAATACAACACGCAGATGAAGAGCTCTCGCCCGAAGTTGTCCACAATTGTCTTAGATCTGTACCTCTTTACAAAGAGCCGGCACTGGAATTACTGAGAGACCTTAGAGCCAGCTTGGAGATCCAGAGTAGTCTCGACTACTTGGTTAATCCTCCGACAGGATACCTCTTTCCTGCCATCGACCTTGTCGAGAAATTGGAATTAATACGCTCGAAAGTCGAAAACGAGAAATACTCGAACGAATATGACTTTCAAGTTGATCTACTTCGGCTTTCGCTCTTGGGAAAGGATAATCACTTGTCATTCCAGGGCGATCTCATACGACTTTTTTTATTTTCGCGGAAAATGAGCCCTTTAGTCTCGTTATCTGAAGATGGTATTGGAGCTCCATCAGTTTTCTTGCTCGGTAAGTTTGCCCGGGCGTTCTTGTTGATTATTCCTCCGGCAATGAGGCAATCAAAAACGGGCATGATTCGTCACACAGTACCAACTTTCATCAATGGTTTTTTTCCGTTATCAAGCAAGAATACGCAACAGTTCAACTGCTAACAGATCGGGAAGACGATAGGTATTATCTCGAGGAGGGTTCTCCAACTCGATTGAAACAAGATTCTGAGTACTCTGCCATCTCAAGAATTAATGGTGTTGATGTCCTAGAATATCTTGAGAGACAATCACTGGCCGATTCTTTCCAAGACCCTGACTCTTTATACAACGCTCTACTTTTCGGACCTTACAACAACTTTCTTCTTCCGACGTTTTACCCTGGAGCTGAAACAGTAATTGACTTTGTAAATGGCACGACCCAAATATATCCTATTGTGGCTTTCGTTCGAGAGAATCTTACCGACATAGGGAGCGCCAACGATATTTACGAAAAGTTTTGTATCCCTCCGGATGAATCTGAAGAAGCCACATCATCATCGAGAAAGGCATCAGTCCTGGCACCGAGGTTAACCCGAAGAGTGCTGGAATCACAACAAAACCCTTTTCCAAACGAATATGACCCATCTGGAGCCATTCAAGGATTTTGGGGCGGTGATATTTCCGACCAGGTCGCCATCCTGGGAATATATGGGTTCTCTCCAGATACGGATGAGACAGAAAGCTTTTTCCAGGAAACGTTACGCAACATATTACAGCAATCTACACAGAATGGGACGGACAAGCTCATAATTGATTTGAGGGGCAATGGAGGTGGTACTGTCTTTCTAGCTCTCGACACTCTGGTACAGCTTTTCCCCGACACTACACCCGACACAAGCTCTAATCTTCGGGCATCGGCGGCCATGTCTGCATTAATACAAAGTTCCAGCACTAATACTACCCTGGCTCAAGATCAGAATACGACAACCGATCTCGATGAAACTGAAGTTCTTGGGGAATATAATAACTCTCTATTCGCATGGCAATTAATCCTTAAACCAGACGGATCTTTGTTCAAGGATATCGATGATTACTACGGGCCCTATTCATTTGGTCCTGGACATTTTACTGCCAAGTTTCAACAGAATTACACAAATAACGATAGAAATATACTTGATCCATCGAAATTTGACATGACTATTGCCAACCCAGAAGCTAGGCGACCCTTTGCTCCGGAGAATATGGTGATCCTGACAGACGGGTAAGTATGACTTAGCCTTGTCTAAGCAATAAATATCTAGAGTCTTTCAGCTCGGCTCGCTACTACTGAAAACTATCTAGATACTAAAAGATTCCTCGAAAAGCTGCTAACGTCTTAATGTATAGAACATGTGCATCTGCATGTTCAATCCTCGTCGAAAACCTTAAGAACAAGTTCGGAATTATGAGTATTACTATAGGTGGCCGGGCACAATATACGCCTATGCAGACAGTAGGTGGTGTGAAAGGAAGCAGACTCTTCCCCGCTGCCTTCTTTGACGAGGTAACGCCATTATACAACAATATGGTTCAAGAGGACGAATCGTTAGCAGATCCAATATTTGACTCATGGACTACGCTAGCTTCGCGACGATTCAAGGACCTGAGGGTGAATGGGATGAATGCCTTCCGGATTGGTGACCCCACCAACACGCCTATACATTTTATCTACGAAGCCTCCGATTGCCGAATCTGGTGGACACCAGAGATGCTCGTCGATCAGACGGTGCTTTGGAACAGGGTCGCGGAAATTGCATTCGACAGACCACATGGAAGTATCATGTCGTCTGAATGGTGCGTGTCAGGAAGCACGGGAGATCCTACCAGCATCAGTGGCGGGTTGAAGCGAGGAGAAATCGGGCCACAGACACCCCCAAAGGAGGTATTCCCGAGGTATGCCGGCTGGATCATCAACGGTACAATTACTACGGACGAAGAGTTGCCAGAGCATGATTCGTACGGGCCGGGAACCATCAGTGATGGCTCTTCCTCTTCGTCCTCGGGACAACCTACTGACTCAGCAGCGCTTCAGGACTTTCGAGACTATTGCTCTGAATATACCGGTGATGCTTGGCTCATTGTGTTGATGTGTGCGGCTGTAAACTAGGAAAGACAGACATTTCAACTGGTGTTCTTAAGCGAGTGGGACATATCCTAAATGGGTCTAGCAATCCTTTACTCAGGCTCGAGCAGGACACGTTGTATGGTGAGCAGTATAGATAGATGTTTAAGCAGAATCTATGCTTTATGACTGGTTTGATCTTCATCAGGGAGTTGAATTCACATTGTTTCAAGAATGTGTGGAGGATTTCCCAGGATCGACTAAAAGGGGATCGATAGCTAACAGAGCGTTGGAACGAGCTCGAGGCTTGACTATTCTCCTGTTATGGCGACCTGATTGATTCAACGCTATCCTTCACAGTACAATACTGTGGGAGACGCCAACGAGCAGCCTCGTCACTTCGACTGTCTTCTACGTGATGACAGCTCGCCAAGTTCAAGCCATAGCTAATGACTCCCATTAATTGTCAAGAAAGTCAGATCTGCGGGAGGAAATTCATCTTAGCGATCTAGCCTATAATTACAAAGTACCCGGCTTATAGCATACACATCGCACATATCGTACAGCAACTGAAATCGAACACTCGTGAGGAGAGTAGATCCTGCAAGAATTATAATGTAATATCGGATGGTCGTACACAGTCCAATGCGCCAATTGGCGAAATATCTTCCCATTGACAATATGGGAAAATCGGATCCCAATCGTCGATCATGGCGTCAAATATGCGTCTGTCGACAATCCTCGCCATAGTCGTGTATTGATTTAGCTCGCATGCCTTCTCAAGAAGGAGACACAGCTTTTTGCAGGGGGGGCAAGGACGGAAAACATTCTGGGAAAACCTTGCCATTGTGGGATCTATGACGCGAAACAGTTCCACAGACTCAGCGCTATGTGGGTACTGAATAAGATCCTGTAGTATAATGGCACCGGCATGATACACGTTGTAGTGGTTGAGGAGCCATTGGTAGGGTCCGAATGTTGGATCATCTAGGCCATCCACGAATTCTTTCGTATAAGATTCACTGGCATTGAGGGCAAGCTTTCTGGACTCCCTCGGCCATTGGGCAGATCGAAGGTAAGGTTGATGGAGAATAAATGACAATCTATAACATGTGAGTCGTTGGCAAAGCACGATGAAACGCTCCATGTTCGTCGGAATTGTTGTTTGCGTCCGCCGTACTTCTTCCATTATATAGTCGCAAACGTCCTTGACATCTTGATTCAGTCGACGAAACGATTCCTGCGTTGGTTTTCGTACGCTGTAAACTTCTTCCGCTATCCGGTTGAAAAGCACATTGGACCGAATCTGTGTTTCGAGAAGTCTGGTTTCAAGTTTTCTTTCCCCTAAGATGGGCTTCACGTCATAACTCGAAGAATGAATCAGTGGCGGCAAAGCATGAGCAAATGAATAGCCAACATCCAGATTGTGAATACACCACCATAGTGCGCGACGTGAATCTACTTCCTGGGGTGAGAACCCGAAAGATGCTGGATCTCGGTGTAAGCCCACAGACTGAGCAGCTCGGACAAGTACAGAAATAGGTGCCGGATCAGGGTCGACATGCCACTCAGCCATACTTGGCGCTGCTAGTAGGAAAGCTGCTCGTATCGTGTTTAGACATGGTCTTTGAGGATATCGGGCAGTGGATAAGAACTGCTGGGCAAGTTCTTTCCATGCTGATGGTTCAATGCTCGAAGACTCCACCTCAGCCGAAGCCTGGAGAGACGAAGATGCTGAATAACAGATGGCGGCAAGAAGAGCGGAAGAGCCAGTTGGACAAGGCTTTCGTGCTCGTAAACATTGTAAAGCAGCGATGACACTAGGCCCGTGTGCCACAGGATGCCAGAATTGCACGAATTCTGAATACCAACAGATCAATCGGTTGACTTCTGGGAGGTTCACAAAGTCGTAGATCTCGCCTATTGGAGCTTCGGAGCTATTTTGAGAATAATTGCCCAGAGAGCTGAGAGATCCTGGGCTGCCCATGTCACTTATCAAGGGTGACAATGATGCTGGAGAGCCTTCTAGATTCCGGAGAGCAGCAATCCATGAGGAGCTCTCGTAGTATCGTGGTTTAGCATCATCATCAGCTGTAAGAACTCCGGACTGGTCGGGCCAGATTGTTTCCTGTTGTTCACGCATTTCAGTAAGTCCTGGAGATGTCTTGGTCAAGTTTCGAATCGGCGTTTGTTCTTGAGCTCCCAGCCTCGCTGTGGTTTGGGGTGGTTTGTTGTGAATGGGAAAATGCGATCTTACTTGCTTGTCAAATTTCGAAACATAAACGCACTTTCGGTTGTTAGCCACGCATTTTTGACATTGCGGCTTGCCGCGGTCACACTTGGTTTTCCCGTTCCGACAAGATAGGCAGGCTTTGACTTCGCGATTGCGTGGCTGCTTTGGTAAGTCCAGGTTGAGGCGCATCATTGCGGGCTACTGGTGAGTATTATCGAATGTGTTATGAAATTGTCTCGTAGCCTCAGCCTTATGATGTAGCGGTTCATCAGCTGCTTGTGATCTTTCATAAATGGGATCGATCCAATTTTGTCCCTTGCTCTGGCGAGCCTTGACTAGACTATGATTCTTCAGGGATATCGAGGATGAATTTGCGGAGAAAAACATGTAGACACTAGGTACCGTGTCATCACACAAAAACTCGTCCGCTTCAGACTAGTTTTCAGAAAAGAAGAAAGAGATGCCAGTTGCAAGTTAGATTCCGCTCCTCTTGTCAGCATGGTTCCTTCCGCCATCGGTTCGCACGTAACAATTACCCTTTTAAGCTTAGGCAAGGAAGGCCCAGGCTTTGTGACTATTAATAATTAGAAAGCAAATTCTGCCTCATCAACTGATTCATCTGTGTGCTCCAGGAACAGTCTAGGTTGCGGTATTTGAAGCCAGAACTCAACTCTTGGAATTCTGCATTCTGCACGTGTTGTCATTGTGTGAGGAATTGTCTGGTAGAATCGAGGATGGTGGGCTTATTGGCTCCTTAGTGTCAAGACTGATGGTAGCTACCCCTCAGCCTCGGTTTATCCCCTATCAGGCCGAATATGGGGGGTGAAAACATGATAACGATCCCGCCACATGAGGCATGTCTAACTGCCTAGGTGGAAATGCCCACAGGCGCTTTACGAGTGCTTCTTCAAGGCGATCTTTTTGCTGCCCCATGATTATCAATCAAGTCCTCCCTCAACGTCTTTCTGATGTGACAACCATGACGATTAGGTGGAACTGTGTCTGAACGCGTAAATGCGCAACATTGGCCAACTAACTAGTTGCTCAGGCCCTTGAATTCACGTGTAGCGTGTGCGTTACCCGTCCACGGAACGTTTCCTATATTCCGATCAAGCTCCAACATGACTGGTCATCAAAGACGAGCAGACCCAAAAACACACCAATGCTTTGAAGGGCCAAGAATCATCAACCCTTGGGAGCAGGCCGTTCAATGACCGAGCGGCTCAAAATTCCTCGATGCAGTTCCGAACCTGTCAAGCACACAGCCAATAGTCTTGCAGATCAATATCTCGATATCGAAACCATTTGTGATGGCTGGAAAGATTGCTGTGCGCTTGTTAGGGTCGAAGCACGAAAACGCCAGGTGTGAATGGCGGCGGCCCATCCACGAAATGCCTACCTAGGTAGTAATTAACATCATTATTTACTACTCATGTAGCTTCGCCCCGAACAAGTTGATCTATTATAGCATCTTGAAACGCTGGTGAATTTGCTCAACTCAGCCTCCAAGTGAGAATGGCAGGACCAATGACCGTGTATATCAACGGAAATGTTCTCACCGTGAACACGAAACAGCCCCGGGCGCAGGCATTCGCCGTTGACTCGACTGGAAAATTTTCAAGCGTTGGAAGTAATCAAGATGTTCTCGAAGCAAGTCGGGACAGCCAGTATCAGGTCATTGATCTGGATGGCAGCTTCATAATGCCGGGCATTCATGATGCACATACGCACTTGCTGGCAGCAGCGATGCAACAGCTTTTCGAAATCTCCATCGGAGAAGACTGCACGCATGAGGACTTTGCACATGAATTGCAAGAAAAATGCCGATGTGCGCGCGCTCATGATACGGACGATTGGCTGATAGCCAACTTCTACAGTGGGAACTTGTTTCCGAATGGTCGGTCTCCGTTCATCGTGGCTGGATTGACATACTGAACAGTAGATAGGAGAGGTCGACAGGAAATACCTGGACGAGGTATTCCCCTCTCGTCCGGTCGTGATGCGAGACCCATCATGCCACAACGTTCTAGCGAACACGGAGGCCTTGAAGCGAGCCCAATATGACTTGCTTGATGAGGTGGCCCCCTTTGGAGGCGAGTTGGCCCGGCGGGAAGATGGAACGCTGACGGGCGAACTTCTCGAACAAGCCAACACCAAGCTCTGGCTCAATATGCCCAAAACTCCCACGGAAGTAGCTCAACGAGCAATTCTCGTAGGCATTCGCATGAACAATGAGTACGGAATCACGTCTTGCCAAGAGGCTTCTGCCAACACCGTCTACCTGGCTGCCCTGCAAGAACTTGAAAAGGAGACCAAAATCACCTGCAACATCCACACGCATATTGTGTATGGCCCCGTGGGATTCGCCCGTGAGTCTGAGGAATCACTTCACAAGCTGATAGATGAAGCGGAGCGGTACAAGAGTGAGCATGTCTTTACAAACTTTGTAAAGTTCTGGCTTGACGGGGCACCGCTGCCTCCACATTTTACTCAATGCAAACTGCAAGACGGGTCTCCACAGGCTAATAAATTGGTACTCGAGAAGGATTTCTTTATGAAAGGATTGACAGATGCTGACCGGAAGGGATATACCTGCAAGATACACTGCGCGGGCGATGGCTCTGCGCGATTCGCTCTCGATGCCCTGGAAGCAGTGCGAGAGCAGAATTCAGATGGTCCGAGGCATGAGATTGCGCACTGCAACTGTGTTCACCCAGGTAAGTTGACCACCGACATCTGCGAGGTAATAAAGCTGGACTGACAAGACCAGACGACCACGCTCGATTCGCAAAACTACGCGTCACCGCAGAGATGTCACCAGCCTTGTTCCACCTCAGTGAATTGATAGCACAGTCCGATAATCAGTTGGAGTGGCCGTTTAAGAGTCTTCTTGATGCGGGTGCACAGGTCACCATTGGTACAGATTGGTTCTTGCCACCAACGCCTAACATGTTCCCGGCACTGGCTGCGGTCGTTCCCCAGATCGGAGTTGAGAAAGTCATTCGGTGCATCACTTTATCTGGGGCTGAAGCGGTTGGTCAGGCTCACGAGGTTGGTAGCATTGAAATTGGGAAGAAAGCCAACTTCATTCAACTAGATCAGGACATCACGCGTAATGAAATCTCGGGAACAATTGTTCACAGGACCTGGTTTGAAGGCAGCCTTGTGTGGGAACATCCTGATGTGGAGAAAAGAGAAGTGGCAAGACTGTGACAGATGACACGACTTAGAATAAACATCATTAGTTGGTAAGGCAAGACCTCTAGGCATTCGCTTCACTGCCTATCGGCATGGTCATATGCCTAACCTATTCACTCCGCAAGTCACTCAAATATCACAATTCTGCAAAATCTGCCACCAAATCACCCCCGGAATTGAAAAGCAAATGCGTCAATTTCCGGATGATTAGCCGAGTTGAGACTGTCGATGATAAATATTGTCCAGTCAAAACTCGGCTGCCGGTCAAAAAAAACCTCTCCACAAAGGAGGTTTTCTAAGCCACTATTCAATGATGATATCTAGGCCTATCGAGGAAGATAGCGCACAAGAGATATCATCATTGGTAGTGGAAAGTTTTTGTCGTTCTTTCTGCCTTTTAGGAGAGAAGTGTTGAGCTCAATGATGATGATAACAGGTAGACCCACCTTTTAAATCCAAATCATAGTAGGAGATCCTCTCATGTTATTTTTGCTCGTTCCTTTCAGTCACTAGTGCAGACCTCAGTGCATGCGATTGTGCTCGAAATGAAATAGCTCGAAGATCAATAGAACAGACGCGCAAGCGCTGACGTCCGATGAGGTTCGAATGCTCAGTAATTTGTGGACATATACTTTCACGCACAATTATGGGTTAGTTGTTGGTGTCCCTGAAGCATGCTTTAAAGGGGTGTCCCATCGCAAGGCTGTCGGATACCCGGCAATCTGCATACGGGTAAGCGCGCTCTGGGGTTGAGCCTTGCGGAGGCCCGAGGGGACCCCACGAAATTTGACCGAGGTTGTTTCGAGGAATCATCACTAAGATAATTGGAGTTCGGAATTAAGTTTTGATATTTACGAAGCACATACTGTAGGTAGGTAGGTGGGCTCTGCTTCTTGCACGGTTGTATTTCTCACACTCTATCAAGGACCAGGCTGTATACACGTGATCTAGATATCGGTTCAAATGGTCTTGTTTTGAACGGCGTGACCTTCTGTGCGCTCTGATGACCTGAAGCTTGCTCCCCCCAGACGACTACCGGGCTGCGATTCACAGAATGTCTCCAAAGAAAGAATCCACCAGCAACATAGCGGCAGAACGGCTCTCCAAAGTCGCGGCTCACCTGACGACCAACCAAGACGAACCATCCTCAACAAACCAACCTCCCCAGCGCGGCCGGCGCACAAAATCCCAGCGTGCCGCCGGCCCTCCAGCCGACTATTCTGACGTACTTTCAAATCTACAGAAACTCAACACGTTCGCGCGTACCCCGGACCTCAACAACAGAGGGTATGTGAGGCAGAAACGTGAAGGCAAGCTATGGGTGCGAGAGCGCTTGGAGCAGCTGCTTGATAAAGGCAGTTTCAAGGAAATTGGCACTGCCAGTGGGCAGACGAAGTGGAAGCAGACGGGACCGCAAGACGAGGAGCCCGTGTCGTTCACGCCCACCAACAATCTTCAGGGTGAGCTTTCAATTTCCATACCACTTGGAGTGGTGGATTACTGTAGCCCTTACATGGAAATCTGGAGCTGTGACTGATCAGACGAAGGATTTGGTCTGCTGGGTGGTAGAAAGATCATCTTGACAGCCGACGACTATTCCATTCGAGCCGGGCATGCTGATGGAGCCATCTCGGATAAGACTGTAAGTTATTCCAATGGCGAGCCACTCCCATGGCCCCAAAATTCGTCTTTCAACCCCGAGCTAAGCAGTTGCGCAGGTATATGCCGAGAAACTTGCTCTGGCTATGCAAATCCCCATCGTCAAACTCACGGATGGATCCTCAGGTGGTGGATCTGTAAGTACAATCAAAACGAATGGGTGGTCATATATCCCCGGGGTACCCGGGTTTATACAGGCGATCAAAGGGCTCAACATGGGTATTCCCAACCTCGCGGCAGTTCTGGGCCCAGCGGTACGTTTGAAGACTCGAACCCTCTTACCGCTTGTTCTCCTCCAGCTGCTGAGAGGATCTTAACAGATCGGGATCGGGGCAGCACGCGCAGTATCATGCCACTTCTCGGTCATGGCCGGCGACATCGGTAGCCTATTCAACGCCGGGCCACAGGTTGTTGAGCTCGCGACCTTCGAAGAGGATTTGACGCTGCGGGACCTGGGAGGGCCGGGTATACACTGCACGAACGGGACGATCGACAATTTGGCAGCAAATGAGGCAGAGTGCTTCGAGCAGCTCAGGAAGGTCCTTTCGTATCTGCCGAGCTGTGGACAGTCAAAACTTCCGCCGCTAGTCGATAGCGACGATCCCATCTCGAGGTCCGACACGGATTTGAGAAGTATCATTCCGCGGAAGAAGACGCGGATGTATGACGCGAAGTCTATCATCCGAAAGGTCGTCGACGCCGAGTCTTGGTTCGAGATAGGAGCCCTATGGGGAAGAACGGCGATTGTTGGTCTTGCTAGGCTAGGGGGCCACCCTGTCGGAATTATATCGCTCAACTGCGAGGTCAACGCGGGCGCCTTGGATACTGGAGGGTCTCAGAAGATAACGCGTCATCTGAAGCTTTGCGATGTTATGAATCTGCCCATCATCCAATTTGTGGACGTTCCTGGATATGCCATCGGGACTGTTGCTGAAAAGCAAGGTAAGCGGCATCTAATTTCATCCGGGTCACTGTGCTTGCAGTATGAGTGGACTGACAGTTTCCGCAAATAGCAACAATGCGCTGGGGCGTCGAGCTCGCCAAAGTGTATATCTCCACGACGATCCCCATCTTCAACGTCCTGACGCGGAGGGTCTATGGCGTCGCTGGCGGTGTGATGGTCGCGTGTCGAGACCCGATTATGCGTGTGGCCTGGCCGAGTGGGGAATGGGGGAGCCTGCCTCTCGATGGTGGTATTGAGGTCGGCCATCGATGGGAGCTGAAGCAAGCCGAGGCCGAAGGCAAGAAAAAGGAGCTTTACACCCAGCTCGAGGATGACTACCGCCGATTGATGAACCCTATCAGAACTGCCAACGCCTTTGGTGTCGAGGAAATTATTGATCCTGCAGATACGAGACGTGTTGTTGCTGAGTGGACGATCCATATGTGAGTGCCCTGCCCTCATTCGCGTTTATTGTTACTCACTGCCGAACAGGTATTCGGACGTGTTGCCACAGAGGTTGCTGGATCGTGCTGCCGGCCGGATCCATCCCTCTTTTGCATAATCACTATGCTGACAGTGTTCACCCGTGTGGCTATGCCCAGCGTTCCGATTCTGTCTGCGAGAATGAGGACACTTGTGCCCCATTGCGTTTCTTTGCATGACTCGGAGTCAGTATATTAAGATGAACATTACTAGAGATGTTTTGCAATTTATTCTGAAGATCGCTGCACTCATCGGTGGTGCAATGTTAAATTTTAGAATTATATCTACCTAGTTTGCGGCGTTATGACCCCAATTGAAGCTGATAGAGACGGTAACACATGAGCTGGCCGTCAAATGACTGATGCAGACAAATTTATGTTGCTCCGCTTCCCTGAATATTAATCTTCGCAATAATACCTCAACCTCTTTGAGACCGACCTCAAGAGACCATCCAAGAAAAATTACGCTTAAATGTATCCATCCCCAAAGCAGACTACACATATTAAATTCCACTATGCAAATGGAAAGAATGGCCCGTGTTTGCCCTAGATCCATAATTTTTTCGTAACATCGTAAAACCTTCCGCTCACTTGGGAGACCGGACCCAAGGTCAAAGTTGCTAATTAGTACTCACATATGCCGTTCTCCAATGCCGCTAAAGCGGCCTCATATCTTCCTGGACTGTGATCGCCAAACATATCCCTACCAAATCTCAGTTCTCCAAATCTGGTCTCAACATCACGAACGAGTTTCAATTGAACTCTGGTAGCGGGTCTGCCCAAGGCTCGATAAAGTTTTTCCGTCCGGTCATCCTTGGTATCATCAGGACCAAAGACTGCTTCGCGAGCAACGTCAGGATCCAGGCGATCAAAGACCCGAGAGGTCTCCACAATGAAAATCTCTCCAGGCGGAACGAGTTTATCGTTCACCATTGCCGCGCGAAGAGTTTTGAGTGCTGACCATGCCCAAGTATCTTCTCCTATACCATCACCAGCCAAGTTTTCCGGTGGAGGAGGGCCTTTAGGGTCATTGTAAAAGGAGGACGCAATCGCATTTTTAATGCGCTGCCAAACTCTCGTCTTCAGTGCACCCAAAGCATCGGTAGTATCTGTTTTAAGGTGCAAAGCCACGGTCCGAAAGTCATGCAGGATACCCAAAGACAAGCATGGGACGATATCAGCATGATTGACAATAGTTGTAATAAGACCACGTGTTGCAACTCTAAGGAGTTCAGACACACATGCTGGGGTGCCATAGGCATAGACGTGAATAGGTCTGCCAGAGGGTAGACTAATCGGTGGGATATAGGAACTAGTGTAGTCACCAGTGTTTCGATGGGTCAGAAGTTTCGGTTTATCGGCAGTAACGAATGCTGACTTTGACGTGTCATTGGAAGGTTCCGACACCAAGATAGCAAGGACAGCTGCAACGGCGCCCCCTAATGAATGTCCACACAAAACTAGACCATAATCTGGATATTGCTCTAGTGTAGCTCGAATGGTTGCCATGACACGACTTCCATTTCCACCCAATAATCGTCTTGCAGATGCATGGATGCCCTTGTGAACTTTATACCTCTGACCTTGCCAAAACAGGTCGTCATAGTCGCAAGTCATATCAGTCAACACATCTTCAAACCCTAACGTGCCACGGCAAGTGAGAACAACAGCTTTAGAATCGTCATCAATGGATATGAAATGTATGAGAGGAGATATCGCAGATGGAGACCAGTCGGTGTTACCAGTCACACCTTGAGGATCGAAGAAGGAAGACAAAAGGATGGTATCTGGAGGTAGACCAGTGTGAGTCGAGAAGGAGCTGTGTTCGTGATGCGTATCTAAGGTCATTAATTCTGTAGATTTGCTCAACTGCTCTTCAGTTGAACTCAGACCCATAACGCGAAGGAAGTTCGAGCCGTAGGAAGCAGATGCAAATCTGGAGAACCGCCGAATAGTCCGAACGAGGTGGCGATCGGGGAAAATTCCTGGAGCTTTGCCTTCGGTTATGAGGGCGTTCAGGATGTTGTGGTCATCGTAGATAGATTTTCGTGGTAAGGGAGTTTTGGGAGCCAGGAGAATGGCTTCATGAGAGTCTTTCGTAGCCATAGAATAAAGACTTGGAACGAACGACCGAGACCTATGATGGTGTGTTGTGTTGGTGGAAGATTCGGGCTTTGCTTCTATGCCTTGCAAGGAAAGTGCAAGCTCGGATCTTGTCTGTGTTAAGCCACTAACAATGCGCGTATGCGTACGAGTGAAAGTAGGTGAACCAGGTCTGCTCTCTATGGATTGCACGGAATATGTCTCGGTTGTCTGTGAGACAGTAGAATCTCTTCTTCTATCATGCAATGAAAAATAGCTTGATGATGATTCGTGTTGTGCGGCGCGATGCAGACTTGGACTGGTGAGGGGGGTGGTTCCATGGCTGAGTGAAATCAAAGTCTTGCGCGGAGTAAGGTCACTTCGCACAGTTGAAGGAGCGCGACTTCTTGAACTTTGAGTTGGTGGCGTTGGTAGAGGCTTTTGCTGAAGATTTCTACGTGGTATGTCTTTGACAGCAGTAGTAGATTGACTGGGACTTAAAGACTTGAGTGCTTTCTTTAGAACACCATTCTTTTCGGATTTATTAGCTGGTATAGATTTCTTTTTGCTATTCTTCATCAGCGGAATATGACTTGTAATTTTGCTTGTAGAGGATGATGACCGCTCAGGTGGATTAGGCCGTCGACTTTTCTTCTCATTCGCAGTTGGTCCGAGAGATTTGGTGGTGGTGAGAGGCGTAGGCGGAGAGGCTGAACCGATGATTTCAGGTTCCGGATCAGAGTCACTAAATGGGAGGGGTTCGATCTCAACAGGCTCGTCCGCTATTGATATTCTCTTGGGAGCGGCATCCATCATCAAGAGATCTTCTTGATCATGATGATCAGGGCGATCGCTCTGATCCACATCGTTACTAGTGAGGCGAAGATGGTCTGTCGGGGCGATATCGGTACTGCTGGATCTCCGCAGAGCTGTTCGAAAAATGACTGTCTGCTGGGGTCCATCTTGCGTCAAGCTCGGGAGATCTTCGCCTTGATTCAGCCTTTCAGACACCATGATGGTACCTGGGGGTGCCTCGATCTGGGCATTCCGTGCATTGTAGATATCCACCTTGATGGTCTTTGCTGTCACAGTCTCGGAAGTGAATACTGCTCTGGCACCAGGTGGGAGTTGCCGGGTGATGCGTTCCCGAATTTCTTCATCAGTCAATTGAATCGAATGATCAGGCGAAGTCGCGAGAGTTTGCGGGTCGAACAGTGTGCCACGCTCAAAAGCCTCGAAAGCGTCCTCACCATTGGGAGACGCGAAGGTGACGGTAGGAGCTCCAGTATTGCCATGCAAGCTAATCATACCCTTTCGCCTGGTCCCAACAACATCGGCGCGAAAGCCTTTGTCATCTATGACCGAATCCCAGATTGTCTCTTCACCACCACGGTCTCTAAAATCGAGTTCTGTCTTACGTCGACCCCATCGCTGGAGCATAACAAATCCCACAGTGCCCATGATAAGGTCTAGGTAGGAGACGACCTCACCGGCCGACCCAGCTTCGGGCTTGTTGAGTTCATCTTTTGCCAAGGTAATGATGGCGGCCACAGCACGAGATGATTCCGTGGAGCCGAGAATAGCGTTGAGGGTTGACAATCCTTGGATTGACAGGGCCGAGACCGAGTTCATGCCCACCTCGGTCAGATAGAAACTTGTGGAAGCCACGAAAGAAATGGTTGAAATAGATGAGTAAAGTGCCGCTATCTGTGCAAGGATACCTAGGTGAGTACGAACGCCTTATGAATGGACGGGAGGAACATACACTTTTCTCGAGTATATTCTCTGCTTCCGCCCTCCCCAAGTCTCCATTGCTGCGAGTCGATAGGTCCCTTCCGGCGGCGATGAGAACTGTTTCCAGTACACTTCTTCCTACGGAGAGGGTCTTCAAAGTAGCTTCTCTACCAGCATAGAGACCCCAACCTCCAACCTTGGTGCCTGCCCTGACATAGAAGGATGTGATGCCGGTGACACCACTCACAAGGGCGGCGGCTGGACCGGGGAGTAATGTTCGACCCTGTGCGGGCTGCGCAACGATAATTTGCTGGTTGTCGTCATGAGACAATTCCTCAATGGATTCGTCAGATTTATCTTCGAATGCCTTCTCTTGAGTTGAATTCCAGAACATGGTGTGATGAAGATGTGGCGTCAAGACAAGGTGGCGGTGTGAGAGGGGAAACGGTAGGATGGTCTCACGTCGTGCTCCATTAAGTCGCGGAGAAAAGAAGAGAGGAGGAGGAAGTGCAAGAGAAGAGAGCGATGGAAAAGGTTGGGACTGACTATGCAGGTACGCGTCGGGTTCCTGACATTAGAGGCATATGCCAATGACCATGGCCAAAATCAGGCACTGTCGTTTAGATAGCACAGTACAATCTTGAATGGACAGGATGGCGTGGTGTGCCGAAGCGTTGTCAGTGGATAAGAACCGCGGTCCCGGGTGTTCAAGTTGATTGTGAGCCAACGGCACAGATGGTGATGACGTTTTCCCACATGCCATTTTTGTTCCCTCATCCTTGTTGTTTGGACCGATTAGGATGAAACACGTTGAAGACTTCCATTTGGACGGAATCTGGATAGTGCAGAGAATTGAACGGGAGATACGCTCTGTGCCCCGATTGGAAGTCACGACTCACAAACATGTAAGAGACCTTCGCTCCTTCCTTCTCGTTGATCACCTAGTTGGGGCACCCATACTCGCACCTTCCTCTCGCAGCAGACTGAGAATGAGGACGTCTGACAGATGGCCCTTGGCAAAATATGCCCTGATTCAGGGACGTTCTAGGCGTGTTCAGCTGGAATTCTGCAGGCGGTCGGACACAGAATAACTAGCGCCTGTCACATGCTCTGAATCATTGTTGTTCTGCGCGTCTTTGTTGTCGAGGCTCTTGGTTGTGACTTCCCATTGTTCGAATTGCACTCACTGTCGATTTGTCCCCATTATTATCGACTGGCAGTCTTCGCACACGATGTTTGCATGAAATGGTGGATTCTGGCGTGATAATCCTAGAAGCCTGATGTGTCAAACGAGGCTATCTTCACGGATCTTCTTTAATTTAGCTGACTCTATTGAAATATCTCAATGTATCTCTACGCGTTCACCACCAGTTCTTTGCGTTTCGACACTATCAGGGATAGTTAGTATCTTGGGTATACCAGTAATAATAATCCCTTCACATCTCAATGCTCAGCCAGCCTCAGAAATAGGTACTATGCTAATGTCATTTGAAATTCTGTCTGACGGCACGTTTCCTGCTAGGCGGCCATCAGCTGTACCGGATGAGGACTAGCGTCTCGTCGCCACAGAATGGACATGAAACTCGCCGGCTTCAAACCATTCATCTCCACTGCCTTGTTCCTTATCCCAGGCATCTGCCACTTTGTTCAACGCACTTCACACGCAGTCAAATATTCCATTGATTCATTCACTCATTAGCCAGACAGCGCGCCTTGATTTCTTGATACGCATATATCCATGCCGCCGTGCATATAATCTACTATTATTTCCTTCAAAAAGCGGATGAACCCTCGGCAAATCGGGACACAACCTCGACATCTGTGAACAAATCTTTTCACAGCTCGCTACTCAACATGTCGTTCGGAACTAGGCAGAACGGCAATGATTCATCTTCCACCACACAAATCGCCATCAAAGGTTGGCTGAAAAGTGGCCTTGCCAATTCAAAAGACCAGGGAGTCGAGGCTCTCGTGGGCTTTTTAAGTAAAAAAGCCAGCAGACCAATTCTCTCCCATACGAGGGCTGGTGCTGCCGTTCTTCTAATCACTGTCAATGCTCAAGACCAAGACCGCTTCTTCCATCTCAACGGCTTTACATTTTCCGGCGCATCTCTTATAGTGGAAGCAGCACGACCACCTCGGTCACAATTCAATCCTGCACACTCAAACAACCATCAAAACTACTCTCAAAACAATTCCAGAGGTCCACCACATTCCAATGGAAATCAAACGCATCCTCAAAATACCTTCCGAGGCCAGGCTCACGGACAACCCGTTCCTCGAGGACCACGAGGACCATTCCAAGACAACAATTCTCGTAATAACCCATCCTCACACAGAGCAGCCGACCCTACCACAACGGAGCTGGAAAATCTCATCATCGAGGTCATTCGCGAGCGATATCACGCGGGAGATAAACACCTTATTCTGAATGCTCTGGTCTCCGATCCAAAAGTCACAACCTCCGGCCTCTCGAGTCAAGATCCCATCAAAGTCTGGAAAGCAATCTTCACCATATGCGAAAAGCACATGTGGGAAACGGCAAGCAAGCGACGAGAAGCCGTTGAAAGTATCAGCTTACGCGACGACAACATCACCAGCGTCAAAGATATCCTGTCACTATCAAACATCTTCCCCACGATAAAAAACCTCGATCTCTCAAACAACCATCTCGCCGATCTAGACGCGCTGAAATTCTGGAAGAATCAATTCCGCGACCTGGAACACATCATTCTGATCGGAAACCCCGTCTCAAACAACCCAGACACGCTTCAAACATTACTCTCGTGGTATCCACGACTCAAACTCTACAACAATGAGCCAGTCCGAGACGCGGCCGGCAACATCAACATACCACAACCACAGCCCAATCTACCGAATAACGCGCTGGGCGGTCTCCAACCGAATCCATCTGCTCCAACGGCATCCCACCCTGAATTCCCACCCGGCTCGACATTCGGACTCCCCGAGCCCAACAAGTCCGCCGAGGTCCTCCAAAAGGAACAAATGGGCCTACAATTCTCTTTTGAGACGAAACTGAAAATGGAGTGGGTCGAGAACTGCCTGTCGGCGAACAACTGGGTCTACGACGCCGCGATCGCCAATTTCATGGAGCTACGCGCCCAAAACCAAATCCCTCCCGAGGCGTACATCACTGGTGTTTGAGCGCAAGGGTAGAGAAAGCAACGAGTTTCACGGAGGAATCGCTTGGAACGACCAAGATCGAACAAAACGTCAAAGTGGACAACACAAATGAAGGAAGGAAGGAAGCAGGCAAGGAACCGATCCAATGATCAATGATCATGAAGACACGAAGCATGTTAAAGGGGAGTAACAATCAGTCGCTGCGCAAGCATGGGCGGAAACGACAGGGGGTGCCATCACTAGAGAAAATTTGTTTTGCTCAGTCTCAGCCCACTCACTCAATGGCCAGTTCGACCCAGTATGTAATTTTTTGTAAACAAATCAAGCGGAAGGAGGGCAGTTGGGGCTGCTTCTCGAAAATTTCTCTCCTTCGAGTCGATCATGATAACATGATGTGCAGAGAGGAAACAATGTCAGGATACCCAGCAAAGCCGGAAGCGAAGACAGGCGCGGCTCTGGGCCGCCTGTGGGCAGTAGTTTAACTAGTCGATGCATAGCAAATATTGGCCGAAAGGAACGACAAGAAGGCAAAACAAAGATCAGTGCTACTATCCCATGACCAGTCCAGAATGCTTCATGAATATTGAAAAATACTCGGAGTTAATGCCATTTAGTCCTACACCGGCTGTTTGTTTATTGTTCCTACGAAACGTTTTCCAGGATCCTTATGCCACACCACATCATACTATATCAATATCGTTCCTATCGGGCTTTGAACTTGATCATTGAATCAATTCCCACCGTTCCGATCCTCGGGGGGCGCCGGGCTTGTGGCTTTACTACCGCCAAAGCGACCGATCCCACCAAAGCCGCCCAAATCGCGCTTGAAGAACTTGCCAATATTCTTGAGGTTCTCGTTCAACCCGCCGTCTTGAGTCCCTCCGACCCCAGGCGGCGCGACCGAGATGGTGGGCGTTGGCGCGCCGAAGGGGCTCGCGGCCGAGGCGGCGGCGGGAGGACTCTGCGCACCGGCATCGCGAGGTCCCCCGAGACTAGGGCTGCTGAACCGGTCGATCAGGGCGGTGCCAAGTCCCGAGGCGTCGAATTTCATGTTCAGGTTCGCCGGCAGGTTGGCCGTGCTGAGAGATGCGGCCGCCGAGTTTCCCAGTGCGGAGAGATTGTGTAGGGCGTTGGCTGGGGCGGAGGATTGGCTGCCCGTGGTTGTGCCGGAGCTGCCGCCGGAGGAGTTCAGGTTCAGGGAGGTGAGTAGCGGGGATTTCTCAACCAGGGAATCTTTGTATCGCGGGCTGAGTTTGTGCATTTGGAAGAGTTCCACCAGGTGCGTCTGGTCGGATTTCGTCTTGATGCCCTTGAGATCGAGTATTTTGCGGAAGTTGACCTCGGAGAGATCGGCGATGTGAATCAGGTAGGCTTGCACCAGGGCTTCTGGTGGGGATGGTCGGATTTGGAGAGTCTTCAACAATGGCTCGATCTTGTTAAATGCAGCATTGACTCTCTTCAGGAACAGAGGAGGTGGTGTGCCGGGGAGTATGTGTGTCAGGGTTTTCCTGATCTCATGGGTATCAAGAAGCATTTGCTCTGCACCGCCTTCCGAGATTGGCCTACATTGAGCCACGTTGGCGATGTATGCCGAAACTAAAAGCTCGACTAGGTTATCGCTGAAAGCACGCGCATATTGTTGTTTGTGTAACATTGCAAAAATTTCTGTTGAACGATCCTTGATGCGACTTTGGAGGCCGGTGATAAACGAGCTTTGATTTTCGCAACTTTCGATCTTCGACCATGCAGTATTTCGCATTTCTCTCCAACTAGGTTCAAGGTCAACTTCAACTCGGCGGACCAATCCACGGACTGCTGCACTAGCAATGCCCATGAAAGCGTCCGCCTGACTCTGAAGGTCGACCTGATCTTTCAAATTCTCATCGATACGGCTTTTTATCTTCTCCTCCAGGGAGTTGGAGGTATTGAAGCAATAATCTGCGGTGTTGAGAACTAAAATCACATCTTCAATGGTTGGAATTCGAGAGGGGGTTCCTCCCGATGGTCTTTCTGAGATGTAAAATAGTAACACCTGTTGAGAGTATTGATCCAGGTACCGTCCAAAAACCTTGGAAAGATCAAGTAGAGGCTGACCAGTCGATAATTTTGCACATTGTGCTAGCGACAACCGGTAAAAGTTGAAGAGCTCAGTGGATGATGCTATCACTTGTTGCGATGAGAAATCTTCATCGGCAGCTTTGGTCGGTCTCGATTTGTACTGTGGTATCAAAGCGGCCAGTTCTTTATCCTGTGCTTCAACCCACAGGCTCAAGTACGGCTCAAAAGCATCTGATATGGGTTGACCGAAAACAGGAGTATCGCTAGCCGAAGTCATTGTGTCAATCGATGTTCTCGAAGTACTAGAAAACTTCCGCTCAAGGCTGTGTTCAAAATCCAAAGTTTGCTGAAGACAAGACAATAACAATCGTACATCTATAGTTTGACCATTCCGAGTTGTTCTCGATAGAATGCCCTTGTAGTCGTCGCGAGTGCCCTCAGCGAACACGTTAGCGAGTATTTCATTAACGCGCCAGTGGGACGGGAAAATGGCGGCATGTTCCTCATCATAAATTTTTAAAGTCTTCCTAAACCAGGAATATCTCCGATCGATGTTGTCCAGTGATCCAGCTTCCTGGTCGCCCTTGAATATATGTCGGTACTGCCGCAATTGTGTGTTGCAATACCAAGTTGTCAATCGGGAACGGGCGGCATCACCCAACGCATCCACAACAAGACAAGCCTCATTGAGCAACCCTCGTTTCTGACCAATTTCCTCTTTGGTGAAAGTAATTTCAAAATCTTCACAGACTTGTTCCAAGAGCTCACGTTGAAGTTCAGAGACATTCCTGCTGAGGGTCGCAATCTGATCTATTGAACGATACGACTTGAAGTGAGCCATCAACTGGATGACGGCTTGTAGGAGCTGTGCACATTCTCTGTACTGTCGAGTCTTGCTCAGTGCGCGTAATTGTTCATATGCGGTGGTCAGCATTTGCAGTCGCTTCAAGGCCGTCATTGATAGGGTCAAGTTCTTCTTAGTATTATCCAACTGCTTGATGTCCGCAGTCATTTCTGTGATGTTGCGTTCGGTTTGGATAGCCCGTTCACGAACGGCTTCGATACGTCGAAATAGTACGGACAGCTCGGCCTTGGAGGATTCCATCCTCTGTAGGCATTCCGCATTGGAACGGATTTGCTCCTCCTCAAGGAGATCGATTTCATCGTCTAAATCATCTTGATAAGCTTGGAGGTTTTGAGACGTCCGGGTGACGGAGGAAAGGGTCGAGGGGTGTGAGAATATCAGATTGAGATGTTCTATCGGGTCATAATCGTCTGGAATTTATTAGTTGCTTGTGGCGCAAGGGGAAAGAGTTCCATACCGGAGTCTAGCAGATCCAGTTCGTGATCGATGCCATTCACAGGCATGACAATTGGATGAGTGATGGGTGGACTGCGGAATATGTAGGGAGCGACCAAGGACCGGCATTGCCTCAGGAGGGAACGATTTGATAGCTGACAGACACAGAAACACAAGCAACGTTCTGAGTTCAGTTATATCCTCCGTTCAAGGCGCTGGTGCCTCCCAATGCTCGAGTTGAACTTGCCAGATCATGCGCGGTATCCGCCTCGTGCTTCACCGTATTTTATGTACGGCGGACTTAGTGACTCCTGGCCGACCAACATCATCATTGAAGGTTGCCATTAGGACTCCAGGGCCCTACTTACAGTATGGGCTCGAAAGGTGAAGAATTGGCCATGTTCCTTAAGTGGTCTCAAGTTCCACTACAAAAAAGAGGTCCTCGCCAAACAATCAAAGCCATGAGGCAAATGTTCAACGAAATCACGAATGAGTAGAGCATGACGGGGCGTTAGAGGAAATCGATACAGCAACTCGCCTTTGTGATTCAGTAATGATCGTACATGGTGAGCAAATCCCGCGCGGAATCATCGCTGCCGAAAAGGCGCGTGCTATAAACGGTGAGTCCCCAAAGATCATGGTGTCTTGGGGATCCAATGTTACCAATTCTCGCCGGAGCTGGACTTTTCCTGGCTCGAAACTGAGGACGATGGCTCGGTCAACTGCGTGTCGTTGAGGCCACAAACACAAGACAGATGATGCTTCGGAGCTTTCTTTAAACTTGGAATTGAATGTCGAAACCGATGGGGTCATCATCTACTGTATTGAGAATCGAAGTCGTTCCCTGAAGGGACACCGTCTTGGAGAAAAGCGCATGCCGATCTCAATCAGCCGACGAGGATCTATTCCATCAGCAGCTGTACATATAGAGCGGAATTGAAGGTCCAGCGGGATGCTCAAAGATGACGATGTGATGATGTCTAGCTTTTCCTTGTTTCATCATGTTGTTCGAAGTCTCATCACTATGGCGTTGCTAACCACCGTACACTCTCCGGTGTGTATAATGTGTATCTAAAGTGTGCGACTGGGCTAATTTGTAGTTGCCAAACCACAGCCCAGGGGCCGAGACGGCGTGAGAGCTTGTCCAAGTATTCCATGGGTCGATGACCCAATTTCTACGAGGCTGACCTACTTTTATATTTGCCATTACAATCACAGAATCCAACACAATATGTTCGTGGCCGTTTAACAGTCGCATACTCAGATCCACCTAGTAGGCTTTGAGACCCCTGTATATTGGCTGGACAGCAAGCATGATTGAATAATCGACGGTCAATCAGCAGCGCACTATCATTGTTTGCGCGTAGGAACAATAGCTCTGGCAGCACAATGACTATTCATGATTGCATGAGAAACTTGAGTGGGTCCACATTCATTGGCTGATTGAGAAATGTTATCCATGGTCAGTTTACAAATGATCAAACACCGCAAACGCGGTAGATGAATGTAGCGAGTGCCTTTCTTTCTCTTTCTTCTGGAAGCCCTGTCTTCCACTTTCTTCGATTCTTGTCAGCGTACTGCGTATATATATCCACCAATGTGAAGCGATTCGAAACAGGTTCATCTATCTCTGATCAGCAGATAGGACCCCTATTCACAGACTCCATGACCATGACATGCGTAGCCTTGTTTACTCGACTTGAACCGAGTTGTCCCTGGTGTATATGGACTGCCCCTTGGTCAGTTGATCGCGTGGGCGACAGCGAGGTGTAAGGAATGTCACGAGGCAGTCTGTCACTTCAAGGCAGCGCCAACATGAGAGTGACAGCGAGATACGCAAGTCACACTGCCTCATGGCTTCCTACCTTATAAAGAAAGGTAGATTTCTTCTTCTTCTTCTTATTCTTCCTCCCCTCTCGAACAGCAGGATAACTCCTCTAAGTCTCTTGCTCAAGCACAGCAACTCAACAACACAACCCAGCTAGACCACAGCAGCTTCTCAGCATTGGACCACTATACCGATTGCTAGACGCAAGCCCGATCTTCAGATCACCGATCAACAACGACAAGACAATCTGTGGTAAGACCTACAACAGGAGCGTGCAAAAAGAGAAGGGCCGACAGAAAAACAATCATCCAGAGATCATGGCTTTCTCCTTGGTCCATGTTCTCGTGTTCCTAATCGCAATCATCAACAGCCAACTGGCCGATGCGGGTGGTCGTGCTGAGATTGTCCATCAATGCAGCTATCCTGTTTGGTGTGCAGTCGTGAAGGGCTTCAAACCTGACGACCCCACACCACAAGACCAAAGACCACCAGTCCAGTGGATCCCACAACCGGCTGGACAAGTAATTATCGATTACTTCACTGCACATCCAATCGACACCGGAATGGCTCTCATGTGTACTCGAGACCCAGCCGCGACCAAGCCAGCTGTTACTCAACTTGAGTACACCTGGCGACCAGATCTCGACATGACTTTCTTTGACGCCAGCAATGTCGAAGGGACCCCATTTTTGAATGAAGGATTCAGAATGGATGTGCACGAACCGCTCCAGCCACAAGGACCAGCTTGTTATCCTGCGCACTGTGCTCCAGGAGACAAGATCTGTGGAGAGATTTACAACAAGTGGAACGACGATTTCCAGGGAATGCGCTCCTGCTCCCCAGAAATGGTGATGCGCATGAATCTTTGCTCGGCTAAATCGAGCGACTGAGCATTGCGAAAACAAATGCACCAAGCAACGGTGATGCCGATGGATTAATGAAGATCATTGATGGCAATGGAGACATTATGAGGGTGAGAATGATGATGAAGGCAGCACGACAGCGATGGCGAAGAATGATCTATGACGATCTTCTATGTGAGAGTAAACCTGGCAATTGAGCTCTTTCCTTTGTCTTACCCATGGCACGGAGTTTGAGAGGGTCTGTCGATGGGACTCACTCTGCGTTATTGCTGGAGTTAGACAGATAGCAAGCAACAGCCTTACCAGTAGATTTCACTATTCAGAAAACCTTTTGAAAACAATGCTTGATTCGCGTCGAACTTAGGTTCTGGACCGACAAGCTCAACCACCAAATAGCCCAAGACTTACAATGATACTCGACCCGGCTGTAGATTGTAGATGGGAGTCATAGTGGCTCGGCTGAAGGTCTGGTAAGTTCCAAGGATGATGTTAGGTACCTAAAGTGTAGATCCGAGAGGGAGAAGGATGAATTGGGAAAGTGGAAGAAGAGCGATGACTCTTTTCCGCCCGCCGCCTTTGTCGTCATTGGTTGTGCACCGACTTTTCGAGGTGCCACAACGGCGTTTTGCAATATTGGTGATTCACAATCACGAAACTGCGCCTTCAATTCCAACTTGGGCCTTCAACTCCATCACAACCCGAGATTCATATTCTATATCTACAGTACTTGGCCTTGACAGCCTCCATTCTACTTCTCTTCATTCCAAGCCAAGCCAACTCCAATTCCTCTGCCCGCACCTGCCCCAGACAGGTTTGCCCCTCCATCGCGCAAAACCACCGCCACCACCACCACCTAAAAACTACATTTCACGAAACCTCACACTCAAGAAATCATGGCGGTCCGAGCACAGGTACAGAAATCCACCGATCGAACCTTTGTCCTTTACTAACAATTCCACAGTTCGAAAACTCCAACGAAGTCGGTGTCTTCGCAAATCTCACCAACAGCTATTGTCTCGTTGCCATTGGCGCATCAGAGAATTTCTACTCAATCTTCGAATCCGAACTCGCAGACCTCATCCCTATCGCACACTGCACGATTGCCGGTACAAGAATCATCGGACGATTGACCGCAGGCAATAAAAACGGCCTCCTAGTACCCACATCCACCACAGATCAAGAACTTCAGCATCTGCGGAATACGTTACCAGACAGCGTGAAAATAGAACGGGTCGAGGAAAGGTTATCAGCATTAGGGAATGTCGTTATTGCCAATGACCAGTAAGACAACCTATAACACCCTATGTTAACCTATTTAACAGCAGCTAACACCTTCATTCCCAGTGTTGCCCTAGTCCACCCTGACCTCGAACGCGAGACCGAAGAAATCATCGCAGATGCCCTTGGCGTCGAAGTCTTCAGACAAACAATCGCCGGAAATGTACTCACAGGTTCCTACATGTCCCTCTCAAATCACGGTGGAATTGTACACCCCAAGACGAGTATTCAGGATCAAGACGAACTCAGCTCTCTACTACAGGTACCTTTAGTCGCTGGAAGCGTCAACCGTGGCAGCCCCGTGGTTGGTGCTGGTATGGTCGTCAACGACTGGCTCGCCGTCACTGGAATGGACACAACCGCAACAGAACTCAGCGTCATTGAGAGTGTTTTCAGACTCGGTGAAGGTGGCCCTGGTGGTTTGGACGCCAGAATGAATGCCAACAAGGAGAGCATTGTTGAGAGCTTCTACTAGTTTCTTACCACCAGACCTTTGACGAGTTAATGACGATTGGATTGACACAAGGGACCCCATGGAAAACGCCATGAGACAATGGGTCAACGCGTCTCTGAGCATCTCCGGAAGCTGTAGCAGAAGATGATCGTGGTAAACTTCCTTCATCACGAATCTGCGCGCTCGAGAAAAAGCCTGCATTCACACTCGAAAGTTGTACAGCCGGACGCAAGGAGGTGAATCAACATTGACAAGGCAGGCATGGTGGAAAAGGCAACTCATTGTATGGACAAAGACTGACATTGTTTGTTCTTTCTCGGTCCCCCAATGAATGCGCACCACCCGGCCTATGATCAGTGCGGTGGCCATGTCTACCAGCTCAGAGCAGCTGCCAGTCCTCCATTTGATATCCCCTTGCGTAGGTAGTTGTACAGTATGATATGCCTCACCTCAGGCTGGTATGTATCACTCAAGGCCGTTGCCTGATCAGATACATGAATCAACATGATTATTCCAACCCACCTCACTGCTCCCGTCCACAATTCATACGTGATCACCAAAGAGGAACCATATTTACGCAGGACTCCTATTCAATTCCACCATCAGTGACTGAGCATTAACCCAGTAGAATTAGAATTAGTCCTCCCTAATACTCCGATCCTTTTACATGCCCACCTTTTGTGACTTCTAACCAATTACAGCCACATACATACACCCGCCCACCGACTTAGCAATACGCAGCACAGCCTCGCCTCGCGAAAAGAACCCCAAATCAAGCATCGACATCTCGGAGGTAGCACTACCAACACGGAGTAACTATTCGTAGGTGACCAGTCAGTCAGCCCGAACTTCCAACACGAGAAGGGCACAACACGGGGTCCCTACGACGCCAGGTTCCTGGCCCCACCCGGGTACTCGTACTCGGTACTTCGTCTGGATGTCTGTCCCTACTCCTTCGTACAATCACGGCATATCTCCGGTCACCATCATCCCCCGGTGTATACAAATAACATCGGGGTCTCGGGGAGCCGGGAAGTCGGCGTACATGCTGGGTGCAGTGCAGTGGGTGGGTGTGGTCGGCGACTACGGGACCTAGTTAGAGGGGGGAGGGAGGGGGGAGAGAGAGAGTGTGTGTGTGTGAGAGCAAGGCTGAACGCTCGCGCAAAGTCCTGCAAGCGAAAAACTGGTCCAGTCGTGTCGAATCCTCGGATACTGTCCCGGCCCACGCTGGTTGGAGCAGTGGTCTGAAGTACCTTCACTTGGGGAAAAATGGAGGTTCCGGCGCTAGTAGACTTCTCAATTAGGTATGCGTGGCTATTGCTCTCGTTGCTTGGGCTTGGTTGAATAAAAATTATCTATATGGCATCTATGGGTTTGGTTTGGGGACTAGCAATAAGTAATACTGGATTAGGTTTTATCCTTAACTGACATGTTCATGTCAAGGTAGAGACTGTGATTACCGTCCCGCAATCAGAGCGCTCTGCTGGCGTGCAGCAGTGTGTGCCGGCCGTTTATCGATAGATCAAGAAGAAGGAGATTCGTTGCATAGAAAACGAGTCGAGTCGGATCCCGCTCGTCGTATGTGAGCGTATGCATGGTGCGGACAGTGGTAGCACCGACTCCATTCCAATTGCATCAGTATTGAATGCCAATCCAACGCCGAGACTTCGAAAAGTAAATGCAAGATGTTTGTTGCCGAGTAGCAGATTTCGAGTATCGTCCCAGAACGCTCGCTAAAAGGGACAACGCAAATAGAGATCAAAGAGAGGTAGAGACTGGAAACCCCCTTCACAACTTCAAGTCGAGCCAACAACTGCTTCCCGTCCTCAGTAGCCACTCTGAGTCGAATGGCGGAGTTTCTCGCGACTATCGCCCTCTCGCCAGCGCCTGCCACGCAGCAACTGGATGACGGCGAGGATGGCGACCGTGACACCGAGGCTGAGCAGGGGGATGAGATTCCATCGCCAGCCGCGCATCAGGCGGAGCTGCTGGTTGATCTTGCGTCGGTCGCTGTCGTGCGCCAGCGGCAGCTCCAGCACGGCGGTGAACCAGTTCTCAGGCGTCCATTTGTCCAGCGGATACGCCAGTGGCTGGGCGTTTGCGGCTGCTACCGCGAGATCGATCGTTTGGTCGTCCGTCTGTGCGGTCAGGATGAACGTGTAGATCAGTGCGGCCAGCGTGAGCATCGCGGATAGCACCGTCATCACCACCCAGAAGATGAAGAGGCCGGAGTGGCCCGCGGCGGTGGTCTGTGGCTGATCGGTTAGTATATACGTGGGATGAGACGTGTGAAGTCTTCGGTATGGGGAGGAGTGGTGGCTACTCACTTTTCTTGCCCTTCGTTTCTCGTAGAAAATGGTCAATAGGCCTAGAATGCCAACCAGGACAACAGCTGTGCCTGCTGCTCCATTGCTCGTATGTCCCTGGTCGCCGAGAAGTCCCACGGGTTTTCCATGGAGGTCGAACGTCCCGTTCGGTGCGTCGATGGTGAAGAATTTGCCCGCCCGGTCGTGCAGAAATCCGACCATTGATCCGACGAATCCAACCTCAATGAGGCCGTCGACCATCAGGATTGGGATGACCGCGAGAAGTGGTACGTACGACATCCTGAAGAGTGTACCGCGGTTTGGATTGTTGTGCGTGATCGGCTTTTGCAATGCTGCGGTTGGGTGTCGTTGCGGCGATAGTATATGAGAGGGTGTGGTGGTGTTTAGTCTTCGAAGCAACCCACCTAGACACCAGATTAAGTACTAATAAGTTTCAGAAAGCGAGGTGAAAATCAGAGTAGTCACAAAAGATGACGAAATAGTTTCCTAATAAGTAGGATGTAAGCAGCGCAAGGCAGAGGCGTAAATCGCGGGGCGAGGATATCCTTGGGTTTTATGGTTCTTTTCGCAATCTTAGTCACTGACCGGGGCAGCAAGAGGAAATTGGGCTGCTTTCTATAGTGGTAACCAGAAAAGAACCAGCCAACAATCAACGGACTTACCCAAACGAGATACTTTCTGGACGTGGCGGCGTGCAGCCCACCGTGCTCACAGAAAAAGCCACGCGATCCCTAATCCATTTACTGTGTAGGGATGGCCGATGGGGGCCCTTGATCAACAGCTATATTGTGAACCAATCTCAAGGCGAACATACTAAAAAGCGGCCAGTCCTTCGCCGGAGTCTGAGTCTTTCGCGGTGTGGCCGGTGATCTTCGCCATGGCTATTTTCATTCACGAAGATATACAGTACCAAAAGACCCTTCCAGCAGGTGAGTGAAACTTGCTGGGCGAGCTGGGGGGCCGAGGGCTGCCTGTAGCTAAGCTTTCAGGCGTTCAAGACCGATCATTCTGGGCGGAGTGGCCTTGAGCCCGAATGTCCGTCATGGACCAGGACTCCAGGAGCTGGAGACTTTGGTTGGATAAGACCGGACGACGGACTGTGATAGGTTGTGGACAACCATAACTGGACCAGAGAGTGCTTCTTAATCCACAAACTGAACTCTATCTAGAGTACCCGGAGGAGTAATTCGACCTCCAAATTGAGGAGATTGCTTGGGTGACAAGGTAAGAAGCATCGAAATGCCCAGTGTGCCAGGCTTGCCGAATTCATTGGTCTCCACTGTTAAGCTGCTCCATGACAATGAAAATCTTTAAGTCAGCCGCAGAATCGAATGGATGACCGATCGTCAACAAAGGCTGACCGAGAGACAAGGTGGTCGGGGAAGGCAGGCAGGGTGTCAGTGCCAAGTAGCTAACCAGAGTCTTGCACCACTTCCACGAAGCTTGTAAAGCCTGGGCCTACCTCGTAGGAAAGTCGGTTGTGCTGCTCTCGGGTTAGTGCTGACTGCTGCGGCGAAGACCATGGAACCGAGCCTTGGGAAATCATCATCATTGGGATAATGCTGGATCCATGTCTACACTGACCAACCATGGACCTGTGCTTTTTTGAGATTGTTCATCAAACGGCTTACTAAATAAATCCGTGCAATCTGCCAAGGACAGTACTCGTAGGCACAGGACCTAGAATCTCGCAAAAATCACTCCCCTCTTGGACTTAACTGCTTTATCCAAGGAGAGCATCCAAAAGGTACCTAACAGAGTTTACACATGGACTTGTCTGGTTTTTGTATCATAGCCAATCAATTCATGACTTCATTTCATAACAGTACTGTACAGTAGCCATCCTCAGAGGCCACTCTAGAGAGGTATAAATTGGTGAGGTAGAATATTCCCGCACCTCAATCGCTATGCATATTCGGAATTTGCCATTCTCAACAATGCAATATAGAAATGCCGCTGATTTGCGCTGAACGTCGACACTGCAGATCTCTATAACATAAAATCTTATCGGTAACCACATCATTCTCAAAGAGGTGGCATCCAGAACGCCTCCAATGGCGCGATTCCTTGGTATCTTGATCATATCAATGCTCAACCGTGATAGCTACGTCTGCTATCCTGAATCCCGGGTCGCTTTTGCTTCTCGCCTGGACTCGTTCCCTCTTGACTTGCCAACCATTGCAAGACACTCTCGTAGCAAAGGACGAACTGCCTCAAGTTTTGCACCATACTGAGTCTTTGATGGCGAAAGTCATCAACAGTCTGAGCAACAAGATCAACATCGTCCCGGGATACCCAATCTTGTCCTCCGTCGATGTCCATTCGATCATTCTCGTGATCATCGTTGGAAAGTTTTTGACGTTTTAGCATGTCAATCACTGAATCGATTGTGCAGAATGTACCAGTTCGTCCACAACCAGCACTGCAATGTACCAACACAGGTGGTCGCCCTTCAGGAGTAACGCCGCTTGTGGAGGATCGACCAGACGGACTTGATGCTTTGATGTATTTGTTGACTTGCTCCACCAAGCCCAAAATCTCCATGGGACTCGCTGGGGCTCCAAAATCAGGCCAATCAGCATATTGGATTTGAGTGATTTCGCGCATTGCCTGGAAAGGTTGACCAGAATGACTCAGTGCGAAATTGCGCACTGTAATGCTCGAAGCTTTCGAGCCGGACGACTTCACATTTGTCGAACTTTGGCTGGTAGACACGTTGGCTGTCGTTGACCTCCGAGGACCTAGCGAAGGTCTGGCGCTCGCAGACGATGCTTGTGGACTGTTATTTGTGGGCTTCTTAGGTTCCAAGCTCACTTTTCGTTCGGACAGTTCCTTCAGCTTGAATGGGCCGTACTCTCCCGGACTCCAATACTTGTGGCTTTTCACCTGTCCACCTTCAGACTCTGCAGTCAACATCACGATAACTCGTACATCTTGTTCCCAGACCACTTTCCAAAAGTCGTTGAAAGTCGCTGGAATTGGTGCTTGAGTTGCGATATAATGTCTGTTAGAGAATCGGGCTTTGACATGGTTGGCATTGATGTAATCGCAACTGCCTTGTGGGATGTCCTGTAGTTTGACCCGAGTGTGGTCATAGGGAAAGATGTTGTTGTAGCGATTTTTGGACCCTTTCTCGATGCCTGCGATCTGAATGTGTTTCGCCCTGTCAGGTCTCGGTGTACCATAGGATACTTGCACATTCAGCGCTTCCTGCATTCGCTTTTGTTCATGCTTCTCAATCTTCAAAAACTTTTCCGAAACGCCTTTGCCCTCATCCTTTTTCGCCGAAGCACGTTGTAGCCATTTTGGTAAGTGGCGTTCTGCCGAGGAGGACATGTCATTGGGCATCTTGATTGGCATTTGTCCAACGCCATCCAGGAGATCTGTGTTCTGGCGAATGTTTCCGAAGAAGGGATTGGCAGCCGATTGCTCTGCGGGCATGGTGCAACCACCGGCCACCGCTAGGGTATCCTTACCTGCCGAAATCGAGAGTGGCTGCGTGGAGGCACCTTTGGCAGATTGAATTGGCCCAGACTCGATCATTTCGGGAACCAACTTGGAGAACGCTAGAAAGCCACCTTTAATGACTAAGCCGGTACCTTCCCATCCTTCAGTGGTGAACTTTTTGAGCACATTCAACGGAGTTTGAGCTTCTTTGGCCAGGTTTGAGTTGGCGTCATAGACAACAATATGAGTACATCGTTCCCATTTAGCAAAAGTTTCTCGGTCGGACTCGGAAGAAAATGTATCTGCCAGTCTCTGTACATTATAAGCGGGTCGCTTGAGTAAGGTTGTTGGTATACATAAATTGAGGGCACCACGAATTCTGGATGTGGTGAATTGTTGATATACCCGGAGGTCGAGGATCAACGTTTTCTCGGCACTGGTTTGTAGGAGATCTCGAATTTGTGCGGCCGAGACGATGGGTTGCGAGTCCTTGTCACTGGAAGGAGGAAGTGTGTCAGACCTGATAGTTTGTCTATTCAGGTTGAAAGTGGGTGGAGTAAGTGCACCGCTCATGGGTAGTGAGAGTCTTGCATGCTGATGGTCGGCTACGCTGTGTGTATGGGTCATCATGGCAGGGGACTGCCGCCGGGGTATGTCGAAGAATGACGCTTCTCCCATTTTGACATCCTGCGGCAAAGAAACTTCTCTCGATGTCTTGTTCCGTTCCAACATTGGTCGTTTACTCAAAGGCGATAGAGGAGATTCGATTTGTGTATTGGACGACGTGGTCCTGGATTGAGATGGGCGGGCTAATGACGAGACTGACGAGTTGAGAGTGAAGCGATGATTGTGTTCCGACTGTCTTCGAAAGGCTTCGAACTCGGGGTTTGATTCGACGGCACGTGTGGGAGCCATGGTGGTCTGAGACGAGTTGGTCGGGAGATTCCAGTTTTGTCGGGCATGATTTCCTGGATTTGAGTCGGGGGGGATGCTATCGTCGTTTCCAACCACAAAGCCAAAATAACTCGGGCTCGGACTCTTTGGATCTTTCGAGTTTTGAGGAGCAAATGGATTGACGTTGGGAGTGAGTAGAGGTGGCATCGATTGACCGACCGAGGCTACGCTGGGTGGTGGGCGAGGAGTGGTAGAAACGCGAGAGCGGGATTGTGAGTGGGAGTGGGAGTGAGAATGCGATTTGGAATGGGAATGGGAATGACTGTGGGTGTGGGATGGTGATTTGAATGCAGTTGTGGCGGTTGCCGACATTGTGGCGAGTGATCTTCGCCGGGATGATCAGGACAAGTGCGAAGGAGTAGGACGTAGCTGTTGGACGGTGGAGGTGTGTCGATCGATTATGTGCCTATGAGCAACTTGAAGATGGAGGATATGGGCACAGTGGGTGGACAGCTTGTATCAAGGGATACGTCATCGTAGGCCATGTGCACACGACAAGGTGTATATGGTGGATGGTGAGGAATGGGGAGTCATTGTTCTAGATAGGAGGCTGTACCATGGTCAATCAAGAAAGCAATTGTATAGTAGTTGGAGGTAGCGACACTAGAGTGGAGGGTATGATGAAAGGAGGCTGAAGAAAGTGGAAGAATAGCCTGAGGATCAGGTACATAAAGTGCAGTGCCAATATTCAAGGAGAGGCTGAGTTGGGTGCAAATGTCGTCCAAAATCCTCCGTGCAAAGCCAAAAGGGTAGGGGACAGAAATTGGCGCGAATGACGTAGATCGAGGGGGGATGTGGGAGCGAGAATGGCCTACCGAGAGTCTGAAAGGGTTTTCGCTGGAGAGATGAGTAAGAATAGGCCTCAACGAGTCAACCGATCAACTCCAAACGAATGGTCTCGCGAGTCTAATTCTCTAGACCTTATGATGATGGCCCGTGAGATTACAATAAGATGACGGTGGACGATGAAAAGGGAGTGGAATAGACTAAGAGCTGGGGTTCCTGAGTACTAGTAGTCTGATACTGTGACCTCTCTGGCAGTCAGATAGCGACTCGGTTGAGACTCGAGGGGCGAGAAGACGGTCTGGAACTTCTATCCCACGAACAGACTTCCTGCAAATGCAGGGATGCAGCAACCGACGAGACCCTGAAATGGAGGGGGAAACTTGAATCGAGGATGAGGGTGCCGCCAATGATTGCAAATCATTCTCGATTAATGAACGGAGATAACTATTTCTCGTGTTGCATTTGCCCCTAGAGTTCACGATTATTTCCCTTGAGTGATATGTAAGGGCATTCAGTTACTGTCAATGTAGCTGATTATTGCATTCCAAAACTCCTGTTACCTCGATGTCCCAACTCCGAGGAGTGCCAGCCCGCCAGGTGATGATGGAAGTGGTGTTTTTAGCGAGAAGGTGCCTAAGCAAGATGTCGAGGGGGAGACCGTTACGGAGTCCTCGGTACCTAAGTTAGGCTAAAGTCCCAATAAACAGGGCATTCCGAGGAACATCTGGCTGTCATGCCACCACCACCACAACCCCCACCAACAAACAGATAGGTCAGTCAATACACGCATTGCCAGCACCCAGTCCAAATGACACCCTGGGTACCTAGGTAGTGCCGTATCAATGCCACGTGCCACGTGCCGCAGACCAGCCTACGAGTAGGTACGAGTAGAACCATCATGCCCATGATTCACCTTCTTAGAGTCAGTGACAGATATACCACCGCAAAGATCTTGACAGTGTATGAAGCAATACAGTCATGTCCTTTCCATATCGCTCTGGGGTCTCTGCCGGTCTCAGCCATTCGCAAGGTCAATTTGAAAGAACCCAGATTCAGTTCTGACCCTGCAAATGGCGCCATTCTTCTCAGAAGGGACTGCAGGTGCCCCACGCTCAGTATCGACAATATCCGCTTTCGTGCGAAGAACACGACAAATATCGGCGTCACGGCGTCCTCCGCTCTATCATTGCCTACATTCTGACATAAGTTGAATAAGCTGCATCCCTCGAAATAGGCAGTAGCAAACACACTCCGTTCACATGTCCCATCTGGAGTGACAATGCGCTCTCCAGTTCCAACTTCAAGCAAGGAAATTCTTGTTCGCGTTGTAATCCACCTGCATTTATCAAAACGTCATTCCCCTTCTGCTCCAGGCAGCACGAGGCGCCTATCGACTCGGCTAGACCATGGGTTTGACACATATCAGTGCATGAGCCCCGAGCAAAAGATCAATGTAGACTCCACTACTTATTTCCATCTGACCATTTCTGGAACAAGTGTGTCCCTTTTCTTGTCGAGTTTGGGGAGTATATCCAACAATTTGGTGCCCATGTCCAACTTCACCTGCTTTCCCAAGAACCACGAGACTTCAAAGAATGGAGCGATACGAGTCTAGCGGCAGGCAAAGGCAGTTCCCAAGAACCCCACCATTTCAACTCCTCCGGCGGATCGTCAATAATAATCCGCGCCGAACTCGTATTCGTCAATGGTTCTCTTCAGTCTTCTCACCGCTTTTTGCCTCGTACCTCGCAACCTGTTTCATGAAATTCAAAGCCATGCTAGAGCCTAGAGCCCTTATTTGTGGTCATTGGCTGGTGGCATCTGTGTTAGGTAAACGGCTCGGCTGCCGGGAAGTCTCGGCTGCACCTCCTCATGTCGGTTCTCAGGGTTCATCGAGACTTGTAGGTCACGTGTTTTGATATGTTGCTGTCGATGCGCCACAAGGCATCATCTTAATACATTACAAGAACCCCTCGTAGCCTTGCCGGCGGGTAAAGTTTAGGCATCCCCATGTTGTGTGTATAGTACAAGTAGCCGTGGGCATCACCGTTGCCTCATAGCCTACCATCAGGCTCGTCCTTGAATCTCTCGACACGTTTTTGTTCCCAACTGTCAAGATCTTTGGCCATCAATCTGTAGTATTCGTCTCGTTCAGATGTACCTCCTTTTGTCAGGGTTCTCCTGCGTGGGTTGTACGTGAGACCTCCCTGACCATCAGCACCACCCTTTAGTCCCAGCTGCATGGCATCCTGCGCAGAAACTTGCTTGTGTTTCCGATCGTGTGCTTCGTATCTCAAGGCTGTAGCCGGTGTCAAGAGGAATGAGGCCGCGACCATGAGGGAGATGAAAGGTAAGCCGAAGAAGAGGAACGGTCGAGTGGCAACCTGACGACGATAGTAGGTTGCAATCCGGTCGCCCAGGGTATTTGCCTGCTCTCGAGGGTTTCGAAATGGTCTGGACTGAAATATAGGCATCGCTGTAGCTTTCTGAGGTAGATTGGAAAGAGGTTTCCTCAAGCTACAGCACCACCTGCAATCGAATTTGAATGCCTCAGATGTCTCTTGTTCATCCTTCGATCACGAATCATGATCTGGCGGCATTGATTTTCCGGGTTTTTTGTAGGGTGCAGCATTAAGATGAGAAATGCTGTACTGTGCTCCGCATTAGTGCTGTCTGCCAGGAACTTCAATCCACGATCGTTCTGGGAAACTTAATAGCTAAGGGAATTTTGAGCAACATTTTTCGGCTCCATATCGATATGGGCTGCTGTATCTACCTGGTCTTCAATCACTACCTGGGTACAGGTCTGGGTTTGAGTCCTTTGAGCACTTCTGAGAATATAAAGCAGGCGCGTGATCTGAGACCACACGGTGGACCCCAATCACGTGATTTCAAGGCGGCATTGCAATCGTCTCCATCGGGCTTAGACTCCATCAACAACGCGATCTAAAAAGTTGTAAACGCGGAGACCGCAAGACAAGCGTCAGTGCCAGCAGGATCGTTTACCAGACCTTATCACCATCGTACAAGATGTCGTTTTTCGGTCAGAATCCGGCTGGCCAAGCAGCACCAAGTGGTGGTGGTCTCTTCGGAGGTCTCAATCTCAATACTGGTTCTGATCCTCAGGCGAAACGAAAGTCCATCTTCGATGCATCAACATCACAATCAGCCTCCCTAGCAACTGGCCAGCCAGCTTCTCAACCTTCACTATTCGGTGGGCTCAACACTGCGACATCAGCACCGGCGCCTGCAAGTGGTGGTCTGTTCAATCTGGGTGCTCCTCCTAAGACAAGTGCTCCATCATTTTCCTTCGGCAATCCCACGACTGCAGCAACTACTGCACCGTCCTCTACCGGCTTATTTGGTGCTGCACCGGCCGCTCCCAGCGCAGGACTTTTCGGAACCCCCAACAATGCCCCAGCCTCACAGGGAACTTCCTCGCTGTTTGGTGCTCCTTCTGCGCAGCCCGCAGCAAATCCAACGGCATTCGGCACAACAAGTACGCAGCAACCTCCCACGACAGGTGCGTTTGGTCAAGCAGCGTCCCGCCCTTCCGAGTCTGGTTTACCACAGAATAGAGATGCAGGGTACTTTAGCAGCCTGTTGGAAAGACAGAAGAAAAAGCCCCGTCTAAAAACAGATAACAATGGAGGGAGTGGACAACTCTCGGGGCTTAACATGGACCTAGGAGATCTCGCGAGAAGGGCGCAAGAACTCAGGACTCGGGGTTCGAAACCTGGAGAGTCTCTCAATGACAGTCGAGCACACTATCTCTTAGCCGGATCCGGGGTTGCTCCAGGTCAAGCATACAGAGACTTTCAAGCGGTCGGCGGCGATGAGACAAACGCAGCTTCGAGGGCACAAGCACAGACCTATGCCGAAGAATCAAGTGCATACCTCAGAGATCTACGAGTCAAAGGCCGTGAAGCGTTGTTACGGGAAAGCATGACCCGTGTCTATCGAGAGGTCGACAGCTTTATTGAAGAAAGCCTGGGTGTGGACTTTGAAGAACAAAAAATCAGAATCATGGAACATTTCGGTCTGATTCCGCCAGATGAGGGTCCAGAGTCAGGGGACAATGGAAAGGCTGGAGGAGCTTTTGGGAGATCAACCAGACGAGCAAGAGACGAAGCAGGCAAATCTTCCCAAGGCCCAAGGAGCGTCTTTGGCCGCTCTGCGATTGACAAGTCGATGATTGGTACTCCGAGTTCCGTCGCCGGCACGTCATCTTTCTTTAAGGACGAAGGTGGCTTGTCGGCAAACCCTAACGTTCCCCGGGGTCAAAGTCTTCGTGGTCTGCGAGAAAAAGAGAAAGCTTTCTTGACTAAAATCGACGATCTCAACCGAGCTAGGTTATCGGGACAGGCATTTCCTGTGCTGCAAGTATTTGAAGACGTCGAAGAACGAAATGTTGGTGACAGTCCGAAACAGATTGTGGAAGCATATCGAGCATTGAGAGAGATCACCAAAGAAGATTCACAAGCAGTCAAGGAACGACAGTATACAGATGCGTACTTGGACGAAGCTAACAACTCTGCCAAAACCTTCCACCTTAGCAAGCAAATCTTAGAAGGATCACGAACTTACCTCGAGAAAGCTGCTTGGCGTGACATGAAATCCCAAATCGAAAAGAATGCAAGAGAAGCAGCACTGGGTGGACAGCCGACCATTATCAACACCGTTCGTGCTTATATTCGCCTCAGAGCAGCCAGGCGAGACTTGGCGCCAGATAATGTCGAGCTGTCACGAGCAGGTGAGAATGGGGATTACTGCTGGGTTCTCATCTTCTACTTGCTCAGATGTGGCTTTGTGAAAGAGGCCAACGAGTATGTCGACAATGATGCCGCATTCCAGTCAACGGACAAAAAGTTCGTCGCATACTTGACAACTTATGCAAACAGCCCAGACCGACGCCTTACCCGCAAGTTACAAGAGATGATTGATGGCGAGTATCAACAAAGACAAAAACACAGCCAGAAAAACGCAGTCGACCCATATCGAATGGCCTGCTACAAGATTATTGGTCGGTGCGACCTCTCTCAGAAGACACTGGACACGATCCATCAAAGCGTAGAAGATTTCCTGTGGCTTCAATTTGCATTGGCTCGCGAGGCCGACAGATTTGAGGAGATCTCAGGAGAGCTCTACGGCTTGGAGCAAATCCGTGAAACTTTTGTCGAGATTGGACAGAAGCATTTCCAAAAGAGTCAAGTCGCAGATTCAACCGGGTATGGGACATATTTCCTGTTGCAGATACTAGGAGGAATGTTTGAGCAGGCTGTCGAGTATTTACACAGCTTCAATGCTGTCAGCGCGGTTCATGTTGCCATATCACTCGCCTACTATGGTCTACTTCGTGTGTCGGACTTTACGGTGGCAGGTAACGAGCTCAGTAGGTCAACTGAATCCTGTGGTCAGATCAACACTAACCAGTGCACAGTGACATACTCAACGACACAACAGCCCCTTCTCAACTTTGTACCCTTACTAGCCTACTATACGGGTGCGTTCCGGACGGCAATGCCTGTTGCGGCTGTCGACTATCTGACTTTGATCTGCCTCAATTCGGACCTCAAACCAGCCAGTCTGGGAATGGTTCATACAAATGCGTGTCACGAGTGCTTACGTGAGCTTTGTTTGGAAACCCGTGAATTCGCCAAACTCCTCGGCGATATCAGAACCGACGGAGAACGAATACCTGGAGCGATTGAAGAGCGGGCGAAGCTCATCAATCTCGACAGTCGAGACAAGTTTCTCCGGTCAATCACCAAGCAATCAGCCGCTACTGCTGATCAAAGAGGACAAATCGCCGACGCAGTATTGTTGTACCATCTTTGTGAGGATTATGATGATGTTGTAAGTGTACTCAACAGAGCACTTGCAGATGCAGTCACCCTTGATCTGGGAGAGTCTCCCATGCAATTGCAGCCACTCAAACCTCGTCGTCAAGATGGGAAGAGCGATTCATCGATCAGTACTCAAGGAGATGGTCCTCAATCGTCACTGTCATTGACCCAGTCAACCTCATCCCCCGTGGAACTGGCCCGAAACATGATCTCGCTCTACAATAAAAACGCAGCATATGTGAACAAGATTTCACCTACCAACCGTGAGACCTGTCGAGTGCTTCTCAAGCTTGTCTCAGCAAGAGCTCACCTTGAATCCAAGCCGCCCCGATTTATGACCGCACTTGAGGAATTGAACGACCTTGATATTCTTCCCTTGGCGGCCAATGGATCGATTCCAGTGATTCGGTCTCTCGCTACCAAGTTTGGCAGTTTGTCCCAACTACTTGCTCGATGTATTGGAGTGAGTGTGGTCTGGGCGGTGCGGGCAATCGGGGGTGAACGAGACAACATTGTACGAAATGGTAGATGGGAGTCGGGATATGGTGGTGATGCGGACGGGACGAAAGATCAGTTGGCTGATATGGCGAAGGACTTGATGGTTTTTGCCGGACTGGTCAAATATAAGTTGCCAGGGCGTGTGTATGATATGTTGACACGTGCTGGGGGCGACGTTGGCGGCTTTTAGTTGGCCAACAATACCGGTCACTCAAAGAGCGCATATTGGGATATGTTCACGGGGCCACAGATGGTCAACAGGCTCATGTTGTTGGTCTGCATGGACATTGAATGGAAAACTTTTTCAGTGAGGTTGAAAAGGTGCTCATTGGTGTTGGTCGAGCATGATGTGGCAAAGCTTGGCCGACATCGGGAGTACACCGACCACTAAACAGTACCCACAGTTGACATGGAGTCAAGCTGGGCACGATGTTGGGTAGACACGGGATGGATCAAAATAAGCATAGCGGTCAGTGATTGACAGGTTGGTAATGGCAACAAAAGGAGAATCGTGCAACCGATCAGGTGCTCTTCATGACAGCTCACAACTCGAGGTTGATCAGAACGGGATGACTTCTGCGACACCCCGCCACTCGATTACTGGGAAGCGGAATTACACAACAGCGATGGACCCAAGCGAGGAAGCACAGCATTTCCACACGACCTAAATTATGTACCTACTTTTGCGCCTAAGCCCGGGTTCAACTGCGAAGCCCAGAGATCCTGCGTCAATGGTGCTTGTGAATACCTCGTAGTGGACATCCGTTAGGCGTTGATAGTTATTCATCCCACCCTTTTCCCAGGGTCCTGGGCGCCCCTCCGACAATCTTATCAATCTAATCAACTAACCCAGGCTAGTCGCCCTTGGACTTTTAGGTTTGACTGTGTCACACGTCCGCCTACCTCTGCCCGCCCACCCACCATCTCATCTACGCCCCCAAATCTTGCCCATTCATCACTCTTGTTTGCCCTGGCTTCCCTCCTGTCTGTGCCTAATTTTCTCTGTGACGCATCATTCAAACCACCTCCGTTATCCACTCTACGAGGTAGCCAGTCTTGTCTGATCCCATGATAGCATACCTGTACCTGCTACCACTAATTATCCCTACCCAGTCATGCTATGATACCAGGGTCGCCTCAGAGTCAGGCTCAGTCTAAGGCTCAGTCTCAGTCTCGGACTACATCCCACTCCCACACTACTGCCTCCGCCGACTTGGAGCTGTCCTCTCTTGCTCGCTCCTCGACTACTTCTATTGCAGACCAAGATGCTGCCTCCCCCATCTCATACGAGGCCCAGATCACCCAGGGAGGCCCCTTGCAGGATCGCGACCAACACCACGACCAACACCATCTCTCAGCCGCCCCGCCGGTAACACCTCCTCTGACAGACCAAGAACCTCGCGGCGTCCTCTCCCAGCTCTGGCACGCCGTCATGTCTCGTAACCCACTGTTGATTCGCTCCTCTCCGGCCCTAGGCACTGGCTCATATGGTGCTGTTCCTGTCATGACCTCGCCATCGGAGGACGAGGCAAGTTCGGACGACGAAAACAATCGCAAGTTCAGGCGAGGGGCAAATGGCAAACAATGGGGAAAGAGGAGACAGTCTGCCCATGGAACGTCAGATGATCATGGCCCCTTCTCAGATCCACGACATAGACACAGAAGCACGGAATGGCTACGGAAACGATCGTCGTCAATTACAAGTGAAGTCGGCATGGGGTCAGATGCTAAGGCTTCCTTTGCAGTCAACCCCGCGATCGCGGAGCACAAGGCTGAGTCTTCGAATGCCAGCACACGCACCGGAAGTGGCTCTGACGCCGAAAATGAATATATCCCAACCGCAGAAGATCCCCCAGACAATTCTCCTTATCCTGAGGTACGAGCATCTGTCCCGGCGACGGACAATACCTCTTTATCTATAAATACCCCACGAATGTGGACTCTTTCCTTGATTTTCGCCATAGGTGGTTCCGCCACGAATTTATTCTTTTCTCTGCGATACCCTAGCGTGGCAATTACTCCAGTTATTGCACTTGTACTCGTCCATCCTCTGGGAAAGTTATGGGACCTGCTACTCAAGAGGAGTCACGACCAGGAACTGGACTTTGTGGATGGTTCGCTACAAAAGGATGCTCCTCAATATGCTTGGACTACACGCAAACAACGACTACGACTGTGGCTTGCTCAGGGCCATTGGAACGAGAAAGAGCATGCTTGTGTCTACATTAGCAGCAATGTCTCGTTTGGCTTTGCTTTTGCGACCGATGTCATCGTTGAGCAGCACAAGTTTTACAAACAAGAGGTGCCAATCCTATACCAGCTTCTTCTGACCATTTCAACCCAGATCCTTGGCTATGCATTTGCAGGTCTGACCAGGCGCTACCTGGTACGACCAGCGGCGATGATTTGGCCCGGAACTCTAATGTCAACAGCCATGTTCACAACGATGCACAAAAATGAAAACAAGATAGCCAATGGATGGACAATATCACGCTACAAGTTTTTCATTTATGTTTGGGCAGCTGCTTTCCTCTGGTACTTTCTGCCAGGCCTTCTCATGCCTGCATTGAGCTACTTCAACGTGATTACTTGGTTTGCGCCCAAGAATGTCGTGGTGTCGAACCTGGTAAGTTCTGGCCCTTGCTAAAATCGACTTGTACTGACCAGATCAGTTTGGCGTTGCATCGGGGCTAGGACTCTTCCCAATCACCTTTGACTGGGCTCAAATTGCATACATTGGATCACCATTGCTTACTCCTTGGTGGGCAGCGGCAAATGTCATTGGCGGCCTGGTGCTGGTGATGTGGATTGCTGCCCCTATCCTATGTGAGCGGATTCATGCACCACGGTAGCGATATTGCTAACCATTTCTAGACTATAAGAATGTCCTTTTTTCGGGGTATTTGCCTATTCTTTCCGCGGCAGTCTTTGACAACCAGGGCAAACCTTACGATGTCAGCAAAATCCTAACACCAGAATTCCTATTCGATCAAACCGCGTACGAGAATTATTCCAAGGTTTACCTACCTATTACATATGTCTTGTCGTATGGTGTCCAATTCGCGGCACTCTCAGCGTTAATCACTCATACCACTTGTTGGCATGGCAAAGATATCTGGCGCCAGTCAAAACAAGCGTTTAGCGAGAAGCAGGGACTTTCCACGGCAGGATATCAATCGATACCAACCTCCGACGGTGACCACAATTTGAGCAGGATGGATAGTCAGACTATTCGAGCAAGTGGCGAAGATGTGCATCATCGCCTGATGAAGCGTTACCAAGACGTTCCCATGCTGTGGTATCTCTTTACTTTTATCTCCATGCTGGCTGTCGGAATCTTTGTTGTGGAGTACTATCCAGTCTATCTACCATGGTATGGTTTATTGCTGGCACTTGGTATTACCACAGTGCTCTTCATTCCCGTGGGAATCGTCATGGCGATCACCAATCAACATAGCAGCTTATACCTGATATGCCAGTTGATTTGTGGTGTCATCTTTCCCGGAAGACCCGTGGCAAATATGGTCTTCGTAACCTATTGCTACATCAGTTCGGCCCAAGGTATAAAGTTTTCCTCTGACTTGAAACTTGGCCACTACATGAAGATACCTCCCAAATTGCTTTTCAAGGTCCAAATGGTTGCCACTTTGGTTTCAAGTCTGGTTCAAATTGGTGTGCTCAACTGGATGTTTGTCAACATACCAGGCATTTGCACACCCTCAGCCATCAACGGCTTCAATTGCCCCATTGCGAGGGTACATTTCAACGGCAGCATTCTTTGGGGCGTCGTTGGTCCGCAGCGGTTTTTCGGGCCAGGAGCATTATATAGACCATTGGTATGGGCGTTCTTGATTGGGTTTATTGCGCCCATTATTGTTTGGGCACTGGGAAGGAAGAATAAGAAGAGTATATGGAGGAAAGTCAGCTTTCCTGTTCTGTTCGGCAGCCTAAGTTGGATCCCTCCTGCCACAGGTCTCAATTTCTCGATTTGGGGTGTGGTGTGTTTTGCATTCAATGGAGTGATGCGGAGAAGAGCTTCAGCGTGGTGGGGCAAATACACCATGACCATGTCTGCTGCGCTGGATTCAGGTCTCGCCTTTGCACTAGTCGTGGTGTTTTTCGGATTCATCTATCCAGGATTCATGGACAACTTCAAGTGGTGGGGCACCGAAATTTACAAGCAGGGATGTGACTGGCAGGCCTGTCCTTGGATCAGCCTCAAACCTGGCGAGAAATTCGGAGAGTGAGAATGACACAGATTGGTGGTAAACACCTATGAGCAAGATGACATACGAACGAAGACCATTATGAGGTCGTTGATGAACAGTACTGAACACAGGAGACGCCACAACCCCTCATTACTTTTCCTTTCCACACGTGTAACTCTAAATGTTCAGTCCCAAGTCCATGGCAATCTAATCTCATCTTTAAGTTGCATGAAAAAACGGCCCGCTTATGCCTCGTGCCGAAGATAATTCACGGGTACTGCCTTGCGTTCCCGAAACCTTGAATCTAGCGCTATATAACGTGCCTGAAATCTTGCCTTTCCCTGGTCCGGTCGGTACCCGCTCGATGTTTGCTACTTAAATTTTTCCAATACAAGGATCTCCCCGTGAGGTTTGACCATGCACCCAGTCGGTATGACAGCACATGTCTCTGTCGCTGGAGTTGTGGCTTCCCCTGCCTGGGAGGAGGGAGCCAGGGAGACCCAATGCTCCGGGGGGTTTTTCGTTCTTGTCCTTCAACGTCCTATCTATCGGGGTAGGTACATCGGCGGTAGGCAGACCGTGGCAGTTGTAAATTTGCATAGTACCTGAGAAATGTTCGCACACGGCGGCAGTCATGCAGTAGCATAGCAGTCCCGTATATTCACACGTCCAGCAGGCGGTGCGTCGTCTGCCTCCAAACTCTGCCTGCTCTTTTGGTTCTGTCTTTGAACTTTTTCCTTTCTCTTGTACACTCCCCTCTATCCCCTCACCTTGAAAAATGTCTCACTCAACTTGAACTGTCTTTTCGTTTCAAGATCTGCAACAAACGAGCAGCCTGTTTTTTCCTCCCCGGGAAGGGAGAACCTCCTCAGCTTCGCCGCTCAGTCGCTTCAGCTCTCCCTTGGTCTTTCGCTCAGTCACGAAGTCACTAGTCGTTCGGGTATCTACCCGGTCGCTGCTCAATCACCTAAGGTTTACCTCTCACCTAAGCCTTTACTCATCTACCCATCTACCTATCCACTTACCTACTCGTCTCCTCAACTCCTTGTCTACCTCAACCCTCGCTCACCTTATTGTATACCAATAACAACTTCAGCTACACAGAATTGATGCAGAGTCTGAGCTTGATTGGCTTCCCCCTTGATTTTCTCCTTCAACATATCTCACGGCTTGCAAAAGCATCTTTCTCGTCAAAATCTTCCTTGCCAACACCCTCTTTGATTGGCTATGACGGCCGGTTTGAAATCAACTGTATCTACATCATGGACAATCACCGAAGCCTTGAAGATGATATGGCTCGTGCGAAACTGAAAATTCGCAGGCTTGAGGCAGAGCTCACTGTGGAAAACATCAAATTGCAAGAACTAGAATTGAAAGAGAAGCAGCTGGCGCAGTCTCCCGAGAACCCTGGCTCTCCTCGGATTGAAATTGATCTCACGGTCAAGGAGGAGCGTGAGGCGATCGATCTTCCAGATACTATTGAAGCGACAGAGAATCTTACCGCTCGACGAGCTAGTAAGAGACCTGCCAGGGACTCTGCCCCGGACGAGGACCCGAGACCAAACATCCAGAGCGATCAAGCTCAAGCTTTAAATCATCTCAACGATCATTTGCCGTCAAACCACGTCGCTCCGTCGCAAGCCGGGGGTGGTCCCTCTCGCACTACGACCGATACATCTCGGGGCAAAGCCTACACCGAAGCTCGCCTATTCAGAGATTCTTCTCACAAAGGGAAGCCGTGCAAGCAATGGACAAGACCAAACTGGTGGGCCGCAATTGGAGCTCGGTTGACCACTGACAGCACAAAGTTGCACGAGACGATAATTAATTGCAAAGAGAGTCACCCAGCCAAATGGACTCCATTGGAGTTTCTGCAACGTGCGAGCTACGAGAGCATCTTGCGACAAGCAGGATTGTGTGGTTATGCCGTGACCTCTGAGATCAAGATTACTCCACTGGACCTCCGACGTGCCAACGAAAAGTCGCGACGCTACGAGGAAAAAGACGAGTGGTCAAACACCCCCCAATTCCGGCGTGTCCTGAAGAACGAGAGACTCAGAGATATTGGAGGTCTGTACTGGCGCGAGGAAGAGTTGTCCGACAATTATGAGGAACACCTGAGAAGCCATGGCCTGCCCGATATCTCAAATATTCGCCATCATGCAAGTGTCTCGGCTTCTTATACACCTGCAAGAGTCACGCAGAAGCGGCGACGTGTCTCTTTCGCTGAGGACCAAGCTGATGGTGCAGAGGTTTCCGACGACATGAACCGCAGATCAAAGAGAAAACGTCAACAAATCGATTTCAATCTGGACTTTTCGGATTTCGAGGAGTCTCCAGATACAGTTCACGATGACTGAGTCCTATCAACTTGTGACGGCAGTCGATAGGAAGTGCGCCGTGGAATGAATTGAGACGCGCTCAATCCAACAAGGTGCCCTCTCCGGATCCCAGGTGGATCTCAGGGAGGGCTTCCGTGGTACAAACTCAACTTCGGCCAATCACTACACGTGCTGCGAGTTTTAATCTACGTGCATTTTTCACCAGAGCCTGAGGGAGAGAAACACTGCCTTGTGATTCTGGTTTGTTCGTCTTGAATGTGAAGGTCAGGCGTCAAATTCGTGGTTGACTGATGATACGGAAACAATGTGGCTAGAGGTACAGAGCATAAGACCGTAGGGACTCAATGTTAAATCTGAACGATTTTAGTAGCCTTGCTTGTAGTTTTCTTTCACCGCGTCGTCGACACGGCTTGTACGAGTACATCTACAGATGGTATCGTGCGGGTCGGGGCGGGGCCGGACCTGTACCGGAGTTGCTAGTGTTAGACTGCTCTTTAGGTTCCACTACACTTCTCACCTTCGACACGACGAGCCTGGAATTTACTGACGCCGTGACAGTGTGGAGAGAGAATCTCGGAGGAAGTATGACTGGCAATGGAGTGACGGCTTCGAACCCAGTCTTCTTTCGTACCATCATTGGACTTACAACCCCGTAATCTCACATCACTGCCCTGATACGCCGAGCCGGATGTGTGAAGTTCTTCAAGCGGATGCTAAGAAGAGCCTTTTGCAGGCGGTCGATAAAACAAAAAGTGTGCGCCACCGGAAAGCCGCTCACTAGTCTTCGGGTGGAGCTGCAGCCATACGTCCGCCAACCATGCAGAGAAAATTCAGCAGATCCACACCCGCTGGCTCGAGGCTAATCAGGTACTTGAGAAGAGAAGAGCTGCGACATCCAGACAGACACCGGGATACCTAGCACTCTTGGGAGGCCTGCTCTGGCTTGGACACCGCTTATCCCTCCAGAGCATCTCGTGTCTTAGAGCAGAATTCAGAAGACAGGTAGCATGAAGAAAAGCGGTTCCGCATCCAGCACAAGGCCTCAGCCCTGTTGGGGAACCGTTTCAGGGTAGGGGCAATGAGAGTCTTTGCGTTCAGCCGAAGCGTGTTCATACTTGTTCCAACTAACACAACACAATTGTCTGCAGGTTATTTCCCCGTGGTTACCTATCCTACTAACAATCCCTCTGAGAAGAAGCCCACGATGGGAAAATGACAGGTCAGTTTCGGAGCTCTGAGGAATTCTACAGTGTTCTCATCTTACATCAAGACCAACACCCTTCTGCCTCTTGCGGGATTGTGAGTCTGGGGCCTGGTTTTGCCAAATCCTGGTGATGCATCACAAATTTCGCAAATGAGACATTCCGGCGGGCAGGCAATGCTTCCCCGGTTGGGATTCGAATGTTTCGGAAAGTCGACTCCTGGATCCCCGGCCAAGCTAAACGCTGCTTTTTCAAAGAGACATCAATAGACCTGCAAGCCATGGCACTTGTTGCGTGAGGCTTTCAGGTTACTGGGGGATTGACGCCCTAGGTGGGTGATAAATCGGCCCTCGGGGGGTGATCAGGGGGTCCCTCAGGCCTCGACACAGGCATGGTCCCTTGCCAAGCAACCGACTTTCCTGCCTTTTTTTCGCTCTCGTCTTGCTTTCCTGGGTCTTTGGTCTCTGCCCTTGACTTGGAAAAGAATCTCATGGCTAATACTGTAGAACAATATCGACTACTGATAATGCTATACCAGGAAGGCACTACTCGTTCACGATCGTGGTGAATAGGCAAGGACCGTCGTATTTACTTCGCTAATTGCGCATGGGTGTAACAAACTAAATGCAGACTAAAATAAGACACGCAGGGGGAAGTCATGAGCAATACGAGAGACGGCCCTGATCTGACGCATCTCCTGTCGCGCTTCACTCCTATTGTCCGTCGCTGTTGCTTGTTTCCTCGGCCCTGTTCCCTATTTAAACCACCGACCTGTGCAGTTACCTCCTCTTCCTTTGCCTTCTTAGCACTCTTATCTTCCTGTACCTCCTTATCAAGCTCCTAACCTCAGGTTTTGGGTGGACGAGCATATCGCCCAGTTGATCGTGTAAACGATTCTCAACTTTGGAGCTTGCTTTAGCCATACCATTTACCAACCAAATCAATGCCTTCCAAAAGAAATCATTCCATAATGGACCCTGCCGCAGACGACCTTGAGTCCATCCAGGAGGCTGAGACTCGGTTGAACTTCGAGGAGAGGGAGATCGACCTCGACAGACGCTCTCTTCAACTTGAGAGGGATAGGGAGGAGCTGAGAAAAAAACAAGAGAGAGACGCCATGAAGAAGGATGGAGCTCGTGCTACTCCGGTATCACAGCACCCTATGGAAGCCACAGATTCTAATAGCCGGGAAAATTCAACCGTGACGGTGATACCATCCTCCCCACAAGCTACGACAAACCCGGATACAAACGTGAGTCAAATTCACCATTGAAAGATCCATAGGCTTACTGACATAGATTTCAGACCCGTCCGCTGGAGGTAGAGTCGTTGGGAACGGCAATCCCGAGGACGAACCCCGCCCAGCGCTATTCGAATCTGATCGACCTGGACTAGTCAGTGGCTCGTTGAGAATCCCCCCCTCTCCTCTAGTTCCCTGCACTGGAAGCAGATCATCATATCCCGGAATTGTCAATAGGACAATCCGCAATTCTGAGAATCATGATACGCCAACAGATGTCGGGACTGAATCTAACTCAACCAAGGAAGCTACAGCAAGGGAGAAGCGTAGACGCAAGCTTTACAAGCCCCATAATTATGTTGACAATAAGTATGAGATATTCACGGTCCCAATATGGTGGGAAGTGGTGGCAGAACCATTCTTCGATAATTACACGAGCCTGATCGATATGCTCGTGAAATGCAAGGCGAAAGGTCCCGCTGCGGATTGGAGTCCTCTGGAGTTTCTACAGAGAGCCAATTTCATCTCGATTTTTCGACAAGCAGGTCTAGCTGGAACCAAGTCGAACTTAAATCCCAGAATCACCACAGCCGATGTTAAAGACGCAGCAGAGCATCCAGAGCTGTATGACAACAAAGACGAATTGTGTGCAGATCCTGAGTTTCAGCGTGTTTTAAGAGAGGGAAAGCTCGAGGAAGTTGGTGGTCTCTATTGGCCAAGGGGTGAAGTGCCGCTCAACTTCGCTGAGCTCAACAAGAATGGTGGCCGGCCCGGGACTGTGAATGGAACTCCTTCCAACATCCAAAATGCAGGAGCCCCCAACGTGCATCAGTTCCCAGAGGCAACAAGATATCAAGTGCCGAGAGTGAGCGAGGAACGAGATGAGAGAAGCCCTGACTTCACACCTGGGCACTCGAGACCCGAGACGACGAACCACCTAGATGAATCGAGATTCGATTACGGAGGCTCAAGCTCTCGGCCACAGCGACCCAGCTGGAGTGCCGTAAACCCGTCTAACGAGCGCAAGCGTCAACGGGTTGCCTACAACGACCGAAGATGGGGCGAGGAGGAGTATATAATCGAAGCTTACCATTGAAGCCGGCATTCCAAAGTATTATTGTCAAGGGCTATTGAACTTGGTGTCATCCTCGGTTTCGAACCCAAAGATGAGATGGCCTAAGTACTTCAATTCAATGGGGAAGAGGCCTGTGTGTCGGTATCGAAGGAACAGTCTCTGAGTTCCAGACCAGAGCTTCTCCTCCCAGTCATCAGATAGAGATTAATACCTTTTACTACAGAACACATCATCTCGTGCAAGGTCATTCGTGCGTACCCGTGGGGAAGGATGGAAAACCACCCACCTGTTTGCAAGGCATCTTGACCTGTATAGTAGCTGGCTAAAAAAAATCGACGATTCTGTGCAAGATGTCCTGGAACAAGGCTTGTACGGCGGCTACCACGGCCTTATGCTCCAGCGAGCACTAAGTGCTCGCAGATATGTCGGGTTAATTATCCCACGAGCTTTCTGAGTATGTAAGTAAGACAAAGGAGAGACAATACCGGGGCTGTGAAATAACGGGTATGGGCAGTGTCGATACGTGAAATTATTCTAGTTTGATATGTCGTGCGTTGCCGTGGAGTGCAGTGTTTGCTCTCTTTATCTCTTCCACCGTAAAGCTGCGCTTCCCTTCTCTTCCATTGATTTCCCATTCTCATCTTATTCTCTCATGATTGTTGAACTTTATCTGCTTCGTATCTACTCACGCATCCTCCAATTCAACGCTGGGTGGACGCCAACTAGAAATACCCTGATCCTCCGCCTTCTGAGAGCTTTTCCTGCTGAGATGGCCCATTGAACGAGACTGACGAGACCAATCCATTGCCTGACCTTCATTCCCTCAGAATATCTGTCATCTCCCTGTCGCTGAGCTGGATTGTTCTTCTTCTTCCACAACGCACGATAGCCTGGGTCAAATTCTCACAACTACCTCATCCATGGATGACCTTGAGAGCCTAGAATTGGACGAGCGCATGTTGAAACTTAAAAAGCGACAACTCGAACTTGATTTCGAAGAACTGGAATTGAGGAAAAGACGAGCCATTCTTCGAGTTGGAGGTGGACCTCAAGCTTTCATTGCTCCTCGACAGCCATCTGAGGAACCTAGTGCCGGAGAAACTGCGATCACTACGATACTGGCACTGAATCAGAAATTCCCGGAACTTGAAACTAATCGCCTTTCATCTCATGGTGAGGAGTCACCTAAAGCGACAGATTTCGTGAATCCCATCGCTCGTGCGGCCACGAACAAAGCTGCAGGCAAGAGGCCTGAGAAGGATGCAGCTCAATATGACACTCTGAACCCCAACGTCCAGACAGACCAACCGCAACAGCCATCTCATTTGTATCAGCCTTCTTCTTCAACTCCTGTCATTGCAGAGACGCCCTCAGATGCCGCTACTATGATCGATATGCGGCCCCAGGCTTCCAACGTAAGCGCTCTCACAAGCACTGACTTCAATACATCCCTCACGTCGCGAGCTGCTGGTAGCATGGGTCAACTCACCGAAGCAAAGTCAAAGGCTTACCGGAAGGGAAAACTCTTCAAGTCATACACATACTTGGAAAAATATTACGCCGCGTGGACCTACCAAGAGTGGTGGGAGAAAATTGGTGAGCGCCTCGTGGTTGACAGCACAGTCTACTCGACGACCTCCTCAAGTGTAGAGCAAGCCATCCTGAAGATTGGACGCCTCTCGAGTTTCTAAAGAGAGCAAGTTTTGTCTCGATTCTACGCCAGGCAGGACTATGTGATACGAAGCGCGCCGTTGTTCGAAAGATCGCCTCTCGAGATCTCAACTTCGCGAATGAACACCCTGCTATCTATACTGAGAGGGGTTATTGGTCCCGATTTCCAGAATTTCAGCAAGTCCTAGATGAACAGAAGCTTGTCGAAAAAGAAGGGCTCTATTGGCAGCTGGAGGAAATGCCTGACAATTACGATGAGCTGATGAAGACCTCTGGTGTGCCTGGTCGCGCAGATAGTCTTCGTCGCTTGAGAAACGAGCTTCCAACTACGAGCATGTCTTACAATCGCAGCACACCATCAGGTCCTCCATCAGTCAATTTTGATCTTAATGGAGCCCAAGTCTCATCTTCTGGCATGGCTAGACCGTTTGGTGCGCTACATCAAACGCAATCCAAAGACTTAAGTGAGCAGCCCACGGATCAGTCAAAGCGCGCTCCATTTGAGCCAAGAGGTGATTTGAGGACTGTGTTCACCAGTCATGGCAACGGGTCACAGAATACGAACTATCTCCCAGCAGACTCAAACGAAAGGGCGCTGCCGATGCTTCGGAAGCGCCCACGACGTTCCTTGGTTGAGAGTGAAGATTCTGACTATGAAGAGCAGGATGGTACCAACGAATAGGTGGACGACGTGATATTGCCAGCTGTGCTCCACAGGAAGTCCTGGATGAAGTGTCGGCTATGAAGCTCAAAGATCTCTGGACCTTACGAGCTTTGTACACGAAAAACACCCTTTTGCAGGGCGTCAAAAGTTGGAAAGAGGGATTGCTTCATTTTGGTGATAAGACGCAGAGAGTCCTTGATCACATTGAGAACAAGGGTGTTACAGTCCCCAAAAAAGGGTCCACGAGTTGACTTGAAAAAGATTGGTTTCCGCGATGGACGCAGCATCGCATTTTGCTTGACAAGCGTGAATGCCCGTTGCTGATCAGAGTGCCAGTTACGTTCAAGTTGAATTTATCTATTGAGAATGAATAGAATAAGCGCCTACAGAGACCATGAAGGTCAGAAAAGGGTTACTAGTAGACATTTCAGAAAGCTGACTCAATCTCATCCCTCCTAAAACATGATTCCGTGCCGTGCGCCTGGTTCTTCCTTGCTGTCAGTGCGGGACCTGAACCGTTTGGTGGACAAGTGACCTATGTTACGGTTCATAGTGTTTAGCTTTGCAAGCACGTCGAGAATTTTACTCCTGGGATATTGGTGGATGATGCTCTATTTCGCACTTTTGGGCTCTGTATGATATCGTATATGTTTGTTGGTTTTATGATACTGTTAGCAATTGTCAGTACATAATCGGATAGCTGGGTATCGGGGCATGTAATATCAGGTCGGTGGTGAGCATGCCCCGGGAACTTAACACGAGCTGCTCGCGTGCTGAAATTTGAAGAATGGTCCGCCGTCCGAGAACTACTACTTTCTTTCTCCTATCTTGACTGTATACATCAGAGAGGTATGAAGGAAAGCTGGGAGGAGGCGAGACTGCTTGTAGACAGTATGGTGGTGATTTTCTTGATGTGCCTTTGGCTCGCTTGCAGCGGAAGTCGTCACCTGGCCTTTCACCGCGACGAGGCACGTATGGCGACTTCATCAGCCGCCGTTCTGTACGGGACATGAGTAACCGACCTCACCACCTCTGAGAGGATGTTTTACAATATCCAATACAACTGCCTACATCAAAGCTCAACTCGACTTCTCAATACAGCCCAATCAATACTCTTCCGTATTTCGGCCGAACTCGTCCAGGAGAATGGACTCCTGAAAGACACAATTGGTCCTTAACTTCGGGGTATCAAGCAGTACGATGCCTTGGAAACCAGAAACATGGTCAATTACGTCTATCGATGTACGATGGCGACTTTTACGTGCTGGTTAATAATTATTGCCTGGTCCAGCCTCCAACATTAGCGCCATCTACTTATCCAATAGCAGGCAGATTAGATCCAAAATGGGGCAACCACTTCAATATCAAACAACACGGATAGTTTGGTTCCCCAGACGGAAGGCCGAATCCCGCCGAGTCCGACCTATGATGCGACTATGGGCTGTTCGATCTTGATGGCCACATACATCCCATATTGGATAGTGGCCGAGAACGAGAACTCAATTTGAGAGAATATATTAGCTAGAGAAAGAAATGCATTGCAATTGAGACCCACCAATGCCTGTGATATAAGAAGCACCAAAGCGCACAAAAGCAAGGCCAAATATCTAAGAAGACCAAGAGCCAACAATTCCCAACCATAAGCCGAAAAGTTAACTTCTGCCAACATGGCATCCAAGCTCATCGTCGTCATAGGAGCCACAGGCAATCAAGGGGGCTCAGTTGTCACCACATTCCTGAACGAGCCGGGTTGGAAGGTTCGAGGTATCAGCAGGAATGCCTCGAGTCCAGCATCTGAGAAGTTAAAGGATAAGGGGGTCGAAGTCGTCCAAGCCCACCTCGACGACACCTCAAGCCTGGTTGCGGCATTTGAAGGGGCATCCGCCGTTTTCAGTGTCACAGACTTTTGGACATTGTATTCCAACCCGGAGCTACAGAAGAAAGTGAAACCCGGGCAGGGTCAGAATGAAAGAACTTACGAGCACGAACTTCAGCACGGAAAGAACGTGTTTGATGCTGCTAGCCAAACAGCAGGGTTGGAGAGATTGATCTTTTCACATCTGTCTGATGCCACCAAGTGGTCCAAGGGCAAGTACAAGCAGATCTATCATTTCGACAGCAAAGCACACGCGGTGGAATATGCGAAGGCAAAGTATCCTGATCTATGGGAAAAGACAAGTCTATTGACACTCGGTTACTTTTTGTCAAACTTCCTGGACTCCCCGTTCTTGATCCCCAGAAAGGTATCTACCCTTTCGACCTCCGTCTTCGACAAACCATGGCTCATCGTGTCGTTAACGCATCAATAGGATGAAACCGGCACCTATGTGGTAGCCACAAAGTTCGAGACAGATGTAAAATTCCCGCACGTCGCGGCCGAGGAAGACAGCGGCCCATTCACCAAGGCTCTTCTGGCGTGTCCACCGGGCAAGAATCTGATAGCATATAGGGCATGGTTGACAATGGACGAATTTCTTGGAATCTGGAGTAAAGCTTTGAATGTCAAGGCCAAAGCGGTCCACTTGCCGTATGACACTGTCACAGAAGGGCTGCCTGAAGAATTGGACAGGGAGTTCACAGAGATGGCACAATATTCTGCTGAGTTCGGTTATGAAGGACGAGAGGACCCTTCAGTGGTTCACCCCAAAGATGTAAGTTCTTGACTCTTGTCATATAGGGGACGCTCTGAGTGACATTTCCCAAGTTGGAAACTCTGGCGAAACTTGATACTGTCGAGGCATGGATTAAGAAGCAAGATTGGTCCAAGGTCTTGTCTTAAAAGTCTGAAATACTTGTCGATCTGAATGATGAACTTGGCAGCCTCCTCAATGCCGTATGTGGAGAGTGTCGGGACTTTCATGCTGGAGAGATCCCGCGGTTCAAGAGTCCTAAATTGTAACCAGAGAAACGTCAAGGGGGCGACTGTACGTAGGAACCCATCATCACATATTCTAGAGCTTATCTGTGATGAGAAGAAGATTGCTCTTGCGCCTCCAGCATCTTGATGTACCTCGCTACAATGTCATAAGAATACTTTCCGCAAAGCCAACATAAACATGGACTTACCAGAGACCATCCAACGTCTATTTAACTTCCTCAATACATCCATCATCATGCCTAAGGCGTCCTCCGCACTCGGATCATCTCCCAATCGCTCGTACCATGCGAATTTCCCCATAGCTTGAAAGATGCTATGAATGACGAACGGGCTAAGAGAATCAATATTCGTTGCGAGCAAATGCCGTACCTCCGACGCCTGAACGAATATGGATTTTGTCATTTCTGTCACTCCATGTTGGGAAATTCGCTGCATATCCGTCGTTTCTCTCAACTCAGTTTGGCCAAATCGAGCGTTCAAAGCTTCATTGCAGGCGTATAAATCGTACAAGGTGATACGGGCAGTGTAGATCAAAGCCCGGGCGTTGATAGAAAGACGTGGAGCTTTTGCCTCATCGATAGATGCTTCCAGCTCAAGGAGGTCTTGGTGGAGTTGCACCGCTTCTGATAACTGTACATTCATTTCAAGACCTCGTTTGTCTATGTGTCGGATTACTCTTCCGAGCATATACGATGCTCGACACAGGTTCGCGAATCTGCTGTATTTGGGGTCTGCGGAGGCATATGAGCCGACGACTGCACCAGCCGGCCCCATAACACCTTGGTTCCAACTTTCATCGTCACTAGGGAGTTGCTCATCGAGAGCAGGGTCCGGGCAAGCTAGTCCAAGGCCAGTTGTACCTACGTGGACATACCTGAGGCGGTCAGCCGAAAGTGACGACAGGTGCAGCCAAGGCCATTTCTTACCGATCCAGGATCAAGATGGCCCACCACGTTCGCCGTTGCTCCTCACGCTGCATCCAGGTCTCAGGAGCCCCGTATAGTTGTTTGGCTTGCTTCCTGTCATGCAAACCCATTACCATACCCAGCCTCGCTGCAGTGCAAACACTCAGGTATCCGACCGGGTGGACACCATGCGCAATCTCATAAAGAGCGATGAGCACCGCAGCTTGGAGCAAATGCATAGACAGCAAACACGAGTCCTGGACCACGTGAAAGAACTGTTTGACGGTGTAGTAGAGGGGTGTCTGACACAGATTGTACATAACAGGGTAGCACACCAGTCTCATACAGGTGAACAGTAGCGCCAGACCAACGTCGGGCTTTCGGTAGAGTTCCGGCGTCTCCTGGTCCAATCGCTTCATGTCAATCATGGGAAACCAGCTATGGATCCGGTTGAAGTACTGCTCACGGATGCATTCCCTTTCGTCAGACGATTCAAGCAATTCCAGTATCGGCTTCGGAATGGCCATTCCGGTGTCGAGCGCATTTAGCGGAGGGGCCTTGAAGGTGGCCGTGGGATTGAGAAGAAATTCTGCTAGAATCTGTGTCCGTGCCAGGGTTGGTGGGTTGGGGAATATCCCGTCTGTGATGGGGACGCTCGTCAGAGAAGTCGCAAAGTCGACCGAGCCGCCTCGCTGAATCCGTACGTCTCGTTCGCATTCGAGTTGTTGAATCCGCTGGAGAAGAGAATCGGTATCGTACGTCTTGTTGTCTTGCAGGTTTGAAGGGTAGCCGCATGCTTTGCCTAAGCGGATGCACTGTGTTGCAATCAATCAGAAAGATCTATCGTGGTTGTACTGATCGAGACCCAGATAGATTTGGTTGCAATGACGTACCAAGGAACATGACGGCAGCTCACGGGTGCACTTTCTTTTTAGCCGCCTGCAACATCACATTCAGTAAATCAATGTGTCGACGATGCTAAGATTGTCATCGATGAGCGTACCTGCAGGCTCGACACGCCTGTGGGGCCTGGTCGCCTGGTGCCATGTCTTTATCAATTCGATATCAATCATCTATACATGAATCCGGAATCTTTCTAGAAGAGTTGTCACCATGGGCCAAGAGACATCGGTGGCAGCTAGATTCACCCTCACTCATAAGGACTAACGCTAAATTGGCTGATGTGGTTTTGTTAGCCTCCAAGTGCACAGTTCTAGGTTTGTTTGTCCGCCGTGTCGGACGATTCAAAAGAATTAGAATACTTGGCAATGAGCAGTGTGAGGTAAGTACCTTCTGTCATTACTCAAGTAAACTGACAGAAGCGGTTGAGGCGGCCGGTTTGACGATACCTACATCTTGGGGTGAGCTACGCGGACGTTGTTGAGCGTGCCTCACTTCAGAATAGTTATGGTACTTCCGCGAGACTGAAGGAGAACTCACAATAATACAAGGGGTTGGCAACCTTGTCTCGGATAGCTCAAGGCTTGAGTGACCAGAAGGTAGGGAATACGGGGTTAACTAGTGACTCGTGATAAGGGCTACCCACTACATACCCAGTTAGGTGGTTAACTAGTTGGGTAGTTATCAAGTACGAAGTAACTATCTTATGTAGTTAGTTGGTTAGTTAACTTAGTAGGACCGAAGGGACCTCGGGACACGCCCCTGGCGGCTGGCTGAGAAGCTTGTCTGGGCGGGCGTTAAACACGGTGTGTCCCAATATGAGGTCCCCTTCAACCATTCTTAACACCAATTTCGATTTGTCACCCTCTAAGCGCCGCTCTCGACTTCATCGCGATGGCAAAAATCCTGATCACAGGTTCCTCTGATGGGCTTGGCTCGCTCTCTGCCCGCGCACTCATAAAGCAAGGCCATTCTGTTGTCATCCATGCACGGAATGAACAGCGGGCGAAAGATGCGCAACAAGCATGTTCTGGAGCTGAGGCATGCTTGGTAGCCGACCTGGCCGACATTTCCCAGACCCAACGGCTTGCAGCAGAAGCAAATGCTCTAGGTAGCTTCGATGCTGTTGTCCACAATGCTGGGCTCTACACGGGACCTTATCGAAGGACAAAGGAAGGTTGGCCCAGTATTGTTGCTGTCAACACTGTCAGTCCTTATATTCTTTCTTGTCTTCTGAACCCACGACCGAAAAGGCTGGTTTTTGTCTCGTCGGGCCTCCACAATGGCGGGGACGCATCTTGCGAGGATCTCACCTGGTCTAAGCGCGGAGAGACCGAGTTTCGGGAGCATCAGGCATACGCAGATACCAAACTACACAACATACTATTAGCGAAGGCTATAGCACGCAGATGGCCACATGTACAGAGCAACTCCCTGGACCCAGGTTGGGTGCCAACCAAGATGGGCGGTTCCTCAGCTAGTGGTGATATCAATGCAGCTGTGGACACATATGTTATGCTCGCCCAAGGCAATGGGACTTCGAAAGGTGTTACTGGCAAGTACTGGTTCAGGTGTAGAGAGACTTCACCGAAGAAGGCCGCTGAGGATGAAGCCGTGCAGCAGAAACTGTTGAAAGAACTTGAAGTCATCACGGGGTTGCAATTGCCTCATGAATGAGTTCTAGCGGGGGACGACTTTGATAGTGCGATCCATCTCCAAGGCGATCTGGCCACAAGAAAGGCATTGTGCAAGACCTATCTACCGTACCTGGCTCATCCACTCGTTAGGGGGGGGGAATTTAGGCGTTAGGAGGCCGCTCTCCTAACCAGAGACGCAGATCCGCAGCAGCTTTTGACGAGGCCTCCATCAATGCACATTCCTTGGGGTTTCTCGAATCTCAAATTCGCGTAGTACCTCAAGTTATTGAAGTAGTAACACTAATGATAGGCTATCTCGAACTGCTAGCTCAAACGGCATGGAATTCAGCGTATTCTCTTCCCTTTGGTGACGTTGATTCTTGGGGGCTTAGGCCTCCCAAGAGTTGAACCAACGATGACTCCGCGTCAAATACAAATCAAGCCACCTTAGGTAAGACAGCTGCGGTTTGCTGCATGAATGTTGTATCAGCCTAGCGCTTATTTACATGTGGAAATCCAGGGAAGGTAAGTGTTGACCATTTCCTTGATGGATTGTCACTGCCTTCGAGTCCTAAAGTGTTTGACCTTGGGGCTGTTTCTCACGAAGTTTCCTGCTGTCAAGCCGCCAACCTGTGCGGACACCCGCGATTGAGCACAGTCCACTCTGAATTTTATCATGTTGTTTCTCGACATCGCCGCTTGTTCGTGCATAGCATACGTCATCTGGACGATTTTTCGACTTCAGCATAATTATGTCAAAGCAAAGAAGATCGGACTCCCAATAATCTTCTCGCCGGTCAACGTCTTTGGGCCTCTGTGGCTCACGACAAAAGGCTTCCTCGGGTCCACGCTCGAAAAACTCCCTTTTGGTTTAGGAGAATGGGTTGCTCGCACTGAAGTTGGCTGGACTTACCACCACAAGTTTCAAATACATGCCGAACATGGAGAAGCGTTCATCATCGTGTCCCCCGCCGAGAACGAGATAGTGCTTGCCGAGCCAAATGCGGCTGAAGAAGTCATGCGAAGACGGAACGACTTCATCAAGAATCCTGCTGTGTATGGCATGCTGGACGTCTTTGGACCCAATCTTGACACGGTCAATGGTAAAGTCTGGGACCGACATCGAAAGATCACGGTGCCACCCTTCAATGAGAAGAATAGTGCTTTGGTGTGGAGAGAGTCTGGAAACCAGGCCGAGCAGTTACTACAAACATGGTGCGAAAAGGTCGAAGTAAGGAGTACGCAGCCTGATATTTTTGCTGTGGCACTCAACGTGTTGTGTGAAGCCGGCTTTGGGGTGCACAGTAAATTCGTCGATGAGCCAAACTTCTCTAGAAGCGAAGAATCTGACCAGCATTTGGGTTACCGCGAATGTCTGCGCTTGCTGCTCTCCAACTTTATCCAGCTCGTCATCTTGAATGCGGTTCAAAAGTCCGCTCTTCCCACCAAATGGCTGCTCTGGGGAAGAATGAAAAAAATTGCAATTGCGCGTGACCAATTCCTCGGATATATGACCAATCTTCTCGCAATAGAGCAGAGAGCATTCGATCAGGGAGACATGGACAGGCACAATCTGATGAGTGCTTTGGTCAGGGCCCAAGGTCAATCCCAGGAGTCGGACTCCGTCCGTAAGAACACTCCCAACACCGCCTCAGGGGGACTCTCAGATGGAGAAGTCTACGGCAACCTATTCATCTACAGCCTGGCGGGACATGACACAACTGCTGGGGCTCTGCACTTTGCAATTGTGCTACTGGCAGTGAACCCCGAGTTACAGGATTGGGTTGGCGAGGAAATCGACGCAGTCCGAAATGCCGATCCATCCGGCCTCTGCTTCTATGAAGAGACTTTTCCAAAACTGGTGAGATGTCTAGCATTGATGGTGAGCAGCGTCCACAGGGATACTTGAATGGCAGACTACTAACCTGGAGACAGTACGAGACCGCTCGACTCCACGGACCCGTCGTAATGATGCCACGCTACGTAGACAGCTCGCCACAGAGACTCCAAATTCATGGCCGCGAGCACATTATCCCACCACACACAACCAGAACCCTCAATTTCGTCGCCCTGCACACTCATCCAGAGCACTGGGGACCCGACCCTCTTTCCTTCCGCCCCAGCCGCTGGATCGTTCCCGACGAGAACGCAGAATCAGGCGGCACGTGCTTCCTCGAGCCTACACCAGGCTCATACGTCCCGTGGAACTCTGGACCGCGAGTGTGTCCCGGGCGCAAATTCTCACAGGTCGAATTCGTGCGCGTGGTCTACGGGCTCTTTGCAGGCGGGACACGAGTACAGCTGGTTCGAGAGCCCGGCGAGAGCTTGTCGGACGCCAGGGACCGAGCGCTGCGTATCGTGAACGAGGCCAAGGTCGAGGTCACGCTGAAGATGGTGGATGCGTACAGAATTGGTCTGAAGTGGGTCAAGGGCCAGTCATGACTCATGAGTACGTGGCGCACGACACGAGTATCCTGTTCCGTCGAGCGACCGGTGTTACACGGCAGCACGCTCTACTTAGCCACACAACGATATCCTCTTGGCCTGGAGTATACCTGGTCATGTTCGACTCAAACGATCGTATAGAATTAGATATGTGACTGTCCGATCCTCAATGAGTGCCACAGGAACGAACGTATACAGAAAATCGGCACAGAGCGGCACACGAGTTTTTAGCTTGAATGTATGCGATCAGCATTTCAGAGCATTATGTGCATCAATCTTTACTAAACTAACATGTACATAGATGACCGGTGTAGGCTGAGTTTGATCAGCGGCAAATGGGTGTCTTGCGCCGGTCGATGATGTTCGTCTGTAACGATTGGTCGGGTTCTGCCATTCGATTTTCCCATATTTACTTTTTCCATATCCATATCCATAACCGGACCCAAGCCCCTTTTTCATTCCATTCCGTTCCCTGAGGTTTCAGGTTGGTATCGTCGATCGTTTAATCATGAACACATATGCATCACTAAAAGGTTTAACAACAAAAAGCAAAGAATAGTCATCGTTCTCGGGCATCGTAATCATTGATTGACGTGATAGAGAGTGGCTGTTAATCGCAAATCCCTATCTTCGCGGCATCAAGTCTCCAAAGCTGGAGCCGAATGTCGAGGACTCGGGGAGGGCGACGTCCAGGCGAGGTGCTGAGTTGGTGTCGTGCTTCGCTGTGAATGCGGCGATACGTGGCGAAGACAGCCATGCGGTAACGTCACGCACAGAGTCCACCGAACCCGCGGAGGAAATTGAAGAGTTCTTGGAGTGTGCCGTTCCAGAGGAGGTGGTTCTTGGCGCAGCGGGTGCCAGCGCGATCTTGGTGGTTGAAAGGGAGGAAGGTGATGATTCGGCGTGGGTGTGCTTGTACTGGAGGCTGATTGTGGAGGAAGATGTGGATATAGAGGCCGCTCTGGTGTTGACCTTGACCGACGACTTTGACTTATGATGAGCAATAGCTCCGTATGGCAATTCTGGTAGAGGACCACTTGGAGGTGGTCCTGAAGGAGGTATGGCGCCAGGGGCGATGGACGGCATACTTTTCTGCGCCTTGACGTGCCGATTCTTACGCGGAGGATTACTTAGCCTCACTTCGCTTGGGGCTCTAGAGATAGTTTGGGGAATTTCCACGAGAGTTGTCTCGATGGAGGACTCGTTGGTTGTGTATGGAGTAATTTGTTGACACTGCGATATGTGTTTATTGGTGCCAAAACAAGTTTGGAGATGTCTTTCGGTGACAAGTGGTGATCGTTGTGGCTGGTTTGGTTCTTCAGTAATGGCATTGACTGGACTTGCGATCCTGTGGCCTTTGTAGCACGATTTGGACAACGAGGGTTGCCTCTGAGTTAAGGCATTTTCCTCGAAAGTAGGAGACATGCTATTCTCCAAATGGTCACTCGAAGAGGTTGTTGTGCTAACGGGACTGTGAACTTCCTCGAAGCCGCTTCCAAGTCTGATATTTCTAGGAAGAATAATGTCGTTGGGGGATATGGCTGATCCCTGTCCCACAGACGAGTCTCTCCGCGGAAACAAGCTATAACGTGGTGTCCTCTTGAACTGGACATCCGTAGGTGAACACTGGGACACGCTTGAGGAACTCCTACTCCTCATACTCGTTGGCCGTGACGATGCTGGGGTGTTTTGTTGAGTCGGAACTGGTTGAGTCTCACATCTATGACGGACCGAAGTCTTCCTCAGATGGCCTGGTGGTGGCAGAGGAGCGATTGTAGAGATCGGCCTTGTTTGATATGTTGAATATACCGTTGGTTGAACGAACAATGAGTGGTCAATAACTCCATGCCCACCCATGGATGTTAGTCTCTGGTGTTGAGCGGCATCTGGTCGCGCGTGTGGTTGTAAAGGCTTCGGGACCAAGGAATCACTCTTGCGCGGAGTTTCCATGTACATTGAGAGTTCTCCAATATCATGCTGAGTGGGAGTGGATAGACGGGAGATTGTACTGGCCGGAGTCAGGGGCTCACGATAGCTGTTACTGCTAATGGAGAACGACTCAAAGGCAGGGGACCTGGAAGCAATGGATCCTGCAACACTTGTGGTGGTAGTGTAAGTTGATTGGTCATCTGAAAAAGAGGAATCTCTGAGATCATCAAGTTCATTATCAGTGTGAATGGAGGAGTCTGTGGTAGATCCTGAGACGTTTCTGCTGGAAGGAGCCCACTGAGGGATTGGTGGAAGGAGCTTTGAAGAAGATGACGTAAACCCTTTGAGAAAACTCTCCGTTGGAAGATGTAGGGATAGGCGCGAGATATTTGGAAGACTCTTTTGAGCTTTCAAGACAGGACGAGAGATAGGCTTAAATTCATCCTCCCTCGAATCAGGGCGATATTCGAGTCCTCCAAGTAGCTCAATCTCTCTCCGAATGGCAGTCAGCCAGATGCCAAGAGTAAGAGCGTCGTCGAAGATCAACAGAAAATCTTGCACAAGTCGCTTATGCTCAGAATGTCGAAATGATAGTTTTGTCCAAGAGTTCTTCGATGCGTGGGAGGTTGCTCTCCCGCCTGCATGATCCTGGGAGATTTGGAGTACCCAGTGCTTGCCTGGGAGGGCGTCACTTGCAAAGGCTACTGACTGTGGTCCCAGCTCCAAGATCTGTTCAGGAAGCCGGTTATTGAGGCCATCTGCGCCGTACTGCAGTACGTGGCCCGACGTAGCTAGGATGAACAGCTTCTTTGTGAGGGAGCTGCTACCAGACCAGTTCCGTTTATGCTTACCCACCGAGTCCTTTGCCTCGAGGATCAATGAAACATTGTTCTCAAGGCTAGGTCTCGATGGAGATTCACCAGAGATGCTGTTTCTTCGACGACGTGTACTGCGTGTCAGAAGATTAGTCAGGCTGGAGGGGACATCCAAGACTTCCTGTAGTTTGGCCTGTGAGTAAGCTTGTATCAAGGGCGGAGGATCCAATGAATTGAGGTTTCGCGATCGAGTCTGCTCTACACCGCGTTGAGTAGACAGCAGATTTCGAGTTGACCACGTGGTGCTACGACTTCGTGCTGTGGAGGTTTTGGTACTCGATGACCACTCAGCCGAAGGCAGAATAGGGTGCGTGTCTGCGTGGTCGTGGTCACGACGCTTAGGTATTTTGTTCTCTGACTTGGAACGAGAAAAGAATGCCTTTAGTCGAGCTCTGGCAGTACGGTCTGAAGGCCACCAACCAGATTGGCCCTCCAAAAACAGAGTCGGATCTTGAGAGTTTGCTGTGATAGACATTTTGTGAATTAGGAGAGAAAAACAAAAAAGCTCTCCCTTGTCTGCTTATCGAATCTGCTTGATATAAGTTTTCAGCAGTAAGGAGTACGCATGACGGTGCTACTGCAAGCACATCAAGCCACAGACAATGTGAGACTCGGATGCAGATGCGCCAGCAAGGTGAGATGCAAGGTTGGCCTTAGTGATGAGTAGCTTGGCTTCCCAAATTGCAGAAAGCAACAAACACTGTTCAGATCTATCGGTTGCTTATTGGCGTTGTACTTTGGAAGATCAAGGCGAGGCTTCGTAGCCTTTTCGAGATCCAACGCCAACGAGCTCTCCTTCATAAGACAATGATACCGTGATATTGTTGATTCCAATGCTGTAAAGAGTCTGTTCAAGGTCCGAAATGGGATATCGGTATTCAGGGATCAAATGCAAGATCAAAGATCTAATGTAAGCTCTGCCAGGGTATGTTGTGGTTTATGAACAGGCATGGGAGGCGAGATGCACCAGCCATGGAAGACATGGTCATGCCCTTGTACACGGTCCGTAGAGTCCGCACAGACTCGTGCATGAAATCTTCAAGTGCCGCACAATCCTTGACCAGCATTTTGAATGCATCAGGACATGACATGACATGGATGGCGTATAGGGCGCTCAGCGCGTTGACAGATTGAGAAATTGACGTCCAAGTTTGGAATTATGAAGTATGTCAACAGTTGACCGGGGTTGACATGGGGGGCAGGAAGAGCCTTCGCTCCGAGTTTGAAATGCCCGGCAGGAAAGTTACAAACCTGGACCATGTCGAGACTGGAACCATGTGAGCAATAACTCTGCAATGTCTTCACTGCAACCCGTTAGCAACAAGCCTAGGCGTCTGCCTAGGCAGAACGGTTGGGAGTCGGGGAATGCATTGATGAAGAGGACTTGATCACAGGCGGTACTAGCTGCCTATCTAGCTGTTGTACGCATCGAATCAGCCTCTGGGTACCGAGCGGAAGCGGACGGGAGCTCGGCAAGGCGTGGCGTAGAGCAGTGAAGAATGCAAGTAGACACGAGCAGGGCTGGCCTCAGTGCACGAGGTACCTTACCTACAACAGACGACCTGGCTCAACGCGCTCACGAAAGCAGCCAAGCTTGGAGCATTTCTGGAGCCGTGGCGTGCAAGAGGAAACCGGCCGTTGGCAGAAGAGGGCATGGGATTGGTAAACCGGTGGGATTTTCGTGGAGACTCCATTGATGGAACACTCTTTCGAGTCAGAGCAAGTGGCACCTCGCAGATGTCTTTTGGGAAGAAGGGGGTAAGAAAAGTGCAGTATCCATCACAATGGGGAGAAAGCGTCCGTCAGACATGACTAAACGAATCCAACATCAAGCCTGAAGAAGGTCGTGCTCCGACTCTCGTGCTTGAGCTCGAGCTGTCAGTTGTTGGTGGCGAGGACGCGGATGTACGTTGACAGATGCCCGTATCAAGAGATATGATGCAAGCTGCCTCGTCCGGGCTTGATTGGATCTGGGAGAGTTCTGCACAACATGCCAGGTGGCAGCGGCATGGATGTGATAGAAATCCCTCCTTGTGTCTAGGCTCCTAGGTCCTTCATACGGAGATATAGTACCTAAAGTTGAGCCCGATGAATTTAGAAGATTTAACCTTCGAGTTGTTGAATGTCCAACGTCGAGTTACATCAACGGCGAGTGGCAGAATGGAGATAGTCGAGACCTCGCGTGGTGGTTGAAAATTGGAGAAGCGGTACATGGGATTTAGCATCGACGCGTTAGAAAGTGCCCTGTCAAATATGTCAAGTCTATGTCGTTCAGCTCCAGGAGATCCGAAGAACGAGAAGGAAGTTGTTATTCTCCAGGGAAATTACACAGGTGGCGGGTAAGATGGAGCGCAAGTGTGGGAGAAGCACAGACAAGACTATCATTGCGTCCATAACAAAATCCCGCACAAACTTGAACCTCCCAGCGCTTGAATGCCGTCGATATAATGTTGGGCTCTAAGCCTGATGAACGCGGTGGCTCGAAGCACCGATAGGGCACCAACCCTCTATAGCTGTGATGTTTCGTCCTGCTGCCTTGAGAAAGACGCAAGTTGGAGTGGACAAAGATGAAAGAGTTTGCTGGTATAAACATTGCACTTTGTGGAGGCCGGAAATGAACGAGAGCTATGATGTTACGTGAAGAAGGCAGCCCAAAAGTCAGTCCTAAGTTGACCCCCTGTCATCCCGACACCCAGACCATTCTAACCACTCGATCCGAAAAACTTCATCTTTAACTACGGAGCCCTTCGGGTTTTGCTTGTCAACATTCGCGCACGAGAGACCCCAGTGTCCAACCACCACCACATTCATCAGTGACGCACCATGCCCTTTTGCTCGGTAACTGCGGGTCGTCCGGCTGCCATTCTCTCTCGGGCGTACTCGGTACTCGTATGTGTGTAGCAAAGACTAGAGCTGATCTCCTGGGCTCCAAGACTGAGACTGGCCCGGTCTGATATGGAAAGTCTAGCTCAAGGTGAATCCCCGCCCGCCATCAACGCAGGAGAGGATGCCGATTAAAGGCCCTGCCACAATTGCAACATCCCTTCTCCTGCGTCAGAACTTGACCAGGCTGTCTGTCGGTGATATGAAAAGCTAGACGTGGACTCCCGGGGGCCTGAAACATATGGCACGTAAGTCGCTCGTTCAATTCTTCACCTGTCTTCCAAGAGGTGGTCATTCGCATAGACAGGTTGGGGCGGTAAACTGGTGGTCTTCGCGGTCATGTCAGGTTAGAGTGGTTGCAGATGTCTCGCCACCAATTGTTGTTGTCAAGTTGTCATGGCTGGTCGTTCATCACCTCCACGACGCTCATCGCATAGCTCAGGCTGCGAGTTAGCATCGGTCACCAAGGCTGCCGAAATTCCCAGGGTGACACAGTATACTACGCTTGGTCTGCCAGGGGGATTGCTTTCAGATAGCTATAGCCTGTCTCATTCTCCACTCTCTCGGGTTCCATTCCCAAGCAGCGGCGCAGGCATCTAACCTCGCTCTGAAGCCCTGAGATGATGGTGTATTCTTCGGACCATTCATCTGCACGCAGTCGATTTGCTGTCCTGATCATCTCGGACACCTTAAGTGTCTGCGCGTGCCAATGGTCACGGTCCAGGCGACTTGAGAGGTGTTCATCCTTCTCCTGTTGTAGAAGATTGTTGTAGTGTTTACGCTGAGCAAGGAAGCGTGATTCGACATCTGTGCAGTAGTTTCGAATTTGCTCAGTGGCTGTGCCTAAGGCGTCTTCATACATGGCGATCAGATTTGTATTCTCGGCCTGCTCGTGCTTGTACAAAGAGATCATGTGGTTGGATTTCGCTAGTTCTTGCTCGAGCTCGCGAATCCGGGCTTCTGGTCAAGGTAGTCAGCAGGTGAAGGCACCGAACGGACGAGGGGGCTGGTCAACTGACTGTCGCCTTCGTGGGTGCCATCGCCCTCGGTGATGACGCCATTGCCGCGTTTCTTCCCATGGTGAGTCTCAGCCTCATCATAAGGAGGTCATAGGTACTTACAGCCACTTCAACCGCAGCCCGTCTGATGACATTGACCTTTTCACTGTTGTCTCTCAATACTGAGCTCAACTCTTGTATCTGAGCGTAGAGGAAATTCAAATCCTGTTGATGTCCAACGGGAAGAGGAGCCATGTAGTTAGCAGCAGGGCCTGCTCCGTTGCCGTTCATCGAACCACTTCCAGTCATCGACACGGTGGGAGAGGGGCCACCTCTGTTGCTGTTCGCAGAGCCCATCTGGGTGTCGAGCGGCGGGAAAGCATTGCTACCCGCCATGATGTTTGGTGTGGGACTTGTGGCCTTGAGTTAATACTGCTGAAGCTCGAAGATGATTGTCACGTCATAGGCATCGACAAATTTGAAGGTAATTTCCTGGACAACAAACTCATTCTTCCTGCCTTGTCTAGGCACTGCTGGTAAGCCTGAGGAAGGTCAGATATTGGAATTAAGTGGGTGCACCACTGGCAGTCGTAGCTGCGCAGGAAGTTGATGCGGAGGACAATCTTCAACTGCGGAGTAAACAGACCAACCGAGGGTTCTACTGTGGAGTAGAAAGATCGACCTCCACAAGATAGTCACATGCCCTGATTGCTGCTCTTGTTGCAGTCTCAGGCTATCAGAGCCTAACATGCATAGCGCAAAAACGAATGGCATGTAAATGCTGACGCTGGAAATGATGGCACCGATTTCTGCAGATGATTGTACAGCCCCCCATGTAAATACTCCAGAGCTCCGAATCGGTGCCAAAACGAAAAGCCTGGTATGTACTGCTTCGGTCGAAGAGTCCCAAGGCGAACCAACATGATTTGTTCGGCTATCGAGGCGGGAGGATCACTTAGCGGGCAAGTCAGGGGTGCGCGTCCAGCTATTAGTTGGCGAACACTTGTCAGTCAGATCGCAAGCCCAGACAAGCACGAGCAACTCAACAAGCAACCCAACTGGGAACTTGATGACGCAGTGCCATGTTCGCAGGCCCAACAAGCGCGAGTGGGAATTATTTACAAATTACCACTCCAAAGTGGTTCCAGGCCAAGTTCAGGTTGGAGAGAAACAAAAAGTGAACCGGCAACTCGAAGGCGCAAATCGCCAATGACGCCCAAACAACACCATTCCACTTTTCACCGATCCAATTGCATTTCATTTCTTTGGCCATCAGCTGCCCATGCCTTTTGGCCTTTCTGAACCTATGGTATTGTGTCGGGTGACCGCTCTCTTGTACTTCACATCCGAGTTTTCATTCCTTGTGTATTCGACCACAACAAGTACTGCTACCATCTGTTTTCCCAAGACCACGTTGCGTCCAGCCAACACTACAAAGAGCCTGGCCACTCCTTTGTCTACCATTTCATATCATTCGACCACGAAACGAGCCACTCTGCATAGTGCAGGATTCCCATCCTTTCTCGTCCTCTTCCCTACGATACAGGCACGGCGGTACACCCAGCGAGCACATATTGGAAACCATGGGGTTAGAAAGAAAGGGTGCCATGCCCCGGTTCATGGGGGTTTCTCTCCGCAGTCTCACATTGATTACAGTAAGAGGAGAACACCATGAAAAAGCACATGCATGAGCCACGTAGACACAGCTGACTGACCATGAATAACTAGTTGACCATCCAATTTTCTGGCTTTATACTAGTGAGCTGCCCACCATCCAAAATATGCCGTAAACACTTCTCTAACCCTCAGTCTAGCTATTGCATTATTCCCGCGTCATGCCCACTCCTGATGGCCATCGCTATCTTCCCTCCACCGCCGTTTTCCTCGTCGAAGTGCTCAAACTGGTGGTCTGCCTGACAATATCCCTGTATCAAGTCTCAGTCACGATTCCGCGCTCAATGCCCGTCACCGCACTCGTTAGCGCAATGGGTAATGCCATCTTCTCAGGAGACAGTTGGAAAATGGCCATACCTGCAAGCTTGTACACTCTCGCCAATAGCCTACAATACGTGGGCATCTCCAACCTGGATGCGGCCACTTTTCATGTTACTTATCAACTAAAGATCTTGGTAACCGCTTTGCTCAGTGTGGTCCTACTGCGAAGATCCATTACCAGTCGGCAATGGCTGTCTCTAATTCTTTTGATGCTCGGGGTGGCGATAGTGTCGCTACCTCAGGGGCCCGACTCGACTCTGGCGTCTAGCCACCATGCTCGAGTTTATGTCCCACGATCGACCAATCCTCTTCGCGATCATTTTCGCATGGCCGAGCCGGGATCTCATCTAAGGAAGCGGTCGGCTACATATGAAGGGATTGAGGAAGATGAGTTAGCATTGGATACACCAGGGATGGATGCCTCGGCAGGATTATTGGCGGTGGTCTCTGTCTGTGTGTGTTCGGGACTTGCAGGGGTCTACTTTGAAAAGGTTATCAAGGAGTCGCCCAAGGGCACATCCCTCTGGGTGCGCAATGTCCAATTATCGGTCTATTCCTTGTTCCCTGCCTTCTTCATTGGCATTATCTTCTTGGATGGCGAGAACGTGGCCAAATATGGCTTCTTTGCCGGGTACAACTGGATTGTTGTCCTGTCCATTTTGATTCAGACCTTTGGCGGAATTGTTGCCGCGTTTTGCATCTTTTATGCCGACAATATCTCCAAGAATTTTGCTGTTAGCATTAGCATGGTTCTGAGCAGTTTGGCGAGCTTCGTCTTTTTCGACTTTTCAGCCTCTAACAATGTATTTCTCCCCCTCTTGACTAGGTTCTGCCGTCCACATTGCTGACATCTTACAGTTTCTCATTGGTGCTTCTGTTGTCCTCGTTGCGACATGGCTATACAACACGGAAGAGGCCCGAGGGCAAGGCATCCCCATCAAGCTTCCGAGCAGCGAAAAGGCGTTCGCAGAAGCTCCTCCAGAGATGAATGATATGTCAATTCAAATTCCCAAAACCCCACTAACGCAGCAAGAATCCGCATTGGCGACCTCGAGGCCTGGCTCACCCTCGCATAAAAAGCGAAAGGGGGAAACAGCGGGATATTTCACAAAACACCATGCTTGAGATTGTGGTGTTTGGTTCTAACCTAATGATCCTTAATGAGCAAATCACATGTAAATTATCATGAACAGAAGCAGTTGTCACTTGCCAGCCGACGCTCTACGAATACACACGAAAGCTGCCCATACACATCATTTTTACCTTGGGTAAATGAATCTTCATGCTGTGGTAGCTCGCCTCATTTTCTTTTGAATCAAGACATCAATCATCTCGAATGTGATCACTTCAGATTTGAATTCTTCTCCCACACGTGATGTTACCATGACGTGGAGGATTGAAAGGAACGTGGAGGCAGGTGCAGGCAGGTGCAGGCACGGAAAGCACGACGTTCAAACTCTCAAGTCGGTCGCTCCTGCCATGTTTCTCAAGCCTGAGACGACGCGTCCTTCATCAAAACACAAACTTGACCTTGCAGGGCAGCTTGATTCTTCTGGCTCTTCTACTGCTTATCACGATTGATCGTGGCTTGCAACCAAATCTCTGTCCGTATGCTAAACTCAGAATCGAATGGAAAACACACTGCACTCCTTTCGTGACCGGGCAAGGGCACCCTTTCGTGCTCCTACTCGTTCATTCAACACCAATCCTCCCCACCAATTATCATGGCAGTCAGCTCCGAATCCTGCGGCAGAAGCCCCAAACCACCACCAGAGACTTTCATGGTTGTCTCAAGACGTGGAACCTCCACTGGATGATTTCGGTATGAATGTGAAGCTCGGCTGTGCGGCCATGATTGATTTGATGATCTTTAGACAAAAGTCTCTTGGCCGAGCAAACTCAGTCATCACACCATTTCGAGCATCATGGAGGTATGAAGCCCATGCGTGATAGAGCTGTGAGATCGTCCGTTTTACAGACACCCTTGCAGCAAGTGACACACGGTGAGCAAAGAGACTTAATATTGCACCAATAGCGGGGCCTGCTGATATGTTCAGGCTTCTCTGAGAGTCGTCCAGAGCGACAAGGCTGGAGCTCTTCATCTGTTCTGTCCTCCTCCAGCCCTACTACAATGGTCCTCAAGAATCGAGTACATGACGATAGTCGTCCATCTTTTCAGAGAAACACCCTCTCCTACGTACCGCTCAATGGAGAGCCAGGGGCGGACAACACAACCCGCACGAGGCAAGGCCCATCGACTCAGAAGAACTGGTCAGGGACACTTGGTCGTGCATTACCCATGATCCAAGGTATTCAACTTGTCCCAACCTCTGCACTGCCAGATAAATTGCGTTCCATCTTCGGCTTCGAAACATTCAATGCAGTGCAGTCCAAATGCTTTCCAACGGCTTTTGAGACAGACGACAATCTAGTGCTATCTGCACCCACTGGAAGCGGTAAAACTGTCATCATGGAACTCGCCATTTGCCGAATCCTTTCGCTGCCAAAGACTTCAGATTTCAAAGTCGTGTACCTGGCCCCGACAAAGTCACTGTGCGCCGAAAGAAACAGGGACTGGCAACTGAAATTCCGTGCTTTGGACATCCAGTGTTCTGAACTTACTGGTGACACAGAGTTTGCTCAGCTTCGCAATGTGCAAAATGCAAATGTGATCATCACGACCCCAGAAAAGTGGGACAGTATCACTCGCAAATGGAAAGACCATGCTAAGCTCATTAAGCTTGTAAAGCTCTTCCTTGTCGATGAAGTTCATATTCTCAAAGAGAGTCGGGGCGCTACATTGGAAGCTGTCATCTCGCGTATGAGGTCGATGGGCCCCAATATCAGATTCGTTGCTTTATCAGCAACGGTGCCAAACTCGGATGATATTGCAACCTGGTTGGGCAGGAATTCTTCCTCGCCAGACTTACCAGCTTCCAGAGAGGTTTTCGGGGAGTCTTTCCGCCCAGTCGAGCTCCACAAGAAGGTGTATGGATTTGAGTCAAAGGCAAATGACTTCGCCTTTGAGTCCATGTTGACCAAGCAGTAAGTCAGTCTCATCATCAAAATCAGCATCTGACACGTCACCAGGCTACCAGAAATCATTTCTTGTCACGGACGGAAGAAGCCTGTGATGATATTCTGCTCCACCAGAAGAGCATCATCCAATACAGCAAAATTTCTTGCAGAGACATGGCTTGAATCTTCACCAGCGCTGCGCTTATGGAAGGGATCAGGACATCCTATGAAGTTGGAGAACTCGGAACTCAAAAGTAAGGCGCTCTTGACCTTACAGCATCATCACAGCTTACTGATCGATACGCAGCCTGCTCAGCGGCAGGGGTCGCCTTCCATCATGGCGGGTTGAGTCCTGAAGATCGTCGTGCAATTGAAGACGGCTTCCTGCAAGGCCAGGTCAATATCATTTGCAGTACTTCCACTTTAGCCGTTGGCGTCAACCTTCCTTGCTATTTGGTCATCCTCAAAGGGACGACATGCTGGACAGACAACGGCATGCAAGAATATGCCGACCTTGAGGTGATGCAGATGCTCGGGAGAGCCGGGCGTCCCCAATTCGAAGTTTCAGCTTCCGCAGTTATTCTCACCCGAAAGGAGAAAGTTCTACATTATGAGAAAATGGTCTCGGGTGAAGAAGTACTCGAAAGTTGCCTTCATCAGAATCTTATTGAGCATTTAAATGCTGAGATCGGACTTGGAACTGTATATGATCACGCAAGCGCGAAGCAGTGGCTCGCTAGTACTTTTCTCTACGTTCGACTGATGAGAAACGCTTCTCATTACCAGTTTAGAGAAGACTGTCAGTTCTCCAGCAAAGAAGAGTTGCTGGATCAACTTTGCCAAAAGGATCTCAGCGCCCTACAGGAAGCGGACCTCGTTACAAGGACAACTCGCCTAAGGTCAACTGAATTTGGAGATGCAATGGCCAAATACTATGTGAGCTTCGATACCATGAAGTTGTTTATGGAATTGCCCCCAAAAGCTAAGCTATCTGAAATAGTAAGTTGTGCTTCGATGGGAGTTGAATAATGCTGACTTAATTTCATAGCTCGCCATTCTCGTTCAAGCTCGAGAGTTCAAAGATGTACGCATGTCGGCGGGAGAAAAATCCTTCTACAAAGAAATCAACAAGGCGCCTGAGATCAAGTTTCCCATCAATGTCGATATAGCACTGCAAGCTCACAAAATTTCACTCCTCATTCAGGCCGAACTAGGCAATGTCACGCTACCCGATAGAGACCAATACAAAAAGCTACACCAGCAACACCGACTAGACAAAAGTATTGTGTTCGCGCAGTCTAGTCGTCTAATTCGTTGCATCATTGATTGCCAGATTCACCTTGAGGACTCCGTTTCGGTGCGTCATGCACTTGAGCTGTGTCGCTGCCTTGCCGCCCGTGTGTGGGATAATACCGCGAGTCAATTGAGACAGATCGATGGCCTTGGGGAGGTCTCCGTACGAAAACTTGCTTCCGCTTCAATCAAAAGCATTGATAGTCTCATCAATGCCGAAGCATCCAAAATTGAGATGGTCCTTGGGAAAAATCCTCCATTTGGGTTGGATCTGCTCAAAAAGCTTGAGGCTTTTCCAAACCTAAGAGTCTCCGTCAAGGAGGCGGGCAGACAAACTAAAACTGGAAAGGGGGTAACAGTTCGATTTAAAGTCGAAGTCGGGTTTCTCAACGATGTTAAACCTCAGTATTTCAAGAGAAAACCAATCTATGTCTGCTTTTTAGCTGAGACATCCGATGGAAGGCTTATCGATTTTCGAAGAATGAGTGCTAAGCATCTACAGAATGGAGAAGAGATTCTCTTATCTGTAGAGCTGGTCAAACCAACACAACAGGTGTCCTGCTTCGTGATGTGTGATGAAGTGGCGGGCACGAGTCGGTACGCGGAATTGGATCTTACAGGGATCCCAGATGCAATATATCCCACTCGACAATCTGCTGGAAGCGCTGCAAATGATAGTGTACACAATTCTCCCCGTGGTAATGCTTATGATACTCCACGGGACGACGAATTCGATGATGGCGGCATTGAGGATAAAGACTTGCTATCATTTGAGATGGCCGGAGAACAAATTGAAGTTGTCGAAGATATCGATGACATACTCGAAAAGGCGAGCAGACAACAAGAGCGACAGGTGTCGAAGCCGTTGAACCATGATTCTGAAAGCGAAGATGCAGAAACTGTGGCTTTCAAAGAACCCACCCAACTGCGGAATGGTCGATGGACTTGTCAGCATGATTGCAATGACAGGGGCAGAAAATGTAAGCATAGATGCTGCCGAGAAGGCGTTGCAAAACCACGACGTCGCCCGAAACCAGAAAGCATTTCAAAGGTGGACGACATGAGCCAGAAAAAGCTGACGGATCTTTCAACATTCAATTCAGGACAATCATCTCAGAAACGGAAAGGTCTCAACTTACATGCCTCAGTCCTCGGTACTCAAAGTTCTTCAGCCAAGAATGTTCACGGGAAAAACGATTCTGAGCCACCCCAGAAAAAGTCAAAGCTCTCTCACGTTCAGAAGAGCAACGGCCGTGAAGCGACTGGTACAGCACCACAATCAGCTCATAAGGGCACCGTACAGAAGCAAGTTGAGAGATGCGAACCAAAACCCTCTCCCATACTTGGGCCTGGGTCTGAGCTACCTAATTTGGACTTCCTCGTGGATGATCTGACACCCCTCGATTGTGATTAGTTGTCCGAAGAGAGGACGCTTTCGGATTCGAGGAGCGCGGCACCTCGGCCAGAGCCTGCTACTTGTCCTGTTGCGACAGGAAAGGCTACTCGTGTCGAAGATGTTTACGACGTTTTGAGCTCTGATCTTGATTTGGGTGGGTTCGTTTCTCCCCTCGAACATGTCTCCTTGTCCGAGATCTTCAAGAAGCCCGACGATCAGTTGTCGTCGCGTGTTGGTAAAAAGCCAAGTGGACAGCCGGCAAACTTCCATACCGTTGACACAGAAACGATGCTCTACACTCCACCAGTGGGTGCTAGCCCGAAAGATTACATTAATAGCTCCCACAATCTATGTGGTAGCACGTCGAACAGACAGCATTCGATTTCTGAAACTGTTGGGCCGGAGACAGTGCTTTACGATCAACCAGAGGATACCAACTGTCTGATCGATGATGCCTCAAATGCAGCAATCCATGATGACAATTACACAATCATAGCTGCAGACGCGCCAACGACGGTAGCAGCTAGCCACTATGTCGATGCTCATGACACGACAGCCGCCGGTGTAGATTTGAGGTTCGGGGTACCATCACCTAGTTTACCAGCTGAAGGTGATGGAGAAGCCGGGAGTCTAACGTACGAGGAACAGCAAAAAATGATGTGGGAAGGGATCGACCAGTGGATATATGACGAGTTCCATGAGTATGTGGAGTTGGTCTGAAATTTTGCGCTATCCTTTTAGACGGCTATTAACTTTGAGCTCGATCACATTCTTTGACAATGTAGGAGGAAATGAGAGTGAACGGGAGTGAATAATCCTTTCCACGAAGCATATATTAGTTTGAGGTGATAATTGAAGTACAATGATTACTATCTATGTTCAAAGCAGCTGACCTCCCACTCTCCCAATGTGGTAATTTTCCACATCAACATGTCCATTGCATCACCGTTTAGCTTTCCCTTGATCTGCCATCATATCATCAAAATGATCACAATAAGTCAATTGCAGCCATTTTATAAGCAGCATATTACCTTATAGCCACCGAAGGCATGACAGAATCCGTGGATCACTAACTGGGGTTTGGCCACGTCGCCTGCCATGCTCAACGACTACGGCAACCTCGTCCACGAAGTCTGGCATCCGCTGTGATGGCTGCCCCTAGTTATGGATTACGAGTACTTACTCATCCACGTCCCGCGGCGCTCCTAGGCCAGGAATTCAAAAGACCTATGTACCGTCAGGAAGCGGAAGAAGAAGGCGAAGAAGAAGAGAGGATGTCTAGGATCTCTTTGCAGACACCCTTCTTGATTCCAGGAATAGCCCGGTTTTAATTCCCCCTTTTCTAAAACGTACAAAACTCCTCCTTGGGAACAGAAACGAAGACGGAGGAAAAACCATGAGCGCATTCAGCTTCGAAGAAACAATCTCCGCATTCAAAGCGCCGCCGGGCACGAAGTTGCATATCCTGAACTTGGGCGTCTTGAGCGTTGATGAAGCATGGTATGTATATAGTGTTTGTGCCGAAAGCACGTATCATATGCGTCAGTCGTTATGGGCCACCTCACAGAGTACACCCAGGATCCCACCAATCCGAGATATATATTTTTTCTCGCATCATGATCCTGAGATGGTTGTTGACCAATGGACTGCAGGCTGCTCGAGGGCGCAAACGGGAGCTCAGTCAGTAATCCAAACCCGACCAACAAGCGGCGGGACCTGGGGCTTTTCGCGGCTCTCATTGAACATCCCGAAGATGGACTCATCCTGTATGAGACCGGTTGTGCTGAAGACCTGGATCTGGTGAGTGATTCAAGGAGAGCGATGGCCCCCCTCCCCACCTTTTCTTCATTCTGAAAAAGGTTCACTTTCTTTCTCCTTACGCTCCGATCGCCGTACTGACGCCGGGAACGTCATCTAGAAATGGGGAGCTCAGCGAGTCGACCTCTTCCCCAGAACCGTATACACGGAGGCGCACACGCTCCCGGCCGCGATCGCAGCAACAGGCAATTCCATCGCGGACGTGCGGGCCGTCGTCATCGGACACCTGCACCTGGACCACGCGGGGGGCCTGGAGCACTTCAAGTCGAGCGACGTGCCCATCTACGTGCACGAGCTGGAGTTCAAGCACGCGGCGTGGGCGGTGGCGACCAAGAGCGACGGCGGCGTCTACCTGGCCGACTACCTGTCGCTGGACACCTCGGCCGGCCTCGGCCTGAACTGGCAGACGTTCGCGGACCCGCACGTCGAGCTGTTCCGCGGCGTTTCCTTCCACCACGCGCCGGGCCATACCCCGGGCCTTGTCGCGATGCAGGTCAACTTGCGCCGCGACGGCACGTTCATCTTCACGAGCGACCATGCCATAGTCAAGGAGAACTACCATGATGCCCAGCCGCAGGGATTCCTGGCCAGGGATCACGTGTCGTGGATCCGCAGCTCGCAGATGTTGAAGCGGCTGCAGCGCAGTTATCGTGCCACGGTTGTCTTTGGTCATGATTTGGATGTGGTGAATAAGCTGTGGGCCGAGAAGAGGGTTTGGGAATGACCAGGTCTTCGTGCTCTTTGAGCGCGAGGCTGAGTCAGGACTCTGACCCCAGAGGAGATGTTCTTTGATTTGTGCCGCAGTGGTTTGGAGCATCAGGTTGCATGATATGCTTACGATATGGGTAGTTATTTCCTTGGTGAGCTACATACCCACGTGCAAGATGCTTCAGTGTACGAGTGGCCGAAACCGGAAGGACTCGGACCCGCTTTCACTGCTGAAAGCCATTGAGAATGTTGGTCGACATGATCTCAAGATCGCTTGAATTGTATATAGAAATATGGCTCGTCATCAGAGCATTGTAAGCTACAAATCCACACCATTCGCAAGAAGTACTCTCGACATAAATGGCGGGCACCTGTTGGACAAGTAAGTGATTCGACTAAACCAAGGCTTTATTCAAGGCAACATTCTTCTCAATTTCGACGGCATCCTGCTCGCGGAACTCGATTCCCAGCTCCTCCAACCCATCGTCATCATGAGCTGCGCCGAGAACCTTCTTCATCAGCCCAATACTCCGACGAACTCGAGACTTGCCATCCTCGTGATAGGTGACGGCCTCGGCACCTTTCATTTCCGCCTGGTGTTCCTTACGCCACCGGAGGAAGGTAGAGGATTTCCGACCCTTTTTCAGGTCTTGTGGTGGCAGCATCGACGGTGGAGGTGGCCAGTTTCCTTCTGCTTTCCAGCCTTCGACGAGAGCGGGAATCATGTGTGTAAGTGGGATGGGGACATTAGGGGAGAGTGATTGAACCACGATTTTCGAGTAGATGGTTGTGTAGGCGGCGGGCTTGATGCGTAGTCGGGCGGAATCTTCTTCGGGTATCAGTGGTGGGTAGACGGGTAGCCACGGTCCTTGTTCTGAGAAGGGGTTGTTCTGGTCGTTCGTAGGGGAGACTTGGTCGGCCATGGAGTCGATGGACGATGACTCTCCTGGCGCAGGGGAAGAAGGCGAAAGTGGCCAAGAACCATCGGTCGAAGCAGATGCATTGCGTTGATGTGTGATGGATTGCGACAGCCGAGATTTGTGATGCCGAAACTCCTTCTCGTTGCTCTTAGACGAGTGGGAGACGTGCTTTCGCGGCTTCTGCTTGACTGCGCCAGTCCATGCATCGCGCCTGTCTGACCATGTTCGAAGGCCTTTGTTCCAGGTCAGTTCTTCTTCCAAAGATTGTTGACGTTTGCGTTTCCGCTCTGCGACATGAACACCTATTGAGTCCGGGCTCTCGAACTTGTATGGATCATTCTTGGTGCGGCGCCTTGCGAAGATTTCTTCCGCCTCGAGATCCGAGTAAGGGTCTTCTCGAACACGATACCCAAGGGGCTCCCTCGGAATGGCAGAGTCATTCAAAGTGGTGGTAGGGACGCCGGGAGGATATTCCCAGTCTGTTCGCACCAATGATAGAACCGCACGCCTGGCAGAGCGAGTGGACTCGGTTTTGGTGATTGGATCTTGATTCTTGGAAGAAGTCTCACCAGTAGAAAGGGAGCTTGCATTTGAGCCTTTTCGTAGTCGAGAGGTCAGATTGTGTAGGAAAGGTGATGCTGGTTCGTGATGAGAGTCGGTGGAGGGTCGCGGGGAGTGTCTCGAAGCGGTTGCCTTGGTGGGGGAGGCAATGGGAGAAGAGTGTGGATTCATGATTGGAGTAGCTGGAGAATGCGAACACTAGTTAGAGCGACCAGGCAGATCCATCAATATAGAATAGATGAGATACTGGTAACCAAAACAGATATTGAGGATACTGACATATGGGAAAGAGGGAAATCAAAGAGTTGCACACGATCAAATCAAGTTGTGGGCGATTGAAAGATGGAAGTCACGCAGGAATTGCAAACACCTGACATCGAAGAACCCATGGCGGAATTGCGGAGTGAATCAGCAGCTAGGCTTAGTTGTTCCCTAGGCGCTTTAGCTGCCCAGGCAAACTGCCTCTAAGCGGACCGCCACCCGGAATTGGGCACTTAAGCTTCAACTAGCAATGCCATCATTACAGGCCTGATTAGGCCTAATCGCCACCCAGACTGGGTTGCCCTGGATTGCGCACCGCCGAAACGAAAATCCGGGGAAGTTATCGTCATCGTCGTTAGGTAGCCATGACGGGAGACGCCCCCGAAGTCATTCCCTTTCCTTGTAATTCACATGCAGCATACTTCTCCTGTAATCATCGATCGTCAGCATGGATATTCTTCACAACAATTTCCAGATCCAGGGTCAATCGGGACCGATATGAAGGTGGCCTTGTGCCCACTGGGGATTCCAAGTTTGTCCATGCCTGCAACAGTTGTATGGTGAAATCATGTTCTGGAAGGTAAAGAGGTAATGTCTCCGTTGAAGGGAGAACATACGCCAGGGGTGGCCGAGTTATATCTTCTGTTGGCTGTAATGGTCGTGCATGATCGCTGCCACTCCCGTCTAACTGATTACAGGGTCTGTTTTTCCCTCGTCGGTTGTGATTCGCTCGCCAACAACAGACTAACGCAATAGTCACAATGACTGTCAGTATTGCCAGTCCGATGTAGAATCCGTAAGGGGGACTGTGTCGAGGAGAATGACTTTCTGTCTGGTTGAACGGTGTAGGTGTAGGTGTCAATGTAAATACCGTAGCCATCTTGAAGATTGACGAATAGCTTGAAATTTGGCAGTGAGGGCAGTCTCCTGCTTGTTGACCTCATGTGGAGAATTCTATAAATGAACAATAAAGAAACATATTCATATATATAAAGAAAAGGCTGTGTTGTTCATCGTGACAAACGCCCATCTTCACATTGTCTGGGCTTCAAGTTGTCACTCGCACATCGCACCAGACGCCATGCTACATGTATAAATCCTGTCACCTGCTGGGTGGCTGTCTTGATGGCATGTGGGACACACAGCCCATATTTACGAGGCAGAGTTCATTGAGACCTCATTGATTTGTATTAGGGTATCCAGATGCTGGAATTACTAGTATGTACAGTCTACCTCCCATCGCCAAACAACCAACTCGGAGAACTCGGCAAGCACATGACACGATCATGTGCAGGAACATCAGCCGTTACAAGTATCTGTGTCTTTACTCCAAACTGTTGAAGAAGAATATTCGTCCATCTCTTGTCTCATCTACATGTCTACAGGGAAGACATGGTGGCTCATTTCACTGCTAATTCTCAACTCTGGCGCCTCCATCGAATCCGCGAAACAGCTCTACATGGGCAGGGAGCCGGCTCCGTGACAGAATTGCAGCACTGTAGCATTGTGGCATCTGTCTTTCGGAAAAGAGGACACCATAGAGGTGCTGTCGTACAGAAATGTCTTCCATCTTGATTCAGCCTACGCAGACAAGCCTCCACGACAGAGTGCTATACAGACAGACGTCCTTTATAGGTGGAAAAGTGCAACACGACAAGCCACAGTGCAATAATGTTGGCAATATAGTGTAGTCGATAGGCATATGTCATACCATACAAGGCTGCATAAACCGCGAGCGCAAAGAACAACAGGTTGGTCGCCCATCTGAAGGATCTGAGAGCTGGTACCATCACCCCACTGGAGAGTGTTTCTACCAGCAGAATGAATGGCATGATAGACAAGACGTTATGGTGTGATGAGAATGGCGTCAACCAGTGCACTGCCATGTTATGAATCCAAACAACCAAAACGGGTAGGTTGATTGGTAAAACCCAGAGCATTAAATTCAATATCGAATATGTGTAGTTGAAAAAGTTATGTGCAGAGCCAGATTTCGTCTCTTTTGCATGCTTCAAGGCCCGGGTGCAGGTCATGAGTTGTACGACACACGCCACCACATAGGCGAAGGGATAGGGTATAATCGTTGCAACAAGGAACAGGAGAACAGCTGTGTTGATAGCTCTCCGCCGTGGTGTACTCGCCACGAATGCAGATGCAATGCCTTTCTCGCTGTCGTCAACCTTCACATAGCTTTGCGACACGAGGCTGGAAACAATTACTAGTAAATGCAACAGCCCTAGGACCAAATAGTTCAGTAGTACACAAGCACCGATACTCAGAAGCCCAGCCAGGGGTACAAGAAACCAGAAGAATGTGTCTTGCGAGCCAAGGAGTAGGTCGTTCTGTGCAAAATTGATTGATGTCCCATTGTTTTGCATATGATGACTAGTGCCAATGCTCGTCGAACTCGCTGTTGTAAATGCGGTTGCGAAAAATGTCATTGAAAGAAGAAGAATAGGTAATGGGAGCCTGAGGCTTTGATCCAGACTCTCAGAAAAGGAGATAAAGGCTCCCGAATTGTCATAAACTCGGAATTGTTTTCGAAGCACCATTGCGACGACAAGCAGTGGGAATGCTGCAAATATGGTACGATACCTGACCACAAGCTTGCCCAGGCTGCCAACAGGGTCGATCCTTAGGCGAATCTCAAGCGAAGAATTACACGTGGGATCTGACCAAATCTGGAAAGCCACTCCAGTTTTGATCTCCTGTCCATCCAGGGTTGGAGGCATGAATGGAGCAATTCCATGAAGGTTAACATCGCCCTGCTTGAAATTGACAAAATATTTGGACTCATAAGGTCCGTCGATATGTTGCCGCACCAAAGGTGTGAAAAGTTCAGTATCCGCCCCACAGCCGTGCTGTCTGATTTCGAGGCTGTACGCAAGTAAGCTCGAGCGCAATGTGGGCACGCGGACTTCTGTGACTATCGGTCGACTGGAGGGGAGTTCAACATTGAGGCCACGGATCAAAAGCCTTGGTAGGCTGATATGACTTTCAATGATGGACTCAGGTCCTGACACAATCTCAGCGTGTACCCAGCTCGGATTGATCTCTGTTGACTTGTCGACGATTGCCACAAACTGATGATCTTGAAGTGATCTCAAGTCATAGCTGAGGAATGTAAATGGCGGGTTGGAGTCGAAAGCATTCTGTGATGCTCTAGTAGATGCAGGTAGTTGAATTCCATCACCCACTGGCCTTTTGCACGCAAGACGGGTTGCACTTGGATCTCCTGGTGATAGATCGAATTGGATTGGAAGTGGGGTTGAGGTTAAGCCACCAGCAAGAGGAAAGGCACTGCAAAAGAGAACTTCTGACTTTTCAAAGCTGCCATGGGAATCTATTTGTTGATTTGTCAACAACGAAAATTGCTTGAAGGTGGAGTTGTTGACTGTTGGTATCGGCAGCAACACCGCAGACATCTGGTCCTGAACCCCAAGCTGGCGCAAGGTTACGCTATCTTCTTTGGCCACAGATGATCTTGAACCATCGCCGAGGGTGAGTAAAACCTCATGGGGGGTCTCTCGCAAGTTCTTTGGTGTACCATCTTCGAGTCCAGTCAAAAACCACTTTCGAAAGATCTTCATGCGCTCTGATCGAGGCTTCGTTTGGGCGGCGCGGCGAACATCGACCACTTCGTACAGAGATTTGATGATGACTTTCCGCATTTGATCTGCCCAGGTGATGGCGAGATGATCCATGGAGGTCCACACATTCGGAATAGTCGAGCTAAAAACTGTGAAGCCATGACTTTCAGGTACCAGTGAGGCAATATTAGTGTAGTCAGATGGCACAGTGGTATCTCGCCCCCCTCCAGCAATTGAAATCAAAGTGGTGTGCCACAGTGGATTATTACTCGCCCACCTTTGTTGATACGACTCCCTCCAATAGTCATTGATTGACTGATACAAAGACACCATATCCGCATCGAACGTCACAGGGGCACGAGCGTGAGGAGTCGACATGGTTATGATGGTGTTGACCGAGTTTGCCTGGTATTTTGGCGTTACAAGCACTGTTCGTGCCACTATTCCTCCCATAGAGTGTCCAATTAATATGACCGAACTCGGATCGGGTAGTTGAGGATCTCGTCTTGATCGATTTGAGTCGTGGTACAAGGATAGGATGTATGCAACAGCCTCGTTAACATACTCAGCTTGGTCAAAAAGAGTCTGACCATGGAAGGCTGATAAATCTTCATTGAAATCGAGTGTAAAGAAGTCGAGAGATCGAAGTCCTTCCTTGGCCTTGTCTGCATCATGTCGTAATACCCCCTGGTAGTAACGAGACGCTTCAGAAGACAATGAGCGAACTTGCTTGTAACTTCCAGCATTTCCTGGTATGAATAGGACAGGTGCTCCTCTAAGCCCTATGTTATCGTTGGTGTATTCATCTACCCCCTCTTCTCGATACAAATAAAGCGAATATTTGGTCGCGAATCGCGAGTGCTCTGTGTCGAAGCCAGATAATTTGATGTACGTTGGGGTCATCATCGACATGACGCATCCTTGAGGGTCGACTTGGAGCTTGAGAGAGGATCGAAGGATAATGGAGAGTAGGAACAGAGCGGCTGCGGTGGTGATCAGGGTGAGAGGTCGCCATGTCCAGGGACTTTGAGCTCGGAATTTACGTAGACCACGGACATCTGTTTCGTCCTGGCTGTCGCCCGCATCCTCCTTGGGCTTCAGCAGCATTGTTGCTGCATGCACGTCTGGCCCAAGCCAGGAATCGAAATGAAAGCGACCTCACACTGATAAAACGGAATCGGCGAAGTCGCGAGGCTGGTTCGGAAGATTTTCTGGGGTCGGACCGGAATATTTTGAGCTCCGTCTTGGCATTCAGATGTCAGTCAGCAATTGCATTGTTTTTGGGCTTTTTGAAACGCCGTTATTTCCGTGTTCCTCTCTACTATACTCTGAATTAACATCTGCTCTAGAACTCGATCAGTTCTCAAACGTACGAATGCGACGACTCCAATGTCTTGTTGATAGAATAGTCTGCCTTGTCTCACTCCTTATCGCGTGCTCACCGATGCCCTTCTGCCGTCTCGGGGACAATGGAGGACTAAATCTTTTTGCCAATTTCTCTAAGCCACTGACCCACCAAGACAGACACGTATTTTGTCTCAAGCTCGACGCGTCACGATGATGGTACAGCCTTGTCGAGTTAGTGACACCCACAATTAAATTCCTAGGCCTGCCACCATGCTTATGAATGCTATCCACTAAAAAATGATATTAGTACAGCATCAATCCTTCGAAAGATTAAGTATTGATATATTCATAAAAGGATCTATCCAGTAATTGCAAACTCCTTCTAAGTAGAAACCGACGCCAGGCTACGATGGCACATAAATATCAAATTGGCTCAGTCCAAGGTTCTCTTCTCAGGCAACCAAGACACCACGATATCTCATTTTGCCTCCCTCCAAGGTTTCAAATGCGTCATTGATACCCTCCAGATTGAGTGGGAAGGTTTGTATCATGGGTCTGATGTTGTGAACAGCGGCGAAGTTGAGCATTTCATTGTGGATTTGTCTGGCGGCCACCAAACTTCCCTGGACCTTCAACCCACTCATGATGATTGGCATATAAGGTATCTTCAGATCATCATTGGAGACAGTCAATGGGTAAATTGTCCCAGAAGGTGCCATTACGGAAAGGTACAGGTCCCAGTCTGGTTGCGCCGAAGTGGTCACCAGGAGATGGTCGATCTTGCCGTTGATTTTGATTTCCTTTTGATCTTTCGTGGCGTAGAACTCTGTCGCACCGAGCTTCAAAGCTTCCTCCTTCTTCGAATCGGTTCCGGAGAAGACAACTACCTCACATCCCATCTTGGCTGCGAACTGAATAGCAAGGTGACCTAGCCCACCGACGCCAATGACACCCACACGATCTGTGCTCTTGACGCCGTGGAATTGCAACGCGTTAAAGACAGTGGCCCCTCCACACATCAATGGGGCGGCATCCTCCAACTTCAACGCCTTAGGGATGTGGAAAAGAAAATCTTCTCTCCATACGCCATGGGTCGCCATTGAGCCCTGGTCGAGATTTGCCTCTCCATACATCTCTCGATCAGCGCAAAAAGTTTCTGCACCACGCAAGCATTGCTTGCAATGCCCACAAGCACCTTGCACATAACCCCAGCCTGCTGTGTCGCCCTTCTTGAATAGAGTGACATTCTTGCCGACTTCTTCCACGATCCCGGCGCCTTCGTGACCCAATCCCATGTCAACATGTGTGTAATGGACATCTGTACCGCAAAGACCGCTGTGGGTGATTTTTACGAGGACTTGGTTTGGTCCGATATCTCTCTTTGTGGTGCTCGAGGTGATACTACCATCCTTGCTGCCTTTGAAAACTGTGAACTCGACCATATTGTAAGAGCTGGATGTGGAAGTGTTGAAGTGTAGGTGTAGGGGAGTGGCGTTCTTAAGACGATGACTGATGTGTTTTCCAAAATGTATGCTTTGAGGTTTTGTTTGAGGATTGATTTGAGGATTTTGATCCGATGGCGAAGACTTCTTTATAGGATCCTGGAAGCGTTCCTCTTCGAAGATTGAAGTCAACGATGCCCATCGCTGCTTTGACAAAAATCGACATCTTCGTGTCCCATTCCAGCAGTCTCCCCAGTGTATCGTATACCCGAATGACTAAGTATTGACATCATGCCGATGTGAAATCTCTGATATGGGAACACAACCTGGTGGGTGCTTGGGAAGTATCTCCGGACGATGTCATGGAAGGCCAGATGCGAGACAGCCGAGATACTTTATGTGTGGCAGAGCTGAAGCGAGCGAAGCGAGGACCCATGACTCAGCACGAAATAAGGATTATGTCGACCACCCTTTCCAATGACCTTCAGCAGTGAAATTAGCTCTAGCCCACTCCTCCGTCAATGAATGTCTCGTTACCCCCCTCCCGCTCATGAACATCGAAAATATCAATCTTGATCTGATCGCTCCAGGTTTCCAAAGGCTCGGTATAGAAGTCTGGCTCCTAGCGTGTTGATATGAAGAGGATAGGTCTCGGGGTTTGTTGTGCCTACCGTGATGCGATAGACTGGGTGTTTAACTGTGAAATCAATGCTCGGATATTGTTTTCACTTAGAATTCGTTTGTCAAGAAACGGGCACCATTAAGGACGACGGGCCGGGGGTTCTCGAGCGTCGGCTTACGCTGCGAGTGGCGGTGGGCGATGTGATCAGCACGTGAATACGTGTGATCTATGGTCTTCAGTTATTAGGTTTAATGTCCTATACGACAGGCTACGAATATCACACAAGTTCCCGGTGTTATGGAGTCGCGGCGCACGCTATGTGCTACAGGGAGAAAAGGAAAGAAGGAATCATGTAGAACGTCAATTTCATTGTGCATTTAAAGCTGGTAAAGCTCCTCCATTGTCATGTTGAACTCAGTCAACAGCTCTGCTGCATACTCCTCCGGCATGCGCGGTAGCCACCGACGCATGTTAACCTCAGGGAGGGCGTTGTTGGCGGCGGCGGTGGTGGCTTTCTTGGCCCAGACGTAGCGTCGTGGGACCTTCAGCATTGGGTCGTTGATGTTGGCGACAGGGGTTTGGGTATTTGAGAGATTTCTCATCTCACATTGGCCAGATTCGCAGGTGTGAGCCTCGAATTTTGGTAGGAATTCTTTGGCGATTTTGCCAACGATCTTAATTTTGACGAATTCAGGGGCAGTGTATTTGTAGAACATGTTGATATCGTTGCTCTGGGACTCTGCGGTTTGAAGGAGCCCGTCAAGCTTCTTGGTTCGTCGTCTCAGTGTTGATACCATGGCATTGTGCTCCGGAGTGGTCTCGACTGGCTTCTTGTATCTCTTGAGTCTGGGAAATACCACGACCTCGAGGATCGGCACTTTGAAGGCACCGCAAGAGGTCACAGCCTTGGTAAGTTCTGCTACGCAAGCAAGCAGCTTCACCTCATCGTTGAAGTCGATTGTGACTTGTCTGAGTTGTGCGGCCGTACTTGGAATTAAGCCATCAATGAATCGTGCCAGACCGAAAGTGGGACTATTGACCTGATTGCATTCGATCTTGAGGTGTCTGAGGCTTTTTGCTGCGCTCATCTTGAATTCGCTGACCAATGCAACACTCGCACTCCATTTCATCACAAAGTTGTTGGTAGCGTACAAGATAGTAGAGGCTTCGGTGAAGAACGACTTAGAGACACGAAGGAGGCCCGAAGACTTCATGATCTCACGCACACCCTCGTCATAGTCTGCGAGGAGGAGATATCCATCAGCGCTGAAAGTGATGCGGAGTGGGTGGTCAGATTGCAGCAATTGCTTGAAGATCTCAACCCGTGTTTCAGACGGAATGCCGGCAAGAGTGGCTTCAGCTGGGAAGGATGCTTGAGACATGATGGCTTGTAGAGATGGCGTTGGCAAGACAGCTTCGTGATCGTCGAAAGAAGGGGGGGAAATGTGATGAATTTGTGCAATGAATTGTCCTTCAAGTCAAGTTGAGAGAGTCTTAGCGATTGAGAACATAGTCCAGAGAACAAAGATGCAAGTCTCTTGTCTGAAAGGAGTAGGAAGAAACTGCGGATCTGTAGAAGTAGCAGGAAAACCATACAAGATGCAGTGAGGAGACCTTCGCACGCTTCAGATTTCCTTCTTTCTGAGTGATTAATGGCTATAGATTCAATTCAATTATGAATCATTGATGCATTCAGTGACCAAGATCAACAAACAATGGTTGCCCACGCCGAGCCCCTCCCTGTGTTTCCATGGAGAGCGCCGAACTGTGCCAGAGCACTCTCGGCGTGCAAGACATGACGGCGACATCATGGCGTAACATGTGTGATGACCATAACAGCATCGATGCGAGACGAAAGGAGATGGTTTATATCATAAAGACACTGTTGGTAAGTTGGAGATGTGAGATGAGTTATTCAAAGAGTTAGGTGCCGCACTTAGGGCTTATATGACCTCCGGAGCAAGGCTGGATGCCAAGGTTCCTCCCCCGGAGTACCCGGAGGCTGTTTATCCGGGCTGCACAGCTTAGCCCGAGGCGGCACACCCCTTGATGCAGGTACCACTAATCCCAGTCACAGGGGAAGAGAGATCATCTTTAATTCCATGACATCACCATCTTTTGCACATTCTGGATTTCTCTTGATGCTGCAATATGACCTCTCTGGAACTCACAGAGAAGTTTTGATAACTTGAACCGATCTACAGAGCAAAGCATTCACGATGTCAAGAGGAGCTCGAGCTGCAGCCTCTACTGCCAAAAGAGTGACACGAAGCTCCACTGGGGCTACACCAGCAAAACCAACTGAGACTGTGAAGAAATCCCCCGAGCTTGACGATGTGAAGAAACCCATCAAGCAAGAATACGAGTCTTCTGTGAAGCCATCTAGGTCTCCACGTAAACGTGCTGCTTCAACATCTCAGCCCGAGACCAAGAGGAGGAAAAAGGTCAAAGCTGAAGAGGGCTCAGGATTGATTAGTCCTTCGCCATCATTGTCACCACCACCGTCATCAACAAAAACATCTCCCTCCAAGTCCAAGACCAAATTGAGCACGGCAGCAGAGCTGCAATCCAGAAAATTGAAGTCATTCGCCCAATTCGCCAACCAATCTCCGTTCCCGGACTTTCCTCATCCGACGCCAGAGGAATGTAAGCTCGCACATCGCATACTGGCATCCCTTCATGGCCCTCGCATCCGGCCTAAGGAAATAGTCGCATCTACAACGCGAGCAGGCTGTGGCGACTCGCCTTCGGTGCTAGATGCTCTCGTTCGGACGATTCTATCGCAGAACACCAGCGATGCGAACTCGACTCGAGCCAAGAAAAGCATGGACAAAGTGTATGGCTCGAGCGATAAATGGGACGCCATCGTCGAAGGCGGCCAGGCCAAATTACAGGAAGCCATCAAATGTGGCGGGTTGAGTGCGGTGAAGAGCAAAGTGATCATCAGTATTCTCAACCAGTCGTATGAGAAGTACGGCAAATACTCGCTCGATCACCTCCATCAGGCGTCGAGTGAAGACGCGATGCGGGAAATGATTTCCTTCCAAGGCGTTGGTCCCAAGACGGCCAGCTGCGTCCTGCTCTTCTGCCTGCAGCGTGAAAGCTTTGCCGTGGACACGCACGTTTGGCGCATCACGGGCTTGCTAGGCTGGAGGCCGAAGGCTGCTTCCCGCGACGAGACATATGCACATTTGGATGTCATGATCCCGGACGAAGACAAATACGGGTTGCACATCTTACTGGTGACACATGGCAAGCGCTGTGAGGAGTGTAAAGCGGGTGGCAAGAATCTTGGCGCATGTGAGTTGAGGAAGGCTTTTCGGGATCGAAAAATCAAGGGCGAGGCTGGTGAAGAGGTTAAGCGGGAAGAGGTGGAGGAGGTCAAAAAGGAAGAGATTGAGCATGAGAAGTAAGACCTCACTCACTGCTGGTATCAATTACATGCTATATTTTTTCTTCTGTCTTTCGGGTTGTTGATCATACCCGTGATGGGATCATGGTTGACCTGTTGGAACAATCATCGACTTGTATATATATAAATATATCAATCATGTATAGGACAGCGATTTGTTGGGTATCCAGAATTAGTAGTGCTCGTGTCATTAGGATCAGTGTCCACCATCAAGTCATGCTTCCTACTTCACTCGCGTCACCCTCCCGCTCAATTCCACATCGCCATCGACCGATGAATTGCGATCAAAGTCCCTTCGACTCTTCTTTCCTTGTCTCGTAAATTTCCTTCTCGTCCAAATCAGACCCCACACTACGAAGAAGATGATCGATATGGCGGCCAGAATTCCAAAACAATAGCCAGTCACCTTTCCTGAGCCAGTATCCGGGTCCAGAAAGTCATACACGTAGAAACCCTGGGTCGCGTGCGTGAGGTACGCGAGGCCCAGGTATAATAACAAGATGATGATCAGGCCGACCACGTGCAGGAAAGGTGGGGGATCCGTGGCGGGGAGGATGATTTCCAGTAGGCAGAAGAAGGAATTCAGCGCGTGGCGGGAGATCTGGAGGACATTCTGTCAGCACAAGGAGATTGAAGTAGGGACGAGGATATACATCATACATTCGACCAGCCATCAAAGATGACTGGAAACCACGGGCCGTCGAAGAGAATCGCCCAATAGACGATGGTGACGAGGATAGGTAGCGTCACAATGGTGGTATAGTAGAAACTGTGGAGTGCCTGCAACACCCTCGGCCAGCCGTCGAGCCACGAGCGCCCTCTGACGGCATAAAGCAGGGTATGCACGCCCGCGACGAGCATGTAGAACAGAATGCCCCAGAAGGTCAGGTTGGTGAAGTAGCTGAAGGACTGGCCGATGAGGAAGGCGCGCAAGTGCACGCCATCGTAGATCCAGTCTGTCAGGATTGTCGCGAGACAGTAGGTGAAAATCAAAAGGCGCAGGAGCGCAAGTAGGAGGGGCGAGAGCAGCCACGAGGTCGTGAATGTGTGGTGCGGGTCGAAGCCTGTGGACGGCACACCCAAGAGGGTGGAGAGTGGTTTTCTACGCATTTTGTGGTCTTTTAGGCACTTCACATGGTGGTGGTTCTAAGCTTGACGGTTCACGGACTTGTGCAGTGAAGAGTAAAAAGGAAATGCGCACGGTCAAATCGAAATATGAACTCTACTGAATCGTGGATCTGGAGGCGTGGTTGTTTGTTGGTGAGGCTGAATGCTCGATCGGGCATCGGCCTCCGTAGTAGTACGAGTATTGTTAGTTAGCACGCTAGTGGCTTAACATCCTTGGCACCATCAAGCTCCCGAGGTACCAAACATTTATGTAAGGCTGTAGACCTGTTCTTCTTCCAGTTCGAACTTCGAAAGGAAAAGCTGTGTGAGACAAGTCCTTAGTGGATGCTCAAATAATATAATGCGATAGGCTCTGAATTCGCTATTGTACTCGTAATTTGATCGACTACTGTGGTATTGCTCACCCACAGCTTTTCAGCATTCGACGTGATTCCTCCTCCATCGAGCATCAGTTGTTCACGAGACAAATGGTGACGACAACAAGAACAGTTTGTGTGACAGCGAATATTGTAAATTACATCAACAATAGCCCGTACCTGTGGGACAGCGAAAGAGATTGAAATTGGAAGCATACGAGTATTTTGTTTGTGTTCATAGTTGACAGTGTTGAACTTGGAACACGATTCCCCGGGTTAGTTTTATTTGATCGTGACCAAAGTAGAATACAAACAACAAATAAATTGATGGAAGCGACATTAAACCGACTTTTAGGCTGCACGTCTTGGGACGCCAACACTAACTGGGCCGTTTTAACTAAAGTGGCATGCATGTTGGACACGAGAAAAGGGCAGCTTGAGTCTTTTGGGCTGCTCACCGAGGATCGACATCCACATCGGAATCCATCATCGGAAAAAAAAAGTTGAGTCAGGTGGAGGCCAAGTCCCCAGGTTGCCTGATAATCTAGAAGGTCATTCGTTGAAGCACAAGAGCAGGGAACATGCCTGTTGATGTTGAGACTGTGGTCCTGTTTTCTGCAGGTTTCTGGCGTCGCAGATGTCTATCTAGGTAGGTAGGTACAGGGTAGATGTCGCAAGTTGCACAACGGGGAATATTTCTCACATTCCAGAGCTTCGATGATGGACGGATCAGTGGTGCGACGTTGAAATCTACTCGACGATGGGAATTTGCATGTGGAAATGATTGTGGCCTCTATTGGTATCCGTGATGGGATAGAATTATATGGCCGTGGCTCTTGTTACGGATAGTGGAAGCTGTCACTTGACTCGTCGAAGCAGCTAGGTAGTCGCTAGGGCTCAGAGCCTGTAAGAAGTCGCCTTCAGCCCCTGATTTCCCTTGTTCGGTACGGTAGCTTTTTGCGGGCAATGGACCCCTTCTAGCCAGTGACAAGGGCTAGTCAGGGGAGCCTCTGATCACTATCCGCACTCACCTCTTAAACTTCCGGGAGGCTTGAAGCCTAACAGGGAATGGCTAGGGCTCAGGCCCAGGGGCTTTTTCTGCGGTCATTCTGCATGGTACCACCTAAACTCCCCGCTGTTCCTCCTCACGCTCAGGCTTGGACAGTCTTCCAAGGTTGAAGCCACTTACAAATTTAGTCCAGTCAGTCTCTTGCTTCCAACTCAAACGCCAAAGGGCTGAGGGAGAGGTTCAGGTCCATCTCAAATGGAAAATTCTTTGATCTCCGGCTGAGCAACGTGAACTCGTCTTCATCCTCGTCTTCATCTGCACGACTCCACCGCCACCATCGTTGCCGTTGGCATTATTGCTGGTCTTCCCCTTCTCACCATCAGTTCATCCGACTTCTTCACCACTCTTTCTCGTATTCCTTCCGTTCCCCAGCTTCCATCCTTTTGGCCCGCATGGCTATCTTGGGCTTTGTCACTCTTTATAATTATCACTATATCATCACTGTTCTATTCTGAACATCCCCGGCTCAGTCAGCCTCACCACATCCGAGTCCTTCTCTATGCTCTGATGGTCATCCAACCTTGTGACTAGAAGCGGCCCTCGTCCTTCGTTTACTGCCTCTCTCGCTCTCCTTGAGAGCATTCCGCCACAACTTGGCTTCATCAACAATTGTTCCTTCTTCCATCGCTATTTACCTGCTGTGGAATATCTTACCACCATTCACATTCCACCTGCAGTTCAGATTGTCCATCAAATTGCGACACCGTCCAATACATACGACACCACATCCCCCGTCATGAATCGTCCCAATTTTATACAACTACCCGAATCCAATTCGCGCTCTGCCAGCGCCCTTTCAAGAAATGGGCACACATCGCCCCGCATTCAGCATTTCGATGGCGACGTACCACCCGCTCTATCGCCCTTGGATGCCATTGCGGCGAGAAGTAGGAAATTGGCCAAGGAGTTGGAAGAAACCAGAAAAGCAGGAGAACGACGCATGAGCAGACTTCCACCTCAAGTCGTGACCGAATCCTTGACCGAACACCAGAACAATCGTCCTCCCATTTTTCGCGCCCTGTCTGAGGGAACCGACACTCTTCCTCCTTTACCCAGTATTCCTAGCCATATCGATCGCCCTGGCTTTTATCCGCGTGTTGCCAATCCGACCAATCGTCCCGCTTCTCAACATGCTCGAATGAGTGTCGCACTCAAGCCCACTCACGACCAAGAAGGCAGAGATAACGATACCCCGTCCCGATTGTCTGAGGATACCAAAGATTACTTCGGTGCTCCGCGAGTAGAGTCCCCTCCACCTCTCGAAGATGACACGCCTTTTTCAACATCACGTCGCACAGCTTCAGCTCAGAATTCTCAGGACGATCATTCTCGGCAGAATCCCACCAGGTCTCACCCAGATCTAACCTTGAATTTAGCACCACCACAATCTCATTCTCATAGATTACGCCCATATCAAGATGCCTCTGACGATGACTATACCAGTTCAAATGCCGGTTCAACCTTTTCACAGTCTCGAAAGCTATCCTCTAGTAGTGGAGTTTCAGTCCCTCATTCACCCATATCCCCCTACTTACAAGCTCACGGCCGGACACCCTCTGGCAACTCGATTGGATCACCGACGAGAGGTAGCATAGCGCGCAACTTCTCGCGCCCTATGAGTTCTGCTAGTATGAACAACCTCCGAGGGGAAAAGAGCCCGGGCAAAGCTCCATTAGCCATGCGAGCAAGTCATCTCAGACAGACCAGCTCTTTCGATGGTACCAATGTCCCTACAGGTTTCATGGCGGGTCAGGCATCATCCTATACACATATGACCTACAGCTTACCGAGGGGTCGACTTGTATCTGGCAGAGATTCTCGAGCCTTTGCACGGCTAAACGATCCCAACCCGGAATGGCAGGATCCCATGTTTCCTGGCTCTCCACCTCTCGAGGGCAAAAAGAGTGGCGAGTTACCTGTGCCATCTCCGCTACCCTCGGCTCGACCCAGTCGAGAAGATCCACAAAGATCTGGATTCTCCTTTGAATTGGATTCTGAACGAGGTATGACTGCAGAGAATATCTCGCCATCTACATACTACACTCCTTCGGGATCATTGCGTTCCACCGACTCAGGACCCACTCAGCCCTCAACTGGAGTTGCTGCCTCGGGGAATGTGCTGAGGCCGCCTCCGACTCCGCTCTCACCCGTTGAAGAAATGTCCCATTCGTCCAGATCCAACAGCACAATCCGACCTTCCACTTCTCGAACAGTCAGTACGCAGCAATCATTTCCAGCCGATGAGCATGTATCCAAAGCCATTGCCCTCCACGAGAATGGCGATCTCAAAGAATCAACTTATCATCTACGTATCGCAGCCAACAAAGGCCACGCTACAGGCATGCTTTTGTATGCCTTAGCCTGTCGTCACGGCTGGGGAATGCGTGCAAATCCGAAGGATGGCATCCAATGGCTTCGGAAAGCTGTTGACTGTGCCATGTTAGAAGTTGCCGATGATGAAAATCCCACCGGATCAAAACCCGCCTCTGACATCAATGATAAGAAAACGCATCGAGCACAGTTTGCATTGAGCATATACGAATTGGGAGTCTCCCACTTGAATGGCTGGGGAATAGAAATGGATAAAGCATTGGCCCTGAGGTGCTTCGAAATTGCCGGTAACTGGGGCGACACCGATGCCTTGAGCGAAGCAGGGTTCTGTTATGCAGAAGGTATTGGTTGCAAGAAAGATATGAAGAAGGCCGCCAGATTTTATCGCATGGCCGAAGCCAAAGGTGTTAGTATGATTGGAAACAGCTGGTAAGTGAACCTTGTTTTTTTCCATTATGCATTCGGAACTGATATGGGATTGTAGGATCCATAAAGAGAAATATAACGACACCGATGACGATAAGCAAGATGTCGCAGACCGATCCAGATCACCTTTCGTAGCGCGGAGTTCGTTGGAAAAGTCGCGCAACAAGTCCAAGTCCCGTGGCATCTTTGGGAGAAAAAAGTCAACAAATACTGGATGATCTTCTGCTCTGTTTTTGCTGCCGCAGTGATTGTGGCATCTTGTTTTTTCATATGTGCCGTTCTGCCCATAACGACTACTACTAATTCGACCGACGCTCTGGCAGCGAAATTACCGCGAATGTTCGATTCTTGAGCTCACATTCTGGGGTTTCTTCTACACACATTTTTTCTCTTTCAACGACGACGACATGTATTATGACACTCTGATGGAGATGCATATTGATGGGAGCTAAAAGACACCGTTGACATTTTTTCTTACCCCCGGTCCTGTTGTTTGCCTTAAAAGGGGTTTGCGTTAGACCTACCTTAATCAACCACTGCTGCGAGACAGCAGTCTGACTAGCTTGGGGAGGCTTGAATATTTCACTACTAGTACTACTGGCTGGCCTTTGAATACTGATTAGTAGTTTTTGGCGGTCTTGCGCCGCTTTCAATTGGTGTATTTCTCAAGATCATTTTTTTGCAGGCCTGGCTGTCAGTCCTGCTGCGCTTCTTCCATCTTAATTGGCCCGGAATCATACCACATGATGATATTGGGAGATTGTGCCTTGCAAAAGCTTGTCCATGGATAGCATTCCCATCGCACTCACTAGAGCAGGGCGGCCGGGTACGCTGAACCAGCGGGTGTCCAGTGACTAAGTGACATTACTTATCCAATTCGCCCGACCACGCCCCGGGGGTCCGGCATCCTGCTCGATGGCCTTCAGCATCCTTGGAGTCGTGTCTTCGTCCAGGAGCTTGAGGTAGCGCTCTGTCCGAGACGAAGAAATTTCGGTCAGCCTCAGAAGCAAAACTTGGAAACTTGTGCGGGAAAAGAGATCCTATGCTCAACCCCACTTACCGCAGGCCAACCACCTCTTCGCCACGATCCGCAGGAATTTCCTCAGAGTCCTCAGTCTTGCCAATCCGTCTTCCGCATCGAGCTCTCGCGATAGTCTCTGCGTGGTGATCGATGCTGCCTTGTATACCAGGAAGGTGACGACGGTTGGGAAGTGGTGGAAGTCGATGGACCGTGTTCCCTCGACGAAGGGTTCGATGCTACTGGTTATGCTGGAGAGGATGCAGATGAGTGATGTTGTGGCCGACGAATTGTGAGTATCTGCTACATTGGGGCGGGAGGATACCTTAGTGTTGTTGTCGAATGCCAGGATGAGGGCGCTGTCCAAACAATCAGTGTTGGTATCAAAATCGTCCCACGCCACACTCGGAGGCCAATCTCTCCTGGAGAGCGTGCTTACATATGACATAAGGCCAATCCACCAGAATATATGTGGTCCTCAGCCATGAGTTCCTTGGTTAGAATTGACTCAAGGGTAATGGACGTTTTTACGGTCAGCATTACTTCCTCCATGTTGAACACCTGCTCTGATGTGGGACTGTGTATTGTGGTATGGATCTTGTCTAGCATGGACGAGGATTCCACCAGGCGAGAAAAGCGGGCAAACGGTGTGTTCTTATCCTGGTTGTGCTCATGGGTTGGACATAGGGTCGGCTTCAGGAAATTATGTAGGGATTCGGTTCGAGAACGAGTGAGCGAGGCACGCGGGCCAGATTCAGCAGTGATGTATCTTGGACAAACTTCATAAGACGAATGCTCCATCAAGGAATTGTGTTTTTGAGGGCTCTGCCAATAGAACAGCTCACCTATCCAGGACCAGAATTCCACACCACATCAGAACTGTTTCCTCATAAGTGATTGCTTCATTTGAACAGTAAGGCTGCACGGCGTCTTCAATGGGGTGTACTTCAAGTGCATCTGCGGCTCTCAGTGTGGCTCCGATAGATATGTAAGCGGCTGGGTAGAAGCCATGGCTCGCTTCGAAAAGCGTTAGCAAAATCCTCGACTGAACGATTTGAACGGAATTCAACCCAAGTCCTTCAGCGAAGGCAAGGCTACTCTTCGTTTGAAGATAAAGGATTTCCAGTCCAGAGGTGATATCGTCATTCATTGTAGTCGAGGAGGGACTCGTTGTGAAGAGTAGAATGGACAGGCAGAGCAAGGCTACATCCAGAGAAGTCTCGTCACATGTCGCGGGAACTCGACTTCCCAGTTCAGATATCACTGGAAACCACGGCTCGACTGCACGGCGATATGCTGAGACAGCACTTTCTGGTGTAAAGGGCCCGAGTTTCTGGATGACGGCGTCCTTGAGAGTTTTCGCTGTCACAGGCTCCAAGGCCGCAAATGTTTCTGATGCTGGGGATTGACATTGGGTTGGCCCTCGGTCTGATACCTTGGAGGCCTCATACTCGCACCTTCGACCGAACCTGTAAGCCGTTGAACCGTCATGATTAGCAATATTGTACACAACAAATCCCAATCAATGTGCATCCGGTTACCTCGCACACAATCCACAATCTGGGATATGCCGGTCGCACCGCCTTTTCGATGTGCTACATCGAGCACAGGCCTTCTTAGCGAGTATCTTACGGCCCTCGGCGCTCATGTAGGTGTCCCGGCGAGAAAGAAGTTTTGTTACAGACAGCGTCACTCAGAAATGATGGTGGAAGGACTATGCGGCGTGCGTCAACTATTTGAGACGGGAGATGCTTTGTAAGGCTGGCGGCCCCGCAGATTTGATTCTGCAGGTGCGGGATATGCGGACACTTGGTCGGGGTGACGTGCGGACTCTTGCGCTGCTGCTTTCAAGTCGGTCTAGACGGAGCATTGGACTGATAACAATTGCACTCGGACTTGACAAGATGTAGATGTATAAAGAGCAGCCTCCCCTTACCTCAATAATGGTTCAGCAGCATTTATCATCAGGGCAATCAGCAAGGCCACCACAGTTCTGCTTAGGATCGGGATAGGATAACTTTTCTCAACCCTGTCATGTCACAGATCAAATCTGTTGCACTCGCCGGTGTAAGAGTTGTAGCAAACGACATCACAGCAGAGTGGCTGACATTTGCAACAGGCTTCTGGTGCGTTTGGGCCTTATGTTCTCAGGGGACTCCTCGATGCCAAATTTGAGGTCAAGGTGCTCGCCAGATCCAAGAAATCTGGACATTTCGAGGCAGGCATCGATGTAGTTGAAGTAGACTTCACATCCGTGGAATCATTGACTGCTGCACTTCAGGGCATCGACGCGGTCGTATCTACTGTGGCTGGCACTGCCATCAAGACCCAGGGTGTGTTGATTGACGCCGCTGCTCTTGCTGGCGTGAAGCGTTTTATTCCTTCCGAGTACGGCTCAGTCACCACCAACCCCAAAGTCCAAACCTTTCCACTATACGATAACGTATTCATGATCCGGAACCACCTTCAAGAGAAAGCAGATGTTGGACAGCTGACTTGGACGGTACTCGCCTGTGGAGCCTTCCTAGAATTCCTATTGGCGTCGAGCTCGACCGGCTTATTGGATTTTGCAAATCGCAAAGCTACCTTGCTTGACGGTGGTGACAACAGGCTCACTTCCACTTCACTCACGACTGCCGGGAAAGCGATCGCGGAGATTTTGAAGAACTCCGAAGCCACCAAGAACAGGGTTGTCAAGGTTTCGGAAATCATCTTGACGCAGAATCAGCTGTTGCAAATTGCACAAAAGTTGAAGCCAGAAGACAAATGGCACACCAGCACGGTTGCCACGAGTGCGCTCTTGAAAGAGGGTCTCGACGAATTCAGCGCTGGCGACTTTAGCTTCCCAGTTATTTTCAAAATCATCGCAGGTACCGGACTTGCAGGCGAAACGTACGGCAGCGCTTATGATGAGACCGATAATGACCTACTTGGAGTTCAGGAACTGACCGAAGCAGATTTGACAAGAGTGGTAGCTGAGAAGCTGGGATAGAAGTATTGAGGCGGTCATGTTTTGGCAGCAATTTTGGGAGAATGCCCGCAACGGCATCATCAACCCCAGGACCTAGACCCAGGTCTTCTCAGCTGATGTAGCACGGGGCTTCAGTCATCTCCTGAGGCATGAAGATAGCCACAAATTGCTGAATGCAGAATTGTCACTGTATCATGATGCTGTTGCGACATCATAGGGCGTGCTCAACCCTAGCCCCTCTAGACCAGTATCCATAAGGATTGTGATTGGCTTCTAAATGATGCGTAGATTGCGAGATCGCACTGGCCTGTCATTGAGCAATGAATGCGACGTTGTTGCCTGATATTAACAATGGTGCAATTTCTTGCAATTTCTATAGAAGAAGAAGAAGGCGAACGGTGGAACGGTTCCTTGCCATTCAAAATCCAATCTCTTTGCAAATTTAGTGTAATCGGAAGTGGCCCGCGAATCAATTTTCAGGAAGTCGGCATTTACCAACGTCGAAATCAGATTGGATACCAAACTTCGAGATTGATTTGAGGTCAGCTGCCGAGCGCATTTATTTAGGTGCGAGTGGTGCGATGGCCGTTGCATCTTCTTACGATGTCCGACAGGGAACCCTCTCGCACTCTCAGATACTTCTGCTCCAGCAAAGACTTGTGGCCGAACTGCCTTACACCTTGCCACTTGCAAGGAGGATTGAATTCCACCTTGGCCATCCGATTTCTCCCACGTCCCGGATTTTCGTTGCTGCCGCTACTGCTACAGTGAACACAGTAGATCCAGCAGGACGGAATAAGGCACAAGACGAAGGTGCTGGTGATGCTAGTCATGACTGGCTAGAATCATGGCTCCGTGAGGGTTCGGCCCCTGAGACGGCAGCCCCGTGGCTCGCCGCGCACATCGACCTCAGCAATCAAGGTCAAACACAAGTATGGGTCTACGCAAGTTGGGAGCATCCTGACGTCGGGTATTTCTCTTCGTCGGTGGCAGACTTACCTCCCGCAGCGGAAGATACCTCGGCGACGGCTTCCAAGGTATCCTCGATTTCTACCACGACTGATGATGAAGACGATCCACTTGCGCAGGCTCATGAGGATTTATTTTCCACCTTGTTCCGCTATATCTTGACTCAACTTGTCCCTCATCAATCAAGCACTCCCAATGACGAGTGGCTCGAACTACAGCGGACGGGGAAATTTCTCTCCGTCCCTTACTCGCGGTCCAAGGCTATCTTCGGCACGGTCCATGAAGTCCTGTGGCGGTACTTTGACAATGCTGCTCGCACGAGGACCGATCCTGGCTATCTGAAATATGTCTTTAGTTTCCCCAGTCCAGAGTCTGACGGTGCTGCCGGACACGACGACTTGAACCTTCCGGACGGTTACTATCTTGCGGACATGCGTCGGGAACATCTCCAAATGGTGCTCGACAGAACCCCAATCCCCCGAACACTGAATACACTGATCCAGATGGAGTCTGTGGGTCTGTTCTTCAAGGACAACCCGACACCGATCGGTTGGGGCTTCCTCTCCAAGGATGGTAGCATCTCAAGTCTTCATACAGAAGTGGAGCATCGAGGTAAGAATCTTGCTGTAACGGTGGGAAAGGCGTTGTTGTTGAAAGGTAGTCGGACTTCACTAAGCAGGCTGGGTGTCTACTACGGCCATGCGGACTCCTCGCAGGTCAACATCCCGAGTCGTAGGGTCATGGAGAAGATTGGTGGGCTTCCAAGGTGGAGAATCTCGTGGACGGAAATCGATCTGGATATCTGGTCGCAGATGAAGAGCGAGCAGTGAGATGAAACTCCTTGCTCGTGGAATGGGCTTGGAGTGAGAGGCAATGTAGGGGAACGGAGGGAACAAATTAAAGCATTGAGTTGTGGGATTGCGAGTGATGAGAAACCAGCGTTTTGAGATCAATATATACATCTTCGTTGTTTGGAGATACGATGGATCTTCTCGCTCTAGACCTGACGAGCAATCAAGTAATGTTCATATATCTGCCAGAATCGTCTCAATAACAATCCTTATCTCATTCCGCTACGAGCTGGCCGCTGGCGTAGGGTTGCTTAATGACATACCACGGCAGATAATTACAAGCCACCTCGGTCACGTCTTCTTTACTGTTGGTGATGGCTTGCCCATCGTACCAGTGCATCGGTTTTACATACGGCGGCTTGAGATGTGATGGCAAACAAGGCTGGAAGAAGATTTAAGCCTTGATGCAAATCCGATGCTATGTAGTATCTTGTTGAGCGATTGCGGGTCAGGAAGTGGAAGAATAAAAAGGTCCCACGATCAAGTGGGAGCTCGGTGACCCGGGTCATTCTGATTCCGAATAGTCTGCAGACAACGGAGGAATATCAATCCCCGGAAGCACCTAGTCTTCGGTCTACACATAGCGAGCGAGACACCTCCTCTTCCAACTTTCAAACCTTGACTTGGCCCGGCAGCAGAGCTGCAGAGGCCTCTAAAGGTTCCACGGAACACTATATCTTCCCCACATGTCCCCGGATTCAGGGAGATGTGATGGATACGCATACAAATATCCGTGCAAGAATGAACAGTGCATGACTCGCCCTTGGTCCAGCTCGCTCTCTCTGGCATAATAGTTGTTACTGTTGATACTAGCATTCTTCAGGTCCTCCTCTTCATAATGGCATTCAAGGTAGGATCAATCGAAGTCATACAGACTCCTCTCCGGCCCTGTGAGGATGATCCCAACTATGACAATCCGGACCCGAGCAGGACTCTTTTGTCTAAAGGACATCGGAAAAATCCCGTATACGCTGCTTTCCAAGCAGATACCATCTTCGAGAAAGACGTGCAGATCCCTTTACGTGACGGGTCTCAGATCAGGGCCGACATCTTCCGTCCAGCAGATGAGGGCCACAAGGTGCCTGCTCTCGTTGCTTGGAGCCCCTATGGAAAGTCTGGTAGAGGTACGGCGTTCTTCTGCCCATTCCATTCCATTCCTCGTCCTCTCCGCTTGGAAACCACAAGATTTTAGGAGGAGCAATCGCCGTGTTTGCACGGCTTTGGTTCGTCAAAGAATGATCTAAATCACTCCGGACGACTTATAGGTTTCTTCCATTTGGATCTCGTCCCAGGACGGGTTGGCATTCCCCAATCGAGACTGTCCAAGTATGAGAAGTTCGAAGCTCCCGATCCAGCGGAATGGACCGCACGAGGCTACGCGATTGTCAACGTCGACGCGCGAGGGTCGTGGGACTCAGCTGGAGGCTGTTTGCCGTATGTTTTCCTAAAGATTTAGGGTTGCTTTGAGTGGAACTGATATATGAATGCACAGCTGGTGGGGGACTCAAGAGGGGAGAGATGGCTACGATGTGACAGAGGAGCTGGCCAAGATGGATTGGTGCAATGGCAGCGTGGCATTCGTTGGGAATTCGTGGCTTGCAATGGCCCAGTGGTTTGTCGCCGCTGAACGTCCTCCACATCTGAAATGCATCGCTCCATTCGAAGGTGCTTCAGATGTATACCGCGAGCTCATTTGTCGAGGAGGAGTACCGGGGAAAGCATTCGTGAAATTCCTCGCGGGATTACTTTTCGGTGAGCAGACTCCGATTTCGTCAAACCATTGGGATGTTCTCTATTGTTCACTACTTACTTCTCTAGGACGTAATGGAACGCAAGAAGATCTAAACTCGATGCTTGAAAGATATCCATCGATGAACGAATACTGGGCCGACAAACGAGCCAATGTCGGCAAGATCAACATCCCGATATATGCCCTTGCCTCCTACTCGACAGGCCTTCACACATTCGGCTCCTTGAGAGGATTCACCGAGGCACAAAGCGCAGACAAATGGTAGGTACCATATTTTTGAGCCAGCCTGATTCCACAGATTCCACTGGCCACGACGTCATCACTTCCATCGTGGGCTGATATTAGCTTGATAGGCTTCGTATCCATGCAACGCAAGAATGGCACGATCTCTACCAGAAGGAAACCAATGATGAATTACAGAGATTCTTTGATCGTTATACTAAAGGGATTGACAACGGATGGGAAGAAACTCCGAGAGTCCGTATCGCCGTCTATCATTACAATAAGGTAAGGTCTTGCCGGGCCCAGCCAGAAGAAAAGACCACCTCACCCAAGTGGGACAGTGGAACCCGACTTGCAAGGAAGCCTCGCACTGACAAAGATACATATGATCAGCGCCCTATAACGAACCACGTTGTCCCCGCATGGCCAATTCCTTCCACGACCTATAAAACACTCTATCTCCACACCGACAACACCCTCCAACACTCAATTCCTCCAACAGCCTCGACCTTGACCTACCAATCCGACGTGGCCTTTCAGCAGATGGATAATGATACCGACGAACTCTGGTTTGTCCACAAGTTTCATTCGCAAGCATACCTTGTCGGTTCCGCACGCGCTCGGCTATTCATGTCGACGCCCGATCACAATGACATGGACGTATGGGTGCAACTCCGAAAACTGGATCGTCAGGGCAATGTCCTGCAACAGCTCACGATACCAGCGCACGACTCTCCGATCCCCGACTCCCAAGTCGAAGTGCAGAACCCGCTCCGATATCTCGGACCCAGTGGCGCTCTGCGTGCAAGCTACCGCGCCATCGATCCCGCAATCTCGACGCCAGAATTTCCAGAACACGATTATACCATCCGGGACCCCCGTGCTCGAGACCAGGTGGTGGAATTACAGATCGGACTGTGGCAGACGGGCATGGCGTTCGAGGCTGGGGAGTCGTTGCTGTTCAAAGTCAGTGGGCATACGATGACACTGGCGGAGTTTCCATTGCTCAGGGGGGCGGAAACAACCGAGAACAAGGGTAGGCATGTGGTGCATGTTGGCCCTGAGACGCCCAGCGCGGTGGTTATTCCTCTAATCGAGCTCTGAAGGTCGTTTAAGGTTCGTTTACGGTCGAAACCTTGATGTGATGCAATGGTCGTTGAGATTCGGGATCCTGTTGTGGTTAGCTCAGTCCTTAACCCAGCAGCATCTCAGGCACTGTGCTGTTACGGAGGTTCAGAATCACATGAGTGCTTGGCTCTTCCTGTCTTCGGCAGAAGATTCAGTGTAGCTGATTAAAGGTGTGGACGAATCATGTACGAACCATCTTTGAGCATAGTAGGGTCTTCGGATATCGGAGAGAGACCGCATCTCACCAGAGGTCAACTCTATCATTGGTTCCTGCGTTTAGCAATGATCTTATTGGCATGCGGTGAGCCAGGAAAGGCGCCGGGGGTCCTACTAGTATGTACCTATCAAAAAGGTTGGAGGAGACTAACTGGCACTCGCATTTCTGGCGGACTCCACACAGAAGATTCAAAGGTCGATCCCCGAAACACCGATATGGCCGAGTTTTGGCACCTAATTTGTGTAGCGCTCGGCTTCAGCCTCTTTGACGGTGTTGCAGGACAAGCCAGGCAGACATTTAGTATAAATAAATCGGTCAATCAGAGTTTCGCTCAATGAATATGTTTTGGTTCTGAACAGCTGTGCATTTGGGATCCAGAGAACGTGAGCAACCTGGGGTAAGGGAGAAAGATTCGCATACCTAGTTAGGTACTTACTGTACAGCCTGAGTGCTGGCCAGCCAACTATTAGGCAGCGATTCTGGATCCTACTTCCACCTACAATCCTCGGCCCCTCTTCTCCCTGGAAATTTCAAGTCCAATCGCTCGGAGCGGTGGAGGTTCCGCAACTGATTGATAAGATTATCGGCAGAAAGTGGAGGGGGTGTCACCCAAAGAAGTTTTTGGGGGGGACGATCCAACGCTGCGGAAAATTAGGGGACCAGTACATGGGATATTGATGATTGCTGCCCCCTGCAAAGCACGTCACTTTGCTAGCCTATGAGTTTCAGGATTCGGCGATAGGCACGACTCACGAATAACTCCAAAAAAGACGGCACAGAAAGCCCAAGAAAAGTTTACCGGCCAGCTAACAGAGCACCGGGGTGGGGACCGTCCGGCCCGCTTTTTTACTTGCAGGTGGACAACTTGGGCTCGAACCAACATGTCATTATTATCGGCATCTTCTGCCAGTTTGCGCCCAGATGTGAAATCTAAACATGCTCCCAACAATCACCATCACAGCCATTTCAAAGCACCAAAACTACCAGGGCGACCCAAAGCCATCACGACGGGCATGTCGCTGCTAAGAAATGTCAAGGCCTTTTTGACACCCAGTGGATCGCAAGCCCACCTCTCTGGCGGAGGCCTGGATGGAGCATTCACCAAGGCGAAGACGGAAACAGATCTGTTCCCGGCCACCGACCCCGCAGTCGACGGTGAAGAATGCCTGCGCGACTGTGACGGTTGTACCGTGCACTACCCGGCGAAATTCAAGATCGATGAGGACGACACCTTGTACGGCCATGTCAAGGGCTGGGAAACGCATCTGATCGTCGGCACGGGCAAGACTGATTGGGTGCGCGATGTGACGGACGAAAAGGCTTCGGTGATGCAGGCTGTCGGCCGAGTCGGTGTGGATAGGAAGAATGGAAAGATCATGCTCTCGGCAAGTAACATGCCCAATTGTGCGGAGGGATATGACGGTGGTAGGAGAGCGGAGGGGGAAGAGGAAGGTAGTGATTGTCTATTACTACCGGCTTGGACGCTCATCGAGGATGTCAAGCCCAGCCAGGTCGATGTCTTGATGAAGGAGGTTGTGGAGAAAAGTGTTACGAATTCGTCGCCACTTGGTGGGCGTAAAGCTCTTCCGCTTGGAAATGGGGAGTCGAATGGACATGCGGCCGTTGAAGACGATGCGGTGGCAGAGCCCGATCTCACTGGACTACGCATTGGCGGTGCGAACGAGCCCTCGACACCATCGGAAGGCACTCAGACACCCCAGGACTTATCACGGCCACATGAGCAACAAGAAGAATCCACCACACTTGCTCCATCTTCAATATCTAGCATCACCTTCAAGACCCGCCCGATCCCCCATTCGTACCTCATCCTGATGTGCAGCCACAAGACGCGCGATGCTCGCTGCGGGCAGTCCGCCCCTCTTCTCCGCAAGGAATTCGAACGCATTCTCCGGCCCATGGGTCTCTACCGCGATCTCCACGATGATCGGCCCGGTGGTGTGGGCCTCTATTTCATCAATCATGTCGGTGGACACAAATACTCCGCCAATGTCATGATCTACCGAAGAGAGAGTCGAGCAAGAAATCATCTCGATGCCAGCAATGGAATCAGCAATGGCGCACTAAACGGGCAGCCAGCGATTACTCAGAATCAGACCGCAAATCCAGTTGCAGAAGATAGTACCCGTGATGGCGAGGCGGTACAATTGATTTGGCTCGCAAGAGTCAGACCCGAGGATTGTGAGAATATCATACGCTATACAATTCTACAGGGGAAATTGGTGAAACCTCAGAGGCAGCTGAGGGGTGGATTTGATAGGGAGAGGGGATTGTTGAGTTGGTGATCTGGTGATCTGGTGACACGATGAATTGAGGATGAGATGTTGAGACAGAGTTCTGCCAAGATGCATCACAAGAGACAGATTCACAGGATGGGTGGAGTAATACATAAGACTTTGTGAACGGGAAAGCAAAGCACTCGAGCGTGGTGATCATGAGACGAAGGCTTAGGCCATTTCAAATAGATGGTGTTGGGGTATCATAAGAATTGCTTCATTTGAGTTGAGCTTCCTTTATAATGGCATAATGCTATTTTCATCTTGGGTTGGATCGCGAGATTCCATCCACCGAAAGAGCTCTCTCTCTCTCTCGATCGCTGCGCCTGACCTTCAACTCGCAAGATTCCGACCTAAAAAGCGAAGATGAGGTCAAGATGTTTTTGCCGAGTCAAGTCAAAGGTCATTCTATGATTGGATGGGCATGATTGTGGAATGTAGACAATAGTCTTGGTTTTGCTCAATGATCATTCCTCGACGAGGATCAACATCAAGCTTGGGAATAAGACGTCTCCCTACACGACCACACTCTCAATCCACCGAGACAACAAAAAAGAACGGAGTCTTTCTGCGCTCAGGCAAACCGCCATGCCCTTGTTCGACCAAGGACAAAGAACAAGCGGGTCTTCGGGTTACTCTCAGTTCTGCTCGACGAAGGATGATATACATTAATGGGGGTGTGTTAATGTGCTCCATTGATTTGGTTGTGTCGAGAACGCCAACTGCGAGATAACAACCGACCAGTGATTCCCTCTCTCGAAAGATCGGGCTGGAAGGGATCAAGCGTGACTCAGAACTTTGGTAAAAGAAGAAAGAAGAAGGGAAAAGGAATGGGAAAAGCAGGCAAATTTTGTTTGTAGCGAGGAATTCCTGATGCCAAGACTTTCACAGCCTAGTCCTCTCTGAGAATAGTGCATTTTCTCACTTTGTCCTATGCTGCGGGCCGACATTTAATCTACAGTCGCAGCCAACTTTCCACGACTTTTCTAGGCTATCCATAAACCAACAAGACTGCCTTGCTAGGTCTTCTGGTCTCTTTAACGTTTCCCCTCCGTCCCTTCTTTTGGGGGTTCCAGTTCGTTACGTCGGCGAAGCGACCCAACATCACGATGTCGGCCGCGGACATTGAGCAGATGAACAAGCTTCGCAAGAGCCTGGGCTTGCCATTATTGAACGTAAGTGGACAACCGCCACCTACATCTGAAGGGCCAACATTCAAATCACATTCTCCAAGCGATGACGAAGGACAAAGCGACGACGATGATGGAGACGTTGCCTCCACACTCGAAACTCGTGAAGCCGCCGGATTTGGCAATTGGAAGGCCTTGCAAGAGGAGGAGAAACGGAAGATTGCCAGAGAAAAGAGGAAAAAGGAAATCCAGAGGGCCCGAGACGTCGCAGCCAGGGCGACGAAACTCGAAGGCAAAGGTTTAGGAGAGGCCGACGACGATGGCGATGTCGACGCGAAGGCTTGGTTGAAAGGCCAGAAGAAGCGCCAACATAAGATCGAACGGGAACGTGCTGATCGCCTAGCCAGAGAATTGGCCGAGCGAGAGGCGCAGGCAGCCATCGTATACTCCTCTAAAGATCTTGCTGGTGTACAAGTTGCCCATGAAATCGGAGATTTCGAAGATGGAGAGTCCGAACATATTCTCACGTTAAAAGATCAAGAGATCGGGCATGAAGACGAGAGTGATCAAGATGATATCCTGGAGAATAGCGATATCGTGGCAAAAGACAATCTGAAGGAGAAACTCGACTTGAAGAAAAAGAGGAAGGTGTACGATGTCAATGACGACTCAGAACAAGGTCTCCTCTCACAGTATGACGATAAGAAGCGAAAGGCCTTCACTTTGGACGGACAGGGGGCTACAATCGAGGAACGGGATGCTAAACGCCAGCAGATCGGGGAGAAATTGAAGAACAGCTTCAGTCTTGACGTATTGAAGCCAGATACGCAGTCCGACTATATGGAGATCAAGATCAAGAAACCTAAAAAGGAGAAGAAAAAATCCAAGCGACAGAAAGCCGAAGATGAAGATGACATTTTTCCTGTACAATCAACTACAAACGGTGACGCTATGGATCTTGATTCTGCTTCAGCCACAATGGCTCCCACCACTGCGAAGACTCGATTTTCGGAAGACAACTTCAACGACGACGACGATCTTGCTAGCGCGCTGTCGAGAAGCAGACGGGCCGTTCTGAAGAAACAGAAGAGAAGACCAGAAGATATTATTAAGCAGTTGAAACAAGAAGAAGAACAGGCAACTCCAGAAATCGAGGCTGAAGGTGGGCTTGTGCTTGACGACACTACAGTCTTCCTCGACAATATCTCCTCAAGACCGAGAGAAGAAATTCTCGAACGAACTGTGCAGAAATCTGTAGAGCAAGCAGAAGCTGCGAGCCCTGATGAAGATCAGCCGATGGGCGAGGCGTACAGTGGCATTGAGAACGAAGCCGAGCTTTTGGACCGCTTACGTCGCGAACAATCAACACATACCCCAGAGGTCCCTCGCGCAGGACTGGATGAGGAGAAAACAATGGACCAAGGTTTAGGAGCCGCACTTAGTCTTTTGAGACAACGAGGGCTTGTCAAGGAGAGTGACTCTGGTGACAAAAATAAGCTATACAAGGACCGTCAACAATTCATAATTGAGGCACGATTACGAGAGAATGAAGCGGAGACCCGGGCTCGAATGCAGCGTGAGCGAGACCGACAATCAGGGAAGCTGACAGGACTGTCGGTCAAGGAGCGAGAAGAGCATGCTCGTTGGCAGAACACGCAGCGGGAACATCAAACGTCGATTCAGGCAGCAGCCGCCTTCAATCGGGAGTATAAGCCAGATGTCAATTTGAAATATATCGATGACGATGGGCGGTCAATGAACCAAAAGGAAGCGTTCAAGCATCTCAGTCACCAATTCCATGGTAAAGGTAGCGGGAAGATGAAGACGGAGAAGCATCTCAAGAAGGTCGCTGACGAAAAGAAAAGAGAATCCGCAAGTATTCTCGATAGCAGTAAAGCCACAGGTATGAGCAATGCTCAGGGTGCTATGGGGAAAAAGAACAAGGAAGCTGGTGTCAGATTGGGCTGAGACCAGATGTCGATATTGAGCCCGAGGCAGATGAACTGGCTGTAGCATGTGACAGTGCCGCATGTTCAAATGAAATGGAATGTAAAGTGAAGTTTCACGCTTCTCATCTACGTTTCTCATTCACCTTCACCATGAACTGCCTATGGCTGGCTGTGGCTGCCGTGACGCTTTGCAACTGATTGTCGAGCTTCTGTGAAGATAATGGACATAAACTTACACTATTCACGAACAAACGACGATATTGCGAGTGTTGTTGCTGCAAGCTGTACCCAGCAGCGCACCGTATTGGAGAGAAAGTGAAGATTTGTGACGTGCTTCATGTTACTTTTAAGATAGACAGGGACCAGGCACCAACTTGAACAAGGGCGACGAGGGTTGTTCCCCCAATGTGTATTTTGACGTCATTTCATACACCAAAGTGGAAGGGGCAACTGAGCATTCTCGCTTCTCCTTCCTAACTCGAAGTTGAAGCGTCAGTGGACTGCGTCAACTTGAACGCGTCGACAACAAAAAGTTCTTCTCCTCCAACAGTGACTTTCCAATGCACCGACAATGCCTCCCAAGGCCTCTGTCCGCGGAGAATATATCGAAACAGTTAGAATATGCCTGCATTCCACAGTCTATCCTTTGCCAATAATCTGACCTCTTTCCCCAGGAAACAGGAAACAAGATCAGTCGTCGTGCTGCCATTCTCGGTCCCAAGCATATCATTCTCGCAGGTAAATGTGTGATTCAGCAAGATGTAGTCATCCATGGTGACCTCGTCCGACCTCCCCAAGCGAAAGCTCCAGCGCAATCCGCCGATCAGAAGGATCAAAAACCTGCCAACCAAGAGCATACCTCCATCCACCTTGGCCGATATGTCTTCATCAGTCCTGGGGCTACCCTTCATCCACCATGTCGAGTAGCCACAACAGTCGATCCCAACGATGGAGAGACAAGACAGGTCATGACCTACTTTGTGCTAAGGATTTCTGACTATGTCTACATTGGCCCCAATACACACGTGAGAGCCGCCGAGATCAAGAGCAATGTCTATATTGGGGCAAACTGCACAATTGGAAATATGGTCATGATCAAGGACAATGTTAAAATCCTGGATGGCACAGTCTTACCCGCCAATACAATATGGGCAGGTGGCAGCATTATTGCAGGCCGTCCTGGAAGGGTCATTGGAGAAGTGGGTGAGGCGTGGGCCAGCACTGGGACGAGTGGTTCAACTGTTGATGAAGGGGTCGGAGTGAGAAGCAGAGAGCGGTGGGCCGCAGTAGGAAACAATAAGAGATGACCATGTCAAGATCAGAGTCCACCTCAATTCCTCACAGGAGCACCTCTCTGCGTGAGGGTGTGGGGTCCCAGCAACGCGCTTTACGCTGTACACATCGGATTCTCCAGGATGATTTCAAGAGCCGACCTTCTGCGATCGTGGCACATGCAATCAAGAGCTTGGCTGTGGATGATCAGAGAAGAAAGAATTATGTGGCCAAAATTGGGTGAAAGGGACGAAGCAATTCCACTAAATTAGTACTGTGATATGTGGTACATTATCGACATCCCTGGGATCAATGCAGCCAACACGGACCGATAAGAGCCAACGATACAAGACAAATAAACCCGCGAAACCCCAACGACCGTCGATGTCTAAAGCATCAAAGGTCATTCCTCAATCTTTCTCTGGATTCCTTCAGGACCATGACTTTCAACCCACCAACTGCTAAGCATCACCCTTATGAATATTCCTAGAAAACGCAGCATCATCCCTTGGATTCCAACTCAACGTTTGCCCTTGGGCAAAGCGGTCGTCAACGCATTGAGACTGAATCGACCTGGTTTTTGATGTACACTACGTACTTGTTCACTGGCAGTCCGCTTGGAGATGGTTACCTGTTGCTCTCCAGTGACCGGCAAAGATGTGGAATGGGAATGCAGTGGTGCTGCTGGACGTGGTAGCAGATTTGGCACCTTGCCCTCATCTACACTGGGATGATAGGCTCGGTACTTGTGGCTTTCGGTGCTCATATGACGATTATGAGCCCGCGCTCCAGAGAACGGGCGATCTGGTGGTTGAGCATCAATCTGAGAAGCTGTCGAGCAATTGCTGACCCGTTGCATCGGATTCTCGAGCTCTTGTATGCTTGAATCCTTTTCTCGGATGTTTGTCCTGCCTCCAACCGCTTCGGGCGACTTTGAAGGTGTTCGCGAGTACATTTCTTGGCCTATCCGTGGGGTGTAGGGTCGGTACGCAAGTGGAGAAGGGGTAGCCAGCTCCACGGTGGAGGGCATGGAATATATGCTTGTTGAATTTTCATTTCTTTGACTGTGATGATTCATTGACTCTCCTTGCACGAATTGGGCTGCTCCTTGGACTGCAGATATTGGAGAGGGGCTCCGAGATGGCAGTGCCATTGACGACGGTTGGAGCAGACCTTGATTTTGGTGCTGCAATGCAGGAGTTTGATGAAGCTTTTGCTCGGAAACAACATTCCTTACTTGGCCATTTCCGAAGTTTGTGATGCTATTGGCATACTCGGTCCAACTGCCTGTCCAACTACTACCTCCTGGTCTCTGCTGAGCTTGGGATGTGCTGACGGGAATTGCGAAATCCTTTCTTTGCACCATATCCGGTGTTGATGACACCACTTCGAGACCATCATAGCCACTGTTGGGTCGCGTTCCAGAGCCCCCAGTCCAAGCGGGTGGTGGGTAAAGCTCCAGGCTTTTTCCAAGCTGGGTTGTGTTCGGTGTATCACCTGGTATCGTCAAACCACCTCCTCGATGTTCTCCGTCACTCTTCAGATCTGCCGTAGTGTTGGTGGTGTTGTCGCGTTCATCGCTAGGAGCATCTTTCAAGCGTGCTTTCTTCAGCTTTTTGTCCTGCTGCCATATCCTATAGCATTGAATGGCAGCAATGACTGCGATTACCGATCCCACTGTGCAGAAAGCAATGGCGCCAGCCGTGTTCATCTTGGGCAAAGGCTCGTCCTGGAAAAGGAGAACACGACGACAACTGAGACCGAGATGTTAGAAGAAAGATGTGAAAGGGTGAGGTCAAAAAGAGTCTTTGCTTATCAGTGATGGTTTCCCCCCCCCAGTGAAGAATCGAAAGATACACCTGGTACGTTAACACTTATAAACTGGCTAAACACCTAGCTAGATCCTTGATTGACGAAGGCAAAATCAGAATCGAGGGACAACTTTGTCCAAAAACGCAACCAAATCCCACCCTTTGGGCGATCCTCTGCCAGAACGCTGTCTTTGCTGTTCGGTCCCATCCACCAGGTCCTCCAGACCACCCACCGTCTCACCCAATTTCAATTCTATACAAATACTCACCCAATCTGATCCTCGATCCTTTGTTCTCCCATGCCCAACTCCAAAGACCAGTTTCCATTTCCAGCTCGATACGCAGATTAAAGTGTCCGCCTCTCCAGTCAAGATGGCAATGATATCTCCGACGGTGTTTCAGCCTTGTTTCGCATCCCCAAGAATGCAGAATTCCCATCAAGTGTGGTGGTCCAAACACGGGAGTCCATCGTTCAGACCAGGTGTAGTTATCTACTTCCCGGTAACCTACCTAGTCGACGATGGCCAGGACGGCGACCCCAGTCTCAGTGTTGAGGAAGGTGTCGCCGTAGAGGCCCACGACCGAACGGGCGACGGTATCAAATGCGAGCGTCATGGCTGCATGCTCTCGCGGCGACACCTCCATCCACTCGTCCTCCTCGTTGTCATCGCCCTCCTCCTCATCCCCATCATAACCCTCCTCGACATCCTCATATGCCGGAAACGGCTCTATCGACGACAACGACGACAACGGCAGCATCGACAGCGACGGGTAGATCTCCAAGGCCCCGCCCGGGTGCACGACGTCCAGTGTATGCCTGCTGGTCGTCGCCTGCTCGCTCCAGGCGCCGATGTGGGCGATCTGCTCCTCTCTCTGGATGGCCTGTGCTTCGACCTGTGCCTCGAGGTCGGGAGCCTCGTACCGCGGCGATGCGCCGTAGATCCTTCGCGGCTGGCCCAGGCCCTGGCCCTGGCACTGCTGTCTTCGCCATCTCTTGTACCGCACGTACGCTCCCGTGGTGACGGCAGAGATCGAGACTATCGCTCCGATTAAGGGGATCTGGTAGTCCTGCATTGTTGTGGTGTTGGTGTTGGTGTTGGGGAAAGGGGGTTAGGAGTCGTGTTGATGTTGATGTTGGGGTGAGTGCTGTCTTACTCGAGAGCCAGTAGTTGTTGATGTTGGGTCGGGTGCTGTGTTAATCAAGAGGTGAATGTTGTTGGAGATGGTCGTGGTGAGTACAGAAAAAAGGTTGAATGAACATACGGACTTCAAAGAAGAAGAAGAGAGTATCAATCAAGTCTATCAAGCGACGATGTGAAGGGTGTGTGAGGAAATGGAACGGCATTGGAAAGAGCATTCCCACTCCCTTATATGCCGTTTTTCGACGAAACTCTGTCGATGCAGAGTTTCAGTCACGAAACCTCCGATACCCCAGAGGTCCTTCGACGTAGCATTGCGACGCCTGCTCCAGCATGACTCTTCAAACTTTACTATATCAACTAAGTTCGACGAGGGGCTTCTGAGTGACTTGCTCCACTCTCTGCACACTTTGATGCAGACTCTCTCATCGGAGTCAATTTCAAGTTTTGCCGGGGGCAAGTCGATAGGGATTAGCACACACACAAATGATAGCCTTCAGTACGAACGAACACTTCGGGTGAAGAGTCAAGGCCACGGTGATGATCCTTACTGAACTCATACAGGGCTTCGTTTGCAAGGTTATACTCACCTAGCTACGAAGTCTGGTGTTGTCGAAGCCGGCTGCATGAAGTACTAATGCTGCTTGAGGACCTCCCGTCAGGCTACGAGGCTGCGAGGCTACCAGGAAGGCCACGGAGATCCACATCCGGCGCTAACTACCAGGGAGGCCCTTGTCATGCATTTGAACTTCAAGTTCGCAAGATACCTCGGTAAGTATGAGTACAGATTATCTAGGGAAGGGAGAGAAAAGTATATACCTAGTTCTGAGTTTTATGGTTCTTTCCAGTATGTACCTATGTATGTGGGTGATGGTAAAACTACTCCCTGGCAAAAACAGGAGTATGAGCCGCGCTTCCTTCACTTTAATTCTATGAGTGTAGTGCTTTCCACCCCTCACAAAATTCTATTCTATCTATTCTCTATGGTCATTTTTCATTCGTATGTGGTCATGTCAAAGCTTACCCTTGCCTGCAAAGTTGGAGCCTCTTGTGATTGTGGACCGTATTCCACTTCACTGCCCAAGTGTGAACACCTATTTTTCCAATCCTAGTCCTGATTCCGGAAGTTGCTGCACTAGCCACTCCGGATTCCTGCTCCGTAATATAGTTAGACACTAATAAAGAATAAACCCTGCTTTTGGTCCTTGTATGCACAACCACCAAGATCGTTCACTGCACTTTTCTGATGGAGGATGCTGAATCCTGTAGTCGTCTCAACTCCCAGTCTTCGCTGTGTGAGGCCGCTGGGGCCAGTGCGGCACCCTGGACTTCCGGTATCGTTGAAGTGATTGAATCCATTCGTACCGCCTGGCTCGACACATGCCCTGTTCGAGGATCGATTGCACCATGATGGTGATGGAGGTGCTCGCCTTCCTCGACATCTCGTGCTCGGTCCATACTGTGATTACCACGCGACCAGCCCATGAATCTGTTCCGGTGCGTTCCAACGCTGCTAACGCTATTACGATGCCCAAATGGCTCGGTCGACCGGCGGATGAAGCCACCCCCGGTTTGATGGGATACGGATCCAGAGCGATCTCTTCTAGAGTTTGAGCGGCCTGATGCTCGAACGACTTCTGCCGACTCTCGTCCTTGTTCACTATCACGACGTTCTTCCTCGATTCTGTTGGTCTCACGGATGACGTTGCGGAATTGTGTTTGTGATGGTGATCTATCCTCGTATGGGTCGCCCATGGCTTCAACATCCCTCATACCCAAGGAGAAGTCGACACGTTTTGCCATGGATGTGATGGATTCTGCACGAGCTCGGCCAATTTGACCAGTGCTGGGTTTCTTTCTAAGGATCGAAGGACCTGCTCGAGGGGGCACATCACCAGACGTACCAACATGTTCTCCCATAGGCGCACCATTAATGCCGTTATCAGTCAATTGAGGGTCTTGGGATGGAGACGCTCCAGGTGGGTAGTTGAGATGCAGAGGAATGTCATCTCTCCAGCCTGCATTGTTGCGACGTGGGCCCTCAATACCATGTTGTTGCATCGCCAGCATCAACGCAGAGATAAATTTATTACGTCTGGTCAAACGAACCAACTCGTTCTGCCAATTGGTCTTGTAAAAGAAGACGACATTCAGAGTCAAAGAGTATGCTTCCGTCACCTCTCGTAGTTCTGTCAGAATGTTAGGCTGATACTCACGCTTTTGGTCCCGAACGAATTCAAGAAGCGACCCTCTCATGGCATCAATTTGGTCAATGGTTGTTCCGAAGCGAATAACGATCGGCACAGCTTCAGCCAAACCCCCTGATCTGCGCATGTTGAGAATGAAGAGAGTGTTGAGATAGGAGTTAGGCGCCTGAACAATGTGACCTTCCATCTTCTTGAATTCAGTGTAGAGGAGTGCGATCTCTTTGACAAAGTAATCATCACCTTTCAGTTGTGCTCCAGTATTTCCATAAATTGACACCCGATCACCAACGTCGAAAGGATGCTTCACGAAGACAAAGACAACTGATTGGAGGAACTCTTGTGCTGTGGCGGAGAAGAGCCAGGACAAGGCTAGGACAGCAGAACCGGCAGATGTCAACACGCCGGCGGCAGAGGTGGAAAGCAGCGAGATCAAGACGAGGACGAAGATGATGAATACGACAAACGAGAGGACATCGTCCAGTTTGCTGACAACGGAATCCAAGTCTTTCAAGGATGCTGTGATGGATTTTCTCTCGCGGCCAATTTCGACACAGACAGCTTCGAGCTCTTCCATGGAAATGTCGCCATTCATATCCTTGTCGAACATGCTGAAGGCGGCCTCGGCTTCATCGTTGTTGTCGAAAGCCACTTTGAGTTCTTCGGAGGACACGGTTGTTTCGCCTTCTAATGCAAAGGTTCGATATAGTCTTCTGGCCAGTACTTGTGATCCAGCTGTCGATCTGAGGAGCTCTAAAATGACCTGAGAAGGGGAACCGCTCTTCTGAACTTCTTGACCAGTAAAGTCTCCGGCCACGGCTCCAGCGACATCACCAACTTTGGCCACAGCCTTGTTGACCGCTTGAGTTGCCTTGCCGACATATGCAGCTGGAGTGCGTGCGCCAGAAGGAGGGTTGCTGGTTTTCTCCCTGAACTCATGGTCGGCCATTTGAATCTTGCCCTTTGAAAAGATGTAGAGCTTGGTCAAGCTCCCAATCTGGAACTTGTTTAATTCGATGCGGTCGGCATAAGTGCGCAGGTGAAATGATATGGCAATGAGTTGAATGATAATTTTTTCACCCAGGTTGAGACAAGCTGCGACAAACAGGGCGATTATGACTTTGTTCATGGTTCTCATCCAGGAAGTGGTACCCACTTGGCCATTGATGCGGCGATTGCTCATGATAGGAAGGAATGAAACCTCGATGGCCAGGAACCAGAGGAATAGGGTCAAAGGAACCTCAAGTTGCTTGCCAAAATCGCGCCATTTCTTGGAATTGTTGGTGAACAGACTGGAGACAAGACCCAGAGGCCAGGGAACACATTTGGCCAAAATCCGACCCGCCCATAGAGTCAGCCAGATAATCTCCAGCCAGACACCGAACCATAATAATTCGACACTTCCAACGTTTGCATTCTTCCCCGGGGCAGTCAGGGCACCGATGAGGACGGGTGTGAGGAGTATGAGGGTGACGGGGACGATGTATGTGAAGTATCGAAGGAGCCAACTTGACTCATGGACGTACTTGAAGAACTTGGCGACTTTTGTAGTTGGATTCTCCGGAGGTTTGTATACAGCAGTCCGCTCGTGCAGAGGGTTTGTGGCGGCATCAAAGTCGTCGATGGGTTCGGGAGCTCTCGATCTTGAGCGTTGCAGGGTAGTGGAGTTTCGTCCGTCTATCTCGGAGACAGAGGTCACCAGGCGTTCGGCCTTTTGCATGGCAATTTCATCTGCGAGACGATTTGCTTGCTCTCGATCGTGCGAGGGAGAGCGCAAGGCATCATCGTCATAACGAGTTGGGGTTTCTTTCAGAGCCTCGACGTTCAGCCTCTCTTTTAATGCGTGACTATCGACGGAACCATTGCCGTTCTGATGATCATGCTGCCCGACCACAGTTTGCTCCTCGTCAGAAGAGCGTATGGTGGGAGCGTCGAATTCAAACCGCGGGAGTTCTTTCACCGGGGTGGTCATGGTGCAGGCGAGAGACTATGATGGGAGAAAACATGGCATCTCGGACCGCCTGCAACCCAGGTGCAGTATGAATATAAAAAGATGCAATACTGACGAAATGGCAATGTGGATTGTTGGGTGGGGTTTGGATGAAGCGCTGCAGGGGTGGGTGGCTTGGGCTTGAGGGTGGATTTGGTGAAAGCCGCCGACAGGCAAGCATGGGATTTTTAATCGGGGCGAGCGTCGGTTAAGAACCGCCGACCCAGTTAACTGTGGGCTTGTGGCACCTGTTTGAGTCGTGCCTGCCAGGCTTTTGTCTTAACTGGCACTCAACGTTGGAGCGTCCCAGAACTGGGCAATCATGGGCATGAACGCCACCCCTTGTTGGTCTCCTTAGGCCTTCTCGGCGCCCGATTGCCTGCATCTGGTGGGATCTCAGCAGCTACGTCCCGAGTAAACCGCATCACTATTCACGCAGTATAAAACTCTGATGATTCTAAACCTCCACCCACAAGCTCTGAGCACCTACCGTCTGGTTCAGGTTTCTGGCATGTAGATCAAGTTACCCGCAATTGCACGCCCGTGCCGTTGTCCTCCGTTGGTGTCCTGGTGCCTGCACAAAGGAAATTATGCTTAGGGGCATTGCATCATCATTCAATTTTGGGTGGTCTCTCTATAAGATTGCAGTGGACGATAGATAAGGTGTACTGTCCCTGCCGAGCTGCTTATCTACCGACTTCGTAGGTATCTCTATCTTCAGCCTCCCTGAATCAGCCTGTAACCCATGCATAAGCCGTGCCCCTGAGTCTTTTTTCCGATAACCCTTTCACATGCCATCGGTCAACCACAGCACGCTCTTTTGCCAGCTTCTGACCCGCTGTCCAAGTCGATTTTCTTCGTCTTGTTTCAGAATTTTTGGAGGCGTCTGCATGCAACAACGTTGTATATCGACTGGTCCTCCGAACATGCGGATTTGAACCAAGCAGGCCACCATGCTTAGCTAGTCAATTGATCACCGATTCACTACTTTCTAGGCCACTGACTTGTGTATCGACCGGCAAGCGCCAAGGATAGCCTCGACTTTGGCCTCCCGTACTGAAAGAGGCATACGGAATGCGAAGTCTTTCTCAATCCCTGTTGTCGTCAGACCCAACCGAGTATTGGAAGGCTGACTTCGTAGGCAGCGTGCATCGAATTGATATCAAGGAAACCGGTCTGCATTTCATCTTGATGGTCCGGTTATGGAAGGTCCACAAACTTCACACATACTACTCTGTACCATGTTTGAAACAGCATTGCATGGTACCTACCTACCTACAGATATAGATCGCATGGCGGCCATCGCGTGGACCGACTGACCGTCTAACCCATGTTTTCAGCTCACCTTTTGTGATGCCCTTTTTCGAACAACCCATCGAGATTGGGACATGTATTCTAGACGCTAAACCGCGTCATATGCACGATTGCCTGCCCGTAAGACACAGGCGAGCTGAGTCAACAAATGCACCTCAGCTTCTGGGGCATGCCATACAGCTACTCAGTATGCAGCGTTTGATATCAACCGGCAGACTTGGATTCCTTAATTTGATTTACTTCCTGGTGACCTTGGCATGCACCTGCCCACGATATTTATCATCCAAAAGTCGAACATATTTGATAATCTGCGTGGAAAATAACCAGGTCAATCTGCGAGCTGCGTAATTGAGTACCAGGTCGCCATCGTTTTGGTCATTCGGGTTGGTTAATGGCTAATTTGAGAACATCTCAATTAAATTAGGCACAACGCCTACCTAAGGGAGCGTTCATGGACTTAAGGTTCGCCTTTACATGCCTCACGTTGAACACGAAAGCTGTAGAAATCTTAGAAACTGAAATGACAGAGAGCATGTCTGACTTTGAGGTTCGGTCCTATCTGCCAAGAATTCTCACGTGACCGTGCTTTCAGTAAATGTCGTCGATTTCAATGTCGAACATCATGCGCAGTTGCTGAGACTGTCTACACCACGAACTACCATCAGTTTTCCAGCTCATCCGGCATCCATTGCAGTAGGCTTGCACGTCAGTACTACCCCGATAGCGCCGGCAAGATGTGCCGCATCTGTGGCCGCGTTGTGAAGTGCATCTTTGATTCGATGCCATCGAGGAGCCCTTCACAGGCGACGAAGCAGTCAGTGTAGTACTTTTCCACATTGGGACCTCAAACATTGACATCCCACAAGATTCAGAAAGCTACAGCCCCGATCACAGACCAGGTCGCACCATGTATCCGCCCAGTCAGTCGTCCGGCCGGCTCTGAACATCTCCAAAGCAACATCTCAACCACCGACCTTCCTCCTCCCTTTCCGCGCAAAGCTGCATCAAGCCACGAGACAGCAAGCGACAGGCTCTCAAGTCGAATTCAAACCCTTCAGCGAAGGTCTCCCCCCAACACTATTACAGACCACCTCTGAATCTTCTCCGTCCACGACCAGCGACAGCGAGGGAGCACACATCAGCAAAACCTCAACCCAAAGCCTTTCACGACCCCTCGTCCTCTCAAAATCCCTCCAGGAGCTCCTCCCCAAACTTCGCGCCCAGAAACCGCACTACATCACCGCACACATCCATCGCTTCCCATACCTACTGACGGAAGGCGACCTGGTGCGCCTACCCTTCCACATGAAAGACGTGCTGCCAGGAGACATCCTACGCCTCAACCGAGCCAGCATCATCGGCTCGCGAGAATACACGCTCAAGGCGGGCATGAGCAACACAGAGTCCTACGACACCAAGCGCACCGGCGAACCCAACTACCTGGACGAGCGACTGTTCGAGCTCCGCCTCCGCGTCATGGGCCTGGAGACCGGCCCGATGATGGAGACGGAGAAGAAGAAGCGCAGGAATCGACACCGCCGCATCATCCACAGTAAGCATAAATACACCATGCTCCGCGTCATGCAGCTCAAGGTCAAGAGTCTGGAGGAGTTGCGTGCTGAGAAGGGAACTTTGTTGTTGGAGGCGTAGAAGCCGTGTCTAGGGCTCCTGAATATGTGTGTTTATGAAATGCTCTCGCAAGAGCTGTACAATCAGAAATTTACTCATTCGGGGTAATGGGCTCCATTACTCCGTGTCAGAGGTAACTACCAGTACAAATGTGTATATCAATTCTCCAGCAGATTGTACAGGTGGCACAGACATTCTCAGAACGATTTTCGATTGCCGTGCTCCACGACACTTCCCATGCCCCATCGATCTGTCTTTCTCTGCAAATTAGCACCGCTGTGACCTGCTACTCGACATCCAATGTGAAGGGAGATGGTGTATTCGATGGTCAGGTACCTATCTAGACCGGATACAGGGATTTGGCATAAAAGTCGTCGAAGCACCAAGACCTTTAGGCGTCATCTTTCACAAACACAAATTTAGTCACAATTGCAATGCGGCATTTGTTACTCCTGAATAAAAGTATGCTGTACATCCTAGAAACCTGACATTATGAAGGACTGAATAGGAACCCCCCAGCAAACCCTTTTCATCTCATAATCCCTTTTGAACTGTGCTCTGGATATGAATAAGCTTGTTTTGGTGTGAGCTTGTGTCAGGTATGCGCTGTTGCTCTGTTAAATTTTTGCGAGCTCCTCCAAAATACCAACAATGAAGTCAATGGTTCCCACGCCTGCCCGCGCGCCATGATATCATTATTTTACCATGTCGTTCATTCTCCTAATCTCGTGTCGTGTCGTTGCGACTCATGGATGTGAATCGATTTGAGTATCATTCGTTTTCTCATGGTTTCGAGAGGACGAAGGTCCAAACATGTCGGTTTTTACCGCATCTCGAAAGCAGGGAACATCATCCGATCGCGAAGGTTGACGTTGAATTCGAAAATGCCTGTCTCCGTACCGGCATAGCTGGAAACACCAATGTTAGCATCCTTTTTCTCTGAAGTATTCTTACTGAAGTACAGGGAATCGCAGTGCAAACTTGCTCAAGTCACACTTACAGGAACCGACCATCAGGACTGAAGCCGATGCCTGCAGTCCCCAGTCCCCTCTCGTTCATCACATCGACACTACCCATTGCAATATTGTCATTGGAAGTACTGAATCCCGCGTTGTTCGCAGATATTGCCGAGCCACCTGCAAGGAAGCGATGGATTGTTGAATTAGGCAACCAGTTGCCATTGCTGTCGAGTCCTCGATTCCCGGCATTGCTGGAGATGAACATCAAGCGGGCTGTTCGCATGTCTGCATCAGGTACAATGCGAGGGATAGTAGTATTGGGAGTCGCAGGCTCATTCGCCTGTCCAACAACAGCTGCTCGAGCATCTCTTGATACACGCACATAATCATCCATGGTGATTGAAGGACGACGACGTGTTGCTGCCCGTGGAGTGGTTCCAGATGCTCTAGGTGCAGGCTCAGCACTACCACTGAGCCTCCGGGATTGACTCTGATCGACGTAATTTCTACGAGTCCTCGAGCCACTTGTGTCGTCTGTACCGCCCGCACGACGTCTGGAATTGTCAGCTACTTGACCGTCAGAAGTCGCTTGAGCAATGCGTGTATCGGCACGACGGACCTGCTGCCGCAGCTCATCGATTCGAGCGCGTCGCTGGCCTCGACTCGTAGAATAGTCTGCAACAAAGTTGGAGGCAGAGGAGGCCTCTTGGAGCCGCCCAGATCGAACATTCGTGGTTGGTAGCGTGGAGGTCTGAGCAGAAGCAGAGTGGTCGTCTGATGAAACTCCAGTTCTTGGGCTTTCCAGTCGAGATGATTCTACCGTCATAAATCTGACTCGCTCACTTTCGAGTCTACTCACAATTTCGGTGCCAAGTCTTCGTTCTTCCACCAACTCCTGTGTTCTATGCTGGACCTCATGCTCTTCGATAGTCAACTGGCGGTGTAGGGCTGTTTCGAACGAAGAATCTACTGTGGCAGCACGAAGTTGATCGAGCTCGGAAGAGTTCTCGACCAGGAGACGCTCCTGGGATTCGAGCTGTTGGCGAAGAATGGAGGCCAGTCGTCTCTCCTCGGCTAGCTGTTCTTCAAGTTGGTCAGCTAGCCGCCGCTCGTCCTCCAGGGCCACTTCGATGCGTGCCACTTGTGCGAGGTTCGCTCGGTTACCGTCGTCAAGCTCTCTTGCAGATTCTATGGCGGCTTGTATCACGTGCCAAGGATCCGATGGTGGTATACCAGCACCCATATACGACCGGGGTCGGGCGTCGGATCTTGAGCTGGATGCAGTCAAATCATTGGTGGATACGACAGGGGCATCGTCTTCATCGCTCATTCGTCCAGGAGATGCTGAGATTCTGGCCATTCTTCCACCAGATGGACTCAGGTATAGATTGGCGTTGGCAGTGGAAGCGGATAAAACGACTGAAGGTCTTCTCCGAGGAGGGTGATGTCCTGGTCCTGTTGACCTCGTGCTAGAGTTGGACATGTGAGCGGTAAAATCTGCTCTGCCGGAGTCCGATGCAAGCATTGATGATCTCAACCGTGGAGATGGAGTATAGCTGATACTGAAGGGACGTGAACTGGTCTGCTCGACGTTATCCATCGTTGTCTCAAGGGCTTCAACGACTGATCGTTCACGAGCATCCAAATCCAAGCCTTGATGATAAGAGAGTAGATCTTGACGGGAATGACGTTGCCTCATAGAGTCTGCAGGTGAATCTTCCAAGCCGATATCGAGTTCCTGATCTCTACTGGATCTGCGCCGTATCGCGTGAAGCCTGGCAACATGCTGCTGCTTCAATCGTTCCTTTACACCGAGGCTACGGTAAGCCACAGGTGTACCGTCTTCGAGATCCACAATTTGGGCCTTCCGACGATCAAGCTCCAGTATCTGCCGCCTCATAAAATGTCTTCTGACGTCCGCCAACCCTATCCTACCATGATCTTCAGCCCATGCCAATATATCCCACGGTGCGGGTGAGAACGTCATGGCTCTTACACAACCAAGCAGCGATGGTCTGGAGGATCGGAATGTGCATATTATGGACGACTCGGGGTCATGATCGAGCTGCTGCATGTCAAAGACCGATATAGATCCCCCTTGTGCTGAAGCGGCACACAAATGCCCAGTGGGTGAGAATGTGACAGCGAAACTATAGTCATCGTAAACAGCATCGCCGGTTGGGATTGTCGGACAAGCAAGAAGGGCCCAATCGTACTTGACATGTCTTCCAGGTATTTTGCTGTCCGGGTCAGAGATCTCAGCCACACGACGTTGATAGAAGTATACCATGTCGGAATCTCCGACTGCGGCAAGGATTGTAGAATCGGGAGACATGGCCGAAAAGTTCATTGGAACAGGATGGGGTAATGTGGTAAGAATTTGACGTTGGGCCAAGGAGTAAATCTTGACAGTCCTGTCATTGTTGGAGATCAGTACAACGGGTTCGTCTGGATTCTGATCCCCGCCCAAAATATTATGTATGTTCATAGAGTTCACGATTTCTCCCCCCAGTGAGTCCACCACGAGGTCATGGCCGAAGCATTTAGGATGCCCGTGTTCATCCTTCTCGATCTTAACAAAGGCGCAATCTCCATTGATTTCTCCACCGACACCCACCCACCCAAGGTCGGCTGCCAGACATCTTGCTTCGAAGGGAACTGTGGCTAGAAGGGAATTCTGCCGAGTCTGAAAGTCCAGGACGCAGATGTCATAGTGGGACACGTAGTATATAAAGTCTCCCTCCTGCGTGCTTATGTGGTGTCTCAATTGATGGTGCGAGACTGGGATCTTGGCAGGGTAGAATTTATGATGAGTGGCGAGTCCTTGGGTAGGAGTGAAGGAGATTTCGTGATCGGTTTTGGTCATGTCGGGGAGAGGTGAGGGTTTAACGATGGAGGCACATGTCCCACTTCAAGGTGAGGCGGTTCGGAGTGTCGGGGATGGAGATCCCACAGCAGAGGCGTGGCCAGGGAAGGTCATCAGCCAGTAGTAGCAGGTTGGAAGGGTGCTCTGAAGATGATTGTTGTTGTCGAACAATGGCTATCAGTTAGGTACTTGAGCAGCAAAGCCGAGTCAGTGGTCCGCGGGATCTGGGTGCTGGTGCTTGACGTCAATTGGGTGTGCAAGCCACAGCAGTGAGGCTGTTGTTGGCTGCTCGTATCGATGTTCAATGGGGTCAGTGTCCGGCTGAATTATTACCAGTGCTGATTGAAAAGACAAATGTCATGGTGCCCGCTTGGCACCATCTGCATTCTGTGTTGGTGAAATTCGGGAGTCATGACTTTTGCCGAGTAAATTCCTCTAGGATGGAATCTTGCAGAAATTCATAGGCTCGGCGGAGAGCGCTAAGGGTTGCTAGTGCCCGGTAACAGCCTCGGACAAGCTTCCTATTTCTCCCTTTTCCCTTTTCAATTCCATCTTCGGCAGGCGATCGACTGAGGATTTTTCTCTCGACGTATACATTTGCATCCTGAGCTCATCCTGAGTCTTTCACTCTTCACACCATCACCCTCTATCAACCTCTGCGCCTCGTTGCAGTTCCTTTAATCTCCATCTACTTCTTCTTGCTTTGTATTTGTTGTATCATCACTACTTTCCAATCATGATTGCCTCACGGTTATCCAGAGCTGTAAGTCACCACTGTTTTTATTCTCCGATTCCATTCTCATCATAATGCATCTTCTAATCATGAACAGCTTCCACGCTCATCTCCCATCTCCCGCATCTCTCAGATTCGAGCTCCTCGCTCTTCAATAATCTCAAGATATGCCTCCACCGACGCGCCCGAAAGCACCGAAAAGGTCAAGGGCCAGGTCATCGGTATTGACTTGGGAACAACAAACTCGGCTGTTGCCATCATGGAAGGCAAGACGCCCCGTATAATAGAGAACTCCGAGGGTACTCGCACAACACCTTCAGTCGTTGCCTTCACCGAGGGTGGCGAACGTCTGGTCGGTGTGTCCGCCAAGCGTCAAGCTGTCGTCAATCCTGAAAATACACTCTTTGCAACCAAACGTCTGATCGGTCGCAAGTTTTCCGACCCTGAATGCCAAAGAGATATCAAGGAAGTCCCATACAAGATCGTACAACACACAAATGGCGACGCCTGGCTAGAAGCCCGTGGCCAGAAATACTCACCATCTCAGATTGGTGGTATGGTTCTGCAGAAGATGAAGGAAACTGCTGAGGCCTATCTCGGCAAGCCTGTCAAGAATGGTGTCGTTACTGTCCCTGCCTACTTCAACGATATGCAGCGACAAGCCACCAAAGACGCTGGTCAAATTGCTGGCCTAAACGTCCTCCGTGTTGTCAACGAGCCTACCGCAGCTGCGCTTGCCTATGGTCTGGAGAAGGAAGCCGATCGTATCATCGCTGTCTATGATCTTGGTGGTGGTACTTTCGATATTTCCATCCTTGAAATCCAAAAGGGTGTCTTCGAGGTCAAGTCTACCAACGGTGATACTCACTTGGGTGGTGAAGATTTCGATATCACTCTTGTCCGACATCTTGTTCAGCAATTCAAGAAGGAGTCTGGTATCGATCTGTCCAACGACCGCATGGCCATCCAACGTATCCGTGAAGCTGCTGAGAAGGCAAAGATTGAGTTGTCTTCCTCGCTGCAGACCGATATCAACCTGCCCTTCATCACTGCTGACGCCTCTGGTCCTAAACACATCAACTCCAAGATGACACGTGCTCAGCTCGAAACTCTTGTTGATCCTTTGATCACCAGAACTATTGATCCTGTTCGAAAGGCTCTCAAGGATGCAAACCTCCAAGCCAAGGAAATTCAAGAAGTCATCCTCGTCGGTGGTATGACCCGTATGCCCAAGGTTACCGATTCTGTCAAGAACATCTTCGGCCGTGAGCCTGCCAAGGCTGTCAATCCCGATGAGGCTGTCGCCATTGGTGCTGCCATTCAGGGTGCCGTTCTTGCTGGTGAAGTTATGGACGTTTTACTCCTCGATGTTACTCCTCTGTCCCTAGGTATTGAGACCCTCGGTGGTGTTTTCACTCGATTGATCAACCGAAACACTACTATCCCCACCAAGAAATCACAAATTTTCTCCACTGCTGCCGATTTCCAGACTGCTGTCGAGATCAAGGTCTACCAGGGTGAGCGTGAACTTGTTCGCGACAACAAGCTGCTCGGAAACTTCCAGCTGGTTGGAATTCCCCCTGCTCACCGTGGCGTTCCTCAAGTCGAGGTTACCTTCGACATTGATGCTGATTCCATCGTGCATGTTCATGCCAAGGACAAGTCAACCAACAAGGATCAATCCATCACCATTGCTTCAGGATCCGGTCTATCTGACAACGAGATTCAGAACATGGTCGACGATGCTGAGAAATATGGTGCTCAAGATAAGGAACGCAAGGCTGCTATTGAAGCTGCCAACCGTGCCGACAGTGTTCTCAATGATACTGAGAAGGCTCTCAAGGAGTTCGAAGACAAGCTTGACAAGACTGAAGCTGACAACATCAAGGAGAAGATTGCCACTCTCCGCGAATATGTTGCCAAGAACCAATCTGGCGAAGGTACCGCCACGGCGGAAGAGCTCAAGGCCAAGATTGATGAGCTACAGTCCAGTGCTCTGACCCTTTTCGATAAGATGCACAAGGCTCGAGAGGAATCCTCACAGTCACCTCCTCCCGGCGGTGATGCCGGTGCCCAACAGGGTGGTGAGCAGAAGCCTTGAGGCTGCAACAAGACAGGCGGTGTGAAGAAGAGCACCATTGTATTTTAATGATATCCCACCTGTACTCGACTTATTTTCTTTCATCGTCTTGCATCTCCTCCGGTATGGCCGATCAGACATGCAACGTCAATGTATATGCGGCGCTCACCACGGCACGAATTTTTCAACGTCACTATAGGTGCCTGCTGAATCACGAAGGTCGAATGAGATACCTCCTGAGATCTCATTTCATCGCCATCATGTCTTTCACATGAAGGGTCGATGTGCAATGTCCTCGTTGGCTAGGAGTACAAGCTCAAAACCATGAATCGAAAATCAACTTCACCACGAACATATTTCCTTTCTCCTCCTTCTTACCTTGTCCTTGTTATTATGTTTACATGTCGGGCGATACTTAATGGGAAGTGCCAGGGATTTGCACTCGTCGGACTACCTTGAAATCAAAAGTTTGGTGTTGACATGGGGTTCAGGGGGCGGGTGATGGGCGATAGGTGTAACTCAGGCCCAGTCAGTCTTTCGTGGACAAAGACCCTGGGGGAGCTATGTAATTACCATGAAAAGGGACGGATATAGCGGTCCTTCTTGTCTTCCACGGATATGGGAAAGGTACGATGAGGAATATCTCTCCTCTCAGGTCAGAGAAGGTGTCTTGTGTTTATACTACTGCTACCCACCGACACATTCTCGATCGAAGAAAGAGCTAGCTAGCGAAAACCCCACAACAAAGAATCAATCTCCTCTCTTCAAAACAAAGATCCTTGACTCCTTTTCATTCATGTGCTAGACTGCTTTGCTCTGGTTAGTTTCAGCCTAACTTAGGCAGCCTCGCAGAACACGTCAAGCCACACTCACTCGGTGCCCTGGATGCACATCTACAGTCCATCGCATCGCCACCCCCCGCCCGTCCCAGAATGGCATGTCCAGTACGGATACCTAATGTCAGGTATGTATCATCAAGGCTGATTCCAAGACCGGTGTCCCACAGCTCGTTTCCTTCAATACCGGAGGCGTCATGCCCATACATACTTAGGACATAGTCATACATACCACTTGATACCTTGATACCCTGGGTACCTTGAAGGAAATCCGGTACGTTCAAGTCCACAGAAACGCACTATATATATATACTCGTACACGATTCGAGAGCAAAGGGTGCGTGCCCACTGCCCACCCGAACTTCAAGGCTCCTACTCCTACTCACTACTGTCTCAGGAAACGTCGATCAAACGGCCGGATTCAAAGAAAAACCATGGGCAGAGGGCCAGTGGCCAACAACGACTTTGCATCGTATCGCAACACATCGCAACACATCCGCTGGCTGACGGGTTTGGCGATCAGATGGGATTGATGCTTGCAGGTACTCGTACTTGGGGTTACTTAATTTAGCAGACTCTTGTGATCGCTGGGGGTGCCGGCGGCGGTGGTGGAACAACGCGGTGGTTGTGCGCGGTGATCCAACGGTCAAAAAGGTCGGATTCGAAGGTCATGTGTCGGTTGGCATGGATAGAGTAATCAGTATTCTATTTAAACTTATTTTTCAAGGGGCGTTCTCTACGGAGTACGGGAGGACGCGTGCTGCCTAAGCCAGGGGGTGTTGGCCGTGATGGAATAATATGATATGCTCGATGGAGTATTCAAGGCTACGGCTGGCGAAGGGGGGAATTAAAGGGGTGGGAAATGCGAATACGCCGCATGCAAGGCCCTTTGGCCCCCGTGCATGACTTTCTCATTGGCTGCGGTGGGTTCGGTGGTCTTGTCTCGGAACTAGCAAGTGCGCAGATTCATAGTCATCAAGATAATTAAAACCCATGTTTGATGGTGCGGGTTGAAGCTGCGAATGTGGATTGTGGTGCTGTGTTTCTAAAACAGATGATACGATGGACCTGCCTTACAAGTTTCAAATATCTTGGGTATCGTATCTTATGATTCTGCAAACAGCATCAAGATGCTTGATTTGGACAATGATGTGAGAACAAGGAGTGCACTTGCCTGATGAGGTCCATGCTATACTGCTGTAGAAAGGGCGGAAATTTGAGCGTGAGTTTCACGTTGATCGCATCGGCATCCGATCTCGTACTTTAGCCTTAGGCGCACCGTTTCTTCGTCGCTCCATAAAACCCCTTTCGTAATTTGATAGTAGTTAATCCTTGCGAGGTGCGAGTCGCAATGTGTGAAACACGACGTCGCAAGCTCGCAACTCGGCATTCCGGGGTCAGCAGCCCCTGATAATGCTATGACAGATATGGTAAGATATTCGAGTTCGCTATAGTCTGAGCACTTAGCCCTTTTGGGCATCTCGATACCTGGGTACTTTCGAACAGAGCCTCAGGGTCTGAAAGCCTTTCGGTCGCCTTTCGATAGTATTCAGACACAATCAGTAGGTAGATGACAAAAGCTATTCATGAACAGCTTGATGCGTTGGGGGTAACGCATTCCTTGTTGTTCCGACTCGTTGCAAATATCTACCCGGTGCTTACTGAGAGCGTTGTGGATCGTTACATTCCCCGTGCAGCTTACCAGTGGCTGACCGTATATCCGGCTAGCCCGGTGCATGATGGCATGCTTGTATACCAGATGTGGGAGGAGTTGTGCACAAGTCTCTGATATGAAGTGCGTGTAACTTGACCTGATTGAGGTGAAAATTTTCGCAGCTTGAAACATCAAGTTGGGGTCTTCTGATCTCAAGATTTGTCGATACCGATCTTGAGTGTGATCCAAAGGACAGACCACGGACGAGTACAAGGGGTCGAACTTGGGTATGAGTATGGCTTAGAGCCATGGATTGGCCTAACATTACAGTAGGATTGGTATATCCATTTAGGTCGTCTCTCGGCCAATGGGCTTTTGACTTTGCCTGCTCTCAACGTCTCACCCTCGGCATGGCCGACGTAGGATCGTTTGAAGAGATACAAGATTGGTCCATCCGGTTGTTTTGTTTTCCGAGATGACTGGATAATGCACAAGTAGTGCTACTGTAGTCTGTAAGAGGTAATTGGGGGTGCATCTGGATGCAGATGATCGATGTTTATAGTCAACTGATCTATCCACAAGGCACAATGAGATCGCACTCCGGAGGGTGGGTCGACTTCTGGAAGGGCTTCATGGAGTAAGCAAATAATCATAAGGGAACTAGGTGGGGGTTGCCAATGGTCTGAAGGATATCTCGGATGATACATATCTCATGCATACCGTAGGCTGCATGTTGATCCTCTCGTTTTGGTACTATTGATTTCTAGCAGAATCAAATGAGGATATCACCGAATGAACCATTTTGAAAGACTGATATATAGAAGCTGCCACTCCAGTCGCAAATGCCGCGCAAGATGAACAGTGTATTCGGTAGCTCAATAGGTGGTCAAAGCGACTGCCGAATACGGCTCAGACTCTCTAAGTACCGAGTAAGCTAGGCGTCCTTAGTCGATATAGCCTTGGACTAATGGAAATTATTTACGAAACACACTTTGCGACGAGATGGCGATGTTTTTCGTAACAGCTTCAAGTATGGGAATACCAGTGGACGCGGTGTGACGAATCAAGGGTCCGGTGGCATTCGGATGACATTAATCAACAGTCACACCAAGATGCCTGGTACAGAGTATGACAATAACAATGTGCAGCCCGTGTAAGGTTGCATTTGCTTGGCTCTTGCTCAACTAGCATGATCTAGTTCACTCGATTCGGCCAATTATTCCCCCAAATGTGGGCTATAATGATCGAGGGTGGTCGCCAGCTGCAGCCCCTGCGTATATCCTTGTCGATGAAGTTAGATCAGCAGTCACGATTACTGTTCTTATAAAGCGGACGGCATCGGTTGGAAGTTTGAGTTGGTGTTGGCGAAACATCCGAATGCGACGTATTATCGCGAAGATTACGATAGGATGCGCAGGATCGAGAGAGGATGATTGTTTTCTTTTTCTGGTCGGAGGAACTCTTTTCTGTTGATCTTTTGATCGGTGGTACTCTGTGCACTAGTCGTGTACTCCGTACCTCGTACAGGGTGCCACAAAAGGAGGCTGACACCATCTGAGCGGTAAGTACGGATATCGGAGAGGAAGTACAGATACTCCGTGTATCGTGCTCGCTATAAACTACTCGTACTAGGTACTTCTGGGTGCCTTTGCCCCTCTGTGGAGACAGATAATGCAACACCGTGTCAGGATGAGAAAAAGTTGAGCATCATAGATTGGGGATGATTATTGGTAGCAACGGTTGACCATGATCAGTTTCGGGGCCGAATCAAATGGTTTTATATCACTTGCGTAAACCATAGATACGTGGCATTTATTCGGTTGACGTAAAATAAGCGAGTCCTGCCTACTTGGTACCCAGGTAGACATGTCTCGTGTTGTCTGCATCCTTGTGGCTGAACTAGAGAAGCAACCGATGAGCACCAGTGGTATTCCGTAGGGGAAAGTGTTGGCATATGGACACAAGAGTCAATGAGTGCTGCTAGATAACGGAACGAAATTAGTCCATGTGTCATCCGAAACCCGAGATGGAATAGTGTGCCGCTCAGTTTCAGCGTATGTTACAGAGGCGACCAGAGGGAACGAGTGACTGCCTCATAGAGCAAAGCCCAGAGGCAAAACTCCGTAATCAATAGGTGAAAGGGATGCGACTGGATGCTGGTGGCTTGTGGAGTAGAATGCCACGCCAATCAGTCGACTTGGTCGGAGAATGGCCTTGCTATTCGGACGCAAGAGAGATTTAATGGAGACGAATGGCATATCTTTGCCACACCAATGAAGGTGAATGGAAGAATGTGTATCTGTTAGTTGGGTGGGCAGGGTCGGAAGCATTGTGTAATCGTCACGTCAAAGAAAGTTGCATTACCCTTTACGGTGCTAGCTGGGGGCCAAGGGACAGGGAAAAACTAAGTCTGCCCATCGCGTGGAAGACAGGGGTGGGATGAAATAGCTTGATCGTGGATCTGAGAAAAAGGGCTGTGGAATGCGAGCTTGCGGGATAAAAGAGTGGATGAGAGTCAAGGTGCGTGTTTGTGGGAAATTGTGTTTGTCAAGGAAAAGGCTAAAGCTTGGGGTAGATAGGCAGGACCGAGGCAATACGAGTCGGCATGAGCATGGGCATGGGCATGGGCATGGGGCATGAGCATGAGAAGTTTTTGGGATCTGGAGAGGACTCGGTATACGGATAAGGTGTGTCGTCCAGTATCTCCTCTAAAAGGGTGAGGGGACCAGCGGACCGGCAGAGCCTAGACATCTGGGCGCTAGGCATGAGACAACCGTACCGAGTACTCGTACTCTGTACGGTATCTTGAAGTGTTAAGACTCATTGATCAAGAGGAGGACCGAAGCATGATAAAATAAAGTGGAGCGACGGACAAGTTATGCTTGCTAGCGTGAGAGGATACCTCGTACCAAGCATCAACAAGCGAGAAGTGACAGACTAGAATGCACCAAAGGGCGAAAAACCAGACGATCAAAGAGCATAACTCAGGCCATTGCCCATCACGAGACCCATGTCAGCCTACTCAGTGGTAGTCTAACACAGGCTAGCCGGAGCGGCCCCGCGTTAAGAGAGCTGAGGGAGAAATCAAGGGTGGAGCGAGTTATCTCTCGGTAGAAAGTCAGATCTAGGACGAGTACGCCGTAGAGGAGGAGGGAAGATACGGACGCATGCACCAGGTCTTACCCGTGGGTTTGGGCATGGACTTGGTGCTGGGTTGGGGTTCATCCAGTCTGTTATTCCGTACTCGGTATATTAGAGGCACCCGGAGGAATTGGATGGAGAGTCGACGTCGGCAAGATCTAGTCATGGGCATGGCATGGTCTCACGGTTTCAAGCCTGGACGTGAACTTGAAGAGGTCTAGTTTAGTCCACGGGCAAATCAATCTGAAGTTGCCACGCACTCCGAGTCTATTCTTTGACTTTCTCTCTACGAGTCCTATGCTCCATTATCTAATTTTGAGTTCAACTCCTGACGGTGACGCACACCTATGATTGTACGCGGCAGTTCAAGTTGTATTCGTGGCTTTCCAGGTCCTTGCCAGGTTTGAGAGAGCACTGCCAGTGACCGCACTCACCGTCCACCATCACATATCCATTTCGTCATCTCAGCCTGAAACACCGCAACAAGGGGTCTGAGGAGTATTTTATACATGAATCAAGCCTAATCTCCATCCTTGGTGGGAACCCACCCTTCGACCTTCCATTTATGGGTACTGCTCCTGGGTGCTGCGTGTCACAGAGGGAAGTGCCATTATGCCATATAGAGGCACTTTATGCAGGTCATATACCGAGTCGCTGCAGTGCATTAGCATTAGCGAAGGGGGTTCGTCTTCGTTCACTTGGTACTGCAGCTTCAGAGTCATTTAAGTCGTCGTACGTGGCATTGGCATGGGAATGCATTCAATGCAGTGCCCGAGATTGACTGCCTCCCTGCTTCTAGTCCTGGTATTGAATATTGATACCAACCATACCTAGAACCCAGAACCTAGACCCTAGGCCCTGAGCTGAGGTCTCGGCTATGGTTAACCCCCGGCGGCGACTGCACATCTCTGCCTTCCTTCACTATTCAAACGCTAAATAGCGATCATCATTGGGTTCGTTCTATTGCTCGCATTGGCCCTCGACCGGGTTATCACCATTGGTTGCTGCAGCCTCCCCCATCGGCTCGTCCAAGAGTGCCACAATCAAGCGAGCTCCCGTGGCACTCTTTCTATTTGACCGTTTGGCTTTTGAAGCTGATTTTTCAATTCACTGCACTGCCAGTCCAGTGCCACTGGCACATCTCTGATCTCTCATCTCTCAGGCTCAGGCTTCGGCTTGACAAGGCAGTCGCTTCCCTCCAGCAAATTTGACTTTGACTTTTCCTCTTTCATCTAGAGTGTATCCGTACCCATTACACACATTCATAACCCTATCGACCACTGGCTTGTGGCTTTTCGGGTCTATTATTCTCTCCCTTTTGCCTTTCGACTTTGTCAACACCAACTCCAACCTGAACCAACGCCTTCCTTCTCCCTCCCTCTTTCTCCTTCCGTCCTCCGTCCTCCCTCCCTCCTAGATATTCCTGTCCTTGATACTCCGGTATCCTTGGTCCTGCCTCCTCTACCAGCAACCATTCTCTATCTTCGACCACCACCACACCTGCACGCGCTCCAGGCGCCACGCCTTATAATTCAAGGGAGTCACTGCGATGTACTCCCGGAATGAAGCCCTCCGCAAGGAGCTGACGAGTCTGGATGTAAGTTTCTCTCTCTTTTCTTTCACCATCATGATCATGAAATTGCTTTTTCCTGCCGGTCCATAACTACGACTACCACTACGACTCATGCATGACCACCTTCAAAAAAGCCAATCATGCAGCAAGCTCGTCAACACCAAAATTCAACCAACCTCCCATGGCCACCAGCTCCCACAATACATCGGAGTCCGCAGTATGTTGGAAAACAGGCTCGGAGCGGGCATACTGATCGCAATACCCTCGTCCTGTACGGATAAACCCTGGCCAGAATCCATCTTCGCTTGACCGCGTGTTGGGCTCATGCAGTGGCTTCGATCTTAGGCTCTCTTGGGCTCTGTCTGGGTTTCTTCGGGTCGACCTAATCCAAGACTTGGAATTGCATCCCGGTCTACCAGTGGGCGCACTGATGCACTGTGCATCCACTATTGGCGACCTTTCTCTTTACTTATCTTGGCGCCACCCTATTCTCTCGGGGCCTCCACGAGTCACGCCCCGGGCACCCAAACCAACAAACCCTACCTACCACTTTTTTACCAATAGCGGCCATCTCATCACCACTTGTCTATCCCCATACGAAGAAACCACTATTCACCCAACCTGAACATGTCGACCTTACCCCTTTGGTCCCTTCCGATTATCTACCAAGCGGACCTCGGCCGCCTCTTGGTCACAAGCTCTCAATTTGATTATCGCCATCACTCCTTCGCCATCCTCCCACTGCATTGCGCCACAACTTCGGCTGCTTACCTCACATCTGATGTCTATCTTCGGACCACACCTGACCACCCTGGTCTACACTTTCCCTTGGTCCCCACTAGCCACCAATAATTCTCGGCCCCCTTTTCCCATCTGTACACAATACTCGTATCACTTACCCCCTTGGTCTACCTCAATCAGGCTCGAATTCGTTTTTGTTTCATCATGAGCTCACCACTAACCATCCCTTGCTAGCGGCCTCGGTCAACATGGCAGACTCCCTTCACAACACCTATACGTGCATTTCCACCACCAGCAAACCGCAGCCCAATCATAAATCGTGACTCGACTCGAGACTCAAATCGAGACCCTATGGACCCCGAGTCCTCTGATAGCGATGTCTCTGTTGGAGGTGGAGATGAGTATAGGTTTGCAAGTCCATTGACAGCTCCCGTACCATTGCCACCTCCACCATCAAAGCATGCTCTGGAATCTTCCGACGCTGTTTCCGCTCGTCTGGATGAATTACTTCGAGTCGAGGAACATAACATCAAAAAGTATGATCTCCTCAAAGCAAAACGAAATCGAAAGGACGAGAAAATCCGACGAAAACGTGAAATCCAAGACAAGAAAATTGCCGCCATCACCGAGGCACGGCGACGCCGCGACGCTAGAATCGAGGCTCGTCGTAAACGTGAGGATGCTGCTTTCACTCAGTTCGATCATGAGCTTGAGGATGAAGAAAGCGTAAGTAGAAACCTATCCTCCAACCGTTGTTTGTGACAAGGCACCACTGACCAGCCATAGAACCTTCGCCGTCGACTGAAGCGACTGAAACGTGGGCTACCACCCGATGAGTCACCTCAACCCGGAGCTGCTCGCATTGCATCTGCATCAATGTCACCTCCAGGTCAAGGGCTCTCCACGATACCTCCACCACCCAAGCGACATCAAGTTGGACCTCCAGGTCAACCAGATGCAGTCAATCCAGCACACTCACGCCCGGCCGAACAACGGACCGTGCCACCTGTCACAACCAGCGAACCTCAGTCTTATTCATTCTATCGCAACATGAACTCTTCATACAACAGTAGGCCTTATCACTCAGCGTCCTACTCCACCACGTCTAGTTCCACCACGCCAGCTACAACCGCCAATGGACCGAATCACTCTACCCAACCAGCGGCTGATCGGTCGTCTCTCAATCCTCTTGGACATCCTGGTTCCCCTCATTCCAGACCTCCATCAAGCTCTCATTCTCCTGCCACTTCAACTTCCATTGCAAATCCTCCTCCACGTGTGATCTCATCGAGTTATGACACCAGACCGCCTCCAGCTACGACCTCATCTGGTTTTGCTTCCATCAACGCACCAACAAATACGGGTTTTGCTTCAATCAATCCTCGCACAGCTGCCACACCCCCAACAGCTCATGCCGGTCCGACCAGACCTTTACAGGATTTAGATCACAAGACCCCAAGTCAGCCTATCGGAAGCAACGGTATTGATAGCACGCGATTCCACTCTTATACTAATACACCCTCAACGACCCCGACACTCGCTGCAAATACCGCAAGCAAGCGGACCCCGTCTACTACTCATCCATATCAGATGTCGGAAGCGTTTGCCAATAGGCATCATCACTGTGAGCGTGTTGACGCAATCAATCGTGGCATTTGGACTTCATATGGCGTTGGAGGCACGCAAGAGCATCCTGTTGGCCCGGCCACAGAGATGTATCTCCGTTGCAACCATGATGGCTGTTCTCGAATTGATTGGCGCACCGTTCACGGCCTACAATGCCATATCGTAAAGAATCACGAACAACCCAAAGGAACTATCGGTAGTCTCGATAAAGCTTTGGAAAAATATGGTGTCCCCGTGAAGGAGGTCGAGGATTACGAGCGTGAGCATGGAAGAGGCTCTGCAGGTACGGTAGCCGATCCAAAGAACCACAAAATCAAGGTCAAAACAAAGGAAGCTTTGAATGCTAGCCCATACGGCCGTACCGGGACTCCAGGCCCATATGGAGTTGACCCTCAAGCAAGACCTGCAGGTTATAGACCAAGTCCAACACCGACGAGCGACAGTCCTACCTTGTCTGATGAAATCAAACGCAGCCCTGTGACCGGATTTACCAATGGAGCCTCGAAGGACGTCTCAAAGGCTGATAACTCTATCCGGGCCAATCCATCCGCAATACCGCCCAAAGTTCCATCAAATGCGAGCCCAATTTCTTCTGCTCCTGTAGCACAAATGCGATCTGACTACCGGACAGACTGGATGGGTCGCCCTCTCCAGATGCAGACGCCTTCGAGACTCGATCCAGAACAGAAGAAACTCCAAGGCGACTTTGGTGCATCGAGCTCATCATCTCCTGCCCAAAACAAAGCTCCAATTCTTGCTCGGCCCGCAGTCTCTGGTGGACCGGTCCAATCCAATCACGCTCCTCAAGCTAGTGCACCAACCACTGCAACAGCACCTACAGCATCCGCTGGACCACAGCCACCAAAATCGCCCTCCGCAGAAGTGAAGCCTGCAGCACCATCCGTGCCAGCCCTTAGTGCCGCGACCCCTACATTGCCCGTAGCTGTAGCCCCAAATGCCACCGGCGAGGCAACGTCGGTTCAACTAAAGAATGAGCAAGATGATGCAGGTACCACCAAGAACGTTGCTCCTCAGGCACAGGGATCAGACACAGACATTCAAATGACTGGGACAGAGCAACCCGAGGTCGGCAAGCAATCTTCTCCAGTAGGCACAGCAAAGGAGAACGGAAATTCTGAGCAGACCCCTATGAAACAGGCTCCTCAAAGCCCGGATGACAATAGCGAAGATCAATCAGAGACCATTGTTGTTGATGGCGATACCGGCAAAGCAATTAATGACATTTCTGGAGCCCGGAAATCCAATCTTCAGTCGCCAACAATTACGGCAAAGACCCTTACCGCCACTACTCCTGGTAGTGCAAGACGCCCAAGTCGACGCCTTAGTACGGCCCGAACATCAGTTGATACTGACGGAGACTCATCCTATACCAAGGAAAATCGAAGCGCTACAAACACGAATGGAGATATGGATGACAAAGACGAAAAGGACAGCAAAGATGAGAGAGAGAAAACCCCTCAACGACGGTTTGCGAGTGGTCGCGTTTTAAGACGTGGTAGAGTTTGAGTGTGAAGCACCAACAAGAGACTTCGAGCCAGACAATGACACGAAAAACCAGCAGATTCACGATAGCATGGATGCGACATAATACGTGGAGGATTTTAATTGGGAGCATACCTTTTTGGTGCCTGTATGAATATAGCTATCAGGCTTGGGAGCAATATACATTGTGGATTTGTGATGGTGGGACAGGGTTGAATCTGCATGGTAAACGGCTTGATTGGGGTGGCGTTTCAGGAGGTTTTGACATCGGATCGTCTTTGGCAGGGCCCACAAGAGCCAGTGCCAGTACTTCTTTAATGATGACCATATGTGTATCATTGCGCGTGCTTATCCAACCAGCATCACATGACACCACATCCAAGACCTTCTATTCTGTTTGGTATATATGAGCTTAAAGGGGCTGTTCGGCCACAGCGACAACAACGACAACAACAGACTGTGTGCGATGAGGACTCAAGAGCTTGCTTGCTTGCTTGCTTGCTTGTGAGCACGCTACGAGATAGATACCTTAGGCAGTTCGATATATTCCTCAGTATCATCATTCACAAGTCCACCCGAGCATTAGTTCAATCTATTCCGTTCCATTAATTCATTCAAACTCCATTCTTAACTATTTACTGTGGTGTACCTGAGTTCCATATCCTGGGTCCTGTGGACTCCGCCCCGATGCATGCTCTATGTATACTCCTTGAGGCAGGCACGGTGTGGTTTCCATGGGTGGAGATGTGCGTTGTATTTTCGTATGTATGTATGTATTTGATATGAAGATATACGTGGGGCTTTTGAATGCGTTACTTTTTGTCACCTGTGGCAACATATGGTCAGTCAGTCAGTCGGGTGGAGTCGTATAGAGGGTAGGGTAGATATCGTTGTCAAAATGCGAGGTCGCACACAATAAATTGATTTCTCTCTTCGATTGATTGCTGCTTCCCCACATCCGGCCTTGTTTGTAGGCCGAGTAAGTACTTTGCGCCAAACGGCGATTGTTCATCATCCGAACGGATTTACCTAGGTACTTACATAAGAATAGCCTCAGCTGTCTGTCGAACTACTAGCTCGAGTGTAATCTACCTGCAGTGCTGGGGGTTTTTGTTCATGGTCGAGCGGTTATGCCGGCGGAATTAGCGGCAGTTTGGCTTCGTGGTCAATACACGCCATATTCTAAGATAGATTGCAAGGAACTCGGCGCAGGGAGAGGATGGGAAGTTCTGAGAATGAATGGTATTTCTTTCAGCTTTTTGTTCGTCATGACTAAGTACAAGGATGCGAGCAGTGTTGAAAGTTTGGAAATTTCTCCTTCAGCTAACTAATTTAGTTAGCCAGCCTTGTTTGGCCAGCCCCTATTTCTCGGTGATTGTGTGACCCTGTCCTGGAAACTCGTGGCCTCTGTCCATGAACTGCCTTCAAGGTTTGGTTCTAGAAATAACCTTCAGGATAACTTCACGCCCAAATGAGACAGGTTCGCTGCTGCTTGACACTGACAGCGGTTTTCCGACCCCAAAGTTTCAAGCCGCATTACAGATTGTGCAGACGACGAGCGCCAATTCTATAAACTTCTGGTGAAAATCAATCCACGTCGCGCAAATAACCGCTACGAATCCAATCATACGGTCTGCATCTGCTCAAAAAAGAATCTGGGCCAATTGTTCCCCAGTCTGGGAGCGTTTGCCAAAAATCTTCACTTTCCAGCGATCGCACCGTTTTGTCAGAGTCAACTCGTCTGATAATGTACAGTGGAAGGTCATTCTGTTGCTGCAATTGTGAGATGTACACCAAGTCAATGTCCACCTCCAAACACTGACGTTGCATTTCCCAGATGTCTGTTAACGGCGTTGATGGCTTCGCTGCCGCATAGCAAGCAAGTTCCGCAGTACACTTGCAAAGTGGCTGGTACTTTGGCTGTGCTTCTTCAATGACAAATGACTTCAGGTCAGGAAGATTGGCTCTGAAGTTGACAAAAGATTGAACGATCTTTTGACAGTATTTCTCGTCCCGATCCAACTGCTCTCGGGTAACCACCAGGTGCAGAACTTCAAGCTTTGGCGGCATACACTCCGCAAGGCGTTCACAGTAGAGTTCGGTGTCATGTGCATAAGGGGTTAGCATTTGGAGCTGACGGCACACCCGAGTTCCCAAGACCATCGTTGCGCCAATTTTCAACTGCTTCAAGCTTTGGAAGTGCTGCAGCGACTTGATGCGCGATCGATCAATCAACACTGGGATATCAACGACGTTCTGCCGGGCATCACACCATTGATCCAAGTCTCTCAGCACTAGAACTTCAAGGGAGTGCGCAACGGTATTGAGGATATTGCCAAGATTGAGGCTGTCCGGGTTTGGAAAAACTATTACATATTCTTGCCTGCCCGTTGCACCTTGGGTCTCGGTGGACTCACATATGACCGAATCTCGCAACAACTTTAGAGACTTTGGATGTTTCGAGCCCTCAAGTAGAAACCGCAGATATTCAACCCCGTTCCATGGTGTCGTCAGCGTGATATGAGACACGTTAGAACAATACCCCTCCTCGGGAGGGCCGTCGTCCATTCGTCCGGCATTTCGAATGGTTATTTCTTTGAGCTTCGGCAGATTCATTAGGCCACCGATAGCATCAACAGGGGCGTACCCTTTCATCCGAATAATTGCCGACTCAAGTTGCGGCAAACAGATCTTCCAGAGGAGAATGGAAGCCCAGAGATAGTCAACATCCAATATTTTCAAGTTGTGAAGGCGTTCGACGACCTTAGTAGGGTCAATGCGGTCAGGTCCAAAACACTTACTCTCAAAACTTTCCTCAAGGCTAACATCCCAGCTCCCGCGGTCATCAGAATCCAAGCGTAAGTCAGTGACGAAGTGCGCAAGGTCTTCACGCGTAGCGAGAGTCTCAAATAACTTGCGTGTTGCATCCTCACTCTTGTGTTCAGGATTTCCGGATTCGCCTGAAAGTCGCGAGATGAAGTTGCCGTTGACCCAGTCGTAGTCATCTTCATTAGGAGCTGACATCTTGAAATCAATTTGTCGATATAGCCTCGGGACAAGAATAGTACTGAAAAGCTTGCAGACAAGGATGGCACTCGCAATATCTGATCTTGACAGGTATTTTGTCGAAAGGATCTTGTCTATGACTTCCGTTGGAAGATCAAGGAATTGCGCCATGGTTGCAGGTCAGATTGTGTACACAATCGGGGGTTGATTGATGATAGGTGGTGAAACTGATCGATGCGTCGGTCAGTGCCTTTCCATGATGGCGTTGACTGGTCTACTCATTTGATTGACAAATCGTCGAAGAATTTGACGAGCCGGGTATCGCGTCTCGGAGTGAGGAATTAATCGAAGTGGTCTCTCTCCCAGACTCATTTACTGGAGGACGCTTTCCCAAGGAGAAATTCCAGGCGGAAAACGCCAACCGAGAACGTGAGGAGGTAACCAAGTTAATGAGGGAGGATTGTGTATCAAGTGGAGGATAAGGAATGGTGAAAGAAGATGAGTTGAGGTTGGAGGATGAGCTTCTGATTTTTTTGAGGTTGAAGTATTGATAATAAAGTGAGAGACAGTCAAGGGATGTGACGTGGAGACTGCTTCCGTGGACTCGATTCACTTCGTGATTCAAATCGCTGGAAAGTGAATGTAAAATCATTGAGCTGCCTCATCTAAGTGAAGGTCTTCCCAGTCACCCAATCACGTGCTAGTCGTCGTCTCTTGTGGCAACAACCTCTCACAACATAGCGATATCTCTGTGTCCAAGACACTTACTTTAGGGATTGTCGAATGGCTCCTATGAAGACCGAAGGAAAACGCAAGGAGAACGAAGGTAGCTGATTCGAGCCATTGCTAATCAGCTTCATCTGAGGTTCAGGGTGGCTTCGAAGATTGGGGCATTCCTCGAGTTCTGGCTTCAAGCGGAACCTGGTACCTTCGTTGAGCAAGGCAGCTTCCCAGGGCATGAAGAATGGATTCTGGTCTCGCTTGTGTACCAGTCCATGCGAGGCTGTGCCTTCTGGCTTGAAACTGTGCGCCAGGAAGAGGATATTAGTCCTAATCGGAGTCGTCCCATTGTCCATACAAGTGAGTGACCCTCTCTGAACGAGGCTGTTCCCTACCCAGCCGTGCTTTCCGATTGACATGGGATGAAGCGTGACGGAGTACTCTACCTGCTGCGAGGCTGTGTTCATCTTCGTCTTCATCCACATCATGCCGCCGGTTGCTAGGTCGCATCGGACTTGACAGAGAAGTGGTGGCATCAGTTTCATTGTCGCTTGATTGATTTTCAACTCGCAGATCTTTGCGTTGGTATGACGATAAAAGATTAAGCACGTACAAGTTCTTGAGTCGGTATGTCTGCATCAGCAGTCCCCGGTTCTGCTTGGAGCCTGAGCTGAAGTTGAACTTCTCAAAGCATTTCTCAATATTTTCTTCCGCTCCAACAATGAAAGGATCAGCACCCGCTCCCAGGAATGATGCAAAGGTCTTCGCAACATCGTTGACGTCTTCGTGGTCTTGAGATGCGACTACTTCGAGAAAACAGCTCCACCCAGTCGAGCCGTCAAATTCGGGTGTTTTGATATCCCTGATGACCTGGTTCGGATTGCAACCCGCTTTCAGCAAGACTCGCATGGTGCTGCAGCGGAGCCTTGCATCCTCGCCCAAGTACTGTCGGAATAGCGGACGTCGGATCGCATGGTAGAGTAGAGACTTGTTACTAGACATCTGGGCCGTCAGATTTCTGTTGATGGCGAGTTCCGCCTGCACAAACCGATAGATGTCGAGTTCCACAGCGACAACCAGTCTCGCCATCCGTCGATCCTTAGAAGTGGGCGTAGTAGAGGGGTTGAGATACTCTCCGAGGTTTTGCATCAAGTACACACTCTTGAGCGTCTTCACTACTTCAATAAATCGATCGAGGGCTACTTCCAAGAAGATACTTGAACTACCACCACGATACGAGCAATAACTGACGAACCGCTGTATCTGTTCCTGACAAGCACTTTGTCTTGTTTGCTCCGCATAGATATGTAGCAGATAGGTAGATATGAACGCAAGAGCAGCAGATGCGTCGAACTCTTCTTCTGGTACCGTGAGTGACCCCAACTCCCAGGCTTCCGGTATATTCAGGAATTCGAGAACTGTTTTGTGCATAAATTGCACGGAAGCAATAGGTGGAGTCTCCTCGTCGTCATACTGAACATATGGTAGTCGTACCTCCACAAGACCCCAGCATCGACTTCGAAGTCGACCCTCTAGTTCTTGGTTTGGGTTTGTAGAAGTATTGCGCCTAGATGGAGAAAACTGTGGTATACTCAAAATGTCCAGGTCGTACTGATCGAGAAGGCTGACACCAAGTGCAGGGATTGCGTAATCTGCTTGAGTCAGGCTATTGATGTGACAAAGCTTGAAGATTTTTGCTGCATAGGTTCTGTATCTTGGCTCGATCTTCCCTAGCATATGTCTGAAAAGCTCTGCAAGCTCGGGTGGCAGTTCTTCCACCCGAGTCCGAATTTCAGAAACTCGATCAAATGCAATAAACCCGTCAAGCACGGATCGACAGGCAAGAACCACCCAGAGAAAAACACCAGAAGCTTTATCGACGAGCTCTGTTATAATTTCCCTTGCTTCCACCGGATCCTGTGCCAAGAGGTGTGCCATATGGGGGTGATCTTCTATTTTATGTTCGACGTAATTCTTGATATCCGTCCTGGTGAGATCTTCAAGCTTCAACATTGGCTTGGAGGAGAAAGCGTCGACAAAACCCGGCTCCGGTCTGCTGGATACGAGGATCTTGACGTTTGATAGCTTGGACAATTTGTCGATAAACTGGACTGCTCCCTGGTAATGGCCGGAATATTCGTCTAGTCCGTCAATGAAAAAGCAGTATTTGGAATTACCAAATTCTACTGAATGCTCCCAAAGCAGATCAAATACCTTGGGCATTCGACTCGGTGATGGAATATCATACTTGGCAGCCTCTGAGCCATACATTCTGCTCCACATGTCCGGCAAGATTTTCTTGATAAGCGGCCGGTTAACCTGTAAGATTTGATAGAGTAATGCTCTGCAAAGACCATATTGAGACTTCTGTTCATCAGTACCCAGATGCCAGAAGAAGAAATTTGGAGCGTGCAAAGGTAAATGTCCAGCCCATTCTTTTAGTAGAGTATGCGTGCGCTGGTTGTTCCATATCGCCTTCATAAGCGTGGATTTGCCAGAGCCGGCTTTGCCACTGATCCAGTAAACACCTTGGCCTGAACGAAGCCACTGCGAGAGGTCGTCCCAGTTCTCACTGGAGCCTGGCGTCTCTAGAATCCACTTGTAGGATCCATTTTCTGGAGCGTTGATGAGCTCTCGTCTCTCATCCATAGTTCGAAACCACATAAGCTCTAAAATTCTCTGTTGGCATCTCTCGACCAAGAAAGACTTTGCAAGAATGGATATTCTGGGGTCGATTTGCTCCGAGGCCTCACGAATGGTGCCAACGTGGAGGGCTCCCAAGGATGAAAAGTCTTCATGCGTCATCCGCTCAAATACTCCTTTGGAGCCGGGGAGTAGATCATTGAGTTTGGCAATCAACATGCCCAGTCTCTGGACAAGGTCCTCAAATCTAGATCTATCCCTCACCACCCAGCGAGCCTTTTTGGTAGTGCTCACGGTGGCTTGTACACGTCTGGAGTGATGCTGGAAATGATCATACTCATCAAGAAATTCTTCCATACGATGCTTGCTAAGAAGAGGGCCTTGCCGTCTTGGTGCAAGCTCAGAAGAGACCTGCTGTAAGCCATATCGATTGCTGAGGGAAGTCGCCTCGCTGAGAAGTGTTGCTATGCTGGCGAGGACGCGAAGAGTCGTTCTGCGTAATTGCGGGTCGTCGAGTCGATCATCATAGTCGCCTTGCAGAAGGCGTACTCTGCGACACCAGTGAAGGAGGAGGGTCTTCTCAATGTCGAGCTGAGTGTCCAGGAGCACGGCATCATGCCCAAGCTCGCGAGCTGCTGAGATGTATTCAAAAAGTTCGATACAGTCTTTGATAGTGGATACGAGTGCGGCAACTCCCACCACGAGGCCGGCGATCTCCATAAAGGCTGATGAGTTACAAAGCCTTGGAATTGCACTGCATACCTCGTCTGGCCCTTCGAAGAGCCACTATCAATCAATTATATGCAGATGTTGGCAATGAAAGCCTGATGTGAAGTGAGGAGTTGCCTGGCTCAGCCTCTGCAAAGCCACAGCCACATGTTGAAACGAGATTGGTGGTTGTTCTTGGCGACCCCGTCCAATGGTCACCAAGGACTGTGAGGTATGCAATATAAGGCGTGGGTATAGCAAAGATACATACTTGGTGGCATAAATCTAGTTATGACAATGATGATGGCTAAAGGGCCACAGTAATGGTTGACTACCAGCGGCCAACACATGGTCGAGTGAGCCTCCAAAGAAGGGAACTCCATTGGGAGGGAAGCCCAGGCGAGTCTAAGACCAAATGGAGTGTTCTCACCTATCTATGTGTCGTCTCAGACCGGCATGGTAGGCCCCGAGCTCTTCACAGAGCAAACGGCATAACAAGAATAAACAAGTGACAGAAAGGGTGAGGGCCGTTGAGCAAAGGAGAGGTGTACATGTATATGGCTTCGAATTCCAATGGAACTCATAGGACTTCCGTTCGCTCCCAGTAGACACCAAATGCCGGGAAAGAATCTGTGTCAGAAACGGAAGTATGCTACTGGCACTCTTCGTTAGAGATGCTATTTGAGAGTGGTTGGCTTTTTCTTGGTCGCTCAGCCCGACGGTGCTTTTGCCGAATCTGTGATACCTGGTGAGTTTGAGGGACAAGCTCATGATGAAGCCACCCAATCTTCGATGAGAAATAGCGCCTGCCGATGATCAAACTGGTCTCGAGCCGATGAAGTGGAAGGCAAGAGCACACTTTCCCCCCTTCCAGTCTCGTACGACCAACGGGCAGTAGCCATCAGCTCCAGTTCTACCAGAGGCGAAGCATATGACCGCGCACATCAACGATTCCGTCCGATGCCACATGTCTGATTCATTACATCCTTCCTTCGACTAGTGCATTTAACGTGTCGACGCGCCGTCTCTTTTATAGGCCCAGAAAACATTGGACATCTCCCAGCACAGATTTGATATAAACGCATGCGATGCCCAATCATCGTATAACACCACCAACACCAGCCCAACCAAGTACAAAGCCACTCAGGGCTTCCGTGAACAGACCACCTCCGAACCAAATCTCTCTCCAGGCTCCCGCACCCGGATTCCGACCGTTCTTATCGACGCCCCTCGTTCCCGAGGAGCCGGCAAAGTATTTCTGGGGATCGGCACCTGCGAGAACGAAGTAGAACAGCGCCGAGAGAAGTAGGTTTGCCGCAAGGTAGAAAGCGAAGCCGTAGAGGGATTCCAGGCCTAGGATGCCTGCGGCGACGCCTAGGAGGAGACCGGAAATGGAGCGGATGTTGGAGATGGTCTTTGATGGTCGTAATGTGTCAGTAGGGCTGTGTTCATAAGTCAAGGGTCCCTTTGGAGATTCCTTACCCTGGTATTATGCATGAGAGATTCTGGCACCAGTGGGTTTAAGAGGAGTGATAGTTCGGCGGGCGAGGGTGCCATGGTGAATGTAAAGAACGAGTCTGGGGATTTCAAGATCGTGTATTTTCTTGGAACAGAGGATGAGTGTGTGTATGTCAGAAAGCTAAACCCGGTGGTGATGCTCTTGCTCAGAGTCGAACTTGAAGCATTGCAGGGCAACTTGAAATGCAGCGATTGAGGCTTGGCACTCATGTTGGACCACCGCCTCCAAGTCGGGCAAGGACGACAAATAATCCGATATCCCAGATCCTGTGATTCTCATCTTCATGATGCTCCTGTTTGTACATAATACTATTCGACTAGTAACCTTGCAATCTCATAGATAAAGTCCGATTTTCTTTCTTTGAAAAGTTGTATACTTGATTTTCACATAGAAAACTCGTCTGAGTAAATGCCATCATGCTATGGAAGTTTCCCATGCCATCGATCAAGAGCAGAGGAGTAATTGGAGTGGTGCGGTAGAAGGGGCTGATTATGAACCGAGAGAACTCGCCAGTAGTAAATATGTGTTTCGTGGTTGGCAAATAGTGCATGTGGGAATCCTTTTGAAGCGTCATGTTTCCGAATCATCGTTGAGAAGGAAGTTCCAGCTTCATTCTTCCATTTCTCATCCTTCAACTTGGTCATCACCATCCATCACTCAATCAGGGACGCCTCTTCGATTCTTGTGCTCACACAAGTCTTCAACCCAGAGTTTTCCTCTCACTTTCTGTGCATCAGGCCAGGAGTACTACATTCACCTGGACATCAGTCATTAGAAGCCTCACAACTTGCCCCCTTCTCGAGCTTCCTTGACTTGCTCAAACACCTATAGCGAATTAGTCTCATCTGATCGGTTGCGTTGTCGAGCACCTTACCTTTAGCATTTTGTTACGCGCGCCAAGTGCATTGACTCCTCTTGCATCCAACCCTTTGTCGTCCAGCTCGACCAATTCTTCCCACTTCAAATCCTTTAGATTATCCGTGTACTTGTGCAACCTAAGAGATCGAAGCCATGCCGGAATATCTTGGAGCAAGCTGGGGTCAGTTGGATCCTCGGGAGGCTTGCTACTCCCCCGACGACCGCGAGGAGATCGCCCGCGATTGATGTCAGAATGATCAGAAAGGTATCCCTCACTCCCAATCACGGGGGGGATGAATCCTGCGACTCCGGGTCCCATCATCAATGGTTGGCCATCATACGCCGCCAGAAAGCCATTATGTTGCGGAGATGCAAAACTGGTCTGTCCTAGTGGTGTTTGCAATGGCAGTCCAGGAGAGTTTGGACGAGATCGCCGTCCTTGAGCAGCGGCAATCTGGTGCGCCTGAATAGCTGCCACCTGTTGCACATTTAGGATCTGTCCGTGGTCATTAACCATGATTGTATTGATGCCGGGGATGCCAGATGCAGTCAGACCAGGTGTCAACGGAGGCTGAGCATGTGCTTGAGGTTCATTAGATCTAGCCCGGCGATATTTCTTGACATCGTCCAATGCAATGCGGTTGTTGACGGTTGACAAAGCGGCCAGCTTCATTGCAGTCGCGTTGGCCACCATATCGCTATGAGCTGCATTCTGACCAAAGTTTGGAACCATTGGAGTATTACTCATCGAAGCCCAACTCTGGTTGCCTACATTATAGGGTGAGAGAACTGGGTGGTCACTGGAGAGGTGGTCTGGGGCGGTTAGAGTGGTGCTTTGGATACCAGCAGACGGTGGACCCATGGGCGGTCTTGGGGAACGCAGACCTGCGGATAGAGGCGGTTGGCTGAATTGACCCATGGGGGCCTGGCCGGGCTGCGCTTGACCACCAGAAGAAGATTTTGGTCGCGAGATGGGAGGTTGATGAGAATCCGGGCCTTGGCGCCAGCTCAAGGCATCCGACTTGTTCTCCCGGGGAGCTGCAATTGTTGGGGCTATCAGAGAGGTGCGGTCACCAACTGTGCTGTTCCGGTTCGACGGTGGGAGGTTGCCAGTCTGTTGGGCATATTCCGCCTTCTGTTGCTGAATAGCAGCGACTGCATCCGGAAACATGGCATGGATGGTAGACTGGTCGAGGCCTGAGTTACGCTTGTTCCCAGCTGGAGAGACAGGAGGACGGCCGACCGAGGTCCTTCGATCCTCGACGTTGAGTTTAGACATGGCATCACTGAGGCGGCTGGACATGGCATCCTTTTCCCCAAAGTTTGCAGGTGATAAGACACCCGAGATAGGATGGCTCTTGGACATTTGATTGAGGACCTGGGCAAAGAATCGTTGTTGCATCTGGGTGGTTTGTTGAATCAAGGCGTAGGTGGCAGCGGTACGCTCGGCCTCGCTCAAGACACGGAACCATTGCTCGATCGCACTCAGTTCGTCTTTGAAGTCCTGGTCCAAGGTAGCGGCAGCCATCTCCTCCAACATGGTCTCGTACTGTTCAATATCATGAATCCATTGCTCGCCTAGTTTGCTTGAGTCGTCGAGACTTCCTTGTTGGAGCTGCTGATTATAAAGGACCTCGGAGGCAGGACGGATGGAGCGCGCCGACAGGGGAGAGGTGAAGGACATGTCGGCTGAAGACCGGACCTGTTGACTGTGGGTACCTGAAGGACCGACAGTTCTGGAGGAGGGAGGACGCAGAGTGGTCTTGGAGGCTTCGGGAGTGCTGTTTCTGTTTCCGATGATGTTGCTGGCCATTGTGGACGTGAATGACAAGACAAGCTGAGGTTGCACAGACAGTTGCAGTGGTTGCAATGAGACTCAGCTCAGTGGGTGGAATGAAGAGGCAAAGCGATTGCGGAAGTCAGGTTGGTAACACAGAGATCTAGCAAATCATGAATGCGGACTGGGCTTCGCTCAGAGGTAGCAGTGTGTACAAGTCAGCCAATTGGAGCCAGTCCAAAGGCTGTATGGAGGGAAATGAATGTGACGTGAGGTAAAGGCAGCGTGCTGTATAGCGATCGGAGGGTCAAGAAGCGAGTCGTAGAATAGGTGGACTCAGAGACGGAAGGTAGAGGCAAGATCTAGAGAAATTAATGGAGGTGGCGGTATGGATACAACCGGTGTCTCAGACACGCTCGGAACCGGATAGACAGAACACGCGCGGCAAAGGCACAAAGAAGTCGTGGATGGATGAGAAGTTTGTGGACGAGAGGTGAGCATGTACAAAGTATGGGGAGGGAGAAAAAAGCTGAAGAGGAAAAGAGCAGGAGCGACTGGTGCACTACAAGTGCAGCCGTGGTTAACTAGTGGTAAACCGTAGTGGCTTCAATTGAACAGGTAAGTACCAAGGTACACACTGGCAACTACGATGGTCACTGGTCCTTCCTTCCCATTCCCACTCTCCGTTCCTGCAGTGCCTGTGTGCTGCAGCTCAATAAGGAGACGGAGGACCTCGTACGGATACCCTGGAGACTGGCACCTCCTCTCCGACCAAAGTCTTTGGCAATTACGAATCTGACTAGAATCAGGATCTGTAGGGCTAGTTCAGTTAGTTGCAGGTTGTGTAGCTGAAAATAAGACACCACGAGATAGAGTGGGCCAGGATAAGACCTTCTGTGTTGAAGGCGTGGGGGATCCGAAACACATTGGCCTGCTAGTTAACACCTTGCCTGTGGTGGACAGTTCTAGGCTTGCAGGCCGGGTCTCGGTGGGCTTTTAGCGGTGACTGGACGCCTACAGTGTGCGTCACTCGTATATTTTAGGCTAACCACTGACAAAAGTCTGTGTGACTTAAGCGACACCTACCTACGCCAAGGCTCCCTCGACCCTCGAAACAGACAGAAAACTGCCACAACCTCGTCAGGCTTCACTTGAGCACTCTTATTGATCAACCTTGTTTCCACCTTCTCACTCCATACTGGATAAGCCTCTTGTTTTGTCCAGGGTTGTGACCTTTCTTCACCTGAACGGCCTCGGGAGAACCAACAACTTCTCATCCAAAAGTTCTCTGACCTTTTGGCTTGCGCCACACTGTGGCGTAGAGCGCAACACCACCTGCATAACTCGTAGGTACTTCTGACCCTTGTTATTGGTTACCATCAAGCCTCAGATGCGAGCTGGAACCTCATCATTTACATGCTAGTGGCAATCCGCTCAAGGCTTCGCTACACCTAGAACCTAGATACTCAGGAAGAAGACCATTTGATGTGTAATGATGCAACGGATATTCATCCCTCAACCCAGCACGACACGGTTTGATAAGCATTCCGAGACAGCAACCGACGGGAATGATTCCAGCTGACCTTCTGCGAGATGAACAACACTCCCTACAATCCAAATCGCCCATACAGGCCTTATTCTTGGTTACCACCTAACCTAATCAACCCTCAACAACTCTTAGGGTTACCGGGTTACCAGCCGCCTGTTCATGCGGGCCCCGGTTCAAACCCTCAAGATGGACCTTACAGCCATGCCAACAACTACCACCAGCATGCTTTTCCAGGGCAAAACACAACCCAAGCTCTCAATCCTCCCTCATACAATCGTATACTTGCACCGGCGCCACGGCTGATGTTCAATGGTCAGCCGGGTACTCATCCTGCTGCCTTTCAACAAAACCCGTACCAAGCACAGCGCCCATATCCTGCACAATCTTCAACACAATCACCTGTCCCATCGTCTCCAGGTTTCCCGCCATACGCTGCTACCAACTATGGTCCACCTGTCCAATCTGGTAATCCTGCTGGTCCCTCGAGAGTTGCTTATTTTCACCCAGGACCTCCATTGATTCACAATAATCAAGAGCCCTTGCGTGTCCAGACCAGCGACTCTGGATTACGTGGCGCCCCTCAACCATCGAACCAAGCAACTGAGACTGGGCGTGAGGATGTATCATCTCAAGATGTGCCTGGTAATCTGCCAGCAGAAACCTCGGACGAGGATGACATGTCAGTGGACGAAGGTGAAAGTCAGGCGGTCGCTCAAGCCATGATTGCAGGCGGATTGGACCCTAGCTCCACATCTCGAAAACGGGGTCGCCCAGCTGGAAAGTCAACGGAACCGCCAACTAAGAAACGCCGAAAGAAACGGACTGGAAAGCGAGGCGGATGGAGCAAGGGCTTGAGAATGGGACCACGACCGGTGCTCGAACCAAGCCCTGAATTCAATGATCTGCACCAGAATGCCTTGAATGCCTTCATCGACGAGCAAGACACCGAAAAAGCACGTGACCTAATATTGCAAGCTATCACAATTAATCCGGAGATCTATGCCGCTCATGCGCTGCTTTCAGAGATCTACTTTGCTAGGGGTGAAGATGAAAAGGCAATTGCCGCCCTTTTCAGTGGTGCTCATAGCGCTGCGAGAGACGCGGAGGTTTGGCGACAAGTTGCCGATGCCTGTCTACAACATTCTTCCAAGAATCGCCAGAACGCTCTTCAGCAAGTGAGTTACTGTTATGCCCGTATCATATCTAACGATAATCGAGACTATGATACTCGCCTTGATCGAGCAGCAATCAGCAAGGACCTCGCCAATTACGGGAAAGCAATGAAAGATCTTGAAATATGCCTAGCAGCTTTACCCTGGAACGCAAAAGCAATGAAGTTGATCGCCGAAGTTGGTATCGCAACCAAAAATCGGACCAGAGCTAAGTCGCTCTACGCTGATTGCTTCGCACAAGCAAAGGAGTTGGGCGAAGATGGGAAAGAAATATTCACCTGGACGCATGCTATTGCGTACGTGGATCTACTTACCCATGATGACCCTCCCGATGAAGCAAGATCGAATGCAATACTGGTATTTCGTCAAGTGTCTCGATGGATCCTGGGGAGGGACGACGAATCTTATTGGGATGATTTCGACGACGACCGCGAGTGGGATGCTGAAGATGAGCCTCGAAGGGTTATGGTGCCACAGTTTATCCCAGATGTGTTCCCCATTGAATCTTACGGATCTGGGCTTCCTCTTGAACTTAGAGTTCAACTCGGCATACTTCGACTCAAACAAGGCTCCGATCACCTTGCCGAAGCAATTGATCATTTAGAATGGCTGGAACCCGAGGCACGCGATGAAGCGGCAAGTGTTTATGAATATCCCGACCTCTTTCTCGAAGCTGCGAATGCGTTGTATGCCGCCAAGGAACATGAGCAAGCCCTCAGATACTTCGAGGCACTACGAGACATCGAGGCGTCTCTAGACGTCGACTTCTGGCTTGCTATGGCCACGTGCAATTATATTACGGGAGACAAAGCGCAGGCAATCGAGTGCTACGAAGCTGCGAAAGAGGTCGACCATGAATGCGGAGAAGCCAGAACCCAACTAGCGAAGCTATACACCGACCTCGAGGAGAAAGAAAAGGCCATGCAGAATGCGCGTGAAGCCGTTCGAATTGCTGAGCAGGCAACACCTCTGACAGAGAAGCGCAGGTATGAGCGGAAGGAGCAACGTTTGGCCCGAAAGGCTGCAGAAACTGCCTTGAAGCAAGCTTATTCCCTAAGAGGTCCGCTTGCCCAAGGACCTGCTATTGATCGTATTGAGTCACGGCTCAAGCCTCGAAAGACCCGAGCAGAGATAAAAGCAGAAAAAGCTAAGGTGCCACGCCCGAGAAAGCAGACACCTCCACGCAAACCTCGTCCACCACCAAAGCCTCGTCCACCCCCGAGAAAGAAACCTATGACGCCTGCAGAAAAAGAGGCTCACCGTACCGAAGGTGTCACACGGTTGTACAGCACTCTTCTCGAAAACGTTGATGGAATGCGAGAAGGAGAGGAGTTCTCAACTGAAACCTGGACCGAGTGTGCACAAGCCCTTGTCATGGATTTCCAGAGCAATCGCAAATTCTACCCTAATGATCGTATGCCGTTCGTAGGGTTTGAGAATCGGTCCAAATCCAAGAAACAACCCCAACTGGACGATCCAGCAAAAGGGATCTCACAGATCGATATTGCTGAAATTCCGACAGTTTACCGCGAAATTCCCTTTACAGATTGGCTGGATGTATTCCTCGAGTATGCCCTGCTCCTGGCCAAGACCGGCGACCAAACTCGTTGCTACAAGACCATTACTGCCGCCATCGATTGTTCGGTTTGGTACCACGACCCGAACGCCCAGCTACTCATCTACACCACATACTTAACATGCTGCATCGCACTCCGTGATGAAGCAACAGTCTACTCGACGGTCATACGCTGGTTTCTACGAACATACGAATTCTGCACCGATGCATACCGTCTCTTCGCGGCAATCAATCTCATCTTTCCCTACACAACGGACAAAAACGGAAAGGAAGGACAACTTGCAAACCTGGCCTACCGCAGCAGTCCCATGCAGAAGTTCCTGTTCAGACAGATTATGAATCTAGATGTCAACCTACCGGAAGACTATTCACCCGAAGGATTCGGTCCCGTCCCAGATTTCATGAGACGTCAACGCGACAAGATCCCCAGAGATGAGAAAACACCCACAGCCAATGATCCCTCACCCACCAAAAACAAGTCCACCAGCAAAAACACCATAGACGCACCAGCAAACCTCCATCCCAAAGAAATGGACGTCGTACTCCTGACGCTCTACGGCCACGTCCTCTACGCGAACGGCAGTTTCCGCTCCGCACTGTCGTACTTTTACCGTGCTCATGGCCTCGACCCCCACAATCCCGTGATCCTGCTCACAATGGCGCTCAGTTACATGCATGAAATGATGAAGCGGCAGAACGAGAACCGACATATCTATCTCCTACAGGCGTGGGCGTTCTTCGAGGAATACGCTGACGCAAGGAGGGCTTCGGTGGCAGCATCAACGAGGGACGAGACGGAAGAGATTGACAATCAAGAAAACAGCGCCGCAACCGGCGTTGAGGCCACGGACGGCCCGAACAAAGAGAAGGGGGAGGAGAAAGCCCATCCGAAGTCAAAGCCCGTCCTCGCGATCATCGAGGCCGAGATCGAGTTCAACCGTGCTCGGTGCTGGCATATGCTGGGCATGTCTGACCTGGCGGTGCGGTCCTACGAAAAGGTTCTGACGCTGCAGAGGGGCAAGGCTGTGATGAGTAATGAGACAAGAGCTGTCGTTGACGAGGTGGCGCAAGACCGTGTCAGTGGTATTGGTGCTACGCAGCAACAGATACCAGACAAGGCAGACACAGGCCCCGAGACCTATACCATGGAAGCGGCATATGCGATCCAGACTATGTACGCGATGAGTGGCAATCCTGTCATGGCCAGGGCTGTTGCGGAGAAATACCTGGTTGTGTAATTGGTAGAAATTTAGCGAGTTTAGACAGGATCGAGGCAGCAGAGCATTTAGCTGTAATGTGAGTGTGAAAGCTTGACTTAATGAAGCAGATCAAACGGCTGTTTTTCCTTCTCGAAGCGTCGTCGATGGGATGAGCGAAGTCTTTTGACCCTGTAAATTGTCGCGAGCGTCCGAAGGTGCTCTGGCCGAGCCGATTGATCATGCAAGGTGATGGTGATGATATAAAAAATTGATCCTCGTCTTTTTTATTTACAGCAACAAGAAGTGTGAACGGTCCTTCGCCGTGACCAGCTCTTCTCTGATCCACCGCCGCCTTTCTGGGTTCACGACTCTCCATTCTCTGTTCTCCATCCACGTCTATCAAGTCCACCTATCTCCACTTCACCTCAACTCATTCGCTGGTCCTCAAACTAGTTTGACAGTACCCTAAACTCGGGACAGACATTGGTGGTATAATTTACTGAGCCTTGCTCTGGACCAATTTCTCCACGTCGGCGACGCTCTGAGTCAGGATTTGCTGCAGGACCTTGGGGTTCTCGAGCTCCTTGGTGACCTTTGCGATGATACTGTCGGCGAGTTCCTTCTGCTGGCGCTGCTTGACTTGGCCTTCGTAGCGGACCCATGAGTCGAGCACGGTCTTGGCCTCGGCGGCCAGGAGGGTCTTTTGCTCGAGCTCGAAGGCTTGGGCTTCAAGGTGGGCGGTTTCCTATGTGCACGTAAGTAAGATGTAAATTGGGTTGCAGGAGTTACGTGAGAAATGCGTACTTTTGACACCTTGAATAGCTCTTGGGTGATGTCAACGACATTGCTGAGAGGCTTGACATCTTCAATTCTCGACTTGACGGCCTCGACGTGACCTGCCCTGGCCGAGTTCAAAATCTCCTTGTACTTGCCGATGGTGGTCTCAGCCCAGTCGTTGTACATGGGGCCACCATATTTGAAGATTCCGTAAAAGACACTCAACAAGCAGAAGGCGACAACAGATTCCTCGTTGACCACGTAGAGCTCGTTGCTGATGGCCCAGATGGAGGCGCCTGCACCTGCGGAGAGGATGGCGGTCTTGCTCGCGAGGGAGTTGCCTGGCAGAGCATCGACGATGGACTGGGCCTTCTTCTTTGGTTCCTCGACGGAGACGTTGGATTGGTATCGTTGAGATGTCAGGGGGGTGGTGAGGGCAGGTAAGGATCGTAGTGAGAGGGATGGTCGAAGTCTTGCGGCTCCTAGATTGAGGGTTTGAATGTTAGTTTCCATCGGTTCTGTCATGATTGAAGCTCGCTTGGATAGTGGAGGAGCTCACCGGCCGTACTCCTCGCCAGTCTAGACGCCATTGTGTTGATATATCTTGCCTGGAAAGACGATGTCGCCGCTGGAGGGAGCTGTTTGACGTTTCTCTGCCGCAAGAGGGAGCTTCAATTGCAAAGTCGGACTTGGCGGCCGGAGGCAGGAAAAATAGATTTTCCGGATCTGTCAAATGTCAATTTTCACGGCTGACTCACGTGATGAGGCTGGAGCCCGGCAAATGTTATTCTCCGATCAGGCTAATGCACCTCGAACTGTGTGATTGGCCAGGTGCTAATTAATCCAGGCCGTGGGCACATTAAAGGGTTCTCATTTCTCCTTGGCATACGTTGTGGCCGAGGTGGACCCATGCCCATATCAATATTATGCTCGAAAAAGTTTCATGCATGATAATCTTCAGTGTGCCTCTATTTGCCCGGTATCCATACTCCGAACAGCACAGCAACTTCCCTCTAAGCGAGATTCCTTTGCAACTTTGCACAAAGAATTGCGCCAGAATCGGAGGGTGAGCAGGTCCCCACCATCTACATGAGGGAGCTTCTGCTCTCGAGTCTCTCTCCCACAGACTCATAACTCGGACCCAACCTCAAAAGCCCTCCTCTCCTCGCCCGGTGCTCTCCAAAATGCCTTCCGCAACAGCCATGGATTCATACGCCTCGCTCATCGCAGCACCCATGTCGGTTCCTCAGAGGAAATCTCTCCTCAAACAACTTCAGTCTCCTGAAGCCATATCAAGTCTCCGCAGGCCAGAGATCCTGATGGACTTCTTCACCGACAGCCTGGACATGGGAGATTTGAGTTTGGCTGTACCGGCTTTACAAGGTCTCTTCGTCCTCATCACTACCAAGAACCTCGACTACCCGGCTTTCTTTCCAAGACTCTACGCTCTGTTGGACAAAGACCTCCTGCACAGCAAGTACCGATCGCGGGTCCTACGGCATCTAGACGTCTTCTTGTCTCCAACCAACCATCTCCCCGCTACGACCATTGCAAGCTTCATCAAGCGTCTATCACGCCTCTGTCTATTTGCACCTCCATCTGCCATCGTGGCCATCATACCGTTCATCTACAACCTCCTCAAAACCCACCCGACCACCACCTTCATGATCCACCGCCGCCCCTACCCACCATACACCAAATTCAAGCATAACCTGGGCAATGACCCGTACGACCCTACCGAGCCTGACCCACAGCTCACGGGTGCCATCGACAGTTCCCTGTGGGAGTTGGAGACAGTTCAGTCCCACTACCACCCGACTGTCGCCAGCATCGCTCGCATCATCTCCGAGCAGTTCACCAAGCAACAATACAACCTGGAAGATTTCCTTGACCACGGTTACGCCAGTCTGCTCGAGAGCGAACTCAAGAAGAAAGAGAAGAAACCCCCTGTCGTCGAGTACAAGATCCCCAAGAAGATCTTCAGCGCTGACGATAGCGAAGACGAGGAGGGCGGACAGCGACAGCTGAACTCTTTACTGGACATGTGGGACTTTGAATGTTGAGTCATGACTCATGAGTCGAGTCAACCATTTCCATTTTCCATTTCTTGCCATAGACTTATGATTTCCAAGTGGGGTGGGTGGTACAATTGGTTTATCTTGCATCATGCACACGTGTTCAACAGTGGATTTAGACGATAGACAAAAAACATCCCACACACGAAGGCATGACATCGAGGGAGGATATTCTGAGCGCAACTTTTTTCATTATTGCTTAGCGTTTATACTGTGGATAGCGGCGTTGGGATCGGCATTATTCTCCCAGCATAAGCATTCATAACGACCCCGGATAGACCAAAAAAGAGATAACAATGGCAGTGGCTGCCTCTTGACGACATAGAATTACACTTGAACAATTTCAACAATGACTTTCTAATCCCACTTTATTCCATTCTCAATCTTCGACACCAATGGCTGCCATGGTTCCGTAACACACTTGGTCGAAAATAGCTAGGCAGGCACTATCGTCAATTACAAGTGCACGCTCATTTCAAGCCACGCGAAAGCCCAAAAACTTCGTATCCAAGACAAAATGCCGAACTTAGCTCCTTCGTCCGGCAGTTACCAACACGATCTAATGCCAACTTCTGACACGCCAAAAGCTATCCTCAAAGAAACGCGGCCCCATCCTCAAAACTGCCTCCTCTCCCGCCTCCTTTTCTTCTCTTTCCCATCACCTGCCCTCTTCGCAACCGCCATACCAGCATCATCGGTCTTTCTGCGCGGCAAAGCCCTGACTTTCCGCCTGCCCGCGACAGGCGCCGTGCTATTCATGACCTCGGCGATGAGATAGCCGTTGATGGTGTTACTGCTCAATCGAAGCGCGATCTCCGGGCACTTTCCGCTCTCGTCCTCGCACGACACGGTGGGTGGACAGCAAATACCGACGCTGTTGCGGCAGACTTTGCAGAGCGGGTTGTCGTCGTCGTCGTCGTCTTCGGAGGACGAGCTGTCCCCACTCGGCACCACGAGGTCGGTCAGGTTGACTGCGTGCCCGTTGCCGCCGTGGTAGGCGCCGCCGCCGCCATCTGAGGTGGACAAATTCGTTCCGAGTCTCAATAGTCCGCCAGCTAAGGCTGGGTCTGGGCAGTATGAAACGTAGACTTCGACGGTGGAGCGCGTGCGTGTTGTGGAGGGCGTTAATGTTATAGTTGGGCCACCTGTGGCTGTGAAGGTACCGGTGCCGGTCTGTGTGGTATTCCGGATTAGTTTCTCTCGAAGGCTCCCCTGTGAGAGGAAGCTCAACTTACCACTGTTCCGCATCCTGAAAATTGCCCACTGACATTCTGCATCGTGCCGGACGTCACGAATGATATCAATCCTCCAAGTTGAGCAGGCCAGATCGTGCCTGTGCCTGTGATATCGCCAGAGCCAGAGCCGTATCCACCTATGGGTGATCGAGTCAGCAACGGGGAGATCCTTTTCAAGAGAGAAGAAGGGGGGGGGGGGGGGGGGGGGGAAAAAAAAAAAAACCCAAAAAAAAGGAAAAAACAATAGCGAACTCGAACTTTCTCATTCCAGTCGGGTGCAACTTGCAAGTG